TAGTCCTAGAAATAGAGTAATCTATATATAGTTTCCTTACTATATATAGATTACTCTATTTCTAGGACTATATATACGTAGATAGAGGTATTTCTAGAACTAATTCTACTTATTTATTATAATATAAGTAGGTAGCGTGACCCTAGGACCTTAGGAGTTAATAAGGATAGAAGTCCTTAGGTTATTTACTATAGACATACTCTTATTAAACTCTTAGAGGCTAAAATAATATTAGTAGAGTAGCGTATTCTACTAATAGGTAAAATTAGTTTATAGGTATATAAGGAGCCATATTATATATATTATTAAAAACCTAGACATATAGTGCACTAGTAAAATAGATATTACTAGTAGTACTAGACTACCCTAGCACTATAGAATAGGCGCTATATATATAGCTTAATAGTAGTAGAATAGCTAGAGGTTATAGTAGAGGCTCTATAACTTACTTATAGGTTATTTAAGAATTCTTCCTATAAGAGGTCTATATATTTAATAATACTTATTTTACTCTAATTACTAGTAGTGCTATTAACGCTAGCGTTCTAATAGGTAATTAAGAAGCTATTATCCTTACGTTAGATACTACTAACTAGGCCTTTAGGCGCTTATGTGTTAAGGCCTATTATTAAGTGCTAGTAATAGAGTCCTTTACCTTCTACCTATTATACTTTTAAAGCTTTATTATAGGCTTAATATAGTGCCTTATTATCTAGCGTCTAGCCTTTATATAATTATATATCTAATATTAGTAAAACTCTAAGGCTAGTATAAAGGCGCTATCGCCCCCCTTAAGTAGTTTAATACACTAGTAATAGCATAGCTAGCCATACTCTTATATATATTACTTCTTATAGAGTAGAATTATTTTTTGTAAGTCTTACTTAGTAAGTAGTTTCTATGCCTTAGAAATATTCTAACTAAACTCTTATAGGGCATATAAATAGATAACGCCAGTAACCTATTAGTATAATAAATTATTATAGGTATAACTAGTAACCCTATATAAGCTCTCTATATTACGCAGCTTAACTTTATTAATATAGTGCTTTTAGAATTAATCTATATAAGTAAATAGAGTATAGATATCTAACTTACTATAACCTAGCCAGCGCTTAATTATTACATAGGCGCCTTTAATAATAGATATAGTAAGTATACTAAAAGAGGTAAATTATAATATCTAGTAGAAGATAATCTTCTCTTTATATAGCCACTATACGCGCTTAAGATAGCTTACTATTTTAGGTAATATAGAATAGATCTAGTTATATATATACTTAAAGTCTTCCTCTATCTCTAACGTTAATAGCCATTACTAGTAGTACTAAAAGAGCTTTATATCCTTAGTATCCTCTATCTCTTTATCCTTATTTAATTATCTACTAAGTTCTAGGCACTTTATACGGGCGTAGGCTATTATATCCTTATTTAGGTGCTATCTATAAATAAGAATATTTATACCTCTAAACTCTAACCTAAGGGCGTTAAATACGGTAGCGTTATTAATATTATTCTAGAATAATATATTGTCTAGGTTAAGTAGGAGGTTGCTAGGGCAATTAGGTTAAAATAACCTTAATATAGTGTTTAGGCATGCTTACTCTTAATTAATAATAATTACCTAATAATATTAGAAAGTACTAGAAATACACCCATCTACGTATATAATAATAGGTTTAGTCCTAGAAATATACCTATCTATGTATATCTACCTAGTATGCGTAGATAGGTATATTTCTAGGACTATAGGGGCGTTTACGTTTATAGATATATATATTTTAGGGATTATACCTTAAGTTTCCTTAATACTAGCTCCTCCTTAAGAACTTTCTTAATAGTAGTAAAGCACTACTTAAAGGCCTCCTAGTCCTACGTATTAAGGAGGACCTACCCTAGTATAAGCGTTATATTATTACTAGTTAGGGCCATAATTTATAGAAGAGGTTAGTTATAGTAATTTATTTTAAATGTATAGTTAAGTACTAAAACCTAAGGTGCCTTCTTAAAGATAGTTAGCACTGCTAGGTTAATCTATATAATACGCTTAATCTTATTACGTATAGATAGCTTAACCTTTATATAATACCTACTAGCTACTAGTAAATATATAAGCGCGTTCGCCTTACCCTTAGGCCTAATTTCTAATTATAATAATTAGTTCTATTAATTGCGTATATCCTATAAGGATATAAGAGAGTGTAGAAACTAATTATATAGTAACCTTATAGAAGCGTTAGGGAGTATACTATTATTCTAGTTTAATATAAAGTACTTATAGAAACCTAGCTCCTTCTACTATACCCTATATACTACTATAAATAGAGCAGCGTCCTCTTTTAGGACGTAATTATACTTATTAAATTTATCTATCTACCTATAATAAATCTCCTATCTGCTATTAGGGTTACGTAGGTTATAGGCGTAGGTATAGAAGCTATACTTATAGCCTATCTTCTTTAACTTTATCTCTTACTTTATCCCTTACTTTTTCTATACACTAAACTATTTATACTATATAAGAAGCTTATATATTTCTACGCTAGCGTTTTTCTATATCTTTATTATTATATATAAGTAGTGATGGGCTAGTCCCTAGGTAATCTAGGCCTAAGTAGTAGTATATCTTAATTTATATAACTATATAGGCGGTAGTAGCGCACTTAAGTACGTAGGATTTAGGTTACTAGGGATAATAGGGTTACTATTATTATTATATAATAAGTATAAGCTCTATAATAATAGCTCTAATTCTTTAGAAGTTAGTATTTTATGTATAGATAAGTATATTTCTAGGACTATTAGTAGGGTTACGTACGTAGATAAGTATATATCTAGGCCTATTTATAGGTATATATATATAGGTATATATATTTCTAGAACCTTATATAATCTACATATACTATCTAATCTATATATATATACATATTCAGTAAAATATCTATAGGGAGGCGTTGGCGATAGTACTAGTAATAATAATAGGGTTTCTAGCTTTAGTAAATCTATTAGTAATAATAGTAACTTAATTAGAGATAAATTAATATTATTACTATATATTAGCGTTAAGGTATAGGATAGAGAAGGATAAATAGTGCTATATATTAGAATTAAAATAATATATACTAAGTAAAACACATATAATTAGTTAACTTAACGCGCTAATAAAATAATATAATAATAACGTTATTATCTATTAAGCTATTAATAAAATAACTACGTATAGTATACGCGTAAGGATCTAGTTCTCTAAGTTTAAAAATATAACATTATTATTAAGCTATAAATATAGCCTTACGCCTACTTATATGGCTTACGTGGTATAGGAACATAGTAACACTAAGTTATATATATAGTAATAGTCTTACTAATATTCTATAAGATAATTAGCTATATTAATAATATGTACCTCTAAGGACCTTAAATTAATTAGATCTACGCGCGTTAAGTTAGGCAGTAGTAAGGCTTAAGGTCCTAGAAATATATACACCTACGTATGTAAATTGCCTTATAGTCCTAGAAATATAGTAACCTCTATACATAGAACTAACCTCTAAACCCCTAAGAGGTGCAGGGCAACGATATTATATTATATATAGCTAATAGAATATATATTACACGCAAATTACGCAGCTAAGGCCACTACACTAGCTACTAGAAGTATTTAGTTAGTGCTTACAGGTCGAGTATGATTTAACAGTAAGTCGAGTATGATTTAACATCTCCCGTGAACATGCACCCCTTTCAGGAGTGCATTACGAGCTGCGGATTGATTGAGTTAGCGAGTGTTTGCTGCTCCTACGCGGCTGCCCGGCTAGTCGCTCTCCGCTCCGCGTTGGTGACTCGGGTGCCGTCCGCCGCGCTGCAGCCCGTGTCGACGACCTGACCATGGCCTCGTAGTGCGCGCAAGAGTACCGTGGTTGACTGCAACGGGTGCGAGTCCAGCTACCCACGGGGAAACGACAGGGCGGCGGAGATGGGCATACACGTCCCTCCCTCCTGCTCCAGTCCTGCACGAGACGAAGCAGTGGATAAATCTCGAGCCCCGTACTGCAGGCCCTCTGCGGGGTCGGGCAGGACAGGACTCGACATGTGACGCTCTGCAGCAGCAAAGTCTAGCGCGCCGGGGAAGACGCCTAGAGATTAAACTCCTCAGGCCTGCTCCTCCAGCTCCCTGAGCCCCGGGGGCCCTGTCCCTGTCCCTGCTCGCTTCTCGTCGCGCGTCTTTCACTCCACCCTAGTCTAGTCCGCCGGCCGCATGATGGCGCCGCCCAGCGCCCAAACGGTCGAGCGCGCAGACACGGAAAACCCTTCGACGCCCGCACCTCCCACAGCTGCTCGTGATCCCACTGCGTCCCCTCCGTCTGGCATGCTTTTGCACGCAATTACAGTTCCTTTCTTTCCATCATCGACTGCCCGAGTTGCATCGTGAGCTGGCTGTTCCTTTAGCTTCAACGTCCCGCACCAAGACCGTTCCGCCCAGTACCTTGGTACCGCGACCCCCCGTCCCAAAACAAAGACGAGACCAGGGTGCCGCTCTCTACAAACCTTCGAGCACGTAACCGTTGTGCGCTCCACGAATCGAGCAGTAACCTTTCGACCCTTCACAATTCGACTCCACTGTGGATTGCTGGCTTCTACATATCACCTTGCCTTTCTCTACGACAACACAGTCGCGCCTTCCTTCCTTTCACCCAGCACCAAAACACCCCGCCCGCCCCACGCTCATTGCCTCATTGCTGCACACGGACCGCACCATCGCATTGCATTCGGACGCGATATACCACCTTTCCGACCTAGTCAGCCTCAAACGTTGCGTGTGTCTATACCGCGGCTGAGTGGCGTCGCAAGCTGTACCGCTGACCTCACCGGGGCAACCCTGGCACCACGCTCCGCACTCCACCCCATTACATACTGCAACCTGCGCCTCAATTGCCATCATGTCCTCCAATCACTCCAGAAATACCTCTGCGGAGACGACTGCAACCACCAATTCCTACAACATGATCCTCGAGCACGTTCTACAGTACCCTGGCAGCTATGAGATACCCCTCCGGACTATGTACACACTCAACTGTGCGCCTCGTGCTCAACCGCTTCCGAAAGATTTGTCCCGCGCTCCGTCGCCCACTGACAGTGCCCCCTCATCGCCGACCTCTGGACAAATGGCATGGAGCGACGCCGAGTGCGCGTCTATGAACTTCACTTCGCAGCTCATGAGCCACATCAACTCAATCCCGCAGCAGCCCAGCTCGCTCCCACCCTCCTTCATCGTCAGCTTTGTCAGCCGCATATTCCACCCTAGCTTGTCTCTGGTCGACTTTCCCCAGGCATTGACTGCGCTCGACTACCTCCGAGATCTTGACAACCGATGGCGGAAAGAACTGAAGGCCGCCTTCGCTCGCGTTCACATTCACCCAGATACCGCTGGCCAGGACATCGAGACCTTGTCAGGGCGCTATCCCGGTATTGCTCTTTGGGCCAAGAACCTGGAAGGCAAGAGCCGCAAGGCCGAGCTCTATTACGCGAAGCTATGGCTCGGTTTGCGCCGATGGGTAAGTTGCGGATGCCATGTTTATATGCACCCATGCTGATTGCCACATAGATCATGATCAACGAGCTGTCTCTTCAGCCCTTCAACAAGTTGAATTGCATGGGCATGCTCAACACCATTCTACCTCCCCAGCCGTCTTCCGGCGGGAAGCTTCCTTCACCCCTTCTTAACCACCAGACCCTGCGACAGGAGCGTGACGGCTTCTTCAACTACATTCAGCAAGTGCAAAAGCAAGGCCCAGGTGTGCTCGAGATGCTTACACAAGGCGAGAGCACAAAGTGGTCCGTCGTACAGAAAGAGGTGGATAAGTATCTGCGCGTCGCCAAGAACATCATCGATGACTGCATGGCTACTATGGGCACGGAGGATTTCAAGTCGGTTGACGAGCCCAGGAAGGGCAAGAAGACGGACTCTGGCGTGAGCTTTGGGTCAGACGTGCGACCCAGTACCTCATCTTCCACCCACGACAAGCCCCTCCCGGAGTTGCACATGGACCGGGAACCTGCCTCAAAAGGCCTCAGCAAGCTCGAGAAGCTCAGCCGGGAGTTCAAGCGGATGCGCGTCAAGTCACGCCCCGAAGTTGAGGAGATGGTCAAGATGGACCAAGACCTGCCCATGGTGGGCGAGAACCAGGGCAAGAAGATCAAGAAGGCAAGGTCTCTGGCCAACCTCCGGGGCCGAAACTCCAGCTCGGCGTCTGTAGCCGGGAGCAGGAAAGGCAGCGACGCCATCCCCTTCGACGCAGAAGAGATGAGGCGCGCCCGCCAGCTCTACGACGCGAAGCATGCATCATAGCCCTGGCGCACGATTCTTGCGCACACTTTCTTTTCAGCACATTGACCGACGCCGGTCACTCTTTCATCACGTATACGAGCATACAAAATCTGGGCATCTAATGTCGACACGATCAGAAAAAAGCCCCGAGGCATCTCCATCCATGACGGCCGACATGTTGGATCTAAAACTTTCTTTTCTGGTTCAGCCCGACCAATCACTTCATCACACTGCGCCGGACCCTTTGCGGACGGCTGTTCTCTCTCTTCCTTTCCTTTCTTCTTCCCAGACCTGGCGTTACAGAGGCACAACTCTCGCGAGTCACAAAAGTGCGCAGTCCTCTATGTCTTGTTCTATTCCCCTGTTTCTGTATGTATTATCTTGCGGCTTTTCATTTTGTTTTTCAATCACGGCGGCGTATACCCTAGGGTTAATGGTATCATGAGGCAATCATCTGTGTTTATAGCAAGGCGCATGGGGATTGGGCGTTTTGTTTACTTTACTTCACTTTGAACACAGCGCCGTTGGGCGCGGTCGCGCGAGGCGCATGATACGCGTCGGCCACGCGCTGCGCTGTGAAAAAGCAGCAGCGTGGCAGGCATACTCGTACAATAACAGTAATCTCAAATGAAACGATATGAATGTCTACAAATCACCACATTTTCCGAAGTGCATTGCTTCTTTCCCTAACCCTAATCTCACCTTCACCTGTTTCGCATATGGGTAGATATCGACGAAAGTAAAGACTCCCAGACTAGCCTGACAAGCATGTAGCGCGATGTCCTTCACCTGTCACTTCATAAGACCGTTGGGCCGTTTCTTTACATCATCGTTACTATCTGTTAGCGTCCTCAAGCATAAAGCATAAAGCATAAAGTACACCGCTCGTCATCCCAGCTTTCTAGGTAATCACACACACGTACGTCGTACGACGTACATCTCACTGTAGGCTAAAACAAAACCATCTATCATATCCTAACACTGTGAATACCCAGGTCAGAAGCAGCGCGCATGTCCGCGCTGCATATCGGTGCTTTGCTTTTCCACCGTCTCATCGCACCTTGACTCCGTGAGGTTGGCAGGAAAGCAAAGCAAAGCAAAGCAAAGCAAAGCAGTAAGCAACTCAAGTGGCGAAGTAAGGTGCCCATTGTCCGGAAGAGGTTCAAGCAAACCCGAAACAGGTGAGAGGAAAGGTTAAGCAAAAAGCAGAAGTGAGGGTAAGCATCGATGGCATGGCATGGCTGCATGGGTGCCTTATCGATTCACAGACGCACCGCACGAGTCACATCACACCGGTGAGGGAGGGGCGCATGCAGGTACGTACGCGGGGCCGCCACACGTGCGGTAATCCATGCGCAGCCCGTCCTCGAACGTGCGATGATCCATGCGCAGGCCCGTCGGCGAAACGTCTGGGCTGGTGGGGAGAGGAGGGGCTGGGTGGCGGGTGAGATCGGAGGGTAGGTGGTAAAGTGAAAGGGGAAAGTCGTTTGAAGATAGCTGGTAAAGCAAAGCAAAGAATTAATATGGAGCGGATATGCGCGCATGCGTTTCAGTTGAGCTGAGTGTTATGAATAATGGACTTGTGCACGTGGAGTGCATGTGGCTGATGTGTATATTTCCAATGTACATGATTACATGGAAGTGCTGTACATACAGTATGCGTAGGGTAATCAGCATGTAGCGCATCGTTCATTAACTTGTTTGGCTTGCACATCTCGGTGCACATTCTAGGTAAAGTGCTGATGACCACCTTTTAAAGGGCGAATGATACCTAATTGCTGCACTCTTGCGCGTTTATCGCTTCTAGAGGGTGGTGATAACGTAGGGACATAGACTCATGAGGTGATAGGATTTAGCCCGAGTGCGTGACACCGTTGACTTCGGCGCGACTCTTGCTAGGCGGGCGGCGGGCAGGAGTAAAGGTGTGTTCTTGCGCGTTTATCGCTTCTATCGGTGGTGATAATGTAGGGAAATGGTCTTAGCCACGAAAGGCGCGCTACTCGTACATGCGTGAACACCGTTGACAGGGGCGCGCTCGCTTCACATACATCTACCCATGTACCCAAACACACTCGACGACGATCCGGAGCTGCCTCCGCCGTCGGCGCAACAGCCATCGTACGTTCCTGCAAAGCACCCTAGAATTAACACACACCCACGAACTTCGGGTGTGCCTCGACGCGATGCCCGCACGGTTTCACACAAGCACGCGGTGGCGACGCACGCAGCTCGTGCACAGTCCCCCACGGCAGATCATGGCATAAGCTCCAGAGCCCTGCATAACAATCACACGCCTTCCGCGTCGAGCTTGAAGCTCTCGGCCGCCTCACAAAAGCATGCCGCCAAGCCCAGCACGAATGCCCAATCCTCCGCGCATCCCCCGCCTCTCTTGACGTCTGGCGTAGCAGCTACGGCGCGCACCTTCTTTGATCCCTGGAACTCGTCCTCGACAGGGCACCAACGTGCCGAGAACCGCCTGTCAGGGTCCACGTCATGGCGGCAGAGCCGCAGCCTGAAGCTCGCGGAGCAGTACAAGGGTGGGCTGGGTGGCGGGAAGAGGGTCGCGGACACGGTTGGCGCGGGGAGCGAGGACTTTGGGAAGGACGGCAGGCTGCCGCACGGAGAGTGGGAGAAGGGTGCGAAGGGTTTACGGACCGGCGGGCAGAAGAGCCTTGCTGAGGTCTGGGGCAAGAGCAAGGCGTCTACTACGGCGAAGCGGTCGTCACAGGAGGAAAAACAACACGTAGAGGACGACGCTCCGCTAGACTCACTGAGCGACACGGATGAGAAAGATATACCCAAAACCAATGAGGGTAAGCCGCATCTATCGCACACTTGGATACAGTTCTAACACCCCATCGCAGACCCCGACACAGCACAGTATCTCACTCAGCCCCCCGCGAAACAAATCTTCCGCGGTCTCTGCTTCTACATCAACGGCTCGACCATGCCCTTGATCTCAGACCACAAGCTAAAATACGTGCTGCACGCCCACGGCGCCTCTCAATCCATCGCTTTAGGTCGTCGCACCGTCACGCACGTCATACTCGGCACGACCTGCGGCGGCGGTCTCGCAGGTAGTAAGATACAAAAAGAGATTGCGAAGACGAGAGGGAACGCGGTGAAGTATGTTAGCGTTGAGTGGTGAGTCTGTGCCTATCCCTCTAGTTCGCCTTTTTATCACGATGTCAATATGAGTCTTTGCTGCGGCTGCAGCTGCGTGCATCCGCGCACTGAAGCGATTCCCATCGCGTATACTTTCTTCAGGAGGTAGATAGAGATAATTGTACTGGTGTGCTGATCAACGCAGGGTCCTCGAATCTATCAAGGCTGAGACGAGACTGCCGGAATCAAGGTTCTCGCCGGTGAAGCTTGCGCCCAGTGGTCAGAATAGCGTGCTCGATGCTATGCGCCCCACCACCCATCAACCGCCTGCTGGCTGAAGTTCGGGGGGTTTCGCAGATCTGGACGAAAGGGACGGATGGCGGCGTCTTGAATGGCCGGTGTATTATCTGATAGTTTGATAATGGGGGGAGGGCGTGGAGGGAAAAGTATACCCGCACATGCTGCACCCGCGAAGGAAATGAAATAGAGAATTTTCATACGAAACAGTGAGGTATGGCGAGCTGCAGCGCGAGTTTGTGGAGGCGTCGCTCGACGCCTGTGTGTGCGTCGTACAGTCGAGTCTTTCTTGCACTGCTCGATAGCTACGCGGACGATGAGTCCACTGAAGAACACAGCGCTATACCGCGCTCTCCAAACAAGCAATGCATAGACTCATCAAACCACGTATATCTACCCAGCCCACCTAACTCCTCATCCATCATCACCATACTCATAACTTATCATCACACCCACGTCACCGCCCCCAACCCCTCTCCACAACCGCACACTGCACCCCATCCTTAACCCCCATCACCGCCTCCTCCCACGCTGCCTTCTCAAACCCCCTCTCTATCTGCAGCATCCCCTATGATCCACTCAAACCACTTCACCACCGCAACCGCCTTACCCATATCCTTCTCCTCTTTGATGACTCTAGCAAGATACTTAACCAACGCCTCCACGTCCTCCTCGTACGGCCCTTCAGCCGCGAACTCACGCACCCAGTCCTTAAGCGCAAGACGCAAGTCGTTTTTATCATGCAGCTTGTTCGTAGTGAACGTTGGGCGGGGCGGGCGCGCCACGGAGAAGACTTGGGGTGGGCGTGGAGCGTGGATGTACGGTCCTGAGGTTGCTTTGCGCTTTTTCGCGAGGGCGAGGCGCGAGGCTTGGAGTTTTTTGCGTTTGTGCTCTTCGGTGACTTCGAGGCGGACGTCGGGGGAGGGCGGCGAGGAAGTCTGGGTCTAGCTCTGGGGTTCGGTGTGCGAGGCGGAGGCGGAGGCTTCTCCGCCGAGTGTGCGCGCGGGGTTCTTGAGTGAGATGAAGTTCGCTTGTGTGAGGGTCTTGCCTGTGGCGTCTTTTGTGCGCGCGAGCGCGGCGGCGGCGAGTTGTGCTGAGCGAGGGGGCGGCCTCTTCCGCGCTTGACGGGGGCACGATGGCGCGTTTGGCGGGGATGCCTATTAATCTGTTCTTGCGCGGTGACTGGGGTAGGAGGGTCTGGTCGATGCGTTTTGGGCGGCGGGATGGGGAGTGTGGAGTTGCTCCTGCCGCGGCGTACTGGGAGAGGACTTCTGCGCGGACGTCGGGGGCAAGGTGGCGAGGATGTCGGGGTCGAGTTGGGAGTGTGAGGGGGGCTGTGAGGGCGAATGGCATGGCTTTTTGCGGGGATGGGGAGGCACCGAGGGATTCTCTTGGAGCCTTAGAAGTGGCTGGTGTGGGTGAGGACTGGCGACCTTGCCGCATAAGCTTGGAGCGTATGTCTTCTGGGAGCTCTGCGAGAACCTGGGGATCTACCTGCGTTGGCATTATGAATTGCGTTCCCATCATGTTCAGCGGTCTCCGTGACGGCGTTGAGTGGTTGAGCTCTGCGGGCCCAAAAGCGACGTGCTCATCTTCCACAGCGGCTTTTGGTTTCCTTGGGGTGACTGGATCATCTTGGATGGGATCTATTTCATCCACCACCGCTGGTGTTTTTTTCCGGGTCGGCTTGGGTTCGGCAGGACCAGCTCTAAACTGGAGACGGCGCTGTGAGCTCTCCAAGGTTCCATCGGTCGCACTCTTCATCGGTTCTAGCTTAGTCATTTGCACACCTATGCCTCTTAGTTCTCCCGGCGAGACACCAAAGCCTTTGAGAATACTCAATGCCTCCTTCGTCAGCACTTCTTTGGCATTGGTCGCGACTCCAAGCACCATACTCTTGTTGTAGGTATCGCATTGGCCATGCCCTAGGTGCTTGGGCGGATCCAAGGGAGCAGCTGGTGACCGGCGCATGATCTTCATGGTGAACTGCTTCCCTTTGACCTTCTCTTTCAGTAGCCGCTTCTGAAGTTCTCCGCAGAGACTTTCGATGAACTCATCCGCCTGCGCTTGGTTCTCAAAACGTACACCCCAGTTGACTTCAGCAGATACTGACTTGCGAACTACTTGTTCGCCCACTTCTACTCGGTCAATGCCGCGAGAGTATTCCCATAGCTTGTCTCCAGTCTTTGGTCCCAGAGTCTGTACGAGCCTTTCCTTAGTAAACTCTCGAATGTCTTTGACGAACTTGATACCGATTTCCTCCAGCTTTCCGCCGATAGACCAAGCAACTCCGGGGAGATCTTGAACTTGTAATTGGCCTATGAAGTCAAGGGCATCATCAGGCTTGATCTGATGTTGGCCAGCCGGCTTTGCTTTTCTCAGAGCGACTTTGGCTAGCAAGATGTTGCCGCCTATGCCGACCGAGACGTTGCAGTCGGTCCTCGCCTTGACTTGGTCGCGTAATGATTTAGCGATTTCCTCAGCTTTCGCCTGCTCCCGGTAAATGCTACCTTCGCTCATACCTTTTCCGTCACTGCCACCGGTGCCGATGCATAGGTTCGAAATATCTATCAGCGCTTCGTCTATGCTCACGCTTTGTACAATACCTCCAGTCGCAAGGATAGCATCGTAAAATGCCCTGCTAGCGTCTTCGTACGCGGGAAAGTCGTATGGGAGGATCTTCAAGTCTGGACACAGCTCCATAGCCCGTTTCATCCACATGCCGTTCTTGACGCCAAATTTTCTCGCAGGGTAGTTACAACTTGCAATTTCCGATCCGCTACCATTACCGTGAGCGACGACCGCTGGCTTGTCCTTATATTGAGGGTTCTTCTTCAGACTGACTGCAGCGAAGAAGCTGTCAAAATCCACGTGCAAGATGTACCTCCTCGCGCCAGGAGGTCGCTTTTGCTTCGCCGTCTGCGTCAAACTCTTCTCGCTGGCCAAGGCCTGGAGCTGTGATTTCAGGTCGGCTTTCCAAGTCGAGAGATGATGCAAGCGAGACTCTCGGTAGTACTGCTCAAGGAAGTTGGGATCTACTACGGTGGATCTCCGAATCTTGGGGTCACGAAGCAAGATGGCATTGTGTTCTTCCGCTGTGAGTGGTCGCCCCTTCGCGATGGATTCACTTTTTGCTGCGTTTGCAGCTCGTTCTTGGGCGGCTGGGTACTGTATGCCTTGTTCATCTGGATGTACCACTTTTTGGGCTGAATGTATGGGCTCTTGATCTGGGTCAGCATACAGGTCATCGTCATCCTGAGGCGCACTGTCTTGTGCTGCAGGGGCAACTTCGTCCGCTTGGTCTTCCGGGGTAGGACTAGTCTTCGGAGGAGTAACGATGGGCGCACGCGCAGCTTCTTCCAGCTGCTCAACCCAACTTCGATCGAACGATTCGTGCTCTGGCTGATGCGACGGCGGCACGTCTTCCTCGATCTCGTCACCTGGCGTCGGTAGTCTTTCTCGAGAAAAGCGGGATCGCATAGACCCCATCGGCGTGGGGGTGCTAGCAGGCTCATCAAACTGACTGCTCCGAAGTTGGCTTGCATACCAACTTTTATCGCTCTGATCGCGATAGCCCTGCGCTTTCTTGTTGGAAGCACTCGATACCTTGCCATTATCAAAGGCCAACACCTTCTGGTTCTCTCCCTCATCCAATACGCGATAGCTGTTCCACGGAAGCAGCTTCCCAGCCTCGATACTATCAACCACCCATGCTGGCTTGACGATGCGGTATTTGCGGAACTCAATTGCCTTCTTCGGGGTGAGGCTGCTCGCGATGATGTGCGTCACAGTGGTCTTGCCGTCAAGGTACTGCATGAAACCGCCTCCATACTGAACGATGAGCGTGTGCAGGTCATTGAGCGATGGCTGCGTGTAACCGTTTACGTGTGCGACGATTCCTCTGAAGATCGGCGGCTTGTCGGTAGATTGCGATCGTAGATCGGCATCCAGATTCTGAAGTTTTATCTTCTTTCGTCTGAAGTATTCTGGGAAGCCGCCGAATTTGGAGCCCCCATATTCCTCGCCATCCTCGTCATCGAACGTGTGCTTGGCGATGCGCTTGCGCACGGAGTTTGAGTTGTTCTCAAGGCGCGAGCCCATCGTCGCTATGCGGGTGTGCCGAGTGCTGCAGCCGGTCGTCTATCAAGGCCGTCGTCATGGTGCGCGGGCATCTGTAGGCTACCGCATGTCGAGAATGAAAGTTGATAGATCACGTCGCGTCTCGGTGGTGGCGTTGACCTCGCGTTGCGATTTAGCCCCACCTACGTGCAGAGGTGCGCACGCTAGCGTAGGCGGTGAACGAGTTCCCGTGGGTCGTAAATCTTGGCAGACAAAAAGTTCGAGCCGGCCTCATAACGTTTTTCTTCGTAAGTTTCTGGAGCAACCAGCCTCGAACTCTACACCAGTTCTTCGCTGCAACACCACCCAACTTTCTTTGCTCTATTTCATACAGTAAAACATCCACACAATGGCCAGCATACCTGTAGGCGTCTATGGACTTCGAGTCCCCGCTGGCGGCCAACCAATTCCCGCCAGCGTGAACCCCAATGTTGCTGTAAGTATCCTGTCGCACCCGAACGAAGGCGCGCAATCACCCCAAAGAGGATTTTTGCGCAAGCGCAAGCTATATATCATGCGCCAGAAGCTTACCATACCTAGTTCCGCATCACCATGGCTGCGATTGACCCCACCGCCGAGGTTGAGGATGGTCCAGCTCGTGCTACCCTGAAGCTCATCCGCATCCAGGATGAGGATGAAGACGAGGACGACGATGACTTTGACCCTGAGAACATCGAGGAGCTGCGCGCAAAGCTCCTTGCCGACGGTGTCCTTGGCTCTGAGGACGAGTCGGACGAGTCTGAGGATGACAGCGAGACCGAGGCGAACGGCGGGCCTAGTGATCCCGCCAAGTCCAAGAAGGCCCAGCGCGAGGCTCTGCAGAAGAAGCTTCAGGAGGAGGCCGCCGCTGAGGAGATGGAGATCGACCAGTTGTCCAACGGTGTGAACGGTACCAAGGGCAAGGGTAAGGCTCTCGATGACGAGGATAGTGACGAAAGTGAGGACGACGATGAGGAGGGTGACGAGGCCGAGGAGCTTGTGCTCTGCACGCTTGAACCAGAGAAGGTGAAATTTCCTGTATATCCAATTCCGAGCATCGACTAACGAATACGCAGCACTACCAGCAGACTTTGGAGATCACCGTCCGCGAGGGTGAGGAGATCTACTTCGCTGCCACTGGTTCTCACGATATCTATCTTACTGGTAACTACGTTGCCGTTATGGACGACGAGGATGACGATGATGAGGAAGACCTTTATGGTATGGATGAAGACGATTACGATGAGTCGCCTGATGAAGATGAGCTTGAGGACCTCTCCGAGTTGGAGTCTGAGGATGATGAGCTCGATGGCCTCGCCGATCCTCGCATCACCGAGATTGACTCCGAAGAGGAGGCCCCCAAGCTGGTTAAGGCCGACAAGAAGGGCAAGAACAAGCGCCCAGCGGAGGACGAGCCCATGACCCTTGATGAGCTCATCACCAAGACTAAGGCTGAGACTCCTGCCGCAAATGGCGAGAAGCCCAGCAAGAAGCAGGCCAAGAAGCTCAAGAACAACGAGGGCCAGGCCGTCGCTGCCGCTGAGCCCGCTAAGGAGGCTAAAAAGGTGGATACCCCCAGCAGTGACAAGAAGAAGGTTCAATTCGCTAAGAACCTCGAGCAGGGTCCTACGGGCTCACCCAAGGTGGCTGAGGCGAAGAAGGAGACGGCCAAGGGCCCCCGCAATGTCGGCGGTGTCACCGTCGAGGACAAGAAGGAGGGTAAGGGCAAGCCTGCCAAGAAGGGCGACAAAATCGAGATGCGCTACATTGGCAAGCTGAAGAATGGAAAGCAGTTCGATGGTAAGTACAGAGACCATCCTGACTGTGTTGTATAGAAGCTGACAGTTCCTTTAGCCAACAAGAAGGGCAAGCCATTCTCGTTCAAGCTCGGTGTCGGCGAGGTCATCAAGGGCTGGGACGTCGGTGTCACTGGCATGCAGGCCGGCAGTGAGCGTCGTCTCACGATCCCCGCGAAGCTCGCATACGGCTCAAAGGCGCTCCCCGGCATACCCGCCAACTCCGAGCTGATCTTCGACATCAAGTGCATCTCCGTCTCGTAGACGTCTAGCACAGTCCAGTACGATAGGTGTCCCACTTCCCTCATATGTAACTATGTCGCGGACTCCCCTCCTGCGCATGCGCTCGCGCAGGGTAGATGTTACCTTTGCGCGCCGTGCGCCTCGCCTTTCCTGTCTCCTTCCGTTGTCTGTCTGTCTGCTTTGTACTGCATAGCGCTATGAGATATCCGACTTGCATTCTCTGGTTTTACGAGATCTGTGCAGGGAGGAAGGATTTCTCGCCAGCCTCCATAGTCACTGTCATCTCTTCCCATCTGGTTTCATATAGCGAGGCTCTGTTGCCATGTTAGTGGCATGTGCTGAGGATGCTATTCCGTAAAAGTTAGGAGTTTATGGGTAGGATATCGAGGTCTATGTAGTCAATAGATTTTATCAGGTTCTGCGAAACATGAAGCCTCGAGACCACATGCAATTTCAAGAGGTGCCGGCTAACCTCGCCCGAAATCATGCTTTGGTAGACGCCCACTGTTAAAAGCACTAGGCATCGCTGGCTCTGCAGGATATGGTGTCTCTCTCACCGGAAGAAGGCGTTCCAGGACATTTCACTTGAAAGTTGATCGGGCTGCCACTGCCTGACTGACGTTCTCACTTCCCTGATCGGCAGCTGCTCTTCCGGTCGTCCCTGGTGTTTGGGTACGGTGAACTGTTCGAGCCAGCCCGCTTCGAGCGTGGTTCGAGGCAGGAACCAATCAGTGAGCGCGTTGGGCACCACGGAGGCGGACAGGCCCACTCACAAATAGCGCCCCACTCCGCTCTTCTCCTCATCTGCCTCTTTCTCGAAGTCTCTCTCGCTCCACCGACGTTCACAGTACTTCAACGCACCCGCCCGCCACCACAGCCTACGCTACACAAGCCTCGAACCTCACCAATCCAAGCAGCAGCTTCCCGCACCACCTTACGCTCGCACAGAACGCAACCGTGGCAAACCAGAACAATGGCGCATTCGAATTCGAAACGAAGCAGTAGTAGTAGTAGTAATCGCAGCGACCGGTCGACCGCCAATGTGCGCGCCTCGGCCTACGTTGTGAACGCCTCCACCGCCGCCCTCCAGGGCTTCCACTACTCCACTACCGGGGCTGGCGGGGCTGAGTGGTATTCCTGAGGTCGGCTCGGTGAGTCTTGCCTTCGGCATCCGCACATTGTCCGCACGTACTAACAATACCGACAGGGAATACCTTCACCTCCGCCGAGTCCCCCCCTCGCCGCCAAGGCATCGTCTAACGCTGTTGGACGGGCGCGCAGAGGGGGGGCTGCATACAACATTACGGGAGAGTGTGAGAGACTCTTCTGCGAGACACTACGGGCTGTTTTCCTTGGTGAGGGGAACTTAGCTCTGAAGGACTCGCTTGTGATGGGTATGCATAAAGATATGACTACCGGTATCGTCAACGATTATGGCATCGATGTACGACAGAATTCGAGTAGCACTATGGACTCGCCGTCTCCGGAAGGATATGGCTGGGTCCACCAGAAGGGTTTGGTTAGTGACTGGATCGAGGTTTGGGACTATGTGGGCGGTATTCGCTTCCGTGGGTTCGTTGCGGAAAAGGCCGGTGAGAAGGCTATGTTTGTCTTCTTCGATCAGAATGTGATTGGAGGTGACCTCAAAGCTGGGTGAGTCTTTCACATCTACTTCCTTACGCTGAGCATACACTAACCCGCTATAACAGACTGATGGCTCTTCTCGAGCTCTGCGAAGTCGAATACTTCTCCTGTTCCCGCCTCGTGGTTTGCATCGACCGCCACACTCAGCAGTGGCCTTTGGAGGCTGTTTCCAAGGACCTCGGCTGGATTGGCTTCCAGCTCACGACCTTGCGAGAGTTTGCCGATGAGGGCGATGTTATCAGCAACGAGTGGCTGTTCATGGAGATGGACACCTAGTTTTTATCACCTGTATGTCTTTCTGTGTGCGTTTGTTTCCAGTTCATGGGGTTTCGAGCATGCTATTACCTGTTTGGAGTCGGGTCGTTACCTGCTGGGAGTCGTTTCGTAAGGAGTCAAAAGCTGCACCTGTATCTTTCAGTGTCACTTCTTTGATGGCGTCATGTGCGCTTTGTAGTGTTTGTCAGATATGCAATGGAAGTTGTTCCCATTGAACATTGAGTCTTTTGCAATCAGTTCGCTTGTACAGTCGTTGTACATGTGATTTATTTATCTGCGTGCGTTTCGGTTTTGATGTTGTTTCGTCTCATGTGGTCTGTAGTATTAGATGCGCATAGATTCACACGGTATTCAGACATAAGTTGAAGTACTTTGAACGCGAAGTCTAATATGGAATAAAGATTTTCGCTGGGTTTGTTACCGCAGGAAATGCGGGGGTGAGTATATGGTCGTGTACTCGTGTGCAGAAAGATCTTGCTAAGGAGCGCGATTCACGCGCAGAGATGTTCTCTTTCGGCACTTTTATCACGTGCTTTTCAAGCAACCTTTGGATGTTCGTAAGAAACGCTGTTAATGTGGCTCGTTGGGTTGTTGGGTGGTAATGGTGATGCCTATGGAAGTGTAGATTGCGAAGGCAGCTTTGCTGGTATTTGGAGTTGCGGTTGACCTCTGTGGAAGATGAGCATGGAAATGCGATGGCGATATAACCTTGTGGATGTCTTGATTGGTATGTGGAGAAGTCTAGTCAAATTATGGTAAGTATAAGGGAATGGTAAAGATGTGGGACCGTGGGTAGCTGCTGCTATGGTAGTCACAGGTGTCGTGGCGAGGAATGGATTACTTTGCCCAAGAACGTGTGCGCGGGCGGTCCGCTTCGCTCCACCACGACCACGCCGCTGCACACAAGGAACCTAAATTTGCAAAAGATTAGACGACAGCGGGCATTCGCTGCTGGGCACCTACGCAACCGTGAAACGCTGGCAAACTGCTTGTTTATGGCTGAGCGTGCGGGGAGCATCGCATTCGGTGCTTTACCATCACTCAGACCACTGCGAAAAGAAAGACCGAGCACCTGGGTGATTAACTGTATGCACGAAATGCTATCCGTAAAGGGAAGTGGTCAAAGCAGAAACAGAAATGATAGGTTGATACCTAGATCTAGCCCCCAAATGGGTGGCGCTAGCCGTCAGGCGACCGTCTCACACTGGCTCAAGCGCCCAAGTTGTTTTGGGATGTTAAATATAGAGTCAGTGGCTGATGTTTCTTCTGGTTTCTCTAGCACGAGTTCGATGAGGAGTAACCCTCCGCGATCGATCAATAAAGATAATAAGGCAGATAGTGTTGACAAGTGTGCATTGTAAGACTACGCAAGGGTCTGGGGAGCTGCTCGTATGTTACAACGATCTATCTCACGATAATCCATCCGCTGAATGCGAATTACCGTCCTACTCCTAAGTAAGTCATCCCTAAAGAACAGAACTATCTCGCGAGAGAGATATCTCAATTTCGGCGCGTCGGTGCGTAGACTGTACCGTATCGGGATTCGCATCTGCCTTTTGGGGCGCTATGATTGGACTCCGTAGTCCGCATCACTCTTAGGCCGGCAGCCCTGCAGGCTAATGATTCTGAAACTGGGCCGGATTTGCACTGCCTTGCAAGACCTCAAATTCCAGCAAGTCTTCAAATTGAAGCGTCTGCCTGCCTTCGAACCGAAGATGGACTGTCTCTAATGCACGACCCGGGGCCACAAGAAACGCTACTAGCGTCAAAACAAGCGAACTCTCTTGATTCCAAACCAACGAGCCTGTTTCGTAAATACAAAGGATGGAGATTTGGAGTCCTAGCCTGGACGATATCAACATGCCTCGTCCTCGCGATGAACTTCTTGTTCGCGACAGTGGCACTCGCGCGATACGGTTGGGGCAGAAATGGGCAGCCCATCCTCTACGAAGGCAAATGCGACACGGTCAGTAAGCTAAGTACAGTAGCTCATTTGCTCATCAACACTATGAGTACGGCTCTACTATGTGCGAGTACCTATTGCATGCAATGCCTATCGGCGCCGACCAGGAAGGAACTTGATCAAGCACATGCGCGGCAGTCATATCTAGACATCGGGGTGCTTAGTCCCCGGAATCTGAAGTACATATCAAAGAGTCGCAGAGTGCGCTGGCTCATTTTAGGTCTGTCCACAATTCCTCTACACCTCTTGTAAGTGCGGCTCGTATGATCCTGGATTAAGGTATCCAAACTAATTGGCCCAGTTACAATTCGGTGGTTTTCGCATCCTCTGGGACGAAACTTTACTACCCGTTTTTGGTCAAAGAATCTTTCCTAACAGGGGAACCTTCTTTTGATCGTATCGATGGTTCAACATTCGTTTACCCTCCAAATCTCAACGAAAGCTTTTATGTTGTCTCACGAGGCAAAAGTCCCGACGCCAAGGCCTACTACAATACACCTTTCCCGGAGACTGAGGCTCGAAGAATGAAAGATCTGTATGCCCAAGGTCGTCTTGAGCGCCTGGAGACTCGAGACTGTCTCAAAGCATACGTCACACAATTCCAAACAAGAGGCAACGTACTGTTAGTATCAAAGACCGACTTAGGTGATCCTGACATTGTGTCAACCTTGGGAGGTCCCTGGTACGCGCAAGATTGGGTATGCGGGTCGGATAAGTGCGATGATAACTCTCCCCTGGCGAAGCGACTATGGGAACAACCCGAAACGTGGAGGTTCGCTTACGACAATCATAACAGCGATTCCTATGATGTTGGGACAGGGTACAGTGTTGCGTACTGCCTCAGTGAGCGCCCTTCCGAACGATGCAGGCTGCAGTGCAGCCTGCCTTTGATGATTGTGGTGGTTCTTGTCAATGTTGCAAAAGCGGTATGCATGTTTAGCATGCTCTACATGCTTGAGGGGAGGATAGACACGACGCCGATTATGAGCATTGGAGACGCGATGGCATCTTACTTAAAGCGGTCGGATGATTACACGAAGGATATGTGTCTTGCGACGATGGACGACATAAGAACGGCAATTACCATGAGCCACCGGTGGGATACCCGGCCAAAGGAGTACAAAGGAATACGTCGCCGTCGGTTCCGTGCGGCTAGTCGAACTAGATGGGGCATTTGCTGCGTACTGTAAGTTGTCTCTTGATGATGCGCAAGAGTCTGCGGACGCTAACGTCCTTACCAGATACATCGCTGTCCTCGCTTTTACCGCCTGGCTCCTGAGGCAAGGCACAAGCATGGCAACAACAGACGCAACAGGCGCTGAGATGATCCTGTCTTTGGGATTCGGCCAAGTCAACAACCGCACCACGCTCCACATCCCACTGAAGGACCTAGTCACAAATGCCATCATCGCGAACACGCCCCAAGTAATCCTCTCATGGATCTACTTCTCCTACAACGGCCTCCTCACACTAATGAGCCTAGCCCGGGAATGGGAATCCTACGGCCTCCAACACAAAGGTCTCCGCGTCTCCGTCGCCCCCGAAGGAGCCCAGCGGTCAACCTATTTCCTCCAACTACCCTATCGCATCGCCGTCCCCTTCAGCATGCTCTCTGCCTTCCTCCACTGGCTCGTCTCGCAGTCTTTCTTCATGGTCAGCGTCCAGCTCTACGGCTACGACGAAACACAAGGCTGGATGTTCATGCCGGACAACCCTGGAACGCGAGTTTCAGTCGGCTACTCGCTGCTCCCGTTGCTAGTTCTTCTGAGCACGGGCGCCGTTCTTCTCACCGCGATATCGGTACGGGGACTCATGCTGTTGAAGTCGACTACGCCGATTGTAGGTAGTTGTAGTGCGGCTATTGCTGCTGCGTGTCAACCGCTCTTCGGGGACGACGGCGAAGCTGCTACGGAGAAGGTGAAGTGGGGTGTTATGGGGAGGAGACAGAAGTTTAGGCATTGTGGGGTTTCGAGAAGACCTGTGGGGCTGCTGGTGCCGGGGACGGAGTACAGGTAGTTGCGTAGATGATATAGCGAATTTAGGAACAGGACTTTTCCTGTTCTATTGATCGGAGTCCTGCAGTAGAAGCAATACATGATACGTGACCTCTCTCGCAGGTTTGTAGCCACTCACACGCTACTCATCCTACTCTTTCTCTCGTTGCGATAGAACTCTATGAGAGCCATAACTTCTGTCACGACGTCATCCCTAGGTGGGTGGGCGCCCATATCAAACAGCAATTGAACTAACCCCTGGTGCTCCTTCTTCGCAGCCCATGAAAGCGCCGTCTGGCCGTGCTTATCCTTAGACTCTAGTTTAGCTCCCGCATTAAGCTGTAGCTTGACCACCGCCTCCTCGCCCCATTCTACAGCCAAAATAAGTGGCGTCTTACCCTCCTTACCATCCTTGAACTCCAGGCTATCGCCCTTATCAAATAGCAGCTTAACCACTAGCTCGTGCCCGTTCACTGCAGCAAACGCAAGTGGTATCTTACCCCATATAGAGTCCGTAGACTCTAATTCAGTGCCCTTGTTAAGTAGTAGCTTAACCATCCCCTTATGCCCTAGTCCTGCAGCTGTAGAAACGACAAGTCATATGCACTCTTACCAAAGGTAGGCTTCGTGGCATCCTTATCAAATAGTAGCTTAACCACCACATTATGCCCTCGCACTACAGCGTATGAAAGCGGCGTCGCGCCACATCTGTCCTTAGACTCTAGGCCGGCGCCCGTTTCAAGTAGTAGGTTAACCACCACCTCATGCCCCAGCGCCGCAGCCCCTATGGTATGTTCGTCATCCACATAAGCTGATGCACCTGTGCCTGCATGTAAGCGATGCTTGTCCTACGGACAATCTAGCCTGATCATTCCGAGGTGCTATCAACGTTTCTTTGTGTAGTGCTCACTGCTCACTTCAGTGAGCGGGTATAGGTTAGGAGTGAGACGCTGAAATTGGCCGCACTTGGGAACAGTTAAGCGCTGCTTCGAATCTGTGGCAGCAAACCCCTTCGTAGAAGTCCTCATGGTGCTCAGACTCTTGAACTATATAAGAAACTTGCTGTCACTAACTTTGCTAAAAGTCAGCTGAAGCAATGGCAGGCATTCATCTATGACTCCTAATACAGGCTCTAGTGTAGTCGTGATGTTGTCCAAAACGATTGAGTACGTCACATCTGTGAAATTTAGCTTTAAAATTACGACTTGAACTATAGAGATGAGGCAGAACCTGTTCAAGTAATTAGTCAGATTAGACATGTCAAATCGTTCGATGTCCTTACAGCCCACTAAGGCTAAAAATTATCATCAACGATAATTTTCTCGAGGTCGGCATGTGAAGTGTCTAGAGAACAGGAAGAGGTACCGCAACAATCATGACGTCGATAATCAGATTAACGATTCTGGTCGATGGATAGTATGCTAGGAGGTCTCCACATGTGCTCACAATCGTTATGTTATTCCACTCGAATTCGAAAGGCCAGCAGATCGCAAATGCTGTGACGTATATTCCCAGTAACATAGATCGACTCTGAGCGTGATACAGTGTCTTTTAAAACTGGAGCACGGATATCTTGATGAGTGAATTTGAAGTGGGGCGCAATAGTGTCGCGGCTACAGTCAGCTACCAAAATCAGCATGCTGCGAAGAAAATTGCGGATCAGCTCTATGCTGCAGTCCGACACCCTGTCTCATGTAAAGGCGCACTTTGCAAGCTCCTCTCCTAGAGCTTCACTCCCGTCGCGTCATCGACATCGCGGATACCGTGCAGCGTTGCAACCCCAAAACACCTCCACCCGCCCCAGCCCTCCGGGCGCCCGACGAAAGCAGCAGCTCGAGCACCGTCCAGGCCAAGCCGCTGCGTCTACTATACCTCATCCGCCTACAAAGTGTGGCCGTTCAGTGCCGGCTGCGCGGGCGGCGAGGCTGGGGTAAAAGCGAGTCCACCCGCGTGCATCGCCCATCCTTACAAGACTCCTCGAAACCTTGAACAAGCTGGCCATCTTGAGACAGTATAGGGGCAGTCATACTCTTCTTTTTAGGGAACACTTACGCGAGAGTATCAGAGTATTAAAGGTAGGAGACATAGATTGGCAGAGAACTGCGAAATAGGTACCCAGAGCCATGAGGAGGTGGTGGAGGAACTTTTGCTTAGTACCGATGGAAATTCCACGAGAAATACTCTTCGTCCAATTGATAGGCAATAGGTTGGTTCTCGCCAGGACTGAATTGCAGTCGCTCTCCAAGAAGAGGAAGTGAAGGATCGTAGCGTGTATTGGGTGCTTGGCCTGGTATTGGTGCTCCTCCCGTTACCGTTGCTGGAGGTGGGGCTGGTGGCTGCCAAACCGTAAGTCTAGTGCCAACTGGCTCTGGACCTACTAGTTCTGGACCTGGCGCGAGAGCTTCCGTAGGTGAAAGTCTGGCCCTCTTCCGTGTATTCCTACGGCCCCCCTCCTGGGGTTCACTATTCTCTAACATCTCCAACGTATCGAGAAACACGAGATTCAAGTCCTCACGGTCTTTACGATTGAAACGTCCCTCGCATCTCTGATCAATGTTTCGGCTGAAAATGCACAGAGCGTTGTCTTTGGCCTTATCACTGGGTATTACGGATTTTTTTCAGACGTGACTGTATATTTTTAGAGCTGGAGACCTGTGAAATTAGCGAGAGGTACTTACATGGATTTAAGGGCACCTCCGCGTCTGGCTGTAGTTGCTTGAAAATGAGATACCACTTCCAGAGTTCTGATCGAGCCGTCTTTTCTGGGGTATTAGACCCGTTTATATATAGTGCGACATTACTGTCCACGCGCCTCGTTAGCAGCTCCATGGTGGTGACATCGAAAATGACGGGTGGCCCACCACTCTTCTTTAAGGTCTTTTCGAGCTGGTGTCTCATATTTTCGACGATTTCCTTGCGTTCCTCTGACACCCCGTGTCTGTTCGACTTAGAGTTGATTATAACCAATTCTTGCGCGCTGTATCGTTTACAAGTGCCTCCTATCCTCAAGTTCTGGTAATGTTCGTCCAACAACTTCTGCGTGATAAATTGACGAAAGCAAACACGGCAAGTTTCAGGCAGTCGATGGCTGGGTCCCTTACGAGGGCAAACGTGATCACTAATTGAATCAATTAGCGATCTTCTGTGGACATCGAAATCTATGGCTCTTCAACTTACATCCACAAGCGGCGGGTTTTAGGATCTCTCTTGATCTGCCTTGAGAGACAGGCTATTCCAGCGGCAGCGTACCAACAAACGAGGGAAAGCGGTTGCGGAGGGGTGAAGTCTTCTTCCCGTGCGCTTTTATCTCCAAGAACTGGATCATGTCTTTGGTTTGAAGATCCTGACCCAGCACCTACTTGCGGTTGCCCAAGCCCGTGAAGAGTATTGGCACCGGATGGGGACGGTCCAAAAGATGCAGGGGTAATTTGATTTGCGGAACTGCCAGTGCCGCTACCGCTCTCTGGGGAGTCGCTGCATGGTAAAGAAGAAATGTCGCTTTTAGAACCTCGAATGAAAGCGCTCAGTATGCTACCTTGCGGTGCCTTGCTATGTGAACTGACCCATACAGGAACGCTATCATCCTCAGATTCGCTATCGTCGCTGTCATCATTGTTTCCGCTTGTGCCGCTTGAGCTCGCATAGTAGAGGGATGCATCATCTTCAAGCTCCTTCCTCTTCCCACCGAATTCTGCCCTGTGCCCTCCATATTTGGTGGTGAAACTATCACTGAACCCTTCCACCTGGATTGGCTTATCTCCGACGATGGTCCCCGGCACTTTTTCAAACACAGAAGCTCTACTCAGAGGGTTATAATGGGATTCCGAACGTTTAACATCGCGCATGTGACCTTTCCCCATGAACTCGATGTCAGAACCCCGTGCCACTGTAGTAAGGGCTTGTCGATTCATTGTCAACACATCTTGACAGAGGGGCATCATGATGGTTGTAGAACCATTCGGCTGACTTTCAGGCGTAGATTTGTCGTCCCCCGGTAGATTTTTCGTTACGCTATAGGGTGCCAGGGAGGAAGGAGGCCTGGGTCTATACACATCTAGCGTGACGGGTGTAATGATTTCACCATCATTTAGAGTCATTAAAATGCGGAATCCCCTCGTTGAGTGCAGTAGGGCTGATAGGCAAGACTCTAATGTTTTGCCTAAGTCGGGTGTGACGAACTTGCGCCCCGGAGTCTCGTGCAAAGATGAGTCGCGAACATGGCTCTTCGTTGCATCTGCTATCGCCGGATACTTGAAATCATCCAAGGGACGTGTTTCTTGCTTTTGTAAATGATCCGCAGGTGTACTGCTAATGGTATTTGTCTCGCGCCATGTCTTTGGTGAATTATATGTGTGAGCATTTGATCCGCGTGGAGTCAAGGTTTCCAGATGGTTTCGAATACGACCATCCTCGAGACGGCCAGCCAAGCTATTTTCTAACTCACTTGGAGTCAAGCTTGATGATTCTTTTTCGCTGAACAAGTCTTTCGTCTCGAGCATCTCCTTTATGTTATCCATACTCTCTCATATTCGGCTGATCAGCTCTAATGGGACCCTGAAGTAGACGGGAAGCAAAAATTGGCAAATCCTTGCAAAGGGTCCGAAGACGATCAACAGCACTTTTTGCGATAACGCTCAGCTTTATGTTCAAGCGCTAGCGGGTAAAAGCAGATTCGCGACAAACAATTGATAAGAATGAGTTGATAACTAGGGCAAGAAGGATGGAGATGAGCCTAGGCTACGTTGAAAAGGATGACGCGCTACGGCGAGGGAGTGAGAGCGGGGGAAGGAGGGGGAAAGACGTGAAGGAAAAAAATTCAGCATCCGTTCTATGTTTTGGTCGATGGATACGACGCGCGACAACTGTAGGCGCGAAATTCGCGGCTGGCCGGGGTTTGGGGGCCATATGCTCGCATGCGGCGTAGCTGCAAGCTGCTGACATGCGGTGCCGCGACATTTCGCACTTCTACTGCGACACTAGAAGCTCGCGGCGCACGCTTTTCTCGTCGCTACGGTGTATTCTAGGTATCGCACATAGTCTTGCAGCATACCATTTCTTCTATCTTCGCGTGTCGTCTTGTCCGCGTTCGCCCTCAATGCCTCCATTTTCGCGGGGTCTCTATCTTAACACCACGAAAGCTCGCAGTTATGCTTGATTTATTAAAATGTGAAACCGAAACCTTGGTTGTGCAACTCACCAAGCCAGCTTTCGCTTTTTGTCTCCAATTAGTTGCGAAATACTCTTCATACTCGAATTTCTCATCGACAATTTATTCCATAGCTTCTACCATGGCTTCATCATCTTCATCGTCGTTTATAGGCGAAGTACTTACCAATTCACGCTCCAACCACTTCGATTGGTCTATCGTTGTGCTGAAAAAAGGCGTCCATACCGTCTATACTGTGGAGCTGCACAGTGGGATGACAGGTACTACCACCATGCATGCTATCAGAAAAGCATACAAAAGCACCAAACCGGCCATTCTCTGGTTTTATGGCCGCTCTCTTCTTGAAGATGCTGTTATATCTTCTGTAAGCTGCCTTTCCTAATTCATTTGGCCTGGTTTGTCTCCTCGATCTTGGCGAATTACTTGTACCCTCTTATAAGACTCAACTTAGCTAGTGTCTCGGTCCACTGACACGTTTTCCTAACTTTCTTTGTAAATATTTGTCTATTACTACGTGCTACACCTCTCCTGTCTATCGCGCAAAGCCGCTAATCCACCCAGTTCACCGTTAACCCCGACCCGGAAGCTCAAGATTACCCCCGTCGCGTCATCATTGCATCCAGCCAGCCGCTTAACGAGCTTACCAAAGCCTTCCACAATCCGTCTCTTCTCGTTGGCAGCGGAGCAGCTGTTCTCCGCGAAAATCCCCAGTTCAATCCCAAGCATCCCACAGATGGCCACTACCACGCCATCTTAATTCGGACTGAAGCTAGCCAATGGCTTCTTGTAGTAGGGATAGCTGGAACTATTCTTGTTGCTGGTGTTATTGGTCTTACCGTTGGAAGATTCACGAGAACTGCCATACTGGGCGTCGCGGCTGGGGCGACTACTGTTTCAGTTTTCGCCTACATCCAGGCAAGCATAGGTTGTTTCTTCAAGGAGTGAAATGAGGCCGGTCATGATCGCGGATAGATTTGTGTTCATTTCGATGACGTCGGAATCCCCCACGAGGTCTATTGTAAGCAGCCAGAGTTGTACCTAGGTATCATATGACGGCCTGGGCTAGAGGACTTAGCTCGATTAGTATTTAAGAGCCTCTGAGCGATTCTTGATGAGAGGTGTGGGTTGAGATGCGAGCTTATTTGTTCATTGTGAGCTATTAGAATTGACTATATTGAGGGAATTCGTCGGTCTGCTAAAAGGCTTGGACGGGATGCAGAGAGACAAAGATGGTCAATTACACACGGTCAAAGGTGGACGGAGGTCGTCATCAGGGAAGGTGCCGTACACTAAAGGGTTTAAGCATGTGCTAGATTTGTTCGGGCCGGCTTTAGCGTAGTGAGACGTGCAACATCATCCCAGGAAGCGTTTAGGATGTTAAGAATCGATGCTTCATTTCATACGTGTAGGAGTTTACATAACCTACAGTCTGAGTGCTCCATATATCAATTCAGCTATGTATCTCCATGTCCGACACGCCTCACTAACCTCTAAGAACTGCAACCCCCAACCCTACCCATAATTAAACGGATTCCTACAAAGCGGACAACTACTACTCCCACTACTCCTAAACCACTTAAACAAACACCCCCCATGGAACAAATTTCTACACGTAGAGCACCTCTTATCCGGTAGCCGTTTATCGCTCCCCACAACACTGTAACAAATCGCACACTCCGTCTGGCCCTTCATCGCACCTTCCACATTGCGCTTAAAAGTGGTTAATGCGTCGATGATGCTGCCGTTGAATATTGTGATGGCGCCGAGGGAAGTGCGCAGCCAGGACTGCCATTTTTGTTCGTTTACGGCGACGCGCGAGAGGCCTTCGATGCGCGCGGAGGAGAGGGGGAATGAGGGTGGAAGGGTGAGGCGCATCGCCATTGTGGCGTCGTCGATGGCGTACGTGGTTGTGATCTCGTGTGCGCGGTTCGCAACTTTCACAGCAAAAGGCTCGTCAGAGGGTAAGGTGTCGGCCCAGGATTGGACGGAGGAGAGGGCGGAGGAGATTACGGGGGGCGAGATGTATTTCTCGGTCCAGGGCTCGAGGGTTACGACCACGGGCCGCGATTTGCAGTCGATGTACCAGGATTTTGTGAGACTGGGGAGGTGCAGGAGGCAGAGGTAGTAGATGTGCGTGAGTAGCCAGTGGGTGTCGCGGCGGGGAAGCTCAATGTCGGGTTCGTAGGTCGTGGGGTCCAGCTTGGAAATGTCCACGGGCTTGTTGTGCGCGTGGCCGAGGAAGTCGAATGTGAAGTCCAGCAAGCCCGGGAGGTATGCACCGGTCTTGATGTGGTCGACGTAGTCGTTTTTGACTTTGAAAGACGCGTGCGCGAGGTGGTCGAACACGAGGAGCCAGGAAAGGAGGTAGCCGCGGAGGGGCAGTGGGATGTTGCGCTCGAAGTTTACATCAGCGAGAGCAGCGACGGTGGGTGCCTCAAGGATGAGGGAGAGGAGTTCTTCGGGGAGGCGGGCGGTGGTTTTCTCGAGAGCGGAGTCAATCGAAATCTGTTCCTGTGCAGCGGGAATTTGCTTGTGTAGGATGTTAAAAGCTGTCTGCTGCACGGGCTGTGACTCCACATATAGAAGTGGAAAGAGGTCTTCGGTCTCCTCGAGGTGTTTGAGGGGCACTTTTGCAATCTGACGGGCTAAGACATCGTTCACCATCTTTAGGGGCTGGTGGAACTCGTCAGGAAAGTGTTGAGAGTGCTTGAGGAGATTGACGAGGCCGTTAGCGATGGTCGGTTCGGTCTCCTTCCAGACTTCGACGAGGTCGTCATTCGGTTCTTCGGTTTGTGTCAATGTACGCAGCTGAGCATACAGCTTTAGAGAGGCATGTACAAAAGGTATCGGGCTATTCCAGAGTCAGCGTCGTCTTGGGAGGTTTGCGGTCCTTTTACCTATTCACTCCAGACTCAGTCTCTTGAAGTTCAGAAGTGGCCGCCCAGCTGTCGCCCAAAGCATTGAGAATTTCGCCCCAGTGCTCGCCATAGAGATCGCTCATCAGCGGCAACAACACTGTAAGCGCACGGCAAACTTCGGCCCGAAGATGGAGAGCGCCATTGGTGTTGTGCAGCCATGGTATTACATGCTTGACAAAGAAGATCAAGCGCTGCTTGGCGATGCTGTGCGCAACGTCTTCTTGTCCGTACAACAGGATGTTGAGCAATACAAGCTGCCGTAGACCTGCTTCTCGTTAGTCATGGTCAGCCGATCGGAAGGACAAGATAAGTACCTTCGTCTGGATTTTCTTCAATGTTTAGCCCAGTGAGATCCGCTACAAGCTCGTTGCACATCCTTTCGCAGGACTTTGAGGCCGCGAACTGTTCATGGAAGGAGTTCAGCAGGCCAATCAAAGGGAAGGTTTCTGGGAAGATTCATTAGTGCGAGATTTTCAGCCGTTTCTGGATCCAATTACCTTTGCCTCTACGCAGCGTCTTGAGGATCTCTTCGAGCCTAGGAGTGTCCGACTTTCTCAAGCCGTATATTTCCACAGCGTCAGAAATCAAGACGCTATAGGTGCGCGCTGAGTAGTATGACCTGGGTGATGTCTCAGGCTCGATCATGGAGAGAAGCGTCGTCGCCCAACCAGTGAGGCCGTCATTGCCATCAGCTGACCAGAAGGCTTTCATAAGTTTGAGCTCTTCATTTACAAAAGGTTGTGCATCGGCCATGAATGCGATAGCGTCGGCTTCTACATCTGCATTGTATTCTGCCCAGAGGCCGTTCGCACCGGCGAGACCAAGATTGTCGTCCGCCAGCTGGATCGTGAGTGCAACGTTTCGCAGGAAAGATTCCCTGATGTCCTGAGGTACTTTCTCAACAGGAAAGATATCACTAGCCTTGAAAAGTTTAATGACGTACTGCGTGATGCGGTAGGCGGCAGAATAGCCATCGGCATCTCGAGAGATCTTTGTTGGAACACTGCTTTGATCCTGTTCGACCAAATATACCGCGCCATGCAGAGGATTAGCTACAGCTAGCGATGTCTTTGGTGCGGCATCGAGGAAAGGTGCCAACGCGGCCTCCCAGTCGTCAGTGCCAGGAAAGACCCCTGACATGTCCTCCCAAGAGCTTCCAGGCTTCACGAGCTGCTTGGCAAGTTCGACCAAAGTCTCCACAGATACAGATGTCTGCGTAGCTTCTTTGAGTCCTTGCTGAACAAGGCCATAGACGGATTGTTTTGTATCCGATCCAGCAGTGAGCACTGTCTGAATCGAGGCGTTCACCGCAGCGGCATCACGTGAGATGACTTCATCACCCGACTCGGATGCCAACAGCAAACTTTGTAGAAGAGTCGAGCCTTGTTGAGTAGAGAGAAAGTCCTTCAGTATCGAAGAGTTCTGTCTGACAATCTGTCGAAGGCCTTGGAGTGCGTATGGAGCTTCTTGTGATAACGAAAGGGATTGCGTCATGTATGATAAGACTTCATCGGTGGTCTCGGAAGCTAGGATTTTCGCGGGAGACTGGAGAATGCGATGAAACGCATCCCATTCTGTCGTTCCAGTGAGAGCATCACGGACGCTCGACTTGATATACCCTTGCAATGCTGCATCGCCTAGTGCAAGGTCAAAAGATTTGGGGACTCTGGGAGAAGTCAGAAGTGCTTCAAGAGCCTTAGCTTTCGTTGAAGAATCTGGGCCTTCGAGAATAGCCTTAAGAGTGGCTGCCCAGGCCTGACCGAATGAAGACGAATCGGATAAAGAGTAGAGAATGTCCACCAAATATGACGAGGATGGCGAAAGTATCAGTCTTGGTAGTTCCGAGCCAATGAATTGCTTGAGCTCATCAACAACCTCTGGGTCTGCAAGCACCAAGTCTCGGTTGCGGTTCAGAAGCTCCGCTACAGCACCTGCTGCTCCATATGGTTTGCCATTCCGGTTGGAAACGACAGTCAGCGCTTCGCGCGTGATGGAAAGACACGAGCGTTGGAATAATGTCTGTAGCTGTATGCTGCTTGCGCCTTCAAGTACTTGCTTTTGTAGTGCTGCAAGCCGTGAGGCTTTCTGTGTCAGTGCGCTCTGAGATTTCTCGTAGTCCTTAGACTGCTCCGGAGCTGACACCTTGATATCGTTGACTAACTGCGTGACAAAGTTTGGCCATGTCGATTCCAAGATCGTCGGCATATTGCCCACCGTCATAGCTTTGGCCACAAGGTGGGATGCGTTCGGTGGTACGCTCCAATCGCTGGTTTCTGGAGAAGGTCGCAAATGCTGGGCAATTATTGGAAGAACCATGTCTTCGAGCACCTTGGTTTGGTCTTCGTTGGATAGATCAGCGCAAAGCGCCCTGGCAAGTCCGAGATAGGAACCGTAAGCGGACTCTAGATTGATTCTCGATTCATCTCTCCTCGAAATACCATCGTGCATAGCGGTGAGAAGCTTGATAGCATCGTCGGCATCTGAGGGTAGAGCGGCGTTAGGTATAGCCTGAAGCAGACTAGTTACCTTATTCCAAAATTGCTGCGGACCAGCCTGCGAGCCTTTTTTCAAGAATTGGCGTAGCCTCCGATCAGCCGACGTCTTGCTCTTGTAGTCATCCGTCCATACTGTAGGGTAGGCAACAGTGAGCAGTGTTAGAGTGTCGACATAGTCTAATGAAGATCCAGTTTGGTCGGAATCAAGGCCAGATGAGAGGTAAGCCTTGCTGATGGCTTGTAGATTACCTTTTACTGCTTCTGTAGTCGATGTCAGTAGATGCACTGAGTTACTGCAGAATGACCACTTACCAGGCTGTTTTTCCAAGCAGGTCCTGAGGAATCGGTGAATTGCCTTCCGTACAGACGAGTCGGTATGTGATGCAAACTCCCAAAGCTTCCTGTCGCCAAGAAGACTGTCATAATCTGATTGGAATTTGGAAAGCTCTTCCGGCTTCAGATTCGCCAACAGGCTTCCTAGTAGAGATATGCATGCGGATATGACTCTGCTGAACTTGGCTTCCGCATCATCCGGACTGACAGTACGCTCGTCACTAAGCGTCTGCGGTGTCTCTTTGTCTATTGCATCTCGACAGTATTCCAGTATAGGTTGTTGGTATGCTCGGCGAATGTTCTGGATCTTCTCGGGTGTGTTAAAGACCTGTCGCAGTGCATTTTGTGTCGCGTCTACTACCGACCGATCGCCATCGTACAGCCCACACAGCCATGCACCGACCGACTTGGGCATGTGCTTTGCGAACCTCTTGCCGGCCGCGGCCGCCAGCTGGCCTTGTAACGCGTGCGCATTACTCCGGACGAAGCGACCGTTGTCTATTGAAGCACGAGGATACATTTTGACCTGCAACAAAGATAAATTACTACATGCGTGGTATGTACATGCATGAGGCAAACGCACCCATGCTTCTAGCAGCCCCTCCTCCACGGGCTCTTCCGACTTCGCGACATGTGCCTGTAGGTCTTCCAACGCCCGAGCCTTGGTCGTGCTGTCCTTCTTCGACAAGTTCTTGAAGTATACTACAACATTGGCGTCGGAAATCGTGGAGAGGTCGGGCGGCTCTGTTACGTGAGAGAGCTGCGACGAGCTGGTGCCGAACGCAGGCGTCGAGGAACCAAAGGCAGAGCCGAATGTGCTCGTCGCAGCTCGGGCGCTGCTTGCCTGCGCCTTAGTCGGTCGCTTGCTCATGATAGAGGTGCTGGGAGATGAGGGGAGATGCGATTGAAGGAGTGACACCAGACGGGAGGAACCAGGAGACAAGCACGACGACACAAACCTCCGGTGGAAGTGAAAATGCGGTCCCACGATGACGGCAACTCTGCCTTTGGCGGGGCACCCCTGCTGTTCGTCTAGTCCAGATGTGGTAAGGTCAAAGCGCGCAGAGCCGCACCTCATCTGAAGGCAACGCTGATCCTCAACTTTCTTTCAACGTGGACGAGCAACTCTCCACCGCCACGACAAGCTTTCGCGCGGTTGGACCGCTATCAATATGAAGTTCTTCATTGAGTATGTATACCTGAGCTTGCCCCCCTTTAGAGGGGACGGGTGATATGCACCTTTGCCACTCGTCGCGAGAGTGACGCGCGATCGCTTACAGCTTTGCAAGACTCATTAGTAAAGGACTTCATGCTGACATGTACATAGCGAGCTCCCCGTGCTCTTCCCGTACCCTCGGGTATATCCTGAGCAATATGCCTACATGTGTGACCTTAAGCGCACGCTGGACGCTGGCGGCCACTGCGTCCTTGAGATGCCTTCAGGCACAGGTAAAACTGTGTCGCTGCTCTCGCTCATTGTGGCGTACCAGCAATTTCATCCTGAAAATCGGAAACTAATCTATTGCTCGCGTACCATGTCTGAGATCGAGAAAGCCTTGGCCGAGTTGAAGGCACTAATGCATTATCGGACACAGGAGCTAGGCTACGAAGAGGACTTCAGAGGACTGGGATTGACAAGTCGAAAGAACTTGTGTCTCCATCCTTCCGTCAAGCGCGAGAAGAGCGGATCTGTTGTCGATGCGCGATGTCGAAGCTTGACCGCTGGCTTTGTGAAAGAGAAGAAAGAGCGAGGCGAGGATGTCGAGCTATGCGTTTACCACGACAACCTCGACCTGTTAGAACCCCACAACCTCATACCGCCCGGTGTCTGGACTTTTGACGGTCTGCTCAAATATGGTGAGCAGCAGAAACAATGTCCCTACTTTACATCGCGGCGGATGATGTCCTATTGCAATGTCATCATCTATTCCTACCATTACCTGCTCGATCCTAAGATTGCGGAACGCGTGTCGAAGGAGTTGTCAAAGGACTGCATAGTCGTTTTTGATGAAGCCCACAACATCGACAACGTGTGCATAGAATCTCTCAGCATTGATTTGAACGAAGACTCCCTACGCAAAGCCACTCGTGGCGTCGACAATCTAGACCGCAAGATTAAACAGATGAAAGAGTCAGATTCGGAGAAACTGCAGAACGAGTACGCGAAGCTTGTAGAAGGCTTGCGGGCGGCGGACGAAGCGCGAGACGAGAATGCCTTCATGGCGAACCCAGCACTACCCGACGACCTTTTGAAAGAAGCCGTACCCGGCAACATCAGAAGAGCGGAGCATTTCGTAGCATTTTTAAAACGCTTCGTGGAATATTTGAAGACCCGCATGAAAGTGTTACACGTCATATCAGAGACTCCACCATCTTTTCTTAGCCATCTCCGAGATCTGACGTTCATCGAACGGAAACCCCTCCGCTTCTGCGCCGAACGCCTCACCTCCCTCGTCCGCACACTCGAATTAACAAACATCGAAGACTACCAGCCACTGCAGGAAGTCGCGACCTTCGCTACTCTTGTTGCCACCTACGAAACTGGTTTCCTCCTCATCATCGAGCCCTTCGAATCTGCCACTGCAACTGTAGCTAATCCAGTCCTGCACTTTACCTGCCTCGATGCCGCCATCGCCATCAAGCCCGTCTTCGAGCGCTTCTCCTCCGTCATCGTCACATCCGGCACAATGTCCCCTCTAGACATGTACCCTCGAATGCTAAACTTCAACACGGTCGTCCAAGAATCCTTCACCATGACGCTCTCCCGCCGCACTTTCCTCCCCATGATCGTCGACCGCGGCAGCGACCAAGGCCCCATCACCTCCTCGTTCGAACACCGCCTCGAAATGACCGTCATCCGCAACTTCGGCAGCCTCCTCATAGAATTCTGCAAGCTCACGCCCGACGGTGTCGTCGTCTTCTTCCCCTCTTACCTCTACATGGAGAGCATCATCAGCTCATGGCAAGGCATGGGCATCCTCGACACAGTCTGGAAATACAAGCTCATCCTCGTCGAAACGCCCGACGCGCAGGAAACTTCCCTCGCACTGGAGACCTTCCGCACAGCCTGTAACAACGGCCGCGGCGCCGTCCTCCTCTGCGTCGCCCGCGGGAAAGTCTCCGAAGGCATAGATTTTGACCACCACTACGGCCGCACCGTCATAAACATGGGCGTTCCCTACCAGTACACCGAGTCGCGCATTTTGAAAGCACGCCTAGAATTCCTCCGCGAGACGTACCGCATCAAGGAATCGGATTTTCTCTCTTTCGACGCCATGCGCCACGCAGCGCAGTGTCTGGGTCGTGTCATCCGCGGAAAAGACGACTACGGCATCATGGTCCTGGCGGACAAGCGGTTCGGCAAGAAGATCACGCAGCTGCCCAAGTGGATACAGATGGGTCTCGAGATCAAGAACACGAAGCTTAGCGTCGATCAGGCGGTTAATAATGCGAAGGCTTTTCTGCGCGAGATGTCGGTGCCGTATGCGAGGGGGCAGGGAGATGGACATTCGAGCTGGAGTTTGGCGGATTTGGAGTCGCACCAGGCGAAGAAGAAGTCGGAGGCTATTAGCGGGACGGAGAATCCTACTACGAGGGCGTTGGAGGGCAGGGCGGAGAGAGTGGTCGAGGTTGAGGATGAGTTTGGGGGCGCGGGCATGGACGATGTTATGGCGGGGCTGGACGGGTAGGCCGCGTCTAAGTCACCGTCACTGTGAGAGATGGCTCTGTGGAATGAGGTCATGCCGCGGACTGATGGTTCGTCTCCTAAAACCCTGGCTTGAGGGTTCTGGTACGGGGGCGTTTGGATCGCATTGGGGAATCGGTTCAAAGGATACTCACCGTCTGTACGCGTCTTGCACTTTGTAGAATGTAAGTTCTGAATCAAAGACGAGAACTTTAAATGTCAGCAAACATCATGATAGCCATACATATTTCTGGGGGCTGTATCATCTAGCACGTTTGCACGTCTCTTGTGACATCTGCCAAATCTGAAGTGGCCTCTCTGGGGGGCAGACAATGTGAAAGCTGTTGCGGCTTGGATCTGGCTGTGGTAAAGGTGGGCAGGATCTTCTATATGAGATCAATCATGGAAAGTGAAGAGTGTCTATATTACGATTAAATGTACCCTATGCTACCCGTAAGATAACAAAACCGTTGCGCCTAGTCCCATATGTCGTATCCAGCGAGGGGTATCCGTAGTCGTCCGTTCGTTCGTGAGTGTGGTGTGAGGGTATCGTGGAAGCCGGGCCTATCCTGCCCAGCCTAATCGCACTCCCAGAAAACGCCTATATAAAAACAAAAGTCGTAAGCCAGTCGTCCATGACATGCCTTTCAGAACTTCTTAGTCCTTCTCCTTCTAGCTGCAAGCTGCGGCGTCCACATCCCCGCGAATAGGTCCTCGCACTCATCCTCATCCTGGCTGTCAAACTCGATGTCCTCGTCTCGCACCCCGTCCCTCAGTTCTTCCTCTCCTTGTTCTTCTTCGTGAGCAACCTCCCACCCCGTCCCCCTAGCCACCCTCTTCGTCTCCAGAATGTACTTCCCGACCTTATACCGCTGGCTCTCCTCCTCGGCTTCGACGTACTTCCAGCCCAACACGCTGCCGCATTGCCTGCAGCTTATATCTGACACGGTATGTGCGCCGGTGACGAGTTGACGGGGCACGGCTTTGTGCGTGTGTGTGTTTGGCAAATCTCCCGCCTTGATGTCGTCGGCTCTAGGCGGGCTGCTAGGATTGTGGATAGCTGATGGCGGTGGTGGCGAAACGAGGTATGCGCGGCCGTGGCGGCCGGTGAAACCTTTGCTGATGATGGAGGACGTAGGAATTAGGTCGGTGAGGCATTTCGCGCAGCGGAGGTGGGATGTTGTTGTGGTTGACGACAGGTACGATGTGGGTTGCGGTGGAGAGGTCGAAGGTGACGGTACAGTCGAATTTGTGGACACTGTAGCTGCGGAACTGCGACGACGGCGGAAGGGGATGCTGGGGAGGAGGTAGAGGGGAAGGGGCGGGTGGTGCGTGTGAGAGGATGGCCATGTTGGAGGTCGCCTGGCGGTGTCGTGGGCGGTGAGGATGTCGCGGAAGTAAAGCTGGGGTCGTCTCGTGTATGGGTTTTGGTGTTGCTGCTCAGCCAGGAGCGCGAGAGATGAATGTAGATTTGGATTATGAGAAAGAAGAAGACCAGTTCGCTCCGGCGCGACTGCAGCCGGGCTTTGAGCGCGGTTGCCGGTGTTGGTACGGTTGGCGATGAGCGTGTGACGTGAGTATCCCCGCGCTAGTATAACGCGCTAGATGCTGCCGATAAAGCCGATGACGGACGCCACAAGCGAAGAGGAATGCTTATCGCGGCTGGCTTGGACAACAATACTGTACTGTCGTGGTCGTCAAAGCATTTAAAGGTGAAGGAGGTAGAAGAGGGGAACCGAAATTGTAACTATGCAGCAGCAGGCATCTTCCATGGCAAGACGTGTTCGATCTAAAGTCGTTGTCCCGCATTGCCGAATCACGCACCTCTACACCGTCCACGCGCATAGATGAACTCACGACATGTCACGCGTTTGATCTGACCACTATTCCCGTGAGGGGCGAAGGGTGCCTCAAAACGGTCATGCTCACCGTCTAACCCTAGGTTACCCTACCTTGTGCTACGCATACGGGCTTAGGCTGAGGGAAATATTGCCGAAACGCTCTAGTTTACCACTGTTTCGATTTGTATCACGACCCTCTGTCAACATGCTGTAGTCCAGCGTTTACTGTTCAGTCTGAGGCCCTGCTCCACCATGTGCAAGTTCTAGGAGTTGGGGCAGACGGATAGTGTATGGAGTCATACGAGCTCAATTAAGTTCGTTTCCTTCTTGCACCAGTAGCCACCTTTAGATGTCCACACCCGCCAAACATCCACGGAAACCCAGTGTAGACATTCGATACAAATAGCGGTACTTTCATGATCCTAGAATCGTCACTCTCGGATCGGAAAATTTCATCTTGCCAAACACGGTCCAGAGCCTTATGTCGGTGTCTAATCTGAGAGCCGCTCGCTGGTAGTGATACGCTACGTTAGATAAAAGAACGGTAGCTAATGATCAAACTCTCCACAACAAAGCTAGGCTTATTGTCCTTCTCTGTCTGTAAGAAGCAGTCGTCGAAGTCGAGGCCAAGCGTCGTCCATCAACATTCCTATGCAGTTCGTGAATCACCCTATGAGATAAAAACAGGGCGGCTTATCTTCGGCCAGGCACACGATGCCGTCTCTCTGTAATGAGGCTTTGTTGTTGCTGCAACGGTTCGAAGGTATAAGTAAGCTTGAATACATACGCCTCTTCCTCGGGGAGCTTCGCACGTGTTCTGCATTCGTCCAGTACAGGCGTGGTAAGTGGAATGTCAGCCCGTTGGAAGGTGGCGACTTGAACGTGAAATGCCCGAACAAGAGGTTCAGTGGATGCCAGATTATCGATACGGTGCTGTCGCGCCCCAATCAATAAATGGGAAGTTGCCTTGACGTATCAAGAGCCGTGACCACCAACTTAGGCATCACCCTCCCTCCATTGTAAGTGAGATAGGGCCACATCTGACATCAGGAAACGTGAGCCACACCTGTTCTGCCACACTACCCACTAAGGAAACGCTGTGCAACCAAAGCAGAGAAGCAGAGGAGATGGTTGGTTCGCCTTTTGGTGTATGTTTGGCGCTTACAACGACGCGTGATCATCGAGCTGCTCAGCACGTCGCAATCCGGCAAGCTCGTCCCTTTCCGTGAGAGCTTGGCTGAAAGCGTCGTCCTGGCTTATTGCTAAGCAATGGCATTGCTCAATACATTTCCGTAAATGCTCAAAAGGGATGATTGACAACGGGACGAAGCGGAAGTCGAGAAACACATCCTAAGCTAGACTGGTCTGTCCCGGGAACGGTAGGTGTAGAACGTCTAAATGGCTTTCGATCAACATGCATAAAAGCGATCCGAGGAGAAAGATCGCCCACGAAGCCCGCATGGATGAATGTCGACTTGCGGGACGTCTGTCGCATGTTCATCCTGCAGAGGTCCCTCAGGTGGTCGACCGTGATGGATGCTCTGCAGCATCCACATGTACCCCACAGCCTCACCTGCGGCCTGGACCCAGCGCGTATTCTGAAGATCAATAAATGCATCCAATAGTAGATTGACGCTGGGCAGAATTCTCATCACGTTTCCTCTTCTGTAAGACCCGTGGGGGAGCGCCAAATATTGGTGTGTGATGAGATGCAGGCGCGTCAAGCGAAGCCGCTTAGGGAAAGCGCGGCATGCCAACGGCTTCATCGGTGTTCAACGAGGCGGGGTCTGCAGATGAGGAAATGAAGGCGTTATGCAGCTTCAGACGGCATTTCGACAGCCAACAGACGGTGAGGGGAAGAGAGGTTGGAGACTGCAGTAAGACAACAACTGTAAACAAACATTGAAGCTCCTCTACTCTGCATGGCTCCATTGGAATACGGCAAGCAGCGCTAGAAGGTGGCTAAGGACATCGAGCATCCAGTGTCTCGCTAGATGAAAAGCTCAGGTGTAAAACAGCGAATGGCAGACACATACGTAGTCAATTAGCTGGCAATGCAATCCTGCTCGTTCTCACGTGCAGTAGGCCGGGCCCAGCGGTGGAGAAGACGAAAAGGTGCAGTCCATACGGGAGAGTGCCCGCTGCGTGTTTCCGAAGTGTCGCATGGCGTTGGCAGCGGGAGTGGGCGAGGATTGACAAGTGTTCGTGCAGTCGATGCAGGGGCTCGCGGCACAGGCCACGCACTTCCCGATGCGGCGAGGCGCGTGGATTTCGCGTCGGTCTTCACATCGGCGCCTCTGGAGCCATCGCAGCTTCAGCGCGGCGATTGGGGTGCTCTGGGGGGTTAGCCGGTGGGATAAGGGCACGAGTGCATTGAATTGCGCGTGCCCACACCCAGTGACGAGGCGGGCTTGCGCTGGTGGAAGCGCGGAATGCGTGTGGTGCGGTGTGGTGGTGGAGCTCGTCGCTGCCGTTAGCGCCTTGGTCCGAGCGGCCACCAGTGCGACCGCACACCCAAGCGCCATGCCCCGACCCAGTTCCCGCCAGCTTCTGGCTTTCACCGCAACCTCACCTTCGCCCACGCAGCCATCCGCCTTCGCCATGTCCTGAGAACGGCTGGTCGCGCCTTCCAACGATTTTCCTTGCGTGTGACGACTCCCATTACCTTCTACGCCGCCCATGGACCAATCTCAGTGACGCGCCCGAGCCGCCGCCTGATCGCGATCGCCTATCCGCCGCCGTCGACCGTCGACCTCCGCAAATCCCCAGGCACTCCGCGTCGCTGTCCCAACGTTGCGCGATCTTGCTAGTACTCGTAGCGCATATCGTCGGTCGCTGCCGAATTTCCTTGCACCATCGGACGCGCGCTCGCCCGGTACCTGCGCGTCAAGCTACGCGCCGGCCTTTGAACGACCTCTTTACGACCTTTCCTTGCCTGTGTCGCCACTGCGACCCGCAGTGAACTGTGTCCGACGCCCTGCAAAAGCGCTGCGACCGATATAACGCGGCGCAGATCCCCTTGATCGCTCGTGTAACCTGTGGTGCAGCCGCACAGTCGCGTTCGCAGCTTGTGAACGACTGCTGGCTCCCGTCAGCAACACCCTGCATATCCACCAACCAGGCCCTGCAGCTATTGGACTCGTGCTTGATCTTGTTTGCGCTCCTTGCAGACGCTGGAGATTGAGCTCTTGCACCCCGGAATCCACGCATCGAATTTGAAGTGCATTTATCGATATCTCGCCGTTTCCCCGACTTCACCATGGAGGACCGTCCCCATCTGTCGATCACCCTACCGCGGAACTTCATGTTCCATTACCAGGACGGCCAGCCGCCACGGACCCCAGAGCCGGAGGCGCAGCTAGAAGAAATGCAACCGCCGCCTCCGCCTCGACAAGTGCTCAAGGTCCGCCGTCGCCGCACAACCTTCGTTCCGACTCAGATATTCAACGACCCGGACGATGGCATGCCCATCCCCACTATCGAGGGACCGGAGCTTCACTCTGACGCCTCAGCAGAGCTTCCCACGTTTCAACCTGACGTGGACAACGAATACCTATCTCCAGCATTGACTTGGAGCCGTATGCTCTCGCCACCGAAGACGCCTGTGTCGCAGATGGGCAGCTTGAGCAGCTTCGACGGTCTGCAGCACTGGTCCGAAATGGATCAGGCCAGCCAGAGCGAGACTTCGAGCAGACCAACATCATCCTCCGGGTTTTCTGATTCTTCTCGCTCTTCCTTCGACAGCTTTGACTCGTTCCCTTCGCTCGGAGGAAGCTGTACAAGCTCTGAAGATGAGAAGATGGACCCCTTCATCTTCTGTTCTCCTGCCACCAAGCACACCCCCATGTTGAGTTCGCCCCTAGTTACTCAACAACGACAGCAAGCGAAGCTCAAGCTGAAGGCCACTTTCACCGAGGAGATGGATTATCACCTGTGGATGACTTACATGAAATACCTTCAGGACCCTACTGTGACCCCTTTCAAGGCACTTCCTACTACCATGCCACCGAATGGTGTATGCCATCGCGTCGCTCGTCTGGCGAGGCACACCTGGAAGGGTCCGCGGAAATCACCCACAGCATCTGGTGTGCGTTTCGCTTCGCGTGTCGTTTCTCGCAGCGGCACTCCTGATACAATTAGGCCTGCCAAGAGTGGCAGCAGCACTCCAGTGCCGGGAGCCAACAAGCCATACGCACGATTTCCGGCAGAGAAGCAGGTTCGGAGGCGTTTGAGGTACCTGGCTAAGCAGAAGCCGACGCTCTCTGCTCACTATCAACGCTTGATGCATCGCTCACCTTCGCCACTCCAGTCGTCACCGCCGCCTGAGCCATGTCGACCTGGTGTGTTGTCGTCACCATTCTCGCAGCCGGCTCCTAGCTTTTCTACGCGTGATATGAACATATCGTTGGCGACAAGCACTGCGCCATCTATGCAGGCTGGCAACCCTCTGGCACAGTTAGCCACCAGCAAAACGCCTCGACCCGCAGAGGTCGAGAGGGCTCATATGCGAGCTTCAGCACACCAAAAGTCCCAATCTCTCCACATCGGACTCGGCTTGGGCTTGAGCAACGTGTTCGGATCTTCTCTGGATAGTAACCCCCAGTCGAACGACGTAGTCATGACGCAGCCCAGTGCTCGGACGTGGCATGCGGCATCGGCACGCCCTCCCAAGCTGGGCTCTCCTGTGCAACTGCACGCGCCGCGACCCATGTCGCGTGCTTTCAAGCGCAGGGCTCTGCACAGCTTCGAAGACCAGACCCGAAATCGAGGCAACAGCTTCATCAGCCAAGTCTTCGGTGCACCCGCGGAGTCTAGCCACCGCCGCGTACGAAGCCGGGGCTTCAGTCTGGGCGACATGGTGGAAGGCTCCCGCCGACTGCCTTTGTCCACCAGCGGACCAGCTGGATTCAACCCGTTCGCGAACCCACCAGTAGCTACTCAACAGCTTTCTCCAGTCAGCCCCGCAGAAGTCCAAGGACGTGCCACTATCCGTCTTGGTTCGCCGTTTGGTGGTCGACCGAGCAACACATTCCCGCGAGCATCGACATCGCATGGTTTCGAACTTCCCACTTCGTTTGAGCAACGCTTTGCCGCCTTACCCAGCGATCCTGCCACTCTGCACCGTTATTAGCGATTTGCTGTTTGATGCCTTCTCACCCAAGCAACAGTTCTGCATTGCATCATCGGCGTTAGCATCGGCTGCCGCGAGGCGCCGCGTGTCCCTCCCCGGTCCATCCCCGGGCGTACTCACCTTTGGCCATCATCGGCCTGATATCCACCATATGAAAAGCATCTCTTATGTCTGTCTATACACTCCGCTTACCTTCGACCGGCCACTTCCTGTTTTGGTGTACACCTTCGGGGATTATATTTGCTGCATTGCAGGTGGCCACCTTCTTGTGCTTTGTTACTTCGACAATTCGGTCATGATGTGTATGGCTTCATGATCTCTTCTCTTATCGTCGTCATCTCTTTCCGTAATCTGGAGGCCGGTGGGCGACGATGTTGGTTGGGAGCGATGTGTGCCGGCGGCTGCTCAATCGATGGCTTTCCATCCATGCGTCCACTCAGTCGTTCCGGACGAACGATCCCATCTCTCGACGCAACCTTCTCTTGTACATTCGCCGTACACACTGGACGAGCTCTAATCTTCCTCTTGCCAATAGCCTTGGAGCGATCAATCTCCCCTTCTGTTTCCTTTGTCCTATTGTCTTCTCCTTGTCCTTTGCTTGCTCACTCATGACGAAACGCTCAATCAATTGTAACGAACGGATGCGGATTCGAGGCGGTAACGGGGCTGTGTTTTTTTTTCGTTTCTTTCGGGCGGTCTTCACGATGTCTATGAGGGTGCGTGGGAACGTGAATGGCTAATCCGTAATTCTTGTGTTGGCTGGTGGTAATTCGCCGTTTGGATGTCGATTCAGTGGGTCCGGTGGAGGGGAAAGGAGAAGTGGTTTCTAGAGTGGGATGAATAGTTGCTGAGGAGAGGTGAGAAGGAACGGTTGTGGTTCGGTCCTCCTGAATTGGCATCTAGACGGATTAGCTAGTCATGACGAATCGAGAGATTTTGTAAGACGACGGGCCGAGTGCTTGCGTGAGCTGAGCTGCTGAAGTAGTGGCTGGTGTGAGACCGTCGTGATACTTGGTATGCAGGGCATTACGTCGATGGAAGAGTGACCGCGGCCCGGGCTGAGCCGTCTGGAGCTCCAACTTAATCCTTTGGGATCGGCGAGGCGAGCAGCCACCTGCTTTCCACCTGTAATCTTCTTTTCAAATCAGTACTTTTTCTCAGTCAATCCCTCCCTCCCTCAATTGTCAATTCCTTGCCCCTCCAAAGCCAAGAATCAAACCCACCCGTCCCCAACCCCGCTGCAAAACAAAGACAAAAATCTCGCCGTGTTCCACCCGCAGCGGAGCAGTCGCGTGTCTGGGTCGGTAATACCAGGACTGGGCGGCCCAAGCCGGCTAGCGGCATCCACTTTATAGTGCTTTTCTGACCGCACGGCGCCGCATCATGTGCTCGCGCGGCACCGTGGTTACATGTCGTAAAGTGTATCTTGTCGGCCGTTTCGCTGGACCAGCGGACTGGGCAGCCTGGGCGGTTCCGGACCGGCGAGCGAGAGTTTGCGAGGAGGGGGGGAGCAAGTCTGTCGTGTGAAAGAAGGAAAGTTGGAGAGATTGAAGATTGTAGGAATGTGGGCTGGGCTGGATGTGCGTTGGACGGGGCAGGTCAGGTCTGTCAGCTTAGTGAGCGGGCGGGCGGCGGTGGTGCCTGGTGGGCTGCAATGCATGCAGGCTGTGTTTTTGTGCTGCTGTGGTGGGAGTCGTTCTCCGCTTACGAAGTAGTGCTGCCGGGCGGGTTTGCAGGAAGGTTTGCGCTACCGTATCGATAGTTGCGAGGGGTTGCGCATCTGATGATGACCACACGACAGATCATTTGGGGAAGTGTGAGCAGGCAGGGTGAGACGCGAGATGGGGTAGTTGGGTTTGGGTTTAGAGATGTTTCAATTGGGTTTGATGCATGTGGTGAGTGCATGGCGCGGTTGCTGTTTCTGGTGACCTCGAGGAAGGAGCACCACGTTTGGAAAGTGCGAACGAGAGATAGTCCTTCCGGCGAAGCAGAGTGTGCAGATTTACGTGTAAGATTGTGAATCCCTTTTCTTCCTATGTCTTTCATTTGAGTCCTCTGTATACGCGTATCTGTCACACTGGACTCTTAGCTTACAATTGAGCCCAACGTGACAGGCACGACCCAAGGTCACGAGACCTACCGAGATGATATCAATCTGCGATGCTTGCGCAAATGGTTCGACAACGACGTTTGTCCGAGCAAACGCAAATCACCTTGTTCTATTTGACGTACGGTAACAGCGTCGTCTCTGCCAATCATCTCTTACCGCCTATCTCTTTGTCCGTTGTGCAAGTTCTATGCCATTGCCTTCTCGCTGTCCTTCTCGCTGTCTTCTGCAACATGCCAATGTCTCTTTCCCCAAATGGACTCTCTTGTTACAGCCAAACCAGTTCGCATACAATTCTCACACGCACAAATCCAACATGTCCTCCAGCTCCTTTTTCAGCCCCTGTGCTGCCACCAAATCCAAGTCCACCTCCGATGACTCACCACTTCTCGCCCGCCTCTATCCTGCCATCGTCAGTGTCGCAATCATCTACATCGGCCAGATAGTCCCCTGGCTGCGCATCCTCGTGCGGCTTTGGATCTGCTTGCGTGCGTGCGGCGGTGCCAGCGTACAGTCTCTGCATAGGTCTACAAGAGCAGTCGGAGATCCGCGGTCGTAGCAGTGGTACTGCCTGGTGTCTGCTGAGGTATAGGCGAAGAGAAGAATGAGCATGGATGCGAAGAGAATGAGCTTTGGCGTCAGTGAGTGGAGGCGTAGTGTGAGTAGCCTTGGGAGCAATGAGTTGGTGCGGCGGAAGAGTTTCGTCAAGGAAGGTCCGACGTGATGGACGCACATACTGAAGACGGCGGGGATTTTGGCAACCGCCGGTGAATTGTTAATGGCCAGGACGGTTCGAAGTGACGCCTGGCAGAAGTTAGCTTGGTCGACTACGGGCCTTCTCCCTCAAGTCCCGTCTCTCGGACCGAGATCTCAATGAAAAAGACAGGATGTTGAATCCCCTGGGCGTATGGATTGTCACCGCGAGCGCCAGAGCACCTACACGGCGTGGACACCCAATAAGATACGGATGTTGGATCCGACGAACACTCAAGGCCGAATGTCCGATTTCTTCCGAAGAGTTGGCCCTTCTGAGCGTATGATGTTGCCACTGTACAAGTACAGTACTGACACTCAAGACTGTAGCCTACGGCTGAGGTGAGAGAAGCTTGTCGCATGGCTGGCTCGCCAACGCTAAGACTTCGCATCGCCAGAGCTGCGGACACAGAAGGATCGAATCCAACTCTTCCCACCGTTGCTATTGCGCACAAGCTTCGGTGGAGCATGGCTCGCGCCATACCTCCGAGTGGTTGGGTAAACCACACGGGCGATAGCAAACGACCTACTAAGGAATTGCCGTGGACCTTCACGTACTCCTTTTTTCGGTCGGTCGTTTCGCTACCAGGGTTCAAGCAGACCGGCGAACGCAACTTATCGACTGGGACTCTTCACAAGCGTTCCAATTCTTGCCTGGGGCCTTGCGGCCTGTCAGAGACCCCTGAGGAGCGCTCCATGTCTGTAGGCGTCTTCCGTACGTGTTGTGGCCGCCGTTCACACCGCATGCGGAGCCCAGGCGGGTTTATCACAACACGCAGGCGGGGTAATCGAGAGCTCGGAGTCGAACCGAGGACTTTCCGTGGTGGCTCCAGGAAAGATGACCATCCTCTACAACCCTGGAAGTTGGGAAGAAAGCAGAGATCATGACCTGGAACATATTAGCTGAGAACAAACGAGAAAACTCCGGCGTCAGATCGACCTACCCATCTCTACCGCGCGCGGCCACTCCGCAGCCTTTATGCGGCCCAGCAGAACCTTCGTGACGAGAGAAACCTCCCAAATAATCCAAAAAAAAAATATACCCAAGACAGGTGCGCACTGTAGAGGGTGTTGGAGGTGTGGAGAGAAAGAGAGAGGCGGGGCAGAGGGGGATTTTATACGACTGAGAGGGTGCACAGACCAATCGTGGAAAGCGCCGGCAGGGCCCCGCGTCCTGGGTGAAGGTGAAGGGCGCGTCTGCCCCAGGTGCCTGTTATGAGCAACTGTTCACTTTCACCTACTATTCAGTAAGGGCTCTTCAACACGCACGTACCATGACCAAGCGTCGTCTGCCACGGTATATAAACACGGCCGCCCCAACTCTTCACCTCGCCCCGCTGCTCTTCCGAAGCGTCCACCACGCCGTCTCCAACAGCAAAATGGAGAGGCCTCTTCAGATAACCCTCGCCACCGATCTCTTCAAGACTGCTGTTGAAAAGGCCGCCCTCAGGTATCTGCAATGGATCGCCAAACTTCTCAACGTCCAGCTGCCACCTGACGGCAAGATCAACCTGACCGAGATCGACAAGAATCTTAGTGAGCTTATCAAAGAAGACGAGAGCTACCGGAAGGCCATGCTCAAAGCGGAAGATGTCCTTGGAATCTCCCAGATCGGCATTTCACTTGAGGGTGAGTGCGGAGACTCGGGGTTCTTCACTGACCTAGCTGTTATGATAGCTGACACTTGTACAGAGATCAGCAAGCTCAACGACAACGAGCGTCCAACAAATGAGCATGAACCTGGTGTAGGCCTTACCATTGCAGTCACTCAGGAGACTATCGATATCGTGAAGGCAATGCGCCCTGCAGAAACGGGTAGAATTATTACTCACTTGATTTCGCGCGCACTCGCTGACATGGTACGCAGAGTTCACCATCGAGGAAGAGCCGGAGACTGTTTCGCGCCCGCCCCCGAAGCCACAGAAAAATGACAAGTTCACCAAGGAGAGCCTCTTGAAGAATCCCAGCCTAGCCGCAAAGATCAAGTGCAAGCAGCCGAACAGCCGACACGACTGCCTACAAATGCAATACCACGAGCTCGACCCTGCCCTATACGACCCGTGCAACCGTAGCACTTGCCTCTACGTCCACGATGACCAGCGTGAATATTGTGACTCACGCGATTATCAGCGTGCCGTGGATTCAGGGAAGCACAAGCAATGGCCAGCATGGAGCAAGATTCCTTACGGCAAGAAGCCAAATCTCGCGCTGCGAACGTCCACCATGGACAGAAAGATAGACTCCCTCAAGCGTAAGGGCAAGGGTGCTGGCGTGGCTGAGGATACCCCAGACTCCAAGAAGCCGAAGTTGGAGGAAGAGGAGCACGAAGAATTTCTCAGCCTGCCCCTCAACGGTAAGCCTGATTCTTCCGGCACCCCCAAAACGTGGTTAGCACTGACCTTTTGTGTACACAGTATTGCTCGAGCTGTCCCCAGAGGATATGCCCCTGAAGTTGCCTCGTCCGGACGGCCGCATGGTGTTGCAGTGGTCCGACAAAGCCATAGAGAAGCTGAAGGCGTTGCAGCAGGAGGCTTCGCGCAACAAGGTGGGCACTGCCAACAACGAGGGTAGCACAACCGGCAAGGAGGACAGCACGACTGACGAGGAGGCCACGGCCAACAAAGGAGGCGGTTGAACGAGAGCGATCGAGTCGAGGGGGGATGGGCAAGCATCCTAAGCGTGACTTGAGCAAAGCGTGACCTTGGACCGCTCCGTACGGATGCGGTATGCATCTTCGCAATCGCACAGAGCAGGTTCCGTATTCATGGTTCAGGGCTTGACGTAGCACACGCACCTAAATCCTATATAGAGGATACGTCTTAATGGGCGTTATGAGTAATGCAATATCATGACACGAAGAGAATTTCTTTCTGGTGACCGCATGACATAAAGCATAATATTGACCACGTAAGTTCGAACTAAAATGTCGCTTTTAGGTTCAGTCCACCGTCCAAGGTTTCTGCAATCGAACAGAAGCTGCCCAAGCGCCCATCAAGATCCTTGAGATCGGCGGCATGGCAAAGACCTCCGTGCGCCCTGGTGGACCGCCACTCAAATGTCCTTTGGACTACCCAGAGAGCCCCCCTGAGTCGCGCAACCTCAACACAACCTTTACTCTTCGGCGTCTTTCTCAACGTCCAAGATGTTGATGTATCTTCGCATTCTACAAGCAACTTTTCAACCTACGATTACAACTTGGCATGTGTCCAGGAAGCAGACCGTCATTCGAGCCGTCTATGATAGTATAGAAGCCAGCCTATCCAAGATAGCATAAGTCGTTTCTATACTATCAAAGCAGAGAGTGTCATGGTGAAAATCTCGATCACATAATTAGGTCATGGTGAAGGTAATTATCACGTGAGAAGGCCACGGTGAAAGGCGCTATCACGTGATCCCATCCCGTGATTAGATATCGACCTCGGGTTGAAGGATCAAATCATGTTCTTGCACATGAATTACTCGCGCCATTGTGAGAAACGGCTATATATATTTGGTCACAGCTTGAAATACGTATCATGGCTGTTTCCCTAATATTAGACCGAATCGTATGGGGTATGAAAGAAAATTGGGAAGAACCGGCTTTCAAGAACGTGCTGTTCGTCATGTTAACACTATTATACAAGCTTATTTTTGACGACCGACGAAAACTCGCAATGACAGTCGAAAACGACGCAGGGTTTGCGCTCGCACTGAAGGAAGTTTGGCGGCAAGCCGTCCCTCTGCACGAAAAGCTTCGAGATCAAGCGCATATTTCTCAGCGAGCTTTTGTCGCCCGGATTGAGGAGTTTACGAAGATAGATGCCATCAAGAGTGCGCAAATCACAACTCTGCACGCATACTTCGCAGGGCTAAAGACTGACTTACGAGCAGAAACCGCTCGGCTACGCGTACTTCTACAACGTCTTTCCACTGTTTATACCAAGCAGAAGAGCACGCTCAATTAATATGCAACTATCGCAACGACTGCCTGAGGTACATCAACAAACTCTTCGACCTAGTCCACGATCGCGAAGACATGGTAGGAAGGTGCCTGAATATAGCAAAGCATGAGATACATATTCACCTAAGGCACATCTTGCTCGAATTACATTCTGTATATAACATCTCTATCATAGCTATATGTCCATAGGTATGCGAACCATTACGCTATAGCCTCTCCGTGTATATACAATATGATCAGATGTCTTCTTCCAACTGGTATTACACCTGACTGGAGTGTGATGAACGTGCTCTCGCGTCAAGACCCTGCAATGAACCATCGTGAGAGAAACGTCCTTTCCGAGATACACCGCATAGTTCCGATCGTCAGCGAGAGATAGGTCGACGGACTGTAGCGTTACTAAGAAATGTCGACGTGTCGATACACCTCCGTAATGGGGTCGTTGACGATGAAGGATATAACGGATGGGTAAGACGAGGAACAGTCGTTAGGGTTGTGGACTGCCTTGAGCCAAGTGTAGCTTCTCGAGTTATCCTGCTATCCAGCTGTGAATGGTTTAGAAGAGAGTGCTAAAGTAGTGATGTCAGTGAGCAATTCTTTCCAGCTCAACACGGCTGCAGGTGCTGCAGACGTACAGCACAGTCAAGGTTCCAATAATATACTGCTCCATGTATCGAGGGACATCACACCTCCACGGTATCCGCCTCAATCCACCGCTGTCAATGACGGTGGTAGGTGGATTATTATGGGGGAGTTCGTCCCATGCGTCGCTCCACACATGTCTGGTATGGTGGTGGTAGCTCACGAGTAGCCATAGTCAGGGAGCGCACCGCAGCCGTTGGCGTAGCTCGCACTCCTCCTATACGTTCCGCTCAGGATCTTGAGGTGTTAGTAGACCTTCGAGCGCACATCCGCCCACGTACTTACTAACCTTTCCCTCCGTAAGGAGAAGTCTCCCAAGAATTCAACAAAAAAATAGCAATTGCGGCGTCGTACTTCACGCACTGCGACCGCACTGTTGCTCGTCGTCACATAAAAGTCGTCGTCATCGTCAAAATCCTGGATGGTGTAGACTCACGCCGTGACTTAGCATATTCGTCATTTTGTAACTCGATGGTATATCCTGGTCTGGATTAGACAATGTTTCATTTCTAGAGCTGGGGCCTGGTAGTGCACCACCGACGTTCACCTTACGTGGAAGATGTGCACGCGGAGGCATCTTTGCTATAAAGAAAAGCGCTCAATTATGCAGCTGCTGTAGTTGACGTTATCTCCGTCATAAAGTTCTGTCCCGGGCCATGTGGCTGGTGGGAAGTCCAGGATCATTTAGTGTCGGTTCTCTGATGTAGGTCTTTCGTGTCGTGTTTCCGCGACGGAAAAGTCAGGCTAGCCAGAGACTCGGTGTGACGATTTGGAGCTGGTGGTAATTCGACTAACTTTGCGGCTTGTACCTGCGGCATAGAACCCAGGATCGGACGCGCTTGAGTGATGTGATCTGATCTGAGCCTTGCAGCTTTAGAAAAGTCCGCAATACGTTGGGGATAGACACACAGCCCATGTTTCCGGTAGTCCATGGTCCCTCCTCCCAAACATCTCCCCGTCTATAAACCCAACTAAACTTTGCTCAACGCCATACCAACGATAACGCCTCCCACCACCTCATAACTCACACCTCATTCAGCAGCTCAGTTCTCAAACTCACGGCGCACCCGCACCCTCCACCTCCTTTCCCCTTTCCTTTCCCTTCCCCCCACCCCCTCCACCCCCACCGCAGAGTCAAACCTCCCCCCCCTCAACAACCCCTCCATACTCCCCTCTGCCCCTCCGCCATCTTCACCAACATCGCCCTCTTCCCCAGCGTGCCCTGCCGAAGCCTTACAAGCGCGTCCGTCGCATGCCCATACGCCTCGAGGTTCTCAGCTTCGAACACCGCGACGGAAAGAGAGTACGGGACGGACACGGCTCGGGAGTATTCCGCTGGCGTGGGGCAGCGAGCGGGGAAAGGCGGAGGGGATGGGGAGGTCGTGGTGCCAGGCTGCTTCCCAGGGGTGTGTAGGGGTCTGCGGTTTCGTGGTGGGCGTACCGCTGAGTGCTTTTGAGCTTTCGAGGATGTTTGAGGGGGTGGGGAGCGGTGCTGCGGCGGATGGATGCTGAGGAGGGGGGCTCCGTTGTGTCGTGCCATATCTTCTTGTGGAATTCTGGGTTTGTCCTCCATTCGATTGCTGGGCCATCGGTGTCCTGCACGGAAGGGTCATGGTTGTATTATCCACGCCCTGCTTGAGCGACTCCCTCCTCCCTGCCACACCACGACAGTCCACATCCTTAATTCTCACCCTCTTCATCTCCACCCTCTCCGCTGTCTCCGTGGAAAACACCTGCACGCTCGACGCGCTCCTCACAGACTCCAGTGCCATCTCATGCCTGTCTTTCTGCGCGGTCTGCGCCCCCACAGTCTTCATGCTGGACAGTCTTCCGTCAGGCATCCGGATAGGACTGCTCTCACGCGGCGGTGACAAGGTCCCCCGTCTTGTTCGCCAGGCATCTAGACGCGGCAATTCCTTTTCAGTCTCCTCCCACGAGTAACCCCCAGCTCTCTCCCTAAAGATCCTCGCCCACGCCTGCGTAGCCGCGACGTCAGACGCAAAGTCGAGCCGCTCCGCGCACGCTACCCAGATAGCTTGCTCGTCGACATCGTCTCCCAACGGAGACTTTTCAGGCTTTCCATCCTTGTAATCTCGAACGCCTCTTAACAGCGGCGCGAGCGGCTCCACAGCGCCATACCCCGGTGTGTCAGGCAGCGACGAGCGTACGGCCTTATCTCTCACTCTCCGCGGTGGGAAGGTGTTGAACTTTGGTGCTGGGAAGCCGGGCTTTGTCTTGGGCGTTGCAGTGGGAACGGATGTAGTAGGCGTCCTCGGCGGAAGTTCCTCCAGGCTTGACCGCGGTGCCTTGACGCCTGACGCCTGGGGTGAAGAACAAGGTGAGCAGCTCCCATAGAAGCCCTTCTCGGGGTCCCCGACAGTACTCAAGCTCTCCTTCCTCGTCGCCCGTAACACACGTCCTACACGTGAGTGCCTCATACTAGCTGTGCCGTCGGGCCCTTGATTTCCTGACCTCGCGGCATCGAAAGGCCACGGCACGCTCCCAAGTTCAGGAGCATGCTTCGATGAGCGTCGAAGTGGGAACCTTAACTCCCCTTCTCCCACTCTTTCCTCCTCCACTGACGGTCGGGGCGCAAAAGCCCCCGCCATAATCTCAGCAGGAATCCCACTCCTCGTCCTGACCGACTCAGCTCGGGACTCTGCTCGAGCCTCTGCTCGTCTCGAAGGCAATCTCGCATCCGCAGACCTACTCCTCTGCTCCTCCCTTTTCTCCTCCCCATTGACACGTCCTCGAAGCATCGCCCGCTTGAAGTACCGTTCAAACACCATATACCTGAAGCTCTTGAAGAAGCTGTGCGGGCTTGTCGTGGGGATGGACGGGGTTGGTAGATCTGCTGGGACGTCATTTCTGCTGGCGTTGCTCACCGACGCTTCGCTGAGGTATTGCACTTCGCTCCGATGTCGTCGTGTCGGCTGTGTAGGAAACAAACCCGGTCTCCCGTTCGACGGCCCAGACACAGGTACACCTGTAATTGAGACTCGTCCGCCTGTAGCCGCGTCCTCCGCACCTCCATCGCGATCTTTCCGCTTCGACAGACGCTCTTTTACGGGCTCCCGTCTCCCACGCTGCACCGCCGGTGGCGTCTCACACAGTTCACTCCCACCTCTCCACCGTCCCACGCGCATAATCTTCCCCTCCACTTCCCCAAGCCACCTCCTCCTCTCAAGACTACTCCTCTTCCGAGTCCCAACACCCATTGCCTTTTCCCTCTCTGTCGCCCGGTTACGTTCACTGCCACCGCCCCCATTTCCCGTCCCATATCCCTCTCTCCCATCCCCATCCCGTTCCGTTCCTCTACCTCCCCCTCCTCTTCAGTCAAAACCCCAAACTCCTTACCACACCCCCACCACTACCCTACACTCCTTATACCTCTCCCCCACACTTACCCCCCTCGCGCGACGACAAACAGCCTCCCTGTGCCGCTGCCTAATGTGCAGACTAGCTGGTTTACGCGAGGCGAGAAGGAGGGCTATCTCCTGGCGCAAGCGTTCTTCTTGTAATCTTTTTTCGTGAAGTTGTAGTGCCTGTTGTTGTAGTGCCTGTTGTTGTAGTTGTAGTTCCTTATCACTAACGGTGGCGAAGTGGCCCACAGTCTGGGAGGTGAGAAGGGGCGGGGTATGCAGATGAGCTTGAGCTTGGGACGGTGATGGTAATGGTGGTGATGTATCTGACATGGCACTCGCGGGCGGGCTGAGAGACGCCCCGTAGAAATGGGATGATGTCTGTATTGTTGAGACGTTTGGGAAGTTCTCTTCCAAGGTAAGCGGGACAGCTGTCTTGCGCGGGTGTATTAGCATATTGTGGGTGAGTCTACAGCCGTGGTTCACCACGGTTTTGTTGGGCCTCGCGACTAAGAAGTGCAAACGGGCATCATCACATTGCACCAGTGGGCCCCGCTACTGGCTACACATGCACCGCTCGATTCGGATTGGACGATTTGATATGGTCAAAGCTAGATTTGAGTCTAGGAATTCCCTGTCTGCGCCACAGGAGGCAGGTGCAATGCTTCCCTCAGCACAGCTTCGGCGGTAGCAGGCTCCACCGTTCCCTCAGCACTACGCGCCATCATCTGCCCCACGAACCACTTGATCTTGCCAAGCTGCTGCTTCTTCACAATGTCGTTCGCCATGTCTGCCTTCTCTTCCACCAAGCTCTGTGCAAGGTCAAGATACTCGTCGTGCGTCAGAGGTCGCAAAACCAAATCTTCGTCGGTGATGATCTGCTCCACAGAACGGGCATCGCCTTCGAATTTTATCAAGAGAAGCCGTTTCGCAGTGGACCCGGTGATTTGCTTGCGCAGTGTATGGGCGACGATGGACGCAAGCTGGTCGGCGGATACCTTGGTTGCGGACCACTCTTCGTTCTTGAAGAGGGCTCCAAGCTCCATGAGAACCCTGTAGAGCGACATTAGTAAGACATGTAAGGGGCTGTTGAGGTTAGGCTCACCAATTCCCAGCGACCTTGCCCAGTCGGGCTAGCACTTCTGGTTGCCCAGAGAAGGTGTTTCGTAGGTGTTCAACAACATCAAAATAGAAGTCCAACCTGTCACCGTCGTCGAGGAGAATAAGCGTATTGGCATCTTTGGCTGTCAATCCATAGGTAGTACCGTCGACCAGAGTGCTGACTGTCTCATCCGAGAGGGCGGGCAACGTCTGTCGCAAGTGGTCGACGAGATCCTGTCCAACGAAAACCGGCGCAATGTCAGGATCCGGCATGTATCGATAGTCAATCTCGCCTTCTTTGCCTCGCAACCGCCTCGTTGTCTTGCTGCCCAGTGTCCATCCTCGCGTCTCGCCCTCCACAACGCCGCCGTTCTCGATGAGGTCGATTTGGCGGTCGCGCTCTGCAATAATGGCGTCTTCTATGGCCTTCACACTGGCCAAGTTTTTGATCTCTGTTCGCTGCCCTAATTGACCCACTCCATGGTATGAGTGTGTGTTGTTTGACGGGTCCCTATCTTTCTCTTTGACCGAGACATTGACATCGGCACGCAGTCCGCCCATCTCCATGCCGGCTGTGACAGCGTTCACTGCCCTCAGGATTGTCTGTATCTTTCGCACGAATACCGCCGCGGTAACAGGATTATGAAGTTGTGGAAGGGAGATGATCTCGATCAGGGGGTGCGACACGCGATTGAAATCGAGGAGGTGGGTCGACGGCGGTTGTTGAACGGTTTTGGCGGTATCTTGCTCCATCTGAACTTGTTTGATACCAATTGTGACAGGCCCATCTTCTGGAGAGGCGCCGGCGGGGAAATCGTGAGGATAGAGGGTAATATGACCATCTTTGGCGAATGGTTCTGTAATCTGTTAGGCTAAAGATGTCGCATGCAAAGTCAAAAGGCTCACCATAGTATTGTGTAATCTGATAACCTGAAGGCTGATCTTGGTAGAAGTAGTGCTTCCGGTCGAAGCTGCTTCTATGCTGAATCTCACAGTTGAGCGCTAGAGCTGCGCGCAAAGCTGGCAGCAGTGTTTCCTTCTGGAAGTGTGGCTGGGTGCCAGGGAATGCGGTATCGAATAGTGCTACATGCGTATTTGGTGTGGCGTTGGCAGATGTTGCAGCTCCGGAGAAGAGTTTCCTGGCAGTGTTAAGCTCAGCGTGGATCTCAATGCCGACCGTAAGCTCCCATTTCTCCAGCCGGGGATCCTGAGCTTTAGAAGAATTCCTCGATGATCCTGAAGCCGCGCGATTGTCTTTCTTCTTCTTTTTGGCGGCGTCTTTGAGCGCTTTACGAAAAGGCGCATCATCAGTCGGTGGTTGTGTGGTGGCTGTCTGGATTGACCTCGCCCTGGGAATCCGATTGTGAGCCAATGGCAGGCTTCTTGCGCGGCGCAAACATGACTGGCAGATGTACGAATGTTTTTTAAGCAACACAAGAACCCCACGAGGATTTCTGGCGAGCATTGTATGAAGCTTGCGGTCGGCAGGTACAGAGAGATCGACATTCGCGCGCCGCGTCCGTGCGCTTTCCGTTTCGCCCGGAACCAGTTCCGACGTCCAACATTCTTCGGTCCCTGTGCCATGACACTCGCGAAATTGTCGCGTGGCTTTGTCAGGCTTTGAGACGCCGTATAATCCTGCGGATCTTCGCCTTGAAGCGTAGGATGAGTGTGATCTTTCTCTGCCCCAGACGATGTGTCGTTGGCGTAGCGCTGCATCCTGAGCTTGAACTTGGCCGTAAACCCCTAAAGGCGCCGGTGTAGTCTTTCTCAGATGATGAATCAAGCTGTTCATCATCGAGCCACGAGGCGCGAGTCGAGACAAAGGTAGGAGCGTGGACGTAAATTGGCGCATTGACCGAGATGTTGTAGTACGTCGGCTGGAAAGGGATCCCTCTTCCTCCACCAGCATTATAGAAGTTTACCATTCGAGGGTTGCGGCGCCTCGTTGTCCGGTTGTTTGCACAGACGTTTACGGACGAGAGTCCACAGCTTCCTGAACCTGTCCCTATATCTCTCCCAAGCGTCCTGGTCCCCAATCCTTTTCTGCTGGCCTACGGGAGAGACGAAGGTTCCAGGGACAACGTATGTGCCGGGCCAGTGACTGAAGTCAGGCTCTGGGCGTTGCGAGCTGGCCGTCGACGAGCGTCTGCTTGCTCTTCTGCTCGACATCCGGTCCCGTATTCGTGGACGTTGCGTCCAGGCAACGACTTCGCTCTTCGTTCGAGTGACTACTTATCCTGTGAAACCCTGGCTGTACTCCGTCGAGGTCCTTTCAGATGGCCCTCGCTTCGACAGGTACCTTTCTCAGCCTGGCCTTGACAAAGAAGATCGCGACCTTCGCCTTTGCTTTGTTCTTGCCGTGCTTCAACTTCTGCTTCCTCTTGTGCCAACGCAATGGATCTTTGGGACGTGTCGAACGGGAAGATGTAGTAAACACACCGGTCGCACCACCGTCACCACCGTGACCAATGCCAGCAGATCCGCAGTCGCCTGCAGATCCACAATCCCCACCTCCTGCACAACCGCCGTCAGTCATGCACACCCAAGCGTCTGCACTTGAATCGATCGATTCACTGAGATTGAGAAACCACAGAAGTAGTCTGATGGGAGAAACAGTAACAATTGAATAGACAATAAGACTGTCGTTTAGCAAATGGCCGAACGGAGAATGGTGTACGTAGGTAGGAGATGAAGGCGAAAGCGGGAGGTTACGTGTTTGTCTGGCAGGGTAGAGGGACGTTTCGGGACGCAGACCCGTATCGCGACGTGGGCAGTGACGTTGAGAGAGGAATGGGTGGCAGGTGCAAACATGTGGGAGAAGGAGCCACTGAAGGACGATTGTTGCACACACCCAATATGTAGTAGCACTGAGGCATGCGGAGGAGATAAACTTCATACTGCGGAGGCCGAGCTGTTAGCACTTGTGTTGTTCTTGACATTTTGGAATGCTCAAGGGACGACGGATTTGGAGACATGATGTCAATTGCTGTTGCATTTTTACACAAATCCCCGCCAAAATGTCTGCTCTAGAAACGGAGCAAGCTCACGAATCGAATCCCCACCCCTCCATGCACACGCTCATAAATGCTCGGTATGCGTAACTATAACACAAGAAAAACGGGTATTGTTTGTTGAAGAAGACATAGATGACAAAGGAATGTAAGAACTTGGACAGCCCTTAGAAAGTGTTATGCCTTGTAAGTCGGGTGGTGTCCGAGGAAGAATCTTCTTTTAAATGATATGATATGATATAGTTTGCTGCGTCCGTAAAGTCGTTGTTCGAATCGGGTCGGTGCCCGTATCTTCGTCCATGGTGTGTCTGTGCCGCCAAGGGCCCGAGACAATGCCGTGTCCCGCAGTGCATGTGGCATAGTCGTACCAGGCACGCACGCGTGTGTTGTATGTCGTTGGTGTAACATTAGGAGCCGGTTCTATTGGCTCGTCTTGCGTGCCCACGCGCTCTTCGCCCTCGCGTTGAAGCCTCCCCACGAGCGGCGTTTCCCTCCCTCATGTCCCCTCCGGTAGCTCAATGTGAGGAGCACTCTATGCACGGCCAGTGGCAGAGCGACCGAACTCCTTCATGCGGACAGAGGGGATCTTGGATAGGCGTCGGTTGGCGGTAGCCGTCGAGCTTGTGGAGGAAGTAGGCGACGAGGCGCTGATGTACTCGCCATCGACGTACTGGGCATCGCTGATAAAAGTGGTACGCTTCTCGCGGCGGGTGTAGCGCTGCTCGAGGCGGTAGAGCTCAAGTCCTGGTCGCGGTTAGCTATCGCGTCACCTCAAGCACCGGGTCGCGTGCGCCGGAGCGCGGCGGTAAACATACTCGCTTGAAGCTTGTCGAAGAAACCCATTTCGTATTATGTTATGTAGAGAACGTGGGCGTTTGAAGTCGATTGTAGGAGGTCTGAACGGGCTGCAGTCGTATATGCTACGCGGCTTGCAGGGAGCTGGGGAAAATCAAGATCTGACGCAGTGACAGTATCGGCTGCAAGGTTCCCGGACGATCTCCAGACGATGGGCTCTATTTCTGGCAGGGCGACAACACTGGGCAACGTGGACGACGCGACGACGGTAGAGAATGAATGTGGAGTGTAAAGCGGTCGCGGAAAGCAGAGGGGCAGGAACGATCGGAGGATAAGGGCTGGATAGCGAAGAGCATGCAGCAGCGCAGCAGGCTTAAGCAGGGGTAGATTGGTCTGGACGGTTGGGATTCGTGCATGCCACGCCATTTCTCGCCGGCGCAAGCCTTCTCGAATCGCTGGAACGCCGCTTGCCTGGATCCAGCCCTACTGCCGGCTCCACGCTCGCAAACGCGCCATTTGTGCCCCAGCTCCGTTTGTGACAGCTGCCGGCCGCACCGCCGACGTGAGACGCTTCTGCCGAGATGCCTCAATGGGCAGGTGGACATGCACAACCATCACTTTTCTTCCATCGCCAACACCTCCCTCCTGCACATCGGGCGTGGCGACGCTGTACCTGCCGTTCATCAACATGCGGCGCCCCGCCCGAGTCAGTTGCCACGTTATGAGCAACCTCTAGCCGCATCCGAGCACCCAGAACGTGCCGCTGCTCGGCACAGACGCTTGCTCCAGGGGTGCATTGACGTCCTGACATCAAAAAATGGCCCTACAGGCCCGCTGCCGAGGATTGGAGGATAAACAGGGCTCCCGTCAATGCGCATCACGAAACGCCACTACGCTATGCGAACGACAAGCTGGGAACATGTTGCATTTTAGGGTATTCTATAATTATGTGGCTGGCATGGCAGTCTCTCCCCGCAGCCTCGTTTGGCTTCCTTAGCCGTGCCGGTTAGAACCGTTGTGTGCTCGTGCTTCTATGTACTATGCCGCTCAGACGCCGTGACTGATGCTTCGAACGTGGTGGCATAGGCTCTATCCATGCTCATGGTTTGGTGAAGGGAAAAATGCAAATGCTGTGTCCTCAGATCCTGGATTCGGGCACCGCACCGTCGACTACAGCAATGGCACCGACGTTGCCTGCATCTGCCGACCCGTTAAGTAGGGAGATGCAAGAGATGACGTCGGACGGTTCGAGGAGATGCCAGCTTGCCAGTGTCTGTTTGGAGCTGGCCCCAACAGTGACAGAGAAGACGTGGTCTACAGGCAGCTCTGACGACCGCAACGATCGGAACATATCTGCAATGGTTAGGAAACTATGACAGCGAGAGTAACAAGTCAACTCACCTTCGTCTGTGAAGTCGTCCCCAAGACAGAGCACAAACTCAGGAGGCTCTGCGCCGTACGCTTCCACGAGCCTCTTCGCGATTTCGCCTTTGTTGACGAACCGTGGGCGGACCTCCAGGTTTGCTTTACCCGTCATCACCTCCACATCGTACTTCTTGCCAACGGTGTTTTCGAGGTGCTTTTGGCACTCGCGCGCCTGGAAAGCACCCCACTCTGGATCTGCGAGCCGGTAGTGCCAGGTAAGAGCGATCTTCTTAGTCTCAACGAAGGACCCTATGAAATGTTAGACGCGAATGCTACCAAATAACGGGTTACTTACCTGGGGTCTTGTCCGCGTAGTGCTGGAAGACCTCAGCCACCTCCGACCGCCAGCTCATGTCTGTCTTTTCAGTGAGGTTTTCCCAGTCATTCGAACCTGGATGGCGCATGAAGCTACCGTGCTCGGCGCTCAGTCCAAGCTCGGTGATGTGTCCCATCCATTCATCGAGGAAGGCTTGATCTCTACCGCTGATAATCCAGACACTGTTCGCAGGATCCGCAGCAAGCGTCTTAAGCGTACGGGTCACGCGATCGGAAGGTATCGCCGCTCCCGGGTCTTTGACAATGGGAGTTAAAGTTCCATCGTAATCGAACATGAAGAGCCGCTTCTTAGAATCGCGGTACTGTTGCAGCAGCTTTGCTCTGTCAAGGGCCGGCGTCGCAAATGATTGATCGAATGAGGACAAGTTGGTCATCAGCCTCTTCAAGAAATTGTTGCACCATGACTGAACGTTATTCGAAATCACGTATTCGTACAATTTCTCGAAGTCCTTCTCGCGTTGCTCCTGCGACATCGTCAATGCATTGTTGATCGCCTCCGCAACACCGTTGAAGTCCCAAGGGTTGATGTGAATTGCACCGCCGAGTGAGCCAGCGGTTCCAGAAAATTCGGAGAGAATCAACGGGCCGCAGTTGTCCTTTTTGGGAGATAACATATTCGAGACTGGTGGTGTTCATGCCATCGCGGACGCTAGTGATCAAACCAACGTCGGCGAGTCGAAGTAGAGCAAAGTACTCTTCCCGCTCCAAATATTGAGGGAAGTGCCTCACTGGTGTAAAGCTAAGCGAACCATAGACCCCGTTGATCTTAGCTACGAGGTCCGAGAGTTTGTTCATCATCTTTTCGTCATCGTTGGCTTTCTTATCAGCTTGGATGCTGCTGGGACTCGTTACTTGGACAAGAACAACCTTATCGCGCCATGCTGGATACCGCTCGAGGAACAGTTCAAACGCTTGTAGCTTCTGCAGCACGCCCCGAGCTGCATCGAGCCTATCACGTCCGATAATGATCTTCTGGTCCGGGTACATGGCTTTGATGGCCTTGATTTTCTCCTCGATAACTGGATCCCCAAAGGCTTGCTTTTGTGTGGAGGCTGCATTGATACCAATAGGGAAGACATCTACTGCAACGTGAGCTCCGTACGCATCGACACCAGCTGAGGAAGAGTCGAAGCCAAGGATACGCGTGCAGCACGACGAAAAGTGCCGCGAGTAGCTGTACGACTGAAATCCGATCATGTTGGCTCCCAAGACGCCTTCGAGAATCTCCTTTCTCCGACTCAGGCAACGGTAGAACTCGCTACTGGGAAACGGTACGTGAAGGAAGAAACCGACGTAGATATTGGGGAGGCGTTGGCGAAGAAGGCTGGGAAGCAGGAATAGGTAGAAGTCGTGAACGATGATAATGTCGCCTGGTTTATAGAGCTCCAAGATCCGGTCTGCGAAAAGCTTGTTCATGCGGTAATAGTCAGCCCATGACTTGCGAGCGGCTCTGCCATCGGCTGGCTCGTTTTGCTTGTAGTGGCACAGGGTGTACAACTCGTGTTCAGCATATGTGCGCCACCGGCCCTGATCTTTCAGAATGACTTCATCGGTCTTCTCGTCCCATTCGTCAGGCAGCCAAACGGGCACAATCTTGCCTCCGTGATCGCGCTCCAGCTGCTTCTCCAGACGTCCTCGGTCTTCGCGACCGATTCGCAAGCCCTGCTCTTGTGGGGGAGCCGGCGGAGGTGCGCCATCGATTGGTACTGGAGCAGCAGCCTTGTTGCCTGATGGTAGAAGTGCAGCATCCGCCTCCTCAGTGGTCTTCTTGCGCATCTCACCAGTCCACCCCACCAGAGTATGGTTCCATGGAGACGAAGATGATGCGAGGTAAGAGAACGAGTCGAAGAGCGCAGACGTGCCACGTCGAGGTAGTAAGTCAAAATCCTGACCTGGGGCGTAGGCAATATTGTACGGCACAGCGAATGTTGCGCTGATGATACGTCCGCTGAGATTTAGCTCAGGGTGGGCAGCGCGAGGGTCGACATCGGCCAGGTCTTGCTTGTACGATGTGGATGGGTCTTGCACCCCGCTGAGCCTTCGCAGCAATTCCTCTCCAGATTTCGCGCCGGCTGCGGCCTCGGTCGGAGAAGATGCCCGGTCCTCTTGCTTTGGAGCAAAGTAGGAATTGGCGCTCCAGGACGGGCCAGGTGTGACATTGTCTGGGTCAAAGGGCAGTTTGTTGTCCTGCTGACCACTCGTAGGGTTTGTGTAGGCGGAGTGGCCGGACAAGTGCACACCAGGTGTTACAGGAACATCGGTGATAGCGGGTTGGAGCGCGGGGTGCGACTTGTGGGAGGACTCGTCGACTGGCTCGGGCTCTCCGTGTGCTGGTCGCGTAGGAGCCATGTTCTACGCAAGCGTCGATGTCAGGCGCTGCGTGCCAGGTCAGTGACCGCAATGGTAGATTCGCGGGGCGGTATCGCGATGGCCAGGAGATCGCATGAGGCGCGAAGTAAACAGATGGCAGCAGGGCAGAGTTTGCAAAACTGTGCCTCAATCGTAGCAAGCTTACCTGGGAGGTGGCGCCTTTGTAATGGCAGGAAGTGAAGGAGAGGCGGCCGAACCGTGCCTGGTGTTCAATGGGCGTGGTGGGGTGTTTGGAACAACAGCGCGGGACAGGCACTTGAAGCAGGCCAGGGCGTGCTTTAACAGTACGTCAGTCGAGCGTCGCGGAGCTTGGGCCAGGGTTAAGAGTGCTTTATTAAATGTGCACGCTGCCTACATGACCCACTATTGCACGGCGACGGCTGCACGTTCTCGAGGACTTTTTCGTGAGGTTATGTCCTGATGACGTAGTTGGCCCTGCCCGCGCTCAGGTACCTTGGGAAAAGCGATAGGCCTAGGCCCGGACATATTATGGTGATCTGCCTTTCCTCTGCGACAACCATCGCAGTGAGTTGCGACAGGCGACACTACAGCAAGTGATAGAAGGACAAAATGCGTCTACAAACGGGCACCTGGAGCTTCTTTCACAAGCCTGCTGTGAAGCTTCAAACAGCGGGCTACGCGGGGCTTGACCAGGCTTACTGCCGGATGCTTGTAAGGCGTCGAGATGTTTCTCTTGATGTCCACAGGGCCAACATCAGGCCATCCGAGGAACAGGAACAGGCAGATGCTGCCCGCGGCCATACAAGAACGCGCCCGCACCGCGTCTTAGCCTACCCGAAGCGGTGTAGCGTCTTGGCTGCACGGTGAGTGCCGCGACATCGCAATTGTGAACATGCATCGTGAGATACCACGACCGCAACCAATTGGCCTATGACCCTGCCCGCCATCCTCGCAGCGGGATGCCCATGAAGCTCCATCACGCGCGGCCGATTTGCCGCGCTCCGAATTGCTTCTCTCCCTCGGTCCTTCTGTACCAGTATTTTATCTCCCCATACAATGCCGCCCACCAGCAGCGCTTTTCTTCGTCTGCGCCCTCACCCGAAGCAGCTGAGGATGGGCCGTCCAACAGGTCCTCGGAAAGCCCGGATCATACAGTGGCAACCATAGCGGCTCAAGCGATACCTAGTTCCCCTGCACAAACGAAGATCCGATTCCACGACAACAAGGAAATTCTAAGACGTAAGACGCCGCGGGAGTTGGTGGACGCTGCGGGAACGAAGGCAAAGCCCCCGAACCTGGTGAAGAAGGGCGCCCGTCCGTTGAACGCCTACAACTCCGAAAAAAATGTCGAGCAGCTGCTGCTGAAGGCCAAACTTGCTGTCGATGATGGTGAAGAGTACAGAGGGGAACTTGTAAAACCCTTTGCATCGCCTGTATTCATTCCGGAGCAAATGTTCCCCTGGTCTGCGAAATCTTCGCAGTCAAATTTAGACGCCATGTCCAGGTATGGAATCACTGTGTCACTAAAGAGCTTTGCTGATGGCGGTGCTTACAGGCTCAATCGGGAGATTAACGACTTCTACGAGTACGCGAAACCTAGTCGAGCAGAATTGTTTGCGCGGAAAAACGTCGTTGAGCAGATTCGCGCCGATGTGCGCCAGCGCCTACCGCACCACATCCTCGAAGTGTTTGGTTCCGAGCGAACAGGGTTGGCGCTCGCACTTTCCGACATTGATCTTCGACTCGTCAACCGCAGAGACTTGCATCAAAAATCGGACAAGCCACCGACACCTGAGCAGCGGAAGAGTCTGTTGAAGGACTTATACAATCTCCGCTACAGGGTTTTTGGTGACAGAAGCCGTAAATATATCATGCCGGTGCTGCGGCACTCCCGGTATCCCTTGATCAGTTTGCTGGATCGTGGTTCGGGTCTCGACGTACAGATCGTGTCGTCCAACAGTACGACTAGGCAGAGAGAATTCATACAGCGATACATGAATGAATACCCCTACCTTCGACAAACATATGCGGTAATCAAGACCATGTTCGACCAACGCGGGTTTTCAGACGTCTTCCGAGGAGGTTTTGGATCATACCCTCTCTTCATGATGATAGTCGCAAGCCTGCAGAACGAAGCAAACCAGCGGAGAGATGCCGCTGGCGCTCTTGTGAACTTCCTGTACTTCTGGGCGAACTTCAAGACCCACGAGCACGGAGTCTCGATTGCTCCCCCCGAGTACTTCGACAAGAAAGAGAATCCAATTCTCACCGACACCTTGAAGTCGAAGCTGAGCGTATGTCTATTTTGCTTATCTTAGACCTAATAACACATGCTAAAAAAACCTTTAGTCTCGAGCCTCGAAGCGTAAACCAGACTACATACTCACCCTGCGCGACCCCGCCGACGAAACGAACGACTTGGGCTACAAAGGCTCGGTCATCCTACATCTCCAATACACCCTCCGTCACCTCACAGCCCGCATGATCACGAACCTCAACGCAAACAACAGACCTAGCCTTTTGGCCCCGCTAGTAGGCGAAGTGTACGGCCGGGACCGCCATCGACGCGAACACCTCGCCGCACACGGCTCCCGGATACAGCAGCAGGTCGAGAAGTCTCTTGCCGCAGCCGCAGCCGCAAGGAACACCCACACGGAAAAGCACGATGCAACGTCCACGCAACAGACGGCACAGGAAGACCCCACGGCGCAGCTAGAAACCGACGTCCACGGCTTCCTAGCCGACAACACAGACTCTCCAACCGACCCCCCTCACTCCCAGCAGCAAGACCGCATCCCCATTGGATCCAAAGTCTCCATCGCATACAAACAAACCAACCAACGTGGAATGTTCTTCACCGCCCCCAACGGGACGCCTGCCAAAGATGTCACGCCTGCACATTCTCCGGCCGACGTGCAGGCGCAAGTCGAAGATGTACACGAGACCAGGACGCATGGTGCGCAGCAGGAGACAGGCCGGTTGCCGAAGGTGGACACTTAGGGCTGCGGGGATGGGTAGCGTGGGCGCGAGGATGTGATGGGAAATGTAAGATAGGAGAGGAGGGTATCTAGAACTGGGGGCATATGTATTGTTGGGTAGACGGACAAAGGGCTAGACGCCTGCACAGCGTTCGTGGCATTTAAGCGGACGAGTCTATGTAGGATATCACATGTCCGGCCGTGCAGCTCCGTGACGAGAGAAATGGATCGAGTTCCATAATCTAGGAGACCCGTGAAATCATAGACGACATGGCTTACCTATCGGTCCACTCTGCGAAGTTCAATACTGCCCGATAGCGAACACACATGCAGTTGTTCCAGTGCCTGCCTCCTCCAGACCATACAAGTTCACTACATCACATTCACAGGGGCCAGCAGAAAAAACGTATGGTCTAGTCATGCGATTCCGATCCCTCACGCCTATAAACAAAACCCACGTATGCATCATGGGAAAGTAGTAACAAAGGAACACCTATTGAGTGAACAATGAAAGACCGCCGACCGTGCTCAGAAGGCAGTCGCATGGAAGCTCCCGTCCTGTGTCCGCCATGTCCGTGCATCCTCTCGATCCCTTCTCGCAGCCGTGCCGTCTCGCATCGTGAACCGTGATATATCCGTCAGCACCATCCCTAGATCGCATACTTCCGGGTCCACTCCCTGGCCGTCGACTCGTAGCGCGACCGGTCGGTCTTGTACACGTGTGCGATCTCGGGGACGAGCGGGTCGTCGGGGTTGGGGTCTGTCAGCATGGAGCAGATGCTCAGTAGGACTGGGTAAGGTTAGCATATCAGTCAAAATGCCATATTGCCTGTAGGCGGAGAGAAACAGCGTCCTAAGGCGAAGGTAATGGTGTCGACGTACCCTTGCTGATGGTCAAGGCTGGACTCCACTGGTCTCGCAGAATATCCAAGCAGATGCTGCCGTTTGAGTTGATGTTGGGGTGGTAGATCCGGGTGGTGAAGTTGACCTTCGGAGGCTTGAAGGGGTAGTCGGTGGGGAAGTGGATCGCGAGGAAGAAGACGCCGCCTGAGTACGGTGAGTCGCTCTGTTGCGCGTGTTAGCGTCATCATCACCTGGTGACGGGTTGTGGCGGGGCCTAGCAAGTAGCGAGCCGCGAGAGTTGTCTGAGTGTACGTACAGGACCCATGATGGTTGCTTGCCAGTGGAACTATAGCCTCGTTAGTCGATGTTCTTCTTTGCGTCGTGGTCTCGTTGCGGCGAGGACAGCGACGCCGCCGCCTCAGCCGCAGGTTCATGAGGGTGTGACGTACCAGGTCATCTCCGATGGGACCGGCGCTGCATGACGAGGGAGGGTCACTGTAGTCTCAGTTAGTTCAGCGTCTGGATCGCAGCATCGCAGGGCTGCTGCAGATGTATACAGAGACTCGGTCGCCCCGCACTGCGGGCTGTCATGCGAGCAAACAGGCGGGCAGGACGGCGGGGAGGGCGGGCAGCACGTACCGGCCCAAGTCAGTGAGCTCCTTGTTGATACGTTTAAGGGCCATGGCTATGTGTGTGGTGTACGGGTACGGGTGGTGGTATTATTCGTGAAGTCAGAGAGTGTTGGTGGTTGTTTGAAGAAGAGAAGTGGGCTGCAAGAGAGTTAGCGCTTGATCCCGGACCCAAGCCTGTGCCACGAGCGTATCAGCGGAAGGCACCCGCCCCCGCTACTGAACGTACCTGTGAGTCTCTCTTACGTTGCTGGCTGGAAGGCAGGACGTGTGGCTGAAAGGTGCTCAACGATGAACAGGGCAGTAGAGTGTGCGACAAAGACAGCGGCCAGTGTGTTATATCACGTATCTCGAATATGGTTGAGGCGCGGCCGAGACAGGACAAACCAAACCAGCCGTCACAGCCCGCAAATTTATTCACCGACGTCCTGACCGCTGCGCATTGCGGCAAGTGGCGACTCATCGAAGGCGGAAGAAGGTCTAGCGGCCGCTGGAAGGCTGACTTTCACCCTGCGCACGTCTCTTACTAATATATTGGTGATGCTGCTCTGCTTCCACTCACCACCTGACAAACACTGGACATCACGGCTGTTGTAAACGGCTTCAGTCTCACGGAGTTTCGAAACGACTCGCATGCATCATTTCCTATTTCTATCACGCCTCTGCATGCATGACATACGTCCACGACAGCTGCAAGCCAACGCTTGTGGCTACATGTTACGGTACACAACTGAGATTCTGCGGCTGTCATTGACCAGTAAACATAGTACGCGCGGACCACAGTGGCGGCAGCCCCTTCTGATGAAGAGCCACCATACGGTTTCGAAGCACAACTTTAGGCTCTATAAAGTGGGTCACCCTAGGGTAACGATTCCTACATATCACTTTCCCAGTGTCCTTCACTGGCAAGTCCATGAAAGCCAAGTTTAGCAGAATGCTTGGATGCCAGTGATTGCTCTGCCCAGGATTAAGGCTATGACCGGTCAGCATGCGCCCAACATCGCGCAATAGGGTACTCACAGTGGATGTCACTCTGTCCTTCGTACGTCTGGGTCACGAACAGATTCGCCACGTGTCTGCCAATACCATACTCATCGCTCACAGCGTTGCCACCAAACACTTCCTGCAGCCTGAACTTGAGTTAGCCGACTCCTTTCGCCAAAAGCATATGCATGTAAACTTACGCTCGCGCGTTGATAAGTGCTCGGTCGCAGTTCTGGCGCTTAATCATGGAGATCATCTCGGGTGCTGCCTTGCCCTCATCCTTCAATCGTCCAACCTGGTAGGCTGCGAGAATACCGTATGCGGCATCCGTCGTCGCATCCGCCAGCTTCTTCTGCACAAGTTGATACTTTGCAATCGGGTTGCCCTTGAACTGCTTCCGCTCTAAAGAGTACTCTCTTGCTCTTGAGATACAGTCCTCCAGTGCACCGATGGTTCCCCAAGCAATACCATATCTCGCAGAGTTCAAACAGCTAAATGGACCCCTAAGACCTTCTACTTCTGGGAACATGTTGGCTTCGTTCACCGGACATTCGTCCAATTGAATCATTCCAGTGATAGAAGCTCTAAGCCCGTTCTTGTTCTTGATAGGTGGGGTTTCGAGTGTCCCAGGAGGACACTGGTCACGCTCGATCACAAACCCGCGGATCTTGCCCGTGCTCTCCAGCTTCGCCCATACAAGAAGCACATCGGCAATTGGAGAATTGGTGATCCACGTCTTCGACCCAGAAAGAAGATAAACCCCCTTCTTCGACGGATGCGGTTTCGCCACAGTCTCCATGGATCCAGGATCAGAACCGTGGTTCGGTTCCGTCAAGCCGAAGCATCCCAGGAGTTTACCTTTGGCCATCTGTGGGAGGAGCCTCTCTTTGAGCTCCTCAGTTCCAAATTCTTCGATGCCGCCCATGGCGAGCGCGCTTTGCACAGAGTAGCCGGACCGGTACCCTGAGTCGACTCTCTCGACTGCTCGTGTGATCAATCCGGAAGCAACGCTGCTGACGCCTGCACAGCCGTAGCCTTGAATTGTTGCTCCTAGAAGACCTAGTTCGCCCATTTCCGTGAGTATTTGTCTGTCATATTCCTCTTTCCGATAGGCGTCTGCATCGTTGCATTAGTGGTGCTTTGTTTCCCAAGGCGAACACCGAATTACCTAGCACCCTCGGCAACATGCGTTCTTGACAATATGACTCTGCGGTCTCGGCAATGGCGAGTTCCTCTTCTGTATAGTTGTTGGCGACGTTGAGAGGATCCTTCCAGTCAAATGATACAGGTGCGTGTAAGTGGCGCTTTCCTCCAATTGCAGCGCGGTTTATAGAGGCCAATTGCCTTACAGCTTGCCGACAGACTGGTTTAAACATGATGTACACTTGAAAAAAGAAAGGATGCAATGAACAAGCGAGGAATAATATATTGAGTATGTATGAGAGGAAGGATGTCCATATGTAGTTTCGCCCCACCTCGCTCCCGAACATTGCCATGGGCCGCGGCTTCTTTGAGAGCTAACGACGTGTCGGCGAAAGGGAAGCTTTGGCCGACACATACGCCCTAGACGCTTCCGAGTAATGATGAGCCCTACAATTACATCTCAAGTAGGAAAATTGATAGGCATCACGTCTCGTGAATTCTTTGCTATTGACTGCACGTGTACCGACCCCAATCTGAACCCTGGCTGGGGAAATGCTTGTTCAATGCCAAACAATGTAGGGCTGAAAGTGGTTGGCGGGTGATCTCGCGTCGCGCGTCTGGGACGTGACGTCGACGCACCTCGCCCAGCCCTCGCCCACCACAACCGCGTCTCACTCGCAAATAATCCTCTCCACAAATAAAGAGGTGCTGCAATCAATTCCAAGTCTATCCACGCGCAGCAGGAGCCACAATGGGTATCAAACAACTCTACTCAATCATCAGCGAGAATGCCCCCGATGCTGTCAAGACGGGCGAAATCAAGAACCATTTCGGCCGGAAGGTCGCGATAGTAGGTATACAAATGTATGATTCTAGAGCTTTTGCTTACGCGTGCAGGATGCCTCCATGAGCATCTACAGCTTCCTCATTGCCGTGCGCTCCGACGGCCAACAACTCATGAACGAATCCGGCGAAACTACATCCCACCTCATGGGCCTCTTCTACCGCACCCTCCGCATGGTCGACAACGGCATAAAGCCACTCTACGTGTTCGACGGCGCGCCTCCGAAGCTCAAGTCCGGCGAGTTGGCCAAGCGGTTCCAGCGCAAGACGGAGGCACAGGCAGCACAGGAGGAAGCAAAGGAGACGGGTACTGCAGAGGACATCGAGAAGTTTGCGAGACGGACGGTGAGAGTCACTCGGGAGCACAACGAGGAGTGCCGAAGGTTGCTCAAGCTTATGGGCATTCCGTATATCGTGGCGCCGACGGAGGCTGAGGCGCAGTGTGCGGTGCTAGCGAGGGGTGGGAAGGTGTATGCCGCGGCGAGTGAGGACATGGATACTTTGACTTTCAACGCGCCGATCTTACTCCGACATCTCACGTTCAGCGAGCAGCGGAAAGAGCCGATTCTGGAGATCCACCTCGATAAGGTGCTGGAGGGGCTGGACATGAAGCGAGAGCAGGTACGTTCTCTTATCTTCACCCCGCGACGACTATATACTGACTGCCTATATAGTTTGTCGACCTCTGCATCCTCCTCGGCTGCGACTACGTCGACCCCATCAAAGGCGTCGGCCCCTCCACCGCCCTCAAACTCATCCGCGAGCACGGCACCCTCGAAAATGTCTACGAACACATGAAGACCAACTCGAAATACACCATCCCCGAAGACTGGCCCTTCGCCGACGCACGCGCCCTCTTCCTCGAGCCCGACGTCCGCCCCGCAGACGACCCCGAATGCGACTTCAAGTGGGAAGCGCCCGACGTCGAAGGCCTCGTCAAGTTCCTCGTCGAGGAGAAGCACTTCAATGAGGACCGCGTGCGGAGCGGCGCGAGCAAGCTGCAGAAGAATCTTAAGACTGCGCAGCAGAGTCGGTTGGAGGGGTTCTTTAAGCCGATGGAGAAGACGGCGGAGCAGAAGGCGGGGTTGAAGAGGAAGGCGGAGCAGAAGCTGGAGGAGAAGAAGAAGAAGCAGAAGGCGGATGCGAAGGAGAAGAAGGCGGCTAAGTCGAAGGCGAGGGGTGGGGCGTGAGCGGGGCGTGAGCGGGGAGGCATGAAGCAAGGGAAGTTGAGTGCGTTAGCATATGTATGCGATACTGGGCGGAGTAGCCGGAAAAGGTGGTAAGCAAAAGGATGCATGGGCATATGCGGGCATGCATATGGCGAGCAAGGCGTTTCAGCGGCGTTACTATGCATCTTCCTAAGGAATACCTTAGGGGATGCTCATTGGGTATGGTTCAGCGTTGTCCTTCAACTAGCCGACACGATATGGTTGTGCCCTAGGCTTTTCGACACATACCTAATTCTGAAGATACCAATTTCGCACTTTCAATAGTTAAGCCTACTGAACGTCTGTTTTAAGAGCATACTCTTGTTGTTCACGTACATCAAGACAAGAGAATATGAGAGCACGATAGAAAGTGAAATTTTGCTCTAGGTCCCGGCTCGACTGATCAACTGACATTTATTCAAGAAGACTTAATTTCCTTCATTCTCCCGAGGTAGCACTCTGAACGCTGATGACCACAGTGTGCTTTGAGGACTGGTTGATACTCCGCTCAATCTTGTTCGAGGTGGTGCTTCAGGTCCTAGATATTTTGCCATGACTGATGCTGGATGACGATCACGTCGCCAAGACAGGCTCCGACCACTTGCAAAACTGGGAAATTGGTTCACCAGGGTAAAACTCATGAATCAAAACCTCTTCCTGGTAGTGCGTCTTACCAATGTAGTGCCGGACAACGGTATGGCACACCATCCGGCGAGCAGGGTAGCGCCATGCCTCTACGACGGACATCAAGACCCGATCGTTGTAGATAATCTCGTGATATCGCACGTTCATCACAATGATGATTTCCTTCATGGGGTTCTCGTAGTTGGCGAAGGTGTCTAAGAAGTGCTTGAGTCCGACATTCAATAGACGCACACGGGCGTTCCGCTGTTGCACTGGATCTATTAGCGTTCATGTAAAGCAATCGTCGAATAGAAGGCTTACTTGGCAAGAACTCCTTGCGAATCTGGCGACAGACGCGCGTGAGGCCAGCGTAGGTACCAGCTCTGGGAATGTTGTGGAGAGGCTTTTCGTCGTCGCCTGGTGACACCTCAAGGTCACCGCCAGTCTCGTCCTTTAGGCAGGTGGTGTCCCAATCTCCATGATGGATGTCGACCGACTCGTCGTCATCCGCAAGTACAAACTTGTAGATGCGGTTGCGGATCTCTACTCAAGTATCAGTATGTGTCCACAGGCTCGCAATATGGCGTGCTGTATACTGACCTCCCGGAAGCTTCAGGAACGGAGACTCCATTTTGGCGCAGCAGACTTGCTGTTGCCGAGGGCGGACGTCTGTTTGGAAGTTTGGGGAGAGGGTGAGCAGGAAGTAAAAGAGGCAGAATCGGCTTTTTGAGCGTATGAAATTCCGCGCTAGGCGTCACCGCTGTAAGTGAATGCAGGAGCGCTTTCACCTGTGCTTTGACCATTCAGCGAGCTAAGATGTTTGTGCTATAGTCTAGATCTGGAAACAGCAGGCACACACTTTTACTCATCAAAGCCGTAAACAAACATTCAATGTATCCATACGGGCTATGAGCTATGTATCCGATTGCACCTTTCTCAAATTAACGTGCGCATGCCATAGACCTAGCCTTTCGATGCATGCCTAATTCTGAAGGTACCAGGTTCACACCCTCAATAATCAAGCCTACAAGTACCTGTTCCGCGAGTACATCCTCATATTCAGGAGTAATGTTACAGACTAGAAGAAACAGCAGTTCTATAGTGTATCTTAATTGGTCTCTCGCCCTGGTTCGATTCGACGGGATCTCAGCTAGCAATACATGACATTTTCTGGCATCCTTGCGGTCTGGCCCCAAGCACTGACAGTCCACTCTAACGTCCATGGGCTTGTCATGTGGCCTAACGTATGCAAATCGCTGTCCTTATACTGCGCTTCCCGTCGCCCTCCTCAGTCTTGTAAGGGACATAGAAGCCAGCGAGTACCCTTCCAAGAGAAAATCGCAAACCTCGACCCCGAATATCAACGCGCGGGAGCGGCAGAGCGTGGGAACAATCCCTCCTCCATGTTCAGGATTCTCCCCAACCCACATCTAAGAAAGTCCGCTTGCAGCTCGAACGGATAAGTGCGTGCGAACCAATCCAGTAGCTCTTCAAGGTCTACAGTCTCGAAGCTTGTGGCAGGAGAGGAGTTCTGGATCCAGGCATGGAATGTCACTTGGTTGAAGAACTGTGCTTTGGCACGTACGAGCGGCTGGAAGTCGAGGGCGGGGATTTCGGTGTCATTCAAAATGTAGATTCGGACGGTGATGGCTTTGGTCGTGTTGTCGCTGTTGCTGCTTGGTGACGCACTTGCGGGTGTGGAGTCAAGATGGAGGTAATGAAATCTGGTGGCGGTGGAGGAATGGGGACGAACATACGAGTCATACTGGGTCGTTGGGCAGGTCCTGGGGGGTAAATCTTGCCTGGTGTCGAAGAAAGTGGCGATGAAGATGTCGAGCTCAGGAAGGTTGACCGTGACGCGGGCGTTTTGCTGCTGGACTGGAGCACTGTTAGTGGATGTGCGACACAACCTCGACCTCCAGCTCGGGAACTCACTGGGCAAGAATTCTTTGCGAATTTGGCGACAGACGCGCGTAAGACCGGCATAGGTCCCATACCCACATACCTTCGCATCCTTATCCTCACTCTTTAGATGCTTTACCTCGACCGGCCGGCCGTGGCCCGCCGCCACGAACTTGTATATGCGGTTGCGGATCTCTACGTATCGTATCAGCTGGTAGGGAACGATTTGGATATACCGCATAGCAATTCGACCGAGCGCGATATGAACATACCTCCTGGGAGTTCCAAAAGCGGAGAGGCCATCTTGTTATGGCGAGTGTTGTCGATAGCTGTACCTTGCGGTTTCGCGTTCTGGTTCAGGTAATAAAAAGCTCGCAAGAGAATGTAGGTAATAGCCATTGTTTTGATGAAACATGCGCTTCAGGCCAAGGCAGGGGGTGCATGTATACCAGGAGCTCGAGTAGGGGGTAAAAGAGAAAGACAAAAGCCCTGGTCTGTGGGGTTGAAAGTGCGAGCGAGTCGTCGCCACGGCGACCGTGACCAGACTGCTGATTATTTGAACTAGTCGTTTTGAGCCTACGCGTCTGAGTGGTTGATTTTCGTGGTTGAATCTCGAGCGAGAGTCAACGCGGTGATCGAGGAACATGCAAGCTTTATATTGATAGCTTGGCCTGTTGCATCTAGAGTAAGCGTACGCCGCACGGATCCCTCTGAAAGTATCAGGCTCGGGTATTCAGTTACCTTGACGATCTACTGCCAAGGCAAGTATATGCGCCTGTCAAAGGATTCCTGCCCACGATAGTTCGCTTCTTAGGTCAACGAGCCCCCGAACGTTGCCAGCGCAAGTCGACAACTTCGTGGACTTACCGAGGAAGAGTGAAGCAAGGCACGGGATTTATATGAGCATCACGCAGCTACGTCGGGCCACGACGGATTCCGCATCACGCCCCCTGACCAATAGGCTACGTTGGGGAATCTTGAGGATGCGGAGAATGTTCTTCTCAACACGACCGTCAAGCTACCCTCATAACCGACCCAATCCGCATGTATATTTCTTAACCTCAGTAACGCGCCCTTTCCCACCTCCCCTCCTACCCCGCCCACTCAAAAGCAGCCACAAACCTCGGCATCAAATCCCAATCCGTCTCCAGCTCCTCCTCCCTCTCCTTAACCGTAGGTATCCCCACAATCTTCCACCTTACATCCCCCTCATCAAGGCCCTCCAACTCCACACCTTCCCGCTCGTTAAGCTCGCGTGCATTCCCGCCTTCTTCCCTAAGCCGCTCATCACCCCACCTAAGCTGGATCTTGCGAATCCAATGTACGTCTTCGGGACCGAGCTCCAAGCGTACATGAGGCGGGTTCATATTGCGGAAGTCGCTGCGCGCGGCGTCGACGTAGCCTTGCGCGCTTGAGACTGTCTCAAGCCGTACCTCGGGGCGAGTCTTGACTTGGATGCGTAAGATAGCCGTCGTTGGGGCTGTTATGTGCTTGAGCTCTTCGTCTAGGTAGTCTACTGGGCCGCCGTGCTCCAGGAGTAGCGCTATACTGCCGAGCGCTTTAAGGCTGATGGCGATCCACAGCGGAGTTGGGCCAGATGCGTAGCGTCCACTTCCTAGTTGGATATTCATGCTGTGGTTCTCGAGAAGGTATCTCACCATTTCGGTGCGGTTGTTTGCGGCTGCTTTGTACAGAGGTTTGGTACCGGGAGGGAGGCGGTGGGTGTTTGGGTCTGCGGCGTACTTCTCGATCATGAGGCGGGCGCAGTTGAGTGAGCCTGCTTCTACGGCTCGCTCGAATAGGTGCTGGATGTTGAAGTTTTGGCCTAGGGGTAATTTGTCGAGAGACATTGTGTCGTGCTCTTTTACGCCGAGACTTTTGATGAATTCGAACTTTTCGGGCCGGTTGAGACGCATGGCGTTGTAGGCACCGTATACGAATTGTCTTTGTAGTGCTTGAGGTACCTCGAAAGGTAGAATGTTGCCATGCTCGTCCGTCGGGTATTTGTACTTGAGCATCAGCTTTAGGGACTGGAAATCTCCTGCCTCCGCTGCCCAGGACATAGCAACCTCGAGAGTATTCTTCTGCTCGTAGTTGAGAAGATCTGTCGCTATTTTCCCATCCTTATCCTCGGTAGGGTAACCGCCCTCCTCGAGCAACAGCGTCAAAACCTCGAAACTCCCGGCCGCTGCTCTCTTGATAGCTAGAGGTGTCACTAAGACGCCAGTCGATTCGTCCTCTCGGTCCTTCCTCTTTCTGGTAGGTCCAGGAAAGGGATGTTCCAGCAACAGCTTGACTGTTTGAAGGTCTCCAGATCCAGCCGCTACCTCGAGCGCATTCGCGTTTATACAATTGCCCATAAACTGCGTTGCTCTCTCAGTCTTCCCGTTCGCCCTTGCCGTGGAATCTGCGCCTTGTCCGAGCAGGTATGTAATCATACCCGGCTGCGACACAGCAGCAGCCGCAATCAGTGGCGTTCTTCCATATTCATCACGGGATTCGATATCCACGCCACTCTCCAGGAAAATCTTGACACACTCAACATGACTGTTCATGACCGCCGCATGTAACGGCGAGATCGCAGGATCGTCTTTATCCGGTATACTCCCGTCATCATCGACGTCTCCAGCGTCACCATTCTCCTTCTCTTCTTCCAGCGCTTTCTCCACATCCGGCTGAACCCTAATCCCAGAACCAACAAAAAACTGCACAATCGCTTCATCGCCTCGACCGGCTGCAGCGCACAGCATCTCGCGTCTATGCTTCTGCTTCGGGTACTCTTCTAACACTTCTCTAAGCTTCTCGACGCGCTCTTCAGCATCTTCAATCAACCAAATCTTATTCTGCTGCATTGGATCACGACCCAAGTTGTCGATATACTCGGGATCCTCCAGGAAGAATGCATGTATGGCGGGTTCGGGCATGACAGAGATGCGCTGGCCGGGTGGAGCTACCGGTGGCTCTGGCTTGTGTGGCGGTAGGATCTTGACCATCTTTTCACTTTCAAATTACGTCAAGAACAAGATGTAGGAGCGGGTCTTGTCAAAGTTGTAGATGCTTGACGTTTTGAAGTGTAGTACTAACCTATTAGGCACCGATACTAGCGAGGGACTGTAACCTTACGCTAAGTGCGGCACCGAATCAGCGAGAGGTAGACTAGCCTAGTTCAACTAATGTGCAGGTGCAGGGCGACTAGTTCATCATGATAACTGTCATGAACATCACATCCAGCTGCTTAGGGCTTGTATTGGATCGCTCCATTTACATGCGTGGGCGGGTGAGACTTGGTAGGTAGAGCTGAGCGTTGTGTGGCGAGTGATGACAAAATGTTAGAAGCTGTGTGGCCCAAGTTGTAGTGGCACTGTATTGCTCAGCCCGCTATTTTACTGACTCATTTAGCTATTCAGAAATAGAGAGCATAAGACGTTCATTGTCGATGCCTAGTCTAAGTAAGCTATGAGGATGTGGCTGAACCACAAGTGTAGTATAAGCTATGAGAGCATGACTGGGTGCCAGCTATGGACTAAGCTATGCGATCTTGGCTAAGCCACAACCACGAACACTATCCTTGCCAACTATAAGAACCTTCTTTACGAATCACGGTGAGAGACAGAGACGGAGACTGTGCCCCTGAGATGGCGAAAACTATTTCTCACGTGATCCATCTTCAGGTACTTGAAGAACTTCTCCATGCCAGGCTCCGACGTTAAATCAAAGGTCACGAGCTTACCAAGATTCTTAGGATGCCCACACCGCACTTCCTCTTTGATGACGCGATTTCCAGGCTTCATAGCGATCTCGATGTCCCTGGAGCTGAGGTGGAAAAGGACAGCATCGAATTTGCATGCTGGATCGCTGAGCATGGCTAGCCAGTGTATGTTGTCGTGATCCAGAATATCGAAGAAAGTGAACGACGACGAGAACACGCCACTGGATACGTCTCCAGCGGGGCAAACCGTGACTTCGCACTGAGGCAAGCGAGCGAGGATCCGCAGCAGTGGTAGAAGGTCGATGTACGAGCTATGATCTGGGCCGTCATTGGGAATACGGATACCGAGTCGTCTGAAGGGATGTTCCGCAATGAGGAAGGTAGCTATGTAATTTCTGAGGTCGTCGTAGCTTATGGACACGGAAGCGTTCTCCTGCTGTACTTCAGGCCTGTCAATACGGGCTTATATCATGATACCATTGGGACTTACTCGGTAGATACTCCGAACGAATTTGACGACATGCGCGGGTCAATCCAGCGTAGGTGCCTGAGTTGAGGGTGTGCTCGTGGTCGCTCACGAAAGCCTTGCGATGCTTGATCTGGAGAGCCTCGCGGGGCCACCAGTCGGTGTCATTAGGGTTGTGCTTCTCTTCTCTCGGTATCCCATCGAACTCCGCGACAAGCCCATAAATGCGGTTCCGCAGCTCTATTCCTATCAGCACCCTGCAACCGCTCGTCACTCATCCTGCACATGCTTACCCGCCGGAAGATCCAGAACAGACGGCGCCATCCTGTCGTCGCTGCCACTATCGCTGCGGGATTTGTGGTGTATGTGGTGTTGCGAAGAAAGTGCAAGCGTGTAGAAAGAGCCCAAGAAATAGTGAGAGGCACGGCCCCACTTTTCCATATGAGGAAAGCGCAGGTAAAGGTGGCACAGAAGGGAAGGCGCGGGCGCAAACGCAAACACGTCGTTGAATTTGTTACTCGGGGATGTTCTGTATTTAGACGGTGGTTTACAGAGAGAAGAGTTTTGCTCACAATCACGCTTGAATTGCGTGTATGGGGGCACAAAGCGTAGTGCTATAGTGCCTCTATCTCGTAGATAACCTTAACCGTGTTGTTTGTCATGCTTTCAATTGTTCAGAGCCATCGCGCTCTGGGTACCATGAGTCTCCTCAGCCTCAAACGTCCTCTGAAGCAGGTGACTGAGTCACCGAAACACTGGCGCCTGAAATACGAAGAACGAGTGTCCCGGAATGTCTTGTCTCCTTGACTACTTCCATCGACTCCAAGAGATTGCGCACCTGGCTTGCGTTCTCCCCGTCAATGTACGCAGCACCTTTGTGGCCGAGCACGATCTTGATGTCCCTCGAGGTAAGGTTGAAGAGTATAGCGTCGACGAAGGCAGACTCGCGGAGCATTGCCAGCCAGTCCTTGTGCTTGTGTTCTAGAATGCGATAGAGAAGCAAGTACCCGAGATAGAGCTCCTCGTTTAGTTTTTCGTACTTGTCGACACCACACCGGAACCCGGTTTGGGGGTTGGCGCTTGCACGTAGGATTGGGAGCAAGTCGACATGCGAATTCATGGCCATGTCTGTCGTTCGGACTCGAATCTCTAGACCTGTGAGGATATTGCGATGGGTATGTCCGTTGAGAAGGATAGCGGGAAGATCGACGAGATCATCGTATCCAGCATACATCACGTTCCAAACGGCCCGAGAAGCTACAAAGACTGGCACGCTATGTGAGCTGAGTTGTTGACTGCAAGGTGTAACAATGACTTACATGGTAGATATTCCTCGCGGATTTGACGGCAGACGCGTGTAAGTCCAGCATAGCTGTTCGGCGGTCCGGCTTCCTCCTTCTTTCTAGACCACCTTCCATAATACATATCCTCCCATGAATCGTAGGTATTGTAGGACGTGAGGCGCTTGAATTCTTTCTTGTGCTTGATCTTCGTGACTGCCGCGTCGTGCTCGAGCACCAGCGTATACACCCGGTTCCTGATCTCTACATAACATCAAGATCAGTACATCATCCACAAATTTGCGCGAATAGTACATCCGTTACTTACCGCCCGGGAGGTTGAGCAAGAGCGACGCCATGATCTCGCCGTAGCGACTGTCGCTGCAGCGGTTGACGTCCAAGGAAGGTGGAGAAAAGGTGTCGTACGAAGACGCCAGACCTTAATTTAAGCTCCTCGTCACTAGTCCCACTTTGGTTGTGGAAAGAAACCAAGCGCAGGTGAAGGTAAACGCAAAGACCAAGGTAAGTGAAACACCCGTCACAAACTTCACAAACCAGGGTGGCACAGAAGGGACACAATCAAAAACACGTCATGCAATTTGTTACATTGTCATCTTGTTTATTTAGGCCGTGATTAAGAGACACGAACCTCATCCATATTCCGCTTTTAGATCGCCTAATACGGAGCTATACATGCCGCTGGAGTGCTCCCCTCTCTTGGAAAACCATAACCGTGTTGTATGATGACTTGCCGCTGCTCACTGGGCTGGCGTTGAGCGTGGCACCGCTTTTCTCCTCCTTCCATGGTGTCAGTGAGTAGGTGAAGGCGACCGCGTCACCGAAACAGTAACATTAGGAACACAGTGAACGAGTGTCCAACCTCGCGGATCCGCTATTATATCCAAATGCTTCAAGAAATCTTGCACCTCGCTCTCCTTCTCGACATCGAGGTATGTGACGCAGTCATGTTTCAAGACAATCGTGATTTGTCTAGTGGCGAATTTGTAGAGTATGGCGTCGATCGAGATGGGGGCGTCAAACATTGCAAGCCAATTGGCGTTTTTGTGGTTCACAATTCGCTCCAAAAGCTTGTAACTTTCGTACGCATCATCTTCCATATAACCGGCCTTGGAAATGCCTAGACTGTAAGAGTGTGTACAGCGATTTGATTCTCGTGTATGCAGAATTGGGAGTAGGTCGACGAATCGATCACGGTTCGATCCAGACTTGGTAACCTGAATATGAAGGAATCCGGTACAGAGGCCGTCGGTGTTGAGAAATGTAGTAGGGAGAAGTGGGATGTCGTCGTAGCTTGCAAGTATCTTGAACTTTCCCATGAATGGGACATGCTCAAGTAGCGTCGGAACATTTCGCTTTTGAAGCAGCACTGAGTCAAATTGTTAGATGGTACATCCAAGGAGGATCTACATGGCTGTGGATGACTTACAAGGGAGGTATTCCTCACGGATCTGTCGACATACGCGTGTCAGTCCGGCATACCTCGAAGCGCCCTTGGTGTCCCGACCGGCCCCAGCAGTATTGAAGGTCAAGGACTTGTGTGTGACAATCATCACTTTGTCATCGTGTTCGAAAACCAGCTTATACACGCGGTTGCGAAGCTCTGTACAACACCGTTTAGAACGGCTCGTGTCATGTCCCGCGGAAGGGGCGTGTTACTCACCTCCAGGAAGATTCAGAAAGGGCGACGTCATTGCCACCGTTGCCGTTGCTACCGCCGCGGTTGGTGTCGCGAGGAAGATGGAGAAAAGAAAGGGTTGCGTCAAGGTGGCGGACCTGGTTTTAAGCTTTGCGTCACCCAGGCGACCGCGCGGTACCCAGAGAGGAAAAGCGGGCGAGAGTAAAGGTGAATGACGCCATCTACTGAGAGCACACCGGGCCGCTTAGGTACCTATGGTAGGTAGGTAGGTAACAAATTTACGTCCAAGAGTTTGAGAGTTTGAGCATCAGTGCCCTTCTGCGAGTTACATACCGTAGGTAGCCTCCCTGGGCGCAAGATATCTCATATTGCCATCCGGGTTGGAAAGCATGCGGCGCTCAGTCGTCTCTCCATAAGGACGCTCCGAGCATCAACCGTAAAGGTGGTTCGTACAATTCGCACCTCTGCTCTGTGTTCTGTATGAAGATCTCAACTGCACTGTACCCACGAGACATCCGCCCATCCACTCTATTCTTATATTCAAACCAACATAGCACAAAGCAACAGCCACAATACCTACACCCTTCACCCCCTAGCAGCGACTTCGAAAACCGCCGCTCACCTCATCTATCACAGTCACCCCCAATCTTTCAATCTCCAATAAATCCACAGAGTTCGTGCTTTATCAAGGTACACTTCCAGCCCAGCCCCCCTCCACCAGATACGCAGAAGTCAACCCCGCGGCGGAGCAAACCTGCACGTTGCAAAGCTGCAGCGACGACTCAACCCGGTAAACGAGGCGCTGCCTCGCATGTGGGCAAATCACACCCGTGGACTCCACGCGATCAAGAAACATAGAATCTAAACGTAAAAACAAACATCTCGCATTGCACACATCACCATCATTAAACTCGCTAAGCCACTCGCTACACTCGCTATGAAGTCGTAAGTCATTACCTCCCCCCTCTCACCTGGTATCTCAATCTCCTCCTTCCCCCATCCATCCCCCTCAATGCTAGGAAACATCAAGAAACACCACTCGCTCGTCTCGTATATACCTCACACACACGCGTAGCTAGCAGGGCAGGCAAACAAACAGACAGACAGACAAAAATACCACGAAACGTACGAGACGAGATACAACACCGTGCGCAAAGAAAGAAAAGAAAAGCAAAAAAGAGGTTCAAATCTGAAGAAGCCAGTCGAAGAAGGAAAACAAAGAAAGACAAAGACAAGACAAGACAAAGACAATGCAGTCAGCTAGGCCAGGCCAGGCTACCGAAACAGCCCATTCAGCACGCTCTCCAGCTTACTCGCAAGCGGATCGTCGTCTCTGACCGCGCCACGCTCGTCGAAGCGGGGAGGCAACTCGATGGTAGCATCCGAATCCGAGGTATCGTCGGGGCTCTCGTCGCGCCTACCCCTATCCCTATCCCTGTGTCTATCCCTCTCCCTGTCCTTCCTCCTTCCACCATCCCTCCCGCTCTCCCTCTCCCTCTCCCTTTCATACTCCCTATCCCTAGACCGCTCCGGACCTTTCCCCCCCTCACCCTCAGGCGTAAACACCCTCTCCTCCGGCTGCAAATCAAACATAACGCTCTTCTCGCTCGCAGGCTTCACAGGCTCAGGCTGAATCGGTGCTTCGGCCGACCTCACAGAATGAATAGGCACAGGCACACCCTGAGAAGGAGGAGGCGCGACATCGATCGAAGAATTGGAATGGAGCGCGCCTAGACGATCTGCACGGGAAAGGTTAGCGAAACTGACCTACGGGTAGGCGAAAGCCCAGACCCACCAAGACGTGAAGCGTGCATGTGCTCTGGAACTTCAAGGGGAGGATCGCGAGCACTCACATTGTCATCCGGGCGGCGGTAGCGGGGTCCTGGTGGGCGTAGGGGTTGCCGGGTTCGGCGGGCGGCGGGGTGTAGCCGGTGGCTGGGTGGATGTGGCCGGCGGGACCGTTTGCAGACCCGTAGCCGTTGCTTGAAGGAGGGTAGTCGGCGGGGTTATATGGGGGTAGGCGTTGTTATTGTTGTTGTCGTTGTAGTCTCGAGTGCTGTAATTATCTACGGGCTGGGTGGGGGTGGGGGAAATAGTTGGATTGAGGGAAGTATTGAGGGTCGTCAGCGCCGGGAGGTCCGGGGCTGTAGCTGCCGGTGGAATAGGCCGAGTCTTCTTGTTGTCCTGTAGAGTTTCAGAGGGGTGGGTCAATTTTCGGGTGTACTGGACCTACGCTGTCGTTCCCTGTCAGCCTTCTTCTTTTCTCGCCGCTTCGCTGCCTCGTGAGCAGCCAAGCCAGCTACACCAGCAACTGCAGCGGTCTCTGCCGCCTTCCGTGTCCGACTTTTGCTCCGGCTTCTGCTTGATCGAGAGCGTCGCCGTTGGCCATCCGAAGAAGATGACGAGCTTCGACGCCGATGCCGGTGGCGGCTCGCCGGACGATCGGTATAGATAGGATCACCGCCGTACTCTACAAGGGCTGCGTCACCAGCTGTGCTTCCGCGTCTACCAGAACGTACCGACCTGGATCTTGACCGTGATCTCGACTTAGATAATTCTTTGGCCTCCTTCTTACCCTTGTGCCTCTCATATAAGCCCGTCACAGCCGCCCCAGCAACGCCAGCAGCAGCGATCGGGACGCCCTGGCGAACGCGGCTTTTGCTGCGTTTACCCTTCCGCTCGCGCGATTTGCTCCGTGCGTGTTCGACGATACCAGCTACTGCTGCACTTGCCAGACCGACCTGCGCGGCACGTCGGTTACGATGCTCAGGGCTCATGTGCCTACTCTCCGACCTGCCTCGTGAGCCTTGACTCTTAACAGATACGGCGCGGGAACGGGAGCGTGAAGACCTTCGGCGCCTAGACCTGCTGCGGCGATCTTCTATGATCGTAGTCTGAGTTTCTTTCTTCCCACGTTTTCCTGCGGCGTATGCCAGAGCTCCAATACCCGCGACAGCCGCGAGAGTGCCCAACTTCTTCGTCCGTGACGTAGAACGGCTCCTGTGCTTGCGACCTCGCTCGCGGTCGCCCGACCAGGATCGGGAACGGGAGCGGTTTCTGTAGCGGCTGATGGCTTCGGCACCCACAGCTCCCAACGCACCATACCCAGCCACTTGACGGAGGTGGTGGCCGGGATCTTCTCCCTCCTTCTTGCGACGATGCCTCATGAGCTCGGCTGCGGCAACCCCGCCGATGACACCCTCAGCGAGGTGACGGCGGTGGTGAGGACTCACGTCACGGCCAGACCCCCAGGTATCCTTTTCTTTGTGAATAAAGACGACGTCATCGTCGCTATACGCATCTCTATCACGATAGCGGCCGCGGCCATACTCGCGCTCGTAATCGTAGCCTTCTTCGCGACGGCCACCGCGGTCGATTTCCTTGACCTTTCGCTCGTAGTAATAGTCTTCTTCTCTGCGGGGCTCGCGGCGGGCAATCTGTCGGTCGTCTTCGACTACGGTTCGCTCAACGAGCTCGTATGACGGCTCTTCTCGTCGGATAATGACCTGCTGGGGAGCCGACTCCTGGAGAATGATGGGCTGTGGCGCTTCGTTGCGAATGATGATGGGTTGCGGCGGTGGCTGCTCCGGACGGAAGAACTCGGTGGATCTTGAGTAACGTTCGAGTGAGTACGGATCGCGCTCGACCTCGCGCTCGCGCTCCACTTGACGTTCCACACGGTACTCTCTAACAGAGGGCGGCGGCGGCGGCGGGGATGGCGAGCGCTCCACTTCACGCTCGATGCGGTACTCGCGGATCTCGCGGCGGGGTGAGGGGTCACGCTCGACCTCGCGCTCAACGAAGCGGTATTCTCGTACTTCTCGGTCTCGGTGGTCGTGGTGGTCGTCGTGATCGTCTATGGTATATCTGCGCACCTCTCTGCGCTCTTCGACGTCTTCGTGGCGCGGACGGTCGCGGTGCACCAGACGCATTTCCGACTCGTATCGGTCTTCTTCTAGGGCGTTGTCAGGAATCTTGTAGCGCTTCACTGTCGTGTAACTGCGGCCCCCGTGGGAGCCGGTCTCCCAGTCGCGCTCCCGGTCCCGCTCTCTGAATATGGTCGACATGGCGCACAAGCGGGGTGTTAGGCAGCGGGCCGAGCGGACGCTATGTCGCGATTATGGTGGTTAAAAGGTTGGTGCGAGGTGCAGTGCAAGTTTGGTTCCAGCGAGCGGCGATCTGGTGTGGTGGGAATGGCAAGTGGCAGGCGGATGCGCAGTGACGCAGCGTTCGCAGCTCGTCTATGAGCCAGTCGGCCTGAGACGACGATCTGACTGGGCGGAGGGGCACGGGAACCCGCTACAGCAGCCGATGGAAGCGCAGCGATTGGCGACGGCAGCGAGACGCACCGCGATATGGATAGTGAGATGCGCAGGACGGTGTAAGTAGTGCTATAGGGAGGGTTGGAAATCCTCAGCTGCGGGCGACGGCAGGCTCAATATGAGCCCATGCGGAAACCAAGGATGTGAGGCTGCCCAGTTTGTGGAGCAAGGACCCGGTCAACTGATTGACGTCACAAGGCTGGAAGCGACATGCGAACCATCACGACTCAGACTTCGAAGGCGCCAGAAGGATGCCAGAACGCGGCTACAGAACGCCTTTGCGAGACCTATATAGCTCGCGATCGCCCGAGGCCGCGCCGTAGCAAACTCTCACTATCAGAACGACACCGTATCCCATCCTGCTGCAGCTCCCCGCGCCGCCTTCGCCCCCACCGCAACAGAGTAAGACATGGACCATTCATCTTGCGAGTCTGCAATGCATTACTCACAAAGAAGGGTTCAGGTCTTCTCTTTGACGGCTAGCTCACCGGATAGCCTGCGCTATTTAGTTGAGAGAAAGGCTGTTGCACAGCCTACCCTGCGGTGTGAGTAGCCAAGCACGAAGCTCTCATGCGGAGAAGTTGTCTCCAAGCCACCACCCAGCTGGCGAGAAGTGCACAGTCACCTGTCTGCTGTTTGACTCACTTCCACCATTTGGATTCGTCGGCTCTGCGTTGCGCGCTGATGCGTATGAGCATTCTCGAGAGCGAAATCTCTGGGAGAGTCACAAGGCTCGGAAAGATTTGTCTCAAGGAACCCCTGTGATAGCGAGCTGCATGCGCGCATCATGTCTGCAGTTTCGATCGGCTTCGGTCGGTTGGGCAAACGAGTAGGGTGACCGGACAGCGGCTGGAAGGTCGATGTCGTCCACGACGGCTGGAGGCCTCTTTAAGTATGTTGCTGCAATGCCTGAAAGCGGGATGCCAGTCGTTGCCTTGCCTTGTGGTACAGCACTCACCACTGTCGGGGAGGGGGATCATCCGTCCGGCACGCGACGTGGCTGCCTGTTTGCCTGGCTGCCTGAGGTCACACTGAGTGCACAGTGGAAACGATATTTGCAAGCGCAAACATGGCGCTTCTCCCGAAGTTGTCACGGCGGGACTGCCCGAGTAAATATAGGCATCGTACATGGTCTTGGCTTGGTGGTGCGGTTGTCGACCGGTGGAACAGACAGATTGACTGCGGGACAGCGGCAACAGCCGTGTCTGACCTGCCGGAACGCTTGCGCAAGCTCATCGGACCCCAACCGCCGCAGAGGCTGCAGCCTGGCGCTGGATGCCTCAGGACAACCGTTCGTTGTTTCGCCGAGATTTCGACGTTCTTGATCTGCGACCTCTGCAGCCGTTCCGCAGCAACAAGAAATTATCGTCGAGCACGAGCTGCGGCACCCCTATGCATGCCAAGTCGTCCGCTCGTCGTTTTACCATGGCGGTCGGTTACGACGGCGTTGCGTTGTAGCCACAGGACGTATTTCTGTATCACGTGGCGGTGCGATTTCGCGCTCCTTGTGGAAATCCCATTTCATGCCTCGACTGCATCCGGAGGCATGCGCGCGGGTCCTGGTCAAGTCCGCCGAAGCAAGGCACACAGCCAAGATCATGCAAGCTAACTCCCAGATTTTGCCCTGGCAGCCCGGGTGCCCGGCTATAGATATTCGGGGTTGTGTAGGTAGCGAATCTCACGAGCATGCATAGCTGTGGCGTAGGAAAACACCCTGGAAGTTCGAAACTCGTGCAACGAGCAACCTGCCGCGTCACGAAGAATGACGCGTACGGTTCTCCACAGATTTACAGACATGCTCCAGAGAGCCCCAGAAAAGCTGGCGAAGATCAGTTTCAGGTAGAACATCGTTATTTGTACTTACGGTGCACGCTTCGGTGCAGCGAAATTGGCCCCATTGTTGTCCGCATTTGCCTCCGTCAGGCAACGGGGACTTCCAAGTCCGCAACCCTGACCGGCAGCCGCTTCGCACGGCGCCCCCATGCTCGCCTTTCTACATCGGATTGTGCTGCCGCGTCAATGTTTCGCCAGAGGAACGTGAGCTAGCCTGCGGACGAAGATGTGCTACGGTAGGGAGTTTGCTCCAGCCTTCGGAATGTGGAGTGGCACAGCACCTCTCCTCTCGCCGTGTATTTTGCTTCTTCTGCAAACTTTCCTGCTGCTAAAGGCGACAGTAGTCATGGCCACCGCTTAATGGCGTTCTCGTTGGCCCGTCCCGCAACGCCCTCCTTTCCCCCGCTCATTGCACACGGCAGCCCGTGTCCTCGATGCAGTCATGGGCGCTCTGATTGCTCTCGCGCTCCCTTCGCCAAGAGCACCGCTGGTCTTGGCAGTGAGCTTGACTTCCGAACACTGGGCAGCGCAGGGGTGGCTTGGTCAGGTACATACGCACTGCGGTGCTGTATATCCACCCGGACGATGCTCCCTCTATAAACTCTCATGCTGTCCCTTCCGTCGCTCTGTTCCGCCCTTTAAACTTGCATCCGGCCGCAGGATATCTCCGAACCCTCTTCCTTGTCTCACGACTGACCGCAAGCGTTCTGCTGCTACACCTACGCGTGTCCCCATTGACGTTGGAAGACACTCGCTGCGATGCCCCTGAGGACACTCACCATCTTTTAGACTTTGCATTTTCTTCCTCTCGTTCGACTCCGCATAGTGTACTCACATCACCTCCGCATCAGCGAGTCATTGATTGAAAATGGCCCCACGCGACGCTAACTGGATCGATGTAAGTTTACCCATTCACAATTGTACAACCGTTCTGACGCTCATGATTGTAATAGGGCCTGCGCGGCGTCGCTTCCTTCATGGTCGTATGCGGCCATTTGTGTACAGCTTTCGTTCCTTGGTTGCACGCACCGGCACCGGACGCCAAAACCGCGCCCCACCTGTTTCAGTTACCATTCTTCCGTCTAGCCGTTGGAGGCCGCTCGGCTGTGGCACTCTTTTTCCTCATAACAGGTTATGTGAACTCGATAGGACCAATTGGGCGATCGCGGGCTGGAAACACGGATGCGGCGTTTAATGGCATTGCGAGGAGTGCGCTCGCTCGCTCGGGCAGGTTGATTCTCCCGACGATGATTGCAACGGCGTTGACGTGGTTTATGGCCAACATCAACGCGTATCATATGACCAAGCATGTCGATTCGACGTGGATTCGGCAGGGCTGGCACCGACAAGAGCCTACTCTTGGAGCTGCACTCGCGTCGTTGCTGAAAGCCGAGGTGAATACGTGGACAATCGGGTGGGACGACTATGACGGAACACAGTGGACGCTGCATCTGTTCCTGGAGGGCAGCATGCTGGTGTATATGACCATGTTTGCTACAGTTCTGGTAAAGCCAAAAGCACGATTTGTCGTCTACGCTGTACTTTACCTGTACTTCTGGCAGCTTGGAGAGGGTAAATTGAGAACTTCTGAAGAAGAGCGAGCTCATGAGGCTAACAGGATACAGGTCTTGCAGTCGGTGCCCTCAAAGGTCTCAACATCGTTTTCGGCATGTTCGTCGCAGAGCTGCACAATCACTACAAAGACTCTGCAACCTCCGTCCTTCCTGCGCCCATTCCAGCGATCATGATCATTGTAGGCATGTTCATAGCCGGCTTCCCGCAAGACGCGCCGCATAACGCGCACTGGTCCGACTCCATGTCCCGCTTCATGCAAGCCATCACTGTCGAGAAATCCGACATCCGCCGATACTGGGACCACATCGGTGCTTCCACCGTGCTCCTCGGCATCTTCTTCTCACGCAACGCCCGCCGCGTGCTCACCTCGCCCGTCTTCAATTTCCTCGGCCGCGTCAGTTTCCCGGTCTACCTGATGCACAACACTTTCATAAAGTCAGTCCTGACATGGATGGTGTACCTCCCTTCTGCGATGAATCCCCCCCGGAACGAGAAGGGCCAGCAGATGGACCTGCAGCGCGGCTCCACGACACACGTCTTCATCGCCGTCGTGTGCTTCTTCTACATCCTCTACCGTTCTGCAGCCCTCTGGGTCACGCACGTCGACCCCTTTTGCGCGAAACTCGTAAACGCCGCAACGGGCTGGGCGTACGGCGAGGCGACGCCCCGCGAGAGCAGGCCTATCCTCCAGACCGTCGAGCGCAGGCAACACTCGCCACGACACGAGAAAACGAAGCTTGATTCTCCTGCATGAACGAACGGCCGCCTTTTTAGCACCATCCTTATCAATATCACACCCAAAATATCAGCATCAGCAATATCCTTATCACAAACTCATCATCAATTAGCATCTCCGGCGCGAGCGTCCGTCCCCCCAGTCTTAACGGTCGACCACCACTTCACTTCTTGTATACTTTGGCTCGAAGCCGAGCTTCACCTATACCCTTTTTCGTCTTTTTCCAGTTCGCCGACACGGCCGGCTGCGGTCCTGTCGAATACCCGATCGATCTACTCTGCATATGTGGCATTTGATGGCGTGTGTGTACGCAAGGCGTTCGGGCGTTGCTTTGATTTTGGACGTGAACTTGAGTACTTGGCATGGTGGGGGTTTTGATATTTAGTATCCGAGATAAGGGAAGCATCTGACGGCGGGGAATGTAAAGCGCGAACTATCCATAGCATGGTCGGCGATGGGATTGCATAGGAAAAAGGAGCTGTAAGATTACATGCATGCGGTGGCTGGTTTAAGAAACTAACTATCAAATTAAAAAAAGTTATAATGCATGGGGCGGCTGCTATGTGCTTCGGTCGTGCTCTGTGATATCCTTGCAGTGAGGTGTAGATCGAACTGTCGAAGCGAAAGGAAAGATGAACACTGAACTCCGGGGTAGACGCTGTTCACCACGACACGAATGCATACGCTGTCTACTTTACAGGGACTCTTGGGGAAGAGAAGACAAGTAAGACGTTGCACTTCTCTTGAACAGCTCTCCCGTTCTTAAGACCTACATAGTATGCTTTCTCAATAAATTGCGTACAGTACAGGCCCCTACATCTGTATGTGTATGTATGAATGACTACTTCTCCTATCCAATCCAATCCAATCCAATCCGATCCAATCCGATCCAATCCAATCCAATCCAATCCATCAACCCACGCACCCATCCCTTCTTCATGCGACGAAGCCCATCCACGCCCCACGTTTCCCCCATGTACATGTACACGTACATACACACACCCCATCTCATCTCCAAGCTAAGCTAAGCAAACTCCCACCTCCTTCCCTCGCTCTCGAGATATCCTCCGTCTTGTCTTCCCTTCCCTTCCCACTCGAACACGCACGCACAATGCAGCAGAAGCAAAGCACGACACAGTGCCCGTCACTACCTACCTTCCTACTTACCCGCCGGCGTCTCGTGGCTAAAAAAGGAAAAGAGTCCTGCGCTGTGGAAAGGACCTTACAGAGGCTAGGTTGGCTTTCCCGAGGGGAGGGGCCGGTGTGGTGTGTTTCTGTAGAAGGATACTGCTACGAAGGTGTGCTCAGTGCAGGGAAGGGAAGGGAAGGCAGGGAAGGGAAGTGGTAGGAGGGGACATGGCCCGTGAGATATCCATGCGGCATGCTAGTCGTATCGAAATAAGCGGCAACGGTGCAATACATCCATATTCCGGACGGACAGTATCAAGGGAGATGACCCACTGTTCCAGGAGAGAAAGAAGAACACAGTAGCTTCGTTCCGCGGCATCTCATCTCGTACAGACAGACCTTAACGAATGATATTCTTCAATTCAGCTCGAAAACATGTTTTGCATTGGTATGGTATCTAGCGCCAGACAGACAGACAGACAGACAGAAGTGGGCTTTCCTTTCCTTTCTTTAAATATCCACCCAGGCCAGCCCAGGCCAGCCCAAACGCTCCCAAACACCGACCTCCCTGAACCCCGTTGATTTTTGCCAAAAGACCACCGTGCTTATGGATGGATGGATGAAGTGATTTGATTAATTCTTGCCTTTGTACACACACGCCTTGACTTGATGATGGAAGGAAGCCGGGAAAACAGTGACAGACAGACAGACAGACAGACCGTGCGCCAGATTCTATGTCGTTTCATGACCGAGGGAGGACATTATAGAAGTACAGATGTGATGCTGCTCATGTACGGTGAAAGACGTAGCCCAGCCCACGAGGTTATTGATGCTGCTGGAAATTGCTGGGCATCGCATTGCTGGGCAGTTGCATGTTGGGCGGCATGCCGGCGCTGTTGGGGTGTTGCATGTTGTTCTGGAGACCTGCGCTGTGCGGCGGTTGCATGCTGTTTTGGACGCTGGCCTGTGAGGACGTCGAGTTCAGCCGCTGGGGACCGGGCGGGGGCTTGTTGGGTGCGCCTTTCCAGCCGGGGAAGAGGCTCTGGAGTCTGGAGTAGAGTTTCACAAGCTCGTCGGGTGAGGACGGCGCGACCATGATGGCAGGCCCGGGCATGATGTTGTGGTTCGGCTTGGTGTGCTTCTCGGCATTTTGCGCCAGGAAGGCGAGGTTGGCTTGCAGTCGGCGCATATAACTGGGAGTGTTAGTCGACGTCGCGATTAAAGCAGTGGTGATGCTCACTCCCTGTACTCGGGCGACGGCTGCTGCGGCTTTTCGCCCTCCTGCTTGGTGTCGGGCGCAGGCCCAATGTGGCCGGCCTTGCCCTGCTCGTACAGCTCCATGACCTGCTGGATAAGCACCTGGTTGATCTCGAGAAGCGTGTCGATGCGCTGTTTCTCGCGCGCCTGCGCGAGGGGCGACACTGGCGACTGAGGGAGCGCCTTGACAGGCGTCTGGGAGACCATTGGTTGCGACGTCGCAGGCTGGCTTGTGGGCGGGTTCATTCCTTGGGTCGCGGGCACGCTGGGTGACTGCGTCTGCTGGGGCGTCGCATACGGAGACGCGTTGTTGGTGTGCTGGCTGGTGGCGGGCGAGGCCGTCTGGCGGTTCTGGACGAACTGTTGGTGGGCAGGGGACGCGAGGGTTTGCGCAAAGGGCGCGCTCGAGTACGGGCTCGCCTGGCCCTGCTGTGCGTGTTGCTGCTGCTGCTGCTGCTGCTGCTGCTGGAGCGCGGCGGCTTCATGGGAGTCAGCGTACGGCGCGGAAGCGTGACGGCATGGGGGTGGGCTCAAGGCACGGGTATAGCAGAGGGAGGAGTGTGATGGTGGCCGGCGGCGGCGCGCTTACCTCTCGCCTGGTGAAGCTGTGCCTGCGACAGGCCTCCGGGCTGCATCACGGCGCCACTCGTCGCTTGGGAGGCAGCGCCTGGCATGCTCGCCGCAAAGCCGCCTTGCTGGCCATTGGCGAACTGCTGGTAGGGAAACGGCGCGTTGGCTGGTTGCTGTAGCCGGGCCTGTGGATCTTGGTACTGCGAGAGGTGTGCCTGTTGCGGGGAATGCGAGGGTGCTGAGGAGGTGGAGAAGGGCCCGCCGAACGAAGGCGGCAGGTGCTGGGGACTATTGAACGTTTGGTAATCCATGGCGGGCGCTGCCAGTCATTGGGTACGTCGCACAGCTCGGTTTAGATTGATTGGGGGGATGGGATGATCAAAGAAAGGAATCGTGCGGTGTGTGATAAGGTTGTTGGGTCAATGCCGACGCAGCGAAGAAACCGCGCCAACTGCGGGCGAAACCCCGGCGTCCCTGGAGCGTCCATCAACTCAGAGACTGTCTTCGCAACGACGAGCCCGCACAGCAGCACAGCGACGACAGAGCATCGTGACCGCCGAGCAGCGCGACCGAAACAGCATGCAACAGACCCGGCGTCTCGTCAAATGCCTGCCCGCCTCCACGCATGCAATGGCACCTGGACAACCCCTGCTCGCCTTGGCCCACTGCGCTACGGACACTACGCTGGACCGCATCCAGATCCGTACCGCAGCCACATGGCCCGGTGGCACGCCGTTAACACTCGTCTCGCACCCAGCCCTAGCCGTACAGAAGGGCCCATTTGCGTGGTGTGAGATGCCGCAGCCGGCATCGTCGCCCGTCCACGCAGACGAACGGTGAGTCTGTTGCGCGCTCACTCGTTACGGGGTCAGATCACCACGCCATTGCTTTGGGAGTCACACGGCACAGGACTGCATGTGGATGGAGAACGCGGCAAGCTTCATTCGGAGCGCTCCGAGCGGCTGCTGATCTGCCGCTGGCTTCATTCCGACCATCCCCAACCATCCATCGTGGCACAGGACCCTTGACCCGGCGTCCAACCGTACAGGCGCGAATGCCACGCCGGCAAAGCCAAGTTCGGAGACACAGGCGCTGGCTGAGTGCAAGCTCGCCTCAGCACTTTGCTTTTCCGTGGCTGCCCTATGGTCTCGCAGGTCATCGGTGTAATTCGCCCAGTCCTGACTCGTGTCGGCGTCTTGCCGTACCCTTCGTCCTCCAGCCAATACCTTGATCACATGGCCGGGTGTAACCTTCCGTAATCACTTGTACAGTATGGAAATAGGAGCGAGCTTCCACTGAAACTTGAAATCGAAGGGCATCTTCAACCACCACCGGGCATCCCATGGGCCTCAGGCTCGCTGCCACCCCTGTTTGCTCAGAGAATAAGAAACAGCGAATGGCCGTTGCCTCGGATTGGCACAGTGCGTCATTGGTGAGACTTTACTCTCGAAACACTTCTTCTCTTGTCGAACTCTCTTTGCGCCGCAGTGCGACAAAGTATCCTTCCTTGGACTCCTGCTCTCACATTAGCGATGGGAAGTAGTGGTGCCTGCCAGACGTACGCTGCGTGAAGAGTCCGGCTTCTCTCGGACTACTTTCGCAAACAGACGCTTCAGCTTCGTCTCGAGCGCTCTGTCTTCGGACCCCTGGTAGAACTTGCACATATAGTGGCCGCCAGTGCGTAGTGTATCGAATGCAAAGGTCAAGCCCGCCATACATAGGTCCTGGCCATTATGTTAGCCAGAGGTTCGGCGAGGGAGTACCGTTTTCTCGTACCATGCTGCCGGCGTGGTCCTTGAATGCAATGCCGGACGTGTTCATCAACCTGATATACGGGTCACTCAAGCTCTTTTTGTAAAATCCAGTAGTCTGGTCCCAGGGTTCTGACATGTCTGAGAGCACCACGTCCACGACTCTGCCTTGACGCTCGTCTCGTTCCTTCAGTGAAAGCTTCGAATTTGAGCCTTCGCTGGCGTCGCCGTCCTTGCGTGCTTGTCCGATGGACTCTGCCTCAACTCCCTCGAGATGTGCATGCCGCTCGATATCAACATAGCCTTTCTCCATCTCGTCCAGTTCTTCTTCTGTCATTCCGGCATCTTTATGTGACAAGACTTGCTTTCGAGGGCGACCGAGATCGGGGTCTTGCACGTAGGCTCGCACTTCAGCTTGTATAGTGGGGGAGAGGAAGTTCCCTTGAATCGTGGAGACGCCGCGAGGGGGCTGAGCTGGTATCAGATCGATTCCGATGACGCGGCCGCCAGGTGAGGTTTTGTTTACGGCAACCTAGACGGTGTCATAAGGAGAGGTGCCACTGTCGGGTGCGGGGGAAAGGCGCGAACCTGAGACCATGATCCAGGCGCAAAACCCTATGAGAGCTGTTAGCACTTGGATCGTCTTTGGTTGCATATGTCCCATACCAAGTCGACCACCGTCTGGCCCTGTTTGAATAGCTTATGCTTCTCGTTCAACTTGTCGCACATCAGTATAAGCTGTTGTGGCGGCAGCATATCTCGCACCTCGAGAAGCTTGAAAGCAGCGCGACTCTTCAATCCCTGCACTCTTGCCTCTTTAGCAAAGAAGTCATTGCCCTGCCGTGATTTCCATCTCGTAGACGAGGACGAGGAAGCGCATCTAATCGCAGGAGCTCTGGAAGGTTTGCTCGGAAGACATGTGGTACACTTCAGGGCGGCACAGAAAGCTGGCGCAGGCCAATGGCTCGCTCCTAGAAGCGCGCCATCGGTGAGTTGCTGAAATACGCGGCGCGACAACATCGAGAGACTTGGGAGCTTGGAGGGTCGAAGTCGACGCGATGCATCATAGCTCTTCGAAAGTTCGAGCACGCGCCACATTGTGGCGTTCGTGTACCGACCAGCCGGGACCGATGTCCAACGTCGTTCCATGTGGCACTCCTGTCAAATGGCTTGTCATGGCAAATGCTCTGTCTAAATACATCTTTCAGTCGCAGTATATATCCAGAATCCATTGTTTGTACAAGCACCATGCGGTTACCAAGCAAACCTTCGAGTGTCACATTCGTACATCATCCCCAACAAAAGTTTGGAGGCTCATTCGTGTGGGCTGTCTGATGAACCACAGGCGCAATTCAGGGCGCCGGAGTTCCCTCTATATAACTCATCAGATAAATCATGTCAGCCTTCTCGCGAGTGTTATGCAGCGAGTATAATAGCATAAACCATGCCTGGAAGGACTTCCACCATCTCGAAAGCAACATTCGAGGGATTGCATTGATCTTGGGTATGTAAGTCTAAGTTCGGAATTTCAAATAATATATTAGACTCAGCATTCGCAATACCTGGTTGGAACGATATCAAAGGCCATACACACTGCTGCATTAACAAAAGCGGTGCCCCGCCGCATATCGGGACACCGTTCTCTGGGCACCGCATACTGGAACCCGCTTTCTGGAAACAGCCCTCTGAATACCGCAGCTATTGTGCGGCACGTAGTGAACGGTGAAGTAGGCCCTGAGCGTGGGCGGCGCGATTCTATTGGTGGGTGATTCGCTTTCTCCCTTTCACCTGGTTAATGCACGGGCATCTGTTCACTGTCACCGCACGAGACCGCCCGCCCCAGCCATTCTGCTAGCAGAACAGCAGCCTCATACCCTTCCCTTTATAAGACCACCCGATCTCCCTACCTTCTCAACTCCACATCTTGTGCGCGCAACCTCGAACGCTTGATACCCTCAATATCAGCTTCCGTCCGCGACCACCGCGCACACACCACACATCTTTCTACTCTCTTCCGCGGGTTGAAAAGTTCGCCCGCACACCCGCGCCCCTCTCTACTTATATCTTTCGCTCCCACTTCCTCGAACACACCACACCCCTTTTCCACACTCTCAACCCATCAATCCAAGTCAGTGTTCAACCGCTACACGACTTCAAGATGGAACCCATCGACAGACTCTTGATCCTGTTGCGAATCGTATACTACCTCCTCCAAGTATCGGTCTTCGCAAAGGTCTCTAATGACCACAAGGACACCTCCGTCATCTTTCCCTGTATCTGCATCGTGATCAGCGCAAGTTTCGGCAACCATCTTCCCGCGTTCTTCATGGGCGTCTTCCTATCCATCTTCCTGATCGTTCGCTACCATCTTTTCACACCTCGAACGCCAGACTCATCTGATCCCCCGGCCAAAGGCTCTGGTCCAGAATCTGGGCCTGCCGGCGAAGACCCTGGCTCCAACATTGTGGGCTTTCCCAACGGCTTCAGCGTTCCGGACGATTCAGACGACGAGGACGACTTTGTTGATCCTCTAATCACGTCTCTCACGTGGGAGCGTGACGAGGAGACCCTGAACACACGCATCGACACCTTGACCGCGATGAACGAAGACTTGACTGCCGATAACGAAGCCCTCGCCAAGCAAGTTTATGAGTGGAAAGAAGCGTACTACAGCTTGGAAATCAACTCCAAGGCTGAATACAATATCGTCAAGGGCCAGAACGTCGAACTCAACCGCCGCATCAACATCTATGAGGCGGGGCGCCCCCTACAGTTCCAGACGAATCGGCTCAACAAAGCCAACGCGGTCATCATGGAGAAGGAGCAGGAGATCGATCGCTTGACCAACCAAGTGAAGCGTCTCGAAGATGCAGCCCAGTTCCGCCACAAATGCTACGAGGAGAACTCGAAGCTCAAGGCAGAGCTAGACGAGAAGAATATTCTTCGTGCCAGTGCCCATCAAGCAACCGAAGAGAAGGCCAGCGCTCTCAACACGGTCGTCACGCTCCTCCATAGCATGGTCGAGAAGGGCGGACTATCTCTGGACCCTGCCGTCTTCATCATGTACGAACTTCTCCGTTCCGGCATCAACCCCCAGCACCTCCAGGTCGATCTCGATAAGTACATCTGGTACCTTAGGTACGTCCGCCTGGGTTATTCGCAACGCGGAACGATCCATGGCGGCTTCCGGGCTACGATTGCCATGTTCTTTGGTGGCGAGTACCGCGGCAACGTGTTCACGAAGGAGATGAATGGAGCTGAAGTGGTTTTACCGCTTACGCCTACGAGTCGCCTTGACTTGGAGCAAGTCGGCTATGAGCCCGAGTTCCCGCCTGCCACGCCGATCAATGGCGCAACTCTTCCCGGACCGTCGGTGCCTCCGTTTCCTTCGAACCCGCGTCAGCCGCCGTCGAACACAGGACTCCAGCCTCCGTCGAACCCGCGTCAGCCTCCGTCGAATCCTTCTCAGCCTCCTCCGAACGCAGTTGGACCAGTCCTTCAAGGCCCTCCCCAGAACACACAGCCGTTCCCCGACCCTGCAACTGATGGACTCGCCCGTGAGCTTGGTGGGATGACTATCAAGTCTACCGATAAAGTTCAACCTCCCCTGCAGGATGCCACCAACAACTTCTTCGGCAAGCGCAATGGTGGGAGCCAAACAACTGAAGGCATCTCGATCAAGGGAGCTGCTGCCGCCGCCGCCAAGCCAAACCCTTTCCAGCGAGCAGCCGAAGCAATGAAAGCCAAGGCTGCCGCGGGTCCTTCTGGAGTTGGGTCTCCTGGATTTGGCTCTTCTGGATTTGGCTCTTCTGGATCTGTCTCTTCTGGATTTGGGTCTCCTGGATGGGGCTCTTCTGCCACTGGCTCTTCTGGATTTGGCTCTTCCACCCCTGGCTCTTCTGTTCTGGGTTCTTCTGGCTCAAACAGCCAGCCTGCCACTGCCCCCAGCGCGAACCTACCCGACGACCCCCTGAAAGCCGCGCTTGACCTGGTGGCAGCCAAAAAGGCGGACCCCAACGATGTTGCAAAGATGCTTAAGATCCCACTCAGCATGGCCGACAGGTATATAATTGGTAGGGTCCGCACTCGTCTCGAAGATGTCTCCACTGCATACCAGAAGCTCATTCATCTGGTACCATCACCGCAAACGAAGGCAAACCCAGGAGCTCCCACAACCTCCGGCGTCAAGTTGGGCCCAACGTGGTCGGTGCCAACCACCCTTCCGACCGCCGCTCCTTCCTCGGTTCCATTCCCCGGTTTGAAGCCCCAGCCAAAGAGCGGTGGCGATGCTCAAATGGACATGTTCCCCGATTCGTCGCTGAACGGCGGGGCCAAGGACTTCAAGCCGGGTCAGTCTTTTGTCATGGGTGGCGCCCTTCCAACCGCCGCCCAGTCTTCCTCCGCGCCCGCCCAGTCCAAGAAGCAGACCTACCGAAGCCGGAACGACTATCGAAGCCGTGATGACGACGATGATGATCTGTACGGACTCTAGATCGTTCTGATGTTCAAGTAAGTAATGCACCCCCACTCCTGCTGCACTCGCTAACGAGATGATCAGAAGTTCGACAACGGCAATGATGACCTATATGGACTCTAGATATTCCTGATGTTCAAGTAAGTAAATAAGGGATCCCTACACTTCTTTTGGCAGCCGCTAACAATATGACCAGTAATTTGTTTTCTCATGTCTTGTTTTGCGCAAAGCGTGGCGTTCATCGTGCGTTCACTATTTCTTCTTCACTCCACTTTTGCCAGAACAACACCTTGTATCAGCGTTGAGTCATGCGAATTACATGCCACCGGGCCCCATCGACAAGAGAGTGCACGCTCGAGTCTTTGGGGTGGCGCTTGAAAGCTAGGAGGGAACGCCTAGCTTGAGAGTTGCCATCCGATGGCCCTGGAATTCTGCAAGTGTTGGCGCTGTGAGGGTTGCGTTCTGGTTGTCGTCCTGTCGAGGAAGGTATTGAGTAGTAGATCGTCCGTCGGTGGAGGACGGTGGTCTCGAACTTTGCCTTATCTGTGAACCGACTTTGCATAGGCTGGACCGAAGAGGAATACTTGGAGCGTGGACAATATGGTTTGCAATGGTCGCATGTATCTGCACGGAGTTCGGCACGGAAGATACCCCGATCATGTTTTGTAGCGATGCCTTGTCGATGATGATAACGGCTTTTGTTCCCAGATAAATGAAATGTTTTGTGTATCTACAATGAATCTCCATTGTCAAACCACTTAGCGCCCTCCTTGCAGACGTATACTCGCGTATCCGCATCCCGCGTATTTCGGCGCTAGTACATCACTCTAACACGGCGCCACCCTGGCATGCTTTCCAAAATTGTACACTGACACACGCGTCACTATGCATTGGGTTTTCTCTTTCGCGAAAAGGACGTATTCTCAAGCATTGCCTGATTGGGAACATGGGCGGATAAGGAGTTGGTACTTAACGTCCTCATGGACCACTTAGTTTGACTTCGACATTTCTGTCTTTACCATCGACAAATCATCCACATGACCGTCTTGAGTGAGCGCGGCGATGCCGACTTCGATCTTTATCCGTACAGGCCATCGGCGACGGCAGGTTATGCTTTTGTGGCCCTGTTCGGTCTTGGAGGCCTCGTGCATCTCTGCATGTTAATTCCACTGCGCGCGTGGTTCTTTATCCCCTTTGTGCTGGGTTGCGCAGGTATGTTCCCAAAACCTACTAATATTTCGACCCAAATCATCGCATGACTACATCCACTAACCATCTCCAAGGCGAAGCAGCCGGCTACTACGGCCGCGCCTGGTCCCACGCCAACATCCGCAGCGGCAGCCCCTACCTCCTGCAACTCATGCTCATTCTGGCCTCCGCCCCCCTCCTCGCTGCATCCATCTACATGACGCTAGGCCGCCTCGTCCGCGCCCTCGACGCCACAGACCACGCGTTCCTGTCTCCCCGCTGGACGACAAAAATCTACGTCATCATCGACATCGGAAGCTTCGTCACCCAGCTGATGGGCACGGCGATGCAGGCTAATGGCGGCGCTGAAGGTGCTAAGCAGGGCACTACTCTCGTCATAGCGGGCTTGGGCGTGCAGCTTGGTGCGTTCGCCATCTTCATCCTCAGCGTGGCGATTTTCCATCGGAGACTGGTGTTAGAGCCTACGGACGTGTCGATGGAGCATAAGACTTGGAACAGGTACATGTGGATGTTGTATGCAGTGAGTGGGCTTATTGTTGTACGGAGTGTGTTTCGATTGGCGGAGTTCGTGGAGGGAAGCAACGGGAAGTTGTACAAGACGGAGGCTTTTCTTTATGTGTTTGATGCAAGTCTTATGTTTGCGGTTGTGGTGAATATGGCGGCGTTGCATCCCGGGGTGCTGCTTAGGGGAACGAGGAAGAGGGAGAGGGGAATTCCTTTGCTTTGACACGGTACCTAGGGTCCATAGAGATGGTGATATGGTGGAGCTGTGTATGATAAATTTAAGGATTCTCTTAGCTTTTCTTCTGAAGGCCACGATTCTTAGTGGTTTTCAGCGGTGCAGGCTGCTTGAACGATTCAGGACCGCTTGACAATTACGGACTGTCCATTCGCCGCCAGGCTCATCGAGAATGGAAGTTGAGCATATCGAGGAGCTTTTCGCGATGCTCTTCCTGTAAATCCATATCTGCACCCTGGGCGGAGCTCCTGGCCTGGGACCAGCCTCGAGAGGCGCCATGTCGCCGTTCAATTGCGTGAAAGTGCCAGAGCAGGCTTCCAAGATCGTACTGCGTAATAACTGCGCCTCAAATCGCGCGCGGAATGTTGATGTCGGGTTCGTTCATTCTCAATGACATCTCGTTCTCCGCTCTAGTCTTGTGGAAGAGGTTATTGTGGCTGTTACGGGTGCGAGGCTGATTGCGTGTTCGATTCTGGCAAGTGCAGGTAACACCTTGCAAACTATAGGCAGTCTGAATGTATATGAGTGTTATTGAGACTACAATCATTCCATGCTCGATTATGTACAGTTATGTGACAAGATGCTGCGTTGTATGTGAGCAGCACAGAAAGAGAAAAACTTCAATAATGTAGCAATTATACATTAGCATTCCCGAAAGTGAATAGAGGCTAATTCAGGTAGGAAAAAGCATACGCAAAGCTCGTATGACAGAACCATCGCAAACCGATGCACTCTACTTCCAGGGGTATGAGGCTGGAAGGACTGTGGCAAAGGTACGTAGAAAAGTATTATATCTTCTATCTTGATCATGAGAGCATGTAAAGAAATAAGCTGAAAAGAAAGAAAGATTAAGTTCCAATCCATCAACGATAATATCGAGACGGTCTACTAGCAAGGCTCAGAGGCACTGTGAAGATTAGCATCGACAATAGAAAAGGCACAATCACGAAGATACTTACTCACGACTTCATCGATTGACCTTGGAGCCTCGGATACTAATGGCATCAGGGCCGGTGCAGGTGTTCGTCGCCACTGCTCTGGTGGCGCATTATCACACCCATTCAGCGGCGACATAGCTGATTTCCGCACGATGGTAAGGTGATTGCGAGAAGGCGTTTCGACGAGCTTGTATCCTCTCGGCAAGTGGTGGGCAATGGGCCGGTCGTCATCTTCATCGTCCTGGTCATCGTCCTGGTCACTACTGTTCGCGAAGTAGGTTGGTTCGCCAACTAATCTCCGCTTCGCGTAGGTCTTGCGGTTAGTGAGCAGTGGTGTTGAGCCACGACCCGGTTCCTCTTCTTCGAAAAAGGCGCGGTTAAAGAAGGCTAGCCGGGATTTACGAGGCGTTCGTTCCGCATTAAGGTGTGCCAGCTCTGGGATAACTGGTGAACGCTCTGTACCAGTCGGGGATGATGATGGCACTCGTTGATAAGTAGAATGAGCGGAGCACGTTGGGTTTGAACACTCGGTCCTCCTTGCATTTGTGTTCTGGCCTTGTTGAAGCGGTACGTTATCCGCCGGGTGTTTATGTGCCCTGCCTTGGCTGAGACCACACCTATCAGTGATGACCAGCGTCAGTGACTGCTCACCAAATAATCAAGAGGCGGTAACTTACCAACGAGCAAACCTTTTCCAGACCCGCTTCGGTTCACGCCTGCAAGAGGACATCGTGAAATGTCCGCCGAAAATGCAATGTTGGAAACAGTTGCCTTGGGAGGGAAGTGATGCAGGACCAGGGCGTAAGGAGGGAACGATCATACAGATTCAGGTTAATGGGACGAGCGGGGTTATAAGGGCGCGCATTGGACGCAGGCGATAGGTTGCAAAGCGACGCGAGTACGACTGCGACGTACTTGCGACGCATAGGAGAGCATGAGGTATCTTGGGAAGCAATTGTTGAATTGGTCATGAGTGGAGTAGGGACCATTGACTCGTGTCTCCCCGAAGCGACTGACTATTGACACGACAACTAATTTCCGACAGGCGTCAGTTTGGCCTTCATTGGTGGCTTCGCCCATAAGATATGGCATTCGTGATGGATCCAATCCTCCGCCTCCTTAGACAACTCCATATCAAAGCTAAGCATCACAGTCGCCAGAACAAGTCGCATCTCGTGGTACGCGAGGCTATGAGTCGTTAGCACGCTGTTGAGTATGCCTCGAGCACGGTCTTGGAAAATGTTGAACTTACTTCTTGCCCAAACAGTTTCTTGGCCCATAGGAGAATGCATTGACGACCTCCTTATTGTCTGATCCATACTCCTGTTGCCCCTCAGGTAGCCAGCGCTCAGGGACGAAAGAGTCCGGATCTTTAAAATTGGACGGCGAATGATACGCTGGGTAATGCGCGATGGAAACGATGGTCTACCAGAAGCGTTAGCGATAACGAACCATGGATTGAAGCCGAGCTCAGGCTCAACATACCCCACCGGGGACCCATCGATCCGCAACATTCGCACCCGCATCGGGTGTCTCGCGGGGTATCAATCCAGGAACAGGAGGGTATATTCTCAAGCCTTCTTCTATGCACGCATTGAGATACTCCAGTTGTGACAGCTTTGTCATTGTCATGTCTTCAACAGAAGTGAAAGCATCGCGGATCTCCTTCTTTAGACGTGCCAGCTTCGCGGGTTGTTGGTGAAGATAGTACGTAATGCCGCTCAGTTCGGTCGCTGTAGTCTCAGTGCCTGCCAACATGAACGTCGACGCATTGCTATGCAACTGTGAGGGAAGCAGGCCACTCATCCCGCCATCTTCATCCTTACCCTCCCTCATAACATAAGTCCAAACTGAGAGCGAGTGAGCCTCGTTCTGTTGCTAACGTGGAGCGGATCGAACAACTTACTGTCCGGACGATCTGTCACTCTCTGCATTCGCTTGTCTACTCTTTCGCTTGAGAATAGCATATGCTGCCTTCTTCCTTCCTTAAGATGTTTTGGTAGGTAGCGGTGCAGCAAGCCATCCAGTAAGGGCCATCGCTTGATTACGCCGGCAACAGTCAGTAGCTGAATACTTCCAAATAATGCCGAAACCCAAGGGATGTACTTCGATTCTTGCAGTAGGCCAAGCGGCTCACCGAAGGTCAGATCGGCCATAATGTCAAATGTGGTGTAGTTGTAGAACCGAACCATGTCCACTTCGCCATGTTGCTTAGAAGCCTTAGTTAGCTGCTCCACGAGCAGCTTTACGTATCCCTTCAGGATCAGCTCCTGCTCTTTCAGGGCTTTGTCGCTGAATGCATGCGAGACCAGCTTTCGCTGGCGTGCATGACCGGCGTTGTCTGCGCGGATTAACCCAGCCGGATTTCCATACTGGTCTGGGCCGTAGAAATCCTTTTGCTTTGTGAATTGGTTGGTGGTCCGGTGCCCGTATACATCTTTCCACACTCTCGAATCGATGGTGGACAATTCGTCGGGTGCGTAACGGACAATAGGTCCGTACTTGAGATGCAGATCATTCAACCAGAATGGAAAACTCCCTTTCACGATCTGCCTCTGAGATGCTAATATGGTAGCACGGGAAGACAATGGACCGGGAAAAGAACGCAGCGGATGGAGAAATAGATTGTAGAGTACGCGAAGGAAAACATAGAGAAACTGAACAAATTAGCGGCCGTAGTAACAAGATAGAGGACCTTACAGCAAGCGCTGGAAGTAGAATCGCGATACGGCTAAACATTGCCGCCGATGACATGTTTCGGACTTCGTCGATGTATCAATGTGCCAGTAAGGCGGGGTTCATTTGCGAACAGGCGTTTAAGCGTGGTATTCTCTTCGATTGGCGCGCAAAGTAGCTTGCAAAGTCTTCTAAAAAGTTTTCCTCAATCAGTTTTGGCGTATGTCCTGCGTCGCTGGCGACCTATAGTCGTGGGTTCACACCGCTCGGGAGCTGCACAATTGCGGGAGGATTGCAGGGCAGCCAACGTATAAGAATATAAATATTGCTAACGCAGGATCGCGCACTTTATTGTAGATCAAGCGCTTATGGATACCATTGACCTCTTTAAGGAAGCCTTGTTCATGATAACCGTTGGTGTCCGCTATTTGAAAGCTTAGTCGAACGCTAAAAGCGCGCCGCGATACCCATGTAATACCTGACCTCGGCCGAAGACTGGTATAAAATGCCGCCATCTTCTCACCTAGGGCATACAAATGACTAGGTCAAGACGCAATATCTGCAACGCCAGTGTTGAAAGAGGAACAATTCGTTGTGAACGGAGGCAACACCCCGCATCACCAGACACGGAGCAACGGACTTCGAGAGCCTAGACTGGGATCACCCACGCAATGTTTGTAGTTCGTGTGCGTGGCAGGGAGACGTTGGCGATCACAGACTGGTTTCTCCTCTTTTGGGTGGGTCAAGGCTTGTGGGGTCTAGCCTGAGATTGCGATAAACACCCATGTTGTGACCTAACGTGCTTCGACTTAGCGGAGCGTCGGAGGGTCGGGTTGACAACAGAGTGACGCTGGAACACTATAGACATTGCATTGTGCGACAACAAAAGGTATGCATACCAGCGATCAACATCAATTGAATTTCGGCCGATGAGCCTTCGGCCGATGGACCTGGAAGGTTTTGACCACATTCACCACGGAAGTGCATACTGGAAACATACCAAGACCGAAAAATTGAGCAGTATCCTCTGCGAAAAGTATGCAATCACCCACTACTTGCGAAAGCTGCACTACTCGTACACTAGTCTGAGCTCGTCGGATACCTTCTGCTGGATTTGCTCAAACGTCTAGCCATATTGCTCCCCATGGAAACTCCGAGATTTGATTTTTTATGCATTTTCTTCATGCAAATCCTTGCTTCTAGGTCCTTGATATCGACGACTCGTTGGAGAAAATCATGCCAGTCGTCGCCGGCCACAGTATTCGGCAATGTGAGCACCTCGATAGACAATGTTACCAGATCGTTGCTCTTATGAGGTGCGATAAGCATGTCGCCTCCCGCCATAAGATGCATCTTCAGCAGATGTGCAAGGCATTGGTGAGCAATGTCTTCTAAGTGGGGTTCTGAAATTCACCAAGAGTCGGTAATAATGCCGCTACGATAAGTTCAGGGTGAAGTTGAGCTTGCCAATAAACTTGTATGGCGTTGAAGAAGGGGGACGTACGACATCTCCCAGCCAGCCCTAGACCCACTATAAGAAAACATCTTCTTGTCTGGTGCAGTTCCTTCCGCGGACTCGAACGTCCTAACTCCGAGACCATTGGTAAGCTTTACCCTCCTCCTACAATCAAGATTGGGTCTGGAGGCGTGTTGGCGGTGTGCAGATTGACAGACGAGATGAAGAATTCACTGTCTTATCCAAATATTGACTTCAACTGTGGCGATACCCTTCTAGTGAGTGGAAGAGTAGCTTCCTCAACTCATCAAGAAACGAGAACTGGTAGTGAACTGCGGGCTTTTGTAGAGGCCAACTCGGAAGTGCGTTCCGTTGGCGACGCCTCTCGCACCCTCCCCGTCCACGAAGTCGCTAGTTTGCTGCTTCGATCTTTGCTTCCAATCTCATCCATGGCCTTGAGTACCCATTATATCAACTGTAAGTGCTCACCTGCTTGTACGCCAAGGTGTGTTGGAGGTTATGGAGAAATGCGGGGATCTGGGCCTCCTGGTTGTGTCTCTCGGCTATGACTGATGAGTAACCGATCATCCTCGCAATGCAGTGGGTTCCAAAAAGGTGCTAAGTCCCCATCCAGCGAGGAGTAGATTGACATCTGGATGAGACAGAAGTCGACGTAAGGTTAGATAAAAGCCCTCACTCTGTCTTAGTAAGCCCCAGTACGGTGCATCAACGTGACCTATTACCATAGATAGTCCTCCCTTCTATTCACATCCCATGATCTGTATCAAAAGCTGTCCTAAAAAGAACGAAACACGCTGCTCCACCGAATCCGCCCACCCATCTGTGGCTGCTCCACCGAATACGCATCCAAAACCCCCTCTCTCTCCTCTTCCCCCTCCACGAACAGCATTTCCACCCGCCATGTAACCTCATACACAGAGCAGAATCGATTCCTCTTCAACGTCGATATTTTAAGCGCCCTCGTTACGACTAATTGTGGGCTGATACAGCGCAAAAACAGTGCAATCGAAAAGCTGGGTAACTCTTGCGACGATGTGAGACGCAGTTCCTTTATGCTGGCGTGACGGTATATCCAAGGGCGCTTTTCGTGGGTGTAGCCTGGGATGACTAGCTTGAGGATGTTTTTGGCGTGGCGACGGAGGAGGTTTGTTCGGGTGGCGTGGTTGAGGTGGAAGACTATAGGAACGGCTGGTAAGATGAAAGGGAATTGTCTGAAGGGGTCTAGAGCCTCTAGAGCTGATGAAACAATGGACGGCCGATTTGCATGCCCAGGAGGGGTTATCGTGATGTTGATGGCAGTTTGAAGGGCCTCGTTCATGAGTGCCAGATCCAGGATTATGTCGATAAGTTCTTGAGGGAGGTCTAAGAAGAAGGGGAATGCTGGGGCTTCTTGCTGTAGTGCGCTTTGGTGTGACCTAACTATTCGGAGCAGGAAGCCCTTTATGCCGTGAAAGATGCTCGTTTCATGAGGCTGCTCCAACAGAGGAATTGTCTGTAACTTCATTGGTTTTGGCTTCTGAACTTCTCGGTGTCGAAGGTTGTGAGACGGGCCCCAGTAGCAGGGCTGCCGCCGGATTTCAGGTAATGAGGACATCTGGAACCAGATAGGAGGTGGAAGGTTGTTTCGGGAACAAGTATTATATGCGTTCAAAGTGCGTGCTGTGGACGAAGTTCATAATACCCTTGGAAAAGAAAATACATGGAACTTGGACAGTTGGCTGTGCCGTTCCATGGTTCAGGTGCCCAAAATGAAAGGTAGCACGTACTAAGCGACAAGCGACACCGAGCGGACTCAACACACCAAACGAATGAAAACAAAACAATTTGCTCTCCATAATGTAATGCTGAAAGTAGAAGTAGAAGTTGAGTGGAAGAGTGATGGATTGTTCAGGCCTGACGGAGCCGCTGTGTAGGGTTAGCGCCGGCGGTTGCTCCTACCGAGTACATGAGGAGCACCTTCCGTCAACACGTAGATGTATCACTAGCAGTTTGAATGCGCCGTAAAAATAGTCTTCACGTTGTCCAAAGGCTGTAATGAGGATCGTGATCATGATCAAACCCCGGGTATTTGATTGAATATGCAAGAAACGCAACCTCTATGTAAAAGCAAAAACGAATATATACAAGTGAACAAGGCGGCTATAGCGTAGCGACCTCTACAAGTGGATCAAGGATGATCGAACCTGTTCTATCTAAGCAGTAGCAGTGGCCGAGGCAGCCGGAGCAGTGCCGCTGGGAACACCGCTACCGCTGGGAGGACCGCCAGCACCGCCGCCCATACCGCCAGAGTTCTCGTTCGCAACACCCCCCTCCTTGTAGTAGTAAGCCGCAGGGCTAACAGAGCTAACCTGGGTAGAGTTGATACCGAAAGCCAACCAAGCGAAGACACCGTCAGAGACAACATCGCCGAGCAGAGTGTACTCGTGGAAGGGGTCGACACCATCAGTGGCGGCCTCCTCGCTGAGGATAGAGTCGTCGGCGTTGAGAGTAACGTCTTGGGTGTTCGTGCTGTACGGCTCGGTGAGCTCGACAGCGGAGATGAGGTCCTGGTCGAAGAAAGCCTGTCCGACGTGGCTGGAGGAGACGTTGTTGCCGAGCGTGCCGTTGACATAGAGCGTAGCGTTGGTGTGCACCATTAGATGGATGTGGGTAGCGCGGGAGGTGTAGTGGCCAGGGAAGGTAGTCTCGAATTGGGCGACACCATCGGCGTCGGTCTTCTGGATGCCGCGGAGGAAGGTGTTGTTGATGTTGGTCTCATCGGAGGACTCACCGTTGCCGGAAGCAACGATGCCGGAGTAGACACCCGTTGAGTTGCAGTGCCACATCTCAAGGTAGACTCCGGTGACGGGCTCACATGTGTCGACGTCAATGACCTGGTAGTCGATCAGAGTGGGGACACCCTCCTGGTCCTCGACGAGGTTGCTGCGGATCCACTCGCCGCCGACGTAGTACGGGCCCTGGGTGACCTCGGGGGTCAAAACACAAGAGCTGTTGCCACTGAAGAGCGTGGCGGCGTCCGTGTTCAAAGTGTACCCCTGGGCGGTTTGGTTGTGGTCAGTCGCGATAACGGTGTCGAGGTCGCGCTTCTTCAAGCCACGCTTCGCGCGAGCGTTCTGCAGAGCAGCCTCGCGGCGGGCCACATTGCGCTTGTTGACACCACGAGCCTTCAACTTAGCAGCGCAGTGGCTGAGATCGGAGCGCTTCTGGGAGCCGAGGAACTCGCGACGTTCGGCAATCTCTTGGGTAAGGTCGTGGCCTGGGTGAGCAGAGACAGCCGAGAGAAAAGTTAGGCCGGAGAGAACGGTCTGAGTGAAACGCATCTTGTCGATATTAGATGGTGAATGTCGAACAACTGTGCAAAAAGAATGGAGGAGTTGCTAAAGCGACTGTGACTGTTAGGATGGAAGCGCAGTGAGTGAGCTGGATGGTGATTTCCAACTGCGCACTCCATCTCTCTTATACCAATCCTCATTGTGTCTCTCTACAGGGCGTTATGGATTCGGATAGCGGCAGCGATCCGTCATTGTGGAGGCTCACTGGGGCGAGGTCGCGGCCCGAGATGACAGGAACGTTCAAAGCGTTGGCCTTTGCTCCCCCAAACGCCACTACCGCACGCCAGCTGAACTTTCGTTATGGCCGTTTGCTAGCAGTATTCGTCAACATCTCGAAAAAGGGTGATGCGTCGTCGTCTTGCCAAGGCCCTTTTCCAGAAGTGGTTAGCGACCGCGTGTGCTTTTCACGATGCCAGTGGGGCTTCTTTCATCCAAGCCCTTCCCAGCCCTGCAAACCTCAGCCTCGCCGTCATGTCTAGAGCGCGAACAGACCACTAGCCAAGCTCTGATTACGCGGTTCACACTTGCGCCTTGCAGTTCGTGCTTTGCTGGCCAATGGTAATGGGTGCATTACATGACCGAGACAATGCCGGAGGTGACCCATGCTATCGTAGTTCAGCACGTTTCGAAACGGGCGGTTAGGGGCGGTGATCGAGCTTACGACAACGAAAAACACATCATCACATTGGCTCCCGAAAGCTGAGGGGAACAACGGCAAGTGTGAACAAGCAATCTTGGCGTCAAGCAGACCTCGGAGCTTGGCACAGGGGAGACAGAGGCCCTCAATGCCCCTAGGAATTGAGTGAATTCGTTCTGTTCAGTATTCTCGATTGATCGTGGCAAGCTACTGCTATCGAGACGTGCAGAAGCTTCAACCTTTGATCACTGCTTCAAGCCTACTCATCGTTAGCATCCGCCTCCCACGATACTTTTTCACATACTCACCTTCTTAAACCCTCATCCATCACCCTCCGCTCCACCGTATAAACCAGTCTGTACCATCCGGGCTCCAATGCATGCTCTTCACCCGGTTGCAAGAAAAACCCCTGGTCCAATGACCGCTGAGCCAACTCCTGCTCTCTCGCCGTCTGCCCCTGTCCGACGTCCTCACTTAACCACGGCGAGAGGTCAACAAACACGAAAAGCCCTGCATTGACTCTGGATAGATACTTCACACCCATCTTGGAAAGCCTTCCGGTGAAGTACGTGTACGCATCGCCCACACGCTCCCGACTCAGCTTAATGAACGAACGTAACCACACACGATCCTCTAGCATAGCAGTGCCAATGGCTACCGAAGGACCCGAGGGGTTGTGAAACCGTACCACAGACTTAAGTGCCTTGAGGAGTGCTTGATTGCGCGTGATGAGCGCGCCGACCCGTAGCCCAGGGACGGCGTAGTCTTTCGCCATGCCGTAGATAACGTGCAATAGGTCCCCGTCTATTTCCGGTTCGAGCGAGAGAACAGAGGTGAAGGGGTGAGTGCCAGGCTCGGCAGAATCAAACCCCGAGAAAGAATAGATCTCGTCGCTGATGAGGTGGATGCCGTGTTTCTGGCAGAAGCGCATGAGCGCGCTTAGCGTCTCCTTGGGATAGCATCGTCCTGTGCGTCATGAGTAAAGGACCTCCGCTTGAACGATAGAGTCTCGCATACCTAAGGGATTATGTGGATTAACAATGAGCAGAGCTCTAACCTCGATACCACCAGCCTTCGCTCTTTGCAACGTCTCCTCGAAAACATCGACGACATCAGGCTGCAAACACGTCTCTAATGGTGTATCCGCAGCGACAATCCTCAGCCCAACTTTAAGTCCAAAGTCAAGTTCGAAGCGCCCGTAATAGGGTCTGCTCGTCATGATTCCTTCAAGGCTATAAGTAGTTATATCCTTCGTTGTACGAAGCTATCATCGTACAAACGCGCACGCAACGCACCTTGTCCTGGATCCGCAACACTAAATCCCAAAATCTCATGCAGCGCCGTTGCCGCACCCGTAATTCTAATATCATCTCCACTCAATGGCTTCCATGGCTTCCAATATTCGTTCAAATGCGCCGCTAGCGCGGCGGGAAGCCGTTGCCCACCGGCAGTGCTGTAGCTGTAGCCCAAGGCTTGCTCAGGAATTTCGACTTTTGCTTTGATGAACTTGGCGAGTTCGTCTTGGACAAGGTAATTCTCTGCGCTCGTGAATTGCGTTATTACACCCGTGGGGTTTGTGTCCGGATCGTACCGTCCTCTTGGACCTAGGTCTACATAGCGCCAAGGTATGTCGAGGTCAGAGGAGCTAATGGCGGCGCGTTTGGAAATCATGATCTGTAAAGAGAAGGCACTCGCAAATGTATTCCACCAGCAAGCTCAGTTTATTTGCATTGCTGGTCGTGGAGCGCAATTGAGTTCTTATACCCGTGGGCTTGTATTGGTGGGGAGGTCGTGAGAGGCCGATCCGGACTAGTCGGACTGCCGGGACCTATCCGAGAACGCTTGACCTACAATGAACTTAGGAACGGAATGGCTTTGCCCAATCAATGTACTGGGGCATGAGACATAAGGCAGATAGAAACTACGTCCATCCCGTGATCTAACATTTTATTGGATCTGCCACCTCTAGCACCCTTTTTGGCGTACCTTGACAACGACCACTGTACACGCGACCATTCAAAGCTACCGCCTCCAGGACCTGGGTTCACACCGTAGCATTTTAACGAGATAGTGCATCAGTTTAATCCATAAAGTAAAATGTCCTCATCCTGGAGTTCCTTTGGATGGACCTTTTGCACCTTATCACCCACTTATGCCCAGCACGGTACTCATAAATCTCGCACCTCTCCCCCATCCCTGTCAACCTCTCCCCACACGCTCACAACGCAAAGTTCGTCATCCCACTCGGTGTATCCCACAGCGCCTCCCAGCTAAAATCAAACGCATTCGGATCCAGCAGATCGCTAAGCAACAAACTCGCATCGTCCATGACCGGTCCCGTATGCGCCTCGTTGAGTCCAGGCCGCTCGGGCATGACGAGCACGGCTTCTGGGGGCGGGGCAGATCCACGAGAAGTTAGAGAGGCGATTTTGGATACGGACTCGGAGCAGCGTTCGAGAGTGTAGTTCGCGATCTGTAGCAGGTGGGTCAGTGGTGGGCTTGAAAGGACTAGAGATGGAAGTGTGGAAGAGTGGGAAGGAGATAGGTTTGGGGTAGGGGAACTTACATCCCAATCATAATTATCCCTCGCATGCTGAATATGTGCGGTAAATCTCTCCAGCGTACTCACGCTTGCCATCCGCTGCTCCACATTCTGCGTCTCGACCGCGCATCTCAGGCTCACTGTCACAGCGTGCACGAGCAAATGCGTTGCATACGGCAGCCAGAAGTCCTGGAACTGGCTCTGCCCCAGGAAGCAGATGTAGTCCAGGATCGCGGTGCTCGCCTGCCGTAGCTCATCCAGTCGGGACTTCTCCAGCGCGAGGTCATCGGCTAAGATTGCCGCGCGAAGGTTCACGCGGCTGAGGAGAAGGCGAACGGAGAGAAAGCAGAACCATAGGTTGCTGGTGCCGGGCTTGTTGGGGAGGGGCAGCCATTCTGGGAGCTGGTCTTCCAGCTTTTTGAGCTGGATTTTCAGGTGCGCGACTGTGTCGCCCAGGGTCGCGCGATCGGGATTGATTTCATAGACGAGGGGGAGGATGTCGCCCAACAGCTCGGTGAGGGCACAGAGATGGACGAAGGAAATAGTTGCGCAGCGCTGGGCGGGCGTTGCTCGAACGGGCATAAGGGACTCAACGGTTGGGAGAGGAACATCGTAAAAGCGTTTTCCGATGTGGGGGAGCACGCCGTAGGCTATGCTGCTCCAATAGTCGGTGATGAGGACGCCCCAGAAAGAGCGTATGCGGTTGTGTTTCTCGGTTTCGGTGATATTCCACTTTGTAGGGTCGCGGTGCAGGCCAAATGTTTGTGCCAGCGATATCGTCCGCCCACATAGCGTGAGATTTCCCATGATCGAGACTGATGGACGGCCAATTTGATCTAATACCGCGGCGTTTACCGTGGCCATGCTCGGGCTCAAGAAATCTTCATGTAGTGCACTGATTGCCTAGACGCGTTAATGCTTTCTCTTCGTGACCGCAGAGCTGACTCACCTTGTTCCAAATATAATGCAGATCCGGCTTCGGATGCATCTTCAACGTATCGCTCAAAAACCAGTTCGAGGCCCCATTCGCAAATACTACGCAGACTAAGTTCTTGCTGACCTTTTCGAGTTGCCCCTTTCTCAACTGGAAGCATGCATCCTCATCCATTACGGGGAACGCATAATGCAGATAAGAGAAGTACAAATCAATGACCTCTCTCTTAAATGGACCGATCAACTGTTGCAGGATCTCAAGCTGCTCTTTTCCAGCGCCCAGCTCTGGCGCCAAACCGGTCCGGAAACGAGGCACAGTCAGGTAGACGATGGGATCAGCCGTGTCCTGGTTCAGCGTGCGATACTGTCCTGAATCCGTTCCTTGGCCCTCCGGCGGTCGATGCTGAGACATATGTCTCTGGAGAATGTCAACATCTTCCGCAATATGCGGCGCAAGAATGATACTCGCAGAGGGATGACTACTTGGGCGATGCAGCACGGGCGCGCTCCTCGGCCTATCCTCCTCATCCTCATCATTCGCATCCCGATTCAAACGCTGCCGTTTCGGCGTGCGCACCCCGCCGTTCGAGTCTTCGGGCGATCCATCGTTGGACTTATCCGCGTACTGGCACTTCAGGCGGCGTTCGCGACATGATAAGCACGGTTCACCGGGGATGTCGATATGGCACCTGATCTTGCGCGACCGGCAGCGGATGCATGCTGGGACTCTGTGGGAACGGTAGGGGCGACTTTGAATGGGTGCTCCAGCAGCGCTGGCCATTCAAGCCGCGGAGAGGTTTTGTTTTCAGGAGGCTTGGGATTCGTTGCGCAAATGCGGCAAATTGATGCGCGTATCCGTCGGGCAGGTAGCGGATACGTTCTGAGGCGGGTCCACGTGTAGCACGTCGATCTTTCCAGGAATGATGTGGTCAAATTGGGCAATTCTTTTTCCGTTGCAGTCGTGTTATTCTTGCGCAGACTTGCCAGAGCACTTTTCCGCGGATAATCCAGGTGTTGGAGTCAGGTCCACCTCGGCTCCAGATTCCTCAGGAGGCCGATACCGCGCCGCCAAAACTTACCCTCCATGCCTTTTCGGGAGAGAAGTCACATGTAACATGTAGGGCGCAGATCAAAACACACGCTAGATCATGATCTCGTACGTATAATACATGGTGGATGAGTTGAGATCAAATTCAAAGCACCTACTCACAGATAATGGGATAATTGACTTCTCAGTGTATAATTGGTGAGCTCACAGTAACAGCCTAAACATAAAAGCTTATGCACATAATATTATAGAACTTGTATTAAATTCCAGGTGTACATACACCATTCGTTCATTCGATGAACTCCGCGAACTGGGTATTAATGAAGCGCAGCTAATGGCATCATGATCGTACTCTTCGTCGGCTACAAGGACTACAGCCGCACTCCGCAAAGACGTCTTCTACGCAGTGGTAGCCAGTGTGTGTACCTACGCCCTTTGAGGACTTAGTTCCACCAGCTCGTGTACTCGGCACTCACACTGTCCATATCACCATCGATCCTAGACAGATAAGACTCCTGAGTCGACCGCGTGGTTATGCAAAATGGTCCACTCGCAAAGACATGGAGGAAGACAAGTCAATCACGACGTAGAATACATTCCATTGAGAGAGCTGAAAGTTGACATGCAGGATTGAGCGGAAGGCCGGGCAGAAGAACCTCACTCATCGTCCGAATCGAGGTCGTCAAAGCCCGCGAACTGTTGCGGCTTTTCGGTGGGTCTCGGTGGAAGCGCATGCTGTTGCCTCTGTTCTGTTCCTGCAGCTTGAGCAACGGCCTGTTGCTGAGCCTGAACTTGAGCTTGTGCTTGTGCACCCTGTTGAGCCTGCGCCGCCGCCGCCTCTGCTGCTATGCGATCCTTCTCGTCCTCGCCCAGCTTCGTGAGATCTTCATTTGTAGGATCTCTGCCACGGTCCAATACATACTGGATCTGCATCAGATTGCCGCGTCGAATCTTCTCCTCGTCAGGCCAAGGAAACCAGGCAAAGCCATTCGCTTTGAGCTTCTTCAGCCATTCCGCCTCTTCCTCGGTGACAGCCTTCTCCTCGCCTTCCTTTTCCGCGCCTTCTGCGGCGTCCTGAGCTGCTTCTTGCGTGTGCTGTTGTGCGGGCGTACCTATCGCATTGGAAGGCGCCGCACTCGATCTGCCGTCTTTGTCTTCTGGCTGCTTTTCTGGCAGGGGTTCGCGGTAGGTCGGAGGGACTGTAGACTGTGCAATGTTTTTTGCAAATTGTAGAAGCTCGTCGAAGGGAACCGGGCGTAGGTCATCGGGAAACTTGGTTACCGGCGTCGCGAAGAGCTCGCGACGAAGGTCCGCGAGCGCGGCAACGGACGACTTGAACTGCTCCTCCAGAGCCTCCCTCTCGGCGCGCAGGGCATGGATGCGTGCACTATTTTCTCGGTGCTGGGCGACTGGAAACCGTTAGCACACACGTACGTAGTCGTGCGGGTTTGCTAGTTACGCTGATCTATCCCGCGCGCCAGCTCATCGTCCGCAGCAATGAGGTCACCGGCGGCCTGCAGGGATGGGTTGTAGGCTGCAATGGAGTCGACGAGGGTCGTGAAGGCAGTCTCAACACGCGAGAACACCCCGTCAAGGGTGGCATCCATAGCTTCAGGCGTCGCAAGAGCTAGAGGTCAACGGAGTGGTGATTCGACGAGCCGTGAGAGGGCAGGGGATCGGGAGCTATGGTCCAGGGCGAGAGGGCCCACACGACAACAATGACACTGCCAAGCCATCCGCTCTGGGCAACCTGAAGCACGAACGAGTCCCTCTCCCGCAGCGAGCTGAAGGTGGTGTGCATAGGGCTACTGGAGCTGCAGCGGACGGCGCCAACAGCGCGGCTCTGGATGGCCAGCCGTTCGCGGGATTGGCCAGGCCGAGCAGGCGGTGGCCTCGCTTTTGGATGAATGGGCCGGAGCAAGCGCATCATGACGGCGGCGGGTTGATGGCCGCGTCGTGGGCCATCAAGCTATATTTGTCCCGCCAGCCGACCCTCACCTTGGCCCGACTGAAACCTCTCCAGCTGCCCTAACACTGTCACACGCGCACCCTAAATCTTCACGCCTTGCCGCCTTGTGTTGGCCTTCGTATCCACTGCAAACCACGGTTTTGCCCATCCGCTGCGCCTCGTCCGAGACTGACCCCGCCATCGCGCATCACCACAATCGCCGCTTCACGCCCCGCCACCCTCCCTCCAGCACGGACGGCTGCCTTGAGACCTTCGTACCTATACACATCCGCCGCCTCTGTCCCTACGACCTCCAACTGTTTGCGCCTTGAATTTGCGTCAGTGAACCGCTCCCGCCGCAGCCATGGGTAAATCGTAAGTCCCCCATGTCTCCTTCTGCTGCAGCAGCCTCCCGCCTCAGCCCGGACGACTCTTGCCATTCACTGCACGACCCGCGCAAACATGGCGCCCGCGCGTTCGACCCCGGCGTATACACTTGACAACGCTCTACGACAATCAACCAGCAGCCAACGCGACTCTACCGACTACACACGAGCGCCGCCGCGCGTACTTCAACCTCCACCAATCTCCCGCAATGCACGACGAGCACATACCGCTTGGCGACAACACCCCTCCTCTTCTGGAAGACCATCAAGTGCCACTCAACTTTGCGCGCCGGCACCACGTTGACATACCGAACCATGACGATCCCGCCTATCCGCACTACCAAGCCTTGTGCAAAGTCGCCCTGGCCAATGCCGTCAAGTCCTTTGAGGCGGAGCTCGCTGCGCGCAGTCCTGTCGAACATATTGAAGTTTTGAGCGAGACGCTGATAGTACTGCCCCGCAGCCAGAGCAAGCTTTCCCAGCAAGAGCTGGCCGACCTCCAGAAGGCAACCCACTTCGACAAGAAGGAGCTGCAGCAGTGGTATAAGGGTGAGGAAAGAGCCGCACCATGTAAATTTAGCGGCACTAAGCAATCGCAGGTTTCCTCAAGGACTGCCCCTCCGGCATGCTCACAAAGGAGGAGTTCCAAAAGATCTACAAACAGTTCTTTCCGTTCGGCGATCCATCGTCATTCGCAGATTATGTGTTTAATGTGTTCGACGCGGATAAGTCAGGCACCATCGACTTTAAGGAGTTCATCTGTGCTCTGAGCGTCACGAGCCGCGGAAAGATGGAGGACAAGCTCGACTGGGCATTCCAGCTGTACGATATCGATGGCGACGGAAAGATCAGCTATGACGAGATGTTGTCAATCGTCGAGGCGATATACAAGATGGTACGATATTCATGCTCGCGGTATTTCAGCAACTAACTGGTCTAGGTCGGCTCCATGGTTAAGCTCCCCGAAGACGAGGACACGCCCGAGAAGCGCGTACGCAAGATCTTCCGGATGATGGACAAGGACGAGAACGGCAGCCTGGATATGGCGGAATTCAAGGAAGGTTCCAAGCGCGACGAGACCATCGTCTCGGCTCTGTCTCTTTACGATGGCCTTGTATAAGACGGGCCCGGCTCCTGGTTCTGTCTCGTTTCTGCCGGTGTTTATTGGGTGTCTTGATATCAAACAGCGCATTGAATGGGTTTCTTTGGCATGCTGAAGCGTGCATGTTGGTGCGGAGGTCTGCGGTCGCCCCGGCGTACGGCACATCATGAGATGTACATAGGGAAGGCATAGCGCTACGAGGAAAGCAGGGTGTACTACCTATCTAAATATCCAACGATGGACACGACTATGTTCACAGGCCCCGGGGGTATCTCAGCCCTGGAGAGGATCAGAGCATGTGATGTATAAGGCATCCAGCGGGAACATTTGGGAACGCGTTGTTCCCCTAGCGCGCCTTCTCTCTACCCCTCCGATGGCGGGGCAAGCCCGCGCAACCGCGTCATGAGTCAGTAGCATATAATAATTTCCAAAGACCAGTCATTCGTTCACCACACCCTACAAACACCAATTGAACGCGATGCCGACGGTTCATATGCTCGACTATGTCGCCGGAAACGTGCGCTCGCTCGTCAATGCCATAGAAAAAGTTGGCTATACTGTAGAATGGGTCAGGTCGCCCGCCGATGTGCCTGCTGCAGAGGTAACAATGCCCAGCTGCTTGCTTTACATGCACCAATTGACACGTACTGATACAGCCGCACCCATAGAAACTCATCATTCCCGGCGTTGGCCACTTCGGCCACTGCATGACGAACCTCGAGAAAGCGGGTTACATCGAGCCCATCCGCGAACACATCAAAGCTGGGAAGCCGTTTATGGGAATCTGCGTAGGGTTACAAGCACTCTTTGAGGGATCGGAAGAGGACCCACAAGTAAAAGGACTGGGTGTAATACCAGCACGGCTGAAGAAATTCGACAGCAAGGACAAGAGCGTACCGCACATTGGATGGAACAGCGCAAACACTTCGCGGGCCGACCAGGTTACTGATGAGTCGTTATACGGATTACGACCGGCGTCGAAATACTACTACGTTCACTCGTACGCTGCGCCTTATAGGGAGGGTGAGCTTGAGAAGGCGGGCTGGCAAGTGGCGACCGCGCGCTATGGCGACGAAGAGTTTGTGGGTGCAGTGGCGAAGGACAATATCTTTGCTACGCAGTTCCACCCCGAGAAGAGCGGAGCGGCTGGTCTGCGCGCTCTGAAAGCATTCTGTGAAGGCCAACGATCACAAAAGCTACCAAAAGTTCCTTCAACAGAAGCAACAAGAGAGGGCCTGACACGGAGAGTCATCGCGTGTTTGGACGTGCGGACAAATGATCAGGGAGACCTCGTCGTTACAAAGGGCGACCAGTACGATGTACGAGAGAAAGACGGCGTGAGTTCAGGCGGCGCGGTGCGCAACTTGGGAAAGCCAGTCGACATGGCGAAGAAGTACTACGAGCAGGGCGCCGACGAAGTCACCTTCCTCAACATCACATCCTTCCGCAACTGCCCTGTAGCCGACACGCCGATGCTCGAGATCCTGCGACGAACCAGCGAGACCGTCTTCGTGCCCCTCACAATCGGCGGTGGTATTAGAGACACCGTCGACACAGACGGTACCAAGATCTCCGCCCTCGACATCGCGACCATGTACTTCAAGTCCGGCGCAGACAAAGTCAGCATCGGCTCCGACGCCGTCACCGCCGCAGAAGAGTATCACGCACGAGGTGGCAAATTAAGCGGCACAACCGCCATTGAGACCATCTCCTCCGCCTACGGCAACCAAGCCGTCGTCATTAGCATTGATCCCCGCCGCGTCTACGTCTCCTCCCCCGATGCAACGCCCCACCACACCATCAAGACCGCGACTAAGGGCCCCAACGGCGAGGAGTACGCTTGGTACCAGTGCACCATCAAAGGTGGCCGCGAGGGCCGCGACTTCGACGTAAAGCAGCTGGTCACCGCGGTGGAGGCTATGGGTGCAGGCGAGATCCTGCTAAACTGCATAGATAAGGATGGGACGAACAGCGGGTTTGATCTTGAGCTTATCAACGATGTGAAGGCGTCGATAAAGATCCCCGTTATTGCGAGCAGCGGAGCAGGGAATCCGGGGCATTTCGAAGAGGTGTTTGCGAAGACGCCTACTGATGCTGCGCTGGGGGCTGGTATGGTACGTGATATGTTCATCTCTGTTTTCAATCGGGGCCATGTGCTAATGCTAAGCAGTTCCACCGTGGAGAATACACGGTTAAGCAGGTGAAGGACTTCTTGCAAGAGAAGGGACTGCTGGTGCGGCAATTTGAAGACGCCGTGTAGACGCTCCGCTTGGAAAGTCCTCTTCATCGGATTGGATAGACTTTAGATATCGGTCATATCTTCTATAGACGCCCGTGCTACATCATTTTGGTATCACCCCAAACGCCAGTGATGCTCCCTACATGGTATCGAATTCGAGACCCTAGAACGCCGGAAATGCTCTGCTGTATCGTCCCTCACGCGAAGTGTATCCCCTCCTGATTGAACCCATAAAGCAGCTTCAAAAAATCACCTTCGTCGCACATCCGCGCGCGCTTCTCAGCGAGTTCCGTTTCTTCCAGCACCTTCTCTATCTTCTTCCGTACAATACTCGTCACCGCGCCCCTGTTCTTCTTCCGATTACCACCCTTCTTCTGCGCGGTCTTGAAGAAATCGGGTACCTCGTCGTCGACGTCATCGGGGTCGGAAAACCCCTTGAACTCCTCTTCGACGTCCATCTCATCCGCGTTGCCAGCGTCGTTCATCTGCGCATCGTCTGCCGACTCGTCGATCGGGATATCGTTCTGCGCGCAATACAACTTGTAGTTATTCTCGAGGAGCTCCACGACAGCGCTTGTCCCGAGGAAACTCGCGCTTAGCGTCTTGTTCTTGCGCACGAAGCATATTCTGAGGAGGCCGTCCCACTCTTCGTAGGAGATTTGGGGGCGGGGATGCTTGGGTTCAATGCGCACGACGTTGGACTCGACTTTGGGCGGGGGGTTGACTAGATAGATTAGTAAGGCTGCAAGGACCGGGAAATATTGGCTTTACGTACAGTTCGCTCGCCCGACTTTCATGACGTGCGAGACGCGGGCCCACATTTGGACTGGGAACGGTTAGATATGTGTTTTTGCTTTCACTCGACATGATAGACTGACCATTAACGGAAAGACGGGAGAATAGCTTTTCTCCTGGTTTGGCAAAGAGACGCATGGCGAATTCACGCTGTGTATTGTCGTCAGCTTCTTTCTTGCAACCTAATTAGGACCTACTGACCTGGAACATAAGAACAGCACACCGTGGCGGATTCTTAAGAGAAAGAAGTTTGAAGACAAGAGGCGACGAGATTTGGTACGGAGTATTACTGATACACACGTCGAAATGGGGGTAATCCATCTTAATCGCATCTCCCAGTAGTACTTTCAGTCTGTTTCCCTCAGGTGTACCTTGCACGCGCTTCGTTACTTCGGCAGCCATACGGGGATCCATTTCCACTGCCGTCACTGTCTTGGCCTTTCTCAAGATGAGGACAGTCAAGTTACCGGTACCGGGGCCGATCTCGAGGACGTGGTCACTCTGCTTGAGGTTCGCCTTGTCCACGATGGCGGAGGCGACGCCGGGGTTCTTCAAGATGTGTTGCCCGAGATCGTGGTTCATTTTGAAGATGCTGTGTGCGGCGGAGGCTTTTGCAGAGGGCTTTGAGTACGGGGATGATTCCGTGGCGCCGGGGCGCTTTCTCTTGTCTTTCGGCATTGTGGATGGTGGGTTTGATCGAAATAGAAGCGGTCGAGCGGAGTGGAGCGTCCAATTGGATATAGACACTCGGGATAGCGAGCTTGTGAGGTTGTTCGAGAGCGAGCGAGCGAATATGACCGGAAAAAGGTCGAAGCTGCGAACAGCGGAGGTTTCGGGGGTCCGGTTGCGCGTGGAGTTGCGATCAGAGCTGTGGTGGGATGTTGGAATAAAATTCTTATCGATAAGAGCCGAAATCTTGGCGAAACCCTACTTTTCGCATTCGCGTCTCTCCGCAACCTCAACCTCACGAAGGATTGACAACCTCCACACACTCGCTCCCCTTGGATTGCTGCAGTCTATCGACGAATCAACGCAGCCTCGCCCTCACACCCCGGTACCAACAGATCGCGCGCGCCAACGATGGGTCGCAAGCTCAAGCATCATGAGCAGAAGCTCCTTCGAAAGGTGGATTTCAATACGTACAAATCGGACAACCAGCACCGCGAGCATGAAGTCATGCGCACATACGGCATTCAGAAGCGCGACGATTATACCAAATACAATAGATTAGCAGGATCTTTGCGACAGCTAGCTCATAAATTGGCGGCACTCGAGCCGAACGACGAGTTTCGACGGAAGCACGAAGAGCTCATGCTCGAGAAGCTATTTACAATGGGCATACTGGGAACGGGCGGGTCAGGTCGTGGAAAATTGTCAGATGTGGAGCACAAAGTCACAGTTTCAGCCTTCTGTAGAAGAAGGCTACCTGTTGTTATGACCAAGTTGCGCATGGCAGGTACGTAATGACAAAATATGACTGTGGTGGATGCCTGGAACTCTCAGACATCAGCAGCTGGCCAAGACAACTACGACTACCTATTTGACCCCTACGCTTGAGCAGTACACTGACTAGGACATTTAGACAACGTCACGGCTGCCATAAAGTTTATCGAACAAGGCCATGTCAGAGTCGGTACGGACGTTATTACCGAGCCGGCCTATCTGGTCACTAGGAATATGGAAGATTTCGTGACGTGGGTGGACTCGTCCAAGATCAAGAAGAACATCATGAAATACCGTGATCAACTCGACGACTTCGAATTGGAGGCGCTATAAGAGATAGGGGGTGCATGATGGTCCAAGAGATGGGAGTAAAAAGAGTTGTGCATTGGATGGCGTATGGTTTATAGCATTACTGGGCGTTCACGTTATACAATACCCAGGTGAGGGTCAATCGACTTTCAATCTTGACCTTGCGAGTAAGACGATTTCTTTCGCGACGAACTGTCGGTGAAGACTCGCCGTTGCCTAGGCAGCACTACCTCAACAACTTCTCACGCTCAGTCTGTCACCTCAAACCCCAATCACCACCAACCTTCACTTTCGTGACTTATATATGCACTCTGATTCAGAAGTTCTACAACAAGCACCCCCGGGCCGCAAGGTAACCTTCAGTGGGGTGTTTAGAGGGTAGCGCGATGCCGTGTCCGAGGTGGTAATGGGCATTGGCTTACTGTCCCTCAGGGTTGGCTGTGCTATCGCACCAGTTCGATCCAACGGGGCAAGAAAGCAAATCGGTTCGCCCGGTTTCTTTAGACTTAACCTGTAGAAATATGGGGGACGCTCCTTTCTTTATGCTAAATACTTTTGGTTTACATCTTTGGTTTAAAGAATCGCTGTCTTGACTGCTGTCTTTCTTGTTTTGGAGATGGAGAACACGGAAAAGTGTACCAGTCTTCACGCCTAATGAATCTCATACGATAGTTCTGAAACTACAGATCAATAGAAGCTGAGCTGATTTTCATAGACCTGCCGACAGACAAATCTCGATGTGCTTCCTTTCGAAACAACGGTCGTAGTACATCGGTTTCCAAATGAACCGGAGAAGTTAAAACATACGTATTGACCATTGATTGTCGTCATGGCCGTTCGTATAGCTAGTTTAGTACAAATCAGCAGCAAAGTGTAATAATAGGAGCGACCCCGCACCACCAACCCCACAGTTAGGTGCATCATCAGCCCGAACTATCAGCAACTACAAAACCGAGTCATCAGTACGAAATACCACAAATCGTTGGAATCACCAAGACGTACCCGGGAATTAATCTAGCGGCAAAATAACAACTTGAAGTCATCACGCGTCGCAAAATGCCTCCAACAACAACACGACCACCATTCTCATCTCTCCCACTTGACAAAAACGGCCCTCCAGGAAATGCATGGGGCCTCTACGGACCCAACGACGAGTTAGGTGCCCTAAACCTCCTCACCCCCGCCATCGTAAAACAGGCCGCACAAGAAATTCAACTCGGCGAGCGCGTCTCTCTCGACTGGTACCTCAATCTACCGACATACCCATCCTTCAACCGGCCGGGCTTCAAATGGCGACTCCATAGTAAGGCACCCCGGGTCGTCAACGACGACTTCATCGACATCAACACGCAGAGCAGCAGCCAGTGGGACGGCTTCCGGCACTACGGGTACCAGAAAGCGAAGCAGTTCTATGGCGGGCGCAGCCAGGCGGAGATCGAGAAGAGCGAGGTCATTGGGATTGATCGGTGGGTGCAGGCCGGCGGAATTACGACGAGGGCGGTAATTTTGGACTATCCGAGGTATTTGGAGAAGAAAGGAAAAGAGAGTGTGAATGCGCTGCAGCCGAAGAGTATTTCGGCGGCGGTGTTGAAGGATATGCTGAAGGAGACAGGGGTGGAGCCTAGAGAGGGGGATATGTTGCTGCTGCGGACGGGGTTTACGAGGGATTATGAGGCGTTGGGGGATGCGGAGAGGAAGGCGCAGGGGGCAAAGCCAGTTGCGGAGTTTCTGGGGGTGGAGAGTAGCAAGGATGTGTTGCAGTGGATATGGGAATCGGGATTTGTGGCCGTTGCAGGGTATGTTACCCTTCACCAGTCATCATCTTTTGCTTGATGTTGTAGTATGGTAGCTGACTGCGTAGTGATGCACCATCCTTCGAGATGTCGCCGCTGGTCGGTAAACACAACGAGCCCGGTGGTATCTGGAAAGGAGAGTCATGGGAAAATGAGATGCAAGGAGGAGGGTTGATTCATCAATGGTGTTTAGCTGGATGGGGTAACTACGAGTCTTTCCTTGCCTCGACGGCGTTAGCTAACTTGGCATAGGTGTTACGATAGGAGAGATGTTTGATCTAGAGCGACTGTGCGAGAAGGCGGATCAGCTGGGTCGGTACACTTGCTTCGTTTCCAGCGTGCCGTTGAAGGTATTCTAGCATTCCGAATATTGATTCACTTGGCTGACACAATGCAGATTCCGGGGGGCGTGGCAAGCCCGCCGAATGCTGTAGCAATTTTCTGATAAACGAACAGTCAATCAATATCACTCAAGCATCCCCTCCATTTGCGTTCTCGTAGAGAGCGCCGAGCGTGACATCTGCTCTGCGTTTTAGCCGATGCATACACGGCATCATATAATTGTCCATCGCCAAGTTATCATACTAATATGCAACAGTCAACGATTCCGACATACGCCGTTCATCAGGTGTCTTATACTAATCTACCGACAAAGCCGACTTAGCTCTACGCTTCGCATACCACGGTAAGACATCCCCGCCATCATACCAACACAACTCCCTTGGTGTAACCACGCCCGTACCTTAAACATCCACTTTCCGCTGCTACCGATCCTAAAGACAATGCGATAGTCTCAGCCTCATTCTCACGCCGAACCACTACCATGCAACCCCTTTTTATCTTTATCGCCCTCCTCGCCCCTACCTTCGCCATACCTACCTCTTTCCCTCCAAACACAACTTCCCATGGGGACGCGGGAAGGATCTGCGAAAAAAGTTGCTTTAAGACTGCAGAGGATTTGGATTGTGCGCCTGGGGTACCGGGCCTAAACGGCGTATGATTGTCGTATCTTCGTGTCTGAAGGTATAGGTGAGCTGACCAAGCGTAGGCCTGTTGGTCTTGTTGCATGTATTGGGAGCCAGACATGAACCTCACTGAGGCTCTTACTGAGGCTCCCACTGAGGTTCCCACTGAGGTTCCCACTGAGGCTCCCACTGAGGCTCCCACTGAGGCTCCCACTGAGGGCGGATGTGGGACTGGTAAATAGGTTTCGAGGGATCGGTTAGTGGGAGCTTGCCTTGCAGGAGTATTTGTCTCAGTTGGTTTACGAGAGAGAAATTGGGACAATGAGAAGACTTGGAGGGTAGATGGATCAGTTGTCGAGATGTGATTAGTGATATTTTGGTGGATCGAACTCGAATTGATGCTTGTTTGACGGGAAGCCGACTTTCCAGGCTCAGTGGTGTTTCGTTCTATAGGCTATTGTATTGAATCGTCATCTGAAGCGGATGCGTATTTCGAACGGTGGGTGATACATTTTCACAGTTCAACGGCTTGAGCCTTCAAAGCTTGCTCTTGCTACGTTTACAAATGCTTAGATATTGCAAAACTATTCGCTCGCAAAGAGCATTCCACAAGCACATGACGTCACACAGTGCCCACAGGCACGACAGGGAACACCGTAGTACGCTAACTTTGAAGCGACCTCGGGGACCCCCCACGTCAACCCAACGTCTCAACTTGAACGCTGGTATCTGCATGGCCTCATCTGCTTCTCGCCTCAAAGATACGAGGGTCCGGAGAGTGAAGCTCCTCAAATGATCGCGACTGACGGCCATGTGCAGCACACCGCATTACCGTGGGTATGTCAGCTCGTCAACAAAGCCTCATCAAATTCTTGTTCTCAGATATCCGAAAAATTCTGTGATTCAACCATCTCACTCTGATGTGTTGTGCGAAGCCCTTTTCCGAAGTCCTACAATCAAATGCTAATTAGGCCACTGCGGATATTTATATCTTGAATTCAAACTACATACTCGGACCCGCACGCACACGTGCTCCCATAATGTTATCCACCACGTTGGCCGCTTACACGCTTCCTCACTTGCATACGTTTTTCTGCTCTGGATCTCGTGTCCAAGGTGGAATATCCATCGTACCGGACTCTGAGGCGGTGTTTTACGGGTGATTGATATGTTCACGTTCGTGTTCATGCCAATCTACTCACTAATCGCGACATTGAAGGCGGCTGCCAATAGTCTCGCAATAAGTGAGCAAAATAAAGACGTTGAGAGGATTGCTAACGGTGGCAGCGTTGATCCCAGATCGGCGGCGACGGAGCAGAGTGTGAAAAGGACAGAAAGTAGTGAAAAAGAACACAAGTAATCACCGCTTGCTAAAGCAAGGTCTTCTTTCAGCACTTTGATCACGTGCTGTAAGGCAACGTTCGTGGGAAATGCTTGATTTGACTTAGGTTGTTGTTGAGTGGTAACACCTAGGATGGAACCTTGGAACCCGCGATAGGGGCTCCATAGCATGGAGAGCGGCGCATTCAACCTCTTCTTCACGCACCCCCTCTCTCAACACCCAGTCGTGACCATCATATCGAAACGTCAACACAATACGGATGACGCTCTGTCCGCGAGCCACGCCACCGACTCACGCTCTCGTTCCACGAACACGATGGCGAAGCAATGTCAGAATGACGGAAACGCGGCCCTGCCAAAAGCGAAGCGACCCAAACTTTCGGCCATAATATGCGCCGGCGCGAAGGCCGTGGCCACCAAAACTACCTCAGCGTTGCTGAAGTTACCGAGCGAACTTCTGAACTCGATCTACGAATACGTCTTGACAAGTGAAGATGATCTCCTAGAGCACGTCGTTGTTCCAGAAGCTTCCAGCAGCGCTTCACCAAACGATCAAACCTGGAGCGTTCCCGCGGCTGAATCACCGTCCACTAGCGAGAAATCTTGCCGTTTTACATCATCTGAGCAGCATGGCAATGGCGGGCCTGCTCTCGAAGTCAGCAACCGCTCAAACACCCTCAACAATGCGTCCGACACTATCTTTGCCCACTACTTGCAAAAGGACGGCTCTGAATTCAATCAGCTCAAATACGTTTGTAAGAAGCTTTGGCGCGAGACGTGCCGGATAGAATTGAAGTACAACGGCGTACTGTTTACAGACGAAGCTGGTGTGGGCGTCGTTCAAGTCGAGCAATTCTTTGCCGCATGCGCTCCGTCACAACGCCGATGGCTAAAGAAGGTCACCATATTGAGCGGGCGCGATGTGGATCTCGAAGAGCACCTCTTCCAGACTCTAGAAACTCCGGTAAACTTCAACCTGATCCTCTTTATGCCCTATCAAGAGTATGTGCGGCTCGACGCCTTCTGCTTCCATCATCTTTGGATGAGTATCGAATTCGTCATCAATCCGTACCGGTTCGTCAACGGAAGTCACAACAGAAGTCAAGACGAATATGGGCCAATCAGGTCGACGCCACTTGTTTACGGTATGATTATACACTATGCTCTACGCAATACGATCCCCCTAGGGTTGGATTTCATCAGTCCCGTGGCGCAGACATATCTAGAAATGCTGGGGTGGCCGCAAGATAACGCAAGGCCTCTTCTACAAGCCCCAAACCTTAGGATCTACCCACAGAACTTGGTCCGCGGTATTGGGATCGGCGTGCTTTTGGAGCATTTCGAGAGGTACAAAACCCACGGAGACGATGAAAAGAAGCTTCTGGCCCTATTCCATAAGTCGTTGACGCAAGGCATATAGGCCGTTGGTGGGTTTCTTGCGGCGCTATGCTACTTGCTATGCATTGAGGAACGCCTACATGTCGATTAGGTTCTTCGGGAAGCTGTATAGTGGCTGGGATGTGGTCGTATATCAGAAATATATGCGGCTAGACGGTACGGACGGTTTTTGGAATGGGTTGGACTTTACCCGATACCGGGTAGCTGCAGCTTCCACTCTATAGCTCATCTAAATAGATTGAATCGATCGTATAGATCTAGCCACTTTTTCACATTGCGTTAACTCACGCTTTATAGGTCCCAACTTCAGCAATGTGTCCACCTTGCGTGCCAATTGTGCGCATTCCGATACTCGTCGTCTGTCGAAAGCATCGTGACCTTACGATGTGGCAATACTTGTGGCTAGCGAACCTTGCTCTGGCTCTTCCATCGCCGTACCTTTACCAACGAGGTGCCGCTGAATGCCCAATAGTTTTCGATGGGCGTGTGCTGCAGAATCTTTCTACCAACTCTTTCGATCTCACCGACGTATCGCCCTACAGCACGCAATACGTCAAGGGCGAGAACTTGACGTGGAGCCAGATTATCTTCCTGCCAAACACTACAACTTCCCGTTTCGATACGTTGGGCGTGCATCGCTCGCTTGAAGTCACCATCAACGACCAGTCACTCTTTCGCTCCGGGCAAGGATTGCAGAACGGCTTTCGACGTGCGGGTTTGTTACTCAAGGATGATAAGAACGCAGCTGGAGCTGATGCAGCGGATCAGGGCGTGGTCACGTTCCACTGGAGCGTGAGACAAGACTTGAGCAAACCACTCAACCTGAGTCACGAGTATATGAATGTGTGGCATGAGAAGGCCGACTACAGCGGCAATCAATTTACTTTTGTTGGAGGAGTCGTGTTGCCCGTTGATGGTGGAAGCGGTATCGATGCACCTGAGGAGAAGAACGCCTGGAGGATCCAAAATTCGAAGAACGAGTTTTTATTCCGCACGCCGATTCGGAACGATGCGTGGCAGAATTTTGCGATACAATTGGACTATTTGAATAAGTATGACAATCCCATCCCCTTTTTGATAAGGATTCCAGAAAGTTAATGCGGATATAGTACGATACAAGTCTACTATTCGGCGGGGAATGAGCCATTGAAGGATGTTACCGACAAGCTACCTAACGACAATTCGGGCGGAGGGCAGTTACAGCTCGGTATGGCAAAGAAGCCAACGGAAACGGAGACGGTGGTTTGGGATGGGTATCAAGAGCCCATACCACAGCGAGAAGGACAGATCTACGGTGGGGTCTTCGTTGAAAATAGCTCTGAGGATTGCATTAGCTTATGATCGGGTGCGAATGTCGGAGAGCTCTTGAGCTGGTAGCGCTCCGATAGTAGTAGTCTATTTAAGAACATCGGACACCGAATGTCTGGGTTGTAGGTCTGTACGTGCGGCACATCACTGAAACAGGGCTGGAAAGTGGGACCCCGTTGGAATCGCACGGGCCACCTACCCACCTCTGACTTCACTGGTCACTCTTCAGATCCATCACTACACCCAATCACTTCAGTCCCTGAGAGCGTACGATGTTGCAGCATCTCCTCTCATCCGATATGCGAACACTATCTGATTCCATGATGCCAGGGAGCGGCTCACAACGTATCGAAGTGTGATGCAAGAGAAGGACGAATCTGATCATAGCTCATGCGGTGATCAAGTACAATCCAGGCGCTTTACCACTCTGCATATCGAGCCCTAAAGAATGAAGGCAAGACCGCACGACATCACTTTTCAGATTACAGTCATCCATCGAACGTGGCCATACGTTGTTGCCAAGGCATGCATATCCACGACGCATACACCAGAGATCATGTTCTAAACGACCTGGCTGCAGCTCGATCTAGACTTTGACGCATGAACGCACGAGAACGCTTTCAAAACCTGCCCGTACTTCCCCACGCTTCGCTGACGCGCCCGTCTCTTGCAAAGATACGAAGGCACGTATCAATAGGTATCGATATTCTACGCTACCGTTGATTACCCCACGAACTCAAGCTTGGGGCCCAAAGCGGGTTTCCCCGATCTGCCTCGATTTTTCGGGGCATGTAGACTGCGCCGCATGATGACTTTGCAGCGGATTACTAAAAGAAGACAGTTTGTATCTGCACCAAATCATCGGCGTACAACTTACCGGAAGAACGATGATAAGAGCACGAAATCGGGCTTGATGCCAAGATCAACTACAAGTTCTGGGTGGTCAGCCTCCTGACGGTGCGCATCAACCTTTACATCAACACCACATCCGGAGTCTCAGAGATGACGCAGAGGAAAAGCCGAATCTCTATCTTACATTCTTCCTCAATGGACTAAACAAACAGCCTTGAAATACAGGGGTTGCTCCGACTTGCGTAAGTCTTACATGAGCAACAGCTTGCGATCGTTACGACGGAGATACAACATACGCCCGAATCCGATGCAGGGACTTCCCGGGCTTGTTCTTGAAATTAGCTGTCAAGAAGGCTCATCTGTTCGTAATACATCGATAAGGTGCGCTGGTGTTCGGACCAACGCTCTCGAGAGAGCGATTAGAGGAAGTTGGGCACCGAAGCACGCACAAAGCGATCGGCGGGGTCTTCGTCTAGTGCGCATACAGTTCTACAGTGAGGAGTCTCGGGCCTTCAAGTGGCGCATTGCTGATGAGGATAGGTGTGCGACTTATCTACTCAAATCCTCCAGCGGCGCAGTTCTCACGATCGCAGCCTGTAGGAGGTCACCGCAGCACACCACACAAGTCGAATTCCTTCAAAATACGCAAAGTACGCCTTGAATCATTTTCGCTAGCACGGGGCCAGTATGTCGTGGCCTTTCCATCCAAGGTGCCTCGCTTCGACCAAGCGCCTGCTATTGGCGGCAATACTACCAATGAGCGTATGTAGCCCCATTCTGACCGAACCACGTAAGCTAGGTTTGACCCGAGAAATCATCACCACGAATTGAACGGTCAGTCGGCCTAAGATGGTCAGCTCTCGGACTAAATGGGCCAAGGGTACGGGTGGGTGGCCCAATTGCGGCGCGGATGGTGATAGAAATCGGCATTTGTTAAGGGGATGGGACCTCCATCTCGTCTAGTTTTACGACAAGTAACTTAGCTTGACGCACCATGCACTTGGCTTGGCGACTTGGTGATGGTTTGCGAGAAGGGATGGACATAGCCTGGTCACGCCTGTCCGTACATCATTCTACTTGCGGCCGCACCAGCGATCTCAAACCCCTCTGGTCGACTTGAAAGGAGAACGTCAACATAATGGGCCGGAATCCGCCCTTATTCTAAACGAATCCACCTTCACCATCACACGCCGTGGACCGCTGCCACCGTACGTACAATTCGCATACACGAAGTGCCTGTGTGTGTCGAGGCTAACCTACGGACGCTGTTCGATCAGGCTGCGCACCAACAGTATGCTGAACAGACTGCTTCGAAAAGCCAGTCCGTGTTCAAAAACAGGCTGCGGCGAAGTTGACGATCGTTGCCAATACAATCATGCTATCTCAGCGGCACGAAAGGTAGAGTATCCGATGCTTCATGGTACGTCCGTTTCACAAGCGAACGTATTCGCGTTGACAGTATTAGGCATCACTTACCTGGATCACGCAGGCACAACCTTGCCATCAGTATCTCTAATTGATGCAGTTTCGCTACAGCAGAAGAGACTCCTACTCGCGAACCCACATTCAGCTCTATCCTCGTCGCCTAATCTTACACAAACTGTGGTCCAAGAAACACGCCTCCAGGTCTTGAAGCTCTTCAATGCCCACCCTGATCATTTCGACGTCATATTTGTTGCCAATGCTACTGCGGCCACCAAATTAGTGTTCGACGCTTTTCGCGACCAAGATCAGGGCTTTGACTACTATTACCATAGAGACTGTCACACTAGTCTTGTGGGAGGAAGGGAGCTAGCACAACGACACTGCTGCTTCGGTGGTGATGATGCAGACGATGTCACCGAACGGTGGCTAAGACGTGGTAGTGAGGATAAAGATGCGAGCGCATGGCAAAGGCCCGAACTATTCGCGTACCCAGCGCAATCAAACATGAACGGTCGTCGATTACCGTTATGCTGGTCGGCCACTATGCGCAGAGAAGGGAACCACAAAAACACATTCATCCTACTCGACGTCGCAGCGTACGTATCCACTAGCCCACTCGATCTCAGCGACCATGAAGCGGCTCCAGATTTTCTCACGATGTCGTTCTATAAGATATTTGGATTTCCCAACCTAGGGGCACTGCTGGTGCGTAAAGCCGCGGCGCACATATTCGACAGAAGACGATACTTCGGCGGAGGCACAACGGACATGATTACATGCAACGAGGTCTCCTGGGTAGCAAGGAAGAAAGGCTTGTGCAACTTATTGGAGGATGGGACCGGACCCGCACACAGTATCTTAGCGCTGGGTTGTGCGATTGACGTCCATCAAAGAATGTACGGTGGGCTCGAGCAAGTTTCAAAACACACGAGTTGGCTGGCACAACAGCTCTATGAGCAACTAAGAGCCTTGCGACATTCGAATGGGCGACCAGTATGCGCAATATACAAAGACCCAGCATCGACTTACGGCGACCCTGTTTCACAAGGTGCTACTGTAGCGTTCAATGTGTTTGGGGCGGACGGACGCTACTTCAATACAGCTCTCGTAAGCAACGAGGCTATGGCAAACAATATTCATATTCGAGCCGGTAGTCTCTGCAACCCAGCTGGTATGGCTCACGCTTTGAGCTTCAAGGACGACGACCTACGGCATATATACGACGCTGGTTTACGATGTGGTGAAGGAAACAACTGGACAGGCATGCCGCTTGGAATGGTCAGAGTGAGTCTTGGCGCGAGCAGTACACTGTATGACATTCGCGTATACATGCGGTTCATGGAGGAATATTTCGTTGATCGGATTTGCAATGTGGACGATCGCAAAGGTACGTTGACCGAGGCAAGGATGCTCAATAACTTGGACTCAAGACCGATGTCACGCTCAATGTCATCTATTTCGGTGACACTGGTGCGTAGCGGTAGAGAAGAACAAGAGCGGGACGGTTACTGGAAATCCAAACTGAGGAAGGCGAAGAGCAGGGCCACACTCCGTTCAAGACGTTGGTAGACTCTGCAGAAAATATGTACACTATATTCACACACTCCACCAACGTCCATGTCAACAACGACATACCCTTCTGGATACCTTGGCAAATGGATCATCACGTGATGTTGCTCAATCGCAGCGTACAACATTCGACGACCTGCAATCGTTTGTCTCACGGCTGAAGGAGATTGCAGAGGAGAATTGCTCAACTATCTCCATCCGAATACATCTCAAGTGCAATGGATATCGTACAGCAAAGCACGTACGCGTCTCATGCAATGTCGACAATCGTCGAGTCATGGGATCTCGCTTGGCTTGCATTCGAGGCCACCAATCGATGTCGATTTGAGTCGACAGAGCGATAAGATGTAGGAGCGGGGTAAGCGCTAACGTGATGTGATTTCTCCTACCCCCAGCGGTGAACATTTCCAGAATTGAACCGAATAAGCATCACCGCATCAGTTTGTGACTTCCGCAAGCCAATGTTGTGTTGTTTTCGAATGGAAAGCACCTGTGTACACATCTTTGAGCCCACATATTGCCACCCTCCGCAGGTACTGTATTCTTCGTATGGGTCCTGGACAGCTCCAAGCGCACCAGCCTCCGCGCAAGTTCCTGGTTTGACATTACCAGTGCCTTTTCCACCTTTAGTTAGCTCGCGAATTGATGTTGATGTCACTGGTCTGTGCGTCCACACGTAGGATCTCATCCTTTTCCTCTCTCGCCTTTCTGCCAGCTGTCTGTCATATAACTTGCTCGACCGCTCTCTTGCTACATATATTGTATCTGTTCATTCAAGTGCTCAATTTATTTTGCATGTGTTTCGTTGATGTTACGCCAACCAATTGAGCGACACCCTCTGATAAGCGATGGCAGCACTTTCTACACCGCATCAGTCACACTGCTACTTCTTTCACCTCCCACCAGAACTTAGAAACTCCATCTATGAGTATGCTCTTACAGAATTCAAACCATTGCTCTGCACTGCCGGTGATGCCACTGGCTCACCAAAGCTACTGTTACGATATCAATTCGGGAACAACGAAGCCAAACGCGAGGCCAACCAACTGAAATACGTATGTCGCCAACTCAACTATGAAGCTCGAACGCTGTCTCTAAGATACAACGACATCCATTTCCATGGCATCGAAAACTTCGAGAACTTTCTTCTCTCCAGCACGCACACACTGCAAAAGCGCTTCCGTAACGTCATCATCATCGACGACCACGAAAGCTTGAAAAAGAGCTACACAATCAACCAGCTAGTCGACCGCTCCATGTCTCCGGTTGTATTCGGCTTTTGCTCTCGCAACCCCAAGGCACGAGTCGTGATCCGGAATTCGCGTCGCTTTACCGAAGGCGCCTGGCTGACGATCTACGTTAAACTGCGACAAACGCTACGCGAGGACATGGACGAGAAGCTAGATAACATGTTTGATGCTGAGACGGCAGATCTCATTAAGGAAGGTTCTATTTCGCTCAGGAGAGAGCTTTTCGGAAAGTACCAGAGGCCGTTTCTTCAGAACTTGAGGATCGTACCGACTGCCGATTATCCGAAGAAGTCGGCGTATTGGAGCGACGTGCAACTTGCGGAGGCTAAACGCCTGTACGAGGAGGGTTGCTGATGAGTTGCGAAACATTATTTGTGGTGAGATTGCCACCTCGGAACACTGGCTATCGTGGTCTGGGTGGGAAGAAAGTGAAGGGTATATGCTTCTCTTACCGCTTGTCTATTGGTACTGATGGAAAAGCCACGATGGATGTACCCGATCCCAAGCCTCATAACGATGCTTCAGAGCAATCGCCGAGAGGAGTTGTGTCCGGAACAAGGGCGGTGAGTCGAGTGATGGCGAGCAGACTTGCAAATTATTGTACACAAATGGTCCTGGTAGCGCACTCAAGGTAGTTCGCTCGCATGATACGCTACACATTCTTTTGAGATAGGAACAAGCCAATGTTTCACTCAAGGGCTTCAATTACTGCGATGGAAATTCGCTATGACACTGTCTATAACGCCTTCTATCCATGAACAATGATGAAGTCAAGTTCCATAATGAGCTTTTTTCCCCTCAGGAGTATCGCTATTAGAGAACCATTGGGCCTTCCACCACTTCTCGCGTGGCACGGCCGAATGAGATACCATCCTTGAGATTGACTATCTAACCCTTAACTAGCATGACCAAGTAGCATGACCAAGTTGAAGCAAATGGCGGTCCTGTATCCCGACATAGCGGAAGACATGATCTTTTGTGATACCCGTGGAAACATTACCAGTGGGATCTTCGAGTTTAGCCATTCTTCCACCTCCACTTTCGGTCTCCATCAACCCGGTGTTTTTCCTGGTACACCGTTGCAGTGGAAAAACCACGAGCGCAGGTAGGAAAGTACCCTCGATAACATCCCATCATGAGCTTGCAGGTCTCTGGTGCTGCACACCGCAATTCCGCACCTGTTTACCGTTCTCATCTATTGCTCAGGATAAATGCACCACATCGGCAAGACGTAGCTACCGCTTTCGCCCTTATGGTAGTAAGCGCACCTTATCCCCAGTCTATGATAGAAATCAACCCACACGCTCTCGTACCCTGCTAGATCGGAAGAATTCTGTTCCTGCTTGAACTCGAAAACAAGGCACTGACGTGAGTAGCACACGCAAAGCTTCTCCAGGGGACAAGGATCAATGCATAGCAGCTCCAGCCAGCGTGCGTTCTGATTATCGATGAGTTGCTGGAGGTTTCTGACGCAGGTCTGTTTGTCTTCCCATTCCTCATACTCTAGCATTTGTGGGCAAAATGAATCTTGACACATCTGGTGGGAATGAATGTCGGGTTCTTTGTCGGTGAAGTAGACCCTAACACGAAATCGATTGCTGTGGGAAGCCTTCAAAGACAGCGAAATTGCCTGCGCCCGCAGGAGTGGGAGCCAGTCAACTTGCGAGTCCCAGCTGTGACCGTGGGGCCGGGGATATGCAGGGATTGACATTCGGACTTCGAGCTCTTTGATGGGGGGATGCTCGCCAAGCAACTTGATCCACTGCTCGAGGTCACCGTAGCTTATCGAAATGCGAGCATACTGTCGGTGAACTATGATACGATTAAGAGGTAGCCTAGGGTATGGACGTTTCAGAAGGCATACTGGGAAGGTATTCATCACGAATCTGACGGCAGACGCGCGTAAGTCCTGCATAGTTGCTCTTGAAGTCTTGACCTTCTCTCTTCGTGTCGCTTTGGTCACCATCGTCGAAACAGCGTACGACGTGGACAGGTTCGTCATCTGTGGCGACGAGCTCGTAGATGCGGTTGCGAAGCTCTGCGGCAAAGATCAACACTGTGTTTGACATTAAGATCCGTCGACCTAGATGGACTCACCTCCCGGAAGCTTCAGGAGCGGAGATTGAGGCCCCATCGTCGCAACGGTGCTGATGCGGCCGAGCTATTGCAGTCGATTGCTATGTTGCAAGAACAGGGCAAGAGAGAGAGATATATACATATAGAGAGAGAGCGGAGTATTCTGGGGTGTTGAGCTTCAATTATTGCCGCGGTGATTGCGGGGCGGCGCTAGCAAACGCGGAAGGCGCAGGTGAAGGCAACTGCGGCTTCATATTACTGTCGGCCTTTTGTGACGATTACACGCCCATCCATACCCACATGCATACTCTCAGACACTGTCTTTAACCCAAGATCCTCCGCCATTTTGTGCTGCAATGCCCGCCTCACTGATCCCACCGAGTCCATCGCGAGGACCACTTCCCCCTCTTCTTTCGCGAAGTTTACCAAATCGCGCAGGTCTTGTATAGCAGAGTCTTCTTCACCAGCATGTGCAACCTTTGCATAGGTCCATGAGGTCTGTCTAGACCAACGTACGTCGCGCAACCATGCCAACCTATTCGGCGCCCCTCGACGTTCAGCTTTTCTACCCACTCCCGTTCGCGCAATCTGTCGAGCAACGATATTGATATCCACAAAAACTGTGTCCTCGCCAGAAATCCAGACGCCATCAAATTCAACAGGAATGCCGGTTTGAATCTGCAGTGCTTTCATAAAGAATGTGCTCCTTTCACTCAATCGCCCTGTTGCACGGATGGTGACGCGGCCCGAATAGTGCTCGTTGACAAGCCGTATCAGTCTCGCGACTACTCCGCTGTGACTCGCCAAGAAGTGCTGCGTGCGCTTATCATGCACAAAGGAGTTTATCGTCAGGCCGTGGCGGTTACGCAAAACCGCGGGTGCAGGTGTAACATCAATCCAGATCTCTTTCGCCGAGGACGGCAATTTCGTAATCGCCTCCTCCCATGAGCGCCAGTAGCCTGGCTTGCGGAAGTAATGATGGCCGAGGCACCAACATGTAGTCATCATCTGCGATGCTTCCGAATTGTGGAAGACATCTAGGCATATGCGCTCGGTTTTGAGACTATAACTTCGTCCGTGTATCGTGATGGATGGGGTTTGGATCCGAGTGATATCTTCGGAGTGAGCGAAGGAATGGATAGGCGACCATGATTCAATGACGAAACCCATGTCGCTCCTGAGTTGTAGATTGACGTGCAGGAGGTTAAGCATGCTTTGCGGCCAGTGTTTTCGAACGGGAATTACATCTGGCATAGCCAATGCCAGTATACGTTGGCGCAACTCAGTAGGCAAGTTGGAAATGGCTGGCATGGTAAGTTTTGACTACCGTATAACAAACGATAATGGAGTAAGATGCAGGTCTTAGAAAGGGTGTACACCGAATGTCACGGTCGGCATCAGCCTACTAGTTCAGTGACTCACAGCCACAGTCCCCTGTGACCTGCGCTTCGATGACTGGCCTAGTGGGTGTTGACAGCGATATCATTGACGAGGTTTAGAACAATCTGCATCGCATGCAGTGGGATAGAAGAGGCTAGGCAGTACGGACCGTTACTCGGGCCTGTGCTCAGACAAGGTGATGGCCATTATGACGTCATAGAACAAGTATGTTGTTTCCTGAGTGTGACCAATCACATCGCGTATTCTGCAATTCATTTCATTTATTCTTAATCATTTAAGACAAGTGAGTGTCCCTTGGAGTGTGAGACCGACAACTCGTCAAGAGCGTTCTGCTGTTGATAATCCGTAACTCAATTCAACCGCGTCCTGAAGAACCATGGAAACGCACAGAGTTCACAACTACGTGACAGTTCTCGTGCCAGACACCAATGCCCGGATCATTGTTCTTTCTCGAGAGGTCCTAGTTATAGTGTAGTCGCACGACCCAGGTGCCGTCGTAGTTGACTTGGGAATGCTCGGGGGGGCAGCCTCCAAACCCCAGCTCCTGAAGGAACATGGTCTCCGAGCTCTCACCTCTCATTCCGAGTTGCTTTGGCTTTGACTTGAACTCCAACAGGATACAACTATCGAGAACACCGAAGAGTGCCTTTTCCAGTGGGCAAGGTTCTTTGCGTAACAAGTTCATTAGAGGTCCGCTTTGCTGGTCGAGGAGTTCCTGGAGGTTCTCTTTGAAATCGTCTATAGCCTTTGTGGGAAAGGTCGAAGTATACCGCGATGGGGGGTGATCATTTGGCATTGCGCCGATACAGTGAAGTTGGATGCGAGATGGGCTGTTGGAGGTAGCCCGTGCCCGCATGATTGGGAGCCAGTTGGCATATGAGCAGAAACCACTGTAGTGATCCACAACATGGACTTCCTTGAAGGGGATGCTCTGCGATTGCGTCCACTTCTCGAGGTCATCATAGCGTATTGCGACGCGAGCATTCTGGCCATGTACTGTGGAATGTCGGTTAGTCCAGCACCTTCAAAACTCATCGTCGGACTCTGGAAAACGCAAAGTACCGACGATGCGTAGACCACTTACTGGGAAGGTACTCGTTGCGAATTTGATGACAGGTACGGGTCAGGCCTGCGTAGACCCCGTCCTCGACATGCACATTGCTTTCGCCGCAGTGCATGATCCAGACCGGCTCATCATCCGTGGCGACAAACTCGTAGATGCGGTTGCGGAGCTCTACGATAAGAATTAGCATCTCAGTATATTTATAATCATTAGGATCGTTCAGCGTGCCCGTACTCACCTCCAGGAAGCTTCAGGAACGGAGATTCCATGTCTGCGACGGCGCCGTTGCACTTTCTGGTGTGGTGTCGTAGGTGAGGGGTAGAGATTGCGAGGGCGAGAAGTAACTAGCTTTTATGGTTCGCTCTTAGTCGCCGTCATGGTCACGGGCCCGCGCTTACCGTACAGGGGAAGGCGCAGGTGAAAGCGAGGACGGCGGGCAAACGACGAGCATAGAACGGACCAGGTCAACACTATTGAGTATCATTACTCGAATGTATTGATTACTTTTAGCACTCGCAGAAGAAGGAGCTGTTCGTATTCATCAACAATCTATCAAAAACATTTCTCCTGCTCATAGTCTTTTCCGATCCTGTGCCTCCACCTGATCCTGACCCTAGTGGTTCCCAATACATGTACTGCCAGATCACACTCCCTTTTGCTCTTCCCTCTCCTGTACCTTGAAGAAACGCCTTAGTACAGGTCGTTCGGAAAGTGAAACTATCAGGGTGGTGCTGATGGGTTACCCAATGACCAGCGTACTTCCACTTCAGCTCACGCAAAAACTTGTCCACCAGATTCACGTTTGACAGCCACTTGTTTACCGGCTTGAAGTCGAACTGGACTCCATCGATTGCGACTTTCAAGGAAACCCTCTCCAAAGGGCAGGGTTCTGCACATAGCACGGCATCCCAGGAGTCATTCCAGCGGTCAATAACCTGCTGGATGTTTGTAACATGGGCTTTGTAAGGATCCGCGAGGTACTCCTTGATGACGTAGACTTTGAAGTGATCGTTGTGGGAGACCCTCAAGATAGCCCGAGCCCGCAAAATTGGTAGCCAGTCGATGTATGAGTCAAGGTTGTCGAGCATTGAAAAACGGATATGAAGCTCCTTGATGGGATTTTGCCAATCCTGGGAATCCATCCACACCTTGAGGTCGTCGTACCTCAACGAGACGCGAGCACATCGTCGGTATACTATATCGAACGGTTAGTACAGAATCGTAAGACAAACGTTTGGTATCTTGAGACTTACTGGGAAGGTACTCGTTGCGAATCTGGCGGCAGACGCGGGTCAGACCAGCGTGAGCTCCACGCTTGAAAAAAAAAGTCATCGAATGTGCTGACAGGGCCGAGATTTTCGATCCTAACCAGCTCACCATCGGTTACAGCGACAAGCTCGTATATACGATTGCGGAGCTCTGCATCATGTTCAGTACGTGGTAGTGATTCAGATATTACGACCTTTTCACTTACCTCCAGGGAGCTTCAACAATGACGACTCCATCCTTGCAGCAGCGCTCATGTGGTAGTGTTTTCGTGGTGTATGCGAGGCGTGGATATTGAGCGAGGGACAAAGGTATGTAGTCCAAAGCGTTGAGCTCCCTGTTGCCGTGGTCACTGCGGGGCAGTCACAGAAGGGGAAGGCGCAGGTGAAAGTGAAAGTAGCGTGCGAACAGCTTGTGCTTTCGGATCGTGCAGATATTCAGCATGACTCGTTTGAGCATGTTCACTACGTCGCTACGTTTCATTCCATGCTCAATGATAATCTCCTCGACTTTCCAGACCACGCGCTAATACTCATACTGCTAGATATAGCCTTTCCAAGAACGCAGAGCACAATCCTGAGTGTCAAAGACTAGTAAACGAACGTTGTGGCGATTCGTGATTCATCGTCATCCCAACACACCACGACGAGGTTCGTTCGAAACCACTGGAAGGCAACCAACACATGCTCCAGTCCCAATTCCATCAAGAAGTCCCAACACCCCCTATGTGTCGTCATGTGGAGGTCTTCAGCTCCAGGTCCTATGGACAAAGTGATCCGGATTCCCCTAAAAGAGTTGACGGTAAACGAGCGGAACTTGCAAGAAGTGTCTCGGAGAACAGCCGAATAACTCGTGTTTTGAGCACCCAAGAGCATGTTCATCCCTGTCGCAAGACGGTGCGCGTCCTGGATTTCGTTGGAATTCAAAATCTTCTTCAGTTCAGTTGGTCCAAAGGCTCGACACAAGAAGCCGGCAGGCGATTTGGCTAGGGCTCGCAAGATGGGAAGAAGCTGGACTTGGACCTCCCGAGTGCCCTCGCTAGTATAGGGGGGCTTATGGAGGGGACGGATTTCAATCTCCAGCGCCCTGACAGGGTTGTCCTCGTTGAAGAAAGTCTCGATTCAATCGTGGAGTTCTTCGTAGTAGACATAGAGCCAGGCATTTTGTCGCTGTACTGTGATCGTTTCAGCTACAGGACAGCGCATTATATAAAAGCTACTCACTGGGAAGGTACTCTTCGCGGATCTGGCGGCATACGCGTGTCAAGGCGGCATAGGTACTGGGAGTGTTGGTGGGAGTCACCTCGTCATCCTTCTTCCAGAGCTTGATCCTGATGGGCCCATCGTCTGCTGTAGCGGTGAGGTGATAGATGCGGTTTCGGAGCTCTGCCCTATGAGTTAGTGCACTCTAAAAGAGCAAGACAAGTCTTACTACTTACCTCCTGGTAGATTCAAGAATAGAGGATCCATCGGCTTCGCACGTTGCTGAGCTGTCGTTATGTTACTAAATGGCGATTGTGCTGATGAGGGTGGATTTTTATGGGTAGTGCGACTCTAGGGCAGAGCTAGGAGGGGAGTGAACGTTGGTTGATTCCATCAAGGGGGCCTCTGAGGGTTGCCTTCGTTCTCATATAGAGGTGGCGCCAGTTGATGTGTATCCCCGTGCGATTAAGCTGAAAAGGCAGCATTGCCAATGTGATGCATGTCTTGATGTCAATGCGGTGAAAAGAAGCCGGTTTGCGAGGCTTTAGCATTCTAGAAGTATCATAGAGCGAGTTAAGCTAGACTCAATATGAGACATTCATATGGGTAAGGAGCAGGTGTTTGCCTATGATTCTGATGACTGGTGACCAAACAATCCAAAAGCCCCCCTCAAACTAATGCTCTAAGTATCTGTGAATGTATCTGGGTGTGATGTGCATACCTGGACATGTCTAACTATTGTAACATATACCTGAGTGTATCTGACTGTAGAGTGCATGCCTGAACATGCCTAATTAGACACCTATCTATATAGGTGGAAAGACTATAGGCTGAGTGTAGCGCATATAAAAGCACCCGGACTCATAAACTGTAGGATTTAGTCGATAAAGAACATATGAGGGTGTCCTGAGCCATTCATATAGGTGAGGGGCAGGTGTTCCAAACGCCTTTGAAAGCTGATGTCTGTTGATCAAGCTTGCTTGCTAACTCTTGAACTTTGATACAAGGGTAGAGCCTGGCGCCCAGAGGTTCTGTTTTGATGTCGGCCATTGTGAATGGACCTGTTTCCAAATCACGGGGAAAGCAGTAGCTAACAAGGTCCTATACCGAGGGTAACCGCGAACCACGAACATCCGGCGCGCCCTCTCTTCTACAAAGCTCCGATGAAATAATTCCGAATGCACGATTCGGTCTTAACATGCTCTGCCCGCGCATTATTGCTTAATGTGGAATAGTTCCCCACAAACGCACGAGCTAACATCGGTTCCAACACCGCTATTAGTAGCCTATTACCCTATAAATACAACCACGCGATAACATGATCTTCGAAAACATGCCGCTATGATAAGACTTAAAATGACATCTTGCGTGTTATCAACGACATTCACCCTTCCCCCGACATCTGCGTGGCCACCGTAGTACAATACACACTCCGCAAAATGCCCCATTCATCCCCACCCTCCCCAGAATACCGCTACGGCTTCGTCGACGACTACAGCGAAGGCGCCCACCCCCAACTCCTCCAAACCCTCATCGAAACAAATAAAACACAGCAAACCGGCTATGGCCGCGACGCTCTCTGCACGCTCGCCCGCCAGCGGATCCAGGCGCATCTCGGCCGCGACGACGTAGGCGTCTTTTTCGTCCCCAGCGGCACTTCCGCAAATGCCATATCCATCGCGGCCTGTCTGCGGCCCCACGAGGCGGTCATAGCAGCTTCCTCCGCGCACATAGTAACGCGCGAGACCGGCGCCGTTGAAGCTTCTGGCCATAAAATCATTCAGGTCCCGCCGCAAGATGGGAAATTAACGCCGCAGAGTATTCGAAGGGCGCTGGACGATAATTGGCACTTCCCGCACATGGCAAAGCCGAAGTTGGTGTCTATTTCGAATGCGACGGAGATAGGCACCATCTATAGTAGGCAGGAATTAATGGCTATTAAGCGGCTTTGCGAGGAGGAGAAACTGATTTTGTTCCTGGATGGGGCGCGCATTGGGACGGCGCTGACGAGTAGTAAAAATGATATGACGATGCGGGATATCCTAGAATTGACGGACCTTTTCTGGATTGGGGGGACGAAGAACGGCGCGCTGCTGGGCGAAGCCGTCGTTGTGAAGGACGCGACGTTGGCAACTGAGTTTGAGTTTTTCGTAAAGCAGCATGGATCGCTGCTTGCGAAGGGGAGGATCATGGGCGCGCAGTTCGCGGAGCTGTTCAATGGTGATCTCTACTACGATCTTGCGCGGAAAGCGAACGGGTGCGCCGAGTTGCTGTCTCAAGGGATCGTCAAGGCTGGCTTCGTGCTGGATGCTGCGACCGAGACGAACCAGGTCTTTGCTGTGCTTCCGCTTGATCTGATCCAAAGGCTCAAGGACCACTTCAATTTCTACGTTTGGGAACAACGAGGTGAGGGTAAGGCTGTCGTTCGGCTGGTAACTACGTGGGCGACCGAACTGGGGCAGGTGAACAAGTTCATTCAACTGGTACAAGAGTGGACTATTGAGAAGGCAAAGTCGGCGTGAATACCGAAATCTCCGCGTCCGCTGTAAAGCAAGCACTAGGACTCTGTCACTGTGCTGCGTTGGCGACGCATGTTGTCCGCATCGAATTCAGGCCCTAAGCAGCTAGTATCCGGTCACAATTCCTCCTGCATGGCCCCAAAGGCCTGCTTCAGCCCTGTTGAGAGCTTTCGCACAGTGCGTCCTTAAGATGAGTCGTACCATACTGAGCAATGCGGTCCTCAAACTTCTGACCTAACACTATATTGCTCGACGATTCCTTCGGCGCATAATCCTCGCGGCTAAACCGCGCGCAAATTTCTTCAGCTCTGCTTCTCCCAGTTCTCTTACCTTCTCAGACTGTGAATAGGACCACGGCCCAACAGGCAAAGTACCAAGATCGTGCTCCAATGTAAGTGATCCGGGGTCTTGGGCACCAGGCTTGAACCAGCATTTGTAAAGCCTACATGGAGTAGCGCGCAACATGGTGAGAAAAGCCTCGTTCTGGAACATGAGTACGGCCTGGAGGTTGTGAAAGCAAAGGCAACCATCGCCCCACGGTAGCGTAGATTCCTGCCAAAGCTGCCATTCATGTGCAGTACTAGGCCGTGACAAGTTGTAGTTGGCGGGCACCACATTGTATTTGAGGACAAGGCAGGCGAATCGGCCAGAGTAGCGGGCTTGCGCACGTAAGATGGGGAGAAGATCCAAATTGGGGTGCTCTTCTACCCACACGAAGCGGATATAAAGCTCCCTCCCGGGGTTATCTGCATCGAAAAAGGTCTTGATGAACCCCTGCAATTGGTCGGAGCGCACTGAGACACGGGCCTCGCCTTGCTGGACTGTAACACCAGGTAAGCTACCGTTGCAATCGAATCTGGATGGACAGCTTACTGGGAAGATACTCTTGGCGAATCTGGCGGCAAACGCGTGCTAGACGGCGTACGTGCCCACCTTCCAGTGCCAGTTGTCACTTCCCTGGTACTTGTGCTTGATCTTGACGGGACCATCCTCAGCTGTCGCGGCGAGGTAGTAGATACGGTTGCGTAGCTCTATTCGTAAATTAGTATACACAAGAACTTGCATTCCACGCGTTCACAGTGAGAATTGGTGTGACGCTCGCTTTGTGTCTGTGGAGCATAACATATTCAGCCTTGATTTACCTCCCCGGAGCTTCAACAACGGCGACTCCATGATGTTTCGACGGCGGTGGCCGGAGTAGACGAGCTATTGCCACGACCGAAGTTGGTGTACAATCGAAAAGATTGAAGTTGAGGTGAGGTAAGTGCTACCGAATTCACGTCGCCAAGGCGACCACAGGACACCAAGTGAAAGTTGCGGTAGAACAAGCCAGTGAGATCACTTGAAGGTATAAGCAGGTGTAACGAACAAACAGAGACAATCCACACCAATTCGCCAAATACGGGAAAGCCACAACGGGAATAGAAAATCTCACTCAACTTTTGATCAAAGTTCGTCTCATCCCCCAACCTCATGCTTCCACACGCACTCCTCCAAATCCACCCAAAAGAACCACCCCTCACCCACCCGCCTCTTCCACCCCTTCTTCATCCCCACCTCTCCCTTCGAAACATTCACCGTCGTCCACGCCCTCCTCGTCCTCTCAAATATCCCTCCTCAATCCCCAACACCCCCAACACAACCCCCTCGGCCCCTCACCCCTTCACAGATCTTAACTCCCTAGCCCCCGCCCGATACAACTCTTTCCCCACTGCGCAATCTGCTTGTTATCGAGTCGTATAACGTACTCGTGCTTTCCCCTCGTGGGTAGGAATGCATATCGTGAGTAATGCATAGCGTGGATATCGGTGCTTGCACATTTTGGAGGTATTCAGTGCGCTGAGAAGGACGACTGTTCGGAGGTATTCATTCTCGCACATTTCGTTGTAGAATCGCGTCAGAGGCTGTGCGACGGCGGGCATGAGGAAGCGGAAGTCTGCGATGTCTGTCATGGGGAGTGTACCGTGGAGAACGAGTAAGGCACTTAGGAAGTAGGTGTTCTCCCAGTGTCGGATCGCATTGTCGGGCCCCGCTCTGAGTATGTTGGCTTGGTGAATTGGCGGACGGAGATAGGGTGGTAGGGTGATTGCTTGATGAGCTGCTGCTCGTGGAAGATCCGGGGGCGGCGGGCGGTGGAGGATATGGGTTCGCTGGGCTTGTCGCGTATAGCTGCGAGAAGGCGCTGACTTCGTGGATCAAGCTTTGTTTGTCAAGGCGTTTTGTAGGATTCTCAACTCGAAAACATGATTACCTTTCTCCAAACTACCATCATCCAGGCAGTGAAATGGGAACGAATATTTCAGCTTTTCAATATCGTCGCTCCTCAGCGTACCGCTATATGCGCCCCACGACCATGTCCACATATAGGATCGATTCCTCAGCTCTCCTTCTCCATTCGACATAAGCAAAAAGCATATGGACATTCACAGATTACCAAGATTACGCTTAGCGTAGATATTCGATATTCATATTATATCCAGAGCATCGCTCAATAAAGTCATATTAACTTGCGATCATCCTCATGATCATGATATCCGTAGACCAGCGTTCTATACAATGCTCGCGAGCCCAAAGCTCAGCCTCCCTTCATTTAATTGAACCCAAAAAACGCCAACGCTAATGCTATACAAAGACCCATAAAGAGTAAAACCGCAGCCAAAGCCGCAAGATGAAAACGATCCCGATCTAAAAAATTTACAAGAGAACGGACACGACGCCGATGAATGCCGCTAGGGATACAGCTAGGAAAGCGCTACCTGGCAACCGCAGCGCGGCAGAGGCCTCGGGAGCGGGCGAGCTGCCCTGTGATTCGACCGCGTTGTTGGCTATAGGGCTGGCTGCGCTATTTGACGCAGCAGGAGAGGCGGGGGCAGAGGTCACCAGAAAGCCCTTTGAGTCGAAAGATTTAGCCTCTGAAGATGCCAGCGCAGGAGAAGCGGGAGCAGAGGTGACGAGGAAGCCCTGGGAGTCGAATGATTTGGGCGCGGAAGATGTCCCAGCGGGAGCGGTGTAAGCCGTGCTGAAAGTGGTGACTTGCTCAGAAGCGCCAGATGAAGCCGAGGGCGAAGCTGGTGAGGATGGCGTAGAGAAAGCGGCTTGGGATGTCGACTGTGGATAAGTTAGCCAGAGCGCAAAAGCAGGGAAGGGAGGGGTGAAAAAAGGTGCTTACTGACAGGAGCTTGGCTTGGAGGAACGACTTTGCCAGAGTCAGAAACAGACCATCCGCTCGGTAATCCGGGGTAGTTGCCGTAGGTGGTGGTGGGAACAGTTGCCACGGTGGTGTCAGGGACCCAGGGATAGACGCTCGGCCTGGTGTAGGGAGAAGTCGTGTGAGGGGTGAAGGGAAGAGGAGCTCCGGTGGCGGCGGACGTGATACCAGGCGCTTCTGCCTCAACAGCGCTTCCGCCGGTGTTGATGGTGCCGCCATTCGACTTGATAGACTGCCAGGTTCCGCTGGTGTCGCCGTAGGTGTATTGGGTGCCCGTGGAGTAGTCCTGGACTTTCAAGCTCTTGACTTTCATGGTGTAGGGACCCTTGCTGTAGTCGGTCAAACCGCCGGCCCAGTCGATGGTACCCTGTTCATTGTTTGGGTCTCCACCGGCCCAAGCACCGATCCTGATTGCCATCGGTGTCTGGGGGTATTGACCGTTGGCATTGTCGGGAATCAAAGTGCGAACCGTCTGCCCGTTGATCTGCCAGGCAATCTGTTCCGAAGTCCAGATGATGGTGTACTTCTGGAAACTATCATGGTTGCCTGGATTCGCGTGGAAAGCTCCTCGATCGTGCGTTGCAGTGTTTCCCTTGCCGAAGTAGTTTGATTGCACCTGAGCGTTGTCTCCACCAAGCCATTCCCAGTCAATTTCGTCCAGGGTGTCAGACTGCAGGAAGAAGCTGCTGACAATACCTTGGCCAGGTGCCGCTTGCAGCTCGATATCGACTTGACCAAACATAATGTACCATTTTGAGGTAATCTTGGGGCTGTCGCCCTGCTTAGCTACGGTGAATGATGCGCCATCTGAGCCGTATGTGGGGTTTCCTTCGGCGGTGAAACTGTCAGATGCAGAGGTGAAATCGATGTTGACAGTCCTTCCTAGTGCTGAGTCGGGAGGGCAGGAACTGCTTTCGATGGGGTTGCAATTGGTGTAGGTCTGGGCAATTGCCGGAGCTGACAGAAGCGCGCAAGCCGCGACAGTTCGTAGAGTGCGCAGCATCGCGAAGATGTGATAGAGGTAAGAGGAAGGCGGCGGGAGAAGGTGTTGAATAGAGGAGGGGGTTCGGCACGCGCCGGAATGGTCAGCGGCCTCTGAGCAGTGGTAGCGACGGTAGTAGTGTGGTGAGAGTGGTGTTGATGGGTGAGGGGATGCGAAGCTAGGCGTCACTGAGAGGTTGAGCTGGAATGGATTAAAGATTAGTGAGACGAGGCAGGCTTATGGTTATAAAGCAAATGCCAGCCTTCCGATTAGCGTCTTATACGTGGTCGTCTTTAATCGCCTCGCGCATTCTCGATGCTCAGGTTGGACGATTAAAGACGAGGTTGGCGCCGAAACGGGCTGGGGGCTGGGCACCCAGCCACACCAAGCCCAACAAGAGCCGGACGTCATGGCAACTATCGACGCCGAGTATGATGATCTCTAGGCATTGAAAGAAACCTGGAAATGGAATAATCAATCGCGCAGCCTATATCCTGGCAGCTGAGATGAGGGTAGCGCGATGGTGTGCGGGCAAATGCAGGGCAGGTGTGCACGGCCACAGCTGCATGCCGCGACGCCACCAAGGCCCCGCAACACCATCGAAATCCATAAGCATGCCCCACGCAAAATCGATCACGAGAGTCTATCTTTAGTCGGGACTCCTGCTCATCCTATTCGCTCCTTTGTCACGTTTGCTTGCAGCATACTCTGGTCCCGCATACTGTCGCTGTTTGCGAAGAAATCCGCCCTTTGAGAAATATTGGTTGAGTCACACGCCCTGCACGGAACAAGAAGGTCGCTTTATCACAGCTCACCACCGAACAATACATCCCGCGCCCAGCACACCACCTGATGTCGCTCACAAACGCAACACCGCTGGAAGTAGCGAAAGCAGCCCAAGTCGGCTCACGCAGGCTTGCGGTGCTTCCTACAGATGAGCGCAATGCTGCACTAATTGCAATTCACAAGGCCTTAGCGGACGCCAAAGATGAGGTCCTTGCAGCCAATAAGCAGGACCTGGAGGATGCGAATAAGGCTGCAGCAGGCGGGACGCTACGTCAGAGTTTGGTAAAGAGACTGGATCTGGGGAAGCCGGGCAAATATGAGGATATGCTGCAGGGTATCTTGGATGTGAGGGACCTTGAAGACCCAAGTATGTCAGCCCCACCTGTCATCGCTTCTTCCCGTCTTATATCAGTGTTCGACTGATGTCACTTTCTGTTGTACCATACCAGATGTATATCAGCTGACCAATTATAGTCAACAAGACCACGGCGCGGACACTCCTGGACGACAACCTCATCCTCTCCAGGGTAACATGTCCCATTGGCGTGCTCCTCATCATCTTCGAGGCTCGTCCAGAAGTCATCGCCAACATTTCCGCCCTGGCCATCAAATCCGGCAACGCGGCCATCCTTAAGGGAGGCAGAGAGTCATCTCACAGCTTCGCCGCCATCGCATCCATCATCTCCCATGCCCTCTCCACCACATCCGTCCCCTCCGACTGCCTCCAACTAGTCCAAACCCGAGATGTAATCGCCGACCTCCTCAAGCTAGACTCCTACATCGACCTCTGCATCCCAAGAGGCGGCAACGAACTCGTCCGCTACGTCAAAACCACCGCCTCCATCCCCGTCCTAGGCCACGCAGACGGCATATGCACCACCTACCTCTGCGCCGACTACCCCGCCGACAAAGCCACCAAGATCATCGTCGACGCAAAAGTCTCCTACCCCGCAGGCTGCAACGCCCTCGAGCAGCTCCTCGTACACGAAGATGCCCTCGCCACCACCCTCCCCCCAGTCGCACAAGCCCTCCTCGAAAAAGGCGTCTCCCTCCGCTGCGACGCCCCCTCCCTTTCCGCTCTCAAAAAAGCGCTAGACCCCATTCTGCGGCCCTCCTCCAAGAAGCCACGGAGAAGGACTACAAAACAGAATTCCTAGACCTCGTCCTAGCCGTTAAAGCAACCCCAGCGTCACCCACGCTATCACACATATAAACGCACACTCCTCGCACCACACCGACGCCATACTAACCCTTTCTCACAGCACCGCACAAACCTTTCTCGCAGGCGTAGATTCCAGCTCCGTCTACTGGAACACGTCCACCCGCATGGCGGACGGCCAGCGCTACGGCTTCGGCACAGAGGTCGGCATCTCCACGAATAAGATACATAGTCGGGGGCCGGTCGGGCTGGAGGGCCTGACGATATACAAGTGGGTGCTCGTGGGGAGGGGCAGGTGAGCGGGGAGTATGGAGCGGGGGCGGAAGTGGAGGCATGAGGTGCTTGGGGTGGGGAGGAGGGCGTGGCGAGGAATGAGGAGGAGAGGGAGGTGTTGAGGAGGTTTAGGGGGGAAGGGAGTTTGAAGGAAGAGGGGGAGGGATGGGGAGAAGAAAAGTATTGGCTGATTTGAGGGGTCGAAAAGCAGCCGATTGGAATTGGGCGCGATTGCTAGAGAGATAGATAGATGGGGAAAAGTTTACCGTTTAAACACGTAGCCTTGCTGCACGTCGTCTCGCTATGGTTACGTGCTACTCGACGTTACTACTATACTCGACACCGCGGAAGCCATTGCACGTATCATTCCGGACGGCACGACCCGGCGTGGCACACGCACCATCACGTCACACGCGAGCACACGTTCACAGAACCCAATAACTCGCCTGAAATGGCAAATCTAGTCTATTTTCAATAGCTTTTGTGCAAGATGCCATGCCACCCGTCCGCAGCAGACGAAGCTCACCAATCACTCGACGCAAAGCCCTAGCTCCATACACCATTACGTCTAATCATCCCTGGTATCTGTGTAAGTTTCATGCCGTTCATATCCCGTTTCGTTCATCTCTTCCAAGCTTTCGAGCTAGTCTACAACTCAGTGTCGACCTGCATGCCCGCCTTCTTGTTGGCGAAGAGCTGAGCTCCGTCCTGGAGACGTCGCTCCGTGTTGCGGCGGCCGTTGACGAAGTCGGGGTAGTTGAGGGTTAGCTCGACGGCGCCGTTGACGATGCTGTCGACGGCCTCGACGCCCAACATGAAGGAGTGGTCCTGGTTGCCGACCTCGTACCGCCATGAGCCGAAGCGGCCACGCGACCAGATGTCGCGGTCTTGGAGCGCAGGGAGAAGCTTGGTCAGAACACCCTCGCGTTCCAGAGATGGAGTCGGATATCCGTGGTCGAAGCGGCGGTGGTAGGTGGAAACGATCTCGTCGCCGGGCTTAATCATTTCAGTGTTGATGAGGCCCTGGATGGAGTCCTTGAGGAGGTTCTTCTGGTCCACGGGCTTCATGCTGGATTCAGAGACTTCAAGCATGATTGACCAGTAAGGTCCATCCTTGAGCTCGGACGAGCTCGGTTTTGAGCCGTCGCCCAGCTGCTGGGTGGCAAGCTTAACACCCTTCTGCGGCTGGTTGTATGGGGAGTAGTTTGAGAAGATGGTGGCGCGGTAGAAGGGGCAGTTGTCTTCAGGGAAGTACAGCCAGCACTTGTCGCCAATACGCTCAGGTCGCTCTCCACGAATACCCACACCAATAACGTGCGTGCTTGAGTAGTAGAGATCCTTGCTGAGGTCGATAAGCTCCTTGTCGCCCATGTGCTCTACGAGCGCATCCACGGCCATGGTGTTGACGAGCTTGTTGTAGTTGACGACGGTTCCGTCCTTGAAGGTGACACGCTTGGCGTTAGCATCGACCTTCGTTACGGTGCCATGCTCGCCGAATCGCTTCTTCGAGTCGGGAAGGGTCTTGGCGACGGCGATCCAGATACCACCGGTACCGTCCTTCGCGGGGAAGCGGAAAGTTGCGTTAGGTCCCCAACCTCCGGCAGTCTTGTTGTGGATGATGTTGTTCACCACCTTCTTGACATCTGGGGTAGCGACACGCTCACCCAACCATGCGCACTGCATCTTCTTTGGGGGAACTGCCCAAACCTTGAAGTTGTATGGCCTCATAAACTGGTTTGCAATGCCCTCGCCCATGGTCCGCATGATGTGCTCATCAAAGTCTGCGGGCTTGGTGTTGGCCACGCGGGCCGCTAGAGCGGCATCGATCATGCCATCTACAGCTGCCGCTTGGTCCTCCTTTGGCAGCATGGAAATGTTGTTCTGGTATGGATACGGGACCCACAGGCCCTTGTAGCGGACGTACGAGATGCGCTGGTGCGTGTACCAGTCGTCTTCATTCGGGAGGGCCTCGTCGATGCAATCGTCGAAGTACTTGTAGTGGGAGAAAATAACGTGGCCGCCGACATCATAGAGCTGGACAATGTTAGTAATACTGCAGGCGCAATTGGTGTGCCAATGACATACGAAGCCTTCTGGGGTGACATCTGTGGAAGCCAAACCACCAGGCGTCTCATTCGAGTCCACAATCAGCCATGAGGGGCCGTTCTGTGCTGTTTAGCTATTGCATTTTCTTATTTCAAGATTGATGAGACGACGTACGATCTGGTGGAGTCGCTTTGCCGCACCGAGACCTGTCGGACCGGCACCAATAACGAGGACGTCGACAGAGCTATGAAATGTGAGTTCGAGCTGCGCGGGTGAAATGGCGGGGGCGGTGAGGCGAATGCACTGACATTTCTTCCTGTGCGGAGCCCATGGCGCCGTGGAGCAGTTCTTGGAAGCTGGGGACTCGTTTCAGCGTCTGGCGGGCGTAGCTGAGCATGTACCCGAGGCTGGGGGCGTCAATTGGGGTATCTGGAGACTTGGTGAGGCGGTCGCTGGGCGAGATGGTGTATAAAACCACTTCAGTATCTAGGAGCGCCAAGGCTGCAAGTTACCCTTAGCGGGTAGGCCCTGCACATGTGAGTTCTGGGATGTGGTCGATGCGGCCACCGCGAAAAGGGGCACCGCACATCGCCCCGAGACGCGACGCTTGCTGCGTGCACCAGCGTGGGCGCCCTGATTGGCGTGGGCTGCTCTGCCATTCTGGGGGCGTGATGTGCGCCTGGAGCCGCAATCTCGACATGTGTGTGGCATCGCGAAACATGCATTGCTCGTAGAAGAGGGTGCACCACCCAGAGCACTATCAAGACGGTCCGTCGAGTCCCACAGGCATTGTTCGGGAGCTCGTGCTGTGCAGGACGTGATACACCGACTATCGTGTGGTCGAACATGCACTATGCAGATACGGCGTGTGGTGATAGAAGGACGAGGTCATCCTTGGCACATCAAACTGTCGATACTGTGCATGTTTGCAGCGTCGACCATTCCGCGGCAGATGTGCGGATGACAGCGACATGTACGACCCTCGCGCTCTGCAGCCGTGACAGACGCGGCTGCTATTTTAGGGCGTGCTCTCGCTGCATGGACTACGCGTAGTAGAGTCCCGGCACGGCCGCAAAGTGCTGCTCTCGTCGAGGCAGTGGAGGAGCGATTGCGCGTACAAAAGGACCACCGTCGACCGCCCGTTTCAGGTGGGCTCTGAACTGCAACGATCCGCCGCCGGTCCGCTAAAGGCTTCGCTGAGCACGTCACCCGCTGTCGCCCAGCGCCTCCCACAAGCACCAGTCTGCACCTCCTCAAGCGCGCCCGTGCTACGCCTGAGGATTCGCGTCGCTACTGCGCTTCGACCCCCGACTCCCGCTCCACACCCCCTGGCCTCATTTACCCGCATCTGTACTTTTCTCCCTCCCTTTCGATCGTCAGCCTGAACGAGTCGTCCCGTCTTACCTCTCGACTTTGTGTGTGCGCGCACCGTTCCTGTCCTACGCCGCCAGTCACCTCCGCGTATCCCGCACGAAATTTTTGTGCTGCGAACCCTGAACTCGCCGTAGTCAGCTGCCCGCGCCAGTAAAGCTCCACCGGTGACGCCCCCGACAAAGCGGCCATTTCGCTCTCTACCGCCTGCCTCAAACGCCGCCTCGACAGCAGCCTCCGCTGACTCTCGTCCTTGCACGCTCAAACACTGCGACCATGTCAGCCATGACAGACGAAAAGGTTCGCGCGTCGCTCGACAATGCTCGCGACCCCGCCCAGCCAGTGCTGCCTACCGTCAATCCAAATCTCGAGAAGCGGCCCCAGCCGCAACCCGACTCGTTGCACCCTGCAGTGTACATCTCGACATGGATTGCCCTCAGTTCCAGTGTCATCATCTTCAACAAGTACATTCTGGATACAGCAGAGTTCCGTCAGTCAATCTTGCCAATGCTATGAAACAATTGCTGACAGTACCACAGACTTTCGTACGTTCAAGACAAGCCCTCGCACTCCAGCTCCTGAGACTAACCTTTATAGCCATCTTCCTAACGACATGGCATCTCGTCTTCGCGACCGTCATGACCCAACTCCTCGCACGCTTCACCACCATCCTCGACTCACGGAAGAAGGTGCCCATGACGGGCCGCATATACCTCCGCGCAATTGTTCCAATTGGTATCTTCTTCAGTTTGAGCTTGATCTGTGGTAACAAGGCATACTTGTACCTGAGTGTTGCTTTCATCCAGATGCTCAAGGTAGGACAACTACGCGCTGGGCTACACGCAGGCATTGACATTTTTTAGGCTACCACACCTGTTGCCGTTCTGATCACTACCTGGACAATGGGTCTGCATCCACCCAACATGAAGACGCTCGGCAATGTGTCCTTCATTGTCATTGGTGTCATCATTGCCTCCATTGGCGAGATCAAGTTCGTCATGGTCGGCTTCCTCTTCCAAGTTGGTGGTATCATCTTTGAGGCTATCCGCTTGTCCATGGTAGAACGTTTGCTCAGCTCTGCGGAATTCAAAATGGATCCTCTGGTCTCGCTGTACTACTATGCTCCGGCTTGCGCAGTCATGAACGGCATGATCTGCTTGTTTACCGAGCTGCCTATCTTGACCATGGTTGACATCAACCGCGTCGGTTGCTTCACGCTTTTCGCCAATGCCTCGGTTGCCTTCATGCTTAATGTTTCCGTCGTGTTCTTGGTATGTCGATCTCTCCGCAACTTCGCACATCTGCTAACAGTGCCAAGGTCGGCAAGACGTCGTCTCTGGTCCTCACCTTGTCCGGTGTTCTCAAAGACATTCTCCTCGTCTTCGCGTCTATCATGTTGTTCGGTGACCCCGTCAGCTTGCTTCAGGCTTTCGGATACAGCATCGCCCTCGGTGGTCTGGTCTTCTACAAGCTCGGCGGCCAGAAGATGAAGGAGTATCTTGGTCAGGGCTCGCTGGCTTGGGCGGAGCTCGGGCAGACTCGTCCGATTCTGCGCAAGCTGATGATCTTCGGCGCCATAATCATCTCATTCTTCCTTATGCTCGGGTCTCTTGGGCCGAAGTACGCCCCAGACTCCGCTGACAAGCTCCGCAATGGCCTTGGCAACATGATGGGAGATAAGGCAATCTGAACGCTTCGATAGCGTCAATCATTCACAACATCCGAGGCCGGGTCATGGTGTAATCTTACAAATGCCAAAGGATTGGCTCCATAGGCGCGAGGGCGTTTGACTACCTCCCACCCTGTTCTGTTATCCTTGATCCGTGGCTTCGGCGACAACGGATTTATGTTTCATTAAGTGTTAAGCATAGACGCATAGGTATCTTCTTTGCCCCGCAGGCTCTTTCTAAAAGCCGCGATGAGGCACTTTTCTTTGGATTGACAGGCAATCACAGCGAAACAGATGTCTCGTCATACACCTAGGGAAGCTATGATGGATGAAAACTACATGGTGTTATAGATAGACCGCAGCTTCTGGACGAACTGCGCTGTACATGTACTAGCTTAATAATGATAATAGCCCGAAGAATGATTGCTTGGCCGTTTCTGTGAGCCTGTGCGTTCGTCGTTTTCTCGCTTGACTACAACTTTTCTGCCGAACCCAAGGCGGTGAGTGACGCTAAGTAGCCAAGCCGCTAGTTTAGCGGCATCCTCGCCCACACGACGAATTTCGAAGTGGTTTCTCTCGAACTTCAGTACTAACCCACAGCTCAACACCACCACAACTTCAGTGTTCAGTCAAAATGGGCATTGACCTCGACCGCCATCATGTTCGAGACGGGCACCGCAGTATGTGTTCCACCCCGTCGAGTCGGCGCAGCAATGCGCCGGCGAGCCGCTGTCCTCAGGACGCAACATGATCGAGAATGCGAATTGACGAGTTACAGAGGTGCCCAAGTCCGACAACCCCTACGTTAAGTTGTTGGTGCGCCTTTACAAGTTCCTGTCCCGTAAGTAAATCCGCTCGATTCACAGTCCTGGAGTGCTAACAGCGATTAGGCCGTACGGATGCGCCCTTCAACAAGGTTGTCCTCCGCCGTCTCATGATGTCCAAGGTCAACCGTCCCCGTAAGACAACCTGATAGCACACGCGCGAAGAAGACGGACTAACTGTCGATTAGCGGTCAGCTTGTCCAAGATTGTTGCGACTGCCGCCAACAAGCACTCCGCGGCGACGCACGAGGGCAAGACCATTGTCATCGTTGGCACCGTCACTGACGACAACCGTCTCCTTGAGCTCCCCAAGCTCTCCGTGGCCGCTCTCCGCTTCACTGCCTCCGCCCGTGCCCGCATCGAGAAGGCCGGTGGTGAGGTCCTCACCATCGACGAGGTCGCTACCCGCTTCCCCACCGGTGCCAACACCCTCCTCCTCCGTGGCCCCAAGAACTCTCGTGAGGCCGTCAAGCACTTCGGCATGGGTCCCCACAAGAACAAGAAGCCCTACATCCAGAGCAAGGGCCGCAAGTTCGAGCGTGCTCGTGGACGCAGGCGGTCGCGTGGTTTCAAGGTCTAAGCGCCTTGATAGGGTGGAGCTGTTTCCTTGGGTCGCCGGCGTGGACATGGTCATGGGTTATAGTCAATTTGGCGTGCATCATGTCTGGCGAAGACTCTTTTCCGGGGTTAAAAAGATACTCATGTTTGCAATGAAATGCAATGAAAGTATGCCATGGGCTCTCGGGGCTCATCGGATGATTCGATGAAATTTACCTTGACTGTGACAAAAAGTGCAACGTGAGAGTACAAGTTTCGCGATTGCCAGGCTTCCCAGCTGTGAACCCTATTGCTAGCAGATCGCACCAGCACACTGCTTATATAAGAATGGTGCCTCAGTGCCATGTATAATCGACACCCATACAGCACAGTGAATGCTCACTCGGGACTTTTGTCCATATCGGTTGCTTGTCTCTAACGTGACGTGCTGGCGCTCGAATTTTGACTTTTCAGAACCTTCCCCACCAATCGACCCAACTAAAGTACTAGCGCCCTTCCGTAATCGGAACTACGACTTCGCAACTCTATAGCACTGTTCAATACTTGAGTACATCGTGCTACACCCGGACGACGTGATCAAAGGCCGACAATATAACACAGATGGCCGATTCCAGGAAGGTGGGGGTGTTGGGTGGTGGCCAACTTGGCCGCATGCTCATTGAAGCCGCGAACCGATTGAACATCCAAGTCAACGTCCTTGACGCAGCAGCGTCACCGGCCAAACAAATCTCAGCACATGAGGGGCACATCGAGGGCTCTTTTAAGGATGCTGCAGCTGTCAAGAAGCTTGCCCAGGCTTGCGATGTCGTCACAGTCGAAATTGAGCACGTGGATACGCACATGCTCGAGGAAGTCGCGGGCGAGGTCGCCGTTGAGCCGAGCTGGAAGACATTGAGGACGATCAAGGACAAGTACGCGCAGAAAGAGTATCTGAAAGAGCATGGCGTTGATGTCGCGGAGAGTGAGGACCTGGAAGGCAAGGGTGTGGAGGGCTTGAAGGCTGTTGGTGAGCGCTTTGGCTACCCTTTTATGCTCAAGAGCAAGACCGAGGCGTATGACGGACGGGGTAATTTCGTTGTTAAGACTGCAGACGATGTTGATGCGGCTATCAAGGCATTGGGCGACAGGCCATTGTACGCGGAGCGCTGGGCCAACTTCAGGATGGAGCTTGCCGTCATGGTGGTCAAGACCAAAGATGGCGTCCTCACATTTCCCACCGTCGAGACGGTGCATGAAGACTCCATCTGCAAGCTCACCTACGCACCGCCAAGGAACGTGTCCAAAGCGACCACAGAGCGTGCCCAACAGCTCGCAAAGAAGGCCATCGGCGCCTTCGAAGGAAAGGGCGTCTTCGGCGTAGAAATGTTCCTCCTAAAAGACGACACCCTCCTCATCAACGAGATTGCCCCCCGCCCACACAACTCCGGCCACTACACCATCGAAGCATGCCCCCTCTCCCAGTACGATGCCCACCTCCGCGCCATCCTCGACATCCCCATCCCCTTCCGCCCTCCGCCTCCGCGAACCCTCCATCATGCTCAACATCCTCGGCGGCAAGACCCCAGATTCCCACATCCAAGTCGCGCACAAGGCGTACGCCTCGCCAAACGCCTCCATCCACCTCTACGGCAAAGGCGACGCCCGCCCAGGCCGCAAAATGGGCCACATCACCGTCACGGCGCCCTCGCTCGCCGAAGCAGAACGCGAGATCCAGCCCCTCGTCGACTTCGTGGACAGCCAGAAGGGCAAGCCTCTTGGGCCGCGCACGGGTCCAACGACAGAAGCGCCCCTCGTCGCCGTCATAATGGGCTCCGACTCCGATCTCCCCGTGCTGAAAGCCGGGCTGCAGATCCTGGAAAAACTACAGGTTCCTTTCACGGTGCGGATTACCTCCGCGCACCGCACGCCGGACTGGCTGCGCGAGTTTTCAAAGAAAGCGGCAGATAGCGAGCTCCGCGTGATCATCGGTGCGGCGGGGGGCGCCGCCCATTTACCTGGTATGTGTGCGAGCTGGACGACGCTGCCTGTCATTGGGCTGCCCGTTAAGGCGACGCACATGGATGGGTGGGACAGTCTCGTGAGCATGACGCAGATGCCGCGCGGCGAGCCGGTTGCTACGGTTGGGATAAACAATTCGACGAACGCGGCGTTGTTGGCGGTGAGGATTCTTGGGGCGACTGACTTGGCTGTTAGAGAGAGGTTGAGGGTGTGGATGGAGGGGAATGAGAAGGAGGTGTTGAGGAAGGATCGGGAGTTGCTGGATCAGGGGTTTGAGAAGTATTTGAAGGGGATGGGCAAGTGGTGAGTAGTGTAGTGTCTGCGATGAATGGGACCAGGCTAGGGTAGGAGAAAACGATTGATTCGTTCTGCATCTAGACTTGTTTTCATCGAAGAGTTCGACATAAGGATCTGTAGCTTTGGTAAGACTGACTAGCTCGATCACTCTTTGCAAACCATCTAAAGTGTACTCATGCGTTTATGATTAAAGATCGTCTAAATCCAGATGTGCCCCTTAAGCATCCAACAGCAACAGACCTATCTATATCTAAGCGCTAATTCGTACTCTACAGCTAAGTATATACCAACGAAGCCACACGCCATGTACTTACCCTTACCCCGAAAACGACCGAACAACATCCCCTTCCTCCTCTACCCACCTACCACCACCACTCCTCCTAAAAATGCCCCTTCCTACTCCCATCCGCACAAAGTAACTCCTTCACCTCCCCCGCCGCACTCGGAAAAGCGTCCTCACTAACCGCAGGCTCAATCTCCTGCCACGTAACACTAACCTCCAACCCAGGCGCCTCCTCACTCGTACAGTCGGTAAGATCAACGTTTTGCTAGATCCCCCATTAGCCCTTTCCTTTCCTTACACTACCCTCCTCTCACCCACACCCCCTCACTGCTAACGAAAGGAGATATCCTCAGACATACCTTAACAACCCTCCACCTCAGTTCACTCTTCAAAAAACTATACACATCCCCTTCATCAAGGCTAATCAACTCCCCACTCCTCGCTTGCGCCTCCAACGCCGCCGTCAGCGGAATCGCACTATGCGCCTCTTGATTCGCCTGCGCGCTCGCTCCCAGGATGGACGTCGTGCCCACGAACCCCGGACTGCTAATCCAGCTGTCCACGCCCCCCACCGGCGGCCCGAAGAACGCGTAGATGGAAAGACTGCCCGGCGAGCGGAACTCGTGCACTTGGATATTGAGCGTGTACGCGCGCTTGCCTGCGAAGTGGGGGGCGCCCGTGGTGGCGATGCCGCGCTTCAGGTTGGAGAGGATTTGGTTTGGGGGATAGGAGGGGAGGCGTTGGGGCCGTAGAGGGCGTTTACGCGGGCGATGAGGGAGGTGGAGACGCCGCGGGAGTTTAACTTCGTGGTGTTCCCCGAAAGATCGATCAGGTCTGGATACGTGTAGCCGAAGATGGTGTGGTCGCGGATGTCGTCTGACGTCCAGAAGTTGCCGCTGTCGTCTTTGTGGAAGGGTTTGAGAGCTGTGGGTAATTAGTGACAGTGCAGGTGGGGATGGTGGGGGGTGAGATACGTGTACTGCCGTTGACGTTGAAGTTTGCGGGGGAGTAGAATGTGGGACTTGGGGTTGTGAAGTCTGTCACCCACTCGTTTGGGTTCTGTGTCATGATTGTAAGCGTGGATTTGTCCTCGATTATGAGAATGAGAATGAATGGAGGAAAGGTCCCATACCAGAGCTTGCCACATGGCTAGCAGTCGGTCGACGTTACTGTCATCATCAGTACGAATAACTTATACTCTCTCGCCACCTACCAGTGGTGCAACCAAAATGATGGATCGAACGCAGAATAAAACAGCCAAGTCATCGATCCATCCTGACCAACCCCATCATGGATCGTCCCATGAATGCTCTCCATACTATCTCCCGGTATGAGTTTAGTACTCATGTTCAGGTACTCATGCTGCATAGCAAGCAAATTGTAGACTCGCGACTGCATGCTCGATCTGTTCTCCTGCAGTGCCTGAGCGGCTTTGGTATTGTTGCTCTGGGCGTTCTGATCTGCCGTGGTGGGAGCCCGCACTGTCTGAGGGAATTCCTTCCAGCGTTCCTCGCCTTCTGCTTCCTGCAAGAAATCAGCTCAAGCATAGATTCTTGCGACGTCTGGTACGTACCCAATCTGGTATAGGATGAAACTTGTACGAGTGCAGTGGGTTTGTTATCGTCACTGTGCCATTCGGCATGGTCACGTTGACGGTGTCAGCCTGCACACTCGCAGGTAGCGTTCCCTCTGCTTCTTCTGGGGGAATGGCGGCCCAGTCCCAATATGGAAGTCTCAACGAGGGCAGAGCCTTCATGTACCGGTCCTTAAGTTCTCCGTTTGATAGTTCGGATATAGCTTCGCGAGCATTCAGGTACAGAATTTCCTCAAACAGCGCAAGAAAAGGTCGGTGCCACGTAGGGAAAATATTGCTGTCATGTGTGCAGTAGCCAGAGTAGCGGCTCCAGTAGTAGTCATCGCCGTTCACGCCATCCCACGGTACAAATGGGCGACCGTGAATTCCTACCATTAAACGTTAGCCTTTATTCGTTGCTGGAACTGCAAGCCATGGCCTTGGTGTCGATCTCTTCGTAGCGCGTATCGATAACTACATTCCTCGCGTAGAACATGGCGACGATGTTGATCAAAACAACTTACCAGCGATCTGGAAGTAGGAAAGCTTGTCGTTCTGGTCAATGTCTTGAAACCTCTGCAGTCCAAGCAGGAAGATGTTCCACTGATCCGGATGGTTCTTTTCCAGGTCACGTATTTCGAGCCGCGGGTACACTGTACGGTCTCCCAACCCTGCGATTCCCAGCACAGAGAAGATGCCATCTTGGCGTTTCGAAAGGCTAGAGATGTTCTCGACTATGTGCGGTCTTGAGATCGAGTCGACAGATGTGGATATGCTCAAGGCACAGAGATAAGCAATGGATAAGAGAAGTGGCACGAAAGGTAGGCGGAAGTTCGCCATAACGAAGAGTTATGAACGTGCAGAAGCTCTCTCGATGTACTTAAGTACCCGTGAATAGTGATAGACAACTGCAAAGTCTGAAAGACTGCAATGTGAGCAGGCAAACAGAAGCAAAAGTACCTGCGCAGGACTGGAAACACAACATACGTAAAAATGCAGGAACGTGCGGTGACGAAATCAAACATCGCCGCCGTGCCCACGCACAGCTGATCTGGGCATGCGATCCAGCTCACACAGCCTCGCCGATTTCCGAGATGGGTCGACGAACCGTGATTACGTTCTCAGCTTTCCTCGTGTGGAAAAGCTTGTTTCTGACAGCGCTGGCCGGCCCGTCCATATGAGAATCTTTGTATGCCAAATCGGGCGTAAAGCCTAGGAAGGACTCACCCAATGCCTGCTTGAGAAACCTGCTGACGCGAATGTAGTTGCCCCTGGAAAGTGTGTCTGATCCTGGTTGAAAAGATGATTGCAAACGAGAAATTACCCTGGGGTTTGAAGCCTTGCCCATCGTACTGGGAAGCCATGCTCTAGCATGTGGTGGGCCAAAGGGTATGCGCAGCGTGCTCCTCCACGAGAACGGCGGTCTATCTGTGCGCGATCGAGCAAAAAGAAGCGAGTGCAGAGTAGCTCGGTTGTAACGACAACATTGAATGGCGCCGAAGCAATGGACACGGGGACATGTCGTACTACCATCAGGTTAGGACTGGCAGCTGCGATGAACGGCTGGACCAGCGGAACGTTGAGCGCTCAGCTGCCTCCGATGCGATATTAGACGCTTCTTCGTCATTCCATTCCCGTCGCTATGGGTATCAGCTCTCAAACACATCAATGTTCCTCTTCCCTTCCGGTTCTCGTTTGTACACAATCTCCACCGTTCCACAACCGCGCTTCCGACTGGCAAGCGCTAGAACTCAGTCCATCTGCAGACTACGCTGCAAGACTACTCAAGGAATGTAACCTTCCAAGCGGGTGACACTTGACAGGGGCGTTGGGAACAAGCGTTGTTGTGCTACTGCTGAGCAACGGTTATCACACGTGTGTGCCCATTGTAATCTCCCTGAGACGGCATGCAAGGGCGCCTGGTGGCGATAGTAATAACAGTTGATTGGAGAAAAGCGGAAACGGTTTGGGGCGCCCAGAATCAAAGTACTCGACTCATGGAAATAGCACTTCAGTTCAACTGTCACGGTCAGCATTTGCACAATGTCAGGAAGCGGATGCTTCATCCAGCCGAGTGCAACGGAGCTTGTTTTGCTCTAGCGTGCCATGTCGATATGGCATGCACCAATGAACGACAGAGATGAAGATAATATTGTGAATAACTGGAACGGCAGGTTTTGCCAATAACCCGCAATGGTGGGTATTTATCTCGTGACCAAGACAACTATCTTCCAGCCTCGAGCATGAACGCCCAAACGCCAGATTGAAACCTATACTACAGCCTTGCGTACGAGATTGAACCGTATCATCTATTCAAGATTAACACAGTTCGTGGAATTGGCAGACCTGCGGTCCGAAGCATGGGAGAACACAAGCAAAGCTTGATGAACCGATATGTCCCTCATGAATCGCCGTTTTAACCTCTTTCTACAACGCCGTCGAATCGTTTGCGCCACACTGTGTGCAATCCACGGATTTTGTAAGAGATTCTTCAGAGCCAGGGTTTGGCCGGCGTAGAACGATAGCGCTCGTGCCGTGGCGGGCCTTGATGATCGGATGCATTCTACGCATTGTGTTCTTCGCCCGAATCGCCATGATGCATCTCTGTTCCGTGGAATGCGTCCCCAAATGCTGAGTCGTCGACTAGATCAAGTCCCATGTTATCGTCACCCACGTTCGTGTAGTCTGCTAGTGCATCTCCGGCAGTGTCCAGATTGTCGAAGCTGCCAAAATCCGCAGTATCAAACATGCCTCCGACTTCTGCGTCAACGTTGGAGGTCAGTCCACCAGCGTCCGCTGGAGCATCGTTGCTGGTAGGAGGCTGTGCATTGTTAGCTCCCGATTGCTGAGCATGGCCTTGATTCTCTACCATGACCCATTCTGCGTCGCCCTTGCCGTCATTGTTGGCCATCCCAGACATCTCGACGTCAAGATCGAGCAGATCGTTTGCAGCACTCGATGGGTCAAGGTTAGCAGCTTGATCGCCAGATGGGTTTTGGACTGTATCGCCAGCAGCAGGGTTGGGAGTAGCCACAGCCGATTGCGCTTGGCTCTGAGGTTGAGAAAGCGGCGGAAGTGATATGTTTCCGATCGGAGTTCCCAAAGAGCCCGAGCCGAAGTCCAGAAGGCTGGTACCGTTATCGCCTTCAGCATTTCCATCTTGCGCAGAACCATTCGACCCTCCGATCGCATTCGATGGCGTTGAACCGTTGCCATTGACTTGTACTTTCGCGGGTGATGGCTGTTGTGCCTCGATAAAGCCACCTTTCTCTACGCAGACAACCAGCTTCTTCGTATCAAATTCTACTCCAAGTGATTCTTCAAGATCTGCAACCACCGCATCGGAGGGGTCGGGACCATCGTCATCAGGATTAGCTGTGCGTGGCGAATCACGTAATCGGCGTTCGGCTTTGATATAAGTGCGTGACCGTTTCAATGCTGCCATTTTGTTGGCATGTGCGGACTTGAGCCTCTCAATCTCAGCCTTCTCCTTGGCCTCGTACTCAGAGACCCGTTTCTCGAATTCCTTGAGCTTCTCTGGCGTCAAATGTGAATAGCTTTTGATCTTCTCGCCGTACTCGGCATTTAGATCTCCGTTCTTGTCTATGGGCGCTTCTCCAGTTGCGGCCTCGAGGATATCCGCTGTCAGCGGGGCGAGCTCACCCATTAAACCTATTCCTAGATCGATGGGCTTGATCTTGGGAAACGCATGTGGTGAAGAGAATATCTCCTCCATCCATTCATGATGCTGCTTGTACCTTGAGAGGCTGATATCCCGAGGGGTCATAAAATCAAAGGTATCCTGCGTCGCATTCTCTTCCTCGTCGAACAGTGCATCACCAGGTGCGGCTCCAGCTACTCCGGGGCGTGGGGGTTGCGCCGTTCGAACTCTCTTGGCTGGAGGCTGTTGTTGAACATATGGATTCCTATTTGACATGGGATTCGCACCATACAGTGCTGGCTGTGTCCTGGCGCCAGGCGGTGCGAATTCGACCTTAGGAAAGTTTGCGGTATCGCCGAGCATGAACTCTTTGCGGATCAATTGGCCAGCTTGTTGCAGTTGTCCCCGAGTAGCTAGTTGTTGTTGTATCTCCCTTGTCATGGGTATGTTCTGGGCGGGTATTCTCATATTGGGCTCCGCCATGCTGTAATGAACCAGCCACAGCTTGTCATCGAATGAGCGTGGTCCACTGGTGATCCTGTAGCGAAATCGTGCATGGGCTGCAAACGGCTCGTGTGGGTAAAAGAAACCGCTCTTATGAACCAACACTTGAAGTTGCTACGGCAGGTTAGCGTCTTGTACGGCTCCTTGAGCTTGCGGAGACCTACGAAGCCATTCAAGTTCATTTCGTACGACAGCTCAGCATCGGCCCATATCAATCCATCAGATGCAAAATGCGTTCCCATGCGAGGGGGCTGCCACATGAGCAGAGCGGTGCCGTCTGGCGGCGGTTGCGCAAAGAACGTCCACGCAACGGGCGCAGCATTTCGGGTAATCTCAGGTGCTTTCGTGAGAAAATCAAGCGCTTGCTGAGGCTGCAACGACGGTAGAGTTGGGAATCGGTAAGAAGAGACCAAGTGTATGTGGGGAAGCTGTAGGGTTAGCTACATGGCGCAATCGAGGCATGGGCGCGCTCACCAGTTGGTTCGGTACCTGTCCGCTGGGGTCTGCCGGAACATTGTAGGCTTGATTCATGCCGTACATGGTGAGTGAGATTCAGGCGACAACAACGCCGCGTCAAGTGGGCGTTGGCAGGTGGGCGTTGTGCTGGCGCGACGTTGGTGAATGTCTTGGACATTTCAGTCGCGTTCGCATGGATCGCGCCTGCGCGAGCCTCAACGCCCGGGCCAAGTCTCATCACGTGATACCCCATCGTCTGCAGGGCCAGTTGACAGTGAAAAGCGTCACGACTCCATGAACACAATCATTTCAGCCATTACACATATGAGGTATCAAAGGATTCATATTACATTGCTCCACCGTAAGAAGCTACTTTGGGCAACCCGTCACTGCCTGCATACTGCCAGACTGTCGCAATTCGAAAGCCTCATACTTCATGTGAATAAGCATATGTGAGACAACGGAGCCACAAGTGCCCATGCTTCTTGAGTCCTACCACAATCCATGTACCAAGGCCTGCTCCGTCTTGAAGCAGTGCCAGGACGGTCTTTAACAGAAGAATCTGTGCCTTCATTATCCAACCACGTCTTCTTTTCCCCATTCAATCAACTATTTTCCGGCATGCGATCCTAGACGAATTGGTCGAAGCGCACGCCTACCGACATCCTTCAGCCAAGCATCCTGGGCCCGTTGTTCTTGCCCTTCTTCTGTATGCCAGCACTCATGAGCTGACCAGTGAAGGTCGGCTTAGGCTCGTTTTGCTGTTGCTTCTTGTTGTTGTTATTGTTGCGATTCTTCCCATGCTTCCCATGTTTGTCGTCGCGCTTGGTGGTGGCCTTGACTTCGGAGGTAGCGCGTTTGATCAGAACAGGGTGACTGCCAATGTACTTGCCCTGCATTTCTTTGGCAGCACGAAAGTAATCGTCGGTATTTGAGAAGCTTACGAAACCGTAACTCTTGCTCTTCGTGGTGCGCTTGTCTCGAACTACATGCGCCTTAGACACAGATGGGTACTTCGAAAAGGCCTTGAGAAGCGAATCGTCGGTGACCTCGCCGGCCAAATTGCCGATGAAGAGACGCGGGTGTAGGGGGTCCCATTCGAGGAGCGACTGGTCTTCCCAAGTCTTTCCACCGCCTTCTCGGATGACCGTCTTCTGCTTGCCGGTGCCACCTGAGCCAGCTTCACCGTCTGGTGCCGAGCTCGCCTCGACGCGCGCAGCAGCCGTAGTACTGGCAGGCTTCTTGGCATTATCGTCCCGTGTGTATGCGCTGTTCCATTCGGCCATGCGCGCCTCTTGTTCTGGGTCGTAGTTGCTCTGATACTGGCTCACTGCTGGCGGAGCAGCGTACGCTGCCGCTGGTGCTTGCGCGCCATAGGCTTGATAGGGATTGTAGTAAGTATTATTGGACGTGTAAGCTGGAGCTTGATAAGGGGCGCTCACAGTCGGCTGAGAGTACATGGGCGAAGGCGTGGACGCCTGCGAAGGAGGAGCCTGGGCAACAAAGCCAGCATATGCAGCCGTGTTGCGCCCGGCCGTGTTGTTCCTCGACGGTGGCGCAGAATATGTCGACGGCGGCGGGCGCGCAGGCAGCGACGGGTGCGGCTGCAGATTGTCTCTGTAGCTCATGGTGAGGCTGCGGTTAGAATATCACCAGATCTCTGCTTGTAGTGTTGACGCGCGGCGGCGTAGAGGCGCGAAGTGACGTCGGCGCGTATGGAAGATGCTAGGCGCGGTGGTAGAGGCTCGTGATGCTGCAGAGTATGACTTGCAGTTCGGCCGCGGGGGAGATGCCGGTCCTGTGAAAGCAAAGCGTGCAAATGCCGCACCGGTGTATGGCCTGCCTCAGTCGATGCTGACGGAGCAAATGCCAAGACTTCCCGAAAGCAGCGCAGTCGGCCTTTGAAAGCAAAGCGTGTGGATATGCGGGCCGACAGCAGCTTATTGTTGCGATGTGATAATCTGTTGGGCGCGGAATCGATTCAATCGAGCGTGGCTACCGGCCGTCGGAGAATAGCAGTGGCGCATGCACGGCACGTGATCGGCCAAAACCATGTCATGAATGATGAAATGGAGGGGCAGCTCGGGCTATTGCTTGCGCAGTGTTTTGCATCTGCGGTCTCCGCGGCCACTTCGGAGGAGCTGCTCCCATACAGAAAAGCGCGTCAAATAGATAGAAGAAAATGTAATCTTGAGCTAAAGTCCGCCGTTACCGCGGCCGCAGCGCCTGCGTGGGATCGAAAGCACCTGTAGGGGTTGATATGGTAATTACGGGATGCAAGCAGTGCCCCGCCCAACACTGGCCCACGCTACCAGACAGACTCCAAACTCTTCCGGTGCCAACGCGAGCAAAACTCCTACTTATCTGCTGCCTCCCCACTTCCTGCACTCTTCACCTCACTCACCCATCCCACCCCGAATTGCTTCATAGCTTGCGCGCCCGGTCGCCGCATAGATACCCCGCCATCCGCGCCACCTTGCCAACGTCGGCCCCGCTGCTTAATACCATCCACCATGTCTGAAGCCGTCGGTGACTTCGGCCTCATCGGTCTGGCCGTGAGTTCCTCATGATACCGAGCTGTGCTCTATGCTGGACAGCTTCTTACACAATGGACAGGTCATGGGCCAGAACTTGATTCTCAATGCGTAAGCCATCACTCACTCCACCCATGTTTTCAAAGCATCACAGCTAACTCCGCACAGCGCCGATCACGGATTCACCGTACGGACCCCATCTCTATGCTCATACTTCGCGTGCTAACAGGCTGCTGCAGGTTGTAGCATTCAACCGAACGTAAGGAAAGCGCAACCCAGCGCCGGACAACACGGCTGACCAATCCGATAGCGTAGCCAAGGTCGACCGATTCTTGAACGATGGTATGACCATTCCATATCTTTCGATGCGGGCTGAAGCTAATGCGCCGCAGAGGCCAAGGGCAAGTCCATTGTGGGCGCCCACTCCATCAAGGAGTTCGTCTCGAAGCTCAAGAAGCCCCGCCGCATGATGATGCTCGTCATGGCCGGAAAGCCCGTCGACGACTTCATCGAGCTCCTCCTCAACGAGGGCGGCGCAGAAGAGGGCGACATCATCATTGATGGTGGTAACTCGCATTACCCCGACACCAACCGCCGAACACAGTACCTCGCCAAGAAGGGCATCCGCTTCGTCGGAACCGGTGTTTCCGGAGGAGAGGAGGGTGCCCGTTATGGCCCCAGTATCATGCCTGGTGGTAACGAGGAGGCCTGGCCCTACATCAAGGACGTTCTCCAGTCCATCTCGGCCAAGTCTGACGGCGAGGCCTGCTGCCAATGGGTCGGTGACGAGGGTGCCGGTCACTACGTCAAGATGGTGCACAACGGTATCGAGTACGGTGACATGCAGTTGATCTGTGAAGTGAGTGGAATACCAACTATAAATGATTCAGTGTGATATCTGACAATAACAGGCCTACGACATCATGAAGCGTGGTCTCGGAATGAAGAACAACGAGATCGGTGACGTCCTCACCAAGTGGAACAAGGGTGTGCTAGACTCTTTCCTCATTGAGATCACCCGCGACATCATGTACAAGAACGACGAGGCCGACGGCGTCCCCATTGTTGAGAAGATCCTCGACTCTGCTGGCCAGAAGGGTACCGGCAAGTGGACCGCCATCAACGCTCTCGACCTCGGCATGCCCGTCACCTTGATCGGCGAGGCTGTCTTTGCTCGTTGCCTTTCGTCCCTCAAGGCTGAGCGTGGCCGTGCTGCTACTCTCCTTGACGGACCCACCCCTAGCTTCAGCGGCGACAAGCAGCAATTCATCGACAACCTCGAGCAGGCTCTGTACGCCTCCAAGATCATCTCCTACGCCCAGGGCTTCATGTTGATCCAGAACGCCGCCAAGGAGTACGGCTGGAAGCTCAACAAGCCCGAGATTGCGCTCATGTGGCGTGGTGGCTGCATTATCCGCTCCGTCTTCTTGAAGGACATCACCAAGGCGTCAGTATATGTTCCACCATGATTAAATTTTCACTGACAACCTCCTAGCTACCGTGCCAACCCCGACCTCGAGAACCTGCTCTTCGACGACTTCTTCAACAAGGCCATCCACAAGGCGCAGTCCGGCTGGAGAGACGTCGTCTCCAAGGGAGCTCTCTGGGGCATCCCCACCCCCGCTTTCAGCACCGCTCTGTCCTTCTACGACGGCTACCGAACCAAGGACCTCCCCGCCAACCTCCTCCAGGCCCAGCGTGACTACTTCGGTGCCCACACCTTCCGCATCAAGCCCGAGTACGCCAGCGAGACGTACCCCGAGGGCAAGGACATCCACGTCAACTGGACCGGCAGGGGAGGAAACGTGTCTGCTTCGACCTACAACGCGTAAGCAGCGTCGAAACTGTATGTTAGATAGACTGGGTCCAATGCAGGCTGTCAGTCATGCTCTGCTCTGTTAGCCCACGTGGGAAAAGCATACGGATCGGCTCGCATGCAAAATAGGAGACATAAATCAAATCATATCATGAACATAGATGGTATTGAGTACTGTATGCCATGTGTCTGTCGGTGCTGCCCGCCCCCATGTGCTGTGGTTCTTTCAAGCCAGCACGTACGCGAGCCCACCCTTTGCTCACAAATTACCTATTTTTGCTCGTGAATCGTGCAATGAACTGCCTCGTTTCTACGCTCCTTTGCACAATCCTTGATTGCATGCCCGCAACCTTTGAACCCGCAATATTCAAGTTCGCCAACCTGATTGAAACTCTTGCATTCGCAGCAGTTGCTCAGGATAGTACCTTTCGGCGTGGACTCGTTTACTGGCTCTTCGATGTTGTTGTAGGCGACCATGGTGCTGGGGTATTGAGAGGTTGGTTCGTTGTAGATACTGAGCTGGTTCGTTGTAGACGCTGAGTTGGTTCGTAGTAGATACTTCGATGTTCCGTTGAAGATGCTGAGACTCTTCGTTGCTGGCTTCTGTGTCGCTTCGTTCGTTATAGATGCTTTGATGTTTCGTTGTAGATGCTGAGATGCTTGGTTTTGGATGCTTCGATGTTTCGTTGTTGGCTTCTGAGGTGCTTGGTAGTTGTTCTGTGCAGTATACTTTCGTGGACAGAAGGTGGTCTATATACCTATGGTACTGCTGTGTGACTGGGAGTGACTGGGAGTGACTGGGAGTCCCTTTGTGACTGTTACAGAGCCACAGCAACACATTCAGTGGCAACGTGAGCATATTAACAGCAAATGCAACAGTGACCACAAAATACCATACAACATAGAAGTTTGACAAAAAGAATAACATATTGCTGCATGACACACCAAAGGAAGGCCCATTTTCACCGACTCAGTTCTTAGGCTTGAGGCGTAGGTATAGTCATTTGCACCCTTTTATAAGGTTTTACACGTGCAATGCTAATTCAAAAAGTTGCTGCGAAGAAGCACTCAATGAACGTAAGCTTTAACCAAGTTATTCATGTCCATGTAGGGACACAAGTTCACGCATAGAACTGCTTGCATCCAAGATCATCCCAGCCGTCGTGGTTCATAGCACAGAGGGATAGCTCATGGAGACAGTGAGGGCTGACTATGAGGTGGTTCTTCGACGTCCACTCGAATTTCCTTGCTGCGGCCTTGCAGCGGCAGCAGGTGTTCGTGGGACTACCTATGGTGTATTCCGGCTTGCCGTATTTTACGGGGGCTTCGATGGTGCTCTTGGGGACCATGGTGTTGTAGTCTTAAGAGTTAGGTTAGTTATAGATGCTTGGATGCTTTGTTGTTGGCTTCTGGAATGCTTCTGAGTTGCTTTGCTTGGCTGTTGTGTTGTGCAGTTCGTTTCTGTGGGCGGTAGGGGGTCTATAAACTGCCATATGTCTGTAAATGCCCCTTTGTGAAGGATACAGAGCCGCAGTGGCATATCACACGATGAAGGTATCCACAGCGAATGTAACGGTGGCCATGGAATACCATACAAAATAGAAGTGTGAACAAGATGTTGCCGCGTGACAGACCAGTTCCTTGGACATTTGATAATGAGGCGTAGCTGTGGTCACTTGCTCCCTTCCACAAGGCCATCATACTTGCAATGCTAGTTCTCAAAGAAGGCACTGCGAGAAGCACTTGATGAACATGACTTCAACCCATAATTGTCCCAAACCAAATTAACGCCTCCCAATATCTTCCCACGGCAATGCCACTTGGCGACGATACCAAGGTGTCACAACCTGACTTAATATTCAGAGCACGACGATGACTCGATACAAGCAGGAATCAGGAACGGGCACATATGTTGCACTATGATAGGGAATCAGAAGGCTGGAACTGATGACAGTCTGGGATTGTACCTGTATACAGTCACCTTTCCCAGGTTTCGTCACTTTACAATATTGATACTGACATATGTTGCTGTGCACATCACTGGAAAAGCATGGTGACGAACAAGATCTATTACCGCTGTGGTATTAGTCTCGGTGCAAGCTTTCGACAAGTCAAAACTTCGAGAGAGCAGCTATAGGGGTGGTCTGTTGCAACTTTTCTAGTGGAGTAAGTTCGGAAGGCATCACAGCCAAGTAGGGGTTAGGTGGACAGTTGTTTAATGTTTCCTGTTGTATCTGCTCGGTGGGCTCTGATCCATACAATTCGGTATGCTACTCTGCACGTCTCCTTATAACCAAGTGAACCCTTCCTTCCGTCGCCTACAGCCATAGTCACGCCTCTCATGCCATTTCGTACATATCTGCATCCTTGGCATCATATCATCCCCACAAGCCAGGCTTTAGGCAGTTGCCCTGCTATGAACTTTTGTTCAGCCGCCCTTTCGCGGCGCAATGGGTGTAGCGACTGGTGCACGTGCACCTGCGTTTTTCTTGCGCTGGTAATAGTTCTCCAAGATCTTGCGGACTTGATCCACGCTTCGCTCCTTGCCGGCTGGTGCGGCGAGGTTGTCCACGGTGTAGGGTGGATTGATGAGGACGGCGTCGTTGACGACGATTTGGGCGTCGGCCCAGCGGGTGGGAAGGCTACGCAATTGTTAGCTACTGTATGTTTAAGGCCAAGAGGTAGTGGACTCACAGCCTGGAGACAGCATCGAAGATCTCCTGAGCCTCCTTGCTCACGCCCTTGCCCTTCTGCGCATCCTTCTTCTTCATCTCACGGATAGTCTGCTCCTCCCTCGCCCTGATAGCTGCCAGATCCACCTTCGAGATGGGCGGAAGCGAACCATCGAAACCGGGACCTGAATCCGAGACGCGCTCGCCGCTGCCAATCAGCTCAAAGCTGAGGATATGCGCAAAGGGAATGATGTGGTAGTCCCCCGGTTGGTTCGAGAGCGGGGCGGAAGGGTTCGGCGGGGCGGGCGCGGTGTTGATGGCGATGGCATTAGTTACGCTGCAGGTTGTGAAGAGGGTGCCCTCGAGCACGTTGTTGTGGGGAGCGCATGTTATCTTGACGCTACAATGGGATTAGCTTGGTTTGATCCTGTCTGTCTACATATCTCGAATTATAGAGTGACAGAAAGTGAGGCCTACCGCGCGCCAACGGCCTTGTATAGGATCGAGTCTCCATCGATGCCGTCCTTGGAGGGCCCAACCTTGGGCGTCGCAATCTTGCCGGCAATGCTCTGGCGCTTGCTCTCCGCCATGCTTTTCCTTCAGTATGCTGCGCGCGCTGTCAGTCTTGTATTTTGGCGGTCACGCAGCTTCTCCGCTTGCGACGCTCGCAAAAGGCCGGTCGCCCAGGGCCGCCTTCATGCAAGCAAAGAAAAAGGGCACGTGTCAGTGCAAAGGAGCGACAGGAAGAGAGCAGCTACGCGCAGGGCACACGCAAAGGGGGGCTTGTGGGGGTGTGCGCGCGGGACGAGCGGCGCGAAGATGCAGGTGGGAGGTGTTCGTACCTGCGCGCTTGGTCGATTCGGTACCAGGAAATGCTTGGATGCCGAACGAACTGTTTGCCCGTGGTTTGCGAGCCGTTCCGCCGTAAGTGCGGGCCGATCGCTGGTACTAGTTAGCTGGTGCCTGTCTTCTCTGCCGCTGTTTCATTGATATTGTACGAACGCTGGCCCTGAAATCGCATTCTACGCACACTGCATGCCCTCGTCTGTCACCGAATCGCACTCGTGAGCTAAGTCGGAAGAGGCTAGCGTATCCGAGACATGAACTGATGTCACTCAATCCGGAGGGCGAACGACACCTCTGCTTCAGACCGAACAGCAAGTTATGAAGTTCTCTCCCAATCAGATGTTGCAGAGCTCTTGCGCAACGAAGTTTCTCCACCGTCTACGGATCAATGCTACATGGTCAAGGTGATTTGAACTGCCCGGCACATCCTCATCACTAACAACCATCACTCAAGATGACTTCCTATTGCTGGAACCAACGTGAGGCCAATCAGAAGCATAACAGCAACATATAGTCGACAGAGATCAGGCATAAAAAGAGTTCGAATTCCTTTGATTCTTAGCAAGCGGACCACAACGGATATTCAGTGCCAAAAACATCGTCGAGGTTTCGACTTCATTCGTCGATGTAGCATTATCACGAGCAACCGCGAGCAACCCTCACATTAGGAGGCAGAAATCAAAACTAATGGCCGCGGAGTAAAGGACAAGACACCGTCATAGAACCTACGCTAGGTCTATCTATTCGAGGCTAGCTTGCCGAGATGCCCAGGACCGATTGTAACGACGAGTGGCTTAGCACGTGGGTTATCTTCTGATTTTCCAACTCTTCGACCTATCATCGATGGATGTGCCAGATGATCGCTACTATGGTGTAGTTTTTCCACGGAGGGGCAAGCCAAGTTGAGGCTGTGCCTGACTTGCGATTCAAGTACGCAATATCCCAAAGGCCGCATACAATCGTTTCAAGTACAAACCTGTATTCTTACACCATTCACTCGTTGATACCGCTCGTTTCCTACAACACAATCGTCTTTGCGCGTCCCAAAGCCTAATCGATCGTCGAATTGTTTCCAAACCATTTCAAAGATATCCTAAGCTATGACATCAACTCGTTCCCTCCATCTCCCCTGGTCAACTCCATGGGCAACCCCACCACCCTCCTCATGCTCTGCACTCATCCTCACCTCCTCCACCGTGAAGTACGGCGCAACCTGCGTCTTCGACGAAGAAGACACCACCAACAATCCCCTCAACACCGCATGCCTCCCCTGGCTGGCCCAGGACCCCACACCCGCGTCCAACGCCTTCTATTCCCCCGCCACCTCATGCCCTCCTTCTTGGACCGCAGTTGCTACACAAACCTCAGGCCTGGAGCAAAGCGTAGATGGCGAAACGGGACTTTCCTGCTGCCCCGACGGGTTTGAAGACGGCGGTGGTGGCGTGTGCAAACCGGCGAGTACAGGCACGTTCGCGGTAGTGGAATGTGGCGACGCGGACGAGGAAGAGAACGAGTCAAGGACGTATTCTGGAGCGAGCTGGCCTGCGAGCGCAACGGTCAGCGTGCCGGCGTTGCAGTTGAGGTTCCGGGCTGAGGACTCGAGTGATGCGAGTGCGAGTGCGACGGGGACGGCGACCGGTTCTGTGACACCGTCAGAGACGAGTGGAAGTGAAGAAGGTGGTGGTGGGGGAGGACTGTCTATCGGGGCGAAAGCTGCGATTGGGACGGTCATACCACTGGCCTTTATCATGCTCGCTTTGGCTGCGTTCTTGCTTTGGCGACGCCGGAGGAACCGGAAAGCCGTCGAAACAAACGACAAATCGTTCGCAGAAACCAAGGATTACCCGGATGCGGAGCCCAGCGTTGTCGGAACGAGTTCTATAAAATCACAGCATCCCAACGCAAATGAGACACCAGAGTGGAACACGGAGCTAGAAGCCACAGAAGCACAGCGCCAAAGAGCTCCTGCGGCAGCCGTCAGTGCTGCTCAAGCATCTACAAGTGAACTGGGGGGCTTGGGCAGAAGGCCGAGGAAACCGGTGCCGGCTGTAGAGGTAGAGGGGTCGCCTGTGACAGCGGAGATGGATGTCTCACGGTATATGGCTTATCAGCCGCCTCGGGCCAGGGTTCAAAATCCGTGATATTGGTTGTGTAGAAGTAATCCAGGATTAAATCCATCAGTATGTCAATTCTAGACTGCGCAAAGAATCACCAGGTTAAAGTCGAATAAGTGGAGTGCTTCAATTGTAATGACATCTGAGAGATGTGTAACAGTGAACAGTGAGAGTATAAGTCAGGATGGGGTATATTACTAATTCTATGTGAATGGAAAAACCAGAACAACAGTCTGAGTGGTATGAGAAAACGTGACGATAGCTAGGAAAAGAAAGCTTCAGCTCGAACGGGGCTAGAGAATAGTCTTAGAAGAGGGCCGACGAAGCATGTTGTGAGTCAGGAACATGACATCCGCTCAATAGACGAACTTTCGATCGCCCATCATCTCCCACAACTCCTTCACCACGCCCTCCTGTTCGGCACGCTTGGCACCACGCACAGCGAGGTACAACCGACCTTCGAGTGTGGGGTCCCAATCACCAGGGTTCGCACTAGCAACCATGCCCCCAGCCTCCTCCAGGATGATCCACCCGGCGCAGACATCCCAGATCCAGCAGCCGCCCTCCCAGAAGACGTCAATCATACCCGCTGCGACGTAGCAAAAGTCGAGGGCGGCGGAACCGTTAGATCGAATGGAATGCACCATCGCACCACCGGCTGCCTTTGAAGTCATCAACTGCTGGGACATCGACGTTCGAAGCTCCCAGTTGGAGCCTTCGCGCTGGGAGCCCCACTCCAGGGCCACGAGGCAGTCGTTCAGCGAGGTCATCGGCTTAGGAACTGGAGACATCGGAAGACGGCGAGTAATACCCGTGGAGGTAGTGAAGAACGCACCCTGCCACTTGATCGCGGTGAAGAGGTCGCCACGGAACGAGTTGTATACAACGCCAACGAAGGGCTTCTTCTCGATTGTCAGGGCTAAGGAGACGGCTGTATTCGGAAATCCATGGATGAAATTGAGGGTACCGTCGATCGGGTCGCAGACGAAAGTTGGCATGTCACCAAGCTTGTCGCCCAGCTTGAACGTCTCCTCACCCAGGAAGCCGAAGTGCGGGTACTCCGAGGTCAGACGGTCCTGAACCATCTTCTCCACCGCCTTGTCCGTCTCCGTGACACGATCCGAGGAGTTCTTCTTCGTATCCGATTCGACGACCGAAGGGTCTGCCGCAATCATCATCTGGCCAGCCGTACGCGCGATGTCTACGAGATCGTTTTTGATCTTGCGAAGCATCGCTTCATCCAGACCGTACGAAGCCAGGAAGTCCAATCGCTGCTGTGCATCTGGAGTGGAAGGCCCCGAGTTAGGCGCAGTGGTCGGTGGCGTAGGTAGAGACTCCATCGTCTGGTTAGTCTGCGAGTTGAGAGGACGGACGTTGACTGAAGAATCCCGCAGAGTGTGTTCGCAGATAGGCTCGTCCAAGTCCTGTGCAGTGACCGGCGGCGCAAGAGATAAATCCATGGTAACTTGAGAGTCGACTGAAATGATAGCTGGAAGCTCGCATTCACGCTGGTAATCTATACCAGACATATTGCTTCGGTAAGTGGTCGGTAGTTGATACGAAGGTAGCTTTGAGTTGCGGTTCGAAACGGTCCGATTCTGCCCGATAGGTCTTGCCTTTGGTAGACTAGTTGAAGGTTGCTTGTTGTTAGTTGCAGATGAGTATGCTTTGGTTTTCTGGACCATTCCCCAGTACGGTTGAAGGGTATATAAGGGGCGTTTATCCTTGTGTACCCTTGTGTGTGAACATTGACTCAATGCTCTTTGATAGCATTGTGCATCCCGATGAAACAGCACAGCCCGCGCTTGCAACGAAACTGCCGTTGAAGTCCACGTTGTGTGTACAGGGGCATCCGGTTATCTCTGGATGGACCGAAGAACTGTTGAGAGCATGTGCTTTGATAGGCCACTACCATTGGTTTCTGCTGCTTTTACGCCTTGTAGTAGTGTTATATATCGCTACAATGAGATTTCGCGATTGCCTTCGGTGATGGACGCCTTTCGATAGCAGCCTTCCGGGGCAAAGTTATGGTCGCACCATGAGGCAGTGCATATCTTTCAGTGACTGACATTAGTTTCCTGTCAAGTCGCATTCCTTATCTTCCGCATACATGCAACAACGAAACATGTCGCTTTTGATTTTCTGTATTGCCTCCAAAGTAAAACGATGTTGCCCAAGACCGCGACGAGAAAGGTGCTGGTCTTATGACTCTCATCGACTATATACACACAACGTGCTGTGTGAGATTCGATGGTTCCGGCGCTCGAATGATCGGATGACTGTCGGCCGTAGGGACTGATTCATGGAACACCAAGCTCCTCATTCTTCAGGTCTCGCAAGCAACGGGAAAGTGCTGCTAATGGAGTGTAGGTGCAGAGCTATGCCTGGCCGTCGCACAAGCAGTTTGGGCTAGTCTCGCTTAGTAAGACTAGATAGCGTCATGAAAGCCAAGTCGGAGATCGGAGCCGATGTGAGTTGTTTTATACCAGCACACCGCTCAGAGTCTGGCAGGCTTCAGCTTGTCATCTATCGTTTGAAAAACTTCTCTGGCAGTTTGCGCATCAATTTTGGTGACTTAATGATATTCGTTGGCTTCATAGCTTTGGGCTACGTAAAGGGCACGTGACCAACGCCCTCCAAAGGTTCCAAGGTTACTTGGTGCATCACGATTCGCATCGTATAGAAATGCTAGACCATTGCTGCAGATGGGAATGAATTCCTGTCTAAATTCCTCAGGAGAGAGGACAGAGCCATACTGCGATGACATGTACAAATCACAACTTTCCCGTCCTGATCTAAGACTAATTCACCACAGGACGCAACGTAGGAGATTGTCAAGGGGAGAGATTCGTGCTTTGAGGCGCTCTCTCGCAGATATAACGCCCGAAAGCGCCAACCAGCAACTTCAATCTCCGTTATTTTCGGTTCTCCCAAGCGAAGTTCGCAACCTGATCTTCGAATACGCCATCTGTCAGGTCATTGATGCTCGCAAATCAGCATCCGAAACTCAAAATGCACAGCTGCGGCCTAATCACGAACGTATTCCTGTTATAGACGTAGCTCTTTTACGCACTTCTCGACTTATATACACCGAGACACGTACCATACCTTTACGGAGCGCAACCCACCACGTTTACGGTGACCAAGCAACAAGTTATGAGTCTGAAGACTGGGATCACTACTTATTCCATATGTCCAGCCAATCAGGTCAACATTTGCACCATTTACACACGACTAGTTGGTGGCTTCCTGACTTTGCGAAGCACCTACAAGCACATATGCATTGGAGGAAGGTTACATGGACCATTTGCTGCTCCACTTGGGACTTCGACGATGCGTGGGAGACAAGCTCCAGTAACGCTGACAAGATATTCACTGCGTTCAATCAACTATTGTTTCCGAATACTTGCCGAGAAGTGAATCTGGAGTTCGAAGCGCTGAGGGAGAATCCCAAACATCGGAGGAAGTTACGTGCAGTGGCTGATCGGTTTCGAGAAATCCAGCCGAAACGGCGAGATGAATCGAAGGTCGAGCTGGATGAGAACTACTGCATGGAATATACCTGGCAAGGATCGACCTGGCAACCTGGCGATTGGGAGGACGGCCCTGGTGGCTATGTAAGCGCTACCTACCATGTTATTCGCCTATGCTGGAGAGCGCAGGAGCCTGAGAGGAAATACATGCACTACGATCACTGGGATTGTTTGCGAAGCAGCAAGATCAAGCGGATACCTTGCGGGTATGATTCTGAGAACGAAGAGAGCGGCTGAAATTGTGCGAGACTATAATACTAAGCTTTCCCTTTGCGGCATCCTTAAAAGAGACGTACAAGCTCCGCTACTACCTTCATTGCCCACCTTGGTAACTAACCGTCCCTAAAGCTCCAGATGTTCCGTGTACGCCTAGATACACTTCAAAATAAAGTCACGACCTAGTACTGATAGCACAGAAACCCGTTCGAAGTGTGAATAACTGCAGAAACAGGGACTGAGGGTAAGAGGTTGCCGATGTTCAAAACATCGTCCACCGTGGCAGCTGAAGCGCCAGCAGTATCATGTCGCGGCCCGCCGTAGGCAATATCCCCACCTGTAGCGGATGTCTGCCAAAGGGCCCACAAGCGATCGATATTGACATGGTGGAGGAAAAACACAGGGTCTACGAAGGTGTCAGTACTGCTTGGTCATGGTGACAGGAGAGGGAAGCATGTACCGTAAGGTCCCGTATACGCGCGGAAATCGCCCCGAACACCGTCGCGCATGAAGATATGGGCTCGGTGCTCGAGCTCCGGAGCATACTCAGCAAATGTCGTCGATCTCTCACGCAGTTCCTCGAGTGCGTCGGGCGAGATCGGTTCTCCGATACGCTCGATATGTGCATCGGACGCAAAACCACGCGAGAGACAGTGTGGTTTAGCTTCATCACCAAAATATTGCGCTTCAACATTGGCAAAGGGCCCATCACTGACGCAACGCCCCTCTCCTACTGTGATAGGGGTGTCGCGCTGACCGTCTCCCCCAAAACCACCCTCAACGTCCCAGACGGGAGCAAGGGGCATGTTCTTCCAGTCCTGAGACCAGTCCCAGTACCTATTTTGTCAGAGTGACTTCCTTCACAGATAAGAGCAGCTTACGGAATCACGCCAGCATAGCCGCAGTCCTGCTTCAGTGCGGATTCGTAGGCATGTACAAAATAGCGATGCCAAGGCAGGAAAGGCGCTGCGCCATGGGCGGCTGGTGCCGTTGCCTGGTGCACGCGAGGAAAATCGTCGTACAGCGAGCCATTTGTGTACAATTTAGACGGTTTGGTTCCCAAGCACTGAACGGCGGCAATGTAAGCGTTTCGGTCAGCCCGGGCAAGGGTACGCCATTCTCTGCGGATCGTGGGTCGCGAGCAGGGGCTGGCGACTTGGACGTTGCTTGTATCCACCTCTGGGTTCAAGCACACATTAGTCGTAGTACCTCTCACGACGAACAGTGTCAATGTAGCACCCAAGCCAAACAACGCGCCGGAGACAAGGACCCAAGCCCATGTGCTCATGCGCGACGAGCTTGAATGATACCAAGCCACAGGAAGGGGCCGAGTTCCTCCGGCTTTAGACTCTTCATCGTGGTAGTCTCCTTCAGACATAGGAAGGTACGAGGGATTGGAGCGGAAGAAGGAGAACATTGTGGGTCGAAGTTTCAATAAAGGTAGGCCTAAAACCCAACTGTAGCATTCGAGCTGAATCTCCCGCTCAATGCTTTTATATACCTGATAAACGACAGCGCACCCAGACACCAATGTCGAGAAGCGGTTGCTTGTCGCTATCGATGCTACATCGACTTGCTGATCAGCAGACATGATAAGAGATGCAGCGCGCGAAGAAGGCAATGATAGATACCACTCGACAATCTTCGACAGTTGCCTTTCCACACAGTGTCGACACAAACATTGAAGGCTTCCAATTGCATACAAGCTACTGACAAGGACCCTAGTTGACATTTCGCCCGGGTGACATCTGAGGAAGGGTTGATTGGCTGGCCTGATACATGCAGAAACTTTGCCTCAGCAGCACCTGAGTGTGCCAAGACCGTGTATGTTCTAGATAAGGCGGGCTTGCGAACAGAGTGAGATGAGCGGAGAACCTTGTAGTACCATGCATACATTCTGTTCGACGCCCGGATGGTCAGAATCTCGACCGTTCCCGAGGATCAACCCCAATCAACGGCCGCAGAGCCCCCAACATGATGTACAAGTCCGACGAGTTCTGCATAAAGGCAAATATTCGGTCTTTATCAACTCCCGGATCATGCAGTCATCCGCTCAACATAGTTTCGCCTGTGCAATGAACCCGCAGACTGGCATCCAACAACGAAGAGACAGAATCAGATAGAATTTATTCTCCACCCTGTTATATTACCGCTGCCAACACCGAGTAAGGGTACCATGTAGACTCTTATCAACAATATCAACATCGCGCGAGAAACCGCCACCCAACTTTCATGATACGCAGGCCTGCCATTCCGGAAGTCGAGATTGCCAGTGTAACCCCAGTGAGAAGTTGCAAACCTAGCCAACCATGTTTGACTATAGCACCTCCAATTGGAGAACCGATCAATAGGCCTGTGGAACATGGAATACATGCCATGCCTATACGCATGCCGAGTACACTCATATCCGGACAGAGAGCAACAGCAACGGTCGTCATGATGAGTGAGAGATAAGTACCCGAGAAGCAGCCATAGAAGATACAGGTTGCCACCATCCCAGCCAGAGAATCTACCGCAATCCATGCGAACGCCGCGATTGCGCTCATCAGAGCGCAAAGGACCAGGATTGCCACCGGTCCGGTCCGATCCGCGATGTAGCACAGAATCTAGTTTACACGGGGTTGTCAGTGTGTTATTCGTCGGGAATTGCGGTCATCGATCGGCTCACCAATCGTCCAACAAACGAACCTGCGTTCATCATAGGGAGGAGATAGAGAGCAAGCTGGCTATCTACCAAGCCTCTGTCGCGTGCAAATGAGTCCACGTAGAAGTAGGGAATGTAGAGCCCAACCAAGCCGAATAAGCACGAAGCTGCAAACACCACAAAGGTCGGCTCTGTCCACGGCTTCGGGTCGAAGAACTTTCGAGCCACTGCTGGCTTCAAACGCATCTTCAAGCACGTGGATGGTAGAATAAGCGTAACCAGCATGATCAGGGCTATTACTCTTGTTGCCCACTGAAAGCCAATTTTAGGCTGCAAATTACGAAAAAGCACCGAATATACGATGCCGCCTTTATCGAGTCGAAGTCAGTCAAGTCTTTCATCTCCAAACTACAGCGGATACATACCAAGATTGCCACCCGTAATTGCGATGCCCATACTTAGTGCTCTTCTCTTGGCGAAATACGTCGGCAACAGAGCCATACTGGGAACGAAAAACATAGAACTTCCAAGCCCGGTGAGTAAGCCCTGTGCTAACATGTACTGCCAGTACTCGCTGCAGAAACTTGTTGTAACGAGGCCAAGAACAACCAGAAGGCTTCCGGTTCGCACCAATGTCTTCAAGTATCCTCTATCGTACAGGGGACCGGTGAATACACCACCAAAGACGAAGAGGAATGCTTGGATGGATCCAATCCAGGAGATACTAGCAGGCGTCACCGAGCTCAGACTATACTTTTCATAGTAGTCTTGGAATGCTCCTAGTCAAGTTAGTAAAAAACATAGTGATTGGGGGCGGCATCCATACCAAAGGCATTTACTAAGCCCCAAGAATTAAAGAACAAGCAGAAAGTGCCCGCACATTGCAGCCACGCAAACGCCCATCCGTCTGAGATGAGAGGTAGTGCGGGTGCCTTATCTTCCATGGCTTCTCCGCGATCTTTCAATGTTTCATGGTTCTGCGTGGAAGCCAACATGGCGCTCCATAGAAAGTAGTTCAAACTTTGAGAAACACAACGAAGAGACTCGCAGAAGGATTCGAAGATAACCGCCACTTGACTACATACGCCCCGGCCGAAAACGGAAGGCAACATTCTCCCGGTGCCCGGCGAGGGTCGCTTCATCAAAAATTCCCCCACGATTCGGGCGATAGCGAATACGGAGAACTACGCTTCCGGACCGTGCTGTTGGCTCGCGGGGTTTACTCAATTTGCAGGCCTGACCTCGCCCCGCTGCATCCTGCAGCAGGCATTGTTGGACCCCCGAACACCATACTCTCGTTCCGTAGCCTAGTGCTTAAGTGTGCTTATCTGTGCTTGACTGTAAGGAAGAGAAATAAATGTGGAGACAGCGCATCGTCCAGTGCATTGTTCATGGTCAAGTCATTTGATCTCTAACCAACCATCTCTTCCAAGGCTCCTGGAGCATTCTTTGACCCCGCTCTTACGATTCTCTACTGGTCTCGATCATGCTTCCACCTCAGGCAGTCACGATCACGATCGTTAGTGTCATTTTTCCGGTCCTTTCCGTCACCGCCGTGGCCTTACGCATCTATGCGCGCCGTCTGAAAGGCACCAGGCTGAACGCGTCTGATTATATGATTTTTTTCACATTGGTAAGGCTACATCGTGACGATGAGGCATCTGCGACTAAGAATACACAGTTGAATGCTGTACTCAACGCTATCGCTTGTATCATCGGCGCGGTGGCTTGCGGTATAGGCCTTCCCTTAGCCGGGCTCACACCCACTCTCAAGGTGCGGTTCCTCAAGGTACGCTTTTCACATCAAGATCTGCGCTTTCGAATGGATCTAAGCGCAACGTGATAGATACTCTTTGTTACGCAGTTTTTCTATGTTTTCTCCGTGTGGAGTGTGAAAGCCTCTGTCTTACTATTTTACCAAACGGTGTTCGCAACACCAGGATTTCGTCGTGCCGTTATCGCCACACAACTAGTCTTGCTTGCCTGGATCATTGCCTTCTTCTTCGTTACGCTCTTCCAAGATAACCCTATACCGCGCAACTGGGGAGAACCTGGCACGGCCATCAATTGGCGCATCTTCTACATCGTCGAGATCGCGACAGATGTTGCGCTGGATATTTTCATTCTTTGCTTGCCCCTACCTGTGATTCACAGGTTGCGTATCAGCAAAAAGAAGAAATGGCTCATCAGCGGTGTGTTCTGGCTTGGTGCCGTGTGAGTTCAACAATCTCTGTTTTGATCCATGTCCTCGTGGTTGCGGTGGAACTTATCGAACTAATGTATCATAGAATTGTCGTTGCTTCTACAGTACGTCTGTATTATATGGTCAAGGTCAAGCAAGAATTCCAAGACAACGATGACGACTTCTCATGTAAGGCCTACGATCCTCTTGACCAGACTCTACGCTCACCTTTGACAGTCACTACTATCAACACAATCATATGGGGATCAATTGAGCCCTGCATGTCAGTCGTTGCTGCATGTCTACCCATTTTAGGCCCCGTATTCTTCAAGAACAAACGCGAGGATGCTTCCAAACCCACCAAGACCAGCGCCATGTCATCCTATTTCCGTAAAGTCACACTCGGTAGCAAGGGTCGTCATCTTGGTGGAAACTATTCGCGTGCCATAGACTCCATCGACCGACTACAAACTCAAGAGGAGAGCATCTCAATGAAATCATTGGTTCCTGGTGAACCTGAAAACGATCAGACGAAGAGCGACGCTCCTGCCATCTACGTACAAAGGGGATTCTCGGTCAAAGGGTCGAGGTAGTCATCAGGTTAGACATCCTATGCTGAGGCTTGCTGTTGTGATCGAGCGGTATCTACAAACTTGGCTCTTACGGATAGGGCCCTAGTGGTCTAAAGTATCGGTTCCTTGCTATGTTGGCTGTATGTCTCTACACACTGTTATTGGTTGAATCTGCCCGGCGCTTTAAGCGGTGCAGCGAGTAAATTAACCTTTGGAGTATCCCGAATGATTACTCTGTGTTTTTCGCTGTTATTCCCGCGATTGGTCCAGGACAACGGAAAACCTCTAGAAATGTTGATTACTGCGGCGTAGGCGCTATCAAGTGCGCCTCGTTTCAGGCAGCTAGGACGGCTTCATCTCGCTTTCTTACACGCGTCGCCGTTATCCCCGCAGTTGATCCAGCGCGACGGGAACATGCATTAGTTTTGGACCAAGGCGGCGTAACCACTATCAAGCTTGCTTTGTTCCAGGCAGCGGAACAGCCACGCCGCGTTGCAGGCGCCGGCTGTGGCCAATCATAACGCACTGTTGCGGCAAGAATCTAGACTTGCACCTGGAAAGCAAGTGAGCATGATATCAATGCCCACCCCTGTTTCCCTCTTTGGTTGCAGCTGATAACGGACTTCCGAACAGTTTCCATTTTAGGAAATGACAATCAAAGACGTTTTGCCCATTCTACATGCTACATGCATGTAACCAGATGCAAGCCGGACTTGACAGACGCCTTATGATAGTCATTACTTCTTCTCAGTGAAACAAGGCAAAAGTAAGCACCATACTAGAATTTAATTTGCGCAATACGCACGATAAATGCATGGCATATCACATCTAATCTTTGCAGAATGTGAACCAAACAAACCTGTTGGGATACTGATCATATGACTTCTTGTGTAACGCCCGGACAGCGAAGATGACTAAGGCTAAGCCGTCCTCTCCGCATGGGACAAAGCCTGCCTCACTAGCAACGCTGTAGCTTCATGTATCCTTATCGACTTGGCCTTCGTTAACCGTTTACCATACGCATCCTAGAAATGACACCCCACGCAGAGAAAAATGGAGACATGCCGATTGCAGCTACTAGAGCGAGAAGAATCCAAGCGGTACCGGCCTCTACCATTGTGAAAGACAATGTGTGGTATGGATGCCGAGGAAGGATTTCGGCGGCGTTGCTAATCATGATGGGAAGGCAATGGATTCACGACGTAGCAGCTTCGTCCCCAGTACAACCAACAATCAATTTAGGCACATCATTCATGTACGTATCCAGATCTGAGAAGTCAGGTATACCGGTTTTGCTGACAATGCTCAGTGATCACAACCCTCCCTCGTTTCTCGTCGAAGCTCACAAGGATGCGTTGGATCGCGTCGACAGCAATCAATATGCTCCAGTGCCGGTACGTAGGTATCTTCTTGCATTGACTGCATCATCTCAAAGGATACTAGGGTTCGCATGGGTTACAACAGACTGTCGCAGAGCTGTACTCTCCGTTGTATGGGAGACAACTCAGTCCAGAGACAGACATATGCGTTTCAAGCGGCGCGCAAGAAGGCTTGCTCAGTTGCGTGATGTCTTTCATTCAACCTGGAGATGAAGTGATCTTACTAGAGCCTGTATTTACTATGTAAGACACAACATACTACCCATTTCACAAGTACACTAATGCAATTTGTCTAGGTACGAGTATCAAGTCAAGCTCGCCGGTGGCACGATTCGCTACGTGCCAATCCGTCCACCCGAAGGTAACCCAATGGCAAATGGCAGCGACTGGACAATCGACATGGCCGAACTTGAGGGCACAATCAACGAGAGAACAAAGATGATTTACCTGAACAACCCGTAAGTCAGACATGTACTGTGCTTCTCCTCGACATCTATGCTTATCATGAAAGACATAATCCGCTCGGCAAGGTATTCAGCAGGGCTGAGCTCACCGCAATCGGCAACCTGTGCGTCACATACGGTCTTGTTCTTCTTTCCGATGAAGTCTACGAGCGCATTGTATTCCCTCCCCATTCTGTATCAGATACGGATGCCGTTCATACACGAGTCGCCTCGATCTCTCCTGAAATCTTCGCACACACGCTTACCGTTGTCTCTCTCGCTAAGCTATTCAATGCGACTGGTTGGCGCGTAGGCTTCGTCATAGGGCCTGATGTTCTGATGCAGCCCGTTATCGCCACACATCTTGTGCTGGCATATTCCAGTAGTGGACCAGCGCAAGATGCATGTGCAATAGGTCTGCGTGAAGCGGAGAGACTGGACTGGTGGAGTGTAAATGCCAGGGACGTCAGTGCAAGGATTCGTGCACTCTGCAGCATGCTAGATGACATCGGGCTAACGGTCTGTCTCTCTTCATTCAGGTAGTGATACCGGTTCGTTGCTGACTTGGCCATAGTACGTCATGCCCGGCGCTGCATGGTTTATCTTTGTTTCTGTGGACAACATCTCGGTGCCCGAAGAGTACAACTATCCTCCGCTCGTCGCCAAACATGGCACGAAAGACTGGAAAACGTGTTACTTTTTGGTTCAAGAGTTTGGTATTGCATCGATTCCGGGGACCTGCTTCTATGGGGAGGACAACAAGGCGTTGGGGGCCAGATACCTGCGCTTCGGGGCATGTAAGTCAGATGAAGGTCTGCGACTAGCCGCTGAGCGACTCCAAAAGTTGAAACCGTACATCCTGGGAGAAAGGACATTCTAAGCATCAACCTAGAGATGCATATAATTGACAAGTATAAGGCTTTGGTTTGAACTATGAGAACTTTCAGTTCTATAGTACTGGATATCTGTCACTTCCTATCTTTCCCCTACTAATTATGTGATATCCCTTGCAGTATTCCCTCACAATATGTGCATACCACTTCATTTTAGAAAGATTCATATCATAATAAATTTGCTCCAATAGAATCATACTAATACTACTACTTAATGAAGCCGCGTGCCTCTCCACGATCCTCTCATTGTAAAACCCGATCCTCTCTTTCCAGCATTCAAATTAAGTATACAATATTCAAGTTGGCTTCAGCTTGAACATACCTCCATCCCATCGTACCCTGGATCTTCTCTGAGAGCCCACGCATGATCCTTGCCCGCTTCCGACATCGACGAAATCAATTGCTTCAGTCTTGAGAAGTCGGGAGAGTTCTGTCGCGCTCGATAAGGAGCTAGCCTTGCAGATTCAGTGAAAGTGGCTCAAATCTCTTCGTTCTCGAACAACGCAGGAGGTTCGGGTTCTATCGCGAACCGGTCGTCTGTCAACGAAGCTTGGGCATGATCGTGGAGAACTTCCTCGCAGAAGTGAACGAGAAAATCTAGAATCCTGCGCTGCAGGTACAGGTTGAAGAACCCCAGGAGTACATTGTGTCCCTTGTCCGAAAGCCCAGACTCTGTGACGTTCCGCCGCAGTTCATCTCTGAATTCCTTGAGGTGCTCCTCGTAATCTCTCTGGGAGAGCCCGTTGCATGTCTTCGAGTCGAGCTTGTAGCAGAAGCGGGGAGGAGGTTGAGGTGAGCGCAAGAAGAAAACCTAGAGACCGTAGCACACGAAACCGCAGAGGACGAAGAAAACTAACTTGCCTAGCCCCGTTCGTATAAACTCGTCGAAGTAGTGGAAGAGGGTCACAAAGATGGCCCTAGCACAGCTGTTATTGCGGCGATGGCTGCGATTACGGGTATTGCCATTATCGTTATCGCTCATGTTGGTAGCTGTGGACTCCGGGCGACAGCGAATGTGAGCGCAAGTTCAGAGATTTGATGCCGATGTTGCCGTTATCGTTATCGTTCATGTTGGTAGCTGTACAACCGTGCCATACTTGTCTTTGTCCCATTTGTCGAGCACCATACACTCATGCTTCGGTCGCAGACAGACCGCTTTAGCGAGGTAATACTCCAGAAAGACACTGCGTTCATGCTCCGTCGCAGTAAACATGGTGGGTAAGTTTCGGCTCCGCGAGTTGAGAAGCATCAAGAGAGCCTTTGCTTCAGTGAGGTCTTCGAGGTTGAGATAGGGCCACAAGATACGATCGGGCAGCAGTCCGGACTGAAAATTCTGGAAATGAACCTGCTTTTGGTCTGCAATACCACCGAAATCGGGACGATGCGAATCGGGCATGTCCGGCCATAACCTCAATAATAGCTCGCGTCGCCTGGCCTGTGGCCTCTTCTCCCAACGCTTGCGAAGGATCGGCTCGTGACGAATGACAATCTCATGCAGGCGCGTGTAGTCTTCGAAAATCTCTTCGGCCAACTGTAGTGATTGATGTCTAACGGCATCGTCTGGCCATGGAGCATCCTCGGCACCCCAGTAGAGGTCCTCGAGTAGAGCTTCGAGAGCCATGGAAAATGTCTAGTGACAAGATTACGAAAGCTGGGATACAGTTGCCGGCTATTTCGTACGACCTTCAGTCTGCTGAGTTGATAATACTCAGGCAATCGAAGGTGTATGTCTCGAGTGATGAGAGCAGTGTGCAGAAAGCGCCCTTAGGATCGGGATTTATGTACCAACTACGCGTGATGCGCATTAGTCCTGGCAGTAGTACTATTTAAGGCAAGGGACACCGCCAAGTCTGGTTAGTGAAAAAGTGTACATATTCGCTTCGTGGTGAAAGAGTTGGAGCTTGGCTGCTGGTTGTTTTCAACCGCCCATTATGCGGTCAAATGTGACTGACCCGACGCACTTCGTAGTTCGCTACCGGGAAGCATAATGGGCAACGACACTAAAGTCGTGGACGGCTTTGAGGTGGCCGTGGTAACCATCGTCTTGCTGATTCGTGTGATTGAAGAGAAGGAGGGATAGTCTTTTTTTCAACTCAAACGATCCAAATATAGAGTCTGGTTACATGAGTAAGAGGCAGTGAGAAGGGGGCTGGAAGAAAGTATGCAAGACGTGCAAGATGAAAAGGGGAGAAGGTGAGGGCAGAGGAAGGAGCCACCCCTGGACCCCTCAGCTGCATTAACCCTGCACTAGCCGCTGCACCAATGAATATTAGTGCATTTCACGAATTGCCAATCGTTACTGCATCCGTTGTGAACGTATTGAGCTATCAACTGCGTAGCGACGGCCCTTTATAACCAGAGCCGCCAAACAGTCTCTACTAACAATTCCTCCCAAACCTACGAGCAGCGGAGCAAATATTCGGACAATATTGATCCAAACCACCGTGGAAACAAGATTGCTAATCAATCGAGCCTGCTTTACGAGCGATGCCAAAATACCTGCTACTGGCGCAGATACGACAACCATGAGTGCCCAATGCAGGACAATGCCCCGAAAACATTTGTCTTAACCCCATATCTGACGCCATGATCTCCTTCATCATCGCCCGTCTAATCTTTCAAAGCGAACGTCTCACCATCCCAGCCATATGCACGCGTGAGTCGACGTCCGTATTCGCGAGCCCAGGTCATGGGAAGTTTATTGGACGGGTGCGGCTCGTGGAACTGGATGGAGCGGTCTGCATCCACCAATACTGGCGTGAAGTGCCACGCGGACGTGGCGGGGAGCTTCTCTGCTCCAAAGCCTGCAGAAACCATCGCGTGGACGAAATCAGGCCATGCGACTTGACTCGGCTGGTTGGGAGAGTCAACCGAGTGGAACAGCGATCTGAAGACTTTGTGGGCGCGTTTGTCAACAGTGATGGTTGGATGTCGGACCTCTATAATTGCTAGATCAGGGTTTGCAGGAACTTCATCTTGAGGGGCTGCAACACCACGGGTCTTGGGCTTGGTCTTTGGAGCTACCGAAAGCTTGCTGAAGTTTCCAGTGAACTCCTTGGTGGTGTCGTGGTCGACAAAGTCGTTCGGAATTACACTAGTAGGAGCTGCACGCTTCTCACAAGGCTTGGTGGAACGTAAGCAAGGTGCCACTCTTGTCTCAATGATATGCTGGATCAAGTCGTATGGAGTAGTGCCTGTCACGTCTCGGAATCGCTTGTCTGCTGCTTCCCAGAACGTATTCAGAGCTGTCTTTGCCTTTGCCCGCTTCTCGGCCGCCTGGCGGTTTTGACGCCCATGGATGGGATACTCAAACTTGCCATCGCTGGGGTCTCCAAGCGAGCAAATATTTGTCCCACGAAAAGTAGTTGTCCTGATTGACTGCCAAGAGGCGCCTTGTTTTATCGCACATCGATAAAAATAGATGTGCTTTTTCTCCTGGTAACTGGCCTCCAAAGAAGGAGCCCAAGGTTGATAGGAGTCGATGGAGCGAAGACACTCGGATATAACCGAAAGACGCGACAAGATTGAGACCACCAACGGAGTAAACATGGCTCTCGCATCTCTATCGCTGTCGAGGAACCTGTCGAGCTCGTCCATTATTGTATATAGCGAGAAAAAATCCCGTGTATCCTTCCTAAACAACATGTTGATTACTGACAATGCTTCTCTAATAACAGAGTCCGCCTTCTTTTCCGTATCCTGGACAAATATCACCATATCAGATGTATTCGAAGAAGTCCGGATGAAGTACGGTCGCATTGGAAGAGATGATACGAAAGCGGCTTTGAACATATCAATCAGGTCCAACATCGTCATTTCCAAGGAACAACGAGTTTCTGTAATCGATTCCATAAGAGGGGTTGGCAGCTGCCCCCCTGGGACCAAGTCGGTGGCGTGTTTGACAATAAGACTCTCCCATTGACAAAGTCTGCAGTGAAAGTCTTCATAGAACGATACGTCCATGTACAGATCGCCGATCATGTTCTTTAGAACAGAATTGTGGAGAGCACCACTCCCTACGAGCTTATGTGATTTGCCAGCGCGATCAAGGAGAAGCTCTGGTCTGTGGGAGCGGAGATCTTGCACATATTCGGCGAAAAGTTCGGGATCTTCTCTGAGCTGGTGTATACGATCTATCGTCCTGTCCCGAGTGGCCGCGATCAGTGATTTCAGTCTCATCAAGTCTATCTGTTTTGGAAGACGATATGGAGCGTCGCGCGCAATCGCGGTCGACATATTCTGGGGTTGGGTCGAAGGTTCTGATAACGCTTGGGGGAGAATCGAGCTGTCCCACACAACATCTTTCAGGCTGCCAGGTATGATTTTGACGCAGCAATGGAGCAGAAACCTCCAGACATAGTCCTGTAGCGTGAAGATCTGAAGAGCGTGATCGGGGTGAACTGTTAGACCAGTTTTCAGCGATGCTGCCGCTTCCGCTTCGCTCTTCCACGCGAAAACCTCGAGGTATGTTGTCAACTGCTGCTGGGGGACAATTACCACGCTATGCGAGTTCTTGACAGAATCCAACAGCTCCGGACGAATCCTGTAAACAGGTGCAGCCGCGAGATCTGCATGAGCGAATTTCCAAGGAAAATTGTGCGCACGAGCGTTTAAGAGAAGTAGGAAATTCGTTGAGTCCGCAAGATCCTCTAGGTTGAGGTACGGGAGGCCCCAAATTGGGGCGAGTTGTGAAAATGAATTGCAATCAGAAGGAAGTGGTGACCGTCGGTCTCGGAAGGACCCGATGTCTGGTCTATGATGGGCGGGAATATCTGGCCAGATCTCACGAAGGATTTTCATTCTCTGGCCCCTTGACATTCGCCTCCAGCGCGATCGAATCTGCTCTTCGTTCCTGCATGCAAACATCTTCAGCATGCTGCAGCATTGGGAAAGCTCTTCCGAGCACTGGGCAAATGTTTCTGTCAGTTCAGTTGTAGTATAGATTCGTGGCCTATCTCCAACCGGCACATGTTGCATAATCTGATTGTACTTCGTTGATCGTTCCTTGGCTTTTTTGGAGAAGTGATGGTACTGTTCCTCATACACTTTGGCTTCAGGTATATGGGGAATGAATTCAGGATAGAAGGCCTTCGTTGCAGCAACAGCTTCATCCTCCGGTAGGCGGTCGATCTCTTGGTCTATCGTATCAACATGATCTGGTGAAGGCGGGCCCCCAAGGGGAAGGTTCTTCTTCTCCTTGAGCAGTTCTTGTTCTGTCCTTGTTTTGTCCAAGGCTTCGCGAACGTGGGGTGGATAAGCCATGCGAATCTTGTCGAGGACGTCCCGCAGCTTCGACGGCGCCGCCATGTTGTTGTGGCTTCCTGTAGAAGTCAGTAAGTAGCACAACGATGACCGAACTTGAAGCGGGATAACTGACAAACCTTGTCGCCTGCGCTGCAGAGCAACTATTCGAGAGTCGTGTGGATCTAGAAGGAAAGAGCAAGAGAAAGGTTAGAGGCAAAAGTTTTTGGTCGCGTCCTCGGGTGAAGGCGTGACGCCATTGTGATTGCGAAAGCGCGGTGCTCCGTTTGCAGTCGGTGAGTCTTCAAAGCAACGGGTGAGGCAAAACAGGAAGGCGCGCTAGAAGTGAAGGTGAATCCAAACTGACATAACGTCGAGCCTTATTACTCCGCAAGCCCTACCAGAGCAACACGATAGGAATTGACGAGCTACTTGACATGTCGACAGAGTTATTGTTAGTCAACACGAATGATCTCTTGCACTGTCTGTAATGTGCCTACCCCCGGATATAATCTCAGAAGGCGAGCTGACCGGTACGATGTGAAGTGTATAGAGATGTTAGTTGTATGGTAAGTCTTGATCAACTACGCCCACATGCAGACATCCTCAAAAATGTCGCTCATCCATTGCGAATGCCCTTTGATTGAGTTTTCTCGCGAGAATTCCCGTTGTCTACGTTCAGGTTGTTGACAGATACTAGTTCGGAAGCTGCGACCACACACCTCAGCAGCCGGAGCCTCGCCCTTTGCTACCTCTACTCACTCTCAGTATTCCCCAGAGGTTCCTTCTCTCACCATCGAGACATTCAGGTACTGGCTAGAATCCCTCTCTTGCAGCACCAAGCGCTTATTCTTGCGCTCAAAATGCGGTGAAGCCATACACAGATCGTCGACGCAACGCGAGAACAGAGGCGATGACCTGCAGTCTATCGGGAGAGCGATCGTACACCGATGCAACCTGCCAATGGGACAGTCTGCCGCCGTCCGCGATGCAGTGTTGTCGGCAAAGCAATGGGAGCACAACACTTGGCACAACGACCGGTCACCGCATCTGTCAATCTAGATCGAAGCCTCGCTCGTAAAACGCCCGCGGCGCAGGACGACGCAGCTTGCACGGCAGGCCTCGACAGCATGGCTACAAGCCTCAGGTTACACGATGTTGCGGGGATGTTTCGACCATGCAAGCCAGGGAAGGACGAATGCCCCGGATCAGGCACACACGGAAACGCAGGCGCCCAACGTGCCGCATCGAGGCGCGAGAGACGCCGCATCAGGCACGAAGAGATTAGCGGCTGCGAGATGCAAGGCCTGCCACATGCCTCCCAGTCCTTCTCATTCATGAGCAGCTGCAAGCCGAGGGACGTGAATCCCTTTGCACGACACGAGGACCGAGGCCGCTGGCGGCAAACAATCGCGCGGTTGCCATGCCATGTAGCATCTCCCCAAGGGCCAGGATGTCGGACCGACGGCTACGAGCGTTATGCGGATAACTGCATCGATTCCGGCTACCACCATGCCTGCCATCTTTCTCCGCATGAGGCTGTCGGTATGGGTAGCGCTATCTCTTGCTTCATTCTGGCAGTGCTCGATGATGGCATGCGAAAACGAGGCGGTTGAAAAGCTGAGGTGCCATCGCACCCGGACATCTGCCGGTCGCCATGGCATCTGGCACCGGAAGGGCGGGCGGAACGTTTGGAGTGCGAACAGACCAATTCAGCGAGTCGTGCGATCTAAGGAGATTCGTCCGAGCGCCTTCCAAAGGCTTCTGGAAGGTCTTAAGAAGATCCTGCCGAGTTCAGGTAGTGCGAGATGATCCGAGGTAGGAACAAAGAACCAACTGCTGTGCCGCAACGACGGCAGGGTGAGGTCTCTGAACTTTCTCCTACCATTAGCACCGTTGAGGAAGTTCGTTTGTCCGACCTTGCAGAAGGTTTGCCAGCTTGTCGCCAGTCGCAGGACGGGGGGCCATCCGGCAGTGAGCTGACAGAGTTTGAGACGTCGCCCAAAGCGTAACAAGGCGCACATGGGCGCGGCAAGGGGCGACTCTTCCCCGACTCAACCATGTGTTTGGGACGCGCTGCCGCCGCGTGGGGAAGCGCATCCTCCTGCATTGCATGGCACTGGGACATGGCGGTCAAGCTGTCCACCTCACCCACCATCTTCCCTTGCGTATTGGACAAGGCCGATCTTGCGTTGTGTACACGTCGCAACCAAGCGGCTTTCTCCACGCACACGGGAGGCAGGGAGCTCGGCGTTGGTTTGCTTCTTGCCGCGCTGTTGCGCACCACGCTATCTGGATGGGGGAGCTGGAGGATGCGTGGGCAGCACCAGGCTTTGTTTGTCAACCCCCGGCTCGCGTCCTCGCATCGACGCCGTCAGGCTGGCCGCTGATGGGCGGAGGGAAAAAGCCCGACAGACGTCCGAGCACCGCTGGCACGGGTGGGTGGGCGTGGGGTGGGCTTTGCTTGATCAGTTTGGGGTAAGCCGTCTCGCTCCGCTTCATGTGCAACGGACGGGGAAGCAGGAAAGCAAGGAGCGCGGTTGCCCGCTGCCCCGCTGCTGCTCCCGGCCCTCTGATTGATTTGGCGCTTTCTTTTTCTCGAAGCGTGTCCTGCTCGCCCATGCGAGTCAAGATCCCCCGGGACATGGCCTGGTGGATCGTGTATAAAGCAAAGCTCTCCCCACACCAGACACTCGTCTTCTTTTCCGTTAAGCATACTCGACCCCTAGCTCACACTACTTGCTATTTCCATCTAAAACCTACATTTGGAAACCCTCATTTAAAACCTGTCTTGCGCATTGATTGACACCTGCATCTTCGCCTCCAACTCGCCGGATCATTCGTACCAGCACACGCAGGCACCGCCCAATCTTATCAGCCCCAACTACGTCGTGCATATCAGCGTCGAGTCCTAGCACCAAAGCAAGACTGTAAGTAAGCCTGTTCTGCAGCCCAGCCCCTATTCGCACTGTATACCAGGACGCTGCAATTTGCTTGGTCCTGGCTTCCAGATGCCAACGCATCCACATCAGCCCTGCGCACCTCTCATATTAAATCTGACTCACGATAACCAGGCTCTTCTCGCATCGCATATCAGCCATAAGCCTTTCCCGCAATCCTGCTCGGGAGTTGCAAATCAGCCACTCCGATTTTGCCAGCGAATTTATTAGCTGTCTGAAGCCAGCTCATACCGCATCCTCCAAGTCGCGTTCCAACCGAGAGACACGCACGCACTTTTCTTGTCCTACCCACCGGATCCAGCTATATAGCCTTCTCCCCCGGCTTTGCCCCAGTTTTTACCCCAGGCTCCATCAATCTGCACAAATCTTTGCAGCATTCTTCCGTCGTCTCCACTACTTAGTCGGTACCTGCGCATCACTCGAGGACTTTGTTCTACCTCACATCGTCTCCAAACCAGCCACTCACCACCATCTCTCCTCCCAATCCAAGTCAGGATATTCCGACGCCTACCACAATGCCTTCCCAACAATCAAGCAGCACTCAGCGCCAGCGCCTCGCCATCTTGACCAGTTCCAACCTCGGTCACGACGTCAGCGCCGCGTTCAAGTCCGGCAGCACCTTCTCGCGATCAAGTCAAGAATTCAGCGAGACTCCCGCGCCGCCTCCATCGCCGATCGACTTCTCGTTCCCGTCAACACCAGCTGAGCAGAGAAGTCGTGCTGGAAGCGAATCGAACTGAGGCCACTACAAGCCAACACCTGACGGCATCTCTTCGGCATTTGTTTTCATGATGATTTTGCATTTAGCGGGCAAGGTATCCGACCGGCATGGTCTGGGGCACGGCACGGGACTGGGACACACATGGCGGGCGATTCGACTTCATCTCCTAAGGATATTTTTGGCAGCACGTTTGTCCGGTTTTGTATTACGCGCGTTGACCGCTGCATCCACATTGTTTCTCATAGAATACCCTTCTTGTTAATTGTACTTTTGATTTTGTAGACTTCCAGCCGCTGGCTCCTGTACGCTTGTGCGCATTATTCCCCTTAGTTATTCCTTAGCGCGCGGTCACGGATCAAGAACATAGTATTTGGTAATCACAAACGGCATCAACTTCACGTTCTCACTCTGACTGTGATTCCTCGGCTCTTCGAACAGTGTCAGACTTGGTGCAACGGTCCTCATATGAATGACATTGGCTCAGCGTCAGCATCCGCGCTTTGCGAGACAAGCAGCCAATCCAGCCGGTCTTTCGTCCGGTCCTTCTCCCACCAACGCTCTGCTTTCCGCATAGGGAAGACCAGCAACTGCGACAAGGACGCCATCAGCTTATCTCGCGCGTCGCTCCGTTCCATTCCAAGGCCGTCCCCAGCTCCCTCTCTCGTCCACGCATCCGGACCGAGGCCCTCGTATTACGCCTGACAAGCCACGCCGTGGCTTCGCATGGGTATCTCCCTCACCGCCATGACGATGATCCCATCGCGCCCCGCCAAACGCATCGCGCCGCTCCGCTCCCGCACGGAACCCCCCATCCACTTCCATCGGTGAGCCTCTTCACGTCAGCCCAAGTATCTACCGCCCATCCGCCCCTTGCCCCCATCCCCATCAAGCGGCACCGCACCACGCCGCTTGCCGCATGCAAAAGTACGTACCATTAATCAAGGGCTCTGTGCTAACACGCGCGGCGTCGGGGGTGGTCCTTGCGCCCTGCATGGAACGTCTCCAGAAGCCCGCCCGAAAGCATCTGGAACAAAGTGCAGGCAAGGCAAGGCACGGTATTTCCGTCGCACTGCGGCTATTGTTGGACGCACGCTCTTTCGAACGCGGCGCCCATCCGGGTTTCCGGGTAATAACACGTGGGCTGAATGCGCGGCCGCAACCGCTGCGAGCTTCTTCCGTCTGGCGGCACGGTCGCGGCACGGGCGTGCTGACACCTTCCTTCCTTCCTTTTGCAAGTGCGTGCTTGGACGGCCGGCCGAAGGTCATTTCCTTTCCCTTCTTTGTTCCTTCCTGCGGCGTGATTCACTTATCGCTCGGCTTCGACTGAGTGACTCGTGTGCGCACCGAGATGCTCCGCATGCGTCGAGCGTTATTTCTGAGCCTGGCACATCCTGGTGGGATATGAGCCGCGAACGTCGTGTACGTTTGCTGGGTACGTTTACAAAGCTGAGAGGGTGGATAACGCTGGTGGTGTTGTAGGAGCTTGGACGTCCGCATACAGTGTTACCTCAGATAGGCTAACCTGCGTGCTTTGAATTTTGCTCCGAGTCTACCTGTTGAACTGACTGTAACCGACCACGAAAAGACTGCTGAATGGTGCCTGTGAAGTCGTAAAAAGAATTGGATTGAGGACCTGACTAGAAGTCAGGTTTACATAACTATATGTACTGTCCACTGGCTGGGAGACACGTGACTCATGGCTTCTAACAGAGACGACTTGCGTACGATACTACTAATCTGCTGTATGGCCTATCTAGGCGTCTGTCCCTGTCTAGGTGAAGAACATAATATTATAAGGTTGTAAGGTCTTGCTTTTTTGTTTCTCTTTGCTATGATGAATAGAGATGAAAGGTATATGATGCATGGCTTGTTGGTATTGTGGTATTAGCTTGGAAGCCCGAGGACACTGTGCTACCTACGGATAGGCTAATGGTTGGCTGGTTCTATGTACTCGGCCTTCAGCGCTGGGGCTACCTCAGGCTTCATACGGCTCGTACTATGTAAGTACTACGTCTGTCTACTCTCCTAGTCATGGCCTTCTCTGAAGAAGGGGCGACATGCTTTTCTCGTCTACACGATATTAGTCAAAATGGTGTGTATATTAGATGGATGAAGGCGTTTGTGCCACCGCCTTAGCGGATACAGAGTAGTAAGATTGAGGTGACCGCAGGATTCATACCTTTGGGTTTCAGTGATTCAGTGATTCGTAAGAGGTGGCGGAGTTTCAGGGTTGGTAGAGGGTAAATCTCATCGATGCCACCCGCTCGGCATCCGTAGCGATGGTAGACCAGAGGTACGATTTCTGCCATGAAGGCCGCATAGTCCCGATCGTCTTTGCGTCACGTTTATTGGCGTGCACGTAGCGAGGCAGGAATCTCACCCCCGAAGCTCGGATTCGTCCTCGGGCAACGACCCCATGACCATGTTCCTACCACTCGCCCTATCACGCTCGGCATGGTAGTTGCGCAATCTTTGGCTACTGATCTGTTTTACCTCGCCAAAGATACCCTGATGCCGCTCAAGAACACATCTCGAAAGATCATGCTGGGTTTTCGGCTTGCACGAGCAGGGGCCGCCGGCGAATTTGTAGCGATCTAGATGCATCCACATCAGCGTTCGAGACACGACACAATGAACGACGGGACAACAAACAGACCTTCCATGCTCTGAAACCTGAGCGATATACGTGTAATGTTGTGCCAGTCTGCATCTGAAGGCGACGTCCTCTGCTCCATGCCCAACGCGGCAACGTTCCAGCTCGAGAGCCCGCGGTCTGCGTTCCAGCGCTGGGCGAGTAGCGAGCCTTTTGCACGCTCGATGCAGCTGACGGTGCATTTGCTCTTTGCAGTTCGGCAGTTGCAGCGTTCTTGCATAATGCTAGTTATGTCGTCGAGTTCGATGGCGACAAGAGCGAGCTTGGCGGTGGCGTCCTGGAAGTGGAATGAGTCAGTGAAAGAGTCGCAGACTGGTTTGGCTCATTTACGTGTGAAACTGCGTACCTTGCTTTTGAGGAAGATGACGAGGAGAGGCTTCGTTGGTTTCTCGTGTAGACGCGCTTTTCCTTTGCCGGTGCTGATTGTAGAGACGGAGCTGGCTGTTCGTTTGGATAGACTCGTAGCGCTGGTCATGATGCTTGCGGTTCGGTTCTTCGAGTAGATACTGGATTTGAAGCTACTGTAGATCGAGCTTGGGCTTGGTGTGGGGTTGTTGGTTGGTCTGCTGTAGATCGAGCTTGGTGATGGTGTAGAATTGACACTCCGTCGACTGGGGCCGGACAGTGAGGAATAGGTGTTGCTAAACGTTGGACTCAAGGGACTAGAAACGGTATTGGTCGGGAAAGAATGCCTGATTGTGTCGTCTTTCCTTATATCTCGTTTTGAGCTACGCGGATCGACTGTGTGAAGAGACACATCAGTGTTGTTGGCCATACTTTGGGTCTCTGATGCGCTTGGAGAGTTGTTCATTGACGACAATTGGTATGGTTTTGGCATCCACAATTGTATACGTCCATGTTCTTCAAGCGGGTCTGATTGTCCAGATATTACAAACTGAACCTTGATCATGGCTTGATCATAACGTTCGTACACCTTGTAGCCTGTCAGGAGATGTTGAAGCTGGTATACATGTTTCGTGCTCGGAAAGGTCGGGTTCGTCTGAGTACTTCCAGAGTGTATGAGCACTTCTGGGGCCTTCAATTGGGAGCTTGGAGTGGCGTAGAGAGGAGTGAGACTCAATGTTCTCAAATCGATCTCCATGCTGAATTCCTGGCTGCGTGGTCTTCCCACTTGCCCGCGGTTCTCTGTGATCGCTTCCACTAGCCGATATCGCGTTGAATCGATTTTGTACACAGTAATGTGCCGTTGAGTGTCCTGTGGACAAGGAAGGGGAATCTTCAAGACCTCTTCAAGCTGCTCTTGCACGTGTGGAGATATCAGCGTCGCAATACTCTCGTCGACCCAGACAGAGTAATCGTCAGGGCCCTGGATCTCGTTCATATTGGGCAGAAGCAATCTTTCTGGGCCCTGTGTGTTGAATCGTTGACATTGAGTTGATACCTCTTCCTTCAATTGCGCGATATATCCAGGCCACTGGGAGTCTTTGGTCACGGCTGCCAGCTCACCGCTTCCCTCAAGGCGTTCCGCTATCCAAATACATTTGAGGAGGTTGAGGTATTGTTTTGCCGAAGGACTGCGTTCATTCAAGAAGCGGCCAGGGTTGAAATTCTTGGTGCTTTCCTCGAGATGTGTCACTAAAGCGTCGGCTCCAGCTCGAAGAGGGAAGGAGACCGGGCTGGAAGCGTCAAGATAAGCATTCCCTGCTGCAGTTCGAAAGCGGCTTTCTATCTCTGGAGGAATCTGCAGTAGCATGCCAATGCTACCTTTGTCCGAAATCGCTTGCACGACATCCGGGATAAGCAAGCCATGAAGATGGAGAACGCTTTGATGAACAGCATCGATGCGCGCAGCCAGATCGTGATGTATCTCGGATAGCAGATTGAGCTCCAGAGGTTTCAGCAGTATTGCGATCTTGGAGTTATGAGCGTCGAGTCGCTTTCGCAGATGTGTCACCTTCGGCTGGATCATCAACGTCCATTCTATATTATATGCGAAGTTCCTCGCCGTCCGAAACTCGCGATTTTCCTCCAGCAATTGTTTGCAGTCTTTGAGTGTCGCATGGTAATCACCGATGATCTCGTCTAACGATGAGAGGTCCCAGTGCCTGGATCCAGCGGATCCTCTGGAGTTGCGGGCCCACGTATCTGTGGCGTTCTCCACGACGCGACGGATGTTGTTCAGGTTATCTGAGAGGCAGCGGATGTCTTTACCAAAATCCTCATATTGGTGGCCTTCAAAAGCAGTTTAGCTTGGACGAAGACACTGAAGATTCACTGTCGTTCGCATTTCTCCATGCTCGTAGAAGTGGTAGACTTACCCGATTGTTGACCCCAACCTATCTGATAGATTTGCCAGGCAAGCTCAGCGCCGCGAACCACGTCAGAGATGGCTATGCCCGCCATGGCTCCAGGGCGCCAAAGAAGCCTTGGCTCACTTTTCAAAGTAGCTGCGCTTCACCTAGCTTCGTATTGCAGAGGGAAGAAAGTGCAGATAGCGACATTCGGGCTGTGGGGTATACTTGTGCAATCCTAGATTCGAAAGGAGTCACCTCGTGCAGACTCGTCCTCATAGAGGCACTGTCGGTGGGCTGTGTATGGGTCACGTAGGCGTCTGCCTTGTCGTGTGTTAATAGTCAATGATCTTTTTATCGAACTCAGCCTTGTACAACCTGATAAGGTTTAATATTGCGCGGGGTAGATTGTAGGACCAATGGTTTGTTCAGGTGGCGTTTTTACTCACATTTGGCGGTTCCCGTGTTCTCGTTTTCCTCGTATACTCAGCCTGAAGCAGCCCCCTTGTTAGCACCAGCCTAGAAGGCGTCGTGGCTATGTCTCGGTTTATCTTGCTTCTAAGTATTTCCATTGTCCAGGCTTTCTCCAATCTCCCAACCCTTTGCAATGGTTTCAGCGAAAGATCAAACGCAGGGCTTACAGCCAGTGTCGGATCTCCATGACGATGACAGTAGCCTCAACTCAGACATCTTCGAGATTTTACCAGAGAACATCCCCAACAGTATCATCACGAAAGCCCCCGAAGAGCGCTTTCGATTAGGCTACTGGTCTGTAATAGGGCTGATCGTGAATCGAGTCATAGGTTCGAACGCCTGATTAGAGTGAAGTGACATTCTAACTCGAGCTCCAGGGACCGGTATATTCAATTCCCCGACGACTATAATGCGAGGCACGGGTAGCGTCGGTATCACCCTCCTTTTCTGGTTCGCTGGTGCTCTCTACACCACTGCAGGTTGTTATCTATCGATCGAGTTGGGCCTCACAACTCCGCGACACAAATTCGAGGGTGTCAAGCAAGGCATTCCGCGCAGTGGCGGAACCTTAAACTATGTTTGTAGATACTTGCACTTTACCGCTCATGTTCAGATGCTAAGATGATTCCAGCTTCAGTATTGTTTCCCATGGCCGGCGTATCGTCATCGAACGGTCCTCCTAGTCACTTGCATGTTCGCCACAGCATATATCGTGTTAGGTAATATGGCAGGAAATTGCTTGATCTTCGGTATACGTACACTAGAAGCAGCGGACACACCGGTTACGAATCGAGCGGTGAGAGGTTTGGCTATTGGTGCAGCAACCTTCGGGTGCGGAATTCATGCTTTCAGCCGGAGGGGTGGTATCTGGCTTGGTAATGTTTTCGCGTTAGTCAAAGTGTGCATGCTTCTCATGATGATCGTCATTGGGATTTGCGCATGGGCTGGAGCATTCAACTCTCAAACATTCGTGGAGGAAAATTTGGCTGCGCAAAACTCCTTCGCACAACCAACAAGTGACTCGTATGGCTATGTCAAGGCGTTTCTGTCGATGACCTTTGCGTGGAGCGGCTTCGACCAACCCAACTACGTCAGTCATACTCAACGGAGCACATCTTTCGAAAGACTGACCTTGTCAGGTACTCGGCGAGATCGGACAGCCTCGCAAGAAGTTTCCTCGAGGCTCTGCGATCGGTGTATCGATTGTTATCGTTCTGTATATTTTGGTAAACGTTTCATATGTAAGTCCCGTGCCCTAGCAGCGCATGTTGTACATTATTGATTCCAGAAAGATGATCGTCGTCCCCAAGGCCGAGCAAATAGCTGGAAATGTCGCCCTTGCATTCTTCCAGCGGACTTTGGGTAGCGTATCCCAAGATGAGTCGCAACCGAGGCGGATATTGGCGGCCTTCATGGCCGTCTCGAGTTTTGGCAATATCGTCGTGATGACCTTCACAGCTGCTCGAGGTGCGTACCGCATTGTAACTAAACATCCTCTACTGATTAGCACGCAGTGAAACAGGAAATTGCCAAAGAGGGAATCCTGCCGTGGGCCAAATTTTTCGGCCAAAGTAAAAATCTCTCTTTCGGTAGGTTTCTGGCTTGGGCCCAGAAGGATCAGGATTCGGTAATCGCCAGAAAGTTCCACTGGCTATTGAAACGTTCCTGGATGGATCCTAGAGAGCACTCCCAGGAAACACCATTCGGGGCATTGTTTCTTCATTGGTCCTTCACTGTGCTCATGATCGTAGTCACCAGCCACCTCAAGCCGACGGATGCGTATACCCTTTTAGTCGATCTGTATACCTACACAATTGTCTCCATCTTTGGATTCATCATCGCTGTTGGGATGCTGCGACTTAGATTTAGCAGCACAAAACGTTGGTCAACGAAATCGCCTTTCAGGCCAGCTTTCAGCATCCTCAGTGCTTTTGCTTTTGCTCTGGGAAGCTGCTATCCGATTGTGGCATCGTGGGTACCCCCTAGCAGCGCCTATTTGAGCAAAACACAACTCGCAGTGGCATGGTTCACCACACCCGTGGTTGCATGGAGCGTTCTCGGATTGGGAATGTTTTGGTATCAAGCTTTCAAGCTGTATGCCTGGAGACGAGCGCACAAGGGTGGCGTTGAGTTTCAAGTTCAGAAGGTACCTGAGTTTGACAGGGACCCACCGCCCAATGGACCGCCAGTCCAGGTGCACGAGACAGTCTTCCTCGCCTGGGTCGCAAAGGAGAACGAAAGCATGGATCTAGACATAGAGGATAGGAGATCGATGGAGAGCTTCTAGGGCTCTGGCGTTGTTGCCTATTATTGTTCGTCCAAACTGAGTGAGTGGTCAGCAGAGCGTAAACATCAGAAGCCACCGCGGCTATCATTCTGAACCAAAATGCATGAAGATAGTAACAGGACTATGATGTGACTCGATGTGCGACAATGTAGATCGCTGATGGTGGAGGCATGTAGAAGGGTAAAATGTCGTGGTGGACTTAGACACTAGTACAGATTTGGAAAATACACGTGACCGGGATCTGGGAGACCTCGGCTCATACATCCTGGCTACTTGGACCTCGCAATTGCACAAGAACCTACCTGTCGCGCATTGAGGTAAACCACCTGCCTAGGTAAACTGTGAACAACCAACCTCACCAATCTCTACATCGGCATGTCAAACATGCTTCAGCCCCTTGAACCGGTCCTCATGCTCGGGGTCTTTCCCACCGAGAGACTTCTTGGCTGCATGTTCCCCAGATTACATCCCGCTTGTTACCCCAGATAGGGCTTAGGACATCCCCAATTATCCCGTGAACCTGGTATAAATCTGAAGATCGAGATCATTCTCGTGCTGCAGTGCCCGTCTCACCATGCGCTTCCTCGCAGCTTCTACGACGCTTCTATGGTCCACTGCTCTGGCAGCACTCAATGCCACTCAGGACAATGCAAGCTTGACCCTCGCGAACGAGAGGCTCGTAGCTTCCGTCAGCAAGACCGGTGGTTATGTCAATGTTCTTACTTTGGACGGGCAGAATCTCCTTGTAAGCTCCATTGGTCCATCATCTGGTCACACCGTTCGTTTACTGATCAATGCCTAGGGCAAAGAGAATGGCAATACTGGTGTCGGGCCCTATCTGGACTGTTATTGTACGCCTAGCGGCTTTTGGACTCCTGGTCGGGGCAAACAAGTCGACTACGCGCTGTACAACGGCACGGACTCAACGGGCAAGAAGTATGGCGGCATCAGTATGGGCGAAACATACACCGCAACCGGCCAGCGACTGGAGCAATATTGGTTCTTGAAGGAAGGCGAGACTGGTCTGCACACATTCAGCCGTATTGTTTACAACAACAAAACTACACCGTTCCTCCGAAACCTCCAAGAGTTCCGTACAATGTTCCGCCCGAATCACGACCCACCGCTTTTCACGCACTTCGTTACCAACGAGAAATTTGCGGCACCGAGGCCAGACACCGAAGGCGAAGTAACCGTTCAAGATGCTACTTGGTGGCTTGCTCACCCAGATTCTCCATACCAGCAGGGGGTCGGCGATTATTTCACCAAGTACACCTTCCAAGACACCTGGCGCAACCACAAGGCACACGGCATGTATGCCGACGGAACAGGCAGTAATGGGACGTCGTTCGGGGCTTGGCTCGTGCACAACACGGTCGAAACGTACTATAACGGACCTGTACATTCGGATCTTGTTGTTGACGGCATCGTCTATAATTACATGGTTAGCAACCGTACGAAACTCCCTACATAAGCTGCATGTGAGATGTACACTGACTTCAATCTCAGATCATGGTGACCAAACTCCTAATATCACAGACGGTTTCGATCGCACCTTTGGGCCTCAATACTTCCACTTTAACAAGGGTGGCTCGCTCGATGAGCTGCGCGCCGACGCAGAACAATATGGTCTCCGTCCAGACTGGAATGCAAATTTCTACGATTCTATCGCGAAACACGTCCCGAATCTTGTTAGTACTTCCGGGCGTGGCACTCTCAATGCACAGGTGACCCTTCCCAAGAACGCGAAGAACCCTATCGCGATCCTGACCGAGAGTGGCCGTAACTTCCAAGACAATGTGTACGACGACAAAGCCTACCAATATTGGAGTGAAGTCGATAGTAGAGGCGCAGTCACTATTTCTCGCGTCAAGGCGGGTACTTATAGGCTAACTGTATATGCGGACGGCATCTTTGGCGACTTCGTTCGTGATAATGTCGCTGTCACCGCCGGCAAAGAAACCAAACTCCGTCTCGAATGGAAGGCAGAATCAGCAGGAACAGAGCTGTTCCGCATCGGCACTCCAGACAAATCTTCTGGTGAGTATCGCCACGGCTACGAAGCATCTCCGGACCACCCTCTCCTCACCGAAGAGTACCGCCTATACTGGGCAGCGTACGATTTCGTGGACGAGTTTCCAGAGGGTGTTACGTACAAGGTAGGGCGCGACGATCCCGCTAAAGCACTCAACTACGTGCATTGGAGTGTATTCGGCGGAAAAGCAAACTATGTGCGACCCGAGCCGGTTTATGATAACATCAACAATTGGACGGTGTTATTCGACACCAAGGCAAATCAGCTGAAGGGGAAGAAGACGGCGACATTTACTGTAAGCTATGGGCATTCCACTAGCGTTGTGCTCGCAGACAACTAATCTTCGCAGGTCCAACTCGCGGGCGCAAAAACAGCTGCAGGCAACACCGACATCTTCAACGCCTCCGAGCCGTACTCCAATCTCCCCTACACGTTCAATGTAAATGGCAAAGATCTCGAGCCCTGGGTCATCCCGTATCACCAGTCAAGCTCATGTGCTGTGCGTTCCGCGGTCATCTGCTACAATATTGCGCACAAGTTTGTATTTGATGCGAAGCTGCTAAAAGCAGGCGAGAACGCTTTTGTATTGAGTCTGCCGTATGACGCGACGAACTATGAGAGCGCACTGCTGCCGGAATCGGTGTATGTGCAGTATGATGCGCTGAGGTTGGAGGTCAAGTAAATTATAGAATGCTTTGTGCATTACGATAGAAAGGTGAAACTACTTCAGAATACAACTTGTATGAGAGCCACTGCGCTACGTATGCATATGAAAGCCACCACTTCATCTCGAGCCTCATCAACTGATTATGAAGGAGTCCAACTAGCGTGATTTGTCACCACCGGCTCCCCAGATTCATATTCTAGCTCCTCACTCCGCCAGAATAGCCATCTTCTCCCACTCAACTTTCAAACCACCCAACAATCGCATCCTTTCGTACGTGAAGTTTGCTACAGCGGTAATAGGAGGCGCCACCACCCTAATCAGGTTGTTCAGCAAACCACTAGCTGTAGATCTGTCCGTGACAGGTCGGACGATGACCTAAGCCTATCTTCGCGTGTTTATTCCATGAAAATGTTTGTACTTCTTAGCTTTCAAATGGTGATTGTCTAGGTACGTTCCAAAGCGACATGGTCTCGTTCATTCATCCTCGAAGTATCTGTACATAATCGCAGACGTAAAGATCGAGTACATCCAGCTCCCTTCAATAAAGTTTGATCTCTGTGGAAATGCACTCTTCGGCTTCTTCCACCCTTCTCTTGTTGTAATGAAAGCATGAGTTATCTGCTTTCCAATAACGCTGATCCACCTTTACGCTGGCATGTTCGCATAACAAGCAGCGACTACATGCGAAACAAAATCCGTCTACAGAAGGGTTGAACATGACGCATTCACCGACTATCTTGAACCCGTCATGGCACTGCCTCAAAACCAATGGTGTCGCCATCCCACGAAAGCTGTAAACCTCATCACCAGCTACGGTCCAATAAGGTGCGAGCGCGATATGACTGTCCATATGGAACAGTCTCCGGCCCATACCATAGCATCGCATGAGTTCGGTGACAAGATCTGTGAAATGCTCACAGTGGTATTCTATTTCGATACTATCAGGCGGCAGAGGCTGGCTTGCATCTATTCGCGTGAGAATCTTGGTGTCTGATGGAATCTGTTTTGATGATCTGAAACTGTGCTTATCGACTGTAATGGTTTGAAGACGCCGTATTAAGATGTTAGGGATTCGATTGGATGTGGGGCGCCCACCCGACAGGGAGGCCTGCAATCGGAGGTTTCTCACGTTGGGTGAGAACGCTGCTCTAATTTCTTCGTGGCGTCGTGCTTGTACGAGGAGAGGCGACCGAGAGCTTTCCGACAAGACTGAAATTGAAGCATGGACTAGTGTGTCGTTTGCAAACGAAGTATCTGGTCCATTGCCAAGAACTCCCTCCCCCCATTCCAAGTTCCAAGGTTCTAGGCATGTTGTCTTTCGCTGCACCGAAAAGTCGGGGACCCAAGATTCAGCACCCACCAGAGGTGTTTCAATGTGCGTCAAAATTTTCAAGCTGTTACTGATGCGAACACAGAGAAGAGTGGCTTCTCTATAAACATCGGCGATTGGCTTTGAATAATCCGGCTCCAGGGAGCCGAATGAATCTGTCTGATAGCACCAGAGTAGTGCATAGATCTTGTCGCGGGGTTCCGTAGCGCCACAAGGTCTTGTCGCTATCAAAAGATCTATGAAATCGGTAGGTCGAGCAGAGCGATCTTTTCTGATTCGTAGCACTGGTGGTAATGTCTCTTCTTCGTTGGGAGACGGCATAGCCGCGACGAGACTGTCACTAGCATTGCGCATAGCCATTACAGACAGGTGCCTCCAGTCTATGTGAGACGCGCCATAGTGTAGCGTTGCGTTCTTTGCCATAGCTATTTCTTGTAGAACCCACATTCGTTGAAACCATGCGTTGGCCAAGAAGGTTCTTGCGTCCTTTCGAATAGTGGAAGAGTTTCTACGGCCGTTGATCGTACCGAGTAGTCCTTGATGCTGAATGCAGTCGAAAAGTTTCTGGACTCTGGTGATAGAACAAAGTTCGGGTGAAGGGTGCAAGTAGACAAGAACTCGCCGCGCGATTTTGTATATCTCTGTCATCTGCCTGACTTGATGCGACCGCTCGGCTTTATTTGACTGATCGATACAGATCGAATCGATCCACAATATGCGCGTAGAGTCTCGGTTGCGAAGACGTACGAGAGCACATTCGGCGTTCTTTGTTATCCGTACTCTCGATGCGCTTGGAAGGAGGAGGATTTCGCGACACAGCTTAGCGTCAGCGTCATGGCTAGCCCAGGTGTACGACACTGCTTCATATTCGAGGCCATCGTTCAAACGAGTGTGAAAGAGCTCCGCTTTTAGCTCATGACTGAAACTATAGGGGTAAAGCTTCAGTAGCCTGATTTCGTCGCTCCATTGAAATGGTTCGTATCTTGTTCCAGTCAAGCTTGAGCGTTGGTGGCCGCGCTCTGCGATCTTGTCATCATTACCGAGTTGTCTTCGGCCCTCCAGTTCGCCGCCTCTGGAACATTCTTCAAAAGAGGCCCCCCTAAGAGATCGTGGCATGATGTTAGTTCTCAAGGCTGAGGTTGGCTGTCGTACGTGCTTCAGGTCGGATCAACGTGCAGCGACATGTCGTGCTTCTACCTATTGTGTTCGAATCATCCGAGTTCATTATTCGAGGGACGGACGATGGTAGACACTTTGATGTGAAACGCACTGAAAATCCTCATGGTGCCGACTTGGGGTTTCTGCTGCCTGCTGCGGCTGAGCAGCGGTTCAACAGCGGTTCAACAGCGAATGACCGTTGTTCATCGCATGGCAATACATAGGACTGCGCACCTCTACTGGAATTTGACGCACCCGGGTTTTTTGGCCGAAGGTGTGCCTATGGAATGTGGCAGGAGCCGCTCAATGAACTAAAAATATACTTAACCGCCACCGGCTACGAGAATCGACCAGATATCGGCGCTTAAGAATATGCCACCTCCCACAGCACTAGAATAAGAAAATCAAAGATTTTCAACCAATGTATTCACTACATGGAGTGAGGCATTAGTCTATCTACTCTAGTATACTTACATTAACAGTTCAGTACCCTATAATATGCTCTACCAGACCTAATAGGATACTGTGGTTTCTGCGGTAAGTCAGGTAAGTGGGTACTCCGGAGCAGGGATAATAGAAAATTAGGAAGTAGTGATTAATTAATCCTTATAGTATAGAGCGGTGAGGCCTTCCTTCAAGGATCAAATTTTACGTTGGTAGAAGGTTCCAGCAGCCTTAGCTAGAGAGCTTGAGAAATCCGAAGAGAACTGACCCACTTACCTGACTTACCGCAGCAACCACAGTAAGTCCAATAAGTTCTTACCAATGCTCCACCCCCCTATAGTAAATATTAGGGTTGAAAGTTTCTGAATTTCCTATTCCAGCGCCGTGGGAGGGGGCACATTCTTTGCGCAAACGATAATAACGCTACGTTGCCTCAACATGGATTTTACCAACTACCTGTGCATAGAAGGCTTAATCTAGATTACTACACTATTATCGTTTGCGAAAAGAATGCCCCCACCCGACCATGGTACAGATCCCCAACCTTTATCAATTGTATGATACATTCACTCTATTACTGGCTAGATCTTGTTGAATGCTAGCTAGATCTGTTGAATAGCTAGATCTGGTTGTGGTAGACGTTAAAATAGGGCACCAAGCTGTCAAAATAGGTGTACCAACGCATTTCAACTAATCGTTAAGTAGGTATATACTATGAGTAATACAATTAATTAAAATAAGGAGCTGTACCATGGTAGGGTGGGGGCATTCTTTTCGCAAAGCACCGATAAGACCTACCATATATATGAGATTAGAGTCCTCGAGCAGCTATCCTAATCCGCAGCTCACCATGTATGACACAAACGTTCAAAGTACGAGGAAAGCATTGTGCTCTGCGCAGAGCCGTCACCGCGATTCTCCTCTTCGACATCGGCATATACAAAGATTTCATAGGAACGCGCACGCATTCTGTGCTCATCCTCGATTATGATACAGGTCTCTAATTTATACACAGGGCGTGCTACATGCACGCGTGTTGCCCCATCTTTTACTTACAACGCCAGCCATGCTAATCCACGCATATCATACAACCTTCTAATAATTACAAAATCTAGTATCCACCTATCTTACACACACATACTCTAAAAGCGATCAGGGTATCTAAGAAGCATACTCACTCTCCTTCGTCTCCCCAACGCGATCCTCGCCACTTCCCTCCTTATTAACGACTCCCCTCCGCCTTTTGACCATCCAGATACTTCCTGAATGAGTGATGATTGGCATACTTCCGTTTGCCCAGTGGATTCCGCGATATCTTTGGTATCGATACGGGAGCCTCGTGGTCGGATTTCACACTGACATATTTTTTAAGAGAGGGGGGTTTAAGATCTGGGCTGCGTGGATACCCAGGGAGGATATTGTTCGATGTGGATGCCGCATCTAATTCTGGAGCGTCCGGCTCGGAAGAAGCCGCAGCAGGTTTGAGAATCTTGCCGCCACTAGGAAACATATGGTACAAGACTTGGAGATTGTTCGTTGGGGGTCGTGAAGAAGTTGTCTGGGAAGACTCGGGAAACTGAGCGTCTTGGGAAATGTCGATTTGGCGATAGCTGCTGCCTCTAGCATGTTTTATAATCCTCACGGGCTTTTGAAACCGAGGCTGTCTGGTTTCCGAGTCGGAGATATCCTTAGTAGCGTGAGCCTCGTTGGGTAGACTAGGAGTGATAAGCTTGGGGGTGTACGTCTTCCGGGTCGCAGACTGTCCTACCGATGTATCCCGCATGCTTCTAACATGGTCCCTGAGGTAGTTGAGCGCGAGTAAACCGGTCCTGTCCCTTTTGAGGGGGTCTTTCTTTTCCTTTCTAGCCATGTCTTGTCCCATACGTTTCAGCCTGCTCTGCCGCTCATGTTCGGAGCTGTGGGCTTGGTCCATCAACTCCAATACAGACACCCAGTTCGCAAAGCGCAGTTCATCTAAGGGAAGCCCTGTAGGACTAAGAGCTGCTGGAGTTGTAGAGGTTTCTGGAGGGGGTTGGTGCGGATCTATGGTGTATTCGTTGTAAACCTTCTGCATGTCCTCGAGCCTGGCTAGCGGTGGTCTTTTCGGGTCAAGGAACATGTAAAATGGTGTATTGCGAATGTCCAAACGTTGGCCAGACATGACAACAGCGGTTATGTTCTTGATTTGCTGGTCGAGCTCACCCAATTCGCTCTCAAACTCTTCTGAACGCGAGATGTCGATTGTTCTCTCGAAATACGGTGTCTCCTCGTCTAGCGCCTCCATAACGATGTGTTTGGATGATGCAGGGATCGCGTGTTCCTGTTCTCGGAGCTGGGCACGGAAGTAATCAACATGGTCTGCTCTTTTGCATGCCTTGGCGAAAGATACCCAGTCCTTCCAGTCGATCTGTCTGCCATTAGAGGCCGCCTTGTGCGCAATACGTGTCCAAAACTCCTCGATGAGATCCTTTGCGCCGGTTTGGCCTGCTGAGAACATCACCCCCCGGATGCCAATGTCTCCCAAGTCCACCTGAGCAGTATCGGCATCTTGCAGCGAGACACGGAGGAGATCGGGTACACGCAACCTTCCAGCGAGGTTGACGAGGGCAGAAAAAACTTGTGGAGAAGGAGGCATTCCAGCCTGGAGAAGCGACGATAGAGTGCCGTGGGCGAAAGTGATGATACGGTTCCGAAGCAATGCCGTGTCTCCTTGATAGTCGCTCCCGGGAGAGGGCTCAGGAAGCAGAGAGCCGAACGAGGTGAGGAATTGACCTGCGTGTATCGGTTCCAAGGAGCCTCCAGCCTCCAGATACGCGTACAAAGCGTTAGCAATGGCGCGGACGAGGACGATTCTGTCCCCTAAAGTATCACAGCTCTCGATACTTTTCCTGATTTTTGAGAGCAGGGTAGTGACATGGCTGGGCCTTAACACGTTGCCCGCACGGCAAGCGACCAGAAAGGTAGTATATGCTTCCCCTAATTGCCTGCTCTCCATAAACATCTCGAAGAATCGTGGCGGCAGCTGGCACGGATACAGGCGCAAGGCGGTATCCAGCGCCAGGTACGCGTTCTTCCAATCGTTATACAGGAGACGGGCGGTCAAAATCCCCTGTAAAAGCGTGACTGGCACATCGGCGATGACAGTGGGTTGGCTGCGATTGGGCACGATGGCATCTGGAGAAAGGTGGTATTCGGCGAAGGTGCCCGGAAAGCGCTTGAGAGCGTCGACGTAGAGATTCTCCAACTCATACAGACGAAGCTTCTTGCCATAAGCCATCATTTCGATGGCTGCACCGTACACAGCTTGGGACACGTGAGTGTCGTCCTGTTGAACAAGCCACTGCCACAGCGCGTAACCCTCGTTATACATTTTGCGTTCTTTGTATATGCCTAGAATATGCACGAAGACGAAAGGATGCGTTGGTAGGGTTCCCTTCTGAAGGTCTTTGATCAGCTGCTGAAGGAAGGACAGCAGATCTGATCTAGTACCGCTGAGTAGCTGGGGGTTGCGTAAACAGGCATGGAGCGTCTGGGCAATGCGGCGTGTATCGTCCCGCGTCAGGGTGCCTGCTGCGATCATGGTAGGGTACAGATCCATCAGCGAACGCAGGTTGCGATCGCTAAAGGCCTTGCGGAACTGCTGGAGCAAGGCGGCATGGTCGTGAAGTATCTGCTGCTTAATTGCTTGTCGCTATACACCATAAGCTTGGGTGAAAGGGAGAGAGTGACGGCATGTACCTTTCTATTATCTTGCAGCTTCAGGTTCTTCCCATCTGATATATGCCGTCGACTTGGTGTTGGGAGAAGGCATCGTTGCAGCGGGAGCGCTGCAAGCGGCGCATACGTACGGAGCAGGCGAGGAGCGAGGAAGGGAGCCGAAGGGCATACGATCGAGGCCAGCGAAGCCCTGGGAAGCGTGGGCATTTCCAAATGGACGTCACTTCATCAGAGAGAGGTCGCGAGTGGCACGCATGCACTTTACACTTTTCCAGACGCGCCAAGCTAGCGGCAACGAGTTAGGCGAGCGCGGAGGAGACGACACCTGGTCCGCTCACTAAAACCCCCGCGGCGACGACAAGCAGCTCCCAAAACACCACAGCACACCATGTCGCGGCCAATCTCCCTGTTCAGCGTGTCCGCCATCCTGATCCTGGCCATTGACGATGGCTCGCGCATCCTCACCAAATACTATTCGAACCCGCACCCGCCCCAGGGTCAGACAGAGTACCCCGGCCAAATAGCGTACAAAACGGTCAAAGACCAGAAGACATTCGAGAAGGGCCTGCTCGGTGTGTGAAGGAATACTGGGAAATTGTGAAGCTGGTCTGACAGGCGCGCAGAGAAGACGGCCAAGCAGACCACGGATATCATCCTCTATGACCAGAAGGTCATCGTCTTTAAGATGGAGTCGGACGTCATGCTCTACGTCGTCGGCGGTCCCGAGGAAAACGAGGTGCTTCTGTACAGGTATTGGCTGGCAACTGAACTGCTCAGTGGGGTACTAATGCATGCCCAGTGTTGTCCTAGCGTTACGAGACTCGCTCAACATCCTCCTCAAGTGAGTGCTGTGACGACGTGGCCGAGCTTGAGCTAATGTAGCCAGAAACTCGGTTGACAAGCGTACCGTGATCGAGAACTATGACTTAGTGGTATGTGGTCCCGCAATGCTGCTGAAGCCGCAGCTAACTCATGTAGTCCCTTGCTGTCGACGAACTGGTAGACGATGGTATCATCCTGGAGACGGACCCCGTAACTGTGGCTTCCCGCGTTAGCAGGCCACCCGCGCAAGACATGACCTCGATGAAGAACATTGACCTCTCCGAGCAAGGTTTCCTGAATGCATGGGAGTTTGGAAAGAGGCAGCTAGCAGAGCGGATAAGACAAGGCTTGTGAGGATGCGATCAGCGATCTGGCGTTGAAGGAGTTAATGGGCAGAAAGGCATAGCTGTGGTTGCATTGCGCCTGAAGCTCATGTCATAAAAATGGCAGGCTTGTGATGTTACTCTACATGGAGCAATTACTCGGATCGAGACGTTATACTTCACAAGCACATGCGAGTGATCAATCCGCTCATCTAACCTACTGTTTCCACTCAGATATTTGTTTGTAAGAACAGCCAGCCATGCTTTTGAGGAAGAAGTCGCTGTATAATCCGCGCAGTTTTAGACGCATATTGCTATTATTAGCGTTCAGTTGTCCTTTAAACAAATATTTGCATGAACGATCACTCTCGCTTGTTCCTGAGGAATGGCATAAGTGCGAGAGACTAATAATGATTCACTGCCGCTAGCTCAGCCCTACGCCGCGCAGAAAGCGGCGTTCGCATCATCATCGTCTATCCCACCTCAACCCCACCAAAGTACGCGTGCGACACATTCTGCACACGACACCATGAAGCAGCGCTTTTCGTCCCTCGACGTAAAGGTATAACCTCCATCAATCGTCATCTCCACTTATACCAACGCTCACAGGTTATTGCACACGAGCTTTCCAAGACACTGGTCCCGTTGCGAGTCACAAATGTCTACGATCTTTCCTCGGTATTTAAGCCTCCTGCTTTTCTCTGCGTCCGTCGCGCTGACCAAGATTAGCGTATCTTCCTCTTCAAATTCCACAAGCCCGACCATCGCGAGCAATTGATCATCGAATCGGGCTTCCGCTGCCACCTTACGTCTTACGCCCGCACCACTGCGTCTGCCCCGTCCGCTTTTGTTGCGAAGTTGCGTAAATACCTTAAGACTCGAAGGGTTACCGCAGTCTCACAAGTCGGCACCGACCGTATTATAGAGCTACAGTTCTCAGATGGGCTGTACCGATTGTACTTTGAGTTCTATGCAGGTGGTAACATCGTGCTCACAGACGGTGATCTTAAGATTCTAGCTTTGTTGCGCAATGTGGAAGAGGGCGCCGAACACGAACAGCTGAGGGTTGGCCTACAATACAATTTATCACTTCGCCAGAACTATGGGGGCATTCCGGAGCTCACGACAGAGAGAGTCCAACAAGCTCTGCAGAAGGCTGTAGATCGGCAGAAGGAGCAGCCTGCAGCGCCAGGCAAGAAAGGAAAGAAGTCACAGAAAGATGCGCTACGGAAAGCGCTTGCAGTTTCGATAACAGAATGTCCGCCGTTGCTAGTCGACCATGCGCTGCATGTGGCGAACTTTGACTCTTCGTTGAAACCAGAAGAGGTCCTTGCGGACGAGGGACTTTTGAACGGGCTCCTAGGTGTACTGCAACAAGCGCGCAAAATCTCAGAAGACATCACATCGACGGAGCAAATCAAGGGCTACATATTAGCGAAACCCAACCCTGCAGCCCCTAAAGAAGAGGAGGTGATAGAAGGAAACGCCTCGGATAAGTCTAATCTTCTATACGACGACTTCCATCCTTTCCAGCCGCAACAGTTCAAAGAATCTGAATACACCTTCTTAGAGTTTGATGGGTTCAACAAATGCGTTGACGAATTCTTCTCTTCGATCGAAGGCCAGAAGCTCGAATCGAAGCTACATGAGCGCGAGGTACATGCAAGGAAAAAGCTAGACCAAGCACGCAAAGAGCACGAAAATCGCATTGGAGGCTTGCAACAGACGCAGGAGCTCAATTTCCGCAAAGCGGAGGTTATTCTAGCCAACATTCACAGGGTGGAGGAGGCAATTGCTGCTGTCAATGGGTTGATTGGCCAAGGAATGGACTGGGGCGAGATCGCGCGCCTGATCGAGCGGGAACAGGAGCAAGGTAACGCTGTTGCGGAACTCATCAAGCTCCCTTTAAAGCTGCATGAGAATACTATCACGCTGCTCTTGGAAGAGGCGACTGAAGGCGAAGGCGAACAGCAAGATGATGAAGGCTACGAAACGAGCGAGGCGGAAGTGTCTTCGGATGAAGATGAGCCATCAGAGAACGAAAAGAAGGCCACTCCACCACAACCAGCAGAGCAACCGAAGTTAACCATCGATATTGACCTTAGTTTGACCGCGTACAAGAATTCCAGCGAATATTTCGACCAGAAGAAGACGGCCAAAGGCAAGGAGGCTCGTACAATCGAAGCATCCGAAAGAGCCATGAAGGCTCATGAGCGCAAAGTGGCTGAGGACTTAAAGAAGGGTGTTAAGCAAGAAAAAGAGGTGCTTAGACCTGTACGCAGACAGCAGTGGTTTGAAAAGTTCATCTACTTCATCTCGTCCGATGGATACCTCATTCTCGGTGGCAAGGATGGTCCACAGAACGAAATCATCTATCGCAGATATCTTCGCAAGGGGGATATATATGTACACGCTGATCTTAAGGGTGCAGTACCTATGGTCATTAAGAACAACCCGAACACCCCAGACTCTCCGATACCACCTTCGACTCTATCTCAGGCCGGACATCTCTCGGTCTGCACGTCTGAGGCTTGGGATTCGAAAGCTGTCATGTCTGCATGGTGGGTCAAGGCTGATCAAGTCAGCAAGATCGGCCATGGAGGAGAGTTCCTTGCTACAGGCCTATTCAATATCACCGGCCGGAAAGAGTTTCTTCCGCCAGCACAGCTGGTCGTTGGCCTAGCTGTCATGTTTGAGATCAGCGATGACAGCAAAGCCCGCCATCGAAAGCATCGCGTCAATGATCCTATCCCTGCACTCGAGGATAAAGAGAATACAACAGCAGCAGATGATGGTAGAGATGCAAATAGTGATAGTGATGAGGACTTCCCGGACGCGAAGCCTGCTTCCGACTCGGAAGATGATTTTCCGGATACTAGGCTCGAGGAGGTGGACGATAGCGATGCGGAAGAGGAAACTGCGACTCATGCAAACCCATTACAAAGAGCGAACGGGGCGGTAGACTCAGACGATGAAGATGACACAGGCCCTCATGTGCTTGCTTCTCAGCCAGGGAAGACGAGCAAAGCAAAACCAGCCGTGCAAGAAGATGCTGGATCAATGGCAGATTCCGAGCAGACGGATAAAACAGGCCATCGCCATCTCTCAGCCAGAGAGCGTAGGCTCCTTCGGAAGGGACAACCATTAGACGACATCTCAGTACCATCCGACCCAGCTACAGCCGCTGGCGCTGGCGCAGAAAGCGACGATGCATCCGCCCCAGACGATGAACCATCCTCCGCACCCAAACCCCCCGCCACCGTTACTTCCCAGGCCTCCAAAGCATCCAAAGGTCCCCTTCCCCGTGGCAAACGCGCCAAAGCGAAAAAGCTTGCCGCCAAATACGCCGACCAAGACGAAGAAGACCGCCAGCTCGCGCTCCGCCTTCTCGGCGCACAATCCGGGCCCAGCGCCGCGGAGACCGCTGCACAAGAACAGCGTCAAAAGGAGGAGGAAGCGGCAGCGAACAAGCAGCGCCGCCGCGAGCAGCATCTCCGCGCGCAAGCCACAGGCAAAGCAGCAGAAGAAGCGCGTCGCGCCGCAAACTCCGGCGACGCTCCTCCCGCAGAAGAAGAAGGAGACGACGAGCAGCTTGTCGCCAACCTCGCCAATCTCGACGCCTTCACCGGGCGCCCGCTCCCCGAAGATGAAATCCTCTCCGCCATCCCCGTCTGCGCCCCCTGGTCTGCGCTCTCGACCTACAAGTACAAAGCCAAGATGCAGCCTGGCAGTCTCAAGCGCGGGAAGGCCGTCAAAGACATACTCTGGAAGTGGGACAACGCGGGGAAGGATGCAAAGGCGACGGATAAGTTTGGCAAGGATGTGGAGAGGATTTGGCCGCGGGAGATGGAGTTGATTAGGGGGTGGAAGGAGACTGAGGTGGTCAGCGTTGTGTCCGTTCCTAAGGTGCGAGTTATGATGGCTGGTGGACGAGACGGCGGAGGCTTGAGTAATGCTGCGAAGGGGAAGAAGAAGAGTGCGAGGGGTGGGAGGGGGAGTAAGAAGAGGTAGGTGGTGAAGTGACGGATTGGTAGGAAATGTGGACAAGAATTCCGTAGGCTCTACTGCAATCAACATGACTTGGAGCAGGCATAAGCCAGTGTCCCCTCGATACTTCTTGTGTATATCCCAGCCTTCTCTACACCTATCTACTTAATCTCATCACGAACATAGCTTTAATCCCGGTCCTTACCCCTCTTGCCCAAGACCCAACCTGACCCAGCACCTCCTCGTCCGCGCTAAAGATTGCAGTGCATGCGCACACGATCCTGGCTTACAACCGTCAGCTCGATTAGGAAACTACCTAACTCATCTACACCTCCCCATCGGCACTAATGATTGTAGTGTAAATCATGAGGGCACCTTTGCCAGTTGCGGGCAATCTAACAGCGGCAACTTGGCAACGACCGCTTCATTCTGCATATTTCGGCATTAAGCTGGTGTTTCGATTGACTCAGGTACACCTGCCACCCACTATATGTTCCTCGTTCATATACAAGTGAGTGTGTACGTGTAGATGCTACTCAGAACGCAAATATCATGTCTGTTGGCAATTTTTGCGGCAGACCTTCCATTCGCCGGTACGCGCTAGCGAAAAAAGTGAGCAGCGCTCCAAGATTTATCCATTCTGCTTTTGTCGCATCTGATATATATTGTCGTTCCGTCCCAAGTCTGCACTAATCGTGGATTCCTCATTGCTGATGCTTCGCCTGTATAAATACTCAGTCCCTCGCTTAGGAATTTGCATACCGACCTGTGTGAGGGCACGCGTGCCCTATACAAGACCCAACAACACCACGTCCTTCTACGTTCCCTAGGACGATGCACGAAAAAATCTCAAAAATGGAAATAACTCACTCACTCAGAACTTGTCCAGAGAATCGGAGGTCTGTAAAAGACATCAATCATACCTACCACCAGAAAGTGGACAAAAAAGCGACACCTGTGTGATTCGAACACACGCTCCCGAAGGAACAGGCTTAGCAGGCCTGCGCGATAACCACTCCGCCAAAGTGCCGTTGGTCATCTGATGCCCTTATCAAGGGCCTTCGATTGGTGATTGATGTACCTCTTCCCAATACTATAGTATATATAGCAGGTTGCAAACTATCGGCTATGACGTGGTGAGCTAATAGCTGGGCGGGGCGCTAGTCTGCTGTGCACAAAGAACAGGAGCCTAGACTAGAACTTAAACGTTAATGGGAAGTATGGCGAATTAGGACATATCTGCACATTATGTACGTTCGTCACATAATAGTCTCGACCTTGACACGCATCATACAAAGGAAGATCTTTTCGTGGTAGCAACTCTGAAGCATTGGTGCAGAAGCTCATACGTTGTACACGAGGACCATTCGTTATGGACAGCCGTGCTACATCTTCGAGAGATGGGGAGTGACTACATCAAGATGGAGATTCTGTCGCAAGAGAAAATTCGATGTAAACGATATACCTATTCCCTTCGAGGTCACACATGCGCCCCTAAGCGAGTACACAATTCCAATGCCGATGAATACGATGATTCTGAAGTGGACTAATCTGCACAGATTCAGCCAAAGAGGGTCTGTCACTCACACTGCTGAGAGGATCCCGACCACTGGTACATTGTATGAAACCCCCAAACCCCAAATGGCTGCTGTGGGAATGCTAACTTAGCAGAACAACAATTTGCAATTCAGGAAGGTCAGGGTTGATAAGATCTGAGAAGAAGGGAGATAGTTCAAACCTTGGAATGCTAGCAACTTCTTTGTTTTCTCAATAGTATCAGATACTTCTTCTCCTATACTTCTTCTCTAGTTCGCCTGCGTCCATGGTCTCTTACCAAGCAGCGCACCATCTTTCCCACCTTCGCTGTTGCAATATTGCAAAGTTATATACTCACCACCAACGATTTCTTCGAGGCCCGGCTGAAGTTTGCCTGCGTTCCATCCGCCAGCCCATAGCTCTATCCATCCTACTAAGAACACCAGAACACCATGCATCCACTCCAGGGCTCACCAAGCAGTACGTGCATCTTTCCCACCCGTGGACCTTCGCTGTTATAAACTCACCACGGACAGTTTCGTCAAGGCCCGCCTGAAGTTTGCCTGCAGTGTGCGTTCTATCCGCCAGCTACCAATAACTCTTTCCTTCCTAGTCAGAACACTAGAACACCCATACGTCACCAAGCAGCACGTGCACCTTTCCTACCTTCGCTTTAAATATTGCATACCCTCTGCTCACCACCAACAGTTTCGGCGATGCAGCTGAAGGTTGCCTGCGTTCCATCCGCTTCAAAGGCCTGAAGGTCGCCTACGTTCCATCCGCCAGCCGCCAATAGCTCTTTCCTTCGTAGTCCCGAGATCCTCCTGCGGTCAGAACACCCATAATTACCTCACTCACCTTTCTACCTTCTCTCTAACACCGCCAACAGCATTCCTTTTCTCTGCCACACCACAGCTTCATCACCTTCTCCACCTTCTCTCTGCCACCACTGACAGCTCCATCACCCCATACCACAGCGCAGCCTTCCTCACAATGCCAAAAGCAAAGTCCAACACACAGCCCAAAGCAAAGCCTAAAGCAACGGTATTAGCTACAGCGCCAGGGCAGCAAAGGCCGCACTTACCAAGTATTCTACGCGCGTCATCGGGATTCCTCAGGTACCTCTCAGTGGACCAGTGTAGTTGAGTGAAATTGACATACCTTGATTAGCAGCAGTGTACCACCTCATGGTACTCCATCGCTAACCACTGCTCCGTCGCTGCGAACTACTCTGTCGCCGCCCGCTGCTCTGCCAACACTTGGTACATTGATTGAGAGAACATTACCTCCTTCTGTCTAATGATTGGTCTGATATCTTCTCACAGCTGCTGCTTCACCGACAACATCTCTCTCGCTCACAGCTACTGCTTCGCCGACATCCACTCCCTCACTTCCGATCGATGTTGGTAACAATGAAGCGCCGTCACCAGAAGCGCTCAATACACACTACAAGATACAGCTGTCGGATCAGACGCTATCGCACCCATCCAACTACTGTTGCAATCTGATCATCCACTGGAAACACCTCCTAGGACCGCTTCGAGCTTATACAGAAGAGCGATACCAGATAGTCACTCAAGGAGCGATACGATCCAAGGAGAACGGACATCTGTGGACGAGTGTCCAGCAAGTTGAGTTAGCTTTCACCTGTCCACATTCCGGTCAACTCGTCCGGCAGTACCCCATGATAGCTAGGCTCGCTGCAGCTCTCAACCTCGCCCATGATGACTTCTGGAAGGCTGGCCACCTACACTGGCAAGCAAGCCACAGACATAATTTGTCCACAAAGCGAGTCACCTGTGCTGCTCAGGAGCATATCCTGTTTACCAAGGGCCTTCGATTGGTGATTGACGTACCTCATGTCAATGCTATAGTGTATATAGCAGGCTTCAAACTATTAAAAGGAGTTGAGAAGGGATTTGACCGCGAAATGAGTGGCGCATGTTCGCGATAGTCGCGAAGGATCGCGGCATTAATGCTGCGCCTGAACAAAGCAGACTAGCATGGTCCTTTTTTTTGAACACAATTTGTGTCTACAAAGTTCGACCACCTCTTTGAACGATGACCCATACGGGCCGCAGCACAGTCTGGTTTACCCTCATGTCGCTTTCAGAGGCACAAACTTCAACATAAGCAATCTAGACTCAATGCTTTCCATTCGTATGGAGAGCAGAATTACATGATATTCTTCAAGTCGTTACACTTCTCAGATCACACTTTGGTAGCTGTAACATTCCTAACAACAGACGCGCCAGCAAACAGCGATACCAAGTACCTAGGTAATAGCACCACTTCAGAGCGTGATAAATAAGCCAGTCACTCATCACTATAAGAATGTGGTGGACATGCTAATCGTGCATATCGCCGATTACTACAAAGTACAGCATAATGCAGGTCTACTATGTAAGATGCAAGAACGCGGTGTGCCAAAGCACCGCAATCTTTAGCGCGGGCGGAGGCCTACAGCAGAAGGACGAAGCGTGGGACCTCATCCAAGCCCACTAGCACTGTGAATATGCAATAAATACCAAGTCCGAATGGAATCAAGTCATCTCCAACGTACAGCTGCAACAAGAACTTCCAAGCAATCGACAATAGAGCATTTTTACTACGATAGGAAGGATTGGCCCGCCGCCCGCGCCACGTCTGGGGGCCATCAACACTGCAATCTCTAGCGCTGGCGAGGGGCTACAGCACAACGCTAAGCGTGCATGGGTCTCGTCCCCGTTCCTGGCATATCTAGAACATCTCAGAACCCAGCATCGCGTACTGTACTTTCCACGCCGCGCTTCTGCGCCGCCTGGGCAGAAAATTGTAGAAGATTCCGCGGCCTTGCTCCAGCCCCATCTGTACGCAAGACCTGCCGTTTCCGCTCGTATCCCAAAGACATTTGTAAAAATGTGGTCAGACACACGTAGGTAGGCAGCCGGCACCCGCCGCGGCAACTCGCACGCAAATGACAGTCTCATGATTTCATCTCACGAGAGCGCTTCATTACCAGCCGCTACGTAACCGAAAACAGAAAGAACTAATTACAGACGTCCGACAGTGGAGGGGGTATAGATTGCTAGTTGCAAAGCAAAGCTCGTCTGTTTAGAAGAAATCTAAGGGGTACTCAGTACGTAGTCGTAGGACATCCACATTGCTTGTCTAAGCATGTTTCCCGTGCGCCGAAGTGCTGCCATGCCATGCGTGCAAGATCCGCTCAAAAGGGGGCGAGGCCAAAGAAGTGCCTCCTCTATGTACGCCATTTTCGTGCTCATGATACCGTTGCAACCCTACGTAACTAAGAAGGGTTGATTACCAGGTCTTCATCTTTTTCCTGCTGAGGTGCAGGGACACCACCGTCCTCTGTCGGAGCGGCTGCCTGCTGATTGGTAGCTTCGGCATTGGTCTTAGTTGCATTGCCCTCATTATTGGTGGGCTTGGGCTGGAATGACGCCTGTCCCTCAGCTCGGGGTGCAAACTTGACTTTCCTGTCGGCTTGCTCGGATATCCTGGTGAGCTCCTGGACGAAAGATTGTCCCCACCATGCACTGAATTCTATTAGCTGAGGCTAGATGTAGTAGTCGATGTCGCTTACCTGGTGTACTTGCGGATGTACCTAGAAAGCTTCTCGTAGTTCTGCGCCCGCTGTTCATCGCCCATGGTGACCGCATCATGAATCGAATCAGCCAGCTCCTCGGTATTCCAGGGGTTGACGATCAAGCTGCCGTTCAAGCTCTGGGCAGCGCCGGTAAATTCGGAAAGGATCATGACGCCGTGGCGCTTCTCCTGAGTCGCGATGTACTCGTATGACACAAGGTTCATGCCGTCGCGCGTTGAGGAAACGAGACAAGCGTCTGAGACAGAGTACAGCGCAATCAGCTCGTCGAAGGAAACCGACTTGTGCATGAAGTGGATAGGCATGAACTCAATGGTGCCAAATTTGCCGTTGATACGACCGACAAGTTCGTTGACGACAGCGCGAAGATTCTGGTACTCCTCGACGTCTTGTCGGCTGGGAACAGCGACTTGGACGAGAACGACCTTGCCAATCCACTCAGGATGCTCCGTCAGAAACACCTCCAATGCGTGGAGTTTCTGGGGAACACCCTTGATATAATCCAAGCGATCAACTCCAACGATGAGCTTCACACCCTCAAATTTCTTCTCGAGCGCTGCGATGCGCTCCTGGACCTTGGGCTTCTTCAGCCCTTCGTCGAACTTCTCGGGATCGATTCCGATAGGAAATGCGCCGACGGTAATCAGCTTGCCCTGGAATTCTACGCCGTTGGGCGTTGTCGCAAGGCCCCTTGTGGCTCGTCAGCGCATGGTACATATATTGTGTGGCTAAGCTTACAAGATACGGGAGCAGCTGCTCAGGAAGTGGCGGGCGTAATCGTAGGTGTGGAAGCCGATCAAATCGCAGTGTAGGACACCGAGGAGGATCTCGTTGCGCACGGGAAGAATGCGGTAAATTTCGGAGCTAGGGAACGGTGTGTGTAGGAAGAAGCCCAGCTTCACATTCTTCTTTGTATTGCCGATTTCCTCGCGAAGCATCGCAGGTAGGAGCATCAGATGGTAGTCATGGACCCAGACCATATCGTTGTCCTGTACATCTTTCGCAATAGCCTTCGCGAACAGGCGATTTGCTTCGGTGTAGGCGTTCCAGGCGGACTCGTCGAAGGTAATCTCTCCGGGGTGATAGTGGAAGAGGGGCCAAAGGATGGAGTCTGTAGGTCAGCACTGATTTGCACTGCGCATACTGAGCGAAAGCTTACTTGAGAAGCCGTTGTAATGACGGTCGGCCAGGTCGTCGTCGAGCATCACTGGAACTGCGTTGTGCTCGGCCTTGAGCTGCTGCTTCAAGGTGCCAATCTCATTCTCGGGAATCTCCAAGCCAGGCCAGCCATACCACTGGAATGTGGTGGATTTTGATAGACCACTCAGTCCACTGACAAGGCCTCCCGAGGACATGGAGAAGTCGAATTTCCCTTCATCTGAGCGTTTGATGGTGATGGGGAGACGGTTGGAGACGAGGAGCAGGCGTCCCTCTGTCGTATGGCGCCGAACCAACTTGGTCGGTGGCGGAGGAGCCATGCTGGTGTGATTATATGCGTTTCGAGGAGGAATGAAAGACTGCTGTAGCTAGAATACTGCTGTTGTGCAGCTTGTTAAGATGGTGAGTAGGGAAAGGGTTTTAGTGTGAAAGGGTTGGTTGGCACTCAGCACCTACAAGAGAAGCGACAGGCCACGTTAAGTGGTATGACGGGCAAACTATGCGGCGCCCGGCACGATAAGAATTCGCTCGTGCGGCTTGGGGGTGACGACAGTATGATTTTGCGCAGAGAGACCCACACCAGAACGCGGGTGCGCACAGGTTGGGCGGTAGCGGACAAGAGTGAGACCAAGGCTGCGGGAGCTAGAGTTGGGAAATAATGGGCAGGGCCACTTGGAGGCTAGGACGGGCGCACAATCTCGAAGCGTCGCGAAAACAGGTGAAGGCAGCTCAGTGCCAAATGCGCGCAGCTCTAAATTGCATGTTTTGATAGCGGGCAGTGACGTAGCCGGCGGAAGCACGGCGCAGCCCCAGCAACAAGCCACATCACAGCAAGACGGGACAAAGCTCGAGTCTGACAGAGTTTCAAGTCCTTCGAGTGCGTGGAGGGAGCGCCGCCCGGCTGTAGCTGGGTTCCACGTCAGCCTGTGCCTGTTTCTTTTCTTGTCTGGCACCGTTGATCTGCAATGTGCATGGAAGCTTCCTTGGTTTGGGTGCCCCGCGCGCATGGATCACGTGCATATGCGTTAGCCGTCGACTGTGGTACTCACTAGCCTTGGAGCAGGCTAAACCTTCTCGGCACGACCGCGGTCTGTCGCGCCCCCAACGCGTCCATCCTCAGCTTCTCTCACTAGCTTGTTCCCCACAAAGTGAGTCGCCCGACCAAGGACTGGGGATCGAGGACCCTCAGCACACTCGAAGCGCTTCCGCACACCTCCGAGCGCGTTGTTGGTCATTGAGCTGCCGAGCATGTCAGACTCCGAGACAGATGTTCCGTCAAAGGCGGCCGTTTCGAACGCGATTCGCGATGTTGTACTTTCAATACACAAGGCAGGCAACGATGACGACCTCACTGTCAACCACGTCCGCACCGGAGCTGAGCAGAAGCTTGGATTGCCTGTTGGCTTCCTCAAGAAGGAAGAGTGGAAGAACGAGAGCAAGGACTTGATCAAAGAGGCTGTGGTATGTTTACTTGCCGCATGCATATTTTGTCGGAACAGGACCGCGGAACTGAAAAGCTCTCAACTCATCTGCCAACTGCTGCCCTATGACTTGAATAAAAAATACTAATGCGACTACTAGGACAAGTACTGCGGCGACGAAACCGCGCCTGAACCTAGTCCAAAGAAACCCTCCAATGCAAAGCCGAAAGCGAAGCCTGAACCGAAGAAGAAGGCGACCAAATCTACGACCGGTAGCGCGCCGCGTGGGATTAAGAGAAAGGTAGCTGCGCCTCCGAAGAAGTCTCAAAAGCGGAGGAAGACCGTATCTTCCGACGACGAATCAGATGCTGCGCTCTCGGACTCGCTCGCACAAGACGATGAACGGTCCGACGCCGAAATCGAGCCGGCTAAGAAACCTGCGCGTCGACAAAAGAAGGTGGTAGGGGAGGATTCGGATGAGGAGGAGAGCACCCCGCAGGTGACTCGGCCCAAGAAGGAGGATAAGGACGCTGAGAGCGACGAAGAGGCAAATGACATTCGGCGCCCTGTAACGCCACCTCCAGCTGCCAAGGATGATGGTGATGAGAGCGACCTTTCGAGCGTCCTCGATGAGTCTCCAGTTAAGAAACGGAAACGAACTACCGAGAAGCCCGCAAAGGCAGCGAAGGGCGCGAAAGCAGTAAAACCAAAGGCCGCCAAGACTGAGGTTGACCCAGACCAGGCAGAGATAAAGCGGTTGCAAGGCTGGCTTGTCAAGTGTGGCATTCGCAAAGTGTGGGGAAAAGAGCTCGCCAAATGCGACAACTCCAAGGATAAGATCCGCCACCTCAAGGCCATGCTGAAAGACGCTGGTATGGACGGCAAATACTCCGTTGAAAAAGCTGCTAAGATCAAAGAGCAACGCGAGTTTGCCAAAGACCTGGAGGATATTCAAGCAGGCGCCGCAGCCTGGGGCGAAAATACCAGCACTGGACGCCCACGTCGAGCGGTAGCACGACCGGTGCAGCCAGTTGCCATTCCTGAAGACAGCGACGATGAAGATGCAGGCGATAAGGCGCAGGATGAGAAAGACGAGGGCACAGATGATGACGACGATGATGATGATGATTCGGCTCATGACGACTCCGGATCAGATGACAGCGCGGGTGGAAAAGACGAGGAAGATGATTCCGACTAGAACAAGAGGCCGAGTACTGCGCCGTATAATGCTTTTTTCGATGTAACGCATGAAGCACATAATTTGGGCACGTCCTGGAGCAGGCCTCGCAGAGCTTCCTTCCACGGCTCACGATGTGTCCATCTCATATACAACCGTTTCGGTCAAAAGTGTCTTTAGATACCCATACCGCAACTGCAGGAGCTGTTGCTATGAACAGTAATACATAATTGCATACTTCAAAATCTGTACCTGCTGCTCTCCGCTGCTCTTTGAGCACGTTTGAACAACTGGGCTTTTTGTGATCACCGGTGATCATACCTCTCCCAAAATTGCACATGATAAAGTGGCCAGTCGTACCGTAGGCATACATAGCTTTCACCATCTAGCGGGAGGCTGGCTTTGGAGATTTTGAACAAAGCTCTATTCGAGGTATGCTCGAAGCTAAAAGTTTGAATTTGACTTGAGCATGGTGACCTATTGAACTCATGTTCCAATAGCTTTCCCAGAGGACATGCGTTGAGCAATCAGACCAAATGCAGCGACCGAGGACATGAATATGACGAGATTATAGAACTACAGGTTACTCATCAGTACGAACTTTCCCTTGTGGCTTTTAGCAGGACATACAGCGTTCCTTGAGTATGAGCTTTCCTCGGCCTCAGTGCGAGCTTCCACGAACAAGCGACGTAAATTTGGTAGATTAGATGGCTATCCATGTCAGCACTGGCTTCGTAGATTGATTGCACCTCATCTCAAAGCTTACCATGCTGTCTATTTTTTGTTTGTGCGTTGGGTCATGATGCGATCCAAGATGAGGTTCGATGCGACGAGCTACGCACGGACCCTCCCCCATTGTCAATGTGGCAGTCGCTTTGGACGGAGCTGCAGGCTCACCGATTCGAGCCTCGATATTTCATTCCCCAACACAACACCAACCGCTCTTCGATATACTAACGTCCTGTAGTAACGACGTCTTCTCCTCCAGGAACGTGCCGCCGCCTCTTTAACTGACCCCCGCAAACGTCACCCGCGAATATCGAGCTAGGACGACGAGTGAGGGGCCCGGCCGTGGTCGTGGCCTACATTTGTAAAGCGTAGCGATGGCGGTGAACAGAATAAGAGGCGCTTTCGCGGTGCCGAGGAAGGGAGAGACGTTCGAATTGAGAGCAGGCTTGGTGTAAGATACATTACGGGATTGCTCAAGCGCATCTAACTAACTGCTGCCTCCAGGTCTCAATATGCATATGAACGGTCAGCGCACCTCTACTCTACATGTGTGCTGGAGATACTGAGACTATGCTAGGAAAGAAGCCATTCAAAAGACCATCATGTCCATGACCCTGGGCAAGGATGTGTCGGCGCTATTCCCTGACGTGCTCAAGAACATCGCGACCGGCGATCTCGACCAGAAGAAACTGGTGTATCTATACCTCATGTAGGCACTCCAACGCGCGATGTTGGCATTCTCTACTTACATACCCATTAGGAATTATGCGAAATCACATCCCGACCTTTGTATCCTAGCTGTCAATACATTCGTCCAGGACTCGGAAGATCCGAACCCACTGGTTCGCGCGCTCGCTATACGGACAATGGGCTGTATTAGGGTAGAGAAGATGGTCGACTACATGGAAGAGCCCTTACGGAAAACCCTCAGAGACGAATCACCGTATGTCCGGAAAACTGCAGCTCTTTGTGTCGCAAAGCTGTACGATTTGAACCCTGCAATGTGCATAGAGAATGGCTTCATCGAACAACTGCAAGAGATGGTCGGCGACCCAAACCCTATGGTGGTTGCCAACTCGGTGACAGCGCTTGTTGAAATACAGGAAACCAGTCCGGAGACGAAGGCATTCACCATCACTGCCGTAACGCTGAAAAAGATGCTGATGGCCCTCAACGAGTGCACAGAATGGGGTCGCGTCACGATCTTGACCACTCTTGCCGACTACAAAGCGCAAGATATCAAAGAGGCGGAGCACATTTGCGAAAGGGTTTCACCTCAGTTCCAGCATGTCAACCCGAGCGTGGTGCTCGCTGCTGTAAAAGTCGTCTTTTTGCACATGAGACATATTCCTGCAGAGCTTACCAAGTCGTATACGAAGAAAATGGCGCCACCGCTAGGTATGCATGCTCAAAGTAATGTCTGTTCAGTATCTAATCCAACGCAGTCACGCTCATATCCTCCGCACCCGAAGTCCAATATGTTGCGCTCAGGAACATCGATTTGATCCTCCAGAAGCAGCCCGACATTCTGAGCAAAGAAATGCGCGTATTTTTCTGCAAGTACAATGATCCGCCCTACCTGAAGCTGCAGAAACTCGATATCATGGTACGGATAGCGAATGACAAGAACGTCGACCAGCTGCTTGCGGAATTAAAGGAGTACGCCATGGAAGTGGACATGGATTTTGTCCGACGGGCAGTCAAGGCGATTGGCCAAGTGGCCATAAAGATCGAAAGCGCAAGCGAAAAATGCGTAAACACTCTTCTAGATCTGATCAACACCAAAGTCAACTACGTCGTACAGGAAGCGGTTGTAGTAATCAAGGATATATTCCGAAAATATCCCGGCTACGAAGGCATCATACCGACTCTTTGCCAATGTATTGATGAGCTGGACGAGCCAAATGCCCGAGCAGCTCTCATTTGGATCGTGGGCGAATATGCCGAGAAGATCAACAACGCTGGCGAAATACTTACTGGCTTTGTGGATACCTTTGCGGAAGAGTTTACTCAAGTATGTAGTCGTTCTGTTGATGGGTCATTCAAGCTAACCAATTTTGCAGGTACAACTTCAAATCCTCACTGCGGTTGTCAAGCTTTTCCTGAAGAAGCCGGATCAGTCTCAAGGTTTGGTGCAAAAGGTCCTCCAAGCAGCAACAGCGGAGAACGACAACCCGGATATTCGCGATCGAGCATACGTCTACTGGCGACTTTTGTCCAGCGATCCTCAAGTCGCAAAGGTAGGTAAATCTTCGTGACAACAGCGGGGCTTTACTGATGGTCTGCAGAATATCGTCCTCTCCGACAAACCTGCAATAACCAGTACCATACAAGCTATGCCGCCCCAGCTACTAGAGCAGCTTCTTGCGGAGCTCTCAACGCTCGCTTCGGTGTACCACAAACCCCCGGAGGCTTTCCTCGGCCAGGGTCGGTACGGTGCAGAAGCTATGCAAAGAGCCGCTATCGAGTAAGCATATAACCGTGGAGCACTTTCACTTCAGCTAAGACGTCATAGGGAACAACAAGAAAATGCACGCGAGAACCCGATTGCTGCAGATGCTGTCGCAGCGGCGGCTTCTGGAGGCCAGGCACCACCTCAATCAAACATCGAAAACCTACTCGATATCGATTTCGACGGCTCTGCACCTGCATCATTACAGAAGCAGCCTGCTGGCGGCGAATCAGGATTAGAAGGTCTGGCTGGTACGCCTCAACGTGTTGCTTCACCTGCAGCAGGGAACGCTGCGCCTACATCGAATATGGACGACCTGCTAGGTCTCTTCGGAGACGGTGGTGGAGGAGGGGCAGCACCTGCTGCCCCCATGACCAACGACGACATCATGAACGGCTTTGCGGGCATGGACATATCTGGAAACAACCAACCTCCGCCGCCACAACAGCAATTGGGCGGACAATCTGCACCAAAGAGCAACCAGGATTTGTTGGATTTGTTCTAGGCGTACCCTGGGAGGCCATGATCTTGGGTTTTGTTGGGCGAAAAGCGGTCGATAGCATTTTGAGGGCGCATTGCGGGCTGCGAGCCCCTTGTACGAGACTATGTAGAGAATGAACAGGCAACATTGCACATGGCTGCCTAGTGAGAGAACATGCGACGAGCTTGTGAAGGGTGCAGGTAATGCGCCACAGCGGGTGGCGAGAGCGACCAAGCGAGACAGCTTGCTTGGCGACTGACGCAACCCAAACAGAAAGTGCTATCAAGCTACTTGGTCTTGCAAGCTTCACGTCCTGTGGACGCATCCAGCCGCACGAAGCTTAGATAGGTTTCTCTTGCGAGCTGCACCCTCACTATCACTTGCCGCGCGCCGGTCCACTCAACCGTCATGTTTATGCTCCGCAACCGTATGTTTGTTTGCCCCGCCCCCGCCATGGCAGCACAAAGCCACTAACGCCTCTCCCTGTACAGTGAGCAAGATTGTCTTCGGCGACGCGTCCAAAGAGTCACTCGTAGAAATCTCGCAGGGTCAGCTGTACCTCGTCCGGCCGCGCTCCGTCAAGGGCTACTCGGAGCTTATCTTCAAGGACGCCGCAGCCACCATCCGCCGCACCGGTCAGGAGTTCCAGTACCAGCTCGTCGTACAGCGCGCATACGAGGAAGGTGAGGAGGATCTCCTAGACGAAGAAGGCCAAGAAGACGGCGGTGTAAACGCGCTTGGAGGGGACAAAGACGAGAAAACGTTCCTGCTCGACGAGAGCCTCCAGTTCCGTACAGACGTTCGCTCAACCGGCGAGAAGATCTTCGCGTGGAGGGACCTCAGCGGCGACGTTGACGACTTGTGGGAGTTTGTGTGCGACGCCTCAGTCAAGCCAGAGACTGCCCTTCTGTTCCAGCGCACAGCTCTCGAGTGCCAGTACGAGCGCAAGTACCGCCGAAGCCACGAGACAGCGACCGAGGAAGACCTTGAGGCTCTAGCTTATCTCGAAGAACCTATTCCAGACGCAAGCCCCGTCTCGAGTCCCACCAGCAAATCCCCGCAACTTCTCGAAGCTCCCACCGCAGCTGAGCTCTTTCCAAACACTACACAAGAGAACATGGCGAAGAAGGCGGCAGGCAAGGCTCCTGTACCACGAGAGGAGGAGCCGACAACAGCACCGCCCTCTGCTGCTCAGCCAGAGGCAGTAGGAACGCTTGCAGAGGCTGTCGCTGAGCTACACCTCTTCGATTTTCCTTCGGGCACGTTCATTCGGCAAGACGCTAAAGTACACGCCACGGTCACTGAGCTCGGGAACTGGGAGTATTGGCTACACATCGTTGGCGATGAGCGCGAATGGTTAGGCCAGCCTATAGTCGATGACATTAACCCTGTCTTCAATTTTGAGTTCAAGTCGTTCATCTTCAATCACTACATGGAAGATGGCTCGGCTTACTCTTGGCTTCTCCGCTTCAATGAACATGAGGACCTAGAGCACTTCCAGCATGGTGTGATGCAAGCCCTGTGGGAGCATCTGAACCAGACCAAGTGGGGCAAAGTCAAAGATACCGACCGCGACTATGTCCTCGAAGCCTTTAACGATCTTACCATGGAGGACGCGCCCGAGGCAGAGGAAGAGGAGGAAGAGGATGAAGAAGACTTTGAGGACGCACATGAAGGGCAGCGAAGCGAGCACTACGACGAGGACGAGTCAGAAGACGATGTTGAAACTCAGCCAAATGACGGTGCTGCTAACTCCCAGCTCGCTGTGGGCTACAAACATGATCGGTCGTTCGTCGTTCGTGGCAACAAGATTGGTGTATTCAAGCATACTCCAGACAATCAGCTCTCATGGGCTACCACCATATCGAACATCAAAACTCCAAAGGGCAAGGACTTCAGCCCGAACAAGGTCATGCTGCACCAGCAAGATCAGAATATGGTTCTGCAGAATCTAGACAATCCTAACGCTCTCTACCGTATGGATCTGGAGACCGGAAAGGTTGTGGATGAGTGGAATGTGCATGACGATATTCCTGTTAAGGTGTTCGCCCCAGAGAACGTAAGTGCTGTCTTCCAGAGCAACCTTCACAACATGGCTAACGACCGTTTAGAAATTTGCGCAGATGAGCGGTGAACAGACTTTCCTGGGTCTCTCTGGCAACGCCTTGTACCGCATCGATCCTCGTCTAGCCGGCCACAAGCTCGTCGACGACCAATACAAACAGTACACCACAAAGAACGCCTTCTCAGCAGCCGCAACTACCGAGAAGGGTCACATCGCAGTGGCCTCAGAGAAGGGCGACATCCGTCTCTACGACCGCCTAGGTATCAACGCAAAGACCCTGATTCCCGCCCTCGGTGACCCCATCATCGGCATGGACGTCTCAGCCGACGGCCGCTGGGTGCTCGCCACAACACGCACATACCTCCTGCTCATCGACGCCCTACAGAAGGGCGGCAAAAACGACGGCAAACTAGGCTTCGAAAAGGCCTTCGCCAAAGACGACAAGCCGCAGCCGCGCCGCCTCGCCCTCACGCCCGCCCACGTCGCCCAGTTCCAGCACGAAACCCGCGCCCCTATATCCTTCACGCCCGCGCGATTCAACACCGGTGTCGACTCCGACGAAACTACCATCATCACTGCTACGGGGCCGTTCATCGTCACGTGGAGCATGAAGAAGGTGCTTGCCAACCGGCGGGATCCGTACAACATCAAGCGCTACGCGGAGGAGGTCAAGGCGGATAACTTCCGGTTCGGCAGCGACAAGAGTCTTATTGTGGCGCTGCCTAATGAGGTCGATATGGTGGCTAAGCGGGCGCTGCAGAAGCCTACTAGGGAGAGCATTGCGATTGCGTCCAAGGTGGGGACGCCGCGGAAGCAGAGGGGGAGTTATCTGGGGAGGAATGAGATTGTGAATAGTCCGTATTAGGGGCGTGATGGAGATGGGAAGGGATGCGGGATTTGGGATGGTAGGGCAAGGGCGGTGTGGTGGAGCTGAGATGTGTGTTTTCTTGGGGCTTTGCTTTTCTCTTTTTTTTTTTCCATCATGGATGGACGGGATTGTAGGACAAGTTTTTATTTTCAGACTTCACGGCTGATTGATGGATGGATGGATGGATGGATGGATGGATTGCGCGTAGATGCGGTATCGGTATCGGTATCGGTAATTGATTCCCCCAGGTAGAGAACGAGATAGTGTGTTTTCCAATGAGCGAAACGTTCCCCTTTTCGAGCTTTTTGAGATGCATATGCTGGAATGGATGGGTGATTTGTGTTAATTCAGATGGAAAGGATTTCACTGGATCGCGCTTTCTATAGTTATCATCTCCTGTGGGGGTTCTTGCAGGTCTGCAGAGGTTAGCTACCCGACTTATTTTCCCAACGCGTCTGCACGCAACCTTTATCCTGAGTGTGAAGTTCCTTCTCCGATACACTCACTCGTGATGTATTCTAGACTGCACCAAACCAGTAGTACACATTCCCGTTCCGCGCTCAGGTAGACAGCCTTCCCAGAGTGCACCTTCCTGCCTGATGGTAGACTACCTTCCAAATTCTTCGTACTCAAGTGCAGCACTTTTGTTCCGCGCGGAGGGAGGTAGAGTCCGTTAGAGCTAGCTCTTCATACAACATTTGAAGATAATACGGTACAATAGGCGCATAGGGGGAAATAAGCAGCCTAATTGTGCTAAGTGTGAGCTCTGGGAAAAGTTCGTGGAGTCGTTGTTTCTCATCTCTCGTTCTAATATGTGTTCTGTTCTCGATAGGCTAGCTGTGCAGAACAGACTTTGTGTACTTCGCTAATCTACGTTTACGTACGCATTTGAAAAAAAATGTTACTGAAAAAAGTGTTGGCGCGTGTGCTGGTGCGGTGGGAAGCTGGGGCGAGGATGTAGGACTGGTAGGTAACGCGCTGGTACGGCATACCAAGTGGAGAAGGGTTGTTGTACACCAAGACTATTGATGCGCTCTAGTCGTTTAGGTATTGGTTTGAGAGAATGTGTGCTATTTCTACGTGTATGTGGAGAGCTGAGTTGGGATAACATTTCAGTAGCTTTGTTCGACGGAGACACGATGTTACGCTCTGAAGTTGGTGTTGATGGGAAGGGATGGAGTTCGGTAAGTGACGTGCATGCAGGCATGGGGGAGAAGTCTCGTATAGAAGACATGAAGAGGAACGGGTTCGGTGTCTACAAGGGCTGCGATGATTCAGGTTGGGTCGTTATAGAAGCAGATCTCTAATGATACGAAGTGTACGCGAGAGCGGTGCTTGCGGTGTCCCGTGTGCTGCGTTTAAATGCTTGCGGACTTGCCGTCGCGAGTGTAGAGGAGACTTTGTCTGGCGCAATAATCATTTCTGTTGGAGCACGGAGTAAATCGGGTGCGATATAGCCCAGAGGAATTGCGATGATAGAGACGACCAGCAGTTGAATGATACGAAAGATACGACGCCTCAAATGAGGCGTGCCGGGAACCCGACGTCTTGTCCTATGATGTGAGGCGGCATCCTCTCCGTGGGTGTGCGACTGACCTGGCTATCTACAGGTAGGCAGATCATCCGCCATCAAAGGACCGAAGTGAGATGGCGATCAAATCGTCCTGGCCTCGTGGCCTCCACGTGCTCTCTTTCGAGTCGCATCGCATAGACTATATTACGCCTTCGTATACTCACCGCTGCTACTGATAATTGACCGATTGATGGACGCCGGTTGGCATTTGTCAGTATTAATGCTTCTTCCAAGATTCTCGCGAAGTATCACCGGCGATGTGCGATTGCTGCCTCACCGCTCAAATGTAGGGCCTCACCGCTCGTGACTCCACCACTTGCTCGAGCACTCAGGTGATCGGTCTAGGACGTGAGATTGCAATGAAGGCCGATATGATTAAGAATAGGAATGTTGCTGGTGTTGAGCATACCGCTCTTGTGATGTCACCGTTGAGCTTGGTGAGGCCTGACTGTCGTGATCTCGAGCCTTTCGCCCGGTGCTTGGGCTTCGGTTGAGCTAGCTAGTCATGCCGTTGTCTCCAATTTTGGAGCGGTGCTGCAGGGCCGAAATAGGCTGTGCGCTTAGGTCCATTTGACGGTGCCACAACAGATGTCATGTCGTTGATGTGATCTCGGTGATGACAATGCAAGAACATTTCGTGCGATGAGATTACCGGAGAGATATCTTCCGTACGGATGGAGAAGGAGAATGAGAATGCGATCTCGTGTATGCAAGTAATGCAGAATGTGGCGTCTGCGGTAGTAAGTACCTTGGATGTCTTCATACCTTGTCTTACTGTACCGACATGCTCCCAACGGGGGTTTACTCTAATCGGGTTATACACCGATCTGCGCAAGGGACTTATACCCTGGTAACTGCTACACACCGGGCATGCTGGAAAAGCATCAGGCAAGCCATCTGTGCACGCAGCCTGGATTTGACCGTTTGAGCTTCTGCTTGGGTGGGTATTGTGATGTGTAAATGGAAGGCCGAAGGGAGAGAGTCGCATCGAGTCAGTCTCCAGCCACGGCAGCGACCACTTATGTCGAAGGGCTTCACCGCCGCGTTGAAAGTCCAGCGAGATGCACAAAACGTCGCAAGCCAGATCCTTGGTGCACCGCATTTGGACTGGTCAGCCCTACGGCGACCGAATTGGCTGCAGCTGCCAGAGCGCCCTACGTGTTGAAACCCACAACGAGTTCCTGGCAATGATCCAAGAGCCACGTGCACGTCGAGAAATAGTGAAACGGCGGAGGTGAGCGTTTCATAGGCGTTGGCAAGACAGGTGCACGGAAGTGTCTGTGATGAACCTACGCATTAAGAGAACCGAAAGGTGAGACGTAGCATAAGTTCCGTTAGCAAAGTCAGTGTCGATTGTGAACCAAAAGGACCAGATACAAGAGCCGTCGTCTCGCAAGCCGGAAAAGGAATGGAAGGAGAACAAGAGAAACGATGGACGACTGCTTTGGTCAGCGATTATCTGATGAGGCACGGTCTATCGATAGACTCGTGTTCCCAGCCCCCGCTAAAGCCACGCGAAGGAAGCCAAAACCTTCCAGAAGTTTACCCGGAACGTTGAAGGGCAAGGAACCGCGGCCAACAAGTGCCATTGGCAGCATTCAAGGGTTCGAAAACAATTCCGAGGTTGAGGTACTTGCTCGTTCGGGTAAAGCTGGCCTGGTCATCTCGGCTGCGCCTGTGCGGATATGAAGATCGAGCCGCGCAAGTTTCACCCTTGAGGATTGACGGCGTATTCGGCAGGGAACCCTTCACCTGCCTCTTTCAGGAGTCCAACGGTGGCGTGTACAGCTCCGGGAAGGAGTTGATACATGCAATCCAAGCGAAGAGAAACTTTTACATGGCGCAAGGGAAGCGGCTATGTCTCCGTGTGGGTAACATGCCCTCGTTCAACGCGGTGGGCCGCCGTGTTCGGCCGCTCATCTTGGGGAGTATCGGTAAGCTCTCCGTGAGGGAGCGACTTGGTGTTGTTGTGGGCATCCGGGCCGGGCAAGTACGAGCAACACGCGCAAAGCTGGGCAAGCGTAAGGGACATTATCAAGATGCGTTCTGGGTTGGCTCCGATGTTGGTTTTACGCAATTATTGCAGCGCACATGTTGCGATGGTTGCAGTTCGCTCGGCTTTGCCACTTACAGCTGCAGCTGTACAGACGTGCGGCGAGCGAGTGTTGGATGCAACAGCCCTGCATATCATCAGTGTCTGTACACAATAAGGAACTGCAGCCGTGAGAACTAGGAGAGTAAGCCGGTGACGCAGTGTAGGTGCCGGGAGAGGCGTGCTCTAGAAGAACGATGGATCGCGAAGGAGTGCAGTGCGGCGTTCACCAGGCTGATGGCACTATGCCGGCTTGGAGTCTGATATCCGTGATTCCACCCTCGCTTCGACATGGGATGTGACCCGGCAGAGCGGCAAAGAGAAGAATACGTAGCAAGTGGCCTTTGAGCACAGAGTCGGCTAATGTCCGCTCTCTGAGAGAGGAGAGGTCAACAGAGTGGGCATGCGCTCGCTTGGACTACCAGGAAGGGAAGCAACAGCCCGCTTCGGGAGCGATATAGGCAGATGGACATGGTGTTGCGGCGTGGTAAACGTAACAGCTATATGCACATAGATACCGATACGGTACTTGCTCGCTTTGTTCTCTGCCTATGCGAGCAGCTTCCTCATGTCAGTTCGTCCTCGTGGACATGTGCAGCGCAATCAATCAGTCCAACGATCGGCCTAATGACCTCACTCGTTGCCCGTAGGCCACAGAGACCGGCCCGCTCGTTCAAAAATCGTCCCACGTTGAGAAGATCTTCGAAATGCGTGCCCAGGGATAGAGTTCATGATCCTCCGCCGTCCTTCGGGGGAACGTGGCACCGGAGACGGACGGCAGACCAATGGACTCGGTCGCGCACACCGCCTGGATGAAGCATCCGCCTTCAGGGGTCCCTCATGCTCGTTGCTGCTGAGTCGCGTCGCTCAGAGCCTCGATGGGCTGCGTCATTGCCCCGATGCACCGCGGCACGGCACTGTGCGCCCAAATTTCACGCGCGGCATCGCTGACGAGACTCGAGGGTTGCCAAGAAGGGAGTGCATCGAGGGACGGAAGCCGCGACAAAGAAACGCGGGTTTTGACCGTTCAGCGCACCAGCGGGCGTCCAGCATCCAACACCACCATACTCAGCTGTGGATCTCTTCGCACAGCAGCGCATGTAGGCAAGGACCCAGGACGTAGTGGGCTGTCTGTAGCGCCAGTCGGCCCGGCACTATGGCACGCCGGCGGCTGTTTGGGGCCTCGTCTTGGCATCTCAGTACGCAGACCTTGCTCAGCACCACCGCCAGGGCCTTGTCCTGTCCCGCAAATGACAGTACCGCGTCCGCACGCCATGTAGCTTCTCTCCCAGTCCTTCTCTCTGGCGTCCGCCTCGTCTGCTGCAGGCTTTGCCCCGGCGTCCTCCCCCACCTGTCCCTTTGCATGCTCAATCCGCTAGCCCTGCTCGTTTGCGCCTGTCATCATGGCCTAGAGGCCTCGTTTCCCTGACACTCTGGCAGCAGGTGAGTGCTGTTGCCATCTCGTTGCTTGCTGGCCTGCTGGTCCCTGCCCCTCCTGTTGGCTCCGTCGGTCCACGGTAGGGGTGCCAATCGGCAACTTGTAATAATGTGGACTACATATCCTGTGCTCACGGTCTTCAAAGACTGCCCTTGTCCCTTCCCTTTTGAGCACCAGTCCTGAGACGGCCCTGCCGACACCCCTTCTGTCAATCTTCTGCTCATTCTCCGCCGAGCCCCACACCGTTTAATACATCCCGCTGCCATCTGCACCCTTCTTATTGTGCTCCGTCTCTTCTTATTTCCATGTTGTGCACTCCACTATCGTCGTGACCATGGGCTCAGATTCAAAAACAGGCTCAAGTTCGGGCAAGCCGTCCGTAGGAGGCAAAGCCGCACAATCTGCACCCTCCATCGCTTCCAAATCGTCAAAAGGAGCAGAGGCCTCACAGCACGCACCCAGCACGCACAATATGGCGACCATCGCTGATGACGACGACCGACTGCTTGCCCGCATCGGATACACTCCAGTATGTCCTCCAAAGAAGACGAGTTTTTCACGCAAGAGGTATTAACAAAATCAAAAAGGTTCTTCAACGCCATTTCTCAAGATGGTCGACTGTATCCTACGCAATCTCGATTCTTGGTGTGCTGGGCTCCGTTCCTGCAACGTTTGGCAGTCCAGTGGGCTCAGGGGGGCCAGCAACCGCAGTGTGGGCGTGGATGATTGGCAGTATCATGGCCTACTGCATTGCCAGCTCAGGTGCGTCTTGGTCGGCACGCGACCAGATAACACACTAACTCACGCAGTTGCTGAGTTGGTATCGGCCTATCCCACCGCTGGAGGAATGTACTATGTCACGAAACACGTAGTGCCCAAGGACCGCGTGGCACCTTGGGCGTGGATCGTGGGTTGGTGCAACTTCCTTGGTCAGGCTGGCGGCGTGGCAAGTCTTGCCTACACCATTTCCCAGATGATTCTCGCAACTGCTGTCATGCACTCTGCCCAGGACAGCAACGGCGTGCCGAGCTTCGCCCCGTAAGTACAGTTGACATTTCTGCTACATTATCAACTAACGGCTGCCAGGACCTCCGTCCAAACGGTCTTGCTCGCGATTCTCATCCTGTGTTTGTTTGGCACCATCTGCTCCTTCCCTACGCTCTGGCTCCACAAGGTCATTCTGTGGTTCGCCCCCATAAACAGTAAGCGCACCTTCCGCCTCAAGAAACTTGGGCTAACCTCCTCACAGTCCTTGCTTCGATTGCGATTTGCATTGCTCTCCTCGTTCTCACTCCCGAAAAACAGAGCGCCAAGTGGGTCTTCACAGAGTTCACAGATGGCTCTGGTTGGGGCAGCAAAGGATTCTCCTTCCTTCTAGGGTTCGTCGACTTGCCACAATCTCACGATGCACGTCTAACATCAGCAGTTTCCTCTCGGTTGCATGGACTATGACAGATTACGATGGTACCACTCAGTAAGTTTGATGGCAATTGCGCGTCAACCACGCTAACCTTGGTTCCACAGCATGTCGGAGGAAACGCACGATGCCGCGATTCGAGGCCCCGTCGCAATTCGGGCTGCCATCCTCGTGTCCGGTGTAGTTGGCTGGATGCTAACCGTTACCTTCTGCTTCTGCATGTCAGACTACGACGGAATCATGGCTACACCAACCGGACTTCCCGTGGCACAAATCTTCCTGAACGCTGGTGGCAAAACGGGAGGAACGGTCATGTGGTTCTTTGTGATCCTAGTCCAGTTCTTCACCGGTTGTTCTGCGATGCTGGCCAACTCGAGGATGGCCTGGGCTTTTGCTCGTGATGCTGCGTTTCCATTTTCGGAGTAAGTTGCAGCCCTGCCGTGATCGGTGAGCGCGAGGCTGATGTGAGACAGTTTCTGGGCCAAAGTAAACAACGTCACCGACACGCCCATCAATTCCGTCTGGCTCGTCGTGATCTTCTGCAGCTGCCTAAACATGATCGGTATCGGCAGCACCTTGACCATTCTGAGCATTTTCAACATCACCGCTCCGGCGCTCGACATCAGCTACATTGCCGTCATTATCGCGCACAGATGGTACGAAGGAAAAGTTCAGTTCCATCCAGGTCCATATACCATGGGCCGATGGAGCAAGCCAGTCAACGCGGTTGCCGTTACATGGGTATGCTTTATCAGCGTGATATTGTTCTTCCCCACGGCAAGACCAGTCACGGCTACAAATATGAATTACGCAATCTGCGTAGCGGCCTTCATTGGATTCTTCAGTATGATCTGGTGGTATGCCGGGGCACGCAAGTAAGTCATCCCACTCGAGTTATCTATCAGCCATTGTGAAGACACGCACTAACCTTTGCCTGCAGACGGTACACTGGACCCCGCACAACAGACATAATCGATGAATTACCACAGGAAGATCCGCGGGATATCCGTCGTGATATCTTGGGTGACTCCAACTATTACGAGCCCTGATCCCGGCCTTCGGACCAGCGATCCGTGCAAATCGCGATAGACGCACGCACTTATTACATGCATGTTCCGCAGCGGCTCCATGCACGAGCACAAGGGCGCGAGCTCCCACATTCGCTCGGCGTAGCTTGCCTGCCGTACGTGGCTTGTCCAGGCCAGGAGTCTCACGAGTTACGACCTTGGCCGCAGCGCCCCAAATCGAGCTCCCACGTTGCAGTGCAGCACACGGATTAAGCGGAGCAATCACGCGGCTCTCCGCCCACACGCCGCGACGACGCTTCCCGATCCAACAGCGGTCTTCCCCGCTCCGATGGCCTAGTGCGTGCCAGGTCACTGCGCTCGCTGTTGGCTTTCGTTCTTCTCCTCCTATAGAGTTTTGGATTTGCTTTTTCGTTTCCCAATTGACACCTTGTGCCCGGAGTTGCGCGGAGCCCTTGCGTTTTCTCCTGATTCTTCTTTTTTCTTGCGGCAAGCGCGGTAGGCATTGCATTTTTGTTTGTTTGCATACGAGCTCGATTGGTTTGTTTGGCATATGCACGTTAGTTAGGCTGCCCTGGTAGAAGGCACTCGACAGATACCACATAGCATAGATAGACGTTTAAGATACCCTAGATAGCGACAGATAGACGGGTGGCACGGCATTGCGTTGCATGGCTTTGCATTGGATTAATATATCGAGAGTTCGGCTTGACTGCTTTCCTGTTCGGGAAAGTTTCCGTGTGCTTGCTCATCGGTGAGATGCCAGTCCATTAATCCCACCGTTCCGAGCGATGCGCTACGGGCGATGCGCGCGGAAGGGAGGGTATAGCTCGGGCCGCTCCTTCCTTCCCTTTGTTCCTTCCTTCCCTTTGTTCCTTCCTTCCCTTTGTTCCTTCCTTCCCTTTGTTCCTTCCTTCCTTCCTCCCGTGACTGAGTATCTTGTAAGGTTACGTAATGCTCCCTCCCCGTGACTGGCTGTCTTGCGTAATGGGTCGCGTCGAGTGGAAACATTTTGCGAAGTAGACGAGGCGATTGGATTGGATGAGAGCAGCTTGCGGTTTAGGCCTTGTTGGCTGGCTGGATGGGTGGTGGGAAGACAGCGAGTGAGTGATTGAGTGATTGAGTGAGTGAGTGAGTGAGTGAGTGAGGAGTTGTTGGTAGGCAGGGCAGAAAGGGCATTACGGTCGGGGAGGTGGAATAGGTAGGATTGAGGTGGTGTTGTAGAGTCTGAGTTGAGCTGAGCTGAGATGAGCTGAGATGTTGGGCGTGGAAGAGGGTTGCGATGTTGGGCCTAGGAGAAGAGAGACGATAGGTCGAGGGTGGATCGAGGGTGGTGTTGTGGGTTTGGAATTTGCGAGGCTGAAGGTCGAGGATTGCGCGGCTTGAGTTTGGATTTTGTGAGCGACTGCTGTGGAGGCTTTCGAAGTTTCAGAGCCCAAAGCGTGAGGAATTGGGCGATGCAGGACTTGTATTGTGTCAGACGTGTTGCCGTGACTCGACGTGGGCGTTGTATCTCATGAGTTGGCTTCTTGCATATTTGTCCGTCCGTTTGTTCTCAAGAAGGTGCAGTCTAGCTGTCTCTGCTTGGAACTTTGGTTCGCCTCATCCGTAGCACTCTCTCAAGGGTTTCGACGCTGAGGAGCGTGCGGGGGTGCTCTGGTCCAAGCACCTTCTTGTATCCTTCTAGTGCTCGTCGATACATGGCTTCTGCGTCTTTATATTTGTTTTGCTTCTCTAGCACGGATCCAAGCCCACTAAAACTAGCGAGTGTGTGTGGGCGCTCCGGGCCAAGCACCTTCTCTCGTCCTCTCAGTGCTCGTCGACACATAGCTTCTGCGTCTTTGTACTTGCTCTGGCGCGACAACACTAACCCAAGCATGTAAACACTAATAAGTGTGTCTGGGTGCTGTACACCTAGCACCTCTTCTTCTACTTTGAGGACATATCGATGCATCTCCTCTGCTTCTTTATATTTACCCTGCCTGCCTAATGCTCTTGCGAGGCTGTCACTACATCTTAGAGTGCGAATGTGTTCCGGTCCTAAGATTTTTTTGTTGACATTTAGTGGAAGCTGCTGGCATGTGTTCCGGATATTTTCGAACAATATCTGCCAGGTTTTGAGGATCGAGTTAGATGCTCTTTCATCACCTACGATAATCTCCTACGTCTTCCATGAGCAGGCGACCTCGATCGTGGCCCCCACTACAAATCTCTTCAAGGTAGCGTGGTATGGTCAAGGAGAACTGCGACTGCGACTTATGGGTCGTTTTGAGCGAGCACCTTCGGTGCTTAGCCTGGTCTTGGGCGTGGATGGAGGCTCAACTGACATGATTGGGCGGGGCTGATGATCCTGGCAGCATTGCCTCAGATCTCAGCTGAGAGCAACCCCAGCCTTGTACACCTCATCAACCTTTGCTCACTGAAGCCGTGCAGCTGATATTTGGGCAATACAGGAACATCAGAGCTTCCAAGTAAACAGAATATCAGATTACGTGTCGAACCAACGATAGCCTCCCCAGGTGGTATCGTAGGTGGGGCACTGAGCGCCCAATATGGCACGGGCGAAAGAGTTGTCTAAGAAGGTCTTCCGGAAATTGGCCCACCGCGACAGAGGATCTCGAAAAGCTCATGTACAGCGTCGTGGCTCACCCGGACAAGCTTTTGTGGTCCCAGAACGGCTTGAAACGGCTTCTACGAACACATTGGTCAATGAACCGAATGATACGGATTCGGACGATGAGTCTGCGGATCCATCTGCAAAGTCTTCCGGGGCCGCCACCAGGCCGCAGCAAACGCCAGGCGCAGAGAGATGGCTCGAGTTCTTGAAGACGCTGAAAAAGGATGAACCAGAGAAGTACGAAACCCTCGACAACATACTCACCAGCATCAACATTCCCACGAACGACCAGATAGAGAGCCTATTCAAATCGAATGAACACAATCCCGAATCGAAAGTTCTTCTGCTCCGAGTCAAGGCCGCCTTGCCGAGCCTGTCAGCCGTTCGAGGAGTGGCTATGACTATCGCGAATGTGGATCCTCATAAGATTGCCCCATATGTAGTCGCGGGGAGCTTCTTCCTCCTTGATGTGAGTACTTTCGTTGCAGTTCGTAATTGACAATAGCTTTGAGAAAGTGGGTGCTCGGCCAAGATCCCATAGACCGTAGGGTAAGACCTACAAACGCTCGGGAAATTGGTGGCTAATTAGCGTTTCTGTCTGCGTTTCATGGGTGCTATTGGTGGAAGACGCCACCCGAGTATTCCAGGACTCTCCACACACAGGCTAACTAGAAGTAGATATTCCTGGGTAGAATTTCCCTTGATGACCAGCGTAAGATCCGAAATATGCTATTTGAAAGCATCAATGCTATCAATGAATGGATCTCCTTCGAGACAAACTTTGTCAGGAGAACTCCCCTCGTGGAGCGCAATGTCTCCGAATTAGAGGAGCTTCTTCCCCGTTTGTATGGCCTCGCAGTGCGAATTCTTTGCGAAGTATTGAATGCTTGCAAAAGGGAGCGACTTAAAGCAATAGGTAAGTATGCCACGCGCTCCGCAGATGTTATCGCTATATTTATATATCAGCTCAGGCGACAAGCTCTCGGCACAAATGACAAAATGGCAAGAGGACATGGAAAGGTTGAAAGATCATCGCACAAGCTGGGCAGCTAAGAGGAAAGCCTTAGAAGAGACCCTGATCAGACATGACTACACGACTAAATTCCTTGATTGGATAAAGAACGAAGATGACCCTGAAGAGTCAGTAGTGGCACTGACCGACCGAATTACGTCAGAAGGGCGGCATGATAGTGCTGCAACGTGGTTCCTCGAGAACCAAGCTTACCTCGCCTGGTCACGAGACTTTGTAGTTCGCGCGCTGGGGGAGGCTAATACTGAGGAGTCCGATGATGAGGAGTCCGATACAGGAGAGGTCGACACTGGAAAAACTGCTTCCGGGGGGCTCGATACGCAACATCGACCCAGATGTGTACTATGGATCAGCGGGACTTATGGAACTGGAAAGACTACAATCGTGTCAGTCGTTTCTCGAGACATCTTCATTTTACTAATACTTTTGTAGATATCGCGTCCTCTCGCAACTGCAACGGCTGGCTGACAGCTGGCTTCCACGTATCGATTTGATGGAACTGATGGAAGGCGCTGACCTCGAAAATTCAACATTCGCCCTGAGGGGCGAAGGTTTACGCGTCGTTAGCTACTTCTGCGACAGCACGAAGCGCGTGAACCGTGAAACAGTTATTCGAGCTCTCGGAAGAAAGCTGGCTTTCTTGCCGGACTCTAGCGTCGCCAGAGTAGCGTTGGATTTCTTCGAGGATAAGTCACAAGGGCTGCGAACCCCAGTTTACATCAAAGAGTGGGAGGGTCTAGTATCCAAGTTGCTGGAACAATGCTCGGCGATGTCGTACCACATCGTATTGATCATCGATGCCCTGAACGAAATTGAACCTCCCGAAGACATAGATCACCTTTGCAATTTTCTTGGCAAGATAGTCAACAATTATCGCAACATCAGTGTCTTGATTTCCTCGCACGAGCATATCTCGAGCATCAGGAGACTGGAAAAATACATCGACAAGGTGGGCGTAGTTGCAAACGCACCAAAGACAGAAATAGACAGCTTCATCGATGGCGAACTCAAACACAGACGTACCGAGCTTACCAAGTTTGGAGACAATAAGAGCATCTTCTGTAAGTGAATATTCTCTTACTAAGACCAAAACGTGTGACTAATTTATGCAGTCGATCCAGACTGTCCAGAGCTCTATCACGATCTGCGAGAAACCTTGAAGTCTGGTGCAAAGGGAATGTGAGTTACCAGAATTGAAGTACTCAGGTCTCACCTTCTGAGAAATCGCCAACATCAACCGCTGAAATTACATATCCCATGCACGCTAGCCGAACGAGATCTTAAATTAAGAGCCCGTCTTTCCTTAAGCTGCTTTAAATGGATGTTCATTCAGCCGCTTATGAAGAGCTACCCTCAGAATGTGCGAACTGGGCAAGATGACGATGCTAACAAAGACTAGGTACGTTTGGGTACAAATCTGGCTCGATGTCATACTTCCCCTACATAATAGTTCGAATACCATAAGAAGAGAAGTGGATGCGCGTCGACTTCTCGACGCCTTAAAACAGACTTCAAGTAATACAGAAGAGGCTAGTGAGAAGCTACGGCCTGTCTATGAACGTCTTTGGAAATTTGGGGCTTTGAAAGGATTTGAGGAGAAGAGGAAACGGCTTTTTCGCATCGTCGCTTGCGCATTCGAATCATTAACCCTCATGGAAGCCACGACCATGTTACGCGTGGGCTTAGAAGGTGATGAGCCACTTTACGAGGAGAGAATCACCATCAACGATGTTGAGAAGCTTTGCTCGAACTTCCTTGTCAAAGACACTTCCGACCGGCTCCATTGGACACATGACTCTGCAAGAGATTTTGTCTTGGGTGTCATCTTGAAGGACCCATCATCGAGATCCAATCACGAGCTGGTCGCAGACATCTTTTTCTCAGTAATTCGGGATAACAAACATCCTATCTGGAAGAACTCACTCTCGAAGAATCAAAGGCGTTTATTCATTCCTAAGGATACTCTGCCTAGACTTGGTCTGAACTACGTTACGTATTACGCGGACCATCACTTGAGAAATGCTGCTGAAAGGCCTTCAGTATTCGATGCGGTCTGGGTTAGGTTTTTCACAGAAGTGATTCTCAGCGACAAATCCGCTTCGACGTTTTGGCTCAGAATCTGGACCAGTAAACTAGCTGCTGAACACTCTGGTCCTGAGTCCCGCTCATCTGTGGCTTCCACTCTCGGCGCCCCTAGAGTGAGATCCTACATCAGTCTCCATGATCTTAGGCCGGTCTTACTCGCGTCCCACGTCTTTGCCAGCCTGGATCTTGGCATTGAAAATTACCAGCATACGTTTCCCAAAAGCTTGACCGAAGGACCTACAGAGCGTAATGCGCCGAACTTGCTTTTAGATTCTCTAGGCAAACATGCAGCTTGCGAGAATGAGGAACAAGAGAACGGACTGGTGTTCGCGGCGCGGGTCAACTATCATATTATTCCGGATCTAATGCTCGCCGTCGAACGATACAACGGGAATAGTAATCGTCTACGTCAGCTCGTCGGACTGACTAATAACGCCACAAAGAGCTCGTCGAGTACGCCATTCCTCATCTTGTGCGATAGATTATGCCACGAGGATTCTGCCTCTCTCCTGAACATAGCGAAGCGTCTGCTTGAACTTGAGAAGCACCCTAGCGATGCCCAGATGACGGAAGTGTGTTGCCAGTGGTCACACGTTGATCAAGATATCAAAGATCCAGCCTTGGTGAGGCTCATCCAGGCGCAAGCAGAAGATACCGTTCTCGAGCTCTTGAGTGTACACAAACCTTGCGAACCAAACGTTCAGAGTTCACTGAGAGGCGGAACCGCACTGCATGGTGCTGCATGCAAAGGGTATTTTAGGATTGTTAAGATATTGGTAGAGGACTGCCATGCCTCATTGGACATGCTCGACAGGAATAATCGGACACCTTTGGAGGCTGTTCGCAAAGAGCATTCAGAGCTAGAGCTTTTGACTACTCATTGGGAGGATGAGCTTGAGTTGCCTATAGATCCAGAGATTGGAAACATCTCTGAGCTGAATCAAGTAATCGATTATCTGGAGGGGGTCGAAGTTGATAATGACGCAGCTGGTAGTCTAGTACATCATCTATGATTCTCACTTCAAGCCGGGCGTACATTATCTAATGATTTATTTGTGCCAGCCGATACATCAGACGTAGTATCTTGCCGCATTCTGGTACCAGCGGAACATAGAGTTGATAGCTTCTGATAACTCTGCGCTACTTGACTTGTCAATGCAAACTCTATATGTACTTACAACAACATCGAACTTGTGCAACGGCTTACGCAACTTGTAATTTTTACGGCTTACTTTATTTTTTAGATTACTTTTGGTCCCTTCCTCTAATATTTGCAATCACCTATTCTTAGAAACTTGTTGGCCGTACATCCCTGTGGTCCTACTTAGGCTTGGGGGTCTAAAATTGGACCCCCTTGCCTTTTCTGCTACCTATGTAAAATAACTGATTGATGGGTACGACTCCTTACTGTAACTATAAAATGGCTGTCCTCCTACTCAATCAGACTTTGGTGTTCTTGGTACTCCTCTTAAACTGTTACAGCTATTGACGCCTATCTTGAAAGCCTCGTTTCTTCAGAACGACTGTCTAATGCTAGACGCCCTGAATCACAGAATAATGAAAGGTTGATGGTTAGTGTAACGACGCAGGGCAACCGTCTCCGGTACGGCTCCGAAGTGACTCCGAATTAGTGAAGATGAAGAGTATAGGGGAACTACGGAACAATTATGGAAGCACCTATAGGTCTTGTACGAAAGGATATTCAAAACTACAGAACTATCTAAGGAGCGTGGTGGGATATAAGTACTACAGTGCGGAGCAGGTTAACATGGCTTGTCTCATGGTTTATATAATAGTTTGTCAAACTGCATAAGACCTGCATAGAAGACAGAAGAAAGAGGAAGAAGGATGTAACGAGGTTCATCACATATAGATACTAGCAATCTTAGCTAAAGGAGGCTAGGAAGACGAAATCAACATACAATCCATCATTAGAATCATCCTAACCAGTGATCCCACATCAATCTGACAATAGAACTATTATACTACTTATAAAAGTTATAACGTTTTCTACTTCTGAGCGGTTCAAACTACTGAGCCGCTCAATTTTGCTAAGACGTCACACTCTACTATAGTATCATTAATATGCTACTACAATTATTACAAAAAGCACAATCTAAAATAGGTAAGGGGTAAACGGAGTGCGCGAAAAGGTACAAATTCAGAGTACGCTAGGGCCTGTGAGCTACTAACCTACTAACGCGCTACCATCAACATATGCTCCTATTTTAGTCAATTAGATGTCTATATATATATATACTGGACTTTTGGAACATCACATCTAGGTACCATGTTCGCGAGTTAGACGACGGAACACGATTCCGCGTGGTAGCCATGCAAGACCGACATGGCGAGACTAGCATGGCGAAATCATACGTGAGCAACTCGGGTGTAGCAATTCCAAGAAGCCTTGAATAACACAGCTTGTAGGATGCTGCACAGCCGGTACTATCTCGTTACTTCCAAGCCTCTGCAAGCAATGCCGTCACTGCGCTTGAACTAGCTTCACATGGAGCGGTCCCTTCTCCCATGTCCACCAAATCTTCTGGTCCATCCAAGACGAGGCATCCTCACCCGCCGGGACCTCCAGGTCGTATTTCCACAGCAGCATGGCGAGGAACAGCCGCATCTCGACCCAAGCAAGGGCCTGACCAAGGCAGTTTCGCGGCCCAATTCCAAACGGCTGATATGCGTCGAGGTTGTGGGCAGGAAAGCGTCGGACCGCCTCGGCGGCCTCGGCATCGTTCTTGCGAAGCCACCGCTCTGGCGCAAAAGTATCGGCATCCGTAAACCACCGTGAGCTACGGAACGTCGAGTAGCATCCCATCGCGACCGTGGTGCCTGTCGGAAGATGCTCGCCGGCCACGACGGCACCCCCCGGTGGCACCTGGCGCAGCCGGCTGTCGGGAACGGCGGGATAGATGCGCAACGTCTCCAAAAGCACAGCGTGCAGGAATGGTAGTTCGGCCGCTTCGCGCGCCGAAATGTCGTCCAGTGACGCGAATGCGGCGCGGATCTCGCTGCTGACCCGCCGCAGCTGGGCAGGGTTCGCGAGCAGCAATGCCATGGCCGCTGAGAGGGTCGAGGTGAGAGGCTCACTGCCTGTCATAGTCAGAGTCAGAGAATTGGTCTGGATCTCTGCCTCGGAGAGAATTGCATCACTGTGCTTGGGGTCTCGAAGCATGTAGCTCATAATGTCGTGCTGACGTGCCGTGCCGGTGACTCGCTCGGAAACTCGCTGACGGACCGAAGCAAAAACATGGTCAAGTCGGATGAGGTCTGGCTTTGGGGTAAGCACGCGGCTCAGGGATCCAACATAAGGTGAAATGCTGCTGGCGATGACGGCGGCCTTGAAATGTAATAGAACCGAGAGGAGGGCGGGCGGCTGATCGAATTCCAGGCAGTCAAATGATCTGCCCCAAGTCACGTCACCGATGATGTCGAAGACGCCACAGTTAATAAAGTGTAAGAGATCCACGTAGCCGCCACCGTGAGTCCTCTCATCCAGACGCGCGAGCATCTTGAGAAAATACGCCTTGACAATCGGCTCATAGTCCCGGACCGCCGAGTCTCCGAAGGCGGGATTCATTACCTTGCGGAAACGAGCATGAGTGTCGGCATCCGCGGTGATGAGATTATCGGCTACACCAGGTGGCCTGCGGCGGAGTGAATCTGGTCGCATGAACTCTCGGTGACCATATATATCCTTCCAGGCCCGCGGGTCGACAAACGAGAGTTCGTTCGGAGCCGTGCGGACTACCAAGCCATATCGGTCATGAAGTTCCTTAATCTTAAACGGCAACCGTCCCGTGGCCTTGTACCATCGATGCGGAAATTCGAATGTGCGCCATGCTAATGGTCCGGGGTACTTGGAGAGAGCGTGAAATCGAAGGTTGTAGCCAATTTTGCAGCCAAGATACTATCTCACGGTTAGGGTAATTCAACCGGGGTTAGGATGACCCACTAGAAGAGCTGCGAGAGCGAGAAGCACAATCGTGGCCATGATTAGTTAGACCTGAGGGAAGAAAGCGGATGTGGTCCGGGCAGATAGACTCCGAGGGGTGGGGCACGGAGTAATAAGTATCCTGAGAAGCCTTGGCTGTACGACCGGTCACTATCCTATCACTGTGGGCATGGGCCCATTCGGCAAGAGCTGCAATGCAGTGGGGTCCGGTGCTCAGTGTGCATGGTTAATCCTTGGCCTTCGACTCTTATCGTATAGAAGGGCAGTGTTCATTGACTGTGCCTCCTACCCGGCATACGGCCCGTCTTCCCCAAAAACGTTCTCCTATAGGAACTTTGGAGCCAGTTGGTACACCGTCACGTGCCCCTCCACCGTCTGCTCACAATTTCATTTGCGGTGGAAAGCTCTTCTTTCACCACATTTCGCAGGCCCTGAGACTACCACATCGCTCGCACAGAAATATGCAGCCTCACAGACATGAGTTAAAGGAGGAATCGGATAAATCACCATCGGCCTCGCCAGATATATGCAACTCGTGATCCGGTTAAGCAGAGCATCCTGAGCAAAGCATCATCAAGAATCCTATCAACAAAGCATGGCTTGGAGCTTCGTTGGAGTCACTCATAATCGCCATCGTCTCCTACGTAGCTTATCGCTAACAACAGTACCATGTCAGGGTGTGGTAGGTAAGCTGTACCAGCGCCATTCTAAGGGTATGTCTTGTCAACTGACTTCAACCTCCAAACATGATGTTCAGCGGATCCATCTGATGAATCATGGCACAATTTAAGGCCTGCATGGCAACAACTCCTCAGCATAGCCACTCTCATCTTCCTACCTTCCAGAGTTAGCCTTCCTCTATTTCAACGAATTTCCTTTGAAGATCGCGGATCGCAGCGTCTCCCAGTCCAGCGATGGTACCCGAACTCAAAATCTCCAACACACTGATATCCAAACCAAAAACTTGCCGCCACCATCGTCTTAACTCGATGGCCATCAATGAATCCAGCCCTATCTGCGACAAGGTCATAGATACATCCAGCTCGTCTTGGGATCGCATGTAGAAGCTAAAGATTCGTGCGCCAATGGCTTCGGCCAGGTAAGATCGACTCGACGTCTCTGTGAAGAGATCTGGTGAATGGGCGGCCCTCGTGAGGAAGGCCTTCAGTTCTTCCGGTCCACTCGGAGTATGCTCGAACTTCCCACGAGCGACATTATGGTAGAATCCCATGCGTCTATCTCGTCGCCATGTAGCTCGATTTGATGGATGATCCAGGGGAAGTTCCGACTTCAACCCCATGACAATGTAATCATGATCCACCCATGGCTCGCTACAATCGTTTTGTTCTCGCTTGGGCCGCACATGACGGGACTGGGCGATGGATACTTCAATGAAATCCAACAGTGTCCGTTCGTCCACGAACCAGAGTCCTTGAGCCTTGAGAGAGCGTCGAGTCTCGCTGTTTGCTGCCACATATCCTACCTCTTCGATTGGACAAACGCCCAACGCGGTCGCGGGTAGGCCGAGGCGGTGTCGGTACTGACAGAAGGATTCCAAAAAGGTGTTGGCGGCATTGTAGTTACTCTGACCGGGCTGATAACGGACGCTGCTGAGGGAACTGGTCATGATGAAGAAATCCAGCTGGTCCCCCAGGAGGCGATGAAGATTCCACGCTCCATTGACTTTGGGAGCCATCACCGTAGTCCAAGCTTCGTACGTCATGTCGATTATGGATGCATCGCGAAGCTGCATGGCTAAGTGGAGGACTCCTTTGATTGGGGACGGAGCTGATCGAATGGCCAGGGCTACATCGGCTTCGATTTGACTTCTCCCTGAGACGGCCACGGCGGTACATCCCATGCTGTCCAACTCGGAGAAAAATTCGGGGTCTGTCGGCTTCAAGCCAGCTTGGGGTGATAAGAATAGAAGATGGCGAGCACCTCGTTCAGCCATCCATACGGCGATAGCTCGACCTAGACCACCGAGACCGCCAGTCATCATGTAGGTGCCATCCGGATCGAAATGAACGAGGTCCCGATTGAAGGTACATTCAGGAGTCAACACTTCCTGGCGCAAGTCGTGTAGTTGGTAAGGACGATACCGTCCAACCTTGACGATATTGTCTTGGACCGCAAATTCCTGTTCTGGAATGAGACCGACACCGGTACTGGCGCCGACACTGGAATGGGACTGGTGGTTGTCCCGGCGAATTTTCTGGAACACGCCAATGACGAGCTGAACGAAGTCGGAAGTGTTTTGGTCAATCTCCAATGTTGTTATCGCGAGGTCCAACTCGAATCGCGCGGTTCGTATGAATCCAAGAGCTTGACTACCCTGGGGATCAAGGCAGTCAATCTGGGTTGGAGGCATCAGCCAGAGAAGGCGTCTTTTCCCCAACTGACGACAGAGATGTTGAAAACGTCCTAGGTTTTCCGCATCCAGATGCTCGAAGAACCTCTCTTCTAGATCTAGAGATGCGATCATATCTTCCTTGACCGTCCCTATATCTTCAAGGGTCACCATGCGTGGATGGAATCCCTCCTGTCGAAGACCATTCCAAAGTGACTGGCAGAGTGGTGCCTCGGGATCGCGACATAGAACCACCATGTCCATGTTGCCTTGCTTCATCTTTATCGGCTTCTCAGCGACTATGGTTGCGCTATATTGCCAAGGTGCGATTGAATCTAGTACCACATGACGGGCTCCACTGAGACCGACGGCCTGTAGTTCCTGATCCCATCGATCCACAGAAACGTAGGGTTCCCATTCGCGGTCATCGGCTTCTCCCAGCCACCATCCCGAGAACTGACCAAAGATGTAATTGGGGGCTCGGAACAAAGAACAGAGCTCGGTGAGGATCAGCTTTCCCCCGGGAGATAGGAGGAGTTCAAGGTGTTGGAGCGTCTCAGACAAGTAAGGGGTGGCGTGGACGACATTGGCGGCGATGATGAGGTCGTATGAGCCCAGCGTAAACCCTTGCGGAGTGGGGTGTTGTGAGATATCCAAGACTCGGTATTCTATATTTTGTGCCCAAGCCAAACGTTCACTTGCCATGGCAAAGAATCCCGCCGAGACATCGGTAAAGGTATATTGAGCATAACGTGGGAAAGAACCCCATGATTGCATCCCTCGCAAAATGAGTTCGGTAGAACCACCAGTGCCGGCACCAACCTCGAGTATACGCAGAGTCGGTAATGAATCCGCAAAGGCACTGACGAGGTTGCTGTAATCGAAGCTAACTGTATCATAGATTTGTGCAAGGATGTTGTCTTGTAGGAGCAGATCGAGAGGGTCCGTAGTGCCAGTGAAGAGGTCCGGCATATGGCGATAGATGCGCACGATACCCTCTACCATAGCGGCCATCGATTGAGACGTGGATGTTTCCTTACTGAGTTGTTGGATACGATGGTGTCGTTCATCAGCGGACAACGAAGCCAAGTCGGCAATATTTTCAAGGACTCCATGATGGCCGTTCGTTACCTCGTTTGCGGTCCGCTTGATCCAAGCGCGGTATTTGGAGAGATAAGGAAGTTTAGGATCAGGATCGAGATCCTTCAGCAGATTGGCAGAGTCGAGGATACAGAGTAACGCGAGTTCTTCGACTCGTTGCTTGTCGTGATCTCGAGCCGCTGGGACCTTGACCAATGAGGCTACATCTTGAAAGTCAACATCGGTCACCCAGTGAAGTCTAGCAGCTCCCGATCTGCCACCATGGTCCTCATCTTCCGAAACGTTCTCGTTCTTGGCTAGGGGTGCAAGCTTCATGCCACGTAGATGCAGACACGGCTTGCCTATGCTCTGGAAGCCGTCCACCGCGAGCTCATCGCCTGGAGGCGTAATGGACGCCGTGCAATCGATGTGTGTGGCTGCTCCTGGCAGTACTTCCAATTCATCGATCTGGATGGGAACTCGACACTCAATCAAATTCCGGCAGAGACCTTTCGTCCATGCTGCATACCCGACCTGAAAGGTGGCATCGAGAGTAGCGGGATGCAAAAGATATCGGGAGCACGGAAAGTATCCAGACCGGTCGATGTCTGGCAACTGACCACAGGTGGATACACGGCCAACACTCAGGGCCTGTTGAGTCGAGGTTGAAAGAGTCTGGATCCGACGGAAACTTGGCCCGTAGAAGATGCCCACTCGTGCCATGGCGCCATACCATGTTTTGAGGATGACTCGTCTCGGCAGAGCGTTCATCGTGGCTGTCGACAGATTTGACGTTGGCTTTTGGACCAGTCCCTTGCAATGCTGAATCCATGCTGATCCTGAGAAGGAGGCAATGAAGAACTCAAACTGGCATTGGGTATCATTCCCATCGATGACGGGACAGGTATGCAGTGTGGTGACCACTTCCAAAGGCTTGGAAGCATCCAATACCATGGCCGTCGAGACTGTGGCGTGACGAATCCGATACCCATCTTCGTACCCACTCACCTGACGAAAGGCTTCACCCACCATGGCGATATATGCGGCGAAGGGAAAGACTATATTGCTCTGAACTTGATGATCGATGAGCCAGGGAATATGCTCCACGTCTAACATGACCCGCCAGACGGGAGTGAAATCGGTCGTCATGGGCACTCGGAGTCCAAGGATCTCGTGATGACCATATTTCCGCAATCGCCACTCCTTGGCAACTCGACTCTCATACCGATACGAGTTAGAATGATCCCAGGGATACGTCGGTAGATCGGTGAGCACGACACCTCGTGGGATCACATGTCCCCATCTAATTGCCAAACCATGCTGATATAGAATGCCCAAGGCTGTCAAGAGACTTCGTTGGCTTGATGAGAAGCGTGTCAGGATCGAACAGTAGTGGTAGGAAACATTCCAGGCCGAGCAGATCTGTCGAAGTGGACCGGCGAGGGTGGAATGAGGTCCCACTTCGACCAGTACATTGGATCCCTGCGCCTGCAATGCCTGTGACATCGCGGTATGAAATCGGACGGGTGAGATGAGGTTTTCGACCCAATATTGGAGGTTAAAGTCTTCCCTAGAGAGGGTCCGGGGTTGGCATGTTACGCTTGAGAACATGGGAATCTCTGGATCTTGTGAAGTCAGGTTTCGAGAAGAGAACTCTTCCCGGAGGAGGTCACGATATTGTAAAGACAGCTCCTTCATATGATGCGAATGATAGGCGACATTGACCTTCAACAGGCGCGCAAAGACCTCATCATGATTGTCTTTGATCTGGTCAAGCACCTGGAGAAGGACATCTTCATCGCCTGAGATGGTGGTGGAGTTGGGGCTGTTTTCGCATGCCACGACCACCCCAGGCTTCAAGAAACGGCGGATCGTCATGGCGTCCAGGCCAATTGCTGCCATAGCACCCTTCCGACGCAGATTCTTCATGACCATGCCACGATAGTATGCGATAATAATGGCTTCTTCTATACTGATAGCACGCGTGGCATACGCCGCAGTAATTTCTCCGCTTGAGTGACCCACGACAGCACTAGGATCAATGCCACCAGCCGCAAGGACATGGAGAAGAGCGATTTGTAGGGCCGTACACAAGGGTTGAGCCAACTCGGCGCGATCCACTTGACTGGAGCAGGACGATCGTTGAAGTTCTTCCCAGATGGACCATGCAGGAGGGTACTTTAGGGTCTGCAAGACGCTATCCATGGTTTTGATGGATTGAGAGAAGTCGGCATTGTTCAAGAGCAAATCGGCACCCATTTGCGCCCACTGCGCACCTTGACCGCTGAATACCATAGTCACCCTAGGGCTGTTGGAGGGAGCCCGAACGACAGGAGCTGGATGGTATCCGTCGTCTTCGCGCTCGTTCTCTGACACTCCCTTGTCCCCGCCATTGCGCTTATTCTTGCCTTCGCCTTCGCCTTCGTCTTTGTCCGCTTCGCCGGAAATAACAAATGTTCGGAGAGCATGTTGTTTCCGATGATGAGCTAAAGTGTATGCCAAGTTCGATCGCGAGTCGGGATGAGCTTGAATGTACTGTCGGTAGCTTGCCGAGAGGTTTTGAAGGGTCGTCGAGGTGTGCGCCGAGATGAGGAGAAGTTGAGGTGATCGTAGACGTAGGCCTGCGGTCGAGCTATAGTGGAAGATTTGGGAAAGTCGTTGATATGGATGTTCGACGATGACATGGGCATTGCTGCCACCGATGCCAAAAGAGTTGATGGAAACTCGAAGATCGCGATCCCGAGGCCAAGGTAAGAGTTCATGTGCCACTCGCAATCGGTATTTGGCAAAATCGATCTTGGGATTGGGTGATTGTAACTTAATATGTGGAACGATCATACCCTTCTCCAGCATGACAATAGCCTTGAGTAGCGAGCTAAGCCCTGACGCCGCCTCTGAATGACCTAAATTGGGTTTGATGCTGCCAATGTACACGCCTTGGGAGCCAAAGATCTTCCCCACGGCGGTAGTTTCAATAGGATCCCCCGTTGGCGTTCCCGTTCCGTGGCATTCCACGTAGGCGGTCCGGCCCGTCTCATATCTAATCTCGGCATATACCTGGCGCATCAAGTCCATTTGAGCCCTCTCATTAGGTTGTATTATGTTTGAGCTATTACCATTGGCATTGATGCAGGTATTGGCCAAGATCGCCCGGATCGGGAGGTGTTGTTGAATCGCACGATCCAGACGTTGTAGATAGATAGCCACCACGGCCTCGCCACGAGCAAATCCATCAGCGGTACTGTCGAAGGTCTTGCAGGACCCGGTGGGAGACAACAGACCTTCGGCTGACATGGCGGCTGTCAATGTCGGGCCTAAGATCAGGTTGGAGCCCGCCACGATGGCACCGACACAGTCCCCCATCTGAAGGGCGCGACATGCTTGATGTAGGGCAACCAATGAGGCCGAGCATCCTGTTTTGACCACGAGACTAGGGCCGCGAAGATCATATTCGTAGGACACGCGGTTGGCGAGCAGGAGATCAGATTGACCGGTCAGTAGATAGCCACCAGTATGCTGATCCTCTTTCGCCTGTAAATGCACCCAATCGTCGGCAAACTGGCCCATATAACATCCAATATTCGAACCCCGATAATCTACTACGCCGGCATTCTCAAAACATTCGTGGACGATCTCGAGGAGGATGCGTTGTTGGGGATCCGTTCGACTAACCTCTTCCTCGGTGAGAGAGAAGAGAGAAGGATCGAACCCGGTAGGATCCTGGTCCAGAAAGTAGCCATGTTGTGTCGGAATTGCGCCTTTGCTTCCGAGGGTATCCTTGAAACCATTCCGGTTATACCGACTCTCGGGGACGGGCCCACGCATATCTCTTCCTGAGCGAAGTGCCTCCCATAGATGTTCGGTGTGATGAATCTTTCCAGGTAATCGGAGGCCGATCCCACAAATCGCCAGTGGTGCGGGTTGAGTCTGCATCTTCTGTGGATCTATCCAATGGATCAGGACCGACTTCACTGGGGCAAGGTGTTACTCGCGGTTATGGAAGGTGAGTCGCAAAATATTCGTGTGGAGAACATTGCGGAACAGCTTGCTAGAGAAAATTTAATATATGTTCATGCTACTCTCTGCTTCAAGGCCAAAGGCTTGTTGCGATAGATCGTCATGCCGCGGGGAACGCTCTCGAAATGTTGCCCTTGATTCGTCGATTGATGGGGTCAAGCTCCCTTCTCCCTTTCCCATGGTATCATATACATGGACATACAGTCTCCCGGCGGACCAATGGCAAGGGTCTTAGGCCAATACTTGGCGATCAGAAGTGGCCCTAAGGTCAATGAGTCCAAAGGCAATAGCTTTGAGGATCCTAGGCAAGAAGGCAAAAGACCTAGACCTGTCCATAGGCAAGACCCTGGGTGTAATACTTCAAACGTGCAGCTTCGGCCTCGTCGTCTGCCTTCTTCTTGGGGCGGTTTTCTTTTAGGCTGAACGGGGCAGTTTCCTTCTGGGCGAGGTGTATACGCTGTGTAACACTCAAACCGTGGTCTTGCGCCAATACGATGGCTAAAGGCCAGCCTCGTCTTATCTGCTTTATGCAAGTCTCGGACTTCGATTTTGATTAGTGTTACCGTCCATATGAACAAGGGAGCCATCCACCATGCATCTCTCAGCCCAACCCTCCACTTACATCTCCACATGTCCCACTCTCAGACTCCACTCGCCTTGCTTCACACGTGCAATTCATAATTTGGTTCCACCCTTAGAATCATGTTTCGCCGAGACAACAACAAATTCGTCAAGACCGCTGGCGTGGTGCCTCCAGGCTTGACCGCGGTGGAACGTAACTCGTCCTATAATGGGCTTCCCATGACGGTCGTGTTGGCGCTTATCGTCAGCATCGCCACCATCTTCTTTTCGATGCGCATCTATGTTCGAAGTACTCTGATCAAGCGACTTGGATGGGATGACGGTAAGTTGGCTCTTATAGAACCTACATCATCGAGTCCCCATTATGATTCCTAGGCTAATCTGTCCTCCGGTAGCGGTCTGCACTTTGGCACTGGTAAAGAAAGCCCCATCGTCCCTGGTGACTTCGACTTGATTCTAACATCAGAACATCCAGATTGGAACCATTACTAATGTTGTCTGCTTCGGACTCAGTAAGTTCGTCTTCCTAAAGCTTCGACATTTCTAACAGAGGTTTAGATAGCGTCTCTGGGCCGTATGGGAAACACCTATGGAATGTATCGCTGGCAGAGTTCGTAGGCGAAAGACTTGCGACGGTAAGTAGACGAAGGCATCACTCGTATACTACCCATGAGCCTGGCTAAAGACTTGATCGCAGATACAATACGTTATGCAGGTCAGCACCACACCCACGCTTGGTCTCATCAAGCTCAGTATTTTTATGCTCTATTATGATATCTTCAATGTGTTGTCCTGGGTTCGCTGGATGATTCGTATCTCGGCCGCCCTGAGCAGTGCCTTCTATCTGGCCCTCACCATCTTCAATTTCTACGTCATGACCCCTCGTTCAGGTCAAACCATAGCCGAGCGCTTTGGGAGTGAGGCAGTCATCGAGGCCTCCAAAGTCTCCATCCCCACCACGTCGGTTGGATTGGGCATCGATATCATTCTCTTCCTCATGCCTTTTATCGTCATTTTCCGACTCCAAATGAAGAGAAATCAAAAGATCCGGGCTTCAATGGCTTTCATAGTCGGTTTCTTGGCCATCTTGGGCTCTACTTTGAGTCTGATCTTCAAGGTTCAAACCTATGGTGATCCTGACCCAACCTACCATTTTATCTTGGTCTGCTTTTTCCTGTAAGTATACCCTTGGCGGAAGCATATTCCCTGCATGATGAACCGTTGCTGAGATGACCTACTCATCTAGAAACGTGGAGATGAGCTTTGGAGTATGTATCGCATCCATGCCGATGGTATACCGAGCAGCGAAACAGCATGGCTTCAATTTTGGCACCTTCTTCCACGGTTTCTCTTCCTCATTCGTCCACCTCAGTTCTCGAATCTTGCATAGGTCGAACAGCGAGCATCGATTGACCATTGGCTCGGACGAGGAACGAAAATCTGAATCGGTTGATAAGGAAAGTGTCAGTATTCGAAACACTGAGTAGGACAAGATCAACATTCATCATCGTGCTGTTACATGGTCGAGGGTTGTTACGTGGCAAATATCGTAGATTTTTCCAGCTAGCTGCGGGGACTCTCGTTCAAGTTCCTGTCAACCATTGCACCTCTACAAGCTTCGCCACCATTGCACCGTGATCGCGTATGGCTAGCTCATAAGATAGATGGTTAAATCGAACCCAAATAGCAGGGACGTATATGTATTGCCCAGAATCCGGATTTCTTGAGTCATAGAACAGGGTCTTGGGGAGAAGCCACACAAATACAAGTTGAATTTGATATGGATTTGGAAAGAACTTCTCCATTAACGATTCTTAAATGAAAACCTCAACCAAGAACATGACCAAGAATTCAGCGGCTTCTCCTAAGTATTTTGCTACATCAAGGTCTAATTGTGGCATGATCAAGGGGGGCAATTTCAGATATTGTCAAGATCACGAGCGCCACGAGCTCGTGCTCGACTTTGAACCGCAGCGATGATACGATGACCCCATTCCAAACTGGTGATGGACTCTTCGGTCGGGTCGCCTGGAGGTATGACTGGGCTCTCGAGTACTTTCATCAGGCTATCATTCTTCGGACGAGTGGCGAACAAGACACTGTATCGATCGTGAGGTCGCTGCAGACCGGGCGATTTGAAGACACGATGAATACAAGATCGGAGGAGCTTGTTGGTGTAGATCTCCATCGCATCGCCAAGGTTGACCACCGCGTAACCTGGCTCCGGCTTTACCCATCGCCAATCCTCCTCTTTGACCGCGAAGCCCTCAACTGGGATTCCGGGATCCGGTATTTGCAAGCCACCAATCCATGCGAAGAGAATGGCAACGGTCTGAGCATCTTTGTGAGGTGGGAATCCTTCAGGACGGGTTGGTTCATTTGTTGGATCGCCAGCGTATCGAAGGATGCGAGTGAAATCGCCCGAATCGTCTTGAAGTCGATGTAATTTGAGCAAAGATCCAGGAGGAAGCTGAAGTGGCTTTTCAAGTGCGGATAAGATGGCCCTGGCCATGACATTACCACATTCCGCGGCCTCTTTGAAGGTATCATGATGATCTGAGAGCCAGTCAGGGAGAGCACCCCCTTCCGTCCGAGTTCCAAAGAACTCGCTCTGGGGAATCTAGAGAGGTTCATTAGTATGAATTATTCGAGAGAGATTTCATGTATTTTACATTGATCAATTCCATCTCAGTTGGTCCACCCTGTTCATTGGAGTTCCGACACAAGTAGCTGTGGCAGGTTAGCATCGAAGGAGCCAAAAGAAGACATAGACGACTCGCCCACAATCAAAGACTCTGATACCAGGTCGAGGTTTGAATTGACATTTTTGTTCCATGGGTGTCGAAGCTAACCGATCTTGACCGAGTTGACGAAGCTTGCAAGCACTTCGCCAAAGTTGACGACCAGCCGGATGATCCAGCATATCCAGATAAAAGAAGCCCACCTCAGTACAAGTCTTGAAAAGACGATCGCATTCGGATCGAACGCCGTTGAGTATCTTCGATAAGGAGATCTTTTCCAACTCGGCAACGGGGACATCATCTGGGAAAGGAACAGGATAGAACTCATGGACATCAAAGTCGTCACCTGCCATTCGCAAGGCTTGCTCGGCACTAGTTGATACAGTCATGTTGGTCATCACAATGGCTGGAATGAAGGGTGGGACTGAAGTAGGAGATTTCGATGGAATCATAGAGGAATATAATTGAGAGAGGAAATAAGACAGAAGCACTACATCTAGTCCGAATCCGACCCGCTTGAAGATTGTCTCTCCACCTTAGCCGCTCCCAATAAGGAAGCTATATATTGAGTGACATGTATGGAAACGTAAAACTACCACAATTAAAGAGGGTTCGGGGTTCAGCTTCAGCTCCCTTGTAGTGGGGTCACCTGCAGTGGGGGTCACCTGCAGCGGGGTCCCCTGCAGTGGAACGTAGCTGCCTTGTCATTCAACTGTTGTGGCGTCATCCCGGATAAACATCCTGGGCTAACTTCACAAGGAGGTGGGGGGGGCGTCGGCCCATTTCAAGCCTCGCCATCAACATGACCAGAGCTCAATTCTTTCTTTGAGAACACCCATTGAACCTCCTTTACACGTACAAGCTCGAATGACATCATGACCACACCCAAAACTATTCTCATCACCGGCGCCAACAAGGGACTTGGGCTTGGCATTGCTCAAGTTGCGGCGACCAGAGACCCTTCCGCTCATTACATCTTAACCAGTCGTAATGTGGAGGCTGGCGAAAAGGCAATCCAGGATATGAAGAATAGTGGCATAGAAGCTTCTTTCGAGCTGCTGCAGCTGGACATCACCAATGATGCCGAAATCCTCAAGGCGGCTGAATATGTTACCACTAAGCATGGAAAGCTTGACGGCAAGTCTATTTATCGGAGAGATAAGAACTCGTCACTGACGCTCGTGGGAAGTCTTGATCAACAATGCTGGGATCGCCAAATTCCCTGAGAATATGTCATCCCCTTCTACCATTCGAACAGACTTAGCCGAGTTGCTATCGGTCAATGTCACTTCAGTCTACTGCATGTGCGAAGCGTTTCGACCTCTTCTCGATCGATCATCTCAACCCAAGGTGATCAACATCACATCCGGGCTTGGTAGTATCGCCAACACCTTGAACACCAAGATGGCTTCTCTCCCACTATACGGCGTATCCAAGGTCGCATTGAACGGATTGACGGCTCATCTTCAAGCGGGAGAGAATACGAACAAGGACAAAGCTGAAGGATCCAAGATTCGATTCTATACAGTTGCCCCAGGTGTACTCAATACCACGCTAGTTTTCCTCCATAACAAAGGCAAAGATCCAGCTGTGGGGGCCGAAGTTGTGGTCCAATTGTTGATGAGTGACGAGTATCCTGGTGGCACCCAGTGGGAATTCAAAGATGACAAGATGCAGGAGATTCCCTGGTAGGCAAATGCATGATGGACGAATAGGTGGATGGATGGGACGAAGGAGGGATGGACGTCGATGTAATTGGTCCAGGACGATTCCCTGTTATCAAGGTATACGTCGTCAATGGAAATGATTGACCCGCGGTTATGATATAGAGGTAGTAGCGTTATTCCGTAGATACTTAGCCAGTGAATTAAACCTCTACTAGAAAAAACCGTTGCGCGGTCCTGAAGGCTGCGGCGCGGCCCGTAGTACAAGACTAAATTAATTAACTGCAAGAGAGCCAGGGTACATCTCGGGACAAGTACGATCCGTACCTGAACCCTAGCAGCCCCGTAGAATAAGCCCCGAAGATTAATTGACATACTCTAGGGAAGTGAGCTGGATCAGGCTGGAGCCTGAGAGTGGGGGCTGGATCTGGCTGGGAGTGGGAACCAATAGTCGCTATGCCGATATCAGTGGACCAGCACAGTCTTATACCCTTGGCGATTCCCCGCTCGAGCTGACTGCAGGGTTACTTCAAGTCACCGGCATATTAGAAGTCACTGGCTTACGCGAAGTTCCTGCCTTACGTGAGGTCACTGGCTTACCCGAAGTCAACGGCTTACTCGAAGTCAACGGCTTACTTGCAGTTGCTGCAAGGGGTCCAAATTATATGAATACCGGTATATTGAAATCGGACCCGAACGTGTAATTTTGGTACAAATCTAGCGCTACCCCTCTTCTTCGGTGCGTAGATAAACTATGCTATCAACGGATGGGTAAATCGGTAGGCATTCTCCGGGTCCCATTTGGCCTTCAACGTCCTCAGACGTGGCAAGTTCTCGGCTGAGTACAAGGTTGCTCGATCTTCGTCACCATGACCATATGAAACACAGATCTGGGATTGGACAAATCCGCTGGCAGCAGTAAAATTGCGGCGAGCAGACCGTGCGAACGCGTTGATTTGCCGATCCAGATTGCCGGTGCTATTCGCGTAGGAAAAAACGAGTAGTCTAAGCATGTGAAGGTGTGGTCAGCTTTGAAGCGAGGCGAAGTCGTCTCTCGCGTCATGCAACTTACAGATGCGCCGTAATATCTCGCCATGGGTACGCCGTACTCTTGATCGGGATGGCTTGGACCGCTTGCTTTGAAAAGAATTCGATGGAGTAGGAAGTCCCGCTCAGTTCCTCGGGCTTAGAAGACAGAAGTTGATCAAGGTTCTCATAGAATGTTTGAAAGGTGGAGATATCAAACTGTTTGACTGCACCACCGTAAACGTTGTGAATAGAGTTGGTTGGGCATGGAGCGTCAGGGGTTTCCAGCCCGAAAAAGGAGGCCGAATTGACGTTGGACCAAGGGACCATGGTCAGATTTGAACGAATCGGTGTAGAGTCGAGAAGTGGACGGATATACTCCTTGCCCTCTTCTTGGGGTCCGGCATAGACTGCGTTGACGATAATGCACGACTGTTCGACATGCGGGTCATCAGCTCGCCGACGTCCAAGAGGGGAAAATAGGTCTGAATAGCGAAAACTCACCCCACCGAGATCCGAAGAGTAGGTTGCATAGAAGATGAACGATAGTTTCGCCGGCAAATCATTTCCAAAAGACTGGAAGTATTGCAGAATGCTTTGACTCGCATTGGGGGCGAAGAGAAAGTCAGCAACCAGCGTCAAAGGCGCGGTTTCGTCGTAAATCCGATACGTAGCCTCAAGGATGGTCCCAAAATTGGAACCAGCTCCCCGGAGTGCCCAGAAGAGATCGGGATTCTCCACATTGGAAGCTCGGGTTACCTTACCATCGGCGGTTACTAGTTTGACTCTCAAGAGTGAGTCGACAAGCATTCCATGTAATCCGTTGAGTCGACTGACGCCACCACCAATCGTAGCTCCGACCATCCCGACACAAGATGAAGAACCGATGGCTTTCTTGGCATCAATAACTTGTCGAGGTCATGGTCGGATGTTAGAGAACTTACGGAGTTCTTTCTGAGCCCGACCCAACGGTTCGAGGATATCTTTGAATCGAACAGCGCCGCCAATCGTGAGGGTGTTGGCTTCGACATCTACTCTCACTCGGTCAAATTTAGATAGATCAAGATCGATACCATGGTGTAGTCGACCGAGAGTAATCGGAAACCCATGACCGCCTCCAGTTGACAGGAATGGTGTCTGGGATGTAGTGGCGTAAGTGATCTAGACAGCATTTCTCAATTAGCGTATATTGATCACTGTTTCAATAGACTCGAGACTCATGTACAATCTTGGCAACATCATCATCAGTTATCGGCTGAACTGATACGGTGTAGCGAGGTGCATGATACGTAGACCATCGTTGGGTGAAATTCGATGGGGGACCGATCAACGTGCCTGAGGATAGGTTCAAGGCCTGAAGGTCCGAGGTTAAGGATCCATAGGCATACTGGCTGCATACCACTGCCACTATGAACCCAACGACAGGCATGAACGGATAACCCATCACGAATGATGGTGAAATAAATATCCCAAAAGAAAGGCTTCGATCAACCGTAGAAACCGGAACAGATCAACAATGGTACATCAACATCATGTTCATTCGGATGGTGTTCAATGGGCTATTAAGAAGGGAAAGATCGTGGCCGCCCCCACTTACTCTCCCCCGAAGCAATGTATATCATGGTAGCATGGTAGATGGTACGACCAAATGGCGCAATCAATGGTGCTTGTCCATGCCGCTTCTTGAAAGCATCAACCAGTCGGGAAGATCCACGTTATCGCGGGTGACGATTAATAACCTAAACAGGCGATAATCCGGGTCCGGCCTTGTCGAGGCATTGGGGATGTATGAATGCATGTCAAGGGTATCTCGGCGCAAATTCGCCACTTCGCAACAACATACTTGAAAGCTCTAGTGTTGTGTTACAGTAGGGGTCTTGTAAGTAGCAGTAGAAGTAGTAGATTGGAAAAGACCGACCCTCGCCCTTCTACTAGCATTGGCTGAATCCGTGCATTGGGTGCACGGACACGGTAGGCCTATTAGTCGCCTTCCTGGTTCCGTGGCACTGGCTCCTTGGACTGCGCACACCTACCTGCTGACTGCGGACAATATGCGAGACTGTATGTAGGTGCAGCTACTGCGAGCTGTTAATTAATATCCTTGCTGTGTAGATCAAACTAATGTAAAGCCTGATGCAGTGGTGCGAAGCTTTATGTACGTGTTGCGCAGCAGCGCAGCAGCGCAGGTGGGGCCGAATTTTAAACCCCATGCTCAGGGGTTGCTCAGCCACTACAGACGGGGTGCCTGATTCCGGTTACATGAGTATGGAAATATTATTAACTAATACATTTGTATTGAAAAGCTATATACATTCTGCCGCTGTGTTCGGCGGCATATGCCACCATTTTCGTAGGGCATTGTCGTCGGTGGTGAGTCTGTATAGTGCAGCAGGTATCCACCCAAAAGAAGCCCAGGTTATCGTTGGCGGCTTGCTTTCCGCAAAAGCGAAGCTTCTGAGAACCTACTTTGTCGTGACCCGTACCGTGTATCAAGTCCTTGAAGGTAACTTCATCGCAGTCGTTCCCCCAAGTGTGTGATAGTATCGCATATGGTGGAATATCGCGCACAAATTCAACCAGGCTGAGGCCGCCATCTTGTAGCCGCAAGAGACGCATGGCCAGAGGACTGGGAGCTGGAGAAGCAACAAAAACGCCACGATCATAAAGATGTTTGGCGAGAAAGAGAACAATTCGCCAGCACTCGGTTTAGTGAATGTGCGCAACAGGCGTGAGAGACGTTGGCACAGAAGGCAGCAGGGCTGTTCAATAATTCTTGGCGTACCGGTCAGTCATTATCGCATTACTGGACGCCACCACCAGCAGGCCGGATTGGGTGGGTTGGACCAGCCTGTGCTTCGCCACCACTTGTACGCGCACGTTACGGTCGAACATCGAGCAGGCTGACGCTTTGGTTAGCTTTGCCTTGTTTCTCATTATAGAGATGCGAGAATGTTGGCGGAGCCCAGACAGTGGTCCAACACGACTTGTCCTGCCTGTAGCCGCTGAGCGTACGGCTAAAGGCAATGTCGCTTTGCCCCCGCACCCGCCACAGCCTTAAGATGAAGGCTTTCACACCTCTCTCCTAAACACGCTAAACATGATGTTAACGTTACCTACTTTTGGGACCTGCTTGCCTGTGTGCAGAACCTACAATCAGCTTCACCCTTGCGTAGCTACTACATACGTGCATGAAAATCTCCAACTGAGAGAGACATTTCTGACGAATCACCATTTGAGACCTCTGCAATAGCAAGAAGACGAAGACCTAATTACGATTCCTCTCCATCTTCCCATTTACGTCTGGTGCCACTAGCACTAGCACTCATGCTTCGGTGTAACAATCACCCACCCATCTCCCTCCCCATCCCCATCTTTCCTTCCTTCTTCGCTCTGAACCTCCTCCTCTTTAACAACCTGATGATCCTCACCCTCATCACAACCCTCATACCCTTCATGCCCCTCCCACCCTCATAAACCTCATCCAGCCCCTAACTTCCTCCTCCAAGCTCCTCCCTCCTCCCTATCAACACCAACATCAACCCCCACAATACCACCTCAAACATCCCCAAATACCCACTCCTCATCCCCTCTCTCCTCTTCATCTCCGTCTTCTTTTCAACCACCACCAGCGCCACCATCTTCCTATACCCATAATGCCTCACCATCTTCTGCTCTCGAAACCTTCCTTCCAACTCCCCACCAACTTCTTCCTCAGCCTAATCTCTGCACTGCTGACATCAAGCTCAACCCAATTAACCGGCGTACCCCCTCAGCACAGCATCGAGTAAGATCCGCACCCCTAGACCTTCGTACAGTGTGCCGGTGAGAAGGGCTTCCACCTCATCCGTATACGCGCGCATCGCATCGGAGAAGAAATGCCTCAGCTGCGCGATTTCGCTTGCCTGCGTGGCGCTGGCGATTTCAGAAACGTGAGCAGCGCCGAGGTACGTGACGCGGAGGTAGAAAGGTGGACTGCGTCGGAGGGGAGGGTGTGGATGAGGGCGGGGCCGGCTGGGGGAGCATACCATTGAGGCGGTTATGGTGGTGTGGGTTATCATTGCGGTGGTGTGGCGTGGGTGGACTTGGTGAGTTTTGCGGGGGTGGGTGGTGTGCGTTTGTAGCTTTTACTTTGAACTGTGAGGAAGGGTCCTGACTGGACTTGATGGACTTAACAGGAGTGGGTGGTGCGCGGTTGTGATGTTTGTGCTGGGATGTGGTGATGGGTCTGGGGTGGACTCAAGGGGTGTTGCAGTAGTGGATAGAGGTGCTATCTGGAAAAATCGAGAGCCATCGACTTTTAAGGAACAAGAAGAAAAATCCATTTTAGAGCCGCAAACGTTGTCAAGTCAAACCAGGTCACACTGAGTGCTCAAGTATGGTATACCCCATTCAACCCTAGGGAGACCCAAGATGTGCGAACCTGGTTCAAGGTCCAAACAAATCAGAGCGATAAGATGCTATACAGATATAAGGAAGAGCTAGCTATGAAATGGTATCTCATGCAATACAGTTGTGCTATGCGTAACTGAAAATAATAATGTAAAAAATCCAAACGCCACAATAGATGAAGTAGTACGTCGACGCCACAGATGCTATGCCAGATCGCTATGCAAAAAAGAAGTGGGCAAGAGCTGAGCCGAAACCATGGGTGTGCGGTGTGGGTCTGCGCCGTTGAGGGAACGCAGCATCGTGTGCGCATAACATGCGAGTATGGACACGACGGCACTCGTCGAACCGCGCCGAGACAGTGTTTCGCACTTGGTGAAGCAGGCTCTCGAGGGTTGCGCTTTCGTCCCACGCATTCTGGATGGACCTGGGATGGACCTGACCACAATACATCCCAAGACTTCGGCTCGACGTTTGCGGTAGCGGTGGTGGTGCCTGCGTGGAGTTCCGACGTGTATGGCACAGCAAAGTGGCGCAAGCCATCAGAGCTATGTGAGCAACAGGGAAGTGGGTGACATGCTATGCCTCACTGCTTGCTGGCATTAGAGGGCTCAGTAGGCTCAGAGGTAACAATCGCTGGTATGTTTGCACGTGCTTCCTGGTGCACAACCACACGGCTATCGGCACGTCGTGACTCGGATGGAACTACAGGAGTCGTGCCCCCAGTCGACGCGGGATTTGCTTGTGCATCCTGGCTCGGCCCCTTCGCGCGGCTGTCCATCTCCTGTGATTCAGATAAAGCTAATGGACTCTTCCCAACAGGCGCGGGCTTTTTGAGATTCGTCGAATCAGATAAAGCTACTGGAGTCGAGCCCTCTGTGGGCGCGGGCTTCGGTGGGGTTGACGACGACGATTGTGCGCTTGACCTGCGTGAGTCTGGCTTGATGCCAGTTTTGGGGGTTGCCACGCCATCCTCCTCTTTCAAAGTGCCTGTCAACCACTGACCCATGTGCGTCTGCCAACGGCGGAGGTCATCTTGCTTCGTGGCTTCCCTCAAACGCCGATGCCGGACCAGTCTTTCTGCGACTTGCTGGAGCATGACTTTCGGTGGCGCGTATTCCAGCAGCGGAGCCTCTTTGTGAGCCACCTTCCTGTCCAGGTAGGCTTTTGTGACTTCCTCCATCTTGGAGAGAGACTTTCCTCCAGGCACTCTCTTAGTGATACCGGTAGCAGAGTTAGTCCAAACACCTTCTTCCCATTCGTCGAGCGGCATGTCTTGAAGTCCTTCGTCAACGTTCAGGCGCTTGTACCAGCGGTGTTCGCCACGAGCGATCGTACGCATCATCTTATGACGGTCCTCACCCTCAGTGTACTTGATCAAGACATTTTTAAAGACTGCGAACTTCTCGGACCACTTCTGCAACAACGGAACTTTTCCAAAAGGGCCTGGCCAAACGGAAGCAAAACCGTCATTCTTGGTATTTGGTCTTCCCGTACCGATCGATAGCAGCAATGCTGGTTCACGCTCATCGCCCTTTAATGAGGCGTGCTCGCTGTAGGCAGCATAGGAAGGGTTGTTTTCGCGAATTCCTCCATCTTTGAACCCAGTCTTGTTCTTATCACCAAAATCTGCTTCCAGCATCTTGAAGAAGAATGGCGCTGCTGAGGTAGCACGCGTGACTTGCCATATCTTAAGCTTATCGGCGCCCTCATTGTAAGGCGTTACCCAGACAGGAGCAACATCAGGATCATAGCGATGATCATATGTTCGCAGCAAGTAAGCCTCGTCAATCATACCAGAGTGAGTGGCAGTAAGGCAGATTCTGGTAAAGTCAGCACGTGCTTTATATAGGATTAAAAAGCGAAGTCCAGGAACAGGGGACTTTCGTATTACCCCGCCTGGGGGTAACACAGGGTATCTCAATTTGTACCACACAGCATGTGCTTTCAAGGGGCAATACGTACGATTGACAAATCCGGTCGTTGTGACCAGATATACTAGAAGCCGATGAGCTACTCTCTGACTTGGCCTCGTCGATGTTCCATGGGTGCCAGTCATCCCCTTTGCAGGTGTCGTGGTGCTTGCAATACTGGCTGACTATCGTCTGTACAGCTTTCTCCAGGGGCTTATGATGATACTTGGTGGCCAAGGGTAGCGTACTCCTGCGGTGTCCGAATAGATCGTCTCCAACTTGACGATAAATCTCTAGACATTGGGGGACTGTCATGCGTAGCCGGGCCAGCATTACCGATATGAGGCCACCTGTGCTCGTTCCGTACATGTAATCGAAGTAGTGACATGGTAAAAGCTCATCTTCGTTGAACGTCTTCCTTTCCGAACCCGGTACCGGGCCCTCTTCTTCTATCAAACGTTTTTCGCATTCGGCGATCTCGTGCATGAGACGTTGGAGGATAATCAGGCTAGCGTAGCCTCGTATACCGCCGCCATCTGTCTGTATGTTAGCAATCATTCAGATCAGGATCTAATATCGGGACTCCTTTCACACCCGCAGCTCCATTCCATGGCAGAAGATCGGTTCGCTAGACGCCGCAAGAGTTTATCCACTATAGTCATCCTAAATATTGCTTCATCGGCGTCGCCTAAAGGTCACGAGCTCGGTAGGGTAAACGGAGACGGCTGCGATATGGGCCTGGGAGACGCAGGTGGCCAGCCAGTCGACAAATGTTTGAGCGCCGCCGGCCTTTGTATTGCCTGTCCTGGGGTAGCACAGCGTACTGTGACGTTGCGCGTCGCTCATGTGGGTGTAGCATGCCCCAGCCTTCTTTGCGTACCATGGGTTTCGTGCAGTGTACGCCCATCATAAGTCGAATCGCGCCAGGCAGCAACAGCCTCCGTACTCCATGTTCTCTGGTTGTTTTCCACGCGCCGACTGGTATTCCGTTTGTGCATGTATGCGTCCGGTCGAGGTAGGTACGATCGAGGAAGTAACGCGGAAGGAGCAACGGGTCGCAAACAGAAGCGTCTCTTATACATACCTAATGTCAATATGAGATCGTACCAGCAATTCTCCTCCGTCACCGACACGCTCCACGTATGCCCTGTCTTGTCCGCTGCTGATGCCGACGTGCCCGTTGTCATAATCGAGGGGGGCCGCGGCGAGTCGACTGGGGGAGCGAGCGTCGCCTGCATCGCGGTGGTGGATTAGCGCCAGATTTAAGGTAGAAGTGGACCTTGTTCGAAGGAATGGATCGACAGGCGACGCGATGCGATGTGTGTGATACGGCACTTCTGCGGTGTGAAAGTGCAAGGCTAGGGGACAGCCTGCCAACTTTAAGGCCTCGCAGTCATGAGGCTCCCAGGTCGGCTGTCGCCGCGCGGTGAGGTGTGGTAGCTAGTGATGCGCGGGTGTGGCTGATGGATCGTCCAAAAGAGGCCGGCCCCCCGGGAACATGCGCCTGATTCGTCAAGCCGAATGAGTCGGCACGTCGGCAAGCGTGCCACAGCTCCGCCTCACGCCTCGTTTCCTGCCATTGTTGCAGCCTTTGTTGGATTTTTCAACGCCTATTCATTCTTACGGACAATTCGGAGCTCCAGGGGCAACCAGGGGCGCATGGTGTATGTGTCACGCAGGCCAAGGTGGTGAGATCAGCCCGCTCCCGCAGCGATCCTTGGATCCTTTGACCGATCCTGGGGTAAACACACCACGCAGGACACTTGCGGGCGCGAACCACGGCTACACAAACCATCGTTCAGAGTCTGCTCCAAACATCCGCGGAGGGCACCATCAAACGGCGCGAATAGCGGCTGCCCGTATTCAACGGCTGCAACCGCAGCTAATGCACACAGCAAACCCTCGCAGTCCAGATGACCTTTACGCCGTCCATGTGATCCGTTCACTGAGCAGCAAACACACTAGGTTTGCGCGAGACTCAAGGGCGACCTCGTCCTCGGATCACCTGTATCGTCCGTACGGACACGAGAATCATCCTTTCCCCTGCAGATTTGTCCAATGGTAGTTGAGCCGGGCAATGGTATATGTTCTCCACTATGCTTCAATTTCGTAGATCTTGTATCACAAATGACGCATTATCTATCACCTTGCGCGCGCCTACCGTCGGCAAACGCTGCGGAGTGCACAAGATCTTGTCTTGTGCAATGCAAACTGGCACAGTAACATCAGATCAAACCTCCCTGAGTGAAAGCTTGCGACCAATCGCAACACCCGAACCCTGACCAATCAGCTTGTCTCGGCCGAGGCGCCACGATGCCTGCGGCGCAGCAAGGTGACGTTGAGCTCAACGTTCTTTGATGACCCAGGCTCTCACTCCACCTCTGCGCCTTCACATCAGCAGACGTGCGCTGGCCCTACCGCCCTTCGCTATACAAAGTACCGTCCACCAAAGCTCGTGGCTCGCAAACACTACACATTCTCGACCGTACATCGACAGCCCTACGTAACCACCGTCTCAGCCTCATCGCCGGTCTGCCACACCCAATGTCCGACATGGCTACCTGGAAGTCAAACTCGACGGGAGGAACGTCCTCGAGTCAGCACAGCAAGGCTAGCACTCTCTTTGGGCTCGATGAGGAGGACAAAACCAATATCCTCGTCTATAGATATCGCTCGGGCTGCAAAGCGCTCGAGGTTTCCACGCAGCGCGATCTGTGTCGCGAGCTGGATGCCGGTAAGTTACAAATGCTACCGCTACGTGGGGTTTCGCTAACAGAGGGCGGCCTCTACAGACCCACAACTGCCTTTCATGCGCGTCACCAAGAAGGAGATTCCTCGAGGCAACAGCCGGTTAGAAATTCGCACAGAGGACCTACTTTTGCCTGAGGACCTCGAGCGAAATCGCGACAAGCCTACACTCAAGTCATCACTCGCGAACGTGGGCCTGCCATCGACCGCATATTGGAAACGCTTGCTCTTCAACTCGTTTCCCGAACTCTACATCGTCTCCCGCTCCCCAACAACAAGTCCGGCGAGTTCCAAGAACAACTCGCCTGAGAGCTCACAGCACGTGAGCCCCTCCACGACTTTTCCTGTCGATACGCCACATCCCTTGCAGGACCCGACACAGTCGTGATTATTCGCTGTGGTGTGAGCTAGGCCGCGGCTGTCATTAGCATGGCTCCCGGGACTGCCGAACTATTTCTATTCGGACTGTCCTATAGGCCTTGAGTCATCGCACGACCCCCCCGAATAGGGCGGTGCTAGCCGCTGTCATGCGCACCCCATCCATCACTCACAGCAAAGCATTCCTTAACAATACGTCTTTCCTTACGATACCCAGCGCTCACCGATTAGCGAAAGGCGCTGGTCAGGCGTTACTCTTTCCTTTTGGGTGTTATCTTGGTTCAGAAAACATCGTCTCACATCTTGGAGATGGTAATTGGGTCGGCTTTTTGGGGCGATTGAGTTCACTCTCGCTATTATCATTTAAATCAAATAAATACATACAATGTACTAAGACTACAGTGTTGTCGTGACTTCCAATTTCCAAACTTGCAACACCTTACGAACAGGTACGATCTACGTTTGGCTCACCACACATGCGAACCCTTCACTCTCTCTCATACATGAATTGCGGCTCAAACGCCGCCGTCGACGCACGCGAGTGGAGAGCTACTGCACTCCGACGGGAGCTACCCCACATCGCGTCATACCACGCAACGTACTGTCTTACAAATTACAACCGCGGAAGTCCGATCGCTGTTTACTATATCAATAGCTCATTCATACTTGAGTGCATACATCAATACACACAACTCCACACTGCCTCCCTCACACACTCACTCCCCAGCTCATTTCCTCCCAAAATGTCCTCTCCCTTCCCACCCCCCGAGCTCCGCGAAATCACCCAAGAAGTAGCTTCCCTCCTTCAAGAACGCAAGGAAACGATCTCGGTGGCTGAAACTGTATGCTTTACCCTTATCCATCTTTCCAGTCTTGCCCAATCCAACTCCTATTCCCCCACTGTTCTCTTCAAGATACTTGTCAATTGATGCTTTGTCACAGGCAGCAGGCGGCCTCATCTCCGCCGCCCTGCTCTCCTTCCCCGGCGCATCAGCCTTCTACCGCGGCGGCGGCCTCACGCTGTACACGCTAGAATCGCGCGTTGCGTTCGCGGGGTGGAAGAAGGAGGATATCGAAGGCTATGCTGGGCCGACGACGGACATCGTGAAGGGGCAAGTATACCCATAACCATTACCGATTATATAAGCATTGCACTAACATGAGTGGTATTGTAGGATGGCAGAGCACACGAAGAACACCCTAGGCAGTACATGGAGCGTAAGCGAAAGTGGGACTGCGGGACCCGGCGGGGGCGTGAAGGGGACGGCGAGGTATAGGGAGCCGGGGTTTGTGGCGCTTGCGGTGGCGGGGAGAAGGGGAGCGAGGTTAGGGAGGTGGTTACGGGGTTGGGGGTGATAGGGAGGGTAATATGGTAAGTGAAGATCGTCGACGAGAAAGAACCGGTAATGGCTGACTTGGGGCAGGTACGGTTTGCGGTCGAGGCGTTGGAGTTGGTTAGGGATGTTATTAAGGGGAAGGGGAAGCTATAGGGACGAGGTAGAGATGTGGTACCTGTTGTGTTGTAATGCAAGAGAGTAACGTGTAATTGTAGGTGAGAGATTGAAGGCGATGGAAGGTACAATCTGCAGCCTGTGAACTCAGTTCTAAGGACTAAATCTCAAGAGGGAACGCTGTTCAAATCTAGGGGAATATAATACTAACAGAGATATACATGATAACTCAAGCATTCATACAAATGATCTAGATGATTACAACGATCGGGATGAAGATATAGACAGCCTGTAGTCTTGACGATATGCACGCAGCGTCACTTCTGATATTGAACACGCGTAAGCAATCATATGCCTAGAGGAGCTGATATGTTGTCATAGTATCAGGAAGCGAGGGTATCAATTGTTTGTACGACAGCACTGGTATCTAGCTGGCCCGGCCATTGCTTCGCGTAATGCCCAACATCTATCACTGTCACACACCTACAATAAAGCTCACATGCACGGCAGTGAGCCTTAAGTCAATGTATCATACCTTCACTTGCTAATCGAAACAGTAGGAGAAGGCGAGGATATCAGAGCCATTGTACGACAGCACTGTTCTCGAGCCTCTCGATGGCTTTGCGTAATGCTCAACACCATACTGTCACAAAGCTACAACAAAAGCTGAGACGCACGATGTGAGTCTTAAGTTGATGTATCATAACTTTTGTTGACATACCGATAGAGTGAGAGGACGCGCGATTATCACAGTTATCTGTACGACAGCACTGTTGACCAGCTGGCCCGGCCATCGCTGCGGGCAATGCTCATCACCAACCACTATCACAATGCTACTATAAACGCTGACAATCACGACAGTGAGTCTGAAAATGATAGTCTATGCACAAAAAGTACTCATATCATGCCGCGCCAAATAGTCATGGCTTGACTCCATGGACATGGGTAACGTCTCCCTCCAGTCGTCAGGGAGGACTATAAAATGCCGCTTTTAATGGCTTGCTTTGTTCGTTATACAACTCTCCTCAAATTCAAACTACTACAGAATATCATTGTTAGCTAAAGCTCGAACATCAAATCCAAATGTCTGAAGGAACAATGCCCAGCGACCGCTTCAAAGATGTCATGCTCCGCGTGAAAGCTCTTTTTGACGAAGCCTCCAACAACGAAAGCTTCGAGTTCAGCAAGGAACCCGCCCTCGCCGCCGAGCTCAGGACGAACCCCGACGCAAAGAAATTCACATTCTTGAGAGGCCATGCTGCGAAAGGCAAGGACCAAGGCGACAACATCTCAGCTAAGATATGGATGAGACTCAAGAAGCGTGACGATGGGGACGGACCAGGGGCAATCAATCTTAAAGGTGTCCACGCTGAACTTTGGAAGCGTTTGGAAGAGCTAAGGGCTGAAGACTTTGGCTATCAGTCAAAGTTTAGCACATATTCAGCTCACAAGACAATAGAAGGTGCTTCAGTATGGCTTGCTTCACTCGTTATACAACTCTCCTCAAATTCAAACTCCTACAGAATACCTATCATTGTCAGCCAAAATTCGAACATCCCGAACTCAAATCCAAAATGTCTCAACAATCCTCCAGCAACAACCAGCAGGATGTCGTCATGTCCGGCGTGGACCAGACTACACTGCCACAAGGCTTCCCCAGCGACCGCCTGAAGAGCGTTATCCACATAGCGGACGAACTTGTGGAAAAATTCGACCGGCAAATCCGCTTCGACAATAATCCCGCCGATGCCTCAGATGCCGGGAAATGGACAGAGTTCGATAAGTACGTCACCCCTGGCATCTACGCAATCGACTTAGTCTCAGTCTGGATCTTCATGAGGTTTAAGAATCCGGATAAGATGGCTCCAGAAGTCATATTGGACTTCACTGAATCCCGCAAGGCAGCGCGGGAGCAAGTGCAGGATCTACAGGCTGAACAATTTGCATATGATGAGGGAAAATGGAGAGTCATCAAGGATCTGAAGTGCATATTGCCCGGTAGCAATGAGCTTCACGTTCTGCAAGTTAAGATCGAGGTCAAGTTATCGGAGAAGGCTACGAGAGGCCTGAAGAATGTCCAGGGAGGCGACGAGTGGCCCGGCGAAACCTGAGCAACCATGTATACAGTACTGAAGGCCCAGCCTGTTGGAATATATGTCCATTGTTGAACAGATCTGTATGTATTGCTTCAAGCACCACCTCTCATCCTCGATGCAGTACCACCCAAACGCCCTATATGCCACAGGTGCGCCACGCAGCTAGACCTATAATACAAACTCCTCTAACTAGCCGCGTCAAATCATTAACAAAAGAACACTCAAGCACAACCCCTTCATAGATACTTCTTTGGCGCGCTGTTCCTCCTCTTCTTGTACAACTGGTATGCGCCCAGAACCATGACCTGCACCACGATAACAACAAATATGAAGATCATCATGCTAGGTCTTCCCTTGTCGACGACTGCCACGTCGTTAGCGCTGTCAACATTTTCAAACATCGAAATGACTTACTATCTGTGATCGCCGCGGGGAGATTGTTGCTCAACGCGCCGTGTCCTCGCTCAATAGACAGCTGCACACTCCTCAACAGATCCTTGAAATCCTTGCTCTCCAGATCCCTCAGCGTCTCCATCGTCGTGCGCTCCACCTTCTCTACGTTCCGCATTGTCGCGCCTATCTGGTCGTGCATCGGCGTGACCCTGCCCATTAGCTGGTCGAACCGCTGGTCGTTATCCGCAATCACCTTTTCGAGCAGGTCGTACAGCCCGTCGATCTTGTGGTTCATGATTTGCAGCCTGTTGTGCAGATCGGCGAATTGGTCTTGTTGCGATTTTATGTTGGCGGCGAAGACGTCTTCGACTATTTGGGGGATGTTGGGGTCGATGGGCTTGTTCTGCTCGTGCGTGCGCTGGAGCCAGTTGCCGTGAACGCGGGGCGGGGGTTGCACCTTTTGCTGTTGGTTTTGGTCTTGCTGCTGCTGCTGATTGGGGTTCTGAGCGGCTTGGTATTGGTTCTGGGAGCCGGGCTCCTCGCGGGTGTAGGCATTTGTGGTGGAGACGAGGAATTTGGAGACTTCGAAGGAATCAGGGTTTTCGGCTGAAGAGGCGCTGATGCCGAAGTAGTAGCCTGGGGGCAGCCGAACCTGTGCGCTATGTTAGTTTTGTTATATGGACTACGGTGAGGGGAGTCTTGCCTTGTCCGTCGAGAAACACGGGTTACCGTCCACAGTGACTTCAAACTTGCCATTCGCCTGCTGCATCTTCAACACGCTGAAGCGTCCCAGATTCCTATAAGGGTAGTTGCACTGTCCAAAAGCCAGCTGGTCCAGATCATGATGCGCCTTGAAATCGATGTCGCCTGCATTCAAGAACCCACGCACCGATCCGCCCCGTCCTTCGTATTGATCGACGACTAGCACCAACCCATCAAACTTGGGCGCGGTGTACAAGCTCGCCGGGTCTGTGTTCTTCTGCGATTCTTTGGTATACCACAGCTGCAAGTTCCCACCACCCCGCTCCATGCCTGAGGCGCGGAACTGCAGCTCTGCGGACCAGTCTCCACCATGGTGCAATGGGTCCTCGCTCCATAGAGCTCCACGTCTGTTTCCGGGCCACGGCGGTGTGAGAACGGCGCGATCGGATAGTATCTCGATGTCCCAGCCGAGACCTTTGGCGAAATAGTGTGGAATTGCGCGGAGGTTCGGCGATATGGGCTCGCCTTCTTTCTGGCCAAAGCTGAGATTGTCTATTATGTACTGGGCATTGGCGGTGGTGAACGCGAGGGTGGACCAGGCGATGGTCTTCAAGGTCCGCGAGGTGAGATGCATGGTGGCGGGGCGCAATTGCGCTGCGTATGTTGTGATAGGATGTTGGTTGTATGTACGTTGAGCTCGAAGATCTCAAGATGAGATTGGTCCAGAGCTTCTTTTTCGTTGTTAGGGAGAGACTGAGTTCGCGCTGAAGTTGTCCGTACTCTTTCTCAATAAGCTGGATGGAGCTTTGTCGCACAAAGCCACGCGACAATGAATTCCAGCCAGGTCAATGTATCTGAGCGCAAGGTCGAAAAGTAGGAAAGAAGGGGTATCACAACAGAGGAGCAGGCGGAGACGACGTCAAGCCACCTCGCAGAATATAAAATATGACAAGGTTGGAGGAGCTTCTGGACAGCTGTGCTTAAGGAACATGTGCTCTCCGGCGTTGATTGGCCTGATGATCCGTGCGCCGGGCGGATACAGCACCTGTCAACCACTGTTTTGGATCTTCTCCGCCAAGGAGGAATAGAAACATTCACTGTCATATCACAACAAGTTTGCCAGAGTCTCAGACGGTTGATCACGCTCAAGAAGAGAAAGCTATTTCTGAAGTACGCGGCGAGGTGCAAGGAAGCGGCGACCCACATCTGGGGATCGTGCTTGGCAAGAGCATCATCCCTGCAAGCCGGAGCTCTGGTTTCGCCGCGATTTCTTTCGTCGACCTCACCACTACGACGACATCGCCATCGCACATTCTATCCGATCCTCACCGTAATCCACCAATATGTCTGCACCCGATCCCAAGGAAGCCTGGCAGCGCATCCAGACCGAGCTCACGCGACGGACACAGAGATTCGGTGGCGGCGGCGGACCACCCAAGGGCACTTTCGGTGGACTCGGGGCTCTCGTCGTGATCGGTGGTGGTCTATACCTCGCGAACAATGCGCTCTTCAACGGTCCGTCATTTGAAAGGAAGCTCCAAGATCTCATCTGGAGCCGGGTTGTGATGCCACATTGCTGACAGAGCTACAGTGGACGGAGGTCACCGGGCAATTAAGTACACCAGGATAGGTGGCGTGCAGAAGGAGATCTACAGCGAAGGAACCCATTTCCGCCTCCCATGGTTCGAGACGCCCATCACCTACGATGTGCGCGCGAAGCCCCGAAATGTCGCCTCTCTCACCGGCACAAAGGACTTGCAGATGGTCAACATAACCTGCCGTGTGCTCTCGAGACCGCGTGTCGATGCTCTGCCGCAGATCTACCGGACGTTGGGAACGGACTACGATGAGCGAGTGCTGCCCTCGATTGTGAATGAGGTGCTCAAGAGCGTGGTGGCGCAGTTCAATGCGAGTCAGTTGATCACTCAGCGTGAGAATGTCAGTCGGTTGGTGAGGGATAACCTCGTGAGGAGGGCGGCGAGATTCAACATCATGCTCGATGATGTATCTTTGACGGTAAGGAAACTTCGTACCCGTTGGAACTCCTGGCATACTAACATCCTGTAGCACCTTGCCTTCTCGCCTGAGTTCACCGCCGCCGTCGAAGCCAAGCAGGTCGCCCAACAGGAAGCCCAGCGCGCCGCCTTCGTCGTTGACAAAGCCCGCCAGGAGAAGCAAGCCACAGTTGTCCGCGCACAGGGTGAGGCACGATCTGCTGAGCTTATTGGTGACGCTATCAAGAAGTCACGAACATACGTCGATCTGAGGGAGTTCGAGAATGCGAAGAACATTGCACAGATCTTGCAAAACTCGCAGAACAAGGTGTACTTGGACTCCCAGGGCTTGGGTCTGAATGTCAGCCAATCGGCTTCGGACAAGGAGAAGAGGGGTCATTGAGGGTTGAGCGGGAATGGATATAGCATCAAAAGGATCGGTCAGTGATGTACAATGGACAGTGTATAATTAAGAGTAGTTGAACGTAAGCGCTGAGTGAGCTTTGATTGGTGAGCTTTGATTGGTGAGCTTTGATTGGTTAGCTTTCCACTCTTGTCTTAAATACGAGCATATTCTACCATCTCTCTGTCACTTCGCCTTGTACTAATGATGTAGCATTCTCAGGTACTTTTCTGTCTTCTGTCACCTGATGGTCTGTGGTCGCGATTGCATGAGTATATATCAGAAATACAAATGCGAAACGTTGCTTTCCTAAATCAAAGCAATTGAGATCTGCTCATGTCTGCTTTCAGATCCAAGCATAATCCCGACACCATGGTATATACAATGCGGAACTCAAAGGAAGTTTTTACAACATAGGCTTCACGGGGTCGGCAACCTTGAAGTCAGCGCCAGTCTTTGACCGTACTTCATCAACAGTAACGCCGTCCGCTACCTCAATCAGAGTAAGACCCTCTGTGAAGTCGACGTCGAACACACACTACCAAGCGAGTTAGTCAACGTTTGGAATCCAAGAGGAGAAGCACTTACCAGGTCAGTGATGATCCTGCTCACGCACGCCTTCCCGGTTAACGGAAACTCGCACTGCTTCAAGATCTTCGGCCTTCCCTTCTTGTCCGTGTGCTCCATCGTCACCACAACCTTCGTCGCCGACGGGTTGCTGACCAGGTCCATCGCTCCACCGAAGCCCTTCACCTTACCCGGCAACATCCAGTTGGCCAGGTCGCCCCTCGCGCTGACTTGCATAGCACCGAGAATCGTAAGATCAATCTTTCCAGCACGGATCATACCGAATGACTCTTCCGAGCCGAACGTCGACGCACCAGGAAGGAGGGTGACCGTCTCCTTACCCGCGTTGATCAGATCCGGATCCTCGGCGCCCTTCTGCGGATACGGCCCAAGACCAAGGATACCATTCTCAGACTGAAGCTGCAGCTCGATGGAGGGGTCCACGAAGGACGGCGCAAGCATCGGCATGCCGATACCCAGGTTGGCGTACATGCCGTTCTTGAACTCCTTCGCTGCTCGGCGCACGATACGCTCGCGCTTGTTCGCGGCGTCACCTGCACCCAGCGCGCTGACCGCATCCTTGGGGTCTTTCGCATTGACCACCTTCTCGATGTTCTTCTGCGCGGTGGACTGTATCACGCGGTCGACGTAGATGCCCGGGACGTGAACAGCATGCGGCTCGATCTCGCCGCATTCAACAATGTGCTCTGCCTCCACAATCGTAACCTTTGCATTCCGCGCCATCGCGCCGTTGAAGTTCTGCGCTGAGAACCGGAATTGCAGGTTCCCCAGTCGGTCTGCCTTGTATGCCTTTATGAAGGCGTAGTCCCCCTTGATCGCTTCTTCCATGACGTATGACTTCCCGCCGAACACCTTGACGTCGCGCGGCGTGGAGTACTGCGCCACCGAGCCGTCTTGGTTATGCCTCAATGCCAGCTCTCCGGTCTGCACGACGGTCCCGAAGGCCGCGGGCGTGAAGAAAGCGGGGATCCCGGCGCCGCCTGCGCGGCAGCGCTCCGCGAGCGTGCCTTGGGGCGTGAGTTCGAGCTCGAGTTCGCCGTGGAGATACATCTGCTCGAGCACCTTGTTCTCGCCTACGTAGCTTGCAATCATCTTGCTGACCTGCTTGCTCTCGAGGAGCAGACCGAGCCCTGAGCCCACGACACCGGCGTTGTTCGATACGGCGGTTAGTCCGGTGATGGACGGTGTGTCTTTTACTTGATTGATGAGCGTATCCGGGACACCTGAGAGGCCGAAGCCGCCGCAGAGGAGCGTGCTGTTGGACTGCATGCCCTCGATTGCGGCAGCGGGAGAGGAGTATATCTTGTTGATTTCATTGCGGCGGTAGGTCGTTGAGAAGCTGCGGGCGACGTTGAGGTATGTCTGCGAGCTGTTAGATTGCAAGTCAATGGCGGAGAATATGTGAATACCTTTGTCGCACTCCGCGAGAAGAGCGAAGCTGTACGGTAAGTACGGGCTAGCGACGGCATAGTGTCTAGAGCTCGTGCTATTTTCAGTCAATCAATCGTATAATAAGTTCAATCGATCTGCCAAATGTGATTCCGGGAAGAAAACAAGTTGCATAGAGAGCAGCACAGAGCGAAGTCCACTCGGGATGTGGAGGGCGCGGCTACAGCTGGAGCTACCGGCATGGTGTCGCTCGTATTTGTTTTAGGAACCTCTGGTTTCCCTCGGTAACTGACCGCGGCAACGTTCCGTACCCAGCCGCAGTCGTGGGGTAGACGCGGAATTGTCCTCGTCGCTGAAAGTGGTTTAATGCGAGGCGGGAGCAGCCGCTGGCGCTTGCGGCTAGCTGTGCAATCGTCTTTCCATCTTCTCCCGGCACGTCCCCTGAACAACGTGTTGGTGATGTAAGGCAAGAGATTGGATAAGTCACAGAGTACAAGGCCTGTGGAGCACAGATGAATGCGGTGATGACACTGTGTCTACGAAAAGGCGTAGAATCCTCAGTGCAGTTGCACAATGGAAGAGAGTCTGGGCCCCGTCACCACTCCTCCCCAGCCTCAACCTTCCCATCCTCAAGAAGCGAAAAACAGGAACGCCTAGGGACTCGTGTCGGCCTTCTCTGGTGCCAACCACGAAAGGCCACTCGACTCAGGCAATCTTATTGTGGATGTTCGTTGGGGGATCTTCATCGCAGCTACTCTATTAACGTGGATGCGCCACGGCCGAGGACGGACGCAGTGAAACTCCCTTTATAGATGTGCCATTCTCAGATGATACTCACAAGGAATCTCTTCACAAAATCGAGGCTCCTGCATGCACAAAATGCAGCACGCGAACCTATCAAGCAAGAGATCAAGGCCTGCGCGGTCAAAAGAAGCTATGTAATGCCGGATTGTGGAGTCGAAAGAGCGAGGAGAAACAAGGTCCAACGAATAGCATTTCGTATAGGATTAGGGAAGGGGTCGTAGGAGGAGTCTCGGAGAGGCTTGGTCTCGCAGGTTGCTCAAGGGAATAACATAAGAGCGGGCTTATCGAGATTTCAGGAAAAGAGAAATGGCGATTGGCACTCGGGCACGCCGGAGGCTTTGGGATACTACAAAGGAAAGACAGCTGAACGGAGAGTGGCTTGAGGATTGCCAGTTCGTGGGGGCGCTGGCAGACTTCTTCACGACATCAATCCCGGAGAAGGCTGGCGATAAGTTGACGAAACGCTTCTTGGATTAAAACAAGAACCTCACGAGCCGGTTCGGACGTGGGACAAAGTCGTCGGGTAGGTGAGCAGATTCTGCTTCACGCTATCGTTACCGGTACCATTCACTGGACGCTGAATGCGTATCGATTTTGACCTGAACTGGTCATTCACTAATTGACAATAAGTTCTGTGATGTCTACAATTTTGGTACTATATATAATTCGTTTCTCACCTCTAGTCATATAACTCAAGTACACCCACTAGCATGGTCTAGTGGAGTTGATCTGCGGAGAAATCCAGAGTTTCAAAAAGGTCTGCGGAGAAATCTAGAGTTCCTAACCTTGAGTTATATTTTTGTTGTCGAAGTGCGTCTGTTCGAATCTTGGTCCTGACCTCTCTTGAATGTTTTCTTTTTCAACTGGAAAGGGCTATTGCTCTTTCGGCCGCTTAGAGAGATGTCGCAAGTCATGGGGTCATGGTGCAGCATCTTCCACTGGTCGAATCTTACATCTTCAATCCCGGTTATTGCGGGTATATTAGATATCATATATTGCTATACTACTGGGACTCACGAGCCTCACCAATTCGTCCACAACGGATACGCCACAATATCAATGATGATTCAAGCTATCAATTCGGCTTCCAATATCGATAAGGTGCTATATGTTGTATGCAGAACTGCCGAGTGAGCGAGGATGCATGCCGGCTTGGTAGAGAATAGCATGACTACGCGCACGGAATATTGTTAAGACCAGTAGATCGAAACACGTCGATTTTACTTACCATAGTTTTCATAACCACAAACTCGATATCATTACTGAACCATCCCAACCATGAAACTCTTCCTCGCAACCGCACTGCTCATCCAGCAGACCGCCGCCCATGCCATCTTCCAGCAGCTATGGGTAAACGGCGTCGACAAATCAAACACATGTGTTCGCATGCCTAGAGGCAACAGCCCAGTTACTAGCGTGACCTCCAATGACTTGCGCTGCAATGCCGGCGGCGCAGCTGGCGTAGCTGGGAAATGTGCTGTGAACGCCGGCGACACTGTAGCGGTGGAGATGCATCAGGTATGAAGGGGAAGCATACCCCTTTTTCTTGTAACGTTATGCTTATGCATGGGACAAAGCAACCCGGTGATCGCTCTTGCGGCAGCGAAGCCATAGGCGGCAACCACTACGGCCCCGTCCTCATCTACCTCTCGAAAGTCCCCGACGCCTCCAAAGCCGATGGCTCAGCCGGGTGGTTCAAAGTCTACGAGAACGGGTGGGCGCCTGCGCCGGGGAATAAGGGCGCTGCTGACAACGACTTCTGGGGCGTTAAGGATATGAACAAGTGCTGTGGGAAGGTGGATTTCAAGGTTCCGGTGGAGCTGGCGCCGGGGGATTACTTGCTGAGGGCGGAGGTGGTGGCGTTGCATACGGCGCAGAGTGCGGGTGGGGCGCAGTTTTATATGAGTTGCTGTAAGTGATGTTCTTTACGGAATGGATGGGGGTTGAAAGTTAATCTTGTCTAGATCAGATTACCGTTGCGGGAAGTGGGAGTCTGGCACCGGCTACGATTAAGATTCCTGGGCTGTATGGTTCGAGTGGTGAGTGTGTGCGTGGCTAGATGAAGCGTCGAATATAGACTGACGTGTGACTCTACCTCTAGATCCTGGAATTAAGATCAACATTCACTCCGCCATTTCGGGTTATACTGTTCCTGGGCCGAAGCTCATTGCTGAAGGTACGATGGTAACGCCTGGAAACGCCGTTTGTGCGAAGAAGATGATACGCGGGACACTTGGTATTTTTGCAGTCTAGATATAGCGATCTGTAGCATTGCTATAATTGTACAGTCTAGAATTTGAATGATCTGTGCTCTACCCAGGTATTGACGCATGACGGCCAAAGCTGGTTGCATATCTGAGGTCTGAATTAACTTTTTGATGTGCCTTGTAATAATAAATTTCCAACTTCCTTTTTTAGAGGCCTCGAAATGTTTCAGGTATGTTGCTGATGACATGAAAAAGAATTGATAGTTGAATGTGATGCACAGTGCTGGCCTCAGTATTTATGTTTCTGACACAACGGCGCTAATCCTAACTCGGTGGATGCCGCGCAAGAGAACCTAGATGGTCTCTTGCACTCGTTGACTTCAGCCGCGTATATCCGGGCAGTGAATCCATGTCTCTCAAATCTCTAGGAAAGCCCTGAAGTAAGTTCTGGAGCATTACTTGAAGAAGCTGGTGAGAATTCTGCATAGCCCCAGTTGCCTGCTTGAGCGACCCTGCCTGCAGGGTCTTCACCGGTGCAAGCCATCTAGACATCATTTGCATAGCCTTGCGAATAAACTAATATGAACACGAATCTGACCGCAGTGACACGCAGCTGGTTTGCCTACTACGCCTCGCCTAGGCAGACATCGAAAACCTGCGAAGACTCATGGCGAGGCTGAGGTTTCGTTTGATCACTTCGGAACGTTATCTCGTGGTCCTTCAGGCTGCCGGGCTACCTAAAATGTTCATCTTTCTATCTACGCGTTTGTACATTGAGTTGAACTTTTGTATCTACTGTCAATAGTGTCATCCGAGCTACCACTGTGGTAACACATTACGATCACGATGTCGAAAAAGAAGAGGTCAGCGAAGAGGTCAGCGAAGAAGTCTGCCAGTCTCCGTCTGAAAGCGGATATCGAACGCGAATTGATGCGCACGACCTATCAATTCCGAAAATTTCGAGAAGTCAAATTCATTTCACGTTCGTCCATCACCGACTTGTATGGCTCGGGTGCTCCAACCAAGTTACAGCTCAGCCTTCAGGACGACATCGAATATGTGAAACGAGAAGAGCCCAAACTACCGATTGAGAGCATGAAGATTGCGGATTTGAAGCATTTCGTGTTAGATTCCGCACTAAAGCTCCACGCACTTCTCATTCTCATCGGTCAATCGTGGCGAATAATCCCCATTTTCCTCGAAGCTCACCCGACAACGGATCATATTTTCGAACAACAGAACACACACGATACGCATTACTGTTCTGTAGAGTTCTTGAAGACAAAACCACACTTGGGTGACATCGCGGACGCTTTAGCTCGAAAACAATGGATCATCCCACCAGTGCTTTGTCGAGAAATCACACCAAAATTTCCTAGACATTCCTTCCGTTTCCCATTTGAACAGTACCTGGGTAACGAAGGCGGAGGGTCTGGCGGCGAGGTGTATCGCGTGAAGGTAGCGAACGGTCATTTGCAGACTGACAAGCCAAGTCACATTCGGGTGAGTAATTTAGACTCCACGCTCCTAAAAGAGATCCCAATAACCTAATAATCGCCTTCTAGAGTATGGTTCTTGCGCACAAGGAAGTTGAGCTCCGCAACGATGAGACGACGAGGATGCAAGAGGTCCATTCCATACGCGCGCGTCGACATCCGAACGTTGTAGAATTTTATGCAAGCTTTATTGCCGGACAAGAAGATCCCTCACAGGAGAACGATCCAGTGGATTATCTCCACATGCTGTTCGAACATGCTGACGGTGGCAACATGAAGAAGTGGTTGACTCAGGTCACCACACCTGGTAACTTGGTTGATGATCTTAAGCGCGGAAACATGATCCTACGGTGTGCTCAAGATCTTGTTAATGCAGTTACATTCATCCACTCGAAGATTGAAAAGTACAACTGCTCCCATCACGACATTAAACCAAAGAATATTGTCCTTTTTTCCGGGCCTCCTCCCATCTGGAAGCTCTGCGACTTTGGCATGGCCAATTTGAAACACCACAAAGACGACAGCGGCACGGGTCCGGCGCGTTACGGTGGTCTAGGTACCTATGAGTATCAGCCTCCGGAATATAGGAGTGAGCCATCTCACGGGCGTTCATTCGATGTTTATTCGCTTGGATGTGTCTTCCTGGAGTTGGCCACAGTCTGGGCGTATGGGTGGAATGATAACAAGCTCGGAGAGTTTCGCGACCTCAGGGGCAAAAATGAACAGAATATGGACACACCAACGTACTCGCCAGACTACTCGTACCACAATAATCCCAACGTAGTGGAGTCATGGAACCAATATCTTCGCCAGGAAGGTCCCAATCACGAATGTTTCAAGCAATTTCTCAGTCTTACTGCAGACATGATGAAACCTCGACCTCGAAGGATCTTTATCTGGGAGGCAAACATGGACTTGTTTGAACTGGCACATCTGTCTAACATGGTAGAAAAGAGGTCAGAACGACCCGAAGGTTACCTAACAGCACGTAGTCAAAGTGCCGAAAGAAGGTTAGAACGACTGCTCGAGGACCACTTCAGAACGATCGTACAGCCGCCTAAGACACCAGTCAACGGCTTAAGTAACTCTCGCAACCCCTTGCAGAGGGCTAGAAAGAGAGGCAAGCATTGGCAGCTCAAGATTCTTCAGGACAATTACTGGTCGGATGAGAAACCTCAAACATCATCGTTAGCGAAAGACCAAGAAGAGCATTTCTCGACGCTGGAAACTTGTCCGAAGAATGATGAATATGAATCTAACGATTTGTTTGGTCGCCACCAATTCGATAAGGAGATCAGCAAGATGTTTGACAAGCGCAGCTGTGTGGGGCTCTATGGGACTAGCGGAGTAGGGTAAGTGATTCCAGGATCCAACGCTATCTAAGCACATAATCTAAACTTTGACTAGGAAGTCTCATTTGGCATACAACTACATCAACCGATTCAGAAAGGCCGAAGTGTTCACGGAAAGAAAACACACCTTTTGGTTGGAGGCCGGCACAGAGGCTCGTTTGCGCAGTACTTTGCTCAAAGTTATCGAGCGGGTCAAATTGACACTTACAGAAATGGAAGATCCGTTTGTTGCCATGAGCAGGTGGCTGAGCTTATCTTCTAATGGATCATGGATAATGGTGGTAGATGGATTGGACAGCATTCCGATTGCTCGTCTGGTAAAAATGCTTCTACCAAAAGACGTTGGGAAAGACGTTGGGAAAATCTTGATTACGACGAACTGTCGAGATACCCTAGACGAGCTGACCCTATGCAGATACGAGTCGTGCATTCTAGTTGATGGTTTGGAGCTCGAAGCCCGCCGACAGTTGTTTCAGAGCTACTATAGAGATGTTCTGACATCAACGGCGGATATGGATAGCATACTTCAACAGTACAGTTTGCCTATCCTCATTAAGTTGGTGGCCAGTTACCTTCACAAGAGTGGGATTTCGCCGGCCACCTGGTACAAAGAAATGCGAAGCGGGGATGGTATCAAGAACCTTGAACATATACTCAAGGATGACCCTCAGGACCTTCGCCTCCTCCTCCCGCTTGTCGCTGATATTCCGTACAACAGCAACAGTGAAACAGACTACAGACAGTATCGCGAATTCCCAAGTGCTCCACTGAAGCTCTTGGCTGAGCTTTCTTGCCTCGATAATTCCGAGATAGACCTTGCTCTCCTGCAACAAAATTACGAGAAGAGGGAGACCGTCGGGAAGCTTTGGGATATGTTGGGCTTTCTTAAGAACTGCAACTTCATTGGGAAAGCTAAGCCGAAAGGAAAACCAGGCAATTCGCATTGCTACTTCATGCACGAAACGATCCAGGGTCTGGTACGCAGCTGGGTAACTAACAGCATGGGGCGACGAACCCTGCTTCAACTACATGAAACGGCATTGTGCCTACTCCTTGCTCAGTACTTGTTCGATAAGAAATTGTCCGGCACGCACCGGTCCACCTACCTTCTCAAACTGCCGTTCATGCCCCATTTCGAAAGATTCTCACAATTCGTTCAAAGTTGCGAAGGAGACAATCCGTTTCCGGGCTACGAATGCTCTGACAATATGGTACAATCTGTCATCACATTCATTCATGTCTACCTTGACGAAGGGCGCTACAACGATGCAGTATGCATTATGGACTTCATGCGCAAGCTTTATGCCAAGGGTCTTAAGTTCAAGCCTCATTTGGCTCGCCTTCTCGCCAAAGCCTACATACTGCCGCCCCTGCCAAGGGAGCGAAACACGGGTTGGAATCAAGCAGCAGAGTTTCTGGAAGAAGTGATTCAGGAATGCGCGAATCAGCGCAAAGACCAACAGCAAAAGTGGCTGTGTCTCCTTGAATTGATCGAATTGTATTGCAGATCAATGCGTCCAAAGGAAGCAGCCAAGGTTCTCAGCAGCTTTAGAGAAATCAGCCTCCAAACTGACAGATCCACAAAGAGGGCTCGTCTCAGAATACATAATAAGGAGGCATATCTTGGACCAGAGGCTGAACTCGACGTAGCTGAGATTAGTATTCGGAAAAAGATCGCAGAAGCTAGGGTCCATCTCACCTGGGCGAAGTTTCCTGCTCTCTTCCGCTCCAGACCAAGGGAATTGGAGAAGTCACGCATCGCTCTAGATGATGCGAAGTTAGCTATCAAATTTTTGTTTTCTGGGAACGAAACGTGGATTGCGGAAGTGGACGAAAGCATCGCCGATGTCTTGCTAGAATTCGACAATATGAGTTTAATTCAGGAAGCTCTGGACATCTATGAGCGCATATCTGAACTCGCACGAACGGACTTGAAAAAACCGCCGCCGACGACGGAGCGACCAGATACAGGGTCTGGACCCACACAAACGGACTTGGGAACAACGTCAACGACGACGAAGCGGGCAGATAAAGACAAGAGAAAGTGGCGCATTGACTGCAAAATCGCCCGCGCAAAGTTGCGGCTCGGGGCCAAATCGAGGCCCACAGCTGTTGACTTGCTTACTCAGACGATTTCATCATACGAAGCATTCTATGGGAAACGAGACGGTAAACACAACGAGCATACGCGTGCCTGTGCATACCTCTTACACGATGCCTATATGAAAGCTGAGGGAACCGGAAAAGCCCAGCATACCAAGGACCTATATCATCTGATGATTCGAGGCAATGACTACGTCCCATATCCCGACGTTAAGATAGGAAACGACTTTTTTGATTGCATACGTTCTCCGTTATGTTATCAGATTTTCACGTGTCTGGTTGTATTGTCGTCGGCAATGGTCTTTTTCTACTCGTCGCGGTACTAGCAGGACATCATGATTGTATGACAGAAGGGAGGGCGCTTACACTCACGTTAGCTCTCAATTGAAGCAACTTCAGAGTGTCTACATGTATGCTTAGGCACCTAGTTCTACACTACAGATAACAGCGTGAAACGTGAAGGGCGCGTTTCGTATTTTTTGACAGCCCCAGACGCCGAAGACCTTGGGTATAAAACTCCATTGCCAGCACAGGAAAGCCCAAAGCCAATAATTTGCCGTCCCAGGGCACATATGGGCGTTCTCGCTTCAGGCAGCCCACTAAGCTGCTTCGCTGTGTGCACAGTAATATTGCGGTCCGCACGTGTCCACGTAAAACCGTGCGTTCGTTGTAGATCATCACGAACAGTATACGCTGTTGGCATAGTCCATCAGATCGAGGAATGGTCGGGATGACTTCGGTCTCGTTCCAGCAAGTTTGAGGCTGAGTCACGTCGTACCGATACCTAAAGGTCCTGTTAGCGTGGTGCTATTTGTATGGCATCATCTGAAGGAGACATACGTGGGCTGGGCATCGTTGCATTGGAGGTATATTCGGACACGTTGTCGGTCATTTTCCTGGTTAAGGCGTGGTCTTTGGCAGCACAGCCAAACTCAGGCCGCTTGTAGGTCGCAAAAGAGTGTTGTTCGCCGTTGTCCTCCCGGCCTTGATCAGCAGCCATGGTGGTTGCTGCTCGTTCTCCAGCGACAGGCTCAAACGGGGTTTGAGTAGGGCCTTGCAAGCTCTGCGAGCTGCTGAGAGACCTTCTGAGCCGGTGAGTACTAGATACAATTTGGCCCCAGGGTGTCAGCCTACCCATTCGCAGACCCTAGGCCTTCAAGTATCATGCCTACTGTGCTGGGAGCGACGGCGCAGATTGCCGTTACGCAGACGACGCACTTGGAACTGTGGGAGACCGTAGAAAGACTAACAGCCACATGTCGCTGAAGCCTCGTTTTCAATATGTCCAAGAGTACATGGGCATCTGGTGTGTTGCGGTGCGCAGTTGCGAAGCGGAGCCACCAGCGGTTTCTTTCGTTTGGCGACCCGTCCATGCTGCGTGGTTGGACGTGTTGTGCTTTTAAGACAAAATTGCGAAACAAGGTATAAGAGCGACGAGTGACAAGGCGAGCTCCCGTCGGGCGGGTGCGGGGAAAGGCCTACCCAGCCATTTCACAGCCCTGCAAACATGGGTCGACTCATCAAAGGCCCGTGCACAGTTGCACATTTCTACGGAGCGATAGCCTTACCATTGTTAAATCGCTCGCCCCAGCACTGCCGCCTAAGTCAAGTCACCGGACCGTTCCGAAGAGCCGACCAGGTGTAATGATGGTAATCAACGATCCACGATTCAAAAAAAGCACTCCAGTCAGTACATGTTCATCATGGAGCTATTACAAGCTATTGTACGAAAGTCCCATTGCTTCAGAAAAAAATGTGTCTGACCCGCGGGTCCTTGGCTATCCCATCTAGTTGCTAGTTATCCCATGCAGCATGTGGTTTCGTTGAATCGCATCACTTGACAGGCAGATCCGATGGTACAGGCTGCAGCCAGATCACATAGGTAGTACTCAGGGAGGGACAATAAATTGATCACGGCTCTGATAGCAATAGAAATCATTGGTTTCAAGGGTAGGCCGGCGAGGAACAGTAGTTCCGAAGGAATTAGGCGCTCTTCGGACGTAACTCGTCCTTCGTCTTTGATACAATCTTACTTTCCTGATCTGGGCGCGATATTCGTACACGGTATTTCGTCCCACTGGAGCCGGGCTCGACAACTACTCCTGAGAACCAAGTTCCTGCCCCCGTCTAAGTATCATATGCCGCTGTTCGACCGTGAGGATCATGTTTGTGCTCACCTCCGTCTTTCACCTCAACCTCGTCGTTTTCCTTGTAAGCGTTGGCCATTTGGTTTGTGATGGATGGCTAGGACCTAATCAGCCTTGTCACGAGGCAATAGACCATGCAGTCAGACCTACCGTGTGCGTTAAGAGACTAGTCACTTCGGTGTGAAAATATAAAATGCCTTATTTGAGGTGAATGGAATGAGGCATCAGTCGGCTGTCTGTATTTTATAGTGCGTGGTCACTACCCTGATTTTTGCCTTGTGCGACCTCGAAATTAACATAGCCGCGTCTTTTGACCGGTACAGAGTAGCCTCGCAGTCCTTTAACCGGTGTATCATAGCCTCACAGCATCTTTCGGCGTTTTCTCTCGTACAGTGAGGCGATGTGCATGGGAATAGCCTTGATGTCACTCGTGGTGATACGCGATGTGGCTGCGCAGTCAGCCCCCCGCATTGCCCACCTCACTTGCCTCGCAGCTTTTCGACCGGTGCGGCATTTGATTCATTGCTGCACAACCAAGTCAGCCACGCCTGATTTCTCAGGCTGTTGCGGCTCAAGTACAACGATATCGTGGGTAAGTCACGTCTTATTAGAATCCAGTTGAACGACTTCGGACTTTTATCAGAATCACTCGACCAATGAAACGTTAACCGAGGACGCCGATCCCTCGCAGCTGCTTGAATCAAAGGGTCGTTCCTGGAGCCCAACTTACTGGAATGGATCCAACATCATTCGTCGCCAGTATACTCACACTGCTGGGGGGCTGCGGGGGCAAGCTGTGAATTCATTTACAACTTTATACTTGATATTTCTGAACTACCGGAGGAAATTCATTCTCAAGCGAGGAAGCTACAATGCTTGAAACAATCTATCTGGAATCTTGTCCGAATCTACGAACAAGATGCGGCGCCAGCAGAGCTACATTTGGATCCATTTCTGAAGGCTCAGCTGCACAAGTTCCTCTACGATACACAAAAGATTGAGGAGAAGATTAGAAGGAGCAGTTTCCGATTAGATCAGAGTCGTACCCACCATTTTCGGGAGCGTTTGTCATGGATCGCATCAAATCGACGAATGCGCAAATTTTATAGCACACTTGACGATTGGCTAAAGATATTCTCAACGGCGGCGACTGAAACAGAAATGTTCGTCAGGATACTCCCATCATCTTCGTGACCCTCGCTAATGCCAACTAGAGCCTTGCTGGTCAAGATTCAGAGACAGACTGCAGACCTGCGACCTTTATTATGCACCGCGCATCCTGATCATGTCCTATTGGCAGAGCATGTGGGATCAGGCATTGACTTCAAGGACGGCAAACCAACTATACGACCTCAGATGCCGTATGCACAACTAGGCCCGCCATTCATAAACTCTTCAGCCACGATCACGAAACGGGAACATCTTCCAAGGAGCGTAAGCGCATACTTAACTGACCTTGCAGTACCAGCCGGATATCGAGTGCAGCATTGGGTTACTGCGTATTACCCACAGTGGTCTGTAGATCTGCGATCTGGACCCACCGTTGTTAGATCTTGGACTAAGGAAGGAAAGACTATGCACAAGACGCTATGCTGGAGGGAAGGCCTCTGTTTTCACGTAATATTTCGATTGCATAGGATTTTACCTCGACGATTCACTCTAGTAGTTGCAAGTATTGCCCGCGTGCCTACATTCAATATGATTTGCAACCTGACAATGCATCGCATCTTAGATATACAGGGCACACCGTATGTAGCTTGTTTAAAAGGTGATTGGTCCCTCTTGAGGAACTTGATACAAAACAAAAGGGTCGGAATATCGGACACCACTGCGTATGGGAGTACGTTACTTCACGTCAGTTTGTCCATATTGTTATCTACAGACCTATACACTAACATCTGGGGTAGATTGCATCGCGTGAGAATCATTATGAAATGGTCTTAGGACTTCTTCGGGAGGGCGCCGTAGTGGACGCTGAAAATGATTTTGGAGCGTAAGATCTCATCAACCGACCGCCTATTCTTGCCAAAATTAACTCAACACAGAACACCTCTTCAAGAATCTGTGGAAGCCAACTGTGACTATAGGATTCTTAGCAAACTACTCAGCTACGGTGCGGACCTTGTCCACCAGGATAATACCGGGCGAACACCTCTTCACGTACACTTCAATTCCGCCGTTCAAAGCCTCATCGAATATCATTACATCGACATCGACAACACTTCGAGAGACTCTCAGGGCATGACGATACCACAGTATGTCGCATGGACCAACCGTTCCAAACGGGAAGATCTGCTCCGGTGCTATAACGGCGATAGTAGTTGTCTCGAGATAACGAACGAAGAAGGGAAATCTCCCCTTACATTTCGCATGTCAGAGAGGGAATCTGGACCTAGTCATCAGCCTCCTTGCCAGTAGCGGCGCCCTTGTTGCCGCACGCGACCTCCAGGGACGCACGTTGTTACATTACGCTACTGAAAGCAGTCGAAGTGCGCAAGTAATCGACTTGTTACTACAGAACGGTGCAGATGTACATGTACGTGATGCACAAGGACGAACAGTCATGCATTACGCTACTTTGCAGGGAAATATTCCTGCGGTCCAAAAGCTCATCGACGCTGGCGCGCTCTCGCAATTGTCCGCGTTGGACCATGCGTCGAGGACGCCATTCGAACTTGCGGTCCTGGAGGGCGATAATGCGATGGTTGAGTACTTGCAACACAATTATAAATTGTCCTCTGACAACATCGATCCGGAATCACTGGCAGCTGGCATTTGTCAGATGAGCAAGCATGCCCAGGTCAAGAAGGACGTGCGTTCTATGCTTCCGGTCCACCTTTGCCTGGTTATGGTGGCCATCATCTCGCTAAGGGTCTTAATGCATGGTCATGTATGGGCAGTACCCCCTGGTAATCGCCCACAACGAGTGAGCAAGACGTGAATGTACCTAGGTACTCAATACGAAGTGCGGCGGCAGTGCCCAGTCAATTCGTGCACTTGATAGCTCAATAGGAGCAGTTAAATTCCAAGTCTTCTCCCAAATCACATGCTTAGTTCATGCAGTACAATGTACAAAATTATTCATGTCGGTACAGCCTCGCGAAGTGTGGTAGAGAACATGCTATATATACTTCTACCGGGACTTTTAGCGATGCCCCGGTTCACGCCTAAGTGAACAATATGCGAGGCTAGCAACCGATCATGTGTTCAGCTATAAGTATCCAGTCGTGTTTTCCCGGCCATCGAAATGCAGTGTGTCAGGGCTAGTCTTCGATTGTCGTGAAGGTGGGAGCAAAAACCTTAGTGCGTCTGGTGACTATGTCCAACTTGGGCTAGGCCGGCATCAGCCGGCCAGTGGCGGCACGCATTACCCGACAATGGTGGGTCTCTCAAAAGACGACTTCTGCCCTTCGTACTATCCTGCCAAACTTTGTAAATATTCGAATCATGGCAGACACGAGGTCTTACGGTACGACCGAATCAGTTGCAGGAAGAGCAGAAAATACTCCTACGACTACAATTACGGATATCCCGGAGCAAGATACAGAGGCAAAAATTCAGCAGTCTAGCGCAAGCCGGAATCTGAAACACTTCTACGAGAGGAACTTTGGACTGTTCCTTGTATTTCTGGCTCAGACATGTGGATCAATAGTGCGCGACGTTGTCTTCGAGTTTATCTAGGCTTAAAGCACTAACCGGCGACAGATGAACACCGCAGCAAAACTGCTGGCAACAGGCTACGAAACTAAGTTCCATGCCTTGCAGATCATCTTCGTTCGCATGTCTTGCACAACTGTCCTGAGTTGCTTGTACATATGGTACAATAAGATTCCACGGTCTCAGGGCGTGACTGGACTCTTAATACTACGCGGGGTCGCGGGTTTCATCGGACTGTTTGGTCTGTATTGTAAGTTGTCTTGACGTGATTTACTTGTCATAATACTGATCAACGTTCAAAGATTCACTCTCCTGGCTTGAGTTTGCTGATGCGACAGTGATTACATTCATCATCCCCACGATGACAGCTCTGGTCTGCTGGGTCTGGCTTAGAGAGCCATACACCGTAAAAGAAGCGCTCGCTGGTCTCCTTGCCTTCACCGGCGTCCTGTTCGTTGCTCGTCCACCATGGCTTTTCCCAAGCGCGCCCCTGGACCCTATCTCTGGCGAGCCATCTAAGCCCGTGGAAGATCCAAGCAGCAACTCTTTGAGTCTCCTTGCTTTTGGGATGCTGGGTGCAAAAGCCCCTTCTCTCCCTACTGTCTCGGCCGAGCAAAGGACGATTGCCATTCTTCTTGCTGTGCTTGGCACTTTTGGCGCATCAACAGCCTACGCTACCATTCGCGTCATAGGGAAACGCGCACACTCACTCATCAGCGTGACGTACTTCGCGTTCCTCTCTACCATCGGATCCGCGCTCATTATCCTCATCCATCCCGACCTGCACTTCGTCATGCCCGAAGACCTCAGTCAATGGGGTCTCATCGCCATCATCGGTCTCGCAGGCTTCGCACTCCAATTTCTCCTCACTGAAGGCTTGCAAAGAGAAAAGGGTGGAAGAGCAACTAATCTTACCTACCTGCAGCTCGTCTTTGCTTTGGTTGTTGAGCGTGTTATATGGGGAACCACGCCGCCGGTTGAGAGCTTGTTCGGGGCAATGCTAATTATCGGTGCTGCTGTCTGGGTGAGCCTGCAGAAGAATGCGGAGAAGGGAATTAAGGTCGCCGATGAGGAGAGTAGTCTACTCGGAAACGACCAGGAGGAAGACGGAGGCCGTAGAAGAAGTGGGGCGACTGCGGAGGATTAGGGGCTAGTCAGATAAGTCAGAGAAAAATTGGATATTTATCGACGGCGACAGTTCAGTCTCCTACTAGCCTCCACCTTGATGTGGGTCACGTAAGTGATATAGCTCATGGCTTGTTCAACTCATGACAACGATATCCAGTGCCTCTTCCAGTAACCTCAGAGATCTTATTCAGCTCGCGCCCTATCCCTTCAACTCAGCCTCCCAGTTCTCGATAAACCTTCTCGTCAACTCATGCATCTCCATCGTCCACGGACTCTCAGCATCTTCCATAACTCTCCTCTTATACCCCTCATTCGCCCACACAGTCGCCTTCTCCCAGTCTCCTACCCTCGCATGGCTAATCGCCGCAATCCTATACGCCTGCGCGTAATAATCCGCCAGCCCCTCCTTCTCCACCAAACTAGCGAGCTGCAGACTCGAATCCGCATTCTTGCGCGCTTTCCGAATAGCAGAAGGATGCGTCGGGGTTGTCAAGTTCATCTGCGCCGAAAAAGCTCGGATAGCCTGCTCAATATCCACGCGGGACTTATCCGAGTGGTGCAGATCAACCGGGTGTTGCGAGCACGCTGGACACGTGCAGGTGAAGCCGTAACGAGCGAGCTTCTTCTGTCTTTCTTCGCGGGGTATGAGTAGGGAGATAAATGACACGAAGATCTCTTCGCCTTCTTCGATCTCGCGGGTGGCGTAGACGAAGCGTCGCTTTAGCTTGTCGTTCCAGTAGTACGCTGCATTGGGTCGACACGAGTGGTTTATCCGCGCAATCTTGGGGAAGAGTCCGATCTCGGAGCCGGTGTCGTACGCGTTGTTGCGGAAGATGAGGCCGAGGATGTCCAGGTTGTCGCCGTATCGTCGGATGTCGCTTGGTAAGACGGAGTATGTCAAGTCGAGCACGTCATGCTTCTTTGCCTCGGAGAGACGATCATATTCTGCGTGCACGAGCTCGGAAATTATAGGTAGTGGATAGGCGCTTCCTGGAGCATGCTTTGGAGGTTTTATTGTTATGACCGGGGCTTCGCGCATGATGATTGAACCGGTTTCCAAGATATGCGCTGCGAAGACACCGAGACCCTTCCCAGGGCTCGGTTCTACCATATAAGGAAGCGGAGGGTAAGGGCATTGTGTTTGGAAGATGTGGCTTGGGCATGTTGCGTAATTGGCAGGCAATGACACGAGAAAAGGTAGAATGTGCATTATCGATCTTTTCTGTCCAAAGCTGGAGAGGTAAACAGGCTCGTAAATGTTGAAGGTCTGTAATCTGGGGTTGATGTGATGGAGTCGGTTGATGTTTCGGACGGTTGTTTCATGCCTGCAGTGTCGCGCAGCAGCGGCATCCACTTGCGACGATCACCGCATCAGAAACCACAACTTCGCGTCAAGAGCTCGGCTATCATATTTGGTTAGTGCTTCGTGCTTCTCCGTCGTAAAGACCGTGACACTTTTCCGAGAGCGAATTGGGACGCATTTGCCCTAAGGAAACAGCATGTTATGATCGAGATCTTGAGGCACGGAAAGCTCAGAGAATTGTTGTATTTGTCACTGGAGTGTCAGTTCCCGAAACAATGGGCAACAAACCAAACGGCAAGCGAAATACTACATGAGAAGTTGTATCCCTCTGCCATGCTAAGATGTTAACTTCCTTTCTCAGCGAAGAGCTTCTACAGCAAGTCACTGGGCTGATATATACTCCGAGACCGAGTGCGAGAATTCCTTAATGGAAATTATTATCTAAGAATTGGCGAGAAAGGTCTGGTCTGAACTTCAGACCCTGCAATGTGCTTTTCTTTACGGAGATAACTATGCGTTTACGGTACTGGGACGATGGGCTGGTGTGGTCTCTTCACAGCCATTGGCGCACTCGTTTTGTTAAGGGGCAGGTCTGCTTTGGTTTGCCCAAACAAAGACAGGCCGATGACTGCGCAGGTTGATTTCTCGCCGCCTGGTTAATTCGAAATACTCAGCAGGAACGTTGACATTGAGTCTCGAGACTACGTCAGTGTACTTTCACTATCCCGACGGTCTTGGTGGCACGTGCCCTGGAGGGTAGTGAATAACTGACCGCGGAAGTGGTTCCTGAGGAATGACCACGCACGTATCATTGCCGCTCACCAAAGCCTCTATATAAACCCTGAGACTTTCTCAAGTATTCTCTCACCCTCCCAGAACTCCCTCACCCTCCCAACTTTGATATCAATTTCGAACATATCAGATATCCTGAAACCGCGCAAACGATGGATTCTTCCCTTCGAATGACGGTACTCCTTACCATGCAGGCTCGTCGCGCCTCCGATGCTGGAAAGACGATCAAGACTTCAGAGAACCTCGCTCCCGTCCGTCTTGATCGACTACCATCCGAAATTATACTCATCATCCTCTCACATCTACTCGACCACGACAAACTCTTCGCCAAAACTTGCATCAAGTATGCCCGAATAGCGCATGTGAAGAAGTCTGTCTTCCTGATTCCGGACGAGACGATGAGCCTACGAAATTCGGCCATCCTCTGTCGGAGCATCATGCCCGCTGCTCAGGAGTTGTTGTTACATACGATCTGCATCGATGATCAGAAGCGTGGTCCATCAAACCCAACATCAATCTTCTCCATGATGGGAAGGATCTACAATCAGCATCCAAGCGGCCTCCTTCCGTTCTCGCAGAGCAAGTTGTTCAGGTTAATTCGCCTGCTGATCAACACCCCGCACCTTCGCAAACATGTGAAGCAGCTGCATATCTCCTTGCCAGCCTGCCGATACTCCAACGGCCAGCACGCTGCCGTCAACAAGTTGGAGGACGAGGTTGTGTCCGCGCTGGAGCCAGAGGTGGATGGGTCAGCCCGCACTGGGGCACTTGTTCCTGCAAAGGCGCAATTCCTGGGATTCGGCCCTCTCAAGACATTGTTGGGGCAGTGGAAGTCACGAGGAGAGTCTGATGTCGCGATGTCACATGAGCAACTGTGCGTCTGGTTGAAAACACTACTAGTGTTACTTCCAAACCTGCAGAGCCTGAGACTGTGGGATATCCACTCCTACTCGGCTGAATCCGAATCCTGGGCTGACCTTCGCCGCAAGACAGAGCCTTTGCCTCGAATCATAAGGACCTGCTTGTCTTCTTCGCTGATAGCTTTCGAAAAACTCTGCTATATCAGCATTCCGGTCTATCAGGCCTCGGGCGTCTTGATCCTGCTGGACCTGCCTAATGTCAAGACCGCAGAACTAACCATATTGCGTGGACGAGCAAGCCCCGAGATACGACAATCTACCGAGATCATAAAGCACGTTGAAAATCTGCGATTCCCTTTCGTCGACATGGGAAGTGATCCCGATGAGTTCGTACATGCGATGGCCAGCCTCCTAGTGCTGTTCGAAAATGTGCGTTCCATTGAAGTCTACGATGGTGTGGATCACGACCAGCACCGAAGGTTCTACAACCCGTGGCTACTGGAGATCTTCTCAACACTCACGCCAGCGCTCACGCCTCTCTGCGAGACCCTGCAGACGTTGCGCTACGCAGGGTACTTCAGTTACGCCGAGGAGTACTACTGCAGCTTTCCGGACCTCTCCGCTTTCCATCAGCTGAAGACACTTGATATACCCCAACAGCTGATCTTCGGCCGCGACAGGGATTCGATGGATCCGCCGTCTATCTCGGGGCCTCGCTGGACGTCTTCACGTCTCAGAATCGATCACCTCCCGCCAAACATCGAATCAATGACCCTCGATCGGTGTGACGGCGTCATTCTCAAGTATCTTAAGGCACTTGTGAATAACGAAGACAAATTCCCTGTACTTCATCAGGTAGACGTCATTTTCAACTGTCAACAGGGTATGGAGATGCTTGCTAGCCTGCTCGACAAGGACGGCAAGGGGGTTGAGGGCTCGAGGATCAAATTCCGGCCTATCAAAGATTACTGGGAGAATACCGGTTTGGCGGCCCTCCTGGCAACGTTGGCGGCCTCCGCGGAAGCATGAGAAGCTGGTGTTCTTGCTCGTTCAATCACCTAAAGTATCATCTCGACCAGGTTTGGAATAGAGCAGCGTGAGCTCAGGTTCTTGCATTGTGTTTTTTTCTTAGATTTCTCCAGTTTAAACGTTGGGCATACAAATACAATGAAAGCTACCGATGTTCAATCCTCGACGTTGTGCAGTGAACAGCTTCAAGCTTCCCCAACCCCCACGAATTCATCCCTCACTATTATACATAGACTAGGAGGTATATCCATAATCCTCGACAGATTAATCTCAATATCATTAAAGTGTAATGTGCGAATGGCTACCAGCGCCATATCAGTGGTATCAATACTCGTTAACTTTTCATGGGCGCATGAAGCGTCATGTAAAACCCTCTGGGGCCCAAGAGGAACAAACGCCAGAAACATGAGCGTCACACCGCCCCAACCTAGCTTGAGCGATCACTCAGTCCAGATGCAAAGTGTTATCCAAGGATAAGACAGACCGTCTCCCAAGGATAAGACACTTCTCGTAAACTGCTACACCCGGAACGCCGTCCTCGTTCCCGTCCTATCCACCCACTCGCCCAGTCCATGATCAGCATGTGCCCAGTAATCCCTCGTCCTCTTATACAACGCCATCCTTTCCGCGAAGCTAGACACTGCAAGAATTTCTCGGAAGCCCAACGGCCGCTCCTCAGCCGGCACGTCATCTAACTCGATGGCTGTCCCGGAGTCTGCGCGTTTTGGTCGGACAACGGGCGGTCTCTTCTGCGACGGTGCTTTTTGCGGAACAGACGGTCTCATTTCGGCGACTGGCGGTGGTGGTGGAGGAGGCGGCGGCGGGGCCTGGTATGTGTATGGGTTTGTCGTTGACGCAGAAGGCATAAGTGAATACGAAGGCTTGGTCCTCAGCACCGGTGACTCCCTTGAAGGTCTCGGTGGCGGAATGACCTTCTTTGCCTCCTCATCTTCCTGTGGGGACTCAACTACCGGCGATTCGTGATGCGCCTTCTGCCAGAACCGTGACGTGCTCGTCTTCTTTCTTAGACTGTGTACCGACATCTCGCCTTGCGGCCTGCCATCTGCTGACTCGACCGCGTCGTGTCTTACGAATCTTCGATCAGGAGAGTTTGAATTCGAGCGCCCGCGCAGCAGCGATAATGAGGTTTTCAGCTTCAAACTTGGTTGACTTCTTAGGGTCGATGCAATCGTGTTTGATCTGCGAGGCACTTCGATGTTGCCGTGTGCAACGAACGTATGCGACGGCGTGACATCGGGCTCAATGATGGTAGAAGATCGTTCGATGCCGACAATAGGTACCGTTGCTCCAGGTACGCTCACGCCACCAACGTGCCGTGCGTCAAAGGGCGCTGAGATGGTCCTTGACTTCGGCTTAGTCATGGCGATCGTGCACTCAGAGTCAAAAGAAATGCAGTGTGATGTAGGACAACAGGTTTGGTCGGGTAAAAGCAAGGCGTTTCGACTAAAGTGAGTCTCTCTGATGCAGAGGGCGCAAACAGCGAGATGAATTGGCCAAGCGTTGCAGCGAAGACGGAGTACGAGACGTGATCAAGTCGATTATTATCGACTTGAGCAAATTGCAATGCTAAGAATGGTCCGGGAGAGTATCGTGATGCGATACAACTCTCACCGTGGACGCGAAGAGTGGGGAGATAGGATGTGACCTGACCCGTGACGGCGCATTACCCTGCACGGATCAAACCAGGGCTGCTGCTGGTGAGGTTTTGGGTGCGCCAAAGAGTCCTATGACGCGGGATGAAAGAAGTCATGTGGCTGAAGCGGGAAATCTACCCCACAACTCGATGGAAGGGGCTTGAGACGTAAACTGTCTTAAGAGGTTCGGGTATACAACTGGGTGATATTGGATCAGTTCTGGCTTCCAGATTTCAGGTGTTAAGTTCCTTCGGCAATAGCACAAGCGCGCGGCTTATTGCTAACCCTCGCCTTAATACTGTTCTGGTACCTTGGAAGCATGCATCGGCCTTCCCATACCCGAAAACTACGTCCGTGGTAGGGAACGATACGCTATCAATGCCCAAGAGGACAGACGTACCTGTCTTGCGTTAGACACTACGTCAGCCGCCATGCGTTCTCTAGCTGTCAAAGACTTCAGAAACCAAGTGGAAATGGCAAGGCTATTGTGGCGGACAAGCCAAGGACCAGGGTACTCCGAAGTACGGTGGGTCTCAGAAGAGACGGAATTGCACGTAAAGAAGGGCGTCCATCGATCGCTCTCGTCAGATCTCGCTTGCACCATCTCGCATGCAAGGTGCTTGGTACGACCACTAAGACATGGTCGCTTTGGTAAGCATAAGTGCTAATCAAACTTCAAACCGGATAAGAAGATGCAGACGCTCGTTGTGAAAAGCCTTGACGATGCGAACTTATGCTTCGAGATAGTTTCGGTAGACGCGGCCGTGAGTTGCGTGGGCTTCTAAGATGTTGTTGATGGTCATTTTGCTAGAGAGTCGATAGCGGACTTTCATCATCAAAATCTGAAGAAGGATGACGCGATTGTGTTTCCAGAGCGTTTGATTTCCAGAAGTCCCAGAAACGAGCTGTTCACCCGTGTGCGTGGTCGCGAGGAACAGCTGGAGAAGACTCCTTGGCCAACCAGAACGCGAAATACCTCAGCGCTTTACCCGAATGCAAGCCAAGCAACATCCTGAATAGCTTAGGCCCCGGTGTTCTTATGGTTGCTCGACAGACATGAGGCAGATGTTGTCTCCAAGCTTTCGGCAACGTTTGAGGTGTGCGGTAGAAGGCTTGGCAATCTTCCACCAATCAACATTCACTGCACCAAGCGCTCCGTGCCAGGATCGGGAAAGCTCAACCATGTGCAGGGTCCGCATGCTTGCGCACATCATCGCGCGAGGCTGTCTGAAGTGTCGATCACGTACTTATGGTGGGCTCTCGTATCCAGGAGGCTCTCTTATGCGACAACACACTGTTTGGCGCCTCCAGGCACCGCGGAGCTCGCGAAGACAGGCACAGTGGCGGCTGTAGGATTGTGTCAGGCCGAGAATAGCATGGCCGCAACGTGCTTTGCCTGTATATAAGAACAATGCAGCCTCGCAGCCTAACTTCTCATTCCATCAAAGCATCTTCAGCTTACAAAACTGTCGTTAATCGTCTATTCTTTCACTTTCGCACTTCTATTCTATCGTTCCTGGAGAACCAATCTCGGCCGGTCCTTTTCGACACTGTATAACTTTTTACCATCCCCACATTCCTTTTCAGAGTAACGATATAACGACGAGACCGATATCAAGATGAAGCAGTCTATCATCGCTCTTTCCCTCGTTGGTGCCGTCCTTGGCCGTCCTGGTGTGAACAGGTACAACTTCGAGAAGCGTGAAGTCCCCCAGGAACACGCTCACAGGAACGTCAACCTCGAAGTGAGCAAGTCCTTGAACTTGGACAACCCGGACAACATCCAGGACCCTATCTTTGGTCTTCTCGGAGCTGCTGCTGCTGCGGCCGGAGCCGGCAGCATTGCCGATCCTGGTATGTTCTTTAATCTTGGACTGATATATGAATTGAGCTAACTTCCCCAGATTGTCTTCAGCAAGCCACTGCCGACCAGGCCTTCACCAATGCTAAGGCTGCCGGTGATGTCAACGGCATGACCTTTGCTCTTATCTTCCGTGCCTTGGAGCGCAACACTGGATCCGTTGGCCTGGCCTCCGTTCCATGCACCTCCATCCAGGCTGTCAACCCTGAGATCGCTGCTCTCCAGCAACATCAGGACCCTGCTTCGGACGGTGCCGCCGCCCTCAACAAGCAGATTGCCCAGGACCTGGCCGCGCAGATCGGTGCCATCGGTGGCGACCCGACTCTCGCCAACGAGGCCAGCACATTCGCTCCCGGCGAGATCGGAGACGCAACCGCCAAGGGCAACACTTGCGACGATGACGCGGACGACGCTGGTTGCATCAACACCCTTGGACTTCGTGTCGATGATTTGACCGAAGAGGAGGCCTTGGCTGCCGCGCAGGGCGGTGCTGGAGCCGGAAATGCCGCTGCTGGGAACGGCACTGCCGCCGCAGACAGTGAAAACGCGAACAAGGACAGCGGAAACGCAGACGACTCTGATGCTGGCGCCGCCGCGTGCCTCGCCGCAGGAAACGCCGACTCCGGTAACGCCACGGACAACGCCGGAGACGCTGGAAATGCGGACTCAGGCAACGCTTCCAACGATGCCGGAAACGCCTCCGCTGATGCTGGCAATGCCGCAAACGCCACTGCTGATGCTGGAGCTGCTGCCGGTGCCGCCGCGTTCGGTTCCTGCTCCGACCCTACCATCACCTTCTCCCAGGCTCCCTCTGACGGCCGCCAGGAAGCTGCCTTCGAGGCCACCGATCTGACCAACTTCCCCCACGGCTCTGCTCTCGGCATCGGTGTCATCTCCAGCTTCATCTGCGACCAGCTCGTCAACAAGTGCAAGGCTGAGCAAGCTGCTGTTGACTCGTGCGACCAGGCTGATGCTGCGGTCAAGGCTTCTGGCTTGAGTGGCCAGGCGGCTGCGGACTCTTTCAACCAGGCTCTTGGCTTTTAAGCTGTGTTGAACGAGTGAGTTTTATGTAGACGGGGAGCTGGTGATTCACTTTGGGTTCGGGTGGAGAGTGCTTGTACGATTAGCTTGATGGAATGCCTAGAATGCGTTTTGGGTCACGATTCTCTTTTTCTTGCACAGATACCAATTGAAAACTTTTTACTGTGGACAAAACCCCTTGCCTGTTCGTTGATGTAATACCTTTGTCTTGCGCTGATGCTGTATTATTGAAGGAATATGAAGGCCAGCGAGACGCGCCCCATTCTCGTTGTCAGTGCTTTATCATTTACCATGTTCAAAGTCAAGCTGAAGCATGATAGCCGAGCGGAGCTAACTCTTGAGAAGAAACTCGCACACTGGGTGAGTTGACAAAGTATTGATGTGGAGACGTGACCTAATGGATCTATAGACGCAACACACGCGCACCATGCTGCCTCGAACGTCGCAGAGACTGGTCTCGATCGCCCGCCCCAACAGCGAAATGTACACTCTCTAGACAACACACACCACAGACCAACCCATCTTACCCAATCTCACGTCCCACATCACCCTTCCACACCCACCCCATCCCTACACCCTATGAAAATAAACATGCAAGCTCCTCCCCCGGCCTATTCCTCTCCTTATTCCACCCCGCATCCCCAACGTCAACACCATACTCATCGGCTCCCCATACACAAACGTCTGCCCCTTCTCCCACTGCCCATTCACCATCTCATGCACCTCGCTCAGCCCGTACCCCTCGCACTCCTGATTATCATTACACACTTCAATCAACCTGTTAACGCTCGTGCTGCACGAAACATACAGCATCTCGACCTCCATCGGCATCCCGTGGTTCAGCCAGGGGAACACCGGGCCCTTGAGAACATGCACGATGGTGTGGTTGTCGGACTCGACCATCGTTACGCCCGGGGGTACGCCGCCCGGGAGAGAGGTGATGTCGCCTTGGGGAGGCTGTGGTTCGGCGGTGGCTTCGGTTATGATGCCCGGGGCGGGGCGGTGCATGCCGGGCCAGAAGCCCATACCGTTACCCATACCTCCCATCATGCCCATGCCCATGCCCATGCCCATACCCATGCCTCCAAGCCCCATCACGCCTAGTCCTGGGATCCCACCCCCAGCCCACAGCGGCGCCCCAGGCGCAAAAGGAGGCACGCAGCCTGCGATATCAGGCGGCGCAGGCGGCCCGTCCATGTTACGCTCGAAGCCCAGCCACGGCATGCCGGGGACACAGGCGCCGTACTGCGTCGAGGGATTGCCCAGGAGACCGGGTGTGTTCCACGGCATGCGCGGCGGCGCGAGAGGACCTGCGGATTGAACGCCTCCGAAACCCATGCCCATGCCCATCATTGGACCGAACGGCATGGGCATTCCCATCCCCATGCCTATTCCCATGCCTCCCATCATCGGTGGGGGAACGGACCGAGGGTGTGCGCGGTGGGTAGGCCGGGGAGGTGATGCGTCATGGTAGGGGAAGATCTGTTCATTCGAGGTGCCATCCGCAGCGTTGTGTTCTGTAGCTGCTGGGGGCGGGCCAGGAGGATAAGGTGTGTTAGGAGGATCGAAAGAGGGTGGGACGGGGTCGCGGTTCATGGCGATGTTGCCGCCTACATTTGGGAACCAGGATTCGCCGAGGAGGAGGGGACCGGACATGTTGGGGAGGATGGTGGATGTCAACGATCAAGGCGATAGATTAAGGGGGTGGAGTATGAACGAAAGACTGCGGAAGGTTGTGTCGCTCCAGTGTGAGATATGGCGGCGGTGGTAGGTTCAACTGCTTTGGAGGGAGAGACGATTGAGGATAGAGATGAATGCCGTGCTGAAAGGCAGGTTATATATAAAGCAACTCATGGCATTGAAGGGCGCAACACGATGTCTGAACGTGAAGCGTAAAGCAGTGTTCGTCAATGAGCTTCACGACGAACAAAACCATCGTAGTTGCTGGGCTTGAAGAGTGTCGTGAAGAAGGCGGCAAATAGTGAATAGTCGGTGTCGCGACCACGTCGATGTGTTAATGCGAGTGTGTCGGTCACAAACGAGGACTTCGAGCGGTGCGTGGTTCTGTGAAGTGTTGCAATGAACGTTCGACGTGTGAATTTAGAGACATGTAAACAAGCGACTTCCGGAACGTAAGCTTTGATCTGCTCAAGATGCTTGTACCAAGGTAGCGAAGATATTGAAAGTCAATAAGTTTGACATAGCTGTGGAAGAGGTGCGCTTTGCTTTCCGATGGCGAGTGGTGCGGGCAGCCGGCGGCGAAAATCTGGCGCGCATTCACATTAGGAGTGTTCGAAGACTGCGATGGTCTGAACCGACGTCGTACGGATGTGTAAGATCTCGAACTGACATGATTGTGACGGCCTAGGTGTGATGAACGGAATAGCCTCATGTTGCAACTCTCGAGATGTCAGACCCTTAACGTGAATAGACTCGTACCTATACAACCCGTGAAATGGTATATTACATGCCAGACCCATATTCAAATGCTAATTGCCCGCGACGACCGCCAATCCTTCGTAGATCTTTCTCTTCACCTTGTAGAATGTCACTCCATCGCTCTTCCTATTCGCCAGGTTGTAGGCACCACCATCAACCTCAACTCTGTTCGTAAGCTTGTTAATGGTCACAGACACATTTCCGTTGATGACCAATACACCTGCGCCTCCAAATTCCGCTGTCATTCCAGAAGCCTGTAGGAACTTACGCAGGTCTGGTAGACGTAGATCGCCGACATGGAAGGGCTGCGCAACAGTGCGGACAGCAGTGGAGAAGTTAGCGGGTACGACATCGAGTATGGGGGTTGCGTCCATCTTGTCATTCTCCGCGGTCGACGATGCGGCCTCGAGCTTGGCTTTCTTCTTTGCGGGCGTGTCTTCCACCTCTTCAGGCGATGGCTCGAGGGAGGCAGCTGCCAGTCGGCCAGTGATGGCGACGACACCAAGGCCTCTCACCTTTTGCCATTGCAGTTTCCGCACCATATTGCGGCTGAGCTTGACAGTCCAGGCGTTCGTGTCGACGCTGGCGTCTATCGTGTCGCCTAGACCGGGCGTGAAAACGTCCACTATATTTGAGGATTCGCCAGCGCGGGCAGCGAGTACAGTCCGGGCTTCTTCCGCCAATTTCTCTGTCTCGACTTCGTCGCCCGCAACAAAAATAAGCTTCCGGGGCTGAATGAGAGGTAACAGATTGTTGATTATACGCAGATCGTGCAGTGCTGAAAAGTCCACAAAGGCGATGCGGCAGTGCAACTGCAGCGTTTCCATCTCGAATATGACTTTTGACGGGCCTTCAATGCGATCCTGGTCGTCTTCAGGTTCGTCATCAGAAGCATCGCGACCATCGTTCAATCCCTGCGCGTCTGACTCTGGTTTCCGGTTCTTCTTCTGGCGACCTCCGTCGCGAGTTTGGATCGTCAAGTCTTCCCACTTCCTTTTCTGCCCTATCTCATTGTCTTTTTTGGGCCCGTCTCGTAGCGCCTCTGTAGCGACTTGATCATCCTCGTCTGCGCGGGCAAACTCTTCTGGTCGGATTACTTCGCCGAATTCATCCATACGCCGCTGCTTGGTAACTATGGGGAACATTTTTTCTTCTCCCCTCTTGGCCCGGACGTCCCAATCGTGCATATTCTTGCGCTGGACAAGGATTTTGACACCAAGCTCTTCGTCACTTAGTCCTAGCTTCTTTCGTGTATGGCGCAGGATCGTTGCAGTATTCAAAAGCCTTCCTTGATGTTCATCATCGGAGTCTTCAGAAGTCGTGGAAGTGGACGCCGACCAATCGTCCCCCACGGCTCCTGAGGTCTCCAGCGCAGTGCCAGAGTCACCTTGCATGGTGGTTTGTAGCTGTCGTTGCCTGGCAAGATACTGTTGGTACAAAGGAAGCTCCTGACCGTTCAGTGCTACTGCTCGGGCCGATCTGAGTGGAGCTTGCGTGCCGTCGCTGGGAATCGATGCAGTAGAACCTGAGTCTTGCTCAGCCGCGGGGTTTTTCTCATTCCACAACTCCCAAAGGTATCTACCCAGGCCCTTGTCCGAGCCTCCAGGATCTCCGATGCGCTCTGTTAGAACAATTAAGTTGCGGGGATCTGATGCTAAGCTCTTGATTGCGTCCTTGGAGAAGCCCCATTCCAGCGACGTATCGCTTGCGAGGATAACACGAGGTTCCGTTTGTGCTAACATTCTCGTAACCCGTGATCTCCGTTCGAGTAGCGTGATATGCTTAAAGTCGAACGAATCGTTCTCGATCCCTTTCTCCATCCACTCTAGCATACTCCGCGCGTAACGCATGGTCGCTCCAGCGGTCCTGCTTGCAAGATAAACTTTTGCGTTGTTCAGTTGACTGCCCACCTCTTTCCAGGTCTCTTCGAGCAGATGCGCTAATTCAAGAATTCGAGCGCTCGAGTCGGAAGGGATCAAAACGGAGCCACCGTTTGCTACAGTGTCTCTAATCAAAGATACAAGTGCTTCGTCTCGTTGGTTAAGCCCCACGGCTTTCTTCAGACCGGTGCCTCTGCTGCTACAGATCATAGCAGTGGGACGGCGCAACTCTTTGATGACTTCGCCTCCGACCTCACCGAACCAAGCAGCGCCTGGCAAGGCACGCTCTCTCGCCTGGTTCCAGTCGACGGCATACACGATCGACTCCATGCCGTGCTGGATGTGCCATATTGTCCCTCCAAGTGTATGTCCAGCGCTGTACGCAGTGATCGTAAGTGTGCCAAGAGGTGGCGCGTTCGGTAGCTGTTGAGGTTGGGTTGGTTGCGAATATTTAAGAGGATTGATGAGGCCGAAATAGTTTGCAATCTCTTCGGATGTCGGTGCTTGCATTAGGATGTTAGGGTTGGTGTTTCCCAAGGAGTAGGAAGCTTCGGCGAGAGCATCGGCCGGCACGGTCGAGCATGCCAGCGGTGTTGATTCATACAGATCTTGCAGCAGTGTACGTCCGAGTGAGATGACGGGGGTGGTTGCGTAGACAGGTATGCTTTTGAATTGAGGGAAGTGTTTGCAGCAGTGGACGAAGGCACCGATGTGCGCGATGGTCGCATGGGTGAGGAGAATGAACGAGAGTGTCGGTATGTGTCTGAAGCAGAACAGTCAGTGTATTTCTTTGATATGTAGATGCTACAGTGAGCGCGTTCGCTCCTAGCTAGACTCCTGGCACAAATCGCCAATCGCTACTGCGCACAACGTACTTCTCAATCTCCTTCAGCTTCTCCACGTCGAAGCCCTCATCCCAGCCCACGTCAACGAGTACCTTGATGCCACCGTCAAATTCCAGCAATGATTGCGACGCCGACGACGCCGACTGCGCGCCCAGCAGCGGTGTGAATGTAAACATGGTGTTGGCTCAGTCGATTGGGACAGCCGCGCGTGCGCGCAATCCTAAAGAGGCGTTTAAGGCGATAGCATGGCCACACTGCGGGTGAGTGTCTTGCCGTTGAAGCTCATTGTACGTGAACCTCGAACGCGCTTTCACAGACCTCGCCCGGAAGAACTGTCGGCCCGAAAGGTTGCCAAGGTCTGACCTCAACCCGTGGAGTGCACAAGTAGACATACTCTCATACTCTTTGCCTTCTATTACCGACAGGCCATTGGTATCGACAAATCTTGCGAGCCTCATTTCGAATGATCCACGTTGGGCGTCATCCACCATGATGCCCGATATGAGAGTCACGTGACACTCTTTCCGACCACGCGCAACCATCGGCATCTGGCATGGGCTCGGAAAGCCTCCTCAAGTAAATAGACGCCAGCGTGCATAGTGCATATACAACGGGCCGATGGCGAACCAGCTAGCGATACCACTTGTTTGGAGACCTGGGCGCCTAAGCACCAGCTCCTGCGAAGTGGTTCGGACAGCGCCGCACAGCTCCCAGCAACATCCGGTCAAGGATAGTGTTGGCTCGATGCTGGACCGTGGCGCTGACAGCTCGTATTCTCTGTCTAGCGAGTTGATCGTCTACGAGATCGTCTGCTCTCGCGATTGCTGGGCCGCCCTTCATTTGAATTGGCACCTCGATGCCAGACCCACTGCCCCGCTCAAGGCAGCTTTTGCGCCATCTTCCGCGCCATCTTCCGCTAATGATGCACGTCACACAATTATCCCACGTCGAGGCTGCACTGGCGTCCGTCTGCCATGCTTGTGACGGCGGACTAATGTGCGTATTGCGAGTGTTTCGCGATGGTAATGACTCTCTCCCTTCTCACGAACCGCTTGTTCTGGCCACTCAGCTCACTGGATTACGCGTCGATTTCCGGCCTCACATCGGGTCGGTATCGCGGACTAATGCGAGACGGCGATCATTGTTCGCTTCGAACAACCTTCTGAGCGCGATACTGCAGACAGTCTCCACTCCGCAGCATTAAACCGAACAATGCCTAGGTTAACCCGAGCGCGGCTCTGACATTATCGATTCCAGGTCAGGAAATCAGGGCAATGAATGACAGCCGCCAGATGACCTTGCAAGTCGGGCCAAGCATGTGCGCCGCTGAAGCCACCGCCGTCTTCGCCTGTCACTCACCTGCAACATGGACGGGAGCGCCGGCACAATCTGTTCGATGCAGAAATTGTGCTCTTCATTGCTTGCGAGAACACTTCCGACTTTGCTCGGCTCCACCCGATGTCAGGGCTTCAGGGTTCGACGGGAGCGGCCCTTTTGGAGCCAGCTTCTGGAGCGTGCGTAGAGTTCAGAGCCGTCCCGCTCCCGTACCGACCCAAGATACAATTGTGAAAGCCAGATGCTGTCTCGAGGCGGAGGAAAATGGCTCTTTCTCCGCTTGGTACGCTACATGTTGCACGGCATCGCCCAAACCTAGCGTAGAGTTTTGTGGCTGGTTCTGACCACTGGCTGACTGTGCAAACAAACTTTGAGCCGGGTGCTGTCTTGCCTGACCCCAGATCCGGCACGCCATGGACGTGGCGCTCCGCGGTCCTTGCAGGAGCTGTCCCTGAGCTTGAGGTCTCCCACGCTCGACGCTGCTGGGCTAGCGCCGTCATCGCCAGATTGTTGACAGAAGTGGTATTCCGTCTTACGTCGGCCGACCAGCGGGGACCTTGCCGTCTTCGTTCGTGGGCGCATGGGTGCAAGACGACAGTCGAATGCGCAATGTAAATACTAGCATGCTTCAGCGTCGCAAAGTGGGGCTGAGCCCACCCGGGAGGCTTCGAAGCCCAGACCAAAAGATCGCGGCGTCACTAGGTGCTTGGGCGACCAGCCGCCGTTTTGATGGCGTTTGGGTCGTGTTCAATAAGCACACGAAACAGCAGCGATCAGAAGGCTGCCCTAGCCATCCGGTCTCGGCCGTGGGTAGCGTGGACAAATCACACCACGAGAGGCTGGAGCAGCTGCCGCCTTCACACGATGGCATGCTTCCCCGCTGGCCGTCATATGGACACCACCAGTGTCGACGTTCGGCGGGATGTGACAGCCAACAGGAACAGCAGGCAACATGCATGCATACGAACAAGCCTTCGAAGCAAAGAGAACCCCAGAGCAGCGACACACTACGCACGGCTTTACCACAGCACGTTATATATGCACCCAACCTGGAGAGATTGCAGTCTCTTGGAGAGGCTAGTGCTCACGCCGGCGTCAATGTACGAGAGCATGATGGATCCTCTTCCGGGGGAATCATCATCCACACGCCCCATTGCCTGGTCAATGCTCCTTTTCCGGTGCTGGTCGTTGTGCTTGGGATATGAGAGGCCTGCAACAGATACAGAGGCACGAGAGGGTATGGCTTCCGGGGCCCACTCCGCTTGCTCCGTACGGGAGCTGTCGATGATTCTTGGCCATCGGCTGTGGCACAGCAGGAATCGCTTGTTAAACTACATGGTTTCCCAAATCTTGCCGCCTCTGCGTGGTGTACACTAGCCGGCCGCGACGCTATCAGGGTTGCCCCCTTCTCGTGTCCCCTGCCCCGGCTCTTTACTGCTCCTCCCTAGTCGATAAAGCGTATTACCTCCACCGTCCCCGCTCTCAGGTCGATCTTCTCTTGTGCCTTCCGCTCCCACTCGACCACGTTCTGTCTCTTGTCACGTCCGACTACCCAGGTAAAGGCCCCAGCGTTTCGCCACCTGATTTTCCCGCGCCGTGCTTAAACGCTGCTTTGACTGCATCGTGGACGCAGCCGTGTGCGACTTTGTGCTGTTGCTCTTCCGCACATACCATTGGCTTGCCGCACGATTCGCTAAAGGCTCCTCACCCCCGCCCGCAACGTTGCCTGCCGTCTGCCGTCTCGAGGCCGCTGGAGCGACCATTTTGGACCCTTTACCTTCTCCCATGATTACGATATCGCATTCATTCCACCATTTGCATATCCCGTGTTTCCGCTCCTTGATACAGTGCAACAGGTGCTACCGATCCGCTTGCACGGTGATTACTTGCTCGGCTTTAAGCTCCTGGGGCGCCCCTCGCCTGAGCTCCTCCGCCTCGACCACCAGCGTGTGAGTTCAATGCATGTCTACCACGGACGGTAGCCATTGATCCTGCAAAGTCCTCGCTCGGATGATCTCAACTCTCAACTTCGGGCAATCGCCTTCGGTAGCGCAAGCTCGCCTGAGCATCAGCTCATCTCCCCAGCCTTCCATGTCGTCCAGCAGCGAGTCTCCGGCGAACACACCAACGTTCGACTCGAATGGCGTCTCCAACGCAGACTCTCTTTCCGATGGTCGTATAGGTTCAAGAGACGGATCCGACGACATTGTGCCAAAGATCGAAGAGACAGAACTCAACCTGTCGGACGTCAAGCCCGAGCCCGCTACGGATGACACTCCCATATCGCCAACCGAACCGGTACGACTTAGACGCGCTAGAGGCCGACCGCGCATTCATCCTCCTCGCTCCCCCACCGCCGCATCGAAACAAGCGAAAGCACGCTCAAAAACGGGCTGTACAACATGTCGCAAGCGAAAGAAGAAGTGCGACGAGACGAAGCCGTTTTGTAATTGTCGCACATCGGATTGGGAGATGACTGGCTGATGCATAACAGGTCTGTCGTGTCAGAAGAACAATATACACTGTGAAGGCTACAAGCCTGTGGAAATATGGAAGAGTGGTAAGGAACGGGCAGCAGAAGGTAACGTCAGTCTTCGTCTAGCGCGAACAAAGAAAGCTAATATCCTTCTAGCGCGCCGAATGAGTGTTGAGGTCAAATTCGAACTTCCGCCGCTCATGGGAGGAGTGGAGACGGATGTTGACCGTACGCTGCTGCAGCATTTCGTCAGCAGAGCTAGCGCTGTCCTTAGCCTACACGGCGACCAAAGCACGAACCCCTTCACAAGGATACTACTACCCATGGCCCTGCAACATGAGGGTTTGATGCACTCGGTGCTGTGCCTGTCGGCATCGCATCTCTGTTCTATAACGCCTTCCAAGGACTATGAGGACAGACAGGTGTTCCACCGGGGCAAAGCTCTACACTTACTGAATCAGGATCTGCACCGCCAACAGGCCGGCGAGGGTGGCACCATGGTCTACGAAGACTCTAACGTTGCTCAAATATTGCTCCATCTGTTGCACGCAATTTGCGACGGCAACACCTCGGGCGAGTACCGAATGCACATGTTTGCCGCCAAGCAAATCGCCATGAATCAAAAACTCCAGAACCCAGAATTCCAGTCTCTTTTCGACGAGTTTTTCTACTATCACTGGATCGCCAGCGAGATTACCTCTCTCGATGGGACTGAAGTACCCATGATGGAGAACTTCAGCCTCCCTTTCGAGATCAACCCCGAGACAGCAGGTCTAATCGGTGTCTCGGATGGCTTATTCGGTTTCATCTCGAAAATCAGCAATCTGAGAAGAAAGCTTCGCACGCGCATCGACGAGAAGATAGAGCCGACCATGGACTATGAGGCGTTGCTCACTGCGCACGCAATCGACACAGGCCTACGCGGCTGGGTCTGTCCTCAAACGCCTGGTACCCCGCGCTACACTCTGTCTATGCTATACCGTCAAGCTACCTGGGTGTACCTATACCGGACGACGAAGAAGTCCAAGCCAGACCCCTACATCAGGTCCGCTGTCGACGACGGGATCAAGTACATCAATGAGCTACCCGCCGAGGGCTGGATCCAGAGTAACGTTCTGCTCCCACTCTTCCTGATGGGTTGCGCTGCATTTGAGGAAGACCAGCGCTTCGAGATCAACAGGGCTTTCAACGGCTTGATGGCGGTCACAGGTCTGGGCAACATCACCTCTGCAAAGGAGGTCGTCGACAGAATATGGCACCTCATGGACATCGAGGATGCTGACTCCTGGGACTGGGAGAAAATTATCCACCAGAAAGGTTGGGACTTCCTCGCAACATGAGCCCTTCCGCACTTACGCACGCTTCACGTTTATGATCGATTGAAATAGGAGTTTTGGGTATGGGTATTGGTAGTATTTCATACGGTACGGTGGGCAATGGGCATGGCATGGCACGGATTGGATCGGACCCGGGACTGGCTGGCATGCACCGCAACTCATTCCTAGGATCGAGGCGGAAACTCTCCTCTTCTTCCTTTAGCACACACACATTTACCAACGGCAGCACATTTGATTTCCTTCGGCATATGGGTACGGTTCGCCTGCAAAATTGGGGTTGGTTTTTCGTTTCAAGCCTGGGTACCTGCGTGGGCGACGGCGATTGGCTTTGCTTTCTGTACTGCTCTCCTACCGTGTCTTTCTTAATTGATTTACGGCTGGCTGAGGCTACTCTGTTGTACGGACGGAGGGACATTTGCTACGTTTGCGAGCACCATGTACAACGGAGGCTTTTGTCACGGCTTTCTTACAAGCAAGTAATCTTGTCTCGCGAGCTAGGTGCAAAACACACGGTCTAGTCCGTCCATGTGGTATCTATCGTATCTTTCGGGGCACAATCTACACACAGTCTGTCTTGTCTCCTCATAGCGACGATCGCGATGACGGCATCCTCGGCAACTCGGCATCTAACGGCAATGCGCACCTCCCAAATACCTTCCCTTGACTCGCATTGCACCCGTCTCGGCCCTTCACCCTCGTCTCGTCCCTTCCTTCTTACCCACTCGTTCCCGTCCACCTCGCCCCGTAACGCGGCGTCTCCGCGCCCCTACTCGCGCTTTTCCCCTTCGAGCATGCCGAGCTTCATCCCCCTCGCGGCCCCGCTCTCTGCCGCAGTGCAATTCCCTGATACTACGTAGCGAGCGTCGTAGGAGGCTTGCGACTCATGCTAGCCTCCACCATCCTCCGAACTATCTAGACTATTGCACAGAAGCTAAGTTAATGAAGAGAGGATGCTATGCTGCGCAATGTAATGCGCGATTGCGAGAGGCGCTACGCGTGCATTTATCCGGGTGGGAGGTTGCGGAGGGCAGGGGCCGCGGGGCTGTCATCCGTGGGCGCGGTAGAGGCGTGGGGGTTGGTTAGTTCAGACGGAGGATTTCGTCTGGACAGCATCGTATGGTTTGCCGGGCTAAGACGACGTCGTTCGCTTGCGGGTAAAACATGGGAAGGTAATGTTGAGAGGGACGATCGTCATATGTGATTTGGTGGGGATTCCAGAGCTGGGTGTTTGTCTACTGTACGAGGCATGCTTTGAGTGAATGATCACCAAGGCGCGCTTCCCCTCTTCTCCAAATGCTGCCTGCGAGATCCTGCGCACCTAGGTATCTACGATGTGCTCTCCGGTAGACCGTATCCGGCGTGCCGTCTTCACATGCGCTTGCTCAAACCTTTGGTCGCACAGCGCATACCCCAGAAATTGCACCGCCATAGCGACGCTGCTAAGCTAACCCCCACGGGCGAAACCCGTATTGTACCGAAGGTGGATTCGTCGTCGCCCACGCGGACGTGTTTCTTGTTTCAGGACGCTTGAACCTCAGAGTTGGGTTGGTTGGAGACGCGCAACTATACCGAGATGCTGCCAGGAGAGGAGCTATTCCCGACGGCAGTTGAGGCATGTCGCTCAGGGGGACGTGCTATTCCCCACGGCAGGCATCTCAAGCTTGCGCAATGGAAACGGCGAGTGGGGTCCAGGCCCTCGCGTCAGCGATGTTGCTTGCTTGCGAGCGAGAGATGTGACTCTGCGTGCATCCGATGGGAAAGTGCGAGTATCCGATCAACGGCATGTTCGAACGGGAGCAGCGTGAAGGGCGCCTGGAACATCTGCGTGGAGTACCTGATACTGCGTGCTAACTGGGATCCATGGCCACGACACCGACACCTGCTCGAGCTCGGAATAACCGGCTGCCCTTCATCAACAGACACCGTTCGCATTAATGCGGCACACCGCTCCCCCGGCGCGCCTGGCTATGGTGAGCATTGCGCACCCCACGGGACCGTGCCTGCCTTTGGGACCACCGGTATGTGATCGCTGTATGGATATTCGTGATCGGTGAGAGCCACCCTTGCAGCTGCGAACACGCCCGAATCGAGTCAAGTCTTGTCTGAAAGTTGGGACGCTCACCGATGAGCACAGCGCCAGCGTAGCCACGAGGTAGAGCGTGCCTTACAGATTACTTAGTCTAGCCCTATGGTGCGTTGTAATGGTCATTGGGCGTCTGAGGCGTATGGGGCACGCACTATGGCGCTGGAAGCTCGCAGCTGCTTTCAGTCACTTGATCGGTGATGCTCGTCGGTCAGCTCTAGACCTCTAGGCCGTTGTGATCGCTTCGTAGGGCTGACTACTGCACGCCGTAGAGGCCTTCAAACTGCATGTGCAGTGTGCGATGTGTAGACTAACGTTGATGGTGGCTGAAGTGGCTGCTCTTGACTCAGCTGGCGTATTGCCTACCTAAGACGACCTAAGGTGGGTAATGAGATACTGCAGCAAATGAGCGCGCAGATCCAACGCTTTGTTGATGATTGCAAACCGGCTTCTTCGACGTGCCCACACCACACTCCACAGAAGCTTTGGGTGCGAACACATCGTGTCGTCAACGATGTTGAGTGGTATCTGCTGCACCGCTTCACTTCGCTTGGATAATGGCTAAGTGGCTATATTGGACGGATTATTGAACCGACGTGTGGCACGATGCCTGCATTTTGCATCAGCAAGCCACGGGGGGGTGGCACTGATGCTCACAGCCATCCTCGATAGGGATCACCCAAGATTACCGAGTTCATAGCGTGTGATGACTGTGGGCCTCGGTTCGCATGATGTCGAGCTATATTTGTAGCAAGGACGTCCCTTCGCAATCAGGCAGTGCTTCGGCGGTATTTCGCAAGAAACCGTAGCGAGCCTCACGTTCATCTTTGCTTGAAGGAGTTGTCCCCGAGTCGACGTTCTTGATCGAGTAATGAGTGTTCGTCCATTCTTGTTACAGAAAGTGTCCGTCCGAAGATGGATGTCGATGGTGTGTAGCGAGACCATGGACGTTTCTGCTTGGTCAGGTGGTTATGTGGCTGTGGATCCACGCTCGCTTCGGAGCTGATGATCGACGTGTGTCGTCAGCGAGGAATTTCTACGTATTCAAAGGGACCGTTAGCCGGATATGTATCTCACCGCATTCCTCGCTTGGCTTGAGTTACAAAGCAAAGGTCCGGCATGATCCATGCAGTCTATGCAATATCGACCGTTGGGTGTCGTTAAGACTCGGAAAGGTGCAGAAGGTCAACCGAGCCGTTCCAGTACAAGATGGATTAGAATAAATCGCATGTTGAAAATGACCCCTTTCCAAGTCTCAGGCTACACACTCCGATGGAACGGCGGGACGCGTGCGGCAGGTAGAATACGTGCATGTGCGGGGGATCCTGGAGTCGCACTGGTGGCGCCTGGACCCTGGAGCCACCACGAACAGACTCTGGGCTCGATTCTTCCAAAGAATCCCTCCACTAGTGATTAATAATTTGCCAGAATCAACACCACTCATCTTACAACAGACACTGAAACACTGCAAATGATTTTGTCACCAGAATGCTGGTCATTGCTGGGTGGACCCTGAGGCAAGATGCAAGCGACTCGAAGCGAGGCGCCAACGGCCAACGGCAACGTCTGCCCTCCACATCGGCTGCTTAGCGAGGCCGGGACGATGGAACTGCGGAGTCCAGGCGCAGATTGCAGCTCGCGTGCAGCTGTAACGAAGACACTTCGGCTGTCCGTCGTGATCGCGTCCGCTGGATCATGCTTCTACCTCTTTCTTCCTTGTGGTTTCGGTGAGCGCGACGATGACCGAGTCGATCGAGAACGAGAAGCGACACAGTGCGCCCCCGGTGATGAAAGAGGGTGTTGAACAGGCTTCCGCTGTGCAGACAGACGAAATACGACGTTTACCGACAAACGCCTCCGAAACCTCGCATGTCGAAAATGCGATCTCGCTGCGCGAAGTTGATCCCGTGTCCGTTCGATTGGAGCATCTTTCAGTGTCGGTAGACGAGTCACCAAGTGCTATCTCAAAGCTGTTCAAGAAAAGTTCGCAGACGCAAGATGGCAGCCAAACGAAGAAAATCCTGGACGACATATCCGCGGAATGCAGGAGTGGGACGCTGACGGCAATCATTGGAGGTAGTGGTAGCGGCAAGACCTCGCTGTTGAATCAGATGAGCGGTAGGATGAAGGGCAATCGATTATCAGTATCTGGACGGACTCTATTCAACGGGAGCGAAGATGCGTCTCAAATCCCTTCCGGCTTCGTCATACAGCAGGACATCTTGTTGCCTACTCTGACAGTCCGGGAGACATTGACCTATGCGGCCCAGCTTCGCTTGCCTTCGTCAATCAGCCAACAGGAGAGGAAGAAGCTGGTGGAAGAGGTCATCATGGAGTTGAGTCTGAAAGAAGCGGCCGATACGCGAATTGGGAACCATGAGCATCGCGGCTGCAGTGGCGGCGAGAAGCGACGAGTCAGCATTGGCGTACAACTGCTGTCGAATCCCAGTTTACTTTGGCTAGATGAGCCAACCACTGGACTTGATTCAACCAGTGCGCACCAGATCGTGAAGACTCTGCAGAATCTTGCGCGAAAGGGAAGAACCATCATCGTCACCATACACCAACCTCGATCAGAAATTTGGAGTCTTTTCGACAACATCATACTTCTAACAAGGGGTAAACCCGCGTACGCGGGGAGTGCGGACGAGTGTTTACCTTACTTTCAGAGTCTAGGTCATGAGATGCCTCCATTCACGAACCCAGCGGAGTATCTCATTGACGTCGTAAGCGTTGACAACCGGAGCGAGGAAGCGGAGGCTGCAGCTCAAATCCGCGTTGACCGCATCACTGAAGCATGGAGGGAGCGCTCTTCGAAATTACAAGCCGAGAAGGAAAACAACGAGAAGGGGTCAAGCATTGCGCCCTCATCGAAACGTTCCCCAGCAAGGCACATATCGCTCCTACAGCAGATTCGCGTCTTGACATCGCGGACCTGGATCGTGACATTAAGGGATCCGATGGGCATGTTTGGAAGTCTTGTGGAAGCAATTACGATGGCGGTCATCATCGGTTGGATTTTCTTACAGCTGGACGGCACGCTCTCCGGTATTCGATCTCGCCAAGGTGCTCTGTACATTGCATCTGCAATGCAGGGCTATCTCATCTTGCTCTATGAAACCTACCGCTTGACCATCGACATCCATGTTTTCGACGAAGAGGCGCGACAAGGCGTGGTCGGCATACCAGCCTTCCTCATCTCGAGGAGATTGGCTCGCTTGCTGATTGAAGACATTCCGGTGCCGTTGATCTTCTCAATCATCTTCTACTTCATGGCTGGTTTTCGAAAAGATGGAGAAGTGTTCCTTACCTTTTTCAGTGTCATCTTGCTTGAGCAGTATATTGCAGTCTGCTTTGCAATGGTCTGTGTTGCGGTGTCGCGGAATTTCGCCGGGGCCAGCTTGGTGGCGAATCTCGCCTACACACTGCAGTCCATGGCTTGTGGCTACTTTATTCAGTCGAACACCATACCGGTCTATGTACGTTGGACAAAGTGGACAGCCTACGTCTTCTATGCTTTCGGTGCATTGGCTGCCAACGAGTTTACAGGGCAGTTCTACGATTGTCCATTCGAAGGCGGCGCCTCAAATCCAGCGTGTAAAGAATACGACGGGAGTTTCATTATGGACTCGCTAGGCTTTCCTGGGGATTGGGTCTGGCGTCCCATCCTTGCACTGCTCGGTTTCGGTATCGCTTTCTACATTGGCGCCTACCTTCTGCTCAAGTTTTGGAATGCTGAAATTGCCATGGCAAGAGCGAGACCTTCGAACGTAGATGCGTCAGCCGGAAAAGAGAAGATGGTCGCTAGGTCTCGAGAAGAAGTGCGCACAGTCACCATTCGACTTGACGGATACGGGCTTGACCTCGAGAAACGTTCCCTGAGGAAGAAGACCACGAAGACGATCCTCAATCCGCTCACAGCTGAGTTCCAGCCCGGCACCATGAATGTCATCATGGGTCCTTCGGGATCCGGAAAGACAACATTGCTCAATTGCATGGCGGGTAGACTGCGGGATGATCTGACGACTAGATACAAAAAGTACGGAGACATGTCCTTCAATGGCCTGTCACCATCTCAAGACGTGGTTCACGCCATATGCTCGTTTGTTACGCAAGATGACGATGCCCTCCTCGCTTCGCTTACGGTACGTGAGACTCTACGATACGCTGCCGGTCTCCGTCTACCCAAGTGGATGACGAAGCAAGAGAAGATGCAGAAAGCCGAAGACATACTTCTCAAGATGGGCTTGAAGGACTGTGCAGACAATCTCATCGGTAATGACCTGATTAAGGGAATCAGTGGAGGCGAGAAACGCCGCGTGACGATCGCCGTTCAGATCCTCACAGAACCTCGTGTTCTTCTACTCGATGAACCACTATCGGGTCTGGATGCCTTCACAGCACTCTCCATCATGGACGTTCTTCAAGGTCTCGCCAGCGAAGGCCGCACCCTCGTCGTAACAATCCATCAGCCGCGATCAGATCTCTTCGCCCACTTCGGAAGTATTCTTCTCTTAGCACGAGGTGGTCATCCTGTCTACGCCGGCCCAGCTCGAGAGATGCTACCACACTTCGTGAAACAGGGCTATCACTGTCCTCAGCACATCAACCCTGCTGATTTTGCGCTTGACCTTATCACCGTCGATCTTCAGCACGAGTCACGTGAGGCCGCCAGTCGAGCCAAAGTCCGCAGTCTAATTCAGTCTTGGACTCCAGACCTGTTCCCAGCTGTTCGGACAGGGTCAATTACCACACCAGCCGAACTCGGAAGCTTGGTCAGAGCGCCGGCCTCTTTCGTCACGGCTTTCTCCATCCTTTTGAGGAGGGCAACGAAGAACTTTTTCAGACAACCTGATCTGTTGTCTGCACGGATTGGTCAGGTGGCTGGCCTAGCCATCGTGCTTGCTCTGTTCTTTGCACCACTGAAGAACAACTACTTCGCGGTCCAAAATCGCCTAGGTTTCCTCGTAGAAATTGCGCCCTTGTATTTCGTCGGTAGTAGGTTTCCCATGGGTCCATATAGCCCTTCGCCTGGTTTAGCTAAACGTATAAATAGTGCTCAACAACATCGCCGTCTACCCACTCGAACGCGACGTATTCTACCGCGACTACGCTGATCGCGTATACAACGTCGAAGCTTTCTTTCTGACATACACCGTTCTTGAGATCCCATTCGAGATCATCAGTTGTATCCTCTTCTCGTGCCTCGCCGTCCTCGCGTGCGGCTTAGAGCGCGACGCCCCTACGTTCTTTATCATTACCTATAACGCTTTCTGCATTGTCAACTGTGGTGAATCCCTAGGTATCACATTCAACACGCTGTTCACCCATACTGGCTTCAGCGTGAACTGCATGAGTGTGTTCCTAAGCGTAGCGCAAATCATGGGTAAGCTTACACTGCTTTACACCTTCTCTATGCGAACAGAATACTAACGCTCTTCAGGTGGCGTCATGTCCCTCAACATCCCCAGCTTCCTCCAAGCCTTCAACCACCTCTCCCCCATCAAATGGGCCATGGGTAACATGGCGCCTTACACCCTCCGCGGCGTCAAGTTCTCCTGCGAAGAGTACCAGAAGATCAATGGACGCTGTCCCATCACCACGGGCGAGGACGCACTCGCGCTTTACAAACTCAACAAGGATCCTGAAATGTACATCATGGCGTTGGGCGTGTGCACTATCGTGTACAGGCTGATTTCGTATCTGATACTGAAGTGTGTGAAGGAGAGGTGGGTCGGGAGGACGTGGAGGAAGGTGGGTGGGGACGCTGGCTGAAGAGGAGACGCCGCAGCCTTCGGGGGCGACGGGGGAGGCGATGCTCAGATGAATACTGCGCGACTAAAAGTTTGGGAAGCAATGCTGAGATGAACACTACGCGTGGATAAAAGTTTGGGATCTGGGAGAGAAGGTACTGTTCGTTTGATGTTTATGATACCCACTCGCTTTTTCCGTTCCTATGTAAAATAATTAGACTCTTCTTATGTCTCTCAATGATCACAAACGTCCTGTCTCGCTTCCTCTCTCCTCTCTCCTCTCTTCCACAACACCGTTTTCTCACCCCTCAGATCAACTTCTCCACCCCAGGCAGCACCGTACCATTCTTCAATATCGCAGCAGCGTGACCCCTCATATACATCCCATACACGGGCATATAGTCATCGATAAACTCCACCACCGCTTCAACCCCCGGCGACGGATTCCTCCAATCACGCATGAGGTCCCCAGCGATGGCAAACTGGCTCACTAGATGCACGCCCGCAGCTTGCATGCGGAGATTCGCCGTGTCGCGGACAAGCGGGGAGGTCGTACCGCTGGCTTCGACGTTTGCGAAGACGGAGTAGCTTTGGTAGGCGTTAGTTCGGCTCGCCATAAGGAAGACCTTGCGGGTGAGGCATGTGTGGGTGAGACGAAACATACCCTTCAGACCGCAGCGACAACGTGAGAAAGCTCGTACACACATCCGTCACGATACCCCCGATAATCATCTGTTTCTTGCCCGTAGCGCGGACGGCAGCGCGGAATTCGGGGGAGTCCCATGCACTGTTCCCCATCCGTTAGCACACCCATATATCATAAGATTCCTCCCAACTTCTGCTGAACAGTATATAACTGCCGGACCAAACGCTCCAACTGAATAATTAACGTAACCTACTTAATCTCCCCCCTCCTCTGCACGACCTCCACTGCGGGATACATGCTCCTAATCTCCCTCGGCAACGGCCCATTCGGACCCGTCTCCGCAGACGTGGTCATCACGACTGGGATGTCGAACAGCTTTCCGAGCGCGGCGTGGCCCAGCATGTTCTGCTTGTAGACGGTGGGGTCCCAGTCGCGGGTTAGTTGGAAGAGGCCGACTTGCTGGTCGACGATCAGGAGGGCGGAATCGTTCTGGGAGATGCGTTCCCAGGGGGTCCAGGTGCTGGATGGGGACGGCTGCGTGTGGCCGAGGATGGCTAGGGAGAGGAAGCTGAGTAGGGTGGTGGGATTCATCTTGGATGGTGGATGAGGCTGGTTGGGCAGCGAGGTTGTAGAGTTTGGATGTGAATACTGGAGCTCGATGAGATGAGATGGTGCTATGTTCCGGTGGGCAGACTGTTGTTGGTTTTATATCCCAGGTTGCCTACTCATAGACTTTTCATGTAGGCAGTGTTCATCTCCTCTTGCTGTTGACGGACTAATCTGCCTTCCCTCATTCAGATTTCCGGACACGCTCCCAAGCCGTGCCGAGCATGCCATCAGAGCACCAACTAACCTCATGTAACTCGTACGCAGACACAATGTTGGATATTGAATTAACAAAGGAATAGGAGTATACGAAAACACGATCACCAAATGCTTGTCTAATCGCTTACGAGTGGATTCAGCTTGCAGATGTTCTGTCGGAAGACGTTCATCCGAACTCCCGCGCCTATTCATTTGGGCACACTCACCTAAAAGATTCCAACTCTAGTAGAAGAAAACGTTGATTACATGATTCCTGAAATTTGATGGTGGCTGATCACCTTCGCGGTAAGCTGTAGCCAAGTTCTTGGACAAGCCGCATTCCCGAAACGGGAAGAGGTGAGATTTACTACGAACATCCTTCAGGCTCCGTAAGGATTCTTTTTGCGAAAGAGTATGTGCTCCATAACACACGCGCGGAATTGTTCTTTCGCTACAGACTATGTGCTTGATAACACAAGCGCGGAAGTTTCCGCGTCCGGTTTACGAGATGCTGAGTACCTCGTGCGGACATATGAGCATCTCGCCGAAAACAAGAGCGATGTCGCGTCTCGTATCCTGCACTTGCCACGTCAGTTCAGCGTTGGTTTAAGACACGGCAATGGAGTATAGAGGAGCTAAAACAAGTTTTCAATTCCAATCGCGGCGTCCTAGCTGTCAATGGTATCTGGCTACCTACTACCTTTCCCAGAAGCGCCCACTCCCAATCATCTTAGTAACGCCTAAGCTCCCAACACCGAATGCCCTGTCTTCAATGCTACAGCACGCTGTACCAACAGCGTGAAATGCCGGACGCCATGTCCATATGCACGTATGCAGTATACCGAGGATGACTTCCCCGGATAGGGATAGATGCAGAATAAAACGCCAATATACACCGCTCACAATGCCGTTGTTTAAGCCAGGGCTTAAGCCAGGTACCTGTAAGAATCGACCGCCGCGCCTTCAATGCGCTCGAGATACTCTCGCTCGATGAGGGACTCGATGCGCTTCTTGATCATCGTCACCTCGGGTTTAAACTGCGAAGCGAGCTGGCCAATCGTTTCCAGGACCAGCTGTTGGTGTGGAAGTTCTTTGCGTTGTCTGTTGTGCGTTAGCAGATGTGACAAACTTCGTACATTGGGGGACATACTTCATGATACGAACGACAGCAGCCTCGATGACAAAATTGCGCTCGTCATCGTTCTTCTTCTCCGTCTCCTTCCTCTGCTGGTCGCTCTCAACCTTGTTGCCGCTGCTCACCACTCCAACCTTGATCTTCACGAAGTTGCCCTTGAAGCCCTCGTTGAAGTAGAACTTGTCGGTCGGCTTCACCTCTTTGCTCATGGGTTCCTTGAGCAAGACGCGCGTCCTCGGCGCGACTGCAAGCGACTGCAGATTGCGCACTAGGTCGTTCTTCGGAATGTTCGTCTGAGCCTGGATCTCTTCGAAGGTCAAGCATTCATCGGCGGGCAAGTCATTAAATAGCAAGAGGATGACCATCGCATAGGTCGAGACGTTGAGCTCGTGCCGACGCTCTTTGAACGATCCATCCTTCTGAGGTACCTTGGGAAACACGGCCTTGATGTCAGCAGTGCCCATGTTTGGCAGCCAGGTCAGCTCTCGTCCAGAGTGCTTCTCGGCGTAGTACTGCTCAAACCCGCGCTTGACCTTCTCCACGGCTGTCGGGAAGTTGCACTTTGGTCGGTTGCTTTCCTGACCCTCCCCTGAGCCATTGATTGACTCCATTGGCCAGGTCATCTTCGTCAGCACACTGATTGATAGATCAATGCGCTTGGGATCGCGGTCGCCGAGGCCTTCGACATGTTTCTTGAAGCCACTCGTCAGATCGGCGGAAATAGACATGTCCTTGAACATGGCATCGAGCTTGGATGTGAAACTGGGGCCAAGTTCCTGCTTCATCTTTTCGATCATTTGCTTCTCCACTTCGTTCGATACCGACTTGTTCATAATCAACCTGCGGCACAGATGCTTTTTGTAGTACCGTTCGAAGAGATCCTTGTCCTGTACGTATTTGATCAACGTTATGGCCTTGTCTAAGACCTGATCGATCTCCATCTCGGTTTTCCCCTTGATGCCCTTCTTCATATTTTCGTCAATGAACAGTGAGATGTTTTCGGAAGAACGAGGGAACGCGGACGAGTTGATGAAGTCACGGAAGCTGTTGAACATTGCCGTATCCAAGAGGCTATCCGATTCGAAAGATCGCCGCCAGATCTTATCAAACTTGTCTTTCAAGGAAAGAACGTCTTCAACCCACTTGATAGCAGCAACAGTCTGCTGATTGACGTTCTTCTCTTGGGTCTGTTTCGATTTGTCTCCGCCATCGGTGGCGGGCGCCTGCGCGGAAGGTGGGGCTTGTGATGCGGCGAGCGCCTCGTTGTTGACCTCGGTACCCATCTCCATGATGCGTTTCTGGATAGATCGTGTGACCTCGGTCTTCTTCTCATCCACACGTGCGTTCAGGTCGTAGATAAGATTCAGCTCTTCTAATCTGTCGTTGTCAATCATGAAATGGACACCACTGTCCATTTCGACCAACTCGCGTATGCGGCCCTGGATAAGCTCTGCCTCTACTACCTCCCGAATCTTAGATGTGGTCGACTCCATCAACGTCGCACGACAGCGATCCTCCTCTTCATGGATGCGCTTCTTTGCCCGCTTGCAGTAAGCGCCAGCATCTGACTCCCGCAGCATTAGCTCCGACTCTGCCTCATAGAATTCCCTGCTCGTGTCTAGGTATTCCTTCTCGAACGAAACGTGGTACAGCCGCTGGTCTTCAGACTCCAGGTCATCGGCGTGAAGTCCGTCAAGCATGTGCACGCAGGACTTTATGAGATGCTTGTCTATCACGTCGCCATCGCGCTCCATCTGAATTTGCTCAAGTATGACATGATTCAAAAGACCAAGAATCATGCGGTCGTCGGTCACGGAGAGGGGTGATCTCAGAATCTCGTCTCGGAAGAGCAGCATTGCGGTGGTGTAGATAGAAGGACGGCGGTGGTCCTGGCAGTAGACACGGTCCTGTTTATTATGTACCTTGTTAGCTTGGCTACCCTTTAAAGGTGGAGTGAAGAAGAGCGTGGTATACTGACCATGTACATCAGCACATCAGCAAGCATGCTCATGCACACCTGGTGGTCGCCCCATGCCTGCTTGAGGCCTTTCAGAAACTTCTCGCCGGATACGCGCCGCTCGTTGGCCGTAGTGCTGGCTACGCTCTGCGCATTCGCGAGCAGGTTGGGGGACAGCAGTTGCTGTAGGTCGCCGCGAACTTCTCTGCTCAACCACCCTTTCTCAAAATCGTGCACATTCTTGTACAGCTGCTCGCCCTTCTTCTTCAGTACGATTCTATATGCATGGCGGTACAGCTCTTCGTAAGACAACCGCGAGGCGTTCTTGGTGTGGATCTCGCGGAAGGCGGCCTCGATGGTCACCCATGTGTTGTCGAAGTCGACTTCGTCGCCGTGCAGACCCTTCAAGCTGTTAGGAACCCTGATCTTAGCTCTCTTGTGGGCCGCCATGTTGGCAGGCGCGGGCAGGCTCGTATAGGTTGGTGAGGGGTGGGGTCGTGTGTAGTGGAGGCAGCCAAGCAGATGTAGCCTTCAACGTGAACGGTGGAAAACTTACCCGTCGAGGTGGCCGTATACGTTGGCGTCCTCGTCCCGCAATCATACCGCCTCGTTCTTTGACTTCACGCGGTATCCAGCTCTGCTAGCCTGCGGGTTGCCGTGGCGATGCGCTTGTGGACCGATGTTCGTGGTGTTCGCTGGCAAGTGCTCGCAGCGCAATGGTCCGAGGATCGGACGGCAGGCGTACCCTGGATATGAAGGAGTGAACGACAAGGGGTTCTTGGCTCGAGTGAGGCGTGAGCGTGAAAGTGAAGGGTGGAGGGCAGCTGGCTTTGCGGGGATGATCCATCCGCCGCAACCAGTGACGAAGCCGGCCCGCGCGCGCTACGCTAAATGTCTTTCTTGCCTTCCATCTATGCAGCTCTCAACACCAACGCCTACCATTCCTTTGCGCATGATACTGCCTACCGTAACCAAGCGCTATCCTATCCAAACAATGCCGCCTTTCTCCTCGTCGCTAGTCCGCTGCCTCGCGCGGCCTTCTGCGCCCCGAATCGTGCGCGCAGCTCTCCCGGAATGCATTCCGACGTCGAAGCGACTTTGCCATGCGCCGCGAACGTCAACGTCGACCGTCCTTCGTCCCTCCCCCTTTCTGTCCAGGTCGCGCCTGCCTCAGACACCTGTCCGCTACGAGTCGACACCGTCCAACAACGCGCCAGGCACAACGACTACTGCGCCAGAGTCACGGCTGGACCGCGACCAAGTGCCCGCCTACGAGCTCACATTCACCTGCAAAGCCTGCAGCACACGCTCGTCGCATCGCATCTCCAAGCAGGGCTATCACCATGGAACGGTCCTGATATCGTGTCCAGGCTGCAAGAATCGCCATTTGATCAGCGACCACATGAAGATCTTTTCCGACAAATCTATCACATTGGAGGACCTCATGCGCGACAAGGGCAACCTTGTGAAGCGCGGCACTCTGAGTGCTGAAGGAGATGTTGAATTCTGGGACGACGGTTCATCCTCGCCGCGCTCATCGCATTTCCACCCCAACTCCAATACCAAAGGCGACGCTGATGCCCCTGAAGGCACCTTGACCGAGCCGCCTGCTTCCTCGAAGAAGGAGCAGTAGGCATAAGGAATCGTCCGGTCCGCGATGTTCACATTATAATAGTTGTATTTGTATGATACTGTAGGACGCATAGATACTTGATGCATTGAGCGAGTCTCTGTGCCAAACATGAAAGAGGAATGGAGCTGGGGAAGTGTATGCTATCAGGGAAAAGAGGGTCGAAAAGGCCCAGGACTCTTCATTAATTCTGAGGGACCAATAATAGAAAGCTGTACTGCATAGAACTCATGGCACCACTAGAACACGGGCTAGGGTCAACACACACCTCAAGGTGCAGGACGCATCTCGTAGCATTACGCTATCATAACCTTCACTACTTCTCGCTGTTTTGGGCGTCTACGGCTGATGCAAGAGCAACATCTGTCCAGCGCTCATCAGTTTGACTGCCATTAGGTCGTGGTTATCGGACCTATTTCGCAGGACACAAGAGCATTGATATATAGGACAAGATCATGTACGAATAAGGTTCACCATTGCAGAAGTCACCCAGGCACCAACGCTAACAAGTAAACCACCAGCGCTAGAACAAGTCAGCCATTCTAGCGGCTGTCTGGTTGCAACGTTCATCCTCAAACTCCAATTCCTTACTTGACATATTGACTACATACATATACTCCGCGGCGCTATCTAATTTTCCACCTGTCTTGCAACCAGTCCTACTCGTACGCCCAATGGTCTTATTGGTATCGAAGCCATCTTCACAGCACGCGCCCACCTACTTTCCACTGAGAAATCAAGCCCACAATGAGTCCTCGCCTCTGCTAATTAAACTTGAACACAACTCCACATGCAATGGAAAATTGCGGGGTTTATCACAGTTACACAAGCGCCTCATGACGGAGCGAGCGCGCTTACACTGCCCTGGTACCTACAAGACTCCGAAAGGAGACGAAGTCCTATCTAGGCCCCAGAAGAACGGTACCTGAAATTCTGCACGCGGACACCCCTTTCGCATCTCACTCTCAAAGATGAAGATGTGAAGTTGCGTATGCGGTGAAGTTCGTCCTCTCCTTATCATGCCGCTGTTCTCCTGCAGGGTGCAGCAACGCGCACAGTCATATCGCAGCCACCGTTTCGAAACAAGCCCGTTCTGCAATCATCCACCTCGCTAGACGCCCCCTCCTGCAACGGCGCTTGCCAATGCACCAATTCGGGCGGTTCCCTTCCCACATCGTCCATTTACGTCTGCAGGAACCCGCAGGTTGCTCATTTAGATTGACGGGTGGGTGTATTAGGTGCATTTTTGGAAAGTATCCAGAGATAAGGGCGTAGCGCTACCATCATGTCGGTTATGTACGTGTGGGTGAGACAGAGTAGAGTAAGGTAAGCCACAAGGCACTACTTTTGGAGTGGCATACCCCGAATTTTGCGAAGTCCTTGTCAACTCCGATTTAACCTTTCTTTCATCACTACGCTCACTACGCCGCTTCATACATTCTTTTGACAGGTTTGATACCTATATCGTTCCCTTTTCATATTGTCGCTCATTGCCTATATTCTCGCCTCTCGTTTACATCATCGTGAATTCTTTACCCTATCGCCAGCTTGCGTCGGGATCCGGCAGTATGCAGTACTTCCTTGGCTTCGTTGCTCTCCTGGCTGCTCCCGTGAGCAGCACCTTCGTTGTGCAATGTTACTCGTATGTCCCACCACTTAATTTCATCTGTAGATCCGACGTGCTGACAAGACAAGCCGTCTTTTCGACCAGCGTGCTGATCCAGTTGTGAATCCTGGAGTTGCTTCCGGCCATGTCCACACGATTACCGGCGGATCAGGTTTCAACTTCTCCATGACATATGACGATGCTCGAGCCTCCCAGTGCTCGACTTGCAATATCAAGCAAGGTAATTACAAGTGCGTACCCCCTGCTGGCATACGTACTGATCGTAGTAGATCTTTCAAATTACTGGACCCCAAAGCTTTACTACAAGGCGCAGAATGGCAGCTTTCACGACGTGCCTATTATTGGGGATACAGATGGCGGTCAATTGGGTGGCATGGCTGTTTACTACCGTAAGGCCATCTAACTCCCGAATCATGAAAACAGAGTGCTAATGTTCTCAGTGACGCGTCCTGGTCCCGACAACGACAAGCTCACCGCGTTCCCAAAGGACTTCCGCATGCTTGCCGGCGACCCAATGAAGCGCAATGAAACTGATGACTTCGCGTCGCGTGCAGTCTCCTACAAGTGCGTCTCCGCTGCAAACAACAAGGCAGACATCCGCCACCTCCCAACCGACAAATGCGACCAGATCCGTGCCCAGGTAACCTTCCCCGCCTGCTGGGACGGCAAAAACACCGACTCGGAAGACCACAAATCCCACGTCTCGTACCCCGAAGAAGGGAACTACGACGGCGGACGCTGCCCCAAAACCCACCCCGTCCACCTCGTCACCCTCTTCTCAGAAGTATACTACGACACGCGTGGCTTCAAGGACTTGTGGTACGGCGACCAGCAGCCCTTCGTCCTGGCCAACGGCGATGCAACGGGCTACGGCTACCACGGCGACTTCGTAAACGGGTGGGACGTCGATGCGCTCCAGAAAGGTCTGGACAGCTGCCCCGATGGCGTGGAAGACTGCGCGCAGAAAGTCTTCGGCGACTTCAACTCACCTGACGAGACTAAAGACTGCAAGTTGCCTTCCATGATCGACGAGCCTGTCGTGGGCGTTCTCGACGCGCTGCCGGGTTGCAACGCAGTCTCCTACGGTCCGGAACCCGCGACCAAGGCGGCGACGTGCGACGCGCCGACGTTGGAGAGCACGCTGAGTCCGAAGTTGGCTGGATATGTTGATGTCACGGCCAAGGGCTTCAAGTACATTGGCTGTGGGAAGGACAATGCTCTTACAAGGACGCTGGGAGAACAACTGCTTACTGGCAATGACATGACTGTCGAGAAGTGTATTGACTTCTGTAAGGGTTATGGTTTGAAGTACGCTGGGCTCGAGTACTCTGGTGAGCTCCCCCTCAATGTTCTCCTCAAGGATTCCACGCTGATGTGTGATGTAGGCCAGTGCTACTGCGGCAGCACCGTTGCGGAGGATCGGGCGCCGGAGTCTGCTCGTGGAGCGGTACGTCTCCTTTAGACACAATATTCAAGCAAGACTAATATGACATAGGGTAACTGCCTCATGAAGTGCGCCGGCAACCAAGACGAAGTCTGCGGCGGCAACGACGCCATCAGCCTGTACGAAGCCTGCTCCGGCGGCACCTGTACGAACTCTGCCAAACGTCAGAGTCGGCGCCTCGCAAGCGTGGAGGTCGCGCGTGCGGATGCGGCGGCAAGGGGAATGTGAAGACTGCATGTCACAGGGGGCGCTCGATGATGTGCACATTTATTTCTTGATGACCGACTTCGATTCAATGGTTGACTTACCTTCGTTTTGATTCTTGTATATATCTATCTACGGCTGGCAGTTCGATGTGCCGTACCAGACCTTCTCAATGACTATTTGATGAGAAGGAGAAGGACTCCGCATGTGTTCGCTATGATCGACAGAACCTGCTCTGAAAAGCTTGCTCGGTGTTCAAGTATTCCTAGCAAGCGACCATGGCACTTGATCAAATACACGTCCAGTGATTTGCGTGGTTGTTGTTAGTGGAAGGTGCTCCTCTGCTATCTGGCAGGAGCTAACCCACTAGCCTGCTCTACACGGACAGCTCACCCAGCCAGATCAATTCATCACTCTTACTCTCTACTGTCTTCAGTTATCGTGACTCTGGAAGCAGCACGCGCCGCAGTATGTGAAGCTACATGCGGAGCCAAAGCATGCGCTCACACAGCCCCGCCATGGCGTTGGGAGACTGACCGGTGATTGGCAACAGCGAGCCTGGATTGAGCCACACGGGTGTGCTCTTCAGCCTGACGCTGGCCATGCGAATTCTTCTCGCCCTCAATCTTACTCTACCATTCATCCATTGTTCGACGCGGATTTCACATTCAACGATTCCTTGACTGACCCGAGCAGGCGTAGCCAAGAAGTCGTCCTTCGTGTTGACTATCCCAAATCAGCCTTGCGGTCGTTGCCTGGAAGTCTGCGTTTCCTCTTGACACGGCTTAAGAGCAGATAAAGTCTGTCGTGCGGGTGTTAAGGGGACTCGGTGGACACGAAAATCCTATCGTGTGGGGACCAGATCCGACCCAGCATTTGTCACACCTACCTGCATCACAAGTCGCTCCGCCCGGCTCTCACTACTTTCACCCATATTTGCTCTATTGCAAGCTGACCCTTCGGCAAACTGTTTCATCCTCCGGAACTGTTACGTCCAGACATCATTCATGAAAAGGCGTCGCCAGTCGAGCGAGACGCTCGGCAGCCATCCTTTGCGCAAGAAACCGAGAATATCTGCGGCTGTTGATGACAATCGTACGAATCCCACCGGAACTCGTATGCGAGAAGTTTTCAAATACGAACCTCTCAACCACAACAATCCCTCGATCCGCCTCTTACGGTTCGAAGACGATGGCGAGACATCAGATCAAATTCAATGCGTTATGCGCCACGCGAGCACAGAAGCCGACTATATTTGTCTGTCGTATCGTTGGGGTACTGATAAACCCACCCACCGTGTAACAATCAACGGAAAGGCGATGTACATTCGAAAGAATTTGTACGACTTCTTGACAGTACAAAAGAACAAGGCAAGCCAAAGCCACGAGAAGAAACTAGTATCCAACCCTTGGCTCTGGATCGACGCTCTTTGTATTGACCAAGATAATGTCAGTGAGCGCAACCACCAAGTGCAGCAGATGGGAAACATATTCGCACGCGCTGAACAGGTTTTCATTTGGCTCGGACTCATTGATGAGAAGGATCTCAAAATTACCAAGAACCAGGAAAAAGAAGGCCTCTTGCAGGTCAAAGAATATGATTACTATTTGCGTTACTCTTTGCTTAACTGGATCCGAGCCAACCAATATTGGCGCCGTGCTTGGATCCTTCAAGAGGTCGTCCTAGCCAAGCAAGCGATGGTGATTTTACGCGACGAGGAAATGAGATTGGAGGACCTTGAAAAGGATCTGTGGTCGTACAAACTTGGACACTTGAGACTCTGGTCTCGGACAGTCATATCATCTAAAATGGGCCATTCGCGCGATCTCTCGCTGATACGTCTAATAGCAGAAGTTGGCGATCGTGAATGCAGCAAACCTCGGGACCGAATATTCTCTTTGTTGTCCTTATGCGACAAAGGCCAGCATTTAAAAGTCGACTACAATATTTCGGAAGTAGAACTGATGGTGGAAATTTTCAATCACTGCAAAGATGAACTGTGCTTCTGTAGCGCAGCTGTTGTGGCGCTGACACTGGAGCTTCAATCAATAGAACTAATCCCGGTCAATCGCACGCCCGCATTGCAACCCTATTTCGAGATAGATGTTCACCTGCTGGCGACGGGTCCCAGCATATGGTGCCACTTAGACTTTACAAAATATCACCTAAGGAGTACAAAGTTTTCGGCCAGCCCCGGCATGATATTCAACATTTGGCAGCCATGTGATACCTTCAGACAGTTTTCAGTCTACTGGCGAATTCCGTTCAGTTGTTCCGAGAAAGAACTAGTGTGGCTAGAACCTTATGCTGGATGTCCGAAGAATCTTGTCATGGTCTTATGCGAATACGGAACGGATTTCAAGGTGTTCAAGAAGAACGGTAGGACAGAAGCACTCGTGGCTGCGCGACAACATTCCTCTGAGCCCACAGCAACTGAAGTTCATGCGGTGTCCAAGGAGTTTCGTAATTGTCAAGGTTTGGAACAGGATAGATATGGTGAGAGGCACAGGTTCTCGAAAGAGGATCTAAAGGCGCTGGAAATTTACACCGTGCGTCTGAGTTTCGCGGTACTGGCTAAGATCAATGCTGATGCTGAGGGTACGTACTATGGCTGCAGGACGTTCTGCTCTAGGAAGAAGTGGGCAGGGGGCAATTTTGACCCACCAAGAATAGTACGTCAAGACTAGGTAGCGGTATTTCTTCAAGTGGTGCGTGTCATTGCATGCAGTGTGATCTTTCGTCTTGTTTGTAGGTACGTTCTGAGTACAAGTTTGAGCTTGCGTACAAATAAATATCACATGGACGTGCAGCTTGCTTAGTAGTGTTAGCCCTAAGGTAGGTAAGGACCAAACATGTAACCATAGCTCGAACTGATGTAATTTAGTTAGGTATGCACCCTATAGTGTCGATGTTTTGTTATCCAAGCGACTAGTGTAGCGACATGTCTAAGCCTCGCCCATAGTCCATCGTAGTCCGACGTTTCAATACACCCCTTCTCTCTGCATGGATGGACTTTCGAACGATGGCGCAGAAGCCACACGTTCAGACACACCGTCGGAGTGTCGCTTTTTTGGAGATGCGGAGAGCCGCTCCAGCTTCTCGAGCCTAAAAATGGTGTTGACGAACATACAAAATGTGGAGAGACGACGCTCCTCCGCATTACCACGAAGACGCAACGCTGATCTTTACGACCATGGTAGATAATCGCACATCACTACGGGTCGACGCGAGCCGAACCAAGTCGCTCGCGCAAATTGAAGATCCGAATCTCGCGCGCTCGCTCATCGCAAGCGCATGCCATCATCCATACAGCGATCTGGCTGTGCAAGTCTGCCGATCCGTCGCCTCTGATCTCGCGGTCTAGAAGCCAACATGACCACTTTTTCTTCTTCTCTGCGTCAGCGCCGTTTCCCTTCCGCAGTGGAGCAGCGTTGCACCTCATCTGCCCAGCAGTCGTGAGATTGGGCCATGGGAGCAGCTGAAGTGGCCGTTTGTGCATTAGTTGTGCAAAGTTTGTGCACGCTTATGCAGGAACTGGAAAAGCGCGCGGGCGGCCACCACGCGGGCGGCACGCGGGCTGTCGGCGCGTGGCTTGGGGGGTCTTTCTATTCGCCTGCGGTATCGATAAGAGATTGCGGTGGAGAAGCGTCGCATGGCCGTCGCTTTTGGGCGGACGGCGCTGTGGAGTTGCGCGACTTCTGGAATGGGGGAGACAAGTCGAGATGCGTGCAGCGCCGATGTGTGCATCTCCGGCCTCGCCGCATACGCACGTGCAGGGGAAGGAAGAGCGAGGAAAGGAGTGCGATGCGGCTCAGCGTCGCACGGAGATGTTTGAGGGTGCGAGCTGCCGTTTTCGTCTGGTACCCTAACGGGAAGCCTATAACGGCGGCTCCTCCTGAGCATAAGATGAATGTGTGCGCTCCTTCACCAATGGGCGGCGAGGTTGGAAGTCGTGCCCAGGCGAAAAGTGGTGAGGTGCGCCGAGCAAAGGGCGTCGACGGTGCCTTGGAGGAGCTGAGCATGACTGCGTTGTTTGTGCCAGCACAACCACCACTAAAAGTCGACGCTGCACGCTATTCTGACTTGCACGCTGTCGTAGCCTGCTTCTCTCGCTCCTCGTCATCATGCGCCTCCACGTCGACTTCTCTCATCAGCTTCACGCCATGTCTGGGATGTCTGGCGAGTCGCGACGTTATTGGACACGCGTAGCCTTCGTCACGGCCAAAGCCTCACCTCCACACGCAAAATGACGCCCACCATGACCAAGTCACGGAGATGAAGCTTGGAAGGATGGGCAGCACTCGCTAGGGCCAGCAGAGGGTCCGCCAGATGCACGTCCAAGACCTAATCACTCTAAAATTCGCCTCGCTCGCGACCGGCGTCAGGCAGTCGTCAGCGTGGAAGGACCGACAGTTCCTGGCCAAATTGCCCATCACTTCCAATTGTCCCCAGAAAGCCGAAGTCAGTGAGCGGACGTGACGACTTCTAATAATGTCTGAAGCACACCAGCGGGACCGGCGTTCAGGTCGTTGCCCCTGGCAGCTGCCCCTGCTTGTTCCTGCATGTTGAAACGGCGGCGCGGTGCACAACGAATGGCACGGCGCCACGGCCACAGACAAGCTTTCACCACGACGATCGCTCATCACCCAGCTGGACTGGCTCTAGCGCCGGCGTATCCCCCAGGACCGCCATTGTCCTCATTCGCCGGCTTTGTTGGACCGCTGCATGTCTTTCTCCCCGTGCCTGGCGCTTGCCCTGAATAGCCAACCGCCAGATTGCTGTGGCGTTTGTTGGTGCGACCTTGCAAAAAGTCTGATCCTTTTGGCACTTGGCCGCTGCCATCCCGGCTTGCCTTGTCCAGACCCAGCTGGGTCCCCGCCTGCCCGTACTATATGAAGGCTGAAAGCCCCAGGCCCCCGACCCTCCCGCACCCTTCATCCTCCGAATATACCAAGGTGCTGTTGCGTTCACTCACTCAGAGCACTCGCTCGTTGCTTTCCTTGACTCCCGCAGTCGTCCACTCTCTCTACCGAAGCATCAGCCCTGGTCGGCCCGAACATATCGTGCGCTCGAAGCTGCAATTCGCGTTCTTGTCTATTAGCGACTATATCCACACAACGTAACAGCTCAGCATCACTATGTCTCCCAACATGAAGCTCTCGGTCCTCGCCCTCGCTGGCGCTGCCGCCGCCATCCCCCAGTACAACGTTGGCCACGGCCACGCTTCTGCCCACAAGCACTACACTCCCTCTGCTGGAACCGCCGGCCACGCCTACCCAACTGGCGGCTGGGGCCACGGCTACAACACCACCTCCACTCCTAGCGCTGTTGCTCAGGGCACGGGAAGCGCCAGCAAGCCCGCTGGCGAGAAGACCACCTACACCGACTCCGACTACACCACCACGTCGACCACCACTCGCACCGTCTACCTGACCCAGTACCCCAGCTCTGCTGCTCCCACCGAGGTTGCCATCAAGGATGTGACCTCTGAGGCTGCCTGCGGACAGACCGTCTACGTCACTGAGACCAACCGCGTCACTGTGACTGTCCCCGCTGGTGGTGCTTCCTCGCCCGCGTCTTCGGCTGCTCCCGTTGCCTCTTCCCCCTCGGGTGGCTACGAGGCAGCTCAGCCTTCGGTCCCTGCTGAGAAGCCTTCATCGGCTGCTCCCTCGTCGGCTGCTGCTAAGCCCTCTTCCTCCGCTGCTCCCGTTGCCTCTGCCCCTGAGGCCAGCTACGAGGCCGCCACCTCTTTCGTCCTGGCTTCCTCCGAGGCTGAGAAGCCCTCTTCTGTCGCTGCCGTCAGCTCTGCCGCTGCCTACAGCACTCCCGCTGCCTCTGTCGAGGCTGTCGCCTCCAGCGCTGCCCCGGCTTCCTCCGTTGCGGAGTCCTCTGCCGCCGCCTCTGCTTCCAGCACTCCTTCCACCGGATACGCTGGTGGCAAGCGTGGTCTCGCCTACCGCTGGGATGGCGCCGCCGACTGCAAGTCCTTCGAGGGCAAGAACTTCGGCTTCGTCTGGAACTGGGAGGCTGACACCAAGGGTGACGTTGGTACCTTCGCTGCCAACTTCATCCCCACACTCCGCACCCTCGACAACGCTGGTGACTGGGCCGAGAAGGCTCAGGCTGCTATCGATGCCGGTTCCAAGGTCCTCTTTGGCCTGAACGAGCCCGACATTGCTTCCCAGGCTAACCTCGGTGTCTCCGCTCTCTGCGACGCCTGGAAGGAGCACATGAACGACTTCTACGGCAAGGCCACCATCGTCGGTCCCTCCGTCTCTTCCTCTGAGACCGAGGGCCAGGGTCTCTCCTACCTCAGCCAGTTCGTCGAGCAGTGCCCCGAGGCCAAGTTCGACGACATCAACATCCACTGGTATGGCCCTGCCTCCGCTGGTTTCGATGCCTTCAAGACGCACTACGAGAGCGCAAAGTCCCAGTTCTCCGGCAAGAAGATCTGGGTCACAGAGTTCGGTCTCACCGGCGCCACCGAGCAGGAGTCCGCCGACTTCCTCCAGAGCGCCCAGGAGTACCTCGATGGCGAGTCCACCTGCGCCGGTTACTCGTACTTCGCCGTCGGTACCTTCGACGCCGCTGCCAACCTCCTCGGCACTGCCTCTGCTCTCACCAAGGCTGGTGAGGTCTACGTCAACTAAGCGGCAGTTATCAAGCGGAGCGGCGTTCGGTTTCAAAACTTGGGTCTTGGGGTTATATGGGCATCTCACAGGGAATATAGACGCATTTTACGGATGCGCTAGCTACCACTATTTACTGTCTGTTGTTTAACTTTTACTTCTCTTATGTACCAATTTGGGGAGGGGCTTGGGGTAGCGAGCATGTGCTGTGTAGAAAGGAATGCAAGAGTGAACGTAACTATGTTTGAGCGTGCTTTGTCGTGATGTGAGTGACGTGTCTTGACGAGGAATGGTCGCGGGTCGAACTTCATCTTATCTGCCGCCCACAAGGTGATTGAATGTGTCGCGCAGGTCAGCTGTAGGACTGAGAAGATGCGAGACGTCTAAATAAAAGAGTAGGTCGTCATAACGTCGCGTCTTTGGTACGCCTAAGTACTCTAGTGTAGTCGGCGGAATTTCGCTCCTCGTAAATACGACGTGAGGTTAGCGCATTTCCGCTAGCGCAACTTGAGACCATGATGCTTATTGCGGGCATTCAGTATCCCTCCTCCACGTCCCCTCCAACACGAAATCGCATATCCAGCCCTGTGTAATCCTAGAGCAGCTGCCACAGAAGCATACTGATTGGCTTTGACCCCAACTCAAGACGCCAAGTCCCATGGGACCATCCCATCCGTCCCAATAAGGAAACGCCCAACCACAGCTCAAGCCGAGCGACCATGCCCTCAGTCGTACCCCGCGTCCCGAGCCCGCCCGAGCGCAAGAGAAAAGCTCATGTTAAGTCTCGCAAGGGCTGTTGCAATTGCAAGCTCAGACGAGTCAAGGTTAGCTTACTGCCTTTTTCAGGTTGTGTGAGGACATGCTAAGCAACAGCAGTGTGATGAAGGCAAGCCTAAATGCAAGAAATGCGTCCTATACGGCGTGTCTTGCGACTACGATGGCTCGAAGGCGTCGTTGGACCTGAGTGCTGAGGGTGCGTTTCAGATTGATCTGGCACGGGGGGAGGCGACGGTTGACTTTGCTGTGGCGCCGGAGCAGGCGTGTGCGAAGACGACGACCTTGATGAACTATAGTGCGGCCCTGCAGAAGCCACCTGTGTCGCTGAATAATGTGGCTACTGCTATGGTGCATCATTCGTTGCACGATACTGCACCCAGTAGAGCAGATGGTTTCGTCATGGCTGGCCTGCCGCACATGCACCGGTACTCGGCGTGGACTTTCAAAGAGTCAGATATGGAGATCATATCTCGCTTCCAGACACGCACTGTGTCTACCATCGGGAGCAAGCAGGCTACCTCCACGTACAGGGATTGCATCGCCCACCTAGCCTTCACTGTAAGCCCCCTTCTCACACATGTCGAAGAGACCGTAACTGATACAAACACCAGCACCCCTTCCTCATGCACATGGTCCTCTCCCTCACCCTCCTCCACGACGCCCACCTCACCACAACACACACGTCCAACCTCTCCCTCTCCTTCCAAAAAGCGTCCCTCACCCACTGGAACACCGCCACCAAGCTCTTCAACGCCCTCCTCTCCCGCCCCATCGCTCCCTCCCACCGCGACGCCATCTGGGCCACCGGCGCCCTCCTCGGCACCGCCTCAATGGCCTACATCGAATCTTCTGACCCTGAGCACGCATGGCCGCTTAAACCCCCCGACCCAAACGACCTCAACTGGCTCAAGCTCTCCGAGGGCAAACGCGCTGTGTGGCAGATTGCGGACCCGTCCCGCCCGGACAGCATGTTCTACGCGCTGGGGAAGAGCGTGAACCACCTGCAGCAGCCAGACTGGGTCGTCACCCCGGATTTCGCCTCCGTCCCGGAAAGACTAGCGCGCCTCTTCGATATCAAGCCGGACGACACCGTGACCTCGAATATATACTACCTGCCTCTTCTCTGCGTGCAGCGCACAAAGTTACTCACCCTCACGCACGAGCTTGTCCTTCCTTTTATACGCTTTTTACTCTACATGACGCCTGAGTTTCGGGCGCTGCTCGAGCTGAAAGATCCGAGGGCGATGTTATTATTACTATGGTGGTTTCGCCGCGTGGAAGACGGGCATGCGGATTTGTGGTGGATGACGCGGCGGGCGAAGATCGAGGGGAGGGCGATTGAGATATGGCTTGGGCGGTGGTATGGCGGGGAGGAAGGGCTGATGCAGATGTTTGAGCGGGTGAGAGGGGGCGTTGGGGAGATGTGGATTTCTATCCTGGGGTTGCTGGGGACGATCCGGCGGGGTGTTGATGGAGTGTCCTGGGTGGGCGAAGGAGAGGGCGGAGGGGATCTGGGTGCAGTGAGTAGTATGTCTAAATGTACGTACGTTTATACTTTTAGGTATTATACACATCAACCTATTACGTTGTTGTGCACGTTGGCCACACAGTGTCAGTGTCGTGCTGGATATTCGTACCCTCATAATGGCTTGAGCCGAACCTGTCTACAATCCAATATCCAATATCCAACCTCCAAAGCTTCGGTGTCCAGCATCCTCCAGCCCACCCCCATCCCCTCCCCTCCTCCCACTATCCCCTACCTACGCCGTCAAGACCCCCACCCCACCAACCAAAAAGGCAACCCAAGCCCCAAATCCACACTCCCCACCTCACCCTATGCACACCCACCCACTCCTCACCAACTTCCCGCCCTCCCCTTCTCACCTTTAACACCCTCGCCCTTCGCCCCCAACACACATCCCATACAACCCCTCCACCGCCCCCAACCCCAGGCACGAAAGCATAATGCGCCAACGCGCCCACCAAACCAGCTACATACCACCTCCTCCGCGGCCCTAGACCCTCGGGTACAAGCCACAAATTCGCCGCCGCGCTGAGCACCGTCAAAGAATTAAGTCCAACAACGGAATACACGCCCGTATTAAAAAGTTGACGAACCACACTGGGATGAGGACGTCTTTCGCTTTTGCACGTCTGCGGCGTTGGCGTGCGGGGTTCCGGGGAGGTGGTGGCGTGGGCCATGGCGCGCGTGAGGGCGTTGTGCGTGGGCGGAGGGAGGAGGAAAGATGTTGTGGCTAGGTTTTCCATGTAGGCGTGTGTCATTGAGGCGGTGGTGGATAGGAGGGGGCGAGGCGGAGGAGGGTGAGGGCGTGGGGAGAGTGTCAACGAGAGACCGAGGAGGGTGGTGGTCGCCATTGTGTAGCTTATTTCGCGAGAGAGAGAGAGAGAGAGAGAAAGAGGGCGTTTCTTGCTGAAAAGAAGAGTGTGTGGTTTGGTTTGGTTCTCTACTAGTGGAAAGCCTGGGGTTTTGTGACCACACTGGATAGGAGGAGACGGTTGTCAGAGCGCGCGTAGGATCCTCGCCAACGTGATGGGGCTGCTGGCATCTTATACAGCTCGGCCAAGACGGCGCGAATACGGAATCCTACGATGGAATGTGGGGAACGCGGGTGGGGTTGTGGTGAGAACGTGGTTCGACGCTTACAGCCAGATTGGGGGCCGCGACCGGAAACGATCGGAGCGCGGCCTCCTACCTGTAAGAAACGCCGACTGAGGGACAACTACTGGCATGCGAATCTGCTGCAAGCTGGGTATCATCTTCATTCTACCTACACACCCTCAAAATGCCATGCATGAAATGAACAAATGCTACTTTTCCATCCTTCAAAACGCCATCGCAATGCATCATCAACCTTCCCTGCCCTCCCCACAACCACCTATCCACCCTACCACCCCTCCTCTTCCCCTGGTACGCCGCACTCTTCTCCTTCCTCTTAACCTTCTTAACCTCATTCCTCCTCTTCTTCTCCTTGCCAAACCTCTCCGGCATAGTAACAGCCTCGATCTTCCTCTTCTGCCTCCGCTCTTCGCGCCGCTGCTTGACGCCCTTCTGCACGTCGCCCATGACATTGAGGTACTCCTGCGTCCCCATCCGCTTTTGCAACGTGTTCATGATCTCGCGGCTCTTGTCGATGATGGCGCGGTATGTGTCGTTGAAGGCGGCCTCTGTTGAGCGGGGGATTGTGGTCGCAGGGTCGGTGAGCGTGGAGAGCGTGGTGAGGAGGTGCGGGAGGGATGATTCGAGCGCTGCTATGGGTAGCTTTGTAACCAGTGTTTCGAGCAGTGTGGCGGTCGCAGACTTGGGGTAGAGTGAGGAAAGCTTCATGATCTTTGTTTCGCGGCGGATGATGCCTGATAAGCGTGTGACAAGTCGGTGGATGGCTGTGGGAATAGCCGCCTTGATCTTCTTTGGCTGCGGCGATTCGGGCGCTGGAGAGAAGCCGCCAAATTCTTCGTCTGAAGCGTCGCCGTTCGTTTCCCCTGCCGGGTTGACTTCTTCGGCCAAAGTGTCGTCCTGCACATCCTCATCGTCGTCTACCTTCTTCCAGTTCCATTTGATCAGGTTCGCTGCTTGGCATCGTGCGAGGAAGGCAAGGTTGCGAACACTTTGAATGCATAAATCTTCGCTGGCGTTGGTCGTTTCGAGATTTCGGAGGAAACCGTGCGTCAGTTGAACCATGACCTCTTCGGTGAGCTGCAGTCCATGGGATCCTTTCAGTGGAACGCTCTCGAGACCTGATTCGCTGTTTGCGCTGGAAAGATCGGCGAAGTAGATGCCAATGAGTTTCGCAGCAGTGAGCTTGACCCAGGCGTGAGGATACGAGACGCATAAGCGGATCGAGGTCCACATACTCTCCGAAGAAAGCGTATGATCGGGCCAAGGCTTGGTAAGTTTCGAGAAGACTGTAAGAGCGTAGTAGATCAATTCCCAGTCTTCCTCGTCACGTCGCTCCAAGCAGACATCAAATGTGTTCCGAAGTTGCTCCATAACGAACTCAAGCTCCTTCGGTTTGGCATCGGCAACTTCGAGATATAGGCCCCAGCACTGGATCCCGAGACGCTTGAGACCTGGATCCTCATCCTGAGTGATCCATTCCTTGAGATCGGCCGTGAAGCTCTTGAGTTGCTGCGCGTTGGCGCGCTCGAAGATTGTCTTGACCAGAGCGCCAGCCATGGTACGGCAATCAGCAGAGTCGTCGTTGGCCATTGAATGGACCAACGGAATAAACATCATGCCCAGGTTCTCTTCAAGAATCTTCTCGCCGACTTTGTTGAGAACCAGACTTAGAGCTTCCATGACCGACTGCCTACCCTCAACGTAATCGTAACGCAAATTCTTGAGTAAGAACTCCAACTGTTTCTTGAAGCGGTTCTTCGCCTGTGGATACTCCATGAGGAAGTTGAAGTAGGTAGAGCGGGCTATTTGACGCGCAGACTGTGTTTGGTTCGTGATCATCATTGCAGCGACCTTATCCATCACTTCGTAGACCTCTGTGATCACTATCTTCCTTGTCATAACCGCCTTGAGGAAACCGAAAGTGACACCCTGACGATCAGGCTCGTCGATATCCGGCAGGATGCGTTTCAGGAGATGAGATAAGTCTTGCTCTCTGATCTGGACGTTCGGCCTCTCTCGAAGCATGCTTGTGATCAGCTTCAGGGATGCCTGTGCGATTTCGGAATTCGAAGAAGTGGCTCCCTTGATCGACCGCACAGCCTCTGCAACGTAAACAGGGCAACTCTCGTCTAGCTCCTTCATTGGAACTGTGATGATGGTAGACAAGAGGCGGATCGCGGATGTTTGCAGTTCCTCATGGTTTGCGATCAAGGCGTCGCCAATGACAGGAAGAAACCCTGAAAGATTTTGCGGTGTTCGAAGCTCTTCATGCTTGCGAAGAACTGTTCGCAGAATGTCCAAACCAAACCGGATCAACTTGTGGCTGTACGACGCCGTGGACTGACGGGCGCCTGACTTTGCAGCACCCTTCATGTTGATGAGGAACTTTCGATTCCTCGGGTCCACGTGCTCAACCTTTTCCGTGCTGTTATTTGACTTGTACACCTCCTGAATTAACTCATACGAAAACATCAAGATGTCGCGATCATTCACTGTGGGGTTCTGGAGCACGCCCAGACCTATGCGCCGCATGAGCTCATCGATCTTCTGTACCATTCGAGCGTTCAGCTTCTCCTGCAACAGAGATTTGATAGGCAGCACCAGATTGATCAAGGATGCTGGTGTGGTCGATCGTGCGATGAGATCCATCGTGTCGAAGCTCTTGCTGCTCTTCACCTCTTTCATCTTGCTGATGTACTCTTCTGCGTCCTTCTCTTGACCAGTAACGCCAAAAATATCGTCCATTACCACGTCCACGATATCCGCGACGCAATAGTCTAGATCGCCTGGTTTCAGCTGCTCCGCCAGTTCCACGATGATCTTGTGGAGGGTGAATGAGAGAACGTGCAGCTGGTAGCCTCGTGAAAGCGCTATCCTAAGTGCCCGTAGGATGAAGCCGAAATAAGTAGGACCCGTGAAGGTGGCAATCTCTGCTAAGGTATTTCGAGCCATGTCTCTACTGCCTTGGTCTTTGCTGCGCAATATATGTGACATGTCAAGAAGAACGGCAGGTAGTCTAGCCTCAATCTCGATGGACGGTAGGATCAGAAGTGCCTTGCATACCGCGATGGCAACGGGCACGCGCAGACTGACTGTGGATTCGTCCTTCTTCCTAAGGAAGTTCTGGAGGTCTGGAAGGATGTTGTCGACAATATCCTTTGTCAATTTTTCCTGCGCTGGGAGAGTCTTCGCAAGGGCTGATGGTTGTTCGTCGACTTCCATGTGATCGGTTCCGTTGACTTCATCGGCGCCATCGACAGGCTGTCCCGGGGCTGGCGCCTCCGATGGAGTAGATGAGGCGTATTTGAACCGACCTGCCTGATTCAGGCCGTCCAGCAAACCACTCAAGAGTTTGATTACGGTCTTTTGCAGATCTTCCTTGCTCGAGAGATAGCCGACGTACCTCTTCAACAGCGAGCGGAACTGTGGCCATTCGAGACCCAGACACAGTGTGGTAATTGTCTTCCCTGTCTCTCCTGCTAAGGCGTTTGCGTTGTCATCATCAGCCTTATTGAACACGAAATGCTCCAAGAGAGGAATGAAGATGTGGTAAATGTTCCCGCTCTGTAGGTGTGGAACGTTGGAAGCGAGTCGGCGTAGCGCACGCAGACGTCGGTGATTCTGAATGTGGAGGATGTTGCTGTAGAAGGACGCTTCTTCGTCCTCTGATACCAGAATGTGCAGGTCGCCGACAGGTGCCCAATCTCGATAGGTCTCGACTAATTGAGCGAGAACAGCCAAGAACTCCACGCGAACAAGCTCTGAGGGCTCACGCACTCCAAATCGAATCCCGGGAAGGAGGGCGGTGGAGATGAAGTCCTTCGTATACTGGTCTTGTGTCGATGTTTTGATGAAGTGTCGGAGTGCGAGCGATGCATTGACGCGAATACTTAATTCAGCCTCGTCCTTTATAAAGAATAACGTATTGAAAATCAAGGGTTTCCATTGTGCAAGGCTGTAGTGGACATCGCTGGTAATCTGGCCGAATGCAGCAGAACGGCGATCAAAGTCTGGCTCATCCAGGCGGGATGTGGAGTATGCGTTCAGACCGTGGCAGAGCTTGGCCACAACCGACAAGTCGTCCTTATAGGACGAAAGATCCTCGACGATGTTGCAGAGCAAGACCCTCGCAGACTGGTCCTTTAGATATGAGAAAAGCGGACAGATTCCTTCGAATATGGTATCGAACAGCTCTGTGATGTCGGTACTTTGACAGCGCGGAATGAATTCGTGCAGAATCTTCAGCAAACCAAGTTTAGTCGCTGCGTTGACCCGCTGTGATGGCTGTCTGAGAAGGAAGCTAGAGATCTCAATCATGCTGCGGGACTCAGATGATCCAACAACATGAGGTGCAAGCTCGGCAATGGTGTGAACGCCGGACTCAAGCACTTCCTTGCTAGGGCTCTTTCGAAGAAGTGCGCCAACGTGAATCAGTATTGTGTTCGCGTATGGCTGAAGTATATTGGACTGGATGCTGTTCTTCCTGATTTTGGCTTCTGTTGAGTCTTGCTCATCCTTCGCCACCAACGAAATAAGTTGACGCAGAATGTCGTCCAAAATGAATCGTTTCACTTCGTCCTTTGCAGAAGCCACATCCAGGCATTCGGTGATTTTGGTCAGAATGTCTTGATCGAAATCAACCAGAAATCTTGCTGTAGCGGTAGACTTTGACCAAGCCGAGAACAAGCGCAGTAGGCCAGAGACTGATTGAGCAGTTTCGATGGGGAATTGTTGGAGTCTAGGAGTGACTAATTCTCCCACTATGACTGACGCGTACGGCTCCCATTCGAAATCCGGACAGCTTCCAAATAATATGTTCAGAGCTTGAAGGGAGCGTTGCCGAATAGCTCTGAAGATAGATACTTGGCTATTGTCAAACTCTGACTCTGTTGCAGAATTGGAATTTGCAAGAGCTCGTGATGCATTGATGAGGCAGAAGAGTATCGGATCGACGAGAGAGGCAACGAAGGGTCGGATAGTAGTTTTAAGCGCGCCGAGCATGTCTTCAACCATGTTAATCATACCGACCTGCTTACGAGGTGCCAGCAAGTCTGCTTGCAAGATGCTCTCATCCAGGGCCTGGTCTCGGAATATGTGGACGCCGCTCAACGGACCAAGTGCGATTTCGAGGAATTGATTGATCGCGCTATCTTCGAATCGAGTTAATGCTTGGAAGACAGCTTTCCTCTTTACATCAAGTCCTCGCTTCCCACTGATGACCTTGCCATACAGCAAGCGAAGAAGGACGGGGAGCAGTACATCCCGGTGATGCTCTTTGATGGCGCCTTGATCGGACCCAGAGTCCAGGAACACGGAGACTTCATCTCGGAATCGCGAATCATCGAGCAAATTGAACAGATTCTCTTGGTATTCCACGATGGCGGGTTGCTTCCAGGTGAGAAGTGCTTTGAGGGCAGCTTTCTGAACGTCGGCATCACCATTGCATAGAAGAGCCAACAAAGCCTGGTACACATCTGTCGCTCGGTACAGGACCTTTGGGTTGGTGAATTTGGAGAAGAGCGTGAGCATAGATTTTTGATCTTTCCTACTCCATCGAGACTCTTGCTCCGATGCTTCTCCAACCATATTATCATCGTCCGGTACGTCTGTTGCTGGCTGAGCCGAGACCCAGTCTAATAGAACGGGCACCAAGACACGGGAGCGCTTTTCAGCAACGGCAGGTAGTTCATTGAGCACGCGGAGGGCCTGCGTCCGGCTGAAGTCGTTCAGAAAATGAACACTTGAATGATCGCGATCGAAGCGGGCCTGAAGCTGCTCTTCAACGTCGTCTAACATGGCCTGTGATTTACGAATGGTGTGTTCGACCTGCATGACATTAGTGCACTCAAATGTGCTGACGTATCGCGGAGGTGGGGGTGGCTCTGTCGCGATGGATGCAGAATCGCCGTCGCTGGATGGCTTGTTTATCCACTCGAAAGCAACTTTTAAGACATATGATTCGCCTTCTTTTGTTTCGCAAATAGCTTTCAGTGCAGAGCAGACATCGTCCCAGATTGATGCAAGTCTAACGTGAAGAAGACCGAACAAAAAAGTAGGTATAGCCTCTCCCAAATATTCGTCTGCGGCAATGCCTGGGTACAATTTTGTAAGCTGACTAATGCGCATGGAAATGGATCGCTGAGTTTCCAGGTTCACAGGTGTCTGCTCAATAATGCTTGCGGTGGCGATGGCGTTGCGACGTTCTTCGGTATCGGAAGCCAGGATTTCAAACAGACCAAGTGCCACAAGGCGCAACTCGTGGGAAGGCGATCCCAAACAACGCAAGAGACCTTGCTTGAGAGAATCTATGTGATCTCCAGAGATATCAAGGCTTCCTTTGTTGCTCTCAGCCAGAGAGAGCAAGGCTTTCCAGAAGGATAGGCTGCTGTCCTCATTAGCCGACGCAGCTTTGCACAGTGCTGGCCAGAGTTGAAGCAATGATTCTTGGAGGTTCTCGTCGCGTACGATATATAGTAACCCATTTCCAGTGGCAAATTTTCTGGTGTTTGGTGTCGATTTATTATCGCCATCCTCGAGAGATCTTGTCAAAGCTCCATAGAGACATTTTGAGATGGCTTGTTTCTGTTCATTGGAAATGACCAAGCTTCCAATAGCGTCAATAAAAGCATTGCAGTCGTACAATATCCGTTGTGAATCGTCTTGCGTGGAACCCGATGTGGTCAGCTGCTGTAATCGATTGCTCATAATATTCTGCCAAGCAGAAGGCACTTGCAAAGAGTCCTTCGGAACGATGCTGTGCTCGTACCAGCTAGGCAGAATAACACAAAGCTCGTCTCCATGTTCTTGTGCCTTTTGAACTACAAATCTAAAAACTTTTAGCGCGCGGTCGAACGGATGAATTGTAGTACTGACCTCTTGAAGTATGATAGAAGAAGGGTATTGAATCGCTCCGCGCCTAGCTCCGCAAATGTATTACAGAAAGACAGGAAGAATTTCTCCAGCGGTTCTTTGCTAAGCTTCTCGAGGAGTCCAGTGTGAGGAATGGCGGCGTCGATCGGACAATACTGGAATACCACTGCAAACGCTGAGAGAAGCTCCTGCATATCCGCTTCTTCTATTGCTGTGGAATCATCAACGCTAGTGACTAGGAGATTGATAATTTCGAGGATAGACGGCCACTGGGCGACTCGTGAGCCTTTGCGCACACTACAGACGACGAAAAGTAATCTTGAAGATAGGCCCAGATAGCGCTTATCTGACGTTTTCAATTTAATCGTCTCAATGATAGCTTCTAGAAGAGGCTGAAAGTTTTCGGCATCTGAGTGGTGGATCACGGAAGTAGTAACGCCTTTGAGCACAAACTCCAAGGGCGGACTCTGCAGATCCGCATAGTCCTCGTCATACGTGCACAACAATAATTCCTTCAGTATAGCAACGGCGCTGGAATGGAGGCCGCGCTGGACTCCCTTAATGGAGTCGGCAAAGAGCGTCATGAGGCCTTGCTGGAAATCGATGTCTTGAGCGGTGCCCTGCGAGTCTTTCAACAGTTCCGATGCGTGCCTAATTATATTCCTCAGAGGGCTCTGATCTCTGTGATAGGCAGCTCCTGCCTTGCGTACCAGAAAGCTCAGCGACTCTGCTGCAAATCGCATAACGAACAGCTTCTGGCGCGCTTTCCCCAGCAGCGGGACCATCAGGTCAAACACAGGTCGCAGATCCGGTACCAGAAGCCTTGAGAGGTATTTGAATAGCCATGCTAAGCACGTGAAGGACCATTCGATCACCTCGACGTCGGCGTGTGTGGCGGCCAGGTGGGCTACCGTCCGGACTGCCCGCTCGAAGTGCTTCTCGAAACGCACACCGAGATCATGGGCAAAGTTTGCCAAGAGCTTGAGAAGCGGTTCCTCGCTGTTCTTATCCCCCTTCTCAATATTCTCGATAAGCAAATCGAAGATGCGCTCGTTGTGGTGGAGGACCTGCGGGAGGCTGTCGCATAGCGGGGCGACTCGGCGGGCGAAGTTACTGAAGATCTCGGAGAGATTGATGTCTCTCCACTCGACGAGGGTGTCCCTGAAGTATGAGAAGGTAGCGTCGAGCTCTGCATCGTCGATTATGGTACTGCGCCCGCGGCGGACAGGCTCGATCTTGAGTTTCGCGATGCGCTGGGCGAACGACTGGTAGGTGTGATTTTTCAAGGACCTGGTACCGCCCTTGACCCGTTTCGCGACGCGTAGCTGCGGTTTCGCGGCCGGTCGTGTACCCCTCGACATGGCGGCCATATTGTATGTAAGTGAACGAGCGAGGTCTGCGCCGTAGCTGCCACTTCTCTGCGATTGATCCACAAAAATTTCTGGAATCGACGCACGGACCAATCGCAACCTTATCGATTGGCGCATGCACCTAACCTTAGAAGTTCCGTGTCCACGTGCAAAGCAACACGACCATCAACTTCGCCTTAATGGCTTCTAAAATGTGAGACTATATCTTTGCTCTTGTAGATATGGATTCAAGTCACTGATAGAGTCCCAGCGCAGTAATTGGCGATGTAAACGGCCACTTCCCAGCCGTTCTCCAGAAGCTTGCGAATCTGCACGCCAAACAAAACTTCGCTTTGGTCATCATTGCTGGCAATCTATTTGCCAGTCCCTCAGAGGCGACCGAAGAAGACGAGAAAAATGTTCAGAATCTGATCAATGGAAAGATTGAAATACCTGTCCCGACCTACTTCGCTCTTGGCAGCAATGCCTTTCCCAAAGAAGTGGTTGACAAACTCTCATCCTCTGATGACGATCTATGTCACAACTTACATTTCCTTGGGAAGCGAACGACTATGAAAACCGCGGAAGGAATCCGCATTGTGGCTCTCGGCGGCCAGTTGGACCCCAACATCATCGCTGGACAGTCGCAAGACAAATATCCACCCTTCTATAGCGACACAGATGCAAAGGTTCTGCGTGGCGCTACCACAGCCGATATCCTCGTAACCGGAGAGTGGCCAGAAGGCATCCGCTCAAGGTCAAAGGTCGCTTTCAGCGCGGACATACAGCCCCGAGAACAGCAATGCATCGCTGACCTCGACATGGTGTTAAAACCACGGTATCACTTCTCAACATCAGGCCCCGTCTACTACGAGCGTGAACCTTTCTTCCACATGCCCGGTGAAGAAACGGATAACCTCACTCCCGTAACTCGCTTCATCAGCCTCGCTTCATACGGCAACCCCAACAAGCAAAAGTGGATATACGCCTTCTCCCTGGACCCTACCGCAAGCCACCCCATCTCCCCACCCTCCGGCTCCACCATCAACCCTCTCATCCACTCCGACAGGAAGCGTCCCGCGCCCGATCACAGAGAGCAGGCGCTCGTGTACGATGACGGACGGCACGGCGGCCGCAGGGGAAACAAAAGGCGGAAGCACGAAGCAAAAGGACCAATCGACGCATCACAATGTTTCTTCTGTCTCTCAAACGACAACATTGCGACCCACCTCGTCTCTTCCATCGGCGAGAGCGCTTACATGACGACTGCCAAAGGCCCGCTTCCGACCTCGCAGACCTTCCCGAAGTTAGGCTTCCCTTGCCATCTGCTCATCATACCATTCAGCCATCAGCCGACGCTGGCGTCCATGGAGGAAGAGGAGCGCCAGGCTACATATGCAGAAATGCAGAAGTATAGGACGTCGATGAATAAGATGCTGCACGCGCAAGGGGAGGGAGAGTACGGCTCTGTCACGTGGGAGGTCAGCAAAGCGAGCTTGCCGCATACACATTGGCAGTACATGCCTGTACCCGCCGATCTCATCCAGAAAGGACTCGTGGAAGCGGCGTTCAAGGCGTTAGCAGAGAACTTCCATTGGCCCAGTTTCACAAAGGAAGACGTGGGCGACGGCTTCGAGGAGACGAGCGACTTCTTCAGGGTGTTGATCTGGGACCCGAAGAACAGTCCGGAGAAGCAGACTAGCTTCATCCTGCGGTTCGACGAGAAGATCAAATTCCACCTGCAGTTCGGACGGGAAGTGCTCGCGAAGCTGCTCCGTCTGGACCAGCGCGTCGATTGGAGGAATTGCGCGCAACACCAGCCCGAGGAGGAAAAAGATGTGGAGAACTTCAAGAAGGCTTTCAAGGATTTTGATTTCACTGAAGGCTAGGTACGCTACCGAGAAGTTGGCTGGAGCAATTTTGTATGTAAAATAGCGCTGGCGCACGGGAGCTCGTTCCGGCGCGGAAGAAGGGTATAGTAATCATCATCATCATAAACACGCGATGTCTCTCGAGACGCACTAAGCCCACTCATTGATTCATGACTAACGTCTAACAAGTGCCCATCATGCTGGTGAGCGCGGTCTTCTCCGCACTGGTGATGGTCAACTTGTACACGCTCTTGACCTTGATCCACATCTTGGCGTAAGTGCAGTAGTAGCTCGCTATTTTGCATTAGCAGTGACCTCTGTCCAACCCATGGAGTACCTACTTAGCGGGGGCTTCCATTCCTCCGGGCCCGAGTCGCCCTTTGCTTGGTTGACGTTGTCCGTTACAGCAGCAAGTTGGGGGTTGGTAAGATCGTTGGCGAAAGCCTGACGTTGGGCGGTGGTCCATGCCGAAGCTCCGGACTGTTCGATATCAGCACACTGATCCAACACTAAAGATGTCTATCTGGAGCCAGTGCAACTTACCTTCCAGGCATTGCTCAGGGGGACAACGTGGTCGATGTCGACATCGCTGGCAGCAGTCCAGGTAGCGCCATCGTACGGGCTCTTCCACGTGCCCGAGGTAGACGCACAAGCTGAGTCAGTGACAACGTTGGTGCCGTCGCGCTTGAGGACCGTCTCGCGGGTGTTGCAGGTGCCGGACTGGGTGATCCAGTGGGGAAACAGGTCGCGGGAGTAGCCGTCCTGGGAACCCTGGGCCTTGACGGTGAGACCGGCGAGGAGGGTGTTGGCGCTGCTGGTAGTGGGAATGTTGGGAGGAGTGCGCTTCTCGAGGGGAGCAGCAGCAGCGAGAGCGGCGACGGCCGAGACGATGAAGACAGACTTCATTGTTGTGATGGAGACGGTTGATGTGCCGGGTGAAGTCTTTCAGGCTGGATCTGGGGCGAGGCAAGAGCTACTCGACACAGCCTTCTCAACTTGCGCCGTCCTACCATCTTTATACCACGAAACATCGTGGACTAAACATGCAATCTTCGGAGCTCCATCCAATCATGGGTATAAACAATCACCTCCTTCCCTACGAATAACGACCAAGATAAGGCCCACGCAGCACATGTTCCCAGCCCTTACACTTGTCCTACCGTTCTACCACGAATCAAATACCACCGACGTCGCTATAAAGAGCCCCAAACGGGCAGGTCGTCGTCCGCGCCAAGGGCATCGGCACTGCCCAGCTCTTTCTCCACGCGGACGCACTTGGGCGAAAGCTGCAAACCACCGCGTACCTGAAACTCTTGCCAGTCGAGCTTCCTTTCGGAAACCACGGCACCGGCCGATCTGCAGAGGACAGGGCAAGTCGGAAGTTAGGCCGCATGTAAGGTTGATATAAGTCGTCGAGGGTAATCATGGTGTGCGTGCGGGGCAGATGATGATTGGCGGCGGAGCGTTAGGAGATGAGGTGTGATTGGCTAGGCCGTTTGAGTACTGGCGGGTAAGCTATGCAAGGGGTTACATGCGCTTCGGAGCAGTGATCTTCAGGGCTTAGCACACCTGGGAGAGATAAGCGAATGGAGAGGGAGGATGCCATATCGTGGGTGGATGGCAGTGCCTTGTGCTTTATGAGCCGGCGTTTACCAAGTATTGTACAGTGGAACTACAAGACTGAATGGGTTGGTGCGTGGGTAGATGTAAACAAGTCTTTGACTAAGAGGAACATCCACTTGGTGCAGTCGTTAGGCATTGCCACTTTTCACCTGTAACCATTTGTTTACGCAGTCGAGAATAGCACAGATGACGAGTGGGGTGAGCTGACACGTGAGCTTCGGTACTTTTGCCAAGAGGATCCGGTCTGAACGGCAAAAGGCGCAGCATTCGACGCCTCATAACAAAGGCCCAAAGTAATCTTGTAAAGCCTGGAAATGACGAGGAACTGTCTTTGCTCCGCGTTTCGATGCCCTGGAATGATACAGGCGTGACTGAAGACAGTCTTGGATTTCCGACATGGATGGTCCTTGGACCCTTCCAGACGAAAAGCTTGCTTTGCCAATCCTTTAGTGCTGCGATCGATGGTTTCTACGCGTCATTCCGTTTTCAGTAGTTTGAAGTCTGCAGTATCAATATCGGATCCCGTGGACTGTTTTTGTTCGTGGAACAATCAAGGAGGGTGGTACAGGCGAAAGCCGATGCTGTCAAACAAGAACATTGGTCCGAGTGAGATTGTCCTGCAGATTTCCTTTTGTGAGCAAATGGAAACAGCAAGATAGGAGCTGTGTCACGGTTCACGTCGCCCAAAGAAGAGCTTGGTTTGCCTTGACAGTGAAAGCTCTGTATACCTGTGATGTTGATCTGTGAGCGCGATTGTATGGGAGAGGTTGGTAAAGGAAGCACCAATCGAGTGGTTATGATTAGTCAGCGCTTCAACACTGAGAATGCTCATTGCTCGTCTCACCCTTGTCCTCCACATTCAGCGAAAATGGCATCAATTCATATCCTGTTCTCCCTGTGGAGCTGATGGTCAAGAATGAAACCTGAAGCGCCTGCCGTTCTAGCGACCGTAAGCGCTGTTCCGGCGGCAACAGCTGCCTTCATCGCAGATCTTCTTTGATTACTGTCCTCGCTCAACCACTGGTTGCGCATACTCCACCTCTACGTCTAACAGGTGCCAAACTGTATCACTCTGGAAAGCTGGTTGAACTATCTGTCGTAGCAGTTGTGGAACACGGCATCCACCGTCTCTCCTTTGGTTGACGCTGTACAACCCCAAGCCACTGCAACGCAGAATGCTGACCCTACTAGCCATCAAGAGTCATATCAACCACATCTAGTCATACGGGTGTGGGGGAAATGTAAGAGGCAGTGAGGCGGCTTGGATGCACGTGCGCCGCAGTGACTCAGCCCTGCGCCACCGCGCCCGCATCATGAACGCTCAACCACGCCATATTATTTTCATATAATCGCAGCAGCCATTCTTCAACCGCCTGACAGCCTTTGTATAGTCCATGGCACCTACAATGGATTCATCAAGCATGAGTCGTAGCCGCTCCAATTCCAAGCCCGTCACACCACCTCGTCTCCCAACCGAGCTCTGGCTGCAAATCTTCGAACAAATAGACGACGTCGAATTCCTCTGGTGCACATTACGACTGATCTCCAGAGAATACAAGGCGTTCGTGGACCGCGTCTTCGTCACAAACTACCTCCCTACCATCTCCTTTTCATTATCGCTACCTCGACTGGATCCGGATACTGGTCGCGCGCGTTATGCGCGTCCGGTACCGGGCGCCGAAATTACCTTGCATTGCCGGCACCCCGACGCGGAATCGTCACGAGTGATCTTAGCAACCCCGAAAACTGTGCCTAGTGGGGATACGATTGAGCAATTGACAGCGTCGGGAGCCCTCTCAAAGCAACGGCTGGACGAGGCCCAAGCTTGGATGTGGTTTGGCAGGCAACATGGTAGAGGAGCGAATGTCGCCTCTATAGACAAGGACATACAATGGGACGAAGAGGAGAAGGTGTGGACCTGGAGTGTGAATTGGGAGGCCTTTGTCAACAGGTACTTTGGCGCCAAGAGGGCTTCCAAGATGGCTTCCAGACGGACGCTCATAGCGACGCCCTGGGCAAGACGTCAGGGTCCGCGACGTTCGCTGTGACAGGGGCTATTTGAAATACTCGACGTTCGCACAAAGAGCCGCGAGTACTTCTGGCTGGGCGGTGGGAGGCTGTCGGAGTGCCACTTGTCGCAGCACAGATCGAGCCCAAAAGCGTCAAAGTTTGTGACATTGCGGGGACGCGACACCAGGCAACGCATAAAGCTGCAGACCAGATTGATGCCTTCGACGCTGAGTTAGAGCCACATCCCGCAGGCTGAGACGCCTGATCGCCTTATTGAGACGCCCCAGATACCAGGGTCACGGCGCCTCGGCAAGCCACGCGAATCGCTGAGGCACACATGAGACGTCACACCGGCTCGTCACAAACTTGGGGAAATTCGACGGTTCAATTCGGTAATAAGTTTACATTTCGTTATTGTACTCAATGCCAGAGAAGAAAGGAAAAGCGCCCTCAGAACCAGTCCATGAAGCGCTGTCGCTTCATACTCCGTAGAGTGACCTTTTATCGCCTACAGCGACAAAATGCATGTTCTATCTCCACGTCAAATCTCGTCCATAGAAGAAAATACTATTACTCCTTACCACAACGTAAATGTGGTCTTTATCTCCAAACCCCATCCCTCTTTGCCTCTTGATTCCCCTAATCAATGATGCGCGTTGTCTAGGCGACGAAGTCACGAGCAGCGAACTTCGGGCGTCCGAACCTTCCCCTGCCCTTTCCGCCGCCACGTCCGCCCTGAGCAGCTTGACCACCCTGTGCGGCCTGTTGACCCTGTTGAGCCTGCTGGGCCTGTTGACCTTGTTGAGCCTGTTGACCTTGCTGAGCCTGCTGACCGCCCTGCTGAGCGTTCTGACCCTGGTTGGCATTGGCGGCGTTGTTGCCTCCGTTAGCATTGGCGGCGTTGCCTCCGTTACCGCCGTTACCGCCGTTACCGCCACCGTCGGCTACAGTGAAGCGCACACAGTCATCCTGGGGACCACGCTGAGCGACAGGCATAAGAACGGGCTGATGGTTGGCGGCGGAAGTCATAGAGCAGACACGGTAGCTACCAGCGGGAAGACCAGCAGCGAGGTCGGCTGAGAGGGTTCCCTGGCCGTCACCGTCGTCGTTGATACCCTTGAAGAACGCGAACTTCTGGGCATCCGGAGGGGTCGTGGTCTTAGCGTCACCAATGTCCTGGACACTGATATGGGTGTGTCCAACGATGTTGCCACCTTGCAAATCCTGAGGAGCGACGTAGTATGTGACATCAGGGTTCGTGAATGTACTACAGTATAGAATCAGCAGATGCTTGGTTGGAACATCATCCTAAGGCGAACTTACCCAGCCACAAGATTGTCGATCTTGACAGAGAAGGTCATCGCCTGGTTTGCGGGGACAGTGTCGCCATCCTGGGGGCTGACCATTACAGCCGAGATCATGTTGGCGGTGCTAGGAATGTTTCCCATGGCTATCTACGTTAGCAAACTGAGCATCGGTGCAAGCACATGAGCCACTTACGGATCGGGTTGCAGGATCCACCCTTGACCTGAAGACCATCGGTAATCGTCTTGCCCGCGCAGAAGTTGATGAAGTTGTTGGCATCAGTGGCAGACGCAGCTTGCCCAGCTTCGGCCTGTGCCAGACCGTCGTTGTTCGCGTTCTTGGAGATCACGGTAGGGTCGAGACAGTTGGCTTGGCCGTTACCTCCGTTGTTGGCATTACCTCCATTGTTGGCGGCGTTCTGGCCATTGTTGGCAGCGTTTTGTCCGTTGTTGGCAGCATTCTGGCCGTTGTTGGCTGCGTTTTGTCCGTTGTTGGCGGCGGCCTGCTGACCGTTCTGACCATTGTTGCCACCCTGACCATTTCCCTTGCCGAACTGAGCATTGGCGAAGCCGGCTGCAAGCAGCAAAGGCATGACTGTGGAGAAACGCATCTTGACTAAGTTGTATATTGTCTTCGAAAGAATGAATGCCGGCTCGCGGTGTATTAGGATGAATACAAAGACACGTTCAACGTGGTCTGAAGAAAGAAGGATGAAGGGGAGAAAGGAACGTAATCCTCAACGAGGCACCCTGAGCGCGGTAGTATAGGACTGAGGATGGTGGGAATGAACGACTTGGAGGGCCATGCGGTAGTCTTTAAGCCCTTGGCGGAACGCGGCCTTGTGTAGAAACCTGGTAAGGCGGCTGAGGACAGCCTCGGGCATGAAACCTGCGATGAAGGTGGACGTGTCTCACGAACCATCCCGCATGTCAAGTTGTGATGTGTGCACAGACGCCTGTGTCCGGAGGCGCCAATTTTCCTCAGGCTTGGAGTGCAGCCTTCCCGGGCCGCAAGTGCCCAAGGCATTGAGGACGTTGCTGGAAACAGGCAGCGTCTGAGGTTTCTAGGAGGTGGAGGTGAGGTCTGCAGCACGCAGCGTTTGAGGCGAAAGCGCTAGGCCGGCTTCGGGCATAGCCTCAGGCTAGCCGATAGCTTAGAACCTCGAAAATGACAACCAAAGATTCCATCAGTCTCAAGGATTGCAGCCTCAAACTGCTATGATGCCTTTCGTATGCAGCCAGCGGCAGTCGAGCACTCGGCAAGACTCCTCCAGCTGTTGGCATCGTTGTTCACGACAGGGGTCCCTAGAGCCACTCGCAGATCCACCACGCTTGCGCCCCTCAAGTTCGCTGCCTGCCATTGGCTCCTTGAAAGCTTGTCTGTCTGTGTTCCCTTGTCGATGCCGTATTCGACGTCTGTCATTCCTCGTGTTGCGACCTAGCGACGGAAAAGACGGGTTCGAAGCAAGACGCTGGTGTAAAACACTTACCTCCATCCCCCTCTAAATGATCCTCCCAATAATCTCGCCTCCAAGAGCAGCAGGAGAATGGCACGGTTACCGGCACAAACGTCTCCTCGGCATTCTCGATTGTACTCCACGCAGTGCAGGTCACTACGCGGGAAGCTTTGCCATGGTACCTAGTAAGACGTACCTGCTTATGCTTCGGTCGTTGCAATACAACGTGTATCTTCCATCAAAGAGTACTCGGATTCAATGTTTTCCGCGGGGATCTACCATCCGAAGGCCTAATGAGGTCCGTGAACACAGCAAGCGGGCCGTTTGTTGCCTGAGGATCTTATGCGTACTTACTCTTAAGCTTTCGACTGGCCCTCTTGATGGAAACGACCACATACGGTCTTTGTTTGCCCCACGATTCGCGGCCCTCCGGCAGACTGCAAATCCAAGACGCCTTGGTGCCTTGTTCGAGACAATAGCCAAGCATTGCACTTCTGCGACACGAACAGTATGTGATTACACTATCATCGTACTCTACCCCACTCAATATCTACGGACTTTTGGAATTGTCTCTAGACACTACTGTATTACATACACATTCGCGGCGTCCAAATGACGCCGCGCGAAACCAAATCTCAACCAACATGTGCTTCCTCCGATGGCCAAGTGAGGCGATACCATGTCTCCGGATGACGACTACATCTACGAAATCCAGGACCGCGACAGAGCTAGTTCTTCTGCGACGAGGATCAGTGTACCATACTTACTGGGACTTGAATTACTGTTCTCTTCGCCATGTTGCTGTGGAGCTTCCAAATGATGTCCAAAATGGTCACAATTTTGCAGAAGTCGGAGTATACCACTACGCCAGAGCTAGCATCGGTGATCCCAAACCTTCCCTCCAACTGGTCTAACTTAACTTCATAGGCGTTTAATAGAACACCCGCAACACCATTGCTGCTGTCTCGATTTTGGTCTCTTCCTACGCTCTTCATAGATTGGAGTAGCAAATGTTCACTCACGAGTTCAAAGCACCGCCTCCACGATGCCGCCACCCATTTCTTCACTCAACCGTCTAGACCGGCACCGTTCTGTCATGACAACATATCCAACTATACACTTGGGCTCAAGGTGCACACGATGCGATCGTAAACATCCTACCAACGATAAGGCAACGGTGCGCATCACTTGCGTTGTTCATACGATGAGGCTTTACCATCCTACAGTACGCCGATGTCTCTATTACTTCAAAAGGAATCCAGCGAATCTCGCATTACGCAAGTACCAGTATCGATCCTCAAGACGGCTATGCTCGAAAAGACTCTAGGCTCGACGTTTCCTCGTGTACTGGATAGCAAAGAGCCACGAGCCCATTGCGCACATCATCTACCTTCATGATATGAGATGCCCGTTGCTCCGCATCCATAACCATGACCATCAACCGATTGTATTGCATGGCTGACACGAGTCTGTATACTGACCTGCGTCTGGCTCGGTTTTTCCCCAGCCTCTCGTCAACATCCCAGTAGGGCTGGCTACTTGAGTACCGCTTAGACAGTGCTAGTCAGTGGCGGGACATATCCTTCGCAGCCGTATAGCCGAAAAGCAGTTCCCCCCAATAGAGGTCAAGAAGCGTAACCCAGTGATCAGTGCTGTCGATATCGTGATATACATCGTCTCCTTTCGGTCGATGTGCGTGGACGCGTCCGGATGATATTCACCAAATACAAAGAGCAAACCCTTGGATTCGCTTGTGAGCATGTATCTTCCGAAGAGCGCATGCAAGACGGAGTTGACCATATTCACGTACCAGTGCAATTCTTGAAGAGACTCTTGGAGATGAGGCTCCATCTCGAGCTACATGTGGTCCACGGGCCGAAGTGCCGAGGGAGATTCCAATGCGCAGAGTATGCTTGCCACATCTCGTATTGACATGTCCAGGCGAACTGATGAGTCATTCGCTGCGTTTGCTGCGAATCGAGCGCTTATGTTCAACCGACTTACCAACCAATACGTCCACTGCGTCGGTTGCTCTCAACCATACTTAGCCTGGCAGTGCTATAGGAATATCGGATAGTCCGCGGACGGTCCCAGGAAGAACAGCTCCATCTTGACCAAGCTGCGAACTACATGCAGGACAACGACCAGTCTCGTGGGCAAAACCGTCGCCATGGTCATGGATACTACATAAAGTCGAGATCAGATGCAGATGCGCATCCTTCGAAAGCATTTTGGCAACACTTAGGCACCTACACGAAGGAACTATCGGTCCTACGTCTTGGAGATACATTGAGACAAATACTGGATCACTCACGCTTGCTTTGCCTCTCCTTGTGGAGATAGATTTCATTCACATGGTATGTGATGCGTTGAAGCCAGGTCCAGAGAACCGGTTGAGCTTTTCCGGGTGGCTGTCAACGCCGAGGCGCCAGAGGCGACCCAACCTTACCTCCGCATTACTCCACGATATGCTAAACCCTAATAAGCCTCAGCGCATTCCTTCTCTTGTTCCGACCTTACGCGAACCCACCCTTCGCGGGATGATTACCATTTTGCGGGGGCGGCCTGCAAGTTTGTGGAGATGTCCGGGCATTGTGTCCAAGCCTACGAACGTAGGAGCGAGCCCTACATATGCTCCCGTAGGATGCACGGTAAGCGATCTCCAGGTCTTGGTTTATCGTTCGAAATCTCTTATTGCCGAGTCTCACAGCCAACATGGTCAACGACAAGAGCACTGCACAACATGTTGACACTATCGAGTCGGTGAACAACGCTGATCACAATGTACCGTTGAAGCATGTCAACAGCGCGAACGAGGAAATCGTTCAACATCTCCAGACGACTGGAGAAGAGGTTGGAATGACATGGAGAACGTTCATGGCTGCGGCGGTACGTTCTTTGGCTCTCCGTTAAACTGACATTGACTGACTAGTACAGTCAATGGCTATGTGCTACAACGCCTATCTCTTCACGCTTTTGATTCCACCTGCAATCCTTACCTTTATCAATGCTGATCTCGGCCCGGATCCGCGGTATACTTGGATCACGATTTCTTGGAACCTCGGAGGAGCAATGTTCGTCACGATCGGTGGGCGTCTTTCGGATATCTTCGGGCGCAGATACTTTTTCCTCGCCGGTGCTGTTCTCTTGATTATCGGTAGTATAGTATCTGCCACGGGACAGAGCATCAATCAGATGATTGCCGGTGGGGCGATCTTTGGAGCGGGTTCGGGTTTCCTCGAGATGAGCTTTGGTGCTGTGCAGGTAAAACTCTTCCATTTCAATTGCTGCAATGGTTGACCAAATAAGGAAATCGTCCCCAGCAAGTACCGTCACGTCACCATTGGCGTGTTTGATGCATCCTCCATCATCGCTCAGATGATGCCTCTCATCAGCTGGGTAATCATCAAAGAGACGAAGAACTGGCGCATCTGCTACTACATAATGATTGCCTTCCAAACCATCAATCTGGCAATGCTCTTCTTTTTCTATCACCCACCGTCTTTCAAAGTCAAACAAGCCCAACATGGAAAATCCAAGCGCCAGCTGCTCCGGGAATTTGACTGGATCGGCCTCTTTCTCTTCATTGCAGGCTGTACGCTCTTCATCGTAGGTATCAGCTGGGGCGGAACTCTTCACCCATGGGTCAGTGGGGCGACTCTTGCACCCATCATCATTGGTCTCCTGACGTTGGTTGTACTGGTTGTCTACGAAAACTTCACGACGTTGAAAGAGCCGCTTTTCCCTCCACGCCTGTTCAGGGCGAAGCGTCACTTGTAAGTCGCATGCATTCCTGCGCTTCGTATCTTGTCGGCTAATCATCACAGCACCACTCCTATGCTGGTAATGGCTATCGGAGGGTATGCATATCTGATCCACACCAGCGGATAGCTTCAATTCATCTGATCTTTGCTCACATCTTACAGGATGCAATACTACTCCAACGCCACTCTCTGGCCTCGCCTGTCACAGCTTCTCTATGCCGGCGACGAAATTTCCAAAGGCCTGTTCGCCTCCGTCCTCCCCCTCGGTACAATCATTGGCGGTATCATAGTCAGCTTTAGCAAGTACATTGGCCACCAACGCTGGCAAGTCATGTTCGCCGTCGCACTCCAAACCGCCTGCGTGGGCGCCATGTCGACCGCCACCATCGGCAATTCCGTCCAATCCATCATTCTCACTTGCATCATCTCGGTAACGACAAGCGTCAACATCCTCAACGGCATGGTCCTCGTCGGTTTCGGCATCGTCTACCAAGAAGACATCGGCACCGCCGCCGGTCTCGCAGGGACTTCGCGCCTCCTCGCCGGCGCCATCGCAACAGCCATCTTCTCCAACGTCACAAACAACAAATACGCCACCTCCCTCCCCTCCGCCGTCCTTGCCAACGTGTCCTCCTTCAACCTGCCCAGCGCAACACTCGCGAAGCTCATCGCTGCAGCCAAGGCCAACACTGCCGCCGCATATGCGGCTGTCCCGGGCATCACACCTACGATCCGGGCTGCCGCTAGCCTGGGAAACAAGCAGGCGTATTTACAAGGAGCGCATTTGAGTTACCAGGTCGCGCTGGCGTTTGGGCTGCTCGGTGTGATTTGCGCATTCTTCATTCCGAGTATTGATCAGAGGAAGTACACAGATCGGACGGTGGCGGTGCAGCAGAGGGATAGGAAGGAATTGGAGGAGAAGAAAATGGCGGGTGGGGCTTGAGGGGATGTTGAGATATCAGAGTATGAATTATTGATATGATACGACATTGCAATGATGAGCTGATTATGTTCACTGTGCATCATCTTTCCGCTATAAGGCGTGACGAATAGTAAGATACTATGGCCTAATCCTGAATTTCACCTGCCATCTTTTAATACCAGACCTAGGTGCTACACTGTACGGATTGACCGCAGCCTCAGCTCAGCGTGGACTAGCATCGCGAAGAGTATCACTATAGGTACAATCCGTATCTACACGAGCCGATTGTTCTAGATCTTCGAGCTATTGTCTAATTCCCTTCAATCTCAATGCACTCACGATGATGTTTCGAGCTATACTCGGGTCCACCAATGTGCATGCGGAGCGCGAGAACTGAGACATGTTACGGCGTCTACCTAAGCGAAGCCGTCAGAATGCGATGTCCCTATCAAGCTGTATCAACCCGGGACAAGCAATGCGAAGAGAGCTTATGATCACACCTCAATTGATGGAATGCTATGTTTAGCTACTGTTTGCCTCATGAAATATGAAGCAGTAGATGACAATGCTCCATAAGTTCAATGCCCGCCAGCGCCGTGCTGCGTGCATCATGCCGAGGTGCACTGTTTCCCTAAACGCCATCGTGCCAACCATTGGGATATACCGTACACCCAAAAGCAATATCATTCTCCCATGGCGCCAGCTCCAGAGAATCCTCACCAAGAAGCTGTAAAACCCGGCCTGGAGAAAATCAAGGAACTTCAACCAGGCTTTGTTCCAGGCACGCTGTCATCCATCCATTGCCTACTCCTCGTCATCGTCCTCATCTTCGTCCTCGCTCTCAGCCTTCTTCTTGCCTCTCTTCTTCTTCGGTTTGGCATTCTTCTCCTCCCTCTTCTTTACTTGTTCGCCAACCCGCTCTCGCTCGCTGGCACCCTCCTCATGGAGGTCTGCCTCCCACTTCTTGAACTCATCGCTCTCAACGTCCATACCGACAAGCTGCTCCAGCATCTTGATCTCGCGAGCCCAGACAGACTTGTCTTCGAACTTCTTGCCGTTTTCATCTTTCTTGTCGATTGGTGTCTCGAGAACCATAGGTAAGCCATGTAGACGCTCGTCGTTGACGAGGTTGTGGAAGGCACGCAAGCCAAGGTATCCGGTGCCGATGCGAGCATGCAGGTCGCGGAAGGAGTATAGAGGAGCTTTGCTGTCATTGACGTGTAGAGCCTTCAGATACTTCAAGCCGATGGTCTCGTCAAACTCCTTCATGGTTCTCTCGTAGGCTTCGGGTGTCCGTAGATCGTATCCTGCCGCGAAGACGTGGCAGGTGTCTAGACAGACACCGATGCGATGTTTGTCTTCGACCAATTCGATGATTTCTGCGATGTCCTTAAATTGACCGCCAATGGTGTTACCCAATGTGGCCATGGTCTCCAATAGAGGCACGACTGCGCCAGTTGCGGGATCTTCATGAGCTTTGTTGATGGCCTCCGCAATTAGCTCAATTCCGCCCTCGCGCGTGGTTGCACCTGCGTTTCCAGGGTGAAAGTTGTAATACTTTATACCAGCCTTGTGGCAGCGGGTTAAGTCATCGTGGAATGAATCGTACGCCTGCTTCTTGCGCTCTTCGTCAGGGTGCGCGAGGTTGACTAGGTAGGAACCATGGGGTACGCAGCATTCAGAAGCATCAATACTGTGATTTTTGCATCCATCAATGAAGAGCGTTGCATGCTCTGGGTTGAGTTCTGGATTTTTCCATGTCCTCTGACTCTTCAGAAATAAAGCGAATGCATTGGCGCTTACAACAATAAGTATGAAGGTCTCGAGGCATTCAAGTGGACTTACCCAATGTGCAAGAGATTGCTAACGGCGTTGTGTATGCCTCCAGCAGCACTTACGTGAGCTCCTACGCGGAGCTTACTGCCAGCGGTCCGGTCTGCAAGTGGAGGGATCTAACGTGCGCTTAGCATGCTGACCTGCGGCGGTTGAAGTAAAACCACTCACTATCTCATCCTTCTTCTTGCGCGATCTCTTCTGCTTCGTCTTGACAGTGGTGCCTTCCTCGCCTTCCTGAATCACGACTTCATTCTCGACCGTCTCTTCCTCGACATTGGCCTTTCGAGCTCGCTTCTTGGGCTTTGCAGCCTCTGCAGCCTCTGCTGGCTTGTTCACGGAGACGTCGACGTCGGCGTCCGTCTCAGCTTGCACGGTGGTCTTGCGTGTGCGTTTGGTGACCTTGGTGGTGTTGACTGCTGTCTCTGCTTTGCGCTTCTTTCCATTGACTGCTTTTGTGGCAGGAGGATCTGGTTCGCCAGTAGTGGTTGGCAGCCGCAAGCCCTTTGGCGGGGGGTGAAAGGGTTGAGCCGGACGACATGCTAAACGCTTTGTGTGAGGTGTGCTGGAGGCCAGCAGATGGCAACAGCGGTCGTCTGGAGTGTCGCCGGACGGAAGCGTAGGAGGGCAGACGGGGCTTACGATCGATGCGTTCGGCGAGGCGATCGAGGTCTGTATCAAGTTAGTGTGAGAGATTAGACGTTGTCGGTGAACGATGTCTGCGCAATGGCTGCGAGAATAATGATGCTTATATCCGCTCACGTCGAGGAAATGGAAGAGGAACATACTTTTCGGAAAGAGCAAACGTGGACGTGATGTATGTGCGCTGTAAGCGAGTGATGCACAGACAATTCGCAGTGCATTCATGCAGAGTGAAGGCGCAATTGAACAGTGATAGTGAAAGATGGTCGAGGCCTCCTAATTCCGATGGGACGTCTGCGCGCGACGCGTCGGTTCCGCCAGTTCACATGACGAACGCCAAGACGGGAGCTGCGTATGCAGCAAGGATTAGCCTTTGTAAGATGTGCGACCAGGAGCTTTGAACACTTGTATACACTCCACCATTACTATCCATCGACTATCTCTAGGGCTGTACATTCACCCGTGCGCCTAGTCGTGAGTTTGTTCACCTTCAACCATACTTTGGACCCCACGCGACGATTAAACGGGTGTGTTTACGACGAACAGGGGCGACGTGTAGGTCAACTGGTGCCTTCCGCAAACCTTCGCTCAAAATGCAGGCTGACGCGACAGCAGCGCCCTCCACTCTTCATAGATATTATCGATTCCTTCACAATGCGACGGTCGGACGCAATAAGACCCAGCGCCTTGCTGGGCCTCTTATTAGCTCTTGCGCCAACACCCGGCTCCGCGTTCTATTTCCCAGGCACCGCACCTACCTCGTACAAGAAGGGGAGATGCCGTGCCTCTCTTCGTCAATCGACTTACGCCCACCGAGTCTCGAAATGATCCAAAACTACGGTCCGCATTTTCCTTCGACCATTATGACCCTCATTTCCACTTCTGTCAACCAGAGGGTGGCCCCGAATACATTCGAGAAAGCCTAGGAAGCATTTTGTTCGGCGACCGTATACAAACGAGCCCTTTTGAGCTGAATATGGCAACAAACCAATCGTGCAAATCTTTGTGCGGGCCAGTGGAATATCCACCCGAAGATGCAACATTCGTAAACCAGAGGATTTTGAACGGGTTCGATTTTAATTGGCTCATTGACGGTTTACCGGCTGCACAGCTGGTGACAGAATTAGAGTATGATGAGCCGTTCTACAGCCCTGGATTTGATTTAGGTAGGGCAGAAGAAGTTCAAGCCCCGGACGGCGGCAACGACGTTATTGCAACCCTCAACAACCACTACGATCTAGTCATTGACTACCACGAAGCCAGCAAAGACAATTTCCGCGTTGTTGGCGTAATTGTCGTACCGTGGTCGATGGCCGACAACGGCCAATACGTCAATAATGCGGAGGGCTACTGTGGTACACCAGAAAATCAAAACCCTGTAGTACTAAGCATAGATGCTGGTCAGCCTAGCAGTGTAACCTTCACCTACAGTGTCTGGTGGCGTTTGAGCCCTACACCCTTTGCAACGCGATGGGACAAATACCTCCATGTCTACGATCCCAAGATCCACTGGTTCTCGCTGGTCAATTCCGCAGTCATTGTAGTGTTTCTCATAGGCATGGTGAGCACTATTTTCGTGCGCACGCTCAAGAAGGATATTGCGAGGTACAACCGCCTTGACCAGATGGCGCTTGACGACTTTGGCGACGGTGGTGCTGTTGAGGATGGCGTCCAGGAGGACTCTGGGTGGAAACTCGTCCATGGTGACGTTTTCCGACCGCCCAAGCACCCCCTTCTCCTAGCTGTGCTAGTCGGCAACGGAGCACAGCTCTTCATGATGACAGGACTGACCATCGGTAAGTAAAGATTAATCCACTGGCAACTTGCAATGCAACTAACAGCGCCCAGCTTTCGCATTATTAGGATTCCTCTCCCCGAGTAACCGTGGTGCGCTTGGAACTGTCATTATCATATTCTACACTCTCTTCGGCTTTGTCGGTGGCTACGTTTCGTCGCGCATCTACAAGTTCTTTCACGGCGAGTCGTGGAAGTTGCTCTTCTTCTACACCCCCGTCGCCATACCTAGTCTCGCGTTCGCTACCTTCTTCCTGCTCAACCTCTTTGTGTGGGGACGCGGGGCATCTGGCGCTGTCCCGTTTACGACCATGCTCGTCGTAGTCATCATCTGGTTCGTCATCAGCGTTCCGCTCAGTGTCGCGGGATCCTGGCTCGGTTTCAGGCAGGCGGCCATCGAAGCGCCGGTACGAACAAACCAAATTCCTCGACAGATTCCTCCTACCGGCGGTTACCTCCGACCTCTCCCGTCGATGGCTCTTGCCGGTATCCTTCCTTTTGGAGCCATCTTCGTCGAGCTCTACTTTATTATGAACTCGATCTGGTTCTCGAAGGTCTACTACATGTTTGGATTTCTCTTCATTTGCTATGGACTCATGATTATGACGAGCGCTGCAGTCACTGTACTCATGATCTACTTCCTACTCTGCGCTGAGAACTATCACTGGCAGTGGAGGAGTTTCTGCACGGCTGGTGCGAGCGCTTTTTACGTCTTCGCATCTGCATTGATCTACTGGATGAAGGATGTGAGCTTCTTGAGCTGGACAAGTGGTGTAGTCTATCTCGGATACAGCGCACTTCTTAGTGCACTCGTCTTCGTTCTGACAGGTAAGTACCCCATGCCCTACCCTCTGTTCGCCATCACTGATTTCCGTTCCAGGTACAATCGGCTTCCTTGCCAGTGGTCTATTCGTTCTCAAGATCTACAAATCTATCAAGGTCGATTAGGCAGTCAAACCCAACAAACTGTTCACAGGTTAGCGAATGAGGAGCATTTCTTGGCATACCAATACTTTGTTTCAATATGTACGTTGCGTGTATTCAAAAGGTGGCATTGTGCATTACTAGCTGGGATATGCGGAGTCTTAAGGCGTTAAGCTGCTAGAAATCACATCTGCATCGATTCACTCTCATGCCTTTGATAGGTATGAGAAATTTACGGCCTGTTCCAAGTCTACAACATGGCCCAAATCAACGAAGCAACTTAATTCATTTCCCTAGTGACTGTTTTGGACCCTTGACGTAGCGTGCCAAGCCGATTTCGGAACATTCCGAGTCATAATTTTTGGTCCGCAATTCTTTCGCGCCAAACACCTCTCTGGTCGTCTTCTGATGCCCACACATCTCCTCCGCTTTCCAAATGTACATTTCCCACGAAGATTCTCCTCTATCACCCGCGTATCGCAAGCTCTCGCGCAGACGGCTGTCGCAGAGCACGCCAATCCTTTTCCCGCGCTGAACACAAGCACCCCGCAATTCTACGGTCGCAAGATACCAAAAGTCGCAATGGAGACTACCATATTACCCGTAGACCCGAACAACCTGGGAGATCTGAGAATAGAGGAGGCCGGGAAGGAAGGACGGTTGATCGAGGACTGGAACATGGAGTACGCACAAGGACAAGACTTCAATAGTCTACAGCGCGCGGCCAGAGAGTTGAAAGAGACGGACACACCCGTTGCCTTCCCGACAGAAACAGTCTACGGACTCGGAGCAGACGCGACACGCAGCTCAGCCGTGCGAGCTATCTTCGCTGCGAAGGGACGCCCGGCGGATAATCCTCTCATCGTACACGTTCACTCACTATCACAACTACGGTCTTTACTTCGAGGAAACGCAAAAGTCACGGAGACTACGACAGAACCCATTCCCGAGGTTTACAAGCCCTTGATCCAGAAGTTTTGGCCCGGCCCCCTTACGATGATCATGCCCATCCCTGAGGACTCGCAACTAGCACCAGAAGTCACTGCAGGACTAAACACCTTCGGCGCAAGAATGCCGCGCAGTATTCTCGCGCTCGCGCTCATAAGAATGTCTAACGTCCCGCTGGCAGCGCCCTCGGCGAACGCATCGACCAGGCCGTCACCCACCGCCGCAGAACACGTCAAAGATGATCTCGAAGGGCGAATATCCACGATCATAGACGGCGGTCCATGCGAGGTCGGCGTTGAGAGCACAGTTGTAGATGGCCTGTCGCATCCGCCGAGTATTCTCCGCCCGGGAGGCGTCACGGTCGAACAACTGCGGCAGTGTCCAGGGTGGGAGAACGTGGTTGTAGGATATCAAGACAAGCATGAGCAAGGCATCAAGCCGCGGGCGCCGGGCATGAAGTATAGGCATTACTCGCCCAAAGCGACGGTGGTGCTGTACGAGGCAGGCACGCCGGCTCCGGACGCGGAGCAGTTGTTGAATAAGGTGTTGGGACGGAAGAGTGTGGGGATTGTGCGGACGAAGAAGTGGGCGAGACATCTTGGACTCTCCGTTACTAATGCTGCTGATGCGCATGTGAACGGGGGTTCAGACTCAATACCAAAAGCGCACCAGCAGGGGTCGTCACCAAGCCCCGAATCGAACCTTCTCCGCTCCATTAAACAGCATCAGGTTCCTCATGCGTTGCACAGCACATTCGATCGCGGAGCAGATCAGGGTCACCTGTCCATATGGGACATCGGCCTAGGAACATCAACCGAAGACGTAGCGAGAGGATTATTCTCAGCGCTTCGAGAGCTAGACAAGAAAGGCGTGGATATCATTCTTGTCGAGGGCATCAATGATACAGTAGGAGATAATATAGCGGCGGCGGTTATGAACCGCCTAAGGAAGGCCGCTGAGATAAGAATCTAATACCCCACTCAATACCTCGTAAAAAACCACTTATTCGCTGGTGTACTTATTCCTAGCCTGTTCATATTCGTGCTGCCCACCCATCCTATTTCCGCACGCTGTTCTCTTCAACTACTTCTCCCTGGTTGCAGCATCATCGCTTTTACCGTCAGACCGGTCTCCCCTTTCCCAAGTCGCCCGCGTTGATCCCAATGCCACCTTCGCCCTCTCCACTCGCCTATTTCCTATCTTGCCCGTCCACAGCAGACTCGTCCTTCTTAGGCACCGGCAGCGCAGGTAACACCCACTGCCCAATCGGATCCAGATCGCTCGGCGCGCACGTGCTCTCGCTACCATAAGGGCCCGTCCCGTCCTCTTGCTTCGCGCTCAGCTTCTCGACTTTGGCCTCGCTGCCGACATGTCAGTGTATCTTGTGTTTGAGAGGAGGAGCGACTTACGTCCACTCTAGGGCATTGGAGGCAGCGCTCTTGACGGTGGAAGCTGCGGAAGAGGCTACGTTGGAGGCGGTGGAGAAGGCAGAGGAGGCGGCGTGCGGGAGGAGAGGCGCATCGCTCGCGGTTTTGGGGGGAGACTGGGATCATGAGTACATGCTGACCTCCATGAGCAAACGCGACGTAGCGGTGGACTTACGGCATGGTTGTCGCTCTCAGCAGTGGATGCTGCGGTACTTTGGTCGACCGATCGAATGTCATTAGAGGTGTCCGGCTTCATTGTGGACGGAGTGATTCGTGAATCAGGTTTCGCACTTCAAGAGCCAGATCTTTGTGGAGCTTTTGGAGGACTTTGTTGCGGATTCCAAAGCACGTTGAGTGCTCTTTGTGTTACTGGTTGGGTGATTGTTGTTTGTTTGTGCCGCCATCTGAGGCAATGCAGTGAGCCGCATCGAGGAAGGGACGACCTGGAGCGTCCACGCCGATACTTTCCGCCCTTCACATTGATGAACCACCACAACGTCTCATACCCATTCGACTTGTTCTCGCCGATTGCTCATGTATTTGTTGCGAGCCCGTCCATGTCCTTTCTCCAGTGTCCGTCTCCTTCAGGTGCCTGTGACGTTGGAAGGTACGCTTCGAGATCCCGCGTCGTATCGTCGAATTGGAGTTTGTAAAGCCGACAATGCATCATCCTTAATTATTCGCAGATTCCTGTCCTTCAGCTATTCACGCATGACGGCTTGTCCTTTGCTTTCCGTGTCTCTCGCGTGCTCGGCTCGACCGGGTCCGGATCTTCGGCATCAGCAGTAGGTAGCCTTCCCACCGCAGGATCTTCCCAAGACACACCGTCTGGATTTCATGTAGGTGGAAGGATCTCCGCGATCGGCGTCAATTATCGTAACTGACTTTTAAGCAAGCAGAGACACCACCCATCGTTCAGTTGACCATCGACATTCGACACGGTACTGTCTCCGCCGCGCCCAATCCGGTCTGGAGGCGAACTCGTGTAACGGTGGCCTATAAGACGGCTAATATAGCCCCCACCCATGTCGTGTGGCGCACGCCGCACGGGATAATCGCCAATGCCCTGGACGTCTTTAATTTCTAGAAGCATTCTCAATATCGACAGAGCTTCCAGCGGCTATCGCAACATGCACAATGCAAGTGATCAGCAGCACCTGACCCAGCCTCAACCAGTCATCTGTCAGATCGAAGCTGACCAGCCAGTTCGTATCTGGGTGATTGGTGAGAGACGCCTTGCTGGTTCCGGAGATACTTCTCAAATCCTCATCGGAACGCTTACTCTCCCACCTAGCGTACGTAGGCTTTGAACCAGGATTGATGCAACATCGAGAACTTCCAACCCCGGTCGGTTCTTCTTGGCTTGCACTGGCCATCTCCATGGTTTCTAGTGTTCTTGAACGATCCTTGCTGCATTTTCTTGGGCAGAGAACTTGCAGTAGCGCAGGGACTTGAGCCTCTCCCACACCTCGACTACACTGTACGAGACTTGGCACCAGTTGAACCACTGCAGCTGGCGGCTGACGCTCTGAAGAAACGGCAGATTTCATGCAGGCCCGACGTCGACAATCGAACCAGCGTCCTTGCTCGGACAAGATTGCTGACGAAGTGTAAGGCTTAGTGGGTGTATCCTAGCATATTAGCCTATATACAGGCCGCGCTAGTCTACCAGATTCGCGGTCGTGCAACAGGTTCTTCACTGATGCACCTCATACCATCGCATGATTAAGTCATCTCATCCCGCTTCCTGCCGGTGGTCCTGCAATCGGTCAATGTCACACATGCCTTCTCGTGTGGCTGTGGCTGCCAACGGTGCACTTCTCGCATGGTCAATACAATCGGTCTAGCGCAATTTAAATCAAGTAGACGAGGTCGCCATGGAGCCGTAGACCTAGCGCGCTTCGTTGTTCGCCATCATGGGGCCCCAGTATGCATCGCGGACGCCAGTTTGATTGCCCTGAACGAGGTGTGGAGACCCCAAGCTATCCCCGCAGCCGCGGTGCTCATCTCGCTCTGGGTTGGAGTAAAAACTAAAGGACTTTGGGCGAGCAGGCAACGTTGATATATACCCTCATTCTTGTCACACCTACGCCCATAATCGCTACCCAAAGTTCTACTTGCACTCCTGCTGGGTATTTATTCTTGGCTTGCTGCCTATGCCGAATACGTTCTTAAAGTCGACCGACTATTGTGGCTGCACCCGCAGGACGCGCGATCGAAGGTGCGGTTTCCCTGACCGCTGCTGCACACTCCACCAATCATGAGTCTACATACGCCGTCTCCAGAGGTTAGTCCCGTGTCAGCGGCAACGACCAATGGCGCGTTTCCTAGGGACTCCTTCTGCCTTAATCTTTCCACTCTACCGGAGTCCAACTTTCTTCTGAAATCGGCTCTCAAGTCTCCTCACCTCCTCGATTCCCCAACCGCATTCAGCCCCGCCAGCAGCGTGCTGGGCGGACCGTTCAAATCACGGCCGCGCAACATGTCTCAATCGTCTGGAACCGATCGCGAAATGTCAACCGAAGCCACTCCAAATACAGCCAACGGTGCTCCACCAACCAGTAATGGCATGGAACAACGTCCAAACACGAAGAAACGACCCAGCACAGACACCATAGACTATCCGCGCCGGCGGGCTACGATTGCGGTAATACATCCATAGAACTTGCCTATTCTGTTGAGGGAGACTAATGTCTTGATTAGTGCGAAATTTGTCGCTCAAGGAAATCTCGTTGCGACGGCAATCGTCCCAAATGCAGGCTTTGTACGGAACTGAATGCAGAGTGCGTTTATCGCGAACCAGGAATCAAACTGGATGCAGGCGACAAGCTGATTCTCGAACACCTCAACCGCATCGAAGGGCTGCTACAAACTAACCTTGGCAATGGCTACACGCTGGGAACCCATTCTCCAGCGGCGAGCAATTCCACCAGTGACGATTTTCTCGCGCGATCCACCGGGAACATGGCTGCGCTGGGTTTAGTGCAGTCAATCAACGGCATCGGTACCTGGTCCAGCACAGCTTCGAATATCTCTACAATGCCGAAGACGCATACAACAGCAGCGTTGAATTTGCTACACTCGCCTATGATCAGGGACCTCGTCTCTCGGCCGTATGACCCCAAAATACTTCTCCAACTGGAAATGAGCCGCGAATCCTTATGCCTTGGCACCTCGCTTGGTGTTGATCTTTCCAATACAGGCGCCTACGTTCAAGCGTTTTTCGAGCGGGTGAACGTGTTCTATGCGTGTCTGAATCCATACACATGGACAAGCTACTATCAGACTGCTTTGTCACACGGATTCAGGGACGGTGCTGAGAGTTGTATTGTACTTCTGGTGCTGGCTCTCGGTCATGCAGGCAGTATGGGGAGCATCTCGCAACAACCAGCAGACAAGGATCCACCGGGATTGGCGTACTTTGCTGCAGCGTGGGCTCTGCTACCCAGCATCATAACACGAAACAATATGCTTGCTGCACAATGTCAGATCCTGGCAGCTGCGTATCTTGTATATCTAGTCCGACCAGTAGAAGCGTGGAATGTTTTGACAGGCGCAAGCATGAAATTGCAGCTACTTCTGAGTGCTCCTGGAAGAGTTTCGCTGGCAGAAGAAGAGCTGAGCAAACGGGTATATTGGAATGCTCTCATGATCGAGAGGTGAGTCCACAGCACAGCCACTGTATTTGAGTGTCTACTAACCACGTGCTTAGTGACTTGCTGGCCGAGTTGGATCTCCCACATTCAGGGCTTGGGCATTTCGAAGACACATTCACATTACCTACAGGATTTGAGGACATCGGAACTGAGCCAGTCGGTAGAGATGAGCTCTGGTACTTCCTCGCGGAAATAGCTTTGCGAAGATTACTTAACCGAGTGAGCCACATGCTTTACCAGAGAACTTCGACTTGGAGCAAGTCATCACCTGCGGCGTCTATTGCCCAGCTGGATCCCCTGGTTCTCGAATTGGACTACCAGCTGAACCAGTGGTATGCGGGTCTTCCACCAGCAATGCAGTTCCCTCTCGACAGGGTGCCACTGCAGAATCCAGTACAAACGGTACTGAGACTGCGATACTTCGCTTGCCGCACGATCATCTTCCGACCTTATATTCTGCTAGTGTTACAAGATGAGACCCTTGCTTTGGATCAGGGTGTGCAGGAGAATTGCCACAGGTGCTTGGAGGCTTGCATTCGCCAGCTTGAGTACATCACATCTCATCACGCCGGCCACGTCCCGTATCTCTACCAAGGGGCGCTATCGTAAGTTAAAAAAGTCCAGTGTTAGACGCCAGCTAACAATGCTCAGAATTATCTCGCAAACTCTCCTCGTCATGGGCGCTACAATGTGCCCCTCGCTCTCCGCACTCCTCCCACCCCCTACAACCATGGACGATATCATCAACAATGTAATCCACGAGATGGAACGACTTTCACATCTTGCGCCTAGCCTAAGGCTCTCAGCTGAGCTTATTCGAGACGCCGAAGGCAAGCGGCAGATGTGGCTACGATCGACTGGACTAAAGTTCGACGGATGAAGAAATGACTTACTGGAACAAAACATGCGCCGGTACCGTAAGGTACCAAACACAAGCTTGAGAAGGAGAGTCTTAGTGACGGCATTGCAGTCCGCGGCCGTCACAAGAGCACCATAATGGATCCTGGTCATATGGACAGTATATGCGCGCATATACCAGGTGTAACAGCGGCATGCTATCTACACTCCGGACTAGAAAGGCCCAAATCTCCGCGGTGGAGATAGGGCTCACCTCGGTGTGCTACGTCTGCCGCTTAACAGGGGTTGCTGCAGGTGTCCTTTTCGAAGGCCACTAGAGCTTCGAAAGAGCTTCGAGGCCCATCTCCAGGGCAGTAGATCCCCGGCAGAGTCTTGCATGGATGTACACGCGTCACCACTAGAACACGCCGAGTACATGGGTGAAGGTATCTTGGGGGAACACACCTGGTCACACTCAGATCGTCTATGAGAAGTACCAACCATCGGTGGAAGTCTCTACATTACGATGTAGCTTGATACCCAATGAATTCATGTCGCCATCTATCCTGAAAATATATATACAATCCACGAAGAGAGAGGTGTGCAAATCTGAACCGTGAACGACTCGTCTTCCAACCTCATGAGTCGAAGCTACACACGCCAGACGTACCTTCCTCGGCCTCATCTCCCACGCTCAATCAAACCCATATTAAAGAATCTTCTCTGCGTCTTCCCTTCTCGCTCTAGCCCCCCCTAGATACCAGTCCCCTGCGGGGTGCAGCCTGGGGTAGCAAGCAACCCTGATCCTTGCAGGGTTGACGAGCGCGGGGTCTCGCAGCAGGTAGGATGCGATTTATCCACAGACCGGGGTGCAGCGTCCCGTGGTCGGCTTCTGGAAGATTGAGAGAAGCGTCGGGCATATTTAGCGCTGGTGTATGTGTAGGGCGTGAGTGTTTGGGCGGAGAGTTGAGGTGCCGTTGGGCCGGAGTGCAGGTACTGCGTGGAGGTAGAGAGCTTAGGGATGTAGGGTGCGAGGGGGGGAGGTTGTGGGCGAGGGCACGTGTGCACCTGGAGGAGTGTTTGTGTGGGAGTAGCAAAGCCGCGTATCACTCACAGAAGGTTGTTCTTTCTGTCGTCCACAATTCCGATACTGACGCAGCTGTTGGAAGGAGCTTCCACGTCTGTACGTACGGCAGGAGCTATGCTAGGCCTACGTAGGCAGCGCCTCCCACAGGAGCAAGCCATCACTCTTACACTCAATTTCATGTTCACATCAACTTCGTTTGTACGTTTCTACTTCAGCAACAGCTGTTCATGTGGGTGTTCCCTCCAAGAGTTCACCGTACTCCAGTGGAGCAATCAGCGCCCGCATGAACGTACGACTCGCGTAAACTGCACGTTTGGCGGTCCTGCAGCATCGCGACAACGTTTTCATCTGCGCTAATCGACTTCATCGACAACACATCAGCAGAAGCCATCCTGACCTCGCATTCGCACAATCGGCGTGAGGAGTGAACGAGGACCCCAGCAATTCAAGGTCTCCCCAGCATGCAACATGTCGAAAGGATCTGCAGGGCACCCGAGCGCAATCGGAAGAAAACGAGGTGGCTTCTGCTGATGCGTTCGACGTGCTGACCTGCATCGTCGCGTGCATCCGTGGCTCCTGCGTGAGACACGGTTTTTCCGCCAACGTGGTGCGTCGCAGCTGTGCTCGCATCGTCAAGCCACAATTCAAGGATACGACGATGGATCTAGTTGGAACCCTCGACATCCTGCGCTTCCGCTGGTGTTCCTTTTCCTCGTAAACGTCTTGCGAGCTGCGGCATTTGCCAGGCTGGTAAGCTACGAAAAGATGAACGAAGACATCTGAGCTTCTCGTACGTACGTGTGTTGATGTAGCTAATCAATGAAACTGGCTCCAAGACACGATAAATGACCAAATCGGTAAGTAAATCCTCGAGTACTCACATCCGCGATCCAGCATTGGCAACACATCACCGTCGCTCGCGCACCCGGATAATATGTCCTGAAATCTGGTAGCGAGACCTTATCCCGCGGTCCTCCGCCTACGCTCGGCATCAGCGACAGCGCAGGGAGAAGCCCGCCTCACAGCTCAGGTCACAATCCCATCATAAGTCCTGCTACCCATCGGAAAGTCCTCGACGAGTATATAGCAGCCGCAGCTAGAGCGGAGCGCAGGCTACATCAGGCATGTAACGTCGTGTCGATATTAGCTGGCCATATAGGTACCGCGTTGCGCTGCATGATACCACCGTTAAGCGGGTGCTGAAGTCGAGTCATGTGCTGCTGTGTAAATTGCACCGCGGGATCTGCTGTTCTTCCATGCTTCTAGAAAGATGCAAGGGCAGGGACAGGGGGTGCTTGAAATTGCCGAGTTGGTATGGCAGGCACTGGGGATATATAGCCGGTTGCCGATGTGGCGTCGCGATATGCGGCTGGGGTGCTGAGGTATAGTTGCGTAGGAGGTACTTTCATCTCGGCGGTGATACAGAAGTAGTTGGGATGATTGATCGGCTTGTAGAGGTACCGATTTGCTTTCCTTCACTGACGACTGACTAATTGTAAAGTTCGTGCTGTTGCGCGTGCTGAGTGTGGCTCAAGTTGTCAAACCCATATCTATTAGGACCTTATGGGTCGCAAGTGCAATTTTATCAGTTCATAGATAACTGATCAGGTCTCGACGAACTGATCCGAAGCTATGAGGTTCCATCGACGTTCGTCACAGCAACAATCCCAGGTACTGACGAGGACCGGCCCGCGTTAACCTCACGATGCCCATATTCTCGCTTCCAGCGGACAGCACGATAAGCCAATGCCATTAAGGTGGATTTACCTTGACCCTCACCCGTTCAACCCTGTCCTAGCACAACATACCAGGAGCCGCCTCCGGACCGTTCAACCTTTTAAGCTAGGCATCTCCACGCCGCGTATCCCCACACAAATGACCTATGACTGTGAAGCGTGACGCCTCAGATCGTCATCCTCACTTTACTTCTATATGAAAATGCCATCACCTCACCACATTGATTGGTACCTCGGCACCCGATCTTAAATGCGCGCAACTATACATACGTGGCTCAGCAATCAAGGAGACCGGGTGCGAAAATGCAGGAACATTTGACCTGCATGGCAGGCCTGACCTGGAATTTGGGTGGGCATTGGGCAGCAGCAAGGTCCCCACGGGAATTGCTAGAAAGGAAGGTTACTGCAGTGCTGAAGATGAGGTGCTGCAGATGCACGGAGTAGAGTGGATCATGCGTGGTTCTTTAGATCTACGATAAACGGGTCACGCGGTTGGGGATAACGAGCGTGATCGTAATGTTTGCGGCGAACGCAGCTCAGAAAGGTGGAGTCCACTATGGAGCTGAGCTGCCTGTCAATTACTCGAACGTTAGATTCAACGATGGGTTGAGTGAGACGATTCAGTTATCTCAATGGCTAGGTATCACGCTTGGTCGATGAAACTGAGGACTGCAGTGGTTGTTCAGTACCTAGGCTAGATTCTCCATGTGTGATGCAACATATTGTGACTCGGTTATAATCTACACCAAGGTATTCATGCGAAAGATAGGAATCTGACTCGCAATGGTGAACGACGCTCTCATAAGTTTTGAAAGCCCGATTTTTTGTGCAATTGCTCATACCCATAGTTGCGTGGCAGTCAGAATGTTTCTTTTTGTCTCGGTTTGAGCAGATCTGTGGGTGAGGACATGTGAACCTCTATATAGGTTCCTAATAGTTCCCCCTGACTTACTAGTGACCATCATTCAAAGCTGGAGAGGTGAAGGTCGCGTTTCTTTCTTTCAGAGGTTGAGTGGAGATGAAATTTGGTCGCCTACTGAACGCGGTCTATCAAACTGGGTATATCATAAAAATACAGGAGTGAAAAGAGCGATGCGCACTTCCTGATAGCACACAGATCACTCCCTCAGATTCAGTTCGGGGTAGTTCGGCAGCTGCCATCCTTCCAGGGTCCCTTTCTCTTTCTTCTGCGGCATCAGCTTCATGACTAACTTATCGATCTTTAGCGAACAAGCCGCCCATAGCCCGTTCCGGATGAACCACACGGCTAGCGAAGAGGACGGGAGACTCAAATTCGCGTCGATGATCTGGGCCAGCTTGACGGGCTCTTTCATGACCTCGTCATACGACTTGAGCGCGGCGTCCACATCGTGAGGCTTTCTCGCAAGTTCGCCGGCGAGGAGATATGCGCCGATAAAGGCCGCTGTCGTTCCTTTGCCAGTCATGACGCTGGGGCAGTATCCCGCATCACCAACCAAGGCTATGCGGCCTTTGTAGAGCGACGGTAGCTTAACTTGCGCGATATGATGCGCGTAGAAGTCGTCTGCCGTCTGCATTCCCTCGAGAAACCGATCCGTTTCCCAGCCCGCGCCCTTGAACGTCTCCTTCCACACCGCCTTCTGCTCCGCCACCGACTTCCCGTACGACGCCTTTATCTTCTCCAAGTTGCTCTGACTGAACATGTACACCTGTGTCATCGGGCGTCCCCCATTTCTCGCCATCACGGCGCGACTCTTCGCCGAGAAGAACAACCTCGCAATCGTGCCGTCGCCAGCACCCCGTGGGATGTTGAAATACGCGACCTGAGACCCCAACTCCTTGAACGCCTCCGCGCTGACTTCTTCCCCAAACGCCATCTTCCTCGTCCTCGAATTCTGCCCATCAGCCCCAACAACAAGATCGAACCTCTCCTCCCTCCCATCCTCAAACGTAACATCCACACCGTCTCCCCCTCTGCACCATCCCCTAACAGTAGTGCCAAACACATACTTCAACCCTCCCCTTCACCCCTCGCTCTCCAACCTCTTCCTCTCCGCTAGACTCGTCTCATACAAAACCCTCACCAAATCCCCCTCATAATCTCAATCTCGTTCGTCAAACCCCACTCTGCATACCCTCCGTCCCAACGTCCTCCTTGATACCAAACGCAGCCAAGACCTCGCCCTTCGCCCCCACGATTTGCGCACCCGTCTCATTGACATGGTGCGCGCGCATAGCTTCCAAAAGCCCCATCTTGCGCATGATGGGCGTGCCCTGGGCTTTGAAGTCGAGTTGGAGGCCGGAGGCGCGGAGCGTGGGGGCGCGCTCGATGAGGGTGATGTGGTGGAGGGGGTTTGCGCGCTGGAGGAGGAGGGCGAGCGTGGGGCCGGCGATGCCGGTGCCGACTATGAGGATGGAGAGAGAGGACATGGTTGTTTCTGTTTCTAAGGACTTTGACAGATGACCAAGGATGTGGATAGAAGGGTAATGTAAGTCGTGTGTGGATGCTCGGAGAAGAAAGAAACTCTCGAGCGTGATGAGTACATTCTATTGGGAGGGCTACAGCGCGATTTTATCTTGGGTCAAAGGTTACGGATTTCTTGGTGTTGAGGTGGTGGTATACGGGTAAGGGCCGACTTCTCCGTTTTTGGGGGCTGTATGTCCGACGACATCGCCGCAACACTACGAAAAGGGTACGCATGGGACATGCAATCGGGGGAGATTTGCAGCCGGGGGCGGCATCGAGTCGGGACTTCGGATGGTTTGAAGTTTCCGATGCAAGGACGAATTCCCTATATCATTGCGAAAGATACAAGTCTTGCCATACACGCTCGTTTGTGGGAAGCATGACTGGCTTCACGCCCGGGAATTGCGAGGGAGATCGGTCTTGGTGTGTTTGGACGCGGAGTTATCGCTTAAGGCCGTATTGAGCTTTACAAAGACACACTGATGGTATATTCTAGGGTTGAGAGAGACTCTGCTTGTTTTCAATATGGCATTTTTTACGTATTGAAGTACCCGCAAAGACGGTAGCTTTGCACTCCTACATGTATCGTGAAGAACGTGGTATCATATCTACTCGTGAACCGAAGCTGTTGCACGATTTACAGTCTCCGTAACGCCATGGGAAAATCATCTAAGATCATTCAAAGTGAAGATTTTTTGCTCAGCCACGGAAAAACGTGATGCAGACCGCCGTCGCTGGGCTCCCTTCTCTCCGCTTTCGTATCTGATGCGACTGTTTTCCCGGTCGTGAGGGGTGCGGTCGGGCCTTTGCCGTTTTCATTATCCTGTACTCTTGCGAACTTGTTGTCCACATGGTTCTCCAACCAAGTGTGCTGATCCTGACCAAGCTGGAGGTTCTGATCAATCTCTTTGGTGAGTTTGTCGACCTCGTCCTGCAGCTGCTCATCAGGACTCTTCTTTGGCTCGTCTGCCTGCTCCGGTTTCGGCTGGCCCGACCGTGCCCACGGTGCTGTCTGTTCCCATAGATCCTCTAGCTCATCCAGCCAGCCGCATGCTTCGGCGAGCTTCCGCACGCCGGTATCGCAGTCCTGGATCAGAAGCACATCGTCTGCTCTTGACCCCATCTCTCCTACTTGCTCACCATTTATCAAGACTCTGGGTGTGCCATCCCCGCACATCATAGGCAGAGACGCGAACGGTTGTACGCTCAGAGAGGTACCCATGACTATGCATAAGTCGGCCTCGCCAGGCAACGAACGATTTTCGAAGAAGTCCGCGGGTAGTTGCTCACCGAAGAAGACGATCTCGGGCTTCACGAGGCCGTCGCACTCTTCTCGTATGCAGTGGGGGACGGATTTCTCATGGATGGCCTTCTTCATCAGTTCTTCAGGGTAAGGCGCCTTGCACTCGATGCAACTCTGTCGCGCGAAGCTGCCATGTGCCTCTACGATCTTGTCGTCCGGTACACCTGCTTCGCGCTCGAGGCAGTCGATATTCTGGGTGAACAGCTTCAGCAGGAGGCCTTTTTGGTGTAACAGGTTTATGAACGAGTGCGTGATGGTTGGTCGGTAGTTGCCGGGGTATAGTTCCTGGGCGAGGGTATAGAATGGCAAAGGGTTGCCTCGGAAATAGCCAATGTCGAAGACGGCTTCGGCGTAGGGGAGGTTTAGGCGCGCGAGGTTTGCGTAGAGACCCGTATCTGGAGACCGGAAGTCCGGTATGCCTGCCGATGTGCTGATACCCGCGCCTGTCTGTGATTGAGTCAGTATGTTGCTCCAACCGTGCTATGCGCAGCGATGCGCCTACCATGACCACGATGCGCCGCGCCCTCCCATCCCTAATGTACTCGGCGACAGCGTCCAGTGTGCGGCTCTTCAGCGTCTGCGGCGGTGTCTTCTCATCCACCATGCGCGATTCGTCTTGACCCATCCTGGAGTGTCTTCCAACCTTTCCTCTGTTCTGGTTGCGGCCCTTTTCTTGATTGCGCCAATTCTTGCCCTGTTGCGGCTGCCCGCGGTGGGATTTATGTTTGCGACCTATGGTGAAGCGTGGGCGACTGAGCGTGCGGAGAGGGCGTACGAAAAGACGTGTGACTGTTGTGACGGAGCGTGAGCAAACTTGTGGTCGCATCCTACACGCACCCCGCCAGGCTGCAATACCGCGCCGAAACATAGTGCGGGAGTCCGCGAACTCTTGCGTCACGCCAAGCCATCTTTGGCAACGACCTTTCTTAGCTTACCGGAGATACTTCATTAGATATTGTCTTCGCTGGCATCATTCGACGACGTATTCACTATAATAATCCACAGTTGTGAACTTTGGTGTTTCGAGATGGACGGAGCAGACGAATATTCGGCATGGTGTGCGGGCATCACACCACAGCAGCACGATTTCAACACTGCACCGCGTCTGTCCACGATTCAACTTACGACCGTAGCGCTGGACATATCTTCGAATCAACTGATGAATGATATGGTCTACACTCTGAAGCTCATTCACGTCAGCCCGTAGGGGCTTCGGGAACTTAGGCGTTCAGGCGTCCATTGCCGAGGCCGGTTGTGACGGCTAAGACATTGGAAAAGGAAGTGCAATAAGCAGGCCCTACCAATCCTGGAGTTTTCAATGGCTGTTCATGCGATCTAGTCCTTGAGGGTATGCGCTACCTCAGCCTTGCAATCGATTCAATGGAGCCGCGCTGCCTGCCATCGACAATTGTGCATTTCAGCTGCGCATCCTTGTACGCCCCCAGTGTTTCGTAATAAAGACTGATGTTCCTCTTGATCCCAATCTTGGTTTCCTCGTCCTTTTTTTAAAACGCCCCGCGCTGCACCCAGATGACGCAAGCATCCGTGGAATAATGTCGAAATCGTCGTCCACTAAGACTAAGACTATCTTCACCGACCCTGCGCAGTACACCCCCAGGAATCGTGGCCCGATAACCACTCTTTTCGACCCACCCACATCATGTCTGACGACTGCTACCTTGGCCCCTAAGCAGCAAACTCTCTACTTTGGACATCAAGGCCAAGACAACTATTTTGACCCTTCGTGCTTTCCTACCGGAACGATATCTTCGGAGAGACTTCAGAGTGCGCATTGGGGCTTGTACTATTGTTCGCCACACCTTTGATCGTACATTGTTTAGTTGGCTGACCACTACCACAGATAGTCCTGCGATATGCCCTAAAGGATGGAATCAAGTTCGGACGTATGCGAAAACGCTCCCCGGGTTCAGTAAAGACATATCCATTGGTGAGGGCACTTCTGCAGCTTTGTGTTGCCCTTCGTAAGTGAACCCTGCAGCCCAGAAGTAGAAGAATCCGAGAAGATTAATCTTTCGTTAGAGGCTACACCTCGGTCAGCCCGCTCGGCCACGGCCACAAGTGCTCATCCGGCTTCACCCAGGATCAGGTCCTCACGTATGTCTACCCTACGCTGAAGGGTCCTGGTGATTGGGACTTGCCCGTATCGACGACGACGTATGCGGCGCCTGCAAACCCTTCGGTCGTGTACGGAGATGGCGTAATAGTAATGTGGCAAAAAACGGACGAAGCACTTTTGGCTGAGGCTGCGAAAGAGACATCTGCATCTCAGACAGGGTCCATTGGTTCGGGCGAGACGTCGACAAACACACCGTCACCATCAACGTCACCGGCTCCTGCAGGAGGTTTGTCGACGGGAGCAAAAGCCGGAATTGGTGTCGGCGTCGCAGTTGTCGCTCTGGTTGCTCTGATGATTGGGTGGCTGGTTCTTAGGCGAAGGAAGAGACGGTCGGAAAACGTGTACGAAACCCAAGCACCAAGAGAGCTTGACGCCTCAAGAAACAACGTGGTGGAAGCAGCGCCAGGTGAACCAGCAAAAGAAATATACAGCCAAACAAGGGAACCGGTCCATGAGTTACCGCCATAATGTATGTATCAATAATGTCTAATCAGTCGATCGACAAAATAAACACAGACCGTGAGACTAAGCACGGATACGAGGAGGTCGGTTCACGTTAAGCTTCGAGCTCCTAGGATCCGGAGCGTTGGCGGCATGATGGTATAGGCTTATTCGACGCAGCATTGAAGCGAAACTGCAAGGCGCCCCAGTATGAGTCCAGCCTTTGATACGATTTAGTCGCAGATGGTGCGATGTGGTGAGAGGAAATATTCTCCCTTCACGTTCGGGAGGTAAGTTCGTGGAGGTGCCAAGTGCTTTAACCTAATACGGACTATGGCGTCTCGATCTCCGTCCGACGAACCTGGGGCGTACACTAGCACGACTAGGAGCTGAGTGGCTGCGCCTCACCATCAAATCTCCATCGCTTCACATGCTGCACATAGTCGACCTTTCACTTGCAAGTTCCTGAGTGCGATCTACCATCTGGCGGTGCTGAATCGACGCATAGGTAACCATACAAGCCGCTGCCTAATACCACACAGACTGCTTTACTTTACGTTGACCACCATAGGCTGCTAAATCGGACACATACAGTGAAGACATCATGCGATATGCGGCCGGAGTTCTGCACACACTGTGGGGCACTAGATCCTCATTACCTCATGCGCCCGTTGTACACAATGGAAGATATTGTTTCGCTAATAGCCGTGGCGCTTGAAACATCGAAGCTTCTCCGTAGGGCCAAATCTCACTCTCCGGAGGGCGAAGCACTACTCCGAAACAGGCCAACCGTCGGCCAGGATCGAGGCCTCGCCCTCATCTCCATTCTACATATATGGTCGCTGTTCAATCCGTTTCCAAGCTAGAAGCACTTGGCTGTCTTCATTCATTCTTTTCTGTCACTCATTTGACCGTATCGGTCTGTACACTCTTTTTTCCGTCTGACTTCCCGCATTAGCAAGCTTCGTGCTCATTCTTAAACCAATTGACTTTGCATCCACTGCCTTTTTGCAAACATGAAGGCATCTCAGACGACCTTCGTGTTCGCGGCCCTTCTTGGGCTCGCAGCTGCCTCAGATGACATTCGCTGTGCGAGTGAATCTATTCCCGTCCCCGGCCTTGGCAAGGAAATGACCTCTGCCATGGACTCCATCATCAAGAGCACTGTCGACAAGGTCTGCGACCACCCCGAGAACTTCCTCCCCGACGCAGATGGCATTTCCCAGCTGTTCGGTCTCGATGCCGACCCAATGCATATTCAAATCAAACTCCCCGACGCAGTCACCAAGATCTCCTCTGAGGTCTGCCACCGCGTTCTCACCGCCATCATCGGCCAGTGCATCTCCGACAAGAACGTCTTTGGTGGATCTGCCGCCGTAGATGGCGTCAAGTACGAGATCGGCCAGCTCACTAACAAGCTCCCGCTACACATCGGGACGCCTCTACAAAACAACACCCCATCCGTGTCAGACGTCGCGTCCATCGCGTCAAATCTTCCTATTTCCTCTATCGTTGCGGAGCTGCCTTCTGCGATTCCCACCGCAGTTCCCACCGAGGCTGCCAGCCTCCTGGAGAAGATCCCTGGACTTGGTGGCCTCTTCAAGAGGAAGCCTATTAACATTGGTACTTACGAGCCTGAGTACTACCGCACGCACTACGGTGTTGAGCCTGAGGCTACGTCTACTGGGGCCGGCGAGGAGGCTGAAGCTACGCCTACTGGGGGAGCTGACAGTGAGGAAGGTGACGAGACTGAGGAAGGCGATGAGACCGAGGATGGTGACGAGACCGAGGAAGGCGATGAGACCGAGGAAGGTGACGACGAAACCGAGGATGGTGACGAGACCGAGACTGGCGACGAGACCGAGGATACTGACGAAACCGAAGAGGGTGATGAGACTGAGGAAGGTGATGAGACCGAGGAGGGAGACGAAACTGAGGACGGTGACGAGACCGAGGAGGGAGATGAGACTGAAGAGGGAGACGATGAGGACGAGCCCGAAGAGTCTGACGTGCCAACCTCCTCCATCGTCGCCATCACTACTCCCGGACCTCTCGCCCCCACGAACAAGCCTTGGGTTCCTGGTTCCCAGCACTCTTACGGATCTGGAAACGGAACCGGCCCCTTCCAAGGTACTGCGACCGGCGCCACTGGTGTTGCTGGCGCTACTGGCTATGCTCCCGGAACTGCTATCTTGCACTTGCCTACTGGAACCGCTTCGCCAAATGTGCCTTCAGGTGGTTATGGTACCGGCAATGGCAACGGCACTTCCGGCTCCAACTCTACAATCGTCGACATCCCTACTCCCGTCCCTCAGCCTTCTTCAGGCTACGGCACCGGTGAGGGTGAGGTGAGCTCTGACATTGAGGCGTCTACCACTGCTGCGCCTGCATCTCCCTCGGGCAACGGCTACAACGTCGGCGGTGGCGAAATGAGCTCCGATGTTGAGGCCTCTACTACTGCCGCTCCCGCAGTGCCCTCAGGTGGTTCTTACAACAACGGAACCGTGGGTGAAGTCAGCTCCGACGTTGGGGCTTCTACTACCGCCGCGCCAGCATCGCCTTCAGGTGGCTCTTACAACACAGGCGAGGGCGAAGGTGAAGTCAGCTCTGACGTTGAGGCTTCCACTACCGCAGCGCCTGCGACGCCTTCCGGTGGATCCTACAACACTGGCGAAGGTGAGGGTGAAGTGAGCTCGGACATCGAGGCATCTACTACTGCTGCTCCCGCGACTCCCTCCGGTGGTTCTTACAACACCGGTGAGGGCGAAGGCGAGGTTAGCTCTGATGTTGAGGCTTCTACTACAGCCGCCCCGGCAACTCCCTCAGGTAACGGCTACAGCACTGGCGGCGAGGATGAGTCCAGCTCTGATGTTGAGGCTTCTACTACCGCCGCACCTGCAACCCCCTCAGGTGGCTCTTACGGCTCTGGTGAGGGCGAGGTCAGCTCAGACATCGAGGCTTCCACCACTGCCGCCCCGGCAACTCCCTCAGGTAACGGCTACAGCACTGGCGGCGAGGACGAGTCTAGCTCCGCCGTTGAGGCTTCCACTACCGCTGCACCTGCTACACCTTCCGGCAACGGCTACAGCACCGGCGGCGATGACGAGGTCAGCTCAGACGTCTCAGCCTCAACTACCGTCTCCCCCGAAGAACCCTCCATCCCCATCCCCACCGGCGACGCCCCAGCAATCACTCCCTCCGGCCTGTACCCCACCGGCGGCGAGGAGCCTTCCGGCATCTACTCCTCCGCCGACATCGTCCCCACCAGCGACGCTGCCCCCGCTTCGCCCTCAGGCAACGGCTACAACGCCGGCGAGTCCTCAACGCCAGAAACAACTGCCGCACCTGCGGTCCCCTCCGACGGCGGCGTCTACTCCATCCAGACGGTGGCCAACCCCTCGCCCTCGACTACGAGCTGCACGAAGACGACGCTTGAGAAGCGCGCCCGCCCGACGCCCTTCGTTTGGCCGCAGTAAGCGCGTAAACGCATTTCTTTTCCTTGACTATTGCATATGAGAGATTTTGAGAAGCGTGCGTATTATCGCGTCGCATGTCGGTAGAGCATGTATGTATGTATGGCGCTGGATAGATGGAATTTGGATTGGGACTTTATCTTCTACTTCGCTATTGGAAATATGTTGTCCATGAAGACGGCAAGGTACAATGTTCATATTGGAATATCATGTTTTGCATCACTACTCAAAAGGAGATTTTAGGATGTCATCGTGTGAACGTACGATGAGATGGAGCGGCCCCCAAGCGAGTTCCGAAGTCTAGTGGTGTGCTTTGCGGAGTCCGGTGAGCGCAATCTCCGTGACGGTGGGTTGCGCGGTCTCGGATGGGGGCGTCATTAGTATCGCGAACTTTCGTGGCGTCGGGTGATTTGATTTAAAGTGATATGTAGGCGAGCTTTCATCGTTGAAGGGTCGTGATGCAGAGGGCTGGTGGTTGTGAAATCGGACTTTGGACATATTTCTATTTGAGTATGCCAATATATCATCTAACATGAGCACGAGAATACTGGCTGGACCTTCTCAAATCTTTATTTAGTGTCGTCTAATTCGCAAAGCGGAAGGTGAACCTCTCGTTGCTTTCATCCTTCGTGGTCTTGACGTTTCTGTTCGACTGTCACCTCGACCTAGACACGGTCTCTCGACGTGTTACTCCACATGAGATACCCCTTGATGAACACTGTCATGACGACGTTCTATGCGATGGTACCCAGAAGAACGTTGTTTCCGCGACGGTACAAAGACTTAACATCGTCGCGGTAGATCTGCGATGCAATGACGGTACTGGCCTGGCAGATCATGTGTACATAGCACTACCTACCTATGGTGCGGTATACCATGACCAGGGGCTGGCATTGCCTGCCGATATCACCAACATGCGGTTCATCTACAGGTAGTTATATTCGATCTTGCATATGCACATACCCTTCAAGATCCGCACAACACATTGGCCTCCACGAGTTAGCCGACAAAAATTGATTATATCAATCAACGTTTGTCGATTGGCTATCTTTTCATCAAGCCGGATCCACTACTACAAATCCATATCACGGGAAACTGTCAGCCGCCGAGCTATAATGGGAGAGAGAAGAAGTTCTTATAACTTTTCATTCAAAGCCAAGAACGACGACAAACCATCCCAAAGCCCATGAACCAGACCTCCAAACCGCACACCTGCAACCTTCCCTCCAATCCACCGACCACAAATTCCGCCCAATTGTCCTCTCACCCTTACCCTCACCCTCATTGTTCCCTCCTCTCGTCCACAAACTCCAACCTCGCAAGCCCAAAACCCCACACCAAACATTCCTCCGCCCTCTTCCTCACAAACTCATCCTCCTTCGTAGCCCACTCCTTCTTCCCCTCACCCCCCTTATTACGTACTCGTCCCTTGAGCTCGCGAGCCACTCATCTCCCCCATCTTGCTCTAGCTCTAAGTAGTCCCTTCCCATCCTCATAACGATGCGGCGCCACTCGTTGCGCCACCTGCGAACCAGCACCGCGGCGGTGGCGAAGAAAGCGAAGGCTAGTGTGAGCCACACGTAGCAGAGGAGGGTAAGCACTTCATTGAGGAGCGTCGCGAGTGACGGGAGGTTGGGTGGGTTGGTAGGTGGAATAGGTGGCATTGGGGGCCTTGTCGGTGCGTCTTGAAGAGGCAGATGGCCGCTGGGAAGAAAGAAGTGATTTGGAAATTTTGTGAGGGCGTGGTGGGTGGTGGGTGGTGGGTGGTGCTTTGGGCGTGTGGAGTATAGGTGGAGGTTTATATTGATGAGGGCCAGGTTGTGAAAATGAGCTGGGATATCAACGCGCCTGTGAATTGGAAGTGGGGGGTGTGAGCTAAATGAAGTAATTGGTTGTGCTGCACTCAAGCTCGTACCAGTCCAAGCCACTGTCAATATCGTATTACCCCAGATCTTGGGTTGTTGGAGACTGGTTCTTACTGTGTGAACTCACTGGAAATCCAATTCGGCGTGCTTGGTAAAGATGCTAAGTCGAAGGTGGTATTGACAATGCTGATATTTTACAGTACAATATTCCCCTACAGCAAATGTACAGCGGGTATTTCATCAACCCTCCATCTTCCGCATATCTTATCCGAGAACTCCAGCTTATGCAAGTGCGCGTATCCTACAACATCATCTCTTAGCACATCATATTCCCCTGTTCAAGCCCTTTCTTCGTTCAGTCTTCCTCTACCCTGAACCGTCCACGTCCTTCGTCCTCAGCCTTTCTGCAATCTCCTACGGCACCACCACAACCCCAAACTCCCCGCCTGCCCCACCACGCTTCTCGCAATCCTCCAAACTCAACCCACTCAATCTCCCCTCCCCATGCTTAATCTTTGCAATCTCATAAACATGCTTCAGACTGACCGTCCCGACCGTTCCCTTCGTCGCGTTTCCGTTCGTCGGACTATTCGAACCCGATTTGCCCTTCTGCCCATCGTGGTTGTTCATCGGCCCGGGGACGTTTCCTGCGCCGCGTATTTTGGATTTAATCGCAGGCGCGCCGGCCGCGGTGAGGAGGAGGGTAGCGGTGGGTGGTGTGCGGAGAGAAAAGTGGAAGGACCGGTCGGGGCGGACGGTGATACGGGCGGGGACCGGTGTGCCGGTTACGTAGTGGGCGGTGCGGGCGTTGAACTCCTGTGTGAGCGTTAGTATGTAGCTATGATTGGATATTTGGTGGAGATGGATGGGAGGAGATGCGCGTCGTCGACTACGTCTTACGCAGTAGCATAACAAGTATATGCATGAGCGCATCGATATACACAGCCCAGGAAGTAGGCAGTCAATGTGACATCTCTCTCACAGACGCCCATCCGTCGCCAATGCCAACGTACCTTACAAAAATCCATACTCTTCACACCTTTCGAACCCAGCGCCGGACCAACAGGCGGACTCGGACTCGCCTGGCCCGCGCCGACAATCAGCTTGACAATCTGATCCTTCGCCAACGCCTTCTTCGCCATGGTGTATATGTCGAGGGGTATCAATGGGTTGCGTGATGTTGTAGGGCGGAACTTTTGCGGAGGTCGTTGCGGAGCGGCGTCGGCGAAATTATGCGCCGATGGAGACTAATGTTTGAATGTGAGTGTGAGTGGATGACGAGCATTTATACGAAGAAGCAAGCTTGGTTTTGGTGGGATACCAGACATTTGGATTACATGCAAGTAGGAGCGCGCATATTAACCGTGTTTACGAGTTCCTCAATGGCGTTCGGGCTGCTTATAACATCATGCGGGTAGCACTTCAGAGTCAGATGGAGCACCACACATTGCAACAACCACAAACGGTTTTGGATGTCAGGAATGTCTTTATTATTTGCCGGATGTTTTGACACCCAGAAGCCGATCTATGCTAGACCAACGCATCGGTCCTGTCCGAAGCAGGCCATTTCTCCTCCACGTCAATCGTAATGTATCGTACAGTACTCTCAGGTTGCACTGTTATCTCCTTACACGACCCACGCTCGCCTCTCTTAAACGATCGTCTCCAACTCTCGTGCGTACCCCAACGTATTCTCAATGACCTGGTCGCTCGTCACGAGTATGTCCTTGCTTGCGAACTCGCCGTCCTCTTGCGGGAAGTATATCCTGCCATCCTTTACGACCCAGCCCGACTCCTTCGCAAAGTTGACGACGCTGCCTTCTGACTCGAGGAAGAGGAGCGATTTGGCGTCTGAGATGGGGATCGAGGGGTACGCTTTCTCGCTGCACGAGGCGATTTCTTTGCGAATGGTACCGATGAGGACCTAGTTTTATATTAGCACGCATTTGAAAGCAGCTTTAGGCAAGCCAGAAGCAATGCCGCGAGCCAGACTGGCGACACATACATCTGAGAACAGCGCGAACTCCTCGCTGGGCGCATTTGAGCCTTTCGTCTGCCTCCACACCTGGTCGTAGCTTCCCTCCATGAGCGCCTGCTCCAATCTTATCGGATACTGAATGAACTGATCATCCTCGAGTCCCCGCCCCGCCTGCGCAGCCGCCACCTCAAGCGTCTCCAATAGCGTGTGGAACCCCGCGTAGTCGCCATCACTGAGCAACAGAAGCAGATACAGGCCGGTAATTTTGCTCGCGTTACTACCTTTCCTAGGTAGTTTGTCTTCCGGTAGTGCGTAGAAGGGTTGCAGTTGCTGAAAGTAGCGGGTGAAGGAAACGGGGTCTTGTAAGCGGATGGAGATGACGGCGCCGAGCTCGAGGGTTTCGCGGGCGAGTTGGAGGTGCTTAGACGGTGTTGATTCGGTTGGGATGAGGGCGTTGAGACCGAGAAGGGCGATCTTTGCGCGTGACAGTATTGAGCCGGCTTGCTGATACTGCTTGGACTGCAGCGTCTTGTGGAGCTGCTTAAGCAGATCTGCGAGCTCTCTCTCGGCCATGGTGTGTGGATGTGGCGAGTGTTGTTTTGGGTATGCGGGATCTAAGGCGGGTTGAAGGACGAGTGGCGGGGGATTAGATGTGTTGTTCGGATTGCGTGGTGTTGGAGCTTGAGGCGGCGGAGAGGTCGAGGCCCGAGCTTCACCCGCCGGCCTAGTCCATCTGTTTGGGCTTGGCCATGACATATCACTTCCTTCAAAAGTACGGTTTCGAATATACATGGTAAATAGCTGGTGGATTTGGACCGGCTTCCGGTCTTGAGAGCTATATATCTACGTGAACACACCCGGCAGATGTGAGTTAAGCTCCGCTTCATCATTGGCTTACACGGAGCCAAATGACCTGGCAATCACGTTTATGTCTCAAAGGCAGCAACATTTGGCGCAGCCTTTCAATCCACACGCATGCCGCATACGTAGGTAAGCCACCATTCCGTACCTGAGGCTGACGACCGCTGCAGCATGGCACACTCAACCCGAATCGCGGGCCGAACGTGCGATGCAGTCTGAGTGCTCATTCGTCTATCGCTTCCGACCAAAGCGACCTTTACCGCCATTTCCTCCTTTGCTCTTGATCTTGAGCCTCTTGTAGTTTGCGTGCGCCCACGGCTTGATCTTACGTGCAGCTGCCTTGACCGGTCCTTCCTTGTTCTTACTGTCCTCTTTTGCCTGTGACGTGGACGCGACCTTGGGTTTGGGTTGCTGCGTCTTGCGCTTCTTCGTGCTGTGGGACGCGTCGCTTGCGTAGTCTGATCCATCGTCATCAGACGAGTCGAGTTGGATATGGATTTGCGTTTCTGCAACCTTGGCCTCGTCGTCTGACTCGTCATGTTGCACTTCGGGTTGAGGTTTTGCTTTTATGAAGTTGGGTCGCACTGGAAGTTTGTTAGCAGCAGGAACACAAAAAAACAAGAAGAACATACTAATGACGCGTCTCGTCTGCCTCTTGAGGCCCTTCTTCTTCCAGACTCTCTTGGGCCTTCCATCTGGGCCCAATTCACTCTCTTCACCGTCTTCATCATCCTCAGTCTCAAGACCGCGATCGGGGCCCAAAGGCATCGCAGCCTGACTGTCCTTCACTTGAATTTCTGGCACCTTGATTCTCTTGGGTGCTGGCATGCCTTCGGCCTCCATTTCAAGCTCGCGCATGATGTCCGCTTCCTCGTCTAATCGGGTTTCCTCCTCTTGCCGCATCGCTTGGATCCTTGCACTCAAGCTCCTACCAAAGGATCTCCGCGCCCAGGGCGCAGGTCGTGACGCAGGCTCGTCATCTTCGTCAATCTTCGTGAGAGGGTTGTGTCTTCGAAGAAACGCAGGTGTAGCAAGACCCCTCGAACTCGGTGTCGTCGCCTCTCCCAGCTTCCTCTTGTTCGGTGTGACCGACAAGAACGAGTCAAGCAAGAACCGTTTGCCAGTTGATTGTGGTGTCTTCTCTCCACGCGCCCTTGACTCTAGTGACGTCTCACTGTCCGCTCTGCCTGCATTCCTACTCGGGGTCTGCACAACGTTCAGTTCCATATCAGCTAGTGCGCCCCTCCTGCTTGGTGTCTCTGCGGGTAGAAGATCGAAGAGTCCTATAGCGATGCCATCCCGTTGCGGAGTGGGACCGATAAATGCGGGTCCTTCAGGTGAAAGCAAATAGCTCTGTAGTGTCAAGTCCTCCTCAGCAATGCCGCTATCCTCGCGCTTCCTCTTCGGAGTAGTTAGCGCGACTGTCTTGGGCCTTTTGGGCGTTCGATCGACGTTGCGGGTGACGCGTTGACTCTCAGCTTTCCTAGAAGGTGTTCCCGGGGCGTCTTTGGCGGCAATTGCCCTCCGGAGCTTTTCATACTCTTTGTATTTTTGTGCTGGGACTTGTCAGCGCGGAAGAAGCCAGGTGCTTGAGCATGCGTACATATCACCGCGTCGGCCTTGATGTCGTCGCGTCCCGCTTTGCGCCCTCCATTCCTAGCGCTGAATTTGCTCTCCCAAGTCTTCAGGTCGAGTCGGAGCACATTACAGTGCTGTTCTTGTTCGGTGTTACTCATGGCGGAAAGTGGTTGTGTGTGGGAATGGCACCAGACGGGAAGTGTGGAGGATCATTTTGAAGATCGCGGAGACGCGCCGAAAGATGCGCACGCGTCACGCTAGCACGAGCCATTTTGTGTGCAGGGGTCTTCAGCCACTTTAAACTCGAGCTTATTGGACATGAATCAACCTGCATTTTCCAACGTGCACTATGTAGCATGCGACATATATTACAGGTACTATTCACAAACTCCCGCTGGAGCTCGACTTCCTGCGCTGATGCTAACCCAAACCCAAAACGAAGAAAGAAATCTAGTAGTGAACAGCCTTGTCGTATGTTGCCATAGCAGCCTCCTTGAACGCTTCTGAAAGCGTCGGGTGAGCGTGTGATGTCCGTGCAACGTCTGTGAAGAAGATTAGTATCTGCCTTAGCGTGCACAGGATCGTGATTCGACTTACCCTCTGAGCTGGCACCATACTCGAGCGCAAGCACACCCTCGGCAATCATCTCACCGGCGCTGGGACCGATGATGTGAATGCCCAATATCCGGTCAGTCTCGGCGTCAGAGATGAACTTGACGAAACCCTCAGTGTCGAGGTTGGTCTTCGCTCTTGAGTTGGCAGAGAAGGGGAACTGTCCGACATTGTACTTGACGTTAGCAGCCTTGAGCTCCTCCTCGTTCTGGCCGACCCAGGCAACTTCGGGGTGGGTGTACATGACGGAGGGAATCGCGCCGTAGTTAACGTGGCCGTAACCCTTGCCGATGTACTCGACAACGGCAACGGACTCCTCCTCAGCCTTGTGGGCCAACATAGGTCCGAAAGTAACGTCACCAATAGCACGAATGTGGGGGACCTTGGTGCGGTACTCCTGGTCGATGATCACGCGGCCCCGCTCGTCAACCTCGAGACCGATGTTCTCAAGACCAAGGCCGTTGGTGTAGGGACGGCGACCGATGGCAACGAGGACGACGTCAGCATCGAGAGTCTCCTCCTTTCCGCCCTTGGCAGCCTCAACGGACACCTTCACGCCCTCACCTTCAGCATCACCGGCGGTGACCTTGGTGTTGAGCTTGAACTTCATGCCCTGCTTCTGGAGAAGCTTCTGTGCCTGCTTAGCAACATCCTTGTCCATACCGGGGCCGCCAATCTGGCCCAAGTACTCGACAACGGTGACTTCGGAACCAAGACGCGACCAGACAGAGGCCATCTCAAGACCGATGATACCTCCACCGATAACGGTCATCTTCTTGGGGACCTCTTGCAGAGCGATGGCACCAGTGCTCGTGATGACCTTCTTCTCATCGATAGTCAGTCCGGGGAAGGGCGTAGCCTCAGATCCAGTCGCGATGAGGATGTTCTTGCCGCGGACGGTGGTCTCGCCACCTTCAACAAGGTTGACCGCGACGGTGTGCTCGTCCTGGAAAGCACCGGTGCCCTTGATGTACTCCACGTTGTTCTTCTTGAAGAGGAATTCGATACCCTTTGTCAGACCTGCAACAGAGGTGTCCTTCGCCTTCATCATCGCCGGGAGGTTAAGCTTGACATCGCCGACCTCAATACCGCGGTTCTTGGTGTCGTGCAGGATCTGGTGGTAGAGGTGCGAGTTGTTCAGGAGGGATTTTGAAGGAATGCAGCCGACGTTCAAGCAGGTTCCGCCGAGAGAGCCGCGCTTCTCGATACATGCGACCTAACAGCTATAAGTCTCTAACACAAATGCAAGCATTTGTTATCGCGCACCTTCATGCCGGCCTGGCCGGCCTTGATTGCCGCGACGTATCCTGCGACGCCGCCTCCGATGATAACGAGGTCCTTCTCCTCTATCTCTAATTAGCACCCAGCCATCGGTATAGCTTAAGGATTTGTCGACTAACCAGCTTCCGAAGCATATCCCCTCCTTAACCGGCTCTGGAAGTAGATGTTCGGGGCGCAGAAGGTGCTCTGGGAAACCGGGCGCGCTGCCCTTGGCACGGCGCGGGAAGCGACTGAGCGGAACATGATGGCGGAGGAAGATGTGAGGCCCAAGATTCGGAAAAGCCGCGAGCAGTACGGCTGGAGGATGGGGCGGGTTCAATGGGCGGAGGTGGATTGGTGATGGGGTTGTTGAGCTCTGAGGTGCAGGCACTACTTTTCTCGCCGGCCGCGGGAGCACTGACATCGAGCTTTGCGGCTAGGAACGGTGGCGCTAATTCGCCGCCACGAACGTAACAACCCGAGGTCACACATCTTCACGAAGATTGACTGAATGTGAGTCAAGCACAAGTATTACTGATCATGATTTGCTATCTGCGAAAGTGCCCGAAATCACTGCTCTATACGTGGTCTTCCGGTGGCTGGTCAGTGTAGGCGGGAGCTTGGATTGCAGCGTTTTCTTGCTCTCGCCGCTTGCTTTCCATGTCAGCAGCCCAAAGAGAGGAGCTGACAGCTGCGGTTAATAGAAAGAACATGCTCAGTCCTGGTACAAGCTGCAAAAGCAGATAGACGGTGCCGTACCTTGAAGGAAATGTTAGCATCGGCTCGGAAGCGGCTTCCGAGGACGAACTTACCAAGTATATTGCCATCTCCTCCGTCTTACAAACGCATCTCGCTCCTGTTTGTTGAAATCGAGCAGCTTGAAATATCTCCAGTGTTGTAGTGGCCCCGCACGATATCCCGTAAGCAGCAAGAACAACGGTACACCAAAATACGGCACAAAGTTGAGTGGTAGCAAAATTACAAACTCTGCGATCTGCCGAAATGAGAAAGGACCATACACAGACGACTTGGTCGGTTTGCCGAGTCGCTGTACAGGATTGTTCATAGAGTCGTCGGAAACTGGTCGAAATTGACGGACCAGATCATCGTAACCTTTGTGGACCAGGATGGCATCAAAAATATCTACCTGCGACTCGTCCACCAAAAAAGCCTCGAACAGTATCGCTGTTACAGCTGCTGCTTCCCCTAGCGTCAAGAACGTTCCGTTGACCCATGCGCTGCCTGTCTTATGAAAGAGGGCCAGGAACGCGACCTGTGGCAGATATGCCCAGACGAAGAGGTTGACGATGACGAACGTGCTTAGCAGAAAGGCTGGGAGGAGACGTTTGCGCGCGAGGGGGTAGAGAAACGGGTGACCGATGAAGTATATGATTCCCTGCTGCCTGTTAGAGAGAGCATTTTGAATGATCATGTCATATAGAAGAGATACCTTGAATGGGTAGGAGCTGGCCACTACATTCTGCCAAGTAGGCCGTAAGATGACTCGCTTCACGTTCTCGACCTGGCCCGCTTGCGACTGCGGCATGTTGAGGAGTGTTTGTATGAAGTTACGTGGGCTGCAGGCGTCGGGATATACGCCTCGAACATGACGCCATTAGCGCGGGAGCTCGGGCCAACACCGAGCATTCCGCGCCTGTGAACGACGACGCTCTTTTTATCAAGGTTCCAAGGTTCGTCAACTCTTCACGTGCCTTGAGTTAGCGCCCACTTCATACGCGTACGTCGCCGCTACAACATAAAGTTATCTATTCCAGACACTCTAAACTAAGCTTGTGACTAGAGACTAAAGCTCTTTTTATTTCTGGAATATTGCTGCGACGTTATAGCGGGGGAGTAAAGGAATCAACTTTGGCGTTCTCGCCAAGGGATAATTAATAAAACGAGCTCCTTCATCAGGCGCTACCACTCCGCCGCTCGAGTCCGACGGAGAAGACAAATGGAGCTGAAATGTTCGACACGACGAAGATCTTCAACTCGCTATTACTATAAGTAGCCACGTAGGAAGCTGGATCTCTTCTGCATCATTCACAGGCATTCTTTAATCCATGACCCCTACTTGATTACGCAAGAAAGCTTCTATCACTACATTTCATATGAAAATCTCCTTTATCGACCGTTATCGACCTCTACTGGATAAAAACAACTTTGTTCTTTTTCATAATCATGTTTCTCAACACAAGCGCCGCCTCGTGGAAATACAACGGTCCACTCACCAATCCAGAAGTGGCATCTTTCCACCGCCGCCTCCCAGACTACAACACCACGACCCTGCATGCCCTCCCCACTCTAGCTGAAGAGCTCGGACTCGGTCATGTCTTCCTCAAAGACGAATCCAATCGCTTTGGCCTTCCAGCCTTCAAGATCCTCGGCGCCTCATGGGCAACTTTCAAAGCCGTAGCAGTGAAATGCAACTTCCCAATCACCTCATCCGTAGAGGTTCAAGAGCTCGGTACCGCTGCGAGAAAAGCCGGTGTGAAGATCGTGACGTGTACGGCGGGGAATTGGGGGAGGGCGGTTGCGAGGATGGCGAAGTACATGCAAATCCCTGTGACTGTTTTCGTACCGAACACCATGGACGAAGCCACACAGAAGAAAATTGCCGGCGAGGGTGCGACAGTGGTGGTTGTGGATGGTGATTATGACCACTCTATTTTGGTGGCGAGGAAGGAGGCTGAGGGGCCGGATAGTATCCTCATGATGGATACGAGCTGGGAGGGGTATGAGGAGATTCCACAGGTACGTAATGGTGTAGGTCCTGGGAGTGCCGATGCATGCTGAAGGTGATTAAGTGGGTCGTCGAGGGCTACTCAACTATGCTCACGGAGACGGACCAACAACTGCGAGATCTCGGCATAGGCCCCGTAACACATGCCATAGCATCCGTAGGCGTAGGGTCTTGGGCACAAGCTGTGGCGATGCACTACAAGTCAGCCACGCCAGCTGCATCTGTAATAGCAGTTGAGCCAGATACAGCAGCGTGTCTGAAGACCAGCCTTGAGGCGGGCAAGATTACACCGATCGAGACAGGACACAGTATCATGAATGGCATGAACTGCGGTACAGTGTCGTACACGGCATGGGAGGTGCTACGGAACGGCGTCGATGCGAGCGTTGAAGTAACGGATGTAGAGGCACATCGCGATTTGGAGTATCTACACGAGCAGGACGTGGAGAACGGGCCTTGCGGGGCAGCGCCGCTGAGTGCACTTAGGAAGTTGGTGAAGGAGAAGAAGTTGGGTCTGGGGAGGGACTCGATTGTAATATTGTTCAGCACAGAGGGAGTTCGCGACTATCCTGTGCCTGCGTGACACTAAAAGTCCGGTACCTTTGGTGTTTCCTATGCATAACCCTCTGATTGTTCGTACCGGAATCGTCTTGTAGATATGTGAATCGAAAGACGTCGGGAGTGAAGAAATGCTGCAGAACCGAAAACAAGGGCTAGCTGTCTCGGTCACTACGAGACATGCCCGTCGATATATGGCCCAATACGATCAAACAAGTCGTCCTCCCTCACGCTGTCCCCTGACGACCTTTTCGACTCAACAATCAGTGTACATGACCCAAACATGATCGCAACAAACAACCTCACGGGCCTCATCAAGACGTAACTCAACCAAAGACCAAGAAAACCTTTCGCAGGAAACACGATCGAAGATCCCCATGGTGTGTTGAGTGCTGTCTCGAGATCGAACCGGTAGATAACCAGGCGGTTCGCGGCGAAGTTGATTGCAAGCCAGATACGCATCAGGATAATGTCTAGAAGAATGGGTCGCCAAATGGTTACGCAAGGAGGGATGTAGCAAGGTTTTTGGCCCTGGCCTTCGGTGAAACGATCGATGGAATAGTACCATGCTGCAAGGTTGACGGAGACGGAGAGATGATGTCCGGGTAACGGATGCGGGTGTTACCGTCGTAATACCGTTGTTTGAAAAAGTGGAACTCCGATAGAACGGTGAAGGAGGGTGTGTAATGGATAGTTTTTTGACGCGCAATCTCGGGCACATCATTGGGGAAAGCGACCAGATGCGTATCGATGAGGCGCGCGATGTCTCCGAGGGCGAAGCTAATGGTGGCTAGCATAAAGCAGTGCGTAGCGGATAGCCGAACGAAGGTCTAGTGAATTGCTGAATGGGGACGCTGCAGAGGACTGGGAATAGCATTGCTGCGCTGATGTGATACCCAGAATTGGCATGGCTCTGCATGTACTGGTAGGTGATGGCGCTGCAACTTGAGAGAATGGGATAAGCGGTAAAGTTGTCGAAGGGCATGCGCGGCAACTCAGATGCGAGGCGAGCGAGCGCCGACATGATCAGGTATAGATTGCCGCTCGACGGTAGTCCAAATGGTTCGAGTGTCTGCAAAGCGCAAGTCGATGGTTGTCCTAGGTAAGACACGATGCCAGTGCAGCTGCCTCGTATCTGGTATTTGTTTCGTGGTATCCGCGTGACATCTCAGCTGTACGATGTTGTTGCGTGTGTGAAGTACAGCCAGCCATGGCGATCGATGGGTAGAAGCCATCAACGACGCGCCAGTGCACTTCCGGCACCAAATATTAGAGAGTGGTTTAATTAGCAGCACCTATTCCATGACAGAGAACACCACTTGTACCGGCGTGAGAATGCGTACCCACCTGCGCAGGCAAAGAAGTGGAAGGTTGCAGCTGGCCACGTGTTAAAACCAACCGGTCAATGTAAAACAGAGCAGAACTCACCATTCGTTGACAACCCATCGTCACTGAACCAAGTCGAGCCCAACAACAACAACAAAAGCATGTACCATTCACCCTAAGCCCGCCCACTAGGCCGGAAACCGCGTTCTGTAGATTATCCTATTTTGCGCGCGGAAAGATGATAGAATGGAAGATCTTAGCATGGAAATGCTTGGGTACGTGAGAGACTCTTGATGTTGCCTTCGTACACTGGATGAGCGGGTATAGTGTCTATTAGACTGATTATGTGCAAAAGATTCGTGTGAAAGAGGTGGAATTCAAAATCTTGTTTTCTTTATATCATACAGCCTTGCGGCGTCGAGTGGAGGGGGTATATTGATGACTCTAAATTTCTAGTCTTGATATGGAGGCAATGTTTATTTTTCAGTGACTTTGGACGGGACCAAAAGTGGGATCCGATGGACCGAATCTGGGCAGCAGTAGAATTGTAACAACCACCGGCGCGTTCTGATGGCGTGCATATGGGCGACCTCACTCGAGCTGACCTGGGGCGTTTTGCAGTTGCGCATGATTATCAAATCCATGAAAGAGTGGGTTTATGACAACGTAAAGCCCCTTATCGCACAACAAATTGGGAAACTTTGCGAGGAGTCCCAACGATCAACTCATACAGCCGAATGGGATTCAATCCAACAAGCAAGGAGAGCTCAATCCACTGCGCCGCGTAGATTTCGGAATCACACTCCGCACCTAGAACCTCCAATCACACCACCAAGATTCTCTCGGGGCATGACAGACCCCGAGTCTGTAAACCGGGGGAGATCCAGAAGACCCGTGCCTACCATTTCCAGGATATGGTTGAACGACGAAGGCGACCTCAGCGACGAATCGTGGGATAGTGATGGCACCTACGTGAACGAGGCCGAGAAAGATAAGGTCAATCGCCCCGGAAGCAGCTTGGCCAACGAATTGAAAAAGCTCACGGTCAAGGAGGAGACGAAAGAGTTAATGGAACTATCTCCGGAGAAGATCCTAACACGCTTTCGACGACGAAGCCAGTCGCTTTCCAGAGCCAAAGGCAAAGCGGAGGGAAAGAGGGGCGAAGGGAATACTCGTCATGCAGAAAACGAATACCGACTGCCTATAAGGTCGAATCCCACTACGAAGACGGCCTCAAGACCAAGGTCCCAGTCGATTGATAGATGAAAGACAATGTCCCAGAGTGAATCCGAGTATGAGTCGGAGCGGGAGAGCAGCATGGTTCAACGGCCAAGTATTCGACGTCGGAGCTCAAGGTTTTGATTCAGTTCCCATGAAGTGCGGGGAGGAACAAGTTTTGGTGGCATGATCAATATCTGTTGTACTGTATATTTTGTGCATGGAAACTTTCCTCGTATAATTCCCAACCCCTATTATTCCCTGCTATGAGATTGTGCATGGCCCAGTATCCGCAAGAGCATTCTTCAACTCTTCCGACCATTGTCGAAGAGGCTTCTTTCCCTCCCGCAACTCCCTATAAAACGCTCGAAGCGGTTCTGGCAGATCATCGGCATTGAGAAGGCCATCATCGTCGACATACTCATCTATGTACCCAATCATGGCCATGTCGAGATTCCGGAAACGAGTTTCGACGTCCCGAGCATACAGCCGCAGAAACGCTTCCAAGAAGACGTGAGCACGAGGGGCAAGAATAGGATGCACTGTGGACGGGAAGACTCCGGATCCACGGCCTGGTCGCTTCGTTGGAAGAACAGTGTGGTCAGACGCGAGCACCAAATATGAGGGCAGTTGAGATTCTTGGGGCGACGTGAGGGATCCGTCAAGTGGTGGTAAGAACCACAGCGTCTCGGATTGGAGATACAGGTTGACTGTGACTTCCGAGTTATCGATATGAATGTGGAAGGCCTGTGGCGGCGTATATCGTTGTTTCTGGCCCGACGGACAGAGATCGCCTTGGGAGCATGCAGACAGGTTTTCGAGGTTGGACAGCGTCTTGATGCTGACGTCCAGACGGTCGGCAGGAATTACGAAATCAATAGACTTGGGCGCTCGTCAGTTCTTGCCGAATGATTTCAATATGAAGGGGTAAATACACCGATGATTGACGGGATGCCATGCAGGATCAGGAGATAGTGGCCCCAGAGGAGGCAGGGCACCTGAGCTGAATTGAGAGCCTGCGCCACAGATGCCACGAATGAGGGTGAAAGATCTCGCATATTCGTTGCGTTATTTCCAACTTCCAAAGAATGAGCAGCGAGTTAAGCGAGTCTCATTGAAATGTTTTACGGATGTTGCAAGATAACTATAGCGTAAGAGGTGGATAGTGTTAGACGAAAGTGGTTAGCTTAGGCATAGACTAAGGGTTTTTAGCGCTCCGTCAGTGCGTGCCGCTCCTTCACCACGCTACCTTCTAGAGCGAAGTTCGAACCCTGTCGTCACAGAATTCCTCGCCTCCTCCCGAAATAGCCAAGATGATAATTGAGCGCTTCGCGTTACTACCGCCAGAACTGTAAATCCAGATCTGGGAAGACGCACTCCGTGTACTAACGGTTTGGGCGGCAACTCGCAATTACGAAGTGGGCAACTCTTCTGATAGAGGACATACCCCTATCTGTAAGAGATTTATACGCCTGCAGTACAGTTTTGCCAGAACTCCCTAATTATGAGGCCGTGAAATTTGCGAGTCTTCTGGGTTCTACCGAGACACGACATTATGGAGATAGCAGGTCGTTTAAGCTACATGGAGATACTTAGTGCGGTAGTTGAATCTGTTTGTAGATATTAGGTTGCACGGATATGCCTTACATAATCTGTATGCGCGCATTTCTTGCTTCGACGAGACTATTTCACTCTCTCCAAACCCCAACCCAAGGCTTCCCGTATCACACCAGACCAAACACGCATGGCTCTCCAGATCCTCTCAGATCTTCATCTAGAGTCGCCAAAAGGATATGATATCTTCTCCATCGTCCCTTGCGCACCGCACCTTGCCCTCCTCGGCGACATTGGCACCGTCACACCTCACAAAGCCGGATTCTTAGCCTTTCTCACCCGCCAACTCAAGCAATTCCGCACGGTACTCTTCGTGCCCGGGAACCACGAATCTTACTCTTCAGACTGGCCCACCGCTCTCGCAATATTGCGAGAATTTGAGACGACCGTACAGTGTGATGATGATATCACGCTCGGAGACTTCATCTTACTCAATCGCACCGCGTTTAAACTACCAGACATAAATTTTACAATCCTAGGCTGCAGTCTTTTCTCTCACATACCGCCTGAGAGCGAAATGGCTGTTAGCATGGGCTTGAACGATTTCTTCCAGACGGAGAGCTGGGATGTAGAAATGCACAACGCCGCGCACAAGCGAGATGTTGAGTGGCTGAACGCCCAGGTCGCTGCGCCCGAGCATGGCGACTCTAAGATAATCATTCTCACGCACTGGAGTCCATCGAGGGACCCTCGCTCAAGCGACCCGAAGCACGCTGCTAGTCCTATCTCGAGTGCCTTCTCGACGGACTTGTCGGATCAGCCATGTTTCCAGAGTGAAAAGGTAGAACTATGGGGTTTTGGTCATACGCACTTCAATTGCGATTTTGTGGTTGAGCGAGGCGCAGGTGTAGGATCACTAAGATTGTTAACGAATCAGAGAGGATATTATTTCGCTCAGGCCGAGGGGTTTGATGAAAATAAGACCGTAAATGTTTGAAAGGACACCGTTGCTCTGTGTTTCGACGACAGAGATTTGAATGCATAAGGACTACTGCAAATCCCCTCCCCACCTGTTTCTCTCTCTTGCTACTCGAACATGGTAAAATCTGTCCACCCATGGCGTCCTGGCAAGTCAATCTAAAGAGATGCGACCTGAATGACAGACCCTAATCGGCGATCCCGCCGACCTTCAGCTTCCATCCCCAGCACTCGCCATGCAGCATCACAGCTCCCGCAATTCTGTATTGACACCTCTGGATACAGCCCCATTGCGCCATAAGTCGCGAATGAATCCCATTATGCTTTCATGTTCGTATGATGCACAAGCGGAGTGTGAGCCGAGTAGGGAGATACTGCGTCCGTACCATATTCCGTCGAATAGTCGCGCTGGCGAGAAGGACGTCCGCTAAAATCATGAAGCTCATTCCTGTTTCTGGACGTCCCAGAATTGGAAGTTCCGACTGTTTTGTCGCACTCAAGACACCCAATTGTTCTCCAGGTGCGGTGAGTGGAACACCGGTCCTACTGCGGGACCATGTGCCGATTCCGAGGGCTTGGTGTGCAAGTCGCTGTAGATCCAGATATGCGTTACTGTCCCATTCCAGACGACTGTACGACGGGTGATTCTGCTTGTCGCGATTCAATTTGTTGGCGATGGTGGTGGCTATAGCTTCGATGAAGGCTGCGAGAACCATCAAGAATAGACCGACGAATACAATGATGGCCATGCCGAGGACGTTGAATGAGTAATATTCAGAGCTTCGAACTTTCTGATACAGGGTCAATAAACGATCGCTATTGCCTGACCCAGGGAATCCGCGCTATTGCCAGGATGTAAAGGTTCAGTCCACTCACTTGGCTTTTGCACAGCTTCTCGCACAGTCCAGCCTCTGTGTCGCTATCACAAAGCGTACGGTCGAGGTCCCAAACACCATTTTGTGATGCTTGTGGCACATTAGACTGAAAAGACGCAAGCGAGGCTTGACTCAAGAATTCCATCTCCTGCTTCCATCTGTCTCGAGGAAAAGCTTCCCATTGCATTATCCCTTTAGTTGTGAATCTTGCGAGCATGTTAGGTAGCCCCGGCATGTTATAGAAGGTGTCAGGAGTTGCTATCATAATGTTGTTGGTCTGCACGTAACCGAGGAATGCTTTGAGATCATCAGGTTCGGGCCATATCGCGGTAATACTATCCCTAAGCTCATGAGAGGCATATAAGTTGACGCAACGCTGTTGACCATTGTCAATTCTAGGATTGCAGTAGAAGGCTTGCGAAGTGCAGCCAATAACAGTCGCTGGTTCATCTGACACATAGAGCGACTCGGACTCGAAGAAAGTGCGCATTAATTCTGATGCGTTGGTATTTGCAGCAAACCAAGGGTCTTCGACCTTCTCGTGGTATACCATATCGGTCGAATCAAGGAAAAGAAGTGCGGCGTATGCGTCTGTTCGGTTTAGTTCCGGAATGAAATCTGTGTCTTCGCCGCGATACATTGATATAGAGCTACACAATGTCAATGCAGATCGGTACAACTAGTACTGAGAATACCGGTTGTGGACTGTATAGCTCATACCGTGAGATTCCAGTACCAAAACAAAGGCCCTATAATTCTCGAATAGACTTACCGCGTTCTGTAGTCTAAGCCAATCGAGCCCCCGTAAGAGCTGACTACTTGGTCGAACGGACTCTTCAGTGGTACCATGTAGATACGCCAGTCGGCAACGTCGGCAGTAGAGTTTGTGATAGTGTTATTGCGAAGATAACTATATCGCATGTATGTTTTTGAAGTATCCGTTGGGTCAACGTATCTCATTTTATATCCACGCGTAACCAGAGGGGCACAATTCTGCTTCAGGCGAATCTGGAATCTTGGTTCCGCGTTCATACCGAGGTCGCCCCAGCTGTCCAGGTAGCCAGTATCCAGTTGAAGATTGTCAGATGCACTCTGACACATTTTCTGTTCGAATGGACAGGTGGCGTTGCGATCGATCTCGTAAGAAAGCTTTGGTTTCGTGTACAGTTGGCATCTTGACTGTGTCGTTCGTTGACCTTGGTAACATGCCAAAGCATAATCCAAATAGTCCAAATACATTTTGTTACGATACCTTGCAAGCTCGGATGCCTGTGACTGTTGGTCGAAATCTTGCGACAAGGATGTTCCGCATTTGGGCCCACGAAGTAACACTTCGTTAGACTGATTTGCCGTAACCTGTGAGGAGAATATGCCTGAATCTAGGCGTAAGTTACAAAGAAGTCATCGCCGGGGACAGGAAGACTGACCAGCAACTGCAAAGCCTGCCGAGATCAGACATGCAAGTGTCCAGATAGGTAGAAGACGCGACAAAAGTCTCTGAGTCCGATTTCTCCAGGCAATCATGAGCACCAAGGTTTCCTGCGCGGCATCTGGTGCTGTTTTCGAGTTGCGTAGTATCGCTTGGTGCTGATGATAGACACCATCAGATTGAGACTGGGAAGAAAGGTACTTGTGCAGCAGAAAGCGCGAAATTGTCCAGAAGCTCTGCCCGGTAGCTCCTACATAAAGAGCCAGAAATGCGATCAAGAAGTTTCCAGCTTGTCGATTGAGTGTCAGTGTTGCACCGTATGTAGAACCTTTCACACGATTGATCCAAAAGCCGGTATAGACCTGGTCGTCGAAAGATAGAGTCTGGAAGTCACTACTCATCTTGGTGCGTCTTGTCGCTCAACGTGATCGATGAGAGCCGGGTGTACATTGGTGTTAGGGGATCGGAGGCGGGCTGCTGATGTTATGTATGCGCAAAGCCAACCCTGCAGCCGCCGGGTGTACAGCCACGGTTTCAGCCTTGCGCAACATGCTGTAAGTTTTTGAGTGACCCAATCTACAAAATCCAATGCAAATCTAGACAAATTCTGTCTGTCGCTTTTGCGCTGGACTTTTTGGTGGCACAAACGCAGACATGAGGTTATTAACGATTCTGCCATAGGAAATGCGCCACAGGAGGTTTATCTTCGAAACAGTATTTCTCGACGGGGTTGTGGCGATACGGCGTAGTTCAGAGGGCGCGTAGAGAAGATTTAAGAATGAACCAGGGTTGGAGTGAACGTCAAAGCGCGAAGGTGGCTAATCATCTCCCGGCTCACGTAAAATGCGCAAAATATGTGAGGCGCTGACACTGCATACATGCATCTCGCAACGCAGTGCCCGAGTCAGTGCGGAGCGGAAATAGTCTGCCGTGCAACAGTATGATTGTTTCAAGTCAATAGAAACACTGTGCACAAGCATATCTAGTTTAAATTCATCACTTAGGCGGGATATAGTTCAAATGCTAGGGGATCCCATTCTAGTTTTGATTTGATTGGTTCAAACCACCGAGTAGCAATGTTCTCCAGTTGGACGGCTATCACAGTCAAGCTTCACCATTCACATGGATTGCCACTGTGGGCTCTGTTTGCCCTGTCACATTGGGGCGATGACACTTCATCGCTTTTGTCCATCTTCCTTGAAGGCTTTTGGAGACCGAAACCCCAAAAACCAGTGCACACAACGCCCAAAACACTGCACACTTCGCAGAATCCATCACCGGTACTGTCACCAGTGTCGCCACATAGCTATAAGTGCTGCATATCTGCTGGAGGATGTACGTTCCCAATTCGAACTACTTTATCAACCCTACACCGTACTTCATCTACAACCCTCTCCAACGACAACTGCCTAAACACCCAGCAACGGACCCTACCATGTGTCACTACACCATCAAGTTCTTCGAGTGCGACCATAAGACTGATGACAATGTCAAGGGGTGCTCACTATGGGAAAAGACAGGGACACACTGCGATATCGATAATCCTGCTGTGAAAAAGCGGAAGGACTGCAGTATCCGTAGTGAGAATGTGACAGGTCTTTGTCCTCGATGTCATCGTTTGGAACGTGCACGCCTTCTAAGAGAACAGGAAGAGCAGCGTGCGCGCATGAAAAGAGATCAGGAAAAAGAGCGAGCGCGGCTCGAGCGAGAGTATGATGAAGAAATGCTGCGAAGGGACTTGGAAAAAGCCAAGCTTGTAGAGAAAGAAGAGCAACGTCAGATCGCGGAAGCACATGAGGCTCATTTAAGACGGGTTAAGGAAGACTCTGAAGCATTATGGCGTGGTGAAAACGACATCCAGGTAGGTCAAGCTATGTACGAGTACGCTCTTTGCGCATGAGAGCAACTGCTGTACTGGCAATCTTTGTGCGTTCGACGCATGGTATAGCAGCTGCTGATGTAGTGGTCCAGGAAACCAACGAATCATATACTACGATAACTCATACCACGACCACCTACACGACTGTGACTACTGTCGAAGAGACCTTGCCATCACCTCCACCACCACCTCCTCCTCCGCCGCCGCCGGCAGCACCAGTTGCTGCCATTCCGTCACCTCCACCACCTCCACCGATCGACTACTCTCAGCCACCAAAAGAACAGAGCTACGGCCACCACTTCATCGGCAGCCGTCGTCAACCCATCCATGAATCGCAAAAGCTACCTGCCGAGCATCCGTTGTCCGCGACCGCTGCATCGATCCCTCGAGCCCCACAAGCACCAACGCGACTTGCAGGGCCCGCCACACCTGCTGCACCTTCTTCCCGATCGTCAGCTAGTGGATTTTCAGGAGCGTCTCCTGGCAATCAGATACCTCATGCGCGGTCTGCATCGAAGAAAGCACCGCAAGGTGATTTTGCTAGCGAATTGCAGGCACAGTGGAATCGGTTGGGTATCAGGCGTGAAATAGATGAAGATGAGGATGATGGTATTACGACGGCTTCAATATCGCCATCTGAGTCTGCTTCACAGATTGGTGGCGGAACATCGAAGGAACGAAGGGGACAGTAGTGATGGTGCACCGGGCCAATCTTTTTATATTGGGAGAAAGAGGAGTGGCCGATGATGAGAAGTAAATTAGGTACAGTGGTTCCTGAAGCAAGCTCAGTTTTCCTGTTTATACCATGCTGTGTTTCCCCATATTCGCAGATGATTGAGACGGACCAGCGTAAGAGGATTCCATTTATTCATGCTTGATGATTCGAGCGTAAGTCTTCGTTCTACATAATGCTTACATAACTATCCTACAATTTCCAGCAAGAAGATCCCAAAGCTCCATTCCTAGTCCAAGCACCCACTGGTATTTCCATATCAAACGCTAAACAGAGACAAACAAAATCGATCAATGGTTCCTTCTACGGGGTCCCTTATTCGACCTGCACCATGTGGCCGTTGCCAATTACAGAAGCGGGTAAGCCACTATGATCGGGCTGCTACTGGTACTACCATTGGGCCTGCGTGGTAAAACTGCTGTTGCGGCGGAGGCTGCACTGGAGCATACGCTGGTTGATCATATCCAGTGGTGTTATATGCCGTCTGCGTCGCGCTCTCCTTCCAAAAGTTTGACTTGCACAAGCTGATGATGGCAAAATATGAGAATATCTGAAAGAATCCGTTGAGATAATACATCGCACAGTTTACATCCATGTCCAGGTACTTTTTTTCGAGGCTACGAGCATCGACAACGAGGATGAATATATTCGACAGCACCATGCAAAGGGTGAGTGCAACTATTCTTTTGATAACGTCCTATCTAAGTAAGTACGCGAACACCATGATTGTGGTTAGAAGGGTGACTTACGTTGATAGCGATGCCTTTGGATCGTAACTTCATGAGCAGTGCCATGGAAATAGCACCCCCAGCAACCACGCTCAATATGTAGAGAACATCGTATGCAACAGCAAACTTCTCTGCGTCATAGTACGTTTTGTAATTGACCACGTACCGGTATCCGGACGTACCACGGGCCATGGCCTGCCAAGTGTTGTAACAGTTGAGGCCCGTATATCCCGCTGTTAGAGCCGCCATGACTCCAACAATAGCGAGCGTAGCGACTTTTACAATGCCCTGGCTCGAGTCGAGGCGCTGACTGAGCAGTCGGTTGACTCCCCAGACAACGATGAATAGCAGGATCCACTGGCCGATGTTGAAGAATATACTGAACACGATTACAAAATCGTAGTAGTCGTATAAGGTTGGGAGAACCCAGCATTCGCGGAGAACAGTGCCGAGAATAGTAAGTGCCCAACCACTGTACTTCGTCAGCCACCCGTGTTGTAGATGGCACGCATGGGTGCGCAACTTACATGCTCATGAACACAAGTACGACAAAAAGCATCCGTATCAGCTTATTTGATCTTTTGCGGACGCAACAGGTGTAAATTAGGACGCCGAAGGTGAAGACGAAAAACAGACAGTACGCAACGAAGTACGCGATGGGTGTCCAGAGGTAATAGCCGTCGGAGAGGAAGCCTGGACAGGCCCCATTGCTACTACCTCCACTGCTTCCACCGAAACTACTGCCGCCGCGTCTTGGAGCCATAACAGTATAACAACTTTGTCGTCTGGTCTTGTGACCGAGAAGCCGGTGTTCGATGAGGCGCTCCTCAAAATTCACGAGGTCGTCAAAGTCAAAGCAAAATGCGAAATGAACCAAAAAGCGCTTGTTCACAGCAGACTCATCTCGTATTATAATCACTCGCGCGCCTAACATTGTCGACTATTTTTATGCTTTTGTCACCGGTGCTGCGTTGCAGCCCCCTCGTATCCTCATTTGCTCAGCGAATCATGGCAAGGCTGCAAGGCTGCTTTCCGTGCACCAAGCCTCTGCCAAGCGGACTGGCCACATTCACGAGGACTTTGATTGGCTCGCGCAGGAGAAGGCCACGGGTAAGCTTGTAGCAAGGCTTGCCAGTCGTACATGTCTCCTGGTTTGACTAGCGTGCAGTTGGTGTTCGGCGATGTCTCTACGAGGATGGAATGCGAAGTACGAAGGGTGGGGCTGTGTTTCCTTTGCTCAACGGCTTGTGCCCAGCGCCTTTCACTTGTGAAAGTCACGTGGACGAGAATCGACTAGGTTGCTGGAGGACGGACAGCACTATTACTCTGGAAAGAAAAACCAGACATGAAGAGAGAAAAGCTGAAGTGGAGATCCTATATCATCCGTCATCCGATATCCAACGGATGTGGACATGGTATAGCAACCGCGCAATAATATGCAGATCACGAGCGAAACTTGCACGCAAACCTCAGACGTCAACCCAACCGCTCACGCCTATGCCTCGGCGCTTTGCTGGAATATATCTTTCTCATGATGTTTCCATATTGTGGAGTGCGTTCCTCCTTCCAGTACTTTCAGCCTCCCACCACCCAACCGCTCATCGATCCATCTTGCTGTGGCAACGGGCGCGACGGGATCCTTGTCCCCATGCCACAGCCATACTTTTTCACTGTCGATATCTTTCAAATCAAATCCCCAATCTCGACAGGTGATGCTCCCATCTTGAATGAAGCCTCCCTTTCCCTGTTTGAAAGTTTCCAGAAGCCCTGCCACCGCATCATCGAGGTCCGTCTCTCTACTCGGATCCGGTTTTAGGAACTCTTTCTCTTCCGGTGTTTGGCACTGATCCTCTAGCGTACGTTTGAGCCGTGACGGATCCAGGTCGCGATACGGCGAAAGAAGAGATGGTAGGATCATATATCGCGCAGCGAGCTTGACGGCCCAAGGCGTGAAGCCTCCCAAACGCCAGGATAGGTAGGGCGTTGTGTCTAAGAAAGCTTCGATCGGCGCAATACCACACACCACGGTAGTGCCTCGCAGTCGTTCTTTAGGAATGAAACGCGCGCATGCCAGCGCGAAAGGGCCTCCTGCACTACCGCCTACGATACTGAAACGACTGATGTTAAGGTGGTCCGCCACGCTTAGGACGTCTTCAGGCCATTCTTGCAAACTCCGATTAGCTAACGTAGATAGACCGTTACCGGGGCGGTCGATGGTGATTAGGCGGGCGCCGATGTCTTTGCAGAGCTTGTTCCAACTTCGGCCTACGAGTCGACATCCAGGCATGCCATGAAACAAAAAAATGGCTGGATCTGAAGGGCTTGTCGAGCCGTATGTCGCAAAACCAAGGCTACGGCCATCGGGAAGAGTAAGGCTTTTATTTTCCTCAGGCCTCAAAGCAAGCTTGGAAGGATCTGGGGGCGACGAAGGTGGGGGCCTTTCGGTAGAGCCAAATATGCCCATCTTTTGAAATGTTCGAGGGAGTCGTGGGAAAATGAGTGGATGCTTTCAAATTATCTTTATTCAGTTGGCACGGCGGGTTGTACGTGGTGCCGCCATAGGGAAGTATGCAGGAATCTAGGAGTGTATTTGTGAGCCTAAAGTCGCAAAGTATTGCTTTGGTTGGCGTGAACTGACCGGAACGCTGCTGCCTCACGAAATAGAATCGGACCTGCATCGGCAACACGGAGCGCCGGTCTTTGCGAAACATTAATTACTATAGGGAAGGATGACATTTTTTACGGATGTAAGCAACATCCCAACCCTGTTAGGAGACCCAATCAGACTTTCTTCTTGGATTTCTCTCATTTGCAAGCTGACTTGCTCTTTTTTCAACATGCATTGTCCACCGAGTCGTTTATCAGTCAGTCGAAGGCACGATACCGTGCTTCCCGACTTTTTGAAGGTCTTTTACGACTTTCAACCCAAGAGCTACTCGGCACTCAACGAGGTAAGTATGCGAAATTCCTCACATCGATCTGTCGTCGTCCGATAGACTTAGTTTCATGAAAAACGTGCCTTCATTCAAAGTCCCTATTCACAACGAAAAAAACGATGGCATCCACGTACTCATACATCGCTACAACCACATCCAACTTCCCACGACCCAAGCCGAAAAAACCACCCCTTCCACGCCCACTGCGAACAATCCAATCAGCATACCCGGCGTGACCTTCTCCGCTCGCTCCCTTGTCGTCTGACCCAGAAAAGTATACAGCACCGCAGCCGCCACAGCAAGCGTCAGCATGACCACCATCACAGTCAATATCTTAAACGGCGAAAACGCATGCACAAACTGTATCGTCGTAACCTCCCTACTCGGATCCTCCTCCCCATCCGACCTCGCTCGTTCATGAGAATGCCGTTGTCTACGATTACTCGCAGCAACTCTCCTCGCCCAGTGCACCCACGTATACCTCGCGTCCCCCGATATTGGGTTGCGATATAAATCCAGCAGCGCATGCTCCGTGAAGGGCGCGCCCGGATGGCTGAGCGTTGCAAGGCCTCCTCTCGCCGCGAGAAGCATGTCCGCTTCTTCGTGCAGCCCAAGCGGGGTGTATGATCCGCTCCACGCGCTGATTTGGGAGAGGCGGATATATCGTAGTTTTCGTGCGCTGAGGGCGCGTAGGACCCACGGGCCGGCAAGTTTACGATACGCAGCGCGGAGTTCGCCCGCGAAGTGCATGTCGTCGAAATCTGCGGCTAGGTGTCTTAGCTTAGGCTTAAATGTTGGGCTGGGCTGCGGTGTGGTGACGAGGGAGCTTGGGATGGTGAGTTGCTCGAGGCGGTCGGCGACGCGGTGTCTGTTGCGCCGGAGACTGAGCCAGACGATGCTTTCCCTTGCGCTGTTTGTGCTGCGCGCAGAATTCCAGCGTTCATGTTTTGTAGGGGCGTCGGGTGGGGTGCGGATGAGGCCTTGTGCGGAGATGTTGCGCTCGAGTCGGTTGCGAGGGTCGTATGCGGAGTCGTGGGCCATGCCTAGCACGTGGATGCCTTTCTTAGTGGAGTCGTCCAGGGGCGTGATGTATAGGTCTGCGGTGCGGGGCCGGGTCTTCGGTGGGGGGAACTCTTTCTTGGGGCTAAAGGGGTATGGTGTTTTGATGAAGTGGGCTGGTAAATGTGGTGGCCGGTCTGGATCTCCTTTTGTCTGGATGGGGGCGAGCAGTTTGATGTGCCGCTGCTCCGAAAAACTTCTTTGTCTTGATGGATCTGGCAAGGAGGACTGCGGCGCGGGAGGTGAGTTCGGCCGCGAATCTATGGCCTGCAAAGTCGCGTAGTGTGCGTTAAGGAAAGCGTTCATGCGTATGCTTTCTGTTTCCGACGTGATCCTTTGGTGGTGCCTTTGTGTGTCACTAGAGACCCGGAGCAAGATTTCCTCCTCGAGGTTCTGCGACACAGTACGCGATACATTGAGCGGCCGTGGCATAACATCCGATGAAGCATTGCTGAGGATGCTGGAGCGTGGTGAGCTACGGTTATGCACCAGGTTGACCCGACTATATCTCTTAAAGCTCATCTGCCGCGCCTGACCCGGTAGTCTTCGCGTTGGAGCAGTGGAGTCGTCTGTCACAGAGTCGTGCGCAGGGATCTGGTTGAAAGGCGGAAGCGCCGTGAGGTACTCATTCGGTCTCGTTCTCCCTCTTTCCTCCTCCCAGTCTTCACTTCTGGTGCTTTGAAGTGTCGGAGCTGATGCTCTGTTACCCATTCCTTCAATATCACTGAAATTTCGCGTCCCATTGTCGTCTTCCCATTCGGAACCATCGTCGCTGGTAAGCTCGAGAAAGTCGGCTCCTGGCTGATCGCCTGCTGCCATGAGGCTGCCAGTTTCGGGGTGTATCGAATGCGTTCGTCTAGGCGGAGACCCGACAATGCGCGGCGATGATGCTGGACTGGATGAAAGATGTAGGGATGGCGGATGACTGAGGAGTAATCCTGGAGGCGGACTAAGGGGCGTGGAAGGAAGTGGCGGGACAGGATGTTGCTGTAGTCCGCTAGGAACCTTTGGCAACGGAGGTGTGTCCGCCATACCTCTTATGTCCATAGACGAGCACCAAGTGGTTTGATCTTTCTCGATATCGAATGACCAAGCTCTTGTTGAAGGACCACTCGCCGAGCCCCACACTCGCGGATGGCTCAGGACTCCTAGTGGGTTATTGAATTATCCGAATCGCGGCTACTCAATAGTGTTGATGGCGGTGATTGGGAAACAAAGTTTGAGACACGCCAGGTGCAGATGGACAAAGCGATTCAGATTGTACCTTGTCGGCGGTGGCTGCGATCATCAGGTGGTCGATTAATTAGTAAACCATAACAAAGCAGGCATGTACCTGAAATTAGCGGAAATGGCCGCCTACGTCTGTGGAATGCTGTCAATGGTAGAGTAGCGTTGTGGGGTCGAGGACTCACATTCCGCATGCTCACCGTTCGGTAATCAGGTGCTGTGGAACACAAAGTCGTACCGTGGTCGCGGAGGTACAAAGGATGCAGATGTTGGATATTCAAATGGACATGCCGTATTTACAGGAAGACAAAACTATGCTTAGAACCAGTGCCGCTGAAATGGCAGATCATGTACACATCCAAGCGTTCCAATCAACGTCTTCTTCCCAATGCCCCATATCCAGATAACCTTTCCCCAAAACGCCGCAAGAATATAATGCCGTTTGATGATTTGGTCGTTATCGTGCACCCTTGCGAGCCATAGACACAGTCTCAGATCAAAGATTTAGGTAATGCATTGCCCCGCCTAAGTAACACAAAGTACCAAATCTTCGGACGAGGTACAGTGGCGCTACTTACAAAACCATGAAAACGGTAGCAAACAAAGCGACGACCAGGCTAATCGTCGCACTGCCCGTCAACGAAGTGCCTGCACCATGGATGCCCAGAACCTCATCTTGGCGCGCAAAAGTGACGTTCTGGCGGATAGTTTCGTTCAAACATTGCCCATTGGCGATGTCGAGGCCACGCAGATCGTCCGGAACATTGAAGAACATGTAACTCTTGTTATTGAGGCCCTCAAAGCCAGAAGTGTCGTACGGGAACCAGTCGCTGTCATCGGTCGACGAGGTATTACGCAGCAAGATGCACTGCACTTGGTTTGGATGATCGTGCGCGAGTTGCGGGTAGGCTTTCATGACGTCCGAGTTGGAGGTGTCGGCAACAAGCACGAATTTTCGCTTTGGGAAGGTCTCGAAGACCCTGTCAAGTAGGTATTTGCGGATCGACAAGGTAGCACTGACGTCGGAGAAGTTCAGTGGTCGAGTATCGAAAGAGCCGCCAGGGTACGTCTTGAAGATGAAGTCCATATAATTACGCGTGACTTGCTCTGGGGTGGTTGTCAAATAGTGGAAGTGCGTGCTGTTTGGCAGACTCATCGACCAATTGGCATAGATCTCAGGCATGTTCATCCACTGGGTGAAGGGCCTGGCAAAGGAGTTCAGCAAGCCTTCTTTAGGGTCGTAAATCTTCGTAACGCGAAGAATATCGTCGATATCGGAGATAAACGTGATACCCTCGGTCGGTACGAGGTACGCAGTGGCATTTCCAGTGAGTGTGCCGTTGGCGAACACGTTGAGTCGCTGAACATTGTTGGTTTGGTTTCCAGCAAGTAGTCCTCCGCCAGATACGTTTTTGATAGGCACGAACACATCGAAGTCACCCTGAGAGGTAGTTTCATAGGGTAATGTGACGTTCTGAGAGCCACCTGGAGGTGTAATGGCATTGCTGCCGCCGGGCTCGCCGTCACCACCATTTGAAGGAGCAGGCTCAAGGTGCAGCGTGACGTTCTGGTCGCCCTGCTGCACAATAAAGATCTCTTTGGTCAGATTTCTCGCCTGATTCTGCTGGCTCTCAGGCAGATCCTTGAGTTCGACATCGATTAAGAATATGTTCGCCAGATCATCCAGCTTTGATTGTGATATGTTCGGCATCTTGTAGACATTTCCGTGGAAGCGCACATTCCAGCCCTGGTCAGTCCAATTGGCATACGGTGGCACGTTAAGCACCTCGGTCGGCGACGCTTTAAGATCATCATCTTTAATTCCGAGCGACGATTTCACCTGGTCACCGGTGGGCAGATCTTGGAAAAAATTGGGGATGCCTTCCGTGAAGTAGCTGGGCAGGTCGGTGCCTAGGACACTGCCCCAGGAAGCCGCGACGCTGTCTACGCCGTTTTTGATATCGTCCAAGATGTTGCGCTTGTCAACAACATAGCTACGGCCACCTGCAAAGTATATCGGTGCTGGCGTCGTGATAGGGGCGCGTGCTTCGACTGGTACCGGGGCAGCCGTAGGATCCGGGATCGCGACCGCGTTCGCCGCTTTGAATGCGGCAGCGAGCAGCAACGCGTGCTGCGAAGCCTTAATGTACATCCTGCAAGCCTCTACACAATATCAGCAATCAATGACTGGAAATGTAGAGCGAGTGGAGACAGACCTGTAGAAAATGCAGTAAGAATAGGCTCTAAGTAAACCTCAACACCAACACGGAAGTGACAGACGCAAGACGAAAGGAGGACACGCGATGAGGGAAACTAGGGCACGAGGGTAGATGCACGGGTACAAGGATATGATCCGCTTCCCGGTTTTTCAATAACCTCGCCGCCTCGGACTACATGCAGGAACCAAAACACCCCCGTTGACGTCATTCCGCTCATGCATCGGCACCGACGGATCGCCGCTAGCCCCATAAACGGCTAGCCCTCATCTCTTCAAACGGACTATGAGCAGAGTCCAGACCCTTTCTTATTTTGATGCCTTCCACCTCTTCTAGTCGTACTTTTGGTCGCTGGCTTTCGTACGCAATGATTACAGGATTCTCTTTATGCTACACTCTACCTCACTAATAGTTGTAGATGAGCTTGCAATATGGCAATATTCGGCAACGGTCTCACACAGGCAATCGGGTGAACAATGAATACCAAGTCGATGGAAGGGTTGCAAAGCGGATCTCGATAGCAACCGGGTCGTGTAATTGAACGAAGATTCAGTCATGCTCGTGTAGGAAGCATATTGCGACAAGCCATATAGTTCCACGAAAACGAGTTGGCGGGAAGAGATAGCTGCGGGCCGAAGCTAGAAGACGAGTATTTACGAGCAGATTAGAGAGAATCATTCATATGTGGTGTCGTGAGCAAAGCTCGGATTGGCTCTTTAACAGCCTCTCAGTAACATCAAAAGCTCCAAATGTCGCGATTCTTGGACTGCATTACCGGTTGAAAGAAGCTACCATACGTGCCGTCCTTGATACCACGCTCAATACTTGGCAGCGGTTCCCTAAAGACAATCGCTTAGTCCGATCATTGTTAAGCTTTCAACAACTGACCAGAGTGTCACGGTACATCAGATCGCAGATTTCAGAGTGCCAACATTGGTCGCGATGAAGATAGACGTGCGATAGGCTGCAAGGGTCGCGCTGCACTTGCATCGCCGAATAGGGTATAGCAGGCGCAATGCATACATAGTGTGGTGTGGAAGCTGGCGAAAGAAGGCAAGGAGGCAAACTTGCAAAAGTTCACTACAATCTTTAGCCTCGACGAAGAGGTCCGCCAAGAGGGCTGTGATAGGTGAGAGGTATCAGGCTGCACGACATCATTTGATCGCGAAATTGGTGCTTCGGGCCACAAGAACTATCTTGACCGATGAGGCGGATTGAAGTCACACAAGATCCCCAGGTGTGTCTGCTTGACGCACGCTATCGGAAGAGGGGTAATCCATCATCTGTCTATGTACTTATGGCGTTCGCCCATCACTGCCGTATAAGCGTTGTTCTTCAAGCTGCTAGATTGATCTTCTATATACACTTTAGACCAGGCTCTAGCTTGCCAAACCTTCGCAATGCAATTCATATGAACGTCCAAACAACCAGTAAAGCAATGGAGTTTACTCTCCATCCTTGTCGAACATCTTCGTCATCGCCTTCTGCGCCAGCTCCACACCCAGGAACGTCGCCGCATTCGCTGGCACTGCTCTTGCCATCGCAGGTCCAATGCCCGGGAAGAAAGCCTTGTACCCTCCAGCAGCGTAAATCCCTCTTATCGTACCTCCAATAGTCGGCCTTCCCTCCGCGCTCTGCAGCCTCGACTTGATCGTGTCAATAGGGAAGACAGGGATCCACATGGCGATACCCGCAGAACCACCCGCGACCATAACCGCAGAAAGCGACAATTGCCCCGGCTGTCCAGTAACCGGATCCTTGGGCGTCAACTTCCTCTTCACGACCTCGTACGTCGCGAAGTAACACGCAGACCCGGGTCCATCTCTCGCAAGTGTCATCGCGCTTCCTCTAAAGACCGAGCGGATACCGCCTTCCTTGTACAGCTGGCGCACGACATCGACACCGCCGCTGTACTTTGGCTTCTCACCAGGCGCAAGCTGTTTCTGGCCCTGGATTTGGAGCAGCACTTTTACGCGCTCGAAGGGTGCGGTGATAATCGTCATGGGGATCGCAGAGAAGAAACCGGCGGCCGAAACTTGCGCGACGCTGTACTGTCCGTTTTCGACTTTCGAGAAGCTGGAGACTAGTTGTTTTCCGACGTCGTAGCCCCAGAAGGATACCGCGACTGCACTTCCCTATTAGTTTTCATAACTCTTCGAGGATGGGTGGAGATCTTACACATCGGCGTGACGCCCACGAGCGGCGCACTCACACCCGCATACAAGCCCCTTGCGAGCCCTTCCTTCGCAATCGTTCTGCGTACTACGTCCATTGCGCCGCTGTACACGCCCTTCTCGGCGGTTTGTAACCGCACTTTCACGAGGTCGAAAGGGTGCCCCACGACGACGGCAAAGACGCCGCCAACGCCACCTGCGACGAGAGCGCGCAGCGACTGTGCTGACTTCTTGGTCGCCTCTTTGACATCCTCCTTCAGTTCTTCTTTGGAGGGGAGATTTTCTGCTTTGAGCGGGTTCTCGAGTTTGTTCGACATTGCGCGCGTGCTTCCTTCCCTTCTGGCGGTGAATAGACAATGGCAGCAGCAGTCCCCGAGGGTACGTAGACAAAGCGGAAGAAAGCAGGAAAGGCGACCCGAATATCGAAGAGAGAAAAAGCACAAGGTACAAAGGTAAATTTACAATTTACATGTGCTTGCTTGCTCCAGGTCTCCGGAGCTTGGCCCTGACGTCGGGCGGCGCTCGGCTGGCAAAGAACCGAGGCAAAACACGACCGACTGGAGCCCCGCGAAACTAAAACCCGCTTTTTATCAGCCGCATCACGCGGAGAAGCCACGGACCAAGGGCTCGCTCAGCTCAGCACCTTAGCTGGTTGTACAACATTTAGTCTATTCGCATGTTACAGTCTATGATCTATTTTCCAACATTCGTGAACCTCAGGTAGGGCTTCACTTCACGGACATTGTCCTGTCCAAACTTCTTCCTCGCATCCTCCGTGCTCACACTCGGCGGCACAATGACATCGTCCCCACTTGTCCAGTCAATCGGCGTAACAACGCCCTTCTTATCACCCAACTGCAGACTATCGATCACCCTGAGCACCTCGCTCGTATTCCTTCCCGTGCTCGCGGGGTACAGCATCGTCAATCTGATCTTCTTACTCGGGTCGATGATATATACCGCGCGAATCGTGAAAGCAATGCCCTTCTTTGCGATATTGTCCAGGTCGTCTTGCGAGATCATGTCGTAGAGGTAGGCGACTTTACGGTCGGCGTCGGCAATGATTGGGAACGTGACGTTGGTGTTGCACACTTCGTTGATGTCGGAGACCCATTGGTCGTGTTGAGAGAGGTCGTTTGCGCTCAGCCCGATCATCTTCACACCTCTGTTCTCAAACTCCCCCTTCAACTTCGCAAAAGCACCCAGTTCTGTCGTACACACGGGCGTGAAGTCCGCAGGGTGCGAGAACAGAATCGCCCAGCTGCCCTCGATGTACTTGTGAAAGTCAATGTCTCCATGGGTAGTCTTGGCCTGGAAGTTCGGCGCTGTGGTCAAGTCAGTATCACTGTTAGATGGGAATTGTACAAGGCGAGGGTACTTGCCTACGGAGCCTAATCGGAGGCGAGGCTGCTCAGCAACAGGAGGCGTTGCGAATCCGCGGCGGAAGAGGGGAGCTGCTGGGCGCTGAGCGCGGAGCACCGGGCGGGTGGCGAAGCGTAGAGCGCAAGGAGCCGCGCGGGGTAGGAAGGAGGCCATTCTGTATATGTCGACGAAGTGTGGAGTCAAGTTCGAATGTTACTTTGCCATTGAGCGTTCAAAAACTGCATATATTGTTGATGAGTAAGGAAATGAGCGTTTCATCGCGTCATTCTGGAGATCGACCCACCCACAGCTCCTAGCGGGCGCGGTTCCTGACTATCGATAGCGCGCATCCGGGGACGTCTCGGAGCATGCTTCCGGCATTCCGGCAAAGGCCAGCATCACGGTGGACTGTTCCTGCATCACATGAAAAGGTTTAGTCAGGGCTGCGACTTTTCTTCAGATACATTTGATTCGAGTATTGGACCGTGCTAGACACACACCCATCTCTATAAATTCCTAGCATCGCCAACTCCTCCCTGCACCCTCCGAAGAAGGCACACATCGCTCAACGAATCAAACATGGTTCAGATTGGGTATAAACACTTGCACAAAGCAGCAGATGCCTCCCTGCAGCGACATCGCTGGTGCAAAGTCGAGGCTCGATCCGCACGAATAGAAGTTATGAGTATGAAGCTAAGAACGACCATTACCGCCGTTCGCCGACAGTAAGTGTTTTGAAAAAGGAAACAAAGGGAATTGAAATGCCATGACCGTGCCGTAGCTCATGAAGGACGTTACAATGCTTGGCCGGGAATGGGCTTCCGGGCCGGCATCTGGATGGGAGCGTTGGGGTTGACGTTGGGGTTCATGGGGCTGGGGCCAGGCGGCGACCCACGTCGGCTAATCTGGCTCGCAGAGTTTGCGCGCGGTCGGCCCATTTGTGGAGGAGGAGCCATCTGAGGTCCTCCGCCGTAAGGGCCGGGGGACATGGAGCGAGGTTGTTGGGCGTAGGGCGCGTTGCTGTTCGACCGGCCACGTCCTTGAGGAGGTGACATCTGACGAGGTCCTGGGCTCCCCGAGCGAGGAGCCGGAGACATGCGGCCGCTGGCAGGAGAAAGAGAGGTCGGATGAGGAGACGAGCGTCCGTTGCTGGCGGGTGAAAGAGGACGCGGCTGGGGAACACCTGCGTGGCCCTTGGGAGGGCCGTTAGGCCCATTCGGTGGCGGTCCCCGCGTGTTGCGAGGGGGTCCTTGAGGGCCATTGCGGGGAGGTCCTTGACGGGGTTTGACGGCATGCTTAGAGAGACATGTGCGTGGAACAACACCTTGCTGAGAGCGGTCTAGACGGACACACAGCGCCCAGCCATCATCGTATTCGTGAAGCATGCGAACCAGTTGACCTGCGCGAAGTTCGAGTTCATCACCCATGGAGGGCTTGAAGTCAAGCTGGATACGGTGGACGTTATTCGGACCAGCAGTTGCGCCACCACCAGCAGCGACGGGCAAAGGTCCAGAGGGAGCAGGTCCAGGAGAAGCAGGAATGTCGTCAGTCCAAGCGGGGCTCGGAGGAACATTATCAGCTTTAACGGCGGGAGGACTAGGAAGAGGAGCCGTGACAGGTGCCTTCTCAGCGGCGGCAATAGCAGGAGCAGGGTTGCCGAAGTCCGCGCTTGGGGCTGGGGAGTGATTGAAGTTCATTGGACTTGCAGGTGCAGAAGCTTGTTGAGTCTCAATGGCCGCATTGTTGCCGAAAGGATCCTGCGGAGGGCTGCTTGAGCGCGCTTGCGGGTCGTTGAAAGGATTGACGGGAGCGGTACTGGCATTGGAAGCCCCAAGTCGCTCCCAGGAGCTGCCTGGACGGTCTGGTGAGGGTGAGCGGTTACCGGCGGCTGCGCCAGCTCCAGCTCCAAGTGCGGCGGCACCGAGCAGGTTGGCGCCACTCTTGCGGTTCGGGAACGTAGGATCGAACTGGGTGACGGGTCGGAGGCTTAGGCGAGGCGCGTTCGTTTGTGTCCTGATGCTGGGAGTAGACTCCTTTGCAAGTGGCGGCGGAGGCATGTTACGCATAGAGGTGGCTTTCTCGTTGTCCACTTGCGAAGCAGCGGCGGCTCTCTCCTTCTTCTTGCGGTGAGCGATGAAGAGAATAGCACCCAAGAGAGCCCCGATACCGACGAGGATACCCAACGCAAGACCAGCCTTAGCGCCTGCAGACATGCCACTTGACGCAGCTTCAGCGGAAGAAGTGGCCGAGGCGGCTGCTGAAGTGACGCCAGCTGCAACAGTGCCAATGATAGAGGATGCAGTGACCTCTGGCGAAGCAGACGTGTCAATCTGCAGTGACGTTTGCGCATGGCTGACGCTGGCGCTGACACTGGCACTGCTATGCGAAGTCACTTCGGCAGTGCGGCTGCTCTGCTTGGCCGTCGAAGTTGGTGTTGCTTTCGCAGTTTCCTCCTCTTCTGATGAACTTGATCGTGTGCGAACAGCAGGCTCTGCAAGAGTCCTTGTCTGCTGTACCGCGCCCCCAACGGCGCTCTTAGCGTTGCTCTCGCTCACGGTCACCATGACTACGCTCTGGGTAGCTGCGAAGGTGTTTGGCATAGTAACAAATACTGTCTCCTCAACGGGATCATCCTCTTCCTGCTCTTGGAAAAAGTTATGGCGCTGGCGGCGCTCGAGGTGCCTTAGTCCATGCTGATGGTGCACCATTTTGACAATGACTGCCTTTCAATCCAACAATAGGCGCAGATGGTCGTCCACAAAGGGGTTGTCTTTCTGGCGAACAATGGTCGGTATCGAATCGGGAAGGCGCGCACAATTAGTGTATTATTTCGCAGTATTCGACGAATGTCGATATATACAGGCGCAGTTGGCGAGGTCCAAGGGAGGCCGGAAGACTTTGCGGAATGTGGCGGTCCAGAATTCGGGGTTGGCGCTCGCGGAATGTAGGTGTATGTACTATGTATGTACGGGCGTGTGGGCGCAAACTAGGCACTAAACATAAGGAGTGTGGGTATTAAGGTGAAGGGAGTGACTGCGAGGGCTGCGCTCGATGAACGAAGGGCGAACGACAGCCGGGTCGCGTGGTGTTGTGAGGAGTGACGGGAAAGGCGGAGAGAGGCGAGAGGTGGTGAGAGGGCAATGGCACTGGCGGCAGAGAACAGCAGGGCCTGAGAAACGCGGCCACGACGGCAGACAGCAAGCGGCCAAACGAATCAACCAGCTTGCCGCGAGGCACACTGCTTCGTCCATCCTGTGGCCCGTGCCATCCCGCACATCATTTCGCCATTCACGCAGGGCTCAGGCACAAAACTGCTGTGATTCGCTCAGATATCCAATTTCCCGCTGCCAGATGAGCCTTGCTATTTTAGCCCAGTCTAACCCCCGAGCGGACCACGACCCCCCTGATTGACTGTGTTTCTGCTCCACGCGCTGAGGCTGGGGCCAAACACGCCGAACGATAATGGCACCAGTTGTGCACGACAGCTGTTTATCACAACCCAGCACCGTGCCTCAGAGTCGCACAACGAGAACACCACCTGCTCGATACTCGTACAGCAGCCCAGCCGCACACGGGAGAACACGCAGTCAGCACGGTTTGACAGATATGAGTGGCTGCGTCACTCATGGCAAAGCCTTCGTTAATTCCCGCGCCGCCATGCAGTTCATGGACAAGCGGCAGAGATCGTATTCGCCCCCAGAACTGGACCACACATCCGAGAAGGGTAGGCGGAGTGATGCTCGTAATTTGGCGCATCCTGCTGGTGTGTGGCATCATTTAATCGATAAGATGGCTGCGTCGGGTGGAGCGACGGCGAAGTGTCGGCTTCGTTCCTAGCACTATTTGAGCATGGCGAGAATATGGTCGCATGTAGCGTAAAAGTACGGGGGCGAAGAAGCTTTGGTACACTAAATCATGTAGAACGCCTTGGTGCCTTGGAAAAGCCCCGTCCAAGCTGGACACACTGGTCGAGCACTCAAAGTGCTGCTCCAGCGCCTTACACCCTTCTAGACGTCTGGGTACATGGGGTGGTGCTGCTAAATTTATTGACGTTGACAGTTGATGAAGTATACAAAGCGCAGTCAATCTGCTACTTGCGCCTCTCGTGTCGAATTTGCAGACCGGTCAAAGCTCGTTTGACATTCAGGTTTCTACATTTCGAACACTTCCTATTATATTACAGGATACCGTAAACTATTATGAATCTCAAAGCTTTGAGCCTAATATTGTCTGGCCAACGTTCACGCTTACGCTACACTCGCGCGCCGCAATCCAAGCTCATAGAATATTACCCAACATTTGAACAATCCATCACCTCAAACCCTACGCCCCATTGACGCCGTCTACATTCAACGCGGCCATCCCATCTAGAAGCCCATGCTCTTTCAGTAGCCCATTGTATCGTTCCTGCTTCACGTGCACCACTTGCCTCGCGCCTTCCGCTCCTACGACGGGCAGCTTCTTCAGTCCCTGACTCTTCAAGTTCTTCGGCACGACCTTCGGATCGAGCAGTCCAACCTGCACCAGCACACTGGCCTGATCCCAATACATGTGCTCATTTACGAGCTTCCCACCTCTTACACCCACTATACTGACCATCGCGATTTCCACACGCTTATTCGTCGGCGGCACTCCAGGTAATATCCAATCCACATCATCCGAATGCGTAAACGACACGAACATCTCGTCCACCACGCGATCCACACCAACCGTCCTACTCAAAAGCCGGATCTCAAAGTCCTCCACCAAACTCGGGATGAAAAACTCGCGGTAGAACTCCTCTAAATTCTTCTTCCCCACGCCGCCCTCCAGCGTCGGTACAATAGTAACATTCGCGCTGTTCTGACTCATCCCCTGCACCACGCTCATGCTGCCTCGCTCAGGGACCTGCTCCTCATACTTCGCGTTCCACGCAGCTTGCGCCACAGACTCAATGTCTCCCTCTATCTTGAAGGCTTTCCTCGCGCATGCGAACGCCCGGCTGAACGCTAGCTCTGCTTCCACATGCTCATATGTCTTCGAGTCCGGCTCTGCGAACCCAATCTTGCACTTCTCATACCGGTATAACCACCAATCGCACATCTCCGGCCGAGGACTGTTCTGCTGCCCACTCACATGTATCTGCACGCGCAGCTGACTTGGGTACATATGGCCCGCGTTCGGCAACACGCTGGGATAGAACGCAATGACCCCACAGCATCTCGGCATGGGCTTCTGCGCCGTCTTTAAAACGATGGTCGCGGCGTCGCCGTATGCGAGGATGACGTAATATTCACCGAGAAGTAGGTCCTTGTGCAGGTTCTTGAGGGTCGAGATGTATGTCGGCTGCTGCGACACATCGAAAGGGAGGTATGTCGTTTCGAAGCCTTCGGCTTGCCAGGCGAGGAGTGTGGTTTCGGGCGCATGGGCCCTTGATGCTGTGATGAACAGGCGTGGTGGGCGTGAGTTGAACGAGAGGAAGCCAGTAGTTGTGCCGCTTGAGGAGGCCTTTGCGGACATGCTGGCTGTTTCGCTGTCTGCTCGCCTGTTCGGTGATTGAGGTTTGGATCTAGAGACCAGAGGTGAATGCGATTCCGTCGTGCGCCCCGTCTGGGCTTCAGCCGTACCAGCAGCAGTGTGGAAGCCGCAAGTTCATGGCTTGCATGCTTCTTGGAAACTTGCGCTTATATCACGCCCAATCCCTGCCACAAGGTCTTCGCATCCAATATATTGAAGTTCCGGAGACGCTTGCGGCTTTGTGCGATCACCGACGCCATGTGTGACATCATCTCCCTTTTGAGACCGTGCAAGCTTCGGGACGAGTCCCCGTTGCTTGTCTCCTTCCACAAGTGTCGACCTGAGAAACTAGGCGTGTCATCCGCTCGCTTCCGTCGCGACCCCACAATGATAAAAACTGGACCCTGATTTTTTTTCTTGGACAGCACTGCGAAAATTCCATAGGAATTATTTTTCTACGGCTATATAACCTTAAACGGTGACAATGTGAGCAAGTAACAACCTGAAGCCCGCTTGGCTCAGTGGTAGAGCGTATCACTAGTAGCCGTCCAAGCACATGATAAGGTCATCAGTTCGATTCTGATAGTGGGCATGGCTTGATGGTTGTTGAATTTTTGTCCTCCGAGAAATAGAAGAGTATTGTTTTGGCAATGGGGATATAAGAAAAGATTAATCTTGGTGACAGCCTTTTTCACGTTCCAATGTGGAGGTACCAGTCTCCTGATTTTTGGTGGGTGACACGTTCATGCTTTTTTTTTTGGCGACAGCTAGATGTTTGATGACCGATTTGGAATGTATTGACCGACTGAAATAGGACCGACTGGAATATATGGACCGATTGGAATATATTGACCGAGTGGAATATTTTGACCGAGTGGATTATTTTGACCGAGTGGAATATACAAACTCGTCATGTCCAACAACTGTCACACAAATCCCGGCATTGCCTATGCATATGTGGCTATCATTATACCCAGGACGCTCAATCCTGCCTCTACCTATTCCTCGTTCCCCCAATCCAATGTGCCTCCCCACTCTTCGCGTCATCCCACACATTCCTCATGCCCATTCCATTCCTCACTTTGTCTTCGCTCTCCACCACCTTTAGCGGTAGATCCTTTCCTATGCCACACAGCACGAACAGCGCCCACTTCCACCTAAACGGATTAATCGCAATGGTAAAGACAAACCAGTAGATTAGCTCCGAGTACGTGAAGAATTCGAACGCGCCGCCCGGCGCCTTGGCTTTGATGAAGCGCGTCATGTCGATCCAGCGCTTCATCCACCAGGGGCGTGGGCGCGCAAGCGGGTCCACGAGGTACATCAGAAGGAAGCGCGTGTAGATGCCGATGTGGTAGTTTCCCACTGTGCCGATCGCATTCACATATGTGCAGTTATTACAACAGATATCTGGATGTTCCGGAGGAAAGACTTGCAGGTACCAGTTTGGCGGCTCGTAGGGCTCGGTGAAGACTTCTTCTGGAAGGAATTTCAGAGAGGGACGCTTGTAGCCTGTTGCCATGATGACAATGTCGGCTTCGATGAGCTTTTCGGTGCCGGGGCCATTCTTGGGGACGCCTTGAGACCGCTTGTTGAATTTGATGCCGGAACCGGATTCGTCGTATCCGAGAATATCGCCTCGAAGCCAGGATGCTTTGCCGCTGCGGACTAGGTCGAGAACGTCGTCGTTTACCATAGGAGTTTCGGTGAAGAGGCCCTTGCCGCTGTTGCGGGGTGGCGAGATATCATATAGGTCGCGGTAGAAGAAGAGTCGGAGGATGTTCTCTGGTATCCAGGAGAAGATCGTCTCGCTTCCGAGGACGTTCATGGCGAGAAGTCCATTGATGAGCGGGTTTCGAGGGATAATCCATTTTTCGCTACGGGCTAGCACATATGAGTGCTTTGCTTCTTCGTGGGCGACGAACTCAAGGGCTTCAACTGCGGAGGCGCCGCCGCCTATGATGGCGACTGTCTTGCCCTTAGCGGATTTGCCGTCGAGCTGTGATGAGTGCCATATCTCGCCCTTGAAGTGCTCTTGTCCTGGCAGAGTGGGCATCTTCGCGTCGCCACATGTTCCAACGGCGGCGATTATACCGTCGAAGCGGCCGAGAGAGGGGTCATTCAAGATCCACCGGCCGTGCGGATCTTTGTACACCTTTTCAATGCGCGTGTCGAAGGTCGTTTTGTCTTCAAGACCATAACGATGCCAGAGGTCTGTGATCTGCGAAACGATTTGTTTACGGTCGGGGTATCCTTTCTTCCATTGGACACTAGGATGAAATCTATACATAATGGAGTGGATCTGGAGGCCGGAGGTATTGTTCACTCGCTGGAGAGGGTTCAGCATTGTGGGTATGATAAAGCGGTGGGTGGCTTACACTCCAGATTCCACCCAGATTCTCCTTGGGGCCCGCTTCGAAAATGCGGCAGTCGAAGCCATGGCCTACGATGTGGGATGCTGCAGATACGCCCGTGAGACCAGCTCCAATAACAGCAATTTTAGGTCGCTTCAAGTTTGCGCGCGGAGGGGGCGGGGTTGGTGATAGGACCTTGTCGAGGACCCATTGGAGGAGTTCGTAGATGAAGAGGATGGGACTCTGTATGAGATACTGGAGGAAACTTTGGAGGCCCATCGTGGATGGACGGACTGCCTTGTTCCTTGGTTGCTCTCTGCAGCTACAGGCTGAGAAATGAAGAACCTTTTATACGGTAATCATAAGCAAGATCCGGCCACCAGCGGAAGGCCAGCATTTCAAGTGATGTTGTTGCAGATGGACCCGCACTGATGTAATGGTCACGTCTGGCATGTGAAAGGGCGTTGACACTGCCCTGTCGATCTAGCGATCCGACGCACGACGCGCTAGAGGTTTAAGCTTCACGCGTGGGGGAAGCTTCAATGCACGCGCTAATGCGGTCAACCACTGCTCACCAACAGCAACACCTCCACCCAGCCAGCCGATTGACATGTCCCGCCAACTCGTGGCTACATTCTGCCACGAGGTCAATTCCGCTATCAGGAACGAAGACGCTCTCAAGATACGCTCAATCCTCGTGCTCGAACCGCCCTTCGCCAATCCCATCTACTACGAGCTCATTGAAGAGCTTCGCAACGAGTACCCCGCAGACGACGATGGGTCCGAGGACAGACTGGAAGAGGTGATAAAAGCTGCAGTCACCGAAACTGGTGAGGGTCAAGATGAGGAGGGCCGGCCCGTTCAGAGCTGGCATCACATGGTTGTCTTTCTGGCTGGATGGCTCACCTTCATTCGCGATGTCGACACGTCGCAGCTGCTCAAGGCATACCAGGCAATGAGCGACGTCCAATCTAAGGGAAATACGGCTCTGCAACATCCCATCAAAGGCATACTCGTCCTGCCGACCCTCATCGGCTATGCCCAGATCTTCGCACGCTTAGCTGTCGCCCTCGATAGGCAACCTGAGCTCGCCCAACATGTAATCGCCGCTTCGGAAGGCAAGGAGGGCGAATCGCTAGCGGAGAAAGCTGCAAACGTGGTTCGTCAAGGCTTCCTCACATGCCTGAGCGACAGGAACACGGTACCGGGTGGAATAAAGGATGGCAGGCCCGACGGCAAGAAGATCGGCGTGTACAAGATGGCCAACGTGTGCCTCAAGATCTTGTTCCAGTCAAACAAGCTCGACAATTGTTCCATGATTTTTAAAAACATCGACGCGGCGTCTCCGCCATTGCACTTCTACCCTGCTGGGGACAGAGTTACATACCTCTACTACCTCGGCCGCTACCACTTCATCTCCAACAACTTCTACCAGGCTCAAATGGTACTACAGCAGGCATATACCGATACCCCAACGCACGAGAACTTTATGAAGCAGCGGCGTTTGATTCTCCTGTACCTTTTGGTTGCTAACCTGATTCTTGGACGCTTTCCATCCGAAAGGGTATACTCCCGACCAGAAGCCATGTTCTTTCGCGAAATATTCCAGCCGATAACCCAAGCAATCCAGAAAGGAAATCTGGAGGCATTCCAACGAATGATGAACCTTGATTTATCGTGGGAGTATGCGGCCAAGCTATGTCGATGGAAGGTGTTTTACCAGATCGGCAACTGCTGCGAGATTCTGGTATACAGGAGCTTGTATCGCAGAGTGTTTCTCCTCGCGGGAAAGCAACCAGGCCCAATGGACAGAGCACCACCAAGCCTAGATCTCAATGCAGTCGTTGTCGCAGCAGCATACCTTGAGACGCGAGCCAGCGCATCACAAGCTAAGACACATTCCAATGGGTGGTCATTCAGCAACCAAGGCCTCCCCACGCCACCTTCGTATGTCGACCCTGACTTCGAAGGTATGCAAGGCGTCGCACCTTATTTTCACCAGTTCGACATCCAAGAAATAGAGGGCCTTTGCGCCTCGTTGATCTTGGAAGGGTTGATTTCCGGTTACATCAGCCCCAAGCTAAAAAAGCTGGCTATCTTAGGCACGAAGAAAGCGGGGAGCCCTGTGAAAGCTGGCTTCCCAAATCTTTGGCAGGTGCTGTCGACAAAGAAGAGAGAACAAGCTGGTGGGGACGGTGTGGAGGGTTGGGTGAAGACACAGCAGGCGGGTGGCGGGAAGGTGGTCAGACTTGCAAGTGCGCGCCCAGCAGGGTCTTGAAGAGTCTTCACCTACGCGATTTTCTTTACGAGCAAGACCTACATCAATACTGTGATGGGCGCCCGAGGGAATGATGAGCGGCGGAGACCTTCGCATTTTTCCGTTCAGCTTGGACCTGAAGATACTCCTCGAAGGCTAAGAGCGTCCGATATAATCGCTTCCTGATCGCGCCGTTGGACCGTGCAGCTGATCTCAGACCACATGAGATCTTGAGACGCGAGTGTCCTTTATGAACACCGCCAGAGGAGATGTGTGTACTAGATTCGCACGATTTGGCAACGAGTCGACGGTAACGAAGGGCGATGGAAAATGCACGTAGACATGCGCGCAACAAATCACTCGCTGAGAACACGAACAAGGGAGTACTTTGTTCTTCTCCGGTTAATGAACGTCCTATTACACTACTCCCACGGGGCAATACTCTGTCCCGAACACCACCATAGCGTCATGCCCGTTATTGATAACTTTACACTCCATCGTTCAACTAAGCGAACGTCGTACCGCCCTTCTTTCCTTTCCTCTTCCTGGTCTTCTTCGATGGAGCATTCGTTCCAATCACACCCTCCAGAATCGGAGACGCGACCTCCGCTGGGGGAGAAGCGATTTCCTCATCCTCCACCATCTTCTCATCACTCTCCACAGGCTCGATGGGCTCAGACTCCTCCGCCTGAACGACCGAGTCGTGCCTCGCATGACTCGGCGGCTTGCCCATACTTTGATACGTCTTGCTGTTCTTGAAGTCGAGCTCGTCTGTGACAGACTCAGGTGCTGGGGGCGACATAGGGGTCTCAGGTCGATGTTCGGGTGAGTCGGGAATAGTAGGCTCAATGTCATCGAGCTGGACGTCATCCTCTTTATCGCCGTCAACGGTCGCAGTGCTGGGCTGCTCTTCCCGTTCCTCCTCAGCAACCGGCTCTGGGGGCGCAGAGTCATCCACGACGTCCTCACCATCTCCCTCAGCCGCCTTGCTCTGCTCGCCACCTCCTTCTTCTATGTCCATAGGCGGATCATCACCCCCGCCCGTTCCCCCCGAATATGTATTCACAATCGCCGTCATAACAACCTGCCTAAACTTCCTATCCCCCTCAATCTGATCCACAAACTCCGGCTTGACAATCAGCCCCGGATTCCGCCCCACAGCGCTCTTAATAACCCCCTCGAGATAACTCGGAAACCACGTTTCGTCGTCCGGCAGGATAGGAAACGCGTGCTCCCGCGCCACGCCCAGCACGTCGAAGATACTCAGCTCGCGCCCTCCAGAGGTGATCTTCTCCTGCGCTAGCTCCGCCAGACCGGGGATCTTGTACCGCACAGCCGCGCAGTAAACACACGCTGCTAATTTATACGCTGCCACCCCGTCCTCCCCTTTCCCTTTCTCCCCCAGCCATTCTAGCGCCTCGTACCGCCCTGTGTACAGGAACGCTACAACAGTGTGCGCAGTCACGGCATCGAGTTCCGGCAACGCGACCGTGTCGTGCGTCTTCTCTCCCCAGAGCTTGAGCGCAGGCTTGGAGGCGAGCTCAGGAGATTGCGCGAGGACAGAGCGGTGAATGCGGTACCGTATTTTAGCGAGGCCGACGTCGAGAGCTATGATCTCCGAGTCTGTATATCGTCTGCGTGCGTCAGCGATCCGTACGTGCAACGAGGGAAGGGGAGGGGAGGTGCAAATACGATTTCGCATAGAAGTCAGGCAAGTCGGCAGTCTTGGAGTCAGGCTGTATGTCGACGATGTGGCCCGACTCGGAGCCACGCACCGATAACACGGTGGAAGAGTCGTCGTGGAGAGACATTGTGTGCTCCGTCTTCCACATGGCTACCTACTTCGTCGGGGACACCACGACCGGCTGGCTGTCTAGATCTTCCAGCTACCGCTTTCAACCCCGCATTATATACACGCGGCCTGCAGAATGAGGCTCAAAGTCACTGCGTTGTTCATTCGAAGGTTTATGAATGTATGCATGCCGTATGAGTTGGCAATTGCACGAGAGTCTCAGCCTGGTGGGTGAGGAGCTGTGGTTCGTCAGCCTTGTGTCCTGCGCTGCAAGCCCCCTCATGGTGTAGATGGTATCGGCCAATCAGCCAAAGTGGTCGTCTGACCGGTCAACATCGGGCGAGTAAGGGATCGCATTGGAGGACCGGGCCGTTTACCTGTGCCCGAAGTCCTTGGACGAGTTGGCTCAGGTTCAAGGATATGATGAGCTCACCACGTACACCTGCATGTTGATAGAGGGTGCACGTAAAGCAAGACAGGAAGGGGTTTTAAAGAAATCTATTTGAGTTGGAAGCTTCGTAGTTGGATTTTGTATTATATTGCAAATGGTGATCTCCCATTAGATGAACCCAGAGACGGCATAATGTCAAAGATCTCAGGCAAAACCAAGTAGATCGTCCCTCCAATATTGTCCTGAATCTGCAATCACCCTTCCTTTAGAGGAGTTGAAAAGACATACTGCGCAACCCCGACGCTTCCGTACTTATGCAATGCACAGCTTGTCAACGTATCAGTTGACCATCTCGTCCAATTCACTAAGCGAACTTCCTCCGCTTGATAGGCGAAGCTGGCGGCGTCAGAAGCCCTGAGCTCGACTTCGTACCGACAGTCAACGCTCCCTCCTCGATCATTTTTGAGAAGCTGCGCAGCACGGCTAAGCATACGATGGCATTTTGCATCAGTTCCTCCTCGGCCTCGGGGCTTCGCAGGATGGCAGGCAGCCGTGCTTGGACATATCGGATGATGCTTGCGCGCAAGCCGCAGTCTCGCTCCGGAATGTCGTCGAGCGCGAAATTTGCCAGATCCATAATGAGCCCAGCATCGTGCAGGAAGGGGAGGCGGTCGAGAAAGGCGCATGCAGCGCGACGCTTGATGGTATCAAGACCATACTGGATGTGTGAGCTCCTCCATTCGTTCGTGTACATCATGAAGACAACTCACTTTGTCCGCTGCAACGAAGAGCGACAGTAGCGTGTTCATGGTAGCCTCTTTCTTGATGGTCGGTTCAAGTGCGAAGGTAGTAAAGACCGAGCCAGTGTTGGTGTTCTGGACCCCATATATCTCCATCAGAAGAGCCTCGACAGTTGTTGCGTCTTCCTCAAGTTGGATGCAACCGGCCGTGCTCTCCTATCTGTCGTTAGCATCACTCCTGGAAGCATGGGTAAGGAGGCCATGACGTACCATGAAGCCTGGCTTGCACGCATTCTTGAAGAATTGCGACCGTAAACACAGGCTGGGACACGTTGTTAGAGAAGACTTCTGAACTAGGTCAACAAGCTTACACGACTCGATGGACATTGAAGGATCTGCTGCCAGTCGTCACAACGAAGTCGGAAATGTCGTCCGCTCTCCACAGCCTGTTTAATGTTAAGTCGAGCCTTGAGACGGGTCCATGTATCAGGCTCACCTGCTCATCTCGATCATAGGATCCGCCGCTGTAGACCAGACAAAGTTTGGCTGCGCACAATACGTGGGTAGCTGCGTGATGCGAAAACTGTCTTTCGTGAAGACATTGATTCTGATGGATTCAGCTGACTGTTCATCATCCCAAGAAAAGCACAACTTACGCAGGTGCCTCGTAAAACGTCAACACGTTAGTTGCCAGAGCTTTCAGCGCTGCAACGAAGCATTGAGCATCGTTGACATCCTCAAACTCAAGATTCATCTGGTAGTTTAGTAATTATAAGCAGACCTTCAATGCTGCACCGCCTTGACCACTTGATCGTGTGCAAATTGCGAGCACCCAGGAAGCCTTGAAGTGAATCGACTCGTCGTTGTCAGCTTGTGCCATGATGGAAGTGGAATCTTCGAGCGGATAGAGAAGTCCAAACTCGGCGTTGCTACGATCGAGTTGTAGTTCGCTGTTGCTAGAGGAAACAAAGTCGGCCGTGGAGACAATGGACATCATGTCGCAGCGAGTGAGCCTTTTGAGCGGCTAGACGGTAGGAGACTGCTCCGGCGGAGCTAGGTCGACGGTATACGCCATGGGCCCCGACGTTCGCACGCGATTAGTAAAGAGGTAAGAGCGAAGGAGTTGTCAGAAGGCATCTAGCGCTGCTGAAGCTCTGCTCTGTACCTATATCTCATCTCGCTTATCGGACGCTTGCCAGCGGTGAACACTCAAGCAGGCGATGAATATGAACGATGAAAGTGAAGGGCCATCATTTGTGATGATAGTGAAGTGAAGCGAAGTGTAATGGGATGTTGACACGGTCCGAGCCAGGAAACGCAAACGTCTTCGCCCTTTCCTGTAATTTTCACTTCACTGAATTTGTATCTCTGACGGAAGGAACGATCCTAAGAATTGACCAATGCAACCGTGGAAATGACGTACTGATACATGCCTTTTTGTGCTGTTCTTACACACCTCACCATCCCCCACTCGCCTTGCGCTTCCTCAATTGAACCCATAAATCCCCCCTTGCTCCTGAAACTTAAGCTGATAGTCCCTAACATCAGCCCAAGCCCTGAGCTCCGCTTCCTCGTCCACCGGACCCGCACTCGGATCCGACCCCTCGGGATTAACCCGCTCAAGCTTACTCAGTATATCCAAAAACTTGTACAGGTAATCTTGATGCTGCAGCGCGACCGAGCCTTTTCGCTCCTTGGGTATCTCGAGGAGGGTGCTGGCTATGCTGCGGATCTTCTGCGTGAAGGAATCGCCGTTCGGCTCCATGTTGACCATGTCGATGCTGCCGAGAACGACGAGCAGGTCTTTGACGACTTGCTCGCGCTCTTCGCTCATGCGTTTCTCTAGTTCTTCCGCTTCGATTGTGGAGCTGGAAATCAGCCGGTCAAGACCGGTGATTGGTGCGCTGGGGGAGCTCTGGAGTGCGGCTTGCGTCCTCGCGTTATTGCTCTTATCCAGCAGCGCGAAGTATTTCTCCACGAGGTACGACCGTATACTGAGATGGGAACCATAGATGTTTGCTTTCTGGATCTCGTACTGCATCGTGCGACGGGCTTCGACTAAGTCTGGATTGCCTAGGTTGTTCAGATTTGGATCTCGCATGCCCATGTATTCTGGCATAGGGGGATAGTATGGTTGGCGTCGCTGAGTAAGACCCCCATCCTGCGGTTTCTTTTGCACTTGGAGAACCGAAGGAATGTTAGCAAGGACCTCCTTGCAGCGCTGCAGGCATTGGTCCAGCATTCGCTGCTGCTGGTCCCAGTCGTAGAGCTCATCGATGCCATATGCCATTTCCGAAGTTGATAGTGCCGCATAGGAGTTGTAGACACGGACATTAAGGTTGAAGCCCGTGATTTCGGAGACCACCTCTGGAGGTTGCGGTCGGATTTCGTGAGGAAAGATGCATGCGTCATCCACTTCCAGTGGTAGTGGAGGAAGCTGTTCAGTTGGCGTTGAAGGTAGCATAGTGAGTTCACCGAAGGAAGCTCCTAGCTGCTGCATATTCCTATTGTGGTAGTAAGCAAAGGTGTAGATGAAGAATGTAATGGACTTACCGCACGCCCACAAAAAGCGTATAGAATACCCGTCGACCAATCTGCTCGGTGATGTAGTCTAGCGGAGCATCCCGTGAGCCCTCGAATTTAGGTCCTGACGAACCTGTTGCCTCCGGCAATTGACCAAGATAAGTATAGCCCTGCTCTTTTGCCTTGTGCAATCCCAAAGAGCGAAGGATAGTCTGACACTCGCCAAGATACAACCGTAGCTGTCGCCATCGGAAAGTATAACCACCCGCCAACCCTAGGAAGTAGCTTGTGCACGCATCATAAACGTTTAAGCTAGGCTTATCCAGATACCCTGGCCCGCGTGCCTGTGCGCAAATCTCCCTGCATCTATCAATGAGTGCAAGGTGGTTGGGGAAGAATTCCCGCGTCTGGTGCTTGAGATGTAGCCTCGGTTTTCGCGGGAACGAAGCCACCAAAGCTGCAATCATGGAAGCTAGTAAAGCTAGGAAGGAATCGTTTCCGCAGTCTTCGCGGTTGTTCCATGCTTCTCGGAAGGACGGCTCGTGAGGGAAAGGACATAGTGGATGTATGTAGGTGAAGAAGTCGTCTATCAGGCTGTTCATGATTGGGAGGGAGCATATCGATTCGGCGGTTGGTTTAGGGTGAGCTGGAGCGGCGAGCTGGGCAAGCGCATGTGCGGCATTGGTGGGCGACGACGCTTGGTGAGGCTGTGCTGGATCGATCTCTACGTCGCCAAACCGTCGCTTCTTCTTAATGGCTTCGGCATGGCGGTTAGGAGGGCCGCGACGACGGCTTGGTCGTTCAAAGGTGCAAGGGATGTCGAGGGCGGCGCAAGCGCGGCATGGAGGTCCTGATTCATCGCACTGCGCACATTGTTAGCCAGCGGAAGACGGAGTGTTAGGCGACTGTACCTTTACTTTGCGGATACTGCATGAGTCGCAGGCCTTGCGCAAACGGTTTGTCTTCGCTCCCGCGTCCTGGCTGTGGTTGAGCATAGGCGAATCGTGTACACTGAGCGGACTCAGGCCTGCGACGGCGCCCTGCCCAGTCGGTGTTCCTAACTGTGGTCTTTGATCGGTGCCCAGGGCATGGTTCGCCTGTTGCTGCAGCTGCAGCACATCGTTCAGGTGCTCGACCTTGGGGTAGATGTCCTGCGGGTAGGGCTGCAGGCGCTGCTGCTGCTGTGGTCCAGGGCCCAGCAGCTCATGGCTTGGTTGCGACGGCGGCGCAGGGTATATGGGCGTGTAGTGGGGTTCCTCGGAGCCTGGCGGGGGAGGATACTGAGACGACATGATGCGCGCGGCTTTGCAGGCGTGCTGCTCGCGCCGATGATCTACCGTTTACCGTGGGAGGCGTGGCGGCCAGGACGCGACTGGAGGCCTGTCACTTCTTGTCTAGCCCAGGAAGCGAGGGTTCGGAGGACTGTTCAACGACTCGCTTTGCCTGCTGTCGCCGGAAGTCGATCGTGGTGACGTTTGCAGTCGACCCACTGCCACATACAAAGAAGGTCCTTCGATTACAAACTCGGCCGTGATGCGTTGACAGACGCGCTCCGCGTCACGGGCACAGGCCAAGCTCCGAACTACTCGTACAGCGTATAGCCCGGTGATGGGGCTTGAGCTTTCTATAATACTTGTTGTCTAGACAATGTCGCCGGTATCGTTATAGAATGGACAGCCAATGGATATGTCGATGCGCTTCCCTGTTGCGTGAGAGGCTGCAATCATCATGCACCAGCGTCAACGATTTCAACACAATGTCGCGATCCAAGCTTTGAAACTGCTCACAATGCATGTCACCGACATGAGACCGACATCACTGTACGTATAACGACCATTGCCGCAAGTGGTGGCAGAGTAATATAACGCTTCCGCCGTTTCCGGCGATGGGCGTTCATTGTCACGATCGATTTTGTGACACTCATCATGTATAGCGGCCTGAGGTACAGCCATTCTCGCTTAAACCTAAACAGCGGCTATATAGTTCCAAAGTATAATTCTAGACACTTGTGACACTTTGAGTTACCCTAGGGTATGGTAGACTATGTAGTACTATAGCCGAACTTTACCTCAGCGCGAGAGCGCCTTCCAAAGAAGCCTACCTTTTCCTCTGGTGCGAGTCAACAATGCAACTTTCGTTTGTAGAGACCATACCGGAGCATCTAGCGCATATATATCATCTATTACGCGACATGTATATCCTATCTCGTAACATTCATTGTAAATATATGTAGTCGTAGACAGACGCGCTCGCAACCAATTTGACGTGGTGTGTGTGGATATCTACAATGCAGCCTCTACGCCTTTCCATGCTAACGCCAATGATTTACCCAGAAGCCGTTGTACACATCAATGTTCCAAACAAAAGAAATCCATGTACATCCCACATCGATTCTTTGGCGGGAGTTGCAATCCTGGTAGCTTTGACTTTGTCGTTCCAGAATCATACCCTACGAATGTGGCCATCGCTCCGAGGGTTTCCCGTTTTCTTCCCTCATCTACTCCATTAGTCTACGTCCAACTCATGTAGTCAATCCGAGTCATCACTACTCGCACTGTCCCTTGTCGGCGGTCTCGAACTCTTCGCCAGCGAAAAGTCCAAAATGTCGCTCTTCGGTCCCGCATCCACAAACTTCCTCAGACACCACCCAATCTGCACAGCCGTGAACTGCTCGTTGCCCAGCGGATCGACCTGTTTACCTTTGACAAAGATGACCTGATTCAGGCTGTCTTCACGGTCGTAGACTTTGTCCGAAGAACCCCACGCAATGATTGCGAGTTTGGAAGGCCGCTTTTGTTCCGCTGCGTGGGTTGAGGAGCGCTCGAAACCTTGTTGGGCGAGACCTTGGAGGAGGTGTTCGTATATTTTGCGGGGAAGCTTGGTGGAGGATGGATTGTTGTTCGGCCATGTTGTGATGTTCAAAGTTACAAGGTCGGGCAAGTCCCCGAGGCAGTTCTAAAGAGATCAGCGAATCCCGGAGTAGCGCGCGGCCATCGACTTACCTCGAAATTAATGAATGAGTCCTGTTTAGAGCGTATGACGCTAACTTGCGGAAACGCAACAGACACCTGCTCAAGTAACGAGCATTCCTTGCAAATCTGCGCGAAGGACGCATAGTCATACACCAACTCGTCGTCGCAATCGTCTGGAATACGGCTTGCGTGCACGTTGAGCGACTTCAGCGTCTTGCTGTGTCGCACGATCCCGGCAGCTGCTGGCAAGCTCTTCGCGTACGATAAGTCTATTGTCAACGTCTTGATGCCGGTTACCAGACACATGAAGCCATCCAAGGCTCCTAGTCCATCATTCTCATGGTTATCGTCGTGCTTGAACTCTAAAGTCTCGAGCTTTTCTGGTAGTTTTGTGCTCTTACTGAGCTCGGCGATGAGCGCGTCGGCGCCCGCACAGGCGAAGATCCGGATAGACTTGACAGACCGGAAGTCAATTAATCTGCAGTACGTGTTGGCAGCATAGCGCAAGTTGATTTTTTGAAGGGTTATTTCCTTCAAGGCCATCGGTGTGCAGTTCTCAAACGGGTGCATGTGACTGAACATAGTGCGCGTGATGAGACCGGGCTCTGTACTTGAATCGTTGAGCTCCCGATTCGGTATCGGTGAGTCGTTCTCCTCAAAGCTCGCATGCAGTGTGATCTTCTCGACATTCTTCGAATTTTTGACCAGCAGATGGCAGTAGTCCAGTACCTCCCGGCTGTCAGGATACAAGCCCAGCTTCTTCACGTTCTCAAAAACTTTCTCGAATTCCGGAATCTTCTTGACGTCTTCAAGAACCTCCTTGTCTAGTGCGATGCCCTCGAGCCACTTCATCCTCTTCTGCTTTTTGTATAATAGCACCAAGTTGTCGCCGGAGAAAGGTGACCATGGATGCCATGAGAACTTCTCCAATATGTTCTCTGGTAGCAGCTCCAAGATCATCCGAATCGCAAAGTTCGCCTGCTGCTGTTGATTGCATTTGTCCAGTACGTCCGCCAAATAAAGATCTAGCTTCCTAACATGCTGCAACCCTATGTTCTTGGGGCTCAGAAAGGCACCCAGGCGTGTATCGTTTGAACTCCCAACATCCAGTGTGACTTCGTGGTATAGCGAGCGGACGGCAATTTCGTGGAGCTGCTTGCATACAAGACATACGTTGCGAAGGTCGGTGGGGCGAGTAATGTGTTCGACTACGAGCGTCTTGATGTCCGTGGACAGGTCCATGAAATTGAATTTTGGTGCCATTGCGGGAGAAGGGCTGTTGTAGGGTTAGCTTTGCACGATAAGTTGCTCTCAAAGGGAATCTACAGAGGTGGAATGAAGGGAAAGCTCACCAGCACTGACACGTCTACAGACTCAACTTAGGATTGCGGCGGCACGGCTACGTGCGGTTGAATGGGTTCGGCAGCTTTGGCACTCGTTTCCGCGGGGCGTATTGGCAGATTAAAACCGTCGCCGTGGAAGTCGTAGGGTGTGAAGCCCAGCGATGGTGGCGACTGCGGCTGCCTTGCTGACTGGAACGATGCGGTGAAAGAGGGAGAGTGGAGAGCTCGACCACGATCCGCGAATCGAAAGCTCAGCCTCACCAGGTCCAACTGCCTTTTACCTGTAGCACACTAGTGAAGCGTAAATCCCAGCTTGTCCAAACACTTGTCAATCATTTAAAGCATGGCGCGAAGCAAGCTGCTGTGTTCAGCTGCTATTGGAGAGCTGTATGCCTCTTGCAGCGATGCAGCAATCGATAAACGGGGTTCGACGTGCATGCACCGCCACGTTAAGAGGCGCACACGATTACATTGTGGGGCCCGCTAGTGGGTCGTAACGTAATGGCCGCAACAACGTCAATAGATACCTAGTTGTAAAACATCGACTTATAGCGAAGGAATTCCCTATAACTTGCAATGACAGGACGAAAGCGATTTCGTGCACAACCAAAGTTAAAGCGGGATGCCGCTTATCATAACTTACTCTTTGAGAATAAGCCAAAGCGAGCTCTCCCACCTTTCGCGCCATCTACCTAGAAGGGTGTCTGGCTGAAGCGGAGGCTAATGAAGGATTGGTCAAGAACGCATTTTGCATTCTGCCTGCGAAAACGAAGATGAAGGCTGGTTTTCGAAGGTTCAAGCTCTGACATTTGCCCGCAAATGCCAGCGCCTTTATGGTAAGCCGGCCCCCACATCGGATCGGATCAGCCGACGAGGTGAAAGACGAACTCGATTACGTTTTTTGCTTGGAACTGGGATTGAAGTGATATGGCTGAATGCACACTTCGGTGCACTCCAGCAAGCTGACGCTTCTCATCAATAACACCCAGCGACTGTGGACAGTGAAATGAGACTACATTGTAGCGCATTGCCATATATGGCCTTCGCTCCTTGCGTCCTGAGATCACGACATTAGGTCATCACCGACGGTAGAATCGTTATCATTTGTCCTGAAATTATCGTATCTGTCACGCGCAAATAAGGTTGGACGCCTGGAAGAAAGAAGGTAGGGCTGCACATCCGATCAAAGACCCAATAGATGGCCAGACTCTTCGGCACCGCCATGTTTAGTAAATGCCCCTTCACGAGTAACAACACACCACAATGGTTAGGCCCATTTTTCTTGGTAAGAAAGCCCAGTTCCCTTCGTTAGACCCCGATGATTGAACGCTTCATACTCATGATCTTTCGATTTCATTAATCTTGCTGGTTGTAACCCCTAAGATAAGTGTGTCATTGAAATTGTATTCTGAGGAGTTCCTCCGTTGACTGAGAGATGAAGTTCGGATTGGTCGCTTTTGTGATAAGCATAATGTTATGGTAGGCTCCCCACCCCGGGGATGTGTGCCAGCAACAACGCTAATAATTACCACGTGCATGAGACGCTCCCGTAATCCTGCAACTGCCAAAACAGGCCTTGGACCCCACGCAAGCACGCCTGAATTACGGCGCAAGCTTCCAATGTCCCATCCAGGAAAATTGGGCCGAGGATGAAGCTGCATTAAGAATTAAGCTTCAATAGTATGCATAAGGCTTCCAGTAGCTTCATGCTAAATCCCGTACCTGCATGCCTTTCAGAGAGATCCAGTCTATTCCACATGGTACGGGCACTTTGATTTAAACTTCCCGCGCTCCCGCTATCCTACTCTCTCTTTCCCCCTAAGATTACATGTGGACGCCGAATTCTTGGATCTCGATCCCGCTTCCACTGCGATTTGATTTCGACATAGCTGAACAAGAGTTTTGATCTACTCCCTCTTACCCAACGAGTAGAGCTATGGATTGATAAGTAATCTTCTCGTCTGCTCCTCAAAATCTCACCCACGTAATTGAGTTTTCCCTTCGCACGGAGCAAATGTCACAGTTCATTAGCGACATTTTCGGACGCCACTGTCCATCAGGTAAATGCAAATGTCTTCGAAAGGACCTCGAACGCCTTCTTGGTTTGCACGGCTCCTTCTCCTAATACTGATAGACTGGTTTCAGCCTACACAGGAAGAGTGATATTCAGTGGGCGCCTTACGCATCCCACCCATACAGAAACTAATGGATCGCGGATTACAGTCGCCTACTTTCGTTCCTAAGTCTTCTTCCGTCTAGAAATGATGGATACCGAAATTATTACCGAGTATAATTCATGATTATGGCCGGCACATTCGAAGTCTATGCCTTTTAAATTAAGCTTGCATTAGCTTATCCGCTCCACCAGGTATGCATGTAAGATCTTTTCGTCTAGCTTGTATGAGCTTGTCAGCACTCCCAGGAAAAGAGGTAAGACTTTCGGCTAGCGTAGGTCTGTGGAATTAAGGCTCCTGGTTCGCAATCATGGGTCCAACAGATATCTCTGTGCCTGAGCTGAAAGTCAACCGAACCTGAATCTTATCATAATCATGAGCCAACAATACATAAAGAGGTAGGATGCCATCCCTATGGGTATCGGATTTTCGGATGGTTGTCATGCTCTGTCCATCCTCTTTATCATCCAGTTAAAATCGTTCAATGATGCCGTCTCTATGTCTGGTTCGTCTTCTCTTTGCCTGCCTCCTATGTTCGGCTGGCCTGTCAGTTGGCGCGATAACAACCGCGACTGCTGGGAGTACCTCGCAAGCACAACCCGTACCGAGCATTGCACCAAGCACTGAGACCATCCCGTTCGCATCAGCGGTACAGATCGAGGCTTCTGCCTCAATGGAATCTCAACGACTTGCGAGCATTCCTGCAATTCCTCTTCCTACCAATACCACACAATATCCTCAGTACCAGGCTGCCCGCAAGATTGCCCCAGTCATGCCCCCAGTCCAAGCGGGTGTCAAATTTCCTGAGAGACCAGACATGGTGGCAAATTTGACTCCTTCATTCAATACCTCTACCTTCGAACAATCCCATTTTAAGCGTCAAGCCTCTTCCACGCGGGTACTGGTCGTCGGTGACTCTATCACTCAAGGTCAGCAAGGGGACTACACATGGCGCTACCGCATCTGGCAATGGTTCCAATCGAGCGGCATTCCTGTTCAGATGGTGGGTCCCTACAAAGGAACAAAATCCCCTCCACCACCACGGCCCCCGCAGCCTCCACCGTTGTACGGCGCACCCGCAGATACTTCTTTCACCACCGACGGTGGGTACGCGGCAGGCGTTGATTCCGAATTCCTTTCGCAAAGCAACCACTTCGCCGTCTGGGGTCGAGCAGCTGCCGTAGACAAAGCCCTTATCGCAGGGGTCCTGCAGCAGAATCCAGCGGACCTCATGCTTCTCTTCCTGGGCTTCAACGATTTGGGCTGGTTCTACAGCGACGTCGCTGGCACCCTTGCTAGTATCCAGACTCTGATTACAAACGCGCGATCAGTCAACCCGAGTCTGAAATTTGCGGTAGCGAATATACCTCATCGCACACACATTGGAGGACGCGATGACCTGGTCTCAGGCACTGATTTGTACAATGGTCAGCTCCCTGGGCTTCTGTCGAGAATGTCTACGACGCAGTCCCCCATCCATCTAGTCGACATCGCAGGAAATTATGACTGCCAGGACGATGGTTGCCCTGCCGGTAAGTGATGGATCTGAGGTCCCTTATTAGTCCATGCAGTTGACCAAGCATTTCAGGGTATGATGGGCTCCATCCTAATGCGTGGGGTGAGTACCAGCTCGCTAGCGCATTTTCTAAGACCTTGGTAAATGGGTTTGGAATGGGCTCTTCTCCTCTTGCGGTTCCTAATGAGGTATGACCACGCGGCCAAAATTAGAGAACGTTGCTAACACCTTGGACCAATTTTTAGGGCGATCCCAGTTTGATCAGGTTCCTCCCAGTACCTTCTAATATCAAAGCCGTCTCTTCTCCTCAAGGTGTAACAGTTACTTGGGATGCCGGCAAGTCATTTTCCACGGCATAATACACTATGACTAACGAGACACAGTTTATGGTGCCTACAGTTATGATGTACAAGCTACTGTAAATGGAGAAACGGCTACTTTCTCTGCCGGCACGGCCGAGACTAATCGATGGGACTCGCAATGGCCATTAGACGGCTGGAAATATACAGTCTCTGTCCGTGCGGTTGCAGGTAATATTCGAAGCGCCTACACGTCCTCTGTATCAGCAGTAGCTACCCCTGAACTACCACCGCCACCGGCGAACATCAACATACAGCCTACTAGTAACGGAGTAAGAATTACGTGGGACGCTCCTCCTAACTCAGGCTCAATTGTCGAGTATAATGTCCTTTACTGGGACTGGGAGTGGGACCACTGTATGTATATTGGTGGCGCAGCTTTTAAGAGTTCTCCTGCTATTATTACGGATATGATTCCAGGTCGTAACTATGCCTTCTTCCTAGTAACGTGGAATCAAAATGGACAAGGGCTTCCAGAAGGGGGCATGGCTGCAGTGCCGGGTGCAGGCACGCCTCCTATTCCAAGCGGACTGAAGGTAAATTCGAATGACCCTACTACAGTACAGTGAGTGTCCCTCCCCAATGCTCGTGTCGAAGACCGATTTCTTACGGGTGTCATTAGTCTTACTTGGTCCGGATCAAACTCAGCTGGTGGATATCATGTCTGGAATCGCAACGTAAATCTCCAAGGAAGCACATTAAAACTCATTGGTAACGTTACAATGTCCTCGTCGGCCTGCAATGACGAATACTTTCTTTTTCCTGGAGTATGGAACTATGCGTTCGCCATCTCCGCATTCAACGGCGACCTTGAGTCCGACAAGGGGGCTGAAGTCGTTGCCCCTTCACCCGCGAGCACTGTAACGGTTGGTAGTCCCGGCCCGACATGCGCCCCAGAACCAGCATGGTGCCCTGGAGGCGGGTCAGTCTCGGTCCCCCCAGTGGGTGGAGGCAGCACCACCGTAATCGGAGGGACAACCACGGTTGCTGGCGGAATCACGACTGTAATTGGTGGCTCGACGACCATCATCGGCGGTGTTACCACAGTGAAGGGTGGAACAACTACGGTTATCGGGGGAAGCGGGCCCGTTACCACAGTCATTGGCGGGACTACCAAGACGACTGTCATCGGCGGGACTACAACGAAAACTGTCATCGGCGGAACTACAACAACGATACCGGGAGGAGGAACGTCAAGTTCAACGCCTACCCCAACCGGATGGCCGATCGTCACCAATGGCCGCTGCACCGGGCGCGATTGCGTTGATGGCAAGTGCACTGGTAAGTATTCTATACGACATGCAGCAGTAAACACATCATTAACGGCTCCCAGGACTCTTTTGTGCCAGTTTTGGCTGTTCCGGCAGTGATTGCGTTAATGGCGTGTGCACAGGACCAAGTTGCACTCCTTTTGGCTGTATTGGACCGAACTGTGTCAATGGTGTCTGCGAAGGTCTTGGTTGCATAAAAAGCGGTTGCGTTGGTCCAGGCTGTGAAGGTGGCGGTGGCGGCGGTACGGGACATTGCCTAGGACCCCAATGCATTAGCATCGGGTGCTCAGGACCCGGCTGTGTGAATGGCGTCTGTATCAGTCCCGGCTGCACGGAACGCTCGTGTTCAGGCAAGAGCTGCTATAGTGGTACTTGTGCGGATACTGCGTCATGCACTGGATACGGAGGCGAAGAGGGTGGTGGACCTAACGCGGTAAGCACTCGTCTATTTACACATTTATCGGAAGCCTCACAGTGGAATTCAACTTCCTTGAACTGGACGAGCCCTCAGCACATATCAGTAGAGGGCCACTTACAGAAATCTGATGTGAACAAACTGACGATCATGTAGCCACCTGATGAGCCGGACGACTCTTGCACTACTAGCAAGGAATTCCCGACATGCACAACTAAGTTTATAGAGGTTACTTCAGTCTTCCCTGATCAGAGCTCAAGAACAACATCCACAAGCACGATTAGTACCTGTTACACAATCACCGCTTGTACCGGTTCGGCCACGACTGTCTCGACCACAACTCAAACCGCGACGACTGTTCAGCAGTACTGCGAGCCAACGAGTTGCGGCGCTGCTTGTTCGCGCAAGATTCGACGAGCCGTCGTTGAGGGGCCGAAGCTCGAAAATCCGTACCCAGTGGAAAGCGAAATCTACTCATCATCGAATCTTACCATCTCCGAGCGCGACATACCAGGACCAGGGTCTGGGGATTGGGAGGCGTGGTACTCCAATTTGAAGGGGAGGGCCGAAACCATTACAGTAGACAATTACGATGGCGCTTCTGACTCAAATACAGCCATTGCGCAGGTAATATGGGGCAACAGTCCCCAGAATATAGTGATCCAGCAACTGAATGGCTGTATCGCGCTTTTTTGCGCGTCTGGTACAGGTTTGTGTTCTCATCACCATGAAAAGCGCACGCTGATGGTATCAGGGGCGTTTGTTGCACACTTCTGGGAGAGGCCGAGTATTACAGACAATTTCCAGGCCGACGTCCTCGACATCATACAGCAGTATCTCGGCTCGAGACTCAATGCCTTTTACCTCGGACCAGAACCGGAGTGCTATATTATGGCCGGAACAAGTGCAGTCTTGGACGGGAACACCGAAGAGGCCCAAAGGACGCTAACGAGATCGGATCCAGCTGGATATAGATACCAAACCGAGGTGAATCAGATATTCACCCTCATAACGCAACTGCTGCCGGGAGCTTATGTCGGAGCGTTTGCCTATAAGCGTCAGGGAGTCAAGAGACTCGTTGAGCAGACGAACATGGGCTACGGCAAAGGAGCGGTAAGATAGCCCCTGAAGCTTCACCTACGAGTTGCCACCAGGATGTCTAGCGATGTTCAGTCACATGCTGTATGCCATTTCTTCCACAGTCAACCTTGTGTCCTGCAACCGGGTAAGTTACTAGAGAACCCGTAATGGGGCTTTAATGGTTGCTGGTTCAGACAAGGGAGGCAGCTCGGTGGTGCTACCTGCAGAAAAGGTGACAGAAAATCGACAGACAACCTGGTGTTAGGCATACTATCGAGCCCATAAGCTGATCAAACGACACTAGGTACTATTTGATCCGCAACAGAGGGCAGGGCCCCAGGGCCCTAACACATTCCCCCCGGGTTATGCCACTGTCGCAGTTTACTTGCAAGGCTACAAAGCCATCCAAACATACGGGCCATGGCAAGAATTCCAAATTTGGCGAGTCCACCGGACTACAGGAACCGCAAACGTTGCGATACAAGCCAACAGAGGCGCGGTACTGGATCCATGCGAGGGCGACGTTGACCCACCACATCTCGCAAGCTCCGAAACCGTAGATCCTGGATCTGAAATCACCGATGTCGGCCCAGAAGTCTCCCCAGGGAGTGGTCCTCCGGGCCAGCCTTTTGAGCTCGTTGATAGCGCAGGAACAGTCGTCGAGAGAGGTTGCGTTTTCAGAGGTGGTCCGTATGCGCCTACCGCTGACTCTGGGCCGGAAGCCGGAGTACTTTCCTGTAACGGTGGAACTGCCATGCAATGCACCAGGCCGTACGTTAATCGCGCCACGACGTGTGGTGGAAGAGCGCCAGATCAATGTGGCACGTTGGGTCAGAATTGTAATAAATTCTTCCAGCTCCTCGCGACGTGCAGGTACTAGACCAGGATTCGCTTCCGGGTCTGTACTTCCATGTTGACCTAAAGCACTCGAGCGTCTAACAAATCAAACAAGCAGAACAGGTTTGATCTCGCTAGATATCCTCTACAATAGAGGGAATGGAGATGGATCCCTACACCTATGCAAAATTATGACACTTAATTGATTCGAGTTCGTGTCTATCATAAATAAGTGAAGATTCTCCGGCACGTTGCCTACTGCAAGCAACATTTGCTGCTGCTGCCTTGCTGCAGTTTCCATGCCTTGACGTCCTCTGCAAATTTAGGATAGTCCCGCTTCGCGATTTCGAGAGCAGGAGCTGGGTCTGCACCTCGGTCCAGTAGCAGCCAGGTGAGCTCACGAGTGTCTCTCTCCAGCATACCAGAGGCTGGAATGTAACAAATCGGCGTTCCACACCGCATAGGCAAAGCTTTGCCGCCTACGGGTTGATCGGGGGCATTTACGTCGAGTCCGACCACGTCGAGAAGATGACGTACCATAGCCATCCGCTCACCAAGCTTTTCATCATCTCCTTCCTGGCCATCACGACCATAGGTAGCAGCTTCGACGGCGTGATGCAACGGGCGCCATCCCAAGGGCGCCCCTTTAGAGCGCAAGAGCTCAAACATCGCAACAGTGCCCGACGTGGCAATCTTTTCGAGCATCGTCTCGCACATCTGCTGGGATTTCGTGATGACGTCGTCGGAGAGGGGCTCTTGACCGCGTGGGTGAACACTCGCGCCGTGATCCAAGCACCACTTGACCAACTCGCCGTCGTAGGAAACAAGCCACATGAAAGGTTCTGCCTCATTCGGGGTATCTGCCCGCGCATTGATATCCCAGCCGTGCGCAAGCAGGAGCTTGAGTGTCTCTTTCGAAGCGCCCACAGCGCCTGCTGGAAACTGAGGTACAACACTGACACCGCGTTCGATGAGATTGTGCAAGATCGCTGTCGCGTTGTTCTTCGTTGCCTGGCGGCGGACTAGGCCGTACAGATTATCCAGATCTTCAGCAGGAGACATCAAGATAGCTTGGTCCAACAGAGTCGTGTCGTCGAGTTCGCATGCTTGGCGCGCAAGAACCCATTCTGGACTGTTCCAGAGTGCTAGGTGTCCTCGCCCATTCATGGTTCGAATGGCGTTTTCGAACGGAGATTGTGCAGGAAAGTAAAGTAGACGGGTGAGAGAACGGTAGATGCTATGCCGCAGGCTCTCGTTAGGCGTCCTTAATAAGCCTCGGCAGGCGTCCAGTCATGTGATATAAGATGGCTTCCACGGGTGAAGGCAAAGTAACAAAAGCTCCAAGCGCCGCCAGGCTCCGGTCCCTTGTTCTTATCAAGAGTAAGACAGAGCCTCAGGGTCCTCGAGAAGCGTCATGGAAAACCCCAAAGTTCATCATTGTCTTCGACTTTCCGCGACCAAACCACATTCACTTCAACTCGCCCATAGCTTCAGACGCAGGCAGGACCAAAGCAGCAGAAGCTATCTTAGCCAATGCATTAAGGGTGAAGCTCAGAGCCCAGTTCGGGGTCCTTTTTGTTCCGTACGTTCACAAGAATGCATATAATGGCAATCATGCACAACGCACTTATCAGCCAGCTGATGATCTTGAGCACCCAATTCCCAGAGGACGAGTAGTGCAGTAGTATATCTTCAAACTTTTCGGCAAGGGGGACCGCGCACGCAACAGCCTGAGTCACCTTCAATTAATGCCTAGCCCACTCGCGCATTAGTCACTGCGCGATGAAGGGGACTTCGCCTTCGCCAGGATTTGTGTCTGGACGGTGGATAAGTTGATGAACGAGTTGAAACCATACTGATCAGAGAGTCGGGTCGAGGAATCTTGTTGGCATCATTCGAGGAGCTGTAATCCTTCTATCTTTGCTGCGCGGAAAGTCCGTTTGCAGCGATTGGCGTCGTAGGATATACCTTCCCTGCACCCGTATCGCTTTCCCGAGGCAGCATTCGACCAATTGCTATCGCCTGTTCAAGTGATCTAGTAGTAATGCCGCTTCAGCCTGACGTACCACGTAGCTCAAGGCGCCCTCCAACCTAAACCATTCACCCTTGCAATGCTGTCTATCAAGATTCTCAGTCTCAACGCTGCGTGTACCACGCAGAGCTCTTAACATCCGTACCACGCCACTCATTGGGCTCAAGTACCCTCCCATCATTGACCCTAGGAAACCTAGTAAATTAGCATACACAATTAAAGAAACTTGACGGCCGAACTAAAACGGAAAGCATGAGAAACAAACGCAAGGCACATAGCCAGCCCGGCAAGCGCTCACCACTCAAGTATGAGGTAAAAATCAAGTAATAGCATCGCGAAGAAAACCACAAAAGCCAAAGCCCAACGCAGTTATTCACCTCTTGTTCTTCCCCGCTTGCTCTTCCTGCAAATGCATCTTTGCTCTTGCGCTCCTGCTTCCGCCCAACTTCGGACCTTTGGGAGCTTCCTTTTCACCGCGTGTCGGGGCAACAGGTTTGCGCTGCTGCCGCTCTTGGATGGAGTCAAGGAATTCTTGCCTAAATTGCTCCACGAGGGCTTCGTCGTTGTTGGTAGAGCCTGGCGTGGGTCCGGCAGGGTTGGAGTCATCAAAGTAGTCCACTGAGAAAATCAGCGCCTGTTGGTCAGAGAGGGGAGGGGAGAAGAAAGGTGCATACGCTTTGCTTCACGCATCACTGCTTCGACCATTGCGTCGCGACGGATATCTTCACTATTGCGGCGCTTCGGCTGGCGACGCGGTTTGCCGTCTCGTCCTAGACGCACTTTACCCACAGGCTCTTCCACGGATGGTCCGCCTTCAAGCTTCTTCCAGGCGGCTTCAGCGCGCGAGGTAGATGCCGGTCCGAGATCTATTTCCTGAAGCTTGCCCATGCCAGCTGCTAGCCTGTGGCTCTTCTCGTCATTCGGCTCTTCTGACGTCGTTGTGCGGCCTGCGGTCGTATGTGATGCGCTGGGTGGGATGAGGACTGTCTGTGCAGGCTCGGACGCTAGTGCAGCTACGGTTGCAGCGAGGTGTTGGGGGATGGGCCAGCCATACAGGCGGTGGTTTCTTTCAGCTAAGTGGGCATCTATGTATTCCGTACTGGCTCGTTAGCCTCCATACCCATACCTCTTCTTGTAATAATCGACCTGGATAGATAGTGGAGGAGAGAGAGAGTTGGCAAACATACATCTGCTGATCGTCGCTATCCACCACTTGTCCGGTCTGCGGCACGAACCGGTCCGTATAGCCCTGTTTCGGCGCATCCTGCTCTCGTAGCACAAGCGCCTGTGTCTTTGTGAGCTCCGCGCGCGCCGCAGCTTCTCGTAGCCGGTCGCGCGGTCGCTTTCGGTTGCGCAATATCTCTTTCAGCGAGACGGAAGTTTCATCTTCCTCGGGAGCTGGCGTGCTTGTGTCGTCTGGTACGGCATCTGGCGACTTCGGCGCGGCGGCGGTCGGCTCGTCCTCGATCCCAAGTCGCGTACGTTTCGTATGCGTGGTTTTCCGCCGCTTGAACTTGATAACGGGCTCGCTCGCACTGCCATCCATGGTCGCGAGGATCGCGCGGTCGCAAGGAGGGTGTGGGTGTGGGGGTTGTGGAGAGATGATGCCCGCCAAGGCGATTGGACTGATTACATTCACCGCGGGCTAACTCGCATACGATTGGTCACTTTTACCAGTTTGCAACGACCATCTATTACTTGTAGACTGGATAGTGTCCGTTTGCCTCAGCAGCAAGCACTTCAGGGCATATGCCCTATGTCGCATTTCCCGCTCCCCTCCCCAAGGTCTCGCCTAGATCACTTCGACATCCCTCCTCCACCTAGCACTACGTCCAGCCGTCGAGTCCCGTATTGTCAACCTCAGATAACACTCCTGCAATCCTTAAATCCATGGCGGTAATACTCATGCTTCTTACATATGTTGGTCCTACAAGGCTCCGTGCTGAGACTTTGCTACTCGTAACTCAGTAATCGTAGCATGGACATTTCTGAGATTAATACTGGTGACTTCACCCTGGCACGTGCGGATGTGGTCGGTGCAGTAACAGAACCTCCTTCGCTTCGCGGGACTGTATTCGATGTCCTTACAGAAGAAGTCTAGTATCGTTAGAGATGTGACGTATGTCAAGTAGGTGGAAGGATAGCATGCACGTCTTTCATGAGGTGACATCGTCGTTCTGGAGAATGGTGGTCAGCTCGAGAAGATGAGGATGAAGAATTTGAAGAATACCATGAACAAGATTACGATAGTCATGTTGAGGAGGATCAGTGGGTTGTGTTGATTGGGCTGTTGCTCAATATGATGGGGCAGGAGACTCAGAGGTTGCAAGGCGAGCGTAGGACTGTGCTTCAAAACTTCAGGATTACCTTCCTGCCCAGCTTTTACAGGCGGCCTAAAAGGTCCCCCGCTACTCACCTCATGTTTTTGAAGTCGAAGGTGCTCGGACATTGGATTCCCTCATTTGCAGATGGCAGGATTGATAGGCTGAAGTCATGCTAAAACATCGGTTCGATGAGAAAGGTATGCTTAGCTGACTGGCATAGTAGGACAGATGATTTCGCAATACTGTTCATAGGCAACAACCTAACGCAATTCATCACATTAGAATCACACATGATTTGACACTAGAAAATTGTTGTTTACGTGTTCTACAAAATCCTGATGGATGTCAGCCTTAGTCTACAAACACCGAAGTATAGACCCACAAGTATATACAAGCTCACAACTCTCCATCCTTCCTCAGAGTCTCGTTGCCCCAAAACTCCCCCGTCAGCGAAGTCAGACCGCCAGCGGGCTCACAGCTACTCCTTCCGCTCAAAGGTCCCGGCGTTGGCACCTTCACATTGCCGGCCTCGTATCCTCGCCCCTGGTCAATGCCTTCCCTGTTCTCAACGTTCCTGTTCTCGCCGGTTATAATCGAGTAGCCATCACCGGCAAGACCGGGGGTTCCAGGCTGTGCGCCGGTCTTCTCGGCCGCGTTCTGAAGAGCCTTAAGCAGCGAGACCGTAGACTCGTATGTGAGATCCTCGTAGTAGTCGTCGTTGATCTGGACCATGGGGGCGTTCGCACAGGCACCGAGGCACTCGACTTCGGTGAAGGTGAAGAGGCCGTCCTTGGTGGTTTGGCCGTGGTGGATGCCCAGAACGTCTTCCACCGCCTTCATGACCGCGTCACTGTTGCAGAGCATGCAGGGTGTCTATTTTTGTCAGCGCGGCCCAACTCAATGCGCACCTTCCCCACTTACCGTGGTGCAGACCTGGACGTGGAATTTGCCAACCGGGGTCCGGTTATACATGGTGTAGAAGGTAGCCACCTCGTAGACGCGCATGGGCGGCATCTCCAATATTCGCGCCACCTCGTTCATGACGCTGATGCTGGTGAAGCCGTGCTGGCGCTGGCCGAGATCGAGTAAAGGCATGACGGCGGCCTTCTTGTACTGCGAGGGGTACCGAGAGACGATCTCACTGATGAGCTCCTCATTCTGAGCGGTGAACTTAAACGGAATCGACGGGTTGTTCTCCGGCGTGTCGCGGTGCTGTAGACTCCGTCAGCGGCGCAATTGTAGGTGTGAAGGGCAATGAAGAGCTACTCACCACCATCAGGGAGTCGCTCCGTGCGGGTGCTGTGACGCTGAAAGCCCGCCATTGAGTGCGCTGAAGCTGGCGCAAGGCGCGGGGCCCGCTGCGATACATGAACGGTACCAGCTTGGAGGCCATTGTGGGTGTGAGAGCTGCGGGTGGTTGCGATGGCGTCGATGTCGCATTCGACGTTCGAAGCGTCGGGCAAAGCTCGGCAGCCAATCACGCAAGGGCAGAGGTCATCACAAATAGCATCCAGGTGCCAGAACCTCATTACCCCAGCAGTGCGACAGCACAGCAATCTCAAGGCAGTAACGAATCCGCTGCTTTTTTATGTGCAAAGTACGCAGGAACAAGTTTGACTGTCAATATCTGCATTTGGGAGGCATGCTGTACCTAAATTCACGATGAAAACGGCAGTAATGGTCGAGATTATGGAGAAATGAAGATTGTGTAAGCCGCAAATTTGGCTTCTCTGTAAAAGTGCTATCGTTGTACATCAAAGGTTTCGTTCCCAACAACAAAAGGTCGATCGCATCGTCTCATAGCATGATCTCGTCAAGCATGTATATATACGCACCGATGCTAGAAATGCTTGCAGTGCTCAATCGGGTAGTCGTCTCCAAGCCAATACGCCCAATAGTAACTCCATCCATGCAAAAGCAGAACTGAAAAGCGATCCACAGGAGCTATGATGGAAGTCATGCCGCTGCTGGGAGCGCCATTGGCGCTTGAGGAAGCTGTTCTATCTGCCTAATCAAGAAGCTTTTTTCGTCATTGAATTGCTCGTCCTCTGTACGGTCTTCAAGGAAGTTGGGCAGAAACCGTAGTAGCTTTTCCCGGTTGCTGATAAGGATGCGCTGCACGGCGACGGATTTGTTGGGATTAGCAACAAAAACCTGCAACATTAGCATCGTGACTCAGCGGTACAGCATTTCGATAGCTCACCTTGAAGACATGAAATCCTTCATAATTAATCATGCGCCGGTCATCTCGCAGCAGCTTCATGATTATCTTTAGATGCTCGCCCGAATCAACATACTGCGTCATGACGTTGTAGTTCGCTCTGTCAAGCAATATCTCGCCTAGGAGCTTAATGGACTGTCGCTTTGTGACGTAGCTCTCTGACTGAATCAATATCGTGTTATATCTCGAGAAGAACATGTCGAAGTTCGTTTGCAGGTACCCCGCCACCAAGCTCTTGTGCTTCGTAAGGATGTCCTACACAATGTCGTCAATTGCCGTGCTTCTGTATATCCAATACTGACATACCCTGAATGTGTTGAATGCGTCTGCGCTGACTTCAAACGCGCCCTTGTCTATCCAATCGAAAAATCTCCAGAAAACACCCTCTCCCGAAGACGGTACGTCTGGGTTCACACTTGCGAGATCGCGGGTCTTTCCGTCTGGTGTCGGCTCGTCGTACAAGAGGAGTGCGGCAATGGAGTCGTACTTAAGGGCTTCGCGCAGCACGCCTCCGCACGGCATAGCGCTTTCTCGTCGATCGTATCCTCTGCATAGTGCTATTATGATTTCCGGCCTGTATTGTATGACGTGATGCAGGACTTGAGGATCTGGAGCGCCGGCGGGCTTGTAGCGGAACGCGGTCGAGAAGACGACTTGAGCGTCCTTGCGCGATTCGAACGGAAGCTTGTGGATATTGTTTGCAAGAACGAAGAGCAAATCGTCTTGGATTATGAGGCTCAGTAGCTCGAATACGGAAGCTGGATTGACTTCTGATTCTGCGAACCGTTAGATATATTCTTATGCAATCGATGGTAAGAGCGGTGCGAGTTAAGGAAGCAAGTAGATACCGGGAGTGCCTTGAAGCCTGATCTTCAGCTGCTGGAGGTCTCGAGCCAGCTCATCTTCAGTCTGTTGCATGTTAATTATGCGCACAACAATGCAGCGCTGATGTGCGAACCTTGGGATTGGGGTTTGTTTCTTCGCTCAGCCGGGTCGTCAGTTCCTTGGTAGAGCGTACGAGCTCGCTATTAGACTTCGCTGACTTGCGGAACAAGAAGGCCATGGTGTTGGCGTGCAGGTCGAATGTGGAGGGGCGCTGTTGATCTCGAGTAGAGGGGTGTTTGTGTTACGCAGCTGTCGCCTAGCAGCAGCTACCGTGGTCGCGACGACATGTAGTATATGGAGCTCGAGGCGACACAACAAGGCGTGGGGTTATTTGTTGTGCTGGGCTCTAGTGATGTCGAGGGAACGTTTGGTTTCATGGGTGCCCGGTCGACTATTCCGTGCGTTAGCCAGGTCCAGGTCGCGCCTGCTTAGCGCGTCATCCACCACTCTAGAGATCAACCCCGGCCACCGCCCATGCACGTGAGAGCACCACGAACACAGCACGATAGCACTGGCTTTCAGCCTCGCAAAATGAGACAGCCAGATCCTACCACAACTTAGGGTGTACGGTGAGGTTATAATTCACATTTCTCTCTACACTGATGTATGACCTGCTCGCATTCATTGACATTGGTTGAAACGACCATTGTATGAGCTCTTAAGTACACTCTGGTTGCCATATCATTGTATGTATTAGTCTTTGAAGATGAATAGCTGTTGGAAAAGGCATATAAGCATATCACTCAAGGAACGAGAGTGACCAGTCACTCTGCAAAGTATCGATGTTCGAGAGCCTGTCTACGTCAGCTTCCATTCCATGACAGAAGTAGTGTACAATCTTACCTGAGCTGCCTTCAACCTGCTACCACTCTCATAGCGAACTAGTTGGCTAACAAGATCTTGTTCGATATCCAGGGTGCCGGGCAGAAGACTGGACCACGGCTGAGTGGGGAACTCGATGAACTGCACCTTTCCCCAGTCTGGAAACTCTGCAGCTTCCTGTGAACCAATTAATATACCGCACGCATATCAGCACCAAGGTCATACCGGCCACACGCTCAGATCCGGAGTTCCCAAGCTACTAAACACGCTCGATATGAGCGCAAGATCGCTGCCCAGCTCACCAGAATCAAACAAGGTCGGATGATCAGGAACCAAAGCTTCGGCAACGGTGCACCCAGCAGCCCAGAGATCCAGTTCGCAGCCGTACTTCTTGTTACCGAAAAGAAGTTCCGGTGGCCTATAGCATGTGGTGCCAACGTCGGTTATCTTTGAGTCAGAGGGTTCAGATCCGACAGTATCAGGAGCCCATGCAATCCCAAAGTCTATCAGGTATGCTGGGCCATCCAATGACTTGAGAGAAGTATGTTTGACGGCTTGATGTCTCTATGTATTATACCGCGTTCGTGGACGAAAGATAAAGCAGAGAACATGTCTTTCAATGCGCTCTTGATCTGAGGTTTCGAGAGCTTTCGATCCTGTAGCAACCTGCTTAGATCATATTGCATGAAAGGGAACACAAGTACGAATCTTGAACCGGGTTCATGAAACGTTTCCAGGAGGGGGGTATAACTCGATCCGATGCCGCGAGAGCCAAAATCCGGGCTTCACGCTTTGAGTCGTGTGGTGGCTCCATATGGGACGGTGTAGTGACTTTCAAAGCAACTACTTTACCGGTCGTTCCAAACGAAGCAAAGTAGCCCTCAAACTTGGCTGTGATCGCTTTGTATATGACAGAGAAGAGCCCTTCACGGTGGTAGACGGCGTTCCTGTATTCACCGATGTCCATGCCTGACGGCGTGGGAACATAGTCCTCATCCTAGATTGAGTCAGATGCGATGCTGATGCGCAGCCGAACAAGGTACCTGGTATGGATGGAAGTCAATAGGAGGTGCTCCAAGACTCGTTATCGCCTCTTCGCACAGCTTCTCGTAATCTCCCTTGACAATGTCAGTGTAATCACGACATTTTACCAATGTCATGGATCCGTACTGGGGATTGCGCATTATCGTAGATTTGCGACTCTAACACAGTTGCTTCCCGGCGTGCGTCAGACGCGGAAACCGTGGGATCAGACGCTTGGTGAGCTGATGTTCTGCAATATGATTAGGACGTGCTCAGGAAGCTTTGCTGGGACCTGGATCATGAACAAGACAGCAATCGTGCATGGTTTCCAGAATGCAAGACACATTGTATGGAGCACTTCGTTGTCCAATGGTCATGTAGGTCATGTATGGCACTCTGTCTTCAGCATTGCTGCCCAACTCGACCGCGATACGCGTAAATTTGGAAGAGGTGCTCTTACGAGGTGCTCCTTGCAAACTAGCCCCTGCCTTGCTACCTCGTATGGGTGGTGATCATGGTACTTGCATTTTGGTGACCGCAGCCAGCCGCGCGGAGAAGCCCAATTTGGAGCGCCAGTCAGTCGCCATTTGCGATGGCCAGGTGTCGTGCCTCGCCGTGAGAGGTGAGAGAAGTAGCTCGAAGCCAAGGTTGTGCGAACGCCTCGGCCACACTCCACAGAAACATCGCTCCCCTGCTGCCCACGAGATCACCCATCGCAACGCGCTATGATGTTCGGGTATCCCCCGCCATATTCTGCTTGCCACACGCTTCTTATATCTCAAGCATTAACTACCGCCGACACTCGTTTGACGTAATCCCGGGCGAACCGCGCGTTTAGGTCTAAGCTATAAGCGGACAAGGCTCGCCCGAGGCGTGACAGCGCAGTGAGGTCCTACACAGCAACAGCTCCGCAACACTCCCGGACGGCTCGTAGGGAAGGTCTTCTATGTGATAAAGGGCTGAATTGCTTCCCCGCGGTCGCCGCGCGTCTCTCTACAACCCCGCCATGGATGCACTACAGCGCAAAGAATACCCAGGTCTGCTGGTACGACATCCAGTGGCGCCGTCCGAGCTACAGCTGCTAACAGTGGTAGGATGCACTGCCGCCGCAGCAGGCCGTTGACGTCCTTAATGGGCGCATGAAGCATGTCAGCCAGCTCAATGCGCACATCGCCGACTGGTTACAGGTCCGTCTTCCACCTCGCGACGCAATGCGGTAGCTGATTGTAATAGGAACGGCGCCGTGTAGAGGAAGCCTACGTACAGGGCTTACGGAAGCTCGCGAACAAGCGTCCGCCAGACGAATCGTCCGATCTCGGGTGAGAACATATATATGCGCCTAGCAAGAGGGCATGCGCTGACCGGCAGCAGCGTCTTTTCGACGCCATGGCAGAAGATTGTAAGCGCAACCGAGGCTGTCGCCGAGTCACACCACACGCTCGCCCAGAAGATTGAAGTCGATGTCGAGCGGCCACTGCGAGAATTCTCCGCGACGAATCGCGAAGTGCAGGGCATGTCCACCATCTCCGGCAACCTGGCGTCCATGGCCCGCGAAATCGATACTGCGAAGAAGAAGGCAGAGAAGCTTAGGGAGAAGGGCACAAAAGCGAAGGCATCTGCTGTGGCTGGTGCGGTTGCCGACGTCGAGAATGCTACCCTGCAATGGGAATCGCAAGCTCCATATGTGTTCGAGAAGCTGCAGGCGGTGGACGAAAGCAGGCTCAACCACCTTCGCGACGCGCTCACACAGTTCCAAACCCACGAAGTGGACCAAGTTGAAAGGAACCGTATCAGTGCGGAAGAAACCTTGAATGTGCTACTCAACATCGAGACCGCTGATGAGATCCAAACATGGGCATTGAGGGCGCGCAGTGGCGAGAAGCCACCACCGGCCAGTCGCAAAGGCAGCAGCGTAGGAACGCCGTCAAGGAGCCTGGCCCCTCCTCCCATGCCACCACCTCCCACAATACAAGCGGATGACAACCGCAGTCAGAAGAGCGGGTCTGGTAGGTTTGCGTATATCCCTCATTAAGATGTATCTAACAACTCCACAGTACCAGAAGAAAAGGGAAAACACAGTTCAAACCCCCTGAAGCGCTTTGGAACCGTATTGAATCGTCGTCGGCAGAGTATGCATCCATATGGCCGACAAGCCTCACCAGAAAGAAAATCAAACTCTAATCTGGGCTCTGGTTTTCCCGGATTTGGTAAGATCAAATCGAAAGACCGTGATACAGCAGGCTCCTCTATAGATCGTCCTGGTTCGTCTGCCACTGCTACGACCCCGCGCCCATCAGACGTATCGGGTTCGCCAAAGCATACTCGCAAATCTAGTGCCGACCGACCGAATGGGACAAGCCCTGAGCCTTTCGAAGAAAGGGCTGCCAGCCCTATCCCAGCACCGGCAGCTGTCAATGGAACTACCCATGACACGATACCCGAACTCGTTGAACCTTTGTCACCTCCTGTGCAGGAAGAGGCTCAACCTGAGGTATGGCCAATACACAAAACCTCCTGAGACACGCTGACGCCAATGAACAGCCCGAGAAAGATGCCGAAGGGTTCTCGGTACCGCCATCCGCTATTGATGCGATTACGCAAGCTGAACATGAGGCAAGAGAAGCAGGATCGTACGTTGTTTTGTCTTTGAAGTTGACTTCAAACTACATGACTAACTACCTCAGGAGCGCTACCGAACTAAACCCACCTCCGCAGTTCAAGCTTGACATCAAGAATGCACCCATTCAAGAAGAAGAAGGCGATGTGAATGCAGCCATGGCTGTTATGGCTAATACACTACGAGCGGTAAGATAGCCCAGTCCGAACTATCATCGTTACATCGTTGACAATCAGTAGCAAGCTGCACCGGCCAGACGCTCAGGAACTCTACGAGGACGACGAGACGTCCGCAATACCATCTTTGTACCCAACCCTGCGACACCTGATCTTACAAGCATAGGGGAGGTTCCGCCAATCCCATCTGCCAGCTCTGAAAACACAACCTTCTCACCTCCTGCACTCCCACCTCAGCCCGCATCTCCTGTCTTCAAGCTACCCCACCGTACTTTGGCGTCCGATGATCACCCTGCGTCAGATACGCAATCCATACGCTCTGGGCGATCTCTGAGCAGCTCTACGAGTACGACGATGAAGCACCCAGATATGCATGAGCCAGGCTTGAACGCATCTTTGGTAGAAACCGTCAGCGCGTGGTTTGAGCAAGGACACGTTACCAAATCATTAGTTATAGGACAGGTTGCGCTCGCTTTCAACCCCGTCGACATCACGTCCGGTCCGTTCGGTACTGAAAACATTCGATTGGAGAACTTCCCTGTCCTGGAGAAAGTTGCACCCAATCCTGCATTCGTTGAACAAGTGATAGACACTCCAGGAGAATATACAGTGGATCTATCCAGGATTACCAAAACCTCGGTAGCGTTCCACTACCAGGTACATCTCGAAAGCGAGAATCTCGCGTCGTTCGCTCCGATACTACTTTCGCCTGTATGGAAGACGGAATCCACTCAGATCTCGGTGCTTCTCAACTACGGACTGAACCCCAAGTTTAATATTGGCGATCAGAACAGCGTGACACTGCAAAATCTGGTTCTGGTTTTAAGACTCGAGCCCGGCTCTAAGGCCACTGCTTGCCAGTCGAAGCCAGCAGGCACCTTCTCACGCGAGAAAGGCCTGATCTACTGGCGTCTAGGAGAGGTTACCTTTTCCCGCGATCAGCCTTCGCAAAGCATGCGCGTGCGATTCTTCACCGAGGGAGAAGCGAAGCCAGGAAATAGTGAGGCGCGCTGGGAGATCACAGGTGCACATTCGCTCACACTTGGGAGCGGTCTGGCGGTCAGCCAGGTCGTCCCTGGTGAGAGCAAGCCGGAGGAGAAAGAAGCCGACCCGTTCGCCGATGCGGAGGAGAACGTGCCGCCGCCGGCCAGTCCCGCGCCGACTTCCAAGCCTGTTTTCAGTGTGAAGCGGATTTCGAGCGGCACGTATCTTGGCGTGTAATAAGATTTGGATATATAGTGTGGGGATGACATGATGGGTAGTGGGGCGATAGGGGAGTCGAACTTACGATGTTCGACGTTGGGCAGCATAGCAATAGATGCTGCTTGTAGATAGCGGGTATTGTGTTGTTTTGTGGGACAGACCAAATTATTACTTGCATGACTTGGGAGAATCTCGGCGACCACGTGGCGCTGACAACTATAGCGACCCTGTTCCATGGTTCATCGAGGCTGGTGATGTAATAATTGGGTCTCCACGTGTGTCGCAGCGTTAGCAGTGCGGTACGGGTGTCGTACGATTAACGGCGGGGCGCCGTTGAGATTTTGACACTTAGGATTAGTGCAGCCTAAAGCCCATCATATGTGTTGGAAAAGCACGCGGCCACGCTGGGTGATGCAATAATGACTGGGTTTCACTGTGTGTTGCACGTCGTACGACAATGAATCGCAGAAATCGCAGACCGCCGTTGGAAGACGACTCGAAAGGTATGATCCTAGTAATCTTCGGCGTAATATAAGGGAAGATGTGTTGCAGGGCGCCTTAGAGACCGCAATCCCAGGACTTCGGCCCAATGCACTGGCAAACACGTGTTCACGGAGGCTGTGTCCAGAAGCGTGCCTGGCGCGGCAGGTCAACCGTGGAATTGGCGTGTGAAATGAGGCTGAAAGCCCACGATCATCGGGGCCTAGAGCGACCAAACCGATTCAGCAGGCGTGGCGTGGCTTGTTCCAACGTCGGAAAATTGATGAGTGTTTACGTCGATTCGCGATTCGAATGGGGGATGCACTAGGCGGCTTTGGCAAATTCGAAGCTATCGTCGATCGTCCTAGAGCGCTTTCGGCGGGTATGGAGTTTCTGGCGCAATCGATATATGGCGCGCGTCTCGTGCTTCTCGGTACACAGACTCTGTAAGTCATACGCGAGTGCAAGGTGGTCCCTGGGGTGCGCAAGCGCGCTGCTAGAAGAGCCGCACCAGCACGCGCGAGCAAGTCGCGTAGATGCAAGCGGAAGCTCGGCTCGACGGCGTGGTGTGCTTGACGTCTTGACGAGTGCAGAAGATTCTTCTGTTCGCGTGCGGCGTGCGGCTGTTAGTGTGGTCTGCGTGCCGGTCGTCTCGCTGCTCCCATTCACTGGAGGCAGACGTGATGGTTGCGCCCGTGCATGACATCTGGCTTAAGCGGGCTTGGCAATGACGTCGGTGCCCCTGCCCTGCGCAAAGCCGGCAAGTGCAGTATTCAAGCGCCAGATTCACGATGGGCGGGTCGCAGCACCAGCGCGCAAAAGCGCCTGGATGCTGCCACGCCTCGCGGTCCGTCAGCCACTGTGTAGTTTAAGCTGCCGTAGTCTGCTTTTGCAGCTGCACCTGTGAAAGACCTGCCCGCTAGGACTTGAGCCTCCGAGCCGGACTGTCGCAACCCTGGTCGTGGTGCGGTGCCTTGCCAGGAAAGCCGCCTTCTCCCAGCCTTAGCCCACCCTCTGTCAATTACGCTCCCGCTGCATACACAGCGTTCCCCAGCCTGTGCTGCCAGACCCCATCGCCAGCGCAGCTCACCGGTCTGCACTGCGGCGTCGTTGTTCGTCGTTCTAGCAGCCTCCACCGGCCACATCGGCTCGTCGCTGTCGTCGCTTCAGGGTTCTGCTAGTACGTCATTGTGGGCTTTAGGGGCCACCACACGGTGCGCTGTCGCCAGGGCTTGTCTTTGCCTCTGCCTCTAGTCCCAGCATCATCGCGAATGCATGAACTGCCTTGTCACCGGCCATTGCTCCATCCTTCGCACGTCTTCTCCCTCAGACCGCCGGGGGCGAATAGGGGGATGCAAGAATGAATCGGGCTCCGTTGCCATCGCCAAAGTCGAGGGCTGCTGTCGAATCCACCGACGTCACCGCGCAAGACACCGCTACTTCGAACCAAACGACACGACCGCCGCTGCAACGCCAGCCCGCCAGCGACCTGTCGCATGCGCAGGAACAGGCCCAGGATGAAGACACCACGGATGCAGACATGAGCGACAGTGCAGACGAGGGCCGGGACCCAGGGCTGCAGGCTGTGAAAGAGGCACTCGAAGAACCACCGCGGGGGAAAATCGTCGCCTGACGAGCTGGAAATTGAGCGGCTGCGTAATCTACAGTTGAGGGCAATCCAGAAACAGCAGCGTGCGAGGACGAAGAATTCGGGAAGCACGAAGACTAACACGCCCGTCGGTGCGCGACGCGTTTCGCCCATCAAGGAAGAACCCGTGTCTACTATGTCGCCAACCCTCGAAGGCGCCTTCAGCAGCCCGCTGCCCACGGCTTCGACCGAGTCAACCGAGTCTGCCAGAACCATCCGCGGCAGTATGCCACCCACACCCGCAGCCCGCGCCCTTCGCACACCGTCGTATCCCTTCCCCACTGTCCCCAATACACCCGCAGTGTGGTCCTCAGCGTTCCACCAGCCCTTCACAAATCTATCGCCCACCGTGTCCGCCATGTATGGCAAAGACTACGCCGCACCCCGAGAGCGTGTTTTGTCCGAGTCCAGCACACCTGCAGCATCAGGAACACCGTTTGCGCCTGGAGAAAGGACTTTTCACAGTCCCTACCCAGAAGATCCGCGCTTCCCTAGCCCGAACCTCTATGAGCTGGTATTGTCGGTCAATTTGGAACCCGGTCTTGCTGCGTGGTGGAGCAACATCACAAAGATAATGCTTGATAGTTATGGAGTAGAAAGAGCGACCTTGGCTGTCCCAGCAGATTCCTCGGATATCGAAAACGTACCTTGGGGTCAGAAGTGTACTTTTCACGCATCCGCTCAGGGTGACAGCCCGCGCATGTCCTCTTTTCAAGAGACGAAGATGTCCGAGAAGCCCCCAAGCCCGGAGTCAGAGGAACTTCCTCCAGTACCTATTATTCCTGATAGAAGACCGAAGTTACCTTCGCGCCACTCATTTGCTGGACACGAGCCACATAAGAGAGATTCGCCTGAAAATCCAATCTCGGCATTCCCTCAGCGACCCCGTGGGCTTCTTCGAACGGTCAGCCATGCCCCCCAATCCGCAACGAGAGCAGAGCATCCATTGCGGCAAGTACTGCCTATGTCCTACGACGGGGCTTCATACCGACAGTCCGCCCCCACGCCATCTAGAGGTCCCTCTTTTAGTGACCCTGATTTTTCGAGTATTGGTGGTGCAGAGAACTCACCACCCACTGCCGTGTTTCCTGTGTTGCGTGCCCTGGATCATGAACCTGATGCGCTCATCGACAATTCCGGTATCAATCGGGTATTAGAACGAGGTCGCGTCGTGACGCTGACCAGAGACTACTCACCCTCGTTCTCAGCTTCTAGCCAAAGTTCTAACGACTCTTCACAAGAAGAGCAAACAAACACCACGAAATCCCACGGATCTGCGCAGGAGGCTTATCGATCCGCTACCGCGCGATCACGGGCTGGTCCAGCTTCGAGAAATGCAGAACACGCCGATCGCGGCCTACAGCCTCGCTACGAAGAGTATGAACAGTTCCCTAGCTCGCCCTGGGCGCAATCGCCCGCGCCGTCACCTGCCATTCAGAACGATCCCTCGGAAAATCCTTTTTTCACGACAGGCAATGTAGACGAGGAAACATTTAACCCGTCGGGTTCTAGCCAAGACTATACACAATACGGTATTGTGGAAGCAATTGGCGTCGACAGAGCCAGCACTGTGACACACATACCTCTTATTCATCCCACATTATCCCAGACAATGCAGCCTCCTGACTCTAGTACGCCTTCTGGTACTCCATCTTTATCTGGAAGAGTGTCTGAGCAAGCAGTACCAGAATCGTCGGCCCCACCAGAAGGCTTTCAGCGAAAAGCACCCATTGCCATATTATCCATCTTGTCGTCCATTGTACCATATCCTCGGAATCTTACGAACTCTCTCAAGCACCTTGGACCTCACCTTGCGACATCGTTCTCTAACGCATGGCAATTTTCGAACGCTCAGGCTCAAGCGACTGGTGCTGCACAGCGACGATTCGGTGCAGGTCAGCCAACGGGTTTGGCGCCCATGGTGGATGCGGAGCGCCTTGGTAATCTTCTGCATCTTGACCTTGAAAGCATCGGTCAGACTGCTGGCGGCAGTGTCACAAGCCCTTCAGATTACTCTAGCCGATCGAGGCCCAGTCCTGGCGGCTCCATTGCTGGTACTCCAGGATGGGATGTGAGCGCTATAGGGCTGTCTAGTAAGCATTCAGTGACTAGTACTCCTGGACACTTGGCAGGTGGTGAAGCTGTAGAAAGCTACTTCGACTCGAAGAAGAAGACCAATCGTGGACAGTCTGCCGCAACTCACGAACAAAATCGCAAGCCCGAGAAGCACGCAGCGAAGAGGATGAGCGTTAGCAGCGTAACTGAAATCTCTGAAGATGACGTGCCAACACCCCGAAACGAGAAGGGAATTACAGAAGAATCTTTAGGTTCTCGAAGAGCAAGAGTGGCTCTTCCGCAGAGCAGTCACCGAGGCCACTCGCTGCTCCATTCCTATGGGGCCGATTTCAGCTCCTCTTTCCAATCCCTACCCACCGCGACCACACCTGGTGCTCGAACTCCTGCGACACCGGGTGGTCATGGTAGAAGTGCGTCTATGACCGAGACTCAACCTGCTCCCATGATGCCACCTCCATCGGAGAACCTCTTACGCACTATCATCGACTCTTTGCCGGTCCAGACCTTCACTGCACTTCCCACTACAGGGGCCTTGACTTGGGTGAACTCTAAGTTCTTGATCTATCGGGGACAGGAGCAACATCAGGTTCTTCAGGGTCCATGGGACACGATACATCCCGAGGATCGCGCAGGGTATCTGGAGCAATGGAATCGATCTTTGCGGACGGGACAACAATTACAGAAGAAGGTCCGGTTGCGAAGATTCGACGATTGTTATAGATGGTTCTACGTACGAGTGGCGCCATTGAAGAACAAGCGTCAGCAGATTGTTCATTGGATCGGAACGAATATGGACTTCCACGAGCAACACCTTGCTGAGATCAACTCTGCCCGACAACAAGAGACTGCCGCATCAGAAGCCAAGTATCGCGCGCTCGCCAACTCCAGCCCTCAAGTGGTGTTCGTAGTATCAGATCGTCGGGGACTCACGTTCTGCAATTCTCAATGGGAAACGTACTCTGGCCAAATGGAGATACAGGCGCATGGAAATGGCTTCCTGGAGCACGTACATCCAGAGGATGTAATCAAGTGCAAGCTGCCTGAGATGACTGATGATGGCTCCGCCAACGTGCCTACGTCTCTACCAACGGAGCATGTTCGTCAGGACTCGTCATCGTCCGATGATTCTTCTGAGACAGAAAAGACGATAACCAGCCCGGGAAGCTCGCCGGACAGAATGGACATGCCGCAAGCAAAGCTGTCAAGGCTTGCGAGTACCGGCATTCTCAGGATCAAGAAGGACGCCGATGGCCGTGCTTCGTATTCCACCGAAGTCCGACTTCGTAACAAGGATGGAGAGTACAGATGGCATCTTGTTCGTATTCTTCTCGAGAAGTCACTTGCCGAGGACAGCGAGGAAGAGACCTGGTATGGAACCGCTACCGACATCAATGACCACAAGCTTCTTGAGCAGACCCTAAAGGAAACGATGGATGCCAAGGGTCGCTTCCTCAGCAATATGTCTCACGAGATTCGGACGCCGCTCAACGGCATATCGGGCATGGTCAACTTCTTGCTTGACAGCCCACTGAGTGGGGAGCAGCTCGAGCATGTCAACATTATCAAGGCTAGTACGGACAGTCTGTTGAACCTCATTAACGACATCCTAGATTTATCCAAGGTGGAGGCGGGCATGATCAAGCTTACCATGGAGTGGCTCCACTTACCTTCTTTGTTGGAAGAGGTGAACGACCTTAACATGGGCCTCGCCATACAGAAAGGATTGGAGCTCAATTATGTCATGGATGAAGGTGTTCCTTCAATGGTCAAAGGCGACAAGTTCCGCATACGACAAGTACTCTTGAACGTAGTCGGTAACGCAATTAAGTTCACTCAGAGGGGCGAGATCTTCGTACGCTGTCGACTCCAGCCCTCCGATAAGACGGGCCCGCTGGCCGCCAACGAGACCATGGTCTGCTTTGAAGTTATCGATACTGGACGAGGCTTCACCGAGAAAGAGGCTAAGTATCTCTTCAAACGATTCAGTCAAATCGATGCGAGTAGTACACGACAACATGGCGGAACAGGTCTTGGGTTGGCGATCTCAATGCAGTTCGTCGAGCTACATGGAGGACGAATGGACGCTCGAAGTGTTCCCGGGAAAGGCTCGACCTTCTTTTTTACGATTAAATTTGGCCTACCCAGCGACGACGACTATCCGCAACCGAAGCCATCTACGCCGGGCACACCAGCAGCGGAGCCTCCGATACCGGTTCCGCCGCTACCTATACAGTCGGCTCCGCCGTCCAAGCTTACGCACCCGCCGCATCTTGCTCAGTTTCGCCACGAGCGCTTCTCCAGCGGCTCCTCCGAAAAGAGCGAATCGATCAAGTCGCCGGTGCCCAGCCTTACCGCCTCCGAAAGGTCTCGCGAATCACCTTCACTCTCATCGGGGAGCTCCGATCACTCCCTGACCAGTGCCGCTCTGACAGGAAAGTCCAGTCTCCGTTCAGAGCGCTCTTCGGCTTCGTCATTCCTACAGGAAAGTACACTAGCATCCCCAGAACCGGAGATAAAGCTTGCCCTTCCACCTAAGAGGGCGCCGAGTCATGAAGACGCGATGAGTTCGGAGGAGACCGTCATAGCAACTGGAACTCAGCGGAGCCTATCGCCACTTGGAAGTTCGTTGTCACCTCCCATGTATTCAATCTTGGTCGTGTGCCCCTTGGTGCACAGCAGAGAAGCAACGATAAGGCACATTAAGCAGACGTTGCCCACCGGTATCCCACATCAAGTCACAGGACAGCCCAGTCTGGTGGAAGCACAGCGGATGATTGGTGGTGACGATCCGGTACTGTTCACCCACGTCGTTCTGGTTCTACACGAGACCGCCGAAGTGATCGCTATCATGGATCAGATACTGAACTCGATGGTCCACGGCAATGCATCCATCATAGTGGTGTCAGACCCTGCCCAAAAGAAAGAGTTGATGAATGCAGCACCCATGTACGACTATGATCAACTCTTGACGGATCGACGACTGCAATTCATCTACCGACCGCTCAAACCGTCCAAGTTCGCAGTCATCTTCGACCCGCAGAAGGAGCGGGAGTCTAGCACCGACCGTAACCAGGATACGGCGCAGCAAGTCGTATTCAACCAGAAGCTCGTCTTTGAGGAGCTTAAGCGTCGGTTGGGAGGCAAGGGTCACAAGGTTCTTCTTGTCGAGGATAACCACATCAATCAAACGGTAGGTGACCGTACTCTTGCGCCTAGGAATCATTTGACTAACGGTGATCACAGGTCGTACTCAAGTTCTTGGCCAAGATCAACATTGATACCGAAACTGTGCTGGATGGGCAACAGTGCACTGACACAGTCTTTGCTAAACCGCCGGGCTATTACTCTATTATCTTGGTATGTTACTTCCACTGTACCTAACGAACTCGTGCTGACTCCATACAGTGCGATCTGCACATGCCCAACAAAGACGGCTACACAGCGTGTAGGGAGATCCGTCGCTGGGAAAAGAAACACGGGTTCCGCCGGCACCCCATTATCGCGCTTTCCGCTAATGTCCTTGGCGACGTCTACGCAAAGTGCGTCGACGCCGGCTTCAACTCATATGTCACGAAGCCGGTCGAGTTCAAGGAATTATCGCTCGTAATGACCAAATTCCTAGATCCTCCGGATAAGAGCAAGGCGCCGGAGCTTATGAAATTGAAAAAGGGGTGAACAACTGGAACGCACACTGAGACGACCAAAGCTTCTAGATGAAGATACACGCACATACAAAGGAGTGTGCATAGGAAACAAGCAACACAACAGCAACGCATGTTATTGAAATTACCGCACTGCATTAGCGACTCGGCGCTACGGAGCGCTCTTCTCGCTTCCGCGAACGAATGAACAACCTGGTACGGGTGGAGGAATACTTTGCTTCTCTTACCTTCTACATCAGCAATCCTACGAATTGCGCTTTTGGGAGGATACACTGGACGGGGTTAGGGAATGTAATCGGATTGGAATTGGACTGGAAATTATGACTCGAACTGGGGCGCATTAGCATGGCGTTCTTGCTGCTCTTCCAGTACGCTGGGGCGAGTATACACGGCTTCGGTTTGTGTGAGAGGGGGGGATGGATGGTATGGGATTGGGGTAATTGGTAGGCATGAGGAGGGACGGGATAGGAAACGGGAAGGGAAGGGGTGGCTTGTATTATAGTGTATAGGTTCATAAATGAGATTCACGATGTGAAAACCCCCGCTGATGTCCGCGGTGCCTTCCTGATAACCTTTCCGGTAACGATTCTTCCCAAGCCGCATTATCTCACCGTCCACGTCTGTAAATGGCTAGCGTGTAGGCCCCGCACCGCGCATTCCCAAGAGTTGAGTTCGACAGCCTTTATGTCCTGTATGCAATAGGACGGTTCTGCGTCTTGGATCGTCGTGCAGAGGTTTTCGGTGCCTGTTCGTCTGTTAGCCTGTGTAAAGAGATATCACGACTCCGCGACGCTGCTGCCTGGCGCCATAAACAATGCTGGCGGCAACTTAGAACGCCCACGACATGATAAAGAAATCTCGGCCTCCAAATAGCCCTGCTCGATATGATTCTTGACCTTGGTATTGTCTAGCTAGCATATGTTCGCAGACTCTGAAGGCACAGCCCGGGCAAAGGAAAAGCTGATTTTGGTTAGGGTTAGCTCAGAAAACGACGAGGAGGTACTGAAGAAGATCGACAAGGCAGCTTGAGCTAGATTTATCACTCTCCACAATGGCTCTCTGCACTGATTGCTCGGGAATGAGTTTCGAAAGTCTACTGGAAGGTCACACCCATCTCCGAGATGCTCGTCAGTTGCTCACGAGCTCCAAAACTTGCTCTCTGTGTCATTTGATTCGACTCGCTTTGAATAGGGATACAGTCAAAGAAGTGGGGAATGATTTTGAGACCGGGTATTACGATAGGGTAGCCGAAGCCCCTCTAGTGCTGTACGGAGTGTTCGATGAGGAGGAAGAGCATGACGCGGTCGAAAAGGCCAAGAATGGAACGAAACTCGTTGGGATTGATGTACATGTACCACTCATGGATGACGAGCTCGACATCACGATTTTAGGGGTTTATCCAACATCAACATCCTCTACTGTCGACCTGATTGGTGGGCGACCAAGTTTGCAGGAGGCTGGGTCAGAAGAAGCCATGCAACTAATTACGACATGGATGCAGGATTGCATTCACTCGCATCCGCGTTGTGTGAGAACAACATCTGAGCCGAAGCTTCCAACTCGCGTGTTAGATCTTTCCGGAGAGAGCATTCGCTTGGTCATCACGCAGGATCAACAAGACAGATACGCAGCTTTGAGTCATTGCTGGGGCCCGAATCCACCGTTGATGACGAAGACTCACAATATCGATTCGCATCGAATGGGTATATCGTTCGGTGCGCTCCCCAAGACGTTTCAGCATGCAGTGCAGATTGTGAGGAGGATTGGCCTCAGATATCTATGGATTGATTCTCTGTGTATCATTCAGGATGATAAGAGCGACTGGGAAAGAGAAGCTATTCAAATGGGCAGCGTCTACGAAGGCGCGCATGTTACTATTGCAGCAACAGGAAGCTCGAACGCTTACGACGGCTGCTTTATTCCCCGACCAAAGTTGACCGATCCTGTTCCCTTCAACATTGCCTATCAGGGAACTTCTGTGGATGCGTATGCGGCCTTGCGCCCTGAATCGGCTTCGGCGGACTTGCAGAGTAATCCTTTGGCTGATCGCGCGTGGATCACGCAAGAATGGCTCTTGTCGCGACGCATCATTCACTTTGCTAGAGGCGATTTGCGCTGGATCTGCCGCACAAAAAGTGAAACTGAGACCGGCGAAGCTTTCGTAGATACGTCCGGCACGAATCGCATACACCGTGCTCTCGATACCAAAGACCAGAAGGATGATTCTGCGCCAGGGGGAGATCCGCACAGTAAGCGGCTCGAATCCACCAATGCTCAAGCCGAGTGGGACTTCCTAGACGAATGGCTCGACGTCGCGAGCTCCTACTGTAGACGAAAGCTCACGTACCAGAGCGACAAGCCCATTGCATTGCAAGGCATAATCGATGTGATTTCTCGCCAAACCGTACTCACATGCTTCCACGGCCTGTGGGACTTTTCCATCCACCGTCAACTCTTCTGGTTTGCGTCCCACACGCTGACCCGACCCCCAACGCTAGCCCACATACCCTCCTGGTCGTGGCTCTCAACGTACGGAACCATACAGCACTTCACGCAAGACTCTTCCAGTGAACTCGCAGCCTTTGCAGATTCAGAAAACAGAGCATCGGTCCGCATAGACGACGCAACGCTGCACATCTACGCTCCAACGCTTGAACACGGGACCATCGAAGGACCTTACAGCACCGATATTCCAGCCGGAGAGATCGTATACAGCGCCTCGACTATAGAACGCATCAAACATGTTCAGACACAGATGAAGCCGTATCTAAGCCGTCATCGTGGGGATTGGTCGTTGGTATGCCAACACTCCTTTGGGTTGCACGATAAAAGGGGCGCGGCGATAGGATGGTTCTCACTGGACACGGCGAAACTTCCGGATGGAAATATGGTTTTTGTACCACTTGTTCTGCAGGCTGCCAGTGCTGGGAGTCAGGCAAATTTCTTGGTCTTGTGCAAAGAACCCGGGCGGGAGGTTTGGCTGAGGATAGGGGCCGGTGAGTTGAAGGACGCATCGTCGTTGGCAGAGGCGGAATGGAGTCTCTTTCAGGTAGAATAAGAGCGATAACTCCAATCGATTAACGACACGTGTTTGCATGGTGTCAAAAAGTCAGTCTAGCGAAGTCCAGTGAAGATAATGGATACAAAAAGCACAGTTCCGGAATTCTTAGCTATCCATCATATCTGATAGCTGAGTAAAAGGAAGATAGAACAGGAAGCTTCTTCAAGCACCGATGCCCCTGAAAGTCGACCGATGCAATCCCATGTTTTGCAGGGCTTGGACAAGCTCTTTCGGTTCTGAAATATGCGCCTTAAACGAGATTGATCTCTGTGATCGGCAGTGACAGGGTTTCAAAGGCTTCGCCATTCATGATACCATGAACATAGCAATGCCCGATTAGCTTGTAATCACCTTCGGATACAGGCCTTATGATGTATGGGAGAGCAGCATGTGCGAATACGGCTATCAAGTCACCCTTCATAGCAAGTGATGGCGCGAGGCCAAAATATCCTTTTTCACTGCGCACAAAATTTCGCTTCGAGCAATATTCGTTGATAACTAGCTGGAAGTCTGCTGGCTTTGCCAGACCAGGACTGTCGGTTGAGAAGGATGGATGGGTGATGTTGGTTTTTGTAGCACAAAAGGCGTTGAAGACTCGTTCAAAGTCGTCGAGGTGGTCGAGGGCCCGCAGATGAGTCGTTATACTCAGCAAGCCGCAGCATAGTGTAAGCGCAGCTGCAAACACAACGTCGTCGTAGGGAGTTGTTTCAAGCCACGTCGTCATAGATTGTAAGTCGGGGCCGAGATGCTCAGCTATTGCCTCCGGCGGTATGACTGACAGCTCGTCGGATTTCAAGAGTGCTGCCACCCAGAGAGCAAGTAGCCGCGATTGCGGATGTTCCCATGCGCTCTCGACACGATCAACAAGCACGCCTCCTATTGATAGGAACTTTCTCCCAATGGTGTATCCCGCCATCGTGGTCTTGCCTGCGTCGATATCTCGTTTCCTTTGGAACACTATTGGACTTGATGGCAAGACATCCCACCGCTTGCGCCAACAACCTCCAATAACACACCGTTCATCAAGGTCTACGTCAGGTACTTCGGGATTTGGTGTTCTGTGATGCCACCTTGCTACCCATGATGGGGTTTCCGATGCCAATGTAGTTGGCGTATGGTAAACCAAAGCTAATGCCTGAAGCCCATAACGTGGTTCTTGGATCAGCGCAATCATAACGTCAAAATAAACCTCCTCCACAGTTTTGCTATAATCTGGAGTTACGAGAATGTTGTTATGCGGAGGACTTCTCGCCGAAGGGTAATTGAGGAATCCGTAGACGTAGTCTCGTGGATCAGTGGCAAGTAGCCTATGGCTCACTGCCAGCACTCTGAGGAAGTTGAAGCCCGAGAAGATTGTCTCTGATAGCCGCATGGTTGTTAAAAAGCTGCCCGGCGAGTATCTCTTTAGCTCTGTGACTACGCTACTGTTGCCGTTGTCGATACTCTCGCTGAACCAGCGGTAGAACGCGCGCATTGTTTTCCTCGAGATTGTCGATGCACCCCAGTAAAAGGTAGCGTTTGCGTTCATGCCAAATTCCTGCTGTACCCAAATACGATTGAACCAGTCGTTCTGGAAGAAAGATCTGATACCATTCCAGGCATTGGCATCTAGCTGATTCACATCATCGCTCCACCTACAGTATTCCTCTTCTCCAGCATTCAAGGTATAAGCGTCGGCAAGCATTTTTATCTCTCCGAACGCAATAGGAGCCCGTTTCTCATGATCGTTACCGAGCCAGATGAGGACGCCGGACGCATTTGCGTATATTGTACCCATCATAGCGACCTGCCTTGATTTTTCTTCCGCATCTTTTTGATTGATACAAAGTGCATCGGCCCACAGCAAACGTGGACGGTCGGCGAAACGAAAGACTCGCAGCGCGTCCTCTAGGTTCTGCCGTATGGTGATGGTTTCGCCGTTATACAGCAATGTTGCATTGTCTAAAAGATTGCCCCACACCCAGGAGATGGCCTCATACGGTGAAACAATTTTCGAACCAATTTGATGAAGCTGAAATTCGATCTGCAGAGGGTCGTCACGGGTGCCTGGGTAAAGCTTGATTGTACGGATATACTGTTCTGCTGGGTCTTGTGGAAGTGCTTCGTAAATCGAGCTTATCATTGATGTGGTGTATTGCGACGTACCCTCGGCCTGTTGAGATGCACGAATAAAATGAGGTGAAGGAGTGATGGAGTGACTGCCTAGGTGATTGGAAGGCGCTAGCCTTCGTACACCTGAGCAGGGCTAGCGCGCTCCTGCCTCAGGAAGTTGCGAGGGTACGAGGTAGTGTGGCTGCCAAGTCAGCCTTGCAGAACATCCCGGGCCATATACGTATCATCAAGTGTGCTCAAGAATCCAACATATATCTCTGTATCAGCCTGCCACGTTCTGCACATCTCTTTGCTGTTTGATGGTATGAGGCATTAGCGAATAATCATGTCTTTTGTCTTTGGAAGTTGGGCGATCAAATCAACCCAGCCGCCATCCATGTGCCTGACTTCTCCTTTAGGCACAGACACCCGTCTCACTCTTCTTTCAGAATATGTTATAAGCTCTTTGCTCTTTCTTTATTTCTCCTACATATGTCCACCACACTCGTCCAAGTTAAAAGTCCAAACCCTTCGTGTCTCATGTCCAAAACGATCTCAGTTGAAACGACGACTACCTCTGAGCATTTCTGTTCACAGGACTAAATAATCGCATCTCACATCTTCTTTTCGGGTATATAAACCTTCTTGCTACTCGAGCTCACCTTACACACTTCAATTACAAGTCCAGAAAATCTTATCTCATCCTCTGACGGCCCCAAAAGTTGCGACCCTAATATAAGATGTGTTGAATGTTTAAAAGTACCGAGAGCAAAGCCTTGACTCTGTCCGCGAAGGCTCTCGATGAGAAACGTCGTCACCGCCAACTAGGCGCTTTGTATCCCAGCACGCGTTCACGTCCGGACATACAGATTCTCCTTCTCAATTTCAAATCTTCCTCACAATCTTCTCCTACTGGAACTAGACATGTGATCTACATCTGGAATCAAGATCAAAGTACATGCAGTCACATGTGTCTGCCTCAAGCTTTTGTGGAAATGTAACCCAGGCTTGCAAACCTACCCTAACCTACCTTCTCACCAACGCATGAAGATGGTGACGACATGCAGCACCACATGCCAATGAAGACTTTCAGTTCGGCATGGCGGTATACTATATAATCCCCCCTTCCCACACCATTCCTCAGTACACTTTCTTCCCACTCAATCCAAAAGCCAAGCTGCTTGGAACGACGGGACTAAAATCGGTTGCCGAGAACGCCATGTCTTGTCCGCCATAAACTAGCAAACTTGCCATTCATGTTCCGGTGTCGGGATCTTCACTCAAGCACGACGACAAAGACCTATATGTCTCTGTGCTGAGCTGTTGCGTCTACGTGACTCAGATCTTGGAAGGTTGGATGTAAGCGGGCGGTACCATGAATCTGGTGGTGGACCGCAACAGCGCACTTCAAAGGTGTTCGGCTTGCGAACAGATATATAGTCTGCGCTCAGGGTACTTCTTCCACTCTGCACACTTTCATTACGAGGGCTAAAATCCCAGAAGAGACACACGATGTGTTTAAAATGACCACGCAGTTATGCCTATATCTTGCGGTCGAAAAGTGCAATCTGGCACCAATATGCGCGTCTGAGGGCCTGGGACCTGGCTTCTACAGCATCAGCTTCAGATTGCATATTTACGCGACGCCGGTGATGTGTAGAGAGGACAACATCACCGTATTTGCCGGATGGTGACGAAACGCAGTACCGCATGTCGATGAGGAAGTCTCGATTGATAACAGGTATATAAGCCTCTCTGGACAGACTACTTCGATTCTACGCGCTTCCCATTAGAGGAATAAAAGACTAGAGAAGAAAGCTCACATGTTCTTAAAAGACTCTTTATGGGATAATGTCTTGTGGACTACAAATCTGCCAATCCATTGCAACATGGGCGCGTCTAGGAGGCCGTGTCTAAAAAGGTTCGGTGTAGCCTCTCGGAATGGTAACGATGATGAGGGTGTCCAAATGAGCCATCGAAAGCCGACATGTGTCGAAAGCAAGTCACTGAAATAACATGACTCTGCGCGGGAGCTTTCAGAGGTTCGGAAAGAGTAAATTGTGCCTACGTGGCTTGGCCTTGTCACAAAAGGAAACCATGAGTTGTAAGAAACAAATCTGTACGCCTTCAACGCAAAACAGATCCTCAAATCCAGCTCCGAAACGCCTCCATCATGCTCTACGTAGTAGGAGCCCCAAAAACGGAGGACTTACAGCGCCATGCTTTTCAAACTCGATCTTTCTTTCGTCGTATACATCTTTTCCCCCTCGCCAACCATCGCCTCACCCTACGAACTCAACCTAATCTCCCCATCCGCTCTCCTCAGCCCCAACTTCTGCAGCTTAATCCTTGGCACCACACCCAGCAGCACCAACACACTCGCCACAATCACCGCCCAATGCTGAATATGCGCTACGTTAAGACTGTACGTAGTCCAGCTCGCCGCACAAACAGTCGCCAACCCCACCGTCGCAACAACATAGCCCGCCGCGCGGTGGTACTTCCAAATCGCTTTGGCCTGGTCTACACCGCCGTACAAGCTCGGCGTGTAGTACTGCGTGAACCCCACCACGGCCTGCAGCAAGATAGCGACGTAGAAGATCAAGCCGAGGATTGCGTGAGGCGACTCGAAGTGCTCGTGTCCCGGACCGGCCTTGTTCAGCTCGATGATGACCAGGCCGGAAAGCAGGGCGGAGAGTCCGAAGAGGTGGAACAGCGCGTGGAGGAGGGTACCGGTGCGTTTTTGGTCGGCGGTATGTGTGGGTTGGAGGATTAGGGCGGCTTGGGTTACGAGGAGGAGGCCGGCGGAGTTGAGGAGCTGTGGCACGGGTTCAATTAGTGGAGGCAGGGGCACGGATGAGGAGGACACGTACGGGATGCGCAGAGAAGAAGATGAGGTCGTGGGACAGGATAGCACCCCAAATAATGGCGGCGAGTATCCATATGCCTGCTTGGGCGAGGGGAGCGGTGCCTGTTCGTTCACCGTCAGCAAGAGTGGACCGGGATGTTCAGGGAATTCGAAGGCGTACCCAGCCAGAGATTCTTCCAAATAGAATCACCCTCTACCTGCGCTGCATCGCCTCTCCGCCCAAGGAGTGGCTCGTCTTCCCCCGCGCCGCGCACTCCGTTCATATTGTCTGGTATTCCGGTGGCTGAAGCCATGTTGATACTCCAAGGTTACTTCTATGGGTAGACAATGAATGCAGGCTACTCTATCTCAACAATGATAGCGCAAAGTGTTAGCACTCTGGGGATTCAAGCTCCAGGATACTGACAGCAGCTGGGTTGGTAATAGATGGACCTGAGGTGGAGTTGATCGATGACGAAATGCACCCTTGTCGCCGCGCCAGCGCCAATGGGAGCGGGGCGGGTCGTAAGCACATCAATGGAAGCGCCAGCTACGCGAGGTCAGATGAACGCGTACTTCGAGCGTGTCCTTCCTAATTCACAATGTCGAGTCATACTGTAGTGGTCGGTGCTACTTCTGATGCCGTGCGTTTCTGTTCCGCACTTATTACGAAGGAGCTCATTTCTATAGATTATCCTTTGGCGAGAACACCAAGTCGATTTGCTTTACTCTGCACCATAATAGTACAATATTATATGTTGAAATTGAAAACAAAGCCTTATCCTATAGGCAAGGGGTTATCCTCAAAGTTTTTCTTTATAATATCGTACTATGGTTGTGCTGTACGCATATGAAGTTGGCACTGACGTAAGGCGAAGAGTCAATAAACATGAGCTCCTTGGTATAATGTGATGTCAAGAACTCTGTAAGCCACGTGTGGCAGCTTAGCACGGTGAAGTAGATTCTTCTTTTACATATACATATCTAGACAAAAGGATCATATCGACGGGACACTGTGTCTCGCGCCGAGGTATATCGCCAGTCAAAGCCAGCCCCAAGACGCCCGATATGCTACATATACTGCCAAATCAGCCACAGCCGTAAATTCAACGATGAAAATATCGCCTGCTAATCGGCTCTATTCTAGATCTTCCGGCCTTTTCACCGGTGACGCTCTTGAGGGACTGTCGGTAGCTGCTCGTTCTGCGCTCGCTCCAGCTCCCAGGTTGAGGCTTAGGCTGTTGCGAACCAGTCCCCCGCTGGTGGAAATCCTAGGCCTCACTGGATCAGGATCCTGCGTATTGACGGGCGCATACAGATCCTGCGCAGCAAGATGTGCGTTGATCCTCGCCTCGTTCCTCATCTTCTGAACCTTGAAGTAGTTGTACGCTGCAATGCTGCAGATGGTAACGACTAAGCCGGTCAGATTGATCGGCGTGAGTGGATCATGGAACACAAAGTTCGCTGTTGTGATTGTCACCACCTCTTTGAATATGCCGCAGATGCTCAAAGTAACGACGCTGGTCCTCTTCAGCAGCGCAAACTCACTTGCCGTCATAAGGAAAGCTAGGCACCCCGGAAACAGCAGAATGCCAATGCCCAGCAGGGTGCCTTTCATTTCGAATAGTCTCGAAAGCCCAACGAATAGGGCGGGGAATCCTTCCACGGGTATCGCTAAAACGAGGATGCTAAGAAACATGACAGGTGCTAGGAAAAATATCGAAGAGAACGGGTTCGCGGTTGCAGGGTTGCGGAGAAGGAGGATTTGAGTCAAGGACCAGCGAAAGCCCGACGAGCATGCGGACGACATGACGAGGATGAAGCCGCGGACGTCGAAGTCGGTCTCGCCGGCGACCATCATAATTACGCCGAGGGTCATGATCGTGATGATTATGATGAGGCGGTATGATATTTGCTCTAATCCAAATAGAAATGCAAAGACAAGGACGAAACCAAGGGCAGATGATTTGCACATTGCTAACATCAAATTAGTGTCTCGTCAATCTAAGTCTTTGTGTGGACTCACTGAAAAAGGTCAAGGTGATGAACTTCAAGCTCGTATTGCCCAACCCGATATCCATGCCCGTCGCCACTCCGCAGGGACCGATCCGCGTAAAATAAAACCACTTCGTCATCAGCGGTTTCTTAGGGTCTACCAGCTCTTCGCGGGCGCCGGGGGCATGGGGATCAAGAGAATCGTGGCGTGGTCGAAGCGAAGGTATCATGAACAGAACGAGCGATGCGAGCGTAAATTGAACCACCATGTGCAAACAGGTCGTAAAGAGGGGGAATGGAAAGATATTCTTTGTTTCGCCGTCCTCTTTCTCTTCCTTGAACATCCACTTGTTGTACACGGATATGGAGATGGAAAAGAGGTACCTATTGCAATTAGCTTGCCATTTGTCAGATCCCAATAAGATTCTTACCATAACCCTATCAACAAAGCGTTGATCAGCATGGACTGTATCATAGTCTGGTTTGCAATTTTCTCCTCCTCCTTTGTGAATTTGGGCTCTTCCGGGACAACGCGGTTCTCCAGCAACGTGTTCCGCCTCTTCCTGCGACGCCTCCGCCGCCTATCCCGCCCAGTGAGCCCCGTCTCCTCGTCGTCCTGGAGGCCGTCGGCGCTCATGTCGTCCAATTCAAGATCGTCGCTGTCGGTGCGTCCTGAGGAGTCGGAATCGCTCCCACGGTCTTCCCCTTCTTCGAGGATGTTGTCAGACTCAGACTTCCGCCGTCGATGCTTGCGGTCTGCGTGCTGAGAGGGTGCTGAGGCGCCGGCGAGGGAAGAGGAGCGTCGGCGAGCGTGGTTTGCAGTCGCCTGGTCCTCCATAATCTTAGGGGTCGGAGGGTGGACCAGGGACGCTATGTTGCGAGGGGCGTGCCGGGCGCCGTCGTCGCTGTCTGCGTCGGGATCGGTGCTCGAGGGAGGATTCGAGATTGTAGCGAGCGGAAACACATCGGCGGGATGCAGCAGCGAATCCGGGCGAGCTGGTGCTTTTGAACCTTCGAGCCAGCGCACCACCTCCGCGGTGGACATGGTCGGCGGTGACGGGGAGACAAATGACGGGGTTAGCTCCTTGGCGGCCGATCACAAGACAAGGGCTCCACTGCTCATCTGCTCATGCCGATGCTCATCGGGGATGGATTTCGGCCTGGTTGCAAAGTCTGGTACCTTTCGTGCAGATGCAGTTGCCGTCTCAGCGTTAGGTTCGCGATGTGTTGAGACGCCCTGTGGCCGATCTGTAACACGCAATCCGGCCCGGCTCCTAAGCGCTGCTTGGCTGTTGTGTACCGTCCCAATCCCCGTTGTCGCGTGCCTGAATACGCTTGTCTATAGCGGAGGGGTTATCTGCTCTACGTAATTTGCATTTACATATTATTTCTCCATGTAGCTTCAAGTGTGATTGCATTCAATGGTACCACAGCCTTTCAGCCGAGCCTGGACCAAGAGCAAGCCAGTATACACATGGAAAGCCACGCATGTCATTCCAGGGCACTACATGTATTGGCAGTACCGTCAATGCATCTTGGGTCAAGTGGACCCAGGCTCTACTGACCTGTTTCGGACCAGACTTGACAATTGACAGTGAAGGTTTGGAATACACTGTGTTTAACGCATCTCAGCGCTCTAATAATATGTACCGTAGCTCCACCGAGTATGCAAATTGCAGGGAACGCTCAAAATCACCAAAACCTCAACTTGTATACAACAGCCAGATTGCCCAGCTCAGTCCTATTCACTCCGTTCTTTGCGTCCGTCCGACTTGCTTCCAGCACCGTCGATGTGAGGGTCGTACTCTCTGCTCCGCACAGGGACTGCCGTCGGGTTTGCCTCCTTCAGCGGCGCAGTTTCTGCAGTCTCGATCTCGCTATCTTCGTCGTCCCGCCCCTGTCTCCGCCGCTCAAGCCATTCGTCATCGCTTTCGTCGTCACTTTCGTCGCCAGCTGCGACCGTGTAATGACTTTCGCCCCCAGCAGGGTCCTTAATAAACCCGTCGATGATCCAGTATTGCATTGCATTCATAATCAACGGGAAAATGAACATGACAAAGAGAATCTGTAGTGCCTCGCTGCCCTCGGTCCAGCGCAGAGCCCAATCGCCCACCCATGCAATCCAAGGCAGAAGCTGGAAGATGAAGAAGACGCACAACTTCATGCCGAGAAGGCCGAGGAAGTAAATGACGGACTGTTTGAGCCACCAGGTAGCTCGCGGTGGGTGGCCATAGTTTCCGGAGCGGATCGACTCGGGCGGGTTCGCCATGGGTGTCAAGAGGAAAGCCCGGTGAAGGACCTTGAGAAGAAGTACGAGGATCGGAATGCCGATGGTTGTCTAGTCATGTTAGGAAATCGCATACTTCTGGGATATAGAATACATACGTCAATCGCAAGATTGAGCAGGTAGAACGAACAAGGATTCGGCTGGTTGCCCTCGTCGTCCTGGCCTGCTAATTGTGGAGTAGCCTTTGTGTTCGCAGCGACATCAAACTTCCCTGATGAAATCATGGACATGAAAATGTTGGCCAAGTGCAGCAGAACAGATCCAAAGACCTGTTTTGACACGTCGAAGAACCAAATCTTGAGCGGACGGCGGGGCGTTTCGCGCCACCGTTTAAAGGCCAGCGAGGAAACAGCCAGCAGGCCCAAAGCACCTTGGACTATCAGAGCGTATGGTCCCAGCAGATGGCACTCGCCGTTGTCGTCTGACTCCATCGGATTGCCAGAAGCAGTCGTTGCGGGCTTGGTGGTGGCGGCGTCAGACGTCGCAGGTCGCTGTTCGGAAGAGGCTGGTGTAGCGACAGCAGTGGGAATGGGTTTTTCAGTAGGCTCGGACGACTCGATTGGTTTTGCAACGGTAGGACGCTCGGGAGCGGGTGGTGCAGGTGGTTTCTCCGGGTCTGCCTGTACGCCATCGATGCCCAACAGCTCAGTCTCAAAGATCAAAGTCGATCCGGCGGGGATGGGTCCAGTTGCGAAACTGCCATATCCCAGACTTGGCGGAATGGTCAACTTCCTACCCTCTCCAATGCACATTCCTACGAGACCCTGATCCCATCCTGCGATGACCTGTCCTGCTCCCAACGTGAACCTAAAAGGGTCTCCCCGGTCGTAGCTCGAGTCGAATTGAGATCCATCGCTCTCTAATGTTCCCTTGTAGTTGACAGTGATCTTGTCACCAGCTTGCGTCTTCCGTGTGCAGTCAACCGGCTTCGTAACTTCGATACCGAGGCCTTGGGCGGAGGCGAGGGAGAAGAGGAGCGAGAGCTGCAGCGCGCATAACGTGGTAAAGCGCGCCATAAACGGCTGTTCAAGCGACGAGCTGTCGCGATGTCGTAGTGAGTCGCGAAATGGTAACGCAGAGGAGGAAACGGTGGAGCGAGCACGCAAGCGGACTTGGAGGTGTGGCGAGGTCTTGTGATGGTGAAACGCGTCAAAGCGGCACTCTGTGCCTTTTCCCGTCGATCGTACACAGAGGGAAAAACGATGGGGAAACTGTTCACAAGCGAAGAGAAATGTAGTATGTGCGACGATGGTGGGAGCCTGCGCCTCGATAATGATGTGAACGTCCGCAGCCCGCGGGTTCTCGCCAAGTTGACGACGGCTCTAAGCTTCAGCCAATCACATGTCATCTGTATAGTGGACCAAACTTCACACGTTGCCCGCAGCTCTTCCACACTTCCCATCCTCTCGCAACTTTGCTTAAATCACATCTGATTATCTCTAAAAGGCTACACCTAGATGATAACAATCTAATTCGACTAATTCAGCTCACCTTCATTCTTAAATCCAGTGTCAGTACCTATGGTATTAAGGGTTAAACAAGAAAACGCAACACGACACGCATAGGATGTCCATCAGCATGCAATATCGACTCGCAGAACTCAGCTACACCATAGTATCCTGAACGCTGTCAGCTTCAATCATGGCCCCGGGGACTACCTCAATTGCAATGTTTGTCGTCTCAAGACAAGCTTCCGCTGTTTGTTTTTCGCATAGTGAACTACTTGCATACATTTGGTTCCAGGTTAATGTCGGTATGAGCTCGCGAATATATTCAGTACTATGCACATGGAGCGCGGAGAATACGTTAGGATGTTTGTCCATTTCAGGTGACCTGAAGGAGGACCAGGTGACTTCGTTGCTCGAGGTGCGACTTCAACCTCTTCGCACATTACAACACTAAGCTAAGTAGATTTCGTGATTAGAGACATATTCTTTACCTTCCTATTGTTTGACTGTACACACGAAGAATCAAGATCAATCATATCAGACCGAAGGAAACCGGCCTATTGAGTTCAAGGGGTATCGAAGCGGTTCAAGTCCTTTTTGCTGATGGGATTGGACAGTTCCTTTTTCTCTTTTCTATTTGGGATCACCTGAATAGTTGTAGTATGAAGTATGAGTTCCTAGAGCCCGGAATCGTATCGGTGAACGATCTGGAAGTAAGGAGCGCGACTGTTGCAGTGTGGCGCCGCTCGCTCCTCCCGGGACCACCCCCGCACCCCCTTGACGCGTGCCGCACTCCCAAGATTCTGGACATGTCATCCTTCACCCTGCACGTACTTAGTGTGTAAAACAAACTCAGGGCTAACTTGACCTCTCATTCGTCCTCAGGCTTACTGCGCATTCGGATTTGGACAGATCCGTGCCTGTCGTCGCTCGTTTGGGCTTTGCCTACAATCCTCAATATGGCAAACTACCTATCAGACTCTTCCCGAGGCAACCTATTGATGACTGCCGGGCCGAAGAGCATGCTGCACCCCTACGCGCGACGAAAATTGAATCCCAAAAGTTATCGCTGCCTCTGCCATTGGTCACAGCTGCCTATTTCGGCCAATACCAAGGTACTGTTTGATTGCACCCTAGCGCTATGATCATCCGGACTATGCACGCAACATGCAAGGCTGAAAGTATAACAGCCACTCCAGCATGTCTTCAGGTGGACATGGCATGGGACGGAGTGCTGTCTCTGATCTTTTGATCTAGCTCTTGTCGCTCACTTCTATTACGTTCACTTCCTTTTATCAACTCAGGTTTGCATCCAGCGTTCTCCTAAATTGGGTCTTCATACTGAAAAGCCCTTTGTAAAGGAGTACCAAAGCCTTGCCAATATGCTTTGGAGAAGACCAGCTCCCCTCGCGCTCGATTTGATACTACTCACTTGCGGCCTCGCAACACTGTAAGGGCTCTACACTTTGTTCCACACAAATCTAATAACAACAGATCCTCTGCAACACTAGGACAACGCGCCCTCGACACATACGACTATGTAATCGTAGGTTCAGGCCCTGGTGGAGGGCCACTGAGCGCTCGCCTTGCTCTTGCAGGATACAGCGTGCTACTCGTCGAAGCTGGAGACGACCAAGGTGCAAACCTTCGCTATCAGATTCCCGCCTTGCATGCACAGTCTTCAGAGGAACCCGGCATGAGCTGGGACTACTATGTGAATCACTACTCGGACCTTGACCGCCAGAAGAAGGACTCCAAGATGACGTGGCGCACACCTTCCGGAGAGCTTTTTGTAGGACCAAACGGTGCTAGTGGAACCGGTGATCCGCCTGCTGGGAGCGAGCCTTTGGGTATACTGTATCCGCGAGCTGGAACGCTTGGTGGGTGCAGCGCTCACAACGCGCTAATCACCGTGTATCCGCATGAGAGTGATTGGGATGGTATTGCTTCATTGACAGGTGATACGTCGTGGGCCGCAGACAAGATGCGAAAGTATTTCGTCAAACTAGAGCACAGCAAGTATCTGCCGAATGGTATCGTTGGCCATGGTTTCGACGGGTGGCTGACGACCATGGTGACCGATCTTACACTTGTCGTGCAGGACTTCAAGCTGCTGTCACTCATCGTCGCTGCCGGAACTGCAATGGGCAAGGGCATTCTATGGAGTATTATAACTACCGTGACCGGTCTCGGCCAAGTCCTTCTGAGCGACCTGAATGTTGACTCGCCCACACGAGACGCGACCGAGGGCATTTATCAAGTCCCTTTGACCATGGACGACCGCCATCGTGTCGGTTCTCGCGAGTTTGTCCTCGACACCGCAAACGCAAAGAATGCGGACGGAAGCAGGAAGTATCATCTTGACATTCTGTTGAACACCCTCGCGACTAAAGTACGCTTCGAAAATACGTCCGCGTCCCCAAAAGCCATTGGCATCGACTTCCTCACAGGCCAAAGTCTCTACCAAGCCGACCCGCGCTACTCTAGTTCCACGAGCGGCACAATGGGCACTGTCAACGCCTCTCGTGAGGTCATCCTCGCCGCGGGCTCATTCAACACACCTCAGCTACTCAAACTATCCGGCATCGGGCCTGCGACTGAACTCCAGCAGCACAATATTCCTGTCATCGTGGACTCCCCTGGAGTAGGCACCAATCTGCAAGACCGATACGAAGCAGTCATAGGCGGCAAAGCAGACTCCGACTTCGCGCTCACAAAGGACTGCACATTCCTCCACGGCTCTCCAGATCCATGCTACGACCAGTGGAAGAACAACGCCGTCTTCAAAGGCGTCTACGGCTCTAACGGGATCGCCATCGGCATCGTCAAAAAGTCTTCCGTCGCGGAGAAAGATCCCGATCTCTTCATCGCGGGGGCACCTGCGTACTTCACTGGGTATTTCCCGGGGTATTCGAACTTCTCGCTCGCGGATAAGAGGCATTGGGTGTGGATCACGCTGAAAGCACACTCGCGCAACACGGCTGGGACTGTGACGCTGAAGTCTGATGATCCACAAGATACGCCGCTCATCAATTTCAATAGCTTTGACGCTGGTACTACGACTGATGGGGCCGATGAAAAGGACCTACAAGCACTGTATGAAGGCATGCAGTTCAGCCGGAAGATTTTCGACTCGCTCATCCCTGTGGACGGAGACTTTGAAGAAGTATGGCCAGGCCGCCAGACGAGCAGTGAAGCGGCGGTGAAAGAGTTCGCGAAGAACGAAGCATGGGGCCATCACGCGTGCTGCACCGCGAAGATTGGTGCGGACGGGGATGAGACCGCGGTCCTGGATTCGAAGTTCAGGGTCAGGGGAGTGCAAGGGTTGCGCGTGGTAGACGCCAGCGTGTTTCCGAAGATTCCTGGGTTTTACATTGCCGTTCCTGTGTACATGGTTTCTGAGAAGGCTGCAGAAGTCATACTGGAGGATGCGAAATAGGTGGCACGAGTTTCTTAGTTGTCATGACAGTTTACAGGTCATTTCCAATCTTAGGATCACCTCACAATAATAATGCTACATAATTACATAGTTACACATTACGGCTTAACAACATTCGCGAAAGAAAGCGTATTGTCCATGAAGAAGTTGGACTGAGGCTCGCCCGAAAACGCAGCGTTCGTGGTGTTGCAGAACTTCGTAAAGCTTCCCGCTTTAGCAAGCTTATCCTTAACAAGCTTCTGGTACTGCGATAGCGGGCATGAGGAGCCGGGGCCATCGTTGCAGTTGGCGACCGGATACACAACGTCGTTCAAAATGATTCGAATGTATGTTGAGGAAGGCGCAGGGTTGGTGGAATTATCGCGCTTGTGGGGAGCGTCGCCAGTGGCATAGCCTGGTGCGACGGTAGGGGTGGAGTGAACAGCAGAACTGGGTGCATGTCCATGCGCATATCCATGCACAGAGCTAGAAGCAGGAGCAGCAACAGAGCTGGGTCCATGGCCATGCGCATATCCTTGCACGGAGCTACCAGAAGTAGCAGCAGCAGAGCCTGATGAAGAACCGGTACCATACACAGGAGCAGAACTGGTTTCATTAGCACCGGGAGTCGAAATAGGTGCCGTACCAGTGCTGGAGCCGGAAGGATAGCTGGGCACAGCGCTTGTAGACGCATTCGGAGAAGAGCCTGAACCAGAGCACACCAAGCGCTCAAAAGCAATGGTACCTCGCATAGGAGTCAGCCTGCTAGCACGGAACTTCCTGTTCGGTAATGTTCTGTTCCCAGGAAGCTGAGGCTCGTTGTCGAAAACGCCACTGGCGGCGATAAGCTGGGTGATTTGCCCGTCGTTCGAGAACGAAGCTATGACGTTGGGTGCCTGGAAAGTAGAATTGCGAAGCGTATACGTCTTGTTGGGCCCGTCGACAAAGCGTCGAACGAGCATGCCCAGGGTTGGAAGCATTTGTAATTTCTCGATATCGGTGCCCAAGCCAGTACCGTACCAGTATCGCAGATCCTGCGCATACTCATATTGAAGGATCTCCTCGTCGGTGAAGATGTTGCAGAACGGGCTTCGCTGTCCGGTGATTTGCGTCTCGAAGCCACACAGGTACGGGATTATGCTGACTTCCTGCTGCGTGAAGGTGAAGTTGCCCTTGATCTCGGCGTTGAGCCTGGCCACGATAGGTGGCAGGTATATGGCTTGCCATTGGTCAATATATGGACTGCCACCTTGGTCTTTGTATGCTGGGCAAAGATCGCTAGGTGCGAGCGAATTCATCCATGATGCCGGGTCACTGCTGTTGAGGGCGAAGATCGTCCCAAGCTCAGTGGCATTAGGCCCCAGGAAACCGTGAACGAACATTCGCGCACTATCCCGCACTCGAGGGCTTGAGTTGTAATAGTTTGACCACATGGTAAAGGGCGTGTTGTACTCGTATAGGTCGGAGTAACGTAGACGCCATGTCGCCCCCATCTCTGTAAGTTCTTTATACCCAGTGGGTGAAATCTGGGCAATCTGGGCACTGGGATTGGAGAGTACGGGCTTCCAGTTCTTCAAGAATTCGAGCTTCTCGTCGCTTACGGTGAAAGGCGACTCTTGAATATGATTTTGGAGCGCCACCCACTCGTTGTAGGCGCCATTATCTGGGTAACGGCTGCCATGGCGCGAGAAGAAAGCAGCCAAGTCCACCTTGCAGCCCTCTGGTACTTCAGAAGAAATGCCTGTTACTTCAGGGCCTTCAGGCTGTTAGCTAAGGGTGTTGCGCACTTCGAATAACACTCACCTGGGAACCATTGCCCATTGCCTCCCAGATGCTGTAGGACATTGAAGTCATCAGCAGTGACATGTGCAACAGCAGTTGCGGCAACAAGAAGTCTTAAGACGCGTTCCATGGTGTCTGTAGTGTGTATTTGCTCTACGCACTGCTCCCATCTTCCTCACGTCGAGCCTGTCTTTATATCCCGGCTGATATCCATGCTATCCACCATTGTTACTTGGTCCTCGGAGATGAGCTTTGGCGATGTATCCCAAAACGGACTCGTGGCGATCAGGGGAGAAGACGGCGCGAACACGTGGGTAACGAACGCAACACCACCGGCTATCTCAGGTACCTGGAGATACACACGAAATAATTCTTCCGTGCGATGAAGTTGCCAATTGACACGGCGCGATGCGTGGCGTATTGAAGATGGAGGTTGCACTCTTTGCAGCTACCGTCGACAGCGCCAACAGCCCACATGGGCGGTCCCCTGCCGAACGCCAACCCCTCACTTGCTCATCATCGCCACGCTCACATGTCGATAAGTTTGGACACGTTTTGATTTCATACGCGTCCATAATTGCATAGTGTTCTGGTATGTTTGGATGATTTTCTTGTTGTGGGCTAGTTGAGCTGATGACGCGGTGCGGGGGGTCGCGCGGCTCACGGTGGACCCATCGTAATCGCATGCCTGGTTCGAAGTCTGCAATTACTTCTTTCAGCCAGCAACTATATCTACCATGTCCCAGAATCTGAACCGGGCTACCTGGATCTGGAAGACCGAAGAAGTCGTCTGCAACGATGATCAAACCGACCAGTTTGTCGCCTTCGCACGCCGACACGGCATCAACCGCGTGTACATACACATCAACCCAGATATCCCCCCCTCCAGCTTGGGCAAAATTCACGAGCAAGTGCAACGGCATCGCAGTCGAGGCACTGATGGGCGATCCTGCCTGGATATATAATACGCACAGCCACGAAAGCTTGCAAATCCGTCTCCGTTGGTTGGAGGATTATCAACAACGCTACGCGCACGATGTGCAATTATTGATCAAAGGTCTGCATCTCGACGTTGAGCCTTGGCAATTGGAGGAGTGGCGCGGTCCTAGTCAACCTGACCTCATCAGACAATGGATCAGCTGCGTCTACTACCTGAAGAATTGGGCTTCTGCTCAACATCCTCCGCTACCAGTTGCAGCTGACCTACCGTTCTGGCTGCATACACTGCAATACCCGGACAGCCATGAGAGACTCGACCTGGTCATGATGAACGTACTGGACGGAGCGGTTTTTATGACGTACAGGAACAGCCCGCAAGGCCTGATGGATGTTTCGGGCGAGGCGCTTATGGCGTGTTGGAGGTGTCAGAAGAGAAGAGAGGGTATCTATCTTGCGGTTGAAACGGTACCGAGTGAGGAAGGAAGACATATCAGTTATCATGGCATGGGAGGTCGCAAACTTCGAGACGATATGAGCTGCTTGGAGGGCGGTCATGGACTAAGAAAGAGACAGCCTCATGAGATGTGGTATGGAGGACTGGCGGTGCATGACTATCATACGTGGCTCAAGATGGAAGACTAAGATCTACCCTAGAGGGATGTCGTGATCCGTAATTTAATTCTCGTGGAAGGACCATAGGGGGGTACCAGAATATAACTACTTCCCAACATTCTGAAGTACTGGTACGCATCGACTTTGCATTGTGGTGTTCGTTACCAGAGGTGAAGAAAGAGACGTCGAGTCACCCGCCGCTCGTTGCAAATCGACGTTCGGCCTCTTTTTACGAGTACCCTGGGTCCTCAGCTAGCGGGTGCCGGCCCACGAAGTCCCAACGTCCACTCCGTACGCATCAAATTCCATGGAATGTCGGTTGGGCGTCGCTGGCAGCGGAGTCAATGTCTCTCTATCAATCTTCCCGCTCAGCGAGAATCTCTCACCTTCACATCTTCTGTCCACCTTCATCAAAAACTGCAGACGTACCGCGCGCGACATGCGACATCCTCGATACAATCGCACGTCGAACTAGGACCGTTCGCGCGCTCGGACAGAAAGACTGCTTCAGCCCACACACATGTTTTGGGACGACTGATCCTCTGCGTAAGGACACCGAGGTTGATTGTGGCGCTTTTAGAGCGTTTTCTCGTCGCACTTAATCTTAAAGTCGTCGGTCTCTCTCACGGGTCTGTCCCCATCCAGAGCTCAGGAAGTTTAGAAGGGGCCTTTATCCGACTATGTCTCGCAAGCCGGAAACACCCAGGAAGACTCGCTTCGTCACATACTGCATCGTCTCGCTTATATCTGTGGCGATCTTTCAATTCAAACCTCCCGCGAGCGCTGGTGCTTTGCTGACAGTACTATGGTTCTTATTCGCCCCGTATGGTCCATGGCAAATATTCTTCGCTTTGGAGCATTACGTCAACAATTTTCGGTGCTGTATCCAAGGGTCCACCACGGAATGTCCGCATGCACTATACACAATACAACTCGCACTGCTCCTGCCCTTCTTCGGCGAAGTCGCAACCTGGATCCAAACGTTTCTTGCCGTCACCGCCGATGATGCGAACCTCGGTGCAGACGTCCAAGCTTGCGCGATACATTTCGCTCTATCTTTTCTCGTTGTTTCCGAATGCGAGTTCTATCGGATGTACTGGATAAATCAGGGACGGGAATTCCCACTTCCATATAGTGCAATCTTCAAGTTGATCTGCGAAGCGAACCAGGATCAGGATTTCGAGGAGAGCAGAGATTGCATCAGCTACCCTCTCACAGTCTCGAGCTCCGAACCCTCACAGAACGAGACTCCTAGGTGTTTGGCTCCCACAGTTCTTGGAACCGCAGCGGATCTGATCGTCTTCCACATACTAGGGATGGGGACTTTCGGCTTAGCGATCAGGTGTCTTTTAGGTGTCCCCGAACCTGACAGCTTCCCGTTGACTGTTGTTCAGATTCTTTTTACACCTCGACATCCCAGTTTCATTTTGCTCGACGTTCTCCTGCAACGTCCCATCCGATTGCTTTACAGAATGATTTCCTCGTCTGCTATGGGCTTGAGCCACAGATTCTGGAAATGGTGGCGAGATGCGAAGATCTTGCAGGAAGAGAGTCGACATGCAGACGCGAGCGCGCGTTACCTGGAACGATGTGCTGCACATCGGACTCTTCTTCCTACAAGCTCACCATCAGTGCGGAGCTGAACTGCTTACTGCTTGCACGTGCAATGACCGCCTCGAGGTGATAGTTTTAACGCTTGAGACAGTGTCTTCAATTTGGCGGACCCCTCCATCTGGCACGCAGGATATCATCTTGGCGATGCATGTCAGTTTGAGCTCTACGGAGTTGAGTTGATGCTGGAACCCTGTGGAGCACCCGCTGGCTATGGAAACAGAGAAATACGTAGCATATACCTAAAAGCCGACACCATGCTGTATTCATCTCAAAAATACCCCTTGGCGCGGTACGGTGTGGCAGAGCTGAAGTTTGGTAAGCGGACGAAATTTTCAGTAATTGCACAAGCGCAAACCTTTCGCAACACTGGGGTCAATCTGAATATTGCCTTCGCCGAAATCCAATCCTGGAGCGCCCTCGTAGTTCATGGCGTAGCAATTGAACGTCAGGTCCACCTAGTACAGAGCGCAGAGAAAGTGGAAGGCCCGCTTCTAAGCAGGGAGGGTGGTACCGCCGCATGAACACGACACGCTAATAGACTAGACACCTTTCAACCCCAGTCTCTACGCGCCTGGGCTTGGGGTATTCAAACATATTCACCCTTTCATATGTTCTAAGCGGCATGGAACAGCCACATACGACAATGCAGACCTCATCTATGTCGTATCACGAATGTGTTACTGTACTTTCGCGTCGCCTATCTGTCGGCTTCTTTCATTGAATTATCACCAATAAAGAGTACTGTTTCCCATTCCTATACTTTGATTACCTGGCTGCTGTGTCTCCGGCTAAGTTTCTCATCATGCGTCCTACTTCTTATGACCATTCATAGCTGCCTCATAGCAAAGATCGTGGGTCTCCTCGACCATCTCGAATTTGATGCCCTCAGCCTCGAGTCGCCGCTTCCCATCATTGTCTACAATGAATGTATTCGGCTCCTGGATACCCACATACACGGTCTTCAGCTTCTCCTTCAAGGCCACAATCCTATCGCAACAGGTGCGATTGCCACTCAGCCTAGAATTGCAAGGCTCCATCGTGGTATACAAGACCGTGTTCGCAGGAAGCAAGTCGATGAACCGCTCTTCGGCGCGAACAGCTGACAGACCGTTGGCTTGGGCGACCTTGATGAAACAGCATTGTTCGGCGTGTGTGCTACCCATGTCGCCCTCCATGTAGCCGGGGAGTTCGATCGAATAACCCGTCGAGAGGATCACACCAGTGTCACCATCGACTAGCACTGCGCCAACACAAAACTTGTCAGGTCCTGGTGGTGAAAGGCGAGCCTGAGCAACGGCGTATTCCATAAACGCTTTATGATCTCCTGGCGCAATGGAAGGATGCATAGTCGTCGCCATGCTTCAAGATGGAGGAGTTGCTGTCGAACTTTGAATGGGACAACTGCGGCCGGTAATGGAATTGGATAAGTGGATGGTTGTGAAGCGATACTCGGTATGCCACAGTGCGTTTGTACGCACTAGTGAGATTTGGGGAATTGGATTTATGTCATAGCACGCGCCTTTAATCTTGTAACAGCGGCTACCAGGCTCAGCGCACAGAGCTCATTCGCTTGGAGGGCACTGATACCGCGGGAATGTTACGGCTGTGTATCGAAGCACAAGAGGTCCAAACAATGGATCATGCAGGCGAATCACACCCCGCATGCCATGCCCCACGCCGCGGTCCAAACCGCCTGTCGCCCAGCTCCCATCGCTCTACTCCAATTTGGCCGGCGCGGTATTCCAACTTTGGAGCCTAAGGCACAAGCGTCATGCTTCGTTCCTATAATGTCGTAGTCAAATATTATATCTTTCCCGTTCCATGGACCCCTTCAGCGCCCTCAGTGCAGCAACATCAATGGTTCAGTTCGTGAACTTTGCGACTGAAGTCTTTCATGGACTTGCCAGATCTATCTGAAATTCGCGGGTGCAGCAGCAAAAAATGCGCACATAGAGTTATGTCCTTCTGAGCTACACTGTGCATAGCGTTTTTCCGAGCTATGGTCGCAGCTGCAGCGTTATCGTAACAGGAAGATATCAGATACGCACACTCTTCCAGACACCCGGGGTTTTGTAGAAGCAAGATCAAAGATGCTCTCTATTCATTACTCAAGTGAGGTTGACATCTCCGAACAGTTAGGATATATGTTCTAGTCCCTTGACCGCCAAGTCATCGCCCTTTCAAGGTAGACTCATAAACAACTCCAACATCTTAGGATAATTCGGCGTCCCTAGTCCCGTCGCGGGATCCCAGCCTTTCGATGCGGCAAATCCATCAGTCCCGCAGCCCGGATTCGTTCCGTTCGTGATGTCATTCAGCACTTCGGGATGCGCATACAGAACAGGATTGATAAACCCTACAGGTCCTTTCCCGGCCTTGATGCGCTCCTCATTGATGAGATTGATCACGGAGGCGAAAATAGGAGTCGCAGCAGATGTACCGCCTGTGAGGCGAAGAGCACCGTTGTAGACGGCGGCTGTGTTGTCGCCGTTCGCGGAGACATCGGGAAAGCCCCGTCCATTGCGGTTGTAGACTCCGGTGCTATTTTGCCAATTGCCCTGTAGCATTCAATCAGTGTTAACGTTATGATAATGGGGCAGACCTCTTACATCAAAATAGTAATCGTAACCCGGGTCATTATTCTTGAGGTAATTCGCAACGTCCTTCGACTGATAGTCTGGGATTCCAAACACATTTGAAAAGCCGCCGCCAGACGAATACGGGTAATAGTACTCAGGATTGTATGCAGCACTCTCTGGGTCGTAGACGGTCTTTCCGGGATAGACTTTGGTGGCGCCGACACTGGTCAACCAGGGGCAGGTATTAGGATGCCCAGGTGAGAAGACTGTGTCGTTGCGGAGACAGCCATTCGGTGCGTCGGGCTTAGGGAGGTCACCAACACCGTTATCGCCTGATGCGATAAACACGGAGACGCCTTGCAACCCAAGCTTTAGCCATTCGTCGCACTGTTTTGTGGTGATTAGATCGCAAAGTCGTAACCGAGAGGAGTAGAGGAGTGCTTGCCTGACGCTTTTGATAAGCTGCTGGAAGCTCGGCTTCAGACTTCATGTACGAGACTGAGATCACGTTTGTGGGCTGGAGTATTAGTATGACAATGGGTCAATCTTTCTGAGTTTATTAGGACTCACCTTGTAGATACCACACATGCGTTCGCCTTTATATCCACCCTCATTACTGTTTGGGTATACAGGATCGAAGTCTGGATTATCACCTGTTTCACCATATGCTTCGTACGTGCAATAACTCCCATCAATAGCATCCAGGAATGTGTTGAACATCCCACCCTCGTTCACTTGCTTTGCTGCCCAGTAGTCATCGTCGATCTGATAGGCAACAACCTCTTGCGGGTAGACAAGGGGGATAGCTAATTCGAGGTCCATGTCGGCTTCCGATCCGGCATGCAGAATGTCGACCGGTGCCACACCACCATTGATCGATTTCAAGATCGGTGCAGTTCCGTTAGCAATATAGGGCGTAAAGTTTGAGAAGAACAGATCAAGGTCTCCTTGAGCGTATGCGCTGGAGAGTAGGAAGATACCCATAGTATTGTTGGGACTCACCCCCGCTTCGGGGTCTGGCGAAGGGATATTGTACAGAGCACGGATGCAATCGTGTGTAATCATCTGATCGCACGTATCCAAGGGATCGGTATTTGCTCGTGGATCCAGAGTAGGTTCAGAGGTTTGCCGAGATAGTTCGCTTAAGGCGCTTTTTTTCGACGCTCTCTTGTCGTTGTTCGCTCTGAGTGGTATCAGCAGATACTCTTCCGATGAATGGAATCTACTGGTTCTACATACCTTTCCACTTTCATTGGGACACCTTTAATACCAGGACTCACGTAGTCAATATGCTCAAGTAAGTGACTTGGCAGGTGATATTGATCACAGCTCACTGTACTCCTCTCTTTATCATGAGTCTCGTGATACTCCGTCATCAGCAATATCTCTGCCTCTTCAATTGTGGCATCGAATGCAAGCCAGGCCTTGTTGTCCGTGTGAGTGATGCGTTCCTTAGCAATGCCACCCGACTCAACAAGCCATTCAGAAACCGCGCTTAGGGTATCTTCCGTTGGAGCGAACGCAGAGATGACTTGTTCTTGGGACCAATGCTTGCCATAATGTATAGATTCGGGATGCGATACGTCCATGAGCCACTTCTCGGCCATTTGTGTGGCCTTCTTATTAGCCTTCAGACCAATTCTCATTGGCAGGCGTATGTGAGGCTCTAAGCGTCGAGCGCGCTCCCTAGGAGCGGGATGCTTTTCGTGAACCACATAGTCGTGTGGTACGGCTAGTGCGACGGCGGTCGCTGCTGCTGCAGCGAAAATTGTAAAGTTGAATCGCATCCTTGATGCTCCTTGCGTGTCCAAGTCTGAGATGAAGCAAGGAAGAGAGAGAAAAGCCACTTGACCTAAGGATTGACGCATAGCATTGCAGATTCGGCTGGCATCTTAATGTATGGGCTACGATGGTAGCAATCTGCCTTGCAAACCACTCCCTCGAGCGGCAGCGCGGTTCATCACCAGAGAATTGAAGAAAACATAATTGAAAGTCGCAATAGGCTTACGAAAATCTGGCCGCAGATACTGATTTCGGGTTGACGCAACCTGGTTGAGTCTGCCTGACGCGGTGTTTTACAACGAAGGATGCGCTAGCATAACCGTTTGGCAATACCTTTCGAGTGAGGGATCATTACCCTTGCCCTTACGGCTAAGTAACCTACATTGGTGAGCTTAAAAGCTCTACCAGGAACCCGGAGTTACTACACATGATTCGATTTAGTTGGTATGAGTGAAGTGTTGCGCGTCTTCCTTAAGCGCGAATTGTGACTGCGCGTAAACGATGACGACATCATCTGTGTAAACCAAATCTCAAGCGCAATAGATTCCGGACGTCTTCCGATTTCGAAGCACTCAGTAAAGCAGTCGTCAACTACCATGGCAGCTCCTTCTGAGAAGACACTCCAATCCCTCTCCGGGAAATGGACGCTCAACAAAGCATCGTCAGATGACTTCATCCAGATTTTAGCGCTCCAAGGAGTCAACATACTCATTCGGAAAGCCGCCTCGGCTGCATCTGTCCATCAGAGCATCACACAACCAGACCCGCAACACATTGAGGCTGTGCAGTCCGTGACCGCGGGAAAGATCCCCGGCACAACAGAAAAATACATCCTTGACTGGGAATGGCGCAGCAACAACGATCCTCTATTCGGAGAGGTACAAGGTCGGAGCCGATGGTTGGGCGGTGAACAAGCGAAAAGGTTGGAGATCGGAGACGGTGAATGGATTGAGGGCGATAGTGAGGGGAAAATAATGCATGCGCAAGGTAAAGCAGCCAATGGAAAGTGGGAAGCTGACCATCTGTGGGGGTTTGAGATTGTCGATGGGGAGAGAAAGCATACGAGACGCGCAAGAGTGAAGAATGACCAAGGAAAAGAACTCAAAGTCAAGATGGTGTACGACTTCGAAGGGTGATGAGTTGAAGTGGTGGGACTTTGACGCGAGGAGGGAAACTGGCAAAGATGGATTTAGCCGTCTCCAACAACCATACACCTACAGTAGTTGAGTTTACTCAACTCCCGTGGTCGCATCAACAGCTTCAACTAGACCACGATCCCACGAAATTGACGAGGCTTCGGTCGTCCGTGAAGGCTTGCACTTCACCTGCTTCGGCGGCTCCATCTTCCACACAATTTCCTCGACATCACAGTGGCACACTTGATCCGCGCCAACCCCTCTTGCCCTCGGTACGATCTATATGTGATCGCAGAATTATGCCGGGTTCATCGCCAGCACGATAGCAGTGCGCGTCTCAATGGAGCCACAAATCCTCGTCGCAAGAGAAGTTCGTCTTAAAGCACGCTCAAATAGGCTGTCCTGTTACAGCAGTATGGTTGCTAGATAGCATCATAGCATGCACGGTGAGAAGTTATTCGTATCATAGACGGTTTTCACGTTCAATGCGCACGACAATTAATAAACCGAGCTCGTCACTCCGCTCGCTGCGGGAATCATGTCTCAACAAAATCGCATGAGCCGCTAGGCGGCTTGACACACCATTAGTAAGATCACTAGTTAGGTTAGCGCAAAGATATGCGTTGTAGCACCAATGAGCTTCTTTCCTCCCCGTGCTAGTTAACTTTACTTTCCAGAAGCAAGATAATGGAGCGAGGTGACCTAGGCTGCTGACTGCTCTGCAGATGTGCGAATCTACTGACGAATTACTCAGCTGCGAGCTTGTCCTGATTTCTAAGTGTGCTCCACCTTTGAACGTAAAGTTTTACTTCGAATTAGTCGAGCGGAGTCGTAGCGAAGCGGCTTAGGAAGTATCTACATCAATGAACATGCATTCACTCCGCAAGCTGGGTCGGACACACGCAAATCCTCGTATACAAATACCAATGCTGTTATCCTACAATCATGTTCACCACCCGTCAACTCATATCTACTTTTGCAATTACAGCCACCAACAACTTCTTCCATTGATCTTGTCGATACTCAATCTAAAAACAACAGCTTGACTCATCAAAAAAAACCAAAATGCCATCTGTAGTCGTTTTTGGCGCAACCGGCTTTGTCGGCGGTACGACAACCCACCATTATTGTCGCATCATCTGAGCTTGACACTGACTTGACACACTTAGCACCCTACGTAAGGGCTCTCAAGCAAGCACATCCGGATTGGCCTGTAACCGCCTATGTACGCAGCTCTAAGCCGGAGGCCGAACTCAAAGCCAGCCTCGGAGCAGACAACATCATTGTGGGCGACTTCAGCGACGCTGAGAAGATCAAAAAGATCAGCAAAGAGAATGACATCGTCGTCAATGCCGGCAACTCTTTCACCGAAGATCCCGTTGCTGCGATTATCGCGGGTCAAAAAGAAAAGAATCCCGCCACGAAGGGTAAACTGATTCATATCAGCGGTGCCGGTAACTTCATTGATTTCGGAACCTCTGGCAAGTTCAACTCGGAAAGCAAAGTCTGGAACGATGCGAAGGAAGAGGACATCAAGGCTATTCACAAAGAAATGTTCAATGGCCAGTCCGATGTCCCCGTGCTTGAAGCTGGTAGCGATATTGATACATACATTGTCTGCCCTTCCGTTGTCTATGGAGGCGCCTCCATTTCAGCACCCACTAAGGGCATTGGCTACATGCTGCTCACCAGCAATGCCAAACCCCTAGGTTATGTCCCGTATGTTGGGGACGGCACCGCCGTACTGAGCACTGTATGTGATACCCACAACTGAGCGATATATCTGAACTGTACTAAACCTACTTGCAGTGCCACGTTCTCGACCTAGTCGATTTCCTCATCAAAATCACCGAACGTGCTGCGGAGGGACCTGCCGAAGGCACGGCATACAGCCGATACTACATGCTCGAGACGAGTAGGGTCCAGTGGAAGGATATGGCGACCGAGCTGGCGAAAGTGATGCACGCGAGGGGTCTACTTCCAAGCTCTGAGCCGAAAGCAGTACCTTTTGAAGAGGCTGGAGAAGGGGAGGTCAAGCACCTCGTGGCCGCGAATATGCTTATCAAAGGCGACCGCGCTGCTGCACTGGGTTTCAAAGCAAAGCAGCCCAGCATCCTTGCTCAGATCCACGAAGATCTCAAGGAAGTGCCGATATAGCCTGACTGTACTTCACGTAGACATCTTTTGTAGCGGTGGATAGGGTGTAGATCCACTCATTGATGAAATGTATCTTGCGTAGCTTTCCACCAATTTACGTTTCTTTAAGGGGGTACCTTAGGATAACGTCTCTCGATTTTTTCCCCCCTGTTTTCTTCATTGCATAACTACCATTCCTGATACCCTCTCATGCACCGGGTACTCTTCCCCGCATGATCCATGAATACCCAAATCTCAGTCCCATCCTTCGCCTCAAACCCTCTACTCGACATCAGACATAGACCCATCCTGGTAAGTGCTGCTGTAACGGACACTAAGTTGGAAGCCCAATTTTTATAAATCCATGTGGAAAAGGCACTGCATCATGCCTGACAGGTTCTCAATCGCCTCAAGCTCACTTGTGTGGTAGCATTCGGTGATCAGGATGATTTCCCAGTCAATGTAGTCTTCTATGAGATACCCAATGAGTACGGCTTTGTAGTTGGGGTCTTCACGTTCGGGTGCGCGCGCAATTTGCACCGAGTAGGTGTCGTAGCGACTGCCGCGACCGTTGTGAGCTTGGGCGGTAACTGAATTGCTTAGCATGACGTCTAACAAGGAGAAGGAGAACGTACTGATAATTTGGCTCTCTAGCTGTTCGCGGATACGATGTTGGGTGAAATGAGCTTCCTGCATGAATTGATATTGTGCCTGCTGTTGTGCCTGTTGTGCCTGTTGCTGGGCTTGTTGTGCCTGTTGCTGGGCTTGTTGTGCCTGTTGCTGGGCTTGTTGTGCCTGTTGCTGGGCTTGTTGCTGGGCTTGCTGTGTGAACGGATTGTATGACATTGTAGAAATAGCAATGGTACTGTGTTCAGCCGCGTGTAGTGGGCAATTTCTATTTATGTTGAAGCACAATGGGACTAAGCTCACTATATATATGTAGGAAAAGGACCTTTGTTGCTACAACAAGCTTGCGACCACGTGTACAGATCACAAGAGTTTTGCTTGCTACTGAAGATCTGGACTGCGAACTTACATGATATGCTCAGAAGCAACTTCATAAAGATGTAGTGTCCGACTCCGGAATATCTCTCGTCTATTCGCTATCTACGATTATCTCGATCCGCACGTTCCAACTCCGGCATCTCATATATCTGCTGTATTAAAGTTGCATCGAAAAATTTCCATCTACTCAGGCACACACTAACCAGCTTGGGGCTATTCCAATATTGCGACAGCAAGGTATGGACTTCACTTCCACAGAGTGATTGTCATATTGCGGCTATGCAGGTGTTCCTAAGTGGCGACATTGTCTGAAGCGAGCTGTTTGGTGAGGTACATGTGAGTGATGATGCCTTTATGCGTAGACACAGCTGAAGTAAACTTGATGTTGTCTTACGTAGGTTGCCAACCGAAGTGAGAAAACCGATCAACCGTTCATAAGGTCAAAGAGCCTTCGAAAGCATTTGTAACATATAGCAAACCTCGGGGCGTGCTTTTATTGTGTGGAAAGTCCGATACATTTTTTTGTCGTAAGCCATGTATGCTCAAAAAACCGATCAAGGTGCAACTCGCTGACCACGAACTTGGCCTTACATGTGCCCAGCCTGTTCAGAAAACGGATCAGTCTTGTCTTACTATCCTGCAATGTCAGGTTGGCTGGCTCATATCCGCGCGGGCGTATGATGATGAAGAAGTTCGGACATTCACAAATCAAGCGACGTTTCAACGGGCGCAAGGCACCCTACCCGCGCCCACGGTGATTAACACAATGTCAACCACAGGAAATACCAAAGTCCACTTGTTGGGTGTTCTCGGAGAATTTTATGGTATCACCGATGCAAGGCTGCAAGGCTGAAATGCATGGGTGCTCTGCGCTTGTATGAAATGGGACTGAAATACGAGTTTCGTACGAAAACCCTTCACAAGTGTTCAATCGGAGTTCGTTGCGACAAGCGCAGTCATTCCGCTGTCGTTCCCTTTGTATGTGCCAGGTATTCCGCCAATGAGGGCTCATGGTGTCTCGTGTCAGCACATCATCTGCGTGTGAGTCTAGACCGTGGGTCGTGAAGGATGCGTTGCATGATCGGCGGCCCGAACGGCGGCCCATCAACCTTATTGAGATCCTTGTACCCCAAACGTTCGTGTGATAGAGCATATGAGGGCACTGTCTCGGGAAGAACTGTATTAGCGCTATAAAGCTTCGTCAGAGGTATTGCTACGCTGTGTGTATCAAAATAAATAGCGCAGCATCTATATTTTTGACGTAGTGCTATACCGTGTATACTTAAAATGTGTCGAACACGAGCGCAGGGCGACTACAAACCGCGTGAGACAATGTTTGAGTGCAGACGTCTCCAGACGTCATGAACATGCTCAATGTCCGGTAGCCTCAAGACCGTCTCGCACGAAGTGAACTGAAGCGATCAGAGGCAAAGCTTTCATGCCTCTCAACATAAATGGACCATCATCCTACTGACTATCGATCCATCAAGCCATCAGACCAGGAGTTCACCCACACTATCCTTCTCTTCTTCTCTTCTACTCTTCATTCACCTTACAATCATGCACTACAGAATCCTTTTCCTCGCCCCCATTGTTGCGATGTCGCTGGCCGCACCCATCATATCCCGCCAAGAGGAAGAGCCATCGGCGAGTGCCAACCTTAACTTAGTTGGAAGCGCTCTTCCAGCCGATTCCCATGGAGGAGATGTGTGGGCTGATCCAGCCGTTGACTACAACACATTATCCCCACCGATTGCCTCTCGTCAGGACCGCTATACTCAGCCCGATGGCGGCTTCGTTGCCCCGGTGGTTGACAGCCCAGATGGCGGCTCTGAGGCTTGGCTTGCACCCGCTGTACCTGCGCCTTCTGAAGCCTGGATTACGCCCGATGTGCCAGCGCCCTCTGAGGCTTGGGTTGCGCCCGCTGTACCTGCGCCCACTGAAGAAGTCGCCTGGTCTATTGCCACGCGTCAAGACCGCTACACCCAGCCTGACGGTGGTTTCCCAGCTCCCGTAGTGCCCGTGGTCATTCCCACCAATCCAGCGCCTGAACGTTATGCTACCCCAGATGGCGGCTTCGCAAAGCGTCAAGGCCGCTACACTCAGCCTGACGGCGGTTTCCCAGCTCCCGTAGTGCCCGTAGTCATTCCCACCAATCCAGCGCCTGAACGTTATGCTACCCCAGATGGCGGCTTTGCAAAGCGTCAAGGCCGCTACACTCAGCCTGACGGCGGTTTCCCAGCACCCGTAGTGCCCGTGGTCGTGCCCACCAATCCAGCGCCTGAACGTTATGCTACCCCAGATGGCGGCTTCCCAAAACGTCAAGTTTAAGGTACCTTGGATCCCCTGGGTGTGATGGGTACCGTGCCGGACGGGTGCTGCGAAAATTGTTCTTGCCCTGATGAGACCGATCCGAGTATGCTTCCGGGAGTGGATACGGATTACTGGAGGAAAGAGTGATTTGTGGCTGAGGGTTGTTGAGATATTGGTAGGGTAGTAATGCCTGACATTTCGAGGGGAGGTTGTACGATGGTAGTTAGTATTGCTGGCTGGCGCGCTGGTTGTTTTCGGTATAGATTTCTTACAGAATAAACGGGTCTGCGTTCGTCTGCATTCGTCTGATTCACCTTCGACTTTCATTGTACGCATGCAGATTGTATGGCCTGGTAGTCTACCTTCCCAGCGCCCCCATCAGATCAACGCTGCTTACCCCGTAAACTTTCCCCCACAATAAATGCATACATCGCAAGCTGCAAACAGCGCTCTAGCCAGCGACACAGGCTGCGTTCTACCCTCTTCACTATCTGCCCGTTCGATGCTCTTCTCCCTTCCCTCCTCCTGCACCCACACAAACTCATCGCTAAGATACGGGGTCTTGCACAGTGCGCAAGCCTTCGAAATCCTGGGCCTTTGAATCGCCAGAAAACTGAGCCCGCACCTCGAAAACTCGTGCCCGTTCTGACACGTTGCAGTCTCTAGATCCTCCAGTGGTATGTCGGCGGAGCAGAAGTCGCACGTGTCGCAAGGCTCTGTTGGCGCTGGTGCGACATCCCCTTCTGCCATGGCGGCGTTGATGAGATTGACAACACTGCGGTAGTGCGCGGCGATTTCGGACGAGAAGGGTGTGGCGCGGGTGAGTGCAGGCGGGAGACTGGAAATGGAGTTTGCGAGGCGATATGCAATGAGAGTGCGTGGGAGGACCGTGGGTTGGGAAGGTGCGAGGACTTGGGAGACCAAAATGTGCAGGCGGTCCTTTATATTTTGGGGTTTGAGGAGGAAGGAAAGTTTGATGTGCATGGTTAATGATCGTAAGTCGACCATCGAAGATAATGATGTGACTTCGTCTAAGTTTTGAGCGGCCGAAGATTTCCAGTGGATATCGAACAGCTGGTTCGTTACTTCACCGATAATGCTTTGAGTTGCCTCGCTGCCGTCTCTTGCGCTCTCGACCCATTTTCGGAGAGTGAAGACAAAGCCTTCGGCACTGAAGTTCTGTACTGGGATCTCGAGCTTCGTATCTTTATCGTAATGTCGTAGCCCAGAGATGGCGATCGTAGCGCGCCGTTCATTTGGCGGACCATATTCTATCATGTCCGTCGGATGAATGGTGCTGCACGCTGCAATGAAGTCACCTAGCGGAGACGCGGACAAGCCCCAGACTTTTGTGCGGACGTAGCCCTGAAGTTCATGTTGAGCGCTGAAGAGGGCTTGGGCATCCCAGAGCTGTTCGCGCCAGTGAGGGTGGGATGGAATGGCATTGAGGGAGTCGTTCGAGTGTTTGAGTTGGGATGTATGGTTGCGTTTCGCTTGCAGTGAGCTAAAGTGGATGCTTGTATCAGCCGCTGTATGGTCCCAAGCTGCTGCGCTCATCTCGTCCCAGCGGCCGTCTAGATCGTGCTCTGTTCGAGCTAGGATCGTCGCGTCGCTAGCCGATATCTTCAACACAACCAGAATTGAGAGTGTGAAGAGAGCTAGCGTGACGTTTTTGCCATCCTCGACTTTGGATGACCACTTCATCGGACCGGCATATCGAAGCTTAATGTCAGGATAGATGAGCTCATCGTTCCCGATTCCAATAGTCTCGCCACTGTAAGTAACGACCCTGGCGCGCACATCTTCATTCGTGGCGTACACCAGAACAGAGTGATACCAGTCACCCTGAACCGTCCATGGGCTCCACGCTATTTGGGAGATATGTCGCTGCTGTTGCATAATCTCGTCGAAGGTGTCAGGTTCCGCAAATACATTCTCGGAGTCAGGCGTGATCGAGAAGTGATTCAATACTTCCCCAGACCACTCGTCCTCGGCGCCCAGAGTAGTAGTAGGTGAATCAGTAGCAACGAAAGCGATATGATTGTCATCGTTGGCGACAGCAACGATGGGCTGGCCCCACGTAGTTTGCGTGCCGATGATAGCAGAAGGTTCCAGACTTGGAAGCGGAGGAGCCCAGGCAAAGGATCGTATGCGAGCGCGGAGGCGCATCTTTTCCAACGTCTCATGTGCGAGGCTACTTTCTGTGTCGCTCAAGTTACCAGAGAAATACTCCACGAGCGCATCGTTGATGATCTAGGAAAGCTTTTATCAGTACAGAGGCTCGCATGGGTCGACACAAAAAGACTTACAAGCTTTCGCTTCCAGCTTGTTCCATCGTCGACATTCCCCTCGCTCGCCCAAACACTCAACACCAAGCTCGATGTCAACACGCCAAGAGCACATCGCCGATGCTTCGCAATTCCCGGCGGCGACCAAGATATCGATATGGGTGCGCTAGTAGACACCTCTTCGCCAATTGAATAAGTAGGGACAGGAGCGGCTTCTTTCTCCGGAAGCTCTGCTGCAGTAAACCACGAGACTGGTAGCGGAATGTGATGCCAGGAAGAGAAGTCGTGCTCTTTGTCTTTGGACTTTGTTTGTGGGAACTTGATGACACGTTAGCAACATATTACCACAACATGCGGTGGAGCTCATCTATCTGAGATTGTTTGATGCGCGTTCCTTCACTCACCAGGAGTTCAACTTGTTCCTCGCTTGCGAGCGCGATAATGCCATCATAGCTCCAGTCGATCGCGTCAACGCAAGCCGGCCAGCATGCTATTGTCGTCACTTCCGACATAGCCTAGTACCCAATCTATTATTACGTTTGGACGATATGAACTCGTACTTCATACTTCCGTAGATCGCAAGCGTGAAGATGGAGCGTTGGAAGCTCGGTTGAACCAAGTGGATTTTGTAGTGACACGAGTCAGGCGCGAAGTGGGGCATGACTCGTACGTTCACCTGCGTAAGACGACACCGCACGTAGTTGATCATCATGGTACAAGATATTTGACCATTTCATAGTATACCTTTGAGATGTTATTTTCTATAGATGCGTTGCAGGCATGACAAAGCGGAGGGAGGAAATTTCCACTCTATATAATTACATGCGCCTATCGCTGCTTTGGACAATGTCTGCAAAAAGGTATGTTCGTAAGGAAAACGGCCTGGCATCAACGCCGACATAACATGCTGCTAGAATGATGAGGGCCATTACACTCAATTCGACTTGTTGCCGCCACCGCACCAGCAGTTGCCTTCGCCCTCCCGCTCAACATGCAACACCACATGCATGCCTTTGCCTTTAAGAAACTGTTCTGTACGTTCCCGAACATCTTCAACATCAGCAGCCCGTGCAGCGATGATGTGGATAGCACCCAGGATCCTTTGTCCGCGAGGCGCATGGTCATGGTCATGATCGTGCTCGTGCTCGTGATCGTGATCGTGAGTGTGGTCGTGGTGGTCTGAATGATCATGATCGTGATCGTGATCGTGTCCGTGCGAGTGGGCATGCCCGTTTCCATGATCGTGATCGCATTTCTCATGCTCGTGAGCGTGCACTTCAGCGTGCGCCGCGCCCTCGTCCTCGATCCAGAACTTCGGCACAGCATAGCCTACCACGCCTCTCAAAGAGCTGAGCTCCTGCAATGTGTTGCGAATACCGTATTCGACATCTGCAGGCAAAGAGAGCATCAATCGCATGCCAGCGCTCTTAACGAGGGGGATAGCGGAAAGGAAAATGAGAATTGCGATGATGCATGATGCGATGGGGTCCCAGCCAGACCAGCCGTAATACTTGGTCAAAAGGGTCGAAATGATAACAGCGACGGAACCTAGAGCGTCGGCAAGAATGTGCAAGAAGATGCCCTGCATGTTTTCGTTATCGTGGGAATGAGAGTGTCCGTGGTCTCCATGATCGCTGCTGCGCATTAGTCCAATCCACTTTTAGAATTCTCGTCGACGACTTACTGGCCGTGATCATGCCCATGACCGTGATGGGCATGCCCGAAAGCTGTTAAACCCACGATGTTCACCAAGAAGCCAAGCACACTGACGATGAGTAGCTCGTTGAGCCTGTGCAGCTCATGGCCTTCCCATAGCCTTTCAAACGCATCAAAAATGATCTCCACACTGACTAGCAAGAGGAACACGCCATTAGCAAATCCGGAAAGTGTGTCAACTTTTCCGTAGCCGTATGGAAAGGCGGCGTTTGGACGCCATTTACTCATCACTGCAGCTGCCAAGCCGACCGCAAGACCAGCGCAGTCGAAAAGCATATGAATGCTGTCCGTGAGTAGGCCCAGCGATCCACTAACATAACCGTAGAAGAATTGAACCATCATGAACGATAGGTTAAGTACTCCAAAATACGCAATGCGTCGTGAGTCCTTCTCAATCATCACGCTATGGATGATGGAGCCTGGGGCGCAGCGTGCGATGATGAAAGCCGATATCCTGGAATGGTTGCCATGAAGGTGATGATCGTGATCATGCGAGTGTGGATGCCGATGATTCGCGTGCGAGTGGTCGTGTGATGACGTCTGAGAAGGAGCTGATGCCCGTGTGTCGAAAGCGACTGCTCCAAGAACGATAATGAAGATAACGAAGGTGTACCAGGCTTGATGCTCAAACTGCGCAAAACATGTCGAAAGCAGGCCGCCAATCGCTAAGCCAATCTTTCTGGGGCTGCGCAAAGCGCTGGGAGATGCAAGATATACTGCTGCAGTGGCTGATGCAATTGAAAGGGTTGAAAACACAAGTGCATAATGGGACAAAGAAGGTGCAGCCGAGGAGAATTGCGCAAAGATAACAGTGAAGCAAGTCAAGACCAGACCGGTTGCGAGAGTTAGGTCAGCTTCTAGTGTGGTGCTGACAAGAGGAGACGATGGTTTCGGTAAAGTTGCCCGGGTCAATGTCTGCGTATTCCAACCATTTTGGGTTTGCGATGTGTCCAAGGACCATGCCGTGGTGGGGAGAGGTGGCGGAACGGCAGATATGGACATGGTCAGCGCAATAAAACCCAGTACTACTCCGGGCGTATCTGTAGAGGTGAAACTATGCACAAGCACTGCGAGTAAAAGAGTGCTGTACGTTGCTGTCCTTGTCCGCAAGGTTCGCTTCGTGTTCTCCCACGCTGATTGCTTTCCTGGCTTTTGATCAAGACCACCCAAACCTGCTGTAAAAGTTGCTAGGAGAATGAGGGCCGTCATTGCACCTCCTAATTGCATAGTAGCATAGAAGGGCAGCAAAATGCCTAAGCCGTGTAATAAACCACGCCACAACAAGGTTGGGCCATGGTATTTGGGCTTATCGGATTTGCCTGCAGTATTGTATGCCTTCCGCCTGTCTAGTGGCTCGTCTGTCGTCAGACGAAACTTCGATATGATGCCCACAAGCAGCAGCGTTGCCGACGAAAGAGTACAAGCGTGCAGCAGCTGTCCACCATTGGTGTCTTTTGGGGACGGGATAGAATCGACCATCGTGTCCGCCAGACTGGTAGGTAACTTGCGATGCTGGGATACAGCATTGAAGTAAGCAAGCGATGCGAAGACGTAAGGCAGAGGCACGAGGAGAGCTGTGAGCGCTTCGGGGAGTTCGAGCCACGACCTGGCTGTCTGTTAGCATATTTCCTGAATCTGCGAGTGATTTCCGCGTACGACTGTGAAGGCATCGGATTCGGATGCTCATGAATTGGAGAGAAGACATGCTTCCCACCAGCACTCTTTCCCCCTACTGGTCTCCCCAAGTCCGACTCGCCCCGCGGTCTGCCCTTCGGTCGCGCATTCATGAATGGTTTCAACGTATACGTCGATTCGGTGGAAAGCGAATGGCTATGACCATGGTCGTGCGATTGATTATGCTCCTGCCCGTAAGGAGATAGTCCCTGCGTGTACAATTGGCCGTTCATTTCAGATCTGGCATGGCGATGGCTGCCCCCCGCCTGGCTTTGTGCATTTGGAGGCGATAAGCCGTCCATTTGGCCGTTCCAAGGCGAAGAATGATCGGTTGCGTAGTGCGACCGAGAGTGTCCATGGCCTCGAGCGGGCGACGCATGATTTGTGGGCAAGGCATACGTAGACGCCATGTGTAGCGCGTTCGGGGGTCCGCCGCAGGACAGCCTGGGCGCATCCGACTAGGCAAAAGGGCCGAGCCTTTGTGGTTTCTTTGGTGTCTGATTGTATTGTTGCATCCGATGCGATCAGAGCAGGAACAACAAAGCGCGGGTAGCGAGATCGAATTGCGGGGAGGTGGAGGTATCGCAAAGCGGTACGGCGTCTCGAATGTTTCGTCGATAGCGGCTGCCGCTCTCAGGGGTCTCACCGAGATTGGCAGGCGCGATCCGCTGGGTGGCGCTTGCTCGTCTCCGCAACTGTGGCGTCCCTAGTGATGTGGCTGACTCGCACACCACTCATAAGAAACGTGACCTTTCGCTGCGCCAACGTAAATACGTGCGACCAAGCATCACGTCGTGCTGGCGTTGCGTCGACATGTTCGACGCATTCAACATCTTCCATGACGACCTATTGAGCGAGAAGGGCAGCTGGCTGTTCGACATTGTCCTCTACGCAATACTTGGCCTTTCCACACTATTCACCATCATCCTGGTTACATTGCCCCCGCAATATGACCCCTACAAGGACAAGCCGTTGAGAGCTGTAAATGAGAAGGGCGAGGAGCTGGAACTGAAGAGGAAAGATGGGAAGAAAAAGGTGGACTTCAAGGCGGGGCGGACAACCCAGGTAGTGGTTCTGGGGGACATTGGTCGATCACCGCGCATGCAGTATCATGCAATCAGCATTGCAAAACATGGCGGTAAGGTCTACCTGATCGGCTACCAAGGTCTGCCAAATCCTTTTCTTGTGAAAGGTGAGCCCTATACTGACGTCCCCTCTAGAGTCTGAAGTCCATCCGGACGTGGCTTCCAGCGACCTCATCACCATCGTCCCCCTAAATCTAGCCCCTTCCCTCCTACGCTCCAGTTCTAAACTCCTCTTCCCCATTCTCGCCCCGCTCAAAGCCCTCCACCAAGCCTGGACCCTCTATCGCGCCCTCGGCTACGCCTCCGAGCCAGCGCGCTACATGCTCGTGCAAAACCCCCCTTCTATACCCACCCTCGCCGTCGCAACCATCATCTCTTTCCTTCGCAACACCGAGCTCGTCATCGACTGGCACAACTTTGGGTACTCTATTCTTGCGCTCAAACTCGGTGCTTCCCACCCCCTGGTCAAAATCTCCGCTTTATACGAGAACCTGTTCTCGAGGCTTGCATCACAGCATATCACCGTTACAAACGCCATGGCAAGAGTGATGAAGGATAGTTATGGCGTCTCAGCACAAGCACTCCACGATCGCCCCGCCGCTATCTTCCGTCCCATCAGCACAACCGAACGCTCAAGGTTCCTCTCCCGTCTACCAGAGACAGCACAGTACGCTTCGGACCTTTCGAAAGGCACATGGAAGCTTATCGTCTCGTCCACCTCCTGGACTGCAGACGAGGATTTCTCGTTACTGCTCGCCGCGCTGGAATCCTACTCCGCGCGCGCAACATCGCAAGTGTCCCTCCCGAAGATTCTGGCTATCATCACGGGTAAAGGGCCGCAGAAGGAACACTACCTCTCCCTCGTCCAGAAGATGAACCAAGAGAAGAAGCTACTGAATGTGGTTATTCAAACGGCGTGGCTTACGCCCGAGGACTACGCTACCCTCCTCGGTGCCGCAGATTTGGGCGTCTCGCTGCACACCTCGTCTTCGGGTGTGGATCTCCCGATGAAGGTGGTAGATATGTTTGGTGCAGGGTTGCCGGTGGTGGGATGGGGTGACTTTGAGGCGTGGCCTGAACTGGTCAAAGAGGACGCCAATGGTAAGGGCTTCAATTCTTCAGAGCAGTTGGCGGATCAGTTGGTGGATCTATTTGGCAAGAAAGACAGCTTATTGCCGACTCTGAAGAAGGGTGCGCTGAAAGAAAGTGAGAACAGGTGGGATGATGAGTGGGATCGAGTTGGTGGGAAGCTGTTTAAGCTCGTCTAGTAAAGATGCTACAATGCCTCGTCAATAGTCTAACTACTCTGAGAAAGGTCAAAAATCAGTGTTTGGTCTCACGTTCTTGATGAAGAGATTTTAATTGCACATGTTCGTTTAACATTCTTATCCACACTGGGGTATCATAACGCCGGCCAATGCATCCATTCGATTCTACCACCCTTTCCCTTCATCACTTGTCCACACCAACCTTCCCCGGGCCCTTCCCCATCTTCTTATTTGTCCCCAGCTTTTCAATGTCCGAATCCTTGAAATAGAATGGCGCCAATTCAGTCAAATACTCCGGCTCGATTGGTAACACACTCCTCATGAATTCTTTACTTGTGAGCACCAACTCTGAATAAAGTAGCCACTTCGGTCGCTCGGTCGGTTCGTGGATCCAACTTGAAGGATGAATCCAGACAGTCTGATTTCCGCTTTTGACGGTTCGGTACGACTGGCCATCCCGCGACATACGTGCCGCGTTTGCGAAGTAGCCGGATGTGAAAGCTTTCTTGATTGCGACATGGTCTGGCTCGCCTTCGTCCTCGGGCGTCAGGCCGATTCGTTCACACAGTTTCTCGAGTTGCTCGCGGACGTTCCGTACTCGATTGAGAGTTTTCGCCTGCAGAAAATTCTCCTTTGCCCACATTCCATCGTACTCCGTCTCTTTCCATTGATTATAAATCGATAAATAACTACCGTAGTCACCGAGTCCTTTAATGTAGAACCTTCTTTTCGCGGCATCCACATGTAGTTTCTTATCTTTGGGTGCGAAAAAGAGCGCGCCGCTTTCGCCTATCATGGATATGATGGTAAGAACGTGACTGAGAGAACCAAACTTCTCGGCCACAAGTAGCGCCTTCGCCATTTTCGGTTCTATTGGAAGCTCTGAGAGAGACCGACCAACCTTCGTTACGGCTCCTTTGGAGTCGAGTGCACCGAGGCAGTATAACGTTTCTAGACTGGATGCAATCGCTTCTGGTGCTGGAGGAGTCATGAAGGGAAAGTTTAGCAGATCGTTGACACCAATGCTCTTCAAAAGAAGTATTGTCGAACAAAGGTTTACGCGCGTTATCTCAGGCAAGCTTGTAGCCGGCATATCTAGAATTTGGGTTACGAGGTCAGTATACTGGTCTAGGGTTCGACAGTGGGGTATACGTACCATTCATGAACGCATGCTGTGTGTACAAGCGATAGCAACTTCCCGGCCCGGTTCGTCCGGCTCGACCGGCTCTCTGGTTTGCAGAAGCTCTCGAGACGGGATTTACAACGAGACTGTCAAGTCCAGTAGCTTCGGAGTAGAGGTTCTCTTTGCTATATCCAGTGTCGATTACTAGAGACAAGTCAGTCTTGTGTTCAAAATTCATGGGAAGTGGGTGTAAAAACCGTGTGCGACGCCGTCAATTGTCAGCGACGTTTCTGCGATGTTGGTTGCGAGGATGACTTTCCGAACCCCTGGGGCAGCAGGTACGAAGATCTTCTGTTGTTCGTCCGGTGGAAGAGCCGAATAAAGCGGCAGGCAGATGAGTTCTTTCGCCCGGTTCCCAAGCTTGAGCTTGGTCTCCTCGATACTTTGCTGTGCGGTCTCTATCTCGTCCTGACCCGTGAGGAAGACCAGGATGTCCCCCTTTGAATCCTGAGCGCCGATGTGTACTTGCCAACTGCGAACCAATTAGTACGCTAACTGAAGTTTTACTGTCCTACGATTGCTCACGTTGTAGTTATCGCCGCCGAAAGATAGTTGGCTTCAGGTTGAGATGCGAAATACGTTGTCACGGGATATGTTCGTCCGGGGACGAAAAGAACAGGACAATCATTCCAATACTTGGAAAAGCCCTGCGCGTCAAGCGTAGCCGAGGACACAATTATCTTGAGATCAGTCCGAAATTTGACTATATCCAACAGCAAGCCCATAAGAATATCGGTGGCAAGCGTACGTTCGTGAGCTTCGTCAAGAATAACGCATCCTACCTCAGGCAAATCAGGTTGCGTCAAAAACATCCGAAGCAGGGTGCCGTCGGTGAGGTACTTGATGCGAGTCTTCTCGGTGGTCTTGTCTTCGAAACGGATCGTATAGCCCACTTCATTGCCGAGACGTGTTCCGTGCTCTTCAGCGACACGTGTTGCTAGACTGATTGCTGCCACTCGGCGTGGCTGTGTGCAGAGGACCACCTTGTCCTTCTCGCCGCGTTCTCTGAAATACTCGAGCATATACTGCGGTATTTGACTGGACTTGCCTGATCCAGTCTCTGCTGTGAGCACTAGTGTTTGGAACTGATCGACTGCTTCTAGTATTTCCTTTTTATAGGCATGTATGGGCAGGCTTTTTCTGACATCGCTTATGTCTTTTGCTCTCTTCTCAGCCTCGTCGAGGTGCTGCTGAAGTCGCTGCTTCTCTGGATCCAAAATATTGCCATCACTAACAAAGTTTATCGCGGTCTGCTCGTCGAATACAAAATCGTAGTCGTCTTCTGTTTCACGGACGGCGCGTTGACCCTGCGCGGCTTTCGCTTTGGATGTCTGCTCTTCCTCCCATAGCTGGACTTCGCTCTTGTAGTTCTCCTTCTTGTTTCGTTTATTCAAGATCTCCGACTTGTCCGTCAAGGTCGAGTCGAGCATGAAGAAGCCCGAATTCGTGTCGTCGATCTGGTTGCGTTCCAATGTCAGGCGGAGGGTTTCCTTGCGTTGCTCCATTTCCTTTAGCTCTCGTTTTGAGAGCCGGTCCCCAAAACGTTCTTTTTCCCTCTCATCTTCTTCTACATCCTTCTGTAGTTCAGCAAGCTTCAGAGCCTCTCGCTTGGCCAGGTAGTCGAAGCGACTACGCTGCCGCAAGTCCGAGAGATCCTCGGTCGCATTTCGTTTGGGAGGCATTGCGGCAGAAGGTTCGTAGAGTACGTTAGGTCAGGCGAGGGTGGCGAGTAAGATCGGGCGTGCCCGACGGGTCCTGCGCGGCAGTTTGCGCGCACACAGAGAGCGTCGTGATCGTGCGCGCGAAGTCTGCTCAAGTGAAAGTGGTGGAGGCGTTGAGAGGCATGCGGCGAACGCGGAGCTGTCCTGATTCGTCGCTAGTGTCGGTAATGCGGCAATACCATAATTCCGACAACAACCGCCAAGCTTCTAGATAGTGCAGTGAAGAGACGGAGGGAATAGATCGGAAAGACTCCTGATGTAGATGAGGAGAGCTTCTAGTCTGGATGCGTACCAAGGCGAGAGATAGGCAGCAGTAAGATTTCGGAGAGACGCCCGTTGGATATGAACACAAAACTATGGTACGGCTGTCTGGAATGCACCACGAGTGAGTGACGCTGTCGCAACTGTTTTGGCGAGCATCGATCGATCATGGATGCGATATAACTGAACGAGCCTTGGACTAACTTGTGGCAGTGATTGGCGACATATAACGGAATTAGTACCCCAGATTGTGTATACTCTGTGAAATATGTTGTCAGACAACTGAGACTGCGGGTCTCATTTTCTCTACTAAACCAAATACTGGGTCACGCACAGCGCACCATCACGAAACAATGAGTTGAGAAGACTTGAGGCAGCCATCGAAGATCGGCTCGCACGTGGCCCGAGCAACAAGATGACCCACAGACTACCCTGCTCTGGCGATCGCTCTTTGGGCAATGTCGGGTGGTTCTGAAGGTGAGGAGAAATCTTCAATGCTGTTAGTAAGTATGGGACCCAAAATTCCGCGTTCAGCCCCTTTACACGGCACATATCGAACTCAAGACTTCACGGCGAATCGACTGGATTCGCTACTTATGCGGGTGCTGCCTGGCGATGCGCGCTACACAAAGCCTGGAGGTCACTGCATTCATCATAATGGGTCACGCACATGCGACCGCACGAACACGCATCATGCCTAGGTAGGAGGGATAGGCTAGCGGGCCTCGTACCTGTGTAAACTACGATCTCATACAAAACTATCATCAACCCCTGATATCGCAACAAGAACAGGATTCAAAAAGCACATTAGAAGAAATATAGCCAGGAACACTAGCAAACAACACGATGCAGCCAGCCGCTCATAGATCACTTGTCGTCAAGCGCAACCGGAGCCTGGGTCCGCAGCGATATCGCAATGTCATCGCTCGCCGTCGTGGTCGCGGCATTCCACTTCACCCTGCGTAGTGTTAGCTCAAGTAGACCACGCATCCATTCCGCACTCACAAGTATATGCCGGTTTCGTTCGTCGGTGTGGCGAGGAACTTCATCTCGATATCCGCTTCGTCTGGCTTGTGGAAGGCCCACCCTCCGTATAGGCCGAAGCCAACCGTTGTGGCGTTGCTGGACAGCGTCGCGTTGTCTTTGGTAAAGCCGATCGGACTCGCAATACCTTCGGTAACGTCGACGTACATGGTGGGCTCAGGGGACCAGTCGAGTGTACTGGCTGCTGTGGTGTCCGCCTTAGCCACGAACTTGTCATCGCCTTCGGTCATGACCACTGCGACCATTAGCTATGATTCTTTGAAGTGTCTGGATTGCTCTCACAGGAGATGTTCACCGACTCCTTCACAAATGAAGGTGCGCCACCGACGTATGCTTGGCCTAAGGGTCTGTGAGTGAGTGGTGTGTCTGCTCAATGTCGCAATACTGACCGTCGCCATAGAATAATTGCAAGCCAGACGATGAGAGTTTCTTGCTATAGGCGAAAAGCTTGAACTCAATATCTTCAGACACTGCGCTGGACACGAACGCGGCGAGAACCGTGATCAGCGAAACTTTGCAGAACATTTTGGAGAACGAGTGTGTTGCAGAAGGAGTGACTGAAGTGCGAAGAGATGGTGACCGATGGTGACGACCAAGCTCTAAGACGCACTTACCCTTTGATATACACCCAGGGCTCATCACGACGCATTCTTCAGCAACACGGACTTCAACTGCCGCTCCCACCCATATCCCTGATGACGACTCCTGCTGCAAGCCATTCACACAACGTCACCTAATGGGGACGTCTGAAAGAGCATACTCGCCACTACTTCTCTCCTATCACGGGGCTAACGATCCGGTTTTGCACTTGCCCTCGTGTCCAACACTTCATCTTGGCAAAGCAATGAAACTAAACATGCACGGCATCCAACGTCAGCGGCCAATGATACCTTAGAAGATTAGTACCCAGGGCAGCGAGCAGACCCAAGCAACGGTCAAGTACGGTTCCTGCAGTAGGGGCCGTGGCGCGCTTACGACGCTCTGCAGTTGGTTGGGCCAGTGCATGGCATAGAAGCTTGTTGTCTGTCAGCGTATCGCCCTACGTTTTCCCTTCCCGGTACCAACTAGTCCGGACAAAGACCCTTGAGGACCAACATGCACGCCACGAGGTCGGTCTTCGGTTGAGTCGTTCCCCACTGGGACATAACAAAGTCCTGTGTAGGGTTTGGGTGAGATCCGTTTCGGAAGTGTCATGACTCGCAAGAGCGTCGTCACTGCGGGATGGATGCCTGACGGGACGCGTGCTCGTTTCCTGTACCCCTGTCAATCTCGGAGTGGAGGCCGACGCACTACCGACCCCACCTATTCATCCCAAAGCATGCAGCCTCAGAGTCAAATCTTGCGAACACAACTCTATTGTTCATGTTATTGAATCGTTCCCCGTTTCATCGCATACGCTAACGGATATGTACTGTGCTTCATTCCGAATCAGGGTAAATCCTTGCGCCTCGAGTACTTCACTAACAGGTTACAGACGATCTAGTTTCTACTAAGATTTTCATTGTGATCGCTACACAACCTAGACACTAGTTTTCACAAGACATTCCCACTTCAATTTGTCTGATATGGATGTATCTTTCCTCTCTGCTGAGAGTCGAGCTGAAAGAGGATGTACGAACTGATAAGGATCCACGAAAGACGCGTACGCATGCGGAGTCGCCGTAAGCCTCATATCCACAGCCTCGTACAAAGCCATTGGCAGCAATTCTCACGATAGTCCAACCTGAGAATTGAGCCGACCGGTGCTCGATTCACGACCGACGGGCGCTACCGTCCCGCTGGTTCAAGCACCTTAGTGCGCTCGCTCTTGAGCACGTGCATCGTATGTTTCTAAACGTGGTCCACACAAGGATAGTGCTCCTTGACTTTCAAGCGTTCTTCCGCAGGCGGCGAGTCTTACTCAGATTTGGCTGATCAGCACTGGGATTACGCGGTCGATATTCTGTGCAGATGCTGTTCGCTTCGGTCTTCTGATCGGTCTTGTCGGAGGTACACCATCAATAAGCGCCTGATCCGCAAATTGCGCTTTATTCATGCTTCATCCGTGCACTGCGCGCTGAATAGGCCTTGCACCATTTGAGCCTCATCTTGTACTTTTCTAGGCAAGTAACGTAGAGATACGAGGTCATTTCACGCGACCTTGTGCCTATAATGATGCTACAGTAAGGTCCCCACATGTCACAGCGGCTCGAGTAAGTCCTCAAACAGACTGTCCACCTCACCGTAGCTAAACGCTCTTGGCTATTTCCAGCAGGCAGGATTCAAGTCGGTTCCTGGTGGCTTATTGTTTCATGCACTCACAGCGGGGTGGTTCTCGAAACGGATCTTCTGACATATTCCTGCATGCGGACTTCACACCTTGGCGATGTTGTGATGGTCTGTCGTACATCTCAACTACGGACAATGGCAACGCTAACGTACTGGCGGTATTGCTTACGACTGCTTGCAGTATCACACGAGAGCTGTGTTCCAACTAGGACAGGTAAGGACTTGTCACGTTCGGATTCATTGTCACCGAGTAACAGCCCACTTGGAATATATATACTCTTCAACAATGTACTTGTTCTATCATCAAATTAGCACAGGGCTCCCATTCACTGAGCTTTGACCGCTGTTTCATTCGATCGTTTCTGTGTTCTACCTCAGTCATTCATTGGTCATTTTCACTATGGCACTCCTTCGAACACTCGTTTCGCTGATTGCGGCGGCTTCTGCTATGCCAGCTCCACAAACAAGTTCTTCTCTTTCTTCCCGCGCAGTCTGCGATGGTAACACTGCTTCTGACCGAAGTGTCTGGTGTGATTACAGCATCGACACCAATTGGTACGATGAGGCTCCCGACACCGGCGTCACTGTCGAGGTAGGCATGCTCCAATCACCGTCATTCTCCTGGATCTCGACTAATCAGTCTAGTACTGGTTTGACGTTCAAAATGTCACTGCGGCTCCAGACGGTGTTGAGCGGATGGTTCTGGCTGTCAATGGCTCTGTCCCGGGCCCTTTAATTGAAGCGAACTGGGGAGACACTGTCAAGATACATGTGACGAACAGCATGACATCCAACGGCACTGGCATTCACTGGCACGGTATCCGCCAGAACCACACTAACCAGGAAGATGGAGTCCCTTCCATTACCCAGTGTCCCATCGCTGTAAGGAATCTTGCCCGTTGTGCTGGCCATCATCACTGACTGATAATCCAGCCCGGCGAATCTTACACCTACACCTGGAAAGCCACTCAGTACGGGACATCGTGGTATCACTCTCATTACAGTTTGCAAGCTTGGAATGGCGTATTCGGTCCTATGGTCATTCATGGTCCTGCGACAGCAAACTACGACGAGGAGCTTGAGCCCATTGTGCTCAGCGACTGGACTCACCAGACTTGCGACGAGCTCTACAGCTACGCACAGACTGTTGGCCCGCCTGAGCTCCAAAATGGACTCATCAACGGTCTCAACACCTTCGAAGACGGTGGCTCGCGATACGAAACCAGCTTCGACTCGGGCAAGAGCTACCTCATCCGCATCGTCAACACCGCGATCGACACTCACTACAAGTTCGCCATTGATGGACATTCCTTCCAAGTCGTTGCTATGGACTTCGTCCCCATCGTTCCCTACGAGACCACCTACCTAGACATTGGCATGGGTAAGTCCTCCTCGCTACCTCCGCTTTCTCAATCACTCACATAACGCAGGCCAACGCTACGACATCATCGTCAACGCGGACCAAGAAACTGCCGACTACTGGATGCGCGCGGTCCCACAATCGTCGTGCTCCTCCAACGCCAACAGTGCCGACATCCGCGCCATCGTCCGCTACTCGGCGTCTTCAACCTCCGACCCGACCTCCACCGCCGACTCCAACCTCTCCAATGCCGACTGCAACGATGAGCTCCTCTCCAATCTCGTGCCCTACCTCTCGCAAACTGTTGTCGATCCTCGGCAAGATGAGGACCTCGGGGTCAGTATCAGCCAGACAGGCAACCTGTTCAAGTGGCAGATTGGACTCAACAGCATGCTTGTGGAGTGGGCGAACCCGAGCTTGCTGCAAATCTCCGAGGGCAACGCGACGTTCGAGTCGCAGGAGAACGTTTATCAACTGACGAACGCTAATGAATGGGTGTACTTTGTAATCGAGACGCAGTTGGCGGTGCCGCACCCGATTCATTTGCACGGGCATGACTTTTTCGTTCTAGCTGCGGAGGAAGATGCTACCTACGACGACTCGGTCACTCTCAATCTGAACAACCCACCAAGGCGAGATGTCGCCAATCTGCCATCGGCAGGATACCTCGTCATCGCCTTTTTGACGGATAACCCTGGAGCGTGGTTGGTAAGTTGAGCCTCTTTTAGAACCAGAGAAACAACAGCTAATCATTTGTGAATAGATGCACTGCCACATCGGATGGCACACCTCTGAAGGTCTTGCGCTGCAGTTCGTTGAGCGCGAATCTGAGATCCCTGATCTCCTTTCTACCTCTGTCCTGCAGGACACGTGCGCGGCGTGGAATGACTGGGCCGGCACCGTGGGCATTGAGGAGGAGGATTCGGGCGTGTAATTGCCCATCGCACATGCGAGTGAGCAAGAGGGAGAAGTTTGAGTTCGGAGTTCTCACCGAGCGGTGCCAAGCGTACACATGTGTGACTACGCATGGACGTCACGGTGGTGAGGCTGGATAGGGAAGACAGCCGGGGCTGTGGCAGTCGAATACGGTCGCGAGTACGGCACCACACCGTGGGATGAGACCCTGGAGTGCAAGGCCTTGCAGCATGTTTCGTTATGGGTTAGGATTGTTCCTGACCAGGGGTTTAGAATTGTTTCTTACAGGGATGCTGGGGGTGTTTCATGCGATCCCCTACGGCTCCCGTTGACGCGTAACGGCCTTGCGTGCGCTAGTCGCGCAGGTACGGATCTCTTATGTCTTTAATGTGTATACTATAGTCTAGGGCTACGTACTTACCACCGAATTTTCTCCATCTATCATCGTATGGCATTGTGTTATTTATGTTGTCAAATGTGGTGGTGCGATTACGCAATCATTCTGCCAATTCACCTGCGCATCTACTATATCTTTTAAGTCTTGACAATAGATGTACAATGATGGAATTTGAAGCAAAGTACGACAAGCCTTGTAACATGCTTGCTCTTTGCCGCAAGCCATGACACGAGAGTGTCCAAAGCAACCTCGGAAGTCCGCAAATCATCCCTGCCTCTCCACGCGGCTCTCCCGCCATTGTGGTCGCCATCACAATCAATATGCCGAATATCACTTTATTCCGTAGGGCATGCCTGTAGCACCATATCGCCATTATATGACCGACATCATGTCTCCCACGGGGCCTTCCCGCCGTTGCGGCCACTATCACATTCCCTCGCACGATATACCGGATATTGATTCAGTCAAGAGTCATGTCTATATACCGAGCCGTTCGCAATGCAACCCTAGTCCATGCGCGATACAAAATCCCCGAATGGCGCTACTGGAGTCGATCACTTAGAGCAGGGCTATCCCAAGCGGAACTGTGCTCCGCTCCGCCCGTCTGCCCGTGCATCGCAGCATGTCATGACCGCAAGACCAAGCCTTCAAAGGCACCGTCCCGTAAACAAAAAATAAACGCTAAATGCATGTCCAGCCCCTGCACTTGACTCGAACCCGTGTCGACCGTAGAGAGCTTTCCCGCCAAATATGTTTGTTCGCTTTCAGTGGTGCTCAGTGACTGATATACTGAAACACAGCGCTGACGTCCTTCTCCACCGTCTCTTGTCTGAGCAACAAATCCTGTATCTTCCCCATCGGCCCCGCCTCCCCATCATTCACCATATGATTCCACGTATTCGTATCACCGTACAGCATAGCCGGCGCCTTGAGAACCTGCCGCCCATCTTCTTTCCTGCAGCGCTTGCACTTGAACGTATCGTGCGTGTCACTCGTAGTATCCGCCCGGTATAGGAACAGCTCGCGCAAGCTGTCGAGCGAGAAATGGCGCTCTACGTCTTCTGAAGCGTCGACGACGCAAGACGAGAGCGACTGTTTGTGCGACTGGCGCTGGAAGATTTTCTCTTCGATGGTACCCGTAGCGATGAAGCGGTAGACAAAACAATCTTTCTTCTGGCCGTCGCGCCACACGCGGGCGAGGGCTTGCTGGTCGGCAGCAGGGTTCCAGTCGGGGTCAAAGAGGACGAGTCGATTTGCGCCGATGAGATTGAGACCGCAGCCTCCGGCTTTGGAGGACAGGAGGAAAACGAATTCGGGGCCTTCCGGGTCGTTGAATTTGTCGACGAGCTTCTGACGCTTGGAGACGTTCATAGTGCCGTCGAGACGGAGGCAGCCATAGCCGCGGGAGCGGCAGAGGGCTGCGAAGACGTCGAGGGTTTGCGTGTAGTTTGAGATAAGGACGATTTTGTCGTTGGTGTTTGCGCGGATGGAAGCGAGCATGCGGTCGAGAACGAGCATCTTGCCGGAGTACCATACTTTAACCTCACGATCTCTGCCTCTTGCATCCTTGGGGACAAAGTCTTCGGGGAGGAATTCCTCGCAGCCTGGAAGATCGGTAGGTAGATCGAGTAAGTCGGGATGATTGCAAAGCTTCTTGAGCATACCGATCGCCTTGAGAGGCTGCGAGCCTTTGCCGCGAAGCAGAGATCGAATTTCTGGCGAGGCGATGAAGTGGTTGTACAAATCCTTCTGAAAAGGCGCCAAATTGCAAAAGACAACGTGTTCGTACTTGACTGGTAGATACTTCGAAAGGATGTCGTTCGTCCGCCGGATGATGAACTTGTTAACCAGATTAAGCAGCTCAGCGAGACGTTCGTCGCCCTTCTTGCGGTCGTCATCTGTAGCATCGGCGTCACGCCCGCGTAAGATTGGGTTCTCGAATTGCTTTTTAAACTCATTCCTGGTACCGAGGTAGTTCGGATTGGCAAAGTTGAGTAGAGCAAAATACTCCGACAGATCGTTTTGAATCGGCGTACCAGAAAGGATAACTCGTCTCTGTACGTTGAGTCCCGTGAGAGCTGTAAAGGTCTGACTCTCGCCATTCTTTAATCGATGGCCTTCGTCACACAGCAGGAGGCCGATGGGTGTTTGCGCAAGCTCCCCAACGTTGAGTCGCAGTGTTTCATAGGAGACAATCAAGACCGGCCGTACAACGGATCGACCTGATGCAATGCACCACTGCTTGATTTGTTGAATTAATTCCTCCTTTGATGCCTTGCCGTCGATAGCAAACGGCGTAATCGCATCCGGACCTAGCCACTTAACAAGCTCGTTCGCCCAATTTCGTACTAAACTGGACGGACAAGCTATCACACACTTCTGAATGGTAGACTTTCCAGCATCCGGCGCCTGCTTGAGTAGCGTCCACATCAGCGTGATGCACTGTAGCGTCTTTCCAAGACCCATCTCGTCTGCCATGATGCAACCGTTGGCTTTTGGGTCAATCATGCCCGTCACAGCGCGATATAGGAACTTTACACCTTCGATCTGATGTGGTCGAAGGACCTTCGCGAGACGTGGATCGATGACGACAGGTACTCTCGGCCTTTCATTATCAACTTTCTTCTTTAAACCTAGAATCTCTGCTAAGCTCTTGTGTACTAACGGTTCGTCCATGGAGTTCTTTTCTTCTTGACTGAGCTTAGGCTCTGCAACTTCCTTTGCTACTGGCTTGTCATCAATTGTGGGATCATACAACACAATGGCGAATTCTCCGCTAGGGTCGTGTAACGGGCGCGCTACAAAAACCGCGCCCTGCCGCATTCCCAGCAATGGCGCTGGACGAAACGCATTGTAGCCTCCAGTGTCTTTGTTCTTCAGCGGGACGATAAATTTCGCTCTGAAGGCAGTGTCTTTATCCCTTGGCTTGAACACCGGAAATCTGTTAACATCCCGAGTGGCAAGAGCGAGTCGGTCATCGTTTGAGTAAGGTTTGTCGCTCTCCTCATTTTCGCCATCTGCTCCTGCGTAGTTGACCTTCCGCCTTTTTCGCGCAGGCTTATCTGTTGTACGCGTCGAGGTAGCAGAGCCAGGGCACCTGAAGGGCTTATGTAGGCGGTCGGCTGATGCAGGCGTCCCGTGTAATCTTGGTCTCGCAGTCGGTGTGCCCAGTTCGCCGGTGGCGAGGGGTTTGGGACGGATCCTGCAAGTTTTAGTATGTATCGCACGATTGTGGATGGTGCGCCCCTACATTTTTTCGGACGGAGACGTAGAGTTGCGGAGTGAAGGTGGCGTGGACGCGTCGTTGTTTTCCAAGGCTCCCGCCACGACGCGCTGTCACGTGCGCATTAGGCCCAACCTCAGGAACGACGTGCGTCATCGTATGATCGGATGTTTACATACAAACACATGCATATCCGCAAGGCGGCTACTATTACAAGCTATTCAGGATGCAATCACATTGCAACGCAAAGGGACGCTCTTGCTACATACTGCATTTAAAGGAAAGCTTTGCCCACTACGACTGCCCGCTTCGCCAAGCCGCAACATAAATAGGTACGATGCATCACAATCGGGTGAAAGCGATATGGCCTTCTTGCGGCTTCAACCGTCGAGTGACCGAGGTTACTGTCTATTGCAACTCGTTGGTAGAACACAGTCCGCAAACCCAACAGCCCACAACAATTAACCCCCGTGTCAACGGAACGACAACTCACCTCACGCCCTTCTGCTCCTTGCACAGGAGTACGCATGTTTCGAGACCTTGGCATGTGGGCACCCCGCAATCATAACAGTGAGTCGCTGCCAGCCAGGAGCTTTCCACCTTGCTCGCTGAAGTAATCTAAACAAATACCTACAAGTGTACCGTGACACCCAAGCACGCCTAAATCCGCAAACAGATGCCTCTCCACCTCCGGGAGTAGACCAACGTGCCAGCATACATCCAGCTGCAGCAATGGTGGCAATGTATGCGCTCCCTCAAGTTTCTCAAATTGCTATAGCTAACACAGGCAAGCGCCAAGCGGAACTCGACGCAATCGCCGCTGCTCCGTTTGCCTGGGGAGATAAGAAATCTCATCTATGCATACTCCACCGGCCATTACATCATCTACCACACATCTGCAGGTCGCCTCATCGTCGGTCCTGCCGACCCATGGGACTGGCGCCACGCGTTCGTCGAGTTCCCAAGTGTTACGGGTCTCCTCAGCCTCACCCTCGTCTGCCGACAGACCTACTTGGAAGCCCGCCTGGACGTATTCACCAATAACACGTTCGACACGAAGAACTTCTTCTATTTCCGGCGCTGCGCAGACAGGTTGACCAAGGAGCAAAAGAACGCGATCACCACGACCACTTGTGACTTCGACTGCATGGGCAAGATTGGGTCCAACGTCTTCCCCTTGACTGGGACGATCGACTACACCGAGCACTTTCTAATCAAGCCGTATCTAGACGTGCTCCTCCGTTTCACCGGACTAAAGAGGGTAGTCATGGATAGCTCGAAAGTGAGACTCGAGGACGACAATTGGAAGCGGCTCACCCACCCGATGGAGAAATGCGCCATAAGTGGTGCCAGGAGGTTCTTCCAGAACAAGAATCTTGAGATTGAGTTTGTTCAGACATACCGACACTGATGGGATCACTTGCTGACCTCAGCACACACGAGCTTTATGTGCTCGTGCGCTTCACTGACAAATCATCGGCCAGGTTACCTCAGGACTCCGTTTGATGGAATCATTAGACTTGCAAAATTTCCCGAAGCTTAGCATCATCTGCGGTAGCCCTTCACACTTTGGTACCATCTTCTAGTTCGAATTTTACGACTGGAACTTGGCGGCGTCTTGAACTGGATTGCCTTTCTTCAGGCTCTTGATTACAGAGATGTCGCGGCTTCCGCCACCATTGATCATGGTTGTGAACTATAAATAAAGGTAGTACAAGATCTCGATTATCACATTACTGTTACGAGTATGCCTCAAACACCTTTCCTTCAACCTAATCTGATTGATGATATAGCATGTAATTAGGGTGTCAACCTCCTTGTGCCTGATATGTGAGCTTCTACCTCAGACACCTTGTGTGCCTTCCAGCGTAACCTCCTCAAAACCAACAGCAAGTACACATGAACACCCTGCAAGGTTCTACCAACATGATAGGATCATCTTCACCCACGCTGCTCGTCAATTGCGACTGAACCTGACTCCGTCGCCTTCCACTGGTGTCGCCACCGCATGTCTCTCGTCGAATCTTCGCAACTTCCCGTGGCATCGACGTATCGACCACTAGCACCCGATGATATGGCAATGGCCACCCCAATAACGATGCCGCTGAAGACGAAGACATATATGTCGACACATTGCCTATAGATGAGGCCAATGAAGAGCCTCACCATCATGAATTACCGACCGCCTTATCAGACAATTGCGCCGGTTCGACTCGCGCCGAATCAAGCATAGGTCCCGTGTAGAACATCGATAGTGTGATGCCGATGCCCACTCGCAAGCCAGAAGCACAACATCAACGCGCGGTCTCGGGTATTGAGAGCATTTTCGTTTTGAGGCCTGAGAGACTCCTCCATGTCCATGCAACCGAATCGACAGCCTTTCACTCATCCCGGCTGAAGTGTGAGGAAGTAATATCTTGCCCGGAACGGATATCTTTATACAACATCGAATTGGCGCTAGCTGAGACAGCCATAAAGTCGTCGACGGACAAATTGTGGAGGTCATGATCAACGAGGTAGACTTCTTCGCGAACCAGTACAAATTTGCTACCAGCAAAGCTGTGTGATAAGAGACCATAATGTCTTGTAGAGCCGAGTCTGCCAGGCAGAGCGAAGAACATCCGGTTTCGCATGTCTCGTTTTTGGGGAAACGTCCAGTCATCGCGTTCGAGCACAATGGTTTTGAGATTGACTTAGTAAGACGTCCTTTCGTTGTAGTCGATATACGAGAAAGTGCGCATACGAGTATACTTCCCACTCGCAAGCCCAAGCACGACATCGTCTTCCATTTTGTTGTCTTCGAGAGCGAGTCCACACATGGTGAAGGTGGGGTTGAAATTGTCGTCTCGAAGTCCAGCAACAGCTCTCCGTGAATGCCATCACTCGACGCTTTTAGTCGTCTCCTTCGAGAAGCGAAAGCCTGTGTGGGGAAGTATAAAATGAGGCCGAAGCAACTATTTACACCTGAGACATGACACTAGCGAACTCATGTTGATATTCAAGCGGCACAAAGAATTAGTGGAAGTCATCAGTTACCCCATGTGTCTTCATCGTGAGTGGCTTTACATCTGCTTTCCGCGAACATGTGGCTCAAGACGACACTGCTCTTGAACGCCAATGCTCTCTCGCTGGGAAGGACAAAGACCATAATCTGAATATCGATTTGTCTTTAAAGGAGGCGTCCTAGCATCGAAGCTCTCACGTTGAACTTTTGAAGAGCTGCAGATAAGACATCGGGTAAGTTTGTGAGGAATTCTGGCCGAAGTCCACGCATGGGTACGTATCGCGAAGCTTTCTGGACGCACAGGGGCGCTCATGTTCACGCACACCACTCTATTTTAGTGACTATAGAGTGCAATTGAGTGGAGTGGAAGCAACATCATGAAATGGGGAGCTCTTATGCTTGCTCATCATCAGGCTGCGACTATAAGTCCACAGGGACGAAGATTTACTCAGGCAGGTGCGAGGTTCGTCTAACCTATCTGTGCTAAATGGAAGGTCCTCCAATAGCTTAGCTATGTGCTCTGACAGTGGACCGAGCACATCACCGTGTAGTCGTGGAGTTTTGTTGTAACAGCATGGTCGGAGTTACGAACATGATAAGTTCTTGAGCGCTTTTCGACTGCGCGAATCCGCGCATGGGTGCCTCCAGACGCGAAGTTCAGAGCACCCAAGGGAAAGCACCAAGGGGTCTTCTTCATGTTCTTTTAGTAGCAGTCTTTGTCCAAGCACTAGGTGGCGTGACATGGTTGCGTTTTCAGTCGCTTCTATAACCTAGTCCGATGCACGAGCTCGTGGACTTGCTTTCACACCGAGATCAACCATATCCGCAGACTATATAGCTTCCACGTGGTCAGAAAACCTAGAGAATGCATTACTGCAGAGAATGCAATCGAGGAACAACATGAGTGTGTGTGTGCGTTGATTTTGAGCGCCAGACCCGGCAGATCCCATGAATCGATCCGCGAGAACTTTTGAAAGCGGCTTCACACATGAACAAGGCAGGCGTTTGTCTAGGGCCGGACGAAATCGCACCATGGGGGCTGGCTCGAAGCACTTTTAGAAGGCCTCTCTGGAGATTGCGGTGTAAAGAAGCAAGAGATCGATCAGGAATTGTCGGCTTTTTATATCGTATGGCTGTTGCTGACAGCCCGATACTGCACTACAGAGCGGTGGCGATTACCATTGTTTGCGTCACTAACGACAAGTTGACCGTTATCGGCCAGGTCACTGCGCAACGTAAGCTCAATCCCACCATGAAGAACAGGCAGCATCATGTCTCAGGATGTCTTTTCGTCCACGCGTCCAGACATTAAGGAACTTGCTCATGTTTTATAGAGTGCCATATCGCAAGTGCATGGTATTTCTCATCTAGTCCTTTTAATCCTGCAATAAGAATAGTGTGAGGAGCTCTTCTGCCGCAAATCCAGCTGCTTTTATACTCCAACAACGCGCTAATTGACTTGCACATTTTGCCAGGATTGTACCAAGATTTGGAAGTGATGATGAAGCTCATCATCACAGCACCTTTCTGCAACCCATGCCGACCTTGACTCCTTTTTGAGATCCAAAACAACACACAAGACGGACATAGTGCCAGAAATTCACTAGGAGAGAACCAGACATATCTCCAATGTCGAGGAGGCTCTAGAACGCAACAGAGGAACCCTCCATGAATCCATTATCACAGAGCCTTTAGTCCATGAATCCATTATCACAGAGATTTTAGTCCATGAATCCATTATCACAGAGATTTTAGTCCCCAGTGAAGAGGTGTGCAGCGTGAGGAGAGAAACCTGGTACCGAGGGCTGTCTATATAGACGTGAGCCTGGGTCCGTGTCACCTGTCGTGCAGCGCGTGATTATGATGACACACAGCAAACGATGGTGAGGGACTGCATCACTCAGTACTGGATCATGTGCCGAAAGCAATAGACGAGAGTATTCTTCGCTTCCGATTCCGAGCAGTCCGCACATTTGAAGACTGGCAGACATTCTAGAGACCACAGAACATAGCCCATGAAGTTTTTGTTCTTCAGATTTAGTCCCCTACTCCACAGCAGCGTGAGTGTGACAAAGGCAATCCTCTTCTGATAACGGGCTTTTATACAACATCTCTCGCTCTATTCACCAATTCACGATAATACTGTTCATCATTAGGGAAGCAACTTGACACCAAGCTATGGCGCTGAGCCTCTGAGTCCACTTAGACCGACCTCCAGCCATATAATGGCACATACTTGGTTCTTAGACTACCACAGAGCACCCCATCAAGGAACCGATTCCACGATTTTTAGTCCCCACCCCGACCAGTGAGGTGAGCAGGTGTGAAGGATAATCTCTTCCCACAGCGGGGTTTTATACTTCTCCCCGCGTTGAGGGCATCATTGCACTAAGATAGTGCTCATCACCAGGAAAACATCACATTGAAAGGTGTCTGAGCCAAGGCACGTTTGTCCCCCAAAGCGAACTCCGGACATGTGCTGAATACCGTCCACTTTTAGACCACCACACAGCACACCCCATCACGAGGTTGATGTCCAACTTTTATTCCCCCTCAGCACGAAGGTGAGTGAGTGTAAAGAGCGAGACCTCGCAACACTGTGCCTCCTTTTATCCTCACGATCGATACGCTAGCAACAATCACGAACTTATGATGATGCTACGGTTCATCATCACTACTCCGCTGCGAAACTAGGAAGACATGATGATTGGCTGTCGCCATTCTTTCCTTCCATAACAGAGCCAGCCATGCGTTTCGTTGATGTCTTTTTAGTCCACCAGCCCGCACACCGCATAATCGCTGGCTACGTTCGTTTTAGTCCACCCTTGGGGAGGTGAGCAAGTGTAAAGAGCTGACCTCGCGACAGTCGGCTCCTTTTATACCCACAAGTGCTGCGCTAGCATCGATACAGAAAGTGGTGATGATGCTATGCACCATCATCATGAGTAAATCGGCTACGGAGGTGGAAAGACATGAGCAGCAACTGCTGTTATTTCTTCCTCGCAGGACGCGCCCAGACATTCCTGGTGGCATCTTCGGTTTTTAGCGGAGAACAAAGCGCCCCATGTGACGAGTACGTGTTGCTTTTAGACCGCACACAAAATACAGAAGAAGTGTGAGGAAACTAGTAAGACGCCCTCACGAGGATTTATAGCCCGTCTCCGACCCTAATCACTATTCACAGTGACGGATATCACCATCACCGCTCGATGAATCACATGCCCTGGAGCGTCGTTACCAAGTCTATTCCCGCTAACCACAGAAACTGACTGATGCTATGCATGCCCGTCTGCTAATTCGACCGACCTGAAGAGACCCAGATTCCTTGTCTGCCAGAAACGCCCTCCGTTGAATCCTTCCATTTCGTTCATTTCATGTCATCCCAACATCCATCAGCGCCAATATATCTCTCGTGCACTTCACCCACATCCGTAAGCGTCTCCGGGGCCTCCTTCTACCTGCTATATCATCCCCTCCCGGACTTGCTACCGCGGATCAAAGGCCGAAATGAGAGAAGAGAGCGGGAATGCAACAGGCCATGCTGTACAATAGTAAATCAAAGGGGTCATGAAGAGTCAAATCATGATAAGGTAGGCATTAAGCAATGGAGTATGTCCGCTCCACTATGTCCGCCTCGAAATGGATTTAAGCTCATGAGAACTTGACATTGAATTCCCAGTTGCCTTCAGTAGCATTAGCATGGTACTCATATACTGGATGCAAAATCTTATCTTACCTAGCTTGAGGTTCTCAGCGGTGTCATTGAGAAGGATGACTCGCCGCTTAGTGCAGTATGACGTCTTGTCCATCATGTCGACCTTCAGCCCCTGGAGCTGGTCAACGGGCTTCTCAAACATCTCGCTTAGGTTCTCCACGGCCATTTCCAGATCTTTCTGATTGTCCTCGAATATCTCAGTGAGGTTGTTGCGAGCTAGGTAGTATGCGAAAGCGTAGGTCCACTTGAGGGTTTGTCGACATTGTTGCAAAGCTTGCGACGCCGTATCGAGGTACTGAACCTCAATCCACGACATGCCTGTTGTGTTTTGCAACTGTTGCATTTTCTTCTCCGTCTTGAGGTATATGTCCTTGTCCAGCTTCGCTGATTGTTCGTGGTTGGCGTATCGGTTGTAGTAGTGCAAGTACCGCTCAAGCGACATTCGGCTCTTGGCCTGAGCATCTCGCGCTTCTGAACCGCTCTTCTCCTCGAATCGGTTGCAGTTGTACCAGCTAGTACCGTGCTCAGACCATACCCCCATACACATCCAACAGAACTCATGACGGCACTTTCGGCAGGTCATGTGGTTGCAGCCACCGTTCTTTTCTATAGTCGAGTTGCATTTAGGGCATTCTTTTGTGTTTGCTGAGATCCAGTTAGCAGTCTCGGAGTCGTCTTCGCACTTCTTTAGCCACATCTTCACCAAAGCGCAAGGTGCGGGTTGGTGGTCGTTGAGCGAGCAGCCGAAGCAGAAGTCGTGAGAGCATTCGCAGTGGACGGTCGGTACGATCTGCATCAAGTCCTTATTCTTAACGCCGCACTCGACAGCGTACACGCAGTTCGGCGCTGGGCACCATCGCAGGTTGTCTTTGTCGTCAACGTACGTTCGTGTAAGCAATTCGTGATACCTGAGTAAGCTTGCGTCAGCGCCAAATCACAAGGTAAGTGTATCTACTTATGTGCTACCCGACATGGTGTATGAGAGGGTATGCACATGTAGAGCAAGGCACGGTGTCAACGTACCGATCTCTGAGTTCCTCTGCTACAAGCAGGTCTAAAGACTTCGAGTCCACTATTCGGTTGCACCCGTCCCCGGGGCATCTGATGCGGGCTGCCTCTCCCTCTTCTTTGATTTTGGTGTACAGGTATTGCCGATAGCATTCGACACAGAACCGGTGTCCGCATTTCATCGCAAATGTGTCCAGGCTCGGATCGTCCTCGCAGCAAATATCGCAAACGAAACCCGCGACCTTCGAGATCTTGGGTGGGTTATTCGCCGCAGTCTCTCCCAAGCCAGCGCTCTCAAGAATTTCCTCCTGGTTATCCATGTATCGGTCGATCAAGCGCTCCTTGTTCCATCGCAGGTGGCGTAGGAGGATCGCGGTCGCTTCGGGCGGCTGGCCGAGGATGCTTGACACCTCGTCGATCTGTCTGTCCTGCGAGCCTTGTATTTGTTGAGGGTCGAAAACTTTGAAATCCACCTCATAAGCCTGCTTTCGGGGGCCCATGTCCTTGTCCTGCGACTCGAAGCCCACGTCATCCTGGTCCATGTCGAAGTCGGAGTCTATAGTCATATGTCAGGTTCCCGCCACAACACAATCCTGAGGTATTCTTACCGTCCTCGAGACCAAGATCGCTATCCTGGTCATCCAAAAAGTCGTCCCCGCTCGCCTGCGAGCTGTTGAAGTCGTCATCGGAGTCCATGGCGGGTGAGGCTATCGTCGTAACAGGTGTGGCGGGCAGGTCGACTGCGGTATCGGGGGTATGTCTCTTGCTCGGTGGAGCAGCGGAAGGTGCGAGGTGGTCTGCTATATCGTCTGCCTTTCGCTTACGGGAAGCGGTTGAGGGCGGCGTGGTGATGTTCTGGGAGAGCCGATCCCGCCGCGATGACGAGACCAGCAGCTGCGAGCGAAAGGAACAGGGAAAAGAGAGTGGACTCAGGCTGAGTGGCGGCAGGCAGCACGAGATAGCAAAAGGCGAAGCAAATATGGGTGGATATTGGTCAGCTTTACACAGTCACAGGTCCAGGTCGGGTTGAGACATTGGTAACAGCAGGGCAGGCACGAGTCGGGATGCGGGCACAGGGGTCTAAGCCCAATTAGGCAACCACCGCCACCTTTCGTGAAGTCTTGCCGCAGTTGCCTGCGCTCGAGCTGAGTTTAAGCACCCGAGCCTCATTTCCAACATGGCCTGCTCGCGTGCAGCTGTACAGTACCTGGATTCGACACTCATAAGAACGGTACGTCAACCCACGGCTTGTAGAGACAGTAGAGACAAGCTCAAAAGCCCGGCCATTAACTCAGTCTCTTCAAGTTTAATAGCGATGGAAGAGCGTTACCAAAACCCAAGAAGCAGACCATAGGGTGTCTAGGACATGGATGCCTGGGCTTATCAGGCATGGCGTACTAGCGAAGGCAATGCTTCTACTATCTATCGCAGCATCAGAAGCCCACTTTTGCGGCTTCCTGTCTTGTTCACAGGCAGCAATACTTGTGAATCTGAAGCTGACATGTGTGAACGGCGCCATTCAGTGAAACACCGACTCATGCCGCTCTTTCATAGATCGTAATGTTGATTGTCTGTGTCTTCACCGTGGTATATAACTACTCCGAGTCTTCATCATCCTCATCCTCATCCTCATCGTCTTCGTCGCTCTCCTCTTCTGAAGATTGGTTCAGGTAATCAATCAACTGCTGCGTCTTAGCCTTCACCTTCTTCAACTCTTCAGTCTCTACCGATTTCGCATCCCCCCACCATTGCAGAACGCCGTCGTCCTCAATACTATCCAACTCGATTAACTTAGTTGCTGCACTCAGCAGTATGGCATCGCCGTTATCTCGGTGTGCAAGGTCTGTTTGTAAGAGCAGCATGAAATCGACTTGGTCGACTTTACTTGAACTGGCTTTATCGAAAATCGAACGGTCAACCTAAAGTAAAGATAAAAGGTAAGCATATGCCCGAACGTTAATCGGTAGGATTACTCACCAAGTCTTTGTGCTGCGAAAACACCTGCGCCACAGCCTCCCGTATGCTGGTGCCAGACTTGACAAGCGATGTGATGTGTTTAACGAAAGCCACGACAACGGCGCGACGGACTTGGTGGTCTGAGGCGTTCGTACTCATACGCAGTGCCGTCAATTCTAGTTGGATGTTTGCTGATTCGTGACCCTGTTCGAGCGAATCGTAGATGCTAGCCGAAGCATCATGATCGAAATTGGCGGCGTGCTGGCTGTCCTGAGAGCCGACAGAGCGGAAACTACTTGCAGCGGAGCGGTCGTGTCGGATCTCAAAGTCGACGTCGTCTTCGGACTCCGAGTTGAGCGTAGATATCGACTCAAGGGATAGGTTTGCGAGGTTGTACATAGAATTAGCAGCGATGAGTCCGTCTACAATCTCATCTTCGTCTTCCTCATCCGAGTCTTGAAATTCAAATCCAACGCCACCCGCGCCAACAATAGTCGCATCCGTGCTCTTATCAAAAGTCGGTTCGTCTAAATCCCGTCTCCTACTTGCTTTGGTAATTCTGTGTTCACCCCGAATCGTAGTACCCTCGCCAATGGTCACTCCATACGAGATGAGAGCTCCAGAATCGATGGTGCACCTCCTTCCTATCGAAGCTTCATCCGCGATAATGCATTTCTTGATAGTTGAGCCATCCCCAATGCTTGCGTAATCCCATAGATAAGCACCGTCAACGTTCACGCCTTTGCCAATGATGCAATGTCTCCCTATGATGCTGTTCTTGATTACGCTGCCATCTCCGATGCTGGTGCCACGCCCAATGACTGTCTTCGGAAGGATTACGCAATCACGTGCTAATATAACGCCCTCCTCTTTGTAGATGTTTCCCTTTTGTAACCGGTATGACTGGCCCTGCACGAGGTTGCTGTCAGGACATAGCGGGTATGCCCATCGCGACACTATGTCTCTGCTCACAGAGTCGTATGCGTGCAAATTTCTAACTCGTGCAGCATAGTGGTCCGAAACGATGTGCGTGTGGAACGTCTTGCCGTTCAACTCGTAGTCCTTCAGTACGCTATGCAGGAAACCCTTCCTCGGCGCTTGGAAGTCGAAATTATCGCTCCAAAGTGCGAGCACGTCCGGTGTGCAAATGTCAATGCCACAGTCGATAAGGTCCTGCCGGATGTCGATTTCCTGGTGGTCTGAGAGGAGCTCAGGATCAATAGAGAGGAAATGTGTCTGATCTTTGTTCGGCATCTGCTCGAAGTGGAGGCATCTATCATTGGTGGGATCCAGGACGAATACCGGGCTCGTTCCTTGCGCTTTTGTCCTGTGTATGGTTCCAGCCTCCCGTAGCACCATGGTCATAATCGCGTTCTTATCCTTCGCGCGTCTCGCTCTGTGCGCAGCGAGGGCCGTCTCTAGCGGCAGGTTGCTGACCACATCTCCGTATACCATGAGGAAATCGCCCACTAGCAGACCGCGTGTGTCCAAGTCGCGCATCGCATCGCCGATGGAGTGGGAGGACGACTGGATAAGCTCCAGTTTGGAGAAGGGCGAGGACCGTGACGACCATTTCGACTTCTTCACGTAATCCTCAACGAGGTCTCTGTGGGCGCCGCAGTATACAAAGACCTCTTCAACACCGGCATTTGCGAGGAACTCGAAGGTGTATTCGATGAGCGGGGTATTCGCGAGGGGTAGGAGGCACTGGCAGCTGTTAACAATGTGCCGCGCGCACAAGGTTGCATACTGACGCGTGGGCGCTCGAGCGTGAACGGGCTGAAGCGCGTTTCGAATGGGTCGGCGAGTATCTAGAAAGTGAGCATGCATAGCTTCCACGAGCAAGCATAGATAGCTCTTACCACCGCCTGCAGCGGATCCTCGCGCTCCTCCTCGCCAGGTCTGGCTTTGTCAGCCGACTGGCCCTTCTTGCCTTTGGGTGGCATGCTGTGCGGTCCAAGGTGTGCGTTGGTGGGGCGGTTGCTGCGAGTTTCTGGTGGGATGTATCGCGAGGCCAAATTTGGCGATGACTCAGGAACGCCCACGGAAAGCCGCACCAAACGCTGTGCGTCACAGAATTCCAGAAAACGGATTAAGGTTAAGGTGGGGCTTGTGGGCTTGCCGCAGGGGCCTTGCTTGGGTCACTGTGGAAGACGTCCTTCCTGGCTTTCACGTGTGGCGATAGAGGTCTAGAACTCATGGTCTGTTTGACCCTGGACGACCAAGCTGATGCTTGTTGCAACGACACCTCAACGGCTCAGCAGTAATGATAAAAGAAACATACGAGAAAGAGCCTGTTGTCCCATTCTAGTTGATGCACATGTTACAACATCTGCACATCGTGCTTGCCTTTCACTGACCGTGGCCTTGCGTCTGTGCGTTACCAAATACGGTACGAGAAAAGCATGCGAACTGACGAACGCTGGTTGAGACCAGCTTGTACACAGCGTCTACGATGTCAAGTTGATGGGAATAAAGATAAGCGTACGCAATGCATGCTATCAAATGCTACAAATTGCGCTACAGTCATGAATACTTCCAGCTGCTCAGGCCGTATGCTTCGGGTAAACCGTGCACGCCCCATCCCCACAAACGCCCTCTCTCACCTCCCGTCTATCATGGGAGTAGGCTACTTTCTGGCTTAGCCCACAGTTCTTCTACCAGAGGAAATCATCTCAACGAGGGGACAGAACGGAAAACAAAAATGTGATCGGCATAGCAGCCGTGGTATCCCACACCAACGAACATCTCTAAATCATCTCCGATCGAAGAGAAACCAAACGTCGTGTTCACCGGCGCATTGGTGCTTATTGTGGCAACCGCGCTGCGGGACTTTGAAATGTGAATGAAATAGCCGCCCTGAACGCCTTGTGATTGCTTCAGCGCGGCCGTTGCATTGGATTCATGGGCTGCGGCTGTAACGGAGCATTGGCATACATTTGCTGTCGTTTTGCCGGATTGTTCATATTTTCACCCCCGGATATGTCTGAAATCTGTCTTCTGTGTCCAGCCTGCTGTTGTGGGTGGCCAGGCATCGGCATTTGGGGAGACGTGTTATAAGGGTTGCCGTGTGGCATCCCCGGTACTCCTTGCACAGCGTAGGCTGCAGGGTTTGCGTGCACCGCGTTCAAGTACTCTTCCGACATGCCGGTCGCGGCCACGGGAGAGACTCCGGGGACGGGTGCTGGCGAGTTCCAGGTGGCAGTCGCAGGGGATTTGGCCGGAGACTCCTCCTCTTTCAATACCTGTCGTGTCGAAGCTAAAGGCTGAGGCGCTACCATGCCACCGTCCATGTGCGAAAGAGGTTTCTTCAAATGCGCAAGATGCTTTTCCAACATGTGTAGTAGACCCTCCTTGGTGAATGGCTTTGGAAGAACATCGTTCATGCCTGGGAGTGTTAGTACAAATACCAAAAGCAGTTACTCAATGCAGACATACCATGTTGGAAATACATAGAGATGTCGTCACTTCGAATGTTTGAAGTCATGGCGATGATGGGTGTGTTGTCGAATTGCCGGATTAGATGGCATGCGGAAACACCATCTAGGTTGGGCATTATTATATCCATAAGCACCAAATCATACTTTGATCCGGCATTCATCTTGTTCACTGCTTCCAACCCGTCGAGCGCGCTGTCGATGGAGCAATGGAATGCGTACAAGAATTTGCTGCCGATGCGACGACAAGTTGGATCATCTTCGACAAGTAAAATCTGGGGCTGGCGCACCCATCCTGGATCAACTTGAGCACTCTTCTTCCGAGTTTCCTGGAACTGCGGGTTGCTTGGATCGGCTGCTTTGGGCGGCATGCTGTAGGGAATGTTGTTGATGTGTTCGCTATACATGGGGTCAATTCCGTTCGTTTGCCCAACCGGGTACACCAGATTGTCGATATCACCGAGTCGCATCGAGTTGGTAGAGCTGCCGGCTGACGGGGGCCCTCGACTGGCGGGTCTCACACTTCGAATGAGGTCAGGTGGGGGCGTTGTGAGTGTTCCATTCATCCGCATCGTGATTTCGTTCATGTGTTCCAGGTTTCTAGGGTTCAGCATAACATCCGCATTGGTTTCGCTCAACAGTTTAGAAGCGTGCTGCAGAGGTGAAGCAGGAATGTCATCCTCGGCAGACTGGTTTTGCGCACCATCCACGTTCCCATTCTGCGTTTGGTTCCCATTCGAGGGAAAGGGGTTCGCGACTCTACTGTCGCGCCGCCGTTGGGCGTCGACGTTGTGCAGGAAGGTCATGACATTTTGCATCACATGCTCATGGTTGACAACCGTCTTTTGCAGTCCGATGACCTCTTGAAGCAGCATGGAATGGTGGATGCTGAGCTCGTTGTAGCGACTTTCGAGTGCGTGCAGCTGTGCCTGCGTTGCGACCAACTGGTTGCTCATCATGTCCATCTGTTGCGCGGGAATGATCATCTCTTCGCTGGGCTGGTTTGTTTTGCGCGGCGCAGGCGCTTTCCGACGAATGTTGTCCAGCGCATCCTTGTTGTTCATCTTGAAGTCCGGATGCTTGAATTCCCATGCCTAGCAATCGTCAGTCGTGCTTGCCCAGAACGTGCACGAACACTCCTAGAAGGAGCGCTCCGGTGTTGACCTTACCCCAGGCCCGTACGGCGACTGACCATTTTCTTCATTGTTGTGGCGCACTTTGTGGAAGTCGTACTTGTTCAATTGGCGCACGAAACTGGCGAAATTGCTGTGCTTGAAGTGCTTCGGCAGGATGTGCTTCGTGAATTTCTCGTTCTGGTCGTCCGTCAGCGTCCCGCGTGCGAACCATAGTAGGTGCCACGACGTACCTCCAGCACCACAAAGCTGTCTCCGTCGTTTCCCCATCGTACAACGTTCTCGTCGGTCGGGTTTTCGAGCATTCTATCGCGCGCATCAGCAATTGAGGCCTTCTACATCGGACACTGCATCTCGACGTACTTGTACAGCTTGCGAACCTGGCATCACAATTAGCTTCTATCCAGACACGATTGCGGTTCCTGACATACGAAGTCGCTGCTGCTCGAGCCTTGCGACTGGCTCTCCATGGCTGCTAAGGGCTCTCTCGACACTTCGCTAGCGCGCTATCCAGACAAGCAGCTCAACGTCTCTTCCCAAGTACCAAGCTAGAGTCGATTTACGGACAATAGCGCCTCTCGACGGACTGTCGCAACCGTTGCGGTGGTTTTGGTGCTATCGCCAACTGTGGGGAGCGCGATGGTTCAGCCGCCTTGCAGTGACCGCCCGAGCGGTCTTCGGGCTGTGACGTCTGATGCGGGATGGCGGAGGACAGGGTGTTGGCACATGAGCCTGCGAGCAAGCGCTGCGGACCGAGGACAGGATTCTCCCGAGGGGGTCCAGATGGAAGTCGAGAAAGAGCCTGGAAAGGAAGGGGGACTAGGTTTTGCGGGTGGGTATCTGGGACTAAAGCAGGTTGAGGAATGCACAGCGCGGCGGCCGTGACGGCAGTCTGGTGGCGCTGAGTGGCCTGCAGCAAGAGCTAAGAAAGAAGCGTGCCGAGGACAGGGAAGAGGCCGGCAGGGTTGCCATCGAGGGCTTGAAAGAAAACAGTGCGGCGGCCCATTAGCCAGCATCCGTCTGCTCCCCGGCACGCCCAAGCCTCGCCTGTTCTGTCGTCGCCGAAATCAGCAACCTAGCGGCCTGTCTCGCGCCCAGTCGCCGTGACGCCTGCTGCACGACCGCTCCCGTGGCAGGCTCGCAGCAGCAGCGCAGCGTCATCCGCTCGCCCATTCGGCACGTCGACACCAGCTGCGTCGGGGCGCCGCGGGCGTGCCGGCTGTGGGTTTTTGGCCGGCTGCGTGCGACCAAGCAATGACGGAATGAGACTGGCCCAAGCGGATCCCGGACGCGAAAAGAAAGTCGCAATTAATCCACCTCGGAACGCGGCTGGCCTCGCCATAGCCAGCAATCTCGCGCGCAATCCCCCGACGGGAGCGCGCAGGTCTGCGCCAGGCGCTGCCATGATTCCGAGCCCGAGCAGCGCCCTCGTCAGAGGCGCGGGCGACAGCTCGTTCACTGCCAGCTTGGGGTCCGTCCACAGGCCCCCGCAAATCAGGGCTCGATGAGGGAAGGCCGTGCGTCGATCTTTGCTCCCCTGGGTGGGACCCGCTCCGGCGGTAAACCCACGTCCACGCCGCTAGTCGCGATACCAAACACGACACACACTCGCCAGCGCTGTCTACACCACACCTTCAGCCCGCCACTGCTGTCCTTTAGTCGCTAATCATGATTGCCGCTCGCCGACTGCCGCGCGCCTTGCCCCTTGCTGCCCCTCGCCGCCTGTTTCACGCCTCATCTCCGGCCTTCGTGCAGGTTGGTGATAAGATCCCCGATGTCGAGCTTCACGAGGGCTCGCCTGGCAACAAGGTGAAGATTGCAGACGAGCTGAAGAGTGGAAAGGGCTTGATCATTGGTAAACCCCACAATACTGGGTCCGACGAGACACGTCTTCTGACCACGACATGCAGGTGTACCCGCAGCCTTCTCCCCCGCGTGCAGCGAGAGCCATATTCCTGGCTATATTAATGCCAAGGAGCTCAAGGACGCTGGTCGTGTCTTCGTTGTCTCGGGTAGGCCTATTATTTTTTATTTTTACATATATCATGTGGAGCGTTTAGTTTGGATGTAAACTGGATCACCGCTAACTCAACGTCTTGCAGTCAACGATGCGTTCGTGTGAGTTGGGTAGAAGCAAATTTCTGCAAGCGTAACCATCTGACAGCAAATAGCATGAAGGCATGGGCCAAGAGCCTCGACCCATCTGGCTTAAGCGGAGTACGTCGCGAATATTCGCGGAAGAGACGATCGATATTGACAAAATCATCAGATCCGCTTCCTTGCTGACCCAGATCTTCGCTTCACCAAAGCGCTTGATCTGTCCTTCGACGGCGCTGCCATCTTCGGAGGCGACCGTTCCAAGAGATATGCTCTGGTCACCGAGAACGGCGCTGTGAAAGATGCACATGTCGAGTCTGATAACACTGGACTGAATGGTAGGTTGAGTGGTCATGAATTTTGAAGCGCCATTTCTCACATTGAAGCAGTCTCCAAGGCTGACAGCGTCCTCAAATCGCTCGCCAAGCAGTGAGCGTGTCTCTTAACACAGCATGGCAATTGTTCAATGAGCCAAGTGTGCGTACCTTCTGTACAATATTGAGCTTCGAGCGTTCGAAGTACCCCGCATGGAAAGGTCTGTTCATATCGCAGTCAGACCTCACCGAGACGACCCGTTAAGCTCGCGTTTGTGGGAATGTAGAAATGCAACAAAACTATCAGGGCCAAAGACTCCCTCGACCTAATACTTGGTGCTCTCAAGCTTTTTCATTGTGATGCTGATGGATTTGCCAACGTCTTCCTCCCTTTCTCCTCTTCCAGAACATCTAACAATCTGCGCGTAATCCTATCCCTCTCTGCGACGTCCACAGTACCATACGCCTCCCTAGCTTGCCTGAATACCTTACCTTCCCATCCATCTCCCACGTTAACATTCCCAGCATCGCTCCAACACCCCTGGACCGTCTCCCCAATGTTCTTAAAAAAGCCTTCCAAACCCGCAGGCCCACCGCCAGCATGGTAGCTCTTGAAAGGTCCCGCAACCGCCCACCTCGGACCCATTGAACTCTCAACAATCCCATCCAGCTCAGCCACAGACACGACGCCCGCGTCAACAAGATGAATCGCTTCCCTCAGCAGCGCAAAAGCCAGACGGTTTGCTACAAATCCCGTAGTCTCCTGATGGATATGGATGGGCACGCGGTTGCGCGCTCGCCAGAAGTCCTGCGTGCGTTGGATCACCTCTTCGGACGTCGAGGGGGACGGTACGAGCTCGAGGAGCGGCATTATGTGCGGGGGATTGTACGGGTGGACCACGAGGAGGCGCGTCTTGTTTTGCATTCTTTGTGCTTGCTGGGAGGCGGGGATACCGCTTGTGCTGCTCCAGAGGAGGGCATCCTTTTTGGCGTGTTTTTCTACTTCGGCCCATAGGTCTTGCTTTATTTGGAGATTTTCGGGTCCGGATTCTTGGATGATGTGCGCGTTGGAGACGGCGTCTGGGAGAGTAGTTGCGATTTGGAGATCGGTTATGGAGGGTGGGGAAGAGTTTTTAGGATAGAAATTTTGTAGGTTGTCGCGGATGTATTGCTCTGCATTAGGACGGGTGTCGTATATCGTCAGGTGGGATGACGCTGGGAGGTGGGAGAGATGGAAGGCGGCAAAGGAGAGGCCGATGGTGCCAGCTCCTATCAAAGTGATTCTTAGCTCTTTTTCCGGTTCCATCATCCCTTGCGTATATATCTAGATTATGTCCGGGCGATGATGCGCAGTACGCAAACCAATCGAGGAGGTTAAGAGGATGCGTTGATCCCTTCCTCTTTCGGATAGCCCCCCCAACGCCAAAGCTCCCACGTCCACAGCTTTCCCCGCACCAAGCAGCCGACTCACGTATATCCGAGTCACTCGCGCTGTCCCCCGAGGCAAAGGGTGGCGCCAATTGCCGTAAGCTGAGCACAATGCAGGATCCTATTCTTTCTCCCTCAAGCTTTCCTGGCCATCGTGACCGCACATCTCCTCTCAACGTAGGACACATACTTGAAGCGTCAACGTCAAGATGGTCATCTTCAAATCGAGACAACCGCCTATTGACCGTACGATAGCTACATCACATCACAGGATGGATCTGACATGCAACAGTGCCTACAGAGCTCACAGATTGGGACTGGTCATTCGATTCAAAATATTCGCCAATAACCCGATTTCCACCTAATGAGCTCAATGGCTTCCAAAATGCCGTCACCAAGGAGCGAGTCAGCTGGCTGGACGTGAAGAAGTACTCTACATACATTGCAACTGCCTTGACTAAGCGATATGGCCTTCGTGAAGGAGAGACGATCTCGCTCTTCAGTCAAAACACCGTATGGTATCCTGTGGCTATGTTTGCTGGACTCAGAGTAGGAGCCAGGATATCCGGAGCAAGCCCTGCTTATAATGTTGAGGAAATGACGTTCGCACTTAAGACCGCCGATGCTAAGTTCCTTATGACTACCCCCGGGAGTATGGAAGTTGCTAGCAAGAGCGCGGAAGCAGCTGGCTTGCCGAAAAGCAACGTCTTCTTACTTGAGGGTGAACTACCAGGCTACACAACTGTGCAGGAATTGATTAGGATTGGCCAAGCGTATGGAGAACAGGGACAGACGCCAGCATTCAAATTGCCCCCTGGCAAGAAGAATAAGGATGTCTGCGGATTTCTTTCTTTCAGCTCGGGAACGACAGGCTTGCCTAAGGCTGTCATGATTTCGCACCAGAACGTCATTGCCCAATGTCTCCAGATCGAGCAGATCACGCCAAACACTCACAAGAAAATCATGGCCGTCCTGCCCTTGTTCCACATTACCGGCCTTGTACACCAGATGCACTTACCCATCCTACTCAACGCTGAAGTCATAATGCTCCCGCAATTCACAATGGAAGGGATGCTCAACACCATCGTGGAATACCAGCTCGGCGAGCTTCTCTTAGTACCGCCTATTCTGATTCGGCTGGTGCGCGATCCAATTGTCGACAAATACGACCTGTCTCACGTCACACGCTTTTCCTCTGGCGCTGCACCATTGAGCGAGGAGATCATCCAGCTCCTACAGAAGAAATTCCCAAACACCGGTTTCAAGCAAGGATACGGTATGACGGAGTCTTGTTCATGCATCACCGCACACCCTCCGGAGAAGTATGCGTACAAGTACGCGCATTCAGGCGGCGCGGTCTGTGCTTCAACCGAAGTCAAAATACTGAAGGAAGACGGGACGGAAGGTGATGTTGGTGAGGTGGGAGAGGTGTTAGCAAGAGGGCCGCAGATCGTGATGGGTTATCTCAATAACGAGAAGGCGACGAGAGATACCTTTGACGAAGACGGCTTCCTGCATACTGGAGATCAAGGCATGATCGATGAAGAGGGCATGATCCATATCACGGACCGCATCAAAGAGCTCATCAAGGTGAAAGGCATCGGTGTTGCACCGGCCGAACTTGAAGACCTACTCCTCGGCCACGACAAAGTCGAGGATGTCGCTGTCATGGGCATTCTAGACGACTACTCGGGTGAGTTGCCCAAGGCATACGTGAAGCTGAAAGACGGTGTGCAGGCGGATACGGCTGTAGGAATGGAGTTGATTGCTTTTGTGAAGGAGAAGAAGGTGAGACATAAGTGGGTGAAAGAGATTGAGTTTATACCTGAGGTACCGAAGAGTGCTAGTGGGAAGATTCTGAGGAGAGTTTTGAGGGACAAGGAGAAGAATGGGAAGGATAGAGGTGTTGTGGTTAAGGACGAGGCCAAGGCTAAGCTCTAGGGGAAGGAGACCGAGACGCTTTTCACCTACGCTCTGCAAATGCATCGAGATCTGCTTGGATATCCAACTATGGTTGTTCTTCACTTGCAATGGTTACACGCGCACGCATTCTAAAATACTTGATAGAGCCACTTGCAACTCGCAAGCGATCATGCAAGATCAAATTTGCGCTCGCCCTTGGACGCGATAACTTACTCCACGGTACAGCCTTCTCTGAGCGCGGCTTGCAGTACGACACAACGATTTTGGCAGCTCGCTCTTGCCAATCATTCCGGATGCGGCTGCCGATTCACACGCCAACAGCCCTAGCTGAGACCAAGCCAAGACTCAAGACCGCCTTTGCCGCCTCAACTTCATCGCTCCGCCCAGACAAAAACTGTCTTTCATTGGCACGGCTAACACCATCTTCAATCTCTGCCTGCGTGCTTCTTGGCCGGGAGTCGCATTTCTCCCCAGAGCTTGGCTTCCGCCGCCCTTTCTTGGTCGCCAAGGACGAGCCAACCCTCCGCCGAGATGATACTTTCATGGCAGTGCTCCACCATGACGTTGATGCGTGAGACTTGTCGAAGAGGAGGATGAAAAGTGGTGCCTGGGGGAGGACCTCACGGTGCAATGTTACATATGCCAATACATGGGGATGGGATGGGGTCTTAGCATAGGAATCAGGCACCCCGTGGACAAGAGTTCGAAGACCCATGGGGAAGTGGACATATAAAGAGTCCCCATATTTTCCACGCGTTCGGAGCAGACAGCACGTTCTGTGACCTGATTTTGCGTTTCGACCTTTTATCGGTGACCTCACACCATGCCGCCTCAGAAACCAGATATCGAGGCTACAGACCCCGATCTTTCAGGCAACAGCAGCAAGCGTTCTTTGAAAGATGCACAGTTCACCGAAGATGCTCACACGCGACGTGCTTCCGTCGCTAGCGCGACCCGCAAGGCGTCCGTTGCTGCAAAGCTTCGCAACCCCCTTGCTGGGATGACCGAGCAGGAAGTGTTACGCGACGTCGATGCTTGGGTCGAAGAGAAAGGACTTGCGGAGTATCGAGACGAGTTTCAGAAGGGTGCGCTCATTGCAAGGACCGGGCAGCGCGATGATGGGTTTGAATACGTGAGTCAATTGAGCGAGGAAGAGAAAGGCTTGCTACGACATGAGATTACGCATCGATGGGATCATCCGTTCATGCTGTACTTCTTAGTCGTGTTGTGCGCTGGTTCTGCTATCGTTCAAGGTATGGATCAGACAGCTGTGAACGGTGCGCAGGTATGTGCTTCCACATCTCCTGACTCGAAGGATCCGGTTCTCTAACCATTTACAAAGCTCTACTACTTTGACGAGTTCAACATCACGAACGAATGGCAACAAGGTCTCCTCAATGGGGCGCCCTACCTCTGTTCTGCGCTGATCGGCTGCTGGACCAACGCACCGCTGAACAAATTGTTCGGTCGTCGTGGCACCATCTTCATTTCTTGCTTCATCTCGTTTGCAACCGGATTCTGGATGGCGGCGGCCGACAGCTGGTACAATCTTCTCATCGCACGCTTTGCTTTAGGATTCGCTGTTGGCGCTAAGTCCTCCACCACTCCTGTGTATGCTGCAGAGAGTGCCCCGAAGACTATTCGAGGTGCTCTCACCATGATGTGGCAAATGTGGACGGCCTTCGGAATCATGCTCGGTTTCGTCGTAAGCGTAGCATTCGAGAACGTCGACTTCATGGGAGAGTACAGCCAATGGCGATGGATGCTTGCATCGACGAGTATCCCGCCTTTCTTGGTCATGGTCCAGGTTTATCTATGTCCCGAGTCTCCGCGATGGTGAGCAATGGTAGCCATAAAACTACGACTAGGAGCTAACGCTGTGTAGGTATATGGAGAAGGGCAAGTACGACAAAGCCTTCGATGCCCTATGCCGTCTACGAAAGCACAAGATTCAGGCAGCCCGCGATATGTACTACGCCCACAAGCTCCTCGAGGTTGAGCAGGCCGAGCGAGAGGGCAAGAGCTTATTCAAAGAGTTCTTCATGGTAAAGCGCAATCGTCGAGCTGCACAGTCATCCTTCTTCGTTATGTTCATGCAGCAGTTTTGTGGAGTGAATGTCATCGCCTACTACAGTATGTGTCGTCCGAGATACTTCCAGACGAAAGGCCTTACTGATCGGGTCCAGGTTCCACGATCTTCGAGCAAGCGGGATTTTCTCGCAGCAACGCTCTACTCGTGTCTTTTGGCACGGGCGTCACGAATTGGCTCTTCGCTATCCCAGCAATCTACACCATCGACACTTTCGGCCGCCGTAACCTGCTACTGACCACCTTCCCACTGATGGGTCTTTGTCTCCTCTGGTGTGGAATGTCTTTCTTCCTACCCCTCGACGCCGAAGGCGAACCCACCCAGGGTCGTCTGGCGAGTATCGCCGCCGCAATCTTCACATTCATGGCTGTCTACTCGCCCGGCGAAGGTCCTGTTCCATTTACATACAGTGCCGAAGCGTTCCCGCTGTATATCCGCGACATCGGCATGTCCTTCGCCACAGCGACATGCTGGGGCTTCAACTTCATCCTGTCGCTTACATGGCCGCCACTTGTGCGAGCGTTCACACCTCAAGGCGCATTCGGATGGTATGCTGCATGGAACTTCTTCGGCTGGGTGTACTGCTACTTCCTGTTGCCCGAGACGAAGAACCTCACACTTGAGGAATTGGACAGCGTGTTCAATGTAGGAAACAAAGAGTTTGCCAAGTACTACGCGGAGAAGCTGCCGTGGTACATGCAAAAGCACGTCTTGAGAAAAGATGTGCCGCCTATGGAGCCGCTGTACCAGTTTGACGATGAGACGCCTGGTATGTTCGAGGAGAGGATGAAGGCTTGATGCAGTTGCCTGAGAATGCAGAGTGAAGTATTCTGGCGGTGGAGGATGGGTTTGAATTTCAGAACGCGTTGTCTCGACTCAGCTTCTCGATACAATACATATACCCCTTTGTATCTTGAAACACCATAGTTCACTGGTATAGTTCATAGTCTAGAAGCTGAATCAGATCAGACTATCCTTTCTTTGTGTCTCTCCCCTTAATCTTGACCTTCGACTGCATACCATCTACCGGCTTGCATGTGACGAGATACGTCTATAGATGTTAGCACTACGAGCACGCCTGGGGCTATTGACCGGATCACTTACAGAGAACATGGTAGACTTCGTCTTGTAGTAGCCCTTCTCGTCGAGCTGAGGCAACCCCTTCTCATCCAGATCCAGTTCACCTTGGCCGACCTTGACAAACTCAAAGCGTCTAGCCACAGCAGCCAGAATGATGCGCACCTCCAGGTTTGCCAGCTCAGACCCAGTGCATCTCCTCGGACCACGCTCGTAAGGTCTGAACGCGCTATCCGGGATCTTGGCACCCGCTTCGCCGAGCCATCTCTCAGGCATAAAGTCATCTCTAGTCTCTCCGAAGATCTTGGGGTGTCGCTGGATGACGTATGCGCGCGGAGTAACACACAGGCCATCGATAACTAATCGTTGTCCGTCAGGAAGCGTGATGCTGCTTCCGGATCCCTTTGGCGTCATGCGCGCTGTGGTACCCGGTGGATGCAGACGCAAAGCTTCTTTGATTACGGCATCTGTGTAAGGCAGGCGTGCGAGAAGCTTTCCTGCGTCGGGACCTCTGAGCTGTTCAACGACAGATGTAGGGCTCGCGTCCAGCCCGAACACTTCATCAAGCTCATCCTTGAGGTCCTTCGCGGAAGCTGGGCGTCTGTGTAGTTCGTAGAAACACCACTGTAGTAAAATACTTGTTGTGTCGTGTCCAGCGAACAGGAAGCCACGGAGCGTGTCGCTGGTTTGCTGCAGGATCTCGGGCGTGAGCTTGTCGATGCCGTGAAGACTGAGTGTGGCCACACTCCTGTCCGTAGTATCCGCGCCAGCGAGTAGCGCCTTGTGCTGTTTCTTGATCTCTTCCTTCAGAATGCCGTCGAGCTTTTTGTCGAGGCGTCTGATCTCGAACTCGTTCTTGGTAAAGTATTCCTTCCACCAGACTGCTCCGAACGGACGCTTGTTGAAGACCTGCGACAATGCTCGGTATGTCAGCAGGACGTCACTCTGCTTTCCCTCGATCTGGGCGTTTAGATCCATGTTGAAAGTTACGATGCCGATGATGTCGAAGACGAGGTTGGTAGTGTATTCTTCCAGACGGATCTCTTCGCCGGTTTTGGCCTTCTCCTCCATGAGCTCGATAAACGTTTCCGTCTTGTCTAGAATAGCGCCAACAAGGCTGAGGAGGTGAGTCGGAGCCATACCGGGCAGGATCCTCTTTCTCAAGGCCTTCCATTCGTCGCCATCTGTCGTGACAAGAGATCTAGCACCGACCAAAGGAGCTAGACCTTGGATACTAGGATGTTTGGGCATACTGGTTGAGAACTGCTTCGATGCTTTAGTGACCTGCTCGGCGATGTCGTTGTCGAAGATGAGCAGAAGCAAGAACTTCTCCACAGGACGCATATCAACAAGAAGCACGGGAGGGAAGTCCATTTTGATACATTGCTCATAAAGCATTTCATCTGCAAAGTTATGTCAGTCATTGCTCGCATCTTCTGTTGTTGACCTACCGAAAGCGCGTCGCACGTCACCCGCCACCGCAATCTGCTCGAGCCATGCCCAATGCCCTCTCTGCGGATCAGCCGTTGCTGGCTGCGGTATATGCGAGTATCTGCTTATGTCGATGCCATCGGATTTTGTCCTTCCGAAAAAGTAGTAAATCAAACTAATCGGTATAGAGGCAAGGAAAAGAAGCCTCCAGTCTAGAAAACTGCTTGAAAAGTCAAGATTCTGCGACTTGAAAATCTCGAGGATCGCCATGTTCGCAATTAGGGAGGATGCTGTGGCCTGCAAGTGTCGCGCACGCAGCTTGAGGGGAAGACGTGCATCGTGTCAGCTGGCAACGGCCACTTTTTAGGTTCTCGTTACAAATTTGCTGTCACCTTCTCCAAGTGGGATACGGGCGCTCACTGCCTTATTTGGATCTGCACACATGTGCAGTGACGAGGGTGAAGAGCGCTCGGAGACACATCGGAGACGCCATGATGATCTGATAAGATGCATCAGATTAGATTTGCTTCATGTGATTCGTGTGGCCAAGATCGTGAAGAGAGCCAACTAGACGTGATTCGATGGGTGAGGCAGCAGGTAAAGTTTTTGCGCTTGGCAGCACGGCGGAGTAGCTGGAAAGAGCGTAGTTATTGGGCCCTCTCCCGTTCAATTGTGGGCTGTTCCCGTTTTCACCCCACCATCATCATCGAATAGCGTCAGCACGCAAGAGATCATTAGTGGGCCGGAACGGGATAGAACGTTAATTGAGCATCGATCCATGGACACAACTGCGCAGGACCTTGCAGTCGTCTCCAACAGCAGGTGTGCTTGTGTTCTTGCGAGGCTGAGTACGATTTCTCAATCTGTAAGGCTGCCACAAAGACCGAAACTTGCATGTGGAAATCGTACATTACTGAGCTTTCGGCTCACCTGCCTTGACAGTTGATGAAGATCGCTCTATCGGTGCCTGGGGAATCGAGACAGCGCAAGCGAGGGAAAGCGATTGGACTCTGCGTATGGTGAGTGCAGCAAGGCTGTTCTTGGGCTAATCCTCTTTGTCAACTATCTTGTGAAGACGAATTACAAGACAGAACATGGCCTCTCATTCAACCTCGCAGCCGAATGGAAATACAAGGAACGTTTTCCAATATTTATGAAGATCTCCCTCTTTAGCTAAACTTTGTCGGCACACTTGATTAACTGATTAGATTTTCTCTTCATATACATCCTTCAATGGCTTCGATTCAACATTACCTTAGCGACTCGCAGATAGTCTGGGAGAGCTTTGGCTTTGCCGCCTGCGAAGATTAGGCTGTCTGAGACAATGATTCAAAAAGCATGCGCTACATCAGCGACCACTTTGCACTGAAGAGTCGCATATCAGTTTGCTAGCGAAAGGCTCCACCAAACAGACGGCAAAATCTCCTGGTGGTTTGCAAAAAGCACAGAACATTAATGACACAGAACGTCGACTTGATAGTATTGATCAAGGAACACTTCCAAAATCAAGTCTCACATCTGATCACGAACTTGCCCAGACCTACCTTCGAACGCGATATACGGGGATTAGAGAGATAGATAGCTCGAAATTATGCGAGACATACTGGCTTTGCAATTACCTTCAGTGCATCCATTAGACACGTCGAACAGATGAAGTTGGGCTCAGCTTCTCAAACAAGCACTCCAGGATATAGATGTATTTGGCGACAGTATAGCTAAAACAATAATTGGTCGTAATAACCATCATCCACAAGGTGTGTATACCCAAGTCATATTATAAAGACCCATCTTTATCTCCATCTGATCTAGTCTATATAGGAGAAAATCACGACCTCGAATGACGGAGTTTTCTTCAGATAAAAAAAGCTGTTTTGTGTATGCGAATAGCCGTTACGAGGAATAAGTATAAAAGGATTGTCTCAGGTTCGGACCCACTCGCCCCTGGACTTCGATTACCTTGACAAGAGCGTGGAACTCAAGTGATACTCTGAATACAGATGATAGCCATCTATACGTGGAGGATCCAAAATCTAGCACAATACACTGTTTGCAGATTCTGGAAGAGGACCACCATGAGATAATCCAGACACCGATCAGGCTTTGTCCTACTTGCACAACAGACATCGAATCATTCAGCCGATGTAATCGTGAACACTGCGAAAATAAATCTACTACAGAGCAGAACCCCAAAAAGGTGTGAAGCATATGTGTCACGGGGGGTCTAACTATCTACGACAGTCTGATTACTTTGGGTCCGCATACCATTCCTCTAGAAGCAACCAAAAACGGAACAAGCTAGGATGCATGCAGCCAATAATTTCCCCTCCGAGTCGCAAAAACTTCTTCATAGCCGCGATTGCCTGTAGACGCTTGCCTCCGTCCTTGAACGATCTTGCGAGCTTTCCTATGCTGACCAGAACTTTTACGTCAAGGACACCGTAAGCCCTGGCGTATTCTACAATCACTCGGCTCTGATACTGGTAGACTTGCTTCCAATTTCCAGTAGACCGGTGCGATAGCGCCGCAGCGCCACGAAAGCTGGTCAAACCTGAGCCGTCTGGGGATGCTTTATGGTCTGCTCTCAATGTTTGCAACTCCAGCTGGTCTGCGCTTTCCCAGTATCCCTGCATCCACAATGCGAGAGTCAAATCGAAGAGTCCCATCAAAGTCTCCGGATGATCTGGTCCAAGGATCTTTAGACGCAGCTCTGTAACTTCTTCCAGTAGGATTTGTGCCCGCGGAAAACGTCCCAGCTTGATGCGCGTTCTTCCAACGTTGTTCATGGCATTCAAGGTATGAATGTTTTCGGATCCGAAATTTCTACGCTTCACCTCCATCAGGTGCACCTCCAGCTCCTCCGCCTCCTGTAGGCGCCCTTCGTTGTGATACGTCAACGCTAGATAACTCTTGCTTGCTGTAGCATGGAGAGAGTCTGCTCCAAATATCTGCTCAAGCTTTTGACCGGTCGGGATCAACAGTTGCTGGGCTTCTTTCCAATTCCCCCTCTTCCACAACACGATCGCAAGATCGTCCGTATGCATCAAGGTGATGTAATGATCACTCCCGTGATTTCTCGAATCCCATGCTACGACACTTCTGTAGAGTTCTTCGGCTTGTTCAAGCTGCCCCATCTGGAGGTAAGTTTTTGCCACATTGGCAACACTTGCCATGGTCTCTGGATCATTTGGACCAAGCAGTCGAGTTCTCAGATGCATAACTCGCAAGTCTAGCGCATGTGCCTTGTTGGGCTGATCATTAATCGAGTACATTGTCGCTAGATTAGCCATGCTGTTCAACGTTTCTTTGTGCTCAGGGCCACGAGTTCTTATTCGCGTCTGCATCACTTCCTCGAGCGTTTTCTCGGCTTCCTCCATTTGACCTCTCCGTGACAACACCAAGCTGAACAGTTCTGTGCAGGCCAGCGTATAGTTATGCGTATCGCCAAGCCATCTGGTGAACGTATTTCTCGCTTTGATAGACATGACTTCTACATCAGAAGTGATTCCGTCTTCTCTAGCGAACCTCCCCGCAAGGAACAAGAGTTTAGCCCATTTGATTTGCAAATCCTTGGTCTTTGGCTCGTGTTTTAATGCTGCTTTGACATGTGGGAAACACATTCGACATCTGGACCAATTTTCGAAATCGGGTTTGGGAAAGCCTTCATAAAGATTCGTGATGAATTGGCACTTCCACTGTTCGAGCTGGTTCTGCGTCGTGAGCCAGTCTCGCGTCGCCAACTGCACGAGGGCGTGCATATCAAACACGTCAGGCTGGGTCGAGTACGAAACGAAAGAATAGCTCCGCAACATCGTAATGTCACCCCCAAAAAACTCAGAAATGCTGTCATCGGAGCTATCGGAGTCTTCATCGTTCTGCCTATTAGCCTCTCTACCAGAATTAGTCGGTCCTCCGTTACTGCCACTTGGTGGTCCTCGAAGAAGCGTTTCCGGAATGCCCTCACGGTCAAAGAAGCTCATGAGGCACAACAAGTCGGCGGCCGATGATCTGGTTTCCAATATGTGCTCGAATGAAATCTGCCATGTTACAAGGATAGAATGGCTGGCTTCATGATCCCTTCGCAATTGGTCTGGTTCGGTGTGCTTCAGTAGCCACGTCTTGTTCTTATCGCTTTTATAGAACTTCTCAAGATATCTCTGAACCGAACATCGTGGACCTTGGTTCCTGATGTACGCCCCAGCCTGCACAAGAGCAAGTGGCATAAAATCTAGCGCAGCAGCAAGCTCAGGAACACCGTCCCCATGTCCTTCGAGTCGGATTTTCTTCCTAAGAAGAACTTCTGCATCTGTATCGACCATGGGATTGATTTCCACGACTTTATCATGGTCGGTTAGCTGTAGAGCGACGTTCTTGGACCGGCTTGTTATGAGGACTGAGCCGTGCTTCTTTGGAGGCACGTAGCTTCCAAGGGAAGGAGAAGCTCCGTTGCTTGTCGCTGGCACGAATACGGATGCGTTGTCTACGTTGTCCAGGACAATCAACCAGTTTCCGTTCTGTTCGTCGCAAAGCCAGTTATACACAGCCTTTGTCATATCCGCTTTGGGGTCTTCGCATCCAGGCAGCTTGACCTGTTCCGCAATTTCTCGATAGCTTTGGGCAAGACGTGCTGTATTGCTACAGTGCACCCAGAAAATCCACGTGTCTCGCGATTCCTCTTGGGTACGGTAACAGTGCTCGATCGCTAGCTGCGACTTTCCTACTCCCCCTAATCCGACCAATGCGATGCATGACGCTGGCACGGCGCATCTTTTGCGGATGCTCTGGAAAAGTGTCCCGCGCTCGACGAAATCTTTATCTTGATAGAAGGGAATGTGCATGCAGGGTCGACGACGCGAAACCGAACGCTCTATGAATGGAATCTTAGCAGGCTACGAGTCGGCGGGCACGGTCATAGCTTAGCCTACCTGATGGTCCATAGTGATGAGTGTGGAACTGGCCGCCGTTGATTATCGCTGTCTGAAGGCCTTGAACATTTCCCCCCATATTGATCGATTCCCCGTTACTTGCCATTAATGTAGTCACTGATTTGAAATTTCGTTGTGATAGAATTGGATCAGGCTGGAGGCTGTGCGGGGTGTCGACCCAAAGCCTGGCACTCAGCCTCGCCGAGGCGAATGCCACCACATATTCCACTCAGGCCCGTCTCATCTGCTCACATCTATATCGCTAGAAGAGTTCTCTGTTCAGTCGGTTGTACATTACCCCTCATCACATAATGGATCCTCTTAGCATTACCGCTGCGATAGCAAGCCTTGCTGTCCCTGCCATACAGTGTGCATCCCATCTCTCAGCCGAAATCAGCAGCCTGGTAAAAGCGCCACAGATCGTCCAGAGCCTCAAAGACGATGTCTCATCTACCGAAGCAGTCCTCATATCGCTCCAAGGAATACAAGATTCAGAATGGGAGGCCCTGGGACCAATCGTGGCTGATCAGTCTAAAGTGGCCATCAAGAATTGCGAGAAAGCATGCGAGGGTTTTCGGGTCAACCTGCAGAGTTGGACAAAGCATTCGAAGGAGGGGCAGCTGTCGGTGCACGATAGATTGAATATAGGTGTCCTTAAAAAGGGACAACTAAAGGCCATGGCGGGGCAACTCCAAAGCTACAATCTAGCTTTCACGTCAGCCGTCGGCGTGGCGAATTTGTACGTCCGTAGCATACCGAAACAGCAGAGATGTAACGGTGAGTACTAATTGTTACAGATACAGTTCGATCCGCCACTCGTACGTCACCGAGGACATCAGGCGCAAGATCTCGACCAGCGGGGTTGAAGTCTCAAGCGCTCTTGGATCGGCTAAGACGCAACTCGCAGGTGTTGAAAGAGAAATGGGACGAATACGACTTGAAGATACGGCGGATGACGCAGATAACAGAGAAGATACAAAGAACACGATCAGACAGTTGCAGGAAGAACGTGCGGCTCTTCAGTGCTCGCGCAAGATGTTAGAGGAGTTGCAGCAGAAAGCTCGAGAGGACGCGGTGATGCAAGCTGCAAACCAAAACCAGGGTCGGCTACACAATATTACGCTCGGAGGTACTGTCTATGGACAGCAGAATGCAATCGTTAATGGCGGCACCTGGACGCAGAACTTCGGATACAAGCCAACATGAATATATCAACTCCTCGGTAGGCTCTTCACATAACCTTTTGTCTCAATGTGATCCAAGTGCGTAAATCGCACTTTAGTGACGACTCCCTTTCGGTGGGATACAATACTTATGCGTGGAGTTTGCCGAAGGAACACCGCTCGATATAGAGACTCGTGAGGCCAAATTCGCGAGTCAAAGTCAACCACGCTGGACACCTGATGACATTCACATCGTGTTAGGTAATTTCGAAAAGACGGAAGACACACCGAGGAGCCACGGTGGACGCCATGCGACAGATAAACTCGGCAAATACATGCTTGCTATTTCGACTTACGACAGCCTATCACTATACTACATGCCTCATGGAAAATTATACTTCCAACTGAGGAGTCCCCTCACCATTCCCAGTCTCCCCGATCAAGAGTTACCTCCTTAAAGGACAATGTAGAGTCCTGTCCTGCTATAGCTCTTCAGTTGTATAGGTATTATATCAACCTATATCTCTACCCCTTCTAATCTGCTTTCTCACGCGCCAATGATCTACCAGTATCTTTCTGACGCCCCATCTCTAGTGTTCTAGACGTATTACCGAACTACCTAGCTCAAAGTAGTCCTCTTTTTCTACAATTCCCTCTTGCGCTACACCGAGCGGCCATAGTTCCACATAGCCATCTTTCCCACCAATACTCCAACCTCTCGCTTCATTCCAGCCTTCCAATAACGATGTAGCCCTCCACCGCTCTCACCTTGAGCACCTTATCCCAGTTCTGACAAACTTTCAGGCCCCAAGACCTGAGCATGTTCTTCCTCTTCGCCGACTACGACCACTTGGTCAATGGTAACTTCCCGAATATCCAGTGTCGAGGTGAAAAGTGCACACTCTCGCACAGAGTAGTTAATGTGTATTCATATTCATGGTATTATCATTCGCTAATATTGCTCATTTTCAGATATACAACCAGAAATCAAGGGGGAATAGAACATAAACACACGAACAGATCAGCACCTCCTATCCGCTCTTCACTAGCATTAGTCCCTATTAATGACCCTCAAACTCCTCCTCGGATTCAACAACACACCCCGCGTCCCCCCAGAACGCAGGCTCCTGCCCATCCAGCAAATCGTCCGTCGAGCTCAAAACACTCGTCCTCCTCCCCAGCGCATCCACACCGCCGGCCCCTGCAACGCCAGCTGCACCCGTGTAGGAAGTGCCCGTCCTCTCGTTGCTCGTCCGTATCGCGCTCGCCGTCCCGCTCCCGCTCGTACCCAGCCCATCGCGCTGCGCCCTCTCCGTAGAGTTCTTGCCCGAGGAGGCTATCGCGCTGCCGAGGAACGCAGCACCCGCACCACCACCCATAGCGCCGTTCTTCTCCGCGTTCGACCGCGCGGTCACCATCGCAGCGTGTTCTTTCCAGATGGCGACCTGCTTGCGGTAGATCCACGCGCAGAAGGCAAAGTACGCGGCGACGAAGAAGAAGACGCCTGCGAGGACGCCGCCGACGATGGCGCCGATCTTGTTGGCTTTGTTGGCGCTGCTGTTGTCGTTGCCTGAGCTGACTGTCTGTGTGATGATGGCGCCGTTGGGACCCGTCACGGTGTACGTCTGCGGCGTGCCGGACTTGTAGGGGCCGTCGGTGGGCGTCTGTACGGGCGCGGTAAGTGTCGCGCCGCCGGTTTCCTTGCCGCCGATGACTGATTGGACTTCTTTGGGGACGGAGTAGCCGTAACTGCCTTCAAGGCCGGCTTTGTGGTCGAAGCCACGCTGGTTGGCTTGTTGGCCTAGTGGGTTCCCTTCGTCGCCTTCGTTGCCGTTGTAGGCTTTGAGGGCTTTGTCGCCGGTGAGGGCGGTGAATTGGTCGCTCCAGCCGAGACTCGACATGTTGAATGCATAGATGCCGGGGGTGTCGCAGCCGAGTTCTGGATCGGTGTAGCCGCCTAAGACAATCATCTGAGAGTCCCAGACGTGGCAAGAGTGGCCGGCGCGGGCGGGAGGGGAAGACGACTTGGACGTGTCGGGGTCGACTTCGATCCAGGTGAAGGAGGGGACGGAGAGGATCCACATGTCGTCGTATTGCTCTTGATTACCTGCAGGTTGCAGACTCTGTCCGCCGTACATGTAGACATTGTACGAAGAGCCACTTTTTAGTGTCAGCAGAGGCAAGAAGAAACAACCGGGAGACCTACTCAGCAGCCGCTGCGACCACAGCGCAAGGATTCACGCGGTACTTGGGCGTCTTTCCGGCGGTGTTTTGCTTGTACCAGGTCGAATTGGCGATGTCGTAGACGTCAATGACGTTCATTTGGGCCTGTTTGCGATTAGCCCCGTGTTTGATGGACTACTTGGCTATACATACGAAAGTGTCGTTGTCTCCGCCCGTGACGCCAATTAAGGTACCTTCCGCACCGAATCCGGGAATGTACACCAGGACACCATCAGCGCGCTCAGGGAAGGATCCAGAACTTTGGAGACCACCCTCGGTAATGTTACGATAGACGCCATCTTCGCCAGCCGTTTTGCCATCTTTCAGATCGTCGACAGCGTTGTTGGAATATCCAGGGAACGTAAACTCGAGGAGCGACTTGAGATAGATCCTTCCAACCTGGTTGCTCCAGTCTTTTGTCGTGAGGTAGTCTTCATGTCCGCCAAAGTACCACCCACGCCCCAAAACTGCCACACTGAAGCCTGAGCCTTCAGCTGCTCTTTGGATCGACTGTCCAGCGTCCTCAGCATTGTCTCCGGCAGAACTCTTTGGGTCCTTGTGCTCTACCCATTCCTTGCTGCTAATCTTGTATTCCCAGAGCGAATTTGCTGTTGGCGACTCTACAGGCTCTTCGGAGAACTCGCCGCCGTAAAGGTAGAGGGACGAGAGCGAATTCCACAGGTATCCGAGTGACACGGCTGGTGGGCCTGACGGTTGCGACAGGCTCGTGAGCGAAGGACCGGCAACTTGCCATGATTTTGTTAAATCGAGAGAAAGGAAATCGTTGGCTATGTTGATGTTAGTTATGCGACTAGAGCCGGCGCATTCGCAAGAATAACTTACTCCATGTATCGCTCTTCTGTTGCGAATCGTTGCTAGTTCGAAACCCGTACATGTAGAGCGTTCCGTTGACAACGGCGGCTAAACGGGTCAGCTTGGTTCGTCGGGCGGCATAATGACTGGAACCTACATTGACCGGCCCAACGCTTGCACACGTCTGTGCTTGAGTCCCTCCTGTCCAATCGCGAAACGGTGGGTTCGATCGAAGTCTGTGGTATGACACCTGCTCTAACTCCCTGTGGCGACATTGAACACATCTGAAGGATGGGCAGCATCAAAGCAAGAAGAACCGTCAACATGCCCAACCGGTAGACCTTTTGTGACATGGCGTTCTGTTGAGGCTGTATCCGAGGGATTGTATCGTCTTCGTCCGAGTCGGTATCTGTTTCCCAACCGTCGTCGCTTTGCGCGATTGCGTCCTTGAGCTCAAAGATGCTGTCTTTACTTCGAAACCTCACCGCCCTGGCTGGCCTCAGATGTCTCTGCGTCGCGTGCTTGATGATGCTCGGCGCCGGGCTACGTTCACTCCGAACCTGCTCTTCATCCACCAATCCGACCTCCATAAATACCGACTTCCGGCGCGTGGGCGCCTCGAAGGCGGATTGAGGGGGGTGTTGAGTCCATTGCTTAGTGGAAGAGTCGCGCGACGCGACAGTCGGTCGCCAGAAGTTAAGAGGGTCGAACGCCCTCGTATAAATGACGTTGGGTTGAAAACCAGCTTGCGGAGTCAAGTACCGAATTGAGGTGGATTATTTAACGGGCTGCATATAAGAACAGGGGCGTGGCAAACTGCTGCACTGCACCCACGAAATGTAAAACAATAGCGGATATGCGCTGTAAACAGACACTAGCGAAGGCTGAGCAGATGCAGCATTGACATCGCTATAGGGAACTGACAGCAGCTGAGCGGCAATAGCGAATGTGTGACTTGGAGGGACGACGAGAACACGTTCTGGACGTGCCGTTGGCGCATGGATGCTTCGCACGACGACCCATCAGGATCCATCCTGTTGGCGTCCCTGTCCCTGGTGGTGAGCCGTGCGAGGCAAGTTGATGGTGGGACGTCATGAGACAGCTCTTCTTGGAAGTGATCACTCAATCGCGATGTAGGCGGCTGGCAAAGCAGGGGTTGCATTGGCTGTGAGCGCTTGGGCCCCGGACTTTGCGCGGATGACACTAGCCAAGCAATTAAAGGAAGGCGGGCGTCAAGGCCAGCAATCCAGGAACGACTTGTTGGAAGCTCCATAGGTAATACCGGCAGAATCTGCATTCCCCATGTGTCGCGCGGCCCGTGTCCCTGGAATGCCACCCTTTCACAAACTTCAGGCACAACATGTCGTGCTCCGCGGCCTTCTGACAGCTCACGCGATATCGATAACCCGGCCTCGCGCGCCTTACCCAACACAGTACACACTCGATAGTCCAAGCGTCGTACCCGGAATCGGTGCTCGAACAATGGCTACACAGTCGTCGCCGTTGCCGACTTCTATTCTTACCGCATGGCTGCATTTCTTTCAACGGGCGGCGAGACTCGCACACTTCATGGCGGTGCAGTGGCGCACCAAGTGGCCTTCGCCCTTCACATCGCACATCGCCATCTCATCTCGGATGTATGCGTGTCCGACAACGGTGAGGAGTCGCTTCGTAGCCGAGTGACTGTACTCGCTCAGCATTGGATCGGTCCAAATGCCGACCCTGGGCCCTATCACAGTAAGATGACAGGAAACGTCTCCCAGTTCGCGTGGACAATTGCCCGTTCCACACAGATGTGACAAATGGACATCAGGCTTGTAGTGGGGCCGCCTCCTTGCCACTGCATATGGTCGTCCATGGTGGTTCTCCATCTTCATCAAACTCTGCCCATTGAAAGAAGGAACAGCCTTCTTTGCCTGGCACGTAGGAGACGTGGCACATCCACATATATCTTCCCCGGTTCTCCTTTTGTCTTGTCACGCAACGAAGTACAGCGGGCACCCCACATTTGCACTTTGGTGTGTACTTGGGGTGCAACTCCTCCTTGTAGTATCGATATGTTATGTTGAGCCGTTTGTTCTTTGCAAGAGGATGCGGGTCGATGGCCTGAGCGGCAGCGATGGAATGCTTCCATTCTTCCTGCATCTCAGCATGCATGATCAGTAGAGAGTTGTGCGGCAGATGGATCGAGATTTGACCCTGTGCATCTGCAAGTGAACCGTCTTCTTTGCGATACTGGTCGTCCTCTGCATAGATCTTGCGAACGCGAAACTCACGAGCAACGCCGAGGCTCAGACTACCGATCACTGCTCGAGGTCCGAGATAAGTAAGCTGGTCAGAATGATAGCCCACACACTCTTTTGGTCCGTCGTAGCAGTTGACAAACGCAGTGTTAGCCTTCCATGCTTTTGGTGTCTGGTACTTAAGCTTCTTCCCTTCGGGATAAAAGTCACGTACGCGGCGTTGGATCTCTTGATTGACAGCTGTTTCAACCTGCGGACAGGCGCGAAGCATCTCGGGGGTGCTTTGACGCACGTCGTCGACCTTGCGTCCATCGTAGATGTACTCTGCCTTCTGCTCTTCCGCCTCGGCTAGGCTGTTGACGTAGAAGCAAAAAGTGTGTGGACTTTGGACGACTCTGTCGAACAACTTGAATTCGAGGTTACTGTAGGAAGGGGCTTCTTTGACCAGCTCCACGGTGAGTGCATCGGCTTGTACGGGTGGCAGGAAATTATGTATGATGGAGCATGGTGTGTGGGCCTCAATGTCTTCCGGAGCATACAGGTACAACGTCTTGCCCTTCTTCACGAGAGGCTTTTTGGCGGCACCTGACCAGGTCGGAGTCATGCGGTAAGACGACAGGGACGATTGATATCCAATGGTGGATGCGGTTCGTTTCTTTGGACTTGGGGTGGCCGAAAGAGCTTCCGAGGCTTCCTCCACATTGCCTTCGGAAGCAAGCAGAGCCTCCAAAAGGTTGCCCTCGTCGATGTTCGGGTGCAGGGATGCTAGTATCGCCAATTTGAAGTCGGTGGATTCTTCCTCTTGACGCTCCGCCACCGGTTCGACCTGCGGGACATGGCGAAGCCCGTCAACGCGCTTCCTCTTCCGCGACACAAAGGCATCCATGGTGGACGGGACGAGGCAGCAGCATGTCGGAACAGCGTGTGGTATAGAACGCGACGGAGGATTGACGCGCAAACGCCAAAGCACGTGCAGCTGAAGTGCAAGTGCGGGCATTGCTTGCATGTGGCCCCGCCGAGTGGGCCGAGACCTCGGAAGTGCGTCACCTGCGAGTGGTCACTTCTCCTTCAACAACAATGGGCACAGCCGCACCGGCAGCATCATGCTCGAGTTTCGTACGCAGGGCTTCAATGGCTACAGCGTGAAATACTCGCCCTTCTTCGACTCGCGCATCGCCGTCGCAGGCGCCGCCAACTTTGGGCTTGTGGGGAATGGCCGCCTCTACGTCTTGGGGCTCACAGCCAACGGTGTCGTTGCCGAGAAGTGGTTCGACACGCAAGACTCGCTCTTCGACACTACCTGGAGCGAAGCGCACGAGAACCAGCTGCTGACGGCAGGCGGCGACGGCTCGGTGAAGCTGTTCGACATCACGCTCGACCAATTCCCCGTTCAGTCGTGGCAAGAACATGCGCGCGAGGTCTTTGCCGTGCACTGGAACCTTGTAGCCAAGGACACGTTCCTGAGCAGCAGTTGGGATGGCACTATCAAGATATGGAATCCCAATGCGCCGGCCAGCATCGCGACCCTACCAACCCACACTTGCACCTACTCAGCCGCCTTCAGCCCGCACAGTCCGTCCATACTCAGCTGCGTCGGTTCAGACTCACACCTCCGCGTATTCGATCTGCGAACACCGGCCTCTGCATCCAACCACCTCACCATGAACATCCCCATTCATACCCCGCCGAAGCCCCGCATGGGGCGCCGCTGCCCCGCCAGGCATTCCTCCTGCCGAAGCCCTCACTCACGATTGGAACAAATACCGCGACACTGTAGTCGCTACCGCGGGCGTGGATCGCCTCGTGCGTACATTCGATATCCGCGCGCCTCAGGCGGGTCCCGTCGCGGTCCTACCAGGCCATGAGTACGCAGTAAGACGGGTGTCGTGGTCGCCGCATCTCTCAGATACCCTACTGAGTGCAAGCTACGACATGACGTGTCGCGTATGGACAGATGGCAGTGCCATGGGAATGAAGCAGGAGAACATGCTCGAGGATCCGATGGTGCACGGTGGCGGGCGCGAATTGGGCAGGATGGGACGCCACACCGAGTTTGCGACGGGCGTCGACTGGTGTCTCTTTGGCGCAGAGGGCTGGTGCGCAAGTACTGGATGGGATGAGCGTGTCCTTGTCTGGGACGCGCGGGCTCTTATGCAGTGACCCATGTGAAGGCATCACACCTATGGGGGATTTTTGCATTTACTGGCGTCGACATCAGAAGGTATCCCACGAAGTAACGATTCGAACATTTATGATTCACAGGCCGAGAGAGGATCTCGCACTAGGTATGGCTAACAATAACGAGCAAGTACTATATGTATTGTGTTACAGTTAGCCGCCCTGGAGCGGAACACTCTAAGATGCACTTGCATATAAGGCCTATCCAAAAAGATTTTGTTATTTCTCTATTTCGGTTTCGACTCCTCGAGCGTACCTTTTATCTTACAGTATCGGCAAAAGCGGTTTACAAGCGGCGATACGGCTTGTGTGGCCTCCGCCCATTTTCCAAAAACTGGTGTTTCTATTGCCTTTGAGCAGCTGCTTGCCATATACAACCACCACCCCGGCTAGCTCCGAAGCTCAGTCCCTATAAACTTTCTTGAAAACACTTTGCGCGACCACTGAATCAATCACAACCGTCGTCGAACACGTTTCGCAGAGCCTACTATACTTCGGCTTGGGGAGGCAACGTGGGCCAAATTAACCCAGGACCTACTATCTACCACGGAAAATGACTTTCTACCCTTTCCTATTCCTACTCACAATTCACTGAAGAGGAATGGAATGGCTCTCAACTTCCTCCGCACCAAGCTGTCCCTCCTTCCGTACCTCTTCCAACCTACCCGTGATGCTATCTTCTCTTCTTTCCCTTTAAATACCGCTGGCGTCTTCTCGCCCTCCAGCCCTTAAACCTCCTCGTCCTATTCATTACGTCTCCGTCCTGGGTTTTCGATAATCGCTCGTCCGTACTTAATGACTCAACTCGCAGCCGTCCCAAACGTAATCGGTATACCAACCATCCTGTGAAGATTTCCACATCGAGAAGGAGCAGGAGATAGGAGAAATTTGAAGGTAACTGCAACCTTTTCACATCGGTAAGCTGCCTCGAACTTGCAATACAAGAGTTGCTGGCCCCTACAAGAAGTCCACGGTGGTGCCTGGATCGGTGGCTGCCCCGAACACACCGGATGTTGGTGTACTTATCTCACCCCGAGAACAGGCGCAGTCGTCGTCAGCATCTCAAACCGCTTCGCGCCTTTGCACACCTACCCAGCCGTGCTAGGAATCTTAGCTCATGAGCAATTGGCTTCTGTTGGGAGTTTGAAGGACGAAATGGAGGTAAATGGAGATGGAGAAGGGAGTGTTGAGGCCAGGGTTTGAGATAACGGGCTTCATGAATGGCTTGAGTGTAAGTGGAGGGATGAATTTCAATTCATGATCCTGACAAGACCGCAGTGCCAAAGTGAACACTGGGAAAAGAGCGTAGAAACATTCGACATGGCCGTGGACTTCATAAAGCGCTTCGATATCTCTGAACACTAACACACAAGCCAAATACCTGGCCACCTCAATTCACGCCAATTCAACCTCGATAATCTTCTCAGGATTACCTTCGCAATCCCAAATCTTGCTGATTCTCAAACCCACACTCTCCAGCAAGTCCCTCCACATCCCCTCCGTCCGCTCCTGCGCCGAATGACACATCAACATCAGCATATCCACACTCGTCGAGAACCACTGCGCACCAACATCCGGCACCACAATCTCATTCAGCAAAATCTTACTATGCCCCTTTTGCATAGCAGGCACAAGCTGCGACAGCATCTTGCGGCATGACTCATCTGGCCAATCGTGAAGCACCATATGCAAATAGTACGCCTTCGCACCCACAACGGGCTGCGGCGTGAACGCATCGTGCGCCTGCGCATCGATCCCCTTGGGAAAATCCTTTTGGCAGGTTTTTAATCGTCATGGGGAGTTCCTGCAGCACCAGCTTCCCGGGCATATCCGGAAACGCGCTGTGGAAATCAATCAAATCATGTCCGAAGCTACCACCAATGTCGATCAAAAGCACCGCCTCTGGATCCGTCGGGTTCCCGAATATTTGCTGTACGTCAACGGATTGAAACCAATTCTTCCCCAGCGTCTTGTACTCCATGTGCGCTTTGAAGTCGTCGAGTTTGTCTTCCATGCCTGGCTGCGCGATCCACTCGAAGTAGTGCAGGTCCGTGCCGATGGCTTTCTTGAAGGCGGTTGCATCTTTGTCGGTGGGGTTCTTGTAGCCGCTTTCTCGCAGATAATCAGGGAATATATGGTTCACTGCGTTGGCGAAGTCGTACACGTTCTTCGTCATACCAGCAGCACTACGTGTCGCCATTGCCCTCGTAATAGGCGTGGGCTCGAACTCATCCGACCCAGTTTCGCGCACGAAGTCAGCGGTGTTGAGGTGTTTGAGGAAGCGGGACAGAAGGGGCGGATCACAGCCAGTCACTTCTGCTAGGTGCTTCACTTTCTTGGGGGAACCGGAGTCGGCCACCATGGCGGAGAAGAGGTCGATGTCGAGTCCTACACGGACAATGGACCATATGAAGGGCAATTGCCAGTTCAATTTTGCGAGGACTTCGAAGGGCGGTTCGAGCTCGTGGACTAGGGAGCGTGCTGCTTGGAGCAGCTTTGCTCTGGATACATCATTGCCTGTGTCTTGAAAGGTAGCGCCGTTCGTTTGGATGGCGTCTAGCATAGACGCGACTTGTGGGCTTGGGCCGGACATTCTGAAGTTCTAATTTGGTGGTTATGGTTATGGCAAGTAGATGCAGGCTGAGTATCCTGAGCTGTCCTAGCGGAGGCGAACAATATGAACTCGGAATTGTGGATATCAAATAGAAGCTCCCAGCTCTTGAATTGCGTTCCCAATTCCGGAGGCAGAAGCCACATGTTTATACTGCAAAATAACTGACAGGCAACAACGCTTTCCTCTACGGCCATTAGCAGAAGGTTCGACCACGTGTCTATCCCTTCCGGATACATCGCACTACCGTGGTGTAAGGGCAGCTGCATACACGTCTGAATTGCGATTGGTCAGAGACATGCGACTTAAGCACAAGGGAGCACCGGTGCCGTTGTTGCGGGGTGAGCTTATCTCAGCGGGGTCTGTTGAGGTCAGCCTCAAAGACGACACTACTTTGAGCCGCATATAGAGATCTCATGTTCCAGTCGTAGTCACAGCATTTGAAACTAAATCTTTGTTGTTGTATTCACCAAAGTGATGCAGAGGTAGCACCTCACGAGCCGGATTTCAAGATTTGAAGCAATCTGATACAGTCTTACGATGACATTGAAAGCTGAGTGATATATAAAATTCATTATCGTGTATGTACAACATTCCTTATGTTTATTATAGATGAGATGTCCATCCGCTTGCGAAAGAACATATGCATCCAGCGCCATCGCACAACCAGTCGCCATGTAGTCATCCATACCCTGAATTGCATCGGCACCCTTCACTCCAACTCCTTCACGAATTTCATACCCGGACCTCTCCAACTGAAAAACCCTATCTTCTAGTACCGAACCCTACTCACACTCCTCCTCACAACATCCCTCTCCCCCAAACTCCGGCTACTCCCCCGATAATAATCCACATCCCTCTCCCTCACCACGCTTCTGCTCCTCCCCGGCTCAACATACTCTATCAACCTGCTGCTGCGCGGCCTCTCCTCGTAATCAATATACCTGTTTTTGCGTCAGCAAATTTGTTCTTTTAAGGTTGAAATGTTGGGTCTGAATGAGGTGATGGAAAACATACTCAGTTGAGCGTCGGTACGATGAGCGTTTATCCCGCGGCATGCGCATGACGCCTGCGGTGTGCGCGGAGTAGCGGGAGCCGTGACGGGGAGGATCGACGACCGAGTCGTGGTATGTACGTGTGGGCTTCGTGGTGAAAAGGCACATTGTGGTTTTGCACGTGCAATTGATTGGGCTGAGGTGGGTGGTGATGCTGAATGCGATTGGATGGTAGGATTATGAGTGATTGGGTATTACGGGCGTTGTGAATGTAGATCGTTAATCGTGCATCGTAACAGGGGATCTAAAGCGAATGGACGATAGAAGCGAGCGGGGGATTTACGAGTACTTCTACTTTGTATTGCCGCGTGGGCGTGGTTGGGTGTTGTGGTGCGACCTTGGAAGTTGCGGCTGTGATGACGTCAGGGCTTGCAGGACCAAGCCGGACGGCGTCCTGCACGCGCAGTCAGCTTCTTCACGGCGGCATGGTAGGCCTTGCTATGTACATGTACAGTAGAGAAGCGTAGTAGTACCACGTAGGCCCTATTATGACTTAGTGCCCTCGGAAGTAGTTGTTTGTGTAACCCTGGGAGAAGTCCATGAACAACAAAGCAAGATCGCGCAACACTATATTTGCTGCTGCATACTATGCGTGGAGTGTCTGGCAGTCACCTGCCATGCCTATGTGCCCTCCGTTTGATTCTCAGATGTTTATTCTCATGCTATTCTTCCTACTTTCGTTGTCCTGGATCCTTAATCTCATCTTCGACAACCTCCTTCTCATCCGCTCCCGCAAACAATGTCTCTTGTGCGCTCCAGAGCTCCGAGTACAGTCCCGCCCGGTCTATCAACTGCTGGTGCGTGCCACTTTCCGCCACACTGCCCGCTCTCAGGACGATAATCATATCTGAATCGTAGATAGTACGAAGGCGATGTGCGACAAAGACCGATGTGCGCTTCTTTTCTTTTAGTATAGAGTTTATGTGCGAGAGAAGCGCTTGCTCGGTGTGGGTATCCAGTGCTGAGGTCTACAATCTTGTTAGCCAACATCGTTGAGGGGAATGAAGGGGACATACCGCTTCATCGAAGAAGAGTAGAGGCGGGTCCTTGAGAATCAGGCGCGATACGGCAAGGCGCTGCTTCTCGCCGCCTGAGATCATCATGCCGCGTTCTCCGACCATAGTATTATACCCGTCTGGGAAACTGCTGATGGTGTCGTGGACATGAGCGCGTCGTGCGGCCTCAATGATCTGGTCGTCAGTTGCTTCTAGGTTTCCGTACTTGATGTTGTGACCGATGGTGTCATTGAACAACGGCGTGTCCTGTGGTACTACACCAATGGCTTTGCGCAGGCTTTCTAAGCTGACGTCGCGGATGTCCTGTCCGTCAATGAGGATGCGGCCCTCCTGCACATCATAGTATCGGAACAGCAAGCGGAGGATGGTGGACTTTCCGCAACCGCTAGGACCGACGATGGCAATCTTCTTTCCAGCTGGGATCGTGAGATTAAGGTTCTTGAGGATCGGGCGGTCGGGTCGGTAACCGAAGGTGACATTCTCGAATTTGAGCTCGCCGGAGCTGAGTAGCAGAGGCTTTGCGTTGGGCTTGTCTCGAACCTTGAGTTCGACCTTCTGCAGATTGAAGAGAGTTTCCATGTCGAGAAGACTCTGTCTCAGCTCGCGGTAGACGGAGCCGAGGAAGTTGAGCGGGACTGAAAGCTGGAATACCAGCTGGTTGACCATCACGAGGTCTCCGACGGTCAAGTTGCCATTAGCTACGCCGTCTGCGGCGAGATACATCATGGCAGTCAACGCGCTGGAGAAGATCAAGTTTTGGCCAGAGTTGAGGAAGGCGAGCGAAGTGGCGACCTTGATGGAAGCCTTCTCATAATTTTGAAGTGCCTTGTCATATCTTCCGACTTCGAACTTCTCGTTGTTGAAGTACTTCACGGCTTCATAATTTATCAATGAGTCTACCGCGACCGTTGCTGCTTTATTATCTGCGGCATTCGCCTGCTTGCGGAACTTGGTCCGCCATGCGGTGGTTGAAATAGTGAAGGCGGTATATGCAAGCATGGTTGTACCAGTGATGAGGGCGAACTTGGCACCATAGTTGTACGTCTAGCAGTATGAGCAGCGACAGGAGCAGGATCAATTGTTTACACACCAGGATACCGCAGACAAGAGAGATCTCCAAAATAGTGGGCAAAACGTGGAAGACCATGGACGTCAGCAAAAAGCTTATGCCTTTGGTTCCGCGGTCGATCGCTCGCGTCAACCCACCAGTTTGCCGCGACAAATGAAAACTCTGGTCCAGCCTGAGCAGATGTTCATACACTCTACACGCGACCGCTCTGATGGCTTTCTGTGCGACACTGGCGAACACTGCATTACGCACTTCCTGGAACACAGTCGCGCCGATTCGGGTTGCACCATCTGCATCATTCAGTCACTGAGGCTTGGACCCTTGAGCGTTATTCTTACAAGCTACAATCATAGTTCCTGCGACCGTCCAGGCGGTGCCTCCCAGAGCAGCGAAGTCAATGTTCATTGAATCAACAATGTTCTTAAAGTAGAAGGGCACTTGGACGTTGAGCACTTTCGCGCTCACCAAGAGTGCGACACTCAAACCCACTCGAAATCTTGTACCATAGTTATCCTTAGGCCACAGATAATGCGACATCTCCTTTATGATGGCCCAATCTGCCTTGCGCTGCTCCTTGTTGGTCACTGTTTGCTCGGCCAACAAGGTAGGCGGTTTCGCAGGCTGAGCTGCTTTTGTCTGCTGTACAGCATCTTTGGAGCCTGGAGAGGGAGCGCTCTGCGCTGTCGGTGGCCGCTGGCCATGTACATCCTTTCTATGGAGAGGGCTCGAGGTGAAGACGCGTGCGGAGAGGTAGGCGTGCTGCGGACGGAGACGGTGGTGGAGGGTTGGCCGGCAAACGGCGCGGGCAAGCGGGGGCAACAACATGACAGCTTCACATTATCAGCCGCCCGGAGCTGGAGAAGAGGGAAAGAAGCCTGGACAGCTTCGGGGCGCGAAATTAGAAGCAATTGGGCGTGTGGAAAGCTTCCGGGCACATGCACGCGGCGGGACATTTAGAGCACCTGTAAGCTGCATGGCGTCAGAGCTTGAGAGCTTAGCGTGCTTGCGTGCTTGTGCGGCGCGTAGGGCTGAAGACGAAGCACATCGACCGCGCCCAGACAACGACATCTGCCCGTCAAAGGCACACCATGCCCCGTCCAGCTGCACAACCGTGGACGAGCCTCGCGCGGTGCACAGCGCAGCGCCATGCGCGGCGGGCGCCCGCTCTCCGGCACATCAACATCACCGCGACGAACGCCTCCACCGAGCCGCTCGACCAGCAGGTGTCAGTGAGCCCATCGGCCGCGCCGGCTCTTTCGCCAGGTACGTGACATGCCAATTGGGTCTGTATAAGACTAACAGTACCAGATGCGCGCTTCGAGGTCGTCGGCTCGCCGTTTTCGCTTCTTTCTGTCTCCCTCGCCGCCTCGCAACAGCTTTATACCCGCCGCGGATCGCTCGTAGGCTTCAGCGGCAACCCTGAGAATGCTCTTTCGACGCTTTCTTTTCTTGAGCCCTTCAGACGCGCCCCCGTGGGCATTCCCTTCCTCTACCAGAAGATCTCCTCCACAAGCCCTGTCACGGCTCTCATATCTACAAAATCACCCATATCGTCGATAGTCACGGTACACCTCGATGGCCGGCAAGACTGGATTATATCCCAGCGACAAGCTCTGCTAGCGTGGACAGGACAGACACTCTCACTAAAGCCGCAATACAATGCGAAATTAGGCCTGGCACATTGGGGAAACACATACATTACCGGGCGGGGTTTGCTTGCGCTCGCAGGCAGCGGGCAGATTTACCAGGTGCATTTAAAGGCCGGCGAAAGCTATGTCGCACACCCGAGCAACGTAGTCGCGTATACCACTTCGGCAACCCCACCGCTACCATTCCGCTTCAAGTCGTCAAACCTCCGCTTCCAGGTTCCAGATCTCGGATTCGGGTCCCTGGCGCAGAACGTCCGATTCTTCAGGGAAATGAGCAAGACAGCAACGTGGAGGACTCTAGCTACCGCATATCACACGCTGAAGACGGGGTTGCGGCGGTCAATATGGGGCGATAGGGTGTGTTCGCTGTCCGTTCACTGAAAATGACTTCACTAATCACCTCCAGCTCTTCCTCCGCTTCGAAGGTCCCACAACCATGCTGATCTCATCCCGCGCCACGCGCATCAGCGACGCGCTCACACTCAAAGACGTCGACGAGATAGCAAACAGCCCACCTGGCGCCGTGCAAGACGCCGTAACCAAGAAAATCCAGCAGGAGATCAGCGAGATTGCGGACTCCAAACCCGCACCCATCGCATCTTCCGATAACACAACAGTGCGCTACGCAACGGTCCGGTCTGGCAAAACAGAGTTCGACAGCGGCAAGTCGTCGTGATGTCTTCAAAAGGGGGGAAACCCTGGGTATGCCTGGGGTATGCATGAGTAGGGCATTCTGTAGCATTCTTGTACGCTGTATACTCTTGTACGAAATATATCTCAACGAGCCTACTTCTTTATCCCTATCTCACCATCATCCAAATTCTCCGCCGTGTCAACTTACGTTATCGATATATCAGTCACGCACGTTCTTCCCATCTCAACTTTCCCCAGCTATGTCTCTCCAAAATCAAACAGCTGAGGAAAACATCCATCTCACCCACCCCGCCACGCACGTACATAACCCCTCTTCCCAACCCTACCGATCCCCCGAACAGGTTTCCTAACTCTCAAAGTGTTGACTTCAGCGCGCAAACACCGCACCTCTTCCCTCAGCACGGTGACATGCTTTTCAAGTACTTCTACGTGGTACGCTTGTATCGCGGTGCGCTCCAGCGCTATTTGCAATGGAGTCCGGTTCCTGGATGCGTGTGAGGATGTTGGTGTGGCGCACGAGGGGCGCGTAGGCTGGGTTGTATGAGGAGTATGAGGCGCCGAAGGCTTCTGAGTATGGTGTTTGTGGGTGCTCGCAGAGGCTGAGATGTATGGAGTCTGTGGGTGTGCACGCTTGCTGGGAGTGATTTGAGTGGGATGGGCGTCACGGTGTAAGGCGGTACTTTTGAGCGTTTGGTCGTGTTGATCTGTCTGGGTGCTGGTGGTGGGGATGTTGTCGCGTTGCGTATTTGAGAGGGAGGCGTGGGTGGATGTGCCTGGTGCGGACCCATTAGAAGATCGTGGTCACTGTTTGCGTACATGGAGGTTGTGATGTTGGCTGCATTATGATCTATATGTTTATGTGGCACGGAGAAAGGGTTCTTTGTGCTGGAAGGTTGGAGGATTGGTTGAGACAAAGGCCAGGCATGTTGGGAGTTGTTTCGTAAATGTGATTCGTAGGTCAAAAGGAGTGAAAAGTGTTCGCGAAGTGCCAGCCACGAGTCGAACGGAAACGATCGCAGGAGGGCTTAAGTACTCTGTCAGACGAAAAGATTGGCGAAAACGCCTAAGCTGCGCATGTTGAAGCGACCTTATTGACAACCAATGTCACATTTCGTAACATTTGGAATAGTCTGGAGGATTTGTCTTGTATGCACAGCGCTTGCGAGACATTTGTCTACGACAAAGTCAAGCCGATTGTATCAACCAAGTCCAACACCAACAATATTTAATTCAATCGAAACAAAAGAACGAGTCTTCACCACAGTATACGTCCCAGTTCAAAGCATACATCGAGTTCCGCCGTCATCTCACTTCCCCTATTCCAAAATGTGCTACGCCCTCCTCACAACCTGCACCCACTGCACTTGGACTCTCAGCATATCCTACCCCCGCTGCTCCCACGCAAAAGCCTACGCCCTCGACCCCTCCGCCTGCCCCCACCGCATGAAGCGCCGCTACAAAGCCTCCGGCCTCTGCATCGCCTGCAAAACCACTTCCACGACTACCACTCCAAGGAGAAAAGAAAGAGAAAGTCTGAGCGTCACGCCGTGTGAGGTCAGGATCGAGTTTAGGGATACGGAGGTTGGGCTCGTGGATGAGGGAGATAAAGTTCGCGCTCAGGCAGAAGGAAGGGAAGGAAAAAACAGGGCAAAGGATGAGACTGTGCATGAAGATAGGGATAAAGAAGAACGGAAGATGAGAGCGAGAAAAGGGGTTCGACAAAGCCAGATGGGAAGTATGTACGAGGGTGAGGAAAGCGACGGAGATATATACGTCGAGGACGCAATGCCCTCCGCTTCGCTATCGTCAACCAGTTCCGAGAACGATGCTGACTTGCTGCCGAGGAAGCACAAAGCAGGTGCTAGGCCTAGAGCACTGCCGAGACCGAAAACGCAGACTCGTAAGCGCAGACGGAGTCCTGGGGTGTTGGAGAGAATACATGGTGTTGCTGCTGTCAAGCAGGGTAAGAGAGGCAGGCCGCCGAGACAGAAGATGGTTTGGCCGGATAGGATCGATGCGGGGGAGTTCGAGCTGGTTGAGAAGGAACGGATGGCGAACACCCAAAAGAGGAGAAGTATCGAGCGTTCAGTGATTAAGCCGAAGAAGGTTCCGAAACGGTTGCCTCTGCTGGAGGAGACTGTGTCGTTGGAAAGCCGCAAACCGCTCGAACAACAACCAAGCCAAGTTCGAAGGCTAAGCTGCATCGATAAGGCAGAAGAACCGATAAGCACAAGCAGGCCTCCTTGCTCCCGCACCGTAGACGAGGTAAACGACTTAGCAAGGATCATCGCCCTCGAGGCCGCAAAACGGGACAAGAAATGGCGTTGATATACGGTTCGTCAAGTCCTCCCCAAGCACCATCACGTTGTCCAATAGGTAGCAATAAGAATAAAAAATCATGACAATGCATTACACGAGACGCCTATCCAAGCCAATCCATCCATAAAGGGGGCACCTCTAAAGCCGGGGGTATACTCAAGTTGTTATCTCAGAAAGACAGCCATGTCCACATCCAAGCCCAAGTCATTTGTCATCCAACCTGCCACCGACTCCTATCCTACAGAAAGAATAGTGCATAGCAGTATATCCGTCTTGCTCGTAACATACGTAGATTCATCCAACAGTGATAAGAATGTGCAAGTCGAAAAGGCTGTGAAGATTTGAGTTAAAGGGGTAACTACGAAGCCTCGGGGGCCTTCTGCTCGCCGTTGTTGCCGAACATGGAGAAGCCGCCGAACCAGGACGCGCGGTTCGCAGCCTTGCGGGCGCGCTGTTCTTCTTCGCTGTTCTGGACGAGCCGCAGTGGGCGCATTTGCTTGCCTGTCATGGTGCTGGACACCTCGCGGCGTGGCGGGCTGGGTGTGTCGACGTGCGACGTCTCAGACGTCGACTTTGTGTCGGTCTCACTGCCATCGTCTTTAGGTACCGCGCTGCTCGAGGGGACCCTCGAAGAAGGGTTGCTGTTGCCTGTGCTGATAGGAATTCCAAAGAAGGAATTGCGTGGCGACACAATACCTGGCGATGTCTGGCCTGGGGTTACGGCGGGTGGCGGCATGCGGTACATGTTTGTGACGATGCTCCCTGGTGGAGGCATCTCGGAGGTAGAGTGACGGTGGTGGTTATCGCTACTGGTAGCTCTGGATGTGCTGGCGCGCTGCAATGGGATCCTCGGTGCGGTCTCGGGATCCTCGTTCAGGTTGCTGCGAGGCGCGGCATAACTCATAGGTCGGGGCTTGTTGCGGCCGCCGCCCATGACGGACTTCGCGCGCTGGAGGAAGCCGCCCTCGGCAGGCTGCTCATTGTCCTTCGGCGGAGGCGGTGGGGGAAGCTCCTTATTCGTGTTAACGGCAGCGCCCCCTGAACTTTCGTCCTCGTCACCGCCTAGCACGGATTCAAAACCCTGGTGCTGGAGGAGACGACCGATGATTTTGTTGATGTAGAGGGTCAAAGCCTTGTTCGATTCCTTGAGACTGTTGACCTCGTGCTCTAACTTGCGAACCACTTCGCCTTCTGCGCCTTCGGTATCTTCGAGATCTCCGAGTTCGTCGGCGAGACTGTTCATGGCTCCGTTGCGTGAAGGTGCGCGCTCTGAGTGGGACGAAGACGGACGCAGAAAGTCGCCGCGGCTTAGCGTTCCGTTGAGTGTCTTCTCTCCGAGTAAGAGCTGGAAGCTCTCGTTGTCTTCGATTAGTCTGGCGTTCGCCATGCGAATGTCTACCATCTGCTTCTCTAGCTCACGCAAGCGACCTCCGCCAGCATTGTCCATTTCCATCATCTTGATCTGGAATTCGGCAAGCTCGAGGCGTAGGCCCTCGATGATCTGGTCTTTTTGGTGTATGAGCTTGGAGTGGTTGCGCGAGTCGCTTCGCTGGACTGTGGATGGTGGTGCAAATGAGCTGGCCGTGTCGATGTTCTGCGAGGAGTTGTTGCGGGAGGGGTTTTGACGGAAGCTCGCTGTCTGAGTGTTAGTAACTTATCGCAGCAAATGAATTGGAGGGATGACCACGTACAAGCTCGTGATAGTCTCCCTTCCTCGGCGTCGCTGCTCTCGACGTTCTTCTTGGCCATAGTCTCTTTCAATCGCTGAATGGTTTCTTGCAGTTCTTCGGCACGAGTCTGGGCCTCCTCCTTGTCCTTCATGGCCTGCACTCGCTCTGCCTCGTATATGCCCTCCAGCTCGCGCTGCTGACGTGTGAGCTTCTGCCTCTCGACCTCGAGTGACTCAGCCTTCTCTTCCTCTTCGTGTGCGCGGTCCTCGAGCTTGGCCTGCTCCTTGAGCGCGTCATCTAGCCGAGCGTTGAGCACGTCGGCCTGCTTCTGGCGCTCCTCGGCCTCGTTCTCGGCCTTCTGTAACCGCTCCTTGAGATCGGCCAGGAGGACGGCCTGCTCCTCGCGGGCATCTTCGTCGTTGCTGTCGGCCTGCGAAGCGCTCATGCTGAGATTTGAAGATGCGCCGGGCTTCCTGACGGCTGCGCGCGCTGATACGGGCGAGCCATTAGTACCGGACCGAACGGAGCGCGTTCTCGTAACACCATTCGTGCCGTTGGCGTTGGGGGTGGATCCGCGGCGGGCAGCGCTGGCTGGCGAAGTCGAGACCTTGTCTGCAGGAGCGCGCCCAGGGGTGCCCGGCGGGGCTGGTTTTCTGGCCGTGGTTGCAGACATGTCGTGCAGTGTGTCGTGCCTGTACTCGTGGTGCTGCTGTGCGTTGAAACTGTGGCCGGGGACTCGGCGCGGTTTTGATCGTCTGTCTCGGGGCCAAATATAGGCGCTGTGCTGTCAAGCCAGCGTCGACGCCGATCCGTGGCTGTGAGCTTGGCGGGCGTTGGAAGTGTGGAGGAACTGGTGGCCGGGCTACGTCAAGCGAACTGAGTGAGTGCTGCGTTCGAGGAGGAGGATCTTCGCAGTTGTTTACAAGAGGCAGAAGGAAGCACGAGCATTTGTTGCTTTCGCGGCATGTTTCGCATAAAAGCAGCCTTATTTGGGCCTGCAGGTGCATAAGGGGTCAGGTCAAGGCGGGTTGCTAGAGCACCTAGCCCGCTAGCCTTCCAGGTACCGCTCTCCCTGGAAACCACCCAGACCGCCGATGCGACCTACCAGCGCCTCCTCGTCTATGCTGCTTGACCGCTACTACAAGACCTCGACGGAGAGTGCTGGACATGTAGGACGACGAAGGCTACACAAAAACATGACGCACGGCGTATGACCGCGCCGCTATCCTGCCATCCAACATCAGCTTCCTACAACACGCCGCCTCAAGTTGCCACATGTGGCAAGTCGAAGCTACAGGGAGTGTGCAGCCAGCCTGTCCTCTGTCCGCGGCGCGTGCGAGCTCTGCTATTAACTTGGCCGTCTTCGTTGCTATACGAAGTAAGATGACGTTGCTATGTGAACACGCACGGAGAGTGAGAGCTGACCTAATAGGACCACGGAACTCCGAGACAGAGCGCTACGATTCAGCAATCGAAGAGTCGTCATCCAGCTTCCGACTAACGATGCACCAGTCCTCTCATCATTTGGCAAGGAACCGTAGTCAACTTAACAATCTGGCGAACAGATTAAGACGCGTCCGTGCCTTCTATATCTCGATGAGGGATAAGGTCACGTGCTCTCTCTCCAGAACACATGCAACCTCTATGCCTCCTTGACAGCCGTCACAATAACACTCGGGAAGCACACGACCCCATCCTCGTACTTACTCCACTCCTCCAGCCCTTCGACGATCAGCTTCTTGTCGTCTTCTCCAAGCTCCGACTGCCGGACAATCTGCCCAAATCCCATCACCATACCAGGCTTGACCTGTGGCCGCCACTGCATCTGACCCGACATCGACACGTCTTTGAGCTGGCTGTGCGCGAATCCCGCGCCTAGAACAAGAGATACCAGCTTGCGGCCAATGTACGGATCTGCGCCCTTGCCTAGGCTGAGAGTTGGGAACGTTTCGAGCCACCTCTTCATGCCTGGGTTCTCCGGATATGCGAAGAATAGACCCATATCACCTTCCTTCAGCGAGGTGGTGCCGTTGGGCTTGGTGGCTTTTCGCATATGCGCAACGGCGGCGGGTTGGTCGCCTGTGTGCATTATGCTCTGATCGAGATTGTGAGTATGACTACTAGTAGCTGGTGTGTGAACGTACTGCATGGCTATACACAAGATCGCATCCACCATCCAAAGCCTCGAACCCTTCGACTTGGATAAGCTTGTCCAGGTTGCACGCATCGCCGTGAACGTATCGAATATTGGTCGTTTCAGCCTTTTCTTTGGCTTCTTTTGCCAACTGTGCTGCAATGTCAGTGAATGGTTCCAACTATTTCACAGCGAAGTGTCATTCACCTTGATAGATTCCTCGTCGACATCCATCCCAAGAACGGTAATATGTGGGTACTTTTGTGCAATATCAAGCGTGATGCCTCCTGCGCCACAGCCAACCTCACAGACGACTGACCCGGCAGGTAGTTCATCGATGATCGGCTTCAGATGCGATACGTCTGGAATCAACCTTCGGTTTTGCATTGCCCTGCGCATTAGGTCCGAGCCGGAGGCGATGAAGGAATTGTTGTCGCCAGACATTGCGATTGAGATTTTGGAATTTGAACAGAGGTATAATTTAGCTGCTTTGCTGAATGTTGAATTGAGGCTCGTAGTGAATATGAAGCCTATCTTGACGTTTATATCAGCCTTGCGCTCGTGTTCGCTGAATGCTTCCTCATGGAAGGGCGGCCTCGCTTAACGGGAAAGGCGTTCGCGCGGCCCTGAGACAGTAACAACGCGCCGATCAACTTAAGGACAACCATGGAATTGTAACATATGTAATTGCAAGGAGCAGTGAGTCACGAGGTTTACGTACTATTGGACGCGCTGATGTCTAGAGGACACCTTTATAGCCCTTTTCTGTCGCTATAATACGACGGTTTCTATCTGAGGAGCATTGTGGGCCTTCATGGGCTAGTACCGCAACATCCATTCTCCTTCAGGCAATCTACCGAGGCGGGACTACGATTGAAGTGATGGTCAGCATTCATGGTGATATCAGGTAACTCCCTGACCAGGTGAAAGTGAGAATATCTTATAGTTCGGTGGTAGAAGCAGCTCGCTCTTTCGCGACCAATCGCCGTCATTCGCCGAACGTACCTAACGTACTTTTTTGCGAACACCAAGCTAATTTGTCAGCATTGCCTTCACTTCTACCGGACGATTCCGCACGACATGTATGCCTACAAGTCCCTTGAACACCCGCGAGGTATTCGTACTTCTGCGAGATCTTCATCGTGGCGTTCAAAGCGAGTCTACGAAGAATGACGAACTTCGAAATCAATATCGTGTCAGACACGGTGTGCCCGTAAGACTCCCTTTCTGTCAGTAGCTTTGATGTAGGGCTGGTGAACTGACACGTGATAGCTGGTGTTATGTCGGCAAAAAGCGCCTCGAGAAAGGCATCGCTGCCTACAAAGCCGCGCATCCCAGCTCGGATGACACCTTCTCGACGAACTGGTTTCCCTTCTACCTGAATCCTGATGCGCCGAAGACCGGCATCGACAAAGCCGCCTACTACCGGCAAAAGTTTGGCGACCAGAGAACCGTAGGTATCTTCCAGATGCTGGGACAGCTAGGGAAAGACGAGGGCATCAACTTCAAGTTTGGAGGAAAGACTGGAAACACGAGGGACTCTCATCGTAAGACGTCTTTGAGTATGTGAAATGAGTACTGTTTTGACTGATCGCAACCAGGCCTCGTCCAACTCGGCAAGACCAAGAGCCCTCACATGCAAACCCGAGTGATCGAAGAGCTCTTCGCCGCCTACTTCGAGAACGAGAAGGACATCACCTCCCACGAAACGCTCCTCGACGCCGCCGAGAAAGCCGGCCTTGACAAGAGCGAAGCCAAGGAGTGGCTTGACTCCGGCAAGGGCGGACCAGAGGTCGACAAAGAAGTGCAAGACGCGTACGCGCAGGACATCCATGGCGTGCCTAACTTCACCATCAACGGCAAGTTCGAAGTCGGTGGTGCGCAGGAACCCGCGGCGTTTGTGCAGTTGTTTGAGAGGATTAAAAGGCAGGATGGCGGATCAGTCGCGGTCAATTCGGGAAGCAAGTGCTAAGTGCTAAAGTACTATCAGAGGAAAAGAAGAGTTTTCTTGGTTCATTGTGGATCGGACGGAGGTACAAGTAGTCAATGGGACAAAGCGGAGAATTAACCAGAGGAATATGCACGACATTGCGCGTAGAGTGTATAGTCTTAGCACTAATTAGGCACGGAGCGGGTTGCTCCGCACTAGTGTCTTTCCGTTCTACCGTAGTTGTCCATGCCACATTAGGAAAGTCGTACGTCGTTGCTCCGATGATGCTCTTCATTGTGGGCCATATTTCTGTAATATAAAATGTAAAAGCTCCCTCTAATATTCTCAATCGCTCCAGCCATCATTATGAGAGCCTCAATTGCGTTCCTAAGCTTCGCCGTTGCGGCAACGGCACTGAATACACCAAGGAATCCTCACAAGAAGAAGCCTCACGCAATTGACCCAAAGGACTTTGTCTATGTCGATGGGCTAAGGTTGAAAGATGCGAAGGGTCTTCATTACATTACTGTACAGACTCCAGAATTATCAATTGGGTATCAATTGACCGTGCCTATAGGGACTCAACTACTGGGCATGTCTCAACCTGGCAGCCGACGCCTCTCAAGGCGGAAACTACTCTCGCCTTGTCACAGAGCTCGACCAAATGGCTGTGAGTGTTTCAAGAATATTTGCAATCGCCATACTAATGATGCATTTCCGCAAAGGCCCACGGCGTAAATCATCTACGTGTCATGGCTTCCTCCGAAGGCGCGCCAACCCCACAACCCTTCCGGATGAATCCTCCTCTCATGGATGCCCCTGGGAAGTACAATGAGAAAGTTTTCCGTGGCCTTGACATTTGCCTGGATGAGCTTTCCAAGCGCGGCATCAGGGCGACTATGACGCTCAACGACGAATGGCAATGGTCTGGTGGTTTCGCACAGTACGTGTCCTGGGCGAACAACAACACCGCAATTCCGTACCCACCCTCCTGGAACATGACGAAAGCACCGCAGCGCCCGACCCCAGGAACAGGTTGGGGCAACTACTCCGACACAGAGGATGGTGCACACACTTACAACGAGTACACCACCTTTGCGAACCAAATCTACACAAACCAACTAGCGGAGCAATGGTACAAAGACCACATCAAAACTGTCATCACACGCAAAAACACCGTAAATGGAAAAAAGTACAACGAAGACGCCACAATCATGACGTGGCAACTCGCCAACGAGCCCCAATCCCTCGACTCCTTTAATACTTCTGATCCCCTCTTCCCATGGGTCGATCGCATCTCCACGTACATCCGCAGCCTCGCGCCCAAGCAGCTCATCTCCGTCGGCCTGGAGAGCAAGCAAGGCGAGCAGATCTTCAAAGCCGTGCACAAGGCGCCCGACGTCGACTACGCGACCACGCACTGCTGGGTGCAGAACTGGGGCATCTACGACATGTACAATGCCAGCGAGGCGAATCTCAAGGTCGCGCAGGACTTTGCCACGGCGTTCGTGGCGAACACGAGTAGGTGGGCGCGGGACGTGGGGAAGCCGGTGTTTTTGGAGGAGTTTGGTATGGCGAGGGATAATTGGGAGAATGCGGATAAGGAGTATCCGTATTTGAGTAGTGCGAGTACGACGCATAAGGATGCGTATTTTAGGGTGAGTATCGGATCTGTAAGAGAAAGGCGTATGCTGACAGTGGAACAGACGATCATCGGTGCCGTTATGGCCGACTTCAAGAAAGGCGGTGCCTACGTCGGTACATGTCCATGGGCTTATGGCGGTATTTGGCGGCCTGAAACGCAGGTCATGAATGAGTTCGGGATGGTTTGGGCGGGCGATCCACCGCACGAGTCGCCGGGCTGGTATGACTTGTACGACGACGACGAGGCCATGAACATTGTGGCGAGACAGCAGAAGGATGTTGCGGCGTGGATCAAGAGAAACTCAACGCATGGGTACTAGATTGTCTCGATTTCAAGACTAGATAGAGTAAAAACAAAAGCCATCACTCTTCCCCACTCCACTGATCGAACAACGTCACCTGTTTGTCCATGTTGGTAGGGCTGCCCCCTGTAGCCTCAAATTGCCGCCTCTGGCTCTCCTGCCACAATCTCTGCAAGTTCGAAGCAGCTCGGTCGTGGTACTTTGTCAAAAACGGCAGGAACGGCTTTGTGAAGTACCACACACGCCACTCCTTCTGTGCTCTCTTATCAAGTTGCTCATTGGACAAGGCAACAAGAGTAGAGACAGGTTTTGTACGAGAAGGCGCCTCGTACTTGTAGGTCTTTGTAAGTATCCCTACGGCGTCTGTCCAGACTGCGTAGTCTGGCATATCAAAGCCTCTTCTTATAGCAGTGTCATCGTCATTCATCCGCGCGAGTTTGAATCTGACAACAAGCCGTTCGCGTAGATCCTGCTTGCCGTGTGGCAAATGCCGTGATCGGGCGATATACCCAAAGGCGTCTTTGCAGTTCGAGAGTGTCATCCGTTTCTTTGCGTTGTTCAAATGTTCAAAATGTAGCATCAGCGTCAGATAGTGCAGGTCCTTAAAGCGAGCAACCTTTTTGAGGACATCGAATGGCCAACCTTGGTCGAGATTAATGTCGATGGATAGTTTTTGTATGATTGGACAATACTTTCGCAATTTGTCAATGTCCTGCGCCGCCGGGGTCGCCAAAATCATCGGTACAAAGCTGACTGTATTGATGCTCATCGTGTAGCTGCTCCCCATGTTCATGGTGAGTATTTTGGGCATGATCCTGAAGAGGATCATCGGTAAGATCAACGCGGGACGGCGTGCTGTTGATATAAGCATCCTATCGAGCGGGGTCCTCAGATGAAACTCGGTCAGCCTTGGTAGCAAACATCCAACTGGATATTCCATTTCCAACAGTTGGAGCTGAAGCTGAATGAGGTCTGCACTTGTTGTCGCTGTCAACTCTAGATCGGCCAGTACTGGCGTCTTTCCGACTAGAGCCGGAAAGGCTGATATGTCGATCGAAAGCGTGCGCAGGCGTTCCCAGCCTATTTTCTGACCCCATAGCTTTAATTCGTCCTGATGGAAAATCGAAAGTGCCCAGCCACGGACAGCAAGATGTATGAGGTTTGGAACGTTGCCAGAGCGGAAAACGTCCAGCATCTGTGGGAATGCCTGAAGCGAAAAGTGCCTTGGTTGGAGAGAAAGCGTGGCCAGTGATGGGTTGTTTACCATTAACTTCAGTATATCTTCCTTGAAGTTATCGTAGATCTGCGAAGGGAGCTGAGCATCGAATGTGAACTCGGTAAGATTGCCATTGGGAAAGGCGAGTCGGCTAGCCGGGAAAACATGAAGCAGCGTAAGCGTCTTATCACCAGGAGACGAGGCGTAGTAAGCTATCTTGTTACCCCGGACCACGAGTGTGGCTTTTGGAAATCTCACCAGCTCGCAAAGGATCAAGGGATATACATTCGAAAATACATTCCAGCAAAACGTATATAAGACTGCCAGCCTTTTCAAGACGTTGACCACATCCTGAAGGAACCAGAATGGCGTGGAATCGGCAGGCGTGATCTCCAGATAGCGGATGTATGATGCCAATTTCGAGCGTGGTTGTAGAAGGCGCTTCAGCAATAGAAGGTGAGTCACCTTCGTGATGTTGATTGAAACATCTCCATATATCCATCGAACGACGAGCATATAGAACCTGTGATTGACCCTAGATAGTGGAAGCAATGATTTGTGCGAAGTGAGGGCGACTTCCTGGAAGACCAAGGCCAGACAATCGTTGTTGAGAGATTCGAGTGTAGACTTCTTCCGTGGCTTCAGAATGCCAATCTCCCTTACTGCGATGCTAGGTGACATCGCAGCTCGTCCAGCCAGTCCAATGGTAATGGAGTGTACTGATGCGCGTGATTGATCGCTGGGATGTTCCTCACAGCTTGTTGTGGTGACATAATTTGATCAGTCGCCTAATGCATTAGAAAAGGACACATGTGAGTTAGCAATACAGAACTCTTGTGATCGCTAAAAAGCCCCTGAGCTCCATGATTCCGGCGACATGGCTTCATGTTCGTGGAATTGCTTCAATAGGTTTGCTAGCCCAACGCATAATTTGTACCAATTAGAGACATCGCGAAAAGAAGCTTCTCACGTCTGCATCATACGTGCTGACTTCCGTAATTGATTAAGTGGTTCATCAAGACTAAGTGTGCAAAATCGATGGAATTTCAATATTGAGGCACGATAGAGTGACTTTGGTGTTGTGGGGATGGCGCATCTCTCTCCGAGACTAGTCATACGGCACGTGCACTTGTCCCGTCAGGCATCCAATCAGCAGCCCGCCGAAAGTCACCTCAGCATAAGCCGAGGTTGTTCTTCGTCGGCGTCTGCCATCGTCACCGAGCGATGCAATTCCATTCCACAACCACGTTCCTGTCCCCGCATTCTCCACGTTGACTATACTTATACGGCGCCTCATCACTTTCACCTCATAGCGATTTAGCCCCTGTATCACCAAGCGATACCCGATAGCCCGCACTCAATAGTCGATACTCGCTCGTCAATACCCACAATGTCGGAGTCCTTCACCGCGAAGCAGGTCGCAGAGCACAAAGACGTTGATAAGGGGCTATACATTATAATCGATAGCGGTGTGTACTCTCTAGAGAGCTTCGTCGATGAGCATCCCGGTGGTGCGAAAATATTGAAGAGGGTTGGCGGTAAGGATGCCAGCAAGCAGTTCTGGAAGGTATGTTACCCATAACTTACTCGTCATATGCTATGCAAGACGTGCTTTCCAACGCAGTCGAAGCCCCTTTGTTGAATACTCTGAACCGTTGAGCCGCATTGAATATTGGCACTGACTAGATGACAGTACCACAACGAGGGTGTACTAAAGAAGTACGGACCGAAGCTCAAGGTCGGTGATTTGAAAGAAGAGGCGAAACTATGAGCATATCGATCGAACGACGTCACGAAATATCGAAGGGTGCAGCAGCTAGATCCATAACTCGTTGGACACTGCGCGTTGTCTCGGTCCTTACCCAGACAGCGGGGATAGAAGATAGACGCACACTCGGTGCCTATAAACGTTGATGCAGCACATTGGACAGTCTAAGATTCACTTGTACATATTCGAATCATATCACATCTCTTTAAGTTACCTGAAATCACTTGCTTGCACGAAGAGCAGACTCAAGAACGTTGAATTACTATATCAAGGAGCGACGTATCTCAATCTCAAAGCTTCTCATTGCTATATGTCGCCGTGTATATGGGTCCATAATATTAAACATTCAAACAAACCATCAAGGTATTATGCATGCTTCCCCAACAGAACAAAAAAACATACCGTGGGTATCGTAACGCCATGAATGCAGCGCAAAATGTCAAGGCCGTGTGTGTATAGTCATGGTCTCCAAGTCCACCTTATCCTTCAAAGGCATCCGAACATCTTCTTCCTCGTCTCGCCCTTGTGCGTTGTCGACCTCCCCAACTTCCGTCGCTGCATCTTCAGCCCGGACATGCTCTTCGTATCATCTTCCCCGCCGGATAGATCCATTCGATACCTTCGGACAGACTCCGCATCCGACCTCTCCTCTTCGTAGAACCTTTGGGGTCCAGTCGCAGAGACACTCCTCGGCATGAACCTCTTCAAGATCCCCCTAAACCCACTATTCGCCCGATCGATCTTCTCATACTGGGTCTTGCGCGTTGATGGCGACATCCAATGCATCGTCGTATCTTCCCCAATATCGGCCGTAGCACCCGCTTTCTCATCAAGCACCGGCGAGCCCGACTCGCGCGCACCAGGTGGCGGCTGGGGTCCTGGTGTGGCGCCAATCTCCGCGCCTACGCTTGGGCCATAACCGGAGATGGTGGGGCTTGGGAGGCTCGATTGATATGCGGGATTTTGGAACAAGCTGCAGGACCGGAAATGAAGTGCAAGTACGTCGTCGATATCGCGGGTGACGGTTGGACAGGTCTGGGAACTATTGATGCGGTAGTGGCGCGTTGGTCTGGAAGGGTCGATGATGGTGCAGGAGGTCCGGCGTGAGGAAGGGGCGGAGCCATGACCGCGTCGTCGTGACTTTGTAGAGTTGGAGGAGTTTGTTGTAATGGACTTGCGGCGCGGTTCCACGGATCTTCGAGGGGTGGTGGTTGGTTTGTCTGATGCAGGATGTACAGTCGATAGTGTGGAGGGTTGGTCGTTCAGATGAAAGCCGTCAAGAGCCTGTCTACTTCTCCGGTCTCGACCAGAAGCGGTCTTGCATCTGCGAGTCGTCTTTGGCGTATCCTCGGACGGTCCCATAAGAAATGTTTCGTGAAAGGCACTGTCTGTTCGCTTCATGATGGCGACAAATCAGACGAAAATAGAAGTAAAGTCCTGCTAGGAGGGAAGCCGTAGATCAAGACAGCCAAAGAAATAGTTAACGGAATGTGAGTAGCATCTTCTGCACCACTCGTCAGTGCCATGTTACAATAAAAGGGAGTTCCAGTCTAGCTGGCTCACTAGAGGGCGCGAACCTTGGGACAAATATTGAAAACAGGACCTGTCAAACAGAACACAGAAAAGATCGCAAACACGAAGAGAAAAAGCGAGGCGATGCTTTGCGCAAAAAAAAGAGCAAGAGTATTTCAAAGCGCTGGGCCCAGCAGCAGCGATGGTGCGCAAAGTGCGGTCTGTGTCGGCGGTGCCTCAACACAGTATAAATGGCAAAGCTTCGGATACCAACGACGAAGATCCCCTAGGTAAGTGGAGGGCGCGGCTAGACCTAGATCACCAGGCGGATGATGCACGACGGCAATGCTGGAGTTGGAGCAGTAACTGGCGGGTTTAGACGCTATGCAGTACACCGCCTCAGATGCGAAAGCGCTGGGATCCGCTTCGGAAACACAACAGGTATAGCGGACCCGCAGCGGAAAAGAGACGATAAAAGAAGTGTGAGTGGAAAGTGGGTAGAGACAACAGGCCTACATAAGTCAATAACAATGGTGCCTCGGGTTGCACAGAAAGGCTGAGTATGATGTCGACTTTCACATGCTTGCTATGGGGGCTAAGCCAGGCCCCAAGACTGGGAACGAGCATCATTTGGCTGGGCTGGTGATGCGCCCTGTGAGCGACGTGGAGAGAGAGGAGGGGCGTGCGAATAACGATGGGCAGCCTCGTCTGCCCACACACTCACACCGCAAGCGCACGGACAACGGCATGGATCGAATCATGGCGCGTAGCGATGTCGGGCCATGTCACCTGGCATCGACCGGCATTCTAAAGCGAGTCGCGGGGCTCTAGAGGTCTTGGTCCTGAGTACCAATGACTCCCAAGTGATGCACCAGGCGCAACAGTGCCCAGGTGTCGTGGCTTTGGAAATGCAAACAGATGAAAGTACCATGAGCGTACTAGTAATGCGTACCAAGGGAATGACACAGTGGGCGTTCACAAACGATTGTGCAACTTTTTTTTTATCAAGAACAATGACTGTGACAGGCTAGAGCAACCGAGGAAACTACCCCTTGCCTTGCTGCTTACACAGTACAGACGCGGAAGCTGTGGCGATGGCAACAGTTCACGACGCCAAGCCGTCTAATGCAGCCGTACAGATGTAGATGCGTCCGCGACATCCAATACCGCCACCGCTGGGCATCACGAGGAACCACTGCAACCTCTGCATACCCGTGCGGAACTGCCACTCACTCGACGGCGATTTGACATGTGCTCGATCGACGCCTTGTGTTCGACAAGACTGATGCTCACTGAATGTCGTGGTAGAACGACAGTATGTGCTCCCCCACTTGCTCGAACGCTTCGAGCGCATGCCAATGACCGATCCCCTCCATTACCTCCAGCTTCTTTTCGCCAGTCCCAATCTCGTTGAACATCTTTTGGCAGCCTTCTAAAGGTGCCGATTTGTCCTCTTCGCCTGCGAGTATGAGTATTGGGACAGCAATCTTCTCATAAGCAGGGGGCTTCGCGTTGATGATGACTCTGCAATTGGAGCAATACCCCGCTGGATCTTGTCCGAGGAGCAACTCGCGGATAAAGCTCTTTGCGAGGGGCGAGGCCTGCTTTCCAACCGCTGCGTTCGGTACAGTATTCGCTATGGGCTCCATGCCTTCCTTCTCTACGGTTTGAATGCGCTTCTCGAAGACGGGAATAACGCCAGGATTTGGGTATACCGGTCCAATGAGGACTGCGGCCACGACACGGTCGTTGTTCTCAGCGGCGAGATGAGCTCCGACAATGCTGAGCAAACAGTGAGATTGGTGGAATGTATGCAAACGTAGGAGAACTTACCCGCCCATTGAGTGGCCTACCACTATAGCTTTCGACACCTCCAGCGCATCCAAAATCCCGATGACATCGTCAGCAAGGCTTTGGATGCTTTGTTCGATCTGCGTATATGGAGACCTCCCCGCACCAGTCGTATCAAAGGTGATGCATCGGAATTTGTGAGCTTGTAAACCTGATGCTACAGCGTGGTAGTAGTCTTGCGAAGAGCCCAGGCCGTGGATGAAGATGAAGGTTTCGCGAACATCGTCTCCCTCAGGCTTCAAGTCTGTGTAGTGTATCTTTTTGTACCCGAGTTGAAGGAACGGCATAGTGTCGTGAAGGGACGAATGATTCTCGGAGTGCAGTTCACAATTGAAGCCATCATGCGCGGGGTGCACCTTCCGACCGGCGGAACCGTTCCGAAAACGTTGTCAACAATATGTAACGCTAATTTTCCACACAGCGGGCGACACTAAAACCTGAACCCTTTCTCGCGCTAACATGAGAGACGGCCTTGCATGATCAAGTTGTAAACTATTAACACGTACTACAACATAAATACGCTACGAGAATATACACGTATAGCTGGCTGCTATCTTAACACAAGCGAGTAATCCTGGGAAGAGTCAACGCTGAGAAGCGCCACTGTGCCATGACTCTTTCCACACTGTTGCAGCGGCACAGCGCAATTCAAGACAAATCAACATGCACAATGAGAATACCATATGAACACTTTTTGAGTCAACAGTATTTCCACTAGCACAATGCATTGTGCCACTTTCAGATAGAAATATGATAAATAGAACCAGATGTTCAAGTCCCAATAGAGCGTCACACATTACTAACCTCCCCCCTGCTACTGTCTATTCTTATGCCGTTCATATACTCCGGAGTACCCATCGAATCTTGTTCCACTGTCGGTCCATCCTTCATCATCTGCAGCACGCCTGGCGGCGGGTCCTATGTCTCTATAATAAGACTCAAGGCCTCCCTCGGGCAAGAACTTCGATACGCGGCCACGAATCAAATCATCAGCCCGCAGGCAAAGCTGCTCGCCTTCAAACTTCCACTCCCATCGAAAGAGCGGCCTGAGAAGCCTGAAGTACAAAAGGGCTAAGGGTGCGCTGACCCATGACTGTCTGATTGGAAAGCTCCACTCTGCTTGAAGTGAAGGCCTATTGCATTACAGGTCGTGATATGCATGTTTCATTTGTAATGCTACTACTTGAATAGTACCTTGATTTCCTTCGCTGGCTGCAAGACGATGTCCGCGTGCATGCCTGCGAGTTGACCTCCCATCCGGTTTTCCACCGTCTCGAACCTTTGAAACAATCTCACAATCGTATATCCCATCTCTGTGAGCGCAAACTGTTGGCCAATGCAGATCCTCGGTCCACCGTTGAACGGCACATAGGTCCAGCTCTTCGGGGTCCAATTGTCCCATCGCTCAGGGCAGAATTTCTCAGGGGCGGGAAAGCCCGTCTCCGGAGGTGGATAGAGATCAGGGCGACGCTGCATGACAAGTGTCGAGTAGCCAATAGGCGTATTCTTCATAATGGCGATAGGCTGCGTGCCGTCGGGCCCTCCACCAACGGGCAGTGTAGTGTCGTGAAGTGCAACGCGAACGTTGTACGGAACGACTGGGTAAAGACGTAGGGCTTCGTTTATGATGTGCCCGAGGTATTTCATATCTTTCAGATTCTGGTAGGATGGCTGCCGCTCCAGGCCGACATGGTCGATGATCTCCTGGCGCAACTTTGCAATTATGTGAGGCTGGCGAGACAACTCGTAGACGACCCATGTCAGCGTACACGCCGTAGTATCCCGACCGGCAAGCAGGATAGAAACTAGCTGGTCGCGCAACGTCTTCCTGTCACGTGTGTACCCTGCAATCGCATGCAGAAACGTATAACCAGAGTCATGCTTGCTCTTCTCCTCGAGCTCAGTGGGAGAGAGAGCGAGGGCTTTCTCGATGTACATGTTGACAAAGTTGTCCAGGATGTTGAGTGAGGAATAAAAACCCATGCGCTTGCGGGGTATGAACTTGTTCAACGGACTGCAAGGGCACAATTAGCGGTGTCTAAAGCAGCTGAAGCAGGCTTCACTTACCCAATCTTTGATATCAAGCTCTGGATGTGTTGGACGCGAGTGAAGGCATTAGCAAAAGCTGTCTGGGGCTGATCTAGACTTCCGATGTCGTTCCCAAGCAAGAAGTGAGTGGCGGCATCAAGGGTAAATCGAAAGAACATGTCCATCATGTCCACCTCTCCCTGACCCAGTTTGATCATCAGCTTCTGCACATGCTCTTCGAAGATGTCGATATCGCTTAGCCTGTCTTTGATGAATTGTGGACGAATCAATTGTCGCGAGTCGTGCCAGAGCTGTCCATCAGTGTTGAATATGCCTGCTCATAATCAGCATCAGGTTTTATTCACTTCGCCTGCTTCGACTGTCAATAGACGCGTAGACATACCATCTCCCAGAAAATCTTCAAAGTCCTTGTGGAACTGCTCGCCCTTGCCGTAATCTTTGAACTGAGTGGCCAGAATTGCTTTGATGTTTTCTGGATCAGCCGTCATTATTACCCGCTCGCCTATGCCACTCTCGACCGTGTAGCAGCCGTTGCGACCGTATCTTTGAAATGTGTTCAACCAGAATTCATAGATGTTATCATCGAGAGCGGATTTGATGATAATGTAGGCCAGGTCAAGTTGCATCGGGAGCCATGTCCTTCGGACTGGCGCTCGTGCTCCAAGCTTGCGAAGCTTTGCATTGTAGGAAAACCTGGCGATGATTGTGTAGCCAATATAGAGGAGAAGAAGGCCGCCGAGCAGCTGAGGTGTCGATATGGTGGTTCCGTGGAATTCCAGCATCGTGGACAGTGCGTGAAGACTGTTTGAGGTCCCCTTCTCACTCGACCGTTCGAATGACACGAGTTAAGAAGAGAACAATGAGGTCAGAAGAAAGGAACCGAGGCAACTGCTTAACTAGGATTCCCCAGCACCTGCTCGTTACTACCACAAGTACAAAGCTAGTTGCGGGACACTCGGGTTGCGCACGATGGTTGATTGCTCTAGTACTCAGCCGATCGCTGTAATAGGTGGGCCTGTGGGTGCTCTATACCACAGTGGGAACCTGGGGTAACTCTAAATAAGGGACGGGACGCTCGGTGAGCGCATAGCCGCTGATTGTTCCAGCGCACTTGTATTTCTATCATATGCACACAGACACGCCTCGGTGTGTGACGCGGCGTAGCCCGAAAGGATGCTGGGCGCTCTCCACCACCGTTTGCTCGGGAATATTGACTGGCTGATCGCGAATCAATCCCCGACAGCATGCGGGGACTCAACGCGGCCCAAGGAAGAAGGTGGGGAAGAAGCGGATGAGCGCACCTCCGACTTCCGTCGGCCAAACATGGCAGAATTGTTCGTGATGATAACAAGACGGTCGTGCTGGAAGTATGAACGTTAGACCCCCCGCGGCAACGTCCCCACGCTCGCACGTTTAAGACCGTCGTTCGCCAAGCTTCGCTGACTCATGCTCAACGGTTTACTGACCATGGGACAGATGCAGCATCACATCACCGTGAGCCCCTCACAGTCGTCGTGAGAGCTACCTCAGCCTCGTACTATGTAAGCAAGCCTCCCGACGCTGTAGCAGCACTACGTTCGACAATCTCTCCAGCAGCTGACTTGAGTTTGCGCCCGCCGCTAGTCACCGTCTCATGCAGTGAATGTTCGATGCTTTTTCGACGCTTGCATTAGCATGCACTGTTGATCTGAAGATACGCAAAAGCACGGCTAAATGAGAGTGCATGAGGATACATGCCTGCGCTAGCCCGGCATTCCAGTCCTGCCCCTCGCGCGCCTGACGCGTTCCCCTCTTTTCCGTACGGGTTGACTTACAAGAGTCCAAGACATTTTACTTCCTATTCATCTGTACCTGCTTCTTTCCTTGGTCGTGCATCTCGAAGATGATAGTTCTCTTGTGGATTTCTCTTTTTACCTACCTAGCATCGGCAATATGGCCAGTTCCCAAAGAATACAAGCACGGTGACACCGTTCTATGGATATCCAAAGACACATCATTTGATTGGGCTGGCGCAGGCGATGTAGGCACTCTCATGTTTCAGCCAGGTTACGAATATGGCTTCAGAATACACTCTAACACACAGCCAATAATACAGGACGAAGAAAGCCGCAGGCGTGTAAAGCGCTCCGGTGAAGCGCCCACAGGAGACGAAATCATCGACAATGCAATATACGCTGCTAAGCAAACAATCTTCAAGAAAAATTTCGTGCCCTGGAAATTTCACCCAAGGAACTGGACGGAGCCTAGTGCAGAGAACGGCACCTACATCTCGACCGTCAACCTCGAGGTCCTGCAAGATGATCCCGAGGACATTGCTAAGCCGCTTGCCGGTACAGTCGATGAGTCGTATGCGCTCGAGCTGAGGGAGGGCGGTAACGTGAGTATCACAGCAAACTCGAGTGTGGGCATCGTCAGGGGCCTAGTGTCCTTCACACAGCTCTTCTATGAGCACTCCGAAGGCGGCGCATACACACCGTTTGCCCCCGTGACCATATTCGATGTACCTGTTTTCCAACACCGTGGTATCAACCTGGACGTATCGAGAAACTACTTCTCCGTCAAGGACATCGAACGCACCATCGATGCTGCGGCCTACAATAAGATGAACCGTTTCCACCTGCACGTCACTGATGCACAGTCCTGGCCTCTCGAGATCCCTGCCTTACCCGAACTTTCAGCGAAAGGCGCGTATCGGCCAGAACTGGTGTACACCAAAGAGGATTTTGCAAACCTACAGTATTACGCTTCGATGCAAGGAGTAGAGTTCATCACGGAAATCGACATGCCAGGTCACACCTCCTCTATCGCTTTAAGTCATCCAGACCTCATCGCAGCATACAACGTTCAGCCAGACTGGAACACCTATTGCGCGGAGCCACCCTGCGGTACGCTGAAGCTTAACTCGACCAACGTGGATGACTTTCTCAAGAAGCTTTTTGATGACTTGCTGCCGCGTGTGCTTCCATTCTCGTCGTACTTCCACACTGGTGGGGACGAAGTGAACAAGAACTCATACTTGAAAGACGACACCGTCAACTCGAATGACTCGGCGGTCCTGCAGCCGCTGATGCAGAAGTTCGTCGATAGAAATCACGACCAAATCCGCGCCGCAGGCCTGACACCCCTTGTCTGGGAAGAAACGCTGCTAGACTGGAACCTAACCCTCGGCTCTGACGTGATCGTCCAGTCGTGGCAGAGCGATGAAGCAGTCGCGCAGATCGTAGCAAAAGGCCACAAAGTCCTCGCCGGCAACTACAACTACTGGGTAAGTGACCGCTCTTCTCAGCCTTGAAACACCTCACTCACCGGAATGAACCAACAGTATCTTGACTGCGGCAAAGGCCAATGGCTTAATTTTGATACCTCTGTCAGCGCCCAGTACTGGCCTTATGAAGACTACTGCGCCCCTTTCCACAACTGGCGCCTCGCCTACTCGTATGACCCACTGACATCGGTGCCAACCGATTCTCAACATCTTGTTATAGGCGGCGAAGCCCACATGTGGGCTGAGCAGACCGATCCTATAAATGTTGATCGTATGATTTGGCCGCGAGGCTCAGCCGTTGCCGAGATCCTCTGGAGCGGAGCAAAGGACGCACAGGGACAGAATAGGAGCCAGATCGATGCCGCACCAAGATTGAGCGAGATGAGAGAGAGACTCGTGGCCAGAGGTATAGGCGCTGAACCAATCCAGATGCCGTTTTGTACAATGGAGGGGAATGTGTGCGAACTTGGATAACACCCCTGAGAGTGCGGCACGGTCAAGACGACGTCACTCATCATGTGGCAGAATGATTCACGAAAATTAAATTCAAATGCGATTCAAGAGCATTAATGGATCAGTACATTGATCAGTTTTTTTTCTTAGTGAATGAAATCCACCAGAGGAACTGGCGCGCCGATGCGGTGAGCACGTTCAGCAAAAGCTGCACGTTCAAGTATCAAGTCTGGAGGTAGCATCGCTGACTTCACGCCCTAATAGATGAGCATTACGAGCATGCCACAGTGGCTCCTATTATCCACGATCTAGCGTAATATTAGCAACATACCACATACCGCGTGCGTAGACATGGTATTGGATGCTTGGTTCCAGGCAGGGTATAATGCACCAACTCACCCAAGAAAACTACAACTAACAGAACAAGTGTCCGCAAGACCACCACCATCGTACGAAGAATATGATGATCGAGCCATGAGCCATCCAGCACAGCATGTGGCAGAAGCCAATGTGACCTCGATTGCGATTTGCAGGGCCCTCAAAGTCCAGGCGATGCGTGGGCCGATGCGAAGGCCGACTCGGATGGAAGCCAGTACTGCCCTTCGAAGCATCAATGATGGCTGACATGTTGCTAGATTCGCAGAAAATACCAACTTGATTGTGCCAGTCTCGCCCCGCGTAATGGAAAGAAGTGATGTTGCCCAATCCTGCGTTTTCCTAATTCGCCTCGACATCGCCGGTGTAAGTCGGAATCCAAGCGGGCATGGAGAAAATCGGACTCGTCGATTCGGTCCCGGAAGGTACCACAGGCATGGCCCTCGCCAGCTTCTCAACAACAGTGGCATTCGTTGGCGGGGTTGTGATAAAGACGTCTTCGGTGACAGAGGTGTTCCAGCCGGGGTCGACGACAGTAACGGCGCAAAAGAGCGCGGCAGCGAGAGTAACGATAGTAAGTATGTTCATGACAGCGAGAGAATAGCGTATAGTGATGGCCGGTGTTTGCTCGTGAATGTAGACTAGATATGTAAGTTGTAGCCAAAAGCGCGGCTTCCGTACCTAGCGATACGCTTGAGTGAGTAGGCAAGAAGGTACGCCGTCAAGGAAAGCAACTGCTAAGGATACATGATCATGCCGATATACAGCGCTTTGATGAACACTAAAGTCTCAGGTCTTTCGACCTCCACAACGAGCGGCTTGGTGTAACGCATGGCGCTCGGAGTGGGCTGCTACTGCAATGTTTGAGCTTCATCGATGACATATGAAATCGCACCACCCCCATCCACCGTAAGATCATCAGAGTAACAGTCCAAGTGCTCCAGCGACTCCGCCCATGAGACCAAAGTCCACCCCAGCAGTCCTCCGCTCTTCCTGACGAAGCCGTCGTGCTGCCAGCTGCACTTTGAATAAAAGTGGGCGCCTCCCTCGTCGTCTCCGCACTCGTCCCGCCGCTCGACGTCAATGCGGCCTCCGTACTGCTCGATTTTGCTACCGTACTATTTGCACCTTCAGCCTCAGTGGTCGAAGCAGCGGTCGACCTGCTCAAGGAAAGCCCCGTAAAAGAAGCTATATCCGTCTCCGTCTCTAGCTCAAACGTGCTTTCGTCCTCTCCACTGGACGGAAACAAAACTTCATAACTAGTCTTCTTGCTTGCGCACCCGTAATGACCGTAGGTACTTCCACTGATGGCGCTGTACAGCGTTGCGCAGTATGGCGCGTACTCCTCGACACTGCTCTTCATCAGTTGCCTCTTCTACCTATATGACGGAAGTTAGGCCACTCACCAGCCTGTAACCAAAGCGTTGTCATAACACTCCGAACTGGATAGACAGTCGTCGATTGACTTACTATTCACGCATGCCGTGTACACATCGCAATCGGCGACCGCAGTACCAGTACAGCATCCGAACCACGAATACTCGTCGTCGTACATGCAGTTCCAGCCAGGATCGCAGTAGAGCGGGTACTCTGTCACTGGTCAGCTATCTCTTCGCGACAGATGTTTATCGAGGTATTCAACAGACCTAGGTCCCCTTCGAGGTATCCACATAGTCCAGGATCATCCTGTCTTCGAAGTAGTTCTAACGGTGACTTCGTTTCGGATGTCGGCTTAGGTGTCCATCCGTCCGCAGGGAAGAGTTGGTCAATAGGCGTAGCGCGAGGCTGGTGTAACTGCAGTGTTGCAGCAATTTGCCCCAACCACAGGCCTTGTAACACCACTCTCATGGAAAACATTGCGCTAGCGTGTCCACGAAGCGAAATATAAGGTCCTTGAGAGTACGCGTAACGAGGATGTGATGAGATTGCTGCTACCTAGGAAGCCCACTTATGCCTAATCACAAACACGAAGCGCAAGGCTGGAAGCTGAACAGGTCGTCTATCATGCTCTTTTGGGGCAAGTCACCTGGAACCTCGTTGTGCTTCATTGGCGGTGTGTCGTTGCCAATGCTGTGGCGTAGTGCGCCGGTCCTCGTATTCGCTTGAGAGACGCAAACATCTTTAAGTATGGGGTGACCTAGGAGAGGGTCGTGTCGATTACGGTGAAGGGGAGGGAGAGAAAGAGCCTCACATGGTAAGGATTCAAAGGGTAGACATCGTGTGGTGGTGAATTATGGATGAGAGGAGGCTATGACGGGATAGGGTCTAATAGCGAAGCTGTCAGGTCGTGATGTTGTATGAAGCTTAAAACAGTTTCTACACATCCGACACTCCATGTCGCCACTCCTTTACCATAGCTACCCAGGTATGTCGCGAATTAGGAAGAGCACGTGACAGGATATGCCCCGGAGTCTTGGTACTTGATCCATCAGCCGTACGACGCACAACGGCAAGGCTACGTACCGACGTCCAAGCTGCTGGGAGTCCCGCAAAGACAACAATCTTCGGAATGTTATGTCAGATGTCCCAGAGGACAGGGGTTAGAGTTCCGTAGTTGGATCAGTGGATTACTAGTGAATAGGAAGGAACATTACGAATATCAATAATATCTTACACGCGTTCTCCCTTCTAGCGCATTGCCCAGTCTATAACGCTTAAAATGCCAATTCTAGGTCTACCACTTTCTATCACTCATACAATCCTTCTAAAAGCGACTGATATCTCGTCCAAATAGCCAATTGATCGCCCTGAGTATTGTTAGCAATTTTTCTTCGGCCATCTCATAAGACGTACCAATAGGTAGGAATCAGAATCTTGTTTCTCAAGCTCACGCTTTTGGTCAGATACGCTCCACGCCAGATAATCCACGCAAGGCGACCAGAAATACCGCCGCTAGTGCCACCACCCTGTAGCAGCGCGTTCCAGTTGCCCACGTATGCCATGACACCCATGTTCTTCCATGTGAAGCCCGACTTGTCAATGTCTCCCTTGTTGAGGCGCTTCGCCAGCCAGTAGGCTTTCTGAGATGCAACTTGCGCTGTCGCAGGATATTGAGTCCCTTCAACGATGGCACAGTCACCGAGGACGAAAACGTCCCTCATGATAGCTTCGGGTTTCTTTTCGTTTTCGGACTCTGCGATGAGCTTCATTCGGAGTCGACTGTCTGTCATTACTGAGCCTGTCTTTGAATCGGTCTTGACGCGCCAGTGGAGGGAGTCAGGGTCGTTAGAGGGTGCTTCGAGGCGCCTGAAGTCGCTTGGAACCTCGTACACATCGCTAAGAGCGTGAGCGACAAAGGGATTCTGCATGAGCCCAGTACCTGTGGGTGCGTCAAATTAGCTGGGGCCTATTTTGGATATCGCAACATGTACGTACTCCACACGACCATGCCGACGCCAATCTCGCCTTGCTCTTTGATCTTCAACGTGTACACTTCATGGTCATCCTCTGAAGAGGGATTCTCCCCGGGAGCGCCTGGCCGAAGTTCTTCGACGTGGTGATCGGTCCTGATGTCAATTCCTTCGCGAGCAAAGGTATCCATAGCGTATTTAGCTAGCTTCTCGTCGAACATCGGAAGAACTTTTTTGGCGACATCGTAGACAGTGATCTTGTGAAAGGGTATTAGCTCGGGGTAGATGCGGGCGAGATCTTCCGTTATGATATCGTGCAGCTCAGCAGAGAACTCGATGCCGGTAGGCCCTCCGCCGACAATGGCGAAGTTGAGGAGTTGTTTGCGCTGTTCGTCCGTCGTTGTGGGTAGCGCTGCGGCTTCAAAGCAGGCTAAAATACGGTTCCTAATCTTGCGCGCATCGCCAACATCTTTCAAGAACAGTCTGACAACTCGATTAGCTCTTCGTCAGCGAACAATCATGCAGAAAACCTACGCGTGCTCCTTTACTCCAGGAGTGCCAAAAGTCTGGCTGTAGCAACCCACAGTGACGATCAACTTATCGTATGTAATGTCGAACAACGTGCCTTTCTTGGCCTCCACCTCTCTCCTCTCATGTCTTTGCTCTTTCGACTCCCCAGCATGTCTATCTTCCACCAGCGCTGTCGAGACCCCCTGATCCTCGATCGCCTCCTCAACTGTAATTTTCTTGTTCTTGAAATCGACCCCATCCGCCCACCCTTGGAAGAAGCTGACGTTTGTCCTCCTCGTACGTATCGGCTCGAGCGCAGTTCTAAATTCGAGCGTGCCGACCGACGTTGAGGCAAGCAGAGGCGTGAAAGCGAAGTACGATCGCGGCGATACTACGACGGTCTGGTACTTCTTCGCATCGAGGGCCCTTGCAACGGTGTAGCCGGCCCAACCACTACCTAGGACAACAACTCGTTCACGTTCTATAGGAAGCCCAATTAGCTTGGGAATTTCTGGGCAAGATCCATCCCGCTCGCGAAAGCCATTCCTGGGACTACTCACGATCCCGTCCGGAGTCCAATTGACTTATAGTCATGGATCTCCTCTGCTGCAAGGCTCCGCCATATAGACTGCATGTTCCAGCGACGGCATGCGAAGTGAGGACTTGGCGGCTTGTTGAAGGCAACGGCGTCGTCGCGCGAAGGGAGTTTCGAGATAACAGTCGTAGCTCTGACGGCAATTGAGCTAGGCGCGACGATGGCTGCATAACGTCGATGTGTCTAGACAAGCGAATGTACTCAATGAAGAGAGTTCTTTTGTTCACCAACGAAGTTGTGGTGGAGCTGCTTCGTGTTTATCTTTTTTGGGCGGGCCATGGCGGAGAATCGCGGAAGCGCGACGCATGACGTACAAACTTCGACAGCTTGAGATCGGCGGCAATCGGTGCATGAAGCTGCGCGAACAGTTGGTTTCGATACTCGGACATGTTGTGCGTCTGTGATTGATGGATCGGGCTTACAGCTGTCGTCGAGGAGTGAGATGCCGTTCCGGTTGCTCGGAATGCAATGGGTTGCTCCTTCCGACTCTCTGCGTGGGTCGAGCGCCAATTGGCTGCGGCGCGAATGATACTCATGGCTGGATAAGCAGTCGGAAATCCGCATGTCAGATGCTTCGAATTTGATTACTGTTCTGAGGAACAATTAGGACTGCATCCGAGTCATATTCGTACTAAAGCTCGCGACTGAATAGTCGCTTGTCCTTGGTATCGGGTCTAGTGTGAAAGACATCTACCAAACACCGACTCCCCGCACCTGGCCTTTATAGCTTCCTCATACCATTGCGTCCAAACATGCAGCAGATCACAAGAGCGTATCGCCAAGCGCGCATCGAACAATGCTGCAACCGGCACGAACGGTATCGCTCGCACCTTGCTCGTCGAGGCTTGGGTTCACTTCAACGAGATCCAGCGCAACCAATGAACCAGTCTCAGCCACACACTCGGCAATGAAGTCTCCCTCACGCAAGGTCAGACCTCCTCGCACGGGCGTACCTGTGCTAGGAGCCCACTGGGGGTCCAGTGCGTCCACATCGAAAGACAAGTGGATGGGAGTATCGCTGCCAATCCAGCCCAGAGCCATGTCCATGACCTTTCCAATGCCGTGTCTATTACCTCAAAATTAGCATAACAACTCCTAGGAAGATACATGAATAAAGGAAAGAAGCTGAGCTTACCGGTCGATGTCGTGCATCGAGAATGCCTTGATGCCATGGTCCCTTAGAATTTTCTTCTCGCCCTTGTCTACATCCCTCAATCCAATGTACACGATCTTCTTCGTGCTTAAGCGGTGGTGCTCCTTCAACCACCCAAACGTGTCTTCTCTGTCCTCCTTTGCAAGACCCGTCAAGAAGGCAACAGGCATTCCGTGAATGTTACCGCTGTCTGAAGTCTCGGGTGTGTTGATATCCGCGTGCGCGTCGACCCAGATAACCGCAATTTCTTTGTCGAGCCGTTCCCGGATCGCTCTTGCAGTTCCAGAAACGGTGCCTATGGCAATGGAATGGTCGCCTCCAAGGGTAAGAACTAGCTTCCCGCTCTTCGCGTGGTTGTAGACCTGGTCGCTGACTGCCTTTGTGGCTGCGCTGACGAACTTTGGCTGCTTCATGCCCCGGTAGTCTGGATCCTCTGCTGGCGAAAATTGACTGTAGTCATGCACCTCACCATCAAAGCTGACTTTGAACTCCAGATCCTCTTCCAATTGCTGGATTAGGCCATGTTGAATGAGGGCTTGGGGCGCTGCGTCGACGCCGGCTTTCGGCTACGATGGGTTAGCTGCAGCTGCAGACACAGAGAGCGCGTCTCTCACCTGGCCGCCGCTGAAACCGACCGCCACAACGCCTAGGTCGTGGCGGTTGGGAAGGAATTTCGGCTGTATCTGCGGTGCGGACGTCATGTTGTTGTCTGGGTGCTTTGCGTGCCCGTTAGCCTTGCCCTTGCGTACAGACACTCGTGGAGACACTCGATAATCGATAAGTTTCGCGCTTGTGGTTGGACAAAGGAAAGAGCAGCTGGACTTGACTGCGTCGGCTACACCGTCGTGGAAACCAGGTATTTACATACTTCGGACTTTGTATATCTCGTGTTCGCCTATATATTTATATGCGCAATGAGGCAAGAAAGCAGAGGAGAACCGGCGTTTTTGACAGAGCGGTGAGAGAGGGTGCACCGGCCGGCTTTTATCGCTGTGGGCTGCGCCATCTCTTAGGTAAGTGTGTCCTCTGAAATCTCTTCTCGTCGCGAAGACCTGTACTTAGGGGGAAGTCGTGAGGTCGGAATTTCCCCCTAAGTACAGGTCTTCGCGGGTTCATCAGAGGGCCCGACTAGCGCGTCGTCATGCGGCTGGGCCGAGCTTGGGCGCCGAAGAGCGGCCTGCGGTTGCAGCCGTAGTCGGAGGCTACCTGCAGGTGATCAGATGGTCGAGTGTGCAGAACGTGCTGGTATGGAGGCCTTCAGAGGCTACAGAAACACGAATGGGCAGATCTACACACAGCAAGACGCTCGACAATGCTCGGTGCAGGTTCAGTCTGATTGGCTGCATCCCGCACATGGACCCATGCCCGGCGCTTTCGATCGGCTCAACCCTTGTTAGTCCGTCATCCAGCATTCCATCTGATAATTTCTGCTGCCGGCACATCTCCGAGCCATCTCCACTCGACTGTAAACATGGCCACGTCTGGCGACCTTCCTCTTTCACCGCTCAGGCCGAACCGCCTGCCATGTTGTCGCCCGCCATCCGCTTCGTTGCCAGCAAAGGCTCGAAGACACCCACCGGATCTATTCAGCTAATCTGCCGAGTTAAGCCGGGCGTCAGTGCGAATAGAGAAGGTGTCTTAGCCGTATCTGACGATGCCATCGAGGTTTGCGTTGCGGCGCGTGCGAAGGAGGGAGAGGCGAACAAGGCTGTGAGAGAGGTCATAGCTGAGGTAAGCAGCGTTGGAAGATTGGATCGTTCAGTTTGGAAACCACCCAAACAGTCGACATGGTTCTAACAGCTTCGAGGCATTGAAAGTGCCAAAATCCGACGTAGACATTGTTAAAGGGATGAAAAGCAGAGACAAGACGGTCATTATTGGTAACATCAAGCTTAGAGGCACACCAGAGGAGTATATGGAGATGCTCAAGGCCACGTTACAGGAGCAGGCAAGTGCTTAGCTTCAAGCGTACCGAGCAAGTTATCCTTCGAGTCGGCGAGGCACCATTGTCATGTCATCTAGGCAGTATACCCTGGAATTCGAAAGGCGAAAAAGCAAACGGACACAAATTTTCACGTGTTCTATGAAGCTCTCACTTTACATTCATTCGTCATTCGTAGACCGTATCCAACGCCAAACACCGACAACACAACACCATGTACGAACGAATGACAACCGGGACCAGGTCCAAAACCACATGGGAAACCGTAGCCACAACACCAACAAGACGCCGTCCATTGCACCCGATCAGGTTTTTCCCTTACTGATACCGCACCGGTTCATGCACTCGTCACTACCGTATGTGGATCCGGTGCCCACCTCAGGGATGTCTTTACCTGTGGTCTTGACATCCAGAGTGGGATTGCCAAATGCAGCGCGTATCATGTCATCGCGTATACTCCACAGGCCGTTGACGATGTTCATCGTGCCTGTGTCTTCACTGTTGAGTGCGCTGATGAGGTACGCGTCATCGCAGCCTTTGAAACGATCAATCATGAACACTCAATAGCACCTGGGATAGAGGCGGCACTCACCATTGTTCTGCATGCTGTGAATGCTGCCCGTAGGAAAGATAGTCATCTTCCCCGGCGTCAGGGTCGTAGACACAGTCCTGACCGCATTCTCATTGACCATCCACGTCGTCGTGTTACCCGTGATAGCGACCACCATGTTCGCTGCGCGCGGGTGGTAATGGGCAGGCAACATGGCGCAAGGGCCCAATTTGAGTTGTGCAATGGTCATGCCATGGCCTACCATGGCAGGGAAGGTCGCTGCGTTGGCGTTCTTGACGCTTCCTGGTTTGAAAGAGTCGGTGGGCTCCGCGGAGTTGAAGTCGTAGATCCAATCTTCGTCTTTAGTGAGTATATTGTGCCTGTCGTAGACGGTGGCTGCGAGCTTGAGGCGTGAGACTAAGTCTTGGTTGACCGTCTTGTCTAGTTTGTCCATGGCGTAGGCCAGTGGGAGGAAGAGGATGGTTGCGAAGAGGTGGTTGATCATGGCTGCACCTTTATTGGTAAGGAGGATAGCTTTTTCAAGTGTCAGAGGATTGCTTGGTTGTAGACAGTTGAGGAAGCACACTCTTCTTTGGAAAAGAAGTAGATGGACAATAGCTTTTCAATGAGGATACTTCGTCAATTGTGCTGTACCAACGTGATGCGGAGGAGTCGACGGTCTAGGGATGAATGGTGGGGTATGTGGTGATACCCGATTCGTAGGAGGGTCGAAGTCTTGAGATGAAGACAAACGGACAAAAGTGGTAAATTGACCGCTGTGAAGAGCGGTATGTTCCCGTGACCAATGCTCACGAAGTGCTCATATAAACCGGCACATTCCTTTATGCAACAGCAAGCTTTTATACACAAAAGGTAAAGGCAGGGCTGCTTGTGATGCGGCCAGGCCAAAGTTCGACCGCCCCTCCCTTCATCAAGCCACAGTTACTCTAACTTGAAGAGGCGCCTTTAGAGCGAGTTCAGAGACTACGTCTCGGAGGATTGGCTTCTCTAGGTATTATCTACCCCGCAAGGCATGCCGCCGTTTTCTTAAGAGTCTTCGAACGGAAAGTGGGAACGGGATTCTGGACGGTTTATATCGAGGATTAGATTCCGCTATTGGACATGGCCACATCTATCCACGTAGTATCCGTTGGATTCCATGTGAGAAGGTGCATACCTTTAGGTACCTCCGGCCACTTTACCCGATGTATGTATCGTAAGTCGCACGCCGGGATCTTGATATTCGGCGTCCAAAGCGAACCACAGAGTTCTCGTCGTGCAAAACACAGCTCAAAGGCATGATAGCCTCGAGCCCTCTAGCCCTGTGATGCCTTTGAACCAGACTTATGTCTCGACGCCACATTCAGGGTTGCAAATTAGTGACTGTAAGACTCCGGCAGCATTCTCTTCCATCTTCTCGTCTCGTTGCGCTGAGCAACGTGGTATGCTCAATCACTTTGTCTGGGCTAGGCATATCTCTGGTCCAACACGACCAAAGGGCTAGAAATCGTCAATCAAGCTTCGGAGCAGTGCATTTATGGTGCGAGTCAACTGTTTGTCAAACCCAGCTTTCGTTTGATTGACATACGAGTTACACTACCAATGCCGCGTCGCCTGTCTAGCATGCGCTATCCGACGCCACGGTTGCGCATTGATGCGCGCGCCGGTTTAGCACATCAAGCCCATCGGATAATTGATTGGAAGTGCAAAATAGACAGTCTGCGTCCCTAGAAGTGGCGCACATGTGCGCAGGTAGGACAAGTGAGACACAAACTGCGCCAATCATGTCCTTGGATACGGGCAGGAAAAGTGTTACGCATCAAACAATGTTGCCGTGTGATGAATGAACGTGGAGAGGGGAACAGTGATAAGGTTGCGACGGCGGTCGCCTTGACAAGCAGTCGACAACGAACCCTTCATTGCCGAGCAGAAGAGAACCAGGTCAATGTGTGGCTCAAGTGATGGTGTGTCAGCCGCTATGATTCGATCTTTGATATGTAGGAAGGATTTGCGTGAGTTCACAGGATGATGAGGTCTGCCAGTGTGATACCGGTGCAGGCGCACAAGCGATGGGCCGGAAGACTTTCGCCGCTCACCGGGTAGACTGGTTAGTACGACGATCGTGCCGTGCCGCGTCATGCAAACAAGTCACTGGGAGAGCATATCGTAGCCCTGGATTTCGGACATTAGTCAGTTGGCCAGCGAATGCTGAGGATAACATCGAAAAGCGGCGCATCTATATGCATTCCGTACACATTGGATGCACTGCCCGATGGTCTACAGAATCTTAGAATAAGTCGGACTGCATCATATGTAACCTCAAAATGAGATCGTCGTGATAGCTTGACGGCGAGGAGCTTATCCGGTCTCGCCGCTCGACTGTATCATAATCTTGACTAGGGACTGAGACATCCAGTCAGGTCGAACAAAATTCAGGTGTTCGTCATAGGTACATCCTGCTGTTCGCGGGTCCGCATGAGGTAGTTCATGATACCCCAGACCCCACGCATAGCCTCTATACGGTCATCGATGTTGAACAAGTCGAACCATCGAGTCCGCTGAAGCTTTGGTGAAAACCAATCCGGATCAGCTGGGGGTTCTTGAGGGAGAGTGCCTTCGGCCAAGAACTGAAGATAGTCTGGATGTATCCGGAGCTTCAAGATGCTGATGTGATGATTCAATGATGATACCATAAAGACCTGCACAACGTCAGCAAAGTGATCCGCAACGTTCTACTATACGACTTACATCATCCCAGGAGGTATTACGATCTTTGCCGATCGCTTCGTAGACCACCTTCGGATCCCAAAGTGGGTTTCCAGGTTTGAGAGTCTTCCAGATCTCTGCTGGTGTCTGTTTCCGCCGAACTTTAGATCCATCTCGGGATCTTCCAACCACGCTGTGATCTACCTTCGTCGCTTGGTGTGGGGCTGGCGCGTCACTTGCACCCTTGCCTTCACCCACTTCACCACCTGGGCCTCCACCCCATCGATGTTTTGTCGTCCACCATTTGCCTTGACCGCCTCTTCTCTCTGTCTTCCCTTCCCTTGCTCTTTCTTGAGCGAGCAAAAGTAAGCCACCTAGCTCTCGCATAGTGTCTAGGACGGAATCGGCTTGTAAATCCCCACTTGAACCGAAGCCGGTATCTGCTCTACACTGCACCCCCAGCACGGGGCCCTCCATCCATCCTTGACGCGCCCTTATTCTATCCTGAGGGCCACGCCATGCAACTATACTCACGCGAACAGGAAAACGCACATGCTCTAACAGAAGCACTGGTGGACGACGATGTGGTACTAGCGTAACCCCAAAAGCCCAGGTAATTGGTTCCATGAAAGCACGTACAGTCTCAAGTCGATACGAGTCGGGCATTTCCGCGCCATTGCCGATACGGTAGCCCTTGTAGGCCCCCTTACTCAGATCAGCAGGCTTTTCGGGCGCAGCCGCTGCATTCACTTCCCAGGGTGCTTTTGGTGGGGCTGCTCTCGCTGGTAAAGCTCTGTTTGCTGATATGGGAGAGTCGCTGGGTAATGCTGTACCGTTCGAAGCTACAGGGGCCGAGGGCATAACAGCCGTTTCGTTTGTAGTGGACTCTGTTTTCACTTTCTTCCGGGGTTCTCCCTCACTTGGAGATGCCGAAGTAGGCAAAGTCGAATCTTGGGTTTCGCCTTTCTGGTCCGAGGAGACCAGGTCCGCATTGCCATGATCAAGTTTCGGAGGTAAATATTCATCAAGCGAGTTGTCCCAGTAGTAAGCCATATTATCAAGACCTTCCCAGAACTTTCGAAAGTGGGCTAGACGAAGTGGAACCTTCTCTCCCATCGGTTTCCGTGTGAGATTAGCGAATGCATCTCTATTGCTAAAGCAAATCTCCTTTGCACGAAGATAGAACTCGTTGTGATCTGGAACCCTTCTGCCGTTGCATAGAAGTTTGGTACCAGGTTCCGTTTGTGTCGCGGTGTTTTGATCAGGTGCTTTCAACCAGGATCTGGGTGGTAGATATGAGGGCGCATCGTTGGACACAGACGCCAAGAGTGTTTCAAAGTCACATTCTGGTTGAAACGACACGTTCAGTAGGGCCAAGGTGTCCAGATTGACATCGGACGGCTTCTTTAATCCGAGGAAATGGGCAGCAACACCAGGGCCCGAATCACGAGTCCAGGATTGGGGTGGTGCCTGCAGCGACGGCTCAGGTGGATTTAGAATTGGAAAGGTCACGGGTATCGGCCGCGCTGGCGGTGACCTCTCTTTCTCATTGTCGTGTTGACCTGCAAGAAGGCCGCCTAGAGGGGTGAAGCACAATCAGCGATGCTACTGTGGCCCCCACAGCGCACAAAGCGAAACGTGTTTTGCCAACCCATCGTACGAAACGCGCGGATCAAGAAAAACGGAGGATTGGCAAGGGAGCCGTATCGTGATGGCGGGACGGAACAGGAGGGCTTGGAGAGATGGGGAGAAGAGGCTGGCGGCTAACCATGCTAGGTCGTGGCTTCCGTAGGTGGGGACGGGCATGCCGCGGCGCATAGCAAGCGCTGAGGACACTTGGGGAGAATCAACGTACCGCTGAATTGGAACATGATGGTGGGATGCGGGCAATGGTAGATTGTCCGTCAATTGGCCAGCGGTGGGAACAGAGGTGTAGGGAAACGAACATCAGGAGGCATGCGACGTCCGTTCGCTTCTATCCCCAAATGGCAGCCGCTCGAGCGTCTCCGCTGTGGAGACTGTGCTTGCTCGGAGCCACCACTCGTCACGGCGCAGAATATAACAGATCTGTTCAAGCGGAGGTTTAGCCTGTAACTGCATGTAACAGTGGGGACGGAGGCGTCCTTGTTTGCGAGCGTTTAAGTACAGTATACTGTCCGGAGCAAGTCCAGAGGAGCCCCACGATGGAGTCAATCTCCCGCTGCATCACATCCCTGGGACTCAACTGTAGAGCCACTGCCCATCACAAGGTGCTTCTCGAGAGCATCCGTACATGCATGCATAGGGTTTTGGGCGTTGACAGTGAAACGCGAGCAGATCACGTGCCTTGCCGTCGGCCTCGGATCCTCCGCACTTCCTCAACACCATCACCACAAGCGCGTGTCCGCGTCGCGCGATGCACGCGATGTCTGCTAGCACGTTCCCCCGCTCTCCTGTGCCTGACCGGATGAGACAGCCATGTCGCTGTCTTTTGACTGTCGAAGCCTCCCGCGCTTCAAATGTGTGAGAATCGTGACCAAAAGCGGCACCTGAAACGGCAACGGCTTCAGAGCATCCCAAGCGCTCCACCTCATGCCAACGGTTGGCAGCCATCCCGACCGCCTTCCCGGCCACTACTGGCATCTGTCTCTGTGTCTCGGTTCTCTAGCATCAACTCGCAGAAACCTCAATTTCCCACGTTTAACATGCTCGAAGCGCCAGCGGCGCTTTGATCCTTTCCTTTCGTCTCTTCTCTCGAACCCCTAGTGGCGCTTCTTGTTCTATGAAGGTGTTTTCTGCATGGCCACTCCAGCAGACACTATAACCACGGTGAGCGGGCGGCGATGTACGCGTTCGCAAGCCCGGACAGCCACATCGACCATTACCTCGACGACTACTTCCAGTATATCGACTTCGACGAGTACCCAGGATGCACAAACGGTTCAAAGCAGCTCGATAGTTGCAGCGCCTCCACCTCCACCATCGTCTACCTCCACCGAAACGACGCAGCAGGTCGCATCGTCTGAAGCAGTGTCTACGGCGATAGGTACGAGTAGCGCGGTTTCCTCTTCAGCAGCAGCGCCATCGTCGCTTCTCGCGAATGTCTCGCCACAGGTACCGGCGGCTGCAGTTCCAGCGCCTGCGCCTGAAGTCGTTGAGACACCGTCGGTTGAGTCCGTTGTCGACCCTACACCTACACCTACACCAACACCATCAGCAACCCCAGCACCGGCAACCTCTGACTCGAGTCTTGCAGCTGTACCACCGACAAGTTCGATTTTGGCAGACGTGCCTGCCGCGTCGTCTACAGTGCCTGAGGCATCATCACCGCTGATTTCATCCTCTGCACCTGCACAGTCTGTATTGCCCGCAGACCCCGCGCCCGATACGCAGCCCGTACTATCGCAGCCCACCGACACAGGCATCCCAACAGGTGGATCTGCGGGCGCTATATCGCCCGACCCTGGCACGCCAGATGAAGGCAGCTCGCTGACACTTCCCTTGAATGGTTCAACGAACGTTGCCCCTATTGTGGGAGGTGTAATAGGTGGCTTTGTGGGTCTTGCTCTTGTCAGTGCGCTACTGTTCTTGTGCTTGAGGAGACAGAAGAATGGTACCTTTGAAAAGTGGCAACAACGTCTAAGTGAGAAGAATCAAAGGGAAGACGGAGGGTTTCTCGTGAAGCTACGCGCAGTTCCTGAGAAGATTAAAGGCATCCCAGCAGGAGTTGGAGTTTTTTTCGCGAGACTGAAAGGTGACAAGTCTGGTCCAGCATCCAACCCATACCGCAAACACACCCGCAACGCCAGTTCGGTCTATTCAGAGGGAACGAATCGACGGAGTCAATCAATCAGCGAGCCACCCTCATCATTTCGGCAAAAACTTCGCGGGTTCGGCGGCCGAGTGCCGACGCTCAAGAGGTCACGAACACTGCTCCAGAAGAAGCAAGACAGCCTTGTTGTCGGCCAGAACTCTCCTTTCCCAAACATTGTCGAGGATCCAGTCATTCGCAACAGCAATGCTGACGGAAACCCTTTTGCCGATCCCTTAGATCCGCCGAAGAACCTCCAGTTGCTGAACCCCGATCCATCATCTCCTCAACCTCAGCAAAGTGGTCCTCTTGCGCCGAAGCCCGCCGCCACCTCGGATCGAAATCCACGCGATCCTTTCGCCTCCATTCTTGACGAGATAGACGCCCAAAATGGTAGCGGTACGCCGGAGTGGCTTCGTGAGACCGCCCAACAGCACAAGCGGACGGCAAGCTCTCAGACTGCGCTGCGCTCGAACCCAGTATCGAAAAACCGTTCGTCTGTCTACCCCGATCGTCACTCAAATCCCTTCTTCGACCCCTCAGACCCGCCACCACTGCCTCCGACACAACCACTGCCGCCCACTCCGTCACGTCCAGCCAATGCATACGCACCGCTTCCTCAGTTCAACGCGACATCAAGCACAGTCTCTCGCATTTCGAAGGACTCATTCTTCTTCGGTGAGCCTGGGCCTTCAAGACCAGCGACGAACGTGTTCGGCAGGGGAGTACGGCAATCTGATCCATTCGATCTAGACCGGCCCGAAGTACTCGGGTTCGGTGTTGTCGGTGGCCGCACGGTGAGAGGCAGCGTGACGAGGCAGAACTCTCGCAAGAGAAGTAGTACCGTGCCGAACTGGATCAACGTCAATGACGGACCGTATGAACCGGGCAGCACGTCCCTACGAATTCCGAGCATCAAAAGAAAACCATAGCGAAAGGTGCAGCACCTTGTAGCGATGAGAGATGTAATGAGGTGTATTATGGCGTTTTATGTCTAATTTTTGAGTTGCCTGGAGATGATGGTGGCACCGTCCGCAACAAACAACCAAAACAGGTTACAGAGCAGCGCAACAGCTCTTTCCTGTATTCGTTTCCTTACTTCTATATTTACGATTGGAATACCTTACCTTCCTTATTCGGTACTGCATGTAGCATAGCTCGCGTCTTTTGGCTTTTAGAATACCCCCGAACCGGCCTCCTGACGCTCGTTACATGAACATTACTACTACTTTGCGCATCGTTCGCATCTAACTTCGAAACACATGAATACCTCGCTCGTATTGCTGCTTCACCATCACCAACTCGTCACTTGTGTCACCTCGTCTTGCTGCAATGTCATCGTTACACATGTGCCTGAGCCGTGACCCACACACACCACGTGCTGTCTGCAGGGTGCCAAGCCAGCTTGCGCACAGATACAGCTTTGAAACGTGAGTTTTCTCAAGCTGCATCCTTGCTTGAACGAGAGACGTGTGCCAAGACGAGAGCTTTGTGAAGAGCACCGAAAATGTAGAATGAATGGTCTGATCTTTGCGTAAGTGGGCGCACAGTAGGAGTGTTTGGTATCAAGAGACTGAACATGGGAATTGCATGCAGAGGCGACGGGATTTGTGATTACCGATGGCCATGCAGACCTACCTCCACATTCTTGGATAGTGGCAGGTGTCTCAAGATCCCTGTATGGCGCAAGACTGTTGTCTATCTGCGGTCATCATTCGGACATTCGATCAAGCACAAGACTGTGCCTCTGCATCCTCAGTCTATAAGAAGTCGGCACCACTGTTGATTTTCTCAGCAGTATTGTCAAACTCAAGGATTGATACCGCGTGCCTTGAGTGTTGGCGTTGTAAGTCTGTAGGTGGCTTCGTGGTTATGACCCTCAGATACCTGGACGCGTGCGGATCGCTCTGCTCGTTAGCGATACTATCCATCACTTGCGCGATAGACCTCATCATCTCATCTCATTGTAACAAGAATTCTGAATATCCGAACAGCACTAGAAGACAACATGTACACCTTCTCGTCCCTCTATCCAATCCACCTCTCCTCAACCCACTGCATAACCTCCCTGACCCACTCCTCTCCCTCACTTGCATCCATATCAAACCCGTGATCCTCACCTTCCCTCTCTACCAACTTTACCTCCGCGCCTTTCTCTCCCATCACCTCTCCAACCTTCTTCACAAAAGCACGCGAATCGTCAATGCTGACTGCGGTGTCTTTGTCGCCGTGGATGATGATGGTAGGTGGTATGTAGTCGGGGGTAGAGGGAGGGTTCAGAAGGGAAATGGGCCAGAGATGGGATCCGGTACCGAAGAAGTGGTTATAACGGCAGTAGGCGGAGAGGGCGTAGGAGAGGCGGTTGCGCGGGCGAGGTGGGGCGGCGGAGATCATTGCGCCTGGTGTTAGGTTTCTCAAATGCTCCTATACTAGATCGTAAGCTCGAGGGCCGCTGGCAGGATGGCTAATACAGGTTCGGAGTGAGAAGCGCTTTACATCAATGATGGACTCTGGCGGCGACGGTTCACCCATGAATTCGGGCTGTTGTTTCCGCCGCAGGTAGTTCGTCATGGGGTAACATCCCAGTATGGCGCGGATGGTGCCTTTGGGTTGCGTGAGGCCGGATTGGATGGCGAGGTAGCCGCCTGCTGAGTCACCGCCTACGAGGACGCGTTTGTAGTCTATTTCGATGGATGTGTTCGAAGTGTTCTGTGTATAGAGGCATTTGGTCACACCGCCGCTCTTGAACCTGACAAATATTTCAGTAGCAATATAGAGGTGCGGAATTGGTAGAAAGAGAATACCATGACCAAAAATCAGCGAGGTCTTCCTGGATATCGTTGCCGTTGTGCTCCGGGAGGAGACGGTAGTTTGGGGACACAACGATGGCATTCTTGTAGTGGACGATGGGGATGAGCCAGGCGGCGAACCAATTGGGGTATTCCCATGTTCCGGTTACCTAGTCCAGCGTCAGTGTTGATGGCCATTGAACGTTGGGTAGGCGGTATATTTACGCATCCTCCGCCATGAAATTTCACAAAGACAGGATGTAGTCCAGGTTTGAGGTCTCTGGGTATCAGTATGCCCACTTCTATCTCATGGTCCGCAATCTTTTTATAGTGAGTGCGGTAGATGTCGAAACTGTCGAATCGTTGTGGACCGGGGATGGCGCTCGTTCCATCCATCCTTATTCGTTTTCAAGAGTCTATATTGTGTACACCAACATGAAAGGTGCACTAAATATGAGAGAGACGCTTTGAGGTGTTCACCGTTTGATTATTGCGTTTCAAACAACGTTTGAACGAACGATAGCACGCCATAGCAGTGGTCGGGTCCTAAATAGTTCATCATTGTCGCCCAAAGCTAGGCCCTATCGGTGAAATAGTAAGGCGCATTCAAATTTTCATATTTTGCTTCAGCTTCATTCTCAACATATTCCCGTCCTGGCCCGTGAAGCAAGTCATGATACCAATCAATCGGAGTCTTCCCGAACCAGTCCTTCGGAATCTATCACATCCCTCCCCAACACTTGGACTAGACTCACGGAGACTTCTCACCGTTCGCATATTACCCTGGTTTTGTGGAGGCGACATGTGCGGGTGGCTTGAAGGATGTATGCTACACCACGCCAAGAATGTAGATCAATGCAACCCTGCATGGCGAAGTGGCGATATTGCAAGGTACCATAAGCACTGTGCTGAAATTGAAGGAAGCCGATATCGCATTGATGGCCAGAATGTTCCGGGAATTGGTGGAATATTTGATGATGTGGTCGCCTCACTGTTGTCTGAAACGTCCAGGGCAATAGTCGGTAGTGAAAATAGTCGAGACAGCGAAATCATGAACCTCGGCACCAGAACAGAGTTCTCCGGATTGTAGTCGACCATAAATTTTTCACAGCCGAATGCTTTCTGTTGTTCCTTTGCCGTAGATAACGCTTGTAGAGGTAAGCAGAATGCTTGTTGAGAGTAATGAAGTGTCTGGAACCAGTCATCGTATGACTTGTCGCAACGGACCCGACCTTACCCAGACTCAGCTTCAGTGATTACTCCTCCAGCTTCTACATAGAGGCCAGTATTTTCTGGTCCCACTTCTCCCATGTCCCCTCCGGGGTCCTGCCCCTGATGGGCAGCTGCCGCCTTAATATGTACCAAACCCGAGAACGCGTGTGATGGCCTCCTTGATGCCTTTCAAAAACGTAACGCCAGTGCAAATTTCCGCCACTGATACGGTATATTGCAGCTCCTTTGATTGTCTCAGCGTTCAATCATTAAGTGGTCGCTTCTCGACAAGCTTAAATAGTTTGGAGATTGTCCGGGGGAAAATAGCAGCGAGCGCGTCGATAACATCAGCGGCACCAAACTATTTGGCCTAGCTGCGCACCGAAACTACTGTATACGCGGAATTTTTTAAGGTCGACCTTGGGGTGGGTTCAGTCTTAGGCGTGGATTGAGTCGTTCCCGTGACACATCTCGCAACCAACAATGTTAGGGTATCCGGGAGAGCGCGGTACGTGTCTGATAGTTACACAAGGGTAGTTGCAGCTATCAGTGTTAGTTGGTTTCGAAAGAACTTTTTCAAGGCCCACATCAAGATAGGAAGTGGTAAATCATCCGCAACAAGCATATATCTCTTTGCAAGGTTCTTCTGGTTGGCTTCTGCGCCAGAACATCTTAGTGCAAGCACCAATACCCACTGTGCACCTTCCTTCTTGAGAACCTCTATTCCCTCGAGCTCTTCTTCTAACTGATGTACCAAAACACCGGTCGTGATAGATTAGTCTGAAAATTGGGCACCAGTGAATATTTGACGCCTGAAATCGTACTGAAGCGTTCCTGGCGCGACAGGCGAACAGCTCCGCCATTGGAGCCGAGCAACACCAGGCTGAGCACGCCATTATATCTGACATGCACGTTGGCCTCGATCTCTGATTGAACATCGAGTCCAGCTTGCAGCGACTTCGACTCAGAGGCAGGCTTGGATAACGTTGGGACGGAGACGAGTACGCCTGTGGGAAGAGATGAGGTCACGGTGCCGAATAGTGGCTCTATAGAAAGTGTGTTCGACCTTTAATTAGTCTGAAGCTACACATTGGCAGATTTTGCTCACAGCATATGTGCAGATATCCGTTCAACCCATATGCACTAAGATGGTAATACACTCCGGGTGCAATTCGACCGTGGGAAATTGTCCTAAGTGGGCACGCGGGGGTCCTGGTGTCTGAGTTACCCCGCCGGGTATTTATGCCCGCAACATTCGACGCCGGGTTACCCCTCCATGGCTGAGGAATGCGCTTCTACCCGCCCAGTACAAATCTGACTCAGAAACAGAAAAGTCTGTGGTAGGTACTATGCCTGTATCATCGAACATACACTCTAGCGATTGATGTTTCGTTTTGATACTATTCTCAAGGGTAGCACCAGCAGACTGGACCGAACGCACTTACACTAGGTTTACCATTCATTTGACCACTGATCAAGGTCTATCAAAGACTTCCCAATTGGTCCAATTCACCCTGCTACACAAGGATATAAGTATAATGGGCAAAATCGCAAAGATCGAATACTTCCGCGTCCCGCCGCGATGGCTCTTCGTAAAGATCACCGACGAAGAAGGCAACTTCGGCTGGGGCGAGGCTTCCCTCGAAGGCCATACACAAGCAGTGGAAGGATGTCTTGATTCCTGGATAGAACGATACATAGGCTTCGAAGCTGAGTACGTCCACCGGGTACAGTTCTCAATGCTCCTAGCCATGATTTGCTGATGTTTTCTCAGTGACATCGAGCACATTTGGCAGATGTCATGGCGGACCAGCTTCTACAGAGGCGGACCCGTCTTCATGAGTGCCCTAGCCGGCCTGGACATCGCCCTCTGGGATCTCAAAGCCCGTAAACTCAATGTACCCATCTATCAACTTCTTGGCGGTAAAGTACGCTCTAAGCTCAAGGTCTATGCCTGGATAGGTGGCGACAGACCCTCCGATGTAGAAACGCAAGCGTAAGTTTCCTAAAAAGAAATCCTTGTAAGAATCTAACTGATCCCTCGGTGGGTAGCCTTGCTCGTAAAGCGCAAGGCTTTAGAGCAGTGAAGATGAACGCCACCGAAGACATTGGATGGCTCGATGCACCTTCAGCTTTAGATTCTAGCGTAGAAAGACTGAAGGCTGTGAAGAATCTTGGCATGGATGCAGGGATGGACTTTCATGGTCGAGTCCACAAGCCCATGGCAAAACAATTAGCCGCAGCTCTCGAACCGCATCGCCCGCTTTTCATTGAAGAGCCGCTACTTTCCGAACATATCGGCGGCATCCAGGCGCTCTCCAGCCATACGAGCATCCCAATCGCCCTCGGCGAGCGCTTGCACTCGCGCTGGGATGTTCGTCCCTTTCTTGAAGGGCACTGCGTTGATATTCTGCAGCCCGATATCAGTCACGTAGGAGGCATTTCCGAACTTAAGCGTATAGCAGCCATGTGCGAGGCATACGATGTGGCACTCGCACCACACTGCCCGCTAGGACCTATTGCTCTTGCTGCAAATATTCAGGTTGATGCTAGCGTAGCCAATTTCGTGATACAAGAGATGAGTCTGGGAATACATTACAACGCCGGGAGCCAGGACTTGACGAGCTATATCAAGAATCCAGAGGTGTGGAAGGTTGATGATGGATATATTGAGTTAATGACAGGCCCCGGACTGGGCATTGATGTTGACGAGGAGTGGATTAGGAGCGAGAGCAAGGATGCGAAGGCGTGGTACTCACCAGGGTTCATTGGGCCGGGTGGCGAGATACGCGAGTGGTAAATGGATCTTTTAAGCATCCATCTAGCAGCCACAAGTGTGAACATGTTTCTGGGATGGATAGACCCGATCGCGACGAGCAACACGCCCACTGCTAGCAAAATTCGGGATGCGAACAACTTGTGAGTTACGAAGGCCATTGCGGACTCAAACGATCTGCTTCAGGTTGCACTCTCCAGATCTCCTGGGTGTAGGTCGATTGAAGGTGTGAGGTTCTGGTTTCTATATTCCAATATATCACACGTGAAAAAGCTAGGATTGGTGAGTGCCCCCGCATCAAAAAAGCCAACAGATTTCACTACCTTCTGTAAGACCCTCGATTTTGTTGAAGACAAGGCCGCAATTTTCGGACCTCTATCTCCCAATAATCAGCTAATCATCAAGGAAGCTCAATTTTTCTAATTACCATAGGCGGTTATATCCTAGGGAAGCACGGAAGGTGGACAGCACACACTAACTGGCATTCGTGATGACTGGTTCGCTTCCAGCAAGCCAATCTCCCCTAGCCGCAAGCTTTGCAACACGAAATTGTTGGGCTGCAACTTCGGCTCCCATTTAATGTATGTGGAATATATACTCTATAATTTTCAAATTTTCCATCAATCATGTGACGGGCTTGTGGTCTAGTGGTATGATTTTCCCTTAGCATAGCGATTGCATCTTCTGCATATTGTCTATCGACGATGGGAGAGGTCCGGGGTTCAATTCCCCGCGAGTCCAGTGTGTTTTTGCGGTGTTTTGAGGTATAGGAAATGGTTGTACTCTGCTCTTTTTGTTCGCTGCGCGTCGCAGGTTTGCTGACCACAGCACTGACAGCCCCATGTCGTCACAGAGCTTTATCAACATACCAGAAATATTGCGGCTCCTCTACCATTGCATCCCATCTAAAGATAAGGACCGAAGAGCGTAACGACAAGAGCGTATAACAGAGACTGGACCCGCTATCGAGACGAACTACCTTGACAGCCTAGATCATTTTGTAGGCGTCTTTTGCGTTAAGCTCCACCGCAGTGAGGTTGGGGGGAGGCAATCTATTGTCACAAGTGTTGGCTCGCGGTTCAGCGAACTGATATAACTAGACATACGAAGCCCCCATCAAAATCGAAGAATGCAAAGGGGTGCGGGGAAACAGCAGCTGGAAACAGCTATAGCATTAAGGGACAATCTGCCCTAGGGTAACTCAGTCTATAATGAGCGCCTAGATTTATGAAACAATACGGCATCGTCGGTAAACAGACGTGTAGAGTGCTTAGAAGCTCCTCGACGCAGACCCACAGGTATTGTAGCAATTTTCACACGTTATTAGACTCCATACTTACACTGATCGTCCCAGCACTCGGAACATGCGATCTCCTTGATATTGATCATGGTGATAACAAGGAATGGAGTGAAGAAGACCAAGGGGGAATATGATGACTGGGACACGGACGAAGTATGGGAGGATTTTGAGGCTGAGTTGGCGATAGGAACAGGGCTGGACACTGAATACAGTGACGCAGAGGACACTTTATCCGATGTTGAGGGTGAAGAGGATTAGGCATATCTGAATTTCATGGATATCGAGTTGGCAAATACAACAAATCGAGATTAATCAAAGCCACAGGGCTCACTCATGGGCTAACATGTATATATCGCGCTTCTCCTTCGTCCGAAAGAACACCCCACACCTTGCACATTCCCAAATGCTATTAGCAAGTAGCAGGTGAGTATAGCAGCATCGATAGTGGGAAGTAGTGGGAGGGAGACTTTTCGACGATGTCTACAATGCGCAGGTCAGTCGACAGGCAGAGCTGAAGACTGCAGTAAGTTACTTCGGGTAAGAGTTCAGTATTCGAGTTTCTATATATGCGAGTCCATCACGACCATGCTATGTCATAGTATTCCATCTCTTCATTGTTATCTCTTCATTGTTACCTTGTTATACTGTATGGCTCATGTCATCACATTGCCCGTCATCCAATCATCTCAACATCTAGAAAGTGCCCACAACCCTCTTGACCATTCTCCTCGGCCCCTCGCCCGACAACTGCACACTTCCCTCCAATTCAGCAGCCTTCAAGACCTCTAAGAACTCCTGGTTCTCGATCTGCTCTGTCGCTCCATCTCTCACCTTCTTCGCCAAGTCGCTCAGCCTCACGTTCTGGCCTGCGCTGCCGAGTTCATCAATAGAGCCAAGTACTGCGCGCTTGAGATCCTCCTTCCTTCTCCGATCGCTGGTCGATGTGCCTTCAGTGAGGAGAGACATGTCGATTAATCCGGTGCGGGCATCAGTAGCGGCTTGCTTGAGCGCAGACTTGATGAGGCGAACCGCCTCGTTGACGTCGTCCGCGGTCACTTCCTCGCTGAGGCGCATCTTAGCGTGTGCCTCGGCGAGACGGATCATCGACTCAAGTTGACGTGTAGTTGCGGTGATACGGCGTTCTTGGGAGCGTACGTCCGCGCCGAGGGCGCGCATGGCGACGTAGGCGTCGACTAGGTTTTTTTGAGCGCCGTCGGTAATCTTGGGGTGAATGTTTGTGCGAGCGTAGGAGATGTATGCCGTAAGGAACTCGACTGGGAGCACCTCGTTTCTATTTGCGTGCTCAGGTGTGTCTTCCAGGTACATACCTACCAGATGTTTTGCTAGCCTCCGGTCGGTCATTTCGTCGATGCGGTCGAGCACAAGGTACACCAAATCGAAACGCGAGAGCAGCGTGGGCGGGAGGTCGATGTTCTGTGGGACTGGTAGGTTGACGTTGTACTTTGAGCCAATAGGATTGGCTGAAGCTAGAATGGAAGTTCGTGCATTCAGGGTCGTGATGATACCAGCTTTCGCGATAGAGACTGTCTGCTGCTCCATCACTTCATGAAGTACGGATCGCGTAGAGTCCGACATCTTATCGAACTCGTCAATGCAGCAGACGCCACCGTCCGATAAAACCAGCGCACCGGATTCTAAAACGAGTTGTCGTGTCTCAGGGTCGCGGGTAATGTACGCGGTCAGACCGACAGCAGATGAACCTTTACCGGACGTGTAGACACCGCGAGGGGCAATGCGATGCACATACTGAAGAATTTGTGATTTGGCTGTTGAGGGATCACCGCACAGGAGCACGTTGATGTCACCTCTGTACTTGGGGCTTCCTCCCTTGTCGAACGATTTGTTGGTGCCACCGAAGAGCTGGAGCAGGATTCCCTTTTTGACGTCGTCCATCTCGTAGATGCTAGGCGCTAGCGAACGTGAAAGAAGCTCGTAAATATCTGGCCGCGCTGCAGTCGCTCTGATCTTGGCTTCTTCCTCCTCAGACACCTTGCGACTTTCTTCCGCGCTTCCAGCAACGTGTTCGGCAAGCTCTTCTTCGATCGTGGAGACATCGATACCCATGCGCCTCTTGTCGACTTTTTGAATGTGCAACACGTCTACGTAGGTCTTGAAGATGTTCTTGACAGATCGCTGGCGTGGATTGATGCGAACTTGATCGCTCTTGAATACACCGGTGATCTCAACACGATCACCAGCCTTGCAAACATCGACAAGCTCATCGTACACGCATAGAGAGACTGAATGTGGCGTTTGGCCATCTGGCACACTGTCCGGAGTTTCCTGAAGCTTGATTACTTGCTTGTCTGCGAAACCTGAGCGGTTGTGAACAATCTGCATCGAGTTGGATGACTCGCATACTGGACGGGGGCACCGAGTCGGTTCGGTGATCTTGCCACGGTCAATGTCTACCCTCACCGTATGGTTACAGACGGAGCATTTGAAGAACGCTACAAGATGTCAGTGGCTTCTCGGTCTATGCGTTGATCATCGGCTCACCATCCTTCATATCTGGGATAATCGGTGTAGCTCTGATTACCAGACCCTTGACGCTCACAAGCTTGTCCATGTCTCCTGGATTTAGGTCTCGCAGGTTGACGGACTTGTCCAGGCCGAACGGACGAACACGGTATGTCTTCTGATCGACTTCCCGTACAAGGTCCGGAATATCCAGTGCCGCAGCTGCAGGTGAGGGCGCGCCTGGTGTTGGAGCATCCGAGCTGAGCATGGGCGGAAGGGAACTGGAATTATGACCTCGGTCCGGGCCTCGTTGAGCCTGAGACAATTGCACCCGTAGCTCTGCCATACGTCTCTCTGCGAGTTCGATCATGGCATCCTTGATAGCCGTATCCATGATGGGAATGATTTCGCTCGGGAAAGCTTGAAGTTGGTGCCATAGCTTCCTGGTAGGAGGGTAGGCTTTTAAATTGCGCGCGTCCAAGTTCAGAGGGGTCACACCCATTTCCAGCATAGCCTTCATCATTTCGATGTACTCCCTGGCCATCGCTGGGTCGTCGGCAGGCAAGCTGGCACCTTCCGCGAGCTCTCCGTCATGGATCAAGCGATATTTCCTCTGAAAGTTGAACAGGAAATCCTTCATTGCACTCAAGGCATCCGCAATGGAGATGTTAGTACCCCAAATGAATCGCGATGAGTTCCCACCTAAAACATCTGCATCCGAGGTATCAGGGTTCAGGTTCGAGAAAGTCGGTGCATCGGAATTTTCCACAGCCATGCCATTCTCATCGACAAACAGCCTGCGGCGCCTGCCGGTGGAACTGGGCCCGAGAATGTCAGAATGGATATCGCTGCGCCGGTTTCGTGCTGCTGTACTGCCAGGATCGCGGACGAAGAGGGCGCTGCTGCTGCTACGGATGTCTGTGTTGTGGGCATGGCGAGCACGGCCAGGGCTGGAGCTGGAGGCGTATCGGATGGGAGAGGAGTCTAAAATCGTCAATAGTCTGCTAGAGAGAGATACCAGGGAACTTACCTCCGATTGTTACTCCGCTCGCTTTGGGCGTAGCACCACCATCGCTCTCTGGGGCATTGTTCGGAGCCCCTGAGGTCGACTGCGTTCCGGGAGAGGAGCGAAAGAAGAGCGGTGATTGCGTCGAGGGCGCCTGGAGACGGCTCGCCCTAGGTGTTGCGTTGGATCCACGCTGCGAGGCTTGTGATGCCTCAGAGTGCAGCTGAGCATCGGGCCCCTCAGGCGCCGGGCTAGAAGGGATCTGGGAATTTCTGGTGCTCCTCCGCGGGGTGGCAGAAGGGCGCTGCGAGCGACGCTGCGCCGGAGAGGACATTCGAGCAAGAGGATATCAATCGTAGCAATCCGGAGAGAACAACGATGAGGGGTGGAGCTGACAAAGTGGGATAGCAGAAAGGGACGCGTAAAGTGTTTCGCGACGTGGACGCGCCTTCCAATTACACTAATGGGGCATAGCGTGCGTACAGGGTTATCGATAGTGGAGGTTCGCGGGGGCATGATGCCTTTTCACGGGCCATAAACACGGACGAAAGACCCAAGGCAGCAACTAAATATAAATCAAGGCCTCGAGTTGAAAGATCTACCGGCTCATTCACATCACGTCTGGTCGACTTCAACATGCCTCCACCATCGAAGCTCGCCGTTGCGACGTCCTCCCTGGCCCGCTTGGTCAAGGAGGAAGCTAGCTACTACAAGGAGATGGAGCAGCAAGAAGCCCGCATCAAGAAGCTCGAGGCTGGCAGCGACGAAGACAACGCAGAGTACCTGCTCAAGCAAGAGGTGCTTTTCTCTTTGCTAGCCAGACGCGGAATATATCTAATTATCATCTAGAAACAAGGCCTTGAGGAGACCAAGAACGTGATACCGAACGTGCGCTCTAAAATTAGAGACGCGCTCGAGAAGCTGGAAGAACAGCTTGTAAGTAATACTCAAGTTCATGGTCGTACATTCATTGACCAATTCTAGGAAAGCAACAAGGAGGCAGGAGGCGAGGCTTCAACAGAGCAGGTCACGAAGGCGAAAGAGGCGATCGAGAAGGCAAAGGTGGCTCTTCGCGAGTCTGCATGAGGGCTTGCACAAGGCGCAGTAGGAATGTAGATGTTATGCCTTGTATGTACAAGTGACATGAAAACGTAGATATGACCTGGACACCGCGCTATGCAAACAAACAGGGTATCATAAGAAATTGAGGGCTGCTGTCACCGATGCGGCTGCTCTGCCTTTATGATTCGTCCATCTCACGCCCTGAAGCCTCTTCATGCTCAGATCTCTCGTGTTCACCTTCCTCCACGTCTTCGCCCTCCTCAATCTCGGAATCCTCGGCCGGATTGCGACCTGTATTGTCGCCTGACTCGCCCATCTCAGTGTCCTCTCCAGTGCCCGAGGGTACAGGTGATGTAGCGACATTGAGAGCTGAGAGTCGATCTTGTGGCGGAACTTTGAGAGTGTTCGAAGATTCGCCGGTCTGGCTGACATGCACTGGCGTAAGACCACCGTCAGGTCTAGGGGTTCCCGCATGGCTGATGTCGGCTCTCGTGCTGGCATCTTTCTCGTCCCCTTCGTCATCGCGCATTCCCTCCTTGCGTTCCGCCTCTTCCTTCTCATCCTTGATCATTTGCATCAAGTTCATTGCCTCGGTTTCAATGCGGTTGAATTGTGTACGGCGCTCGCTCCAGGTTGTCTTCGCGTTTTGTACCTCCTGCTCTAACTCGGCAATTTCCTGATCCAATTTTTCATGCGCAATGGCTTGTTCATCCCGCGGTTTCAACATTTTGTTGTTGGTGATCTTCTCCGTCAGCTCGTCGTAAGTCTTGCGGACGGCCAACGTCTCCTTCGCTTGCTGTAAGTCCACATGTAGCTTCTCGATGTTTTTTCGAACATGGTCCTGCTTGTCTGTGATGGCTACTTTGTCTTTGGCGTAACGCTCCCGTTCCTCGTTGTTGATGCCGGTAGTGAGCTCGAAGCGTAGCGTTGCAAAATCGAGGAGTTCCAGCTCGTTCATCAGCTCTTTTCTCCAGGCTTCGATTCTGTCGGCCTCCTCTTTCCGGATAGCATCGCGCGCTGCAGCTTCCTCGTCTGCGGCCGAGGCATCGGGGGGCGGCGTAGGTAATTGCCTGGGTCGCGCATCTGAAAGGATAAAATCGTTAGGTTTGCCTTGTTCCCTTGAGGTGATTATGCGATGGGCAACGCGAGCGTAAGGCCGTGATTCGACGTTGAAGAGACGGGAGACATTGTGGAGAGCATCTGGCAAGGTTAGTGGGGTTTTGATGTGTAGACGTCGAAGCTACCGACCTTCCTCGGCTTGAGGCAGCATAGGCCATAGGTTGGGCGCCATGTTGTAGGATCTGGGGAAGCTCACTCAACGGCCGTTGGTGGAGTTGAAGAATGACCTTTCGAGATGTCGGCGCGTTTGATCTACGCTAATGAGCGGACCCTTGCTTGTGACGCCCGTGCGCACGGATGTCAGATCGCTTATCGATGATGGTGCGCGGCCTCCATTGTTCATTCAACTGCTCCGCTTTCCATACACATACCTCTTCGCAGCAACCGACATAGACGCTTCCAATACAGTACCCCGCGATTTTTGATCAAGTCACCAACTGTTGGCCAGAATTCACAATAGGGCCCTCGATCAGGCTCCAATAAGCAGCTCCGCCGTGCACGTTCACCACTGGGACCTGCGGTTCAGGCACCCTATCTAGGCAAACGGACACAGCCATCGCACTTAAACTCGCACCGTTTTCAACCTCACACTTCTACTTCCGAGCGTTCTAGCGACTACTTCGACAAAGAACTTTACACATTCAAACAAGATAACGACCCTAGACCGGCCATTGGTCGGCATACACCACCATGCCAGTCCCGAGTCTTGCCAACCTCGCCAAAACGCGGCTGGTGCAAAACATACACATGCTGGAAGATATAGGCGACATACCCTACGCATTCCTCGCTCCCGTCCTTCGCCAAATCCAAGTGCCAGAACAACTCGTTCAGCTCGAAGCAAACTGTCCGCACATACAAGGCGAAACGGGTGAGATATGGCTCCGTTTGATCAAGAGGGACATACCAGGCTGGGACAAGAAGCCACATCAGCCCCGGGACCCGAAGAACTGGTGCAAAGTCTACAAGAAGCTCAAGGCGGAGGCGGCAGCTGAAGAGGAGGCTCAGCAGGACGCGCTAAGGCAGAAGATGCAGGCGCTGCAGAAGGACCGAAATGGCCACCAAACTACCATCATAAACGCGAATTTGAATCTTCCTTCTGCACGGCGCTCAGGCTGGTCTTTTGGAGGAGGTCAGCGGTCGGGATGGGGGGATCCGGCTGCCCCGAAGAAGACGGGTAAAGCAGCGTTTGACAAATTGAAGAGGGGCATATACGATGCCAAACGAGCCCGACCGAAAGCATCCATGATGCCCCAACATATACTCAACGAGAGGAAAAGAACTGTTACGCAAGTGCCTGCTAGAATGGTGAGGATGGCGGAAGCAGAGGCGATGAGCGAAGGACCGAAGCGCATGCTCGTTCCCAAGGCAGCTTCAGCATCTGTAGCTGGAGGCAACGCTACGCGACGTCCCATCATCAGACAACAGCCGATGCCTCGTCTTAGCGACGCAGCTCCAGAACGTGCTGCTGAACGGCCTCGGTTACCAGCTGGGCAGCACTTCTCCGCCCCAAGACCTGCGCCAAAAACTCAGCCATCAGCATCCGGTGCGTCACTCAAGCGGTCGCGTTCAGGACCTAACATTCTGGTCGAACCGAAGCGGAGAAAGGTGTGAATGCGGATTGGTCGACGTATACGAGACATGAACAGACTTTAGAACACCGGCGTTATATTATCAGAATTGCATACCATCTGGGCATGGGTAAGGTTGCATTGGGTGGCGTTTGAACAACATTGAAAGTAGATAGGATCGGACATATACCATAGCATAAATTTATCGACATACGCTGCTGTCTAAGAGACTCCGAATTATATGAGCCGCTTGCAAGTCACACGCCGGTCAGACATCCATACCGGGAAGAAAGAGTTGAAAGAACAGCTCAAGTAATAAATTCGGTCCTTTTGCACGGAAGGAACTTGCCGCGAGGCACGTCATTTGTATAATATGAGGTTGGTCGTGGCTTGCATGGAGTCGGATGCACAGATCTGCAGGGGGTTGTAACACTCGCCCCCATGCCTCAGGAACGTCTCAGCATGACAACCACGACCAAAGTCAGCGCCGAATGCGACATCCTGCACCTCCAAGGCATGACACACACGCAGCTGCCGCGTTCCCACCGGAAAACCTAAGGCCGGTTCTCTTTACAGCCAATCGCAGCCTCAAAGCCTCCTGACTGTGGCTTCTATGCGTCCCCGCTGCTTCGAGGCTTACTGAAAAATGCTATGATCTATCACACTTGTGACGAATGATCTACCCTGTGGCGGCTCAAACGGCGATGCATATGATCTTCGGGAGCAACGTGGCCGTGGGTTGGCAGGGCGATGTACAGCGCATGGTCGTGCATGGAGATTTCTTAAGGATACGGCTTCAGCCTGAGTGTGATGCGTGTTACGATTGACCTCGCCGCCACAGTCGATCTTTCGTTTCGTTAGCGCTCTGGAAGCTTGCTGCCAGCTGGTCTGGATAAAGCTTTCTAATTACTTCTGTTTGTGCTGGAAGACAAGGAACTCGGTAATATGGGGTCCAAAGTCGTACTTAATCTCTTGAGGGTGTTGGTTGTGGTAATAGCGTTGGGTATTGTGGGCGTGGGAATTTGGAGTATGTTCATGATTGTGGGTGGCTGAGAGAGAGCATGACTGACAAAAACAACAGCCAAGTTCATCACCAACGACATTGAAGACCACGGCTTCGTCACATTGAACCGAGCCAACTTCGAATCGCAAGATGAAAACTCCACATGGCGTTCCTTCATGCAAACAGCAATCGACAATCAACTTCGAATCTGGATCGCCATTGCTGCCGTATGTCACCCTCACTGCCCAATACTCTCCAGAGCCAACTGACAAATCCACCAGGGCTCTTTTAGCACACTCGCCACCACGCTCGTCATCTTCTCTTTAAACATACAACGAATGCACCTCACCACCGCCTTCCTCCTCCCCCTCGAGCTCCTCTCATCCCTCAGCCTCGCCACCGCCTTCGGTTCCACGCTTTCTCTCACCCTGAGATTCCCGCCCACCCTTTCCGAGTCTCATTCTTCAGCCGGCCTCGCCTCTTTCGCCATACTCCTGCCCCTAAGTCGCGGGTACGCCATCGGCGCCGGCACAGGCATGTTCCTCGCTCTCACGACAACGATTTCTTTCTTAATTCAGACGATCCACCGGGTGAGGGATAGTAAGGCATGTAGTTTTGAGCCGACGGCAAGTGCGTTGGGCATGGGACATGGATATCAGCTGCCTACGATGGATGGGACGCAGAGCGGTGATGAGGAAAAGGGTTTGGCGGAGGCCGGAGCCGACATGGGGAGGAGGGAGAGTGTGCAAAGTGGGAATGGGAAGGCAAATGAGGATGTGGTGAGCTGGCCGTTGGCGGTGGCGAAGAAGATGGAGGCGGCGAACATACGGCCTCATCGACCGTGGTCTGAGATGCCGAAGTAGTGGCAAGTGCGGCGGAAAGAGTGGGAAGATATGAATGATGCACTATTGTTCCATAGTGGTGAGAAGTTTGCGCACTTAGAAGAACGACTGTAAGAGTATGTTGTGAGTACCCTTACGTCTATGGAAAGTATATAGATCGACAGTAGAGGAAGCCACATCTTGATAGCTTGACCAATCAAGTTGATAGAAGGTCAATCCAAGAAGCCGACCCATGGCGATTTTCGAAGAAAGCTTACAATATGAAGAAAATGTTTGCTGTGAGAAAGCGGATAAAATATAGCATACGAGCGAACCGCGACATCTTTCCGTAACCAGGATTGTGCAATATCATGTTTGCTTGGTTTACGCACAGCAAATCGAGCGTATGTATTAAAGCACATAGAACTTCGTAGGGTACACTGTTGTAGCAGCACAAGTAGAAGGGCTATATATGAAGCGTTCACTTTCTGTATCTACATCTACAGGTCAATTACTATTGATCCAATGCACAAGACTACTGTACACGCCCACAGCAATTTCTCATAGAAAAAGCGATTCTCATACAAGACCTTCTTTACACAATTGAAATATCCACAAAGCGATGCAACGTAGTAACATCGCCCACCGAGCTTTTCGGTGTAAACCAGTAAGCTTTAAAACAGAACCATCTCTTTCGTTGACATCGTTCACCCCTTTATACCCCCATTCAATCCACCAACCCCTAACCTAAACCCAAAGCTCACCGCTACAGCCGCAAAAAGCCCTAAGCAGAGCAGCGTCGGACCAACCTTATCGTGATACGTGACAGCTCTTCGTTTCTTAATCATGTTCACACGCCACAGGTACAAGCCAACCGAGTAGAGCAAGGCGCAGCACGCAATGATGGTGAAAGCCCACGCAGCCGCAAGCGCGAGGCCATCGCCGAAGTTGAGCAGCGTGGCAGCGATGGACCCGAGGAGGATGCTGAATTCAAGCCAGGAGAGGAAGGTGCGCTCGGTGGCGAGTTGGACTTTGGGTTCAACGCGGACGGGAACGTGGATGCCTGTTGACATTAGCATGGTTTAGTGATGTCAGGGGGTTGGGTTGACTTACGCTTTCCTTTGGGAGCTTTGAAGTGCTTGACTTCTCCGGGCTGTTTCCAGCTGGGCACACCGAGCTGGAAGCCACCGTCGCCAACGTCGGTCGCTCTAGGCCTTGGAATGATGGCGATCAGGCCGTTAAGCACCGTATTGCTGAACTCTTTCGCCTTTTGCTTGACCACCAAAGAGTGATACTGCCAACCGCCCTGTTGCCGAGCTTCATCCAGCTCGTCCTCATCGTCGCTATCAGAGTCGTATATTGGGTGATCACTATTGTAGATCTGCTGTGCAGAGATGCGCTCCTCCACATCCAGCGCGTTGGGGCCATCGCCGTTTCCAATTGTACCATAATCACGACGGCGGTCAAGATCGTTTTGTTCCTGGATATCGCGCGCCTCGCGAAGTCTTCTAAGGTCTTCATCATCGTGGTTGCCATCGTGTGCAGGCGGTAGGTCTGCGACTGCATCCTCATCATCGCTATCATCTTCCAGGTTACCACTAGTACTAATGTCGTTGCTGGCGCCAGGTCTTTCGATGCCGAACTTGTGGCTAACAGGTTTGCGAATGTCGACGTGCATCTGCGGTGCCCAGTATGGGACGAGCTTGATGCGCTCGGGCTGAAGGACAGAGGTTCCGTGAATGTACTTGGAGAACTTGGGCACGGCTTCGACAAGATGGGACGATGTTAGGTCGCGAATCCATGTTGGTGGGTCCTGGCCGGCCTGGGTCTGGAGCTTGACCTCGAGGACAGCATAAGGGAAGAGCTCAACATCTTCCTTCGGAAGTTGCTTGAATGGCCAGTCGACGCCAATGTCCATTCGGCGCCAGTTATCTCCAGAACGCTGGCGGCCATCTAAGTTGTCTTCGCGCGTCATGGCGAGCTCGGTGTCTAGCGATATGCGCACACGGGCATCGCCGGGAAGCTGGAAGGCAGTACGGTGGTAGAAGGAGCGGGTAACGGGCTCGAGTTTGCGGGTAAGAACACGATATTGGATCTCTCTCGCCAGCTGTTCATCTGACGCAATGTCCTTTTCAGGCCTCTTCTGTTCCTTGCGCTCCTTTTCGAAGATTTGTTCCGGGGTAAGCTCGCCACGAAGATAGGCATTAACGTTCTTCTCTTTGAGCTTGAAGCGGGCCTTGACCGACTCTTCGCCTGTCCAGTCCTCTCGGTGCGTCTTGCGCTCAATGAAGGCGGTCTCGGTAGACATGCCCCCATACCAACGTATGCGGATGGCTTCGGCACCTTCGGTCTTCTTGAGACGACCCTCATATAGCTCCCACGTATCTGTGTTGTCGAAGTAGATTGAAGAGATGGCAGTGTCGTCCTCACTCCACGCTTTGCTGGCATTGAAGACCAATACAGGCAGGTGCTTCAGGATGATGAGCTTAAGCTCAAGCACGTTGTCCGGGTGCACCCAGTACTTGGTCGTCTGGCGGACAAAGTTCTGCTGCTTGCCTCCAGCAGACGAATCGCCTTTTACCGGGTTGCCGCGCGTTCGCACGGTATCGTAGAGCTTGGAGAGGTTAACAACGTAAGCATCGTAGTTGTCCTGGTAAAAGGGTTTCTGCTTGAGACGGGTCGCGAAAACGGGCTTGAGCGCGAGGCCGGTGACTTTCTGTGGATTGTCAGTTCAGACTCTGCGAATTAAGTATGTTGATGACGCACATCGTGCTTCTTGATGATCTTCTGAAAGCCCGTATAGTTCAATTGGGTGAACTTGGCCAGATCGTGCACGTCGGCAATGATGTCGCTCAGGTCCTCCTCGAGCAGCTCGAAGTCCTCCTCGGACGGCGATTCCTCGCCCGGCGCAAGAGTATTGCTGTCGACCTTGCCCACGACATGATTGACTTCCTTCTCGGACGCGGCGATGCGGCGAATGATCTCTTCGGCCTTGACTTTCTGGAAGGTGTAGACCTTGTCCAGCTCGCCCTCCAATTGCTCTATGAAGCTCTGCTCCGTCTTGTGGTCCCAGGCGCGAGGTGAACGCAGCGTCGCTTTGAGACCCTCATAGTCGATGTAATTGAAGACCCAATCACGGTTCAGCGATTGCTTGAGCTGCTGGCCGAATCTGCATGCAACCGTCAGCCGAGTTACATCATACAGGCGCGAAGGTGCATGGGTGGGCCGGCTGTACGCACCTCATATTGGGCGGGAGCAGGGGCAATTGCGTGCCGAGGCGCCTTCGCAACGATTGAGAGGTTGGTAAGAATGAAGGAAGAGCTCTACAGAGAATCAACCAGGTGAAAAGATGTCTTGGACTAGAGAGCGAAACCCCCGCCCATGCATTTGCCTGGGTGCAGGCTCTGGAAAGTGAGGGCTGGTCGTGGCCCAAGCTCCGAAAGGTCCCACTCGCTGGTGGGCGGGCTCAATGCAGGACGGGCCGCAGTAGTGACGAACGAGAAGGGCCGAACGACCCACGTGTATGCTCTCTGCTCATGCAATCGATCAGTTCGCAGAGCTTGTGAATGCTTTTTTCTTGCACCAAGATCCGCAACGTGCAGCAATCCAGGGCCGCTGTGGTGTCGTCACTGCACTTGAAATTCGCAGTGGCTGCCGGCAGCCAATAGAGCGTCGCTTCCGCATTGGGCAACGGAGCACGTGGGTGTCCCTTGTCGACGGGTCAAACAATACTGTATGCCACGCAACGTCCTCCACAACGGATACTTCCGCGGACAAGCTTTTCATGGGAGAGCAAAGATCAATTGTATGTTTCGACTATAATGTTCTTTGTCCGGTCGTATTTCAAAGCAGAATCAGCCTCCTCCGCAGATCCGCAAGGCTGTCCGCACTTCCTCCGCAATCACGAATGCATCACCCTAATCATCCCATACGTGTACAGACTACGTCGCACAGAAACATACTCGAGGAAGTGCAGCTGCGAATCCCGTCATACTCCTCCGCAATGTCCTCCGCAACTCTTTGTAATGCATCCAAGCCGTAGAAACGCATATATACCGTCATGTCGATGCTCTATAGACTACCAAATAGACTGCGAACTCTCTCCTCCATTCAACACGACGCCTCACACGGGCCTTCTTCTCTTGTCACTTTCAATCTACTATGGCACCCGTAAAAGTCGGCTTCATCGGCCTCTCCTCCACCCAGTCCTGGGCCGTCTGGGCACACCTCCCCTACCTGAAAGCCTCCTCTAAGTACCAAATTGTTGCTCTCTGCAACTCTTCTGTCGATGCCGCAAAAGCAGCTATTGAGACTCATGGCCTCCCGTCTTCCACGAAAGCCTACGGCTCCCCTTCCGACCTAGCAGCCGACCCCGACGTCGAGCTAGTCGTCTGCTCCACCCGCGTAGACAAACATTATGACTGTCTTCTTCCCGCGCTGAAGGCCGGCAAAGACGTCTTTTGCGAATGGCCGCTCGCGATTAACGCCAAGCAGGCCGAGGACATGCTTGCTTTGGCGCGGGAGAAGGGCGTGAAGACGCTGGTGGGACTGCAGGCTGGCGTTAGTCCTGTGCTGCTGAAAATCAAGAGTCTGATTGAGGAGGGGAGGATTGGGAGGGTAGTGAGTAGTATGTTCCATGGGACGCCGAAGTTTTTTGGGGAGAGCGAGTGGGAGGGAAATGCGTATCAGCAGGAGAGGAGTGTTGGTGGGAACTTGGTCAGTATCTATGGGATGCATTGTAAGTTCACTGAATCATTGGTTGGGCATTGGCACTGACTTTTATCAGCACTTGAAGCTATTCAGGTAGTGCTAGGCCCGCTGAAGGATTATAACCCACTACTGGCAGTGCAGTTCCCGACTGTCCAACTTACTGACCACACTGGTACCCCAACCACGACTGTCCCCCGTACCTCCCACGACCACTTTTTCCTCAACGGCACGTTTGACTCCGGCGCCACGCTCTCGTATTCTCTTCGCGGCGGACCTGCTTTCGACGGTACATGCGGTGCCTTCTGGCGCATTTACGGTACCAAAGGCGCTATCCAGATTACGGGCCCAGACTCGTATCTCCAGATCGCTGACGACAACGTAAAGATCAAGTTGTTTGAGTACGGAAAGGAAGGGCTGAAGGAACTTGATGCTGAGAAGGACGAGTGGTCTGCCGAACAGTATTCGCTTTACTCCAGGAATATTGCGAGGTTGTACGAGGGATTCGCTCACGGAAAGGGTGTCACAGAAGGAGTACTGAACTGGGAAGATGCAGTGAAAAGACATATTACAGTTGAAGAGATATACAAGAAAGCAAACGTACAGTGATGAGAAGCATCTATTCTCATTGAGTACAATCGTTGTACCAACAAACCTCGGTCACTTAAATCTCTGATATCTCTCATTGAATATGCGCACATCTGCACGGTTGATCTCGCCTCCTATCATCAATATGTGCCAGTTAATTGTACACTTTCTAATATTACCCTTGCCGATGTACTAATAGGTTCTTTTCCCCACGATTGCCGATCTGGAAACCCGCGAGGTTGAAACACTAGCACAGCGTCTCGATGACGAGCCAGGTGCCGGATTTGATATGTTGGCTGTACTATTTCTCGGCAGGCGATATCTGCAGTGCCAAACACATTCCGGTCTCTGTGTAAACTTCAGTACATGTATCATTGACGAAGTGCATTTGTTGAGGCAATATACACACTTCCTTTCGCTAGCAGCCAAAAGATGACCTTTCCTTACTGTAATCTGAGCTACTCGATCAACGATATAGTCAGCGGCATTCGGGAACCTATCGCGTAGGGAGAGCTCCTTATTAGTCGGTGATCTGCTTCTCGCCAGTATGATCAAGGTGTCAGCACGTGTGTAGTGGACGTGTATCCTGTGGAAGGTTCTAACGTCGCTCTGCAGCAGATGGGACATATGCAGTGCCAGAGATCTGCTCGGTGTGATCGTATTTGAGAGTTGGCTCTGCGTCGAGAAAACTTCTTGCCTATCGCGACTGTAGTTTCATGCTCACATTCGAATGACGACTCAGCTTGTGTGTGTTAAATCTGTTTGCGGTCCTCCGTCTGGATCAGAGATGGATGATTCAAACGCCTGCTTCTTGTCGCGTTAGAATCTGATTGATCAGGATGCGCGAGCTTCACTGTAGTAGAGTCAAGGGGGAGTAGTGTGGTCATGGCTGCAGCCCTCAGCCTCACAACTTCAGCATCATGGCGGTCGTTGCTACTGTGTCAGCCTTGGGAAGAGATTTAGAGCGGCGGAATTAGTACAAGTCGTAGTTGGTGATATTCGAAGCGCTTGATAACTTTCTACATCATAAAAAAAGAGTTCGTACTGAACTCAGTTAAATTCCAACCCACGTTACTCCTACATGAACTTTTCCCAATCCATACTTCTACTCAGAGCATCCTTCCGGCATATCTTTTCAGGCAAATCACATTTCTAGAACGCTACTTCAAGCCTTCTTGGACTTTCCAATGCTTGTGTCCATGCTGCCCAGTACCCAGGTCGCTACGAAAACGGCGAACATGCCGAGCGTAATGACGACCGGCTTCCTGTAACCTGCAGTCCACGGGTAATCATACGTTACAATCAGATCCCGCTCCCTGAACTCGTCCATGATATTGATGGCATGCAGTTCCAAAGTAGACCTGCCCAATGTGTCCATGAAAGTCTTGTGGATGCTCGTCTTGCTATCGACCAGCGGCACGGTGGTAGAGTACTTGACGTTGGTGGCGCCCTCAGGAAGAATGACGCGAAGATGCACCTTTGCATATTGGATACCTTCAGGAAGGCGGGGACCCTCAAGGAAGGGGACCTTCAATACATAGGTGTCGCCCTTGCTAAGCTTGCGCAAGTAGGTGCTAAGGTCGGCGTTCCAGCCAACCCGGAAGCTGTATTTCCAGCCTCCAAAAACGGGGTAGCGAGGCTTCAATTCCAACAGGTTCTCCTTCTTGCCGGGTCGGAAGCGTGAGGTGGACACGTTACCGATGTCGTCGGTGAAATATGCATCCACGGCGCCGGGGTGCAAGGGAAGGTTGAGCCCCTTCAACGCTGAAGAAGCAGGGTTCAGGTACTGATTCTTCTGCCACTCGACGCGGGAGAAGTGGTTCTTAAGCTCGGCACCCTGGTTGGCGAGCCAATAGCGCTCCTCCGAGGCCAAGTTGCAACCCCAGTGCGAGACCTCAAGATCACGCTCTAGAAGCGAAGCATGGGTTATTGGCTTCGTAAACTCATAGCGCACGCTGACGTCCTGCTCAGCACCAGCTGGAATATCGTTATACGGCCCGTATGTGAAAGTCGAGCCCTGCTTCTGCGGGTCTGCTTTCTTTTCGGCGTTAAGCTCGGCAGGAAGGGTCGTGTAGTCGGGAACGTCACCACTGGGGAACTTCAGCTTCGTCTTCTGTTTCTCGGTGACGTAGGCGGACGGCGTATAAGCGCTGAAGGTGTATTGAACGTATTGCTTCTCGGATTGACCTATCTTCGCAGGGACCGGCGCGAGCGCAGAGAGGACAGAGTATGATATGCTGAGGGTTTGTTGCTCCTTGGGCGCGAGGGGAGTGGGGAGGTGGATCAAATAGAACTCGGTCGAACTATGGCTCGTATCAGCACAATCCAAGCTTCGAAAGTTCGTTGCGCCCTACCTCTGGGCATCAAGCCCTACGACCTCTACCTTAAAGGAGCCCTTGTCTGCGTCCTTCTTGTCCTTGACCTCCAACCCGCCGACTCTCGATATCAAGCTTGTCTCGAATGGCAGGTAGTATTCCGATTGCGGCTTGGAATCAATGTTTTCTATGATAACATTGATCGTTTCTCTCGGGTATGACTTGTCCAGGTTCGTGTTGCGAACCAAGTTGACGTTCTTGAAGACCTGCGACGGCTTGAATGTGCTGGGGAGCACCTGCTTCGACAGCAACGGCTGTGAGAGGTTCAATTCGGCGCAGGCGAAGCTCGAAAGCGCTGCTAGGCAGCTCGAATATAGAGCGAGGGACCTCATGTTGGGTAGCAATCAAGTTACCCAAGCATAGGTGAGGTGAGGTTGGAATTGGGGATTTCGTGGAGCTTGCGCGGCGCTGGAGCTCCAGGAACGTGGCTTCTTACCTTCCGCTCCGCGCGGGTCGCGCCTTCCCTGTTCGGCCAAGACCTCCGCCCCGCCATGAGCTCCCTTAAGCTCCGCGCCGAGGTCACGGCTCTGACACAGATAAGATACTGAACGAGTTGGCAATTGTCCATTCGAGCTATCCTTCCAGCTTGACTCGTGTCAGTGTACGTTGCGAAGCCGATTCGCACTGCAAGAACACAATGCGCCCTGTCATGAAAGCTGCCTACTGGGCGCGCCTTTCGCCAGCCAACAGAGCCACATTCACAGGGCAAGGAAGGCGCTATCTCACGAACAATGGCTTCTTCCGGGTATCGGAGGAGGTACGAGAAGCTCTATACTCTAAGAAACCTGTCGTTGCGCTCGAAACGACAATATATACCCATGGTACGTTATAGATATGTTTTAGTTGCACTCATGGACTGACGCTTTTGTTAGGATTTCCTTACCCCGAAAACGTAGCTCTGGCGTCCCTCCTCGAAAGCGTTGTGCGTGTAAATGGCGGCGTTCCCGCGACTATAGGCATCTTGGATGGAGTAGCACGCGTGGGTATGGACCCAGAGGAATTGATAATGCTCACAGAGTCAGCGGGGCGGTCCACAACATTGAAGCTATCAAGGAGAGACCTGAGCTATGTCTGCGGGCAGCGATTAGTGGGAAAGAACTATAACGGAGGGACCACGATCTCAGCAACCATGTTGCTGGCACACTTGGCCGGCATCAAAATATTCGGTACCGGTGGCCTCGGTGGAGTGCATCGCGGGGCCGAGTCAAGCATGGATATATCCGCCGATCTGACAGAACTTGGCAGGACACCAGTTACTGTAGTTTCTAGCGGATGCAAGAGCTTTCTCGACATACCCAGAACATTGGAATACCTTGAGACAGAAGGTGCCTACGTCGGCACGTTCGCTGACGGGCGCAAGGGTAATGTAGATTTCCCTGCATTCTGGTCGAGAGACAGTGGCGTGAAGAGTCCTACAACGGTCGAGAACGAAATTGAGGCTGCTGCAATAATTCGTACGTATTCCCTACCCATGCATAGATCTTATGGCTCACTAGGGACAGATGCGCAACACTCACTGAACATCTCTTCCGGACTACTATTTGCGAACCCAGTTCCTGTAGAAAGTGCCATTGCTAAGGAGACGATGGACACTGTCATTGAAGAGGCCATACGCCAGGCTAATGCATCGGGGATCACCGGCAAAGACAACACGCCTTTCGTCCTTGCGAAGATCAAGGAGCTGACCAAGGGTGCAAGCATACCCGCAAACAGGGCGCTTATAGAGTCCAACGTGAGACGTGCCGCAATTGTAGCTCGAGAACTTGCAATACTTGAATCAAAGCAAGACAACGCCCAAGGGTGAGCGCCCTGTCTTGCCGCTCAACTATAGACCTTGGTGCTGATGTAGGTATGTAGACGCACTTCTTCGGGCTTCAATCCAGTCTTGTCCAGTCCTGCATCTACAGCACATGACCGCGCAAGTAATGCTTCAACACCACTCTCGATACCTGTTGCAACCCCATCATCCATGACTCCGCAGGCAGTTGATGTTGTTGTAGCAGGTGCTCTGGCAGTAGACTTTTCCTGTGACTACGCGCCATTTACCAACTCACCTGATCAAGTTGAGCCTGCATTACATACGTCAAACCCTGCCGTGGTCAACCAGACTTTAGGAGGAGTAGCTCACAACATCGCCAAAGCAGCGCACCTACTTGGTGCTGCAGTGCAACTTCGCAGCGCTGTCGGCGATGATCTCACCGGACGGGCAGCTATCAGCCAACTCGAAGACGAGGGCATGTCCACTACCGGGATCCATACCCTTCCAAAGCCTGCACGCACCGCTCAGTACGTCGCCATTAACAACGCGAACAAGGATCTTACACTCGCTATGGCTGATATGAAGATACTCGAAAACATACCACAATCTCAATTGACGGATATGCTACGTATCCCCTTTAATTCTCCGCCGCTAGAAGTCCTCGTAGCGGACGCGAACTGGGACTCCACATCCCTCCATAAGTGGCTAGACATAGGCAAGGCCTCGTCACATACAACCACGATCTTCGAGCCCGTCTCCACCGCCAAAGCCCTTCGCATTTTCCCTCCTACATCCAGCCAGGACAAGACCATGTACCCACTCGTCGACATCATAACACCGAACGAGCTCGAGCTCCAAGCCCTACACAATCATGCTTACAGCCTCGGGTTATTCGAGTCACCAGAATGGTTCACGATCATCGACGCCCTGGGTATCCCATCATCCGGTCTACGCGTCCCACTCGCCCACACCACAACACGTGCCCTCGTAGACGCTGGCATTCCTCAACAGTCTATTAAGTTACTCCCCTTCTTTCCTACCATCCTGACGAAGCTCGGTCCGCAAGGTGTTCTCTTAACGCAACTGCTCAAAGCGGATGACCCGGTGCTCAGTTCGGCTGATGAGGCGCAGTACGTCCTCTCGCGCTGTAATAATGGTGATCAGACTGTGGGTGGTCTTTATGTGAGATTGTATCCTACGAAGGTGCTAGAGGCGGAGGAAGTAGTCAGTGTGAACGGGTGTGGAGACACGTTTGTCGGGGCGTTAGCGGTAGGGTTGGCGAAGAAGAAGCGGGTGCAGGATTGCGTTGGGCTGGCACAGAGAGCGGCGGGTTTGACGCTGAGGAGCAGGGAGAGTGTTAGTCCTGAGTTGAAGACTCTGCAGGGGGAAATATAGTTTTGGTCGGGCACAGATGGAGAATTCGAGTAGGGGGGAAGAACATCAACACTAAATACATTGTAAATACAATAATGACATCCACACTCAATAATGGTACAGTTGGTCACCTCTAGACCACGTCGACTCCTGAACTACTACCACACCTGCCTCCTATGTTGCCACAGCGGAACTTCTCATCCTCAAATTCGGAGGGTGGGCGGTCACACCGACAGAGCTGAGATGCGTGCTGAACGTGACCGACTGCATAAGTGGCGCGGTCCGGCGCGCTGGTTTCGAAGTACCTGTTGGTGGCGTCCCCTTACCGAGTTGCAACTTGAGCACTTCATGTGTAGCAGTCTGAGCCCAGCTATTGAACTGCTTCACCGCGCCTTGAACCCTAGACACTTGTCAGTCTCGTGCGTCTCCCATCTGTTCAGGGCCAAGCAACAACTCACTTTGCATCCCCCTCCGCCGCGCAGAGATCCAGCCTCAGGTCCCCCTTATACTCCTTCTCACACGTAAAACTCGACTCCTGCGGCCTCGTTCTATCAAACGTGTATATCATGAAGCACTTACTCTTCCCATCACAGTATATCGGCGGACAATTCTCGCCCTTCTCATCACCACTGAATGTGACAGAAACACCACCAGCATATCCCGGGCACATCTCGAGCTTCTTCCCGTGCATCGCCTCCGTAGCGTCGAAATCCGTGACGGCCACATCCGGCTTACCGCAGTCCAGCAAACTGACGTCGTAGTACAACCTCTTGAACTTATCGCTTGTTGCGGGGTTCTGGTAGAGCGCGTACTCTAGTTGCGTGATTTCCTGGTCTGCTGTGTCGTTGGTTTTGGCGATCTTGATTGATATAGCTTGGCCGGCAAGCTTATCTTCGTCCGGGCAGTAGGGTGGCGTTCCAGTGTACGCGCAGCCGCCGCTTGCGCGGTAGGGCTCGGTGTGGTAGCCGTGTGAAGCGATTTCGTGGTATATGGCGTCGTCAGGAGTGCCCCAGCCTGCGTCTGGGTTGCGGGATCTGTACATAATGAGTGTTTGCATGTTTTGGGATTGGAGGGAAGAGGTGACTCACCCGCCTAGATAGTGAGCGCCAACGGATACGAAATAGACATTGTGAGGGCACCAGTTGTAGATTACGACGTTTCCGAAACTCCCGCCGTCGTCTGGCAACTTCAGGTCCTTAATTTTGGGCTCCGGAGGTGTACCCGTCGCGCGGATCGCTACTGATGCAGAAGGCGTAGATTGTGCCGACGAAATAATGTTTTTCAACGAGGGTTTGACATTTGCGGTCGTTGGTGGTGAGGCGTCGCCGGCGACTTGTGATACAGAGCTTGTTGCTTGTAAATGTATCACTGACACTATGGTCGTTGCTGAGGATACTGGAACAACGGTGTTATAAAGCATTAGCGACCGTAGGAGAAGTGTACGCATGTTAGGCGTTCGCATCGGTTTGATGTGTGAGATTCTTCAATGCAATGAAATCGTTTGTAGGATCAACAGTAGACGCAATATGTCAAAATACGAGAGCGAGAAGACAGTCTGTACAAAAGCAAGGCATAGCGCTTTTCTTGTATCTCACCGTCATGATCGAGTCAGACTCATTGTAAGACCTTCAGCGAAGGAGTCTAATTGAGGGTCAACCATTTTGCAAATATGTGACTGTAAGAAGGAAACACCATACATCAGTGACTGACTAGCAATCTACCAAGGCTGGGAGCACGAGCTTCAAGTGCCTCAGAAGTGGGCATAGCATTAATGTTGAATGCTAGCATAAGCACTGCAGGTACAAGCTGCATTTACATCAGTCATTGTTTCCTACTTTCCTTTGCTGACATACAGAGACGAGACGAACCATATTGGAGTCTTTAGGTACGGTGTTGCTACGGTGTTTGTATGTAATAGATCCCGAATACAAATCTCAGCAGTGAATCTCGAAGCTCTTTTGCACATACTTCACTTTCCACAGGTGTCAGTCACTATATATATCAAAACGTTAGGAACATTTTCATCGAACAGATCACGGCTTGCCCTCAGCTCGCCTCGTGCCACCATCGTGGTGTAGGTCGTGATTCAAGGATCTTATCTGACATAGCGCAAAGTCGCCTCGGAGCGGGTTCGATCCTTGGGTTCGGTACTTTTTTGCTCTTTTTTTCTTTTCACTTTTATTTTTCTCACCGCGAGCGTACTTCACTATCTGCCATCACCTTAGGGCTTTCCCCTCTGGTATTCCGAGCAATATAACCGTGATGCGATAATAGTTTCAACGGAAGCTCAAGCTAAAGTTTTCCGTTTTTCGTGTTTTCTCTCGAGGTTTTATACCCATTCGAAGACCCCAGCCTTGTGTGCTCCTCTTCCGCCTTCGACAGGATCACCCGAACGGCTCAATCATGCTTACATTTATCACGACCCAAATCCATCTCTAGCGCACAACAACACGAGTAGAGAGCGCGGAGGTCGCCCCAAGATACCCTAATTTGTTAGGCTTCAATATGCCTTCTCAGCCTCACAGGTGCTCAGCCTTCGCAGCAAACGGTTGCATGCTGCGAGGCGCGTCGGAATCTTTATCTGACTGAAACAACAGCCTCGAGAATATGTGGATTCATTGTTTTGTTTTTTTGGCACTGTGATTGCAAGGGTATGCACTTGTTCAGCCGTCAATTTGATTCTGGTAACCGATGTTGATGAGTGATACTTCGTGAAAGCGAGGACGCATATACTAACCTGATGTTCTTCACAAACACTGCACACTGTGAGTAACATAAGCTTTGCGGCAGGAGGCATACCTTACATATTAACAATAAGCGTACTAGACCTCTGACTCTTATTCCCTCTTCATGCCAACTCTGCCAATACCCCTCAAACCCCAGCTAAAAAGCAAAGCTGTGCCTACACTGCCCGCAAACGTATACCAGAAAGCAGCTCTGTATCCTTCCATGAGTGCTTGAGGGCTCTGTTTGTCGGCCCATTTACTGTTGTCTGTAACACTGGCGGCAATTACGCCGCTCGTCGCAAGCCCTACGCTTTTACCTATCTGTGCGATCGTATTGAAGACACCACCTGCTAAGGCTTGAGTCTTCGCTGGAAATACAGATGTAATGACCAGATTTGAGACGGTGAACATGGCATCGGCGCCGATGGGAGATAGCGCTACAGCAGGGAAAGCACACGCCCAGTACGTCCTGCGACAAGAAGTCAGTGCCTATTTTAAACAAGGAGTTGATGTTTCCTTTGCTTATATCCAGATGAGCGAAGTGAAGACCTTGGCTTTCGCGTAGTGGATACTCTGTACGGGGCACTTACCATTCAGGCTGTATAATGCACAGAAGGAGCGCACCTATCGCGGTCATTGCCACTGCGAAGACAACAGCCCAGTCCGCACGGATTTTGTGCGCCAGAAGACCCATGATAATATTCGCTAGAGCTCCTGTGAAAGGCTCGGGTAAAAAGCGAACTGATGTTTGTATAGCAGAAATTTCCTGTACATCTTGGAAGAAGAGCGTAAGGAACGACTCGATAGCGTTGAATACACCCCAAGTCATGAAGACCCCGATGCAGATGGTCGTGAAGATCCGGTTGCGCCACAGGGAGTTCGGAATGACGGCAGGCCTGCCCAGTCGCTCTTGCCGACCGACCCAGAATATGAAGAGGGGGATCAAAGCAAGTGATATTACAAGCATTGAGAGCGTGGCAGGCTGTTTGATACTCGCTCCGCTGTCGCTGATCAAACTACACAAGTGAGCAGAAATTGATAGACTATAGGATGATGGCAAGACTTACGCAAACGAGTATGAGAGCATCGCCAACGATGCAGCTCCGATCGCGATGCCGACCCAATCGATCTCTGTACGTAGTCGTTTCCAGACATCCTTCTGTGCCACATCGACTTTAGGCAGGCCGAAAAGACCTATCACAAAGACGACAGTGTTGATAATCGCTGCAATGTGAAAGCCCCATCTCCAGCCGATGGTGGTTGAGAAGACACCTCCAAGGGTAAGGCCTACAGAAAATCCGATGGGCTGACCTCCACCCATGGACGCAAAGGCGACTAGAGACACGAAGAAGAAGTTAGTGTAAGCCAGAGAATCAAGACAGCGTCGTAGTTATGTCTAGAAAATAGCTAGTCATGTAGCGATACGTACCATTCCTACTCTTGCCTTCAGGGAAAGTGCTCGTGATGATGCTGACAGCAGAAGGTAGGCAAAAACTGATTGCCACCCCAGCCAATGCACGAAATACGATGAGCTGCGTTGAGGTTTGGGCGAGGCCGCAAGCTAAGGTAAAGGCAGATTGCAATACGCAACCTGTGAGGTACATCGGTCTGCTGCCAACAACATCGGCCACAGAACCGAGCAATAACAGAGTGCAACCGCATGCGAGCGCATAGATGGAAATTGGCCTTCCAGTCTTAGTACTGAGGGTTCTTCTTACAGGCCTCAACAGACGTACTCACCACAAGAGTAGACTAGGCGGGATTTCCAGCTCCGCCGCCATAGTCGGCAGACCCACAGTGACCAATCCAGCCAAAAGCGTGCTAATCATAGTCACGCATACCACCGTGACTAACACAATGGCCGTCGTACCCTTCGTCGGTGCTTGTAATGCTGTTGAAGTGACAGAGTTGATCGGCTGGAGATCATCTACTGCCGGCGGTGCGTCATCGCCCTTGGTGTGCACACTTGAAGGTTGCGTAGGGGCTATAGGCGTAGACGCATAGGGTTCCAACTCGATCGAGGTGCTGGAGCGCGACATTTTGCGAGTGGGTTACCTAGATGTGTCAGGAGGTGTGCGGTCGATGGCTTAGGGATGTAGTGAGATTCATTTTATCAGATTTTCTTTCTAGACGCGGAATAGCTCTGACGCGAACCGAAGGATCATTCAGGGCAACGGTACTACCACGTGACTACCTCCCGAGGTCACACTCTGATAAGCCGTGCATTGGGCATTCGAACATATCTATTGTTTTGTTACTCTATCGTGTTTGGGCAATCCGGCTATTGTCGCTGCCACTTGTGCATCCTTCAAAGCCGTCTTCGTGCGCGTTTATTACATGCTGAATTTCATCTGCGATGTCGGACCGAGCTTCACCACATGTAGAACCACGTAGCAAGATAAAGGAAAGCGTCATTACATGACGATTTAACACTAAATGTAGAATGTTGATCTTATTAGGAGCATGAACCACGTGCTGCCGAGCTGTACCGAGCGGGCAAGGCTGTCAATGAGTGCGGTGGTGAGTCATTGTGTCCAGATTCCTGCTCGCCGCCATCACCCTCCTTCCACGCTATGCCTCACCCTTGCCAAACTTCCGGCTTTGGTGGTACGAACCCATACAAGCTGCCCTGTAGCCCGTAATCATAGCTAGAGAAGTACACATCTGCTCAAACTGTGAGCATTAAATCTCTTCCTCCAGATGTCTACAACACAGTCTTCAGTCTTCGAGGAAGAGACATACCTTTCTGTCCCCTAGTATACACACCTGGAATCTTAACCTTATACCCTTGTCCTGGGTCCACACCGGCATCATCATTTACGACCTCTACATGCGCGCAGTTGACGTAGAACTGGGAATCCTCAGGGTTTGGGAATATATGTTCCCAACGAACAAGGTATTGCCCCGGAGGCGTGGTAGCCGGGATAGTAAAGTTCCACTGCGCAATGCCGTACCATCAGCGTCGTCACACAAGACAGGTAGGTGTTGAACATAGCAAAGAACCTACGCTCGTCGACCTAAACGTGCCCCACAACGCCTTCAAAGAATCGTAGTACGGCTTGTTAGCCGGATCGTCAAAGTCTACGCTTTGCGAGGTACGTCCCGCAATTTGATGGATCTTGTACCAGCCGCCTAGAACGCAGCACTTGTTAGCATCTTTTTCACTCAGATAACTGTCCTTGCACGCCCCCACCTTTAGTATCAATGGTTGAGCTTACCTTGACCCTGATACTCATCCAGTCCTCCGTCCTCCACCTTGCTCAACCACGCACTCGCAAACCCCGGGTGATACATACTTGGCGGGCTCGTGAGTCCCACGCCCACGAAAAACCCTACCTGGTCTCCCGCCTTCACAGTCGCAGATTTAGGATGCGACCACCCGAGCGAGGCATTGCGACCGCAAATAAGATCCGTGGATTCAGGGTCGGTGTTAGGGTCGTAGATCTGGCTGGAGGGGTTGGAGGCGACAGGCGAGACTTCGCGGACGTATTCGAAGGGGGTGGTGATTTGGTGGTCGAAGATGAAGGTGCTAGTGACCCCTTGTGGTGAGTCAGTGTGCGGACGAGCAGGAGATGAAGACGGAGGTACGCACAGTGGGCATGGGCAATCGCAGCGTTGAGGAGCAGGAGCGTGAGAGCTTTCATGGTGTCTCTTGAGATCTGCGCAATATGCATGCTAAAGCGAACGTGCTATGAACACTCGAGGTTTCTGAGCAATATATACGAAGGCTTCACTTGAACGCTAACCTACTGTCAAAACCACCCTTTCTTAGATGTAGATATCATTGCAGATACTCTACTCTTCGGCAATTGGTGCAAAAAGTATGCACATATGGCCACGATCCTTCGCAATGTCTTACCTACGTTACGACAGTCGCTCTATGTTGTGTCTAACGTACTGAGACATTAATCTAAGCGGGTACTCGAGTGCGTTCCTTATGTGGAAGCTGTAGCTAAATGGTGCAACGACATTGCGTTCCTATAGGCGCACCCACCAATTAGCCTGAACTGAGCTCTTGGATTTCAGTTGCTATAGTGCGGATCATACAATGCACGATTGACAAGGACGTGAAACGGAATGAAATAGAGATGGAAATCTAGTAGTACATTCATTAAGGAGACTATATGCTGATCGTTTCGTTCTGTTGGTATCGTGAGGAGATGCGGAGAATCGATGCGTTACCCAAGCGACGCCCAATGGTGGTGACACCCAAACCTGACCTAACTAAAAAAGTGAATGCGAAGTGCGCCGATTCCGCCTGGCAGACCCATGCTGCCATCTTGCCGCCTCCTGACACCATGCCTATGCAATGTCACCTAGCCGACGGTAACCCCATATCTATATCGTAAATTCTTGGCGATGGAAATTCTTCTCTTCTGTTCTCTTCTCTTTCCGTGGTGAAATCGTCTTCCGTATCATCAAAACATCTCCGTACTAGGCTTTGCCTTCGATGACACTACCAGAACCGACACTACCGCCAAGGTCCCAGTAGTTACGTCCGCTGCCACCGGACCGCTTGCTCTTCTTGGTGCTTTGGCTCGTCACAGACGAGCTGCTCTTAAGTACTTGATTGCGCAACGACGGGGCCTGATGGTAGTACGTCTTGAACGAAGCACCTTCTCGCTTCTTCGACCTTGAGCTAGTAGGCAATGGTTCTCTCGACCGACTAACTAAAGGGTGATTCTGGCGAATGATGGCTGCTCTCCTCGCACTCGCCTGAGGGTCTTCTGCCTCTTCACCAGCGGTTGGCGCACTCGAGCCTCTACGTGTTTGCGAAGAGACGCTTGACCGCCGCGAGGAGAATCGCTTCAAGAGGAAGTTGAAGACCATCTTGACATCGAGCTCGCGTTCCCAATACTCTTGCTCGCGTGCGATTTCCTCAGCGTGGTTTATGGGTGCGGGAGCTGGGTGAGGGGCACGGAAGGAATCCAAAGGGTCAACCGAATCGGGTTCTTCCTCGATACCCCAGAGGAATGCTTCACTATATGCGTTAGGTTGTCCGGGGAAAGTCGGAGCAAAGTGCGCCGAAGTCGGCAGAGCAGCCGAGTGTCCAGAAGTAGTGAGCTTTGAAGTTGTCGACTCGGAGGCCAAACTAGTGGAAGGTCGTCGGGCAGAGAGGCCTGCATATTCTGGCGTGTCCTGGGTGTTAAGATAAGTAGAAAAGGCACCGGGATGCTCAGAGAGCTGATGCACCAAGATCCCAAGCTCTCGCGCTACTCTTTCAAGAAGTCGATGCTGCCAGCCTTCGTCAGGCATTCCTTCTGTATCCATGGCTCGTAGTGTAGCATCAATCGAAGCTCTCGTTTCGGGGATTTGAGTAGGCACTGTCGCGGTTTCGTCAGGCAACGATTCCCCAAAGATGACAGATAGCGTATCCTCATCAATGCCCATCAGATCGCGTATTACTCTTCTTGTTAAGCGTTGCCAAAAGGACATGTTCTCTGTGTTTTCATCAGATGCCTCGCTTTGGCCATCCGATACCGATGCCGCAACGTGCGATGCGGTGCTCTTGGGGGCGCAGTAGGCGCTGTCTGACCGACTGCGAGCAGCACTCACGATGCTCATCCTCCGTCTGCGTCTGGTCTCCCTCTCGATCTCTTCGAGAAGCGCTCTGCTCTGCTCGAGCCGCCACTGTTCTATTCGCTGCCGCCTATCCTGCTCCTGATTAAGTTCTTCCGTCTCCTCCAGAGCATCAAGTCGTCGTTGCACACTTGATCGCCGCCGAGCAGTACGTCTCCTCGGCGCTTGTCTTTCAAACTGCCACATATGCTCTGCCACATCGGCATCAGGCTGGAATGTGCCTAAGCCATCATGTGTAGGCAAAACGGCGTCGCCACTCTGCTGTAACCTGCTCGATGGCCCTGCATACTCAGATGGTTCATGGAAAGCGTGCAGGCCATCGTCCAAGCTGTCCAACTCCTCTCCATCTTCAGTGCCCTGGCAGGTAACATCATCGTCATCCTGCGAGCGTGCGGCGGTATCGAGGGAACCAAAGTCGCTCAGGTGCGACAGGCCGGCTGTGCGTGGTGTTCGTTCGGTCGATGTCGTGTGCGTGCGTGCAGTAGTGGAATGCGCTCCCGGCGAGAATAGGACCCATTCTTCAGACTCTTCGAGCGCCCTCTTCCGCTGCGGCGTCGAGGCGGTGCCGACCTCGGGCGGTGGTTCATGGTACGAGATCTGGCGCGAGGAGTGCGGTCGATGCTGCTGGCGGAAAGCCATGGTTCCGTCGTCTCACGTGGAAACTATCTCGATGCCGGAGAGTGCAATGGTACTGTAAGCTTATTCCTAGCAACGGAAGGCGTGTTGGATACTGGTCCCCTAATGCGGGGAACTGACCCAAGGGAGACGCTCGATAGTACGAGAATCGGGCGATGGGTCGACGGTCGGGGAACAAAGGAGGAGTTATCGTGGTATGGGTCGCATGTCTTGTCGTGTGCTGTCTATGTGTCCGGCGGTCAAAAGCAGGCGATGGCTGCCCTGCTGGGGCGGGTGATGTGTATGTAGCTCAAGATGTCATACGTTCACCGCTAACGCGCATAGGGCGATCGCGTTTCAGGCGCTTGGGTCATAAGACTAGCTGCCCGCGGAAACAAAGGTGGAACAACGTGTCGACGTGCAAGTTGCGCACGCAAAATGAAGCCGTGACACAATGTGTGCAAAGACCAGAATAGTGCTGAGTCTTGTAAGATTACGAGGTGTCTCAACATGGCATGCAAGGGGCCATGCCCTGGCTGATAAGGCAGATAGCTCAATGTTTGTCAGAGGTGTGGGCTGCACTTGGAATAGCCTTGGCCGCAGGCCCTATGCACCACTCGGGTACTTTCGCCATCTTTCTGATGATGATGAGATGAGCGTAAACGAATTTTCCCCTGCCAGACCCGAGACTGCCCCATGATTAATCACTGAGCTTTCCGTTTTCTAATCGCACAGCAACTCCGCCGACTCTTCGGCAGCACTAAAGACGGCAGGCAGCAGATCGACACCAGGTGGGAAAGGCAGGTGTGGATATTGTAGCACGCGTGTTGTAAAAAGCACGCAAACAGCGCTGAGCACTCCTACTCGTGGATACCGCTCGGTAGACGACGTGGCATCGACGTAAGGTCCCCGTGAGGTCATTGCAGCGTCTCAGGGAGGTAAGGCGACAGAGCAAGCTGATATCAGCCTTGTGTCCTGCCTATCCTGCTCACCTGCCGTGTAACATCGGACTTCAGCCAGCCATGTACAAACATCTGCTGCGGAATATATGAATAGCACGCCTCTAGGTATCTATCTCGTAAAGCTCACCGCGTTTTCCACGCAGCAGCCGTCAAGCAAGCAGCATGACACATAGGTACAAAGTTCAACTTGTAGTGGTATCGTCCTTCGAATGCAACTTCACTTCCAAATCCCAGGCGAAGCCAACCAACGCCTCCAAAAAACGAAGCCCCAAACCCAAGCGCCATGTTCGCAAAATGAGCGGCTCCAATGAATAATGCCCTGAAAGAAATGATCGTCGTCGTCTATCGTCACGTATCGTATCGCGTTGTTCATGCAACGTCTTCTACGCTGAAGCGGTGCATATCTTCCTCGCTCATCTCTTCACCATGACCAACAAGTGGATATCGCTTGACGTGCGGACGCGACTTCTTGTCGCCTATCCATTTCTTCAGAACACATTCGCCATTTCCTTGACAAATCTCCTTCCTTCCGAGGTTCTTGAACCGAGGACCAAGGGGGCCGTTCACGTAGTGATATTGCCCCAAGAACCTGTACTGTCGAGGGTCGCTGAGAGGGTAGAACTTGTCGCCCCAATGACCCATGAAATAGAAGAAACCTACAGGTGCTCGCGGGGTCAAGTTGGAACTCTTGAGATCATCTCTCCTGTAGTCGTACGTGTAGGCGTACAGATTCAACGTTGGATCCCAGAGCGGTCCACGATCGGTGACGTCGTGGAGTATCCCACCCGGTAGGATATACGGATGAACACCCGAAGTAGCGTACATGGCGTGGGTGCCAGTGGCAGAGAAGCCGACAGGCTAAAACGTTAGCATTCAATGCTGTGCACATGTGATTGAGCACTTACTCTCTTGCCGGATTTCTCCACAGCATCCCAGGTGTATGCCTCCCCAAAGCTGTGTTCACTGAAGAACACTGCCTTGGGAACACCGTCCTGGAAGCGCACTGTAGTATGTTCCCAATCGCCCACATGATTGCCGAAGCGTACATTGAAGACGGAGTTGCCGAGATTGTAGCTGTAGAAGAAGAACCAGAAAGCGTCTACGACACCGTTCTCCTTCGGCACTACGACGAGCGTTGCGGGCGCGTCGCTTCTGCCTCCCACGACTTTCTTTCCCCTTTTCTTGAGCGTCCGACGAAGTTCGGATTGCCAGGGCTCATCATCGACATCTACAAGCTCTTCGCCTTCGGGTGTATTTGTCGGTACAGCGGTGGGCGTGGGAACACGGGAATTGACGATTCCACTTGAACGAATGCCACCTCTTTCCTTGGTGTCACCGATACCGACGTTCCACCAGCTAGACTTCTCGCCATCCTTATCTTCCTCGTAATGGCCGCCCGCCTCTGGGTCTTCATCCGGATCCGAACCCTCCGGGATGCCAGGAATGTTACTCTTGCCTCCCAGCCATTCAGGATAGTCCTCGACATTGTCGTCACTCTGCAAATATACAAAGCGACCCCACTTGTTGAGTTCGTGAAGGTTTTCAAGGGTAGGATGGTCCTCGACGGCTTGGAGCGGGGTGTAATTCAGATGCGGCGTAGTATGAAACAAATGCTCTTCAATGTCGCAAGGCCAATACTCTTCGCCGGAAAACAAATGAATGAGCGGTGCGTGATCCAGAACGTACTGCGGGACTTCCCGGTCCTTCAGTTCCTGTTCGGTCCAGTCCTTAGGAAGCGCTCTCGCGCTTTTCAGAAACTCGCTGAGATCTATGCTTGTCCGCTCACTGTTGCCAGTCTTCGTCGGCTCTGATATATTTGCGCCGCCTTCTGTCGTCCAATGCGCCTGATTCAAATGCGCTATCCCGCAAAGCCCAAACCAATTGCACACTCTCCTATCTAACCATGAACGGGACGAGTTAACCCAACCCTTCTCCTCCAATCGTTCCGATATCGGAGTGATGCGCGGAAAGATGACATTCTGATATATTTGAGAATACGTGAACAAGGCAAAGAAGGTTCCGGCAGCAGTAATTGCTGGCTTCCGGCCCTTCATCTGCGTATCCGTGTCGTTGTCAGCCCCGCCGACGGGAGCGACAGAGGGTGTCGGATCTGGTCCGGACGATTGTTCATACGAAGGATGATCTATAGTGATATCGATCGCCGGGGGTGAATGTTCGTCAGGGGCGACCGGCGCGACGTTCGTGTGCTCGACCTGGGAATTCGAAGGAGATACCACTAGCGGTGTCCATGCAGGGACGAGAGCAGAAGATATGGACGAGACATCGGACGAGGCGGGGAGGAGCGGCCGGAGAGGCACCTGGACGGCGCCATGATGCAGGTAAGGTACGACGGGCACTGACTGGTTAGCTTCCAGCCCAATTGAGTACTATCAACGACAAAGAACGAGTTGCATCGACCACAAGCAGCTGGGTTGGAGCCGAGTGTTCCGAAAGCTGACAAAGTGATGAACTCCCGGATAACTCCAGGAAGCACGCGGAAGAAGCACGTCAAGACACGCTCAAGTGGAGCGCGCCTGGTCTAGCGAGCTAATCGAACAACCGCATAGCATGTGCAATCTGGAAGCTCGCGGATGTAGCGGAGAGCGCGCATGGATGACATCGAACACGGTGCAACCGGCCGGATTTTGGCGGGAACAACTCACTTTTGTCAGGCTGACGGTCACCGACCCCACGGTGCCGGTGATGGGACCTTGAGAAACGTGCAGCGGAATCGTGCGAAGTCGCCGAGCGGGTAGCAGAGAGGAAGACGTTGCAAGGCACAAAACCTCGCCTCCAACACAGGCGGATCGGGGCGATATGCACGTCTCGGAGAGCTTGTAGCTTGTATGCGGCTGCGCGGAGCTGTCGCAGCGCTTGGCGGTTACGTCGAAACTAGGCCGGATAAGAATGCTGATGCACGAGCGCTTCAGGCGACGTTCCAGGGTTTAACCAAGTCAGCAAGGTCAATCGTTTCACCGCATGCTTAGGATCGACGTCGATCCGCTCAATTGTGCTGCGCTGACGGATGACACTCGAATCTGCAAGTGGTCATCGATGTTTAGGGCTTCCAAGAGTGCGGAGGCGAGGTCGAGGTGCGGACAGATATCGATAACCTTATCGACCAAAGCTCCTGGAAACAGTACACAAAGCCCGTTTTTTTTTTGGCCATGCGCCGTGATTATTTTGGTTGCAATGGTCGGTCAGCGCGCATCACGTATGGTAGGATCATCTCAAACGATGACTTTAATCAAAGTTTCAGAGATAACTCACATGTGCAACGTTCCGGGGCCATACCACCAAAAGCCAGAGAAGCTGCAAGTGTACCTATGACAGACCAGTGGCAGGTGCAAACACAATTGATGTGAAGATGGTACAGCCTACTACCTCTAATACTCACACTCAACCAATACTCGGTTGGTCCATACATTACATCCATGTCTGCATCACATCATGCATACCAACGAACAAGCTCCGTCGTCTGTCCTAATCCAGAAAGACCTCGGCACTAGCGTCATGATTAACGACTAACCATATGTGATGTCGCACCCTTCTACAGCTTGACCACTACATCCATCGAACAACCTTCAAATACTCAAAATGGCATCAGGTTCCTTCGGACCCCACCCAATCCTGTTCGGAACCAGCCTGGCATACGGCCTGCTAAGCCTAGGCCACACGGTACACTCACCCACCTCCTCACCCACCTCCTCACCCACCTCCTCACTAACACTTCTCTACTAACACCTACATCAGGCTAAAGGTCTCGAGCAATTCAAGCATCCCTCCACGAACCAGCTTCCATTGTGGCTCCGTGGCGCCTCCAAAATAGGCTGGTACGAGGGTAGCGTTTGGTTTGTGATCGCAGGTGTTCTGAACTACAAATGGAGTCAGACGGGTCTCGTTGACTTGGCCGACAAGACCATTGCCAGCTTGTTGATGACTTTACTGTTTGGAGCTGGAGCAAGCGTGAGTACTTCTGACCGCGCAGTGTGCACTCTCATACTGATTCGTGAGTGTAGTATTGGCGCGTCAATGATAGACCGACCGCTGGGGCTTTGTTCGTTGTGGGTCTTTTACAGGCTGCTGGTGCAAGGCAAGCTTCGTGAAAATGACGCGAACAGCGCATGTGCTAAATGGCTGAGCATGTTTGACTCTTATATAACCTTAAGGGAAAAATTCACGCTGAGTTGTCGTGTTGTGCAAGAGGGTTACAGAGAGAATGAAAAGGAAATCATATTCGTGTACATGCCACAGTCAGACGAAGCTCGTGACACATATCATGCTTCATTAATCGTGAACATGACGCCAGTATCGCGAAGATGACTGCCGCATGATGCGAGCCAGACCCATGACGTCCCCAAGCTTTCTCACCATAAACCGCAGATTGCATATTGCATCCGTTAGTAGTAATGCCCCGCCGTGCACCGATCCCTTTGACTTGATCAGTGACGTGTTGATACCATAACCTAATAGGACTCACCGTATCAACTTAGTGAACAGGTGCCATGTTGCCAACAAAGTCCTACTCCTTAGCGACCTTCTCGACGGCTCCACCGGGGGCCTCGTTGGTGGGCTCCTCGAGCACCTCAGTAGGAGCTTCCGTGGAAATCGTCGAGGAGCTAGCCGAGCTCGCAGGAGAGTCTTCGTAGGTGACTTTGACTTTGACCTTTCGATCGATCTTTGCAAGGAGTCGCTGGAGGCGCTGAACGTAGTGGTTCTCCATGCTATGCATGGGATTAAGGGTGTACTCATCGCATGCCAGCTGCTCCAGCCGCAAAAACGCCCGCTCGGCGGCGTCCTCGACCTCTTCAGCCCAGGTGCTCTTCTCCGTGACTCCGCTGACAGCTCCGTCGCTCTTGATTGTGTCAAAAGAGCCGCCGCGTGTATGTGAGCCATTGTTCGCGGGGACAGCCTGAGTAGAAGAGGTGGCACCCTTTGCGGGACCGGTCACGGGCAGGTCCTTGCTGGAGAACTGGACATACTCTTCAATGCGCGGGTTAAGCCGAGCGGATCCGAGCGCAATAGGAATAGCAGCTGGGGTAGGAGAAATGAGCGGGGCTGCAATCTTATTGCGAGTATACCTAAGGCGCGGATACGAAGTCAGTGCGAGTCAAGACAGGATGGACGTTTGCCTCGTATGTGTCTCAGCCAGGCAAGAAAAGAGATCTTCTTGCCTCTGCTTCATAGAGACACCCACTTGGTACCCGCGTGTTTGCTTACTTAGATGCGCTCCAGTTTCCAGTAGAGCGACCAGTAGAGCTCGTATCGTCCTCGATGTTCTCGCCCTCGTCCTCTTCGTTTGACGTCACGACAGAGCGGCTGCTCGAGGCGCAATCCGAATCTTTGCGGGGCGAGCTGCGCTCGTGAAGCTTGAGCTGGGCCAAGCGGTCTCCGAGAAGACTGAAACCACGGCTACGTGTGACACGATAGACGGATGGTGCAGGAGAGAAGGCTTCGGGGGTGTTGATGGGAGGGCTAGGTAGCATAGCGACGTCGGCTTGCTCGTTCAAATCCTCTTGTATTGGGCCAAGAATCCGGCCGACGGCGTCGAAGTCGGGTTGCGTACCATTGTTGTTGCCATTGGACGACTCTGTACACGGTGTTGGGTTTGGAGGCGTCGGCGCTCCTGAGGTCGAACTAAGCGACATGACCTTTGTCGCAACTGTGCTCATGATGGCTATCAGTCGCGGGTCCTTAGCTGTTGAAGTTAGTTGGCCTTGTTGATGAGAGCGGGTGTTTCTGTTCGAGGTTGAGCGGGGGTTTGCTCACGTGGTTATATGCTTGCAGGTGCCGCGTGAAGTGAATGTTTCGAGGAAACAGATGTGGGTGAAGGCGGTAAACACAAACAATTGCCGAATGAAGAGCAATCGTAATTGACAGTGCATGCCGAGAAATGGTGGATACGTGAAGTGACGGTGTTACTGCGCTGGATACGGTGACAAGGGCGGTTTGTGCGGGCGGCGGGGAGCGTGCCTTCCTTTCTCAACTTCAGATGACTTCCTCTTGCCCCAGACAACTCAGGGACCCGACGCAGTGACGCCGCTACCCCGCGATCGGTGACGTATGGCTTCGACTTCCCCAGACGGGGTCCGGAAGACTGAAGTACTAGAAGGCAGGTCGTGCAGCGCAATGGGCTCCGTCGCCGGGCCACTCTGCCGGGTGCGGGTCCTCGAGCAGGCAGGGGACAGTCCGCCAGCACCGTTGTTGATTGAGCTGGCACGCTTGCTCCTGCTTCGAAGCCAGGGGAGGAGGTTGTAGTAGCCTCCACACGCGAAGACACCAATCCACAAGATAAGCTCCGTTCCGTAGATGACAAGACCAAGAACATCCAGCTCCGGCTGGAACAGCACCGACACCAAGGAAAACAAGTCCCCCGCAGCATCAATTCCTACGAAGAGGAAGGAGATGCCGCGGACAGTGCGATGGAGGTAAATGTCCAGGTAGTGGCGGAGCACACCGGCCGCGAGCAATGCCGCCGAAAGAACAGCCATGAGAGACAGCGGCCATTGGAGTTTCCTATCTTGCGCAATGCGTAGAGCGATGATCAAGGCTGCCTGTATGCCACCCAAGATACAAGCCACGGGGACAACGAGGGCAAGGGAGCGCGGGACCGACCATTTCTGCATTGGAAGTCAGCGCCTTCTTGTCAGGGTGTAGTCTTTGTAAAGAGTGAGAAGTCACCTTTTCGTAGTAGTAGCACTGGATCCAGGTCACCAAGCTCAATAATGTCAATATCTGTGGCTGTATTCTCAACGCAATATTGAAGTCTTTGACAATGTTGTAGACACCTAGCGGCACGCCTGCACAAGCCCACAGCATCATCATCGTAGGCTGGAGGCCCACAGCGTTATGCCGGCGATAGTTGATCACTATCTGTGGGATCAACTGCCTTTGTCAATACCTCCTCAACCGACTCATTGCCACGGGATGAGCCACGAACCTGAACAGACCAGCAGACCTATGAAGCATTAGTTTCACGTGCGTCATCCGAATAATAGAGTACTCCACATACGGCACCTATCGTCCCTAGAACGTTCGCTGCCACAGGTACATCCATCTCACTATGTCCGAGGAAAGGTGCGATGAAGAGATGGCAGCAGCTCGGTCCTACTTATGAATTCACAGAGGGTACGCCAAGATGCGGTTGGCAAGGCTGGTTGGTCGATTCAAAAGCAACATTGCTCTCGAACCATGTCTCAAGCTACGACCAAAGTTTTCGAACCTTCTTGATAGCGTAGGTGTACACAAGACATCGTCCGAAGTGCGATGCGATGAAGTGACAGGTACATTTATGTGCAGCCCTTCTATCCAATCGGCTGCTCCAGAGCACCGCGACAAGGATGCCCTGCGCCACTAGCCCGCCTCGGACGAACTTCTCGCATTTCAAAGCATCGCAGCACTTGGAAAACACCACACTCTTTTATATAACGTCTTTTCAGGCCGGAACATGGCGCCAGGTCCGATAGAACAGCCAGAATCGGAGCAAACGGAGACGAAACCAGTACCCAAACTGTCCAAGGGTGTTGTACTGGGCCCAGACGGCAAGCCGTGAGTACCATCTCCAAATACAGCTCGATCGCCCACAGCTCGGATATCTAGGAGTTACAGTATTGATTATGTATATGATTACAGATGCCGTACCTGCACCGACGTATCCTCCCTCTTCGCCATGACAAAAGGCACAACTACCAAGAAGCGCCCCGCCCTCCCCACCGACTGCCCTCCCGATGTCGCGCAACTAGGCCGCTCCTCTTGGACACTCCTTCACTCGATCACCGCGCAATACCCTGAAAACCCGTCTCCCGAAAAGCAAGCTGAGACAAGCACTTTCATGAGAACGTTCGCAAAGCTATATCCGTGTTGGCACTGTGCCGGCGATTTCCAAGACTGGATGCAGAACGGGAATGCGCCGCGGGTGAGCTCGCGGGAGGAATTTGGACGCTGGATGTGCGAGGCGCATAATGCAGTGAATGTAAAGTTGGGCAAGAGTGTGTTTGATTGTGGAAGATGGGAAGAGAGATGGAGGACTGGGTGGAAAGACGGAAGATGCGACTTCTAGGGGATTAGGGTCGTGTGTATAATATGTGTATACGGGAAGAGATTGCATAGCGAGGCATTCGCGACGCGCTACATTATATGCAGCATTGGGCGGCGTTAGGATACCATCTCATCTTCGGCAGGAAAGCCTCCAATCAATGTGTAATATATGGCAACACTCAGCAATCTGCCTCACCAGCAACTGTATTACCAATTGTCTCACCTTAGTACGCTGCAGACGACATCACTTTCTAAATCTACAACGGAACTCACCCTTCGCTACCACGGACAAAGCACTCCAGCTGATCTCGGCGCACGACATCTTCACCGTCACCACTTGCCAGTTTCCCGTCTACAACATCCACGCTGCCACGACATGAGCCCGTCAACATGCCCTCAACATGTCTGACTCCAATATTGAAGTGGCCCTAGGCGACACCCTCGCCCACCCCAAGCTTACCTTCAACCACAAGCACACCACCACCGACAACGCCAGCATCACACGCCTAGATCGCGAATCCGCCATCGCCCTTGGCATCCTTCTCCTCTTCATCTTCCTCGCCATCTCCTGGTTCGTAACCTCCCGCATCCGCCAGCATAGGGCCGCCATTCGTGAAGCAGAAGCCCGCCGCGCCTCTGTATCCGCCAACCATCATCTCTCCCGGACTGAGGCAGCTCTCAATGGCATCACGGGCTATCGCATTTTCAAAGCTGAGCGGGAAGTCTCGCGGAAGGGGAGGGAGAACTGGAAAGGCAGTGAGGGTGAGACGAGGGCGAGGGGAGAAAGTGTTTCCACGCTGCCGCGGTACGAGGAAAGGAATCGGAGGAATAGTGTGTGTGCGCTGAGTGAAAGGGAGAGAGAGAGGAGGTGGTGGGAGAGTGTTGCAGCGCATGGGACGACGACGAGGGCGGATGCAGAGCTCCCACCACTGCCACCGAGTCCTACGTTGGACAATTTGGCGTTCCCCAGCCCTAGTGCTTCTGTGGGTATAAGGTCTCCTGTTGCTGATGGCTTCCGCAATGACATTTGGCAAAGTGAGAGAGAGCAGCCGAGCGAGAGCCACGAGAGTGTTGATGTGGGTCCTTCGTCTCGAAACAGCAAGGTCGAGAAGTGGATAGCGGAGAAGGTCTAGTTAAGTACTTGCAAGGATGAAATGGGGATGAGAGTTTGGGTCACTGAGCAGTAGAGTTTCCTACGCCAGACTTGGTCCTTGGCACACGATTGGCAAATGTTTGGCGATTTTTCACGAAGCTTTGGTCAATGCGTGACTGTAGGATGCTTGATTCATTTTGTAACAAAACTGGGTCCTTGATTTCCACCCAGTACTCCTACCGCTGGCCAGATATCTTTTGTATTCTGGATTTCGAGAAGACCGTCCCCGCACATGGTCATTAATCTGCGTAAGAGCTTAGGCCTGCTCATCGCTCAGATGGCCATAAACACGTCGTTATTCAAGCCCCGTCTATCCAAGCGCCCACATATGCGTGAAGCAAAGTTAGGTGATGCCGTTACAGCAGGCCGAGAAAGGGATTATCGCATAATCTCCTGGAAGATGAGGACTATGTGAAATTAGTATGGGCAACTTTGATCGCAGGGCATTCAGTGACATACGCTTCAATTGCTCCTTGGTGAGATTGTCCTTGTTCTTGTCGAAGTCGAAGAACTCCTCTGGAATAGGATCCGCAGTAGGCTCGTCATCCGGGTCGTGGTACGGCTCAAGATATGGGTGCTTCAACGCGTCCTCGACTGTGATACGCTTGACCGGGTTGAACGCAAGGAGGCGCTCTAGTAGGTCCAGGGCAAGGTCAGAGGTCTTGGGAAACATAGCCTTCCACGGAATCTTCTTCTTGAATGGAAGCGATCGAATATACTCTCGAGCACGGCGAGACTTGATACCGTAGTAGTCTTCCATAGTCGGCGTGCCAAGCACATCGAGGATGAGGGTAAGCTGGTGGTGATCTGCAGTTACACATTAGTCGGCCGTCTACAGATTGGGAGTCACACTACTGACAATCCTTTCCAGGAAATAGGGGCTTGCCGCTCAGCATCTCGGCTAGAATACATCCCACACTCCAAACGTCAATGGCCTTGGTGTACTCTTTGAACGTGAGCATGATTTCCGGTGCTCGGTACCAGCGTGTAGCAACGTATTCCGTCATGAAACCCGAGTTGTCTTCGGTGGAGGCGGCCGATCGCGCGAGACCAAAATCGCAGACCTTGAGATCGCAATTGGCGTTGAGGAGCAAGTTAGAAGGCTTAAGATCACGATGCAGGACGTTGGCCGAGTGCATCGCCTTGAGCGCGCGCAGGGTCTGGTAGATGAAGTATTGGCAGTGATCGTCGGAAAGCTCCTGCGTACGAATGACACGGTGCATGTCCGTCTCCATGAGTTCCTGCATCCAATTAGTATAAGACCTCGGCCGCAAAATGATGTCGCATACCTGGATCAGATAGACCTCTGTAAAAGTTTCATAATTCCTGGGTTTCTGGATGTCGAGGATGGAGATGATGTTCTCGTGGTTGAAGTAACGCAGAAGCTTCATCTCGCGCAGCGTTCTCAGACAGAACATGGAATGATCGAAAGGTGTGATCTTCTTAATGGCGACCTTCTGGCCTGACGGCTTGTGTAGCGCGGAGCTGTTCCAAGGTCAGGAACCGCTGTGACATTTGATAGGCTGACTGGTAGAGCTTACCAGACCACTCCATATGCACCCTCACCAACCACATCTTGAATGTCGTATTGCTCCGAAACATTGAAGGAGATCTTCCTGGAGCTACCGCTCCCTGTGGGTGCGCGAGACATTGCAGCGGTCCGTCGGGTGGTGTGCGCGGATGCGCGAGGCGGATGTGGGGATGAGCTGCTGCTCGCTTTCAAGCTGTTGAGGGGTGAGCCGCGCAGTCGTCGATGAGGGACTGTCGCTGTGACGGCAGCCTAAGTCTAGGAGAAAAGCTGTCAGCGGACTATTCTGTTGTTTGTTGGTGGAAACAGCGACGGCGTCTTGTTCTCGATCAGGCAGGCGTCTTGGGCCAATCATGCACTCTTTAGGCCGCGGTTGAAGAGGAGCTTGCTCGTGGTGCAGTGAGCTCGGACCCGCTTGCCGTTGCCCTGGAGTACATGACGGGTGAATTGGACACGCCCATGAACAAGGTGAGGCGCATGGTGTATGGGCTGTTGGTTCAGTGCTCAAGTCTGAGCACAAAGCACGTACCGATTCGAAGACGCCGCAGCCGCGGAGGATCTGACCCGTCGTCTGTAGTGTAGAGGGTCGCTCCTTCTGGGGTGCGATGTGTGCAACTCCAAACGCTTGTATTGGAGAAGTGTCGGCGTGCGACGCGCGGACAGTGTGGGACGAAAGGCGAATCTGGCGGGGGGTCGACAGGCAGGGCGACGTTCGCGTAGGAGAAGGAGGAGGGGTGAGTGTGGGAGTAGCGGGGCGGCGGGAGGAATACGATTCACGGAGTGCCTGTCAGGGCGTGCGTGATGTGAGCTGGTTGCCAAGTCAGCCCTGTTCACTGTCGACGTGCGCAAGGCGAGGGAAGGAGCGAGCAAGTGTAGACGTGGCAGCGTACCTGTCTTGTTTAAGGTGTCGCTGGCAGTGCACGAAGGGTTCAGCTATCGCGTGGGGCGGGTGGTGGGTGCTAGCAGCGGTGGTGCGGTGGTGGGATGGCGGGGCTCTCGTCTGCAGCTCGCTCCTGAAGCGGCACGACAATGCAGGTTCGCAGCAGAGTCGGAATGAGGATGATGGGATGGACGCAAGGAGCTCTGGGAACGCTCACCGCATTATAACGCCCGCTCGAGCCTGCGCTGGAGAAGGTGCAGCACTGGACCGTCGTTAGCCCACTGCAGCGCCCGCACGAGCACGAGGGAGGGTCCGGCCGCGACGAGTTAGCCGCTGGGGACTGTGCTTGCGCACTGGAGACACACAATTCGGCCGCCATCCCGTCTCCGCCGCGCTCATTGGCCCGCCGCCTCGTCTCTGTCTCACGCTCCCAATGGAATCTCCATCGTGAATCACTCCAGGCCCAGTCCTGTGATTTCTGCACCTCACACGCCCCAACTGCTGCACCGCCCCATCGCCCTCTCTGCCAGTCGCTCTTCTGCCCCGCCACACATTGCCCCCCTGCGCTTAGTTCCCCGGCATTGCACCTGCATGTCTGCAAACTTTGCGCCTCCTGGTGCCGCTTCGTCTGTTCCGTTCCCGATTCCAAATCACAAAGACTCTGGAATAGCCTTGGAGCTGCTCAAGGACGTCTGTCGCCTCGTAACCTCACATCCCAACCGCTATCAGGCGGTAGGTCCAGGCCAAGCTTCGTAGGGCAGCATCTGAAACCTCGCTCGCGTTTCCGCGAACCATCCTGCAGGGCTAAGTTGCATCTCTGCGGCGCCTATACCTAGCGTGTCCACGTCTCAGACCGCCGTATCCATGCGGCTGTATACATTCCCGAGACCATTGGACAGCACAACTCCAACTCATCTTTCTACCCTTCAGCGGCGCCCAATCGTAGCAGCTTCGGCACCCCAACCTACACGACGAGAATGCTCCTTTTTGCCAGTTAAGACATGACGTCCCGCTGTCTGTCTTTCAAGGTCCACGTGTGGTCTCCATTGACCCGACCTTCTCGAACCGTTTCAAGTCTGCCAGCCGAACACTATCCCTGCCACGTCTGCACTGCCATGGGATATCAATAACTTCACGGCTGACTCTTGCTCTGGCACCTGAGGCAGTCAGTCCTGTCGCCTTGATCCGTGTTGACTCCTGCATCGGATCTTTGTTTCCTCATACCGATTCGAAGTTCGGGGCTCCAACGGCTTACGAACGCTACTCTTCTACTTTACAAACACCATAACACCGCCATCCGGGCATGAGCATCCGACGAACGAATGGGTCATCTGCGTAACACTCATTTCCGCTCTACCATGGCAGCGGACACCCGCTGGCCCAGCCGTACCATGTTAGTCATGCAGCTGCCTCTACGTTTCACAAGACTGTCGTGACGAAGGAGATCCGCGTGGCTGGACGTTTACCTACAAACTGCGCAGGCAGCCAGGGATACAAATTTGAGCACGTGGCTTGGGCGAGTAACATACCTGCAGGGCCCCGGACCGTTCCATCGAACCACTGGGGGACGGTACCCCACGATGTGGTTTGTGCTCATGCGTATATTCGCGCAGACTACATGTCTTCCCTTACACGGCAAAGAGATCCAGTGTCCGTTCTTCCCTCTTCAGAAGCAGCTTTGACAACTTCTCCTCCGACAGAGCGCTTCATTCCCGCCGCAGAGAAGATTTTACACCAAGATCACATCGCCATCTCTGTGGTCCACTGTGCTCGGAATTGTGATATTTAGTACCGATTCCCTTTTTGAATGCAGCGTGTTATCTGCAATGCTCTCAAACGTCCGATTCAAGACCATTTTCAGTCTGAAGCCCTAAGGTAAGTCATACATGCACAAAAATATGATGCTGGAGAAATCTTACTCCATCTGTTTAAGCTCAAAAAGAAAGCAGAATGCCAAAATGAAATGATAGGAAAGCGGTGAACCAGGTTTGAACTGGTGACCTTCAGGAACCACGAGTATGAGTACTGCAGCCCGCTGCTCTACCACTGAGCTATCACCGCAGAGGATTTGCTTTCCTGGCCACAGACTTCAAATTTTGCATCTATATAGCATACGAACATGCTGGAATGCTCCAGTATATTCTCTTGAACATGTTGACACTGTACAAATTACACTTTCGCTTCGTGCGATGGTGCAATCTGACGTTCGCTTGCCCCGCAGCGAAGGACCACACAGTCCTCAATTTGACAGCTAGCGTACACGTATCCCCACTTGAACTGCACACAAAAGAGTTTCTACGCATCTAATAAAGTCTTCTCTCGTGAGTCCTTGAGTACGCTGGACTACACTTCAAGTCATGAATGGTTTGCAAGGCCCCCACCATGGCTGAGCCCTATTGGCCCAAATTCTACGTCCCAAGACAGAACAGAACCTATCGATATAGACACTTGCTTGTTATGAAAACACATCTACATTCACTGCTTCATTGATCCAGGAACTGCTTACAATCAATTCTTCGGAAGTTGGTCGCACGAAGGCTACTATTGAGTAGGAAATTCTAGCAATGCCCCCGTTGTCGTTCACGTTCGATTAATTTGCTCGTCGAAGACAACCTCTCATGGCGTCAACACTGTGTCCGTACGAGACATTATGTATATGCTCAATTCCAAATTACAAATTCTGACTCATGTCGATGCATTAGGGGACCACAGTCCCGTAGTTGTAGAAGCTAACTAGATTTAGCTCGGGTTACACACACTTATTACTCCCTACGATGCTCGATCATGATCTATGTAAACGCTGTACTTGGCTTTCCTGAAGCGTTCTGTTAGAGTTATGACCTTTAGTACAGACTGCAGACGGGGCACCTGAACATAGATTTGGCTGCCACTGCTGATGCAGATACATGTAAACTTTGTTGCGTAGACTCCTATAGTAAGCATACAACATCCTACGATGGAGATAATGTATTCATCGCAAAGAGGGAACGCTATCAAAAGACAAGACCGGAGGCGTCGGCCAATGCAATCCTCTTGCTCCATGTGTGCAGTCGTAACTGGTCGACTAAAACCGACCTTCGACATCAACCACTTCCCGTACCAGCGGGTGTGGTTCAAGCCTACTCGCCACCCTTCCTGCTTTTTATTGAACCACACAGCCGCCTAGTCACGACGGGCCCTTGGGCGGGTACTGCTGTCCGGCGCTCTCGATCTGGGGCCCACAAGTGCACCTACACGCGACCTCTCAGCAAAGGTCCGTTGTATGCAAGCTAAACAAATATACCATTCTTCTTGCGGGACGTTGTCCATGACGCCGGCGATGTGGTTGCCACAGCCCCACCAAGTGGTTTTATCTGTCGGTGAGGGTTAGTTGGGCGCGATGGACGGAAGGGGAGGAGAGAGCTCACAGCATGTTGAACATGTTGATTTGCGGCACATGGTTGTGTAGTGTTGCGAGGGATTCTTTGGCGCTGGCAAGTCTAGTAACTTCGATTCGACGTGATGTGAATGTTCGTCTCGGAATTAGCCTTGGTTCGCGTACGAATGGGTTTACAATGGAACAAGATCAGGTCTCTGGTGAGGATTCGTGAAAGCCGTTGGGAAGAATTGTGTATTGTTGCCAGCAAGCAGTCCTATCTCCATATATAATAACACCCCCACCATTTCGTTTCGTCCGCAATCTGGAAATGCAGGATTTCGACGGTGCTGGTGCGGTGCCACCTCCACGAGGTCGCCGACTTCCACCTCGCCGAACCAGGATACGAGCCCCAGCGCACCGCCGCTCACCCTACAGGCCCGCCGACCCAAAACATGCGAACACGCGGCCACTCCCGCGCATTGAGCGCTTCGTTCGCTGGAGGATGCGTGGATTCATCAGGCATGCTGTGCCGGACGTAAAGGCCGCCGCATCGTGATGAGTGTTGTCGGCGAGGAGGAGTGTAAGAGCTAGTAAGCAAGCGAGGGGCGCCCGAATGGGGAGGCTTTGCGACCTAGACTAGGCTACGGATACTATGATAATTTTGCCATGTGGCGTTGCGCGAAGCATACTGGACAACTCAGGGTCCATGGTTCCAAAAGTCATCCCGTAATTCCTGCTTGTGTGTGAATCCTGCATCTGTTCCTCGGACGCAGACATGCACAAGTGTTGGATGCCAGGATGTCATCGGCGAGCCCTCTATCGCCCCATCATCCAACAATCAGCAACAGCCCCTATCGCCGTTCGAAACCTAATGTTACAGAATCCATACCCATGCCTCGCGGAGCCGCCGAGGAAGGATCTGACGGGCTTCTACGCCGTCTCGAAGGCTGCGGATTGCTAACATGGTGCATTTTCCCCACATACCACGCACATGGTCCCCGAACCTGTACGCTAAGCCCCTCGTATCTACACGGGGTGTTACCAAAAGGAGGAACATCTGAACCACTCGGGCGGTGTACTCTTCACATGCGGTTTGAGGTCCCCGTGCGAACGGCGAGGGACGGGTAGTCGAACGATTATGATGAAGGTGGCGGCAACGTGGCCATGTAGCGCCGTTTCGACATCCCTGGGCACGAATAACCTCAAAATGCAGATATCATGTTTTCTTTGCCAGGGCATGGTCTGGAATCGAAGTGTAGTTGGCAGAGTGAGAGTGCATTATGACCGAGCTCGCTATCTGGCGAGAAGGAGGCATATCGTGAGGTACTCTCCAGTGGCATAACCCCGAAAGCACACTCCCGTGTTGAAATTAGGGCCTGCTACAGCTCTTCTAGATTAATAAACATAAACGATTGTTCGGTCATATGTCGGGGAGTCACTGAAGCAGTCGATGGTCCCCAAAGGGTGCGTAGACTAATACTGTATGATCATCAAACGAAATGTACGCAGAGCTGAAATAGAATGCACATGACTCAAACAGCAGGCAACGTTTCAAATCAGACATTCGTCTATAGTTGTGCTTCTACTCGGTGTAGATACTGTCCCACAAAACAGACTTTTGACACACCGCGGACGCCGCTCGCTTCGATAAGTAAACGACCTGCGGTAACCTCGCCGACTCACAAAATCTATCAATCTATACAGAGTTGACGATCCATGTTATCGTCAAGAGAAAGGTAGGCTATAGGCTCGCCAAGGTTGAAAGCGATTACGAGTGGAGTTCGATCGCGAACCCCAGGTCAAGTCGGGCTATCATCGGTTTCCATATTATCGACTTGATACTGAATCGCCGACGTGCACATGCGTGCGAGAGCTCTGCTTTCAGGATTCGCTGTACTCGATTGGTAAGGAAGTCTGTATGACCAAGAAAGAGGCAATATTGCAGATCGGCCGTTCGTCTATATGCAGCATCTTCTCCGCTAGAAATGCCGAGTCCTATGGACCAGGCTTTTAATGCAGGCCTGGACGCCGCTTGCTCCGACAGGTAAGTTATCTGCGAGGACCTCGCCGACTAATTTGATACATGAGCCCACACATTAATCGAACGATATCTTCGTTGCTTTCTTCGTCATGTCTACATCCTTGTAGAAAGCTCCGTATGCTCCGTGCTCCTTCTTCTTAACGGTCGTACCGAACTTGAGGAGGTCTTCGGGCACGGCCTGGTTGGCAGCCTTCAAAACGTTGATCAACCTATAGTGAGTGTCAGAACGCCATAGACTCTTAGAAGGTGTTGGGTGTCAACGTACGCTCCAGACAGAGCCTTATCGTGCTCTGTAAACAATGTGATCGCAAGGCCTTCTTTCCCGGCACGACCGGTTCTGCCAATGCGATGCACGTAGTCCTCGGCTGTCAGGGGGAAGGTCACATTGATTACCACTTTGACGGCCGGGATGTCCAGACCACGGGCGGCAACATCGGTAGCAACCAAAAGAGGAACATGGCCCTCTTTGAATGCTTGCAGCGAAGCACTACGCTTATCCTGGCTGAGATCGCCGTGAATACCCCCTACACGGAAGCCTTTCATGCGAATGAAGTTCTCTATGCGCACGGCTTCCTTCTTGTATAGACAAAAGACGAGAATGCGGTCTTCCTTGTTCTTCCCCGACTGATACTGTTTCAATAATTGGAGAAGACGCTGTTCCTTGCCGCGAGGGTCAACAACCTCGACCAGTTGCTTGATACGCGTGTTCGCGCGAAGCTCGCCGGAGACGTTGTCGCCGATCGTGATCTTTACAGGCGACTGCATGAAGGTAGACGCAAGCTCACGGACAGAGGGCGGCCAAGTCGCTGTAAACATGAGCGTTTGTCTCTTCGTCGGCGTTTGGCTGATGATCTGCCTGATAGCCTCCTCAAACCCCTTGTCAAGCATTCGATCAGCCTCATCGAGTACGACATATTGTGCGCTGCTTAGATCGGCTGAACCGTCCCCAATCAAGTCGTTCAAGCGACCGGGCGTAGCAACAACAATTGATGCAGTCTTTATTGCTCTGACCTGAGGGTCCTTTGGTACACCACCATAAACGCAAACCACTTGAAGACCAGCTGGGGTAGCTAGCGAAACAAGCTGGTCATGGATCTGTACAGCCAGCTCTCGGGTAGGCGAAACGATGACAGCCTTGACGCCCTTCTGCTGCTTCTTTGGCAGCGAGGTGATAAAGCGCACGCAGGGCACACCGAAAGCCAACGTCTTGCCAGAACCAGTTTCGGCAACTCCAACCATGTCCCTCCCTGACAACAGCGCGGGCCATGTCACTGCTTGTATAGGTGTGGGCGCCGTGAAAGTCTTGAAAGGAGCGCGTTGAGCTTCGTCGGTTACCGGCAGGTAGTCGAACTTCATGATAGGGCGAAGCTTTTGGGATCGAGGGTCATCGATGGTGACAGCGTTAGTGGTAAGGTACGAATCGATCTCTGACTGCGGGAGGGCCGCCAGACCTTTGTTCTCTTCATACGCAAGCCCATCAGTCTTGGACGCTGACTCTGGGGTAGTTGCAGAGGACTGTACGGTGGAAGGAATAGCGGAGGTCTTTGCCGGAGTGAGCTTGGATGCGGTCTTACTTTCCCCTTCAGCTCCCTTCTTAGACTTCTTTTCGGCCTTCTCTGCCTTGCGCGCAGCTTTGCGCGCGGCCTTTGCAGCGGCCTCGTCTTCCACGGCGCCATTCACAGTATCTTCTTGCGCTTCTGCAGTATTCTTAGCCTCCTTCGCCTCACGTCTCGCCTTCTTCGCAGCCTTGCGCTCTTCCTTAGACAGCTTCTCCTCGCTATTCACCGCCTCATCCACCACCATGGGCGTAGAAGTTCCATTGGTAGTGGGTTCCGACTCGACGGCTGCGGTGTTCTTCTGTCGCTTTTCGCTCTTGTCTTTTTTGCTCTTCTTCCTAGACAAGGAGTCACTCGTCACAGGAGCCCCTTCGTCGGCGATCACATCAGCAATTGCGCGTTTGCCCATTTTTAAGTATGGTTTGAGCACAGGGTGTAGGAATCCACCCGCTGGGATTTCGCAGCAACTTTTTTGATCGGCATATCGGGGGCCGCCACCGCGAAATCTTGGCAAGGGCCCACATAATTTATTTTACTTTGCACTTCGCAACATCAAGCTTAGCAACGCGAAACCTTCAGAGCCCGTCCCTGACCATGGCGGTCGACAACTCATTAGAGTCGCTTCTCGGCACCCTCACCACATCGATACAGTCTGCTACCGAGGCAATTCCAAAAGACGATGTGCTTCCGCCAAAAGAAGGCATCTCATTGCTCGACGTGAAGAATGAGCTGTTGCTTTCTTACCTCCAGAATCTCGTATTCCTCATAGTGCTCAAGCTTCGTGCGCGAAAAGAAGAGCAAGACTTGGGACCACAGGACGAGGTGGTGCAAAAGCTCGTGGAGCTACGAGTCTATCTAGAAAAGGGCGTGCGCCCACTCGAAAACCGCCTGAAGTACCAAATCGATCGAATCATCCGAGCAGCAGATGATGCCAGCCGGAAGGTTACACAAACGAGCAAGGCTGCGAAAGCGAAGCCGTTGAAGGCAGAGGCAGAATCTGACGCAGACACCGACGCCAGCGCCGCAGATTCTGACGGTGCTATGAGCGAGGATGAGAAGATGGAGATATCCGGACCTAGGCCCGGAAGATTTTCGCGCGACAAGATGAGCGCTGCTAGCAAGACCGTGGCATCGAAAGATGGCATTTACCGACCACCCCGAATTGCTCCTGTTTCTATGCCTACGACAGAAAGCCGCGAGGAACGACATGCAAGAAGACCTGGAAAGTCGGCAACCCTCGATGAATTTGTCGCTACAGAGCTCTCAGCTGCTCCCATCGCACAGCCTAGCATCGGAAGCACTATCGTCGAAGGCGGTCGTCGCACAAAGTCCGACCGCGAGCGAAAGGAGGAAACTGAAAGGCGAGAGTACGAAGAATCGAACTACGTTCGTCTTCCTGCCAAGTCGAAGAAGGATCTGGCCAAACAACGTAGTATGGATCGCCGCGGCGGTGGATTCGGGGGTGAGGAATGGCGCGGCCTTGGTGCTGGGTTGGAACGCATAGAGCGCTTGACGCAGAAGAAGGGAGGGTCTTCGGGCACGCTAGAGAAGAGTCGGAAGCGTCCGATTGAAGATGGTCCGAGGGGTAGTGGATCCGCAATTGGAGACGCGTTTGAGAAGCGGAGGAAGGTTGTCGCCAGATATCGCAAATAAGCGCTGTGCATCAGCTTGTGCAACGTAGATAAACGAACACACATGTCAATTCAGGCTTGCTAATGTGTGAAGATGCTCGTGCCCGTAATACATATGTATTGACAGTAGATTAGATAGATAGTATAGCGTAACGGTTCTTCACCATGCATTCGTTCCATGTATACGTTATCCAACAGTGGTCCCGCACTCAGAAATTCGGGCCCATTCCCACGCCTCCATTCCCCTTAGACCCCGTATTCTTCAAATGCGCGCCGCTACCTTTGAACAGGCTTTGCCATATAAACGCTTCACTCAACAATAGCTCAATGTCCTTGTTTGTCCATTGCCGTGTCGGCAGCGATTGTAGGAACATCATTATTTCTTGGAAGTCCATCTTACGCAGCTCATCGGACCACTTGACGAGGAAGGCGGCGCAGACGTAGAGGTGGAAGGAGGAGAATCCATCTTCTTCGGCCTTTTGATCGTTAATGGAAAAGTCTTTGGAGATGGGACGGGTAAAGTGCACTCACAAGATAGGTATCCCACATCCTAATCGTGTTCTCAACGGATATCTCGCGCATCAGAAGGCAGTTCATCCACCTGAAGCTAAATTGTATGAACTCAACGCCCTCGTTCTGTAGATGCTTCGCCAGCTTGTCATCGATCCTCGTAGTCAGGTCCCTGAGATCAGCGACCTGGCGCTGGATTCCTGGTTGTTGCGAGATGTAATTATCCTGAATGCCGTCCAAGAGCTTTGTGAGACACCAGAATGAGTCAGCTTCGACAGCGTCTAGAACTTGTTTCGGTAATTGACCGGGATCCATGCCAAATTCGATATTTGGATCTGATATGTAGGCACCGAGGAAGACTTGCCAGAAGGGTGTGACTAAGTCGTTGATACCTTGTACGTAGCCTGATGCAGGATGTCGTATCGCCCAAACGTACAGTATCCGTTCCAATGACCTTTGTGTGGCTTCGTAGCTGTACAGCTCGAGATGTGGATTCGTTCGGGGGACGTCGATACTGATCTGGTGCCAGATGGCCTCGTCTAGACCGCGACCCCGTCCACGGTTCGCTGAAGGAATGGATGAAGCTCCTGTAACACCAGCGGCAACAGCGCCCGCGCTGCCCGTAGTGCCCCGGTCAAAAGCCTGCCGCACGCCCTCTAGATATTCCTTTCTTTTTCTTTCGAGTGTCGCAACCCTACGCTCGGTGCTAGTAGGTAAATATCCAAGCAACACCTGCCATGCCATAGCGCGCACTTCAGATGGGATCCCCGACCATGCTGAGTCGCGAAGTTCCGACAGGGATATAGTACTTGCTTGTAGTATGCGCTTAAACTTATTTATCCGCGATATTCGTGCTGAATGTTCCTCAATCTCTTTCACGGAGGCTGTAGGATGGATTGAAGGGTGCGATATCAGGTGTAACGAGTTCGCGGGATCGCGCAATATTTCCTGGTATTGTGGCCGCAGTATCTTGCCTTCCGACTTCTTCGCTGTGGGGTAGTTGGGTATGCCTCTCTCCTCGGCAATGTCGCCGCTGTCTATAGCCCGCCATGCAGTTGATCCAAGGCTATTCCTACCCGCTCCTCCGGGATCTTTACCCTTTGTTGGTTCTTTCCGGCGGCCTTTCCTTCGCATGCTCGCTATACTGGGTAGTCCAAACTCGTCTTCGTCATCCTCGAACATGATATCGCCTTCGTCGTCTTCGCCGTCGTTCCAATCATTATGCGTTTCACTTAGAAATGAAGTATATGTCGCGCGTGGTGGAGGCGATCTCGTGCTACTAGATCGAGCGGCAGGGATACTGGACTCGCGACTATGGGTCGCGGAAGGCGGGGTGCGTGGGCGCGAACTTGTACCCGAGACAGATCTTGGATGGTGAGATCAGATTTGTGTTGGTACGCGGAGGAGAGTACATACAATGTGTCAAACTTTAGTATATCGGCATGCGAATAAGAAGCGCCTATTATCTTCTTATTGTCCGTTGCTTTGGATGTATTTGAGGTAGTTCGCCAGAAGGGGGAAGCTGATCTAGCAATACGATCAACACAGCTCGTCTAAGACCAGAGGCACGGAGGCAAGACATACGAGGAGCGGTCTGTTTGGTAGCAAGAGACATGATTAGCAGTCTACTTGCTGTGACGAGAGCGGCGCAAAGGGTGCTACGAACCGACCTGAACCATTTCCTAGGCGAAGAATTAGCAATGGCATGGGCAGGCGACTAGAGATGTCTAATGTACCTGCTGCTGCTTCTTGGAGGCCATGGTGGTGTCGGGCCAGCTGTTCACCCCGCGTACGTGACGCTCGAGTTTCGAGGCTCAGACATCAACTGGCAACCATGACCATGGCGTCGGCGCAGGACGTTTGCCAAGCCCGATGACGGCTGCTTCCGGGCAAGCGCGTTCTTGTCTCCTCACGCTCGCACTGGCGTCAGTCTCTTCTGTCTCTTACCTCGTCAAACAATACAGCTCTCCGTGAACCTCTTAACCAGGTCGCAGACGCTTGCCCTTCCTTTCTCATACCCTCAAATATACTGTCAACTCGGCGCGCATAAACTCCGGGACACTAATACTATCGTTCAATCACATCTCTAACCTACAGAACCCCATCATGGCTGAAGAGACGTTCGACGAGGACATCTTCGACGATCTGTGAGACTCGACCGCTACTTTGTATCGCACGTCCGCTAAAATCAATAGCTACGATGAGCCGGAAGAGCCTGCAAAGTCAGCACCTGCGCCTGCAGCACCAGCTGCACTGGCCGACTCCGAACCTGTCGCGAGAAACGAGCCCGCCGTTGATCCTGCTGTGGGCGCGCCAGGCTCTTTTGATGGACATGCTGCGCAAGACGAGTATGCGCCCGTGGACGGCGACGCGCAAATGGCTAGCTCGAATTTTGCGGGAGCTGGAAACCAAGGCTCTGGAAATGAGCACACTGTCGACGACAACTACGGTCCGATAAATGTCAAAGAAGATGGGTAAGTTCAATTGCTATTTGTATTCAGGTAACGGTATCTCGGATGCGCATCGCACGGCCTCAAGGGTAGTGTGTCCTTGTGCACATATTCCCTGTCAGTATGATGCTTCCCAGAAAGGGACGCTCGGGCGCAACAGTCACGTATGGCTTCAGTGCCAATGATGAATGAAGAACTCGGATCACATAAGGAGCTGGAAAACGTCGACACTCCATGGCAAGCTTGAGCCATGCAGCCACGGAGCTGGGGCGCAGTAGAAGGACCGGCGGCCATTCTTTGCTTCAGTGATTAGGCTGGGCTGTAGGAGAATACAAGCGCTCTCTGGCAAGCAACAAGACTGTGCGTGTCGGATGCTATCAGAAGGCCGAGGATCATCGAGAGCTCGATTGGTCTCCAAGTGGACACAGGCTATGTGATCAGAATGGCAGGGCATCCAAGTACATACAACCAGCAGTGCGTTTCCGGTCATGGAAAAAGCTAGCCTAGAGTAGCCGCTCTACATATCAGATCGCCGAACAGCATCCAGGCGCGCGAGGGACATCGCAGCATGCATTCAGCAGGCGGCGCCTTTTGTCGATAAATACCTAGGTACCAGATAGCGCGTACCAGCTACGAGCTGAGGGTAGTCCAAGGCTATCGGGCGCTTAGTCCGCTCTCGCCTCCATAGCAAAACACAGACGCTTCAACCGAACATTTCTGTGCATTTGCGGAGCTGCTTGTACATCTGCTGGAATCGACTCTGTACTGGGCCCTGCCTCGACCCGTTTGCTTGGTTTGGCGCATGGCTCTGCTGCAGGGCAAGCGTGATCCGGAAACGAGGTAAACTCGCGCCTTGTTCGACAACTCCTCATCGCTTGCCCTTCGATTTCAGGCAACACAATTCGCAATACGTCGAGCACCATCTCACCAACAATATGAAGGGTCCGCGTGATTGCTGGGCTATTCTGCTCCAAGCACAGAGAAGGGGATTCATCGGTGTTGCATCTCGACGAGAAAGATCGGAGGACTTCATTACCCGTTGAGTGCTGAATTTCTGCGCCGCTTGCAAAGCATATCGCTTCTCCATTGAAAATTCGAATGTTGAAAGCTCGAGAGCTTTCCCTAGCTTATGACAGCTTCGGACACCACGATCATCTCAATATCGACTGCCCCGGCGCATCCTCTGCCAGCAGCTTAGGCATGGACGCCAAAATTTCCATTTATATCCTTATGCTGGAGCTAGGACGAACTTAATAGACCCGAGGTTGCGACAATGCGCATGCGAGATACACATGTTTACTGACTATATGCGTCTATTAGTTTGCATTGTACTAATGATTGTTGACAGCAAGATGTTCATCGGTGGATTGAATTGGGAGACTACTGAGCGTAAGTTATCCCGATTTACTTCTCATACAACGACGGCTCCTTTGTCGTTCCTTCATCCATCATTGTAAGCTGACCAGTTGTATAGAGTCTTTAAAGGACTACTTCTCTCAATTTGGCGAAGTCAGCGAATGCACTGTGATGCGCGACAGCGCAACAGGCCGGTCCCGAGGCTTCGGATTCTTGACATTTAAAGACCCCAAGTGCGTCAACACCGTCATGGTCAAGGAGCATTATCTTGATGGCAAGATTGTAAGTTACTGACCCCTGATCTATCTTCTCTCGTGCTGACGTTTGTAGATTGACCCCAAGCGGGCTATCCCTCGTGAAGAGCAAGAGCGTACGAGTAAGATCTTTGTAGGTGGTGTTAGCCAGGAGGCTACTGAGGAGGATTTTAAGAACTTCTTCAAACAATTCGGTCGCGTAGTAGACGCTACTCTCATGATGGACAAGGATACCGGCCGACCACGTGGCTTTGGCTTCGTCACATTCGACGGTGACGCTGCAGTCGACGCATGCTTACAGGGACCGCTCCAAATTCTCGGCAAGCCCATCGAAGTCAAGCGCGCTCAGCCTCGAGGAAACATGCGAGAGGAGGAAGACAACAAGAAATTTGGCCGTGGAGGCAAATTCGGTGGCCGAAACGAGCAGGCAAACAACGGTGGTGGAGCGGGAGACTTCAATCAAAACAACATGGGCGCCAACGGTCAGAACGCGGGTATGACTCCAGCCATGATGGCCCAGTACTGGCAGCGCATGCAGCTCTATTTCCGACAAATGCAGCAGAACCTGGCTGCACAAAATGGCAGTATGCCCAACGCCATGGGTGGCATGCCTGGTATGAACCCTCAGATGATGGGTATGATGGCCAACGGTGGCGGTCCCATGGGCGGCATGAACCCGCAGATGATGAACCAGATGGGCATGATGGGCGGAAATATGTCCCCAGGACAGAATATGGGCAACCAGCCTACAAACTTCGGAAATAATCAAGGCATAATGGGTGGTGGCGAACAGCGACAGGGCGGTCCGGGTTACACTGCCCAAGAACAACTGATGTTTGAGCAGCAGAAATACCAGCAGCAAGAAGCCCGGCGCATGCAGCAACAGGCTGGTTTTGGTGGGCAGGGCGGACCTACCAGCTGGGAGGGCATGTACGATGACATTCCTCAGCCCGGCGTTCCCTCAGGTCCAGGCGCTCAGCGCATGCAGGGCGGCAAGTTCAACAACCGCGCCCGCCAAGGCTCATCCCAGCCGCCATCTGGTCCCAGTAACGCCCCAGCAAACGCGCCCACGGGCCCAAAAAACGCAGGCAAACCGGGCGCGAACTACCGAGGTGGAGGTAGAAATGCCAACTATCGGCACAATCCTTATGGAGGAGGTCGCGGGTAGCCGCCGTTGAAACTCAGCAACGTACCCGCAAATGCGCCCACTGGTTGAAAGGGGCAAACGTCCAGCAAATGCACCCCCGGCACTAAAGCGTGTCCCTCCAGAAAACGCCCCAACGATCCGGAACACACGTAACCCAGTCGCGAGCCTGCACTCAAACCAATATAGTGGAGGAAAGTTATCTATAAGTCAGGGCAACGGTACGACTGCTCTCGCTATATCTGCTGGAAGGTGTTAAAAGATTATGCTACATTCAACCCTTTCTGCCTATACTTCACGGCGTTTCTGGGAGGGGGTCTGAAGATACCTGCACTGTCTGAGCAGTAGGTGATACATTACACGGTAATGAGACGTTTGTACAGTAGCTCTAAATTCGAATTCACATCTTCTGGTATTGACGAGTGCCAAATTGACCTTGTGATTAAAATCGAAATGATACTAGCCGGACCGTTGAGATCAAATTAGCCTCTGCTCTTCTTGGTTCGAGATATGGAACCAGGGGTGAATACACAGAAGACGCTCGACGGGCAAGTCAGGTGGCTGAATGTCTGTGCTTTTCTTGGCGCTGACTCAACTTGCCCGCCGCTTGCCTGTTCTTATGCCCGACGCCGCTGCTTCTCCTCTCCTTTCTCCCTCACTCTTTGTCTCCACACTTCTGGAGAGCACCACACCACCACTTTCGCACGAACCTGCTCGCAATCGCAGCATCAGCTTGGATACTGTCGCTGGACGCTTGGTTTCTGGTTTGCGGCCAGTAATACAACTTCTGGGGAAGTCGCGGCTCGCCATACGTGTACGGCAGGTAACGCCCACCTTGCGCTCCTCCAGCGCCGTTGTCCTTACTCCTGCCCTTAAATAGCAATAAAGTTGTTGCGCTCCCTCCCACACTCACCTTTGCGTTCTCCTGCTCTACAGTTCAGCTTCGCGACAGCTGTCCGGCGCTCCGAGTGAGATCCTCGGTAAAAGAAACGTCTAATCCCACCCTCACAAGCCTGTCGACAGGACTCGTGCACCATGTCGTCTTCCGTTTTCTACAAGTTCAAGAACCAAAAAGAGCCTGAGCGCATCACATTTCATGGCACCGGCATTTCCGTCTTCGAGCTGAAGCGTGAGATTATCACCGCAACCGGCCTGGGCGATGGGTCCGACTTCGACCTGCACCTATACCCTGAGGACGACCCGACATCCGAATACAACGATGACACGACCGTTATTCAGCGCACGAACACCGTTATAGTAGCTCGTCGACCTGCCGCCCGCGGTCACGGCAAAGCTGCCCGCTACGTCAGCGGCAAAGCCCCTGTCCGCGCCCTCCCGAAGGCTGCTCCTAAGTCTGCCGCACCCGTAACAGGCGCTGCCGCAGTGCAAGACGCCGAAGCTGCGTTCCTTGCCGAGTCGGAGCAGGCTTGGGAACAACAGAAGGAAGCACTTTCACAAGTAAAGCAAGTTCACCACAAGAAGAAGCCCTTAAATGTGCCTAATCACGATCCTCCCGCGGGCTATGTCTGCTATCGATGCCATCAAAAGGGCCACTGGATACAGTTGTGCCCCACTAACGACGACCCTGATTTCAAGCCAGTTGCTCGCCCCAAGCGCACTACCGGCATTCCTCGATCCTTCCTCAAGACGGTCGAGAAGCCCGTAGATGAGGAGGATGCCCGCGGCGTCATGCTCAACGCAGAAGGAGAATATGTGCAGGTCATGACCGATACCAAGACCTGGGAGAAATTTCAAGAGAAGGCGAATGCGGCAAAGGCTCATGCTGCTGAGGCCGAGGCTGTGAACAAGGAGGCACAGAAGCGAGGTCTCGCGTGTCCGATAGACCAGAAAATGTTCATGAACCCTGTGAAGACGCCATGCTGCAGTAAGACCTACTGTCACGAGTGCATTGAGAACGCCTTGGCGGATGAGGATCTGGTTTGTCCTGGCTGTGGAACGGAGAATGTTTTGATTGATGAGCTTGCTACGGATGAGGAAATGGTGCAGAAGGTCAAGGCGTATGTGGCTAAGAAGGCCAAGGAGAAGGCAGACAAGGAACAGCAAGCAAACGAGGAAGCTCAGGCAGCTGCCAAACCTTCAACCCCTAACAATGAAGATACCAATTCTGTGCCTCCTGCTGATGAGACGCAAAAGGCTGGTGAGACCAATGGAGATGGTTCAAAATCACCTAAGCCAGATGGTAGCAATGCTCCTGAATCAGGTTCAAATATCAAGTCGCCTCACACTGTCGCAGCAAAGCCCACATCTTCGGGCACCCCAGCTGCTAGCGGAAACGGTTCTGACAGTGACACGTCGGCCACGTCCAAGAAGCGCAAGGAGCCGCCAACGGATATCAAACCTCCCACAGCCCCGAAGGCGATGCGCCAGCAAAAGGAACAACAACAACGCCAAGTTCAGGATACTACTGAAACGCTGATTCAGAGTTTCCAGGCCGATATGGATGCGATGTTCAAGGGGAATCCAAATATGCCCATGTCTATGCCTATGCAAGCGAATCCTATGATGGCCATGGCAAATGCCCCAAACATGAATGGCATGGGTATGAACGGCCCTATGAATGGCTTCGGACCCATGAACGGCAACTGGAATCAGGGTTACAATCAGGGTTTCCCGAACAACATGGGTTACGGCGGCAACATGAATCAGGGTTGGAGTAACGGGTACAACAACAACATGGGATTTGGCAACATGCCCAGCCAGATGAACGGTATGAACGGTATGAACGGTATGAACGGTTACGGCGGTGGCTGGAACCAAAACCAAGGTTACAACAATATGGGCGGGTGGCAGGGTCAGCAAACGGGCGGTGGGTTTCCCAACCAGCAGCGGACGACCTTCAGCGAGCAGCCAAACCAGCAGGATGCATACGAACGCAAACCTCTGAATCCGCACCGCAGCCAGAACAAGCATCGCAAAGCTCGTGCCCCGGATTTCCATGTTTTGTAAATGATCGGCACATGTCACGGCCTACAAACCACCATTTCTGAACTCAAGATACCCATAGACGGTCATATATCGCCGCGATATCTTCCACTCACATCAGGTCTCTCCTTGTTACCTTTTCGACATACTCCTCTGTACTATACCTCGACTTATTTACGCATGGATTCCCCCTACGTGGCCGTCCCTTCTCATGACGAGCAGCTTCTTTTTTCCCTTTTTTTTGGACGACGATGGCGCACGACGGTGGATTACACTCGACTCTACAACGCCCCGGCCCTCTCCCGTCTGGCGTTTCGCGGGCATCTTGGTGGCACATTGAGACTTTGGATTATAAAGCGTTTTGCAATGGGCGGGCGGTCGGTCTGTGTGGTCAGGCTTTGTGCCATGTTCCTGAAGCCTTTGTTTTCTCCTGTTTGATTGGTTAGGCGGGTGTTGGCCGTCGGGTTTCTTGCGTGGTGGCTGGTACTAGGGGGCTAGCTGCTTAACTGCGCGGCTCCGCACTGTGCATGAACAGGCTGCTCGCAGTCAAGGGACTTCAATGAAAGCATGCACCCAAGTCTGGTCCAAGTTTGCTTTCTCCTGCCTGTTAGTGACGAGTTCTGAATCAAAGTCTGCATACCACGCTGCCTTCTTCGGTGCGATATTGATGTGAGGTATGTGATGTGTTGCTGTAGTAACCATATACTGCGACGTGGCAATCGCCCAAGCCTGACTTTACAAGCATTCAAATTCCTGCAGTCGTGTCTTTTAGCCTTCGTGACCATGGATGGTCAACGTGCCCAGAATCGCCACTAGCAGGTCACGTGCCCAAGGGTGGGATGCCTGCACTGGGAATAGGCAATGCGGGGTCTCGCGTCGCTCTTACTCAACCGATAACGGAAACCCACGATAACACGACCGTTTGTTGCAATCCGCAGCATCATGAGTGCCCAAGGCAAATTATCTCCCCAGGTCGACGGACCTCCCACCCCCCTCTGCACCGTCGCTGGGTGTGTTTTCCCGCCCACAGCTCCCTTGTCCTAACCTCGTTCTACATCCCACCCCATGGCGTCAGAAGCCGCTCATCTCCCGTCGCTAGTGCCCAAGTCGTCCAAGGGCCCCAATGTCCCTCGTGAGGATACTGCACGGCGGAAGTCCGCCTCCAAGAGTCGCAATGGCATGTTCGTGTTCGTTTCTCAGCTGCGGTCTTGTGCGATTGTGGGCCGCAAGAACAGCGCCACGCCGTTGGTTTCCGCTGTCAAGCCCTGCATGCTGTACCCTGCAGCTGCAGTGAGCCTTGGAGCTTAAAGGGACTTCTGGCCAGGCGCTGAACAATAAGTAGGCCCAGTACTAACAGTTCGCAGGATGCGTCACGTGTAAAGCAAGAAGAGTAAAGTGCGACGAAACGAAACCCGCTTGCAATCAATGCACGCGCAGGCGCGTAACTTGCGGAGGGTACAAGAAAGACATCCGCTTCCGACCCGTGGAGAGAGCTCCAGCCCCTACAGCAATATCACCACCTACCTCAGCCCCGACGGGAAAAAGAGAAGCGTCCGGGACGGAGAATACTGCTCGCTTTGGTGAGGATCAATCTGGAGACGATGATCCTACGCGTGCTTCCGGAGACACTGGGCCTTTGTCTTTCTGGCCTTGGGTCGAAGAGGATGTGTCCAACATCCCTTTGCCCGACTTTGACCTGAGTACATTGCCATGGATGGATTTCTCGCATTTGGACTTTCCATCTGCTACTGACGGGAATGAGACATTGGAACAAATCATGGAAGAGGTCAGCACAGATAATGGGCATGGCCCAGAAGAGTCACTCGGGAGCGCGGATAACGTCAATCCTGATTCTTTTCTGCGTTCGCCGGATTCACCATCGTTAGACGTCCCAAACTTTCCTTTCTTTCAGAACATTGAGATCGAAGCGGACGACAGGGAAGAGGTGGAGTCTCTTTTTCACCAGGAATGTCTTACTGTACTCTCGATATGGGAAGACCGAGACAGGAATCCTTGGCGTACTATGATATGGCCCATGACACAAGAATCAAAAGCCCTCTATCACGCTGTAGCTGCAATGACATTTCTGATGCAGAGCAAGTATACGCCTAACGCCCGCGACAAGGGTCTTATACATGCGCGCAAAAGCACACAGCAACTTGCAGCAGATTTAAGCAATGGGGAGATCCAGATAGATACCGCGCTTGCTGCGACCATAGCGCTGGGGTTTGCTGAAGCGTGGGACTTTCAGAAATCCTCGACGGGGAGGACGCATATTCAAGGCGCAAGGATCCTCCTGCAACAGTCTATCTCACAACTTCAATTATCTCAACCATCTGACGATGCAGTTTCAGCTCGCCTCAGGTTTCTCGCGAACACCTGGATCTATATGGATACTCTAGCTCGTCTCACATCTGATTGTGGACCAAGCTTAGATTCAGATCTCTTACACTTCTTCACTGACGCAGGCCCGCTAGCAATTCGAGAGGAGCTTGACCCGCTTATGGGTTATGCGGCATCCCTATTCCCGATCATTGGCCGAGTCGCAGACCTCATCGCCACAATTCGAACACGTAACCAGCGACGAAATTCCCCGATCATCATATCAAAAGGCATAGAGCTCAGGCACGTAATTGAGGATTGGTCTCCAGCCATCGATCTGGAACAAGTTGACAAGCCCACATCCAACATGATAGAAGCCATCCAAACAGCTGAAGCGTACAGATGGGCCACACTTCTGCTACTCCAAGAAGCTGTTCCCGAGCTACCCAGCTTGGTCGCATACAAAGAGCTAGGCCAGAAAACACTTGTTTATCTTGCCACCATACCTAGCAACTCCGCCACAATCAACGTCCACACATACCCTCTCATGGTCGCCGCCACCGAGGCCGTCGAAGAAGAAGACCGAGAATTTGTCCGCGACCGCTGGAATATCATGCGAAAACGCATGGTCAACGGTATTATCGACCGCTGCGAAGACGTTATGGAAGAAGTTTGGCGCAGAAGAGATGCTCATTTCTCCGAATGGTTAGCCCGGAATAGTCCAGATCCTGCCACATTCGGCTTCTCACCGTCCAGTGCTAGCGGGATTGCTGGTCTTATGGGAGGTTCAAACAAGACTTCGCCAGGAACCTGTCGAGAGAAGGCTAGGTCTCCGACGAGAAGGTCGACTGCGCATTCGGATTTCCCAATCTCGATTGCCTTCAAAAAAGGTGTGGATCCGATCACTAGGAGCGGGAATGTCGATTATACCGTCAAGGGAAATCTGCATTGGATTGAGATTATGAAGGAGCGGAATTGGGAAGGTATGTTGCTACGGCCTCGGAAGTACATATCACATTTACTAACCGTTTGATAGTCTTGCTTGGGTGATTTAAACCCTGAGCTACCGGCTCAGAGACGGTTGCATTCGTATGTCTAGTACGATGTGACATGAGTGCTCCAGACGCCATTACTTCAGACGTGTATATATCAAATTGACGCGCGACCCGCGTATGTACATTACGATTACGCCTTGCCCATGTTGTGTTCATGTCCATCACCTAGCTGATAAAGCATGTCCTTCAAGCTCGTAAAAACATCGCAACCGCAGCCCCCAACCCAGCCAACGCCGGTGCCACTGTCTTCATCGGTGCAGCACCCGGAGACCCAGTTCCGGAATCCTCTGTCCCTGTAGGCGTTGAACCATCTGTACTGACAGCTCCGCCCGTAGTCGCACTCGGCAGCTTCTCCTCGCCGGCCGTGATGACAAACTGGTACTGGTTGAAAGAACTCTTAGCCGGTTGGTACGTCTCCGCCAACGCGCTGCTGGGAACTGATATCTTCGACCGGTCCGTCTCAGAGCTGCACCACCCTGGAATTGGCGTCTTGGAGTTCGGCCTTGCGAGCGTACGCACAATGGTCTCTACGCCCGCTGTATCTGTGTCGCTGAACGTATAAAGTTGCGTATGAGGTCGTTCGCTGCGCAACGCTTCCGAATATTCGCTGTTATTTGTCCAGCGACATGCGCCCTTCAAGAGCTCCGGCCCGCGGGAGACAGTGCAGTCTGCCGTTGAGGCTGTGGAAGGAAAATCGCACTTGAGGCTGTACGCGTTGCCCCCGGATGACTCAGAGTAACCTCTGTTGATAAAATCTGCTGTCGAGTAGTCGAACATCGTGGAGCCGAAGGTATAGGTTGCCGTTCTCATGTCGAAGTTGTTGGTGTAATCTGGGTCGTCTTCTAGAGCCACGGCGAGGGTCACACGGTCGTCGGATGCGTTGATGACAGAACCGACAAAGCGGAGTCTGTTAGTACCATAGCTGGTGTTGGGGAGGAAATAGGAGGTTGTGATGTTTGCGCATGCGGTTGCGGCGAGAAGCGAGAAGAGGAGGGTTGTACGTGTTGCCATGGTGCTTGATTTGGGGGCGTGTCCTACAATGGATGGTATTGCCTAGCACTGCACGCTATGACCTTAGGCACTCAGTCGTGGTCTACGATCTTGAGGGTGCTATGAAGTAGCACGAACCAAAGCGCTATTCAAAAGCTCCATGGGTACTTGGGTCTTATGTATCCGAGGTCCCCATCCGAGCGCGTAGGATCATCGATGTCATTTCGCTTCACCGAACACGAGTTTTTGGGGTTGTGTCAGCCTAGCGTGGCGCAGGATCTTGTTCCCTACGCTACAATGCTAACGATTCCTTGCCATTGGCGGGTTCATCAGTTTACCCATGTGCCCTGTTACTTCCGTGGCGGTGCAAAATGATACTCATTTCCAAGGCTGTAGATGATATACGACTTGGCAGAGAACTGTGAAGTCTTGGTGAGGGGAAATCATGAGAGCCGAGTTAGCATAGCCTCTTTTGCTAACATTTCTCTTGCGACATAGTGATTCAAAGTATATGTTCTGTCCCTGCGCAGTAGCCCTAGTATGTATTCATCAGGGAAGAAGGCCATCACAAGATACTGATGGTACGAATATCACAACACGTGGGGTAGGGTTGCTGGAGCGGATATCTGCGATGCTCAAGGACTTCAAGATTGAACAAGGAGGTATAGTCTAGTACACGTTAGCTTTGTTCTGCATCCTACACTTTCCCAATGTGGCAATTGTTCGGGGAAAACGAGTGGACATAGAAAGGTTGATGGACCTGGTCACGTTAACATGGCAAATGTTCGCGGAATGTTATGCACGTAACATAACACAGATGTTACTGGTGCCCTTCGCCTCAGGTTCAGCCTACTTGCTTCACAGTGTATGACCATTGTTGAACGCATGAACAGGTGGAAAAATCGAGGCAGTGCTCGTTCTTCGCCTCCCGCACGCATCGATCGACAATAGCAAGAAACGAAACAGCCTTGTGGTCAAGGATCCTCAGAAAATCCTTAATTGACGGCGCGTGCTTGCGGAGTCACTTTCGACTATCCACACGTCAGCGGGGGCATGCTCTGTACCTCGTCCGGTGAACCCAAGGAGACTGAGCATATCGATTTTCAAAAGGAAAACACGGACTGAGATCATCCAAGGAAGCATTACGAGTGACGAACAACTGCCGAAGCGACAACCTGCAATGTGACTTTGATATCGTTGATTTTACATGCTTTGTGTCGAACGTCGATGTGGATTTTGGTGGGTGATTACCTTTCTCCTCCACACGCTGAGCATCTTTGGAATCCTGGAAGTTGCGTTACGTAGGCCACATGAGCTCCGCCGCCGGTGTAAGCTATCGTGTAACATCTCACTTCTCCTCCAACCCCAGCTTCTCGATTGCCTGCGCCCCACCGTCCACACCGACGTCGACGGCGGCCTTGTCTGCGCCCTCAACGTGTCCGTCCGGCTTAGCCTCCACCTTCTTTGCCGCCCCAGGGTATCCGCTGCCTTTGTTCTTCACCTTTTTCTCCTTCTTTTTTTCCGATGGTGGTGGAGGGTAGGCCTTCTGCTCGATGTCTTTCCACTTGCTGTCAGCTTGGAAAGCCTCCTGTACAGGGGCAAGTAGCTGGATGAGAGCTTCTGTGACGGCAGGTTTGAGCATTTGGGGTGTGAGCTGTGAATGTCAGAAGCAAGTTTACGCAAGGTTTATGATTCCGAAGAGTTCTTACAATGTCATTCTGGTAGTCTTCTTGCATTCTCTTGATGTCGGTGTACACGAGCGGCTCGCCTTCCCTCCGCTCGACAACGAACTTGGGCGTTCCGTGTCGCAGTTCGCCAGCGGGCAGCAGCACGTACTCGACAAAGCTGAGCACGCCGTTCTCCTCAACCTGCTTCGGCGGCGCGAAGGCCTTCTTAAGCTTCTTGCGCACGGCGTCGGGCGTGTCCAAGACGTCGATCTTGGAGTCGGGATCGCTCGCGCTCATCTTGCCACCCTGGAGGCCGGGCACCATGGGGTTCATCAAGTGCGCGCGCTCCTTGTATCCAATCTTGGGGAGTACGTCTTTCGCAAGAGCGAAAATCTTGCGCTGGTCCAACCCACCGAACTGCACGTCTACGTCCAAGTACTGTTCATCCAGTGCCTGCATGAGCGGGTAGATCAGCCCACTAAGCGGCGCGTTCTCAGTCTGCTTGACGACCTCAGCACCCGCCCTCTTCGAATCGTGCTCGCTCGTTATACTGGCTAGCCGTAGTAGATCCATCATATAATCGGGAGCGAGTTCGTAGGAGGAGCCGAGCACAAATTCGAGCTTGTTGATGGGGACGTTGACGGCCTTAAGCAGCGCAGTAATGACATAGCGGTAGTATTCGGCGCGGAACTTGACCAGCTCGATGGGTGCTTTGAGGTTGTCGAGAAATCCGTGGATATCTGCAAGCAGGATCTTGACGTGGCAGCCGGCGCGAAGGAATTGAGCGATCTTTAGGACGGGTACGAACTATAACGCGTCAGCACACGACCAGCGTTTTCTGCCCGACAAATCATAACGTACGTATCCGCAGTGTGGCCTGCCTGTTGTTGCAGTTCCCCAGTAGACTTTCAGACTATCTCCCCTTGTCGAGAACCGCCTCCATGATCTCGGGATTGAGCACCTCCTTCAGGTTGACTTTGATCAACGCCAGGCGGTCCTCCTTGCTCATCTCTTGTTGTCCTGACCGATCTACAGTGTCCGACTGCGCCTTTTGTAACCGCGACTTTGCATCTTTCAATTGGTCTTGCAATTCACTGAGGTTTTTCTCCAGGAGGGCGATCTCGTCCTGGATGGCGACGACCGGGTCTGCCATGGCGGGGTAGTGGGATGCTTTCAGAAGCGTGCTAGGATCAATTGTTGTATCTTTGGAATACCCTAAGAGATTCTTGTGAAGAAAGGAACCAATTTTCCCAACTTCGAGTATATGCGTGTTGTGCTTATGAGGTCGCTCGTTCAAGGCTTGATGAGTCGCTGACTGAACGAGTCAACGTGGGGCAGAGACAGGGTTAATAAAAATGGTGGACCCTTGCTCGCGGAACGGGTGCCACTAGTGGTGCGCGGGCTAGGATTACGTCAGGTGAACGCTTGGTGTGAGTACAGGAGTCAACATAGATATGCTGAGTATGATGTACTGTGCTCTCAATGCGTGCGTAACCTCGAGAAAGATTTAACATGGGTATCAAAATCAAAGGACGGCATTTTCGAGTCCTTTGACGGCCACAGACTCATAGACTTGACAGGATCACCTTCTTCACGAACATGCGTGCGCGAACATTATCTCATGGCATTTTGTCAACAGGTATCTACGCCTGTCTTCCGCGTCTCGTCGCTTCTGGCTTTTGGCTTCACCCAGAGCGTCTTGTTCCTAGCAATGTAGGCCAAATCTAACATCATACGCTACAATATTCCAAATGGCTTCAGACCACAATCGTCAAACACAACGGGATACTATTCAGCTCATCCCACCAGCCTCAGTCCGCTCGCAGGGGCGCCAATTTGGCACACCTCACAGATCTTGCAGATCGTGCCTTTGTACTTCGCATGGTACTTAGCGCCGTCGTAGGGGCACGCTGCGGATGGGCTGCCTTGATATATCGGTGTGAACGACGCAGCACAGATATCGAAGTCAGCAAACTGGTCAAAGTCGATTTCAACAGCATCGTTAGGATTCCGCTCCGCCGACGTCTTGATCCTCTTTGCCTGCTCTTTTAGCTTCGCATTGGCGGTACGGTCCAGAAGGGCATTGGCAAAGTTGAGCGCAGTGTTCAACTGCTTGTTCTTGTTGGCAAAGTTCATTGCTGCGGAAAGTGGGAGAGATTTATGAGGGCCTTCCAGCTCAGGAACGGTGAAGTATGCCGAAAGCTCGAGTGCTCGCTTCTTTGTGTCTTCGGGTAGACCAGTGATGTCGGTCGCGCCTTGGACCAGAGACCTTCGCTCTAATTCGATGGACATGGCAATTACATATTGAGCGGCAGTGTGAATTGCTTGTCTGGCCTATGGGTCTTGTTAGTGGTCGCAGACCTAATCTCCATATTACTTGCAACATACCTCTGAGAGCTGTGCTTGCGAAGAAACAACGTTGACAATCAACAGCTGTAGTAATCGCTTGAAGACAGCGACACCGTCTTCCAGCTTGTTCTTCAGCATGGCTGATTTACCAGCTGGAAGCTCATTCGCTAATATCGACTCTAGATCGCGCGGGATAATGGGTAGTATCTTTCGCGAGTCGGTTTCGTTGACTGTTCTTCGAACGTAATTGACGATCGAAGGCATATTAGGCGTAGCAGGAAGGAAGGTTCGTGAGGCTTTATAAATCTCTTCGAAGCGCCACTCGAGTGGTGCGAAGTTCACAGCGCCTACCTGTCGGTTCAAGAGCTGCATAGCAGTTTCGAACGAGCCTGCAGCAACGTGATCGGCGGCCAGAGGAGAGTTGCGAGCCCACAAATCTGCCTCGCTGCTGCCTGCGCCGGTCTCTGTACCCTCAACCTCAACGAAATCATCTTCCGCATCAGCTTCGCCATCGTCACCCATGTCCCAGCCACCAACATCGTCTTCTTCATCGCCGCCAATGTCACCGGCAGCAGCACTTGGCGCTTCGACATCACCCAGAAGATCTTCATCCCCGTAGCCGTTAGCTGCTGGCTCTTCTGCGGCAATACCTTCAACTTCACCGGCAAGCGCCCGTTCGAACACCGTAGACGATGCAGCACGCGTCGGCCAGTTAGTCTTGTACGTAGGAACAATGGGTCTAGGCGGTGTAAGCGGAGATCCAAAAGATGGCAGGTTGATCTGGTCCTCGGAAAGACCGCTAGCCTCTAGTATCTGTTCAGCTTGCTCATCAAGACCGTGTGCCTTGGCTGTAGCGTATGCAAGGGGATAAAGGTCGATCTCCTGAAACATTTCGATCCGGTTCTGCACATCGCCGAGGTAGAGAGCATTTTGGAAGCGAGCAGTCATATCGCCACGGTGCTCAGCAATCTTAGCCATGCGCTTGAGCTTCTCCTGATCTCCAGTGGAGAGGTAGAGGAAGGAAAGCTTATCGAAGTTTCGAAGCTTCTGGTAAGTCATTTCTACGACCTGGTGGTTCCCGTGCGCCAGGGCTTCGACACTGAGACGTTGCCAGAGCTTGGGTCGGTCGAGCTGCTTGGCCATTTCGACGGCCACGTCCAAGTTTCCGCATTCGATCGCAAGCTCAAAGCGCGTTTGCGGGTCTTGAACGAATTGTAGCGCAATCTCCGGGTAGCCCTTCTTCTGTAGGTATGAGATAATGCTCTGACCCACAAGACTCGAGTTCTTGATGATGTTGAGCATCTCGTCGTAATTTCGCTTGACCAATGCAAGTTTGAAGCGGTATTCCGTAGGGTCAATTTGAAGGACCTTGGGTTTCGCGGCGCGGTCTAAACAGTAGATATTGCGCCCCTTAACCTTGACGAGATAGACTGTGTGCTCCAGAGTGCGCACGATGCCGTTGTCTCCATTCATCAAACTATACTTGACGTGGTTCAACGTAGAGTACAGGAGAACACCAGCATCGTCCCAGGCAGCGCTCTTTATGCGGATAGTCTCGTGAAGTGTGCTGACTTGTTCCAGGTTCTTAGTAGCGATAGTTACATTGTGTTTGCTCAATAGCGCAACGTGGAGACCATCAGACGACCAGACAACGTATTTGACGCCATTGACAGAGAGCTCAGCGAGGTTCTTCTTGGCCTGGATGTCATAGAGAACCACGGAAGTCGGCGTGATGAGGAGCAGATTACCGGTACCGCCAAAATAGATGTCGGTCGTTCCGTGCGGGGGCTTGATTGTTTTCGTGGTCGAATTGCTCAGATCTTTAATATCGATCTGCTGATTCTGCTGATTGAACACTGCAAACCTGTTGCGAGCAACAAAGACAGCCGAGCTACCAGATCCTCGCTTGGTGTCTGTAGGCTCTACAGCTCCTGATGCATCGCGTGGCAAACTGATGAGCTCGTAAGTGCCGCTGTCAGCGGGAGAGGTCACGAGGATAGAGCGTTCGGCGGGGTTGTAGGAGAGCGTCCGAGGCGGGACCCAGGCACTGCCGAGCTTCTTCAAAGAAAGCATGGACGGAGATTCGATGTTCTTCTGAAAATCGTAGGAGCGCACGTGTTTCTCCTTGGTAATATAAAACAGGTTGTTTTGGTAGACCGCGGACGCCGGGCGTTCACGCTCTAGCTTGAACACCATCACTCCGTTGTCGTGGCCGGCTGCGAACAGGTTGATCTCCGGATGCGCAGCAATCACCCAGAAACGATCATTCTCCCTCTTGAATGATTGAACAGAGGTTCGGCGGTTGAGGTCCCATACGCGCACGGTCTTGTCTTCGCCAACGGAAAGTATGAGGTCCTGGTGCGGGTGGAACAGACACGCGGATGCGTTCTGGAAATGGCCTCGGCAAGTGTCCACCTCCCATGCTTTAGTCTCTGACATCCTCCACAACTTCACCAATCTATCATCACCGGCCGAAACGATGAGCGGAAGGGTAGGGTGGAATGCGACCCAGTTCACTCCTCGGTCATGGCCCTCGAGCACGAATTTCACAACCGCATCCGTGTTTCCAAACATATCGGCCTGGTTCTGGTTGGCGCGCGCCATCTGGTCCTCAAATGATACCGACGTTGGCGCGGAGTGTTTTTTCCTCAGCCCTGAAATATCCCATACGCGGACGGACTGGTCGAGCGAGGCGGAGACAATGAGGTCCTCCTTCGGGTGGAATTGCGCGCACATGGTGTAGTGGTTGTGCCCGGTCATGGTGCAGATCAAGCTTCTGTTTTGCCAGTTCCAAATTCGAATTGTCTGGTCGTCGGAGCTGCTCAGGATCCACGGCAGCTCGTGGTGGAAGAAGACGGTGCGGACGTAGTCCAGATGCCCATTCAAAGTGAAAAGACACCGGCGAGTCTGGTACGACCAAACCTTGATTTTGTAGTCATCGCCGCCGGAGACGAAACTGCCAATTCTTAGCATCAATACCTCGGAGCCCAGTGCCAGGTGTGCTTACAGTGGCTGTGTCTTGTGGAAGTCGATGCCGCGGACCGGACCGTCGTGCTCTTCAAAGCGATCTATCAGGGTGCCCATGCGGTAGTCCCACAATTGGATGGTCGAGGAGTGCAGTGATACGAGGATCCATGGTCTGAGGCGGTCAGCAGCGGCGCAGGCTGGAAGCAGAGGCGCGGAGGTACCTCTTGGGGTGGAAGGCAATGCCTTTCGCCCGCGACGACTTGGACTCGAACTGCAGGCGGTTAGCTGGTGCGATCAAGTGCGGGGAGCTAGCTGCATACCTTGGTCAACATGGATGGGGAAGAGGCCATGGTGGAAGTTTGGGAGCAGCCGCAGCTCCAGAGGCGCGGGAGACGGCTTCAATGGGGAGGGGCGGTGGCAGCAGACCGCGGAGAGGAGAGGAGAGGAAACGGAAACGAGAGAGATGGCGTCGTGTTGCTTGCGGTGCTGCTGCCTGTGTTCGAGCTGTGTACTCGCCAAATGTTCAATGTGTCCACGGAGGAAGTGCGGAAGCCGCCTTCCCCGAGCGGGACTAGCGTGCCTACCTCCGTTCCCCGCCTCACGTGACACCGAACGTCAACCACTTCGGGACGGCACGATGGGCATTTGCACGCTGTGGACATGCGCAGGCATCAACTCAGCCCTTCGCCCAGGCGACTCAGATTCGCATCCCGCCGCAGAGCCTCATTGCCGCCGACACGGTCCTCCGCCGTGTGCGCTGCGGGTCGCCAGAGCGGCTGCCCCGCCCAGTCACCAATCGCCGCCCCGCCAGCTGTTCGCTGGATGCCAGCAGGCCCCGGCAGCCCTGCAGTCTAATTTTGTGCGGTGAAGCCATTGGGCACGCAGGCCGTCCGGGACGCAAGGTAAGATTGTTCGAGTCTGCGCTGCACGCTGGCAGGCTAATCGCCGGCGAACACATAGCGACGGCGTGCGGTCAGAGCAGGGAAAAACCAGTCGAGTCTTGTCGCGCGCCGGTGCCGCCAGCTCAGCGTGAAACGCAGGTGAATAACTGCCCGTGTCCCGCCCGTCAGGACGAGGCCACCAGGGAGCACCGCAGCCCGCCTTCTCTGCCCTCGTCCCCATTGCCCTGCTCATTCGGCCACCGCACTCGCACCGCTTCGGACTGACAGCACGCTGTGGCTAATCTGGCCTCCGACCTGCAATTCCTGCATTGCTGCCTGTAGCATTCTTCTCTCCTCCACCCGCACCGCACGATAAGCCCAGGTGTGCAGGGTCTGACCTGTCAAACGCTCCCACCTGCCCGCCCTCCACTGGCCGCTCAGTCTCGCTGCCAAAACACTTCCAATCCACTTCTAGAAAATGATACTGTCTGCCAAACTCTCTCCTCACATAACACACTTACCTCTCGTCCACCGGCAACTGATTCCCTGAGCACCGGAACTTTCGACTGAATTGGTGAGCACCTCACTACTTTTTTGATATTCGCCTCGCAGCCTCGCGGGGCTATTTCGGTGAACACCACCGCCGCCCCTACGCCGTCATGGAGACCACCGAACGGCCGCCCATCTTCACATTTGCGAACGGGCCCTCGTCGCCGCCCATGACGCCCGGCACTCGCTCTCACGCCCACTTTCTCCACACAGACGACCACCCTCCGTCCAGTTATAAGCGCATGGGCATCGTGCACCATGCGCAATCCCCGCCGCTCGAACACATCAAGCCCATTGGACAGGGACCGCAATTCCACTTCACCAGGCCACAGTCGCGGGGTGCCTCCTCTCGACCCTCAACAGCATCTGTTGCTTGTGCGACAACTCCGCAAGACTCCGACGACGATGCATCTGATGAGGAGAGCATATATGAGGACGCTCAGCCATTCCGCAGAGCCGAAGAACAAGACATCAGCTTCATACTCGAATACTTGGACAGCGAGCCAGGCTATGATAGTGACATAGAAGTCGTGCGGCCGGATCAATGTGAAGATGCGAAAAGTGACAGGAGTAAATCAAGACTAGACGACAGCGGAATTGTTGACGAGATCAAGGAGATGCAAATCGCGGATGATTCATCCGAGGACGAAGAGCTAAGGCAACGGATGGATTGGAAGAAAAAGAAAAGATGGAGCGCCCGCATGTACAAAACCAAGCGCACTTACAGCATGAGCGTCGAGGGCGACAGCAGCTACTCCGATAACGACCCGTGCGACGATGTCGATGAATCAGCTCGCCGTCTACGCCGCCGGGTGCGTGGTCCCGGTGATCGTTCCTCTTTGATCTTCGAGGACGGGGGCTTTCCAAACATCAACAACATTGCGGAAGTAGAGGAACCGGAAGATGGTGGAATCGTGATCAAGAAAGTACAAGGCCCGCCATCAATTCCTTCCGACGACGCATTCACACTCGACGACGCGTTCGGATTTGATGAGTTGCCGTTCTGTCATGTGGAGGAGTGGATGGAGGTGGAATCGATTTACGAATAACGTTTGTTCACGACTGTTACGAAGCGTATAGACTGGACTGGTTCATGTCTTTCTTCATCTCCCAGAAATCAGCATCTAATCAGCGAGCATCTTTAGCGTGTCGCTGTGTCTAGTTTAAATTTACCGTGTTTACACTCGCATGGCTCCTGACCGGAAATGACCTTTTGAGTGAATGCGCAGCAAATTTTAGTGCGCGCCTTTGACCAAACTTGTGGTACTGATCCCACCTACTTTTCGGCAAGACGTTGTTCTTAAGACCTGGCCTATTTATGGGCGTTGCTTACCCAACCTCCTCCCTAGCCAGGATAGCCAGGGGCCCTTGCTGTTGCAGCCAACATGTTCACATTGCCGTGTGTAAGGTCTTCGTTGTGCATACATTGTGATGATTGCAACATGTTTTTGCGTCCGTTCGAAGCAGACTTTTCTCTTTGTTCGCCCGATATAGCTCGGAACGCCGCATCCGAAGGCAACGGCAATGTAAGTAACGGCGCCTGTGTAGCACGTATCCTACACATCGACCATATGTGGATACCAGAACTACGCGATTTGCAAGCAAACCAGTCACTCCACGCTCCTTCAGGTTGCACAGATCTCCTTCGCCTCGGTGCGCACGCCCAGTTCCCGTTTTAACGCCCGTCAGTCATCATGTCAACTGCGCCAGCCTCAGTTAGCGCCACGGCTCAGTGGCTTCCGACCACCTGGCTGACGGTGAACACATCCCGTTTCAAAACGCGCGCCCAATCGTATCTTTAGCAGCTACCCACAAAGAATAACCTTTTGTTTGCTAAGAAACAAGCTTATTCTTAGAGTGGAGGCTACGGCACATGGCAGCTGTCGTGGCTCAGCTCTCTCAGCATCCTACGGCTCGAAACGTATCCGGGGATGACTGGGGCTGCTGATGGGTGTAGTCGGTCAGCATCTACGATGTTGCAACCGGCGATGTTGGTATAAAGACTTCGTGATGGTCAACAGTCTCGATCCTCATCTCAGTATCTCCTTGCCTACAACGAAGAAAACCATACTTTCTCATCTCCTTTTACTTTTTCCTATCTCCTTTTACTTTTTCCTATCTCCTTTTCTCCTTGTCGTCCAGCTTTTTCGCTACTTCAACGATCATATCTGCATAATCAGAATGCTCACCATCACCAAAACTCTCGTTGCGGCTATCGCTGTCTCCGCCGTCCAGGCTCTCCCTCAAGCCGCGTCGACTCTTGCGACTGTTGCGACTCCTAGCAGCGCTATCGCTACTCCTTCGGCAGCTGCTCCTAGCCCTGATCCTGAGGTGCAGGCTGCTCTGTTCCGCGACCTCTTCAGCGCTCCTACGGCTATCAAGCGCTTCCAGCGTCTCCTCACTGCAAAGGGACAGGAGTTGCTCTCCGGAGATGCTCTCAGGAATCTTATCGTTTTCAACTTCAATGGAGCAATGCCTGCCAAGGGTGCTCTAGGCGGAGCTACCAAGGCTGCTGTAAGGCGTCTCATATGCATGTTCACACACTTCAAACTAACCCATTCGTAGAATATCGAGACCTTTCCCATCCTTACTGGTCTGGGTATCTCGACTACCCTCGGCTTCCTTAACGCCTGTGGTATCAACACTCCGCATGTCCACCCTCGCGCCACCGAGTTCCTCACCGTCGTTGAGGGCGAGGTCGACTTCGGCTACATCCTCGAAAACGGTCTCGTTGCGGCTGGCCAAAACGCCGAAGTCGCCGGCACCCTCTCCAAGTTCGAGGGTACTGTCTTTCCTCAAGGCTCCATCCACTATCAGATCAACAACCAGTGCAAGCCCGCTACATTTGTTGCGGCCCTTAACAACGAGGACCCGGGTACCTCGCAGGTCGCGCAGAACTTCTTCGGCCTCAACCCCGATGTTGTTAATGCCACGCTTGGCTTCCCCAAGACTATTGACGGAAAGAACATCGAGCAGTTCCGCAAGTACCTTCCGGTCAACATCGCACAGAGCGTCGACATCTGCTTGAAGAAGTGCGGATATCAGGGAGGCTCCCCTACTGGAAACTCGGCCGGTACTCCCTCGGCCACACCTAGCGGTTACTAAGCTGGTGATAAATACGGCTCGGACAATTTTCACATAGAGATGGTATACTGCATAGCGCTGGGATATGGTAGATCATCTGATTTTGCATAGCATGGGCGTTGGTTTGGCATTTTGATTTTACTCTTCTTCTACAGTTGCTTTGGCGACCGACTTTTTGGTGCTCTCGGAAGACATTGGACACTCTCTATAATCGGACTTTGATAAAGATGGGAAGATCACGAGCTTTCATTATAATATAATGTCATCTTTCCAGATCGTAGACTCGAACGGCATATTGCATGGAGTGTATTATAGTAGAAGGTGAAAATCACGAGCAAGACGACACTAACATTATCTGAACGCCCGGTGCCCATAGTCAGCATCCTACGCTTCCTACAATCTCTCCACAAACCACCACTTCCCCCCCTCAGCCCTCCAATACGCCGCGCACACCCAGAACCTCTCCCCTTTCTCAAACATCTCCAAAAACCACTTCCCCTCCGCATCGATCTTCCAATCGTCCCACACCAACATATCTCTACGTGCCTGTCCTTCAATCCCAAGTCTGCTCGAGGTTACCTTGTGATGGCGCAACTGGCCAGCCTCATTGTGCGTGTACCGCGAGAGGTACATATAGCACCGGTTTTGGGGCGCCCAGACAAAGAGCTCTCGCCAGACGGGATCCCAAGACCACTGGAGGTGGGGCAGCTGAGGAGGCTGCGGAGGGAGATAACGGTTGCGGCGTTGCACTTTGTCGGCGAAGCAGATTGCCAGGGTGGTGCATTTGGCTCTGAGTTGATAGAGCTTGGAAGTATGTGGTGTTTGAAGTTGCACGTGAGATATCTCATCTCCCTTTTCGCTGCTATGCAGCGTCTGGTCGCTGCTCGACCTGTTGATAAAGTCTGGCAGTCCATCTACAGTGTGATGGGTGTGTATGTATGAGTTCATGTTATTATGGTGCGCTCTAAGAGCAGGAAAGCTATTGACTATCAATTGTTCTAGTGATGATGAAGGCATTCGGCTGTGGCTCATCAGTGCGGGGTCTCGTGCAACATTCGTACGCCACCATGCTGCAAGCTGAGGAGTTTAGACAACACAAAGCCAGTCGCTTAGTCGCAGCTTGCATTCAGGGCCACATATCAGTTAACAATGGCTTTAGCAGATTACTCAAATATTCATGCTATGATCCGTTTGATCAATTGACAATGCTCTTGATACCAGCGCAAGTCATATATCTACTTCCGACCTCTTGATCATGAACGATGATTATCATGATTCATCTAATTGCACCAAATAAAAGCAACTACACATGCTCCTCCTTTCTCACGCTCTACAATCCATATAGACTCTGTTTCGGAAAGCTGCAGAGCATTAATCTAATTCTAGTAAAGAGGGATAATAATTAGGCAGGCAGAGTCATTATCATTCCGCTCCGCGTAGTATTGGCAGGCAGGCCAGGCGCACCGGCAGTAGTGGTTGTGTCAATTGCCGGGTATGCATTGTTTGATCGTACACCAATGCTTGACTATAGCACTGTATCTTGCTAATACTTGGATGACCCGATACTACACCGCTAGCACTCATGGTATGTCGTGCGACCTTCGGTGTCATGACGTGCGGGGGAGATCACTCTTTTCTGCCCTCGCCAGCGCCCTATCCTTTGTATTCCTCACCTCCCACTCAAACTCCTTCAATGCTCTTAATTCGCTACCAACAAACAGCCCACCCATCAACCCATCAATAACTCCAACGCTCAGACTCAGCGAACTGATCAACATCAAAATGAATGCAACGTAATTATGCGGCACCCACCACACGCCAATCAGACACCCAACAGTAAGGAAGAACTGGAAGCCGAAGTGACCAAGACGTAAGCGCCGTTGCGTACGCTCACGAGCATCGTATTTCGAAATGGTAGCGAGGATTTCGTCGTAGATTTCGATAGGTAGGTACGTCTCTGGGAGGGCGTAAGGGCCGTTTGATGGAGCAGATAGTGGCCCATCCAAATTACGAACCAAAGTAGCTTCGACGGAGAAGTGGTCGCTGAGAGAGCAGTAGAGAGATGGATGCCTAGCCGTCATGCCTACGTTAGCTTCCTTGAGGGTCCATTCTGCGCTCGATTGCTTGCTGCTCGCATCGTGGTGTGAGCCACTGCTGAAGAAGATGTAATCGAGGCGCTTTGCGTTAGGATCGTCGACAGTAGGTTCTATCTGCACATTTTCGCCCTTGGCCAATCGCTGGCTGTGAGCCTTGTTCCATCGCCAGGTGTTGAGCGCGCTGTCGCAGGTAGCACCGTTTTTGGTGATGTTATATTCGGCGTTGGGCATTGGGACGTTGCGCAACTGCTCTACTTTGTCTTTTGCAGCGCCGACTGAAGAGTTTGGGTAGAGGACTCGCCATACATCGCGCACAGGCGAGTGTGTCTCGATGATACGATGTGCGAGGGATAGAGGGGTCATGTTGAAGTCTCCTAAGCCTATGACAAGGTGACCGCGCTCAGCAGCCCCGCGCATGAGTTTTGTTATTTCCCATGCTTGTGCTGTCCGGTGGCAGATATAAGAATCGTGCGGTTCGACCTCGTACGGAGCGTGGAGCTAGTAGGGTTAGCAAGTATCAGAATGCGCTCCATAATCGATCTCATACATGCGTGCAGAATACTTCTGCAATGTCTCTCCTTGTAGGTCCCATCCGTATCCGCGCATATGCAACACCTTTACCCACGAACCAATCGCCTCTGTAAAACGCTGCAGGTCGTCCGTTCAGAGGGTATTGTGTCATGCTGCTCTCTTCGATCGGCCATCTTGACAATATAACCAATCCACCTCCGAATATACCACTAAAGTAGAACTTTCCATAGGGAAGCAGATGTCTTGTCTTTTCTCGAATAACATTGTAGTCCTGTTGGGTCCAACACTCTTGCAAGCCTATAATATCTGGCGGAGGATCGGCGGCGGCGATCTGATTTCCGATCTCTGAAAGGCGCTCATTGCGGAGCTTCGCGATGTACTTGAGTCCCCAGCAGTTGAGCGAGAGGATGCGCAAGTTGGAGGGCGGTCGGCTCGTTTCCTCAGGCATGAAGGGCGACTCTGCACGCTCGTACATGGAAGAATAGGCCCCTAGGAAGATGGGAGATGTTGTTGCTATGACGCTATAAGCTGCAGGGATCAGGGGTCCTTGTATTAACTGGGAGGGCGGTGAGGTGCTAACGTGGCAGAATAATTGCAGCTCGTATGGCGCGTTCCGCTTGACTTTATACAACACAACCACTCAAGATGGTCGATAACCGTGCCACATCGCCCAAGAGGCGCAGAGAAGACGACGATGGTGCCGAGTCACCTCCGCGCAAGCGTTCCGCATCGCACACTCCGCCTAATGGCTCGCCCGGTTTTCGTCTTGCAGAACGGCCACGCCGCTACAGCAGAGATCACGACGAAGACGAGCGAGGATACTACAGAGACCGGAGGAGCCTACCCTCTAGATCGCGTTCACGTTCGCGATCACACTCAGGATCTAGGTCCGGATCCCTGTCATCGTCCCGACGGCGCTCGAGAAGTCTACAAATCACCCCACCACCACCCAAACCTACCCAACTACACTACAAACAATCTATGATCCTACGCGGACATAAGAAGGGTGTTACCGCAGTAAAGTTTTCCCCCGACGGCCGCTGGATAGCAAGCTCCTCCGCAGACTGCACCGTCAAGATCTGGGACGCCAAAACCGGTGCCCTCGAACACACGCTCGAAGGCCACCTCGCGGGCGTATCAACCATATCCTGGTCGCCCGACTCAAAAATCCTCGCGTCTGGCTCGGATGACAAGTCGATACGACTATGGGACATATCAACAGGCATGGCGCACCCTACACCTTTCATCGGCCACCACAACTACGTCTACGCCATCGCCTTCTCGCCCAAAGGTAACATGCTAGTCAGCGGCTCCTACGACGAAGCTGTGTTCCTTTGGGATGTACGAGCTGCGCGTGTGATGCGCTCTTTACCTGCGCATTCTGACCCGGTTGGCGGTGTCGACTTCGTGCGCGACGGCACGCTTATCACGAGTTGTTCGCACGATGGCTTGATAAGAGTGTGGGATACGAGTACAGGCCAGTGTCTGCGTACGCTCGTCCATGAGGACAACGCGCCAGTGACGTCGGTCATTTTCTCGCCGAACGGAAAGTATGTGCTAGCCTGGACTTTAGACTCGTGTATTCGGTTGTGGAATTACATAGAAGGAAAGGGCAAGTGTGTGAAGACATACCAGGGTCACGCGAACAAGAAACACAGTCTCGCTGGCGCGTTTGGAACGTACGGGGCTGAGCCGCCGTACGAGTACGCGTTCATTGTCTCTGGGAGTGAGGAGGGAAGCATAATACTGTGGGACGTAAGCACGAAGAATGTGTTACAAAGGCTCGAGGGAGGGCACACGGAAACTGTGCTGTCCGTTGACACGCATCCTACGGAGAAGCTCATTGTGAGTGGAGGCATGGACAGGACGGTGCGCGTTTGGAGGGAGACCGCTCCGCCGCCGGAGTCTGTCCTGGAACCTCCTGCAGATGCAGGCACACCCGCCAACGGCTACGACCCCGAGACTCTTCCCCCGAACCCGTTCGCCGAAGGCTGAATTCTTTTTGCATAGTGTACTTGTTTAGATACCCCGCTTGAGAACGCCGAATAATAACCTTCTTGAATTGCTTGTCCCGGTAAATGCACATCATTGCTACTTGATGCGGAGTAGTTACAACGGTATATGTACAGAATGTGAGTTCACCCATGTGAACAGTCGCGGCGGCGAGGTCTTCCTCAGCTGATCCTCAAATAACGTTGAGACCCTCCCATCCCTGACGGACACCGCGCCATGGGTTGGTATTTGTAATGATACAGAGAGCCGCTTGCTCAGCATGCCACATGTTCCTTTATCTTTACGTTTATTTCCTCCTCTTCATGACCTTGGTACACATCTCGATCAGTCCGTCCTTCGCATCGCTATCGGGGAAGAACGCTATTGACTCGATAGCCTTGTCGACGTATTCCTGCGCTAGAGCGCGTGTTTGTTCCAGGCCTGAGCTACTGGAAACAATATCGCGTGCCTACTGATGTCAGTCGCAGTTTCTACTGTCTTTCCAAAGATCATACCTTCTGCACGTCACCAGCCTCGGAGAACTTCCTACCCACAAGCTTTCCCAAGCTCTTATTATCCTTCCATGCGAACAACAACGGCGCAGTCGCAAGCCCCAACTCCAAGTCCGCACCCGCAGGTTTCCCCAGCTCCTCTCCACTAATAGTATAATCCAGCATATCGTCCACGAGCTGGAACGCCAGACCAATGTTCTTTCCGTACTGATACGACGCCTCGACGACATCTTGCGAGCTTCCTCCCAAAATCGCAGCCGCGCGGCAGGATTTCGAAATGAGCGATGCGGACTTGAGGTACGTCTTTTGGAGATAGTAGGTGAGTGCGTTTTCGGTCCATACGGGGTTGCGCTCATCGGATGCCGTGTTCTTGAGCTGCATGAATTCGCCTTCGACGAGGTTGGCGATGACGCTTGCGAGGAGCTCGGTGACTTCGGGGTCGCGGAGGCGCGCAAGAGCTACGGATGCCCTGCCTAAGAGGAAATCTCCCGCGAGGACTGCCATCTTATTGCCGAATTCGATATTTGCGGAAGGCGCAGAGCGGCGCGATACCGAATGGTCTATTACGTCGTCGTGGAGGAGAGATGAGGTGTGAATGAGCTCGGTGATTTCGGCTAGGCGGCGCTGCGACGGTAGAATTTCTGAGTCTTCTGTTCGATAGGCGGCGTCGTTCGCAAACGAGGATACACTGGGGTACTCTGCGTCTGGCGCGGACGGGTTTTCATCTGAGAGCACGCTTGGGCTGGTGATGGGTCTGTTGACGGAGAGCGGACTGCTTTCCCTCGACATTTTTGGCGTCAAGGCTGTTGCTCTGCTCATGAGCAAGACCAGCGTCGGCCGCACATACTTTCCCTCACTCTGCGTGTAGTACTTCGCAACGGTATCCAGTGTCGGGTGTCCAGACCCGAGCAATTGTCTTATGTTCCCCGTCAAAAACTTTAACTCTTTTGCAACTGTCTGAAACGGGTCCACTGATATGGGTGCTTTTGGATCTGGCGGAGGTGGACTGAAAACATGCTGTGCAGCAGTAACGGCGGCAGCCCAAGACGATTGGTTTCGCCGGCGCGAAGGGTGATGTAAAGTTGTGATGTCTGTTCGTGAGCTCGAGCAGTGGCACCGCGGGAGAGGCGCATGCGAGCTTCTCGCGGCCAAGCTCGTCGCGAGCCGCGGCACTCGACTCGTCATCGAAGAGATGGTAGATATTACAATCACTCCTGGTGCAATTGAGGGTGTTCGAAAGATAGCTACGGCTGAAACAGTGAGACAAGCTGGCAATGGGAGATATCGGAGAAGATTGGAGCATTTACTATTTACTAGCGCGTCATGATTAGTACTATCTGCGGCCAAGACATGTCGGTAGCAGGAAACGCCGACGATATCCAGGCACAGCTCTAACGTTGATCACATCTGCGAAACCTCATAACAATCATCATGGTATTGCTTACCATGACGGCAGCCGCTGTGCGCGCGCTTTCTAGGGCTGAGGAAGTCGCGCCGGAAGAATATGCGAAGTTGCAACGGCCAGACGACCCTGCGCTGTCAGATCCCAAGCCTGGGAACCCCATCTCGCATGGCCAGTTGATCGACCTCTCGAGGCTCCTCAAGAAGCACGCCGCTCAACCATTCACCAAAGACGAAACCACAAAGCGAAGAGAGGACATACTACACCTTGGCTCAGAATTAAGCGAAGAAAACACCGAAGGACCCATACCCGCCACCCTCGATGCGCTCCTCCGCAACTCCACCGTCTACATCCCTCCTCCCTTGCCCAAAAAAGAGCCTACCCCCGAATACAAAGCCCTCATGGCCCGACTCCGCGCCGAAGAAGAAGCCCGCGACTACAACCGCATGCTCAACCCCGACCCCCTCGCGAAGACCGAGACGTTCTCCCAGCGATTCCCCAACGCCGCTGCGCCCTTCTCTCTCTCCACGCCCTACGATCAGGTCGACGAAGACGAGCTAAGCTACGAGGAGGTACATCGCCAGATCATCCTCATCATCAACGTATTGGTCTCTATTGTGGCGTGCGCGGTATTCATATGGGTGGCTGCGAGGCACTGGAGTGTGCCGAAGAGGTTGGGATTAAGTATGGGAGGGAGCGGAGCTGTTGCCGTTGCGGAGGTTGTTGTGTATAGTGGATATGTGAGGAGAATTGCTGAGGCGAAGAAGAAGGAGAAGAAGAAACCCGAGATCAAGAAGATAGTACAGAGTTGGGTGATTGATGGCAGTGAGAAGATGGAAGCGAGCGTTTCGTCTGGGTCAAAGGACAAGCTTGATGATGGGATTCGCTACAGAAAAGGCAAACATCGCTGAAAAGACCAAATCAGTATATACGCCATGCTAAAGTTGAAGAGAACCAAGACCACCTCCAAACTCCAGCCGCGATGCAACCAGAAAGTCCAGTAATGGTAGATCGATCCGCAAGAGGATGTTACTTCTTCTTTCGCCCTGCCACGCCACCAGCAAATCTACCCAGCCCACCCAAGCTACCTCGTGGTTTGTGTCCGGGAGCTGGTTGTCCCGCAGCCGCTGGTAAAGGCCGACCAACGTGAGCCGCAGGTCCAGACAACCTCACGTTCTTGGGCGGCACTTCCGGCGGGCCCCTCTCCTTCTCTACCGGGCTTATGCCGACACCAACATCCTCGCCGAGACTCGCCAATCTCGCATTCTTCCGCGCCCGCTCCTGCGTGTTTTTGAACTTGTCGAGCAACTCCACCCATTTAACGCCGCCCTCGTCTCTGGCCTTGAGTCGATTCGGCCGCTCGAAGCTGGATCCGGTGTTTCCAAGGGTACTGGAAGGGGCACTGGGAGAACCGGTCTCTGAGCTCTTTTGTCTTAAGTGGTTGAAATTGGAGGTAGGAACATACCCGCGGGGCACCATGTGGAGGTAGCCGATGGCAGAAACGCTATTCAATCGATTTTTGAGTGCTGCAAAAGCAGAAGACTGGGGTAGTAACATGAGGAGGCCGTAGAGGCATTTATAGAGATACGGGTATCGTTCCGGCTCAAGGAGCTGCATGCGGAGGTCTGACAATGTTACGAAATGTCAGGTAGACGAGGTGCAGCACTTACAGGTGAAAACGGGGGATTCAAGTAGTTGAACGAGCTTGTCAATCTGGATTAACATGTTGACTGTCATCTCGAGATCGGCACTGTTTCTAGTCAGCACTTGCACTTGATACAAGCTCGTTTCATATACGTACAAGATTTGAAGAAGGTGGTAAGCTTGCTCATACGCTTGAGCTAGGAGACACAATGAAAATGTGGCAACTGCATTGTGGCACCACGACTTGAACAAGGATACGAAGAACGATTGGCCATCTCTGGAATCCAGGTTGCGAAGTCTTCTGCGAAGATCGGCTAGCTCTGGAGCTGTGATGAGGTTGTTGTTGAGGTTCTGCACCATAATGCTGGCAAACTCGACATCCTAAGTCCAGTCAGACGAAGTGAGTAAAAGACATTGCACAGCTACGCCTACCTCATCTTTCTCAAGGCAGTCCGCCATCGTACGGTATATTCGTTCTGCACTTAGAGTAACGCATAGTTGACGAATGATCAAGTTGCCTCTTGTTTCCAGTAGTCGACGGTCCGTACAGAACAACTTCAGGAGGTTAACCATGAAAGAAGTGAAATATGAATCATCGCTGTTCTTCGAGATTTGCGACAGAAGCAAGAGATCGCGGGTCACAACCGCTTCGGATGGATCGGAGAGCGTTTTGAGAAGGGCAGGAAAGGTCCCGTCTTCGACTGATAGTATCTATACACGCACGTCAGCGTTTTGCCCTCAACAAAGGTGAAAAAAATTACTTTGCCCGGCGCCATTCTGTGCAGCATTATCAGCCACGCTATTGCGGCTACGCGAGTTGCCTCATGTTCATTGAGAAATTGAAGAGTGAGAGCGTTGACAGCCGCTTGGTAGTCGAGCTCTGGGATCTTCTGCGGCGAGGGACCACGCTCTTCGGCCGGGGTGGGTGTCCGGGTTCCCTTACTGTCAACGGACCTCACGTCCGTTCTATCCTGAATCACGGTCTTCAGTAAACGTGCAGACAGATTCGAATCTCGACGTTCAGCCCCGGTGAGCTCCTTTCCGAGAGCGGATAGGGACGTAGGTAGTTGTATTTGACCGCCAGTGCTGCCATCAGGCCGACGGTTATCGTCGGAGAGTGACATTATGTAGTCCATAAGCGAAGCATTCACTTTGATCGCAGCCTGGCGAATGGACTCCAGGTCGTGCGACATTCTGGGCAGGACGTAGGTGAGTAGGCTTGGAACAAACGGCATGATCTCTTCGGGGCAGATCTCGAAGAAGCTATCGATCCATCGCAGGGTCGTGAGCAGTATCTCGTGGTTCTCGGCTTCTAGTTTGTGTTAGCGTGGGGGGTCTCTGATTGTTGTCACATTTTGCATACCTTTGTCGCCAAACGGCGCCTCTAGAAACTTGACTAGAATTTCTAGGATCTTGGGATGGTCGACCTGGACGTCTTGCCCTGGCATCCAATCACCGTCGCCGCTGGCTGACTTGTCATCCTCGATCGCTATCGAGGCGCTATCATTGTCTTCGTCATGCTTCTCTTCTGAGGAACCTTGCCGGTCCGTAATTGCACTACTCTCTGTGTCGCTGTCCATTTCAGCTCCGCTACGAAAGCTGGACGTGGACTTATTGAACTCGTCTGCTTGACTCTTTTTGCTTTCTGCTATTCCACGCTTTATTCGCGCGATTTTCCTAATTTCACTGAGAAATCGATCCAAGGCCGCTTGTGTAGCCGTGTAGACATCCTGGTTTTCGTCGCTGAGAAACTTGAAGAGACCGCCTAAGAACCGCGGTAGATATGCAACGAGCTCCAGGTCAGGTATAGAGTCAAGCAGTGTTATCCATGCCACGAGGAACATGCGAGTGAAGGGACTAAGAACATTTATGCGCTCCTCGAGAAGGGGCAGAAATCGTTCGAGCGAGAACGCAGTGGGGAGTTCATGGGCTGGCTTTTCTTCATCAGAGCCACCTTCGCCTGCGATATCTTCTGGTGCGTGTAGGATGGAGACGTAGGAGGCCGCCGACTCGGCTACAATATCTTTGATCAGCCTATCAAGCAGTTCTGCGCCATTCTTGACGGAGAGTTCGTTGTCGGCCGCAAGCTGCGTCTTTGCTGTTAGCCATGTTCTGGGCGAGCGTGTGAGGATTATGATGAAATTGTACTACCTTGCAGAGAGCATCGAAGACCTGATTGAAGTAGACTAGAATTTCTCCCTTGGCTACCTTCGCGATATTGTACATGCTCTCACACGCATAGTATCGAACACGGGCATCTTGATCTGTGAAACAGGCGAGCACGGGAGGGACGATCTCCTCGAGATAGCGAGCTACTTCCTGTACCAACATCAGCAGTGGCCACGAGACATTCGTCTATACGCACCGGTCCCAACGCTATCGAGGCCGCAGCCAGCCCAATGAGTCCGCCATTTCTAGCGTGCGGTTGGTGAACGGCGTATGCATATTCATGACAGAGCTGGGAGACGATACGCTGTATCCTGTCGAAATCTCCAGCGGCGAGCGATTCGCGGATGAGACCTTCGAGCTCGAGGGCACCGCTTTTCCGCTTGTCGTAGAGCTTGTCGTTCAGAGCTTTCGTGATATTGGGGTCCATGTTGCAATCTGCAGGACTTCTCTACATGGCGAGAAGAAGAATATCGTTATCGTGTATGTTTCCGGAACGAGGGCATTCGCGCGGGTGGTGGCAGGCACTACAGAGCTCGAGGCCGTCGTCGTGGCTTGCTCTTGCTGCACGGCTTAGGCTGGAGTGGCTGGCCACTGGACGGCGCGTCTGCGTCTGCACGTCATAGCTCCTGTTTGTGCGGTCCCATGCCTGTGCCGCCGATATCGATAACAGCAACACCTCCTTGCGCCTTGAGCAACCCAAAGAGAATACACATCGTCCCCGAGCTGCGCATTCGCTCGGAGAAGATGGCATGACACGCTACAGCTCCGTTCGACTCCGCGCCTAGTCAGACTGCTTCATCGACACCATGTGCTCCAGTGCCGCGTGCCCTCTACCCATATAGCTTGAGCTATCCTCGTCCGGTCCCGTCGACTCCATACTACTTCAGTCCTGCCAGGTCAACATGGAGAAGCTCAAGAATAAGATTCTGAACCCTAAACGACGCTCTCGCCAGCCTGAAGATGCAAGACAGGACTCCGCAGTCTCCCGCTCTGGCTTCCGTGACTGGGCTGTAGCTTTGTAAGACCCCTGATCGTCCGCGCGAGCTCGAGATCAAGCTCATTTTTCTAGCGTAGTGTGCAATTTCAACGTTGATGTCGGTAGGTCACCGCTCTCCTCCCTTGTGCAATTGTAGCTAGCTGTTGATCCCTATATCCTAGGACCCGAGATAGAAATCATATACCCTCCAGATGTATCCTTCTCCACAGCCGACCTTGGTGCCATCTGCTTTAACAGGTAACTCCTGTCTGTCTTCTCGATGCACTCATCTTATTGGTTGAATAGCTTTCCAGAACAGCAGAATACTGAGACGGTCGATGACCTTGCTTTCAACTTCACCATCACCAATTCTTCGCCAGATGTCAGCATATCGTCACCACGTGCCCCTTATGGCAGTTCAGATACCTTCTATGGCACATGCGTTTTCCGTCAAGAATTCGACCATACGATGAAGCGGAGCTTCAACCAGCGAACACTTGTACTGGTGTCGGCTCACAATTTCCTGGCCTTTTACACCCGATTGTTGCATTGCATGACAGAATCTGGTGTTATCAGTGATCCGACCACTCTGGAGGCAGCTTACTCCTCAATGGTCACCTGGCCGTCACCCACGCTTGGTCGGCAAGAACTGCCTTTCCTGGGGTCGGTCATCAGCTTGGATATTGCTCCGCATTTTGCTTTTCCTCTTCAAGGTCTGGCAGGACCGACGCCACTGATATCAGACAAGCCGTCATCGATCTACGCTTATGAGCCGTTAGGATCATGGGACACTCTAATGCATTATATGCCGTGCATTACAGACCTCTATGTCATATACGAGAAGCTGATCCTCTGCGAGAGTGTGATCGTTGTCGCCAAGTCACCTCAACTCGCAAGCGAAGCTGTGTCCTCACTTGTCGATCTTGTTCGGCCAGTCCCATACGCTGGTATCATCAAACCATATATGACTATGCAAGCGAACTTCCAGTGCATAGGCATCGACGGCGGCACTCCCAGGCCTTTCATCATTGGAATCACAAGTACGTATCCTGCATCGCATCATGTTAATTAATAGTGCGCACATGCGACACCATCAGCTGAACGTAACTAATGCACTGTTCGTAGACCCATTCCTTCTTAAACGTATTGTAGCAGCAACCGAAAAGAGTCAACAGCTTCGACCGCACATTCTGTATTTGCAGAACTTCGACGGCCCGGTACCGGTCAAAAGACATCATTCAATCCACCACAAGTCGAGCCGCAACGCATTACTAGACCTTCCTGGTGGTGGCATAGAAGCACGTATGCCTTCGAAGCGTTTCTTGAAATCGGACCATGCTGTTGTATCTCATATCGAGACTTTGCTCAAGAGTGGTGACCAAACCCACGAGCTAGGACCAATGATCAGGCGACATTTTGCGGAACTGACAGCCCAGTTCATCGCACCCATCAACCGCTATCTCACCACCACCAACGTCGTCTCTCCTGGCGGCAATCAACGCTATGCGAGTTTTTCAGTGAACGAATTCATCCGTAACCTGGGAAAGCACGGAACCAGCGTCAAGATTCGAGGGCAGGGCCCAATACAACGACACCGCACCAGGGACGCATTCTATGAGGCCTTCTGCAGCTCGCTCAATTTTCACTCATGGCTGGAGATGAAGATCGCCTTAGAGACGGAGGCCAGTGCCGGGCTGTTGGGAGCAGGCCCTTCCGCGGCAGGAGGTTGAGGCAATCCCATGATTGCGTGACTCTCAAAGAAACATGAATTATCTATCAACATATGTAATTCACATACACAGGCGGAGATATCAGCTTCATAGTACTCGGTGTTTATGTTGTAACACCCACCGATTGAACAACTCGAAGCAGTCATCAGATGCAATCAATTGATCGCAACGCTCCGAGCATGGACAACACCCTCTATGGAGACCTCGAGCGTCTATTGTCCGGCTATCTAAATCTTCGCCAGAGGAGCCCAGCGCGTTCTTGCATTGTCTCCCACAGACAGCGGAAAGAAGTGCAAGTCGTGCAGTGTGCGTTTGTAAAAGCGAAATTGGAATCAACGGAAAGCTTTCACGAAGTTAGCAGAGTACGTTGATTGGAAGGTGCCGGGGGGCTTCAGGTTCCAATGACGTGGTGTGCAAAAAGAGGCTTGATACTTGTTTGAAGGAGCATAACAAAACTTTTTGCGATGAGTTTACGAAAAACCTGCAAAATCAATTGCCTATGGTAGTATTTGATATTCGGACATGGTTCACGAGTGTTCCAATTTTTGTACACGATACAATAGATTAGTCTCTCGTATCAGATCAGGATTTCGGCTATGAACTGATACTAGATAACTTGTCGTACTGTAACTCAAGCCATCATAAATTTCCGGTTCTGTAGTCGCCGTTCACGATTGGGTGGGGACTTTGTTCACATAGTGGATATTGAGTTGAGCGTTTGCAACAGTGTGGGTGGTGACATGCAAGCGCGCTAAGAGTTGTCACGCCTCGCGGCGTGGTTGCACGCGCCATCTCAACCAACGTCAAACCGAGGCCGCCAACGCCAACCATCACGGGCAATCTCTCACTTGAGCCTCCCACTGATACAAACAAAGACAACCCATTCTTTGCGCACTCATATCGCACACTTGTTGAGTCCAGCCACGATCAACTGTGCCAATCTCCAGGTTGTAAACCCGCGCCGTCACAATGAGCGCTCAACCACAAGGTCAGGCACCCACCGGCCAACAGCAGCCAATGCAGCTCCTTAAGGTCGATGACGTGCCTAAGCTGCAGTCGCTCAATGAAGACTTGAAGCAGAAATACAGACCCATCTTTCAGCAACTATGGAACACAGCTTCGACAAAGCCCGCGGGGAGCCCGGAGCATACCCAGGCTCGAACAAAGCTCCAGGAGTTTTCTCAGAAGCTCATCGCTCAGGAAAGGGTCAGCCATTCATATAAGCTATGCGCAGTGTCTAGATACTGATTGTTCGTTCAGGCTTTCCGCGCAAGAGCTAAAGCGAACGCGGCACAGCAGAACCAAGCGTCGGGCGGAGAACAGTCGCAATCCAGCGCGGCTGGCCAACAGAACCCACAGCCGAAGGTCGAACAGAACCAGTCTGCGCCGACGCAGCAGCCGCCGCAAAATCAGAATGCGATGCAGCAGCCTCCGAACCAGGTGCAAGGCCAAGGCCCACCGCAGCAGGGCGACCAGCGGCCTCAGATCGAGCCTGAGATTGTGAAGCATGTCCAGAACTTCACCTACTGGCTGCCAGTCAATGGGGCTCAGCCAGGTACACCAGAAGGAGAAGCGAAGATTAAGGAGATGCGCAATAGCTACCTGATGGCACTGAACAAACAGCACAAGGCTAAGGGTCGAATAGCCATGCTGGATAATATGGTGCAACAGAGGCAAAAGTCGGGACAGGAGATACCTCCCGAGGTTGCCAACAACAAGGCCCAGATGCAAAAAGAGTACAATGCGGCGAAGGACTTCGTTGACACTTTCAGAGAAAAGCAGAAACAAAACAAGATGGAACATGATCAGCGGCGCGCTCAACAGCAGCAGCAACAGAACCAACAGAACCAGGACCCGCCGTCTCAACCACAGTTCGCGCAGCAGCAGCGCCAGAATTCGCAGCCCAACATAAAAGCAGAGCCCGCCATCAAAATCGAAGGGCAACTTCCCCAAGTACCTCCTGCGCAGCAATTCGGAAATATGCAAGGCGGTCCCCAGCAACCGCAGCAACAGCCGCCGCCACCGCAGCAGGGCGCACCTCAGGCACCGCCGTCAATGCCCCAGCAGCAGCCCATGCGACAGCCTCCCGCGCCCCTTCAGCAACACAACCAGCTGCCAAACCAGCACCCACAATTCGCGCAGCCAGGGCAACCGCAACCGCACCAACAGCCTCCGCGCCCACAGATTAACCCGCATCAGGCGAATGGTATGCCGCACGCGCAGACCACCAATTCACCACACCCGCAATCTGCAACCTCTAACGCTGGCCGACCGGTGCCGCTCTCTCACCAGGACGCGGTGAATGCTGCGCAAAGATCTTACTCGGACAACGCCGGCCTGCGCACCGCCACACCTTTGCAAGGTCAGGGCAACTTTCACACCCCAGGAAGCCGCGAGCGCGAGCAGATGAACAACCCCAAGATGCCCATTCCGCGCAACCTCAATACTTCTCAACCAAGTCCTGTTCCCATGGGTCCAGCTCGTCCTACAATAAGCGGTCCCACAAATGGCGCCCCGGGCCCAATGGGTCAACCTGTTATCACCAGAATGCCTCCCTTCCAGCTCGAAGGCGACAACGACCGCGTGCTCAGCAAGCGCAAGCTTGACGAGCTTGTGCGCCAAGTGACCGGCGGTTCGGAGGAAGCCTTGACCGCAGAGGTCGAAGAGGTAATATTCTAACATGCCCCGCCAGAATAATCAATTGCTAATAAACCTAGGCTGTGCTTCAGATGGCGGACGACTTTGTCGATACGGTCATCAGCAACGCCTGCAAGCTGGCCAAGCTTCGAGAGTCACCGCAGCTCGACATCCGCGATCTCCAGCTTGTCCTCGAGCGCAACTACAACATCCGTATTCCTGGCTACGCTTCCGACGAAGTTCGCACAGTGCGCAGACTAGTTCCAGCTCCGGGTTGGACGCAGAAAATGAACGCCGTGCAAGCAGCTAAAGTTATGGGTGGGAAGACGGACATCTAGTCCAGTCTCCGTTCCCGTTTGCTCTTGCTCGCGTTTATCAGACGTTTAGGAAAACCAAACACTTTCACTGTATCATTCACGATGTATAACGAGGGGCGGCGACTCGGCACGAATGCGGGCTAGTTTTCGAAATGGTAATGACAGCATCCGCTGGTTCTGCAAGTGTAGGATCGTTGCAAAGAGAACAGATATGGCAGTAATGGGCATCAGCAACCCCCAGCAAGTCATAGCAAGGCATAAAATGCCGAACGTACGGTTTACGAGCGACGGCTCCCATTAGCCAAATCCAAAATCACACCAAACGCAAAATGGACACACTCGGAGACAGCTGCCTTTTGCACGAAAGCCTCTGAACGATCAAGCGACACCCGACTTCATGCGAGCAGCCGCTGGACAATCAAAACGAAGTGACAAAGGCATGGCTGCCGCCATTGGGGGGCTATGGCCGGAGTGGTCGGCATGCTGGACATTTCTCCATTGGTCTAGAATTGGGTTGGCTGGTCTTTCGGCGTGGTCATGGCTTTGGCACAATGCTACATTTGTTCTGAGACGGAAGGCTAATACTTCTTAATGCACCGATATTATTCTGCCACTTGGGACGTACTCAACTGGGTTGGATCTTGGAGTAGAGTAAACATGTGTCAGTCTTGCTTGATGGCAAGCTTCAACAGACTATGGCATGTTCCTTCTTGATGACCGTTGACATAAGAGCTGTGATGTACATGTTTCCTCCGTGGGTTTTGACAGGCTACTGTTTTGTTGGACGCTTGCAGGTCAATAAGAATGATTGCTGTGGCAAATGAAAGCCCGTTGCACAATGAGCCTACCTTCGTGTTCGTTGGTTTGCTGCTCATCTGCTGTCTTTCTCGGGAACCTCTGGGGTATGCCTGCGCGTGCACATTTGCGTGTATCCATTAGGCAAGATGTCAATCAAAGTCCATGTCTGTCAGATTCAGGAAGAATATCAACAGTGTATGGTACATAACATGGGAACATTCTGCAGCCCAAACTATAAGTAGTATCATCAGAACCTCTTTCTGATTGAACTTGTATCAGATGACGCCTCACTTGACAAAAATCATCAGTCTTCCTCCAGCGCAGATAAGAAAAAGGCGAAAAAAAGTTAAACTCCCCCGCGTGGGCTCGAACCACGAACCTCCTGATTAACAGTCAGACGCGCTAGCCAATTGCGCCACGGAGGATGTTTTAAACAACTGCTGTTGTTACGGCTGTTGATGTACAAATGTTTTGTTACAAAAAATATAACGCAGCAAATATGAAAATAGGAAAAAGCACTCGACAAGGGGCGATGTCAAGGGTGCCTGTGGTAATATGGCTTTGTGGGGCGGACTAGGCGAATGCCGGTCGCCCGATTTTAGGCGCATGATTTTGCAACCTTTGAGTTGGGTAGTAGCTTGCAGGACAACCTAATTTGGCAGATCTGTGTGGCTGCGGCTAAGTTACTCTGTAAACAGAGTGTCATCATGTAGGAATGGTGTGTAATAGACGTGTCTAAAGCACAGCAATACATCAAATATGAGAGCATGCACAAGCAAATTTTCTTTCTCGACAATTCTCGAAGACAGTATTGACAGTACGACTTCACACCTACACTGCGGAGCTGAAAGTGACAGAGCACTAATAATGATTGACAACCTGGCTGTGGCATATATGTGCTCATTTCTATGATATTAGTGACGCAATCCTTACTGTCCATCGTTGTTTAAGACCACGATGCCATAAGGATCTCTATCGAAATCACTAACCACAACCTCGAAATCGTCATCCGCCAATGCCTCTCTCAACTCCTCCTTCCCTGCTTCTTCTTCCCGTAATTTGTTCCACTGCTCTGCCACCTCGACATCTAATTGCTCCGCCAACACATCGCTTAGGAAGCCCCTCTCAGAGTTACTGTGGAACAAGGTTATCACAACCTGACCCTTTTCTATTGCCGCAAGCGCCTCGTGGTGGCTCATCTCCCCCGTAAACAGCAGGTCAACATCGAGATTGCTGAGAAGCGAGGCGCCTGATCCCGCGCAGATACCCACGCTGCGGATAGTGAGCGCAGACATGTCTGCGTTTTGCGGTATCGCGATGGGAAAGCCTTTCGGATTGTTGAGACCGCGGCCTATGCGGTCAAGCAGCACGGGAAGTGGTTGAGGCGAGTCGAAATGGACGACGCGGCCCATACCTGCGCCAGGATGCGTCTCGAGCTCTGGTGATTGCGGAACGACCGGTCTGCGAGTATGAGGAATTGCTGTCAAGGGCGCGGATTGATTGCCCAGACGAAGCGTTGTTTGCACGGACGACGGATGATGGGCAAGTGCCCACGTTGGCCGCTTCTTGTCCACGAACGGGTCATCGTCTTCTTTCTTCGGTGTCTTTCCCGCCTCTGAGCTTGTCTCACTATCTTCGAGCTCTAGGTACTTCTTGCTGCCCGTCACTATGTCCGCCAGCCAGTCCCCTAGCCCCCCTGGCGCCGCATCTACCGCCGTATGCGGGCTATAAACGCTAATGCCATGGCTTGCTAATCGAAGCAACGTCTGCTGTTGTGAGTTTGCAAGCGTGATGGATTTCAGGCCGCGAAATATGATGGGGTGGTATGCGACGATTATAGAAGAATTGAGCTCAATTGCCTCGTCGGCAACGGCTTTTGTGAGGTCAATGGTGAGGAGGACGTTGTTGGATTGGCGGCGCGAGGGTACGAAGGGTGCTTCGAGGAGGAGCCCTGTGTTATCCCAGGAGTTGTCTGCGAGGGCTTGTGGATAGCTGAGTGTTCTTAGCTGTATGTAGTCTGAGAGATATAGAGAGCTGTTCACAACACTCGTGTGCTCTTCGAATCTTCGAAAGCTAGAGGCATGGGCCGTGTAGCTGCGTTTGAGCACCAATGCTACAACTGTTGAGGAACCGACGACCAAGGAATTGAGACTCACAGCTTCTTCATAGCCCTCACCACAGCCCTGGAAAACGGCGCAGAGCTGGTCGGCGAAGTCATACTGAAAGCCCTCCTAACACTTGTTGAAAACATGAACGTCCCTACTACCCCACCTTATGCTCAAAAGCGCATCCGCTTCGACGCCAAAAACGCGCTTCAATGCTGCACGCACAGACCCGCGCACGTCACTCTCTCCCAAAACGCTTAAAACCCCCGACCCACACGTCCCGCCATCTGATAAGCACCGTGAGTGTTTATCAGATCCAAACCCTGCAAAACGGCATTGCCTCACCAATCTCGAATGGACCCCCGCCACAAATTGTACAAGGAATTGAACAGCCTTACAGTCGACCCGAACAGCAGTATGAGTGCAAGAACGGATTCCGAGGCCGCGCAGAATGCGGCGAACAGTGGCATCACCCCCGAGGCCATCAAGCAGAAGCTGCAAGAGGGGTTGGGCGCGACGCACGTGGAGATTGAAGATATGAGTGGTATGTATATGCGCGGTCTATACTCTCAACTGCGCCATTCAGGGGCATTTTGAACATTATCTGGTTTAGTTGGCTTGAGAATGTCTCACTGATGTATCATCCAGGTGGATGCGGGCAGATGTTTGAAGCGATCATAGTATCCCCTCAGTTTGCTAAGAAGACGACCCTGGCTAGGCATCGGTTGGTCAATGGCGTGCTCAAGGGAGAGATCGCGGCGATACATGCATGGACGCCCAAATGCCACACGCCTGAGGAATGGGAGAAGAAGAAGCCGCAAGCATGAGACTTCTATGAAAGACAATGTATATGATCACGAACGACACGCGTGCACGACTGGATCACGACTAGTGAAGGGGTTGAAGAGGGGTTGTAAGATCCCTGTTCTATGTATTGAGTGGCACAGCTCCACAGAACTATGACCTAGCTGAGGAGGACTCTGATCTCTCCGCTGGTTCGAGGGAAGAGGTCCCGCAGAGTTGGAACGGGCTCTTCCTCTTCCTCCTCCTCTTTGTATAGCAAATCATCTGCAGCTATCACCTTGCTCTCTACAAATTCAAAATCTTCGCAAAATCTCTCTGCTGCCTCCTCTGTGATGTTTTGCACAATCGTTCTGTTTTGCAATCGCTTGAGATTCTCAGCTGCATCAATGAGAGCCGATGGAAGAAACTCGTCCAGCTGCTGACTTGCCCCTACGAGGGCCTCCGGTTTGAAAGCATTCAGCTCAGGAATGGTCTTCAAGCTGTCTGCCGTATCAGAGATGTCGGACAGAGCGTCCAGAAGGGTGTTCAAGCCTGAAGTGTACGTAAGATACTGGTGCTGATATTCCACTAGTTGTGCAATGTGCTCGCTGATCGTTTCCTCGAGTTCACTCAAACGGTCTTTAGCAAAAGAATACGAAGTCAATGCTGTCTTAGCTGCCATCAAACAATTGAGCGCGAAGATGTTGCTATCCGGTGCCTGTAGGCTTTTGCCTAAATTCTCACAACCACCCATGAATGGGTCGAGGGTTTCGGCAAGGACAGAATGGAAGCCATCTTCGTTGCTGTCAGTTGCAGCGACGGACGTATCATAGCTCTTTGCGAGAACCCTGAGCATCTGCAAAGCGTCTTCCAAGAATTCCGGAGGTGACAGGTCAGCAGGCGCGACCGCCAAGTCCCCTTGTACTGCAGCGACATGATCGCGCATGTTTGCGCGGAATTGACGCATTGCAGAGCTTTCAAGCGTATCGAAGACTTCCAGTACCTCAGAATCAGCTCCGAGAAGCTTGACGAAAGTACCCTTGTAAAAACCAATTAGGTTGGAGATCTTGTACGCCAGTGTAGCATCATCGTGGCTCTGTACAACCTGCTCTGTCCGTTGACGCAATAACCGAGCAACGCCTGTTATATCACGGCTGACAAGCTGATTCAGGGCCTTCCTTCCGTCAAAGACATCCTCGTCACCCTCATCGCGAAGCCAGGGTTCACTCTCGAGTCCTGCCTGAATGGATCGTTTGATCTCGTCGCCATCAGAGATGAACAGGACCTCCAAAGCTTCTCGTTCCGACACTGTGGTCGAATGAGCCCATGCAAGCATATCGCCAACGTAACGTAGAGGGTCATGAGCTTGAAACTCTATTGGCTTGGTGGCAAGGTTCTGGGATTCCGACGTATGACCAGTCAATGCCGCATGGAATGAGTCGGATAAAATGTTCTCGCGGGCTTCAGCAAATGAGTCAAGACAGTTCTGGAAGAGTGTCGGCCTCTCTGCCAGCACACGGAGGGACCGCCTGACCGAGGCGTTGATCTGTGGATTCTCAAGGTCAAGCGTCCTGAACTCGCGCTGAATCCAGCGGTATAACTTTTGATAGGCTGCATTTATCTGTTTTGAGCTTCTCTCAAGTACTTCAAGACCCAGCCGTTGATCCTCTGTTCCCAGTAGCACCTGGCAATCGTGATGAATCTTCTTGACTCTTGTCAGAGCCTGGAAGAACTCCTCATTAACGGGCTCAGCAGTGGAGGTCAAGACGGTAATCTCATCTTCGGAGATGAGGAAGTGTGAGCTGAAAGCATTTAATGTTTGCTGTTTGGTCTCGATTTGCTTCTTTTGCTGCATGAGGCTTGTTGCTTCTTCCAAAACAGGTCCAGTCTCGCGATTTGCCGCAGCAATGTGGCTGCGCATCTCATCGCAGCACTTATTCAAGCTGCTGATCGCGGTGCCTATGCGTTTGAGTTGCTATGATGGTTAGAATGGGCACGTGTTGGACAAAGTCACGAAGACGAACCTCTGCCACTTGCCCAAAGTCTTTGACAACCTCTCCATTGCATTGAATCACCTCTTTCTGAACATCCAAGCGAAGTTGACGCCTGGTCTCTGCCGTGTTTTTCACTCCACGAGTATCGAGCGTTTCCAGTGCGTCACGGATCTCGAGGTCAGCGTAAGATGCAGACAGGACGCTGGTGATCCTAGTCGACAAAGCATTTATGCCACGCGAAGGTGTGCCTACCGCGGGGGAAGCCGGTGAGAGTAAATCCTGCGAGGCTGGGGAAGCTCGCTCCGAAAAGTAGCTGGTCGCCATGGTAAGCTAGAGGGAGGTCTGGACACGTGCGGGACAGGTTGTAGGTCGGTTGTACCTTCCTCCGATTGCCGAAAGCTTAGCTCAAAGAGCGGGCTTATGACGCGTGACAGCTGCATTCACGGCTTCGGCGACCGTCACGCTAACATGGTCACGTCCTAACATTGTCTCAGGCTCTTGTAGCGATGGGTGAAGCGAATAGTCACAACTGCTTGTCTCCTGTAGCAAGCACGGCTCCATATTATCGAACTTGTTACTGCCCGGCGCATACGCCTAAACCACGGGACGGTGCCCCCCACCGCTGCCTTAGATAACGGTTCACCCAGCCTGATGGCTTCCAACCTCTTTTCGAGGATACTTCCCTCTGCATCTGACGAACACTACGAAACAGAACCGCTAAACCCACACCGTCACTATCGTTCGTCCTCGGCGGGCACGCGCAGCACTATGGACATCGACAACGAGAACCTCGATGCGCGCTTTGAGGATCTAGAATTAGAGCATCTGCTGGACGAAGCTGCACAAGAGCGAATGACCGAGAGCGCCGCGTCTGTCGCGCAACACGACGAGCGAGCCCCGCCGGGTATCAACACCGTCAACAGAGCTGCAGCATGGCGGCAACCGCCCTCGTCTCGCCCTCTGGCGCCCGATGACGACGATGATGTTCCGCAGTCACTTCTGCTAGAAGGCGGCGTGGTTTCACCAGTCGCGACCAGGAACGAGGCTACAGAGGGCCTCCCTCCACCCGTACCGGGTCCGTCGACGCGTCATACTCGAGCACAGTGGGAGACGACGCGCCGACAACAGCGTCTACACGATGACGGGCGTGCTGGTGTTGCTCCACGTACATGGAGAACCTCGACGAGGCCCGGGCAATATACATCGGATCCGAAAGAGCGAGCGATGTGGCTTTGGGTCAATCAGACCGACGACTTGGATAATTTCCTGGCCGAGGTGTACGATTACTACACTGGAAGCGGCATGTACTCAATCCTCTTGCGCAAGTTCTTGATGCTCTTGCAAACCGCCTTCGTCATTGGCTTCTTAACCTTCCTCGGGTGGTGTATCGATTACAGTAAGCTACCTGGCAGTCATAAGCTGAGTGAGGTCGTGCAGCCAAAGTGTATGCACAACATACATGGAGTGTGGTGGCTAGCGCTTTGCTCATTCATTGTGTACTGGCTGTGGTCGATAGTGAAGCTCGTCGGCAAGTTCCCGAGGTTACAGGCGATGCATGACTTCTACCACCATTTGTTGGAGATTCCCGATCGAGATATCCAAACTGTTCAGTGGCAACACGTTGTTGGCCGGATCATGGCGTTACGCGATGCGAACCTTACGACTGCGTCAAATCTTACGCCTGAGGTCCGGAAGCTGCTGGACTCACGGAGCAGACAACGACTCGATGCAGTGGATATTGCTAGCCGTCTGATGCGGCGCGACAATTATCTCATTGCACTATTCAATAAGGAGATCTTAGACGTGAGCATACCTATCCCATTCCTGGGTAACAGGTTCGTCTTCTCGGAGACAACAAGGTTTCATGTCAACCTCGCTATCATGGATTTCGTGTTCAGTGGTCCTAATGGCTCGTTCAACCAAGACTTTTTGAGAGAAAGAAATCGACGCAATCTCGTCGCGACTCTGAGAACCCGACTGATGTATACCGGTTTCCTCAGTGTGCTTTGCGCTCCCTTCGTCATGGGCTATTTCCTCGCCTCGTACTTGTTCGCGCGATTCACTGTAAGACTTTTCCATGAGCTCACACAATATCGTCTAACGTTTCTAGGAATACCATAAAAATCCATCCTTGCTTGGGGATCGCGACTTTACGCCGTTCGCCCAGTGGAAATTTCGGGAATTCAACGAGCTACCACATCTGTTCAACCGCCGCAGGAATATGGCATACCCTGCCGCCAATTTGTACTTACAACAATTCCCGAAAGCCAAGACAGAGATGATTTCTTCCTTCGTCGCTTTTGTGACGGGCGCTTTCTGTACCGTTCTCATCCTCATTACACTCATCGACTCGGAACTATTCCTAAATTTTGAAATCACCCCCGGAAGGACCGCTCTATTTTATATGACTATCCTCACTGGCATTTACTTGGGGGCACGTGGGAGCAGTCCTCAAGAAGACCAAGTTGCAGATCCAGCGTACTACATTGATGCTGTAATCTATCACACACGATATGAGCCAGCTTCGTGGCATGATAGACTACATACCGACGAAGTGCGGGCCGAATTCTCGCAGATGTATCAGCCGAAGATACTTCTCTACGTGGAAGAGATGCTCAGCATATTGATCACGCCATTCATACTCATGTTTCGGCTTCCAAACTGCAGCGAGCGTATCGTCGACTTCTTCCGCGAATTTTCCATCGTCGTGGATGGTTTGGGAGTCGTCTGCTCGTACTCGATGTTCCCTTTCAAGAAGGGCGAGAACAACCTCCCCGCGAACAGGACTGGTCGCCAACAGGACAATGAGCTCCGTGAAGACTATTTTATGGCTAAAGACAACAAGATGTTGGCTTCATACCATGGGTTCATGGAGACATATGCAACTACAACAGGGCGTGGTCATACGGGTCGTTTTCATCCTCCGCCACAATTTCCGACTCATTATCACTCCTCGTCCCAGGCTACATCACCGGTAGGTGCTCGTGGGTCTAGCAGGGGCCCGCAGGGTCGCCAACCTTACAACCGCCGCTCAGGACGACAAGGACCTGCACCCGAACGAGGTGAGCCCATGAATTCGGTGCTTCTAGACCCAATTCACCAGCCGGCAGCTTCTGCGATCGGAAGGTCACCGCGACAAGGACCGCATGGTCGCCATAGATCGTCTTTTCAGCCACTTTCCGTGCCCGAAGAAAGTATGGTATCCGAGTCGTGGCAACCTCAGCAGGATGATGAGACCGAGGACGAGACGCCAGGTCAACCTCGCGGAGGTGTACTCCAGCTGCTACATCAGTTTTCCCGAGCACAGGCTGAGGGTCGTGCCGGAGGGGTTGGCGTTTGATTGCCTTTTGCATCAGCTTGTTGGCGTTCTGGGATGTTTATAGGGACTACCCATTGGCATTGGCATACATGAAGGGGGTTGTGCTGCCTCCGGCGTACCTGGACTACGCATTGTCTTATCTCGCATTGGGATGCATCTTACATGGATCCAAGGGAGGGTATAATTCATCAGCTCAAGAACACTAATGCATCTTACTGCGAACGGTGAACTGTGGGTGTGTACGGATGCTGAACCTTCAAAATTGTACATTATATGTTCATTCGTTATACAAAGGGCTGCATTACCCATTAACGGCTTGTTCGTCGTTAGCTTTTCCCTGTGTGCTTTTGAGGTACACCGGAAATTTCCATCACGTCCCCAGGCCTGAACGGCGAGAAATAGTGCATCCAGTTAGCAATGCTCACACCCCAACATTCCTCATCGCAAGATGCAACCATATCCTCATCCTAGTATCCGCTCTGCTCCCTCCTGTTGTCCGAATCTGCCTCATCCCCATCGGGCTCCTGATTCCTCTTCGCACCAGCACCCGCCTCCTTAATCGCCGCATCATCGCCCCTCAGCTTCTGAAAGAACACGTTGATATCCTCAGCACCCACCGCCTTTCCCTCATCTGCATACGGTTTCAAGAACGCCTTCAGCCCATCTTTCAAGTGCGCAAACGCCATGGCGCCCTGAATCGCCCTCGCGCGGTCCATATTGCTGAACGCCGCCTCGCCGCGCTCGAGAAGGGAGCCTGTGCCGACCGAGGCCGTGGCGTCGTTGCCGTCTTCTGAGATTGGGGGCTCGTAGACGTCTTCCTCTTCGAGGAGTTGTGGGTGGGGCTTTAGAAGGGGAAAGCAGGTTGCACAGTGGCAGATGTGAGAGTGAAAATCGGGCTTCATGAAGAGGGAGAAGGGTTTTGAGGGCGAGGGCGGGAAGAGGGGAAGGGAGGTGAGTTTACATTGCGGCGCGGAAGTAGAGGTGGAGTCAGCCTTCTTTGGAGTGAGCGGGAGAATCGTACTTGGAGCATCTTCAAGAACGGTCGACAGTGCTGTTGCGGGGTCCATTGACTTCTGCCTCTTAGGTGGAGCCATGGATCCTGCGGGCGCGATATCTTCGCCATCGTCTGCTTTGCGTTTCTTAGGATCGCCGTTGGTGGCGCCTGTCGTGTGACTGGATGCCTCCGGAGCTTTTGTTTGGTTCAGAGCAGCATCGAAGTAGACAGGTGGAACGAAACCAGGAGAGCTGGCATACTTCTTGATCCACGGAAAGGCTTCGACGCATTTGTAGCAGAGGAAATACTCAAAGTCGTTCTCGGCAGGGAAGCTCGGAGGTAATGGTGTATCTTCATCTTCCTCTTCATCTTCGATTTGTGCAGCAACGTCGTTTCCATCGACACCGTTACCAGTTGGTAAGCCTGCAGCGATAGCCGTCATGACGGAAGGTCTCCGTGCATCTGGGTCTCTTCCGGCTTCTTCCTCATGCCTCGTTACGCTCACGTCTTTTGTGATCCCGTTCGCTTTTACATCTCCCTCTTTCTGCTCCATCTTCGGTTTCTCGATGCTCTTCTTGAACTCTTCCCTAGAGAGTCCAAGAACGCATTCGGGATGCCACCAGTCCTCGCCACAGCCACCATCCTCCACCGTACCCAGTCCTAAACACTGGAACATGGTTCCCTTTTCTTGATGCGGGTCGTACTCCTCGCTACACCCACAGAACTTGTTGCGGAAGTTCTGATTGTACTTGTTGCCTCGAGCCGGCTCTTCTCGGGCGACGCCGCCCTTCTGTCCAGTCTCGGAATTTATGCGCAGGGTGCATGGTGTCGTTTCAGGCAGGCGCGTAGTTCCACAGTCGCAAACAAAGTTGCGCTTGTTGAAGAGCTCGACAAGCGTGTGTTCGCCGTGGCATGAAATGGAGCAGGCGTAACAGACAGCGGCCGGCTGGTACGGGTCTGACGAATTCGTCGTTGGAGGGTTGCAGTCGAGGCAAGAATAGAGTCCTTGGCGTAAAGGTCCGAGATCGCGCGTGCAAGTATCGAATTGCTGTAACATATTAGGTCAAGTTCAGGTGTCGACTATGTGCAACCCACATATGGAAGAGCCTCGCGGGCTTCGGCTTCAAGGCTGAGCTGTTCCTTGATAAAGCTAGAAGGTTAGTTAGCGCATGCGATCCCGACAGTATATGTGTAGAAATACTTACTCTGCTGCTGTCTGCGAGTCTTCCGACGCCTGTGAGATGGAATTTGTACGCGGCTTCGGTTGAGATACGTTGGATGTCTGCGACTCAGCCATTATGGCGGATTGCGAGCTGATTCTGGGTCGCGTAGGTTTCCAGAGTCTCACTTGATGAGCGCAGAAGTGATATAAATCAGGGTGGTGTGCAAGTGAAGGCCAGCTGTTGTGGTCTCACTACGTTGATGCTCCAATTGCGCCGTCGCACTTTCCCTGTTTGAGAATTGATAGGCGACGCGCCAAGCCACTTTACGCGTGGTAGACGCGACATGCTAAACCCATTCCCTCCAACAAGCCCCTCGTCGTTTCCCCGTCTACGCACATCTTTGTATACTCGCATTGCATAAACATGAGGTATGTGCTTTGGGACTTGCTACCGTGAAGCCTCTGCCGTCCAAACCTCTTCTGACTATTTCGTTTTCTAACACGCTTCAGCTCTCCGCTACGACCAAGCATGTCGTCTGCAAATCGTGGTGCAGGTCCTTCGAGGAACAACAAGCGTGCCAGGGACGATGGATCCTCACCAGCACACCCGCCGTCAACTCGTACGTGCAAATGAACAAGAATTGTGGAGCGACGTTGACACGCAACAGCGATGGACATGGCCTCCTCTCCGCCCCTGATTCCCCAGGATGACGATATGCTCGATGAGGATAACATCTACCGCGATGTAGATGACCTAGACGAGGAGGCTGAGGAGGGCGCCGGCATCGATCTGTTCGATGACAGATTCGATGGCGAACACTTAGGCTTTCAGAACAACCAGAATTATGAGGGTTCCGATATTGATGATGAAGGAAACTACGAAGACTTGGGTATGGGTGCGAGACGAGAAATTGACCGCCGACTCAATCGACGTGACGCCGAAGCACGACGCCGCATACCTGATGCCTTCTTGCCGGACGACGACGAGGGCGGCATCGGTGAGCTCATAAGAGGAGGCCGCAGGCAACGCCATCGCTATGACGAGGAACAGGATGATATGGATCTTGATGGCGACATTATGGCCGAAGAAATGTCTCTGGAAGCGCTCTCAGACATCAAGGCAAACACATTGACCGACTGGGTGGCACAACCTGTCGTTGCTCGGTCTGTTGCTCGCGAATTCAAGGCATTCCTTACCGAGTATGTGGACGACCAGGGTGTTTCTGTATATGGAGACCGTGTCAAGACCCTTGGTGAGATCAATGCAGAGTCCCTGGAAGTCTCTTTCAATCACCTCACGGAGGGCAAAGCTACCCTCGCTTATTGGGTTGCGAATGCTCCCACAGAGCTGCTGAAGATCTTTGACCAAGTCGCCATGGAAGTAGTGATCTTTCACTACCCGGACTACGAACGCATCCATTCCGAGATTCACGTTCGGATAACAGACATCCCAATCGGACTTACGCTCCGCCAGCTTCGCCAGTCGCATCTGAACTGCCTGGTCCGTGTTAGCGGCGTTGTAACGAGGAGAAGTGGAGTTTTCCCTCAGCTGAAGTACGTTAAATTTGACTGTAACAAATGCGGAACTACCCTAGGACCCTTCCACCAAGATTCAAACGTGGAAGTGAAGATCTCATTCTGTTCGAATTGCCAATCACGAGGTCCTTTCACTGTGAACTCGGAAAGAACGGTCTATCGCAATTACCAGAAGCTCACCCTTCAAGAGTCGCCTGGTACTGTCCCTGCCGGTCGCTTGCCTCGGCATCGAGAAGTAATTTTGCTGTGGGACCTCATCGACTCGGCGAAGCCAGGTGAAGAAATCGAAGTCACTGGAGTTTACCGCAACAACTACGATGCATCCTTGAACAATAAAAATGGGTTTCCTGTGTTCGCCACTATAATAGAGGCAAACCATGTTGTCAAGTCCCATGATCAGTTGGCTGGTTTCCGACTAAGCGAGACAGATGAGCAGCAAATCCGCCAATTATCGAAGGACCCTCAAATCGTCGACAAGATTGTCAACTCTATCGCGCCGAGTATTTATGGACATAAGGACATCAAAACTGCGGTGGCACTTTCGTTGTTCGGCGGTATCAGCAAAGAGGCTGCTGGAGGTCACGCCATGCGTGGCGACATCAATGTCCTCTTACTTGGAGACCCAGGAACTGCCAAATCTCAAGTCCTCAAGTACGTTGAAAAGACTGCCCACCGAGCCGTCTTCGCTACTGGCCAAGGTGCCTCCGCTGTCGGTCTTACGGCTTCGGTTCGCCGCGACCCTATGACAAGCGAATGGACTTTGGAAGGTGGAGCTCTCGTGCTTGCGGACAAGGGCACCTGTCTGATTGATGAGTTCGACAAAATGAACGACCAGGATCGTACGTCTATCCACGAAGCAATGGAGCAGCAGACGATTTCGATTTCCAAGGCTGGTATTGTCACCACACTCCAGGCTCGCTGTGCAATCGTTGCCGCGGCCAATCCCATTGGTGGACGATACAACTCGACCATTCCCTTCTCTCAAAACGTCGAGCTCACCGAGCCTATCTTGTCTCGTTTCGATATTCTGTGCGTCGTGCGCGATACAGTCGACCCCAACGAAGATGAGCGCCTTGCCAAATTCGTCGTGAACTCTCACGCCCGTTCGCAACAGCACACAAATGCGGCGTACTCTGCAGAAAATGGCAACGGTGAGTCTCAGGACATTATGGACGTGGATGCCCAAGCGAACCAGGCAGAGAAAGGGGATATACCGCAGGAACTGCTCAGAAAGTACATTCTCTACTCGAGGGAGAAGTGCAAACCCAAGCTGTATCAGATTGATCAGGACAAGGTCGCCCGACTGTTCGCTGATTTGCGAAAAGAGTCAATGGCAACTGGTGCTTATCCAATCACTGTAAGTAAACCATGATCCAGACTTGTGACCAGGCACTGACAAAGCGCAGGTCCGCCATCTGGAGGCCATTATCCGCATCTCAGAAGCCTTCTGTAAGATGCGACTGTCCGATTACTGCTCGGCCGAAGACATCGACCGCGCCATTGCTGTCACTGTCGATTCGTTCGTTGGTTCGCAGAAGGTCAGCGCGAAGAAGTCTCTCGCTAGGGCATTTGCCAAGTACACTCTTAACCGACCTGGTGCCGTTCGTAAGCCAGCTAGGGCGACTCGGCAAGCTCAACGTGCTGTTGCGTAGATATCATGGGGATAATGATTGGATGATTGATGGTGTTACGGAAAGGCGAAGACAAGTGTGGAAGATGTAGGGAAATATACCATTAAAAGGGCATTGGAAGAGGGCTCGTCTCATTTCTGGCGGTTAGAGGCGTTTTGAAAGCTTTGCTCAATCATCTTAAGATACCAACGCTGTCGTCGCATAACAAGCAAAATGTCGCAAAACAACAATTTGTCATGTTCACATTGCACAGAACGTACCTAGGTAGCCGCACGCTTTCTGGTCACGTGCATTGGCCGGCGCTCTCGCTAGCGCGACATTAGCGAGTTCGCCCACAAGCGAACTTTTGCGGCCGCGATCGAACTTTTTGAACACCCAACTATCGCCGGAGGCATCAACATCGCAGGAACACCACACAATAACTTCCTGAGCTCAAGATGGCACCCAAGAAGGCTAAGAGAAACGCTGACACTATCAACTCGCGCCTTGCGCTTGTTATGAAGTCTGGCAAGTACGTTGCATCTGCCCGTCGTCTCTGCACAGAACTATTTCTAACGAGCTATTTAGGGTCACTCTCGGTTACAAGTCCACCCTGAAGAGCCTGCGCAACGGAAAGGCACGTACCAAAACCCTTCCTCGTCCTTCCACAGCAAATACGAAATCTCCCGCCTATCTGACGATGTCTGAAATGGCTATAGGAGCAGTGTCTTGTGGCTTGTGGTAGATGCCTGTTAGTATCTCAACTAACATTCTCACAGGCTAAGCTTGTTATCATCGCTGGAAACACGCCGCCGCTCCGCAAGTCTGAGCTTGAGTACTATGCCATGCTTTCCAAGACCTCCGTCCACCACTTCTCCGGCAACAACGTACGTATTCCTTTCTGGACCCCCTCTCATGGCCTAACGACGAGATACCGATCGGTACTTGAGGGCTGGCCCTGAGAAGAGGTCTACTGCGACTTCGGAGGGTTTTCGACTAACGTGAATCTGTAATAGATTGAGCTTGGTACTGCTTGCGGTAAGCTCTTCCGCTGCTCCACCATGTCCATCCTCGATGCTGGTATGTATTTCCATGCGTTGACAACGATACCATGATCTAACCCACATCAGGTGACTCCGATATCTTGAGCGCCGACACTGCTTAAGTGCATATGCAGAGGACAAGACAAGCCGCGGATTGGGCAGATAGACTATGATACCTCACGATATGAGTCATGCAAAAGTGGCTGAAAGCAATGAGACTATGAGTCATCTCAAGATCCTGCTTGAATTTGTTTTCGTGATAATCGTGTGCTACCGTGACGTTGAGTGCTGCACATGCTCTGTGAGAAAATAGCTTTTGACAGTAACAGCATCGAAAAGCTGGAGTCGCGGCAAAGTGCTGCCAATCTGCCCTACAACGCAACTGCAGCATCTATCATCATCCTGAGCAATTGCTGTGATCATGAAACTCGAGGTGTCGAACGTGATTACTAAAAAAGGAACGAAGGAATTGCATCAATGTGCACCTTCCGCCGTTGCCTAGTATAGACTAGCGTCGCCCACACTGATTTCCAATCAACCAAGCGCTCACACTCAAAGACCTTCTCCCGAGCGTCCACTTCCACCACACCACAACTGACAGCAGGGTAAGATTTGCTCCTTCCTCAAGCGCACGCTCAAAAATCCGCGTTTCCGCAGTTTTGCAGAGTCACGCTTTCCGTCTTTCCGCTCTAGAAGGTCTTCCGCTCATTGTCTCTGCAGAACAACAGTCAAAATGGCTCGCCGTCCCGCCCGTTGCTACAGGTACTGCAAGAACAAGCCGGTATGTTTGGATCCTAGCGTCAACAGAGTGCAAGACTGACGTTTCCGCGCAGTATCCCAAGTCGCGCTTCAACCGTGGTGTACCCGACCCTAAGATCCGTATCTTCGATCTTGGCCGCAAGAGGGCCAACGCCGACGAATTCCCGCTATGCATCCACCTTGTCTCGAACGAGTACGAGCAGCTGTCCTCTGAGGCGCTTGAGGCCGCCCGTATTTGCGCCAACAAGTACCTCGTCAAGGTTGCCGGAAAGGAAGGTTTCCATCTCCGTGTCCGCGCCCACCCCTACCACGTCGTCCGTATCAACAAGATGTTGTCGTGCGCTGGTGCCGATAGATTGCAGACGGGCATGCGTGGTGCCTTTGGCAAGCCCAACGGTACTGTCGCCCGTGTGAACATTGGCCAGATCATCTTGTCCGTCCGCACGAGGGACACCAACCGCGCCACCGCCCTTGAGGCTCTTAGGCGATCCCAGTACAAGGTATGTCGAAGCACGGTGCAATTTTGACAGCCGCTAACGTCGTGCAGTTCCCCGGTCGCCAGAAGATCATCGTATCCAAGAACTGGGGCTTCACCAGTCTCCGCCGCGAGGACTACATTACCAAGCGCCAGGAGGGCAAGATCAAGATTGACGGTGCCTACGTCCAGTTCCTTGGCAACAAGGGCAAGCTCGCCGACAACGTCCGCCGCTTCCCTGATGCTTTCAAGCAGGAGGCATAGATGGGTGACGGCATGAAGGATGTGGCGTGAAGATTTGCATGGGTTTAGTGGGATACCGGATCATGGCGTGTCTTGCTTTGCTTTCTATACCTCGAGTCATGGATGAAGGCTGAAGTAGCATTCCTGTAGAATGGCGCAGAGGAAGCCTGACGATGACAATGGTACACGAACAATCAATCTCAAAACATCCAAAGCGCACATGTGCAATGATTGTGAAAGTGGGTGTTTGGTGTAGCAGCCTCGCTACTTGGATATTGACTAACAAATTGGTCAGACGTGCAAATGGTATCCCGAGCACAAGCCTCATAATCAAAAGCCCACGGGTACATTCTAGTTCTATGTCCCACAGGACTGATGTTAGGTGCAACGTATTCGAGATTGAACCTGAGCTTGGTTTGCATGTTCCTGCATTGTTTTAGCACAACAACCAGCCGACTCGCTGTACACTTTCCCCTTGTCATGAAAACATTCGTTGGAAGCTATATACCCCAGCGCCTTAGACTAGTATGTTTATCGCCACGTACCATGTCCATGTTTGCGGTCAGATCTGCACGATCCATGTCCATTGTTCAAAGGCAGCTTTTCGGGACTTCTCGATATGGCATCCCGACCATTGCTAAACACACACACACGGTCACTCGGGGGACGAGCTTGTGAACGTAGAACAGAGCATACTTACGCCAAGCTCCTGGAAGCCACTAGGCGCGGAGTATGCTCAGAGTCAGTCACCCCGAATATCGAAAGTTCTATGGATAGGTAGTGGTGGATTGTCTATGGGGGTCCGGGGTCTCTATTTCGGCTCAACGGTGTATGAATTTGGAGCAGCCTATGCGTATGTAACATCTATTGGTATGCTACAGCCGTAGCGCGCTAGGACTTAGGATGTATTTCGTCATAGCAATCTCGAGATTGGAATCACAAACGGCAATGGGAAGTTCAGCATTCATAGACATGACCTCCCTAGTTTAGCATATCTGATTCTCGACATACATTCATAAGGATACAAAGGCCAAATGAAAGTTAGGGACTATGCATCAAACGTGACAAGTATTCGGCCGTACAACCGGCTATCGAAGCATGCAGCTATGGAGCTATCAGTGCAGAGCCACATACCTTGTTTTCAAAGGAGCGATTGGAGGCCTCTAGGAGCCGAAGGATCGTGTCAAAGAACCGCATTATGTGGCATTCTGCCATGACTCTCCGGCAATGGCCCCACCGGAAGGATCTATATCTTCACTTTGTCTACGTCGTGTTTCGAAATTGTTCACTTGGTTTGCACCGATCGACCAACCTTAGGAATCGGTACTCCGAATCTGACTATGTTCTCTTCGTATGATCTGAATAGGGTCGCACCAGTAGTTGGCTACTAATACTGCTTTCGAGATCTTGCTCCAGTGACAACCCTATAAAATCAGCACAACATCCGGACATAAGGGTGTGGTGGGGGCTGCTACCTATTAAGGTCGTGAGATATCGTTGAAGGACGCTCTGAACGTAGTATAGCCAACTTGGACTATTGACGGAAGGTTGACAGGTTGAATGAGATCATGTCATAAGAAGCAGGTTTAGAAGCAGGTTTAGAAGCAGGTTTAGAAGCAGTCTGTGCCCAACCATACCGCACAGTATAAAAACTTCTCCTCCACGAACACCTTCGCTATGTCCCTCCCAACAGTCACAACCAGCGATTCGTCTTTATCGTGATCTGCCGTTATAGTAATGTCAAGTGCTTCACGGTCTGTTGAAGCGTTCATGCCTTTTGGGAACAACGACATCATACACGAAAGGCTCTTTGATGTGTTCTCCACAAGCCACACTATCAGGGGACATAGGGGGATTCTCCCGCACAATTGGGCTCGTGCGGCGTGTTTCTCTTGCGATACTTGTGTCATTATCCATTGTGGCCGCACCCCCAGAAAGATCGGCAGGTATTCAAGCTTAAGCTAGAGTCGGCTGTAAGTTCTAAGCTGAGACTGTCCTTTCGTAGTAGGACTATTATGATTCTGGCGCTTCATTGCAGCGGTCACTCGCTGGTATGCCCGAAAGTCTACAATCTGATTGGCGAAGGAGACTTTTTCGTTCCCGATGCTAGAAGACGCATCGTCGAATAACTCCTGCACTGTATGGGTAGATGAAAGGACCGATCCAGGGATGTTCTTTTCCGAGTCTTGATACGCGTTGCGTTAATCTCTGCCTGCAATGTACGCATATCTAAGCAATCCCGTCGACCTCTTTTTTCTTGCTCCTGAATGCTGTATCTGAGGTCTCCCTAATTCCTTTCAGGGACACTGGCACACAAAACCATCAGACACTGCTCGCATTAGCTGCGCAAGTGGATATAACAAGATCAGAAATCAAGGGCTGTGACCTGGCCATGCAGCAAACCTAATGCTTGCATCGTATACTCTTTCCATGCGTCTCTAACATGCTGTTGCCAGTTGAAGCCGGACCCGCCTTCGGCCTGTCCGCACAAATGGCCAAGCCTTGCATCTAGACATGAGAAGACAGCAGTTCATCCAGTCAGTACCGCATCGCAGGAGTCCAGGAAGAGCAGCTGCGCGAAGAGTTGCTAGATGCCGATGATGCTTTGCCGTGCCACCAGCATCCGGAGCTTGAAGAGCACTTGTTCAAGTCGTGCACTCGAAGACGGTAGGAACGCAACACTAAGTATTGGATTGAAGCTTCTGGAGCGGTAATCTGGGATGAAGCGAAGGGAGAAGGATTGAGGACGAACGAAGAAATGCTGTGTTTCACAGTTGGAAGAACCTGATAGCTAACCTCTTGCTCTTCAGTTTGAGGCAGTCGTGTCCAACAAGCCTTGTGGTTGGCAAACCAGAGTCCATTAATGCTTCATAACGATATGAATTTACACATCGCAGCATCTATTCATCTCCATGCCGATGCTCTTGATACCAGGTATACATACACAGCCAGCGATAACCTTCTCATCAACGCAACCATGTCTGGCTGGCAAACCTACGCAGCTAGACGTATTGCACAACTGACGGACACTACGCCTGTATCAGAATAAGCTCACACCGCGGTGGGAGCTACATTGCGCCCCCCATCCGTCTTATCGCGGCTGAGAAAGTGTGTGCGCATACGCAGTGCAGGCACCTCATCCGCACTCGCTCCATCCCGAACTGTTACGCCACAACTTCATTCACCCATGGCTGAAGATATCATTTCCAAACTCGAACTTCTTTTGTATTCATATCGTATCGTATCGTGGTACATCGCTCAAATGCCGCAAGGTGAAGATGGCACGGTCTGAAGTATTGTATGCAGGTCGCATGATTGAAAGAATCTTACGAATTATACGTTCAAATGGCCGGGCCGAAGGCAGAAAGAGAGAAACGCCCAGTATGCAAGGTTTCGCCGAAGCCGCTGGACTTTTTCAGTAGCAAGGAGATGGGTGGAAAAGGACGAGATTCTGGGTATAGATTGCCGTCGAGAGGGAACGAATGGGTGTCGCTAATATGCTGTCGTTCATATCCCATGTCGAAACAACTTGTCGATGGTCTTAGTGTCCTGTGTCACCGCAGGATGAGCAATACAGTACTCGAAGATTTGACCCAACACTATAGCTCACAATTAGATGTCGATACTTCGAGTTACGAGAACTTGGCAGCTCTATGTCCGCCAATTGGGTTCAAGTTCGGGCTTGCTTTGCCGCCGCTGCCCCAGGAGAGACCGCTTAATCGCTTGTTGCTCGTGCTGGAGGTCGTCGATGCCCCATCTCTCCCCTTGCCGTCGAGCCCCTCCTCTTCTTCCATACTGAACAGGCCCTGCTCTTCTTCGATCCTCTCGCGATTAATGCTGCTGCTGCTGACAGCTCTGTCCATGCCAAGACGCCCACTTGGGCTTCCGATGCTGGAGGCGGAGGTGAGCCGATTCATGCCTGGGTGCATAGGAACGCTAGGCGGACCGCCTTCTTCCGAAGCACGTGATGAAAGCCGTGTGCGCTGTAGTTGCTGGCTGATCATGCTCATAGAGGCTTGCCGGGGAGGTGAGGAGACGAAGGAATTTGCATCATTGTGTGGTCGTGTCATGGCACGGAGTGACGGGCTGGCGCCAGGGTGTAGGGTGGAGTTGCGGAGCGGTGAGCCCACATGTCCAAATTGCGAGCCTAGTGAACCAGATTCGAAAGTAGATTCCTGCGTAGGACGCTTGCCCCAGATAGACTGGAATCGGGAGGGTGAGGATCCAGCTTTGGCGTCTGATGCTGTTGGAGAGGCACCCAACCTAGAAAAAGAGGTTCGATGAGAGAGAGAATTGCCGTCATTGTCGCCATGATCGCGCGAAAATCGGCGCATCTTCTCCTGTGGAGTCAGTAAGTCGTTCAACGAGCTCGGTATCAGATCTTCTTCGAATTTCCCGAGGTTTTCCAGATCATCCCATTCGTCGTTCATGGCGAGCGGCGGTCGCGCGCCAACACTCGAGGACATCATGCCCCTTGACCGATGCGCACCCATCTCGGAGTGCATGATTCGACGGCCTGCGGGCTGTTCGATCGACTCAGGCGGAGAAGATCCCAATGCTGCAGCCATGCTCCGAGAGTTCTCGCCGAATGCTGAATCATGCAGATTTCGAAGAGCCGGAGACTCGCCAAGGAAGGACTGGGGAGGAGAGCCGGTGAGGAACTTGGCGGGAACAGAAGAAGCAACAGGGCCATATCGTGCCATGTGAGAGACACCTTGGCTGTCGAATGACGCCGGCAGCTGCACGTCCATGACGCTGAGGCCCTTCTGCACGGGTGAGATGGGCATACGGCCGTTCTCATTGGGGGGAGATCCATAGTTGGAACCGGGATGAGAGGAGAAGGTGGTGTCAATGGTGGGTATCATGTCGTACTGGTCCTTCTGGTTGCCGAGATATTCGTCCTGCGGCGGATATTGATATTGGGCATTGGCGGGTGCTAGATGGGCCATGGATAACAGCGAACTGCTGGGTGCGGGGTCGGGATGATGTGGGATATTCATACGGCCAAACGGACCTCCTCCGCCATGACCGTGGCCATGATGTCCGATGTTGTTGCGATTTACGACGTGACCGTTGGGGAGAATGTGTGCGAGCATGCATTTGGGACCGAATTTGCAGTTGCCCTGCGTACGTTAGGGCCAATGCTGGTTGCTTTCGCTGTAGGTCCTACCTTTGTGAAGTACTTGCAAGGTGCGCGCTCCGTCAGCGGCTCATCCGAATGCAGGAAGGGACAGGCTTTGCCGGCCTGGCAAGCTCCCTGGCGGTAGAATTTGCACGGCACATGCGAGGTACCTGGTGGGCGCGTCAGTGAAGAAACTCGACATGACAGCAGTAAGCGCACTCTTGTTGTTCGGGGGGCTGCGCGGGCCGCCAAAGCCCATCTCGCGCAAGTTCGCTCCATGTCCGTGTCCGTTGCTGCCCATGCGACCATGCGGCCCGCCTGGCACCGGCATAGGCCCGTTGCCGTTCGCGCCCGTCATGCCGCCGTTGGAGGAGTTGTTTCTGAAGTCGGCCGAGGAGCGGTGGGAGATGCGTGGAGTGTTCTGCTGCAGACTGGCGGGCGGCGGGTTGAGCTGGTGGGCGAATGGGTCTTGTTGGAGTGGTGGGGGTGAGTGGTGGGGTTTGTCTGCAAGCCGCGCTTCCTGCGATTGACGGGGCGCAAACGCAGTCATGGTAGCGCCGAGCGAGGGTAAGTCTGGTCAAAGGGAGGAAGCAGAGGGCAGGATCCGGCAGACAGCCTCGCGCACGAGGGACTGGGAGCGTGAGAGCGCGCAAAAGGTCTGGCGTGGGTATGGCGAAGAGCGCACAGTGTGCTAGGCTGGAGCCGGCTTAGCGCGCGGCGTCGAGGAACGTCGGCAGCCACAAGGCGACATGTATCGTCTCGCCTCCGCACTACACCCCGGCCGATAGCGTATGGACCACGGCGCAGCTCAAGCTGGAGGTCACTGCTGCTTCGCAGGATCGTGGGAGAAGTCGGGGCAGAAGTGCATTCAGAGGTTGCTGAAGTGCCCATGATGCAGGCTGCCCGCCCAGCTCTTAAGAGGTCGTGCTGGCGTCACGCGTGGCCAAGCATCATCACGCGAGCCGCTGAGGCAGACACAGACGCGCTCCAAGGCAGGCGCGATACCCGGTTCTGTGCTCGAAAACAGACCAAAGTCAGGCCCATGCATCCAGAACAGGCACGCTCCACCATTTTACTGACCATGTTGACCGTGATGGGAGCTTCACTCGGGCCAGAATTCGAGGTCACTCGCCGCCGGGACGCGCCTTCCCGACCTGTCTCAGACTGCGCGCCCATGTGAGATACCGCGGGCAGTCTTCCAGCCAACCACACGGGCATGCCGCCTAGGCACCTACGAACCTCACCCTTCGCCACAACCCGTCATCTGCGCCTCGCAGGCCATCGTCATCTGCAGCAACCTTGTCACATCATTGATTGTTTCGTTGTCCGCTATGTACAGAACAATCGACCATCTAATCCATATCCCCATATCACTGCTCTCCGCTATCCTCCAGTAACCAAAAAGAAAAGACATATATGCTAGAAGCTGCTGCTCTGAGATGGTACAGTGCGGCCGGCCATTCGTGCCTTCATGTGCCTGGTCCCATACCTGCACACGCCGTATTAGCGCCAAAGAATATCTCCCTTCTGATGCTTGTACTAACTGTGCCCGATGCGAAGGATGCCGGCAGAGCACGAGTTGTTGTACCAGTCCATATTCAGGTCGTCCATCATAAATATCTGTGGTATCCCCAAGTTGTACGTGCAAGCGCTAAACTGGATGCCAGACAGCGCATGAAACTGATCGTTGAAAGCAACTTGTGTGAGTTGACAGTTGATGTACCCCCAGCACGGCGGGATCGTGACGTTCTGTTCCGCTACCACTACCTCGCCCTGCAGTGTCTTGTCATACCGGTAGCCCGATATCCGGAGCGTGCAAGGCGTGATGCCGTTCAAGGCACATCCAAAATACCCAGAACGAGCATTGAACCAGTACGCGTCCACCGAAGCACGAGGGCCTGCGCCAAACTCCCCCGGAAGTAGCGTCCCTGCAAATGCAGAGTTTGGTAGCAGGCTGCTGCCGACCGGTAGGAAGATGGCCACGTTGGGTTGCGAAATCGCCGCATACGGCTCCCACTTGTCGGGGAGATAGGCGAACCCGTTTGCGTAGAAGAGATGGTGGTACGGATTTCTCATGCCGCTGACTGGGAGGACATCGCTGTCTTGACCAGAAACAGTCGAATCGTCAAAAGTAAGCGTGAAGTTGCCTGATTCTCCACACGATGTTGGCCCAGGCGCTTCCTCGGCCGCTCGTGCTACGATCCTAGTCTCTACTTGCGTGGCTGTGGCTGTGGCTGCAGTTGCATCTCCAACGATAATGGTGGTTACAATGACCGTTTGGAATGTCGTCAATCTGCGGCTGCTGGAGCTGGGGAACCCAAATGAAGGTAATGCTGATGTCTATACTGGGTGTTAGCGGGTGTTTTACAGTCTGTAAGATGTTCTTTGAGTAACACACGATAGCACTAGCAGACAAGCTCTGTAATGGGAGCAGTCCTGAGACGGGGAGTTGCCGACTGCTTGGCTCGATCCAATCCAAAGAACGTAGCTCCGAAAGCGGCGTCTGCCGCAAAGTGCGAGTCGTCAACGCCAGGTCAGTCCAGTCAGGCCCCGTTATCGATGGGTACGTCCCAGTCCAGTAAGAGTGGGTGGTCGTAACATTGGGCTTTGGGAAAACGAGGCTGAACTCTGCGTCGGCATATGCTAGAACTTTGGTCATCGTAGCTGCGGTGGCAGCTTGAACAGGCTCCGTTGAGTTCACCCTCGAGGTGGGAAACGGAGGACTTGTCGGAGTCTGCGACGTGGGAACAGGGGGCGTGACAGCACTTTCTGAATTGGACGCTGCAGGAGCACTGGTTGGAGGAACTTGTATAGAGGTAGCTGCTGTGCTGCCTGCGGACGAAGTGCCTATCGAGATGGCTGGGCCGGATGTACTGCTGGCAAGCGATCCCTACAGCATCGTTTCAGCAGGTGCTACGTAAGGGAGCTTGGGGTAGTTTACGGAGAAGCTGGCAGACAAGCTTTGCAACGACGAGACTGATAAGCTTGTTCCACTACCCGTCGTAGATGTACTTGGCGATGCGCTTGGACTGGTACTACTAGCAGACGAGATCTGCGTACAATGTTTAGCGATTATCGTATGTTCCGTCATAGAATGACTTACAGAGCTAGGAGAGACTGAAGACGACATGCTTGCGATCTGTGTTGATAAAGCCGGTGAGGAAGATGCGCCACTGGAGCTTGGGGCGAGGACGAGTGAAGAGCTTACGGTGGTAAATAAAGACGTGCCGGAGGAGCTTACGCTTGAGCCTAGCGAGCTTGTTGTGCTAGATGTCAAGTTGGCCGACGAAGTCGTATTGACGAACCCTGGCGGTGGCGATGGTATTTCGACAGGAACAGCAGTAGTCATTGTGGCAGATGCAGAGCTCAAAGGCACCGTAGAGGTCCGGGTCAAGGTCACAGTCGTGGAGGACGAGCTTGCCCCTGCTACTGACGTCGAAGATGTCATAGGAGAGGACGACAGGCTGTTAGAGATCGTTAGAGTCAACGTCGGAGAGGTCGCTGTTGATACAACCAGGGATGAGGTGACCACGGAAGGAACAGCAGGGCGACTCGGTGCTGCATCTGAACTTGTGGAGGGCAGAGTAGTAGCGAAAGACGATGCCAGTAGCGAGCCTGAAACAGGAGAGCTCCTGGAAGTTTCCAGCACCGAGGTAGTGGATGTGAATTGTGTAGATTCGGTGCCGCTCGTTGCGCCTGAAGAAGGTACAACAGGAGCAGATGTTGGAATTCCAGGTGGTCCAGACCCAACCGAAGATGGACTCGAAGGGCGGCCAGAAGACACCGGCACATTGCCAGAGATTACATACGAAGGTAGAATTGGGGCACCTCCTGAAGAAAATCCCGGAAGTGGACTTGTCATGCTAGCGGACGACACGGGTGGAGATGTCGATGCCGTCGCAGAACCTGTAGTCGGGACACTCGGCTGCACACTCGTTGGCAGTGATGGAGATGTTATAGGTGTCGACGCTAGTGGAGTGCTTCCCGATTCGCCTGGCAAGCCTGAGCTTTGCAGCGTGTTCGTGACGGCACCCGTAGGAGAAATGCCTGATGATCGACCTGAGGTTTGCGTATCCGGCGTAGCTCCTCTGGAAATAGATGATGGCCTACCATTTGTACGTTGAGCACATATCTCGACGTACATCAAGTGAAAGGACACTTACACATTGGGTCCATTTGACAAAGTAGCAACGACCGTTGAGGTCCCGGCAGGGCCCTTCAACGTACTTGTTATAATCACAGGGGGCGGTCCCGATGGCGGAAGTTGTGCTTCTTGGCTGCTCGACCTTGGTAAGGAGGAGAATATCGCTCCAGGCGGCATTGTGGTACTTGTACTAGGGGACGATACGCCGGGCGAGCTCCCACTTGGTAAGGCGGTTGAGCCAGATGCAAAAGGAGGCGGCGGTACAATCGGAAACGATGCTGTCGGTAGATGTCAGCGTACTATGTTCCTCCTGTCTTCGAAGACGCAGCTTACGCGGAGTGGGCAGACCTGTTGCGCTCGACACGCCCGAAGCAGAAGGCGGCAGGGGTACTGCTGGTGGCAAGGCTGCTTGACTATCAGTGTGCGACCACGAATTAATGCTTGGGGAAGCGGACATACGCATAGCAGATGGGCTACCGGGTGGTGGCAGCACTCCTGGTGTAGGTGTCTGTCCTGGTTGAGAACTGGTCGTAATCCCGGGCGACACTGGATTGGCCCCAAATGCTGAACTACTTGGACTGCTGGATCGTGTTGGTGGTGCGATACTGCCAAGCCAGCGTGTTGTACCATTGATCACCGAATAGTAGTATGTGCCGTGATTCGGATCCGTTGGCGTCTGGCCGACAAGGGAAACCGTGACGATGGGGCCAGGTATCGTAACGTAGACAATGCTGCAATCAGTGTCTTGGGCAGCGGCTCCTTTGACTACGTGCAATACGCCTTCAACCGCAGCCCAACAGCCACAAAGAAATCCCGCGAGTAGTACCAAAGTATACACCTGATCAATCCAATGTTCGGTCAGTAGTAAACGGAAGAAAGCAGCAATGAAGTCGCGTATCCACCTATACGTTCGACAGGGCCACCATCTGCTGGGTTGGGTCAGCCAATCGGGGCGTCGTCGTGGCTGATGTTGATAGTATGCCATTGGTTCTTTGGCGTGCAACTCTTCCTGGCTCTCGAGGAAAGAGAGCCATGAAGACATACTGGGCGGCGTAGGCTGTTCCGTGGCTCCGCGGCAGACACTCATGCTGAATGTGGATGGTCCGTTTGGGACGACGCTGCTGGAAGGCGTATTTGAAGACCCAACCTACGGGTCCTCAACGGTCGCCGGCTTTTCGATTGTGGTTTTGGTCCTCTTGTGTCTGTTACCTCTGCGGGAGGTGTTCAAGCCTCTACCCATATCAGAAGGGAGAGCGAGAAACTGTTGTAGCTAGGATGTAGCCTCGAAAATGCTTAAGAAAGTGTGTTGCGCAAGACTGGGATGTGGATGCAGGTCCAAGATGTGAAGGTTGAAGAAGCGAGGTTTGCGAGGGCGTGCGCATTGTTTGTTTGGCCGCAGCAAGCAGCTTCTTGCTTCTTGCCATTGCGGTGCATTGCGCTGGTGGTGCTGGCCCGAGAGAAGGCGAGGTTGTGACGATGGAGGCAAGCGCAGTGAGTGACGTTGGAAACGGGGATGCCTGCAAGCGTGTCGTAACCTTTGCTGGCCCACGACATACATTGCGCCTCCAAATGGCAGAACAATCTACGCAGTACCTAGCAGCCAATCGTTGGATCGCTGGCCTCTGTCGAGGCTGCCCCGGGGCGACGCAAGGCAGCACGCGCTGCGGGGATGGTGTCCGACTTATTTCCCCAGGACGTCGCTCTTGAGGCCGAGACTGAAAGCGCCGTCTAGGCGGGTAGTCCAACGCACCTTCCGCAACCGTTACGGAGAGTAGCATCCTTGGCGACGCTCCATACGCTAGATGGGATTGTATACGTAGACGAAGGTGGAATCCAAATCAAGCGAAAAGGTACAGGGTGCGATGCAAATGAACCCAAGTGGTATGAGAAATGCCTCGGCAGACTTACGATAACGAATAGCCCGTCCACACCACCGGCGCGTTCGAAATTGTGCCTAATATATCTATTTCCGGGACCCATCACGCTCTCACCTCCCACATCCGAATGCGCCCAGTCTCCATGCCGACAGCTAGTAGTGCAAAGCTGCCCTCCCTGCCCTCCTCCTCTGAGGGGTTACCCCACGCCACTGACGTGATTCTTCCCAAGGCAGTCTTTTGAGTGGGCCAGTTCCTGAACACTGTTGCAGAAGGGAGATGTACTAGTCGAAGGGCGGCATTTTTCCAACGACTGGCCATAGCGAGGATTTGTCCGTCTGGGGAAAATTCAAGGTGTGATACAGGGGTCGTGAGGTTGTCGAGCGCTCGCAATGGCTTCGGCGTCCGGGGTATGCCACCGTTTGGAACATCTCCATCACCAGTGGTCGTAGGGTCGTTCTCGCTCCATGCTCTCCGATCATAGATATTGACAATGCCGCTGGAGCTGCCAATGGCTACCCATCTGTCGCCACCAATCCATCCATCTCTTCCACTCTTACCACCTACTGCGATTGTTGTGTTGCCTACGGCACCTTCATCGACCCATCTTCCGACTACACCATCTTGCACGCTCCACTCTGTTACTTCACCACTCTTGCCCGCAATCACCAGACCGTTGCCGTTGCCCCACCACGCAAAGTCTGCGATCCCGCCTTTAGACTCGACGCGAGCCTGTGCCACCCACTGCAGTGTCCTTGCATCGAGGATATTCACGACACCGCCACCTTTCTTTGAGGAACCACGTAGGGCCATGTATCTGCCGTTGGGCGACAGGGCAAAGTGCTCCATCGTGCGTTGCTCATGTTGATGACCATACACACGGGATACCTTCTCCACTGTGCCTGTCGTAAGGTTCCAGACGTGGAAGTATCGCCTCCGTGCGCTAAGGAAGATCCGAGAATCAGACGGTGAGGGATGGAAGGCGGTGGTAGTAAGTGGTGTACGTTTGATGTGGAGCGAGGTAAGGAGCGGATTGGGATTGTGAGGATCCGAAGGGTTCACGTGATGTAACGAAAGCGTTGAGCTGGGGCCAGAAGACAGAAGCAGTGGATACGTAGGATGGAACGACAACGAGGTTATAGCAGACTGTCACAAGAATGTCAGCTAACACAGAATCGAGAAAAGACGGCGTACTAACCGGACCAGCTCCCGCCACATCCTTCAGTCTCGCTATCTCTACAGTACCAGCTTGCAGCTTTCTTCTCTTTGCCGAGCTCTTCGACGTCCGAGACAAGATGTCTGCATCTTTCAGCAACCGCGCTAATGGTAATGTGGAGAGATCATCCTCATCCACGTCCATGTCGCTCGTCGAATCGATATGGCTTTCATCATCATCTTCAATGTGTCGCCGTTTTCGTTTGGCTTTTCCAGTCGCGTGTACGGCCCAATCAGGGACCGGATAGAGCCGCTCATACTGTCTGCGTAACCTGCGTACGTACTCCTTCCCATTCACCACATCATCATCCTCTGTATCCCGCAACTTCCTTAGTTGTGGCACCGAAGCCAAGCTCACCACCAGGCGCTCATCATCGCTGTCTTCCCAAGCAGGCTTGTCATCGTCATCTTCAGTCTCCTCAGCCTTCGCATGAGCAAGAGATCCTGCAGGCTGCGCGGTCGGACCAGTATCGAAGAAGAACAGGTCTTGATCCGCAACGGTGCCGTAGTCGTCGCCATCCGGATCATCAGCCTCGGAATCATCGACCAGAGCAGCTCCCGAAGGTGCCAGCGAAAAGTTGTTTATGCCTTCTCGGAACCCTGCAGAGTCACCGAAGATGATGCGCTCAAGTTCCTCCTCTTCCGCATCCTTTGGCAGTATAGGCTTTGCATTCTTCTTTGTGACTATTTCTACGCTTTCCTCATCGCTGCTCTCTTCTTCCTCGTCTGATACTACTTCTTCTCCATCGAATCCCTCCCAATCTGGCTCCGCCGTGCCGTTCGCAGGTTGTAGCGTACTGACTTCCGTGGCGCCCGGCTCGGGGTCAAACAAAGGCTTTGACGGCGCTGAGTCTTTTGATTGAGTGGGTAGGTACCGTTCCGGACCGGCTGCCTTGTGCGCAGCTTTGTTCGAGGGTGACATTGGGCGAGTTCGCGATGTGAGCGGAGCTGTCACTGGCAGGCGCGAAAATTGTGGTTTGCGAAAAAGTTGACAGGGATTAGGATAAGCTTTTTAGCTCGGCATAGCCGCTGTTATCGACACTCCCCGCAGCATTCCCCAAACAGGCAGGAAAACCACTGCAATGCATTGTGAGACTAGTTATACTTGAACTTTTCATCCGGTCGATGTCTCTGTGCTACGTTCTATCATACTCAAATTCAACACCATCATTGTGCTCCACGACCATGCAATGAACAAGCGCGCCCAACAGCTGTCTCTAGAGCAGTTGGATGCATGGAATGTACGTCTCGTATGAACTGCTCAACGGCCGTAGAAACGTGCTCTAGATCGCCTGTTGGAGCATAAAAGGAACTGAAACGCAGCAAATGACCGCCGATTCCTGCGCTCTTGCTCCACGTCCCCACCACAGTGTTCCGAATTCCGATCGGCATTCTGAGGAAACCTCATCTCCACATTTCTCCCCATTGCGTCTGTCGACGTTCAACCTGGTTCGATGAGTTCGTTTTCATGCCAAGTCAGATGGTTCAACACGTGGGGATGACTCCATCTGTGTAGTCCGGAGGGCGCCTTGATGAGTCATGCTGCACAACCGTACAAGGAAGGTACCTCACAAGCTATAGTCTGTGCCTCTTTAGAAACTGGCCATCGACAACTGCAAAGTACTTGTAGTCTTTCCTACGTCTACGCGTACGCTTTCCTGTACTCTCTATCAACGCCACAGCAATGCCAGATTCGAATCTCGCCGTAGCCCTCCTCACATCGGACGAGGCAGAGCAATACATGCGCATTCGGCACGCTGCGTTTGTGCACGACGTCAACAAGATCTTCTACTTCAATCAGCACGAACCCTCACAAAACACTCTCGACAGCGTCACGCAAAGCGTCCGCGACGGCATCGCCAAAGGCATGCTCTACCTCAAGTGCGTCGACATTAGGAATGGCGAGATCATAGCCGGTGCCCGCTGGCGTCACATTCACTCCGAGGATCCCAACGCTACGTCTCGTACTTGGGACGAAGTCAATGCTGAGCTGACCATTCCGGAAATGTATACCGAGAGCCATCCGGAAGTTTGGCGAGCGTTTTATGAGCTGTTCAACGAGAGCAAGAGGAAGCATATGGGAACCAAGTCATATTGGGTACTGGACACGCTCGTGACGCATCCGGACCATCATAGGAGAGGTGCTGGAGGCATGTTACTGAGGTGGGGGTGTGACAAGGCAGATGAGGCGGGGACGGAAGCGTATCTGGAAGCCAGCGAAATGGGAGAGCCGTTGTACAAGAGATATGGATTTGAGCCAGTGGAGAATATTGCGCTTGATTTGAGGAATTGGGGCGGTCCAGAGGAGATTCGGTGGACGGTAAGTCGGTGTGATGGTATTTTTTGAGGCATGCTGACGCTTGTGCACAGTTGATGATCCGGCAAGCCAAAGCTTGAGTCAGTGCCTTCCGAGATCGCAGGTATATAGACAGGAAGAGCCAATAGAATCCCGAAGATAACACCTAAAGCACGTTGGACGACACGCGTTATCTCTCTGTCGACCCATTCTCCAAGCCCTACCACTTCAGCACGTGATTGTGTTCAACAAAACGCTAGAGTACAGCGGACAAGAGCCGGAAGCCTGCACGAATAGGAATCTCACTTGTAGAGACTGAGCAGGAATATCGCGGCTTGACGCATTGCGCATGGTGTAAGGCTTGACTACTAATCAACGACCGGTTATTAATATAGTAAGGTCGTGGCACTCGGCGAATTCGAGATTGTGGGATGGCGGATTAGGTGGACGTGAGAGAATAGGTAGAATAGGTGACGATAAGCGTCAACTAGCCAATAGCAGTGCCACAGCGCCGTGAACACAGAAAATATATTCATTATCTCTAACTTTCAACATACAGCGACCATCCACAGGCGCACGGCCCAGGCCGACTACATTCGGAGCCTTTAAGAGTAGACCTAAATCGTATAACCGTGTTACATCGCGTCACAATGCACCACTTACCCCAGTAGAGAGCGCAAGAGCCACATCATAGTGTCTAACCACCTGCAATTTACCCCAAAAAACACTTCCATGAGTGCCCTCGCTTTTTCCCTCCCATCTTCATCGACTCTAAAATCGAACCCTCCGCTAATAGCACCATTCATAGACTCACTTCATGATTGAACGGCATCTATCGGCCCACCCGATTCACTCAGTCACGATGTCGAACACCCTTACCTTCCACCCCTTCGAACACTTGCCTGATGAACCCAACTGTCAGATCATCGCGTACGCACACGTGGACATCCTCGCGAGCTCACAGCCACTCCACGGTATCAGACTCGACATCTACATACAATGGAATCCTTGCGAGCAGGAATCCAAGACAGAATTCACTGTCTCCCATATCCAAATCCCTCACCCACTTAGCCCTCGTTTCCCACGCGAGCCGTATTGGTCCATCTACCTCATCAATGAGTTCTTCCTTTCTGAGCTTTATCGCCTCTCTGGGGGCCGTTTGTACTTGATAAGCTTCAAACCGAGCGTCATGTGTTGTACGGACTGAGGCTGACTTATACACGTCTTCGTCGAGGCATTCAAGCCCGACTTCTCACGCACCGGCAGCAACAACACCATCTCCGCCCACAGGAATCCTGTCGTTTGGTTCGATACGCAATCAGTGAGACTAGAATTAAACATGAGGTGTTCTACATATATCATGCAATGGACATGCGAGAGGATCTCTAGGAAACTGGTTGATGTTGTGAGGGTCAATTTCATCCACAAGACACCGTTAGTGAAGGCCTTGTTAGAATCGGTGAGAAGAAAACAACCAACAGAAGGGCCCTTGGACGTGTGCGACTACATCCTTCAGGCTTATCGTATGTTCGAATCAACAGGGGAATCCAATGCGTTTGGGCCTGGTACCACTGTGCACCTTACCAATCTCTAAGGGTCTCATGAAGCCAAGACATTCGAACGGAGTTGCTGGCACTATATATTGCGTTTGCATGTTGCACTTACTCGATACGCTGGTTGAGGAAAGATCTGGCTTCATAGGGTAATTCGCGCATGATGAGCGTCCGAAGCATCTGAAATGATGAACAAGGCTGAGGCAAGGGTAGGACAAAGCGAGGACTAGTTAAAGGATGCCATGTGTGTATTGTATGGAAGGAAGTAGGTTTGTGGATGGGTCGAACATGCCTGTTTCGCTTCTAGACGTTGACCTTCACGAATCAACCTGAAGCAGATGTCATGTTATCTGATCGTGATGTAATTGGTACGAGGTGCATCTCACGTGTGGGACCAATGATCTTTCAAAGAAGTCTAGCTAAGGTAGACATCTTCTGGATGAACAGTACAGTGCCTCCCTCATCGCAGGTATTGGTACCATCTGTTACTACAGGTTGAGCAGTGTAGCACCCAAAACATCGGTTCAATACTTCACATAGCACTCTGCAGCAACAAAGCTCTACGTGCTCAATTAAGTTTCTATAAACATCATGCACATAATCCATACCACCTATTCCATTTAAACAGCGCCGATTGCCGTGGATAATCACACTTGCTACAGTAAAAGCCGGAACATCTTTCCCTCGAAACAGGACGATGCGACGACGTAACTTGAGCGCGAAGACTTCAGATGTAGCGCCCTGATCTGACCAGGCCCCTAAACAACTCACAAGGCTTTTCTCATCCGCAGATCATGTACCAGCGCGCGAGGAGATTCTAGGTATTGTCAAATCTCATGTGGACATAGAATTACTTCTGATTTGACTTTCGCAGAAGAAGCAGAGATAATACGATAACAGCAATACCGACCCGCTCCTTTTTGTCATCCCAGCCCTGCAGCACAAAGGGGATCCCAACTCCATGGTTTTGTCGTTTTAGATTCCTCCACCTGACTCAGCTATACACAATTGCCCGCGGTATCGTTGCCGCTATTGTCCGCCCATACGTTCACTCGTCGCCATCAGACTCCCAATAAACGTCGTGATCAAACGGCTCTGCACAGCCACAATATCCTCGGGCACAAGCCAGATGGTCGCGCCCATCTTCCTCGCAATACTGATGGCCAACTTTGCGTTCTGGTAGCACTCGTCGTCATTTCTGCCTGGTGCCACAAGGTCGTAGTCGACGTAGCTGCTCTTCATCCCAGATAGAACATCTAGCAGGAAGATGGCGTTGGTTAGGGAGTTGTCCTTGAACGAGCGGATTTGGGTGCCCTTTCCGCTGCCCCTCTTCGCCATGTCGTTGGCCCAGCGAATCATGTCCGCGTCCGAAATATCGCGCTTGCCCAGGCGCTGTGCTAAGCCCTGGAGTGTTCTGACAATGTCTCGCCGCATGAGCTGCCATACGAGGCCGAGGGTGAGTGTGCGCTGGCCGTCGGTAATATCAGCACCCTGGATACCGGGGAGGGAGAAAGAGTTCGCCTTTCCGAGTTCAACGGCGTAGTTGGTGTTCTCAAGAGCTTTGAAGCGCATGAGCTCTTGTCCTTCCCGGGGCTTGTTGACGTGGCGCCAGTTGACGCTGTTAGGGATAACCTTATCGTATGCTTGGAGAAGGATGGTTCCGTCCTTTAGATCTTCGAAGAACGACTGTACAACGGGCTGGACGTCCAAGGAGTTCAGCCAAAGCGTGAAGACACGGGCTTCGCGCTCGCCCTCAGCGTCGAAATCATCAATGTCCGCCTTCTCTTCCTCGGTGATGGGATCCAAGCCAGGGTGGGTGTTGAACAAGTTAGCAACAAAAGCCAGGTTAAGCTTAGGATTTCCGGCAACGAGGGAAGTAGGGGTCAAGAATTTGCGGCAACCGAGAGCGTCGGCGTTCTGGAGTACTTGCTCTGCTCGTTGAAGAAGATCGTTGGTCTGCAGCGGGCTCCGAGAGCATATCTCCGGCTTAAGCTGGTTCAGCAGGACTGTGTAATTCTCGCCGTCCTTTACATCGGTGGAAAAGTTGTTGACCCTGAATTGTTAGCCGAAGTTTACAAGAGGACATGAGTCACTCACTTCCGGTTCCACTTGGCGTTCTTCAAGTGGTAGTTGAACCATCTTAGCAGAATCTGCTCCGGAGGCAGGCGTAGGAACTGTTCAAGCGTCTCATCATCTTCCAAAAGCCGATACAGCTCTGGATGCAGCTTGATGTCAATCTTGCCGAGCAAACCCCGCCTAATGATCTGCCATATCAATCCCAAGATCAGATGCTCTCGCACTTCGATGATATCTCCGCTACCAATGTTTACCACCGAGCACCCGATACCTTTGGCCGATTCAATGACGATGTTGTTGTTCTCAGTCATGTGGAAGGCATTCAGCGTCTTGATCTTCTTGCCCGGCCTGTTCAGCACACGCTCGTCGATGGTGTCGGGCACGCTGTCGTTGATCAGCTTGCTCAGCACCAGACCGTCCTTGCACTCGTCGAACATTTCGAAGGTGTCGGTCGGGAAGGGCAGGCGGTCGCCAATGTCTGGGTCGCCAGCGAGCACGGCATTGATGTGGCGGGTGAATTCGGTGCGCTCATCTTCATTGATGGTGTGGGTGACGTTGGCGGAGGAGCCTTGGACGTGGATCCTGCCACCGCCGGCGCCGGTGCTGGTCTTGTGGGCGTGCCCGGGCGTGGATGGAACGCTGCCACCGGCTGATCGGGTCGGGCCAGTGTTCATACGCTGCTGGGCGGGCGAGGACTGTCGCAGCTTCGAGATGAGCTGTCCGAGGTTAGTCGCAGCCTGGAAACATTGCGCATCTGCGTGTACGCACATCGACATAGTCGTCCAGTTCTACGCGCCGCGAGCTGTCGAGCTCAACCTCCTTCAGGGCCTGGCGCACGACGTCGTAGGGCTGGTGTTCCGTCTGCTGCGTTGCCTTTATAACGGTGGCTTCGTCGAGGTAGCCCTTGTCGTCGATGTCGAGCTTGCGGAAGGCATCCTGCAGCCCGAAGATCTCGCCCTGCTGAAACTGCGGGTATTTCCTACACCATCTGCGGTCAGCATCGTGGAATTGCGCGGAGCAGCGTGGAACGGTGAGGGGCGCACTTCTGCAGCTTAATGACATTCATGGCGGCGGTGTGTGGTGGATGCGATTCGAAAGAGGAGAGTGGCGGGCAGATATATGCGCAGCGTTGTTCCTGCCTGGCTCAGCCTCAGTGTGTTTGCGCGTTCGTCTCTCCTGTTGTGCTCTTGTTTTGCTGGCTGCCCGACCCCACCACTCGCCCACGGCGTCATCGCCGCCCCTCGAAGCCTTGGCGCAGACCCTACCGAAAATATAGTCACTTCTGCAATTGCACGCATGCGAAGACTAGAAGTCACGTCCTTTCACTCGCTACTGATACCCTTCCATGTTCATTGATTCAGCGAGGAGCCTTGCGTTTTCCTATCCATCCATAGCATGCTTGCTTACCGACCTTTCCCGGCACTCCTTCTCAGCGGCAGCCTGGACGACTACGCGGCCTGGGAGGACCACCTACCCTAGTCTATACTCCCCAGGTGCACAAGACGCACACCGCACCTCTCTCCACGTCGCCGCCGTAGCCGGGAGTCACGTATATCACCACCACTTACCCAGAGCGCTTCGCACGTGGATACTGTGTCTCACTTTGTGGTTGTGCACTCCCCAGCAGTCACATCACACGTCTGCAACCACACGGCTCGGAAAGAACAGCTTTTGATTCCTCATTATCGGTCATAATAGCCCATCGCCGGCTGATCCAAATAGACACAATCCCTCGAAAGAATACCCACAAGCGCAACGGCCGCCTTTTCCAGCGCTGCCCGTTGCGCTGCGCTAGAAAAGAAATGTAAGCCAAGTATAATTTCCGCCAACGAGCATACACCCTCCAAAGCATCATCATCACGTTGTCTGTATCCCGTCACGTCGTGTGCATCTTCGCGTCGTCAAACAATGCCGCCAACGAGAACACAGTCCCTACGCAGGCGAGGACGTGTGTTGGTCGGTCATGAGACATTACTTTTCGCCACCGTTTTCGCTTGCAAATGTCGTCAGATGCCCAGCCATGTATCGTTGTTCGGGTCATTGTCGTCGGCCGCACTGCCAATACGCCGGGAAATATATCGACTATGTTTGTGGCTAAATATACTGCCGCCTGGCGAGGCTGCCTAGGGCGTCATATGCTGGGCGTGGCAGAGCGACCGTCGATCATCGAGCTCCAGTCCACATCGTCACCGAGAAGGAAATGGTTTGGTAGAAAGTACAGAATCGTCACCCGCAACATTAAGCAATAGCGCCCTCAGATATTGCATATGCTTATATGCCGAGCATGCAGGGAGTCGTATATCGTAAGTAAAAGTCCAAGATATGGTGGTTCGAAACGCGCAGTTTCTAGACGAAGGTCGTTAAGTCGTTAATGTTCCGAAATGGAGAAGAGCCGAGGAGGAACACAAAAGGGAAGAATATTTTGACACAAAGAAAGTCCCATTGTGGAGGGAGTGTGGTGGTGGCTGGTGCGAAGGGTTCACACCGTACCTCGACATCAAAACATGGCGTGTCGAGGTCGCTGCATTCGCAGCGAAAACGGTTCCCATAGGACCACATGCGTAAACTTGCGTATACCGCGTCTATCGCGATCTCCAAAGCGGCAAAAACTCCACCTCAACGCTCACGAGAGACGGTAGGTTTATCTGCGGGCGCGCTGCGTTTGCATTGTACGAGCCCGCTGGAGTCCGGCATTGGGGTCTTGACCGTACGGCGGAGCAACAGCCCCACCATCCATTGTCTTTCGCCTCTTCAAGCCGTCGATGTCCTCGCTTTGAACACTGCCGGGCCGGCCGTAAGGATCCTCATCGTCGTCACGGCCGCGTTTGCCGGGTGCTACACCGTTTGTGGCGTACGCTTGACTGGGATATTGGGATCCAGGCGGTGGGTAGCTGTCCGGCTGTCCGTTACCATTTGTTGTACGCGTGTCGCTCATCACGCTGTACAGATTGCTGGAGGGGCCATTGTGACGCTGAGGCGTCGGGTAGCCCGAGTTCCATTGCGTTTGGCCAGCTGTGGTCGTACGGGGTGTTGCACGTCCCGAGCCGTTTTGGTGAGGCGAACCCGTCATCTCCGGAGATAGATGAGGGTGTTCACCTGTGATGGGACCAGAGCCTGGAGCAGTATTGTACGCATACGGTGCTCGGTTGCCATTGTAAGGCGCGTTTGAATGCGTGTATTCATGCTCGGCGCCCTCGTCGCCACCAGTGCTGTGGTTGACTGAGTCCTCATTCTGAGCCAATATGGCATCAGTAGGCTTGACATCACCTTGATCGGGTGCCCGGGCAGGCGGTGCCATATCAGACTTTGGGTAACCCATCATGGGTTGCGACTGAGTGTGGTATTGGGGGGCTTGAGATGGGGGTGCCGAGTACATAGGTCGCGAACCGTCATAGCTCTGAGCTGTCTGATAAGACATACCTTGTTGCACTGACCCGGGCGGAGTGCTTGCAGGCGTAGTGGGCACGGAGCGTTGGTTGCTCAGACCAGTGTCGATGGACAAGGGTTGATTTCCTTGGACGGCTTGCACATTGGCGTTACTCCATTCATAAGAACTTCCTGAATTGCCCATACCCATGATACTCGATGCACTCGTAGGAGGCGTTGGGAACGTGTGAGCTCGGTCTAAACCGGGGCGACCCGAAGCTGGGTGGGGTTGAATAGAATGCGGAGGCTGGGACATTGCCGCTCCGACTGGGTTGCTCATCGAGTGGTGGTGGTGTAGAGCTGGAGGTTGCGACGTCGTTGGCCCACCAGTCAGATAGCGGTTGGTCTGCATGGAGTCAGGTCTCCGGTTTCGATCAACAGCAGCCATAGCAGCGCCGCCTACACTTGCCCTCGTCTGATTAGAGGGATGATAGAGCAATGCTCCGATATCGTGCACGAAGAGCGGATACAGCTGCTCTGTAATCTTCTCCTTGTTCGCAAATTCAAGGGCTCGTTCGAACGGAATCCTATCGCGGATTAGTACTGAGAAGAGAAAGATTCAGGCTTTGCTTACCAGACACCCTTCAGGTGCATCGGGCCGATCTTGACGACATGCCTCGTCTTCTCGCTCTTGAGGATACCATCGCGACGTCCACGAGTCATTCCTGCAACGTTCAGTAGCTTTGTGCCATTGATCATGTGATTATCTGAGTCCGTCAGTTTCAACTGCAAATGCGTGTCATTGGGTGCAAGGCTTACCTTCGCGTCTAGCGACACACACGCCCTTGGCTTCGACTTGGAAGCAAAGACTTCCTTCATCTTCCCAAAGGGTAGCAGTCACCCTGGGTTTCATCCCTGGAGGTGCGATCTGCCCAGTGTGATCGAAAGTGTGAGGATTTCCGTAGCTCTGTGACCCTGGAAGTGTCGGTGCAGGGGCTGTAGAAGCCATGGCGGGAAGCTGGATCGATTGTTGCGGAACCATGGCATTGCTCATCGAAGAAGATGCAGGCAGTTGGGAAGGAACACCACCGTGATAGCCATAAGACGGATAGCCTTGAGGTGCCGATGCATACCCAGGTCCAGGAAGAGACATTGAAGGTTGGGGAGGATACGCATAGTGGGAAAGACCTCCCGGCGCCGCCGTCCCCGGTGCATGAGCGGTAGCAGCAGACATTTGCGGTTGATGCACGTCAGCATACGATTGCATCTGGTTCATGCTGTTGTAGCCCTCAGAGGGGTAGCCGTAGCTTTGTTGAGTACCGTACGGAGAGCCTTGATGCGATTGCACATTCAAAGGCTGCCCGTTGCGGTTGAGGGGTTGGGGTACCTGTTCGGGGGAGGGTGTCTTGAAGCCTGCGGTGTGGCCGTTGACCGAAGCGGAGTACGAGGTGTTTGAACTGGCGCTTCCGTTGTCGATTGAAGATGCACTAAAGGAACCACCCCGAGGCGACGAGGATGTGGAGGATCCGCTTGCGTGCGGTTGGATCTGCGGAAGGCTCGGTAGACGGTCGCTAGGAACTGCAGGTTTCGCCGAGTAATGGGAGTTGTACCAGGCGTCGACAGGGCCTCGGGCGTGGACCGACGAAATTGAAGGCAGTGGCTGAGCCAGCTTTACGGTATTGACAGACACGGTGGTGTGCTGCTACGTGATCGAGAAATTCCTTGCGGAGATTCCTCGAGTCAATCTCTAGATAGCCGAGATGATTGGTGCTGCGGCAACAGACAGCAGTGGTCTACAGCAGTAGGTTGCAGAACGTGCGCACGTAGCCGGGGAGATAGCTGGTCGCAGTTATAGCTTGAGGCGGTGCGGTTGACGAGCGCGAGCCTACACCTCAAGTCAATTGTTTGCTCTGGAAGTAGTCTCGTCGGTCAGGTGCAGCGCGGACCAACGAAAGGCGATCAAACACGTGGGCAAACAATGCCAACGGCAACGCGCACACGAGCTCGTGCAGAACGCGGCGCCGGACGTCAATGACGGCTCTTCGCGTTTCGCGCTGCAGATGACGGTGGTACGGGACGGTTGGTGGAACACTGACCGAAGAATATCTCAAGCGGGCAGTCGAAGCACACGTAGCCGCCGGGGGGAACTGAACGCTGCAAACAATGCTGAACAGGACAAAAAGCACTTCGTTACGTCGTCGCGGTCGTGAAGCCGGGGGGGCTCGCGGAAACGATGGGGAAGCTTTTGGGCGGGGTTCAATGCAAGCAAAGAAACAGTGCAAGTGCAGCAACAGCCAGGCGGAAAGAAGAGGTCGACGAAACCGCAGGCACCGTGGGCATGTGCTGGAGAGGTGCGCGACGTGGGCGTGCGGCTGCTGCTTCGTAACCGGTGGTAACGTCGTCGAGGCGCGCCTCGTTAGCTGCTAGCTGCGGGCCGAGCACTAGAGTATCGATACTGGTGGTGGTGCTGCGGCGCCGAGGAACAACAACAACACTGCTGGGCGGCGGGGTCAGCTCAATGGTTGGGAAGTGTGAGGAACAATGAGGTGCATGGACAGGCAGACGGCACGCTCGTGGGACGGATGAGCACCAGCAGCAGGCTTTTCGCGGCTGCGGTGGGGAGAGCGGATGTGTAGAGGCGGAGGTGGTTGGGATGTGACTTGGAGGCTAGCGCCGAGCGTCAACCAGACCAGATGGACGAATGGCGGGCGTCGGCTGGGGCGAGGCCCGGCTGTCACTGATGGACGGAACCAAGGGAAACAGAGAGGGTTGGAAGAGGCTACTGACCCAATTGCTCGACGAGGGTCGACGTTCACGGCGGCGAGGCGGGAGCCTGCGGTGACGGAGCGAGCAGCTGGTGGTGCGGAGGAGGGTCGCTGTCGACGGCGATGCTGCAGTGCAGGATTCTCTGCAGGCTCGAAAAGCAGGCAGGCCGCAGGCTAAGAGGGCTGACGGAGCCGGGCGAGGAGCGCACAGCCCGCGGTGCAATCTGACCGGGATGGCTCTCTTTTCGTGGACAGCGTGCAGGGCTCGCGCTCGCGAAGCAGCCTGTGCGCACGAACGCCGCTGGGGGTCTGGCGCGGAGCGTGTGGGTGCGTGTGGGTGGATGCTGCGTGGTGTGCTGCGTGGGCGGGACGGCGCGGGCTCAGGGCGGGCGCTGCGATGCGATGTCCTGTCCAGCTGTGCAGTCTCGAGGCGGGAGGCAACCGTGCTGCAGACGCAGAGCAGGAGGAGTCCCTAAAGACGGGTGGTGGAGATCTCTGGGGACGCTCACGGCAGGCCTCGACATGGACAGAGACAATCTAAAATCGATTCGGGCCTGGTGGGGAGCGTGAGCAGAGGATCAGACGGGTGGGCCGGCCTGCGCACCATGCCTGGGCCGAGAGGTGAGTCCCGTGAAAGAGCAGCGCCCGTTTCGCACTCGAGGCACGGCCGCCGCGCTGACTGGCCTGACAAGACCATGCGACGGCCGCCAGGGACAGGCCCTGCACGCTGCGCCGACGAGCCATGCACGCAAGCGAGGCCTCCACCAAGCCACCTGACGGCGAGACATGCGCTGCAGCCTCTGGGCATGCTCCCTGCCCCGTCGTCCTGTGCCCGTCCACGCCGTGCTCGTCTGGCGACGTGTAGACGGCGCCAGAGCACCACCACCGGCCGCCCGCTGCCCCAAGCACCTAGCGGGCGCCTACCAAGTCAACGACAACAGTCTCGTCTCGCTCGCGCTGGCGCCGGCTGGGGTCCCGATAGGGAGCAGACGGCTGAATGCGCGCGTGTCCACTCAGCGTGCCCGGAGAAATTCCTGGCCCGCGCGAACTGATATCGCACGCCGCCTCCGATGCAGACGATATTGTACATGGCCGTCGTCCATGGAGCGCTGCCTGAGGCGCCCGGCCCCGGCCAGACGCTGCATGGGCTGCCTTGGCCTGTCCCGTTGCAGTCCTGGAGCCCTCGGCAAGCGCATGCTGCGTACAAATCCCTGCCTGTTTCTCGTTGGAGCCGGCGCAACCCGTTACATAAGCCGCACGCCCACCGCACAGCACAGCACAACACAGCACAACACCCGGCAGCTGATCGGACGACAACCCTGTCCGAAACGTTTCCACGGCGGGCCCAGAATCGCCTTTGCGGGTGGACAGCGCTGCGTCGTTTTGTGGAGCGCTAGACGCGATGATGTGCGCCGCCGCTGCGAGTCAAGCCAGGCGGCGCCCGAGTGCAGAGACACCACGGAGCGGACAGCCACGTTCTCTCTTCGAAACGTCCTCTTGCCAACTGCCGTCGCAGCATCCAACGACCCGTCTTCCCCCTTTGCTCTCGGCTTCGGCCAGGCCAACAGCAGGACGGGGTGGTTGGAGCGTGGAGCACCTCAGTTCCCGCTCAGGCTAAATGCCCGCGCTGCGATCCAACGACAGCTCCCAAGCACGAGCAGGGATGCCGCCCCAAAACGAGCGGGATGGACGGACGGCAGGCCGTGCCCGCGCATCCTGGCCCGTCTGCAGACGCGCGGTGGTTGGGTGGCGCCCCTTCGCAGACCGACGACGACGACCTGGGGAGAGAGCCATGTCCTGACCTCGCGCTGGCAGACGTCCTCTAGGCCCTCTGGCGACGCAGCGGGCGCGCTTCCAGCGGAGACGTGCTCCAAGCGAGCGTCCTCAACGAGGGCGCCGGTGCAACGTGGAGACTCGAGAGTGTACGATCGTCCGTCAGCTAGCATCGCGAATCACAGCCTCCTCAGAGAGCATCGGGGGGGGCCACAACTGGCGAGGCGCCGCGGCCCTCCACTCAGCGTCGCTCATGGCGCCCTCTGACGAGCGGCTTCCCTGGCCAAACGTGCCGGCTGTACCACGGGCTTGGAGTTGGACGTGGGACGCCGTGGTGCGCGATAGGACACGGCTGTTGCGGTGTGAGTTGTGTGCTGGCGCTGCTAACTGCTTCGGGCGCGGCTTCAAAGTCACGCCTCACGGCCTCCAATCCTTCGCAGCGCACACGGCGACGTCCAATATTCGCACTCGTGTCTCGCTGGCCATGGGACAGGTCAACAATGCCCCAGGTGGCCGGGGATATCGTGTTCTGGGCACACAGGCTCGTCCTTTTGGCGCCCTGAAACATTGGCCACCTCTCGAGCCGTATCGTGTCCACAGGGAGCGAGCTCCTGCCCATCTCCACATCCGCGTCACCTGATTCATGATTCACAGCACGGGGCGCCCGCAGTCCTCATGCCCATGCGAGAGCCATGCGAACTGTGTCCGTAGCGGCCGCCGGCCAGCCACACGTCGCCGCACTGTCATGGTACGCAGCCTCATGCTGCTCCCCACGGCAGTAATTCGCACCACAATACCTAATGCCAGATAGCCGCGCAGCCTCCTCAATGGCCATCAACGCATGCCACTCACAGCCATGGCGCCTCGTGAGACGTGGCAACAGGCCCCGGCGCTTTCTTACGCCTGTGCGACCACTGCCGGCATCAGATGGCTGCGGGGGTTCAGCGTCGAGGACATCACGCCTCAAGATCGCTTCCCAAGAGCGTCCATCTCTCGGATTACAAGCTCCCACTACAGCGACCATGGCAGCACAAAATCTTCATGTGCGACCCTGGCGCAGTCAAGCGACCCGCCAGTAGGTAGCCCTTCGTGCCCGCTTGCCGTGTACGCTGGAGCAACGGTCGTCATACCGCGCTCGCGTGGGCTGGACCACCCAGCACAGCGACTGCAAAGTCCAAAATAAACGTGCATTGCGCATCCGGCGCGATGTGAAGGCGGATCGTGGCAGGGCGCGCACCCGTCCGTCTCTACATGATACTTGCTGACCACCCTCGCGGCGAGAATAGGAAAGTCCATGTTAGCGACTAGCGAATGCAATGGCCAAGTCCTCGACCGAGCCACACACGAGCACACAGCTGTTGACCTTCGTACGCGAGCGGGGCGTCTTCGAGATACGGGGGTCATAACAGGCCTCCGGTATCAGCTCAGATTCTTCCAAGTAATCGTTACTTGTGAGGGATCGAGTGGGGACCGTGGCTCTGTCCGTCCGACAGAAGGACGTGTGCAATCTAGAATCGGAATCCGTAGGACCTGTGCCCGAGAAAGGAAGGATTTGGACGCTCAACTCCGCTGACAAGATCATCATCTTCTACCACCTCTAGGTACTCCCTAAGGGTCCACGTTGCAGATCTGAACCGTACGTCCATGTTCCAGAAACGTCAACGTCGAGCCTCTCCACCGCGACCCTCTGCCCAGTGCAATCTGTCTGTCGGTGTTCCTGCAGCTGTGAGGCCATCCCGCAATACGGGCTGACGCTCAAGCGCGACAAGGATCTTCATTGGCCATATGCACTGCGGGTGAGTGCAGCTGGAGCATGCGTGTGATGGAGCTCCATCCCTGTTGTGGTAGCTCTCCGCAACGCTAAGCCTGTACCCCTCCTTTGCGCTGCCTCCCGTCCATCCTTGTATGACCTAGAATAGGTCTACAGAAAGACAGTAGCACACTGCTCTTGTCCTCTCGCAACACATGGCGGCGCAGCAGCGTCGACATCAGTACGGCGTCTGATCTTCTGCCCTTTGATCACGCTCTTTGAATTCGATACTCGATGGGGATGCGGCACGGGTAACGGATCGACAAGACGCCGTGCTCTACCAATCAACGACAGCCACGTCGAGTGCAGGCGGAGCCGTTATCGGGGTCTTGACAAGCCACCGCTGGGTGTTTGCAACACGGGCCAACTCCTTGCAGCCCGTAAGACAAGGATTCGACATCATCCCGCAATTGGCCGATAGTCTGGACTGGCTTCACCGGACCGCCTTCTTCCAATGATTGTGCCCTCGTCTCATCTTCTCTCGTGCCACCAACGCGCTCGCTCAGTTATCTAGCGCCTTCGCGGGTCCATACGACACTGAAAGGTGAAAGCAGACTGTCGACGTGAGGGGGGCATCCTTGCTGAAAGGTTTGCTCCAATTTTGCCGATGACCCCTCAACACCATCGCTAACACATGCCTACACCGCTATTCTATTCCAGTGATCGAGAGTTTGGTTCGATGGGGTGGCAAGGATCGATCAACATGTACTGTGTATAGCATTCCCAGCAAGCATGGGTTTTGACACAGGCGCACACACAGTCGTGCCGCATACATACATGCATGCTCCATTTACTTGCCAACTCTGGCGTCAAAGCCGTAAAAGGCGCAGAGCTCGCCAGTGTCCGATTCTACACGGTCGTAAGTACGTCTACCGTGATCGTGCAGTGCAGACGCAGACGCAGATGCAGACACTTGCCTACATCGGCTCTATGCAGCATCGCGACAGCCTCTTGCCAGCTTGCAGAGCAGAGGCGATAAGCGGCTCTGCGTCCCGCATGAGCACGACATAGCTACATGCATCCATCACATGCGCATGTGGCCGTTACTTAAGGGTCCGCTGCAGTCCATCAACATGGCGTAAAGCATGATTACGTTCGCAAGCTTGCAACAAGAATTCCATAACATGCTTTTTCCTAAGCCATGCAACCAATATGCCACCTCGTTCATAAAGCCCTGTTCAGGCAGCTCCTCCGTGAACACGCGTTCTAAAGGTTGCTCCGGCGGAATATTGAATGTTGGTCAGGACACACCATGTCTGCATTCTGCCTGTTAACCTTGTTTTGCCTGGAAAGCATCAAAGCACAGAGCCCAGATCGCTGGTACATCGATCCGACATGCAACCACGGGAAGCGTCTAGCCGCCACACCCAAGCTTTGGTCGCATATTCATGATATTGAAGACCATGTTGCCTTCTGTCACGAAAGCTGAATCTGGTATCCAGCCATTCCCGGATAGGAGGGTGCGGCATTTCCTAAGCGCTGTTGCACTCTATAGCTAATCAGCTACCTCTTCCAAGTATACTCATATATGCCTTCCAACGCGGTCGTCGAGCTCAACACTTTACAGCAGTGGCGCGCCGGATGAAATGATCATTACGAGAGCATTCCAAAATCGCTGTAGCCTTCAGCCTGTGAAGACCGGATCTGACATTGGGCTCTTGGGTTTCTAAACTGTCGCGGTCTATACGATCATCTTAGTCACTTCGCCGCGCCGTTCGTCCATCGACAGCCCCTGCTCGGATTGTACTTTCGTCTTCATAGGGTGGCTTGGTCGGACTGCGCTCCGATCTCGATGTTGCAAATGAATTGTCTTCACGTTCGTCTCGCTTTTCCACGGTTGAACTCAACCGACAAGGCCCCACCTTGGCAACTACAGTACGCGACGCCTCGACGGAAGGCACCGTGTGGCCGAGCCTTGTTAAAGAGCTTGGCTGGTGTGTAAGCTACCCGACTAGGTTCGCTAGGAACGAAAAGTTTCTTCGCGATGCGTGAAGCTCAGATGTTGACAAAATCGGATCCAAGTCCGCTGCTGTGCGGGGTGCATGATTGCGAGCAGTCGATCCGCTTACAGCTTGCTCAACCATGGTCCCCGACCCGTCCAACCTTTCTCTTCGCAGAGAAGATGTTTCACGCTGACGGTCAGCCCACGCTCCCCATGTGCTGATTGCTCGGGTCCATGGTGCTTAATCAGGGGATCGTCTTTTCTTCTGCAAGCCCCTTGGCGCCCCTCAACGGGCTTGCATCAACACAGTCCGGCCCAGTGCCTGGTCTTCTAATGCCCATACATGCACTCCGGCCTGCGTCGCTATTCTCGATCAGCCCTGCGTATGTCTAGATCGATGACGTGGAATCTCTGAATGAAGGCACCGCCGTTAGCCGGCGATCCACTTTGCATGCGTTGGTGTCAACGCACGATGTACCCGGTACAGTAGTAACATGTCGCGGGTACTGCACGATTCAGCCGCCAGGGACACTTGCATCGGCCCCTCTTCATCGCCCTACATGTGTATGGTCTCCTCCATGACTCGCATTCTCCCATGAAACGTTCAATTCCAGACGAGAGAAACAATCATTAGAGCTTCACCCATCCTGCAACCAGGAGATAGGACAGACGCGCAGATTCGTTCCTGCCTGCATGGCGTCTGATGTGCCGCTTGCATGCTGCAGTCTCTTGCTGGCGTTGCCGAGCGCCCCAGCCTCGACGAGCAATCCGCTGTGCGGGGTTGGGTCACGTGCGCTCTTGCTCTCCACGCCATGTTCCCTGTGTTACCCAACACACATGTGAAACGCAGTGCGCACGTTTGATAGCTGGACGTTGTCTACCAATTACCAGAAAAGGTAATGCATAGCCCTATCCAGCCTCCCATCCGGCAATCTCTCGAGGATGCTGCGTTTGATGCATCCACATCGACAATGCTCGTTCCAGTGACCACAGAGTGCGATCCCACCATTGATTCGCCATGGAAGTGCCAACTCATGCGCTCACTCTGTTGTCTTCTTGCCATGTGAGCTCCGCGTGACGCAAATGCATCCTCGTACCGGCCTTTGTGTAACGCGCAGCTTCCACAAAGAATAACCCTTGGCGGCAACCGCATCTATATGGGACGCGTGATTGCCCCAGAAAGTCACGAAAGAGAGTGTAATAGTGCTTTACAGCTAAGCGATAAACCATCATCCCACCCGATACCCAGTACCTGCCGGTCTGAACGTCAATCGCAACTTCCAGTGTTGACATCACCTTCCTCCAGCATAAGTGAAGAGGCCTCACACCTGCACTCTAGACTCGCCAGCAGGTCCTCAGAAATGGTGTCCTTCGGCCTGCTCGCCCTAACAGGCCTCTTCTGCATCCTCGTCCCCATTCTCCGCCACATTCAGCGCCTCTACTTGAATTACAGGCTCGCAAAGCAGACAGGCCTACACATCTTCATAGCGCCCGTCGACCCGTACGGTATCCTCTGGCAGGCTGGCTCGCGATTTTTCACGCCTGTTCTACAGCATTTCCAATGGTGTAGAATCATCGATCTGTCCTGGACCTGGGAAGACGATTGCACGCGACATGAGAAATACGGCGAGAATTTCATCGTGGTCAGCCCGGCCATGAATATAATATACACGAGCGACAAGGTCGCGGTTGAAGAGGTGCTGGCGAAGAGGAAAGTGTTTATCAAGCCGAAGCTTTATGGTGAGTGCGCAGATCTGGCAGTCCGTGGTATTGAGCATTGCTGAATGGTGAATAGAAATGATGAACATGTTCGGGAAGAACGTGGACACGGTGAGTGAAGCTCGCTTTCCCCATCCGACTCAATCATACTGTCGGAGTTGAGCAGGCCACAACGCAACCGCGACTCCACAACCCTTGATCAATGTTTAGATACATCAAAAAGTTGGCGACTCGTCGTTTCTTGCTACTCCTGTACACACTGTGTGAAAACAAAGCTTTTGACGTGGACTGTACCAGCCAAAGAGAGCTTCCCACCGCACAATAACATGCTAAACCAAATGTAGGTCAATGGCGAGGAGTGGTCGAGACACCGCAAGATCACGGCTCCCTGCTTTAACGAACGTGTTTCCGGCTTTGTCTGGGATGAGTCTGTCCGACAGTCCCAAGCTATGCTTAATCAATGGCTTGCACAACCCGAGGGCAAGGTATCGAAGATGGTTGATGATACGCGTATCGTCGCATTGCATGTCCTCTATGCAGCTGGATTTGGCGTGCAACATGATTTCAGCGGCGGTGTTCGCATTTCTGCCCCTGGACATGAGCTCTCACACCGCGATACGCTCATGACGATGCTAAACAATTTCATCGCTACAATGATCGTCGCGCCTCAAGAGGCCTTCTTCGATAAGATCGCCGTGATCTTGAGCCCGCGGATGAGAAGCGTTTTGCTCGCAATCAAAGAATTCCGGCGATATACGGACGAGGCCATAGCTTCGGAACGAATCCTTCTGGCCCAAGATCGCGGTGACCAGAAACATAATCTCATGAGTACGCTGATTCGCACATCTGATCAAGCCAAGGTCGACGGTGCACAATCTGCGATGAAACTCACGGATGACGAGATCAAAGGCAACATCTTCATCTTCAATGTAGCTGGCCATGATACCACAGCGAATACGCTTGCGTATACCTTTGCTTTGCTAGCCATCAATCCAGAGGTCCAGAAATGGGTGATCGAAGAAATCGACGAAGTGCTGCTGGGCGATAACAGTTTGGTGTACGAAGATGCATACCCACGTCTGAAAAGGGTCATGGCTGTCATGGTGAGTTTCTACAAATCTTCTAGCACTTACAGTTCTTCATCAGAGGCCTTGGCACCCTGTTGCCCCCTGCGTTTGCCATTTCGCAAGATGCACTCTCCAGGTCTTTGACTTGAAAGCGTGTCTCATGGGGTGGGGTTTTCGGGCCTCTGAACTTGGTAATTCTCATCATGCCACCATATGGCTGAATCAAACAGTACGAGACGCTGCGACTCTTCGGGCCGGTACCGCAGATACCGCGGGGCCTAGTCACTCCCAACGTGCCTCTAACCATCACTCGTCCGAACTCAGGGACATCAATGGCATCCTCCTCTTCGACCACCACCCTTCTCATTCCACCAAATACCCTAGTAAACCTGAACATCCACGCAATGCACACCACGCCTTCGACGTACGCCAGCCACAAGGTATGGAACCCCAAGAGATGGATTACCTCCTCTTCACCTATGCCACAATCCGCCCCATCTAATCCTTTGACGCTACAAAACGAGAACCTTCTTCACATGGAGCAGGGCTTTGCGCCATGGGCTAGCGGACCTCGCATCTGTCCTGGCATGAAGTTCGCGCAGGTGGAGTTTACGGCGGTGTTGAGTACAGTGTTGAAGAGGGCATGGATCGCACCGAGCGTGAAGGGTGGTGAGGGCGGCAGTGAGATGACAGCGAAGACGGAGGTTGAGGCGTTGCTGCAGGACTCGCATCATATTGGTGCAACGATATCCATGAAGAGGCCGGAGGACCTGTGGCTCAAGGTCTCGAAGCGGTAGGAGCGGGCAATCCGTTAAATGGCTATTTCAGTAGTTCGTATATGAGCATCTTGGCGGCAGGCAAAGTGTGTTGGGGAGTCTCATTGTTCAGTACTGCGTCACGTCGTCGGGCGGGAGCTTGTACAATGTTGCTGCACGATGGCAATTCCCAATCGAAATTCCCGACCAGACAGCAGAAACGACTCCTTTATACCCAGTGCACCCCTACACAGGGCGAACAGATTTAAATTCGCCCTCGTGTCACGCACGTCAAAGCTCATGCAGGTGTAAACAATCTCCACTTCTCCAAGCAGGGTCTCCCCTAGCCTACGCTTCCGCTGCTCCGTGCTGACTCCCCCCGCATGCAGGCGATGCTCATGCAATGATCTGTTGTTAGGGTTACCTTTGGTGCCATTTGATGGAACGAGCGTCTCGCGTCGAAGCGAACGATGGGGTGGGGATGGCGAGTAGATCCGTGAGCTGGGTCGGTGTTTCAGATGTGCAGGGAGGATGTACCATGTATCAGACCATGCGATGAACGACATATCTATCCGTGAACGAGGGTTGCGGGCCTGTTTCCTTAGACTTCAAAGCGTACCGGGCATTAAATACGACTGCGGTCATGACGTGCATTCGCAACGCGCAGCGATTGATGGAAATGCATGCAGCAACGTGACATTGCTATCAGTAAGGCAATATATAACAGTGCTCACTCTACCCCATTACATTCAATCCTCCCATCTGCAACAGCATCGTCCGTAGCAACAACCATCAATACCAACAAGACCGCTTCAACCCCTGAACAAGCCTTAATTCCTATCTATGAGACTGTTGCAACACATCCTTATGTCCCAGCATCCGCTGTTCGCCGTGTACGTTCTCAAAGTAACTTATCAAACGTTGGTCTCGGGGTCGATCATACCTTCTGACATGATGCCTGTCAGGGGATTAATGTCAATGTAGCCTGGAGCGGATTAGCTCACGGCCTCCATCAACATATGCGGTAAGAGACCTGCTTCAAGTTCGACCTGCAAGAACGGAGCGTAGAGCTTTCTATTCGCGACCAAGGCCCCTGTTTTCGGATCGCGCGTGTCCAAGTTTTTTCTGCGGCGAAATAACATGGACGTATTGAATACCGTCGTTGCCTGTGTAAATAAATGCAGATGCGAAAATTCCGTTCAGCAGCAAGACCCTGGAAGTTTCTGGGTAAGGCTATTCTGAATATCTGGTCGAATCCTGAGCTTCCAACTAGGATTGGATCTAGACTGTGATTTTTGTGTTCGATGTGAGCCTGCCTTCGTGACTGCATGAACTCACTTGCTTATGATAAATTGTGGGACTGTTGTTGCCTCCCCGTGTTATCGTATCCGCGTCTTCTAGCGTATATCTCTGCGGAATATAAGCGACCGAACAGTGTTTGACGGGTCCAGACGTGAGCCCGTGAAGAGAACATTGCCTGCTGCAATGTGAACACTATAACGCTGTGTAACAGAACGAAGTCAGAAAGAGGAAAGGGTCGTTACTTGTGGAATCGGAGGACTCGAAACTAGTTTGGGACTCACAAGCCTCGCTCCGTCTCGGACGAGAGTAGAGGATGCCGCAAAGCTGGTAGAGCAGGCCAGCTAGCAGGAAAGCCCCGGTCAGCTTGCCATCTCCAAGACTAAGCTAGACCACAAGAGCCTCTACAGTAATCTAGCTAACATCTCAAGAGCCTGTTTACAATCCAGGAACGGCCCCATTCTTATTGTGGAGATTATATTCCTCGTCCAGTGACCAGACAGTTGCGCGCGATGCAGACCAATCAAATGTGATGTGTCTTTGACATCTTGTCCAACAGGTTCGCCAAGTCAGTGTCAACAGGAAACCAGGCGATATGCCTGAAGGCTAGCCGGATCCATTGCATGGAAGGGATGGTAACGAAAAGATGAGCGATCTGGATTCGGGTGATGCTCCGATGGTTGCTAGGCTACAGTGCAGACAGCTTCGCCAACTAGCTAGAGCAGTGCAAGTGGCCACCCAGAACCATATTGAAAAGTGCTTTCCGTATTTGATACATTTTGATCAAAGCCCGATAGGCGATTCACAGGCGATTTTGTAGCCCTGTTATCGACAACTGACATGGAAGAAGCTGTGTGTTGCGATAGGCATCATGGCAATATCCCCCCTGAATGCAGACGGATGCTTTTGGCTGTAACGGGAGATCTGACAAAAGAACAGTTACTGTGGAGAACTTTCCATAGGAATAAATGTTCCCGTCGTCGCTGAATTAAAGTGCACATACGGAAAAATTGGGGTTTTATAGGCATGTCCTGTGTATGGCAGCAGATGCATGGTGCGCGCATTACGCACGATGTCTTCGACAATCGTAGTACAACTTGGATCGGAGTATGATGCAGAAGTGAAGGACAAGCTGGCAATAAGCGATGAGAATAGAGTTGGCGTTATTGAAGCGGCTACAACGTCAGTATGGCTAGTGCTAGCCACCTAGGGAAGTGCGACATCCTGCCCACCGAGAGGATCTCCAATCAGTGGGACACTCGTCTATCCGGCCGCAGTTAACTGAAAAAACATATGTCAGCCCCTCATGTTGCCTTGATCCAGAAGTGCGCCTGCGTCGTGAGTGACAACAGGGAGACACTCGTGTTTCAACCATTTCAGTCATTTCAATTGCTCGTGAATGTCTCAAGGGCGCCAATGTGAATGGAAAAGTTCTCGGAAGCTTGCATAAAGTAAATACGAGACCCATGAAGAGCTTGGAACTGGAGTGTTGCCTTTCTTTGAACGCCTGACCCCTAAATACTGAAAACCGCTCACAGGAAGCAATAGATAACCACGAAATACCCAATGACAAAGAATAATCCAGCAACAATAATGACATTGAGCAAACCATCATCGACTTTCTCAGCTTTCTCATAGCATGGCTCCTCCTTAGGAGACTCCTACACCAGCTCGCCCTCTCCCTCCTCTTCAAAGTCGCCCTCCTCATCCCAATCCACCTCGGCTGCAGCCTCATCAGCCTTCCTCTGGACTTCAGCAAGACCTGACATTTCTTCAACCCAGCCCTTCTCGTTTAGTGCCTTCTGCACAAAGTTCCAAGAATCTTTCTGGTAGAGATCGAGTACCTTGTCGCTACACGCTGAGCAGCAGTCGTACGGTTGTCCGACTACCTGCCTGTTGTTGAAGTCGTGAAGTGTACCCCGTATTGTATGAGGTACAATGCCGAGTGGATGTACGAAGGGCGCTGGTAATGAGGGGTGGGAAGATGAAAGTGGTTGTACGGGGGGGTCTTTTGATGGATCCACTGGTGCTCGAGCCTTGGATGGATGCTGTAACACACTGACCAGGAGCTCGACTAACAGGCTTGAAGCTAGAGGCGCGACACCTGGTCGAGTCACTGTACATTGCTGGTCTAATGTAGCATTGCTCAAGGACTAGCATTATTAGTACAGTAGTGGATGATTTGCGGTCATCCTAACTTACATCTGCTGGGGCCACAACATCATTGCAGAAATAGCAGCCCAGCTCTTCCTCGCCTTCCCCTTTCTGGGTGGGTTTGAGGCCATGTCGCATGACCACGAAAGTGTCGAATCCTAGAGCCGCGTTGAGGACGATCTTGCCTTTTGCTTTGCCCATCACAGTAGGCAGCCATCTGCTTTCTCGTGTGTCCATCAGCAAGAAAATGGCGTCATGTTCATCCATAAGTTTTTCGAGCTGCTCAAAATTCGACTTCGTCTTGGCCTCATCGGTCATAGGATGACCTGCCATCGGCACTTCCATCACATAGCCCTTCGCGTCAACACCAGGATAAATTTCTTCCAGTACTTCCGCTGCTCGTTCTGCTTTCTTGGCGCCCCCTTGGAGGCAGTCTTTGAAATCGAACAGAGGCTGCCGTACCGGATTTGAGAAGCTCACGGTCGCATTGTCAACAAAGGTAATCTTTCGTACGCCCCAACCCATCAGTGTTCGTGAGACGTAAGAGCCTAACGTGCCGGCGCCAAGCAACAAACATTTACAATTCTTGATAACGTCGAGGTCAATGGTGGGAGCTATGCGCCACTTAATCAGCTTGAGATTCAAGTCTACAGCTTGATCGGCGAGTTTCCGCTCATCCATGTATTCGGAGAGGTCCACGGTGCGGGACGTCAACTTGTTGTTTTCATTCCTTTCCCAGCCAGTCACCTTGGGCAATTTGGGTAACCGGACGGTGGAGTCTTCGGATGAAAGTTCTGATTCAACAGGTGGAGACTCAAGCTGCAGTATCAAGGAACGGGCCTCCTCTCGTCGGACGTGTGTGTCCCGATAACACAGAATTTGGACACTGTTCAGTTTCCATCGATAGCGGATGAGAATCAGCAGGTTTCGCAGTACCCAACTGGGATTCTCGTCATAGGTTGAAGGATCAGCAAAGCATACAAATCGGTCTTCCTTGTTCACATCCTCAAAGAAGTCCTTCTCGTATGAGGATAAGCTACCGATCACCCATCGGTACCCCAACTCATCGATAGGCGTTGTAGGGGGACCTTCAGGATCCTCGTCGGGTGGATTTGAGCGGACCTTCTTTGCGAGGAAAAGGCCCCGCTGACGCGCGTCAGAGCGGTACTTCCACGTCTGCACAGCATCCACCAGCTGCACTGTCTCTCGTGAAGTGAATCTGCCAGTTTCTCTGACTTGCTTCCATTGCGGGTCTGACTGTATAGCCGGGAAGCCAAAGTGATATGTGAACTTGTACTTTTTGAGGTTCGCAAAAGTGATGAGAGTGAAAGCGGCAAGGAGGGAGGGGCACTCGTATATAGATCCGTCGTGTATCGCTTCCCATGTCTGTCACAGGTTAGCGTTCAGCAAACAGGCTGGATCCCGCTGCATGCAGCTTACCGTCCTCGCGCATCGCTCCAAGATCTGAGTCCTATCCAGGTTCTTGTAGTCTTCGATAGTGTTACAGTTCTTGATGATACCCTCGGCGCGACAGAAGTTTGGTGGAGTGTCATCCGATGTCAGTGCGTTTGGGTGGATCTGGATGCGGTTGGAGCGCCCCGGAGAATCGCCTGCGCGTACCTCGTACAGGCCGAGGACCTTGCGTGCCGAGTCGTCAAGCTTGTCATGGTTGATCTTGATGTTTGCGAGGGCAGCGTAGAACTGCACGTCGACGTCGCTCTGCCATGGCGCGAATTTGAGTGTAGCCATAGTGGGTGATGCTCGCGGCTGAAGAAGTATGAAAGGGTATATGAGAGTCCACCGGGTGCTAAATCAATATGTTGGTGAGCGAAGGTAATACAAAGTATCGCTGGGAGTCACAAGAAGGTGGACGCGTGCAGACACGACCTCGGGTGCACGTGCAGCGATCAGGCACCTGGGTGAATGTCTCAAAGCTCTCGTCAGGCAGCGCGAGCTTCAGCCTCCAACCGCCGCCGCGGCTTCCCTCAAAGCCCCGCACTATCCTCATCTGGCGGCGGGGCAGTCAAGCCCGACGTCACTCGCCCATTTGGCGCGTTCCTGCCGAGTCGCGCTAACGACACGCCCACGCCCGCGCCCACTCCCTCCCACTCCAGTAACGCACTCCGTACCCACTCTAGGCATGACGACCGCATCAACGACCATCTCAACAAAAGAAGTCTCTTTCTTCGAGAGATATGACCGGGCTCCGCATGTTCTGAAGAGCTTTCCGTCTGCGCGCTCGCTGAACACTGTCCCCATATTCCGACATATATACAGTCATGGCCCGTCTCAATCCCTCCGAGGAGTGTCCTCAGACTCCCTTTCTACGTAGATGAGGTTGAAATTCGACGAAATTGATGCAGCGCAAACAGTGCTCCAATGGTCTCGAGGCCTTGCTTCTCCTACAAGGACATTATTCGACGGTAGCCATGTCAGTGAGCTAATAACCGCATACAACACCGGATGATGGGCGGATTGGAAGGACTGCGAGCACATCACAAGGAAGCGTGGCCTAGAACTCAGCTTCACTGCGTACTGAAAATCCGACTTCGCAGGTCAATTGAGTTTTCACACTACACTGTGTTTACAGCAACTTAGATCTGGGGGTTCAGTTCCCAAACCCACAACGGGCAGCCATCATTTGGGACTTTGACAAAGCTGCACAGGAGGATGATAATGTAAGCGTAGACGAAGCTTCCACGGAACAGAGTACCCCAGCCATGAGACTATTCACGGCAGCAGCGCCACTTCGGAGACTTTAGAAAGATAAGTGAACAGCTCTTCAACCAGTTCATGGGTCGGTTGAGCGCGATTGCGGCGCTCATCTTCACGCGACGAGAGGAGGAAAGCCGGCAACGTTAAGGCATGGGCGCAAAGCTACACCTCGACACCAGTAAGGGGGGTTTCTCCCCTATCTCTTCAAGAACGGATACCTCAACCGAGGCGGCAGCAAGCCAACATCACAGCCCTGCTATCGGCGGTCTAGAATCATGCTGCAATGCAATGCGCTTTAAATCCCATATTGCTGCAGCATTAGACATGTCTTATTGTTATTCGATTCAGGAACAGCACATACCGTAGTCAAAGTATGCCCACCGATCTCGATTGAGTCAGCTTGAACGGAGATTACAGGGAGATTCGTACCATTCGCAAATCGCCCCGCATAGTCAGCTGCATGCGGTACCTTCATAATGAATCGGACCTCGTAAGGACGTCCTGGCCAACAGAGTTGGTCGCAGCTTGTCTTAAAGTATTCACAATCATGATTTTCTCACCGATCATGAACGGGCTGTAAACGTACCGACCCCCACGGCTGCGGCCGTCAGGGCGTTGTGGTCAGGATCTTGACCCGAGCGCGTGGTGCCATTCACCATAGCCTATCAACTTCGCGGAGCAGCGTGTCCGTCTTATTGACAAACAGCTCAGCTTAGGCGGCAGCAATTCATGTCTAGGCTCACTTAAGCATGTAGACAACCTTCACTGCTACCTGCATCGGCTTCTAGTATGAGATTTAACATGCGGTCGCATACCTTGAGCGGGGTACCCAGTCCATACTACCAAGTTTTCGTCAATTCACCATTTCTACTAGCGCACTCTACAGCCTCACGTGTCCCAACAGAAGCCGCTCGTATTCAATACAGCTGGCGTCAGCCCCTTTTGGTTATTTGCAGCACCACAGCTTCGATACGGCGTCCAGGACTGACACGCATAACATACTGCACGCTCACTCCTGATCGGTAGTGGCGGGCGTACCCGACAAGGTCGTGCAGGCGCCTTGCACTGCCGGCACTTCAGGCACGCCTGGCGATTGGACAGCCATCGTGTTCCGGGATCCGTGATCGGTAATGAGAACGAGACGTGGTACTTGAACGACATGACTTGATATTATGGGGAAATGCGGCACAGTATCATGTATGCATGGTCGGTGTATTCGTAAACAGGACAAGAGGGAACGCAGGTGAGCGGTAGGCATTGACGCCCAGGGCATGCACGGTTCAGTGCCAAGCAATAAAGACGTGGAGATGTAGCGTTGCTAAGGAAACTCGAATAGAGAGATAGGTAAGCGGATCTGTATGTACATGTGTAGTATGGAAGAGACAGATAGGGTAAGGAAGAAGGGGGCGCGCATATCTATCAACAAGCGAAGCGAAGCAGTGCGTGTGACGCGTCATCACTCCAGGTCCATTCCGCCAGCCACAATCCCATCCGAGACCTAATCAAGAAGTCCGTACCTGGACTCCGTGTGAGCACCTCGAGATCAGGACAAGCTATAGGAATCCTTCACCGTAGCAACCGCGAATCGTATGTCGGGGCGATGAAGACATGGCTGCACATGGCCGTCTACATAAGGGCTGGAGATGTGGGGTATTCGAGCACTGGAGGCCAGCGCTTCTTCAAGCCAGAGTCGTCTTGTGGGTAGACGGGCTTGTTGCGGACGTAATTTTCTATATTAAGCCTATTAGCATACTGCTAGGGTGCTGAATGACTGGCAGCTTACCGTAGTTGTTGCACGTGTTGAACCACTCGCTGTTCTGAGCCGGCAGAATGATTTCACTCTCACGCTCGACAAACTGCACACTCAAGCCCATGGCGACGTGGAACGCAATGTGACAGTGCATTAACCAAGCTCCAGGGTTGTCAGTTGGGTAGGCGATGACGAGCCAGCCGCCAGCCGGCAGATGGTGTACGTCACGACGAGGCGGGTTGGTGAAGACCAAGGAGTCCAGGTGGGTATCAACATCGAACTGACCAGAGCCCGTTCCCAATACATACATATCATGACCGTGAAGGTGAATGGGGTGGGGCAGATTTGGAGCGCTCACGGCTTGCTGAATGACCCAATAGGTCCAGGCAGCACTTTCCGAGATTTCGATCAGGTTGTAGCTCCTGGGGTAATCGCTTTTTCCCTTAGCCATGTACTCGAGCGTTGGCTCAGCGGGGTCGATCATCATGCTTGTTCCGTTGATGGTCCAGAGCACGATGGACTCATTGTTGGTATTGACAGTTCGGTTGTCGAAGGCAACTGGCAAGTCTTGCGCTTGGATGCGGAAGGTGTCCTTGGGCACGTTCTTAGCGATCTTTGGCTTTGGCGACGGGTCTTCGCACGTGGTGGGTGCACCACTATTAGCGTTTGATGTAGGGTCCGCCACAGTCACATTATCGTAGGTGAAGATAGCTCGTCCAGCTCCGCCGTTGAAACTTACACATGGGTTGTGGGGATCCGCGCGGAACCAGTAGTTGTCGGCTGTTTGGTTGGCAGTGAAGATAACATCGTAGCGTTGTCCAATACCAATGAGAACGTAGTTCGTGTCGTACGGTTCCACAGGCACGAAGTCATTGGCAATGACGGTGAAAGGGTGGCCATCGAGTGATACGCGGACGGCAATGTCAATGGATGGGTTGACGAGACGAAGGCGGTACTTCTTGTCGGTCTGGATCTTCACTTTGTTATACTCCCCGCTAGAACCTTTCTTGTTGGTGCCATTGACAAGAACGTTGTCTCCAGACGGCGGTGGAGCAGAAATACTGAAAGCTTGCGCACGTGCAGCAGCTTGATATGCGGTCAGATAGTACCAGTCTTGGACAGTATAAGTGCCGAGATCAACATCGTAGTCCGCCGTCGCGGGACCGTTGATCCTGTCATGAAGTCAGTAAGATACTTCTGAGTCTAGCCGATGTACCTACAAGATCGTCCCAAAAGTACCATCACCATATTGAGCACTAAAGTGAGAATGATACCAGCTTGTGCCATATTCAGTAGCACGGAACCGATAAGTCTTCGTATCCCCAGGGGCCAGAGCACACTCCGTAATTCCGTTGACCTAGGATTTCCAAGTCAGTCCAAAGCGCAAGAAACAATTCCAAAGAGCTGGAAAGAATTACTTACACCGTCCTCGGTGTTCGAGTGCAACTGGCGCAGACCATGCCAGTGGAAGGACGTGCCGTTGTGTTGCATCTTGTTACGTATGGTGATCTCGAATGTGTCACCCCAATTACCAATGATGGTGGGTCCAGGCATCGAGTCTTCTATGAGGAGACAGACCCTTTCAAAAGCACCATCTGGGTTGCATGTAGTGTTGGTGACACTGAAGTCATACTTAACCACACGCCCAGTGTCAGGCCATGAGCTGTACATGTCAGTCGTAGCATCGAATCCAGGAAGCCAGCAATCTCGGCTGGTTGGACCGTGGGTGCAGCTCGACTGCTTCTTTGCGAGAGCAGGTGAAACGCCCATGTGCTCAGCTTGGATTGGTGAAGCACTGGCGAAGGGGGTGAGCCCCAGAAGAGTAGCTCCAATGCTGATGAACTTCATGGCAGGCCAGCAAAGATCTTGACGATAAGAACGGTCGGGAGCAATGAATGAGAAGGCTGGATGGGTTTCAGTCGACACTGGAAGGCCGATCTGATGGTCGTGAAGGTACTCGAAGAATCCTTTTATATACATCATGAACTACACCCACTAACCTCCTAAGCTCGCATCGGCAGTTATGAGATGATACTCTGACCGTCCGTGCAGTGTCGTGTCGTCGTGACCCTTGCCGGTGAAGAGTCTTGGCTGGTGATTCCCCTGCGTACACGAGCGATTAGGGCCTCAGAAACGACTCCTTCATAGTCTTTGGCGGTCTCGAAGCCACATGAGGACCACGAGGTAACATTCAAGTGGGGAGGCTTGCAGTAGTCGCCCATGCTCACACTATTGAATGTTGTTTCTGCTGCAGTGAGCAGTGGCCACGGACTTTTGGACACCATGAGGAAGGGGGGAATATGGCTCTAACTGGTTGATACGCCTCGTTGACGCGGGCATGGGTCAACAGTCGTGATCCAGGTTCTTCAGGAGATCAAGAAACTGGAGTTGTTGCGCTCTGGAGCGAGGGTCAGACGTTCATCTGATTCCGAGTCCGTGGTACCTCAAGGCAGATAGTTTCCTAAATTAAGAACATAAGAAGATGACATAGCTGATAGGTTGGAGACAGGCGTACCTTGCAGTATTGAGAGATTCCCAGGCTCCAGATGAGAGGTTAGCGGAACCGATTACGAACAAGCTCCAACACCGAGCCACGGAAGGAGGCATAGTAGGATCATAGCGAGACCGCAAGATCCAACAGCTTCGGACACCACCCGCTTCGAGCCGCTAGCGAGGACGAAGAGGATGGCTTTAGCTGAATATCATATCTTCGGTATCGCGTATCCCGAGTATCGCCGTGTAAGGAAGTCTTCTCGAGCAATCTTCTGCGTGCTCTCTAGTCGCATCTCGAGTGAGTAGCGTGACACCTTGATAGCACTCAGCGGTCAGGAGGGTGACGTGCAAAACCTTCATCCTGAGTCCAGCTGACAGTTCGGAGATTTTAGCAAGATGTTTTCTGTCTTGAAGGCAAATGCTGACAACACGTTGATGTTAGAACGTGAAGCATATACTCGAAACAATCCAGTCAACTTGCAAAACGCTCAAACGACGGGTTTCGGACAGTGAGTAAATTGACGATGACTTATTCACCTCAACAGTGCACCAATCCTACTGGGTCCCTGGTGTCCGTTGTACGATTGTCTGTACCAATTTGGGTGGCGTGCCGCCATGCATCTTTGCCCTGCATCGGAATGCGCTGTGTACAGTTGACCATGTGGAAAGTTACGAGAGCCACGCGGCGCAGCTTACTACGTTGTAGAGGTAAGGCTAACTGTATGCTTGCGTCATTTTTATTCGTGGAAAATTTCCATGGGCAGAAGAACCCATCAGCAGGCTTGCTCTAGGGCTGAAGATATGTCTCTCGTAGTAATCTTGTTGTCGGGGTAGGGCCACCCTCAGCCCAAGTTGTTGCGAAAACGGGCTGACACGTGCACCCACTCTTACTTCCTGCACCGAGCTTTCGCATACAGCTCGGTGCAGGCGCATGGGAATCGCCCTTCGGCTATATTACGGTTTCCTATAGGCAAATGCTACTCGTCTAGCGCACAGCAGACGAGGCAAACCCGGATGGCGGTGGATACGGTCCAGGCTACATCATCGCGAGCGTTTGTCTGTGCGTATACGAGCATGCTGGCGTATCGGACCCAAGGTTCAGTTGGAGCCTCGGAAGCAGTTGATACAAGAAGATACTACGATTAGTCTGCATGGAAGGCACATATAGCAACAAAGCGGTAAGTTTCCCAAGTCTACTGCAGCTCCTCCATCAAGGTGGATGCCTATTTGCGTTTTCAGAGCGCTGACAAAAGACCTGGAAACTCGGCTGAGTGACAGGGGTAGACTTCGAAGCGTGTTAGCGTCTTACGAGAGAGGGGAGAGAGAGAGGTTTAACCGAGTCAAGGGCGTTCGAGAAAGTGACATCTGTTACCGCATGGGAAGCCACATGGATTGGAATCCTGCCAGTCCACGAGGTTTGGAGGGGGGAAGGGTAGCTCCGTCCCGAATGCGGCGGTTCGATACAAGCCACAAAGCTTACAGGACCTCAGTACACACCGGAAGCTGCGCCGTTATGACACACTCTTAGTGAGAGCACGTAATTTACAAGCAGTCTTGTGGTCTTCGTGTAAGATCCTAAGAGGCTAGCACCACTCATAAACTGCGTTTACCTGCGCTTGAGGTAGAAGATAAGGACGACCCATCACCGCGAGCGCCATTCTCGTCATGCTCCGTGTGGCGCAAGGGCAACGCGGCCGACCATCTTTTCGCCCGAAAAGCTGCATGCCATTACAGCGAAAACGGACGAACATTCGTTTCCGAGACTGCGGTTCAGCGCTACTTACCCGGATCCAAGATGCAGGACAGAACATGATCCTGGCAAGCGAGAGCCTGCGGGAGTGTCTCCCAGCTGGTCTCTGAACCACGCAGCTGGTCCTCATGCGTGTTGATCTTTGCCCCTCGGCGTTACCGTGCTGTCTTATTTCGATAGTTCGGCGCGGATACTGCGGGACGAGCCTCGTGTGAATGATCCATCGCGCTGAGATAATGGTCGAAGGATCGGGCTCAGTGAGGTTGGTACACTATGCGACATCGGCAAACATCCATCGTGATGCCGCGGAGCTTGAGCCTTGCTACAGTCCCTTTTCGCTAATGCGGGAAATGACTCGGCTGATATACTGTGAAACGATATGCTTGGAGACTCCGGACCGTCCGGCTCGGGACTGCAAGGTGATCATATGGTCAGCGCCTATCGAAATGATGTTAGTAAACTTTTTCTAGTAGGAATCGTGTTTGAGTCGCATACGCGCATCCTGGTCACGGACCGGTTCTGCAGAGACTTAATTCGGCTTTCAGGTATTCAGTATTCCACCCACTGTCCCATCAATGGAGCATATAGGGCGATAGAGTAGTCAGGTAGACCATGCACGTCATCGGCGTAGTAGTACCGCATCGAAGTCGAATGCTTGTCAAGACCAGTGTTTCTCCAAACTTAACTCCCGTGAGACGCTATCGGTGCGGCAGATGGTCTGTGCTAGCAGCGCGTGGTGGTGCCAGGAGCAGTCCGAGAATGAGGCTTAGGTTGACATTCAATAGTCTGTCCCGACGTGATGGTAGAATGACGCCACGTAGTTTCGTGGTCCATTCATCTACGGAGTCAGTCGTCCAGGAGCTTCGCAGGCCCGAAGTGCCGATATGATAGAAACTTTGCACTACGGCAAGTGAAAGCTTGGATTCCGCGCTTAAGCTTGTGCCCTCTGCTTCCCGCGCTGAACCAAAGATGTAGAGGTTTGCGAGACAGGGTAGGGCCGAGCAGGGTCTGCCTCGAGGGATGCAGTTGACCCTGCAGCTTGAGACCTCCCTGATCAGGGGACCTGCGAGGCTTAGCATACATCAAGGAATGGGCTCTCCTGGAGGTTCCGCCAAGCCTTATATATTGAAAATCTTCGCAAAAGAGTATGAGAAACATAATTCCAAAGTAGTTGATGACCGGTCAGCGAAAAGGTCGTTTCCTGTATGGTGCAGCCATCCATGACCCTGAAAAGATAGAGAATAGAGACACAGCAGTGCTCATAAAAGTTCGCGTCAGCAGGCCTTAAACTCGATGTAATATTAATGGAACGAGTAAATCTGTGGTGGTAAGTAGTGAGAGATGAGTTCAAGAAGGATAGATCATTCAACGAAGGTAGATATAGCTGCATAGCACACAAAATGGCCTCAAACTAGCTCTGGTGTCGAGTACATCAGCTATTCGATTTTACGGGCCACACGATAAGCTTACGATTGTACAATGAAATATCTTTGTGAGAGCGACTCCCAGGATTCGAGGGTCAGTATTCAGGGCGCACATCAAGTCGTGATGCGTGGACGATCGTGGCAGGCCAGCCCTACAAGAGCCGGCAGCGGTGTTGCTGTATCCAAGCACCAGCTATGTGGGTGCGCCACGAGATAGTATTTGGTCGTCGGGCTGGAGTGATGAGAAATGAATGCACTGACGCAGTCATGGTTGCATTGGATGAAGTCGAACGCCCTCGGCACCCTTGAACGTCAAATGGCTAGCCTGTAATGGCATGGCGTATTTATATCGCGTCAACTTCTCCGATGCAATTCAGTCACGCGCTTCATCGCCCGATGGTCAACTTGCGGTCACAACAGTAGCGGTTTGCTGTCGTTGTAAGGCGCGTGATTGAATTGACTCGCAGATGCTTCGTGTCTCGCAATCACGAGCAAGTTGCCTTTCTTACTTGGCAGCGGCTGTAGACCTCACCGATCGCCATCCCAACAACTGAACAACAATACCATTTCGTGTTCTTCGCTAAATGGATACTCTCTACAGTAAAATGCATTGGATGGCCGCAGAGAAGCGTTCAAGTGCGTCTAGAGCCTTCTAAGTCTACATATAACACACTCTCTGGAGCTCCGCCAAGCTGCCACCTGCTTCTATGTGAGAATGCAGCCTGCGCACAGACAAAGATGTCCTTAAGCTACAGCGTTAGCCAGCAGTCTTTCGCATTGCTGGTCCTTCCTGTGGTAATCCGGCATACGAGCTGTCAAAGAGCACCGTCGATGTTCTGTTCCAGCACCTCGGAAAAAGAAACCGTCCTTCGCTGCTGTAAAAAAGACACATATACATTCGCACGTTATGCAAGAGGGCATGGGTCAGGCAAACAGCGAGGTGTCCGTATTATGCAATGTTTCACTTTTAGGCCAATCGCGCTTGCTCAGCCCAGGCTTAGCCTCAAAGGATTCACGGCCTTGTACCAGGCACCAGTCTTGTGAACCTGCTAGACTTGTCAAAGAGAATTTGGATTGACTTGCTTTTAGACCCCTATCTCAACGCAAATATTTCACGTAAATTCTCACGTTCTTGCAATTGATCGAATTGTACGCTATGGCACGGATCTGCAACGACCGCATTCCCTACGATGCACATCCACTATACAGTTTGCGGCGCCGCACGCTTGTTGCAGCCACTGTTGGTGTACTTCTCAATCTCATTATTATACTCGCTCTCTCCAGTAGTTATGGAGGCCAGGACCGATTGCCATTCTTCGTCATAGCCACAGCCGTGCTTGGCGGGTCCATCGCTTTCGTCTCATACGACTTGGTCACCTATGGCACGCGCGCAGCTATAATCGCAGCATCCCAAGTAGACACGACAGATTCTGCCTTACCCGTTACTCTTCGCTCGGAGCTGATATGGCCCTCGAAGACGTTGCTGGTATGGGATTTTATATTTGCCGGTATCCTCCAATGGCTGTTCTGGGGAGGGCTTTTCGAAATTGTAGGCAGAAGCTATTACAATCGGTATGGTAGTTCAGAGACTTTGGAAGCCTGTAAGTGGCATTGAAGCCGGCAAGCTATGGTTTTTCTAACAGACCTATTTCGTTAATGCTATACAGACGCCAATCTGGCGCACTTTGTGACTAGTGTGCTCCACGCTACCGCCTTCTGGAAAGAACTATTAGCAAGGAAGAGGACGCAATGGCAACAAGACCTCGATAAGCAACCCTGTGAGCATTGTGGTCATGTAGCGAGCAGGCACGATGAAGCCCCAGTCATTGATTTATCAGCCGACGATCGGGCCGGTCGGTCGAGTCAGCCTATGCTTTCCAGCTTCGGTAAAGTAGGAAAATTCGTTCTTCCGAAGTGGACACGAGGAACAAGCATTCATCGCCGCGATGACACTAATGATAGGGATGTCGAACATGGAGCCGCCAACGATGGCGCTGGCGAGCCCTTCCTTGCAACACCTGAGGAAAGCACAGAAGATACTGCAGGGCCGTCAGGAACATATGGAACGATGTCACAGAGCATGGAGAGTCTGGCCAGCGTGCCGGAGACAATTGTGAGGCAGAAGGACAAAGGCAAGAAGAGACTGGTGGATGTTGAATGAGAACGGTGTGAGCTTGTGTTTCAAGACCTTTGGATTTTCCGTGATTATAGTTGATTGCGTACAACTGAAGTCCACCCCGTGCTAAGTGTTTGATCGTAGAAGCTCGTTCACATGTGTATCTAATTGGATTGAATCAATATGCTAGAATGAGATGCCACGCCCAAGAATGCTGCCCGTTTACTCACTGTCCACCGATCATTCCAATAGACGTATCTGGGGTAATCATCGTCCAGTCTAACGAATAAAGCACACAGATGCTCATCGAGAGCCACTAGACTCGATGTACGTCTCCACAGCTTCGAAGGAACCTTTATCTATGTGGTAAGGTTCTCGTCAACAGATCTCCCGGCTTGCCAAACACAGGCTCGAGCCTCACACCTCCGAATGTCCAGCCATCAATGATGACTCCTTCTTCAAACTTACAACTCACAATGAACCCTAGAGCCCCATCCAGTCCCACATTGACCTCGATGTCACCCTCAATCTCCCTCCACAGTTTTCCGATGCTCTCCTCGTACCTCGTCTTTCCAATACGCACTCTGACTGCGTCAGGACGGAGAAGAACAGGCACGACATCAGGTGTGATGTTCGCGTCTACATAGCGCTGCGCGAACGTCGTTGCGTCAAATGGCTTGCCGACGGAGAAAACAAGGTTGTGCGGCGGCGTGTGCTTGCTGGAATGAAAGGAAACGATGAATTGCACGCGGTAGCGGCCTTGAGGAATGCCTGTCTTGATGGTGCGCAAACATATATTCTCGGCGTTGATGCATTGGTACACTGTTGCTTCCTCTCTCCGGCCATCGTGATCGAGATCTTCTGCCACGGGGAATATACGCTTCAATCTACCATCGCTGACTGTCACCCCACCTTCGCCGGAGGGAGATGTGTCGCGGAGCTGGCTCAAGCGTGATTGATGCTCCATTGTACTCACTACCCCAAGAGGAAGACCGGTTTTGAAGTCGACTTGAACAAGTTGGAAGGACTGATCAATCAGTCCACGGCCATCCATGCCGACTCGGAAGTGCGTGGCAGAGATCTCGAATTTGGGAGGTAAAGCAGAGAGCTTGGCCATCAGCTCGCCTAGTTGTCGTGCGATTCGAAGCTGTTTTGCGTCACGCATATATGCTTCTGTGAGTGCTGCCATCTCGTCTTCCTTCATCCACTGCTCAAGGCTGACGTTGGCCAGACCGCGATCTACATCAAAGCGGTAGTACCTTGTAGAAGTGTTGTAGTACATTCTTTTCATCTCATTGTCAACTCGTTGGGTACTAGTCGCCATTCCTGCAAGGGCAGAAATTAGAGCAATGTCCGTTCCCAATCCGAATGGTAACCAAGAACTGACGTTGCCAACGCTTGGGATTGACTGAAGTCCAGTGCCAACTGAGACAATGACGCCGATGGGTCGCCCCTCCCACAGTGCCTTCGCTGCGTAATCAACTTCCGCGCACGGGTTATTGAACCCAACCCCGCCGTCCAGATATGTGACTTTCGGTGTACCAAATTGCATCTCTTCGAAAAAGGTCGGCGCCGCAGAGGTTGCTCGTAAAGCCTCCCAGATCTTTGTTGTGCGGTCGTTGGGATCATACGTCGATAATATTCTAGGCAATCCCAGCGCTTGCTTCAGCGATGTGAGGACAAAGCCTCTGCAGCCTTTCGCATTCCTTTTTCTGTGCACGCTTTTCCGGGACTTGAGTTGCCACGTATCACTCCTGCATGGTGTCGCTTTCGCGAAAGGGTTATTTCTATCTGCCGCAGACAGTAGGGGCTGTTGTTCGTCGGCAATGTGGCTAGGTGGCGATGGCGCTCCATTAGAGCATGGTATCAAGCCTGGAGCGCTTTTCAGGGTTCCGACAGGGCTTTCTGTGACGATCTCCGGTACGGTGTCAGACCATATGCTGTCCCGAGGCAGTTCACTTTCGGGTAGCTCTTCGAAGAGCGAGTCGTCCCACATTAACTCGTCCGAATCGTAACCTAGGTCGACCAGGGCTTGCTTGATCGCGTTCTCTAAAACAAATCCCGAGAATCGATTCGCTCCTGTCGGTATTTTCCTCCCAAAGAGCTTGATTGATCTGTCGTTCTTGAAGATCTGTTCGGCGAGCTTTGTGTAGATGCCGATGCATTGCTTGCAATCAATTTGAAGTCGAGAAAGGAGAATAGCGATGATTCCGCCAGTACTTGTCCCCCCAATCAAATCGAAATAATCACAAGGCTTGAGTGGGCTGATTTCATGGTTCGGTCGTCTTCCTAACCTCTTTTCTTCTTGTGCAATGCTTTCCATCAGGTCATCCAGTACCATTAGACTTGACAGTCCTCTCACTCCTCCGCCATCGAGTGATAATAAGCGCAGGGGCGCGTGAGGGTTGGTTTCGGCGCTCGAGAGTTCCATGATGGCTCGCTCGCGTGGCGGCGAAGCCGAATAGCTGGAAAAGTTCTGTGTGCAGTACGGTGCTTCGATCGGCGGCTCACCGCCTCAGAACCTGGCTCAAGGTGGTTCCCCAGAATTCGATGGTCCTAGAAGATAGACCAGAACAGATCCATGTGTATGCTGGCTGAGCCTCCGGCGAATGTTTGCTTTTATGTGAGCTATAGTGTGGCGACGCAGTGGCTACAGTCACTGTAACACGCCGATGCGAGGCCAACTTTCCTAGTTGTGACAATATAAGAGGACACCGCGGTGAGTCAGGGTTGGTGGAAGGCAGAAAGTCAAAAGCTTCAGCCTTCTTGGTAGTGAGCCACACTTTCGGATCCGGACTATTTGATGTACGGTTGCCTGCTAGCCTAGAGTACATGCAAGTCTCAGATGACGACAACGTCGCAAATACTCGGGTTGCGAGGTGGTCGCCTCTGTCAGCTGCCTTATAGACTCGCGTTATAAGTCATGAGCCCGCGGCTGCTCAGCGCCTCACCTCGCATTTACATAATGAAGGTGTGCATGCAACTACGGGGATTCTGGGTATGCGAAGGGATCCGAGATGAGCCCAGGCCAACCAGGATAAGGTATTCTCCACATGGCGGAGAAGGCACAGTGTGGCATCGTCGAATTAGAAACACACTTGCCACAGCTAGCGCCCTCCATGTAGATGCATGCTTGCCGATTGCCGAAAACATGGCTGCATTGCGCTCAGAGAGTCATCCGAATAGGCTAAGAATTCAACTTTGCCCAATGATATACTGGCAAGGTGCTGCGCCTCCATTGAAAATGGAATGTAGGTCATCAACTTCCGGCCTGACCAACGTCAGCGTCGTGAGATGAGGCTCAAGTGTACGCGTGTGGCTACTGCGGAAGGGTTATACAGCCGCAGTAATCGTAAAATACTGTTGAAGTTTCCTTGCAGGATGTCTCAAAAGCCCACGGGCCAGTTGGCAATGTTCAAGCATTTGAACAAAAGCATTTCCTGACGTATTGCCTTGAATTTGACCGCGTTTCTGTTGGATCTAGGAAGCGGTCATGGGACAAAATGATGCGTTGGATACGGTATACCACGTGCTCGATGTCTGCATGATGGCTGCTGACGAGGCGACACGAGACTCGCAGGTTTGTGCTTTTACAGTGTGACACGCGAAATCCGGACGGATTTTATCCAGGATTGCTGAGATACCTCGTACTTGCACTTTGTACCCGAAGATGATTCGACCTACAAGGTATTATTCATCTTTCGTCCGGCTACTGTTACTGTTCAGTAACCCCCCCCTGTACAAGCGATACACCAGTGTATCTCGCAGCCCTAGTATAGGATTCGCAAAGTCTTTCTCCCTCAGTTCGTGCAGCTTGAACCCAACCTTCTCGAGCACATTATGTGAGGCTACGAGTTCTGGGTCCGTATGCGCTTCGGCATACTCGAAGCGTTCCTGCTGGCCCCCTGAAAAGTGCTCGAAGAAGAGTGGTATATATCCTCGCAATGCTTCCGTCGCGTAGCCCTTGCCCCAATAATTATTATTCAACATGTAGCCGACTTCAGGCGCTCGCACCGCACCTATCATACCGATAACGCGTGGCGAGGTGTTGGTGGAAGCATCCGGTGCAGAGGGAAGGAGCTCAATAACGAAGTTCCAGCAGTTCTCGAGGTCAAAGCAGCCTTGAATCCAGGCTTTGGACTTTTCGACATCGTCAGAAGGTAGCAGAGGTCTACAAGGAGTCAGCGCAATCGTGCGTATGCCATCGAGTGGACGACTACTTACGTATGTTTCATCACCTCTGGATGGCTGCGCATCAGCACAATGTCTTCTGCGTCTTCTATCATCAGAGGCCGAATCAGCAGCCTCTCCGTCTTAGCCGTGATCTTCGGGTCGACGATAACCATCTTCGGCTGCTCGAGGAAAGTCAAAGGCCATGTTGCGGTGTACGTCGCGTTATTAGTATTCCAGTATAGCTGCAGCCCATGCGCGTCTGCTTCCCAGTCATCGAGCGCTAGCCGCTTCAGACACCGTCTTTTGATGACACGTCCCTCAACAACAGCAAATCGACGCCCACAATTGCGACCCTAGACAGCATGACTCCCTGAGGAAACCCCGGAAAAGAAATAGGTGCAAATTTGCAAAGTTTTCTGGGACCCGCCTTCGGAAAATGTCACAATCTGTCATTTCTGCATCTGCGCAAGGAGCGACGTTTCTCATTCTGCTCCAAGTCGGCTCACGAGCCCTCACATTCGCTGTCAATCAGATACTTTTGCGCTTCTTATCGCCCGAGTTGCTCGGTGCCTCCGCCCAGCTCGAGCTATTCTCCATCTCGGTGCTGTACTTTGCGCGCGAAAGCCTGCGCGTTGCGGTGCAGCGGCAGACCCATGGCACCCAGGCGGTGGTCAACCTCTCTTACCTTGCGGTCTTCTTCGGCATACCACTCATTTACGGACTCGCACTTCTATGGCTATCTTCAGAAATACCCAACGTGCCACATTTCGTGGATGCATTGAGCGTGTATTGCTTGGCTACGTTCATTGAGCTTCTTACCGAGCCTGCCTTCTCAGCCGTACAGCAGAAGCTGCTGTACAGAATACGAGCTTCAGCTGAGAGTACGGCAACAGTCCTGCGATGTTTCGGAACGTGCGGGGCTGCCATTCTGGCCAGCAGGTACGGCGTGAACATTGGGGTTCTCCCATTTGCAATCGGACAGCTGGGCTACGCCGTGGCCTTGTTAGCTATCTACACGTACAAAATGTGGCCTGTAGCACAGGAGGGCAGATTCTCAATCTTTCCAAAACAGATACAGTCTACGAACGAGACGCCAGTGGTCTTCAACCACTTCTCAATACCGCTATTGCGTCTCACAGGGTCGCTCTCCGTACAGTCGGCACTCAAATACATCCTCACCCAAGGCGACTCCCTCCTCATGGCGCGCCTGACATCCCTTACAGACCAGGGTGCGTTCACCCTCGCATCCAACTACGGCGGCCTCGTCGCACGCATGCTATTTCAGCCCATCGAAGAAAGCAGTCGAAACCTCTTCGCGAAACTATGCACCGACACCGAGCCCGCCGCAGCCCCGCGCTTAGCTGAGCAAACCCAGAGCCTCACCAAAGCGTCCAAGATTTTGAAAATGATTATACGCATCTACGTCCTCATCTCGCTCTTCGCCGCCATCCTTGGACCCAAAGTAGCACCGCATCTACTCTTCATAGTAGCAGGAAGTAAATGGGCAAACACCTCGGCCTCGGAAGTCCTGGCAACGTACTGCCGTTACATTCCCTTCCTCGCCATCAACGGCGTGACAGAGGCCTTTGTCGCCGCAGTAGCTACCAACAAGGAGCTCTACACACAGTCTCTTTCCATGGGCTTATTCTTCGCGTGCTTCGCTGGCAGCGCCTGGTACTTTATATCGCACCTCGCATGGGGTGCCAGCGGCGTAATCGCTGCTAACAGTGTGAACATGGGTCTACGCATCGTCTTCAACGTGTGGTACATCCAGCGATTCTTCAAGCAGAGGGACGTTAGCTTCAGTGTGTTTGACTGCTTGCCTTCGAATCCGGTCTTGCTGTCTGCGCAATTCTATTCATGGGTGATGCAGTACAGACCGAGACCAGAGTGGCTCATGCAATACGGTGTATTTGGGGAGCTGGCGAGTCTAGGAGTTGTAGGCGCGTCTTGGGCGTTTGTTGTTCTCTTCTTTGAGGAGAAGTTTTTGATGGAATGTTTCAACACGCTGCGTCCATCCTCAGAGAAGAAAGATCAGTAGACTAGCTGCACAGTATTCCCGAGATCTATCCCTCTGAAACATGAAAGGTCGGACTGGCTGCGATCTTCGTCGTCCGCTCCTGTCCTCTGCTGCCCCGCCAACTCTCGGAACCGCTTTCCGATCGCACCAGCAAACTCTTCCGACCACTATCCTCCACACGTCATCCCCTCGCTCCCCAAGCCGCACCCCTAAATATTCGCGCATCACAAGATCTGACATTTACATAATATTCACGCATACCCCTGCATTTCCTGGGGGTAACGGAAACTCCGCAGTCTTCCAAAAAGAGATTGCCTGGGGGTAACAGAAACACACGCTTGCGGGGCGGACCGCGAACGGTGTGAGCACCGTCGTCTTATTGCGCTATTATCAGGCTGGGCAGGCTGGGCATTCGATTGCGAGAAAACTGTTGGGGATGACGGACCTGCAGACGTGCAAGCACTACCATGGGTTGGTGGACATGGGAAGGTATGCTTGAGTTCACTCTGTGATGGATGTTGTAGAGGGCGAGGCACTGTAAGAGACGAAAATTGAAACACATCCCGCTATGTTATGGTCAATAGATGAAGCGTATGATTTGACTGACTCATATAGCAATGGCATTCGCTTCTCCATCACCGACCTCTCACCTCAAAGTGCTCGCACACTACCCACCTTGTACCTTTCTCGAGCCGCTATATCGCTCTATGATGCACAATTCACATCTGGATCAAACGAACCCATACCGGTCCCGCAAGAAACCATCAAAAGCGTGATCAAAGCCCTACTACGGTTCAAAAGCACTTGTAAAGACTTCAATGTACCAGAACACCAGATCCGCATTGTAGCCACAGAAGCCACCCGCAAAGCCATTAACTCACAGGCGTTTCAGAACGAGATTCAAGAGAAGACTGGATGGAAAGTGCAGCTACTCGAGAAAGAGAAAGAGGGCAGAGTCGGAGCTTATGGTGTGGCGAGCAGTTACGCAAACGTAAGGGGCTTGGTGATGGATCTTGGAGGTGGCAGTACGCAGATCACATGGATTATGACTGCAGAAGGGGAAGTGAGGATGTTCGAAAAGGGTAGCGTGAGTCTGCCTTATGGAGCGGCGGCTCTGACGAAAAGGCTTGAAGCTGCTGGGTCAAGGCACAGCAAAGAATATAAGAATTTCGAGGAGGAGGTACGGGACGATCTAAAGAATGCTGTCCGACAAATCAACATTCCCACGGACTTGTTGCAAACGGAAGACGGTCTTCACTTGTACCTGTCGGGAGGTGGATTTCGAGGCTGGGGCTTTGTACTCATGTCACAACACAGCATCAAGCCGTACCCTATCCCGATCATCAACGGGTTCAAGGTGAAGGAAGGCTCGTTCCAGGATACGCAAGCAGTCCGCGCTGCAGTTTTTGACGACGACACGCCAGACATCTTCAGAGTGTCTCAGAGAAGGGCGAGCCAGGTCCCAGCTGTGGCCTTTCTTGTTGACTGTCTCTCCAAAGCATTGCCCAGCATCAAGGATGTTTATTTCTGCCAGGGTGGTGTGAGAGAAGGAATGCATTTCGCGGAAATGGCGCCTACCCAAAGACAGGAGGATCCTATCGTCACAGGAACTAAAGCGTATGCAAGAGAGTCGGTTTCTGAGCTCGTCGATTTGCTGCTTGTCGCTTGTCACACAGCCCCGAGGGTGTTGGACAGATCATTGATCACAGCCTTCGTCCAGGCCTTGTACGCTCATGCGGCATTTCCAAAGGACCTTTGCGCTGGTTCAGCACTCAGAAGCACGTCGACCGGCTTCTTCGCTGCAACGCACGGTGTCAGCCATGAGCAGCGTGCAATACTCGCAATCTTGCTTTGCGAGCGGTATGGTGGGTTCAGCTCAATCTCCCCTACGGAGCAAGATTTCTACCACCGTTTGTTGCGGTTGCTTCCCCACGGGGTAGCTTGGTGGTGCATGTTCCTCGGACGTGTTGCCGCGGTGGTCGCCATTGTGTATCCAGCTGGTGTGGTAAGCGAGTGCCGTCTGGAGATGCGGGCAGATTGGGTGCAGACCAAGAAGGGAAAAGACAAGCTCTCGATCTTGTTCAAGTTTTTGACCCTTTCTCAGGTCGACGAGATGGACGAAGCACTCAACGATGCGCTTGGGCAGGTAGACAAGGCGGGGAAGAAGAAAAACTGGGTCGCTGGGCATGGACATAAGGTAGAGGTAGGTCTTGTGGGGTGATTGAAAGACGGTCAAGCCCATGACCAAGACAGACACAGACGGGCTCTGAAAGTGATGAGCTATGCAATTACTACCTGCTTTGATATGTCTCTCCATGCATGCAGCCAACGCAGAGAACCTTGGACTTGCAAGACGCTGGGTTCTGACAATGAGTCAGGTAGAAGAACGGGTTTGTCGGTGCTCAGCTTGTGCAGCATGCAGTGGCGAGCATCGTGACACGTCCCGGGCAGTCGGAGGCCACAGTTCTCAGGGGCGAACCATCGTGACCTCGAGCGGGTGGCGGTGTGGAGTCATGGCCGTGAAGCAACGTGACCAAGCACGTCCAACGGCCAGAGACTCGACCGGAGCCGCACGCCGTTCGTGTTCCACGTGCCCCGAGCACCCACTGGTGAAAGGACACGTCTGGTCAGCCGCGCTACAAGCGCTGCGCGGTGCCAAGGATCGTGAACTACGAGGTGCTGGGTTGGGTTCGCGGTGGGGCGAATGGGGGGCGGTGCAGGGCTGGCGAGGGTGCTACGCACTGGGTCCATTAGCAATTATGGCGCACGCTTCGGTCATGGTGGTAAAACTCTGCGATCGAGTGCGTGCTCCTGTGAGGTTCTGCAGCACCCAGTCGGCCGCCCATTACGTGAAAGAGCCAATGGCGGGCGGGCGCGCTACGGCTAGTTTCTGGGGAAGCTGCCGGCCTGAGCTCGGCTTTGGGCGGGTCAATCGCGCATCGTCAGGTACCAGCAGCTTGCAGCAGCTGTCCCATGTTATAAAAATGGCCGCACCCGCCCAGCCTCCGGTCAGCACACCGCGTTGGCGACGCCCTGACCCCGTCCCTTCTTGCACCTCTTATCTATCCGCTCCTCCTTATCTCCCGCCGTTTCAGGCGCCCGGATTGCAGCGTGTCACACAGGGCACTGAAGACCCAAAACACCCTCTGCTGCCAGCGGGACTCAAGCATCGAGCCGTGGAACCTCCGATCCCAATTGGCGGCCGTAGCCTTATCCGTCTGAAAGCTTGACCTGCTGTCGTGCTGCGGTGCCTTCTTTCCCAGGTGAGCTAGCTGCGTCATAGTGTCCGCAGAACAAATAGGTGCTCAGCGACGACTTCCTCTGGCGGCGTGTACGGCGCGCATGCCCGTGTAGAACTTTCCATGGCCCAGTCCTTGCCTCCTGAGCTCTACTGTCGTTCCACTACCACTACGCACAAACTCAACTAGTATTGCTAGCATTGCTGACGCCGCTCTTTGTACCAGACCCCCCGCCAAACCCCTCGCAGACCGCCTCTACGCTAGTCAGGCCAACGTAGAATCAGTCCCACTCGCTGGACCATCTCTTCGCGGGCCACAGCCTCCTACGATCCCCAATCGCTAGCGGGCTTTTACTATTTCTACTGGGTTGATCATACAGATCACCCTTCCTCAGACACATCGCATCATGTCGACTCCAGTTAATGGCGCCGTCGGCGCTCCGCAGAACAAACTCCTCGACCAAGTCGTCCAACCTCCAGTTAGGAACCCTTCGCCGCTGCCCACACACCTCAGCCTCCCGGGCTCTGGACACTCCACACCACGGGTACTTCCCCGGGAAGGCCCTGGTGGCTCCGGATATGTTGCCCAGAAGTTCGAGGGCAAGGAGAAGCAGATGGAGGAGGTCATGGACCGCATAGAGGAGAAGGGCTTCCTTCCTTCCGAGTTCGTCGAGACGGAGACAACTTGGTTTTACAACGAATTGGGAATTGATGACATGTACTTTGCGACCGAGACGGTCGACACGTAAGTAGAGACGGATCCAACCACTGACTGATGCTAACACTGGCCAGAATCGTTAACCACGTCCTGTCCCTGTACGCCGCCAAAGTTGCCGCATACGCCCGCCAGGACAAGCGCATCGAGATTCGCTTAGATAAGGAAGCCGACGATCACGCTGTGTACATTGATACAAGCAGACCGGGGGTCTCAGTTGTCGATGGTCCGCAATACGAAAAACGCATCGGTGAGAGGTATCTTCACAGGTCCAAGGGTGCGGCGGGCTACCGTGTGGAGAGCTTCCGTTCCGCTAGCCCTCTGCCCGGCAGCCAGGACCAACAATTGCGCTGTTACTTCGTGTACCAGTGCGACTTCGTTGATCCATCTCCAAGCGCTACCGAGACCAACATCGAGAAAATTGGAGATAAGCGTTTCCTTCAGAAGGCAACTGCCAACACCAAGAAGATTTACCAGGAAGCTTTGGAAGTTGCCGTGGAGCGAACAGGTCCCGTCATCGAGTATTTCGATATCGAAGGTTCTCGTGATAAACGATTGGTCATTGCCTATAAGCAGGGCACCGCCATGGGCTTCTTCAGCGCTCTGAGTGATCTCTACCACTACTACGGCCTCACCACGTCCCGGAAATATGTCGAGCAATTCTCTAACGGCTATACCTGCATGTCTCTGTATCTTCAGGAGATGGCAGGAGCGGCTGGCCGCAAACACCCACCGATTGAGGCATCTGTCCACCAAATCATCAAGGAGATCTCCTTGCTGTACTGCATTCCCCCAGAACAGGTTCCAAGCACATTTTGCTACTGGACGCCTGAGTCTACAGGAGACCATCTATGCCCACTGTGTTTGGGTTTTCATTTCACATTTCCTCAATCGACTTGGAAGCGAATACACCGCTTTGGCTTCCATGCTAGACGCACAACAGTGCGCACGCTGAATTGTTATCGAAGCTGAAGAAGAGGTTGAGAACTGAAACATTCACTGCCGACTACATTCTTGAAATCATCAACGAATATCCGGAATTAGTCCACAGCTTGTACCTTGCTTTTGCGAACACGCATTACGTCCAAACGCGGGGTGAACAAGACGACTTCCTACCGACATTGAGTTTCCTTCGCCTCAAGGTAGACAAGGTCCTCACCGACAGCGAACTGACAGATGCGATCAACAAGGTAGTCGTCAACGAGCACCACCACATGGTCATGAGCTCGTTCCGCATCTTCAACAACTCCGTCCTCAAGACCAACTTCTACACTCCCACCAAGGTTGCACTGAGTTTCCGCATGGACCCGAAGTTCCTCCCACCTTCAGAATATCCTCAACCCTTGTATGGCATGTTCCTTGTCATCAGCTCGGAGTTCCGCGGTTTCCATCTTCGATTCCGCGATATCGCCCGTGGCGGTATTCGCATCGTCAAGTCTCGCAGCCAAGAAGCATACGCTATCAACGCGCGATCCATGTTCGACGAGAATTACAACCTTGCCAACACACAGCAGCGTAAGAATAAGGATATCCCGGAGGGTGGCTCAAAGGGCGTCATACTACTTGATTACCATCACCAAGATAAGGCACGTGTTGCTTTTGAGAAATATATCGATAGCATTCTGGACCTTCTTCTCCGGCCAATCAGCCCTGGTATCAAGGATCCTATTGTAGATCTTCACGGCAAGGAGGAAATTCTCTTCATGGGTCCGGATGAGAATACTGCTGACCTTGTCGACTGGGCAACCGAGCACGCTCGTTTCCGCAATGCGCCTTGGTGGAAATCCTTCTTCACTGGTAAAAGCCCCAAATTGGGTGGTATACCGCATGACCGCTATGGAATGACCACCTTGTCGGTTCGTGAATACGTCTTGGGTATCTACCGCAAGTTGAACCTTGACCCAAGCAAGGTCAGGAAGCTGCAAACGGGTGGACCCGATGGTGATCTGGGTTCCAATGAAATTCTCCTTAGTAACGAGAAGTACATTTCAATCGTCGATGGCGCAGGTGTTCTTGTGGACCCCCAAGGTATCAACCACGAGGAGCTTCTTCGACTAGCCAAGGCTCGTGTCATGATCAACAAATTCGATGTCTCTAAGCTCTCTCCGGAAGGTTATCGAATCCTGGTCGACGAGAACGACGTCAGGCTGCCGAACGGCGATCTTGTGCCTAACGGCACAACCTTCCGCAATACCTTCCATTTGCGACATGGGGCCGGATTGCAATATGACACTTTCGTCCCTTGCGGAGGTCGTCCTGAGTCCATTGATCTCACGACAGCCAACAAGCTCATCGTCGATGGAAAATCGATTATCCCCTACATTGTCGAGGGTGCCAACCTGTTCATCACCCAGGATGCCAAACTCAAGCTAGAGAAGGCTGGCTGCATTCTCTACAAGGATGCGTCCGCAAACAAAGGAGGCGTGACTTCGTCTTCTCTCGAAGTTCTCGCATCCCTTACGTTCGACGATGAAGGCTTCGCCAAGCACATGTGTGTTGGTGAGGATGGAACTCCGCCGCAATTCTACAATGACTATGTCAAGTCGGTGCAAACTATTATCCAAAATAACGCCAGACTTGAGTTCGAAGCTATCTGGAGGGAACACCAGAAGACCGGCACCCCTCGTAGCATCCTGAGCGACACCCTGAGCATTGCGATAACCAAGCTCGATGAGGAGTTGCAAAAGACCGATCTGTGGGACAACATCGAGTTCAGGAAGTCTGTCCTCAACGAGGCTCTTCCGAACCTGTTGCTGGAGAAGATTGGTTTGGAGAAGATTATGGAGCGGGTGAGCTCAAAACCTCGATAAACCCAGGACTCAAGCTAACGAATTATATAGGTGCCCGACAACTACATCCGCGCCATATTCGGCAGCTACTTGGCGAGCCGGTTTGTTTACAGTTACGGCATCAACGCCAGCCAATTCGCCTTCTTTGATTTCATGAACAAGCGAATGGCTAAACTCAGCATCAAGGCATAAGCCCCTCAAGGTCGCGACCATTATTTCCATAATATACCTCATAATGCATTACGTGGATCTATAATTGGCGTTGGGTAGGGAAAAGTTTGGTTGGGACACATCTGCGGTCGTTATTCCTGCATGGGGAGGATAGGATGATGGGCGCGTATGCACCGTAGCCGCCCATGGAGGCGTGGCTGGATGCAATTCATACAAATCAATTTACATGCATTCTGCATTGTTACTCTTTTTGGTTCCGTTTAGGATGATCAACGCTCATTGATGTGTCTGAGTGTGTGCAAGCCATTGTTTTCCAGGCGTGTCGCGCGGCCATCTAGAGCACCAAGTCTGGCGGGGAACGTCTAGAACCCCGAACTCAGATCAAAGGCAACCCACCCATCGTATGCGCAAGCATCAGCTAAACTGAGCAAATGATATACACCGCAGGCTAGTACCCAGCCAATGATCGGACTTTTTGCCTAGATTCAAAACATCTCAGGAAGGAAGGACGTGCGTTGTACGTAGGGCAGATGAAGTAGCCCCCCTCCTCCTCGCGTCGCGGCCCTCTTCATCACAACAAAGCTGCCGTCGCCCTCCCACAACACATCGCTCCAGTACTCACAGTAAGTTGAAGTTGAGTCGCGCATACTTTTATTGTAAGCTTCTTCTGTCGTCCCCTTCGTGTCATTCCTCGTTGCCCATGGTTTTAGCCAGACAAAGTGAGCGCGCGGCGCGAGACACGCGCCTCGCTCAAGAGAGACAGCACGTATCTTGAGCGCTTTGCACGCAACGCGTGTCTCCGCATGCGCAACAGCACGGGATAGAATCGCGTGTATTTTTTCTACACGACACAGCATTTTGTAGAGCAGTTTTCCTGTATTTACGAGGATCGCATTCCGTCGAGATAACGGCGTGGAGTAGCGCTAACAACCCACGGTTCAGCTCAGCTTTCTTCGCCCAACACAAGCACGCGCCCAGCACTTCAACTCTCCTCGCCTCCAGGATTCATACACGGAACACCAGCAAGAACAATGGCCGCCCGAACCGCCACCGCGACACCCACAACGCGCAAGACGCGCACCGCGACCAACTCGCTTCCCAAGAAGATCGAGGCCGCCATCGAGCCCGCGCCTGCGCCCAAGAAGCGTGCCACAAAGGCCAACACGAGCAAGCCACGCGACAAGAAGGTTGCCGCAGGACGCGTCGAGAAGAAGAAGGCGCCTGCGACCACCAAGAAAGCTCCGGCTGCTAAGAAGACCGCAACGACGAAGAAGACTACGACGACGGCTAAGAAGCCTGCGGCTAAGAAGGCCGCGGCGACGAAGAAGACGCCCGCAGCGAAGGTGGAGAAGGAGGTTGAGAAGGCGGAGGCGAAGGTGGAGAGCAAGGTGGAGAAAGCTGCGAAGGTAAGTCTTCCTCCAAAATTAGTGCTTCTTGTAGGCGATGTGACTGACGTATCATGTGTACAGGCTACTGGAGCGAAGGTATGACGCGTCCTTCTCGCGAGACTGTCTATTGTGCGCGCAGACTACTAACGTGCAACAGGAAAAGAAGACTGCTACCAAGGCAGGTAGGTCCAAGAAGGCGTAGAGGTAGTATCAAGCGCATCTCGGTGTTTGGCGTACGCGTCTCGTTTCATTTTGTTGCCCGGCTTTCTTCAATGGTCTTGTTGCGGGGTTATGAGTGTATTCTGTCCTGCTTGAGACGGTGAACGGTCTGTTCCGACCTGGACGCAACGATGGATCTGCCTGTTCACGGTCTGTTGCTTGCAGTACAAGGGAAATGGGTTTATGGCCTGTTCTGTTTGCACGATACCCACGGGTTCGGTCTGGGGCGCAGGATCGATAGTAATGATGAGTTTTCTTCTACGGTTACTCCTCTTAGCAAGAACTCCACGGCCGGTGTTCCTCATCGCGTCTGTAGATACGCCTTTTTTCTGGGCGTGCGCCTGCCGTCTCACATTTGATTCGGTTTGCTGTGTGTTCGCGCCAGAAAGGCTCCGAAAAGTTTCCTCGGCCACTTCGTGAGAAGAGGCACAGGAAAAGTCGAACGAGGCGCAATTCTGCAGATGATGGTCTTGACCAAATGGATGAAATAGATAATCTTGGGTATCAAAATATTTCCGTTATTCTAGCTCTTGCCCCTACGTTGTCACGAATTCCGTGTTCACCACCGAGACCCGTACAATCTTCATGTCGGGTCAGATCCCAGCCCAAGTCCGGCTACCGACCACTCAGCAAGGCCGGCTCTCCAACTCCTTGACAATGGCTAGCGGGGCGCTATGCATGGCTGGAAGTTCGCCGTGTTGCAATGAAGTGGTAGTTGAGCGTTTTGGCAAATGAAGAGTGCCCTTGTCTGTCTAGCTTGTTAGCGGCGTTGGTTCAGTCGCTCCGCTGCAGAGACCCGCATTCCAACAACGCCTTGCAATGCTTTAGTAGATCCTGTGAGCTAGATCAATTGCTTTCTGCATGCAAATCTTAAATTACTTTCTTCAGCCGTCCATGGACGCCTCGAGAAACTCGTCTTTAGGCTCTTTGGGCTCCTGGGCTTCATGATATTGAATCGCGTCGTCGATGTAGCTAAGGACGGCACCAAGGCTGTCTTCGTCTTGCGCATCTAGTTTCAGGAATGAGACCATGCTGAAGTCGTCGATCAGCTGGGCTACAGCCTTGTTTAGCCTGTCAAACGAGGCCCCGCTCATCACGCTCTTGGTCTCGCCTGGGTCTTGGTAGCCTTTCGTCTCTTCTTGCTCCTCTCCCTTCACCTTGCGCGTAGGGTCATCTTCTAGAAGCCCTGGGTCAGGGTCGAGGAAGCGTTTCAGCTCCCGTTTCGCCACCTGGCCCTTGACCAGGTCCATCTTGCTCAAGATATTGATGTGGGGCATCTCCAGCATCAACATGGCACTCATGGCAGAGAGTGTGCCAGAGAAGAACTTGGGGCGGTCGACGATGAAGGTTGCCTCGAGCAGGTACGCGGCGCACATGTTGATGTTCAGCGAGCCGCGCATCAGTGTTTTGACGAGATCTGGCAGAATGGGCACGTGTGTGTACAGCTCGATCTGGCCAGGCATGTCGAAGACGATCAAGTACTCGTCGGTGACCTCCTCGAGCGGATCCGTCAGGAAGTCGAGGTTCTCCATGAGAAACTCGAAGCAGTAGATGAGGCCGCCGTTGGGCCCCAGGCTCATCTCCTCCATGACATCCTCGAGGCTGATGAGGTCCTTGATGTCGAGGTCTGGCTCGAAGGCGAAGTCTTCGGCGGCGGGGTCGAGGTTCACGTAGAAGCACGGGCGCTTGTTGTTCTGCAGATGCTGGATGAGGGAGGCGCAAAAGGTGGATTTGCCGGCGCCGGCGGGGCCCTGTGCGGCGCAGTCAGCGTGGGTTCGCGCGTGCAGCGTCCGGAGACATTGCTCGTACCATGACCAGCGTGCCGTACTTGCTCATGGTTGATGGCGGTGGGCGTTGGTGGTGGTGCGGGAAGTTTTGACGCGCCGTGGCAGAAAACAGCACCGAGAGGGCCGTTGGGGCGGTGGCATGGCGGGGCACCAATGCGAAAGCCCCTCGGTGGGGCGGTGAATGGCGTGCTAGGCCTGCTTCCCACTCTTTCGATAGGCCTGCGACGTCGGCGGCATTGCACGTTTTCTCGGCAATTGGCGCAGATTCTCAGACGAAGGCCCTGACACGGCTTCCGACCTTCTCTTAAAGCCCCGAGCCCTTTCTGACCCAGCCTCCCCACCCACGCCTACATTTTACATCCTCTTCCCCTCGACACCACCACACGGTCGCAAGTCCTACACTACGCCTTCGACAAGCACCTCCTCTCCTCCCACAGCCATGACGCAGACAAACGGCCAGACGGTCCCCGGACCCAAGCTCAACGTACGCCTCCATGCCTGCCTGTGCCATTGACCTCCAGCGGGGTACTGACTCTTGCCCAGGGCAACACCTTCCTCTTCACCTCCGAGTCCGTTGGTGAGGGCCACCCCGACAAGATTGCGTACGTGCCCTTCCGCTGCCCTCTGCCCCTGCCGCCTCGCATACAGTCGGCTGTTCATAGCCGGGCACCACACCCCGCACTTGAGACACGCCCAGCACGCAGTCCGCAACACTGACACCCCGCAGCGACCAGGTCTCCGATGCCATCCTCGATGCCTGCCTGCGCGAGGACCCGCTCTCCAAGGTCGCTTGCGAGACTGCCACCAAGACCGGTATGATCATGGTCTTTGGTGAAATCACCACCCAGGCCCGCCTCGACTACCAGAAGACCATCCGTGATGCCATCAAGGACATTGGCTACGATGACTCCAACAAGGGCTTCGACTACAAGACCTGCAACGTCCTCGTCGCCATCGAGCAGCAGTCGCCCGACATTGCCCAGGGTCTTCACTACGACGAGGCTCTTGAGAACCTCGGTGCCGGCGACCAGGGTATCATGTTCGGATATGCCACCGACGAGACCCCCGAGCTCCTGCCCTTGACCCTCCTCCTCTCCCACAAGCTTAACAGCGCCATGAAGGAGGCCCGTAACAGCGGCGAGCTCCCTTGGCTCCGCCCTGACACCAAGACCCAGGTCACCGTCGAGTACGCCCACGACAACGGCGCCGTCATTCCTCTCCGTGTCGACACCGTCGTCGTCTCGGCCCAGCACTCCGAGGACATCACCACCGAGGAGCTCCGCAAGGAGATCAAGGAGAAGATCATCAAGAAGGTCATCCCCGCCAAGTACCTTGATGAGAAGACCGTCTACCACATCCAGCCCTCTGGTCTGTTCATCATTGGTGGACCCCAGGGTGACGCCGGTCTTACTGGCCGTAAGATTATCGTCGACACCTACGGTGGTTGGGGAGCCCACGGTGGTGGTGCTTTCTCCGGAAAGGACTACTCCAAGGTCGACCGTTCCGCTGCCTACCTCGGCCGCTGGATCGCCAAGTCTCTCGTCAACGCTGGCCTTGCTCGCCGTGCCCTGGTCCAGCTGTCGTACGCCATTGGTGTTGCTGAGCCCCTGTCCCTCTACGTCGACACCTACGGCACCTCGAACAAGTCTTCTGAGGAGCTTGTTGAGATCATCAAGGCCAACTTCAACATGCGTCCCGGTGTCATTGTCAAGGAGCTGAACCTCACCAACCCTATCTACAACCAGACCGCCAAGAACGGTCACTTCACCAACCAGGTACGCACTTCCACCTCCAATTTCCCAGATTCTTTTGCTGACTGTACAAAGGAATTCACCTGGGAGAAGCCCAAGACTCTCAAGTTCTAGATGTAATAATACTGTAATTGCATGCGTGCGTTGAATCAACTTCAGCCACGATGGTCACTTTTTAACGACGACATGACATGCATATCTCTGGCGGTTAAAATTCCGTCTTTCAACAAGTTCGGCGTCGGGAAGGGATACCCCTTATACCTTAAAATTTTCACATTTTCAGGCTTTTCCCGAGTCATCTATAGACGCGACGCTTTCGAAAGAGGCGTGGCAACGATCTTCCACAGCCTGTGCCAGCAAGAAGGGCACGCCTTTTGGATCAGGATGGTGGGGTTGGAGATAAAAGCGGATAGAGCTGCTATCCTTTGCTGAGGGGCATCCTTGCCGAGCAAGGCAATACATTGTTTCCTCGCAATAGTTCGTGTCTTGTCTCGCAATTGTTGTGCCCCGTGATCAAGATTCTCCGTGCAAGAAGGCCTGCTGCCCCACGATGCGAAGTACAAACACTACGGAGACTTACTAGTAGGTAGGTTACAAGGCCTGCGCGGTCAGACGGAGGCTTTGTCGGAGGTTTGTTCGGCGATTTCCAGTTACGGATTTTGGGATCGGTGAGATGGTGCTATTGGTGGGTACATCCAACGTCTGCGCCTCAGGCAGGAATGCAGGATTACACCCCGAAGCTAACCGTGCGCAGCACCGAGCGTCGGTAAGCAACAACAAAACTCGAAGACTACTCAACATGGTCAGGGTCTTTGATATCCAGAAACATAGATCACTTTCTAGAAGACGACGGTCGCGGCCATGGCCCTACTGTGTAGATGTTGCACCGCCACACGTTCGCCGTACGTCATAACGCCACCAGGGTCTTCCATTCAAAGGCGAAGCAACGGTCTTCTACATCCTACTGACTCCAAGTACCTCCTTGTCACAATCCTCCGTCCGCAGCTCGCATAGCTCGTTTCTCGGTACCTTGAATCCCACATCGCTACAAAGGACGCCTTACTCCGCGCTCGAATCCCAAAGGCATATTTACTACGACTTTCCCATCCGGCCGTTTTGCAACATGGCCACATCCTCGTCACAGCCAGCAGATGCGCCGCCATCTTATGAACTAGCAACCGGCAGTTCCTCAGAACCGAAACCCCTTCGCCGTGTCTCTACTGACGGCCCTGCTTCACGGACAGCGCGAAACGGTATCCCACCTGAACACCGCCGCTCAATGGAAGATGAAAATCGCGATCTCCCTCCAGGATGGGTTCGACAATTCGACCCCACAGAACACCACCAATTCTTTGTTGACACCAAGGCCAACCCACCCCGGAGTATCTGGACGCATCCCTACGACGACCCGGACTTCCTCGCCACACTGAGCCCAGAAGAGCGCAAGAAATATAGCCGCATGCACCGCAGCGTAACACTCGAGGACATCACGGCCGAGAGCAGCGACGACGAAGATCACCACCACCCCAAGCTCCCTCCCCGCACGAAAGCCGCTGGTGGCACCTCACATGCATCGTCTTCCGACCAGCCAACCGGCATACACAAGTTCACCCGCAAGATGAAGGACAAGCTCACGGACAGCACGCACGAGCAGCGTCAGCGACAGCGTAGCCAGCGCGAAGAAGCAGAGCGAAAAGCGTACCAGGCGCATATGCAGGCCAGAAAGGCAATGGCGCGCGCAATGGAGACAGGGCAGCCGCAATTCTTGTGCAAGGATCAGCAGGGTCGCGACGTGTTCATCGAACCACCGGGCGGTCCTGGTGGCTACGGTTATGGGCCGCAGGGAGCGTACGGGTACAGTCCTTACGCACAAGGTCCTTATGCAAATCCTAATGCCAGGTTTGTTCGCCCAAGTGGACCGTATGGGAGGCCTTATGGCTATGGTTATGGTGGTGGCATTGGGGCGCCTGTCGCGGCGGGGTTCCTGGGTGGTGCGCTGCTTGGTGGGCTAATGTTCTAAAGTCGTGGTTGTCGTTGGTGGGGGAACGGCTCAGCCAGCTCGAAAAAGAGGGCTGTGTTTGGGCGTTTAAGTGAAGATACCTTGTTCTATTCTGGGGGGGTAAGCGTGCACTCTGCTGCATAAATTCTCATGTCTCATACAATAAGTGTCTTACGTAGCTTAGTTAGCTCACGCAACACGAATTAACAGGTTGATACTTCAGTATTCTGCTAGGAACAAGGAACGGTCTGCAAGATATCGTGCAAGTAACAACTCAATCCGACTGGAACCAGAGTTCGCGCCGCATATGCACAATCAACACTGCCTCACCACGCCGACAGATCCAGCTTCGAAGCTGACATGTTATGTCCGAAATTGAGACGTCACTAGAGCTTACGTAGAAACAAAACTTCCGTTTTCACTAGCACACATCGTAGAGCCTGTCATTTTACAGTCACACTGACATTTCTGATTTTTTTCCGCACCATGCGTGTATAGTCGGTCTCCAATACATCAAAAACAATCATGTCGAGTCCTCCAGAGGTCTTCGTAAGGTCGACAAAATAATGGTCAGTACGGGGGTCGAACCCGCGACCTTGGCGTTAACAAGGGAATATTAGCACCACGCTCTAACCAACTGAGCTAACCGACCTAGTCGTTGTACAATGATTATAAAACTGTCATTTTATGATGTATATATATCATAGAGCACTTGGACTGAAAAGCAGTAAGACATGAAGCTTGAATAATCAAGATCTTGTACTTTAAGGGGAAAAGTTAGATAGCTTAGCGGGGTAAGTCACGGGTCTGGACAGGCAAGCGAAGCTGGTGCTTACCGAACATTACTAGAATAGCGCCCGCTTGAACCCTCCTCAAACTTCTTGCGCACGTTATTCTTCCTCGAGCCATTGCAAGGGCCACACAACGTCCGCAAATCTACCAGACGATTCATGCACTTCTCCCTCGACCACGCCATACGATTGAGATGAACAACCAGACTGTAACAAATGTTTTGATAGTCGTTCAACGAGTACAGCTTCTGAGTCTCGCCCGGAGACTTAGCATTATTAGAAGAGGATAACCCATGTGGCTCTGCTACACATGACTCGGTCTACTATCACTTTTAGTCAGATGTCCCGGGAAGCTAGACTTGCACAGGGCACGCATGCAGCCCGAGCAAGGAGAGGGAGAACATCAAGTTATTAAACATTGACAACCGATCGCCATCTTAAGACACTTAGCAAAGACCTACTCACTCATTCTTGCCGATTCTATCTTGAGAGTACTATTGTGGACCTTTGTTACACCCGGATGGACCCACTGGTGGCGTCGCTTCCCTGACATGAGTTTGTACAAACCGACAGCAGTGACTAGAAACGGATGTAGAACACAGTACTGGCAATTTTCCTCGAGGTGGATACTTCTGGCAATACTTCTGCCAACTACAAAGTCCCGGATCGCGAAACTTCGCAAACATGCCATAGGTACCGCTGTCATAATCGATCCGAAATTGCTAAGGGCTTCCACGGTCAAAATCAAAGCGCCCCATTCCGTCCTCTAAGCGTAGCCATCGAAGTGAAGCACAATCAATCAAAGATTCAACTATTTCGTACCTAAGTTGTATCAAGCACGTCGATCGTCTCGAAACCAAGATACTCTGATGCTAGCTGCTGAAAGCAATTCCAATCAGCTATTTCTAGACACCACCACACCCCGCAAAAGTAAGCTCGTGAGACCGCCATTGCTGAATTGCTATTTGTTATCATGTCGTTCGAAGTTGGGCAGACCATATAGTCCACGAGACCGCAGCTTCCGACAACGCCTGACAAGGCCAACACGTCGCTAGTATACTTGGAATTAGGGCGTAGCCCTTGATCTGGAGGAATTCTCTGAAATCCATGGTTGATACTAAGAGTCAACACATTCGAGAAAGAGGTTCCTCGAGCGGGCAAGCTTCTGGTTCATGGAGGCTCTTCAACCACAAAGTCGAATGAGCGAGCTAAGGTCAAGCGAAGGCAGGTAAGATTGTCGAAAATTATGGCTCGTGATCGCATGGTGATGGTGAGGCATTTCACGATTGTTTCTAGTATGGCTGCAGTGAGCTCGAGCTTCCAAAGATATTGGATGTTGCTGTCTAGCAAGGGTCGAAACGCATGCTATCAATGGTCAGCTCAATCGTCTCACGGGACGATTGAGAAGCCTACGCAAACAGACTGCACACCATTAAGGCGTACCAGCTGTTACGAGCACCGTGAAGTGATTATTGCGTCAGTCACAAACCTTCTAGATCGCTAAGTCTCTGTTTGCATGTACTAGAATCAAAAGTGGATGGATATATAGAGTCGGCTCTGCCCAATGAACAGTTCGAGCCTCCGGGTCTTGTAACCTGATTTGCTCCTCAAGAGGTGTAGGGCTATCATTGATCTAGCTCTAATCATGCAGGTGCAACGCTAGTGAAGTCGCGCGTCGATCTGACATCTGTACATTGCATATGTATGACTTGCAGATGTGTGACTTACAGCTGAAGATTGATCGTTGAAACATCTTAGTACGGCGTTCCTGCTATATGTAAAGGGGAGCTGTTTCTAGTGTCGGACACAGTGCGAGAAGAACGGTCTGATGCGGGGTGTTTAAGCAAAGCTCGTAAGTGCCCAGATGCCAATGGATGCTTACAGCACAGATCAGTTCGCATGTGGGCAATAGAGGCTCTGAAAGAAGGACTGGTGACCGAATGGTAATGGTTCCAGCTGACCGCCAGCTTAGAGCAGCTGTGGTGGGATGATGTCAGAGCTAGCACGTCCTGGATAACTACGAGAGCCCACAATGCCATCACCGTGCCTACCCAAGGGGACATCAGATCATTTCGCAAAAAAAAAAAAGTCTTTGTTATAAAGGCAGATTCTTTTGAAGCTTGCAAAAGCTGCGAGGTGATGTGATGCGGTGAACACACGGTTTGGTGCAGCACCTAACGAAGCCAACGTCTGGGGTGGACGGCGTCCGCCACCGCGTATCACCACACCGCTCCATCGAGCCTCCTACAGCAACCTGCATCTGCGAACTGTTTAACGCGAAAGACAGGTTTGCCAATCGCGTTGCGCACAGCGCTTTCTCATAAGAGCGTTGTGGGGATCCGAGCGTCCAGCTGGCGCTAGAACCAGGCATTTGCGGTCTTGCGAACCGGACCATGCGGTTTTCAGCCAACGGTCAAGTCACGAACATGCAGCTGCTACCAAGAAAGCTGAGAGGTCTGCCTGCCTTGCAGCGGAACCTCACCGATGTCATGGATGCGGGTGGGCGTCCAAAGTTTGAGGTGGCGGGATTTGCTGCACCAGCACCCGCCTCTCTATTTTAAACCTTGGGCGACCTCAGAGCACCTCCGCTCAGGATTTTAACTTAGCAAGTTTTGGCCTCACCTAGCGATGCGATAGTAGCGCCGAGTGTGCGCACAGTCGGGACCATATTCACGGTTGCACAAAGGACTGTTTGTCGAGATGGAGGTCACAGAGAGTTTCACGAAAAGTCCTGCACCGCCGCTGCCACCTCGCAACCCAAACCATCGATACTCACAACGGAAGCCTACTTCTGTCGTACCGAACAACACAGCCAAGCTCGTTCCGAAAGCTTTGTTCAGCAAAAGAAGTGGACTGCCGCCCTTGAACATACACATCGAAGTACAAGGAAATCCGGACTGGTCTTCGCGCCCTTCCTCACAATCATCCGGTCCTCCATCACCAACGACTTCATGCGAATCTTTTGCCTCATATGCATCGTCAGTATCTACAGTGTCCGGACCCAGCTATATTACCGAAAGACCAACGTCGCAAGCGTATTCATTTCCACCACCAGATGTTTGCAACTGGGGCAATGAGTGGGAACCGTCCTATACGCCGAAGCCCCGCTTGAGGAGAACGAAGACACCCAAGAAAGAGACACTAAGAGATCTGCGGGCAAAAGATAGCGACGTGTGCCTGCAGAGGGTATACGAGCAACAGCTCGAACTTTACTTGAACGGGGCTCTGTTTCCGCGGACGAAGTGGAAGGATGATTTGGTGTGTCTCGTGGAAGACTGAGCGACGATCCATGCGTAATGTTCAAAACTAATGTTGGTGAGGGTTCCGATGTGCCTTAGACCACCGAGGCATGATATTGATGAGTGCAGTGGGTATACATTTTTAAGGAGTATTTTGGAGTAACATTCGATGATACCAGGTCACTTTGTAGGGAGGACTTTGAGAGTATAAGGACTCTATGGATATATGTGCCCATGTGTTATCGTAAGGCAGTAATGCATTAATGTTGTGTATCTTACAGTTCAACCATAAATAACTTATTCTGCATATTATCAGCGCCATCGAGACAGAAGAAGCACTCTCATTGCTCTTACTTCGTTATCAAGCTACGAGCAAGGTTTGTTCCAATGACCCTCAACTCATCTACGCGATATCATCTAAGAGGCCTCTATATCAAGGATCCGTCTGGTTCGTCGCATCTAGCCTCGGACTCAATACAGATGTACAATAGCGTCAAGAAGCGGTGGCGTACGAGTTGCCTTGGCTGACATATGTCAAGCCCAGGGATGTGAGCTGCTACTGTCTAATTGATACTTCGAATGCGTGCCATATGTGTTCTACTTTCACGACAAATCCTCAATCTTGAACGCAAAACCATTAGCCTACAACGGACTTACACAAGTATACTGAATTACATCAACCATCTATATTCCCCATTCCTGTCTACCGTACTGAGAGCCTGCTCTTCTGCCTAGCTACCCACCTTCACTCATGCATCTTCACATTGGGCACCCCTCGTTCGATAGTATAACCAACCAAGATTTTTGATCCTGCTCGCTCGGATTTCTGACAGCATGCTGTGGAGACACAAGATTCCGAAGACGATTCGTTGTTAAATTGGGCGTAATCGTGAGCTTGGTATAATCCCTTGCGTCCATTCGCAGCCCCTCTACTACCAGACAGCCACACCCTACGTCCGACTGCGGACCAAATAACGGCTCGCCACCAGACTCCTGCACCGTCATTCTATGCAACCCCCACACCCGCGCGCCACAGCATGTGAGACGCCCAATCCGAGTCCAGATATCGGATAGATCCGGACCCGTCCCTTTCTCTTCCCGCGGCAAGATAGCGGATCCGCATACCTGGGGCGCGCCGAGTTTTGTGTGGTAGATGTTGTCGAAGACGCTCTGACGGTGCTGCATGTAACGAGCAACAACGGCGATGGTCATTGGGAGGATGAGGTGGGAATGTCAAGTCGATATCGCGATAGAGTAGTTGAATCGCGACAAGTTGGGCTTTCCATCGTGCCTCACAATGCTCCAAGTTGTCAAATGAATGCTCCAATGTAAGTATCCTATTGTTGTGCGACAGAGCTCGTTCCATCGTTTATCATGCACGACATCACTTGTGAAGCAATAAGAAATTGACGAACATGTAACACTGGTACTTAATTTTGCATCGTCTACGTTACGTCGAAGAACAAGCAAACTCGCTCATCATAATTGCTAAAAGGTGTCTGAGTGGATACAGGATGGTGCCAGAGAGGTGGTAGGGGGTATCGCAACTGAATATCCATCCGGACTTTTTTTCGGCATCCAAATCTGCCAGTCTATGTCCAACAAAAGATGAGCAGGCGCCGGGGTAGTGACCGAAAATGCAGTGAACTTGGCGAAAAGCGTGTGCCAAAATGCAAGAGAACCTCGAAGGTGATATTACAAGTGCGCGTTGTTCAGGCCGTTGGTGACGTGCTCAACACCGTTACCGTTGGCAAAAGGGTGATGACCGTTACCGGCAGGTTGAGTGACCGGGTAGGTCGTCTTCTCAGTCTCGTTGAAGGGATCATACATCCTCTCCTTGATGTACTGGTCGAGATTGTCGTCAGACATCTCACGGAGCTCGAGGGCGCGGTCAACGCCATTCTTCTGAGCAGCACGGATGACGCCACGTGTAACAGTAACGGAGACCTCGCGGATGCGGCGGATGTCAGGGTACAACCAGCCATCAGCGGTCTCCTGCTTGTTGAGCGAGGTGGAGAGGGACTCTGCCGAGGCGTAGATCATGTCCTGTGTGATGGAGGTGGCCTTGGAGATGATGGCAGCAAGGCCGATACCGGGAAACACATACATGTTGTTACCCTGGCCGGGCGTAAGCAGCTTGCCGTTGTGCTCCAGAGACGGGAAAGGAGATCCTGATGCAAACAAGCATCGGCCTTCGGTGTTGTGTACAGCTTCCTCAAAGTTGCACTCCGATTTGCTGGAAGGGTTGGACAGAGGGAAGATGATAGGTCTGTCATTGAGCTTGGCCATTTTCTGGAGGATATCCTTGTTGAACGCTCCGCCAATGGTGGAGAGACCCATAAGAATAGTGGGCTGGACGAAGTCGATGAGACGCGAGAGAGACTGGTATTGGCGGCCATTGTTGTCATCACGGGCGAAGTACACCTTGTGCTCGGCGAGCTTGTCGCCGCGGTCAAGGGTGACGAGACCGTTTGAATCGACGAACCAGAACTTCTTGCGAGCCTCTTCCTCGCTCACTCCTTCCTTGATGAAAAACTCAACAATCTGCTTAGCAACGCCAACACCGGCGCTGCCCGCTCCAAGGAAAATGGCGCGGTGATCCTTCGCCGGCACGCCCGACGCACGAACGGCGTTGATGAAGCCACCAACAATGACGGCGCCCGTTCCCTGCACATCATCGTTGAACATGCAGTACTTGTCTTGGTATCGCTCCAGAGCGGGGAAGGGATTCTTGAAGTCCTCAAACTGGATGACAATGCTGCACACGATCAGTTTCCGCATATGGAACGTCTCACAGGGTATGTCTACCTTGGCCATTTCTCGGTCAGCGCCGTCATGAGCTCATCGAGAAACTCCTTCTCCTCGGCGGCTGAGACCTTTGGCATTCTTGAACCCATGTACAGCGGGTCACTGCGGAGGGTCTCGTTGTTTGTACCCAGATCCAACGTCAAGGGCAGAGTACCAGAGGGCCTGATACCAGCGCAGGCAGTGTACAGAGCCAACTTGCCGACGGGAATGCCCATGCCGTTGACACCAAGGTCTCCCAGACCCAGAATTCTCGAGCCGTCGGTGAGAACGGTGATCTCGACGTCGTGCGGCCAATTGTCGAGGATCTCGCGGAGGTGGCCGCGGTCGTTCCATGACAGGTACATGCCCTCGGGCTGTGTCCAGATCTCGTGCCATCGTACGCAGGCCTCACCGACGGTGGGGGTGTAGATGAGAGGAGTCAATTCCTGGCCAATGGTTAGCGCATGAACCGACACCGAGGGAAGCAGGGCTGCTCACCTTGATATTTTCTGACAGCAGGCGGTAGAAAAGGTGGACGTTGGTGGCGCGGAGGTGGACCAGGTACTGGAACTTCTCAATGGGGGTGGTCTTCATGGCGAGCAGTCGGAGACCTGTTGGTGTTAGTCGTTGGCCAATGGCTGCTTCCCCAGTAGATATGCTCACATCTTTGCGCCTGCACTTGGTGGCTCTCGACTGCTGGCGGCGTCAGGCCGTAGGTCTTGAGGTACCGGCGGACCTCTGGCGGGTTGGCCATGTCATAGTCACCGCCGCTGTAGACATGATGAGCAAGTGAGCAGGAAGGGAAGCAGATGGAGGGACTCACGTGGTGCTGAGCTGCCTCGTGGCACTGGGCCTCTGTGTTTGGGCGGGAGACATGTTGGCAACGGTTGCTAGAAAGCGGTGGGGGGAGGACGAAGGGGAAGTTTTGGAAAAGCGAGAGGCCCGGGAGAGGGTAACGGCTTTAAAAGGATTTAATCTCAGCATTGACAGGCGCAGCGGGACGAGACAAGGGGAGGGAGGAGGTGTCCTATGGGCTGAGATGGGCTGACTGAGGGCGACAGAACCTATCGGAAGACGGCAAATGGCAGGGCAAGGAGTCAGCGGACGGGAGAATTGGAACCCTGGAGAGGAGAGCCGGGCGCACAGCTCTCTATTGCGCGCTCTTGTTACCAACAGCGTCCCAAGAAAATTCCCCAGTTAGGACGACTGCCGCCGGGGAAGCAGGCCTAGCGGGATGCAGCAACCCGGCACGGCTGCGTCTGAGGCGCAGGCATCGGAGCAGGTCGGGACCTAGCGTGCACCGTGTGGGGGAACGCTGTGGATAGCAGAGGCTCGTCCGCTGCCCAAGGACTCGTCTCGAAGCGCACGCGAGCCTTTGCGACTCAGGCTCGGGGGATCCGTCAGGCACCAGCGAGGACTCGACGACGGGCGTGCCCACCGAGCGGCCGCGGTGCTGTGCGACGGCATTGCGCGTCGCGAAAACACACGATGCCGCTGCTGCTGCCGCCGCCGCTGCTGGCATGGCGGTGCCGCGGGAAGACTGTCTCGGATGCGACGCGGTTTCAACGCAATCGCCCAAGCACGGAAGGATTGCATGGCGGCCTCCAGAAGCGCCAGCTTTGTAATGCGCCGTGTGCTTCATTCGTGGAGCTGCAGCCACGGCGTCCTCGTCCGAATCGTCGCACTGTAGACCACCTGCGCTGCACTCCGGCGGTGAGCACCGGCCCTGCTGCTACCGCCGTCGTGCGATTCTGCCGTGGAATCTGGCTGCTCTGCTCGACGAACCCTGACCGCTCGACAAACCCTGACTGCGTCGATCAACACACGGTGCCCGAGCCAAGCAGATGACCATCTGTCGAATTCCGGAGCGGCGGATGCGGGGAAAGCTTGACTCGGAGCCACAGTGGGTGCTGTTCTGGAATACGACCTTGTCTGGATAATTCCATGCTGCTGCCTTTGCACATACTAGCGCAACAACGCAGCACGGGTGAGAGCACGCGACCACACTCCGCCCGACAGCCATGGTACAAGACTGATGCTATCATCAGAGGTCGTGCTGTCAAGCCTTTCTGTGCGACCCTGGTGTCGTGCCAAGCGGTGGTGCACCGTCGTGGTCTCGCCATGCTTCTTCTTGGTGTTGACGTCTCCAGGGCTGCGTGGGGGTTTGCGCGCCACGGCTTGGCTTCCCCCAGCCACGGCGCCCATGACGTCGGCTACTGAAGCTCGCGCGTCACCATGAGCGCGTGCGGAGCTCCAGCAAGCAACGACTGCTGCTGCTCACGGCCCTGCTCATGTTCTCTCCCTCACAGTCAATCGCTCCCCGAGAACCCATAGCTTGCCATGTCGTCCTGCTTCGGATTCCGCAAGTCGCGTGCCGACGACCAGCGTCCGCTGCTGCCCCAGTACCGCCATGACACGGTCATGCAGCGCGAGCTTCACCAGAAGCTGCATTCGTACCAAATGGTCCGAGCCTTGGGTAGAGGGTATATGCCATCCAACGAGCAGGTCATCACCAACTTGCGAAGCTTATTGGCCGCCGACATTCTCAACCCCGACAACCCAGACCTCAGCGATTCCGGTCGACTGCTCGTCAAGTTCACCAAGCGCTGGCTGCACGAATTCATCGAGCTACTCCAGAACAAGAATAGTAGTGATCAGATACAGGACTTCCTTTGGTACTTATCTAAATCTAGGGTGTCTGTGGATGTCGACCATCTTACGCATCGGGCCGTCAGATCTAGAGCCAAGGCAGACATTGCCGCGGGTAGCTCGTACCCGTCCATCATACTGATACGTCTCCGCTGACATGCTCTAGCCTACAGCAGTCTGCAGACTGTTGGATCGCTACTGCTGACCAACTCCGATTTCCGCATCTTCCTCTCGGACCTCAACACGGTCGGTCGCGAAGTGTTCAAGGATACTGCTTTCACGCTGTCTGAGGTGGCTGAGGAGGCTGCAAGGCAAATCGAGCCATCTCAGACTGAACAGAAGACTCTCAAAGAGCCTGGTGCAGACTCAGGACCAGCACCTACAGCCGACGACCTGAATGGCGAAGTGGCAGAGGTTGCCAAGGTGGTTGGCTCTGGCACTGCACAAGTTGCAAAGGAGGCACAACACAGCTTAGCAGACAAGCTCAAGGGCGATGAGGGAGACTCGTTGCTCTATCGATTGAAGAAAACTGTCACGAATCTGCGCAAAAAGCGAGACTACTCTGACTCGGTTTCCACACTAGCTCTGCTGCTTCAGCGGTATGCCTTGGCCTATAGCCGCATGGCCGAAGATGCCATGGGCGCCACGCAGAAGGACGTCAGTACGAATGCTGCTACTGACAAGGCTGTGAAGAATATCTGGACTTTCATTAGCTCTTTCGGAGATGCGCAGGAATGGAAGAAGCTCGAGGATAGTTTTCACAAGGTCTTGGAGCACTCCCGAAAGGACCCAGAGTTCGAAGATCTACTGACTGACCTCGGAAACTCTCTGCAGAAACTTCTTACCGACCCTGACTTCTTCGAGCATGCTGACGAGAAGTTCCAAGAGCTCAGGAAGAAGTCAAAGGGCGTCGGAACAGAATCTTCCCTGCGCAAGGATATCGATCTGTTCTTCGATCAAGCACAGAGGACGTTCAATTCAGTGACCAAAGATCAGGACGTCGCGAAGCTCATCAAGACCACGACACAAATCTTCTACATTCTCTCGCCAAAATACCAATACACTAACGGCGAGCTCATTCAGGACGCCATCAATGTCTTCGTCCCCCTATTCATTCAAGCCATCCAATACATCCCGATCCCACGTCTCGAAGTATCGACCCCAGAAGTCGACCTCCTCCTTGAAAATCTCATCATCGAGCCCGGCAAAACCATCAACCACACCTCCTTCCTCCCCTTCCGCTTCCGTGTAGAGACCTACAATGACTTCGAGATTTGGAAAGCCCGCTTCCGCACCGCTTCAAAGGTAGACTCCAGGCTCACCATCAAGATCGACGGCCTGTCCCTCCGCGCCGAGGAGATCGGTTTCCTCATGCGCGCCCACAGCGGCCTTCTCCGCCTTGCAGACGAAGGTATCGCCTCTTTCGAGCTTGACGAGCGCGGCATAGACATCCACCTCGACGTCGAGATCGCGAAGGAGCGCCAGGAGCAGATACTCACACTCAACGCCGTCCGCGTCCATATCCACAAGTTGACATACACCCTGCGCAAATCAAAGTTCAGCCTCTTCGGCTGGCTCCTCAAGCCCCTACTGCGCCCCATCATCCGCAAAGTAATGGAGAAGCAACTCGCTACCGCCATTGCGGACGCCATTCACGCCGCCAACCGCGAGCTCCTCTTCGCACGGGAGCGTCTTAGAGCGACACGCATCTCCGACCCTGATGATCTGCGTACGTTCTTCAAGGCCGTGTTGACGAGGCTGACGCCAGAGGATGATCCCGATTTGTACACAAGAGTCGGAGTTGCTGCGCCTGGCAAGGGCGTCTTCAAGGGCAAGTACGCGCCTGGCAGTGTGGTTAAGCTGTGGGAGGAGGAAGGTAGGAGGGCGGGTGAGAGAATTGAGGACTGGGATGAGGGTGGGTGGAGGAACGACGTTTTCGATTTGCATGCTATGATGCTCTAAGTCTTGGGCGAGGGGTTCTTTGCTTTCGTGAGTCCCTTTTGGTAACACTGGTCCGTCTAGCATATATTTCCGGCTACAGGCGCTTAGCTGGGGTCTCTTTGGGCGCATCAAATCGGCCCTCTATTCTTCCTGTTCTTACGATGTCAACGCACATCGTCTTGAAGGAATCCTTGGTCTCACAATAACACTGTATATGATATCACTTACTTCTCTGTATGCGAACATGTTCTCTGTCTTCCCTCTTTTACGAGGTCTGCAAGATATGGAGACGGATGTTGTCCGTATAATCACAAAGGTATGGAGATTCGAAGAATGACGGAATGGTTCATGTAATGCAGCAACCGCAAAGCAGGAGCGCACTCTACTCGAATGCCCTGACGCCCAGCAATGCACCGGAATATATCCACTCGCTCGTCTGACGCCGGAAAATGCACATCAACGCTCCAAATTCGCCGCCGCTAAAGCAACAAAGCAGAAAAGCTTATAACTCAATAGTCAGTCCCAACCTCATGGTTTCTACCGACTTTCCCCCAACGCCCTTCAGCATTGCTAGCATCTGCAAATCCCGTACCTCCTCGTCGTCCATGTCGACTAAGCAGTTCACAATTGCATCTGCCTTTTTGGCACCCACACCTTTCAGCGCTTTGATCTGCGCGATGTCCTTTGTGTTGATGATCTTGAGCAGACGAGTGGTACGAGGTGTCTGATCCTCAGGGTTCGTGCAGTAAGCCGCACCGTCCTGGTCGCGGAAGATTGGCAGCTTCTTAGTCATGGACTTCGTCTTGCGTGCGGGCTTCTTGAACTTGAAGCTTGAGTCTGAGGCGTAGGCCTCGTCGTGATCGGAGCCATCAGGGGGTGCGAATTCATCATCGTCAGTTTCATCTCCAGAAACTAACTTCCTTTGCTTTAGGGGCAAAGGTGCCATCAAATTCGACGCCTGAACAGGTGCTGCATGTGTCATTGCAGACACAGCTTTTTGTCGACTACGAATGCTCTCTTCCAATTTAGCGATCTTTGTTTCCAGTCTGCTGTTGCCGGGGAAGTAAGGTAAAGCTAGCTGGAACATGCGAAGGGCGCTGACTTCTTCTCCACGTGTCAGGTGCTGCTTGCCCATGAGCAGAAACTGCAGTCCTGGTCCCGACTTGTCATCGTCCCGAGCTTCAACGCGGTGCTCTAAATCGTCCAATCGACGCTGTAGCTCTGCGGATAGAGCTGGCGCAGAGACTGCGGCATCTTGTAATGCCTTCTCCGCAAGCTTCTCATCTATTCGCTGAGATATCATCGCCTCAATAGATTCCTTGGTCATGGCGCTCTCGAGACCGCGCGCTCGCGACGTGCTATCGGCCGATCGGTATGTTTTTGTTGGTCGAGACGTGGAAGCACTGGACTCTGCAGCTCGTTTATGGGTGTCTACTCGCCGGATAGGTTGGTTCAGGGTAGCCAAGTTAGACCCACGCGTGCTAGGTTTGCGGGAATCTGAATACACAGAGAAAGCCTTGTTTGGCTTCTGTCCCTGCTTCTTCTTCTCCACCTCCTGCATATTCGCGTTATGCGCCGCAGCCAGTGGTCTGAGAGGTTGCCGCGCAATGGTAGCACCTCCGATGCTGCTTGTTGCAGCGAGAGGCTTTGTCATTGCTCGATAGATAGGGTCGTTCTCGACTTCGGACACTTCGATCTTCTTCGTCCGGGAGGCAAAGTTGAGGGATGCGAGGGTATCCAGGTGGTATGCTCGTGTGGGCGCTAGGTTGAGTATCATTACTGTGAGACCGCTGTTCTGTCCTAATGACAGAATTCGGGTCATCTTCGACTCGCGGTACGGTATCCGAGTTTGTTTCTTGTTGATAGCGTCGACGCATTGTGCTAGAACAAACAAGGACTTGTTGATTGCGGAGCTCTCGACCAGTCTCTCCTTGTTATTGTCTGTCCGTCTATTGTCTTCCGATCCCGCAAGATCTATGCAGGATGCTCGGCTGACTCGTATCGTATCTTCTGTGATTTGAGTGATCTTGACGCAAAGGATGGCGTGCGATCGCGATGAGTGCGCGTTGAGCTGAAAATAGTCAGGAATTTCCCTGGCAATCCTACGATGCATATCTCACCTTGGTTGCAGAAGTCGATCTGTTGACATTGGCCTGGTCGTATAGTTGTTCGAATTCCTTCAAAGTCGCGCACGGCTTCTCAGTCAAGCCTACTACAACAGTTTTGCCCTTGGAGCTGTCCCTGATGGGCAACCCAGAGGGTGTACGCTTCTCTGGAGGCTCGAACAGGTCGTACACCCGATCGCAATAGATTTCAAAGTATTCCAATGCAACCTCGACTTGTGTCGCACCTCCCGTATCCTTTTCTACCTTCTTACACCTTCGATATATGGCGCTCAGTAACCTGGGAATAACACCTCGATCCGCCAACGTCTTTCCGCCTCGCATCGTGTGTGTTTTGCCGGTACCAGTACATCCGTGCGCAAATATCGAGAGGTCGCTTCACTTTGTGTCAATTAAACGCGCGTTATTAGCAACTGCGTCGAGCTTACAAGCCATTGAAGAGGTGCTTCACGGTGGGAGAGACTAGTACGAAGATCAGTACCTGTCTTGCACATGAATTGGTGCAAGCGACTTACTCTCCGAATCGAACAATTCCTGCTGCGTGGCCTCCTGCTCATAGACCGAGGAGAATTGGAAGCTGAAGGATTCGCTGTCGGTTTTCGGGTTCGGAAGGCGAACGATGGTCGGTCGGTCTTTGGTGATGTCGTCTGTACTAGATTCGGCGGTGACAATGGTGTCTTTGTCGAGCTCGTGTTTGAGCAACGGCCGGATGCGCGCGACGACTCGTACACTCATCGCGAAGGTGAAGGATATGTGGAGGAGGAAAAGCTGCGAACAATGTCTAAGTCTACAGAGAAGAGATTGGCGTAACCACGCTGACGTCGAGCTCTGAATGCGTGGATGACCCTGGTGTGGGTCCGTGTTGATTTGTTCGTCGACTCCCGCGTTGCCTGGAGCAACAAGTCACCTGCACTAAGAGCCCCACGTGATTTTCCATGTCCAAGGTCCAATTCCAATGTTCATCGACGTCAGCGCCTAGAATTTGCACTCATTCTACATGCATTCTCTCATGAGAGTTTTCGATAGCCACGTTGCTGCTGTGGCATGTTCCGACCTGCATCAGTCCACGACCAGGGGGATAGACTGTCGTGAAGAGCTGGCGATGAGCTTCTGTGAAAGCGTTCGCCTGCGGCGCTACCGGCCATCGGAAAAGATGCAAGTTCGGCATCTTCGAAGGCTAGAACCAAGACCTATTCCTGGCATCGACGGGTATATAGTCGAGATGAAGACATCTGGGCGTGCCGCCCACGATGCCGGCTCCACACTGGCTCCACGCGTCTGATTGGCTCAGAAGGCTTCTGTGCCTGAAACACATGCGCTTTCCATCGAACGGCCACCACCACTCGGCCACTCATCTACGCTGAATTCCAGTACAACGTGGAAAATGGAGACTTTGGCGACGATACTGGTCCAGTGCCGCTGCGCCGTTGTACTAATGTCAAACAGCTAATAGAGCTTCAAAACCAGACGGCAGTCCAACGGTGACCCATCTGTCTCTTGTAATCTCGCGTCGAGAGCGCGTTTGACACGGTCGCGATCTTCTTTGTCTGTCCTTCTAGCACTTCGTGTGTTTGTCGATCATTCCTCTTTCTTAATTGTGTGCTTCCCTTAACCTCTGATATTCCCTCCTTTCTTTTCGCTCTTCCCAAGCGCGCGGCTTCTCCAGCGGTCTCCATCTTTTTGCCATCTTCACTTCAATAATCTACCTCATCTTCATAGGATGATTGCGTCTTTAGCAGTATGGCTGCTGGCAGCCTACCTTACTATCGTAATTGCTGGACCGTTACCGCATTTGCGACCACAATTGCCGTAAGTGTCTCGAACCCACCCACAGACTTAATGACTGATCTGCATAGGTCTCTACAATACCTCAACACCTCATCGACTTTGACTATTACTTCTTCGAACGACTCCAGAAGTACGTTATATTCATCCACATCAACATCATCGCCCGTACCTGCGTCTCAAGTTGTGGAAGCCAACACTGCAGTTGTGGTCGAGCCAATCGACCGCACTGTCTTCACCCGCACCGAACCTGCCATCACATTCGTAAATCCTAAAGGAGATCCCCTAGTCACGCAACCTGAGGAAACTGTTCTTTCGACGTCTTACATCACGAAGCCATCATCCACAAAAACACCGACTGTCAAAGCGTCGCCTAGAGCTTCGAGTGTGACAGCTTTGGAAACATCTACGGGTACCCGGAACTTAGATGTCCCGGTGGAGTCTAAATCACGAACTACTCCAGAGCCACCCATGCACTTGTCCGACAATGTTACTGCAAGCGTGACTACATCTCAAAGGCCGATGTTCACTTATGAGCCAGAAGACATAACCGCTACTGGAGATACTTCACGACCAACGATCACCATCACCATTTCCAGCTTCACTACGCTCACTAAAGACTCAAACGGTACCGTGTCACAGACATCAAAATCATCTGCCATAGGGGATACAAGTGTGATTACCATGCCGACATCACTTCAAAGCACGATCGCCCCCTCGTCCATTTCCGAAAACCAGTCAGTCATATCGACTGGAGTGGAGTTGCCCTCATCAGCTGGACGCACTATCTTCGTGACCAGCACCGAATACACCACCCTATATCCTTCTTCAAGATCATCACAGGTAGTGCCCCTACCATCCTCTCAGTCGCTGTCGTCTGCAGCAGCCTCCGACCCAGCAATCCCGATCCTCACTCGTCCGTCTCCGCAATCTTCAACGATATCCGCCACAGCTGAGACACCAAGCTCTTCGACACCACCTGAATTACCCACAAGCTCGCTCTCGCCGCCGCCTATCACAGTGATCACTCCGTCGACGGCAAAATCATCTGAGCAGGCAGCGTCAAGCACAACAGAATCTCCGCCGCCATCCAAGACAATATCAGCAAGCTCCCAGATGGCCGACCAACCCAGTAGCGGTGGCGGGGGCTTCGCCTACCCAACACAGCAACCAGCCGCAAGCTCCGATGCAGTCTCTACCTCGCCTTCGGCAACCCCGTCGAGTGTCGAAGCATCTTCAGCTTCCACGTCCCCCAATGGGTTCACCAGTCCTCTTGTAGATTCGAGTACACCATTAGCGTCCACTCTTGCACCAACATCGCCTCCGTCATCTTCGGCAGAATCCTCACCAGTACAATCAGCAACATCGAGTGGACCCTTAGTCGTTGTACCGATCGATACAAGTCAGATCTTTACGGTGACAGAGACTATCACTACTACGACGACAGAGAAGGAAACCGTGACCGTGACCGCCACTGTGACGGCTTAGCTGGAAGAAAACGAGAGCTTGGAGGCACAATGACTGGTAGCTTGATTTGCCCTGATACCCATAGTTGCGGAAGAGAGTAGATGTGTGTAATGCTTAGTTGCTAGACAACAACCGGATATCGAAATTTTGCATTGGGTGGCTGCTTAGACAGACCTTGTGGGAACGCCTGCTATAATGTACACATTTCCAGGCCTTCAACGACAACTGCAGGGAGCCCCTAGGAGACAAGAACATCAATGGTCATAAAGTTAGTTCCTTATGCTCGAGGGTCGCACCGACCTCGTGGAAACCTACTCAGCCTTCGCCGCGGCAATCTTCAGCACCTCCCCCACTCTTTGCTTGAAGTTTTTCGGATCTTTCCGAACACTCTGCCATATCTCGCCATGCCGGGGCTCACTCCCAATGCAACGCTCGATAACCTCTGCCTTCTTCTCCTCGGTTCCATGCTGCTCTAAGAACTTGTAGTACCATACCCAACCATCGCCAAAGTCCGGATCCAGCACCACCGCCTTCGTGAACCACGTCGCGGCCTTATCCAGACGGCGTTCAGCCCAGAAGATACGAGCTACTACGATGAAAAGTTGGGGGTCCTTCTCTACCTTCTTGATAGCCTCAAGGGCTCGCGGCTTGCGCTGTGTGCGTGATTCCAGGTGCATGATTTTCTCAGCCCACAGCAGGCCAGATGCTGGGCACTCCTGAAGGGCAGCGGCCATAATCTTCTGGGCAGCGGGTATGTTGTTTTGGCGGCGCTCAAGGCGTACGGCTTCGACGAGAAGAGTGTCGGTCTTAGGATTCTGCTGGCGACCGCGGTCAAGGGTGGAACGTGCTTTTACGGTGGCACCTTGCTTTTCTTGTATGCGGGAAAGAAGAATATAGAGTGTTGGCGACTTGGGTGCGGCGCGGGTGCCAATTGAGTATGCTTCTTGAGCCTCCTTTAGCTTGGAAAGGGATTCATAAATCTGGCCTTTGATGGCGTGAAGTTTCCATGACCCGGGCCACGTTTGTAAGCCTTGATTGCAGATATCTAGAGCATCCTCGTATGCACCGAGCTGGCGCTCTAAGACTGCAGCTTTCATAAAGATGCGGTCTGTAGCAGCCGTCTGTCGCGCAATCTGGAGGAAGATGCGGGCCTGCTCATAGTTCTCGTCGTCGACTTCGAAATCAACGGCACGGGTATATAGGTTTTCGTTGCCAGGAAGTTGTTCGAAACTCCGTCCGAGCACTTTCCTAGCACCCTCACCATCGCCAGATGCATACATCTCTCGTGCATACAGCAGCCACAATGATTCCGAGCTCGGGCATGCATTGACTGCACGCTCAAGAATCTGTAGCAAAGCTTCTGTAGAGCCGTGATGCTTTTCCAAGTCAGCAGATGCATGCCAGACAGTGGTGCTAGTTGGAAACTTGGACACAGCATTGGCGAGGATGGCCCTTGCAGTTTCGTATCGTCCTCGAGCTTGTGTAGTCTTCGCATCCTCCAGCCAGACGTCCCTCCTGTCATCATCTTCATCGAGTTTCCACCCAATGGTAGCCTTGATGATAGCACCAGCCGTTACTATGTCGCACTCTTCTTCGCATATCTCGGCTTGCGTTATCCAGTCTTCCCTACTCGGCATAGCGTTCTCCTTGATGAGGGCTTTGACTGCCCGCTCCATGATCTTGTCGCATAGATTAACCTTGCCAAGCTCTTCCTGTAGACGACATGCATGCACCCAGATAGCCCAACTCGTAGGTATAGCCTTACGAGCTGCATTCAAGATCTGTTGAGCCTCTTCTGGTCCGCTCACACGTGCGTAAGACACCCATAGCTCTTCCGACAGCTTGACAGTATCCGTAGCCTTAGCAAAGAGGAGCTTGACGCTCTCGATGTCTTCAGTGTCGTTGATAAGGATCTTCCACAATTCTACGGATTGTGGATTGTGATCCAAAGCTTGCCTAGTGACTTTTTTACGTGCAGCCGGCGTCTGTTCAAGGTCGATTGCAGCGATCCACAACTTGATGGCTTTGGGATTTTGCTTAATGCCCGAAGCCGCTATGATTTTCGCATTGTGTACATTCTCCTTGTTCAGGCGAATGGCTTCTTCCCACACGACAATAGACTTTGGACACATGTCGCATCCCTTCTGTATGATCTTCTTGGCCGTGTGAATCTTGCCGGCGACCTCTTCCAAACGAGCGAGGGCGACATAACCAGGCCCATTGTGTACGTTCGTCTTAACGGCAGACTCCAAAAGGACACGCGCACGATTAATGTCTTCCACTGGCACGTCTTCTCCCATAGCCTGCTTCTTGTCCAAGGCAGTTATGTAGCCGCGCGGATCCACCGATGTCGCCGTTCCAGACATCGTCGCAGTTTGTGTACCTGCTCCATTTGAGCCTGAATGTGCTGCCGAGTCGAGTCGCACCTGAAGGGCGGACTTCTGTGCAGCACCGATGGATGCAAAGTTGGTAATTGTGCCTCCACCATCATCTGTCGATATGGATGTTTGGAGCTCGCCTCCAGAATGCGCAGCCTGGATGACGCTGTCGGGTACTGCATATGACCGCGCATTCGCCATGCGCGCCTCTCGCGCACGCTTTGCTTTGCCTGTCATATCTCCTACTTCGGGCAGCGCCGCCCATTCTTCCTCTGATACGTTTCCGAGCGCTCGTTTCAGGTCGGCGAACTGTAGTTGAATCTTCGGATTATTCTTCTCGTAATCGTCGCGTTCTTTCTTTTCGCGGGCTTCCCTAGACGTCGGACAACGGTCGGTATCTGTTCGTCCCAAGAAAAAAGATGAACATTTGAACGGACTATATTCAAAGAGAATGGGGAGAGGGTAGGAAAAACAGGAAATCGGGGGTACTAACCTTCTTACGCGCCGCCGCTTGTCCATTTTCTCGTCTACGTCTTGATATATGCGGTCTGCTTCATCGTCGTCCTTGTCGTAATTCATGCCACTAGAAAAAAGCCCAACCTCGTTATCGGGATCCTGAAAGCGCTCTTCGTCTTCATCCTCCTCGGGCTTCTTCTCAACGACGCCATAGGCTGATGGAGCTGCCTGGCCTAATGAAGCTGCGCGCTTCGCGAGCATTTCCTTCATTTGTTCCTCAGAAGGCCCCTCGCGCGCGGGACCAAGATCACTGCGCGTCGTGAAGCCCGTTGCGCCACGCCCAAGACCAGCGACATAGTTCTCGGGCGCGGGCATCGACAGGAAATCCCGTCGGCCGCTCATCGTGGGCAAGCGTTGTGTGGCGTAGCCTCAGTGGGTGGGATGTCTTGGGTTCGATATTACGACGTCGGAGTCATGGGGAATTTGTTGTTAGGAGTGGTATGAAGTTGGCGCAGAAAGTTGTAGGCGACAAGCGCGATCAACATGGTCACGTGTTTTGATACGGTGCTAACCTGAAAGGAGCACTACACTAGTGTAGTGTCAAACGTTACTTCGTTCACGCACCGTTGCGGTTATATCTTCGAATGGTGCATCGACATCAGAGGCTTGACATTCATACAAGAACTTCTAATCGCTTTCGGCAAATTTATCCAGGGGACCGTTTGCAGCAAAGCAAAATTCGACTCTCGCAAGTGTGTATGACAGGTGTTGGGGATCATTAATCAAGACGTAGTCAATATATAATCACAGAACGCCTTCTACAGATTGCTACCGGTATCTCGCTAATCATAAGTCTGTATATGCTCATCCACATCGCATAACCACCCTTTCAGATATCCAAACCCAAACACCAACCGGAATACGGAGAGTTATATACCAGACTACCACGTACATGTTCATATTCATACTGCACATAACCTTATGCCGTTCCCGCCGAGACCGGTGCTTTCCCATTTGTCGTTACCTTTGAATTCGCCACGGGCTGGGGTATTGGAGGCACCGGGGGTACTCCAGGAGACGTTGGTGCACTTCGAGAAGGTAGTTCTGTTGCTTTAAAATCCTTTATACTGTGGGAAGGGTCAGAAAAAGCGCTTACACTGGGGCAAGAACTCTTACCTCCTGGCTTTCCGTATCTTCCCAAACCACTTCTTCAGTCCTCTCTTCTTTCCTGTATCGTCTTCGTCTGATCTGACCACACTGCTCCGCTGACTAACAGGACTCACCGGGCTCTGCTCGATCCCGTTTCCATCGACGCTCAACTCTGTTTCGGTGTCCTCATCTTCGTCGTTCATGAGCGGTGGCGCCCACCTCTCCACGTCCCCATTGACTACCACGAACCACCCTACCTTCTCTCCGGGTGCGACTTTGTCACGCAGCTCCACGAGCGCACTCCATGTGTCGCTCTGCACGCCCACACCGCGCACCTCGTCAATGTCGACGCCCAACTTTATCTCCGTCACCTGGTCGCACACGTACGCGTATGGCTGATCTTTCGTGTGTTCATCGTCGGGATCATACTGCTCGATGAAGCGCAGAGAGGGCAGATGCGCAAGTTGTTCTGGAAACTGTTTGTGAAAGTTCTGAGTGAGTTGTGCGGTGGTCGCCGGGGCCATGAGCCATTCGGCGGCGCAGTCTTCGAGATTTTCGAGGATAATGTGGATGCGAATGGCAACGCGGGGCCAGCGGAAGCCATGGACGAGCCAGGTGGGCATTGCAAAAGTGGCGGACCCTACGCTTAGGTATGGGAGGAGGTACAGGAGGCTCTCTTTCGAAGGAAGCGGTGATTCAGCAGGCCTGCGACGTGAGGTTCAGCTTGACAGAGGGCGTATATTGCTTCTGCGCGGGCGGTCGATGTGAGTCGATGGCCTTTCCAGTCTTAGGTTTTGCGCGTGACACGCTCTTTCAGCAAATCTTTGCGCGGAAGTCGTACATGGTCGCTATGCGCCGGGAGCCCACGTGGTGAGGTATGACAATTGGAGCCCAGGGTTTCGAATGTCTTCGTTCCGGCACGTCCCCGCAGCCGTCGTAGCTGAGGTGATGTGATACGCGCTCGATACGGAAGGTCACTGCACAACAAGCTCAAGCGAGGACCAGCGAACTATGGCAAGGCCGTACGGCTACCTGAGCGGCGCGCGCGACAACACACACTTTATAGAGGGCGTGGCTGGACCGTGGTGGTGCATTGAGCTCCAAAGCTTGAATGGGGAGCTTCGTTCGTGGAACGGTCCGAGAGTGCGTCACGCCAATGCGGGATGCCAATCGTTCCTGCGCATCCCTGCTACCTCAGCTGCCTTCACTGCGGGGAAGCTCCCCAACGGCCATCCGCCTTCGCTATCATTATCAGCGATGGGATAGCAGTCGCCGTTCGAGCCGTACCCTGCTGCTGCTGCTGCACGGCAGCTTGCCAACACTCTTCAAGATGCCTCTGTAAGCGGATGCTTGCTCTTCCTGAACTTCATCGCTGACAACTATCTAGCCACCTGCTTGGCAAGAAGTCCTGGAACGTCTATAATGCCGACAACATCGCCCGCGTAAAGGCTGACGAGGCTGCCGCCGCTGCCCAAGAAGCCGCCGAGGAGCAGCGCATCCAAGAAATCGATGCCGCACAACGAGCTGCCATCCTTCGAGGCCGGACACCACCGCCGCTGCGGGACGAGGAGAGACTGCACACTGACGAGACGAGGAAGGCTGCACGCAAAGACGGACACGAGAGGAAGAGAAGGAAATTGGCTGGTGAAGACGACACCGACCGAGACATCCGTCTTGCAATTTCTATCAGAGGTAGCGGCGGCGATGGAGCCGAAGACTCTGATACCCATCTGGTGAAGCTGAGGAAACCTACTAGCGACGCTCCATTGATTGACCATGCCGGCAACATCAATCTGTTCCCTGTCGACGTGAGGGAGCAAAGGAAGCGCGAGAAGAATGAGGAAGCCGAAAGAGAAAAGCGCAAGAAGGAGCGAGCGTTAGAGGACCAGTACAGGATGCGTTTCTCAAACGCAGCCGGTCGGGGAGGCTTAGAAAAACAACCCTGGTATGCTTCGAGAAGCAGCAAGAATTCTCCCGATGACGAGTCTGAAGAGAAGGCAACCGCGTTCCCAGACCTGGAAGATAAGACTGTATGGGGCAACAAGGATCCCCTACGAAGGCAGAGGGAGCTTGCACGGAGAGCTTCGAATGATCCTTTCGCCTTGATGCAACGCGCCCAAGTTCAGCTTAAGAAGTCGAAAGGTGACAAGAAAAGATGGGCAGCTGAGCGTGATCGCGAGTTGATGGAACTGAGAGCGGCACAGGAAAGGTATTCACGCCGGGAGAAGCATGGAAAGAGGAGAAAGCGCGTGGATGATGAGCATGATGACCGTGTGGATCGTGAGGCTCGCGACGGAGGACGGTCTTCATCGCGTGGGCACCGACGTGAGCGGAAGCGAAGTCGCAGCGGTGATGAGGATGGAAGACATCGTGATCACATCGATCACCCAATTCGTCATCGACGCGAGCCAAGAACTTCTGATCGGGAGGATAGGTAGCACAGTAGTGGACGAGATATGAAATATTGATCGAGCAGCCAGCCAGCCAAGTCAAGGTCGCGAATCATACGTGCCTACTTATCAGCTTCGTTTTGATGCTCGAGCTTCAAATGTTCTCGATCCAAGTTGGCCATCACGACCCAGTCAATGTGACACTCACGTCTCATGGATGTCCACTTGACTGAAGTTTGGACAATACTCACAATCTTCATGTGCTCTCGTCTTTTAGGCGTAACTAAAGGATACTTTTTTGGTTCAATCCAGTACATGGACGCTAAGTTCTATGACCTTCCTCTACTAGGCGTAGAACCTTGTTCCGAAAACACTAGTTACGGGGCAACACCTTCCACACAGTGAGGCGATAGAATGGTTAGCGCACTTCAAGTTGCCCTAGCTTCGTGCGTCATCCGCTGAAGCTTCAGTAACCCTGCATTTCCGCAGCCCCACCGAGGGGTATCTGTATGCTTTGCCCGGTGAATACGGCGAGAAACCGGCGAAGTTAGAAAGCCTGGGTGACGTTTCAACGAAGCATATTAGTTGCAAGCTTCACTCCCTCACCACTCTCGCTGCTACATACTCTTTCCCCTTTCTGTGTATCTTCAACGAACTTTAAAATTTATCATGGCTTCTAATCCTCCCGGACGCTGCTGTGCTGTAGGCGTGAAACACGAGGGTCAGGCGCAGGGCGAGATGAAAAAGATTGGTGATGGTGGGAAGCTCACTCCGTTGCGAGAAGAACAAAATAAGCTGATGCGAGCAGTGCGAACGTACTTTGCCTACCCTGAAGACAAGAGCACGCAGAACGCCATTGTGATCTTCACCGATATTTTCGGAATTGATCTCAATAATGTCCAGCTGTACATGCTACCCCGTCCAGCAGTATTCCTTCATCATGACTGACACCCGTAGTGTTGCCGATCAGTTCGCGGCCAACGGCTACTTCACCGTGGTTCCCGATCTCTTCAATGGCAACGTAGTTCCCGCCAACCCCCCAGCTGATTTCGATCTAATGAAGTGGGTTCAAAACGAGATGCCGCACGTGCCCAAGGTGGATCCCATTGCCGAAGCCACCATCAAGCACCTGCGCGGCGAGCTGGGCGTAAAGAGGCTCGGTGGTGTTGGCTATTGCTTTGGCGGAAAATATGTGTGCCGATGGTTGAAGGAGGGAAAACTCGACGTGGGGTATACAGCACATCCCAGCTTTGTTGACAAGGAAGAGCTAGAGGGTATCAAGGGACCGCTGAGCATTGCCGCGGCCGGTAAGCTGTTTCTTGTCATCAGTGCCTCGGTCTTCTCATGAGTTTGGGAAAGACAGCGGCGACTAACAATAGTACATTGTAGAGCCCAGCTAACCGCAAGAACAGAGACTGACAACGTCTTCCCCGCCGGACTGCGTCGCGAGTCTGAGGATATCCTCCAGAAGCTGAAGGTACCTTACCAAATCAACCTCTTCTCCGACGTCGAGCACGGGTTTGCGGTACGTGCGGACCTTTCAATCAAGCCAGCGAGATTCGCGAAGGAGCAAGCGTTCGTCCAGGCCGTGGCTTGGTTCGACGAGTACCTGAAGCAATAGAATAGTTGGGGAGTTGCGTTGAGTGAGACCGGTGGACCGTGTGCTCGGTAGCCAGCACTGATGAAAGACGAGCCGCTTTCCCATTGTTATCCCGGTGCTCACACTGTCATGCGTCGTTCACGTCCCGTGTCATCCCCATATGTTACAGCGTCCCTCCAACTCTTCTTATCAAGATCATCTTCGACGTTCCTCTCTTCCATCTCGTTATACGCAGACCCTGATTGCTCTCCGGTCGTATCTGGCACCTTGTCTTTCATGTTTTCCGATCGCCGTTCCTCACTCCACTTTGTCCCGCCTCTTCGTCTCCCAATCATGTTTTTCAGCCCCTTCACCATCCACACAGCACCACAAATCCACAGGTAGATAAAGTAAAACAACGCCCAGATCAGGTAAGAGACAAGGATGAACTCGACGAACGTCTCAACGGCGAACCAGGTATTCGGACGGAGAGTCATTAGCTTTCTAGGGTGACGCGAGGAGAAGTAGGTGTTGTTCGCAGAGAGAGGCGTGGGAGCGGGTGGCGGCATGATGTAGACAGCGGCTATGCGTGATGCGTGGAGCGTCGATTTGGATATGCAGCCGTGTCATCGGGCGGTTTGAATTAGGTGAATCAATGATATGTGGCAGCATGGACTTGCTAGCAAGCTGAGGCGTCATGCGGACCGCACGGAGACATGAACCGTAAGAGAGAGCTGGGACTGCAAGTCGTGCTTGCCTCCTGAACGTTTGAGCAACCTAACATACGTTTGTCACGACGCTCCCTCCTACCACGTCTTGATATATTTCGCTCAGAGTTCGCATTCAGCTCTTCTTTCATGGAAAGTGACACACCCCGGTGAAGGTCACATGTGCATTAGTAGGCATTCAAATGTTCCTAGTTGGCAAGTTGCATCCGACTGTTGTACACTATAAAACATTCTGGTTTGTTCATCATATTTCGCTTTAGCTACGAGTACAAACATAACAGCTGTGCCTGGAAAAGGCTATATACACAGCAAGAAGCAGTCGCACAGCGCCACATGGGGTTAGCCAATAACCTAGGGCCGTCAAATTTCACAAGTGTTATTAGCGTTCCCTGGTGCTTATCGATGGCGCTAGGCATGGAAGCGCGTTAGGGACGTGCTCGCGTCTCGCGTTCAAGGCAAGTGCGTCCCGGCCAACTCATGCCCATCGCACGTCGCCTCCTCGCTAATCTTCTTTTCTACAATAGTTCCGCTGTAGTTGTTGTTCTGCTTCAACATGGCGTCCCGACCAGAGCTGAAAGAAGAAGACGAAACTAGCTTTTGTAAATTCTTCCGCAACCTGCCACAAAAGGATGACACCATACGCATATTCGACCGAGGAGATTACTACAGCTCCCACGGCGAAGATGCGAAGTTCATTGCCAATCATGCAAGTATTAGCCCTCAGCTTATGAATATCGTGCTGACATGACCAGGTCTACCGCACGACTGCCGTTATCCGTAAGCTGGGCCGCGACCCGGGCCTCGAATCCGTGACTATGACCGTTACTGTCTTCCGAAACTTCCTCCGGGACTCGCTTTTCAGACTGGGTAAACGAATTGAGATATGGCAATCGTCCGGAAGGATGGCGTGGAAAATAGCGAAACAGGCTTCGCCCGGCAATTTGCAGGATATCGAGGAAGAGCTCGGTGGACAAGTCGAGAATGCGCCCATAATGCTGGCTGTCAAGGTGTCGGCGAAGGCAGGTGAAGCACGGAATGTGGGTGTCTGCTTCGCTGATGCCAGCGTGCGAGAACTTGGCGTGACCGAATTCCTGGATAATGATCTCTACTCGAATTTTGAATCGCTCCTCATTCAGCTCGGTGTGAAGGAATGTCTCATTCAGGCCGATACCTCCAAGAAAGATGTAGAGCTCAACAAGATCCGGACAATTGCCGACAACTGTGGCTGCGCAATAGCCGAGCGAGGCGTAGCTGACTTTGGTACCAAAGATATCGACCAGGATCTTCCGCGGTTGCTCAAGGATGAGCATGCTGCCGGTACCCTCCCTCAGACTGATCTGAAGCTAGCCATGGGCGCAGCGGCAGCTTTGATTAAATATCTAGGTGTAATGGCCGACTCCTCGAATTTCGGGCAATATCAGCTATACCAGCATGATCTGTCGCAGTACATGAAGCTCGACTCGGCGGCACTGAAAGCGCTGAACCTCATGCCTGGGCCTCGAGATGGTGCAAAGACGATGAGTTTGTATGGGCTGCTGAATCACTGCAAAACGCCAACTGGTAGTCGGTTGCTGGCGCAATGGCTCAAACAACCGCTCATGAATGTCGCCGACATTGAGCGACGACAACAGCTTGTCGAAGCGTTTGTCAACGACACTGAGTTGAGGCAAACTTTGCAAGAAGAACACCTCCGCGCTATACCCGACCTCTACCGACTGGCGAAGAAGTTTCAACGCAAGATTGCGAACTTGGAAGATGTTGTGCGGACATATCAGGTTGTCATACGATTGCCGGGCTTCATCCAAGCGTTTGAGTCCGTAATGGACGAGCAATATCGAGATCCGTTGGACGCAGAATACACGAACAAGCTACGAGAGTACGATGCGTCGTTTGCCAAGCTACAAGAAATGGTGGAGACGACGGTCGACTTGGACGCTCTCGACAATCACGAGTTTATTATCAAGTCCGAGTTTGACGAAGGACTCGGCACCATTCGTAAGCGTCTCGACAAGCTCAAACGAGAGATGAATGAAGAGCATATGAGCGTGGGTCGTGACCTGAATCAGGACACCGAAAAGAAACTGTTTCTAGAGAACCATCGTGTGCACGGTTGGTGCTTCAGGCTGACTCGCAACGAAGCCGGGTGCATACGAAATAAGAAGCAGTACCAGGAATGCTCAACACAGAAAAACGGCGTTTACTTCACCACATCATCATTGCAAGCCAAGCGAAGAGAGTTCGATCAGCTATCAGAGACGTATAACCGGACACAGAGCGGCTTGGTGAACGAGGTTGTGACGGTAGCATCTTCGTACATTCCAGTGGTCGAGAAATTGGCAGCAGTTCTTGCGCATCTAGATGTTGTTGTGGCGTTCGCACACGTTTCAGTCCACGCTCCCACGTCTTATACACGGCCTACGATGCATCCACGGGGCACCGGCAATACCACATTGAGAGAGGCTCGCCATCCGTGTTTGGAGATGCAGGATGACGTATCGTTTATTACGAATGATGTTAGCCTTGTGCGCGATTCGAGCGAATTCTGCATCATAACAGGTCCGAACATGGGTGGTAAATCGACGTACATCCGACAAATTGGTGTCATCGCGCTCATGGCTCAGATTGGCTGCTTTGTTCCAGCGTCTGAGGCAGAGCTTACCATTTTCGATTGCATCCTCGCTCGTGTCGGTGCAAGCGACAGCCAAATCAAGGGCGTCTCGACGTTCATGGCAGAGATGTTAGAGACAGCCAACATTTTGAAGTCCGCTACGAAAGAATCCCTCATCATTATCGATGAGCTCGGCCGTGGAACGAGCACATACGATGGGTTCGGTCTTGCATGGGCCATTTCTGAGTACATCGTCAAGGAAATTGGCGCCTTCGCTCTTTTCGCCACGCACTTCCACGAACTCACTGCGCTGGTCAAGACGTATCCGCAAGTCCAGAATCTCCACGTCGTAGCTCACATCTCCCAGGGCACAGAAGAATCTGGCAGTGGTGTGCAAAAGAAGCGTGAGGTGACGCTTCTCTACAAGGTAGAGGAAGGCGTCTGCGATCAGTCTTTCGGCATTCACGTCGCTGAGCTTGTTCGCTTCCCACAAAAGGTCATCAACATGGCGAAGCGGAAGGCAGACGAGCTGGAAGACTTCTCGGGCAAGCACGAGGAGGGCTTCGTGCAGGCGAGTAAAGAGGAAGTCGAAGAGGGCAGCAGACTACTGAAAAGGGTGCTGTTGACTTGGAAAGAAGAAGTGGAAAGTAAGGGCCTGACGAAGACGCAGCAGGTTGAGAGGATGAGGGAGCTGGTACTAGGAGAGGTTGCTCTGATGAATAATGCTTTCTTCAAGAGCATGCAGGCGTTGTAAATCACAGCGCAGTGCGGACTCGCGATGGTTATGGCGCCCCAAAAAAATGCTAGAAAAGGGCAGGCATGTGTACTGTTGTTTTAAGATACCACTTTATGAATGTATTATATCCGCGGTTGACTTTCCACCGCTTTGCGACATAGTCATATAATAGATGGTCGAGTGCAAGCTAGTTTCACGATGAAGTAAGAAATCCGAGAAAGGAATCTAATTCACGGACACGACTGTATGGTAAATAAGGAATGTGAAAGAGTACTGAGTACATCCGAGGTGCCGCATGCGCCACGATTTGACCCCGCTGTCGCCGCGCCCTGAGACATCCCACTTCAAGCTGCGCTGCTCCCGCTACGCATCCACGCAGCGGCTGCCCCAACTCAGCCAAATACCCATACTGTGAAGCGCATTGCGCAAGAGATCAGCATGGCTCCCGCACAATCGCTCGTCGTATGTTCTGTTGACTCCCTTAGGTTTCCTGGAGCTGACGGCCGCAGAACAAGCTCAAAGTGCAGCTCAAGCTGTCCATATCCCGCCTGCGCATGGTTCAGCAAAAGGACTCCGCAAAAGCTAAGCAGCAACGGCGGGAAATGGCGCAGCTTCTTGAGGTACGTTGCTCCTTGTTGCACTTCTCTCCTCCCATAGCTGACCATGCCGCTGTAGGCTGGCAAGCTCCAGTCGGCGCGCATACGCGTCGAGAACATCATCCGCTCCGACATCACCACCGAACTTCACGAGATGCTCGAACTTTACTGCGAGCTGCTCCTTGCGCGTTCGCAGCTTCTCGACCCTCCTTCGTCCCCTTCGTCACCCGCGAACACAATACCGCTAGACCCCGCGCTCGAGGAGGCTGTAAGGTCTATCATTTATGCCGCGCCGCGCACAGAAATCAAGGAGCTACATGCTGTCAGGGCACTACTGGTGGAAAAGTTCGGTAAAGATGTTGCTCTCGCGAGTATGGAGGGAGAGGGCGTAGCGGATCGGGTGGAGAGGAAGCTGCGGGTGGAGACGCCCAAGACGGAGCTCGTCGACGCGTACCTCAGCGAGATCGCGCGCTTCTACGGCGTGCCTTTTGGGGAACCGGAGCCTGCGCAGGATGACGACGAAGATGACGACGAACCGTCCGGCGGTGTCGCCGATGAGAACCCCAAAGAGCTCGAGCCTGCGTTAGGAGCCATCCCGAAAGCGAGCAGGAGAGAGGACGAGGAAGAGGAGCTGGTCAAGGCCATCCCGCCCAAGAAGTTTGGTCCGCAAAGTCCGCTGCGGGTCGTGCCGCCAAGTCCAAGTACGGACAATGTGGCGCCCAAGTTGAAGTTACCGGGAGCGGCGGCAGCGAAGCTGAATGCGTCAAAGGTGGAGGGGAGAAAACCGGCAGCAAAGAAGGAGGACAGCCTAGGGAAGATTCCGGATGTGGACGAGCTGGCGAAGAGATTTGCGGCGCTGAAGCGGTGATCTGGTAAGGTTGCATTTCGGCTGCATGGCGTTGGTCGGCGTTATGGTAACACAGCTTTTGTCAAACTAGCTTTGACGGAAGTAGGGGACGCTGGTCGTTGTACCAAGGGCCCACTCCTCTCGAATTTTCCAATTTCCATCGATCAATTTCAACATTCGGACGACCCGGTCCGCCCTCGTGTAGCACCGTCCAGTCACGCCAGTGCATACCATTCAGCTCACCAGGCTCTTTATCATACTAGGGCACTCTGTACAGTCTCTCAAAGCCAGGGCATTACGCGAAAACATCTCCAATGGAGGTTTTGGCAGTGCTCAGTGTTGTGGTCAATCACGACTAATCCGTTTTCTCATAGTAGCGTACTATTGTTGACCACTGACGTCAACTAGCCGGTGAACATGGGGGCCAAAGCTTAACTGCCACGCGAGATCTAAGCACGCGACTCGACCCCAATTTCAACTACCCGAAGGCCAATGACATCCAAGATGCAAGTGGAACTTCATTCACGTGAACACTACTCAGCCTTGGCTCTTTACTTTACTGCTATGATGTCACGCCCCCTCTTTGGCTAGCAGAACGCGAATATGGGGTCCGAATCACCTTCTAGGAGCTCCCTAAAATTACCCCTTGCGTACTACCATTTCTGGCGATATACTAGCCAAGCTTTTAGGCCTTATTTGCCAGCCTAGATCTTCCGATGATCAACCCCCTGACCTCGTCTATAGGTTGAGGGCGGATTCAACATGCTATTCACATGTGGCGGAAATGTTCAGCTCCTTCTCGTAGCGTGTAACAGGAGGGTTTTAACGCACAGAATCGGCACTAGTATGGATGTGTGTTGATACCATAGGAACAAGAGCGCACATCCTCATTGTATAGAGACCATCGAGATCCAGAAGGCACACTACAAGGGTTGTGATATTCGGTCAGGTATAAGTAAACAGTACGTTCTCTCCACCAGGATCGGATCGAGCGGCCGAAGTCCCTCCCTCCGTGATGCTTCCTCACCAAGCAGATGTTTCTTGGGTTTCTTCCTGTCTTCATCCGGTGCTTTACATTTATGGTGGCATCGTTCCCAAACAATCAATCCGCGAGCCTGGCTAGCCACTGTCCCTCAAGATGGTTTGCGCCATATCCGCTATATCCAGTTCGATTTCTTTCGGTTCTTCCCAGTTAACATCCCGGCCAAGTCTGATCTTGCGCTTGCAGGTGTCTGCAACGGTTTGAAAACCATCCAGTTGACCCGTCGTGTTCAAGGCGTGACTCCATTTCACGTGCAGCATCCTGAGTTGCAACGACTCAAATAATATCATTCGGTACTTGTGGAGTGGACTTGAGGAGGCAGCGCAAGAGGCACTTGAGGCGCTCAGTGCTTGGTCACAGTCAAACTTCGCTCAGCAGAAACAGAGTGTGATTAGCGTCTATCTATAGCATCACAAGGCTGAGGGTAGAATACACTTACTCTTGAACATGGTGGCGAACAGAAAAGTTTTCGACACGATGTATTTGAAATTTCGGTTATCTTCAACAGCTTGACACTTTTGCGTCATGGCTATTTTCTAGAATAAGCCGGCCATTGGTCTCCAGATTGGCGCTCAATTCTTCCGGTCTATCACTTCTTAGACATTCGAGATAAAGCAGCGGCCTGATACTCAGTAACAATTTTTAAACTTAATCATACCAAAGACGCCCCCACCCTATCACAAGCGTGCTAAGGCGTTCACACGCAGATACGGACTAAAGTTACTTCTTATCAACTACTTGCCCAGATGTGCTTTCATTCACAGGGTGCCGTGTCATACTTTATCTTTATTTCTCTCATTTAAAGGTCCTATGTGATATCGATGCTCCGTCAATGATACATGTATTACCATCATGTGATGGTTTATCCAAACACGCGACGGCTTTACCACAGAAGCCCTAAGTTTCCACAGGCTATCATCACGCGGCAGCAACGTCTACGAGGTCGATATGACTGCCAGAGAGAACACATCGGTGCATTACAAAGCTTCGTATACCACATTTCAGATATATGACCTTTTTATATTCGGTGTTACATCCTATTAACGGTGACTGTTGCTTCTATGACTGGTCTATTTACAGTGTAATCTTTGAGCACTATCTCTTTCGAGTTTCAAGTGCAATGTCTCAATGCTTGAATAGGGAACTATCCCTCGTCCTCCATTAGAAGAAACTATCGTGTAATATATCTAAAAGGTGTTTCTTCCGTGGAAAGGTGGCATAAGAAGTTATGGTGAAGTGGGTTATCAAATCAGGCTAGTAAGACCACTCGCGAATTATCATTTACTTATCAATGCTTTATAAAAGCTCCTACCTCACCTTATTATAGCTCCAGGTACCTCTTTTACAATTCTTCTGCCAACGCTATATGCTATGGGAGGCGCTTGTTAGGCCATCAAGCTCAGGCCCTTACTTTAGCGTTTAACAGGTCTAAAAATGTATGGAATCTAGCTCATGATTGGGTTCCTATGTTACATAGACTAGTTAAAATTGTAATTAAAAGGTACCTAGAGCTATACAAAGCAGGCGAGGAACCTTTGTAATCGACTACATCTGTCGTGAACTTTATCATTACGAAATATACTCATCACCCACGCTTACAAATTTGCACACTCGTCGAGACTTCTGCCAATCAGAGCAGCACCACGTACTTCATCTCACTTCAAGCCCGCGGCATCATGCCCTCTCCTTGCCCTCCTCTGCGACCCTCAAATCCACGCAATGGCCGCACTTGTTATGCCAGCAGGACCTGCAAATACCGCCAATGACGTCAAAGTAGTTTTCTCCGGATTGGCACCTGCAACACTTCCATCGTGGGACCTTCTGTAACCAGAGGGGAGGATATGCGCTAATGACGGTGGAGCGTACTGGTGGCATGAGTACCGAGTGATAGAGCGGATATAGGTTAAGAGATGCGCTGTACTTTGTGTTGTATTTGGGAAATAGGATTAGTCAGTTTGTCGCTATGTGGTGGTGGACCGTTACCGCAGAAGACGGGCGCTATTAATAGTCGTGTTCACGCGTGAAGGTCGCATCCTGTAGTACGACTTCAAGGTGTATCTGGATCATTCACCAAAGTCTCTGACCACATATCTTACCGATGTATAAACCCAAGAAGGGCAAGGAAGTCATAGCTCTGGAGGCTGGCGCTTGTGGTTATCAACGTGCAAAAAGTGGACGATCGCATACAAGCAAAGAAATCTTGCGTGCTGACACAATCCCCTTGGTCTTCTGATTGATCTTCCATATTTGTGCGCATCAAAAGTGGGAGGTGATGAATAAGGTGTTTGGTAAGTAGCCACGTACAAGGAACTCTGGAAGTAAAATGGTAACGACAGTGTAGCGTGTAGCCCGCAGCTAGGCCCGACCCTTCCAGCGCCATCACCTCCCACTTCCGACCCTTCGTATCCCATCTCCCCTCTATGCATGTGTTATGCGTGGTGCTGCCTCTTTCTGGGGCAGCCCAATGCATTTGTCCTGGCTTGTGTTCAAGTACGTCTTCCTAGTGCAACCAGGCTCGCTGTACCTGTTTCTCAAACTCTGTTAGCAATCTCTCGGGAAACCATCCACACGAGCTTTCTTGAGGATACGACGCGCGTCGTAATCCTGCAACTCTTATCGCTCTGGAAGTGGAGCGCAGTTCCAATATCGCACGCGTGGCAGCAGCCGTTCCCGTGGTTTTCCTCGAAGTTGCCGCTGCAGTTGGTCACCACGATGGTGGAGGTGAAAAGGGCGAGGAGAAGGAGGGTGGAAACAATCTGCATCTTAATTGTTGTCGAGTTTGACTGAAACTCGAAAAGAGTTAAACGAATGTAAAGAGTGTGATGTAGTGAAGCTTTGGTTGTTGATGCTGAGTGGATGCTGTTCTCAAACAGCAGCAGAAGAGATCCCGATGGTCTTATAGCTTTTCATAACTCCTCAGGCGCTCAACTTTGTCAACGTTTCTGCGCCTCCTGATCCCCTCACTCATCTCCACCGCACGGTCGAGGACCAGGACCTTTCGGCTTACAGGCGCGACTAACCTTTCGAGCCCAAAGGTAAGGTAAGGCAGTCGGACTTTTTCTCGGGCTGCATGCCCATTTCGCAGCGGCAAGGGCCGTCCTCGGTGTTTTATTAGACGTAGAAGGCTACGCAGCCATGCAATGTCGCGAATAGCTGACCTCGCGTTCGTGAGGTCGCATTCTGAGATCCGTGTATGCTCTGTTCTACCAGGTCGAGCGGCACGCCTTGATACTTTGTAGGGTCTATGTATCTAATCATAGATACAAATAAGAAAATGGAGATCATGCATCATTGCTACCGCGAGTTGTAGGGTGGTCACTCAGCCTTGCCTGTTCTAATCAGCTACCATTGTGTACATGGTACACTGCTACCGGAAGCCAAGCCAAGTATTTCAGTGGATCCCCAGCCCTATAGAGACCAGCTACTGTCGGCCGAGATAGATTTCTCGACTTCGGTGATACTTTTGCAGACTGGTGGGGAGAGCGGGCGGAGTGATTTGCCACGTCCTGGCAAATGTGGAGACGCGCGCTTGCTCTTGCACCGAAAGCATGATACCTATAGAGAAATTTGATTGCAGGTCTCCCGGGAGACCTTACGACACTACATATATGTCGAGCCAAACGGCGCTGCAACTGTACAGCGGGCTTTAGGGTCGATCTGTATCAGCTATAGCATCAAAATTCAAAAACTTCAGGTACCATGTACAGCAAGCGCACAGAATCTACTGTGCCGGTAAAGCCTGCGCTCACTACACTTTCAAATCGGTGATAAAGCTATCTTAGATCGACTGCTGCGTTTCGACCAGCATTTGAATAGTAGCGGTTCATTTGACTAGACATGGCAGCGTATTTACAAGCCGCCACAGCACATCGCTTCTATCGACGACCCCTTCCTTTCCAGTACTGTTCACGCTGCTTTCAACACAGCACAACTACTACGTTCCTCGTTACGCTTTCCTAGTCTCGCCGACGATCACAATAAAACGCCTATGCTTGATGCGATCCATTGTGCTATGCCATGCCCTTTCGCTAAGTAACGCCAAAAATATATCCTCTCGAGAGTATGCTTGTACCTCAAATTGTCCGTCCTCTTTCGCGATGCCAACCGTTTCATGCCCAGTAAATGCGACCCGACGGAGAAGACAAGTAGGCAAGCAATGAAAAGAAATCTGAGCGAGCACGACTGGGCCGAAAGGAAAACTCCAGCGTAAAAACATTGCCAGGTACAAGACCTCAACGAAAGACCGCAAGGTCATGTGCCTCCTCAGCAAACGGGAAGAGAGAACGAGGGCCAGGTCATCAGGCATTAGTAGCTGACTAATATAACAAACACCTTTCGCTGAAACGTTACGGAAAGTTTCAGAAACAAACAAGCCCGTCTTCGTAAGAGTCCATCTGTACCATGTTACAGGCCTACAAAAAAAGGCGCAGAATGCAAAGTGGGAAGAAAATTCGTAAGCGGCGGTCGAGCCGGGGTATGCGGTCCGTCAGGCTTGCGGAGCGAGACGGCGTACCGTACAAGTCTATGGGTTTGGTCGTGAATCCGTGTCCGTGTGTATGGGGGTATCTTGTTTTGTTTTCGATTTCAAGTGGGCGTCGATTCTTGCTAAATTGGGGACCAAAGGGAAGTAGCCGCGCTTATTGGGCGTTCCAATCCAGAAGGGGAAGCATTCTGCGATCGAAACGTCCCACTGGCGCTGATATTACAGGTAAAGATGACGAATCCCTCTTTGCCTTGATACCTTCTGAATCGATCATTTTCAATTTCTTCTTCTCGGCATCGGGATCGTAACTATACGTGGCGGTGACCGAGACCTTATGAACGTGAGTGCTGAGAGGGAGCTCGTATTTGAACGTGCCCCGCACGATGAGATCGAAGGGATACTGCAGGACTTCCTCCCATCGTTCGGTTCCCCCCGCTTCAGTCTTGTTGCCAGGCTTTGAGAGGCGAATCTCTCCAACAGATTCCACTTGGCGATGATTGAAAAATGTACCGTCGAATGTGAGTGGCGAATCGAAATGGAAGATGCGACCAAGCGACATGGTCCGTGGTTCTTCAATTGGATCTGTGCCTTCGTCAACGCCAGCGGTGCTTGAGCCCTCGTCAATTTTGATCGCTGATGGCTGGACCGGTAACCATCCATCTTCGTTCTGTGGTCGGCCATTACCGTGCTCGCGCCACCATTTGTCAGAGCCCACATGCTTGCTTTTGGCGAACATAATGACATCCATATCTGACACAGTAATTCCTACGATGTTCGGGTTCACCGCACCAACCACAAGGTCCATGATTATCTCTTCTTGACTAGCCACAACATTCTGGATCTCGCGTATCTTAAGATCAGTTAATTGCTTGGTGGAGGCAAAGACAACGCCGACCGCAGTGAAGATGACAACTAGAATGATGATCGACGCGACTAGACACCCAGCGAAGCGTCGGCACCAATTCCCTTCTCCACGGCGATTGCGACGTTCGAGCTGGCGTAGCGTGGCACTGTTTGGTCGTCCATGGCGTGATGTGCGCGCGCGTGGGCTCCGCGTCGATATCAGTGGTGTCCGCTCATCATCGGCGGCGTTCTCAGTGTCAATATCGTAGGTTGACAATTCTCCATGCTTTTTTGTGCCATTACCGTTACCGCTCCCGTTGGCCACGTTGAAGGTCTGGAAGCGCGGACTGTTTGGCTGTGACAGATGCCGTGACGAAGGAGCACGGGCGCGCGAAGACCCCACGAGTGAGGAGTCACTGTCCATCACGAGGTGATGCAGAGCTCCTCGTCCTTGACCATGTCGTCCAATATGATGGTGGTGACGGCTGCCGTTCGTCCTGCCTGAACCGAGTCGTACAGTGCCGTCGCTGCGCTCCCCATCGTAATCTCCATTAGCGTTATTGTACGGATTCGGGAACTTCATGCTGGGCTTCTTGTCTGGGTTCTTGTGCTCGTTCCTGATGGCGAGCCTAGGATCAACCAGGCTTGCAATGGAGGTCATGCTAGGCGTACGCGAATGGTGGTGCCGGCTGCGGTGCGGTTGTTGTTCAGGAGGGTTCGACTCATAAATAAAGGTGGCCTCAGAGTCCGAGGAGTCAGCCTCGTTGACCTCACTGGCCACCTTTTGCTCAAATACATCTGCCTTGGAGGACGCTTTTCGAAGCCTCGAGTTAGCATATGGATAGAAATATAGGAAAGAGGGAGTGTGAGCACTCAGTCTTCGCGTCATCTCAGGGCTCGGAGGCGACATGGTCAACATGGACCTGTCGCTCGAGCAGCATGAGACGGGACTGCCGAGGGGAGACACCGTTGCCGGGCAAGGCCCAGTCTCCGGTCTGCTCGGGTGGTGATGATGAAGAACAATGGGCGACCTACCGGTGCCTGAGTTGATAGAGGGCGCTTTTCGCTTTGGCGGCTTGCGCTCTTTCCTGGGGCGTATTGTCTCGTTGCTAGGCTTCAAACGAAGGCTGCCATCGCCACGCCCCGAAGTGGAGCGGTCCTGATTGCCAATCGTCGTCTGTGCGACCGACGGCACTGTCTCGGTCTCGACTGTCATGTTTCGTAACGGGGCGTCGGTGCGCGATTTCACCGCGTGTAGCGACGAGAACGAGGGTTTGGAGGTTGGGGCGTTCGGCCGCTGCGTCGAAACGGACCGCTGCTCCTGCAACCTTGCCTTGTGTCGGACGCCGCCGTCGCTGCCGTTTTCGACATTTTTCGAGATTCTCGCGCTAAGATCTTCGGTAACCTTGGACGACGTGACGTCATTGTTATGGTCTTCGTCGGCCGTGGTGGACGCGACTGAGCTAGAGAGCAGGCTGTGGCGGGTTAGCACGGTGGACAAGGTTTACGGCAAGCTTTCATTATGACATGTAGTCGCGGGCGGGGCTGGCCGTGCGGGGAAGGAACCTCACCTGTGTGCATCGTGACCGTCCTCGCCGGGCGTCGTAGGTACGCTGGACTCCTGGACAGTCTCGAGTTTGGGCGCGGCACCGCTGGCTCCTCTGCCAGACGGCTTCATGCCCAGGTGTGCTTCTTCGGGGTCGCTGCCCACGACGTCATCCCTGGCTGGGATGCGAGAGGCCGGGCCAGGCGACGAGCTCTGGACGATGATGGACGGCGGCGCGGCAGGCTCCGTCTTCTTGTGCTGCTGAGGGGTGCGCAGCGAGTTTTTGCGTGACCGAGAGCGTTCCGAGGGCGGGGGAGACTTCAGCCTGGGGGAGACGGGCCAGTGGGGAGTGTTGTCTCCGGAATTGGGCCCCGAGGTCGACTTGGAGGGCCTGGGAACGCGCGAAGGCTCCTGGGTTGCAGCGGCCGGCGGCAGCTGGGGAATGTTTGCAGACGAGAGGGCGCGCTGGATGGCCGCGGCAGAGGGGACGGTGGTGCTGGGACCGGCCAGGCTTGAGGCTCGGTTGGGGCTCACGTCGTTGCTGCTCTTGCGCGAGGGACGCGCAGACTTGGGTTGCTGCGAGTCTGCGCGCTGCGAGTGGCGTGCAGGCGACGAGTTGCGCGAGGACATGGGCGAGTTGGCGGCCGACTGCGAGCCCGACACGTTCAGCGAGCGGGCGCCGTTGTTGGAGTGGTGTCGCATGGGGGCAGGCCCGTTCTCGGCTGGCGCAGGTGCAGGAGTCGAGGGCGTAGGCGTGGGCGAGGGCGTGGGCGTCGATGTTGACGTGGGCGTGGTGCTGGTCGACGCAGGCTCGGCCGTCTCGGGCGAGCCGGTCAGAGAGCGGAACGAGTCGTCGTGGGAGTCTGTCATGGCGGCGGATCGCCTGCTATTGGCATGTCGCGAGGCAAGCTTCGCCTCTGGCAACGTGAAGCGTGGGTGCACTGGAGGCCCGCGAATAGTTGTGCACGCAGCAGCCGAGCCGAGCAAGGCGGTCAAGTGTCAAATTGCAGCAGCAGGGCCCGCACACAACGCGGCGCGCCGTCGTTGGCTGAGCACGGTGCCGAGGGAGATTCGCCGGCGAGGCAGAGACCGTGTGGCATTTGCTGGCGGGAGCGTGGGCGGCGAGGGAGAGGTGGATGCAGGATGCAGGATGGTGCCGACGGTGGACGGGACCGCGACGGGACGAAAGGTGCATGTGTGGTCCGGCGCTGACGGGACGGGCCTGGCATCCAGGAACACTGCCAGCGCAGCACAAGGACGACGTCAGCTGAGCGCTGCTGCGGATGGATAAATAATGTCCACTGCCGCTCTCGACGGGGCTGCGCATGCGCTCGTCCGGAGAGGTGCCACGCATCCAGGGCCTGCATCAGAGCAACACGTGTGCCGTCACCCGTTGTGCTCACCATCACACCCCAGAGTCTCCCCAGACCCAATACCTGTTCGTCCAGCTGCTCGCGGGGACATGATCCTGCCGCCGTCTTCAGCCTTCGGCCTGTGTATGCCTGCCCATCTCGACACCTCGACGGGAGATGGACGCGTTCCCGAGCACAGAATGCAGATCACATGCAGGTGACGATGTGAAGACTTGGGTGCTGTGTGCGCTCCTGTTCGACGCGACTCCATTCTAGAGCCCAGCAGATTGGTTCACAGCCTTTTCATCCCGTTCCTGCGTCGAAACTCTTAGCTTCCCGTGGCTGCGTTCAGTCGGGATCCACCTCCCATGGGTGTAAATGCATGTCTTTTGCGCATGCTGGATTGCTTTTGTGACAGCGCGCATAGTCATGTTATCCTGTGCCATCACAGATGGGCCCGCGAGCCGAAAGCCGACCTCGGGCTCTCCAAGACGCCCATGCACATGCTTATACTCGTACACAGAGCTTCCATTATCCTCCCGTTATTGGAGACACGTACGGCTGCGCCTGCTGGAGTCGGTCTCGACAGGAGGTCGGTTTGCTGCCCCACTACTCTGGGCTCACTTCTCTAAGCTTCTTCACATATTCTACTATGTATACGTAGCTATCTCGTGAAAAGCGTCGGCGGATTCAAGGACCACGGCGGACTGTCGGCCAAGTCCCCCTACGTGATCTCGAGCGTAGGAAGCTGTGGCTCTTCGCTAAATCAACATAACACGACTAGAGTCTTCGAATTGATATTCTTGAGCAAGGCCATCCGGTTTCCAGTCGAAATCCATCCAGTGAACATGGCTATACATCTCGCATCGTGAACGTTGGCCTTGTACAGGTCTGATGGCGGTGGATGCTCCATATGCGGCCCCGGCTGCTCCGTATCAACCTATACGTCATCCCTTCCGCCTGACCTCCACCGCAGCACCTCACCACCAAGTATCAACGCCACGATACACGCAAGCTATCTCGCCTCCGCCACGGCCCAAAACACACATCTTCATCCCGGCATTCTCCACCCACCTCCTCATCGCAAGCAAAATGTCGGGACAGAACCCTTACAACAACCAACCCCCTCACTACGGCACAGATAACCAAAATCCCTACTCCAACCCATGGGGCTCAGAATCCCAGGGCCAGAATCCTTCCCAGTCATATAATGCGCCTGCTCAATCCCAAGATCACAATCCGCTCCACACTCAAGATCAAGCCCAGAGCAATCCTTTCGCCCGGGAACAGTCTTACAATCCTCCCTCTCAGGCCCCTCCGGAACAGCAACACGAGCAGTACGCCCCACCCCCTGGACTCCCGCCGCGCCGTGCAGGCACCAACTCCGAGCAAGCCCTGCCTCAAGGCCAGGACCGCTCACATCAGGTTGAGGTAATGCAGAGCTACGAGATGTCGCGGCCGCAAACGGAAGATGAGCAGAACCAGGCGATTCTCGAGAGGGAGTTCCCAAAAATTGATGGGAGCTTGATTGCAGCGATTTATGGTGACTCCGGGAGTTTAAGCGCCACAAGGGAGATGTTACAGGAGCTGAGTACGACCGAGGGGCAGGGATCGTGAGAGGTTGAGAAGTTGACGAAATGTACGAAGACGTCAATGTGCATCCGATGAAAGAAGAGTACGGTTCATGTCCAGAAGAGGCGAACAGGTTGTTCCTTTCTTGATAGCCGTAGGCTGCCAGCATCAGATCAACTGCACCTGCACAATAATATCACGTGCTAATGGTTCATCGTACACCGAATGTCACCTTGCCTATTCTCTCCTTTCTACCGTATCCCTATCAGTCTAGCCGTACTACAGAAGTATACATGAGAATCATCAAACCGTGGTTCCGTGTGATCCAATTCTTTACAGGACCAATGAAGATAAAAGGTGCGGACTGTTGGGCGCACTCGTAACGCAAGGTCTCAAGGAACACTTCGCATCTGTGCAATAACGGGAGATTTTCTATGCAGTGCACTCCACCGTGATCGAGTGTAGTGAACAGTATCAAGTCTTTCTTGCACGTAGCACTTGTTTCAGGATGTAGCGTCTATACACGTGGCTTGGACAAGATCCATACAGGACACTGAGTTGTTTGGTGGTGACGCGGTGGCTCGGAGCTAGTCGTGAAACCCCTAGTCGCGAAGGTTCGCACCCCGTAATTCGTATAAATCCAGCAAACCCCTATCATGTCATACCATCTACATCGTTCATATTGCCAGTTAGGGCAAGCATTAAATGTTGTTCGCTCGAGCAACCTGCTTCTAGTTTAGCCTACTTGAGTACCTCGCGCTTGTACAACAAGAGCAGATACAAAAGAAGCGATATCCAGTCAGCACACCAGAGTGTGGATGTTCCAGCCTTGCAGTCGCCGATTGCTTTTCGTAGGCACGACAGATGGAAGGACAAATGTAAGGACAGATGGAGAATCCAATAACCGTAGTTGGCTCCCGGGCCGAGCAAAGTCAATCAACGCGGATCCCTTCGTCGACAGGTGACAAGTCGCTGTTTGAACGACCAACCTTCCTCTTACAGAAGGGAGCAGAGCAAGCGCAAGAGCACAAATCTAGAAGTCGCAGAGCCGCCTTACGGAGGAATCCAACCAACCACTGACACCGGCCACCGGATATGAACTCTGTCCTCGTCCCTTAAGATACCCCAAATGCCCGCGAGCACGTGCGTCGTCCAGCCTTTCATATACCAGAAGCCTTCCATGTCATTCATTAGCAAGGCGAAGTGTGCATACACGACGAGCGGCACAGGGTCATGTCTCTGCAGGGCCTCCAAGAACTCCTCTTCCATGCGGTACAGCCACGCAAAGACGACATGATACTCGCCATCCACGCCATCATAGCGGTTCGAATAGCATTCGCGAAGCACCTGGTGCGCGTAGACGTTGTGAGAAAGCTGCGAGGGCTCGCTGGCATACTGGACGTAATCGCGCAGCTCAGCAAGTGGCTCTTCGTAGGGCAGTGTGCCGGCAATTTTGGGAAGCGCTTTGCCTTTTGCGCGCAAGTTGGGCGCCATAGAGCGCGTGAAGTTGTCGTAACCCATGGACTCGAAGGTAGTGCGGATGCCGCGGAACATGACAAGCCACTCTGAGCGCCCATTCTCTCCAAAGGCAAGGTACTCTCCAGGTTGAGGCCCTCGTGCCCATGTTATGAAGCAGATGAGCTGGACGGAGAGGAGGACAGCGTCACAGTTATCTTGGTGCAGATGGGACAATTCGGCAGTCACTGTGGGAAGTGCAGTCGTATAGTGGTGATCAGCTAGAGCGAGATAGTCATCTCGACGTTGCGGCCGAAAGCGTGACAGATGCGTTGCTGTGATGGCCAGGATGAGATGGAGAGTATGATGGTGTGAAAGCGCGATCTCGGTTACCTGCGTCCGCCAGAAGATGGTGCCCACGGTTTGGGCGGAGAGTGTGGCGCTGGTGGAGGTGGTCCAGTGGTACATGAGCTCTACATCGTCGACATTGAGTGTCCTGAACAGACCGGCCGCTGCTGGTGGGTGGGTAGGACTTGATGCTGCTGCTGTCGCCGCCGCCGCCCTGGTCGACGACGATGGCACTACCGAGGGCAGATAGTCGCAGCGCACTTGTCGATTCCTACAATTTGTGCATTCCGGCTTCCGCTCATCGCACTACAGCATGGTTAGCGTGCGGCGCGACTCGGGCAGAACACTGTTACCTTGATTCGCCGTACTTTGCAATTCTCTACGATGCGGAGAGTCAGAGTCAGTGTCAGGCTTACAAGTTGGAAGATTGTGTAAAAGCAGGTGTCTTAGCTGGGCGTCAGTCTTTGACAACTTCAAACTTGGGAGGAAAGCCTGAAGATTTCAACAACGGCAGCACTAGAGACACCCGCTTTGTACCGTGGCATTGCTCACTGCAGCCGAATCGCGACTTGCGATGCGCCCGTCTCTTGATTGCCTTGTCCCCGGCGCCCTTCGCAGGGCTATCTTCTGCGGAGAGCTGACGTGCAACGCCGTCGCTCCCATCCGGCGAGTCGGCGGGCTCGCTAGGTGTTGGCAGGGCGTCCGACATGGACGTGACGAGAAATGGCGATGGGATACGAGGAGTACGGATACGCAGCGGTGGCGCGTATTAGAAGCCTGTCGTCCAATTGCTACGGAGCGAGCGCGCTGTTCCCGAAACCGTAGTGCTTGCTTGTTTACTTCGGAGCAGGGCGCGCAAAAGCGTATTCGCGTGCCTCGTGTGCGCGGCCCGACTAACCAACGCAAACGCTAGTCAACGATCCAATTTGGAACCATGGAAGCAAATATATGTAGTCGAAAGGTCTCCAGCAAGCACGGCTTTTCTTGGATCCTTTCGACCTTCACTGCTTCCCATTACCTACTCCGTAATCGCCATGGTCTCCAAACAAGCCATCTCCACCACCCGTACCACATCCTCAACCCCGACCAAGACTTCACAAAACAATGCCGCACCAAAGTCGACGTTCTGCACCGCCGTGTACGCCCGCCTTGACAAGCCTCTCAACAGCCTCTTCCGCCTCGGCATACGCATCGTCCAATTTGTCTTTTCGCTCGGCTCCGGCATATCCTACGCCATAGAACTCGCGCATGGACATACTAGCCCGCCTTTCATCTATTCACAGGTTGTGTTCGCACTCACTATGATCACGCTGGTCATCGATGCTTTGACGTTGCGTTCCTATCGCCTGATTTTCATCGTGGAGTCGACTATATGCGTGCTCTGGCTCGCGCTCTTTGGTGTCTTCTACGAAATATATTTGAACGGCAAAGCATTCGAGATGTAGTACGACGACGTGAACTTAGGGCGTGTCAAAAGAGCCGTGTGGCTAGATTTGATCAACTTTCTCTTGTGGTTAGCGAGCGCCGTGTTCTCGACCGTAATGTGTTGCTCGGGTGTCAAGGCTGCCATAAAGGGGAGGCTTGAGGGGAGGAGAGCGAAGACTCTTAGGAATAGCGGAACTAGCGACACCTGCGTAGAAGCGGGTGTGTTACACGAAGAACTGAGAGGTAATAGAGAGGAACGGTTGCCAATGTATGAAGAAATTGTTACGGCTGCGAGAGCGGGAAGAAGAGTCTAGCGGCTTATCAAGAGCACGTCACGCTGCCAATCTTGGACAAATACATCATTCGGATGGTTGGACCATTGTCTTTCTCAAAAACGATAGGAAGTCGCAGGCCGACTATGCTTTAGTCGCGACCTCTTGGTGGTGGCATGATTCGCGAGCTCGTTGGTACCAAAATTATTTCCTTGTTAGTGACATCACGAAAGGTTTTCGTCTTAACCTAGCTTAACCTAGCTTAAACATGCGGGAACGTACACGAATATGTATAAATATATATAAAAGTATTAAAGGTATATATAGCTGTATATTTCTAGCTATACTATTATTACGAACTAGTAGTAGTATACGCTATATAAGGCTAGTATAGTTATATAATAGTAGGGTATATATAGCCTATAAGCTTATAGATTAGTTTAGTAGTAATTTATTTATCTATATCTATCTAGATACTATAAATAAATATAGCCGGCGTTTTATTTATTTTATAACTTACTAGTTACCCTTTTATTATAAGGGATTTCTATATACCTAACCTAGGCCAGTCTTATAGGTATTTAGTAGACAAGAGTAAATAAGTAATAAGGGGGGGTAAGAGAATATTCTAATCTTACTTTAGGAGGTAAGGTAATAACTATATAAGAAGACTAATAGATCTTAGTATAGAAGATATACTTTAATTTTAATTATAGAATTTAACTATAAAGAATAGAAAATACTTAGAAACTATTTTAGACTATATACTATTCTTCTTAGTTCTTATAATTCCTAGCTAATCTTTACTTCTAAGGAGTATAGCTCTAACTTAGAAGTAGATTTTTTACTTCTATTAAGTTTTCTTACTTTTAGGGTCCTATTATCTTAGTAAGATTATAGTTATATATTTACTAACTTAACCTCCCTAGTTCCTTAGTATTTAATAATATATTAGCCCCTAGCCCTATTAGCTCTACCTTATTAGTTATCTTTATCTATCTATTATTATTCTATAAAATTATAATATTATCCCCCCCCTTAAGGTTATTATTCTAATATTCTATAGTTATTCTATAATCTCTAGTAGTATAGTTATAGAGTATAAAGGTAGGCACTTCCTTTAGTACTTTTATTATATTATAATTCTTTTCTAGCTTCCCTAACTATACCTAAGGTACTAAAATAATTATTAACTAAATAGCACTATACTTATACTAATAAGGTACGCTTATATAGCCTAGAGATACTAGTAAAGTATAAGTATTATATAAAGAAGAAGATTCTAAAGTATTTTATAGATACTTTATTAGGGGAGTATACTATATATATTACTATCTATATAAAGTGTAGCCTCTAGGTTCTAGAGAAAGAGTAGAAGCGTATTTAGTCTAAAAAATATTAAAAAAAGCTTATACTTCTTTCTATAGAGGCTAAGGTTACTTATTTTTATTTTAAAATTACTTAGGTAGAGAAAGAGAAGTAAGCCTTTACTATATATAATACTTATATAGCTAATATAATAGAGAGTTTTAAAGGGGAAACCTTAAAAAGTAAAATTACTAATACTTTATTTACTCTACTACTATTTTTACCCTTAACTAACCTAGACTAATTATAGGCTAATTCTTTCTTCTTTAACCTTTCTAGTTTTTTATCTAATTTTCCCTTACTAGGTCTTAATATTTATCCTTCTAGTAGTTCTAGAAGTCCCCTAGTAATTTCTTATAGTTTATAAGGTTCTTTTCTAGTTTCTATATATTATACTATTCTAGCTACCCTTTCTATTTAACTAGGTATCTCTACTAACCTTTAACTATTCTTAGGTTCTTAATATTCTTAATTTTATACTTATTATTCTCTAATTCTAGCTAAGTTTTAACTAGAGCACCTAGTAGTACTAGTTCTAGAAAGTTTTTATAGAAGGTATTATATACTTTAGTACCTATAGGTAGAAGTAATTTATTTATAACTAGTTCTTTAACTTCCTATACTTTAAAGGGGCCTACCTATAGGTAATCTAGTTTTTTACTTTACTATTTAGTCTTTATATAACGGGGCCTCTAGGACTCTATTACTAGCCGTGGCCCTATCGGAGTTCTTATAAGAGATAAGTAGCGTATAGAGTAGTATAGATTACGTGTTATATAAACGTTAATTAATTACTACTATAAGAATATATTACTAAAGACTTAATAGTAATCTTCTATAAGGAAACTAGATGTAGAGAACTATATTATAGATTAATAATAAAGGCTTACCTAGTGGTAACCCGTTATCTCTATATACTACTATCTAATAGTGGCTCTATAGGCTCTGCCTATAGATTCTATAGATCTAGGCTCTATAGCTCTATTCTATAAATCTACAGATCTAATTATGTAACTCCCTTACGTGCCTATATTATACTTAGCATCTAACCTATAATTATATTCTTCTCCTATATAATCTAATTAGTTACTACTATCCTTAACGTAAGTCCTATAATTCTATTATAGCGTAGCAGCCGTAACACTTTAGATTCTTTTATAATAAGAAAATTTTATCCCCCCCCTTTTAAAGGTTAGTTCCTTAATTCTTTACTTATTTATATTTTTAGATACTAAGAGGGCCTTTTATATAATTCTTTTATATAAAATTTTATAAAGTTCCTTTATTCTCTAGGCTTTATTATAAGCTTCTATAGAAAGACTTTCTATATCTCTTAGATTCTAATAACTAATTAGTTTATATCTATAGTTAGCGTAGTATAGGGGAGTACCCTATTATACCTAATCTAGAGCTATTATATACTAATTATACTATAGGTAAGAGTTCTACCTAATTATTCTATTATTTATTTACGTAAAATTATAGATACTATTCTAGTATCTAATTTATATATTTTATTTATCTATTTATCTAGGAGTAGAAGCTTATTAAGAGTTTTCTATATATTTCTAATACTATAGTAAACGTATCCTAGTATTTAAATATAAAGAGCTTATTATAGTCTATAATAAATTCTTTAGGTAGACTATATTCTATAAATAATATATTATCTACCTTATATACTAGTTCTTCTACTATTATAGACTCTTCTATTAGCCTAAACTTAGTAGCTTTTATAAGTTAATCTACTATAACTATAATAGTATCGTATATATATTTTATTCCTAGTTATAGTAATTTTAGAAGCTTTACTATAAAGTCTATTATTATACTTTACTATAGCCTTTCTACTAATAGTAGTAGTTATAGAAGTCTATAAGGCTTATATTATAAGGGGTTTCTACGTACCTAACCTAGGTTAGACCTTATGGGTATTTAGTGGACGAGAGTGGATAAATAATAATAGGGTATTATTACGAACTAGATAATAATGGGGAAGCTTAGGCGCTTATAAAGGCAGAAGATGTAATAACCAGGGTTATAATAAGATAAAGACACGCTAAGTCGCTTAGATAGTAGTTATGTAACTTACTTAGCTACTTAGGGTTCCTAAACAACTAAGTAGCTAAGAGCTATTACGTAACCTACTTAGTTATTTAGGGCTCCTAAGTAACTAAGCAAGATTCCTATATAGAAATATAAGGATAAACCTTTATACTTATATTTAACCTAAGTTTTAATCTATTATTTAGATTTACTTAGGCCTCCCTTATTAACTTATTATACTTCGTAAGATACTTCTATATTAATAAGAACCCCTTCTTCCTCCCCTTAGTAAGTCTTGCCTAAGAACTAACCTTAACCTATTTAGGATTAGCTACCCTTCCTAGATTTAACATCTTAAACACCCTTAATATAACTATAAGGACTCCTACTTCTTCTATAGCTTTAGATAATACTATTACTCTAATAGGCAACTC